AATCAACAATTGACTTGAGAAAGTTACTGGTAACGAGGGAATTTTATGAAAATTATGACAATGAAAAGCATGCAGACATGGATTGGATATGCAGAACGCTAGATAACCTTTTACCATTATACGAAAAGAAGAACACATTCAAGAAATCAAACAATGAAAGATGGTATCAGAACAGAATTTGGACAATGATCGATACCTTACTCGAAACAATAGAAGGCATTAGTGTTGTTCGGTATGTCGATACCTTTTTCGGTCTTGATATGTATTTATTCCTTTATCTTTAGGGGGGAAGCATGCTCTGCTTCAAGTAGCAAAAGGAAGAACCAAGAACGTTTGCCGGCATCGGTGGAGAAACTCGAGAACAAGAAGATGGGTCGTCGACAAGACCTGATTATTACAAACAACGAGATTATTGAAATGGGTGTCGGGGAAGAAAAATCTGCTGACAATAACACGAACATGATCCTGGAAAGAGGGTTGAAATGTCCAAAGGCTATGAAAGATACCTTACTGCAACTATATGAAGTAATCAAATACAACAAAGATTTGATAAGTTCCCTGAACGTTGTTGGTCTTACAACCTTTGGTAAACACAAGTCAATTATATCATCTTTTTATTTATTTACTTATTTTTATAGGACTTGAGCTATACATTGACATCATGGACAATCCTGTCAACTATACCTGCCGAATAACCAGATCTGAAAAACTCACCATCCCTCATAATATTGAAGAGCTACCTGAAAAGACTTTGCCATTATTGTCTGCATTGTTAAGTTTGAGATTACTTGTATCGAAGAATTCGTTGTTGTTGAAAACACGCCAAGATACTAAGCAAGAGTTGAAGTCATCCTTGAAGAGAGCATTTAGTAATGCTGAAGACAGGAATATCATATCAAAAATTAGCTGTGCATTAACACCTGAAGAGCAAGGTCGCTTTAAATCACCTGGAAAAAAGGCGAAAAGAAATATATCTTGACATTTTAAGCTATAAAAATGATTTATAAATAAAATTTTCTATTATAAATATGTTTAAATTTCACAAGCTATTCAAGGGATATAGACGAGGTATAATGAGGAATCGCAAGAGAAGACTGAGAACTCTCAAATGGGTTGAGATAAAGCTTTTTTGTTGTCAAAACAAAAAAGTGACAATAAAATCTACATGTAATGCTAAGGTGGTAGAATCTCATACAGCTGTTCAGAGTTGTTAAAATGCACATGAGATTTAAGCAAAGCCGAGAATGACATTGAACCTATTATTTAGGTCATAAGCTAAACTATACCTATTCTTACAAAAACGCAATTCTGTAAAGCAAGCATAATATATACTGAATTGAATGTAAGTCATTTTTTAAGACAGGGACAAAACACAAAACACAGAAAAGACGACATGAACATTATCAATACAAAAACTGAAAATTAGCTGACGTTGTGTTTCAGTATGCAATTAAGTTGACTATAACCGCTTTTCTTTCCTCAGTTCATAGTAAATATCAACCAATATCTCCACTCTTAAAAAAATCAATTAAACCTTGAATACTCAATATATATCTTCTATGTCAGCCCAGTTGTTCTATTTGCTTTTCAAAATGCTTGTTTATATGCATATATTGACAACTTTATTTCATGCCTCTTTCTGGTCGGCAATTCGATTGGCAGACAAGCGATCTAATTCCACAAGGCTTACAGCTGTTGGTACTGGATATCCTCCATTTTGAGCCAATGCCGTGCTTGAACAGATTACCATCTCCATAACGCAAGTTGTAAGAAGTAATCAAACAAACTCACGCTTAGTACAAAGCACTCCTAATGCTTGCTTCCATTCTAGTTTTTCATCGTTTGGCAATAAAGTGAATACTGGACTAGATATTTCTACAAGGCTAACAAAGGCTGGATTGGCATATTCTATTTTGGAACTGTTCCTAAAAAAAGATTACTTAGTAAAGTAGAAACGTAATACATTTATGCCAGGTTTACATAGTTACCTCTTGAATATATCCGGACCTCTGGGAAGGACGCGCCAAATACTACATTAAGCATGAATTACCATCTCCAACCATGCAGGGTGACACCCTAGCAATGGCTTTAGCAAAATGTAAACAACAGAAACTTGCTTCCTTGATTGCTGTCTGTCGATTGGCAATTCTTGGACAGATAAGCGATCTAATTCCACAAGGTTTACAGCTGTTGGTACTGGATATCCTCCATTTTGAGCCAATGCCGTGCTTGAACAGATTACCATCTCCATAACGCAAGTTGTAAGAAGTAATCAAACAAACTCACGCTTAGTACAAAGCACTCCTAATGCTTGCTTCCATTCTAGTTTTTCATCGTTTGGCAATAAAGTGAATACTGGACTAGATATTTCTACAAGGCTAACAAAGGCTGCATCGGCGTATTTTATTTTGGAACTGTTTCTCAAAAAAATAATACCAGACGGTATTTTTTTTTTTAAAAAAAAGATTACTTAGTAAAATAGAAGCATAATACATTTATGACAGGTTTATATATTTACCTCTTGAATATATCTGGACCTCTGGGAAGAACACACCCAATACTACATTAAGCATGAATTACCATCTCCAACCATGCAGAGCGACACCCTAGCAATGGCTTTAGCAAAATGTAAACAACAGAAACTTGCTTCTTTGATTGCTGTCTGTCGATTGGCACTTCTTTGATAGACAAGCAATCTAATTCCACAAGGTTTACAGCTGTTGGTATTGATTGTGAATACAGCCGTAAGAAAACAGTGAATTATTGGTAAATGAAAAATAAATAGCTTAGTATTTTTTGGGCAACTTATGGACAATATGGCGCAACAGGACAGAGTCTTCTGTGACTGACATAAATCACGTGATTTTTTTTTGTACTGAGTTATTTGTCTGAGGCCTTAGGCTGGACTTATTTCATTATACGAGTTGGAGAAGGTTCTGACTGATCCCTCTCCCCCTCTCCTAGCTAGTTTCTGATGCACCATGATGTTAAAATGATAAAGGTTGACATTTACCACCTATTAACTGTATGTATATATATTACCTTAAAATTTTTAAAAAAAATTCGACAAATAAAGAAAATATGGTAACACAGTCAGAGTCTCGTTTTACTCGTATAATGAATTGAGTCCTTCGGCCTACGGCCTCGGACAAATAAACCGTTTATTACTATCAACTTTTCTCTGACTTTAAATAAAAGAAGAAGATAAAGCAATCATATCTCATAATTTTTATTTCCATGTATAAGTATCCACAAGATGGTCACAGCAATATGCTCTATGTCTAGTGGAGGTTTCTCTGGTCACGGCTCTTTCGCACACATCTCTCTTTGATCATGTAAGATGGTGTGAAAAGTTATTTGATATGTAACGATCCCCCGATATGTCCCCACCCATCTTCTCGGTCACTTTCTCCACACAAGTTCCCTCTCTCATTGCCATGGTACGGGCCGTGGTAATGTATATGATGATGCCTTTTCCCATATACACTCATTGTCTTTGCGCGGTGCATTACAATGAGCCTACATCCTTTCCTCGGGTCTAGCCCAGAACCTTTTCTCTCTCCCTCTCAGTCAATCTCTACGCGATATCTTCTCGTGTTTTGCTACACTCCAGCATGTTTTCCCAACTGTCTCCCCATTGTTTCTTATTTAACTTTAGGTCACTTTTACCCCTGGTAGAACCTAGAAGCTTTTAGATTTGTCCCATATCTTTGCGAAGACATGGCTACGGGATGTGCTTTCTTGGGTTCTCACCATCTCTCGCTTTAGAAAATACAAGACTCTCAAAAATATCAAATAACAAATAAAATCCAAAACAAAAGCCGTGATGTCCTCTATTGCTGCGAAGCAAAAGAGGCTCACCAACCCTCTTGAGCACAAAGCTCCCTACAAACGAAAAAGAGGTTCCTCTGGTCTATTAATTAATTAAGTGTGCGAATAATAAGTGAAAATATAATACACATACGCCACCTACCCCTTCGCGATGTGTGACTTCTCAGATTAATCTTATCATTAAATAAAAGTTACTCTACAAAGAAAACCCCTTTTTGTTTCCTTTATTTAATTTTTTAAACAAACAATATGGTTAAAGGATTAAAGAAGAACTCACTAAAAAAGCCTTTACTGGATTCTTTAAATGGGTCTTTTACTATACCGTATGAAACGCGAAAACAGCTACGCCTGCCAAACATATTACACCTGAAAACAAAGCACTGGTCAAATATCCATCATGTTATTGCCGATTTTTTTGACAACGCAAACAATTGGGATTCACATCCAAACTCTTTTTATACTATATTATTAAACACCCTTCAAAAAATTAGTCTCTCCAAAGAATGTCCCCCTGCTCTTACTTCATATGCTCAAGCTACTCTTGAAAGATACAACAACTCCGCCATCAAAAAAGACTTTTTTAATGACTATATTAAGCAAGAAAGACTGGCAACTTTGAAAAAAGAAGAAGAATATGCAATACAAGAGGGAAAAATTACAGGAGCCATACTATCAGGACAGGGTGCAAAAAGCTTTAGAAAAAAAGTGAATGATATATTCCAAGATAATTTTGAAGTGGATCAAGTAAGTTATAAAGGTGTGCTATATACTGACTCTTTTCTAACTATAATTTGAATTAGGATTTTGTTCAAAGTTTCTATATTAATAATAATGAACCGGTATCTATAAGCTAAAAGCCAAAAAAAAAAGGATTAAACTTAATTTTCTTAAATAGGAGCGATTTCAAGATGAGGAAGACACGCAAGACGAAGAAGAAGGCAGTAATGATAATATATGTGAATTCTTAAAGAATTTTCAAAGCAAGTACAGATTAATGCGAAACGAAGAAAAATGGGAACTATCGGACGGGGTTTATGTAGAGGATGTATTGTACAAATTTGGGATGCGTTGTTCGTTTGAACAGTAAGTAATGTTTATTCTTTGGACCTTGTATTGTTTTAATAAATGGACCAAAAAATAGTCTTTGCCACTCATGGATTATTGATCCGGACGACAAGACCTATAGCAAATACAAAGTCTTTTCCCCTCAACAGTTGGAGGAAATTAAGAGCCGCAATCCAGTAGAGATACCGGAAATAAGGGATGAACTTGCGGCGTATCTAGGCCAGTTTGATAAAATACAATCAACAATTGACTTGAGAAAGTTACTGGTAACGAGGGAATTTTATGAAAATTATGACAATGAAAAGCATGCAGACATGGATTGGATATGCAGAACGCTAGATAACCTTTTACCATTATACGAAAAGAAGAACACATTCAAGAAATCAAACAATGAAAGATGGTATCAGAACAGAATTTGGACAATGATCGATACCTTACTCGAAACAATAGAAGGCATTAGTGTTGTTCGGTATGTCGATACCTTTTTCGGTCTTGATATGTATTTATTCCTTTATCTTTAGGGGGGAAGCATGCTCTGCTTCAAGTAGCAAAAGGAAGAACCAAGAACGTTTGCCGGCATCGGTGGAGAAACTCGAGAACAAGAAGATGGGTCGTCGACAAGACCTGATTATTACAAACAACGAGATTATTGAAATGGGTGTCGGGGAAGAAAAATCTGCTGACAATAACACGAACATGATCCTGGAAAGAGGGTTGAAATGTCCAAAGGCTATGAAAGATACCTTACTGCAACTATATGAAGTAATCAAATACAACAAAGATTTGATAAGTTCCCTGAACGTTGTTGGTCTTACAACCTTTGGTAAACACAAGTCAATTATATCATCTTTTTATTTATTTACTTATTTTTATAGGACTTGAGCTATACATTGACATCATGGACAATCCTGTCAACTATACCTGCCGAATAACCAGATCTGAAAAACTCACCATCCCTCATAATATTGAAGAGCTACCTGAAAAGACTTTGCCATTATTGTCTGCATTGTTAAGTTTGAGATTACTTGTATCGAAGAATTCGTTGTTGTTGAAAACACGCCAAGATACTAAGCAAGAGTTGAAGTCATCCTTGAAGAGAGCATTTAGTAATGCTGAAGACAGGAATATCATATCAAAAATTAGCTGTGCATTAACACCTGAAGAGCAAGGTCGCTTTAAATCACCTGGAAAAAAGGCGAAAAGAAATATATCTTGACATTTTAAGCTATAAAAATGATTTATAAATAAAATTTTCTATTATAAATATGTTTAAATTTCACAAGCTATTCAAGGGATATAGACGAGGTATAATGAGGAATCGCAAGAGAAGACTGAGAACTCTCAAATGGGTTGAGATAAAGCTTTTTTGTTGTCAAAACAAAAAAGTGACAATAAAATCTACATGTAATGCTAAGGTGGTAGAATCTCATACAGCTGTTCAGAGTTGTTAAAATGCACATGAGATTTAAGCAAAGCCGAGAATGACATTGAACCTATTATTTAGGTCATAAGCTAAACTATACCTATTCTTACAAAAACGCAATTCTGTAAAGCAAGCATAATATATACTGAATTGAATGTAAGTCATTTTTTAAGACAGGGACAAAACACAAAACACAGAAAAGACGACATGAACATTATCAATACAAAAACTGAAAATTAGCTGACGTTGTGTTTCAGTATGCAATTAAGTTGACTATAACCGCTTTTCTTTCCTCAGTTCATAGTAAATATCAACCAATATCTCCACTCTTAGATACTCAAAACATTTCCTTTATGTAAACCCGGCTGCGTTGTTCGCTTTTCAGAATATATGTTTATATATATACTTTAAATTTCTTATTTCATGTATCTTTCCAGCTAAAAAAAAAACGCTCAAAGCAAACAAGAGCAAGCATATAGTGCAAAAAGCAATTCAACAAATAATATATAAGATGGCAGACAGAAATTTGAAGGCCCTAATATTCCAACAATAAAGCAAGGCATCAGAGACCGACTTAAAAGTACAAAGCATAATATGATCACATTAGAAAGTGTCTTGAAACAGAAGAAGAAAATAAAATAAAAGTAAAGTTTCATTTATAAATCATCCGAATATACCGACTTTAATTGTCCAATATTTTAATATTCAGGCTTGACCTCAAATATCAGTTTTTTTACTGAGCCATATTTAAACATGACATATCCATTACTAAGGGTAGATTTCCAGTTTGCTTTTGTCATTTTATAGATGCCTTTAGAAAACCATTGATGATCATTTTCTGGGTCAAGATTCTCGGGTGTATTAAGAAAATAATCTTCGGCATATTTTGATTCTTCTTCGTTTAACTTCCATGTTCGGGATATCCATGGTCTATAACTCTTCAGATGATATATAGAATATGCCCACGTATGATCTGCAGGGTTCTGAATCTGGTAAAAATTACAAGACATTAAGAATATGCCATGGTTGTGTTTGTATTATTATTATACAGCAATGCACTTACTAGCAGTGGGGATAAAGTAAATATATTAACAGTGGTTTGTCTACTGGTGTCAATAAAGCGGACACTGCTAATATTAAGTTCTGTAAAGTGGGTCGCTGTCATATCCACACAGTTTTCTCCCGTATCTTCTGATGCATCTACAGCTATATTTACGCATTCAAGCTTCAGGTTGTTAAGATTTTTACAGCGAAGGGAGATATAATTGAGTGTTTTGGCCGAGAGAGAACTTATATTGAGTAGAATATCAGTCAGCCCGTGCCTTGGCGAAATTTTAGAGCTGTCTAGACTAAGATTAAGAAGTCCATTAACAATGTTAAAAGTCTTCAAGGACGGACATTTATCCAAAAGAATATCGACGGGAATCCTAGTGTGATTGACACTGATAAATATGTCAACGAGATACGGACAGTACTCGAGTCTAGCAGTAAAGCTCCAATATATTCTTAAATCCACATAGGATACAAGTTGAATTTTTTCTAACGACTTGGAGAAAAATTTGGTTGATTCCAAAACGTCTTCAAATAGGACAGAGCTCTCCACACCTGGATACAGAAGAAGATATATTTTCTTGATCGGAGTATTGGAAATACAAAGCTGTTTCCAAAAATCAAGATATAGTTGTTCTGTGCCTTTTTCAACTCTGACATCAATTTCTTCCAGCGTATGGAGGAGATGCGGAAGGAACGAAAGCATCTTTGCTGTTGTTATATTATTTTCACTAGTCATGTTTTGGGGAAATATTACGGACTTGAGCGTGCTGAGGTTTGGGTACTTGATAGCGAGATAGTATATCCATTTATAAGTAGTGATATCAATATCGATTTCCAAGGTTTTTAAATCAGGCATTGGCTTCACGTCTTTGATCTCCAATAATTCGGAATCACTTATTGATTCAAGTTGAACTCCCAATGACAAGTACGTTAGCTTTGGTAGTTTATCATTAAGAAACTCGATGTCCTCAACCGTTTGCTTAAACATTTTTGCATTGAATATGGATTTGAATTCTAGTCGTTTCAGCTGACCGAGATTAGAGATGATCGAATAATATACATGTGGAAGTGTACTGGAGTCATAATTTTCTACGTTCACCTCGAGGTATGTGATAGAGCTCCATAAATTCCATCCAGGATCGGTAACAAACGAGTTTTCGTCAATGCATGTACTATCCCACTTGAAACGGTGTAGGTGTGGTAAATATTGTTGGAGAGCTAATATCTGTTGACCATTTATTAAGGTGTTTTCACTTATGTGGAGAGTTCGGGTTTTTTTGCCATATCTTTGAAGAAGTTTGTTTCTTGAACAAGATATATCCACTGACTCAGCGAATCTGATATAATCGTTAATGACTATTTCTTCAAAAAGTGATTCCTGAAAAACCGGTAACCAAGCTTTGCATACGAGACAGCTTTGAGCTCTATCTCTGCGCTGAATAAAGTCGGCAATACGGCGTGTGATTTCGAAAGGCAACTCGGATGCCATCGTGATGAAAGCAATGACTCTACGGTGTTCTTGGTTGTTTTCAAAGAGAGGAAAAAAGCAACAAACAAGAAATATCTTTGTGAGAGGGTACACTACTATACTTGGATAAAATGGCTTATACTAATTTAAAGTGTATATATTATAAAGTTGGGCTCCCAGGCTTTGTACGCTGTTGATAATATTTTACTCAAGTAAATGAATTATAGTCACTCTCAACGGCATACATCCTTTACTTGTGCATGTTAGCTATAGAAAAACATGCTCTAAGCAGTATCACACATGAACATTTTAAAAAATAGTTTTAATATGACTTATACCCTCTTATTGACCACATCATGAACTTAGTAGGATCGCTGTTCAATTTACAAAGAACATCTTACACATATTTTTTTTTGCATAACGTGTGCAAAGGTTGTACCTTAAACTTGATAAAGAGAATGATAACTTTTGTGGTCATTTTAGAAGAAAAAAACAAACACACTTTTTCTGGACGTTTCAATTTTACCAGACCACGCAATTATGACTTGATGCCCAGTATCCAACCATTTTACTAAATCAACTTAAGATTTTAACTAAATTGACGAAATAGACCGGTTGTCCCCATTGGGACAGCTCAAGAAGAAGTAACCATACTATTCCAAGATAAAACAAAACCTGTTTTCTAAGTTTATTTGAATATTTGATACTAAAACAAAAAACAAACATAACCCATAAAAAAATTGAAAACCTTGGTTCAAATAAAATAGCAATAATTACAATGTATTGTTTAGTTTCTTTTACCTTATTTCATATATTGTATCCTCATCTTCTAACATTTGTGATAGCACTTCTTCCTAAAGTTTCTTTTGGTTTTTTATACTATTATCTATTGTTTATTTCAAGTTGGCACAAAATTACGATCATATATAGTATGTGCGTAATAATATGTATATGATAATGACAAGAATATATCTAATATCATTAGAGAAGTTTGTGGGCTCAAATTTTCAGAGTTGTACAAAAACTCCGACTGAAAAAATGCAAACCCCCCAAAAACATCACTTTTTCAAAATTCCAAGTAATACAAAGTGATACAATTACGCAACTATTCCAAATTTCCATAGATTTTGTAGCAATTCAATAGAATTCTGTAGCAATTTCGAAATAGAAAGCAAATCTGCTGAAATACAAAAATTTAAACAAAGCGACACAAACTCGACGCGTATATAGATGTGGGTATTTTGCCATAACACAACACCTGCTCTAATACTGTGTCAAATATATATTCAACTGTTTCTTCCATTTTCTTTTATTTTTGATTTTTTTGAATAGACAAAGTATAAAACATTACCACAATTGAGGTATAACATATTTAGCTATGTAACCACATCTAAATTCGGCATAACCTCTGCAGAGATCCTTTTCCCAATAGTCCTTTAAAGATCTTTCAAAGTATTTCTTCTGTTCTTGCCCATTGCTGACCTTTGTATAAGAGTGTTTATGATAATAATCAAGTACTTCCTGGCCATCTTGATCCGAAAGCTCTCTGGAGTCTTGCTTAAAATTGTGAGACTGTTCATCATTCTTGATGCTGTGGAACCAACGTATGAAGCTCATAGGAGATTCTACATTTTTCATCTTTATATTTTCATTTGGCTGACTGGTTTCGGGTAGATGGGATAGCAAAAACAAGTTGACTTTAGTGCTGTCGTTGATATTATTGCTGGATGAGTAGAATTTGATACGGTCGATTATCAGCATTTTGATTCTTGTATAGGACATGTCAATGTCCATGCCTCCCGTTTCTTTAGATATCGACCCACAGATTTTTAGTCTAGTCAGTTTTATAAGGTCCAAACTTCTACATCTGAAAGAGATATAATTAAATACAGAAGTCTTTATAATAATATCCTCTAAATCACAGGTCTGTAATGCATGTTGTATCGGGTTATTGTGTGCGTGTCTACTGGTACACAGCTGTACTTTGGAAAGGTAAAGATGCCTAAGTGCTCTACAGTTATCCAATAGATCGTCCAAGGCAATTGATATATTGCTGTATTCGATATCAAGATCCACCAATAGTGGATAGCGAGAGAAATTTGGTATTATAATATTATTAATATTAAAAGGTTCGGCTTCTTCGATGGGGGCAGTTTTTCTAGTGTTTGAAAAGGTCTGTACAGGCTGTTGAATAAGCTGGTTCTAGATATCTCACGTCATACTTTCTGTATATTACCTTGTATTTTAACCTCTTAATTGAAGTACTTGACTGCTGAATGATGTCCCAAAGAAAAGCGTTCGGGATTTTTCTCTTGTCATTAATATGGAATTGAACGGTTTCTAAGAGTAGAAATACTGGTGTGGCCGAACTAGAAAACGATCCGTTTCTCTTATTATACTCTTTAAAGCTAAAGCCGCCTTCTTTACACACGATATTCAATTTCAAGCTACGCAGCTTCGGATATTTGTACCTAAAGTAACACAACCATAGGTAATGCGACCATAGACAACTCTGGCTTGTAATGAGGAGATCAAGTGCTTTTACTAAGGGTACGGGCATAGTGTTTGGAATAGTTTTCACAGAATCTTGGTCGATGTTATCGAGGGAGATGTAACCCTTGATAGATTTTAGCTGGGGTGAATTTTGGTGAATGGTGTTGATGTCACTCGTAGTCAAGGGCATTGAATAATACGGACCATATGAATGGATATTTAATTTTTCGAGGCTAGGAAATTGTGCGATAAACCTGATGATTTTTGGCGTAACCATCGGCTTCCCCATAGTAGAAAATTTTAAGTGTAGGCTAACAAGTGACTTGATTGGACCACAATATTCTGACTCGTGTACATCTTTGTTTTCCATACGCATAGACAGAATGTCAAGGTGCATCAAGTTCGGAAATGTCTGAAAGATACAGCATTTCAGCCAGTCGGTAAAGGTACTCTTCCCTCCAATAATCAGACTTCTGTTGAGAGTATACGGAAACTTGTTTGTCGAATGCTTTGAAAGATTGTAAAATCTATCTATATCTTTTAGGGACTTTGCCTTGATATTCTTCCAGAGAGACTCTTGAAACGGAGGGGTCCACCTTTTGCAAACCGAAGCACAGGAAGTCTTGTCACTTTTTGATAGATGCTCTGCAACTCTTAAGAGGATCTCAAAAGGTAACTCTGATACCAGCATGAGAATAAAGATAGGAAAGAAAGAGAAAGAAAGAAAGAATTGCAACACGGAATAAAAAGAGCTTTATAAATAAGAGCGTTGAGCTCAGTGATTGTTTTGAGTTACACAGATATATATATATATATATTGAATCAAATAGAGTTGTTATGAGAAGGTGCAAGCCCTAGCCAACTGTTTTGGAGTACAAAAAAAAACAAATAAATCTAAACTTTATTAAATTTTTTTTTTCAAAAAATTTATTAGCGTGTACGTGTGTGCGTTCCAGACTATGTGTAAATTGGCTGTAAAATTATGACATTCTAATCTCAAGACTATAGGCTAAACTTTTTTTTTATCAAGGAATATGAGGATCAGGTAGTATTCTATTGGCTTTAAAGGTTTGCTGTTATATATTCTATAGTACATATTGGTTGAGCTTAAGAAATTGAAATTAATGATATTCAATACAATTATTTTATTGGCTCTTGTTAGCTTATATATATATATATCTTGCAACTGGGATACATATTATAGAGTTTGCCTTGCTTTATCTATGGTAAATGTGATGCTTAGATTTATGGGTAAAACCGTTGTCTTTATTTGAATGGCTGTATTGGAAAAGCGATATAATATTATAATATAATATAATATACATATAGGATAATTATATAAAAAGAAATTAGGTATGTCACAGTAAAGGAACACAATAATTTTTTATGTTGCCGCATCGCATTTCGGCATAACCTCTGCAAAGATCTGCTTTCCAATTACTCTTGAGAGTCTGTCCATTCATGGATCGCATGCTCTCTTGTATGCCTGTACTCTCTCTGAACCGAAAATTTTGATAATATTCTGTGGTAATGCAAACTTCCTGCTCTGAAAGTTTCCTGACCTTTGGTGCAGAATCAAAAGTATGATTTAATCCGTAAAAAACGTGGAACCAAGATAAATGTTTTACAACAGAGACTATATCTTCGCTTTGTCGCGTTCCATTCGACAACCGATCACTGTTTACTTGGGAGAGCAGTATCAAGTTAATCGCAGTATTTTTATCCATAAGTCTATCGGATGAATAACAATATATGTGGTCAAGACGTAAAACCTTGAAGTTGGTATAAGACATGTCAATATAAAGCCGTTTAGTTTCGTCAGAGATAGAATCACATATTTTTGGCCGATTCAAGTACATATATTCCAAGCTTCTGCATCTAAAAGACAGATAGCTAAAGACAGCTGTATTGACAGTAACATAGCTTAGTTCCAGAATATTGAGTCCATGGTACGCCGGTTTCTCATGTGGGTCTGAGCCAATATTTAATTTTCCGTTGGAAAACTTTAGTCGACTTAAAGCTATACAGTTATCCAATAAGTTATCCAGCTCAATGTAGGAGCCGTTATCCGTGATCTCAAGCTCCACCAGTCGCGGACAGTAAGAAATTTCCAGCTTTACGATATTTTCGGTACCAAAAAATAAATATCCTTCAACAGACATAGTTTCCAGAGTTTTTGAAAATGACTGTACAAGCTGTCGGATAACTTTTTCTAGAGCACCTTCCTCATAGGTTCTGTACCTTGCCCAGCATCTTAAGTTCTTGATCGGAGCATTGGATTGGCAAAGTAAATCCCACAAAACAGTATGTGACCATTTGGTAAAGTCTTCAGTATTGAATTCGACTGTTTCTAGATGTGGGAATAGCGTTGTAGCTGGACGAAGGAGCGATCCTTTTTTTATATTATATTCTTTGATGATTGATTCGTCTGTTTCACACAAGGCTTTCAATGTCAAGGTACGTAAGTTGGGATACTTATAGCTAAAATACCATAACCATTGGTAATACAGCCATAAGCTATTTAAGTTTAAGATGTGGATATCGAGTGACGTTAGGGAATATGCGGGTATAGCTTTCGGAATAGTCTGTATATCGCTTTGACAGATTGTAGGAAATGTAAAAGCACCCTTTATGGATCTAAGCCGGCTTAAATACTTGTGTATGGTATTAATATTGCCCACGTCAAAGTATATTGATGTATGTGGAAAACATGGAAATATATTTAAGTCATGAAGATTAGGAAATTGTGTCAAGAACTCGACAAGTATTGACTGTGACGTTTCTTCCCTGGTAGAGCAGACCTGGAACTCCAGACTAACCAGCGACTTCCATGGACCGCCGTATATCGATATTTCAGTATCAAAAGTTTTAAACGATATGTCTCCCAGATTAAGATGCTTTAGGTTCGGTAATACTTGTAATATATTGCTCTGTAGCAAATCAGTTATGGTACACCATGAAGTAAAATATAAATTTTGGATTGCCAAACTGAAGGACAGTCCATTTGTTGAATGTTTTACAATATCGCAAATACTGGTGAGCTGCTCCATAGATTTAACTTCTATGTTTTTCCATAAAGAATCTTGAAACGGAAATTTCCATCTCTTGCAAACCAAAGTACAAGAAGCTTTGTCCTCATTTATTAAGATGTCTGCAATCTTCGAAAGAATTTCAAAAGGTAGTTCTGATAGCAACATGTGAATAAAGGCGGGGAAAAAATAAGAAAGAAAGATAGAATTGCAACACATAATCAAAAGAGCTTTATAAATAATAGTACTGGGGGTTTAGTGATTGCTCTGAGTTACACGAATATATATCTATATATACATATACTGAACCGAATATAGTAGATATGAGAAGGTACAAGCCGCAGTCAATTGTTTTTAAGTTAATCCTGTATTCTTATTATTTTAGGAAATACATCTGAGTCAACAAAACTTAGTACAGTAGGCTGCTATTAATTTTCTCTTTTTAACCCATTCTTTTGTTTTATTTTATAGCGACAGCTAAACATTCATTTGTGTGTGTGTGTTTGTTTCCGATTAGGTGTAAGTTTGTTGTAAAAGCGTGATATTGAAATCTCACGACAATAGGCCAAACCATTTTCACTATGGAAAATTCCGATCAGACAGACTTTTATTGGCTCTAAGTTTTTGGTACTATATATACAATATTACATAGCAGGTCAAGCATAGGAAGTTGAAATAAACGATATAAAATACAGCCCTTTTTTTTGAATCTGTAAAATTTTGACAATTTTCTCTCAAGTAATCTAAAATAAATAAACACAGAAAGCGTTTGAAAGAAATAAGTTAAGGGAAAAACCATCAAATATATTATGTAATATAGTCTCTGTTTATTTATTTATGGTAAAGGAACACAATAATTTTCCATGTTGCAATATCTCAGTTCGGCATAACCTATAAAAAGATCATTTATCCAATCGTCCTTAAAAACCTGTCCATTAAATGTTCGTTCAACCTCTTGTGCACTGTTGCTTTCTCTGAACCTAGAGCTTTGATAATATTCGGTGGCAATCAAAACTTCTTGTTCTGTAAGCTGTCTGATCTTTGGTGCAAAATCAAATGCGTAGTCTAATTCATAAAAAGTATGAAACCAAGTTGGGTGCCCTACAGCCGGGCCGTCGTTTTGGATTTGTTGTCTTTTTCCTGATAGCCGAGGACCAGTTGATTGGGAAAGTGATAGAAAATTAATGGCAGTACTCTTATCCATAAGTTTATCAGATGAATATAATTGAATGTGATCAAGACGCAATACTTTGAAACTGGTATAAGACATGTCAATATATAGTCTTTTAGTTTTATCAGAGACGGATCCACAAATTTGCGCTCGGGCTAGATCCATAAATTCCAAGCTTCTACATCTAAAGGACAAGTAGTCAAAGACAGGACCGCTTGCAACAACGCTGTCTAACTTCAAACTTTGTAAGCCATGTTTTATCAGCTCCCCGTGTATTTCTGGACCAATGAACAATCTTCCGTTGTGAAAACACAGGCGTCTTAAAGATATACAATTATCCAGTAAGTTATCCAATGCAATGGAGACGCCACAGTCTGTAATTTCGAGCTCCACCAATCGTGGGCAGTAAGAGAATTCTGGCCTTGCGATATTTTCAGTATCAAAATATACATCCCCCACAATGGATAACGTTTTGATAGTTTTTGAAAAAGACTGTACAAGCCTCTGAATAATCTTTTCAGTATAGATTGCCGAACAGCTGCATTTTTTGATAGTGTACTTTAATTTTTTGATGGGAGCCTTTGACGGGCAAAGAAGCTCCCATAAAATAGCATGGGACCATGCGGTACGATCTTCGGTGTAGAAGTCAAATGTATCCAGATGTGGAAATGCTGCTTTAATTGAGCGGAGAGGTGAACCTTTTAATTCTTTATAGCCTTTGACAATCCACCCACTTGATGCGCATGAGGTCTTCCATCGCAAAGTGTGCACATTTGGATACTTGTAGCTAAGATAATACAGCCACAGATGGTCCCAGTCTAAAATGTCGAGGTCAAGGGTCGTTACGGAGAGTATCGGTGTAATGTTAAGGTCTGTCTGTACAGAATCTTGGCTGATATCAGCAAGAGCTAGGCGTAACGTGATAGATGTGAGATGAGGCAAATATTCGTGGAGAGTATTAAGATTGCTTGGCGTAATCCGGAAAGAATAAACCGAGGAATACACACACACATCTAGTTTTCGAAGGCGGGGCATGGTTTTTAAAAGGTCAAGAAGATCCTTTGTCGGTATTTCTTGTACTACAGCATGTATTTGGAGCTTTATACTAACAAGTGAATCCAATGGAGGGTAGCTACTTGGGAAGTTCATACTTGAATATTTAGAGTATACGTATTGAATGTCAAGGTGCTTCAAGTTTGGAAATGTTCGGAAGGTATCACTCTGTAGCCAATCGATTGTACAATATCCAGTAAATCTTAATGCCTGTACTAGATGGTAAAATTGCCGGTGATTTATCATAGAATTATTTACGATAGCGCAAATCTCTTCAAGTTCTTTAGTAGAGCTGACATCGATACTTTTCCAGAGAGTTTCTTGAAATGGGGTTTTCCATCTCTTGCATGTTAGAGCGCAAGAAGCCTTGTCCTTATTAAATAAAAAGTCAGCAATCTGTGAAAGAATCTCAAAAGGAAATTCCGATGCCAGCATGACGGGTAAAGGAAAGAAAGAAAGAGAAAGATAGAAAACAAAAAAAAATTGACTATGGGCACTAAATATTAAGCTTTATATTAATGAAAGAGGCGTTTTTGGTCATCACCCTGTATTAAATTGATGTGTACAATTGTTTCAATTAATCATAAATGAATACAACCCGCAGTTCAAAGTGGAATTTTATAGCTTCATATGTTGTTTTTGGTTTTTTTTAAGCAAACCAAAGAATTTAAATGAAGGACGAGGTAGACTGGCTGTCTACATTTAGACAGTTTAATAAGCAAGAACCACACTATTTTAAGAAAGAGAAAACTGTTTGTCCAAGTTTATTTAAATATATGATATTAAAACAAAAACAAAAATATCCAATACAACAATTGAAAACCTTGGTTCAAATAGAATAGTAATAACTGCAATGTGTTTTTTAGTTTCTTTAACTTTATTTCATACTTTATATACTCATATTCTAACATTAATGATGAAAGTCCTATTGTGTAAATTCAATTACTATACGGTATGCCATTTGATCCTTAACTTTAGCTACTTCTCTACTGTTTATTTCAATTGGGCACAAAATTACCGTCATATATAGTATATGTATAATAATATGTATATGATTATGTCAAGAATGTTTCTGATATTATTGGATTATTTAATATCTCTGGCGTCTTTAAAGTGTCTAAGTCCTTGTAACCTCTGTAACCGTTAAAACTCTTAAATCCATTAGGACCCCTAAAACCCCAATAACCCTTAAAGCACCTAGAATATTCCAAGCCTTTAAAGTCTCTCAAGTTTTCAAGGATTTCAAAGCTGCTAAATTATTTTAAATTTCTATGTTGTTAAGACAATGTCATTAGATTCTTCTCAAATAAAAAAAAATCGGTCAGTGAACTACCGTCTTCATACCTTTCAAAAAGTCATTGAGTCATTTCTTTTAAATATCGAGCTAGTTCAAAGAACATTCTTGCTACTTTACTTGTCCTTATTGTTCATCTCAATTGGGAACACAATTGCATTGCAAGTTACCTGTGAAAGAGTAATTCATGAACTTGTTTTAAAAATATAGGAGGATCAAATACAAGCTATGTGCAGAGTATCCACCTTTCTTTTTAAAGGTACAGAAGAAGATATAGCGAACTCAAGCTTAAGCACTTTCTCTATAGACAAAAAGTTTATTAGTAGATACCTAGATTTTAAAAGCTTTATAGTCATGTTTTTTTTAAAAGACAAATACATAAGCATTAAATTTACTCATCTTTCTTGTCTCTTTCTATAAAAGAAAAAGCATATTATCTTTCGATATGCCTCGAATATACTTATTCATTAAAAATCATAGATTTGAGCATATAATTAGCTCTATGCAAATAAAAAAAATGCTTTGAATAATAGACAGACTTTTTTTTTTGAAGAACCTATACCAAATTACTTCAAAATAAGGGGGGTTCAGTATTTTTTTCTGAAAGACCTTTTAAATATAATTTTCTGGCTTAAACTATTGTCCAATAAAAGTCCTTGAGTACCACCTTTAAGATTTTCTGCTATAGGCTTCTATGTTTTTTAACTTAATTTAAATCAATCATATCTATAGTTTAAACCCAGAAATTATAAATATAAAAATCTATGTTCATTAAACTCTCCTATTGTATCTTTTTTTTCACAGATCCAAATGACCTTGTACAATATGTTTCTAGTTTTACTCTTGAATATCAAGAAGTAAAGAAGAGTGATGGCTTGCTCTTTCTCGTTCTGGTACAGAAAGTAAAATGATGCGCTAATATGGTGTGTGAACAACCAAACGGAGTATACAAAAAGATCTTTTTGAAGTGACTTGGTTGTCAATTAAGTGCTTTGGAAACAATATCTACTCCTACAAAAATAACATGTTCCTTAAAAATAAATAGATAAATAAATAATGGCCCCTCGAAATGCTCGATCCAAAATTGCGCACAAAAGGCCACGAACTGAGAACGGAAAATTCGGTCCTAAACCCCCAATCAGCATCATTGATAGCGAGAATACTATTGTAGAAGATGACCCTGTAGATGAGAACAATCACGAACTTGATGATCTAAATACAGATATGATGTTTGACACATCTCATAAAAAATTCTTGACATGGAATCCTGATGCTGGAAATAGTTTGCGTGAATTGTATAGAGGAACTTCTGACTCCTCGATCTTACGCAAAAAAAAGAAAAGCAAAAAAAGAACTCGAGGCAAATAAGAACAAGACCATCAGAACGCTTGCTGATTTTGGTTTTTCAAACAATTTTCCGCCAGTTTCGTATGCAGACGAGCCGCAACCTGTAGTCAAGGCAACAAAAGAACAGAACCTTGAAGAGATCTGTATTGCTTTTAATTCGATTTCCGATAAAGTCGAACCCCGAGCTAGTTCAAGCAGCAAGTCGTGCATGATCTCCTTTTACGAGGCAAGCAAACATATTGTTGTGAAGGATTATTTCAGACGCCTCTTGGGCAATTCTAAAAAGATTGATGCATCTCAAAAAGCAGCTGAGATCATTTGGCATAACCCTTCCAAGTATCGTGGAGAAGTAGTACGGGCTTGGGGAAAGGAGTATCTTAAGTTTGGAAGGATATCTGAGAGCCAACAGGGAAAACATTCAAAACGTTCTTTGGCTGTCAGTAACTAGAGCTTAAAGAATAAGGAATTGATCTTACCTTGTGTTCTAACGACAGACCTTTGTGGCCCTCTGGAAGTGTCGCAATGAGACTCTTTTGTGTGTGTCTAGGAATAAAAGGAAGTATAGTCCGAGTACGTTATAAAGCTGCATGAAACTATGAGGATATGTGTATTTCACAAAAAAATAGTAGGACGTTTATTTCAATTTTTATATGAGATCCGGCGTGGTATTGAATATTAGCATAGACTTGTGCAGACAGGCTATTTCAGTTTTACTTGCAATAGTTAGGAGACTGAGATATTCTCTTACTTCACATAAAGCCAGCTAAAACTGGTAATCCTTATTTACTACGAGGCTGCATCTTACGTCTATGTTTGAAAAGAGGGTATGTTGCTTGAGTATAAAAAAAAACTGCGTACACTAGAAAGGCAAGTATGAACAATGATAGAAAACAAATCCTAGTGTGTCTACCATGGCATCATTTAATTAAAGGCATGCAGGTCGAGAAAAAAAATACATCACGAAAGTGTCATATATGTGTATAAAAGCTCATTTTCGGTAAAGAGGTCTTTTCCAAAGAGAACATATCTTGATACAAAATTAAATACCAAGTCTAGTCAAGTAATAAAAACAAATAAATATTCTTCGCCTTTAAGAAAAAAAAATACGCAGTTAAAAGGCAAAGGTAAATTGTTTCCTTTAATTGGTGGATCTGTTCCCATGGAGTTGATCTTAGGATGACAACTTTCCAAATACATGAGATCGAAAATATAACTGCTGCAAACGACTTTTTTTTGTTTTGGATCACATTTCCTAAATCATATGTACTTATTAAAAAAAGCTAAAATTCATTACTACTGCTGCGGATTCTTTTGTAGCCAATTATAATTAGAATAAATCAATTTTATTTGGAATAAAATAAAGGCACAGAATACTTAAGTATATTACCACATCTCAGCTCGGCATAACCTCTACAAAGGTCTTTTTTCCAGCTTTCCTTGAAGGTCTGTTCATCAAAATATGCATCTTCCTCTTGCATATCGGTGGCTTCTGTGGATGAGACGCCCTTGTAGTAATCCAGTGTAGTGCAGATCTCTTGTTCACTAAGTTTCCTAGTCTTTGGAGTGTAGTCGAATGCAAAGTCTTGCTCACAAAAGAGATGAAACCAACCTATGTGGTCTATAATAGATGTCACATTTCCGGAATCCATAGTTTCCATTTGTGGGAGAGGATCAATTAACTGGGACAGCAATACAAGGTTTACTGCGGCGTTTTCTTCAATACGTTCACTGGACGAGTAGAATTGAACAAACTCGAATTCAAGGAGCTCGAGATTTGTATAGGACATGTCAATGCACATTACTCTGGTTTCTTCGGACATCGTTCCATAGATTTTTGAGTGTGTTATCTTCATTAATTTCAATCTTCTGCACCTGAAAGACATGTAATTGAACACAGGAACACTTGTAGTGACATTTTCTAACTCCAAACGTTGTAGTCCATGTTGCATTGTTGTCCCGTGTGCGCCCGGATCGATGTACAATATTCCGCTACAATACTTCAATTGCCTCAAGGCTGTACAGTTATTCAATAAGCTGTCCAAGGCAATAGATACACCGCAGTTTTTGATTTCAATGTTCACCAACTGCGGGCAAAAACAAAATTCTGGTCTGATAGTATTATCAATATCAAAAGAGATATCCCCCTCCATGGAGAGCGTCTTAAGTGTTTTTGAAAAGAATGGCACAAGTTGTGAAATGACGGTTTTTGGATAGCTCTCGTTATGAATTCTGTGCATCGCCTTGTATTTTAAATTCTTGATCCGAGAACCGGGTTGGCAGATAAAATCCCAGAAAGCAGTATGTGACCATTCGCTGCGGTCAGCGGTACAGAATTCAACCGTCTCTAGGTGTGGAAGTACTGTCGTAATTGAAGGGAGAAGCAATCCTTTTTTCTCAATGTATTGTTCAATATTCGATTCATCTGAGTTGCATGAGGCCATCCATTTTAGAGTACGTAGGTTTTTATACTTGTAGCTAAAGTAGCATAGCCATAGATAGTACAGCCATACATTATTCCTGTTTACGATTTCGAGATCGAGTGAAGTTACAAAGCATGCGGGTATAGTGCTTGGTATAATCTTTACAGCATTTTGGTGGATATCGGTGAGGGAAACTCGAGCCTTGATATGTTTAAGCTTGGGTACCGCCTTGTAAATAGCATTAAAGTTATCCATGTCAAAGTTTATTGCACCCCGTGAAGAATTCGGGAAGATGTCTATTTCTTTGAGATTAGGAAATCGGGACAGAAATTTGATGAGCATTGGCGTCGATGTAGTCCACGGAAGAGTAAGTACTCCAAGTCTCAGGCTGGTCAGTGATTCCGATGGACCACTATATTTGGGCAAGTCCATATCTGTATCTTCAAGATATATAGAGGTTATACTGAGGTTTCGCAAGTTTACGAACGCCCGAAAGACATCAGCTTGGAGCCAGTTGGTTAAAGTAGTGTGTCCAGTAAGATTTAGAGTTTGACCAATTATAATTCCAGGGAACTTTCTTGTTAAATTGATTACAATGTAGCAAAGGTCGGTTACTCTTCCTATAGATTTGGCGTTAAAGGAGAGCCAAAGTGATTCTTGAAAGGGAGTTGTCCATCTCTTGCAAACCAGAGTGCAAGAGGCCTTATCATTGAACAAAAGAAAATCGGCAATTCTTGAAAGGAGCTCAAATGGGAGTTTGGATATAGGCATGACGATAATAAATATAAGTAAAGTAAGAGAAGTGTATTATTGTGAGCTTGATTACGAAGACTTATTTAAATGAAATGGCTGTAGGGAGATGTAACCGGTTGTTACACGTATTGGTACATTCGTTCTAATGAAGCAGAAAATACAGGGTACAAGCCGCAGTCAGCTATATATATATATATTTTAAAAAAATTATGTACTTATTGTTGTTGTACTAAGGTTTAAGTAACGGTCAATGAGAGTTCATATCCCAAGAATATATTGAGAGGTTTCACCTACAAAATATAGTTTTTCCTTTCTGATATCTTTTCTTTATTGTTTACTCTAGGTTACAGACCAGAATGATTGTAATAGTAAAGAGGCAAGACTTATATAATACTTTATTGAGTTTTCAAAGGATCTGATGCTTTATAATGGACAGTAAAGTTGGGTCAAAGCTGAGAAATGAAAAAGGAAATGGAAAGTCATATAATGTAATTGTTTTATTAATCAAGTAGAACCACTGACATTACCTAATCAAGTTTCAAATATATAAATACATATAAATAAAGAAATATAACAAAGATATCAAATATACTTTACAAGTAATCAGAAAATATACTCTTGAAATGGTCTCACTTAATCTACGATAAAGGAACACGGCAGTCGGCTATGAATCCACACCTTAGTTCGGCGTAGCCTCTGTAAAGATCCGCTTTCCAATCTTCCGCGAAAGTCTGCCCATTAATAGATCGTTCAGCTTCTTGTACAGTGACACTCTCTTTGAATAATCTTTTTTGATAATAATTGGTAATGGTAACAACTTCTTGTTCTGAGAGATTCCTGATCTTTGGTGCATAATCTGATGGGTAATCTAATTTGCAGTAGAGGTGGAGCCAAGCTAGATGTTTTACATTAGGGCCCATGTTTCTGAGTTGTCGCTTTTCGCTTGACAGTCCAGTGTCAGTTAACTGAGAGAGCAATACCAAGTTTATGATGGTGTTCTTATTCATACGTTCATCAGACGAATAGAATCTTGCACGGAAAACATTTAGTACTTTAAGTCTGGTGTAAATCATGTTGATGTGTAGACTTCTAGTATCGTCAGAAAGTGATCCACAAATCTGGGCTTGAGTTAAATCCATATATTCCAGGCTTCTACATCTAAAAGACAAGTAGTCAAATACAGCGGCATTTGCAACAACACCGTCTGTATCCAAAGTTTGTAGTCCATGTTGCATTGGCTCGCCATATGTTTTCGAATCAATGTACAGTCTTCCGTCCACATATTTAAATTGCCTTAGGGCTATACAGTTATCCAACAAGTTATCCAAAGCAATCGATACGCCAGAGAATTTGATTTCAAGATCCACCAATTGTGGACAATAAGAGAATTCTGGTCTTGCGATATTCTTAAATTTAAACCGCATATTACCGACAATAGAAAACGTTTCAATGGTTTTCGAAAAGGATTGCAAAAATCGTTGAATAATTGTCTTTAGGAAACTAGCTTCACAGTCAGAATATTTGGTTTCGTACTTTATGGTTTTGATAGGTACATTTGATCGACAAAGAAGGTCCCAGAAAATAGCGTGTGACCATTCTGTACAATCTTCTGTGTAGAAGTCGACTGTTTCTAGATGTGGAAATACTGTTGCAATTGAATGGAGAAGAGCCACGTTTCTTTCTTCGTAATTTTTAACGATCCATCCAGTGGCTGCGCATGAGGTTCTCCACATTAAAGTACGTAGGTAAGGATATTTGTATGTAAAGTAGTACAGCCATGGATGGTCCCAATCTACAATGCTGAGATCAAGAGTCGTTACAGAGAGTGCTGGTACAGTTTTTGGAATCTCTTGCACATATTTTTTGTGGATATCAGTAAGAATTAAACAGGCCTTAATATATGCGAGATGTGGTAAGGTTCTGTGGAGGGTATTGAAACTATTGGATGAAAATCGAAGTGGCGAAACAGAGGAATACGCGGTAACGTCTAACTTTTGTAGATGGGGTATATTTTCCAAATACTCAACAAGAATATCCGTCGCCATTGGCAGTTTTACGACCTTAATTTGAAGCTTTATGCTAACTAGGAACTTTAACGGACGATAATAACTTGCCAGTCCTATGTCTTCCTGGTTAATATGTAGGCTCTCCAGGAAAAGATGCTTCAAGTTCGGTAATATTTGAAAAATGTCACTTTGCTGCAAATCGATTTTGCATGGTCCAGTAAACCGTAAGCCTTGTACTATCAGATCGTAAGGCGGAGAGTTACTCGTTGGATTTTTTATGAGATTACATATCTCTTCGAGTTCTATCATAGTGTCGACTTTTATATTTTTCAAGATTGATTGTTGAAACAAAGCTCTCCACCTCTTGCAAGTAAGAGAGCATTCGTACTTGTCATTCTTTAAAAGAAAGTCTGCGATCTGTGCAATAATCTCAAAGGGCAGTTCAGATGCCCACATAATTGTAACAAAAAGAAAGCAGAAACAAAATAAAGAAAAAAGTGTGGGAATAAAAAGGCACTCATTATTTATGAGTTTTAAAACGAAACTTTATCAAGTCGACAAAAGAACTGTGAGTCATTTTTATTATACATCACGGGTATTGTTACACTTGACCCAGTAAACTACAAAGATATACAAGCCTCAGAACATCTGTAAAAGTAGTATTCAAATCCAGTGTTTCCTTGATTAAATGCTTTTTGATAAATGCTGTTCGAGAAAATCTTCTGCAACAGACGCATTTCAGACAGCACGTGTTTTAGTGCGCTATCATTCTTCTGATTTATATGATGGAGATACCTTTAGCAATTAAAGACCAATCACTTTTGTGGCTTCAGTCATCCGGATTAAACTACCAAAAAAATGCAGTTAAAATATCAGACTTGGATATTGAAATAGTTTCTAATTTTAAGCTGGATACTTTAAAAAAGCAGAATAATCTGATTAACCTGGTGGATGACTGTCTCTTTATAGACAGCTTAACTGGTAAGATACAAATCTTGATTACTCGGCGAGTATCAAGGAAATGTTGGATTATGTCTCTTATATAAATTGATACCTTTATCTATGTATATTTATTATATCGCTTATACATATAAATATAAATATAAGTAGCAAGAAATAAGTTATTATTTTACATTTTAGGCAAGTTGCTATACAGCATTTGCCAAAAATCTTTTTCATCTGTCCAAAATAAAGGTACACGATAATCGGCTATGTGGCCACATCTTAATTCAGAATAACCTCTACAAAGATCCGCCTTCCAATTTTCCTTTGATACTTGGCCGTTAAAAGATCTTTCAACTTCTGGAACATCAATGTTTTCTATGGATCTGAATTCTTGATAATACTTGATAGTATCATCAGCCTCTTGTTTAGAAAGTTGCCTGATTTTTGGTGCATAGTCGAAGGCATAGTCTAGCTCACAGAAGAGATGAAACCAGCCTATAGTGTCCACAGAAAGGCTGTCACTCACTTCTTCTGTATTTTCCATTGACGGCAGGGGTTTAGTCAACTGAGATAGGAGTATTAAGTTTATTGCTGTATTTTCATCAATAGTTTCAACAGATGAATAGAATTGAACGCGGTTGAGATGCAGTACTTTAAATTGCGTGTGGGGCATATCAATACACAGACGTCCAGTCTTATCAGAGATTGGTCCACAAATGTACGATTGAGTTAAGTTCATATATTGCAAGTTGTTACATCTAATGGACGTGTAGTTAAACACGGGTGCGCTTGCAAAAATACTATCAAGCTCCAGAATACGTAATCCATGAGCCTTTCGATCTATTTGTGCGTCTGGACAAAGATACAGCTGTCCATTGGAAAATCGAAATCGTATCAGGGTTGTGCAGTTATCCAATAGATTATCCAATGCAATGGATACGCCACAGTCTTTGAATTCAATATCTACCAGTAGTGGACAGTAAGAGAACTCTGGTCTTGCGATATTTTCGATATTAAAAAATACGTCTCCTACAACGGTAAAGGTTTCAAGGGTTCTCGAAAAGGATTGTACAAATTTTCGGATAATTGATTCTAGAAATAATGCGCCGCAACTGCAGTCTTTGATCTGGTAATTCAAGTTTTTGATTGACACGTTTGATCGACAAAGAAGTTCCCAAAAGATAGCGTGTGCCCATTCTGTAGTTTCTTCAGTACAGAAATAAATTGTCTCCAAGTGTACAAACGCTTTTGTAATTGAACGAAAAGGTGCTATTCTTGCGGAGCCGTAGTCTTCATCAATCAACTCCCTGGATGCAGGCGATGCTTTCCATCTCAGAGTACGTAAGTTAGGATATTTCAATGTAAAATAGTACAGCCATAGATGCCGCCAGTGAAAGAGGGTAAGATCGAGGGTTTCTACGCAAACTGCCGGTATGGTGTTTGATATGTCCGAAGCTTCATTTGGATTTATATCACAGAGATTTAAGTTAGTTTTGATAGCTACAAGATGCGGCAATGCTTTATGTAGTTCATTGAACTGCTGTAATTCAAAATCAATTGTGTAAGACAGATACTCGAAAGATATGTCTATTTTCTGGAGATTCGGAATGTTTGTCAAGACCTGAATAATGGCTGTAGTTGGTATTGTCCATTCGGATGGTTCGATTCTGAGCTTTATGCTAGTTAGCGACTCCCATTTAGCGCCATGTATTGTTTGTTTGAGGTCAACTTGGCCAAAAGATATAGTCTCAATATCGAGATGCTTCAAATTTAGGAAAGTTCGGAAAACAGGGTTCAGCTGCCAGTTAGTTAAGCTAGACTTTCCAGTAAAGCGTAAGCCTTGAACTATCAGACCATATGGTGGAGATTCTGCTGATGGCTGATTCACGATAGTACACATGTTTTCTAGTGTTTCCATAGAATCGATTTCTACGTTCTTCCACAATGATTCTTGAAACGGATTTTTCCATTTCTTACAGGTAAGAGTACAGGAAAACTTGTCTTCTGTCAATACAAAATCTGCAACTTGCAAAAGGATCTCAAAAGGTAGCTCTGATGCCAGCATAAAAGCAATGAAAAGAAAAAGTAAATAAAAATAAATAAGGAGAAAATACAAAGATTATGAATTTTAGTAAAGAACTTTATATGCATAGGCAATTTAAAAAAAAATTACAACATCCAAAGTCACAAGTTTTGTTACACTTGTCTTAATGGAGTAACCATCAAGAGGTATAAACCGCAGTAACTTAACATATTGACAAGTAGAGTGCGCCAAATTTATAATGACCAATTCTTGAAAAGAGGATTTTTTTTTATTTTGGCTTTTAAAATCTGGTTTAATAAAAAGACATATAAAGCCACGATTATTTAGCAGTAATTAAAAGATAAAGGTTAAAGATTACACTAGCCAATAAGATTCATTTCCGATTGATATCCTAATATTCGATACAATGCATTTCAAAAGATGAATGAATAAATTAAATAATCATAGCAATGTAGCTTTATACTTCTCGTGTCTCACTCTTTTCAAAATACTATTATCCAGTATAAATTCACTTTCTTAAGGAATACCAACGAATATTCAGAAATGATAACCTCTATTAGGTTATTGGTCTGAAATCCAAAAGAATTTGACGAAATTTATCAAGTTTTAGTTTAGTTATTTTTCTTTGACTAAAGGGTGTATAGGTGACATACTTGGGGTGGCAATAGTGGATCCTTAATGCATACAGTACAATATACCACTTTTCTGAAGACCAAAAAACACATACGGGTCCTATAAGTTCCCATGTTCTTACGGTGAGAAATCATGGATGAGAACAGTAACTTTTGATATAGAAAAGGATAGAAGAACGCTAATTATTCGGGCCAGACACTTTTCCTCTCGGGCACGACGTTTCTCTGGAGCACTACGTTTATTGAATCTCCGCCTTTCACCATTTACCGGCCTCATAAAAAGTGACTTGTTGTCCGGCATCCAGCAATTTTATCTGGTCCCTAACCACCCAAAGTAGTTTATATGAGTAAAATCAATCTATCAAAATATAAATAATCTAACTCATGAATAAAGTACATATTCATTTAATATAACGGAATTTCTAGGTGTACTTAAGTAGTAACCATATTAAAATTTCTATTTTTTTTATGCAGTATATACAAAATATACAATTTGTAAACGTCGTGCCCGAGAGGCAAAACGTCGTGTCCCAAACGTGACTGTGTAAGAAACGTCGTGCTCGAGAGGCAAAATGTCGTGTCCTAAATGTGGCGATAGAATAATTGTGTTCAAGAAAACTGTTGATGCAATATTTTACTTATTGAAAGTAAAGCTTCTATAAGTATAATTATAGAGGTTTCTAGAATTTTACTTTACATTTTAAAGAGTTCATATTCAATGCAATGTCTTTTTTATTGTAGTTCTCATGCAATAAACGCACAATATAAAATAAATAAATAAAAATTGTGACCACACCTATTTCTGTAAAAACACAAGATCTATTTGTTTCCCGTCAACAAATCACATACTTACTGTTGCTAATGAGTAATATTTTCACGATTTAACTTGAGACATAAATCATATATTTTCATTTTATGTGATTTAAGTGGAAAAGATTATAATCCATATAATTTGCATTTTTTTCAAAAACTTTCATAATAGATATAAAGGTAATGAAGCCTTTTATGCCTAAGAAAGTTTGCATAGCAGTAAAGCTAATATATTTTTACAAAATTCATGTTTTTATTTTTTATTTTTTATTTTTATTTCTTCTGTAAAAACTCTTTCTATCATTTCCTTGCAACATGTACATGAGATATTTTATCAAAAATACAAAAAATGAAAAATATTCATATAAGACCAAAAAAAGTTTTTAATTACATATATTCAGATAACATATGAATCCAGTAAAAGTTTCATAGAAAACAAATGAGAAAAAAGTGATTCTACAAGCAAATACAATATTTTATTTTATTGAAAAAAAGCAAATTTTTGAGATATTACGTTAGTTTTCTCATGATCGACCCTTTCAATTCAACTAAAAATCCTAGAACCCATACATATATCTATACACTACTTGGATCCAAAGTTATAGAGAGCCAAGTCTTGAATTGATGAAATAAATAGATGCAAATGCATAATATAACATATTCGAAGATAGTTTGGCTCGATCTGTGTAACACCATCCGATATTTATGGTTTTTAATTCGCTGGTTATAAGTTTAACTCGAAGGGTAAAGTACTTCCCACGAATGATCTCTAGGAAAAAACAGAGCGGAGAGTCATTTAACCCACAAGTGATAGATAGCTTATGTTGATGCAAAGAAACAAATTGATAAGATTTATAAAGATTTAAAAAAATTGTCTAGCTAATAAAATATAAAAGTAAATGAGTAAATAAATAAGAAAAGATCTAGCTAATAAAATATAAGTAATAAAGTATAATTAAAAGAGTAATAAAATAGAAAAGAATATCGAAAAGAAATTATTTTGGAGTAAGATCAATTGGTTGATCTAGAACAGAATGGAGAGAGAGCATGACATTTCGGCGATCATGCTTGTTAAATTCTTTGAACTTATTCCAGTAAGTATCAAAGTTATCATCAATTTTATTTCTGGCACAACCTAAAAAAATAATTCAGGAACAGTTGGCAATTTTCTAGAGATATTATGGGAAAGGTCAACTGTTGTCCAGTGATTACTGTTAACATAATTAAAAATCAGAGGTTGTTGTTGTTTGGTTTTGTTGTTGGGAAGGGCTAATGGGAGAAAGGTTGTTGAGGGGGTGTTGGGGTTGTCTGAGTAGACGCAGACTGGTCGTGTATATGTGTCCGCAGCTAGTTGAGCACAGTCGGGTGTGTTAAACCACATACTGGCATCTGAACATACTGGGATGAAGTTGGTGTTGGTGTTGGTGTTGGTGTTGCTATAATCGAGTTGAGAGTCATATTGAATGATTTTTCCTAGTTGGCTTGTGTCAGTGCCAAAGGTGTTTGTGTACAATGTTTTGTATTTCGGCAGGGCAGCTAGCATATCCCTTTTTACAAGTGGAAACTTATTTTGATCTTTGTAGATCAAGTGGGCAAGGACCTGAAAACCACACCACCCGTCAGCAGTAGGGCTAAACCCACCCTTGACATCATTGACTATCTATGAGAGACAGGAAAACCGGGCTGGAATTTGACCCTCTTGCCAACAGAGATGCAATTATCATACTGGTAATCTTCTAGGGCGGTGGCGGGTCTTTTGAACCCATTTTTTTGGGGGGCATCGACTAAAAAGTATATAAGTATAAGACGATAGTTCTCTTTATGGATTCAATTACACTGTAAAATAAGAAAGCATATTACCTGGGTCGAGAGGCTCTTGTTTTATTTTTGTTGTTTTATTTTTGGTGGCATCGACTAAAAAGCATATTCGTGTAAGACGACATCCCTCCACATAAATTCAATTAAAGTAAAATAAAAACACATCTTACCAGGGTCAAGAGGCTCTTGCTTTACTTGTTTTATTTTGTTTTTGGTAGCATCGACTAAAAAAACATGAAAGTATAAGATGGGAATCCTTTCTCATAGATTCAATTACATTGTAAAATAAGAACACATCTTACCTGGGTCGAGAGGCTCTTGTTTGTTTTTGTTTTGTTTTTTGTTTTTTGTTTTTTGTGTAGCTGCAGGCTTTCCCTCCCTCATTTTAGCTCTCAGTCTAACCATTGCCTTAAGGCCAGCCTAGTATTTCAAGATACATATTAATACTTTGTTATGTTATTTTTTTTATCTTACATGACCAGACGAAACACTGATCTTCCTCCAGTTTGCCCGACCAAAGTCTTTGGGAAGGTATTTGGGACGTGCACCACCCTTTCTTCTGCCAGGATATTTAATTTTTTCTGGGGCTTGAAAGTTAATCGAAGGGTGCCCAGTTTTGCCTTCGAATTCAGAAGTAACCTTCTTGATCTTTTGAAGGAGGTTGGCCACTTGCTGGCTGCCCTCACAAGAGCGGAAAAGAGCCTCAAGCTTTACAATCTCTTGCATCCACTCTTCTGGCCTCTCGGCAATTACGTGCGCTGTACAACTTTCTTCGAAAGATGTCTCTTTTAGAACAGGGTTTATGATCCATCTTTCAGGAACATCATCAAGGGTGAGCTCCCTTCCAGCTGGCAGCGAGTGCCTGCAGGGCAAGCCGAACTCAAACCTGTTTTTGCAATGACAAAATTCATCGTCTCTATTGATCAAGCGAAGTTCTTGATCAATAACAAGCAATACTCTCTTAGAGTCTTTCATAAAAAGCCTGGAAAGCTGCTTGTTGCGGCCAACCAAGACATCAACAGTTGTCGATTCCCTGATTTTTATAGCATTGAAGTCTCTTTCGAGCCTGTCTACATAGGAGTTGACAGCTTCAAATGCAAGTCCCAAAGACGAAATTGCTGATATCCCTCTTTTCAAAGCTTGGTGTGCGCTCTCGACTCTCTGGGTAGTTGTACACCCAAAATGCATTTGCTGGCTGGTCAGGTATCCTGCCCACTTCTCCTGGCACTTTATCCATCTTTCGGCAAAGTAAACCGATGCATCTACCTTGGACCCTCCTTCGTCTACTTCGCAACCAGAAGATACTGCATTGAACTTCATCAACGCAACCTCGAAATCCCTTCTGGTACTGCTGTGAATCATGGAGTTCACATACTCCATAAGGACCTCTTTCTCTGCAACTGACTTGAGTTTTCCAGCGAAGGCTTTCTCAACGCTATTCAACATATGCCAGTAGCATAGCAATTTGACGTTTTTTGGGAATACAATGTCAAGTGCATTCATTAAGGCCATACATTTGTCTGTTACAAATAGAGAACTGCTTTTCTTATTCTCAAAAACAAGTGCCTTGAGCTGCTCAAGGAACCAAACGTAGGTCTCCTGTTTCTCATTCGAAACCCAGGCGAAGGCAATGGGAAACGATTTAAGAGCGTCTCCCCCGAGGTTATGGACACCTTCCACGCATACAAGAGGCATTTCCAAATTATTGGTTGAGTAGGTGGCATCGACGGCCATGACTTCTGGGAAGCGACGGGCTCTTTCTAGCATCTTTGGGTGCGAGAAAAATACTCTTTCAAGAGATCCATATTTGCCGGCGTCATAGCGTACAAGATATCCCTTAGCTTCCATGGTTTTAACGAGTTCAGTACCTGCATCCTGAGAAGTGGAAGCAGTAGCACGAGCAAAAGCAGCCTTGATATTGTTGATGTCATTCACATACAACTTATGGCTGACATTATCCTCTTCATTGATCGCCTTTTGGATCTCACGAGTCTTGGTTTTGGTCTCAACAAGCTTCATAATTTCCCTAGCATCATCGACAGTAACCTTTGACAAACGACCTTTCAAGGTAGATTCCAGGCAGTCATCATCAAGAGGGTGATTGTGGTAGCCTTCAATCTCATTGGTGGCTTTCAAAAGAAGATATCCTTTAGCGGCCTTCTTGTATGATATTTTCAAGAGATAGGGGCATCCAGTCTTTCCACTAGACGGAATTCTCTTGCGTTCGCTGTCTTCAATATTCCGTGTGTTCTTATAATGACCGCCCTTGGCACACTTCAAATACACTCGAGTTGGTTTACTATCTCTAGTTACAAATGCAAAATTGTTGGCAAGTGCATATTCCTGCATCTTTGAAATTGCCATTGTCATGTCACTGTAACCATTAACTGTTGAGACAGGAAGAGGTTGTTGGACAGGATAATGTTCCTTTCCATTGAAAAAGCGGATTTCTTTATTGATAGGATTTATATTGAAGTGATTTCTAGAGAATACTTATTAACATCATGATTTCTAATTGCTAATCTGCAATGAGCAAAGTAATCTCTTTACTATCTCCGAGAAAAAATAATATTTTTAAGTGCAATTGATTAGTAGCTCTTACGAGATGAGTATAGAATAGAAAAGAAGGTTTTATATTTAAATATTGAGTTAAGAATTTCAGGACACATCGTTTTGCCCTGAAGGATTGGAGAAAATACCTCGGACCTCGGACAAGTAGTCACAACGAATTAGTCCGGCAAAAAAAAGGTAGTGCCCCATCCTGAAAATGTCGTCCCCGTAAGATTGCTGCTTCTCAACATCATACATAATTTATAGCTATTGTTAATAGAGTATTATAGAAATGCGATCTATTTATTCAATATATTGTGGACCAAGGATGTATATAATATGTCAGAGAAACTATGTAGAACATGACATTGTCTTTATTTATCTTTTAGAAGACAAACGAATACATAAGCATATAGATAAAAAGACACTATCACAGTACCTATTAGTCCCTTTGATACACCCACATAATTAAAGACTCTTTATGGCAAGCATAATATGTCAAATATTTTTCATCCAAATGCAGCACCAAAATTGCAATAATTTTACATAAACTCTTCTGCTAGGGAATATATTAAACTTGCTTTAGACAACACATCATAGATATATACAAGAGACCCTCACAGATTAAGCGTTCTGTTCACATGTAGGGTATCTTGTAAGAGGCAGTGTAACCAGTTACAGCCCATTTGTTAGTGTGGTATATATGACACACTTGAGTGAAGAACATACTTCATAGCCAAACTCTGGTTCCTTCCTTACCATAACTCAACCCCCTATTGTTAGACTTTTTTTTTACTATTAAAGTTAAAAGAAATTCAAAGCTTGCGCCTATTAACAAAACTTCTTTAACTTGGTCTAAATTCTTTGCGGTATTCTCTTGCATCTGACCCAAGTATGAAATGGTAATAAAAATTACCCATGCCAAGATTGATTAACTTTCCGTGGCGACAAAAATGAAGAAGTATGTTGCTGCTTCTTAAGCTTAAACTAGCTTTCTTTTGGGGGGCGGTGCTCCTCACCTTTTTGCAAGTTTTATAAAACCATTCCTTACTGCTATATTATAATAAGCTCATTATTACACTATAACTTGTACAAGATTATGGCTGAGTGTATAATTTGATGCAATATTGGTATCAATAGATTTATAAAAGGGACTTATTCTAAGACAAAAGCTAAGTCCGGCGAATTGGTGATTGAAGTATTTTAAAGCTATAAGCACCAGACTTTAAGCAGGCATAATTTACAGGTTCAAAGAATCTGCGAAAAAAGTATGAAGTGAGCCAAGTCAAATTACTTTGTAAGTGAAGTTTTTTAGGGATATAGAAGACGAAGTAGACCGGCTGCCCTCATTGGGACAGTTTGATAAGCAATAAGCATACTATTCTAAGAAAGAAAATCCATTCGCCAAGTTTATTTAAATATTTGATACTAGAACAAAAACATACATAGCTCATACAAAAATTGAAAACCTTGGTTCAAATAAAATGGTAATAATTGCAATGTGTTTTTTAGTTTCTTTAACTTTATTTCATACTTTATATACTCATATTCTAACATTCATGATGAAAGTTCTATTGTGTAAATTCAATTGCCATACGGTATGCCATTTGATCCTTAACTTTAGCTATTTCTCTACTGTTTATTTCAATTGGGCACAAAATTACCGTCATAATAGTATATGTATAATAATATGTATATGATTATGTCAAGAATGTTTCTGATATTATTGAATTAATTTAAAATCTCTGGCGTCTTTAAAGTGTCTAAGTCCTTGTAACCTCTGTAGCCGTTAAAACTCTTAAATCCATTAGGACCCCTAAAACCCCAATAACCCTTAAAGCACCTAGAATCTTCCAAGCCTTTAAAGTCTCTCAAGTTTTCAAGGATTTCAAAGCTGCTAAATTATTTTAAATTTCTATGTTGTTAAGACAATGTCATTAGATTCTTCTCAAATGAAAAAAAAAATCGGTCAGTGAACTACCGTCTTAATACCTTTCAAAAAGGTATTGAGTCATTTCTTTTAAATATCAAGTTAGTTTAAAGAAGATTCTTGCTACTTTCCTTGTCCCTATTGCTCATCCCAATTGGGTGCACAATTACATTTTGAGTTTTCTGTGTGTAAGTAATCTATGAACTTGCTTTAAAAGTATAAAAGGTCAAAATATAAGAGCATCCACAGTGGTTTGAGTAAATTAACTGAAAATGTAAATTTAGATAGAAGATTTAGATTTTTTCATCCACAGCGGTTTATCTAACTAAAAGTTTTAGTTGAAATTTTTTCAATAATATTTAACAGATTCCTAAATTTAACATTCCACTGAAATATTCACGCAGTAAAAATATGCGACTTCAGGTTTAGACAAACCACTGTATATGGTCTCAGCTATCTCGTTTAAATGGGGGGGGGGGGGGGGGGTTGCTTTACTAAAGTATTTTAGGTATACATACCCCTGTGGATGCTCTAAGTTGTGTACAGAGTTATCCATTTCTTTATAATTGTTTTAAAAGAGTGAACATAAGTCACGTGCAGAGTGTCTCCCTTTTTTGATATAGAAGAAAGATAGACAGACCAAGCATTGCAGGGCAACGTCTTCTGACTCTAATTATGCTATCAATATGGTTATGAATATTCTTTATTTTACTGAGACTTGTTTATCTGTTGGCCATAATAAATCCGAGACCTCATCTGACTATGTTAACTGTATTGTCACTTCGCTCCAATGTAAAGTTTAACTTATATATATATTCAATGATGCTCTTGTCAGAAATGGCAGTGATAAATATGATGTAGTTTCTCCTAAGGATTGATATACATTCATGACCCTTGGCTCTTAATACACTCACTCATTCGAAGCACATTTTTTGCATTACTTGTAAAGTAATCTTTTAAACATAATTACAGAAGAGCAAGTATCAATATATTAAGCAAGCTGACAAGGCGTTTTACAGCAGAATGTAAATTTTATGGATCTGCTCAGTATCGAGGGCAAACTTATCTAATTTGATTTTTCTATATTTTCTTCTGAAATCTTGAAATAATTTAATTCTCTTGAAAATATATCTTTTTTAAAAGCCTTAATATACTTTTTCTCTGTATATATATTATCTACCTTGTATATTCTAACGGTATGGGAAGTAACTACCTGGGGGTGTGTATTATGTATTAGAAAGATTCTACGAGTTACGGTCTGCCTTGTGTCTCTTGATAACAATTCTTTCTTTTTTCTAAAATCTTAGCATCATTTAATATAACAAGAGGTCTAGTTTAACCTTTCTTTGGAGAGGTAATTGATTTAGAGAAATACACACGGGGTTTTTGCATTTGTTCTTAAAAAGGAAGAAAAAAAGTAAGGTTGGGTCGGAAGTAAGCCAATTTTATCTGAAGGAATATGTTCAAATTTACTATATCTATCCATTCATTGTAGACTTTTAAAAGATAGCAAATAGACTGAGAAATTGTTAAAAGTTGTAAGACATTTCTCTATATTCATATTCTAAACTTCTGTTGTTGCTGTATATTTGATTCAGAATATACCAGAAATACCCTTGCGTCTTTTGTTTCAATTCAATAAATTGTACATTTGACAACCAGCGTAACCACCACGATTTCAATTGGCTGTTTTAGTTACACAGTCCAATCTACTACAATTGCTTAAAGTTCACTGTACAGATACCCTTTTTTTTCCCTCCATTTGTAAATTCCTTAAAAAGCATCGATCCTTTTCATGTCTGTAAATAATCTACCTTTTGAGATCCTTGCCCGAATTGCTGACTTTATTCCCGCCAGGGACAGATCAACATGCATTCTGATTTGTAAAACATGGTTAATGGCTTTTCTTAAATCCTCATGGAAAGAAATTAGCATTAGCAACAAGAACCTAAGATGCATCGGTCGTATACGCATGTCCGACGAAAAGTTTGACGAGAAGTACGGCAGACATGTCAGATCATTAACGCTGCAACCACAACTGAAAGCAACTCTCAAACAACTGTATTCACTGCAGAGAAGGTTTCAACATATCCGACGTCTTTCTATCCAGGTTGGAGGATTGAAATTTACAAAGAACAACCAGATAGTTGATTGGTCACGGTGGAAGCTTCTGGTAGACTTGAGCATCTTTGTAGATAATGGCTATCTTGAGTATAGTCGGACCAAAATTCTCTCGGCATTATCACATCTACCTCTCCTTCATCGATTGACTCTTCAAGGCAAAATCGGGAACACATGGACATTTCTTGACTGGAGCGACTTTGAAAAGATTCACACTATGCTACCAAAACTGGAATATTTATCAACAAATATATATCTTTGGGAGATAACTGCAACCGAAGTGGCATCCTTGGCAAAAATCAAGCCTGCAAACAATCTAAAATATCTGGAAGTAACACTCATAAACACCGAACATCGATGGCTTGTTTATTTCGCCCGAAAGTATCCAAATGCTCATACTGTCGTATGTAGCACCGGTTGCAGACGTGAGAAGAATGCCCTTTTTCAAGACGAGCTAGCCTCATTACTTGCAGGTATTCCGGATATTTTCCCTCGCTTACATACAGTCGATCTAGTAGGATTCGACATGAATCCTTCATGTAGCGTAACTCTGTGGAGCTTCTTTTGTAACCCAAGCATCCGGATAAAGTCCTCCACAGCTGGAGTTCGCATTAATGAGCCTATGCCAGACTCTGTCCAATACTTTGTTGATAAATCTCTAAATGCTTACTCAAAGACACTCGAGGATGCCCAGATTGTCATATCTTCATATGCAAATCAAGTATTCACCACACTCACATTCAATCCGTATCCCCACTTGGTCACATTGAGCGCACGGATGTCGTGTGTAAATATTGAACTAGATCTGCTCTTGACTCAATGTCCTGTATTGAGGCAGGTTCATATTGTTGAAGGAACTCTCACACTTAGCCCGGGTGCTTCTAAAATTTGCGAGCCCCACGGATTATATCACTTTTCATTACACAACGCAACCATTCCACCCGAGGCAATGAACTATCTTTCTTTCCGCTGCAAAAGTATAAGACGCATGTGCTTACACAAGACTGTTATGGATGAAGGCGCTTTTAAAGATGATGGAACTGTCAGTCTTGATATGCCTTATACCCGATTGTGGCTGGTACAAAGATCGCCTACCGTTACATATCCACAAAGATATTATGTCGAAAACAAGCTTTTATTTGAAGTCGAAAGAGATACTAAGACGTATGACACTCGATTGAAAGAACTTGATATTGATAATATTTTGATATGTATCTGGGAATGAGATTTCATGTTCATTTTAATTGTTTTTTTTTTAAGTTGTATAATCTCACAGCACATAGACATTCTTATATATACTAGATAGCGGGAGATGTGTAGCATGTGCTTACTAAGAAAAAAAATGTAATAAACCTAGAGAAAATTTATTAGAGACAAAGTAACCTACATAAAAGGGGGTTTGTGTTAAGACTTTATTGAAGTTTTTTTTTTTTTGAAATAGTTATTTTTTCTTATAGTGTATCCTAAAGGTATCAGCTCAAATATTAAACCACTTACAAAGCGAATTCTCGAAATCAATGATTTCAAGTACTGTTCCACAGATTTGATTAATTTGCTCTGTTTATTAGTTCCCTAAGCGTATGCTTCCTCAAGGACCCAGGCGTGAAAGAGACCATCTTCGACTATGGGTTAGAGTGGTTGAAGAAATTTGCTTTCAAGTATTCAACACTATATTAATGATAACAATCTATTTGATATTTACCGACCAACTGAGGTAGACATGCCTTTGTCACGCATATAATATTTTCTTGATGTATGATATGTACTCCAAACCCAACTTTATTTTAAACGGAATTAAAATAAAAATAAAAGTTCTACAAAGCAATAGCGTGGTATACATAAGCGTATGATCTAGACCAAAAAAATACGTATATTCCCATATATTCTATCAAAATAAACATACAAAAAAAACTTTCAAGATTAAATAGAAAAAATAACAAGATATATTATAAAAGATATAAGGAGGTATATTACTAGCTTTCTTTGAAGTTTTAAAGAATTAGGCCTCAGTAGGAGGGGGAGGAGGTGTTGATATAGGAAGAGTGAAGTATGTCCTGACATCTGCCTCCATAGTCAGGCCATGAAACATAAGAAGAATTTCCGGAGACACATAAATACTTTCCGGCAATGCAGGAGAAGACGTTGGGAAAGACTAAGGATCGATATGAGTAAAGAGATCACTTTTCTCTGGACATCCGAAATATCGGCGTAAGATCTTACCTTGTCATCCTTGAATGAAGAGTGACATCGCAAAATAATACTGCACAAAACAAATCGTACTATAAAGGTCCACAAGAACTCATCGGACATGAATCGTTTAATGAAAGGATCTAGATTAATTTGTATAAAAGTGAGTCTAAATGTCAAGCATTGTGTTTTATTACAAGAAGTATATTCCCGGCTTTCTTTACCTAGACCTGTCTCAGCTATTAGGCTTTCACCTATCTTTCGTTCCATACTTGTAATTATGGCTACACATTGATCCCATTTGTCTTGATCGAGATTACCAATATCAGAAATAGAACAGAATCCAAGAAGGGGAGTGTGAAGAAATAAGGTGAAAAGACTTCCGATTTCACTTTTGTCCTGTACAGACGAAGGATATTCAATAGGGGATAAAAGGCACATCACGGGCTGGTCAAACAAATTTGGCATATTCTTAAATGCCACGCTATTGTCACTGTCAACAATCAAGAATAATGGTTTGCGTGTAAATGGTAATAGATCAGCCGGATTCAAACAATGGATAGACAGCGCAGTATCTACACGGTCAGCAGTCGCTTTACGTTGGGCAGTTGTAACTCCACCACTGTACAATGGCATCCGCATCTCAGGGTAGGTACAGCCATCTGCTGACAAGTAAAGTAAAAGAGCCGAATTTTCTCCAACATCCTTGTAAGCCGTGGCGATATAGACCATCAATTGGCTCAGCGGAGGGCGATATAGAAGATATTTGTGTGGGTTTGTACGCTTTATGGCCTTTTCAGAAGGAACAGAAAGCTGATTCTGATTTGTATTCTGGGCTATGGTAGTTCGTGCAGCAGTCGGTGCTGCAAGACCTTCATCTTTTTCTTTCTTCTCGTTTGCGAGTGAGTACTGATCCATGGATCTAGTATTGGATCGAATAGTCTTTTGGACCGGCTGGCGCTCGAGTGACTGTAACATGCGATACATGTCCAAGGTGAGCTCGGAAAATTTGATCTGCTTTTGATAGTTTCCAACTAGGATAGCTTCTTGTAATCTAAGTCTTTGACGGCCAGTTTCTTTTTCCCTGGGGCTTGGCAAAAGACGATGAATTATAGCTACAGGAGTTCGATCCCCTCGAATAGGAACAAGCTTCTTTTCCGCCTCCATAAATGTCGTTATTTCGTCTAACACCAACTGCCATTCTTTTGCATCCGGCGGCTTGAAACTTTTTGCATATTCTTCTACAAGCCCCTCAAGTTCACTCGTGAGCATCCGAATTGTATCATCCTTATTGAGTAGCAAGCAGACGACAATAAATCGGGCATAATAGCGCAGTTTCTTGATCATCAAGGCAGGGCTAATATCATGCATAAATAACATACCCAACTAAAACCAAAACCGGGACTTACTTTTTCACTTCCAATATGTCTTTGAAATACTGTCTTTCATGAACGGCTTCGTAAAATACATATGCCTCATGCAGATAATTGGTTTCACTAGTTCTAAGACTTTTGAATATAAATGTATTAATATCCTGCTTGATAGTAAAATATCTTCAGAAGACTCGCTTTACTTACTAGTAATGGTAGTAAAGCTGACCAACCTTGCTTGCGATCTCTCCTACTTCCCATCGTTTGAGTCCATAGTTATTCTTGTTTTCTAGAATAGGCCTAAAGGTTTTTATTATAGAAATAAGGAACATTTAAGATACGTTACTCTTGAGTTATTACACGCACGCAATCCCTTTCCATATTTCTTTAATATTATTTTATTCTTACCTATGTGCTTGTTGAAACCTCCACAACTATTTAACATTATTTTTTTATGAGTACCATAATATATGCTTACACAATAGATCCCTTGAAGATTTCAATAAGTTACTATTAGTATTTATTTTACCTTTGTGTAAACTTCAAACGTCTTTTCAAAGTACTGTATATCATATGTGTAACATCAAGAAAGACGTATGAGATATAGCATCACTTATTTTTTAATATCTCCATTTACCGGTCTCCATTGACGATGGCTGCCAGTAGGTGGTAAATCTCTATATATATATATACACATATTTTGACCGTATATTACTATTAACAAAAAACGAAATAGATCCATACTAACGATATACTATCTAATTTACCTGAGGCCGCTAAATAAACTTTGGCTTTTTTCCAAAAGATATTGGAACTCTTCAACTAATTTCTGTTGACGTATAGCGTCTTCGTCAGCAGCCACAGCAGCAGCGGCAGCGGCGGCGGCAGTGGAGGTAGCAGTGGAATTGGTTGTATTAGAGGGTGGATTGGGCTGGTTGGTTGGAATGTCCATTACAGATGACTTGTCCGATTTGACTTGATCATTCACCAAATTCATAATGGTAGGTTTAGCCTCTGAGTACCTTGTGTATGTGTTTGATTTCTTCTTTATTTTGTGACGGTAAAGCTACGGTGACCAGGAGTCATGGTTACCTGGATTAGCTGCAGTCAGAGAAGATACGCTCGGTTGAGTTGTAAGAGCATGACTAAGGGCAGCAAGTTTTGGTTGGGTTGTATTTTCTTGAATAGATGCCGTAGCCATCTGTCCCTGTAAGTTTTCCATCCTTAAAAAAAATAGTCCTTCTTCTGCCTTGTAGTCTTCTCTTATAAATAAATATGCTTAGAGAAGAAAGAAGTGAGAGAAAAAAAGAGGAAACGAAGAAGAAATTTAACTATTTGTATGCAAAAGATGGACGGGGTTTTCTTTTTATTTTATATTCTTCTTCTCTCTCTCTGTCTTGCTGCATCTTTAAAGATGACCAAAGTGCAGGTCGTGACTGCCTGTCAAAACGTATCCTGTCTTGCAAATCCTCTTTACTTTTGAAATGAAAAAGAACGAACGAGCCAGGCAACCACAGATCCGATACGATCCCGGAGCACAACAGAAGCACCTCAGGCGACATCTTGAATCTCTCGAACGAGATAATCATCAGTCGCTTAATGATGTTGAAGGGTTGATTAGTATAGCTCTTGATGCACAAGAAGAAGAAGGTTTGGTCAGCCTCATTATGATTTGACGTATTCAGACTTTCTATACATCTAGGCATCTCTTTACGAAAAACAAGGCACAAAAGTGGAAGAGCAAGTATATACTCTTCAAAAACAAATCTGAATGTGCTTTTGGAAGATGCCGTAAGTAAATGATAAACTTTGATAGTTTTTTTTTGCGTATTGTACACATGTATATATCTATATATTTATATGAATGTATAGTTTGGTGGACTTACTGTGATCACACATATTTTATATACACATTTAGCATCTTGAGGACTTGTCTCCAGACGTGGCATCCTATATTACATGTAACGCAGAGCCATCGCGATATCCCCCTCGTCATTTTTGCTCAGTGTGTGGATTTCCTAGTAACTATAAATGTACACGCTGTGGAATGAAATATTGCTCAGTAAAATGTTTGGGGATACATAATGAAACAAGGTAAAAAAATTAAGTTAGCCAAAGAGTGCATCAAAAATCATTTGATTAAACATACTTCTTGTTCTATTAACATAGATGCCTCAAATGGACAGCCTAGGTATTTAGTTTAGTTGGTAAGGGTAATGGCAAAAAATAAACTACCAATACCAAGAGGTTAGTTTTCTTTTATAAAGAATGTATATAAAGCCTTCATTGTTGTTTCGCTTAAAGAGAAAGTAGTATTTGACCAATCCCAAATCACAACATGAAGTATAAAATAAATGAAAGGGGTGCATAATGATAAACAATAAAGTGGTTGTTCGATTTCCCCTTTTTCTTCTTCGTCTTTAATACATTTGGTGTGGACAGATTAAAAGTTAAAAAAAAGGGCAAAATTCTTAATCGACTCTAATTAGCTAGTTTTCTTCCATTATCACTAGGATTGAAAAGAGATGCATTTTTTTAATGGATAAGATGTGCCGTATAATGAGAGGTCTATAAAAACTCGCAATAAAAGGTTCTCACTTAATGACAGAGACGGGATTATATGGACAATTTTATCTAATATGTATTTTGAACTAATTTTGAACTTTTTTTTTTAAAAAAAAAAGGTGTGGACAGCCATAATTTAGTCTGATTGACTAAGTTCTGGATGAAGTTGTTTTACCCTTTTTTTGCCCTTTTTTGAACTTTTAGTCTGTCCACACCAAATGAATATTATATCAACTATGGAAAAGTTGACTATACTGTAGTTCTTACTTGCTATTGATATATAGGTTATCTTTAAGATCCAACGTTCTTTTCGGTCTACAATATATATTTTCTAAAGTTGCTCACTTATAGATGTGTCTGAGGATAAAATATCAAGGTTTCCAATAAAAATTGCAGTGAATTATAATTCACTGTTCCATTGATATAATATACATTCTTGATATACAATTTTCAGAAATGTTACTGCTAGAGGGTGATTATGTTTGCAAAAATTAGTTCTATGATGTTGTGTAAATATCACCACTAGGACTCAATCAATCTTAACCATCTTGCGGTATGAAGAAACTGCAGAAGACCAAGTTAAATTCTCTTGTGAGATAATAGCAGTTTTTTTTTGTAGAGCTTTGTAGAGAGCAAATTGAAACAAACATAGAAGCATTTATATCCAACTCAGATTGCACCATATGCCTGGAGTTGAAATGATGAAATATTAAAGAGTACAATGAATGAGTACTCTTTTAACCTGCTACTGTTATATATGTATAAGTACATATATAATATATACATTCTCATTACACTAAAAGATCGATGAAATATATAATATACTTTTATCAAATGAACCAATTCATACTGTGCCTGAATTGGTGAATAGCCATAGACATTTGACATGTCTTCATTTTACTATGCGATGTATGCAAATCTACCTCATTACATAAGGTCAGGGCGTGCAGTCACTGCACATGTGTATCATAGTCATAACACTGAATAGGAACTATATTAATTTTTTGTTTTATTTATTTATTTATTTATTTATCAATCTCAAAATAAGGATCCGACAAACAGACAATAAATAACTTTGGTTACTTAGTATTTTTATACTTCATTCATGCATTCTTATTATTCACTATCCCAACTACATAGTGCCTTGGTTTGCAATGTAGACCTTTTTAAATATACATTTTATCAAATATATATAACCAGGTATAGACATAAGCTGTCATTTTTTTTTAAAAAATTCTTTCTTTATATAAGAGTCTTAATAAACTCCTTGACCAAACACAATGAAATAAATGCTTTATAAAGAAAGGAGATAAAGAAGCTTAAGAGGCAAGTCACGCATATACATTTTTTTTAAAAAAAAAAAACCTTTTTTTCTTCTTCTTCTTTTTAAACACCTTTCATTCATTTTTTTATTTTATTTTTATTACAACCCATTAAGCATTATCTGTTGTTTTTTTTGCAGTAATCAGTTTAATAAAGCTTTCTGTAATCCACAATGATACCTCCAAGATCGCCAATGGCTTCAAATGAGGCTGGAATGTCATCTCTCAAAATACTTGACACATCGGAAGGCACACCTCGACCTAAAATGGCAATCAAGGATATTCTTAAAAGAAAAATACCGACAATTGGGTCAAACGAATCTCCTCAAAGAAACACCTCTCTCAAACAAACTGCATTACCATTCGTATTAAAATCTGCGGCAGCAGCAAAATCTAGTCCACACAGCACTTTATCGCGTTACGGAAAGGAGGTTGATGAGATTTCTAGCCAATTGCAGAAACCAGCACTCCTAAAAAACGGAGCGAATCAAGAGGAAAATTCGGTAGGCAGAGAATTACGCAAGCGTAAACCTGCTCAAGTCCAGAAAAGCGAAGAAACAGACTCGGATTATGATGATGTCTTTGAAGATAATATTGGCCGAGATAGACAGCAGGGCGATCACTCGGCTTCTGAAGAAGAAGACGATGAATCAATTACCTACAACAAGCGACAGAACAAAAAGCGAGCCACTATTATGGATAGTGATATCGACGATGATGACGACGAATATGTGGACGAACAAGTGAAGAAGGAGCGTCGACAGGATACAGTTATTGCTGCACCTGAGAAGGTTTCAATGCTCCGATCCATATTTCCTCATCTTAGTATTAAAGTAATTGAGGATGCATTACGAACTCATGGAGAAAGTGTCGTTAGGGCTTGTCAAGCACTCGCTGCTCATATAACAGAAAATCACCGAAGAAACCCTGCTCAACTTCTGGCAGGTTCCAACGAAGGATATTCTAAACGAGAAGCACCAAGATCATTATCGACATCAGTAGCAGCTAGTCCAGCACCGCCGGTGATACAAACAAACCGGCCTAGAAAGAGATTACGACAAAAAAGACAGATGGGTAGCTCTGATTCTGAGGATGATACCACTCAAGAAGTCAATCAAGCAGCAAAACGAGTGGAGGAAGTACGCAAATTCAACCAAGTGCTCAGATTTTATAACACCGCGAGTATTCAAGAAATTCAGGATGTCACAGGCTGTACAGAAAAGATTGCACAACGTATGATTGATCAGCGGCCGATTCTTAATGCAAATGACTTTGATGAAAAGATAAAATCTACAGCTGGATTGTCAAAGAGATTTATCACGTCTTATGTTGAAGTACTGGATGGTTATATGGCCGTAGACCGGATTATTGAAGAGATTGAACGGCTTGGAGGAGACTTGTCTTCGATCCTTGACGTTTGGAAAAATATGCAGATCCCCGATGACACAAATGACGCCAAAATCACATCTGTGGACACCAATTCCGAACTTTACAAAGATGCTATGAATGGATACCTGCACATCCAACCGTCCACAATCAAGACGATCAACTTAAAAAATTACCAGCTGCTAGGTATTAACTGGCTACTTATGTTGTACCGTAAGAACATTTCGTGCATCTTGGCTGATGAGATGGGGCTTGGAAAGACTGCTCAGGTCATTGGATTTCTTGCGCGTCTCAAAGAAATTGGGGACAATGGTCTACATTTGATTGTCGTGCCTGCTTCTACATTGACCAACTGGATGCGAGAAATCGAGCGATTTTGTCCAGAACTCAAAGTACTTTGTTATTATGATAAAGCAGAAGTTAGACGCGAGCTCCAAGATTTGATTCTTCACAATCCTGACCACGGGTATAATATCGTCTTGACAAGCTATACTATTGCTACTCAATCCAAAGAAGACCGCAGTGCTTTAAAGAAAATGAAGTTTAAATCCCTGATTCTCGATGAGGGTCATATGATCAAAAACTGTACTTCAGCACGTTATTCTTCCCTCATGTCGTATAAGATTCCTTTCCGACTTTTGGTTACAGGAACACCTCTTCAAAACAACCTTCAGGAACTTGTGTCGCTCTTGATATTTATTATGCCGGAGATGTTCGCAGAATTTGAAGATGAAGTGAGAACTATCTTCAAGATTAAGTCCATGACTACAGCCGAAGATACTGAGAAAGAGAAAGACGAATCTAATCAGTCCCGAACAAAACAAAGCTCAGTGCAGATTCTGTCCCAAAAACGCATTGCACGAGCCAAGAAAATGATGACACCATTCGTATTACGCCGTAAAAAAGAAGATGTATTGAAAGACCTGCCCAAAAAGACCCGTGTTGTCGAGAAATGTAAAATGACAGAACGCCAGAAGGAAGTGTATGACACTATTCTACAAAAGACAACAAAGGCATATACCAATGCCATGGAGGCTAAAATGGAAGCCAAGCTTGCAAAGGGAGACACGAAAGGATTTAAGGGGATTAAAGCAGAAGCCGAAGAACTCAAAGAGGCATCCAAATATTTCACAAAAGATGAGCTTATGGAGATTGATGAAAAGTCTGACGCAGAGGATATTGATGAGAATTCCAAAACAATTAAGACCGAAAAATCTGAAGTCAGGGGTATTGATGAAGATGCGCGACCAATTAAGATTGAAAAGTCTGAAGAAGAGTATATTTATGGAAATGCTAAGCCAATTAAAACCGAAAAGGCTGTCAAGGCTGTCAAATTGGTCAATGGGAAATTTGTAACTGAAGGAAATTCAGACGATCAAAACGAACCTTCTGCTCAAGGATCGGTAGATTCAGACCAAGACTCTGAATTCGAAGAAAACAACGGGTCGGATCAAGACTCTGATGACTATATCCCTTCATCACGACCAACTGTAGCAGGTGAAAAGCGCCAAAAACGCAGTACTAGAAGCACTGTGTCAGCCGCAAACAAGAGCCGAAAAACTTCAGAGGTGTCTAAAAAGAAAATCAAGTCTGAAGAATCCAAGCATTTACTTTTATCAGAAATCAAGCATGAATCTGACGATGAGGCACCTGCAGCTGGAGAGAACGATGAAAACTTTTCCAATATTTCCAATATGATTATTCATCTTCGTAAAGCAGCAGACCATCCACTGCTTTTTAGATATATCTACAACGACAAAAAGATCCGTAAGATGGCAAAGGCAATCATGAGGGTCAGTATCAGCTATACGATTTTATATAAAGCTATATAACTATCTTTTCCTGTATACTCAATATTGTCTCTCATTTACAGGAAGAAAGATACTGGGATGCTGACGAAGATTACATCTACGAGGTAAAGACAAATAAATAAATAAAAAAGGGACAATATATTTGATGCTTTAACAATCAAAATTAACGATAAATTTTATTTAGGATATGTCTTATATGAATGATTTTGAGTTGAGTAAGCTCTGCGAGGCACATAGAGTAAGTATGCGTTTTTTTTTTTAAAAAAAACTTCAAGGAACATACAAGATTAACAGTTATTGCATGTATAGACCATTTCATCGTTCAAGCTAAAGGATGAGGAATGGATGGATTCTGGAAAGGTTGAAAAACTAAAGGTTCTGCTACCCGAGATGAAAGCAAAGGTAAATTGACCCTTTTGCTGGTACAATTGCTAACTCGCATTTACTCTAGAAACAAAAAGTCCTGATCTTCTCCCAATTCACTCGTATGCTGGATATTCTTGAGCTGGTTATGAATACACTTGAGATCCGTTATTTGCGAATGGATGGCTCGACAAAGGTTACCGAAAGACAAACTACCATAGATTCATTCAATGAGAATCCCGAGTTTGATGTATTCTTATTGAGTACAAAGGCTGGTGGCTTTGGTATTAATTTAACTGGTGCAAAGTAAGTTTCTTGTGATTTAGATAAAGTAAATCTTGAAGTGGATCTTACTAACCATTTGTTTATAGCGTGGTTATCCTTTATGACCATGATTTCAACCCCCAGACTGATAGACAAGCCGAAGATCGTGCGCATCGTAAGTGTAACTGTGATTTGATTTACTATTTTGCGTACTAATTTGATATCTTTTAAAATAAACAGGTGTCGGACAAACCAAAGATGTTACTGTTTACAAATTAATGTCTGAAAACACGATTGAAGAGTATATTCTTGAGATGGCTGAACTCAAGTTGCGTCTTGATGACACAATCTCTTCTAAAGCTCCACGAGAGGAAGATTCTATAGCATCAAATATGCAGAGTTTGCTCAAGAGAACTCTTATGGCTTCCACTAATTAAGTCCAATCATCTATCATACATCTTCCTTTTTTCACGTTTGCATTGATCGCATTTTCCCCCTCATCCATAGTCTACCATATTTAAATTCGGTACCAATAATATCACTTTTTTTTTTTCATTACAGCTTAGTCAGTTTATTCCTTTAAACATTTACAAGAAAGCAATTCATATTTGAATGCACTGCCTTTTCTCTTTATTGGTATTCTTCGCGTTAAAAATAAAAATAAAATAAAATAAATAGAAATAATTATGATCAAGCGATATTATAATATATCTTCCTCCTTAAAAACTCGAATCTTTGCTCAATGTGCATCCTTAGTTTCTGTCTTTTTCCTCCTGGTACCAGTTGATGATTTCTTGGATTTTCTCAGAAAACCATACGTGTACAGTGTCCTGAGTATCAATAGTTCGGGTGGATCTGGTCTGCGGTGGGCCTTTAACCAAGATATTCAAAACTATTTGATCTGTTTGGCCTGTTTCGCAGGACATAATATCTTCTAGAGGATGTTGCCATTCCAAACTCAATTTACGAGTATGGATGACTAGTATACGCTGGTAGGATAGAATAGCAACAGTCTCATCATTCTTCATGACACAATGAGCAATGTAAGTATCACGGAAGTACTTTCCGTTGTTTGCTTCGCGTAACCACATCTGGCCTAGTGCTTCTCTTTGAGAAAAGGCCTAATTTTTTTTAAAAAAATAAATGAAACGGGTGAGTTAAAATGCCATTAACGTTTAGATAAACGAGATTAATAATTAAATTCAACTATCCTTTACCTTTACGATATTATCTTTTCCAATATAACGAGGCAATCGCTCACGATCGAATTCACTTTCGTCAAATACGGTGGTTGTCTCACGAATACCAGCTGTTACATTACTTGCTAGATCAAAGATACCTACGACAGGTTTGGTAACAACACTGAAAAAAAAAGGATGTTAGACTTTCAATGGTAGTCTATGACATATTTATGTATATTTACCCAACAAGACCACGTCCAATTCCAGTCATAAAGCCACCGAATCCAGATTCTTCTGCACCTTCCATGGGCCGTTTCTTTACACATCAAGTTAGAAACCAGAATAAAATTTTAAATATATATATATTTGCTTACCACCAATCCAGCAAAACCACTAGCCACACTTGTACCAAGGTAAGTGACACCTTGGGTTACACCGTACATGGCATGTTTGGGCTTGTTTCTTGTCAAATTCATACGACGACGGTCTTGGAATTTCTTGTCCATGGTTGCGGCTGCCAATCCCTTTCCAAGACTGCCTGTGAACTTGCTCATACTGTCCGACACACCAAATACACTCTTCTTCATGAATCCACCAACACCCTAAGCATAGCAATAACAATAACAATAACAATAAAAAACCATAAATCATATATACTTATGTTTTTTTTTCTTTTTGGGCTGTGATATTTCAATTTTCAACCTACTCTGGCAATTCCGATTCCCAAATCCTGTGGTCTGTCGCTCATAACAAATCCTTGATAAGGCTCATAGAATAGCTCGCCGAACCCGGAGCTCAAGCTTGAGAAGAGACCGACTGGGTTTCCAAGGAAATCTGCACTTCCTAGGACTCTGTGAAGCTGGTACATCACCTGTTCTTGGTAATGGAACATTACTCTTGAAGTGAGGTCAGCATAGCTCACTCGCATGTTCTCCACCACTAAAGCGTTCAGCTTGATAGGAGCATCCTATTTATTTGAATAAACAAATAAAATAAAATAAAATAAAATAGAGGAAGAAATAGAATGGTTAAGGTGTGTGTGTGTGTGTGTGTGTGTGTTTTTTTTTTTACTACTAATGAAACTAAAAGTGGTATATGTAATAATATGATATGAATGTAAAACTTACATTAATGTTTCCAAGTGTCATTGTGAAAACATTAAAGACATAGTTGAGAGGAGATCGCCCACTGTCATCACTATATAATGTGTTAGTTGATCAATCACCAGCTTCTATTGTCTCGTATATCTTGCCTTTCTTCCTCTTCAGAATTGATTCTTTCTGTTCGAACAAATGAAATATTCAAGCGCATGGGCTGGATACAGAACTCTTCGAAATAGTAGAGAGCTTGAGTTTGCTCCAATTCTGGCTCAGGAATTTCTTGAGTAAACAGCAAAGTATCACTATAATATTAAGCTTGATTAGATAAAGAAAGACCCAAAAGAAAATAAATAAATAAATAAATAAATAAAAGCTATTCCACTCACTCGTCTTGTCCGTCGTTTGGCACAGAGAATTTCGAAAACTCAATCAGAGCAAACAACAAGTCCTCATCCATCTCAAATGTGACTTCTTGGAGAAGGAATGAGAACAGCTTAAAGTACATTACACCATGACCTATTTTTTATAACAATAAAAAAGTCATTAAGAAAGAGTTTTGTTTTGTTTTGTTTTGTTTAGCTAACATCTAATATAACACTTACTGTTGTCTTTCACTTTATCAAGAGATATGTGAAGAGTAGGATGAATCGAAATATCATTTGTATCCTTGGGAAGGTTTGAAGGATAAAAAAGGATAGGGAAAACTGATCCCTGGAGTTGATTGTCGATCTAAAGAAATTTGATTTGATTTTGACAAGATTAAATATGCAGTTTTGAAGTTTACGTTATATATTTAATTACACCTTTACCTGTAACCATTTGATACTAGCACGCACAGACTGATAGAGATTGGAGTCACTGTACTTGAAATCCAGTCCTTTGATAGTAGTAAAGATAAGTTCCTAAAATAGTAAAGTGGTAAATGTTAAATAAACCAGTTGCTTTCCACAATCCATCAGTGCAGGGTAGACATTTGTGTATGTGTGTATGTGTGTGTGTCTTTACCTGGACTTGTTTATTGATGACTGAGATACCAATACGCTCAAGAGAAAGCTCAAAGGTAAAGTTTATCACATGTTCAACGTCAATTTCCTCAAAGTAATCGCGTGCAGTGCCTTCTCTTGATATCGCACTAGCAGATGAAGCTGCGATTGTCTTTGCACGATAAAGACTGTTATATGGATTGAATTGAGTCAAAACCAGAACTAGAGCAGAGTCTCGAGCCACTACATCAATGGACATAGAGGAAGCGTTCTTATTTCCAGATCCATGGCTTGCTTTCTAGTTTGATTATAATAAGTATATTAATTTTAATGCATATCTGTATACGTATGTCTTTTTGAGGTTTACCTTGTATTGGAATGGAATTTGAGCACCAATTGCTTGGAAATCAACTGTACGCATCTTTCCATTGACTTCAAGTATCAAATGCTTTTTTTTAGCAATCGGGAAGTCCCACGAATAATTCATCTCAGTATTGGGTGCAAGTATAAAGTATCTTTGTTTTCCTAACGCATCCTTTTGTTTGGATTTCAAATGGTAGTCCTCGGGAACAGTGTTCTATGATTATGTGAGTCTTGCTGTTTTCTCTTCTCTTCCTCTTCTTCTTTTTTTTTTGTTTTTTGCACACTAATTATATAGATCTATTCATCTCTCTTTACCTCCTGATATATCTTGACTTCTTCATTCGAGTAATTACATATCTTGTATGGCCATTCATCTGCCTCTTCGAGCATTATAAAGATAGTTGCTTGCTGGAGATGAACCGTCACCCTGACAAGAATATGATTCCTACTATCTCCTTCACTCAGTTTGAGATGTGTGGTACCAATTTCTTGAATGTCAATTGGTGCAGACCTATGTATACATATAAAATCAGTTTAAAGAAGAAGAAAGAAAAATACACTTCTCATACAATTCTGAACATATTGGAATAAACGTACCAGAAATCATGGAGTTTCTCGAGTTGCAGACAAAGCCATTTGAGCTCAGACTTATTTGTCTGATATATCGATGCCTTTTCGCCTTCACCCACATGAGTCTCTTTCTCGTCCGGTCCAAACTGCCTAAACTTGATATTGTGACGCAGGTGGTTCGCAACAATAAAACGTGATGAAATTGTTACCATCTTGGTAAGCTTGTACTAAGAATAAAAATAAATGGTTAATGGCCTTTTATATATCTTTGCATTTAAGCTTAATATAAAGAAGAAAGAGAAAAGAACACAAACACACCTTTCCAGGTCCTTCTTCAACTCGGACACCTGTATGAATGACTGTCTGGCTGTTTACTGGAAGTGTTACATCAAGAGCACTGCCAATAGCTTCAAAACTCAAATCCTAATAGATTTATTGATTTATGTGCATTTTTTTTCGGTTTTGGTTAGATACGATATCTTTTTTTGTCTTTGTGGATATATTATTAGGGTACTTACATCGCTGTACTTGGATCCATCAACAGACAATAGAGCTCTGTTGTGATGATCAATGCTGTGATAAGAGAATAAGAACGGAGTAATCTGAATATAGTAATATTTACAGTATTAGTTGATCGCACAAAGAGGGTGTGGGTACAAGCTGCTCAGCATTGTTATAAAACGCTTTGAAGAAGGGGAAAAATATTTTTTAACTGACCGGTTCATTTTCACCAAATCCTTTAATATACTCCACGACTGCCTTGTTTTGACGAGATGACATGCGGGCCTTTAGAGCAATCTGACTTCCGGTCTTATTGAGGATCAGGTAGTGTGGGAAGATGCTTATCCAAAGAGAATCGTTATCATTTGTCAGGCGGCTAGTTACAATAAAAAAAAAGTACACACACAAAGAATTGAATGAATTCAAGGGGAAAATTGTCAGTAGGTTATAATGGACCACAAGTATTAACTTTACGTGATATTCATTCCGAGTGTAATCTGGTTTCCATTTACACCAGTTAAAATCAACGGATTACTCAAAGACGATTGGTACGGTTTAGTCTCTATAGTTACTAGTTCTGTTGTGGTATAATCTAATATATATATATATATATATAATCAAGAGTGAGTAAAATATATAATCTCTTTTTTTTTTAGTTTGAAGAAATCTATATAGGTAAGACTTACAGTCACTATGAACATCAAGCTTCAATGATATTATGCTTGTACTCTTGATTTTGTGCAAGTACGCACTTTTTCCTTTTTTGACATTAATTGAAAGATTTGCATCTCCCTTTGTATCTCTCAAACTTATGCTGAAATCATATGGCAAGAAGTTGTCGATCTGGATTGGAGCTCCAAACTGAACAACCATACAAGGATATTGGCTACATTTTTTTTTTAGAAAATCATTGGTATTTATATATCAACTTACCGGCACAAGATACTCTTTTTGTCAAACTTTGCACCCAGTTGAATGATATAATCCGACTTTGCTGGGTTGACAGCTTTGCAAACAATATCCTTAGGGAACTTTGGACTTATTATGTCTGCCCAATTAAGTCTATTACTCCATTGGTAATCGTCTATAGTGAAATAAAACAAATAATAATAATAATATAATTAAATGTATTTTCTACAAAGTCTGATTCTTTTTTGTTTTTGGTATCCCTAAAACTAAGCTTACCAGAAGGACGAACAACTATCCAATTGTCGTAAGCCAATTCAATAGGCACAGCCTTTTTCTCAGAGGTTTCTATATGTATATAAAGAATATTAGTAAAAATAAATAAATCAATAATTTGTTATTTTTAAAGAGAGACAAACACTACTCCTTTACCAAGTTTCCATTTGTCGCACAACGGATTCATGTCATATTTGACCAACTGAACTTCCAAAGCAGACCTTGTTTGGTTGTGAAGCAACAGGCCACTGCGGAAAGTAACTGTCTTGACATTATTCTCGAGCTTGATTTCAACCACCAGGCGATGAGACACTTCATCCAACTCAGGCTTCAGGCGATATGGAACTTCACCCTCCTGATCCATAGGAAGGTTTAAAAGCCTTTCCCATCCTCCATGTAAAACCTCGACACCTAGGTAGTTTTTACCCAAGTTTGATCTCTAATATTATATACACATCAGGAAATAATAATAATAATAATAATAATAATAAAGAATGAGGGTTTAGTTATTCACAATCATTACTTACTAATTTTATTTCTAATTTCTTTCTTTCTTTCTTTTTTCTTTTTTACCTCTCTGCGCTTTATGGCATCCCTGAACGTCCAGGATTGTTCTTCATTATCCTTTAATAAATAACTCTCGGTGTCCTGACCCGCAGCATCATCAGACATGTTCCAAAACTTGATATCATAACCCGTCCAGTTACGGATTAGGTAAGGGCGCTTGAAATCTTGTGCATTATCAGGCAGTGGCTATCGGATTTGTGTGTATGTGTGTGTATGTAAATGCAGGTGTGCAGAATTTGAGTAAGTTTTATCAATAAGAAATATAATAACCCCCCTCCCCCCCAAAAAAAAAACAATTTTTATATACACATGTACACATATATATGTACATCTTTATTTTCTTACCTGAATTTCACTAAGTGTCTCAGAAACAGATAAAGCACTCTCGAGGAAGGCGTGTGTGATATTGATGTTCAAGGGAGCTTCAGAAGACATTCCGATATGCATAGCTCCGATTGCTGCATCTTTGTTAACCTTGACCGTAAACTCCCAGGGTTCAAGAATTGGTTCCCAGTGTGAGATCTTGAAGTTAAAGTTGTTGGCATACATTGAGAAATCAACATTGACCTCCAACTATAGTAAATTGATCGATCAATTGATTGATTGATTGATTGATTGTTATTTGTTTTTTTTTTAAAAAAAATTATTAGATTTGATAAAAAGCTTAATTTTCTTGGAATACATTATATTTATCAACACTTTACCGAACGAGACCAATCCTTGGCGTTGATTGTAAAGGGCTGTAGAGTCCAATCGATGAATGGCAAATCATGGACATCTTCGATCAACGTCAATTGCAAACCATCAAAGTTTGCGACCAACTATAAAAAGTTTTTTTATAGAAAATAAATAAATTGTGCAAGTCATGATGTTTCTAATATATGGTGGATCTAACATATGTGTGTGTGTATATATATATACGAGAGGTTGTGATTTTTATTTTATTTTTTACTTACGGATTCCTTGGACAACACAATGTAAGGCTCAATTGCCTGTGCAGGTTTTGGTGCCAAGGTACTCGAAGTAGTGGCTCCAACACTAGAATCATTGGGTGGACAAGGAGGATCTGACAAGGCTACAATGGAGTGGCCATCCGAAGAAGTAGGATTGATCTTTTTTGCTTCGTTCTCTTTTTCAATCGTCTGTGCATTTCCCATCAACTCTGTGGCTTTGTTGATAATCTCAAGAATCAGCATGGCATCATGGTATGATAGCCGGAGCAGGATTGGCTCGACGTCTAATCTTATGACGGTAATGTTGTGGCCCGGACTTGGGAGTGAGCACTCCATGGTCATATTGATGTCAAACTTCTCAACAAAATCAACTGAAGAAAGTTCACGGTTGTCCATATGGCACAGCAGCATGCCGATACTATCCACACTAAAGTCAAGGTTCTGTTTCTGGACAACCTTCAGTTGATCAAAGGAGAACACTATGGCTTCTGAAGAAGCCAGCTCTGGCTTGGCAAGACAGATGATCTCCACGTCCACAACATTCACATTGTAGTGCAACACTTGCTGAGGTGTGGACGAAGGTGTTCCAGGAATTTCGGTAGCATAAACTGTGACATTTTTACCAGCACTATCTTTGGATAAGACTACCCCCGGCTCTTGCTCGTTCGTAAGACGATTGCGTTGAGTCTTTGCATACTCTTGTGCCTCGGTAGTCACATCGCTAGGCTGAGAGACAAAAGGAGCCGCAAAAAAGTCTTTGAGAAGTAACAGGTAATCGAGAGACAGGACAATGCGCGGGCTGTCGAGTGCCACCGTGACATCCATAAGAGACGAATTGTCTGCTTGGATGGCCGATTTGACCTTGACCTGGAGCTGGGGTCCATCACGACCGCTGACTGGGATAATTTCACGGAAAAGAGAGACAGAGTTTGAACGAGTATCGGCGAAGCACATGGACTGCATACTGAGCTCCATCATCATTGAGGTATCAAGCATGATCTGGAGTTTCAGGTCAAGATTGTTTAGTGCAATACGAGCAAGGGTCTGTTTGCTTCTTTCATAGTAAGCCAGATCGGGACCATGAAGAATCTCGAGTGATATGGTCTTCACACTGACAGCCAAGTCAACCTGCACTTGTTTTTTAGCGCTTGACAAAAGTGTTGGCACAGAAACGCTTGAAGGGGTTGTTGGCGCTGACTTTCGGGTTTTTTGTGGTTGCTGATTGGCTCCATCAGCGTCTTCTGTTTCGGAATCACTACCTCCTGCAAATGTAGCTGTCAAAAGTTCCGAGACTTCCAACAAACTCTTGAACTGGCGCTCGGTCAGGGCCATGCGAACATCAGAAACCTTTCCGAGGATCTGAGTGGCCGGTCCACAGCCGTCCTCGTCTGGTTTTTCGAGACTTTGGATGTCAAAGACAAGTTCCAGATCGTCGATAATTGGCAGCTCGCGAGTTTCCTGACCAGAGTCGGCGGTCTCGATCACGGCGGTGGATTTGAGACTGACTGAGTACAGGCCGCATTGGATCAAATTCAACCAAACCTCATGGGCAGACCCCGATCCATCAATATCATCTTTGGGATGGCGTGTTGCGGTCTTGAACTCGTTGATGGCGCGAATCTCACCCAGACGAGCGACGATGCGGTCTGTTGCAGGGTTCTCGCCCACAGGGAACACAACCACCGGGCTCTGGATCGTAACATCAAAGTGGAATCTAGAGCTGGTTTCTTGGATTTGCTGGGCCGTTTCAAATGCAGCCGTTCGAGCCGTGTCGTACACTGTCTTCATTGCCAGGAACTCTGATAAGAACTCCATGACTGGCTTCGTAGATTCGGTCAAGAGAAACTGGAACGATCCCATGCGCATGTACAACTTCTGGTCGTATCCAGGGAACGAGTCACTCTTGGGATCAAAGGTCTCAAAGGTAAAGTCCATAAGCCCATCGCCAAGAACACTGAGGATGTGAATCTTCGAAGCCCCGCGGCTGAGGTCGTACACATTGCTGTGTTCTCGGTCATCCGAGAGTGTAAAGTTTCCAAACTTTCCCGAAACGTGCATGGTGTTTGGCAACATCGACACACACAAGCTACCAGACGACAATTCGCCAGTGCCCAGACGCTTACCATCGTTATTGAGAATCAGATCAAGACTTTCAAGCTGGATGTTGACCTTCATCGTACCATCTTGTACAGGCGCTTTCTTTGGAGTCACACTAATCTGATCAGACGACCGTGCAGAAGACATGATGTGCATCGACTCGTTACTGCTGCCGTTGCTGGTTGGTGGTTGTGGTAGGGCCTTTTCGGGATTGGCTGGCCCAGTGAAAGTGCTGAGAACCCAATTGTAGAGGGTCAGGATTGAGCTTCGGGTAACAATTATGTTGAGTGTCGAAAGGGCTACATCGATTGTCTGATCATATCCCTCATAGGTGTCGTGATAAAGAGGATGCTTTCGATTGACCTGGAGGTACTTTACGCGCACAAGGTCTCGCTCGGTTGCTTCTAATCTTGAGTTATTTCGGTCTATATTGTCAGAAGTGACCAAGTAGTGGAATTCATTGCCATGTTCCATCTTGTCCACCACGCTCAATGTTTTGAGAGCAAGTTCGACTTGCATATCATATGGGCGAGATAAAAAGCAAAAGTCAAAGTGCTCAAGGACAACCTCGGCCAAGAGAGTGTCACCGTCTTTGCCAGTCTCATTGATAGCCACAGACACCTTGTCAACCTTCAAAGAGAATTTGAATTGCTCTTGCTTTGTATTAACCATGGGTACCATAGAAGCAGTCGAGAAGGTCTCTTGGACAACGGATTCGTCGTCTCCATCGGTGTCGCTGCTGTCTTCGGCAGACTTGATTCGTCTTGAGCGGCCATCCACCAAAATCTCGGTGTTTTTCTCACCCCACAATTTCTGCGAAAGTACATTGTTCGCACGAACACCATCCTGCCCGTCCGTGGTAACTTTGTTATTTGGCTGAGCTGTAGTAGACAGGATCGAGACTTCTTGAGTATCTGGGGTAGGATTTGGTGGAATGACCACATCCAACATTCGCATCATTGTCTTGTACTTGCTGTCTGAAAAATTGACAGACAACAGCGGAAGATTGGCAGACACCTTGAATTTGGTGAATTGGGTTATTCCAGGAAGGATACAGAGCTCGACTAAAAGGTTCATGTCGATCTTCTCGAGCATGTGTACATCCTTATTGGGCTCTGCCTTTGTATAGAGCTGTCTGAGACACTCTTCAAGATTGGTGCCAATCAAGACTTTGGTTTGGGTGAGTTGAACATGGAATTTGTCATACATAAGACCTTCAAGCTTGATATAATCTTCTTCGCTATATTTTTTGTCGCCTTTTGTCTTAAATTGATTGACAAGTTCTTGGTTTGCAAGATCGCTGTCGACATTGATGTGACCAGCGTCAATGATCAGTGCAGGAGAGTCAGTTCGAAGGCAACTGTAAGGAAAGAAATTGTTAAACAAACAGATAACAGGTTAAAATTCAAATTATCAGGATACAAAAGATATATATATATATATATATATATATATCTTACCTCTCTGGAATAACAAACAAAGGAGCAGACATATTGATATCAAGTGAAATTGTTGTATGTTTCTCCAGAGCATACTCCAGACCTGCTCGTGTCTGTTGTTTGAAGCTCTCGATCGTATCTCCAGCGGCTTCCATCAATGCATTTACAGACTCCATTTTGGTGTTTGGAGGCTTAAAGAAATCGGCAATTCCATTGATGACAGTTGGATTGTAGATGATCTCCAAATGGCGCATGTTTAACGAGAGTGCGTTGTCGGCCACCTTGTTCAAAGGCTTGTGTTGGAACTCGAATGAGAAAAATGGAGAATCCTCGAGAGAATCATCGATTGAGATGATACTTTCGGCCCCGCCTTTTTTCAATGGATCCAGGATAGATCCTCTGATTTATATTGTTGTTTTATGATAGTTAGGTTAGATTAGGCTTTTTAAGTAGTTTTTCTCTTTTTTTTTTTACTTGCCCATTACTCTTCTTGACACCAACCCATTGTGGGTATAGAGTGCCCTTGGTCTGGCCATCGTGGACTTGCAAGTCACCAAGACTTCCTGCCAAAGAGATTGACTCGACATACTGTACCACGTCAACGGTGACACTATCGAACACAAGGGCAGCAAGTTCTTTTGTCTTTGTCTTTGAGTGTTTCAGGAGACTAAATGAACCCTTGTTCAACTTTGTACTAAGAGAGAATTTCATGGTCTAATAACACAATTTCCAGCAACAGAAACAGACGATTAGTTAATTATTTTGAGCGTAGAATATTACTTATTTGATATGATTTGATTTGATTTGATTTGATTTGATGTACTTACATCCATTGGCATGTCAATAGAAGCAGCAATTGTATCGCTTTCTTCATTGTACTCGATTGCATCGTACAACTCACGTTTCTGCTCTTCTGTCATTACCAAAGAGGTATCTTCAGCTGTCTACATATATTTAAGAAAAAGAGTAAGGGTTATTAAGTTGTGAATAATATTGTTCTTTTTCGAATAAAAGGATCGAGAAGGCTCTTGATATTTATTATATAACTGACCTCTTCAGTTTTTGTTTCACCACTCCACCAAGAGCTCAACCATCCTTTGTTTTCCTTTTGGTTGTTTTTCTTTTCTTCGGCTATAAGAATTTTAGAGTTTATATATATATATATATATATATATTGTTGTTATTGTAATAGACCTACCTAGCTTGGCTAGACTTCTTCGAATTCTGCTCTTGGCAATGCTTCTGTAGAACCGAATATCTTCAAAGCTCAAATCGTGTTCAAGTTTGTCTAATGCTGCTTGCTGTTCTGGGGTTGCCTTTTGTTTCTTTACAGCAGTGTAATATTCCACATAGGCTTTACGCTCATCGCGTCTTTTACGGAATGAGTCCCAGGACCACCTGTAATGACGATCATGGATCTCGGCCAGTACAGCATCGCCGGCAAATTTGATAAATCCTCTTGGATTTGTTTTTGGTGTGCCAGTAGCAGGATGATATTTACGGTACTACAAAAATAAATAATTTTTTTTAGTGGGATAGTAGAGGTGTTTGATATAGACACATACATAATGTAAGAATTGTAACAGATAAATAGATAATAATTATAAGCATTACTTACTTTTTGCTTTTTGAGATTTGCATGGAATAAGTCAACCATCAAGATGGCATCACGGTATTGATCATCATCCAAACTAAAGGCAAGCTCGTCGAACAAAAGAGTGACATCTGTTTTGGCCACTTTATTGTCAAACTTTTTGTTGAGTTTGATCTACAGTTGTATAAATCGCCCCCCCACCCACCAATATATATATATAAGAATTTATACATTTTTTTTTGGTGTTAAATGTACACAACTTACTTTTCCGGTACCAGAAACGGGTTTCAGGATATATTGATGCTTCAGATCATTATTCGATGGGCTGGGAATCTTTGATTTTGATTTATTAAAGACATTATCGTTTTTTTTTTGGTATTTATTTATTTAAATATTTACCAGTTCTGTAAACGTCTTTAGGGCATCATCTTGAGAGAGTCCGGACAATGAAGGTGAGTCTGTGTTCCAATAGACCGACAAGGATTGCAAGGTAGTCAACTATAATTTATATATATATATATGTCTTAGCTTCTGCTAAATGCATTTTTATATATAAAGAATCTACCTTGTGAATAGTGTTTGTCATTTCACTGATAAAAGTAGGTTTAAATTCACCATCGGTCGAGACAGCACTGAGCTCTTTGAGGGTAATTCCACAGGCGAATGGATGGCCAGGATCCGAGAGATTGTCTTCGTACCGAATGTGGATGTTCTTGATGGACAGCTGAAGATTGTCAATGATCTTCGTGGTAAGCTGACCCATGAACCCATCATTCTGTTCTTCCCCCTTTTTAGTTTGATCTTCTTGAACTTGGGAGTCCTCCATCAGCTCAGCCGTGGCCAATCTCCGCTGCTTCAACAGCTGGGCCCTTTGGTCTTCTTCTTCGGCTGACACCTAATATGTACATAATGTAGATATAAAACAAAGAGACAAGGTTTACATGATTGATGATAAAAATTTGACTATTATACATAAATCTATCTATAGTTATGTCACAAACAACTTACCGAAACCTCGCTCTTTGGCACAGCCAAGAGATAGACATGATCAACGAATACCTTGACAGGCTTTGTTTTCAGGTTAGCCCAAGGAATACTCAATGTGAGCTCTCCAAAGTATCCTATTAATTTATTTATTTATATATATATATATATATATATATATTGTATGCGTGTATGGGCGTGAGAATGTATATTTGATTTAGATATATATACTTATATTACCTTCTAGGACATCAATAGGTAGATCAAGTTTATCAAGGGCTTCTCTTCGCAACTTTAGGTTCTTTAGATTAACTTCACCTAACAGCAACAACAAAATAAAATAAAATAAAATAAATTAAGAGTTGATACTATACTTTCTTTTTCTTCTTCTTCTTTTTTGTGGGTGTCTGTGTCAACTAACCATTCCATATGCCAATCTTGAGTTGGTCATAGTTTAGATTCGATACATAATTTCCAAGGAATCGATTGAGGATTGTTGCAACAAGTGATTCCAACATTAGGTTAAATGAAGGCTGTCAAAGAAGACGTGTCGAATTTTGATTTTTATTTTTATTTTATTTTTAATGCCCTTATATTACTTTAGGTCAATTTTTTTTCTTTCTTTCTTTCCCTTTTGGAATATGGAAAAGAGTCTCGGATTGCATATCCGTCAGTGACTGTTCACCAGTATCGATGGTACACCAGAAAGCTAAAAAGAAAGATACAGCCGATCGAATATATAACATCTACAAAATATATTTTAAATAGATAGATAGAGGGCTTTATCAAAATGATTTTCTTTTCTTTTTTTTTTTGCTTTATTTTAATATGATATTATATATTAGGTACATAGGTCTATAGTTCTACCTTGGGTTTTGTTATATAGAGGAGGCTAAAATCAAAGGTCGATCCAAAGTTAATTTGAAAATCAATTGTTAATCGCATAAATTGAATTGTATGAAAGAAAAAAAAAACAAGGGAATATTAAAGTAGTATTTTTTTTTTGTTTCAGAAACCAAACCGCACCGAAACAATAATGTGTTGTAAGAATCCCAGAATTTGGATCCTTTGTAGGCTAAAAGGACAGTCAGTGACAACATCTTGAACATATTAGTACATAATGGTATTTCGTATGTCTGTGTTGCTCGAATAAGCAAAGTGTACTTTATTTTTTGCTGGCATTAAAAAAAAAAGAATGCCATCAATGATCCCCATACTTTTCTACAGTTGATTTAATTTACACTGCAAAAATTCACACACAAATAGATAATTTTTTTATAATATTAGAAAAGTTTGTATATAAAGACCTATTTTTCCCTTCCTTTCTTTTTTCTGTTTCTCCGCAAAAATGTACGTCAAAGACTAAAGATACCTTTAACAATCAATGCCTTTTTAGATATATAATATAAGAAAATACTTATGTAACAATTACACATAAGTTTCAGTTACTTTTAAATATATAGCTTTTGTCCTAATTTTATCTCCTTCTTCTTCTACTTCTTCTTTTTCAATTACTCAAATAACATACTTTCTTGTTAAAGCTTGTTAAATATTTCCTTTTAAAGACTTTACCCTCGCCCTTACAAAAAAAAAAAAGCTATACCCAAATATTCGTTTCTAAATTCTTAATTCATACATTTATATATTTCTTTTATTTTATTTTATCTTCCTCTTCTTTTACTTCTTTTATTTTGATTTTTATTTTTTTTCTAGGCAAATAACCTAACAACCTAACAACCTAAAAAACATGATGAAAAAGAAAACCAAAGAACCAAGATTATTGGTCGCCCAGATACTTCCAACCCTACCTGGAACCTACCCTATTCCTGCAGAAGCCACTCCTCCAGACCCGGACTTACCTCCTCCAATCCAAAACGGTATCTGGACCATGAAGTTTAGTCGAGACGGCTGTTTTCTTGCCACAGGTGGACAATCGACTGTCGTGCTTGTCTGGCGAATCCTAGGACTAAACTCGAGTGAATTAAAACAGCCTGGGGTCGACAAAGAAGAGACGACGGCTGTATTTCAAGAGACACCCGCAAGAGAATACAGAGGTCATACCTCGGATATCCTAGATCTTAGCTGGTCCACCGTGTGTATTATCATTATAACCCTTTTTTTTCTTCTTTTAACTAACAACATTTTTATTTTTTTTAAAAAAAAAATGATTTTGTAGACAAAGTTTCTGCTTTCGAGTTCTATGGACAAGACAGTTCGGTAAAGAAAGCATTTGATAACCTCACTCACATCTTATACTCATACAAACCTCTGTCTATGTATATGTATATATTTATGTATTCTTAAAATTCATATTGGACACTTCACTTTAACACAGACTATGGCATGTTTCTAGGCAAGAGTGCCTCTGTATCTTTCCTCACCCTGACTTTGTGACGTCCGTAAAGTTCCACCCAAAGGTAAACAACAATAAGAATACAAAGAAGAAGTAAAGAAGGGTTTGATTATAAAGTTGTTATTGAATTCCAATTCCAATTACTTTTTTATTTTCGTTTTTAATTAATTAATTAATTAATTAATTAATTAATTAAATAAATAATAATAATTGAATCTTCTCAGGATGACAGATTCTTTGCAACAGGTTCACTAGACTCTAGATTACGAGTATGGAGCATCCCGCAAAAGAAAGTGACGTTTTGGAATGAAACACCAGGTGGAAACATGATTACAGCGATCGGATTCACACCCAATGGACGGATGATCTGCGCAGGATCCCACATTGGCCAATGCTTTGTGTACGAAACCGACGGATTACGATACAATACTCAATTCTCAATTAAAGAATCCAAAAAACATCCCAAAAAGGGAGACAAGATTACCGGAATCGAAGCACTTCCGGCAAGTACATCCGGAGACGAGATGTTGCTGATCACCAGCAACGATTCCAAAGCACGACTCTATAACATGCGTGACAAGAGCATGACCTACAAGTACAAGGGTTCCGAGAACGGATCGATGCAGATCCGAGCATCCTTTAGTGATGACGGCCGCTATATCGTCTGTGGATCAGAGGATTGTGCAGTGTATGTGTGGGAAACCAGTCAGTCGTCCTTTTCGCCCTTTCATCACCTTCATTCGCATGATACTCATGAACCCACAACCCGGCTGGGCGGATGGCTGAAGCGCAGCGAACGGCGAGTCCAGGACAAGTTTCGACACCGACCTGACCACTTTGAAGCTCACGAAAATCCAACAACTGTTGCCATCTTTTCACCGACCCGTACTCGACAAATCCTGGCCAGAACCGGATTAGATGCGATATTCAATCGAACACCTATTGGGCAAACGGTCGCAATCGCAGACGGATATGTAGTTGATTCCAATGGTAGAAAGATTGGATGTGAAAATAATAGTAATAGTAACAACCTTGATAATAATAATCTTAATAATAATAATAATCTTAATAACAATTCCAATTCCAATTCCAATTCCAATTCAAATTCAAATTCAAATGCCAATGATGATAACGATAATTATTATGACGATGATAATGATTCGGTTCACACCACAAATACCAGTCAACTTGGATTACCAATCGAACGTGAACCAGCCCTTCAACCACCTGGATCTAATTTCTCAGCCAATCCTCCTATTGGGACAAAGACCCAAAAGGGTCCAATTGACAAACCACACATGCACGAGTCTACCGAATCCGATGCACGGGCAGAGGCAGAGGCGTATGCTTGGGAACTGCGGCAAAACGCCGAAATAGCCCGTGAAAACTATACATATCCAGACGGACATATCATCATCTCGGCCGATTCAACTGGAGAAGTCAAGGTTTGGCGGATAGATTGTGGTTCTGGAGAAGACGGCTCGCACAAGCTTGAGCACGATCACACCTTTAGTCACACACTCACCCGGCGCCACTCAACAGACCTAAAGAACAATGCCATTGCTATCAATAATAATCTCCCGGTGCCTCTGGCTACAGAACCAGTAAAAAAATCGGTACCAGCACCAGTAACAGTAACACCGGCACCAAGAAAGTCAACAGATTCTACTTCTACTGCTACTGCTACTGCTACTGCTGGTGGTCCTCTATCACCAAAAAATATTTTGCATTTCAAAAATATTTTACACTCCAAATAACAAACAACAATAATAATAATAATAATAATAAAATAAAAAAAAAATTGAAACATATTGTAAAACACACACACAGAGAGAGACAGGCATATTCATACACTTGATCATATATAGACTCTTTTTCATCCCCCCCCCCCTTTAATACCAATCCCACCACAGCTTCTTTACTCCGCCCAGTTTCTACATATGTTTGCTCACTCACTCATATGAATTAAAAGCTATAGCAATCTTGATAATTGAATTTGAATAGATAGAAAGGATAGGTTGCTTTCGTATTTTACTTTATTATTTCTTCAAAAAAAAAAACAATATCAAGTATATATATATATATATATACTAGATGCTTTAAAAATATTCAATCAATTTCTCTGTCTTTTTTCATTAACTCATCTTTTTTTTATATATTATTATATTATATTATATTAAACTGAATATATATATATTTGGCTTTGTCTTTTGGTTGTTGGCGGTCCTCAAATGACATCATCCGAATTGCACACAACTCCGCGTCCAGACAACGTCGCCCAGCGGGGACGAGGTTTTTGCATACTCAAGACATAATCCGTCTTCCTTTTTGGTACTCTCCCTCTAAACGCACATACATTTATATATACTCTCTCTCTCTCTCTTTCTTTGATATATCTTGTTTGATTATTTGAAGCATATTTTCCATAAAGAGAAAGCCTTTCTTGCGTCTCAGCCATATACTTCTTTTACTATTATTATTATTATTTTCTAAAAAAAAAAAAAAAAAAGAGAATAAGAGAGTATTACTTTCTACGCTTAATTTTTTAATTTTTAATTTTTATTTTTATTTTTATTTTATTTTTTAATTGGCTATTCAACAGTCGTTTCTATTAAACTCCACTTTACTACCACTTAACCTACTAGTACCACTAACTACTACTTTTATATATATATATAGATATATAAAATACGTATATATATATATATATATATATATACATTTACATTTACTTTTTACATTTTTCGACGTACATCTTTTGAGACAATCTATCCAGATGACAAACCTTCCAGTTGTAGTGATGGACAATGGTACCGGGTATGTTTGACATTCCTTTCATTTTATTATTCTACAAGTAATATACGTACAATTACGTATTGATGAATGCACACAAGAAACACTTTTATTTATTAAGTTTTCAAGCGCGTATATTATTATTCTTCTTCTTTTTCATTCATTCATTTATTCATTTATATGTGTACATTTAATAACATTTTATTTTATTTTATTTTATTATCTCATTCTTGTCCTTTCCTTTCCTTTCCTTTCTTTTCTCTAACAACAACAACAACAAAATACATACATACATAAACATAGCTTTTCAAAGCTTGGTTTTAGTGGTAACAATGAACCTTCGTTTGTGTTTCCTACTGCCATTTCGACTCGCGAAACTCCCTCGGCATCCGGACGCCCAGGTGTGCCCTCCAAACCTTCGTTCTTGAGTAACAATTTGGCGTCAAAGCGTGGTATCGAAGATCTGGACTTTTATATCGGCGACGAGGCATTGGCACAGAGCAAAACCATGGCGCTCAACTATCCTATTCGCCACGGCCAGATTGGCAACTGGGATCATATGGAGCGGTTTTGGGAACAGTCGATCTTCAAGTACTTGCGTTGTGAACCCGAAGATCATTATTTCCTATTGGCAAGTTCTCTAGCCTTTAAGTCTATACAAGTGTAGAATTAATAGTAGTATTAGTAGTAGTAGAAGAAAAGGGGCCATATTTATATGTATAGTTGGAATTGTGGTTGTGGTTGTGGTTGTACTTGCTTAAATTAATATAGATTTTGATAAATATTATAGACAGAACCTCCTCTTAACGCTCCTGAGAACCGTGAGATGACTGCCGAGATCATGTTCGAGTCATTCAATGTCCAGGGTCTTTACATTGCTGTCCAGGCCGTTCTGGCCTTGGCTGCATCCTGGACTTCCAACAAAGTTAGCGAACAGACCTTGACAGGTACCGTTGTTGATTCTGGAGATGGTGTTACCCACGTTATTCCAGTGGTAAGTACAAAACCTCCATCCATATATATTTCCCCTACCCTACCCTACCCTACCCTATTTTACCCTTCTTTTTATTTTATTAATTAATTGGTTTAATAGGCTGAAGGTTATGTGATCGGAAGTTCTATCAAAAGTATTCCTATTGCCGGTAGAGACATCACTTCATTTGTCCAGCAACTTTTGCGTGAACGTGGTGAGACCAGTATCCCACCCGAAGATTCGTTGCGTGTTGCCGAAGCCATCAAGGAAGAATATTCCTATGTGTGCCCTGATATTGTCAAGGAATTCAAAAAGTATGATCAGGAGCCCGGCAAGTACTTTAAGAAATATGAAGGTGTTCACAGTGTCACTGGTCGAGTAAGTTTATCTTCTTTTAAATATATATATATATATATTATATATAACTGTGTGTGTGTGTGTATGTGTCATTAATTAATATTGATAAATAAAATAATATTTTAGGATTACTCGGTTGATATTGGATTCGAACGTTTCTTGGCTCCCGAAATCTTCTTCAACCCAGAAATTGCTAGCTCAGACTTCTTGACTCCTTTGCCAGAGGTTGTTGATACTGTAATCCAGACTAGTCCTATTGATGTCCGTAGAGGACTTTACAAGGTGAGAAACGGCATAAATAAATAAATAAATAAATAAAAATACAAGAAGAATAAAAGGGTTGTAATTGAGGGTCTAGATATAATAAGGATAATAATAATAACTGTTTTGTGTGTTTGTAATATATAAAAAAAAAAAAGAACATTGTCCTTTCTGGTGGATCGACCATGTTCAAGGACTTTGGCAAGAGATTGCAAAGAGATATCAAGCGCACTGTTGATTCACGTATTCAGGCCAGCGAGACCTTGAGTGGTGGTGACATGAAGGTACCAAATATATATATATATATCTATATAAAAATATAAAGAGAGAAAGACATCTATCTTATTCCTGGTTTTATTTTATTTTAATTTTTTTTTTTAAAAAAAAAAATGTTAATCAATCGTTTCAAAAATTCTTTAAAACAAAATTTTATAGGCCAAGCCAATGGAAGTTAATGTAATTTCTCACAAGAAGCAACGCCATGCTGTCTGGTTTGGTGGCAGTTTATTGGCTTCTACTGTAAGTTAATTATTATGATTATTTTCTATATTGGTATTGGTATTAATTTTTCTTTTTTGTTTGTTTTGTATAATCTGTCTACATTTATTTTAGGCTGAATTCTACAACTGTTGCCATACAAAGGCCGAGTATGATGAGTATGGTCCAAGCGCACTCCGTTACAACAGAGTTTTTGGTTCTATGCTTTAAGAAAATATACGATTAATGACAATAACAAGAAGAAGAAGAAGAAAAGAAAATAATGCAAAAAAAAAAGACAGTACACACACACACACACGCACACATACTATACACACATATGCATATATGCACATACGCACATACGCACATACGCACATACGCATATATACATGTATTATATACTTTGTGTTTCTGTGTGGGTGTGGGTGTGAATATATCCAGACCTCTTCAAAGAAACCATAAAAGAGATAAGAAGAAAAAATGAAAAAAAATGAAATGAAATGAAACGAAAAAGAAAAGAAAAGAAAGCCATTTATTACCTTTATTACCTTTATTATGTAATGAGTTAGGGTTGTGTGTGTGTTTCTAAAGAGATACTTATACTCTAAATGGATATTATATAAATATATATCTATATATTATGTTTTGATATAAAGTACATTGTGTGAATGCATTTAATTATATATTATATATTGATTGATTGATTGATTGATTTATTTATTTATTTATTTTGAGGGGGGTAGTCAGAGTCAAAGAAAGAAAGAAAGAAAGAAAGAAAGAAAAGACAAAAAAAAAAGAGAGAGCATTGAGATAGGGAGTTTAGGCGGGGGGAGGATAAAATTAGGGTAGGGGTGGAAGAATAAAAGTAAATCTGGTCTGGTCTGGTCTGGTCTGGTTGGGTTAAAATCATACATTTTAACATGTACAGTGAATGTTAAATATGCTGTACTACAGCTGTTTAATTTATACAACTTGTTCTTTGTTCTAGTGCTATAGTCTATCCAATAAAACAACTGCGCATTCGTACATGCGTTTTCTGCTTATATTCCTAGTTTTATTCATATTATTATTATTATTATTATATATTGTTTATATTCGTGCCAAGGCTTTAAGGATCAACAATTTGCCCATTGATATATATATATATATATATTTGACAATTTTAAGGACACGACATTTTCTGTTTTACCAGACTAAAGACCAATAAACTTTGATTCTGTCCTCTCCCCCAGGGTTCAATTTCTTTCTTTCTTTACAAATCCTTCAGGGACAAAATGACGTGTCCTAAAAAAAACCCTATACATACATACACACACACACAAACACAAACACAGCGCCACTTTACCCAAAAATAGATCTTTTTTTTTTATGCTTAAATTCATCCTTTGGTTTGCCACCCAAGATTTGGCTCGATTTGGGGTTCAAGATTAAAATGGCAAGTATAAATATAAACAGATCTTATATTCTTAGTTCAATATACTTCTTTATGCTTTCATGTGTGTGGATAGGGGAAACGCTATTCATTAACAATTAAAAAAAAAAGAAACTAATAAAAACAAGTGATCTTGTTACAGTTCCTGAACTGACATATCCGTCAATATATATATATATATATATATATATATATATATATATTTGCCTTTCTTGGCAGTTGTATAATTACTATTACTATTATTTTGCAGACTAGGCTCTTGATTGCCTCATTATATATATATAACACAGACTTGTCAAGAAATCAATTTAATACGGACTTTGTTCCTCAAAAGGACAAGCGACATTATATTCTAAAAATACGAATTTGGATTCTTGAAAAATAAAAATAAAAAAAGGTTGATTTCTGATTGGCCAGAAACATCAATTTTGATTGGTTGTGATAGTTATTGGTCAGAAGAACTGTATATGTTTGGTTGGTCTTGCTTGGGGTATTCAAATCTTAATACCTATTTTGTCTCTATATTTTTATTGGGTCTTTTGAAAGAAATATATTGTAAAATACAAATATTTCAAGGGGGTAATAAAAAAGGGAAAATTGGTACACGAAAAAAAGGGGGTGCAAGTGAGTGAGTGGTTGAGTGAGTGAGTGAGTGAGTGAGTGTTGAATATATATATATATATATATATATAGAGGAAGGTAGGTAGACGGACAGCTGGCTAGATAGCTAGATAGCTAGATAGCTAGATAGCCAGATAGCCAGATATACACAGACTGGAACAAAGGGGTGGATAATTTGGTAAGAACTTTAGCTTTGGATTAGAATGTTATAAATAGCTATGAAAAATAAAAATAAAATAAAAAACTTGATTATTATAGATATACCACCTACACTCATTTGTTCATTTGTTCATTTGTTCATTCACACGTACTTCACACAAACCCCTTCTCCTCCTCTTCCTCCTCTTCCTCCTGCTATTCTTTCCCCCGGATGCAGTCTCCGACTCACATTCAAATTAACACTCTTATTGAACAACAACAATAATAATAATAATATTCTTTACCCCTCTTTTCTCTTTCGCTCTCTTTCGCTCTCTTTCTTCTCATTTCTATACCTCTTTTCATTCTCTTGATCATGAAGCTTTCATTGTTCATTGCCTGTACACTTGCCCTTCTCTCTGTATCTGTCAAGGCAGACGAACTTCAGGATCAGATCGACCAAGCACAAAAGAAGTTTTGTGGCGGTAAGACTTGAAGAATAAAAAATAAAAAAAATAAAAAAGGCGAATATCAATGAATAACTTTTATAAAATATATATATATATATATATATACAGGTGTTGCTCTCTCAAATCCTTCTCAGGGCCAAGTGTTTAGTGATCCCACAAAGGTTACAGTCACAGTCAGTAAGTTGAATGAAATATTTGTGTGTCTTGTACTTACTTCTTTGTTTGGTTCATCTTTTTAAAAAAAAAATTATTATTAGCAAGAGTTCCTGATGCTCAAGCCAAAGTGGTCAATGGTGTCGATGCAAGTATAAAATTGAAACAAAATCCAAAATAATATTTTTTTGTATACACTATACACTGTACTATTTTTTTTTAAAAAAAAATGTATATATATATATATCATGTAATGAAATAATCGACGTGTTAAAAATATGTATATATATATATATATAGGTTTATTCCATTGCTGATAATGGTCAAGTCAAGTACTTGGGTACACCTTGGAAGGGAACCTATGCTCTCAACCAGCAAGCCACCTTGACGCAAGTTTATTCTATATAGCTATACATATAAACATATATACTTATACTTCTTTACTTTATAGTGTTGACATTTCAAAGACTGCCGGCGTCACTCTGCCTTCTCAGTTTGAGTTCCGGTAAGTTAGATGTTGTGTTTGAATAAAAATGATTATATTGATTGACTTTACTGACCCTATTTTATTGTTATTATTATTATTATTAATAGTGTTTGGGTTCATAATGCTGCAGGTAAATGATTTCTTTGTACATTTCTATATACATTATATCCCCTCTCTGCCGTCCTTCCCCCCCTTTTCTCTATATATATATATATTTCAATTCAATTCTATACTATGCTGTACTGTACTGTACTATGCTGTAATATGTTATGTTATGCTATGCTATGCTATGCTTTATGGTACATCAAGTATATGCTTGCATTGTTAATTGGCTTGCTTGGAAGGCTTACTCTATTTGGGGTACAAGCAAGTTATTGCAATACTCACAATTAGTTATTTCTATTTCTAATCAAGGAATAAACAAAAACCTGTTTAAATCCCCATACAATCCCATCTATTTTTATACTAATTTCGTATATGATATTACTTTCACCCCTTATTTTTCTTTATCTTAGGACCTGACTGTACTCTGATGTCAAAGGTAAATAAACTTGAAAATAAATAAATAAATATTTATTTATTTATTTACTCAATTAATTAATTGTGCTTTGTAGGTTTTCAAAGTCACTTCTCCAACTCATACTAATGCTGACACCGAGGCATTTGATAATCTCAATGTGGATGTGGGTCGAGGATGTTTCGGGCTCGATATCACCAAGCCAGAATTGGGAGAACATGTAAAAGCAGCCCCTGCCTCCCTTGTTCAAATCGGTAAGTCTCAAAATATCTATAATTATATATTTACTTACTACCTTTATATATATATATAGGTAGCGACTCGGCTTCTCATGTAGAAACCTACAAGCAACTTGAACTCTTCAAGGTTAACCTCGATAGTCGTGAGGCTGTCAAAGTAAACGATGTCTGGACAGGCCAAGAAAATGCCCACCAACTCTTTACTCTCAAGACTGATCTAAGCAACGTCCAGTCCGAGTCAAACACAGCCTATTACTACAAGTAAAGCTCTATTTTCTTTTATTTGTTTATTTATTTTTTGGTATTAATCAACTGAATTTGCTCTTTTCTTTTTCTTTCTTTCTTTCTTAACAAAAATATTAATATTAATAGGTTGACGGCTGATACTTTACACAGTGAAACTTGTTCCTTTTACTCTCATCCATTCTATATTGACTCTGCTTAAGATGTACAGAATAGTAAACATCATCATCAACCATCATCATCAACCATCAATATTCAATATCATTACAACCATTATCAATAACAAAGAATCAATGAATGAATGAATGAGGGGGAGGGGTGGACAGAACAAAGAATAGGTACAATATTAAAATTAAGAAAAAAAAGAAAAGAAAAAGCACACAGACTCAAACCAAAACCAAAATGCAAACAACAGACACAGACACAGACAAAGGCACACAGATATATACAAAGAGAATAAAATGTTGTTGTTTTTTTTTTCTTTTAAGCTTCTTTTATATATGTATTTGTTTATGATCGTTATAAAGAGGGGTAAAGGAAGTAAGAGTAGTAATAGTAATAGTAACAGTAATAGTGATATTTATATTTTGGTTGGCAATTTGAAGGATAAAAGAATAAGAATAAAGGAGGTTTGAGTGAAGTATATATATATATATATAAAAGTTAAAGGGGAATTGAGGAGTCAAAAAGATGATTCGGTAAAGGAGGAAGAGGTGTGTGTGTGTGGGAGGGGGAATCTAATGAAATTTTTTTTTTAAAGAAAATCAAATACTAATAACAATAACAGCATATCTATCTATATTATGAATCTAGACTGGGTGGTGAATATAGTTTGTGCTCACAGATGTAAGCAATAACAGGGTTTGGTAATAGATATTTGATAGACATTCCACGTTTGACAAATAGTCTACACACAAATACATACATAAAAGACACATTAGAGAATAATAGAGTACAGATTAACAAGTAAAATATGGGTGTTCAAGTGCATACACAGAGTACTTCTTTTCTCTATATTCTTTATGATTTTCATACCTGATCTTTGTAGAGCTAATGTCGTTATGGATCAATTGTTTAATGACTATAACATTCATCTACAGAAAAACAATAAAGCCATTAACACCAGCCAATTTTAATATTGATCCTTTTTTCTTTTGAAAGATATATAAATGTAGCAAGACTTACTCGGTGTTGGTAAAGAACATCATTGGAAAGCAAGAAGCCATACACATCTGTGCCAGTTCTCTCGATAATCACACACCCAAAATGACCCACAATGTGATGAAGCTTTCATACACCACCACCACCAATAATCGTACAAAGGTTTATATAGATGTATATAAAGTAAGTATTTTTGTTCTTTATAAACCACAGTTAATCAGAACCTTGGCTTAGCCTATATTCAAAGCTTTTGGTTGACTTACATCTTCAGGAGCCCATACACCTGGGTGACCAAACGAGGCAATCAGATCACCACCAGCCAGCAGCATGATCTTTATTTGACGCATCTCACCTATAAACATATATAATTATTTATTTATTTACTTTAAAAACAGAAATATATATATATATATATATTCTTACCATTCTTCATCTGAATACCCTTGGCCTTGATATTCAACTCTTGGTCAAAATGATCCAACACAACTGCTGTTCTCTGATAAGTAACCTGTCTTGACTCCCAGGAATCAACCATCAGATAATCAGAAGTACTATCGACTGCCAATTCACACATCTTGACCCGATCTTTTGCCTTGGCTAGTCCTTCTTTCATGTATGCGTCCGAGACCGGAGAATAGTATCCGGCCAATAGTTCATATTCGTTTCTTTCATTAAAATGATCTTGTGCCATTTCTAGTCAAAAAATAAATAAATAAATAAAATTAATTAATTAATCAACCAATCAATCAATCAATCAATAGATCAAGTTTGTTTTGGTTTGTTTCTTATCTACACTCAAATTACTATCAGTAACTATTACTGCTATTAATCTATTACTTAGTGTATATTATATTATATTATATTATATTATATAGCAAGAACAAGCTTTTTAGAGCCAAAACAAACAAACAAAAGAAAAAGTATATGTATGTATGTATGTATGTATGTATTTATACCAAACATTCGGAGGTGAAGATAGGTCATTGGAGAATAAGAACCACATGCAACGATAATCAAAGGAATCTTGGATTCATCTTTATTTTATTTTTTTATTTTTTATATACAAAAAAAAACACAGTTACAATTAGAGTTGGAATGATAATGATAATTACAAATATTAAGATATATATATATATATATAATTTACCTTTCATTGCAGTTGGTAAGCGATGTCTTGGGAACTGATAAACATCGTCAAATTGACCCAATGTATTAATGTCTTTTCCACAATTAGCTTCCAAGGTAGATGTCATGACAAGGGGACTAGACATTGTGGTTGCATAAAAATAAATAAAATAAATAAAATGAGAAAAATGAGAAAAATGAGAAAAAAATCCAGTATATCTAAAATTATTATAAAAGAGTAAGAAATTTTTAAAAAAAAAAAAAAAAAAAATTATACTGTTTTAGCTAGTAGTAATAATATCTATAGTATTAGTAATAGCTTCACAGCATTAACAGTAGTAATTTAAGCTATTTATTTCAAACAGAACAAGATTATTATATAATTAGATATATTTTATGATTTATGATTTCAAATATAATATAATATAAATACACCACAGATTATCATCATTATCACCATCTATTTATTTATTTAATTAATATCTGTATAATTATGAGTCTTTTTTTTTTTAAAAAAAAAAAAAAACCTAGAATACAATCTTATCTACGATGACATCATTCCCTTTTTTATTTTATTTTTTATAAAAAAAAAAAAGAAAAGAAAAAGGTAACGCAAGAAAGGAAGCGATAAGAGAAAGAGAAAGACATGAGCTTTAGATCAGGTCAGATTGTGTGGATCAGCGAAATTAATAATGATCCCTCTGCTCATCTCAATACTTGTGTTCGAGTTACTGGCTTGTAAGCTTTATGATAATATTCTTGAATGATAATAGATACATAAATGCATATCTATGCTATACTAAAGTGGTAGTATCAGTTGATAACATTAATAACAATTAATAAACTAATTACACATACCCCATATCATACATATATATTATACATTTATTTCACTATTAAAATAAATCAATACATAATATATATATATATATATATATATATTAGTTTGAGCAGTTTGGATCTTGATACAAAAAGGGCCACTTTGATACACAACGGACATTCGATTATATTGGATGTATCACTGGTTGAATCATTTCAATATCCGTTGCAAACACTTGTTCAATGTATAGGAGATGTAGCCCACTACAACGAGGTAAATACATATAGATATACATACATAAAAGTTTGTTATTATCTTTACGTTTTTATATCATTTCTATTATAATTGTCGGTAGGAATTATCAATGGCAACCGTGTTGGTCAAGGTCTCTCGTGATCTCAATATTGTTGATCTGGAGCTGTATGAACGAGCAGTTCAATATCGACGATCTTGTGAAGCATCTATACTATAGAACCCAAGTAAGCATAATAAACAGTTTTTCTAAATCTATGACATCCAGTAGACCCATACACACTTTTATTGCTATACATATCCATCCTGTAAACGGTTATTTGGTTTACATTGTACAAGGGCGAAAGTGGTGGTGTACCTGATATATAACAACTCCAGAGATTGTTAATGTTTTTTCTCTGGTCTCACTATCGATAGATGATTATAGCTCTTGACACAGTAAATGTAATACATATATATAATGTTATATAAAAAAAACCGATTCTCATTTTTTATTACTTTATTCTGAATTTTTAAAGACCCTACCTAAAAGAGCCAATGTTTTCGATAGTCCCAATAGTTCATGAGCAAGGATTAAGTCTAATAAGAGCCTTTCTCAATTAAGAGTTAGGAGTAGTATACCTTTATGGAAATAAATGAACGAAAATAAACTGAAATACAAGGAAACATTACCTAAAAGTTTAATTTTTAATAAATAATTATAAGCATTCTCTAATCTTATGAAAGACATACACCATTGTAATCAACTGTAATCTCGAGCTGCTCTCACTAAAGAAAAATATGTTCTATAATGTCGAACCATTTGCCTAATTTTTCTTATGGATTTATTACCTTAATCTAGCCCATCCTATCTAAAAGAATGTAAAATCCACAAGTCTGGAGTTCTTTTTTCGTAAGAGCTCAAATACTCTATATATGCTATATCAATTGCTTCATTTGGTTATCTTTACCTATGTTTTTATGTCTGTAATCCAACCTGTTTGATAGTATATTTATTCTATCTGCTCATCCTGCCAATATTTACACAAAGCCTTCTTAATATAAATTATTTAATACCAAACATGATATGATAATAGCATCTCTTTAAGAAATTAATGTGTACATTTTAAATAGATGAGTACATATAACTATCAAACCCTCGTTCTACTTTTCTGAATAAGATAAATAAATTAGAAAAAAAGGTAAAGTTGCTGCGGCTAGTATCTTTTCAGTTACTTGGTAGGGATTTCTCAAGATTCTGTCAAAACCATGAATGTTTGTAGATACTTGAGAAACCCCTTAGTTAACCGCAGCTTCTGCGTTAAAATGTAGTAATATTTGTACCAGAAGGCCTTCGTTGATCTGCTGCTTTTGTATTAAAAAAGGACTATTTTTTTTCCTTTACCAAGCAACAAACATATCTCTTTATCTTTTTCTTTACTCTCTTACATTATATACTTCATGCCCGAATCAGACCTGCCTTTCGAGATTCTTTCACGTATTGCAAGTTATGTATTTAACGATGGCAAGCTAGCATGTATGATGACTTGCAAGAGATGGAAAATCCCATATCAAGAATCTGTCTGGAAGACTCTACAAATTGATTTTATGGAAGAGCTTGAAGAAATATGTACTACAGCAAAGAATTCGACGAGCAGGTTCCTACCATATGATCTTACAACAGAAATCATACATATTTATAAGCTATTTTCCATAAATAAATTGCAGAAGCTTCAGGTTTTCCAAACCTTTCGAAATTTGAAGCATCTTGATATTAAGGTCATATGCTTTGATCCAGCCGATGCAGATTTTACAAGATACGTATCTGGTTTATCATCGCTGGTCAGTCTGGTACTTCAACCTACTCAAACCACTCAAAGAATGTTTATTCCGCTAATTCTTGAAATATTGGGCCATATGCCTAACCTCCAAAAGCTACATATTCGCCCAGCTTTTCTGGGTGAGAGAACTAAGTTTACACCTCGCCAATTCAACCACCTCCATACCATTTGACCAAGGCTGACAACCATTATATTACATCTAAGCCTTCTTTGCATACATCCAAACGCAGTACCACCAATTCCACAAACTATCCCAGTACCAGGCGTAGCAACACTTAATCTCGCAATCGTTGGCTGGGATCCTATATGGCTATACTATTTTAGCTTCAAGTATCCAAAAATACGTTCCTTGGAATGGACTAACTGCTCTTCAGAAGATGAGGAAGCTGCAACAGAATATACTGTCGAAAAAAAAGAGCTTCTCCGTTCAATTACAAAGGCATTTACATGCTTGGAAACAATAGACCTTTATTCGCAGCTCTATATGGAATGGGAACACGCTATTTTCTCGGAAGTTCTCTGTCGATTGCATGCACCTATCAAGAAATTAATTTATCGCAGCCTTGGCGCCAATTCCACAGAAAACTTCTGGGAGAGAATAATACAACAGTTCGCACAGTCCTTTTCATGAACTCTTGAAACACTTAAAGTTTCAGAAGATGCTTTTTCCTATACCAATTCTACTTTTACACCAAAGTTTTCGTATTGTCCAAGCTTGGTGGATCTTAAAATCAGACGCTGTAGTGTATCTGTTGCTTTAGACGACGTACTTGATAATTGCCCGGCATTGAGAAGATTCTGTTTTTCCAAGGGACGGCTATATATTAATTCAACAGCAAGTGGACAGCGGAGACAACATGGACTACACACTATAGAGCTGGAATCCGTTACTACGATATCTTTTGTATTTAACTATGTATCCTTCAGATGCAGAGACTTGTAATACATGACGTTGTCACAAATTCAAATTCGTGGAGTAATTGCTAAAAAAGCAAAAGCCTTACACATCAATATGTCATATACCAACTTTAAAAAATTAGAACTCCAGCATGTTGAATTCTACTTATCTGACAATTTTCTGAATACAAAGTCTACTATCAAGCTCCTTTTACTTTTTCGGCTAACTTACCCTCAGCGAACAAGCAAAGATCCAAGAGACGGCAATGTGGGATGTCCGGTGAACCATATAACATGGTTTCAAAGATACGAAGTATATAAGGAGGATGGACCGCGCAATGGATCATTTATCAGACGGCTCTCAGGATACGATGGTGATGCTGTCACTAGGCATTTCTTGGGTTTTCAATTCAAGCAAGATTGTGATTCACGGGAAGCCAAGAATTTTATTCGAGGGCAAACTCGCATGCACCACTGGAAAAAGGACATTTGCGAAGGATATGTTGAACTGACATGTGGTAGTATAAATGAATACCGTATTTTGTAATTCATTATACTTTATGGTCTTGCCTTTATTCGCATGTCTAGTAATGAAATTTATGGTGATTCCCTGTATAGCTTTCCAAAATAATAATAATAATGGTAATAAGAAATTGATCAAAACCATTTCTTTTCTCTATTATTATCCCTTCAACCAAATAAAAGCTACAATTATTTGACATGGTCTTTTTTATATATATTTAAAGAAGTGTATTTATTGTGCTAAAAATTCTTGTAACTTATATATCATAGCCTTTAATGTTTGTTTCTATATATTTTTATTGTTATTAATGCTACATGTAACACCCTTTGTTTTCTCTAAAGCCAAGCACTGCCACTTTAGCTAATATAAAAACCACTTTACCTAACAGTTGAAGTTATCTTTTTTTTTTCTAAATAAATTCTGGGAGTGCTTTCAGCTAGAACTTTTAAATCCCTGTCAAATTTAGCAGCTAGATAAAATTTAGGACTCTTTTTTATAAAATAAAATAAAAGGAACTACTGGGAAGATAAATTTTAGCTAAAAGTTGAGATAAAGCCGATTGCTAGAGATTTTCCAAACCTTTATCTATGGGTCAAACACACTAAACCGAGTGTAAAATCGTAACTTTGGTGTTTTTATTTCTATAATTCGAAAATGAAAATGAAACTTTTGGAGTGGAAATCCATTATATAGATTTTGAGACTTTTTAATTGTCTCTACGGTCACCTATAACTATAATGTGATATTTGGGGCGTCTTTCTGGCTTTGAAGCTTGTGAGGAGAAGAACTAGAAAGGATAAATAGAAGAAGCAAATTACAAAAGCAAAGATAAAGAAGTACATATAAAAGGTTCGTTGCGGCGCACTTGATCATCGCAATCGTAAAGGAGAGTATGGGTACAAGCAATGTGCTTTATAAAGAGAGAATGAAACCCATAAAAGAAAAAACTTGAACATTGTTTTGTTTGTATGGAGCGAATGATATGCTCAGATTTATTAAAAGTCTCAGATTGAGTAGGAAAAGAGAAAATTAAAATATTTATTTGAAAGGTTATGTGAATTATATGATGTTTTTGGTTTTTGGCTTTTATGCCTTTTTTTTATTATAGAAGTTAGGGTAGAAGTGAGGGTAGAGTTATATAGGGGATACATCCTGAGAGTCAAGCTCTATCTCAGAGCAGAGGCGAAAGATTGACTTGCGAGCAGTGGTGAGGGCTGCAGAGGGGAGGGGAGGGACAGAGTTGAAGTGGAAAGACCAGTGGTGGTCCCAAATTGGAGGGATGCTCAAGACAACGACGGAGACAGAAGAAATAGGAAGATTAAGAGTGGGAGGGAAGACTAAGAACTGGAAAGTGGCCGAAAGTACAGATGGCAGAGGGACGGTACCAAAGAATTCCAGCCAAATATCTAGTCATACCACAGATTTTAACTGACAAGTAAGAATAAAATCCTATTGCGTCTCAATGGACCTCGTAAAAATTGTACCGAGAGGAGAGGATATGATTGAAGGAATGATGCGGTATAGAAGAGCATGGCACAAAAGCTTGTGGTGTAAACCAAGAAACCAAGCATTACGTGCCTTGTGAGGAAGGGTAAAAGACCAGAAAGAGCGAAGTTGTCGTTGGAGAAGAGGTGGCTGGGTGGGACAAGCATCAACCAGTTTATGGTAGCAGGCAGACCAGTAGGAGCGAGTTGGGAGACGTGACCAAGTCTAGTACGGGAGCTTTGATGACAGAAGTTGATAAAGGTTGATAGACAGTCAGTCCCACGTTGGAAAATTTGGCGATTAGGACTAAAGTGTAAAAAGAAAAAACTTAAATATCCAAATCTGTGGACTCTTTCTCTCTCGACTTTTTTTTTTAAAAAAAAATGTTCATTGTTTTTGTTTGGAAATTGCTTTCTTGATTGATTCCATTTTCTGGGACTTTTAAAAAAAGGATTCACGGTCAGCTTTATTCCTCAATAGGAGAACCGGTTACCTGAAAAAGATAGTGGTTCGCTACGGTAAAGAAGCCATATGACTGTCGTAAAGAAATCTAGCTTGGACATTGAGTTTAAAAAAATCTCAGCGGGTGTGAACAATAGAGTTTTCCTGCTTCAACGGATTGAAAATTACACAAGCTCATTTTGATACCCGATAGGAAAAAAGGCCGGTCAGCCCTATATTTTTAACATTAAAGAATACAAAAAAAAATATAACCTTATTTTGTGTTGATTTTTGTTAACGGCGAAGTCTATAAAATTGACGAGATTTCATATAATGCATTTGTTAGTTTTACTTCACTATTCTCAAAATATTTTCTTTGCATCATTTTTTTTATACTTTTCACACCACTTCTTAACCTCTTTCCTAATGTCTTTTGATTCACGCCTACTTTTCTGTCAGGGCGAAAGTGAGGACCAATTACCTGTATGTCACAAAGGCCAATTTATTGGATTATGATAGTAACGAATCAGTAGATGCTGTCCATATGGTTAATTACTAAAATCATTTTTAAACATTTAGGGTTTTCTTGTCCAAAACGAAGATACTGATACAGCAGGTGAGTTTTACTCTTCAAATGAATTATATAAGCCTTGGAGTAATGCTCACTCAAATACTTGTATAGAATATTCTGGGAGGATTAATACTGTCACTGAAGCCACCATTCTCTCTCAGGAGAATATTATACTCCAGCCAAATGATCCTTTACAAAATCAAGAGGATCTTACACAACAGAACCTTACTCATACCCTACCCAGTGGACAGTTGCAGAATAATCTATCAGAACTATTAGGTATTCAATTGATTCTAAACACACGTAGAAACATAAATCAAATAAAAAGTATATTTTGACTTTAAACTTTAGCATATATTCCTGCTGCTATCATTCTGCAAGGCCCTTTACAAACGTCTGTTTATGGCTCTCTATCCGTACAACCTCTAAACAATAGCTTCACAGCATCTCCTCAAGGCTACTCCGGAAATGGTACGCAGTCGTCTGTCAAAACATTGTTTTACGGCTAGCTATCTAATAATCGAGTTTATCAAGATTATCAGCCTAGGGCTTCTAAACAACAGCAAGAATACGACTTGTCTAAGAGTGTTTTTATACATTATAATCCTAATGGTCCATCATCTCGGGACACCAGATCTTTGGATCCATCGTCTGTAAAGTCATATTCATGTCTCGAATGTTCTTATAAAACAAATAAGATATTCAATCTCAAAAGACATTTGAATGTCCACTTGGGCAACAGGTATGGTTATGGCTGCTATTATAGCACAAATACATACCATACCATATCTAACACTTCAAGTAATATGAACCTCCACTTTCCCGCTAGAACTATGCATGGGTGCTGCTTTTGCACAAAATCATACACTACCAAATATAACCTTTCAAGACATATGTTTCGACACTATTTTCATTAGCTTATGATACCCTATTTTATTTTATTTTTACAATTTTGTTCATAATTATCCTTTCTTTTTTGCAATGACTTTATCTATCTTTTTGTCATGTTCTATACCCCCCTCCCCCTTTCCACATTCATTTCAATTATCGTTTCCATTTTATTATGTTATGTTTTATGCTCAATAAACAACCAGCAATTGAATTATACACTCTGAACATCACCATAATAGCTTGTGCATATAGAAGTTTATACCATTTCACTACCAGAGATTTTTGTTATCATTTTGGGTGAAAATTGGCACCTAAGCAATATGATTGGCTTAGAGGCCAAAATATTGTAATTTGTTTTCGTACTCAATTTTTTTCATCCGAATAAAGGATAAAATTAAGTTCAGTACTACTTGTGGGCTTTTAAAGTAAGAAAAAAAACTGCTAGGGAAGTCAGAAAGTGTTCGAGACAAAGGATTTATTAAGGAAAGTTGGGGGTTGGTTTGAGTAACCAAAAAATGACTTCACAGAAATTACGCAAAAAAATTGATGTTGAGAAGAAGAAAACAGAAGGTTCAAATAATAATTATAATAATAATAAAGAAGTAGCATCATTTTATTCATCAAAAAGAATATTATTGAAAATGAACCAGTAGGAACCGAACTTGCTCAAATTTACAATGTAAAATGGGTTGCGGAAAATGTGCAAATCTAACTTACAAACGAGATTCATGTTAGCAACATCAGAATGCTCACCTGTCATTACAGCCTTGGCATAGTTATTGTTTCTGTCATTATCCGTACGAGGAACAATGCTAAGAAACTTAACAACAGAGCCTGAGACAAGTCCTATACGAGGGCGAGAGATTGGATCATTTTTAAAAACAAACGCGCCAAAACTGTTGTTTTGGACGGCGTCATCTTCAATATCTCCAGTGTCGTTGTTGTCCTTTAGCTCTCTCGAGCCGCCAAAGAAGGTGTAATAGAACAAAGATTCATTGTTGTCCTTAATGAACCTCTCTATTCCAGTTCCAGACTTCTCTCGGTTGCCAGAGCTATTAATCCACGACCCGCCGTCAATTACATGTTGCAATGCTACCTGCTTTGCAAACTTTAGGCAAACATCCCTGGAAGTGTTTTGGCGATTCGTATGAAACAGATGTTCGCGAATGTGCTTATTGAACTGTTCGCCCTTTTCTGTTTCATAATTGAGGGCTGGGCCAAAACGAATTATATCTTCCTTGAGATGTGTCAAGTAATAAACTTTCGGCTTGGTGCAATATGCCTTGTGGAGCTCGTTCTTGGTTCCTTTATCGTAGTCAAATAATGCTCTGATCAAGCACTTCACTGCATTATCTACTCTGATAATATAGTTATCAAAGTCTGATGTCACCTGACGAACGAATACCAGAGAACACAATCGGCCAAGTTCAACAAAGCATGGTATTATAAGGTCTAGCTCATGATTTCCAGAGAATTCTGTAATCAGAATTACAGGAAGTATTTGAAGCAGAACCTTGAAATCTCTACCGAGGAATGAACCACTATGTCTCAAGTTTCGGGTGAACTTTCTTGATAGACCAGTTGATCGCGTGTAATCTGTCAAGAATTCTGAAAGTCTTGCTATTGTGGCTGTGTCATTCTTAAGCACGACCTTAACCAAGTCAATCACCATATACTTTGCAACACCAAGAAGTATCGTGTGGAGGATTTCCACTGGTGTATCCTTTTCTGGATCAAACGACTGCAATTCTAATAAGCGGCCAGTCGAACGATCTCTAAAGCTTATCTTGTTTGCAGGCGTGTTCATTCCAATTTTCGGAGCATTTGGGATCTCAGTGTCTCTGCCAGGTGACGAGTTTGCAAGAACATAGTGCTCTCGAGTTCGTCTCTCATGGCACTCACAGAAGTAGAACAAGTCCTTCACAAAGACTTTTGCACGTCTAAGTTCGATGTAGCATCTTCTGCAAGGAAATGTGGTGGCCGGCCCAAGCAATCCGCAAAGTTCCGAATGACATGGCGTGTCAGCCTCAATCCAAAGGATGGGAGCAACAACCAGAACATACTCATTGTCTTCAGCGGAGAACATTTTTACACCTTTCTCGAGTTTCTTAAAGTCATCAACGATTGCTGGCAGAAGAGACATACCATTTGCACCATCTTTCTTAGGGATTGTAGAAAGAAACTGGATGTTTGCTATCGAATTTCGATCCTTAAAAGGCAAGGCAGCGCATCTCATTAACCAGCTTTCAAACGGATTGTACTGCTTTGAACGATTGCCGGAAGTGTCGTTTGTAAAAAGGATGATTGAAACAATCCTAACTTTGTAAAACACTGCATCGCGATCTACATTACCGGGCAAAACAGAAAGAGGCATAGGCTTCTTCATTGGATGAACTCCAAAAAGAAGAAAGTCATGAGCAGGACTCAATCTGGTAAGGCTACTTGAGATACTGTAGTAGTGATCTCTTTCAACAGGAGTGGTGTCAACGTGAGAGATCTGCTCTACTCTAAAATCGGTAACAGCAACCTCAACGCCATAGCATACAATCGAAATTGCTCTGACCAGATACCCTCTCGCAAAAATGTTTTTATTTGCCGTGTGGAACGATTCAACCAAAAAGCGGATGCTGCAATCGTTTGTCTTCAAGTAAACGATGTTTCCAAACCAGACATCTATACCATTTACAGTGTGCATAGGCTGCTGAAAGAGATGGTGGGTTCTCCACTTTTCACCTTGTTCCAAACAGATCGATTGGTTTGGGGTACGATCGGGCATGGACGAGATCAACTTGGATTTCTTTGGGTTTGCCATAAGAAATCTCAAGTGGTCGGACGGAAGGTTAATGTGGGCGAATGCGTTCCCGTTTGATCCAGGTACTGATATTCTTTGTGAAGGAAAGACAGGCATCTTGGACTTCTTTCTTGCCTGATAATTTAAAAGAGCATCCAAACGAGGTAACTTAAATGTTCATCCTATGGGAGTTTCTTGCTGGATCTTAATGATCAAGTTTATCGCAAGCAGTATCTTCTTCAACATTCGCTGGGAGATCATGTCATTATCCCCATCGATAAAAGCGAAAAGGATCATGGTTTGAAGATCGCGAAAAGGATAACAGCTTGTAGGGTCATTTACAGCGCCAATTGTCTCAAAGACTTCTTCCGGGATCTCAGAGTCATCATCGGTCATTGATACCTCATCAGCAGCAGCAGCAGAAGAAAACATGTCAGAGAACGCGTTGAAAACTGGATTACTGTTCATTTCAATATCAAAGAAATTATCGACAATATCGTTTTCCTCGTCTACAATGTTGTCTTCTTCATCCCCGATACTGGAGGAGTCATCTTCGTCACTCGAGTAATCAAATGCATTAGCATCCGGAATAGTGTTCTCGACTATCAATTCGGCCTGCTCGGGTTCGTCGAGTACAGTATTGGTTGCCATTTGATTACTTATATGGTGAACCTTCGAATGCCTTTTCAGTAACCAAGGCTTTTCGAACTCTTTTTCGCATTCAGAGCAGGTAAAAACACCTGAATTGATGCTAAAGTTAAGTTCGCCTTGCCTTTTAGGGGGGCGAGTCTTAACGATTTTATATGTTTCTTGTCTTGTATTCTTTTGCATAATAGTAAATTGATTGTAAAAACAAAGGGGGGAAAATGACTTTGCGAAAATAATTGAATTTATAAAATGTGGAAAGATCGATATTTAATGTCAGCGGACCAATTAGACTTTTTTTTTACTTCTTTTCTTTTAAGAAAATATCACGTGTTTTTGTCTTTTTCATTTTACTTTTCCACAAAATATTTATTATTTGCATGAGCTTCCATTTGTAAGATATTCCAGTATGCTTATAGTATTTATAGAAGCAGAATTTTGCTTAAAGACCGTAAGCTCAAAGGTATTTATGCTATCAAAGTTTTTTATGTCATTGTGTTTATTAATCATACAATTCTAGTTTATAAATTAGTTTTTCATCATCTCGGTAAATCAATAAAGAGGTAATAACTACATGTTCCTCTTACAAAGCAACAGAAGACTAACTATTTACTCCTCACTTGCAGAGATTTGGCTGCCTTTTATTGCAAATGCCTTAATAGAGTCAAAGGTAAAATTCTGTTAAATATATATAACTAAGTTTAATTACTAATTATTAGTTCTTCTGCTTTAGCTTTTCTCGAAATTCAAATCTTTATGCTCTTTGGGTTTATTGGAATTTCTGGCACCGGGTCTCTTGGATTAGCTAGACATAGTAGTTTGCAGCAAACCGATCGCGTAATTTACAGGCATAAGTACAAACAGTTATACTACTAGTGTTTCTAGTGGTATGGATATACTGGTGTGCTACTGCCTGTGGATTTTATGGTCCAGTCTAGCTTTTTTTTAGCCTAATTTTTTTCGAAAATAAAAAATAAGTTTTTTACAACCCAAAATTATTTGAAACAAATTAAAAATTTGAACCATTTTTGAAATTGTGCAGTACATTTTTTAATCGAAATCTATTGGCCGAGAGTAGTCCCCCCATCCCCCCACTTTTCAGTCCCCCAAAAAAATGAATTTCCTGTTATGGGCAAAATTCGCCCCGTATACAAGAATCCTTTTAAGGAACAAGATTACACAAAAAAATCTGCTGTGGTGTTGTATGATATGGTTCAATCCTATCCTCATCTTATTCTTTTTCTTCTTTTCTTTTTTTGGCTGGTAAACGGCAAACTTTCAATACCAAATAAAAGTCTGTTACTGTTGTTTCTTTTTGGAGGTAAATATTAGAAAGGAAATTGTCGATACCATTAGTACTCCACTGAACAAATACCATATAATCCAGATTTATAACAATAATATATAAATTTAAAGCGATTAAAATTTATATTCGAATATATATATATATATTGCTGAAGCTTCTTGTATGTTTTCTTTTTTATACTGTTATTAATTCAAATGTTCACTTGAATCTTGTGCGCACTACTAGTGATGTTGACTTTTGTAAGCCTAGATGTTATGTTGTAACATTCAGTTCCTGATGTTCATCTTAATTGGGTACACGACTACTATAATGTACAAAATGCGTGAGATTCGATAATTTTTTTTTTAAAAAAAAAGAAAAGCATGGATAAAGAAAGTAAAGAAAAGTAAAGTCTGACGTTTTATCATGTGACGTCGTAATTCGCCTTACTTTTTTCTTTTTTTTTAAAAAAAAGAAAAAAGTAAGAAAAATAATGTACTTTGAATTAACTTTTCTTTTTGTTCTTTTTCTATTTATTTATTTATTTTTATCCCGCAAAATATCATATACAAATATATAGATATATATGAGCCAAAATCATGGAACTTAATCACTATAATACAAAGAAAAACACTTATCTCAGTCTCAAACGCACAACCAAGAAAAACTATTCATGTCAACTATGTGAAATTACAACAGTATATGCTTCATTAAATGGCTTTCAAAAGCATATCAGGAAGTTCCATCCCGATGAATGTCAAAAAGAATACAGCAAGTTCTTTAGAAAGAAAAGGTTTGGAATTCATTGTCAAAATATTTACCATTAAGGATACTGTTTGTTTGCTTGTTTGCTTTTTTTTTAAAAAAAAAAAAAAAAAAAAAAAAAACCATAGAAACTAATTGATTATCATAATATAGAAAACCTATTTTCTCTGATTCGCGCTCTATATTCTCAACCGTCAACTTGAATAATAACACTAGTAGCAGTAGTAATGATAGCACCAACAGCAATAGATCTACCGAGATAAACTTTATCTTTGAAAGACCCGAAGATAATTACAGTAACAATAAATCCTCTGATAATGAATTTGAATCCGAGTACGACAATAATGAGCATGGTCTGACGTAAGTAATAAAGCCTAAATTTTTGAATTATATAATGAAGCCTTTTTTTTTTATTATTTTAATTATTATTTTATTTAAAAAGAAGAAAGAGAGAGAGAGAATAGGTACTGACCAGAACTAAACTTACATATACATATATAAACAATTTTAAATTTTATAATTATAGTCTAGAAGATGCCATTATAGTTGAAGACAGTACAAATGAAAGAAATGATACCAACCCCTTGACGAATGTGGAAAGGTACAGCGTAGAAGAATATGCTGCTGCAATTGAGACACACATGAGAGTCGCAGAGTCTCATGATTCTGTCAACCAATACCCACACCCAAACTCGGTCGAATATACACGCAAACAAGCTATTCTGCAGAGTGTGGAGCAAATCTTGAAAGCGTCTGATGATTCGGATCTGTTCAAGTCCAAGGTGGAACTCATACTACTTACCCTGTTTCGGGACATCGAAGGCCTGAGCGCAGAAATACAAATGAACAGGATCATGTTTGCCATGGAGCTGCTCCTGGAGGTCCGTGAAGCAGTCGGAGAAAAGCTAGATTTCCCCAGACCAGAGGCAGTGATCAGCCATCACTTGCAATTAAAAAATAATATATTTATATAAAAAAATTAAAATAAGATTAAAATAAAAAAAAAATTTAAAAAAAAAAGAAAGTTAAAATTTAAACTTATCCGTGCTTTCCGGTCTTTAAGATCTTTCCGGTCCAATAAAAAAAAAATAAGGCACATTGAATTTCATGACTTTTTTTTTTTTTTTTCAAACAACCAAAGTCCACCTGAATATCCTAACCCTTATATGTATATATATATATATATATATATCTTTGTATGCATGCACCTATTTCCCCTTCTTCCCCTCTCTCCTGTCCCTTTTAAATTTTCTCTTTCTCTCTCTAACCAAAAGCGACAAGTGGAAAGAATGATCCATTATTGTTCTAGCTTTGTTATATGCTTATTTTAGAAGAATAAAGACTATATTGAGTAAACCATGTCATAGCCAAAAAAATAATAATCTATGGGTTACTTGCTTATTTACTTTATTAGATCTCAGTTAAAGAGACTGGAAAAACTTTTACATTATAAGCAAAAATAGAAAATATCAAATGATACCTATAGGATCATTATCAACTACATATTCCAATGCCAATGACAATGTTAATGTTAATGTTAACAACGCGTCTGATATCTGATTAGATCAAGGTATTAGCTGCTAATACTCTTATGGACAACCTCAAAGTTTATGCATTACAGAACTTGTTGCTATGAATTCGACAAGAACAAAGAGAAAAAGTCATGGTGATCCAGGTCATTGACAGGATTATACTTGTTTATTATCTGTAAGATTCTTATACTATTTTACATAGAGAACTTTGGTCAATGATATTAAATAATTCATTCATTTATTCGTTAATTAATTAATTAATTGATTGATTGATTAATTAATATATATATTTATATGTTCAACTCTTCTTCTTTCCAACGTATATATATGTTTCAATATCATGTACACCCAAAAATGTCAAAGCTTTTTATAAATATATTTAAACTCAATTACTTATTTTATAAGCCAATAGGATCAAAAGGTATTTTTTTAGATACTATAAATAGGTTGAATGTGAGGGTGTGTGACACAATTTGTCTCATCTGTATTATAAGCATACACATATGTGTATATTTATATATCGGTCGGCTGTCGGCTATAAACGGACTAGTTTTTCCGTATTGCTATAGTCATCATCTATTTTAGGTATGTATATATTATAATATCACAATTTATAATTCCCTTAAATAAATCTTAACCCCAGAATCCGGTTACAGTTTCTTTTTTTTTCTTTAATCCCTATTTCGTCTCATATCTCTTTCAAATGACAAGAGTAATTAACACTTTTCCCCCGTCTTCTTCTTCCCCTTTATACGTCTATATAAATATACTTCTTTAAACATATTATCTTAATTTTTAAAAGAAGTCTTTAATACTATAATAATAATAATAATAATAATAATAATAATAATATTAATAATAATATTAATAAAGCTCACATTTGCAATACCAGGTAATATATACAAAAGCCTCCTCTGTGTACAAAATAAATAAATAAATACATCTAAATGTAAAATACCAAGGGCCTGTGCTCATGAATATTAAAATACTTTTTGTTCTCTTGATGGTTTTATACAAAAGAAAAAAAATATCTTTACCTGTCGCCAAAGCACTTGGTACAATACAATAAATAAGAGCTTTTATACCATCCTCCACTGATTTAAAAGTTTGGCTGTTTATCAGCCAAGAAATGGCGACTGAACTAATAATGGGTTTACACACACATATATATATAGATGTGTGTGTGTATTATAATTCTTAGTTATTGGCTATACCTTTCAAAAAAAAAATAGCTTTGATTGGGATATCATTTTGATGAAACACGAATGTCAATGTGGCTTTCTCTCTCCTCTTATTTATTTTATTTTAGTAGTGCATTTATATATAAATATAAATATAAATATATATGCATACACAAATGCGTGTGTATAAAGTGTGTGTGTATATTTTACTGTGTACAACAAAAGTTCTAGAGTTCTTGATCACCGATCTATATAATTAAATAGATCCTTTTTCTTTAAAGAAAAAAAGATATATAGGATTTGACAACACTATCAAATGTATATGTTATTTGTTAGACAATGAACAAAGATAATAGTAGTAGTAGCAGCAGTGGTAGTGTATATTAAAATCTAACTATTCAAATTAAAATGTATATATGATATCTAATAAGAAAAAATCATGCTAATGAAAGCAAGTACTATTATATATAAAAATATATATATATATATGTATGCTTTGATGGCTGTTGATTGATTGGCCAGATTAGATTGAATTGGTAGGCGGAGATGTAATTCATTATCGGACATGCCAGGACTCTCTTTTCTTGTGTCTGTGTCTTGTGTGTGACTTTGAAATTTACACAAAAATGTTCAGATTGGAAAGTGGAATGATTATTGTACGATATTTGAATTAAGAAAAAAAAAAGCAAGTCTCCCATAGACCCTAGATTTCTTTTTTTTTTTTTTTTTTAATATTTATTTAGAAAATGACAATAGATGATAGATATATGCGTCATATCTCAATTATCTTTATGTATATTCTTACACATAAGGCTTATATATATAGAGAGAGTAAACTAAGACGATACAGAAATAACTTGAGAATACCAATAAAAAAGAATATTGATAAAAATATAACTATCTATATTTATTTATATCTGAAATACATGTGTGTGTGTATTCCTTAAGCCTTGGTGATATAGAAGGAATGGGGGAGGGGAGGAAGAAATAGCCACAGGAATGGTGGGGTAGGGGAAGTGTATATTACATATGTCTTGGCTTATTCTTATTATTGTTACTTTTTTAATGAGTTAAAATAAATATAGAAATTCTAAGCCAGACCTGGGAATCCTTATTCTTATTTTTATTTTTATCCTTATCCTTATCACTTATCCTTATTTTTAATTCTTATTCATATTATGATTTTGCTAGGATTTTTGATAGACATCTTTTGTCCATAAGAAACCCAATATTTTCTTTTATATATATAGAAAGGAGGAGGGGAAGGAGATAATTGAAATAAAGAATATATATATATATTATGTATAGAAAACTTGATTGTTTTACACATCCTTCTTGTAGAGATCACTATGGAGATTGATTCTAATGACAAGCTAAGCAGAAAATAGTATATACGGAATAAAAATAATAGTAGCATGATATACCAAGCTTTTATTTTTTTTTGTCTTCCTTTGCTTCCTTCCTTCCATTATATTATATTATATTATATATAATATATAAATAAAAAAAAAATCAAATTTCTATCCCAGGGCCACTACGTTTAACCGGAGTGTATTAAATATTAGTGTGAATGAATGAATGAATGAAAATGAATAAATGAATGCGATAATACACACACACACACACTATACACAAACCATACAAAACAGAAAGATAGACCGACCAACCAGTCAACCAGTCAAAGATATAAAACAGATACACACACAGACATATATATATATATATAGAACAGACACAGACAGATTTTTTTTTTTACTATATATATAAATTATTATTATTTTTATTATTATTAATATTATATAGCTAATTATTAAAACAAATTTCTATTTCTTCTTCCTCTTCCTCTTTGTCTTCTTCCTCTTCCTCTTTGTCTTCTTTCTCTTTAATTTTTATTATATTATTTTTTTTTAGATAGGTATAATATATATATATATAATATATTTATTTATTTAATTATATAAATAAATATATAAAATATATATTATATATCTAATAAATACCTTGTATCTATATAGAGATATATCTCTTGATATTTTACATTAAAAAAAAAATACATACATACACTTTAATTCTATATTATATACACTTTAATTCTATATTATATAAATATATATATTATATATATATTTTACAAATATTATACACAAAACCAGACCTAGAAAACAACAAACGCAGTCAAAATGGGAAAAGGAAAAAGAGCCCACACGATCAGTATCCCAAGTATCAACTTGAGAACTCCCCTGTCCTCATCTGATCATTCCTTCAGTGTCTTGCCTCCTGCATTCCTCCAGAGCAGTCCTCCCGTCCAAAAGACAAACCAATCACCTGCCTTGACACGCTGGACTCCTCCGAGAAAACCTCAGCGCAAGTACGATGACCTTGAACACAAGATGGAAGCCGCCCCACTCTATGTACTCGTCTGCACCTACCTCAACTACTTTGTCCTCATCCTCTTTGGTCATCTCCGTGACATTCTCGGCAAAACATTTCATCCTCAAGCCTACAGTCATCTCAAGATGAACCAGGTAAAATAAATATTTTTACATATCATGAACTCTTTTTTTTTTACTTACTTAATCGTTTATATAACCTAATCTCAATAAATAGGGTTATGCTCCATTGGTATCTGATTTTGACTCTTTCTACACCCGTAGATTGTATGTCCGTATTCGGTGAGTTTATATATCTGTATTTGTGTGTCTAGTTAAAAAATAAAAAATAAAATAGAATTAGTAGATACATACATGGATACATAGATAGTTAGATAGTTAGAATTATGCTAAGCAACAACAACAACAAAAGTATTCAATAGCTAAAGAAACTAAACATACATCTATTTAGTGATTGCTGGAACCGACCGATCACTGGTGTTGCTTCCCGGACTGTCAAATTATTGGATCGTGAAAGTCGTGACTTTAACAAGACCTTCAAGTAATGACAAAAAAAAATTATCCTTCTTTTTTTTTTTATGTTACATATATGCATACATATACTTGTTTACTCAAAAACTCACTATAATAATATTAACTGTTAGGTTGACTGGTACAATCACTGAGACTCTGAACTTTGCTTCATACAATTACCTTGGATTCGCTCAGGCAACCGGTCCTTGTGCCACAGAAGTGGAGCAGTCCATGCTGACCAACGCGATCGCCTCCCCTTCACCTCGCGCAGAAGCCGGTACCACCACAATCCACAACGAACTCGAACAACTGGTGGCCCGCTTCACCGGAAAGGAGGCCTCGATGGTCGTCAGCATGGGTTTCGCAACAAACTCGACCACAATCCCTGCCCTGGTCAACAAGGGTTGTCTGATCATCTCAGACGAACTCAACCACTCGTCAATTGTCTTTGGTGCCCGTATCTCGGGTGCCTCGGTACGCTGCTTCAAACACAACAACATGCAAGACTTGCGCGAACTGCTCCGTGAGGTCATTTCTCAGGGACAGCCCCGCACCCACCGTCCATGGAAAAAGATCTTGGTTATTGTCGAAGGATTGTATTCAATGGAAGGAACTGTTGTCAATCTCCCAGAAATTGTTGAAATGAAGAAAGAATTCAAGGCAAATAATGCTTATATATATATCTCTATAATTTATATACTTACCCTTTTTTTTTATTTGTTCTGTTTTCTGTAATAGTTTTATCTTTATGTTGATGAAGCCCACTCTATTGGTGCCCTTGGTGAAAACGGTGGTGGTGTCTGTGATTTCTATGGTGTCGATCCTGCAAACGTTGATATTCTGATGGGAACCTTTACCAAATCATTTGGTGCTGCTGGTGGTTACATTTCTGGTGACAAGGTAACAATAACAATGTATCAAATATAATGTACCTTTGTTTTTTTTTTTACTAATATTTGCTGTATTTATCTAGAGTGTCATTGATCATTTGAGAACCACCAACCATGCCTACATCTACGCTGAATCAATCTCGATCCCTGTTGCCCAACAAGTCATTTCCAGCATGAAGATTATCTGGTAAGGAAAGGAGGTCTATTACTCTTTATCTTGAACATTATTTCCTCAATATTGCTTTTCTTTTTGTTTATTAGTGGTGAAGATGGTTCTGATGAAGGTCGCAAGAAAATCAAATGCTTGGCTGAGAACTCTCTCTATTTTGCCGCACGCTTGCGCCAGATGGGTTTCATTGTCTATGGCGACCACGGTAGTCCTGTCATTCCCTTGTTGCTCTTCAACCCCGCCAAGATTTCGTAATTTATCCATCCAATTAATTTAAATTCAATAGATAGATAGACAAAAACATAAATGAGAATGGCTTCTTGGTCTAGAACAACAAAGACTAATTGATATCTTGTTATATATAGTGCATTTTCTAGAGAACTTTTGAAAAGAGGTGTTGCTGTTTGTGTGGTCGGTTATCCTGCTACTCCAATCATCTCATCCCGTGCAAGATTCTGCTTGTCTGCCTCTCACACAAGAGAAGATATTGGTAAATATTATTATTATTTGTTTTCTTTGTGTGTGTTTTTTTTTAATATATTACATTTATTAATTTTATTATTTTATATAATTTGATATATATTTTGTGCAACAGAAACTGCCTTGAATATCATTAGTGAAGTTGGTGATCTTCTTCTTCTCAAAGTTAGTCAAGAACCCAGAGAATAAGAAAGAATCAAAGAAAGAAAAGAAATAAACAAACAAAAAATAAACCTCAACACCGAAAGAGCGAAAGAAAGAAGACCAAGATCATAATGATAATACTGAAGAAAATCATCAACAACAAGAAGAAGAAGAAGACAAAATAATAATAATAATATATATTATCATTGTTGTTACTATTACTACTATTACTATTACTATTATTACTATTATTACTATATAATTTTTTTTGAAACCCCCCTTTTAAACATTAACATTAACACTTAAAACCCTTACCTCTTTACCTCTACATCTAACCTTTACATCTATCTTTACCAATTATATTTTATCTCTCCTATTTCTTATTTATTTCATTTTTTTCTATTATCAATATTATTAAGATTATTGTTATTATTCCTCTAATAGTAAACTTGTGCATGTAATATAATATTATATAAAATACAAAAAAAAACAACTTTTATAGAACAAATTGGATATATTCTTCCTATTACTGAATATCTTCTGTTACTGAATATTAAGAATATTGAAGCCACAATTCTGTACTGTACTGTACTGTACTGTACTGTACTGTACTGCAATGCACTCTAATGTACTGTAACGTATCGTACATATTCATTCACTCTCCCTCAATCACATGAAAATTATACGTTTATTTGGATTAATCTAATTTTAATCCATTCTTTAAAAAAAATTAAAAAAAAATATGGTTACTGCACACATAATCTTTGAATAGCTCATCTATATATAAACTTGTGTATGTCAAAAAACATCAAATTGTTTTGAATGTGTCTTGTAGTACATGATGAATCTGTATAATTCATATGCAATGTATGTAATGTATGTAATGTATGTAATGTATGTACGTAAGTATGTATGTATGTACATATCAAAGTATGTATATAGAGTAATCCAACAAAATTCTATTGTTCAGTTTCTTTCTTTTTTCACATGTATCTCTTTCTCTTTCTCTCTTTCTCGCCAGCCTTTGGTTTGGTTTTAAACGATTAGCCTTTGAGACATTGTTGACGAGTTCAATGAAACTTGGAATTTTATTTCAATTGAATCTACCCTGTACAATTACTTGCCTTTTTATTCTTCTTTTGGTACCTGTCGATCGTTATTTCCCACAATTGAAATAATGGGAATTGTAATTGTAATTAGAATAAAGATAAAGATAAAGATTAAGACACACATATTATATATTTTTTAAGATAAAAATAAATAAAATAAAGAAGGGTGAGAGACAGTAGTAGTGATCACTAGTAAAAAAGAAAAAAAGCCAAAATCTTCTTGTCAATATAATGTTTCAAAAAATAAATAAATAGAATATGTTTTAAAGTTATTTAGTGCCAAATATCCAAGTATAATATGTCCTTTTGGAAAGTTAAAATCTTGTCTTTCTAGTAACCTACAGCTGCAACAGCAAATAGCCAATACATATAATGATCAATTATCATTGTTATATATTTTAATTGGCAAATATAATATTCTCTTGGGTTTCACTTTGTCTTGGATTTGATGTTGGTGTGGCCTTGTCAGTGGTATCTAAATTGTAGTTAAGCTACATGATATTAAGAGCAATTGAATTCTTGCTGTCCTACTACACTATAGTCTAATTGCTTTATACTCCAAATAAAACGCCTTGTTATGTAATTCATACAATCAAAAAGAAAAAAAAAACAAGAACAAAACTATAGTATATAGTATCCCTACGCAACAACAACAACAGCAACAATGAAAAAGAATACCAGGTTAATGGCCCTAGTGATTCAATCTCAGATAAACCTTTGAAAATGCCACAAATAAAACAAAAAAAAACAACAACAACAATTAACCTATCAATACCACACACCCCCCTACTCTTACAAAGCTTATTAAAGTAATGGCACAAGAAACCCCAGAAAAATGTCCAGTGGACCACACCAAACAAGTCCCCAAAGTTGACATTGCAGACAAATGTCCTGTAGATCATCAAAAGTTACCTACCCAGACCACACAGACTGCAGAGACCTGTCCTGTTGACCACCACAACCCACACCAAACCTCACCAGGACATCCATCACTTGCCACAGATAGTTCTCAAGAGTGCCCTGTAGACCCTTCGGCCTACAAACATTTTCTTCCTCCAAAGGAAGGCTGTGATTCAGATGCAATCGACAGCAGCAACTACATGCCAGCCATTTCTCAGCAACCCCAAAAGGACCAATCGATGGCTCTTGGAAAGGACCGCGAAATCTCTACTATTCCTCGTGCAGAATCGTCTGAGAAACTGTGGGTCTACCCCTCTGAACAAATGTTCTTCAACGCAATGAGACGCAAGAACTGGAATCCCGAAGAAAAAGACATGGGAGTTGTGGTACCGATGCACAATGCAGTCAATGAACAAGCATGGTCCAAGATTCTGGAGTGGGAGAATATGCACAAAACGCAAGTTGATTTATTTCTTTCTTATTTTATTTTATATAGATACAATTATATACACGACAGGGATTATTAACAATGGTTAATAATTTATTGTGTAGCGAGTGCAATCAACCAAAACTACTTAAATTTCAGGGACGTCCCAAGGATATTACTCCCAAGGCACGTATCAGATCATGGTTTGGGTTAGTATCTATCTTATTATTATTCTCCTATCTATATGTGTGTGTGTATATATAGATGAAAAAAGTTATTATCTTAATTAATACCATTTGTATGCATACATTTGCAAACATATCTAAGAAAATCTTAATCAACTCTTTTATATTTCAGTTACACTCTTCCCTTTGATCGTCATGACTGGACTGTAGACAGATGCGGAACAAAGGTCACTTATGTAATTGACTTCTACACCGGCAAGAGAGACCCTCGACGACCAGAGGCAGTTAGCTTTTACTTGGATGTCAGACCTGCCGTCAGTCCTTCAGGTGTCTGGGACCGCTTGAAATGGGCATGGCAAAAAGGATCATTTGTGTAACATATTTCCATGTATGAACACCCTCTCAGTGGCTTAATCTTTTAGTGACTGCTAAACCTTTCCACACCAAAAAAAGAAAGAAAAAAAAAGATAAAATGAGAGTAACAAAAAAGAGAGACATAAATCAAATCTAATAGAAAGATACAAGTCAATATTTCATCTTATTATTGTGAGTAAGAAAATATATTAAAGAAATAAATACTATATACATATGTAAAAAAAAAAAAAAACCAAAAGCAAAAAATAAATAAATAAAAATAAAAAATTAATAGTAAAAAGTAATAATTAGAGAAAGACTTTAAAAAATTATAAATCCAAAATTTAATTTTTTATTGTAAAATAAAATAAAATAAAATATATTTATTTTTTACTTATATAATATATATATATATATTCCTTTTACTTCTTTTACCTCTTCTATTGTTATTATTTTTATATAATTAGATATACAATATACACAGACGCACATACACACAGACGTACATACACATAGACGTTTTCAACCTATAGAGAAAAAGAATCAGCCAAACAATGTCTACAGCTGAAGAATCTAAACCCGGTCAATTCGACGGTCTCGAAAGCGAATACAAATATACTCGAGGAAAACCAATTCAATTCAAAGTAAATAATTGTTTTTTATTTTTGTTTTTCAAAAATAACATTACTACTCGAAATTACAACACATTACACTACATTACACAAGAAATCAAAATCAGAAAACACATAGATCCAATATTGTTTTTTTTTTTTTTTTTTTTTTTTTTACAGTGATTGTAATTTTAATGGTCGATTTCAATCATAATCCCAAAAATTCAATTCATTTATTAAGTCGATTTAAAAATAATAACATGTATTTAACTGCTTGTTTTTTTTTCTCTCTTTTTTTTTTTTACTTTTATAGAAATTGACAGACAAAAAGTTAAAAACCAAGTTCAAAAAACAAGAAGCTCAAATCAAGGAAGCAGCCCAAGCAGCAGCAAGAAATGAACTCTTGTTGGGTGAAGATGCAGGTTTCCTGGAATCCGAAGGTGTCGAAAAGACTTTCAACTACAGACAGGAACAGCTTGCCAAAGAAACCGATATCAATACCAGCAAAAAGGTAAATAAATAAATAAATAGAAACATATACATATACACATATATGAGTTTGTGTGGGTTTGGGTTTGGGTGTATGTGTGTATGTATGTTTGGTCATTAAAAACAAAACAAAACAAAACAAAAATTGTACATTTCTAGATCTTCTCATTAGATCTTCCTGAATTTGGTCCTTATGCTATTGACTATACTCGTAACGGTAGACATTTGTTGCTCGGTGGAAAGAAAGGTCACCTTGCCGCTTTTGATTGGCAAACCGGAAGACTTCATTTCGAGACTCATGTCAAGGAAATTGTCCGTGATGTAACGTAAGGATCTATTCAATTTTTTTTTAAAAAAAGAAACTAGACTAGAATAGACTAGAAAAAGAGACAAAGAAGGATATGGAGAGAAAGAGACATAAAGACATAAAGACAGATATGGAAGACTTATACAGAGATGGGAGACTTATACAGAGACATAAAATCCTTAATTCCTGTTCTTCTTTTTGACTTTTTAAAGATGGCTTCACAACGAAACAATGCTCGCAGCAGCACAAAAGAAATACGTATACATTTATGATCAAACAGGTCTCGAAATTCATCGCATGAAGAACCATATTGAAGTCAACAAATTAGAGTTCCTTCCTTACCACTTTTTGCTCGCTACTGTTGTAAGTATTATATATATATATATCCAACACAAATTAGCGGCAGTGGTAATTGTAGCTGTAGTGGTGAATGGATTGAACGGGAAAAAGACAGAAAAAGGAAATTGTGTGGTGTTTTTTGTTCTTCTTCTTTTCTCTATATCAAGCAAGCTTCTAAAGTATACAAAAATTCACACACACACATATATATTCATGTTATCTTTATTTTCTTTTAGGGAAATGGTGGATACCTTAAATACCAGGATACTTCTACTGGTCAACTCGTTGCTGAACACCGCACTCGCCTTGGTCCCTGCAAAACCATGACCCAGAACCCATGGAATGCAGTTATCCACCTTGGACACGCTAACGGCACAGTTACACTCTGGGCACCAACCATGTCAGCACCTCTGGTTAAGATGCAATGTCACAAAGGTCCTGTTCAGGCTATTGCCATAGATAATTCAGGAAACTACATGGCAACATCGGGACTTGACGGCCAAATGAAGATCTGGGATATCAGAAAGTTCGATGTCGTCCACGAGTACTTTACACCACGACCGGCCACTTCTCTTTCAATCTCTCAGCGTGGTCTTTTGGGTGTAGGATGGGGATCCCATGTGACGGTAAGAAAATCGCCATTTGTGTATATATAAAAAAAATCAGAATTAGTATTAGCTTTTTAATTGGATTTGCAATGAGAAAAAAGGAGAAAAAGAAATAAGAATTAGGCTTACAATTCTTATTATGGGCAATGGGTTATTATTTGTATCTTCATAAAAACACGCATATTTATATATACATAAAATAATAGGTCTGGAAGGATGCTTTGCGCACAAAGCAGCAATCACCTTATATGCAACATTTGCAGCCTGGATCGTCTATTGCAGACATTCACTTCTGTCCTTATGAGGATGTGCTCGGTGTTGGACACGACAAGGGAATGAGCAGTATTGTTATACCAGGTATATAAACAAACACCATAGAAACAAGAAGAAGAAAACATATACATATGTATATTGTTACTTTTATTTTTTTCTCTATTTGGATATTAATCTTTCTTTTTTTTTAAAAAAAAAAAAACGCCCTCAAATAGGCTCTGGTGAACCCAACTTTGATTCTCTTGCTGCTAACCCTTACCAGACCAAGAAGCAAAGACAGGAAGCCGAAGTGCACAGTTTGTTGGACAAGCTTCAGCCTGCTATGATTACCCTCAACCCATCTCATATCGGTAAGGTCACTAAACTGACCAAGGAAGATATTATAAAACAACGCCAAGAAGCTGCGGAGGCAAAGGCTGCTGCCGAAGAACCCGAGAAGGAAAGAAAGAGAATGCGTGGTAGAAACTCGGCAATGAAGCGTCACTTGCGCAAGAAGAGAAACGTTATTGATGATAACAAGGTAAAAAAAAATAAGAATAATAATAATATCAATAGCAGTATTCATAATATTATATATATATATTAACATCCTTTTTTGTCGTTTTTGTAAAGATGGCCTTGATCGAGAAGATCCAGGCAAACAAGGACGCCAGAGAAAAACAAAAACAGGGCGAGAAACCATTCACAGCACTCGACATCTTTACCTAATATTTTTTTTTATGTATATAAAAAAGAAAGGACAGCAGCAGAAGCAACAGCTACAGCACCACCACCACCACTATCATCACCAGAAATCACATCACTACCACTACCAATACTAGTACTTGTACCATCACAACCATAGTCGCAACCACAACTACAAATAACACCATCACCATCACCATCACTACTACTATTACTATTACTACTGCTACTAACAGTAACAGTAACAGCAACAAACAAACAAAAAAAGCATATTCTTTTGATCCTTCCATTCTTCAACGCCCCTTTCGTATCCAATACAGTAATAAATTGCATTTCAAATTTTCGTAGGGCTTTGATAATTTATAAACCATGCAACGTTGATCTTTATATAGTTAACCTGGTTACAAAGTATTTTTTATGTCCCCTCTTTTTGCCTTTATTCACCCTCCCTTGATTTTAATCCCTTGGAATTGATTTTTAAGAACCCCAAAAACAAGAATAAACAAATAAATAAATAAATAAATAGAAAATCAATTGAATGCATCTCTGTATAATCTGTACTACTACTACTACTACTACTAAATATTCCAATGACAAATAATATATCGATGTTCATGTCACACACACACATGTATATACATAAATGAATATGCGGTCTGGGATAACAGTTAAGATTATATGTTATACACATTTGTTTCCATTTACAGGTTTATTGAGAGTTTTCAGAAAGATATGTACATAGAGAGAGAGAGAGAGAGAAAGGGATAGTGTGTAAGAGTATGAGTATGAGTATGAGTATGAGTAAGAGTATGAGTATGAGTATGTGTGAGTGTGAGTGGGAGTGTGAGTGGGTGTAGATGTTTGGGTACCAAAAATTATCTTCTTGTGTGGTATTGTTTTTTTTTTGACAAATATACATGATACTGGTTTTCATGTATGTGGGGCTAGACCTCCAATTGCCCTTTATTGTGGCTATGTCATGTTGGAACTGAATAACTGGTTAGAAAATAAAGGGATATGGTGGGGAGCATTGTTTTCTGGTACATCATTATTTTCGGAATTTCGCTCAGGGCTCCGGTTCACCGGGTTATAGTAGGTATAGCGGTCCATAGGCGGCTGGTCTGGTGAGTTACTTACTTCTTCTTGTTTAAGAAATTCTGGGGACGACATGTCAGGTTGTGAGGTCAACATGTCAAGTTGGAGGGTTGGGATGTAAAGAAGTTGTGAGGACAACATGTCAAGAAGTTGTATGATCGACTTGCCAAGAAGTTGTGAGGTCAACACGTCAAGAAGTTGTAGGATCGATATGTCAAAAAGTTGTCGGATCGACATGTCAAGAAATCGTAGGGTCACCATGTCAAGAGGTTGCAGGGTTGACATGTCAAGAAGTTGTGGGATCGACATGTCAAGAAGTTGTGGGATCGACATGTCAAGAAGTTGTGGGATCGATATGCCAAGAAGTTGTAGGGTCGACATGTCAAGAAGTTGTCGGATCGACATGTCAAGAAATCGTAGGGTCACAATGTCAAGAGGTTGCAGGGTCGAGATGCCTTGACAATATTGATGTTGGTGTGGTAGTAGTAGTAGTGGTGGTGGAGGTTGCGGAGGTTGTGGTGGTTGAGCAAACGTGTGTACCGGATAAAAATTTGACGGCGCTATAGGTGGTATAATGGCAGGTTGTGGGATTTCTTGACATTGTAGGTCATGCTCTACCGCACAGATGTTCCCATTTCTTTCTGAATCATATTCTGGTAGAGGAAAACTATCCGTGGGCATTGTTGCTGGTGTTTCCACAGAGCTTACTCCATCATCGACTGCACGCGATGATTGTTGGTCATTTGGTTTCTTGAGTTTTTTCTTTCGTTGCTTATCTTGTGTGTTGTTCCGTTTACTTTGTTTTTTTCGGCTGTCTTTGTCACATTTTGCGTCAAAGACACTGAGATTAGTTATTGATGTAGAGTTTTTGTGCTTATTTCCCGCTTTTTCGGGTAAATTCTCGTCCTGGTGGCTGTCATTGGGTTTGCGACAAGATGATCGAGAGATATTCTTGGTCTGCTTACATATTCTTGGATTGCTTCCGCAAGCCATTGCACTGTATTTGGCTGCAAAAACAAAACAAAACAAAAAACAGATAAATAAATACATAAATATGTACATGCATGCATACGCGTATAATTAAATTTACTTTAATTGGTTGTATAATAGTTTTAATAAAGTACAAAGTTTTGCTTATATATATATATGTGTGTGTGTATGTATTTAATTAATAACGTGTATATCGCATACCATAAATATCTTCCAATTTTGTCTGCAATCTTTTGCTAGAAGTAGTAAGTGGAAGGTTTGTTGCAAAGTTGAGACCATTGTCAAAAACACTGTGGGTCGACTGTGGTTTATCGTGATCTTTGTCTATGCCAAATTGAGCAAGCAGCTGGAGAGAACTGAAAAGAGCAAACATGACGATTGGCGACCTGGAAATCGAACTAAAGCTATCTTGACCCATCCAGATTGCAACCTTTATGATCATTGCCGATGCCGCTTTACAGCCTCGCTTGGAGACTTTGGAAATGTCTTCCCCGATTCCATACTGTGAGACTGTATACGGTTGATGTAGAACTAGAAAGCCAACTAAGAAATATATCAGGTTGAGCCCGTCGTTTTCAGTGAGACCCTCGAGGGATGTAGATGTTTGACTGGTAGAATCTGTGCTGGAAAGTTTGGCGGTTGTGGCCTTGTCCTTAAAAATACATTTGAGATGAGGAGGATTGTATTTTAAAGACAAATATTCTGTCAGGATCCAATTGTCGAGTGTGTATATGTATGGATTATAGTTCTAGGTAAACGTTTTAATTTAAAGATGTAATATATGTATATATGCATGCACAAATGTCTTGTTAGTTTAACTTTATTCAAACATGGCATGGCATATTGTACTTACGCTTGTTACTTCCTTTTTGATGATCCAAGTTCGATAGAAGTTGACGCCGCGCCCAAGAGCCTTGGTCATTATGATAATAAACCTGAACCCTTCTAGCCACTGGTCCATGATATTGGTATGATCGACATCATTATCATCATCATAATAATTGTCAATCTCAATATCCTTCTCAGGTAAATCAACAGGTCTAGATTTATAGCACACAAGATTTTTATATTTATATATAAATATATAAATATATACATAAATAAATAGATAAATAAAGATTAGACCTATAATTTGAGTTTGACTATATAATCTGTATAAATTGTGTTTGTACTCACACTTTACACTCTTCTAAAGAAAAACTCTCTTCTTGTTCGATATGCAATACACGATCCATAATAAAAACCCACCAAATGGAGCGCTTGTACTGTTCGTAATAAGAGGGAGGAAAGGTGCCATTTTGCTCATAATAATGTTCAATCAACAGCTTAGTGTGCTCGACAGCCTCCTTTGAAAGTGTTTTCACCAAAGCAAAGTCATTGTCGAGTTGTCTATGCGATTTGTGATTAGCAAGGATTACAAGCGCCAACATGTTACTTGGATCAATTGTGGTGATGTACAGGCTTTTTAGATAGATTGCATAATCTAGGAGTTGTTCTTCGAGAGCTTGGAGCCTTTGAGTGCAGAAAATAGAGGCCCGTGAGAACAACGCGTAAAAGAAGAAAAGGGATAGAAAGGATCTTTCATTATTCTCGCACTTTTTGAGTTGATCTTCAAGATAGTTTAAGCTGAACATGGGGTAAAATGGATCTCGCCTATTGAAATAGACTTTCAAGAGATGGCGTTTGTCATTGGCCGATATATTTGGTTTTTGTGGAGCGACACCATGTGTGGTATGGACGAGGTTTTGTTTGATAGCTGTGGACAATCGAAGAGGAGAGCTAAATACAATCTGGGGACTTTTGTCTGGAGTTGGAGAACGTGGGTCTCCATCTACAGGTAGATTCATGTCGTTACTGCTGGTAATAAACGACAAGGGGTTGTTTGTACTACCAGGAGGTACTAGAGAGGAGACCGAAATGGATCTTGACGTTAATTCGGTAATATTGAGGGTGGTGTGTGTGGGGCTCTGGCTAGACTGGTCTGTGTACTAATCTATGGGTAGGGGTTGTCCATGTTTACCATTTATCTCACAGGTTAATTTTTTATTTTTGCACCGTGTACATGGTTTGATGTCTTCGCATTTTATCTTTTGTTTATGACAGCCTTCACAGGCATTTTTAACTCGAGAGTGCTTAGTAATAGCTGCCGTATTTTCGGGGTATTCTTCCCAACTTTTGCAAATCCACATAAGCATTTTAGAACTGGTATTAATGGTATGAACTACGTGATTAGCATTTTCGATCTTAGGTACAGATTTGTATTTAAGAGAATCGGGAGATTTGAATGCTAATTTAGATTGAAGAGGCATATTTCAAAAATGGATTTTTATATATAGATATAGAGAGAAGGAGAGAAAGAGAGGGAAAGAAGAAGAAAAAGAGAAAGAGAAAGAAAGGTACTATATATATATAAACTTCTTGAATTTTGACAACTTTTAATAATAGAGATATACACATACCCATATATAATATTAGAATAAAAAAAAGTAAATAGAGGGTTACACTGTGAAACTACACACGCAGATATGCCAAGCTAAGAATAAAAACACAAAAACCATTTACTTTTTGTCGTTGATGGAGGGGAAATAAGAAGGTGTATTACTGCACTTTATAGCCAAAAATCAAACAAAACTTTATCTAGAGAAAGACTTTAATTTAATGGCCATTTATATTTCGACAAGCCATATTTGACCAAATGAGAGAGGAGAGCAGTTATATATAGTCTGCACAACTTCTCTAGAACTTATATTTAAAGTGATGCTATATGATACATCTTATCGTTGTGAGAAGAAGAAAAAAACGTTCAAATATGTTCATATACAAATTGACTATTCTATTTGACAAATACTTTAATTAAAGTAATATTTACGTATAATATGTATTATAAATAATATGTCAAAGCCTATGGGGATAGTGATTTTTCATACTTTACTATTAGCTCGCTTGGTAACACTTATGGCTATGTGAAGGTATATTAACACTATTACTATAAACAGCTTCAGAATCTAATAATTTCTTGTTAAAAACCCAAAATAATAATAATAATGTCTATTACTGCAGCTTTATTAATTACAAAAAAAAAGGTTTCTATGTCTTTTACAGCCTCTCTTTTATACACATCAATAGAAGTTTAAACTATTACATTGTAACACTGTAGTTTTTATATATATATATACCAAAATAGAAAGACTATACGGATATTTTATGTTTTCAAGTTGTTCCTTTGAAATACTTTTTATATATGTATGTATGTATATGTATATATATATATACAGTTTGTCTTCTTCAAAAAAAAAACCCGTGAATTAAATGATTCTCCTGTTGGGTGAGCTCTTTGTTGCAGAATCTCCGTGAGGTGTAAATTCAACTTTTATGTTGCTGGGAACGCTCAAAAACTCTTTAATTTGAGTTCTACATTTTAATGACAAGAAATAGTGATAAGAATCGTTGGATAATCAAGCCATAAAACATTCACTTATTTTTTGTGGTTGTTGTTGTAAACCAGACTTACCCGATCGTCTTTACTATATCTCCGTTGTCTGATGTCTTTATCCACAAGGCAATTCGGTAGAAAACTTTTCGCACCGATACTACCGCACCACAGATTTCATCCTCGTACTTGTATTGCTCACCAATCACAGCCAAAAGCTATTTATCCCACATATGCACATATATTTGAATTTGTATCAGTCTTCCTTTCTCTTTCTTCCTTTCTTTAAACAACCTTTGTAACAATACAATGCCACTTGTTTTGTTTTCTTGGGGGAGACATTTACCATTTGCAGCCAATATTCATTAACTCCCTCTCCAGTACGGTTTCTGGGCAACTGAATACTGAACATTCCACCCTTGGAGTTGGCAGGATCTTCCCACTCTGGGCGAACACCCTTCTTGAAGAAATGATAGTTTGAGCTGATCTCAAGGTGGTTCACTTTAGCTACGTTGTTGTACACACTATAAAAGTTGCATAAGTTTCTTAATATCTTATATGTATATGTATGTGTATGTGTATGTATAATAACACCAGACACTGTACATTATTTCAAGCTTACCCCCAGAAATCCTCAACAGTGCTAACAGAAACAACTTCGTTGAGGTTCTGCGACCATGAAGTAACATTGGCCTTCTTTCCAGGATTATCGAACCAGAGAGTCCATGTGTTCTGGAGAGGATGCTTGACATTGTAATGTTCACGGTCATGGAACACAGTTTTCATTGAGTCATTCTCTTGATCATTAGTCTTTCCTTCTTCAATTGAAGCATTTTCGACAGCTACAGATTGTGTAGGTTGTTGTTCTGCTTGGGCAACATTGTTTGCATGAGTTTCTTGGTCGGCCATAATACACTTTTATTTTTCTTTCTTTATCTTTCTCTTTGACTTTTCTTTTTCCTTTTTCCTTATTCTTTTATTATTTTATTTTATTTTTATATATTTATATTTATATATTATATATATATTTAAATTTGACAATCGTTCAATTTTATTTTATTTTTATTTTTTATTTTATTTTGATTCTCTTATTTTTGACTGTCTTTTCCTGAATTCACCATTACTTCTAAATATGCGCTTTATATTTATATTTATATACATGGCTCTTCCCGCTAATACTCCGCCACCCCTACCAAGGGACCCCTCACCACCTCCTGGCTCACCCACGCCATCACTCAACACTCCATCTACACCAACTGGCTCACCACCATTGTCTCCATCTTACGTAGCTGCGGCTGTTAAGTCTGTAGACAATTCTTGTACATCTCGCATCATCGGCTCCATCGCTGGTAATGGCGCTCCACGCATATGGAAAGAAGGCTCCTCTCCATTTTCTGTTTTCTACGAGGTCCCTGCTGAGGGAAACCCTCTCCGTCCTTTGTTCTTTGAGGCTATTAACACCGCTTTCCCATCGGGTGTTGGCCGCGGCCTCACATATGCCTCTCGTACTTCCCGCACCTCCTTTGAATTCCATCTAGTAGACCAAGAAGTATGCTCGCGCGCATGCCAAGTTGGCTTTCCTTTTAATGGACGTACTGTCTTCGCTTCTCCTGCCATTCCTTCGACGTTTAAGCTCTTGCGCTTACGTGTGTCTCGACTTCCTCTTCACGGATATGCGGATTTTGATGAACTTGCCGAGAATCTTCGCCGCTGCCTTGCTATATACGGACAGGTTCAGGAAATATCCTTGAATTTGAAATATAACTACCCCGACGGCACAGGCACCATCCATATGCTACGCCCACCTAATCCTGATCTTCATCTGCGTCACTTGGAACATGAGATCAAGTATAATGAAACTACAACTTTCCTTGCCACTTGGGCACGTATGGGTACTCATTGTACTTTCTGTAAAGAGATGGGTCACGAGAAAGAAGCTTGCACCAAGCGACCCAAAGAAACCCGCACCTGCTTCCGCTGTGGTAAGGTTGGTCACCTTGCCCATCAATGCCCACGAAACGAGGAAGCCGAATCAAAACGCCCTCGCAAAACTGCTCGCTCCCCAACCCATGCCCCTGCACCCCCAGCCGCTCAGATGTATCATGGTCTTCTACCCTCTGAAACAATCTACGGCTCACAGCACGCCCCGCAGAACATACCCCTACCTCAATTGGCTACTGAATCCCTTTCTAGACCACGCGCGGCCCCGGGCGCCATTCCGGGTATTCTTCCCGCCAACCATCCTGACTTCCTGATAGAAGCAGTGGCTAGTACTGGCATGGATGACAACGTCCAATTGGTTAAGACCAGTGATGGCGAACTTGGTAACGAAGAGACGAAGAAAAGCGACGATGAGGAATACTACAGCGACGATGACATCGATGAGGTCGCCAAGTATTTCGCTCAAATGGAAGATGATCCCATGGATGGTGAAAATGATGGTGGACAAGATCCTCCAAATCCAGCTCTTACTTTATGATTAAAATCTCCACGATAAACTGTCGAGGCCTGGCCAAATTGGCCAACCCCACCTTACGCTCATTATTTATACGCCACCTACGCTCTCAGCATGTCGATATACTCGCCCTGCAAGAAACTCATGCTTCCTCTATGGATATACAGAACACATTCAATATGCAGTTTAGGACTACTTCCTCAGTTTGGTCCCAACATTGTGGTTTAGTGTGCCTAACTCCTATGATTTCTATTGTCAACCCTTTAACCTCTGTCTGTGGCCGATGTATATCTGCTACAGTTGAGCATGCCAACAATAATTTTTCCCCTTTTCAGATCTGTGTGGTATATGCCCCAGCTACAGTTGGACAGCGGTATAAATTCCTATCTGCCCTGCTTGCTAACTCTTTATTATTGCCCACTCATCCTTCACGCTTCATCCTGCTGGGAGATTTTAATCACTCCTATCACACTCGTTCACCTCGGCCCCGACTTGCACCTCATACGTGGCTCCAATTCCTCTCTGACCACCTCTTTGACTGCGTCACTATGCCTGATTCTACCCCTATGCCTACCTTCCATCGCGGCACAACGTCCTCCACCTTGGACTATATATTCTCCTCTTCCGATATGTTTTCCCACCGCATTTCGTCTTCCGTGGATTATATTCATCCGCAATGGTCAGACCATTTCCTAGTTTCCGCATCTTTTCTCTTTGATTCAGGCACTGTCTTGGGGAAAGGCCTATGGCGTGCCAACCCACGTCTGTCCTACAACCAGCATTTCTGTCTCCAGCTTGACTCACACATTCATTCCCTCGTCCACTCTCTACCAACATCTCTATCTGTTCAAGAACAGTGGGATAGTCTCAAAACCGATGTCATCCATTTTATCCGCTCTTATTGCCGTCGCCTTCGCCGCAACCTCACTACGATAGAAGCCCAGTTGCAGAGCAAGCGCGCGCACCTGATACAAAAGTACCGACTCAACCCCTCCATTAACTTCCAGCTTCCTTTTGTGGAACGACAGATTCAGGACATACAACACGAAAAGGTAGAAACACAGGCATTGCGCGCTGGAAAACACTGGCGGGAACAGGGTGAGACCTCTGCCGGTTACTTGAAACGTACGATTGAAACACGGCAAGTCTGTAAGACGATCTCTGGCCTACGCCACCCCTTCACCAACGTCCTTTCGACACAGCCTTCTATCATGACCGATTCCGCGGCTGCATTTTATGAAGATTTGTATTCCCCCGATGACATTGAGCAAACCGCTGTAGACGACCTTCTACATAATCTTCCGACTCATATTGTTCTCTCTGACGCTCTTGTAAACAAACTCACTTCCTCCTTTTCCATCGTAGACATACGAGAAGGTGCGCAGCGGTCTCCTTCCGCCAGCAGTCCCAGTCCCGACGGGATACCCTATGAAATCCTTCGTCTCCTTTTTGACCATCCCGCGTGTGCTCATATCTTGGAAAAGCTTTACAATGACGCTCTCACCACTGGAGTTTTTCCTGCCTCTTGGCAATCTACTTGTCTCTCCTTGCTACCGAAGAAAGGAGACCTTACATCTTTGAAGAACTGGCGACCTATTGCCTTGATTAACACTGATGCAAAGGTCTTTACTCGACTACTCAATGCCCGTATGATTCCTGCTGCCAGCTCAATTGTGTCTCAATATCAAACCGGGTTTGTGAGGGGAAGGTTCATTGCTGACAATGGCATGCTCGTCAAGACCATTATGGAACAGGCCCGGCTCACTCAATCCACCAGTATTGGCTTGCTCTTGGATCAAGAAAAGGCTTACGATCGTGTACACCCCTCGTACCTGCGACAAGTCCTGCGCCATTTCCGTTTCCCTTCCTCTCTCGTCGATTGTATTTGCAACATATTCTTCTCTACTCGAATACGAGTCAATGTGAACGGTCATATCTCCCGAGAACTTGTTCAGCACCGCGGTCTCCGACAGGGCGATCCTCTGTCCCCCGTTCTCTTCAATCTCGCCTTTGAGCCTCTTCTACGCCGCCTCCAACATGACCCTGAATTTTCTGGGTTTCTCCCACCTATCTCGCCAATCCTTCCAGCCCCCCCTCCAGTCAAATGTCTTGCATATGCGGACGATGTCATTGTTTTCCTCTCCACACACATCTTGCCACTTACTCTCGGGCCTCCAATGCCAAGATCAACATGGCCAAGACGGAGGCCATATCGCTTTCGGGACAACCACTTCCTCACTGGATCACGTTCCTACAGGCCCACCAAATAACATCCTGGCACGACCGTTCCTGTCCTGACTCCCTCCGCTACCTTGGCTTCCCTATTGTCAGTTCGATTGCCCAACGCGATGCCTTTTGTTCCTCATTGTTAACAACCATACAATCTTCCTGCGCCATACACCTCACTCGATCCTTATCGATCCGGGGGCGTGCCACCGTTCTCAATACTCTCATTCTCTCCCGTCTCTGGCATGTCCTACGCGTGATCTCTGTTCCTGTGTCGTTTCTCGATAAAGTGAAGTCGGCCATGGGTCAGTTCTTGCAGCACCGAATGTTTCCTCCCATTAAGCTGTCCACTCTTTGTCTCCCTCTTCGTTCTGGCGGCCTTGGAGTATTAGATCCTTCTATACAACAAGGTGCTTTTCAGCTGCGTTGGTTACGTCCTCTCTGTCTCTCTCCTCACTCCACCTCTGGCTTAGTTCCTCCTTGGCTGTCCTTTCTCTTACGTTATCATACGTCTGGCACCGACCCCCAATTGACACTTCTCTTCCACGATCTTCGCCCCCCCGATCTGACTGGCCTTGCAGGTTGCTTCCGCAACATATTCTCTGCTATTGATAGGCTCCCGCACGACTTCTCCTCCCTTGCCCCCAACATTGCTACGTGTTTAGCACTTCCCCTCCGCTCAGTATGCCTACCAGCCACAAGCACTACCTCCTTCCCTCCCTCCTGGCAACACCTCCGCGTTGAAGATGCCTTTCTTGTTGACCCTTCTTTCGACGTTCTCTGCCGTCGAGCGCCGGCTGATTTCCCACGCAACCCGCTCATATTGCGCAAGTTTTTCAAGAGAGTTGACTCTCGCGACATCTTGCTACAACCTTTCCTTGTTCGCGCTTTCCTCCCTTCTCATATCCTTCAGCTCAATTACCCTTCCATTCCTTCCCGTTCAGGTTCATCAATCAATGCTAGCCCTTTTGTTTGCGGCCTTTTACCTGGAATACCGTGGTCCAAGCTGAAACCTCGTATGTATCGTTCTCTTTGTTCCTCTTCTGTTTCTCCTCCCCTGTCGTCTACACTGTCCAGCTCACAATGGCGAATCTTTTGGAACCTTCCTATACACCACCATGTCCGCAACATCTGGTACCGAGGTCTGCACCACAAATTGTCATCCCGCTCCCTGTTGCATCGCATACTTCCTGGCCCCTTCCCCACCGACTCTTGCCCCATTTGTGAAGCCTCTACAGACACACCCGACCATTTCCTCTTCTCCTGCCCCCTCAAAATTGACGTTTGGTCTACATTCTGGCAAGATGTCTTTGGATCTCATCCTACTCTTCCTATACTCCATGATGCATTTTACAACCTGTCTTTCCCCTATACCCGCTCCTCTGATATTCACGCCGCCTCTCTCTTTAGCTGTGCCCTTCTGGCGATCTGGCGACATCATTGGTCCACGGTGTTCGACAATACACCTTTTGTATCTTCCACCGTCCTATCTACCGCTTCCCGCTTGGTTGCCATATTTAAGGCTGAAAAATCTCTTGATGACCTTGCCTGTTCTCTTGCTACTTAGCTCTACCTTTAGTTTTCCTTCTTACATATACACCTCAAAAAAAATCAAAAACCCAAAAACAAATTTTGTGACGTGCGTCCTTTTTTTTTTTAGCTAGTGATCCTCACAATAAAAACCTGAGCTCTAATCGCTCCCTACAAAAAATAAATAAATTATATTTATATATGTATATAATGTGCATATATGTGCAGTACATACACATACACATACACACATATAAACGTTCTACCTAATACTTTTTTTGAGTCTAAAGAAATGTACATATATATACATATATACATTCATGTAGATTCCTAATGAGATTATAATTCACCTACAATAAGCGTAATATTAATACAGTTTTACGGACATTCCATACAGAATCATGATTTGTGATTCCAATGTGCTCATTGGAATCAAACATGCTTTACATTGCCAATGTACTCTAAAGAGGAAATACCAACCTGAGAACTATTATTTATAGAGATACATGATATAAACGATAGGCTCTGTAATGCCTAAAAGCCTAGCACTACTCTTATTAAGCCTTTTTCTTTCTTTCTTTCAACGAAAGATTTGGCTTGTGGTTTTTGAGATAGAGTTTTTGTAAATACTAAACTAAATGTTGTTTTCTGCTGTTTGAATAAATAGGATGAAACACATTAGTCGTCGGTTTAGATGAATTGGCTTGCTGTTTTAGATTATTTTATTCAGTTAAATATATTAATTGAATTGTTATGTTGTTAATGCCATCTAAGAGAAAAAAGGAACCCAACCCGGTTGTGATACAAATCCTTGCCTTCTGTTTTTAGATTGTGTAAAAGAAATGTTCTATCTTATATTATTCCAACTAATATCATCAAAACTCTTCTGATATTTTTACTTTTTTTTGGAAAATGTCTATAGCACTATTGAAAGTACCATCGGAACTAATCCCTTTTTTCCTTGCCCCGCGAAAGAACTATCAAAAAAGAATAACTTTTGATATCTATATACATTATAAGATATATATATATATATTACACACCAAGTAACACCAACAACTACTCTCATTTGTTACGGTGCTTTTTTCCGATGAACCCGATTTTTTTCTTTTCTCGAACAATCTTATATCCAATTTTGATAAATATAAAATAATAAAATAAAAGCTTATTATTCATGTTTCTACTCTTCACTAGGTTTATTATTTTCTATATCAATAACATAAACATAAAATAGTCATACACACGTACATATATATATATTGTTTTTTTTTTTTTTTTTTTTTTTTTTTTTTGTAAGGAGGCTGGGCCTCAGAAATTTTATTGAGCTTAACAATTCTAAGAGGAAGAGGAAGTCACAATCCTGTTTTTGGGTTTTTAAATTATATGTAAAATGAGTGAGTAGCTAGTCTGAAAGAGGCAGGGATAGTTCCGCATGAAAACGGGTGACAAGAGAAGCAGCAGTGACAAGGACTGATGTACTCAGGAAAGGAGCATCGTCAAACACAAAGGACCAGTGATGGCGCCAGATTGCGAGGAGGATACAGCTGACAAGAGAAACGGCGGGAATGTCTGGAGTGAGGGATGGTGGGAGACGGAAGGAAAAAAGAGCAGAATGAATGTCTTGCGTGGAGGGCACGTTGCCAAAATGGGTTGACCAAAAAATAGTCCAGGCGGAGAACTTTGGGGGACAAGTGAACAGAAAGTGAGATGTAGATTCCTTGATGTCACCGCATATGGGGCAGGACCCGTCAGGAAAGATGGTAGGGACAGTTTGGTGTAGAACGGAGCGACACGACAGCTTGTTGTGAAGAGCGCGGAACCATAAAGAACGGACAGAATGGTGGATGGGAGCGGACCAGAACGTGCGCCATTGGTGGGTGTGGAGAGGAGGGACAGGGTTGTCTGGGGACGGGGTGCAAAGGGTGCGGAACGTTTTGGGTGAGAATGGTTTGCGAGGTATTATGGGAAACATACTGGTGAGGAAGGGGCTGGGGTCCACATGCGACACAATGGGAGAGGAAGGTGGAGGAAGGAGACCATCAAGCAAGGAATGTGGGAGAAGAGAGCGGAAGAAGAAAGGTTGTAAAAGAACGGAATGGTTGTCGACTTGACGGAAGAACTTAGTGATGATGCGAGGGGATTGGGGACGCTCGGGTCTTGTTCGACGACGAAGTACTTGCAATGAATCATCTACGACAAAAGCGTCAGTGACGAGAAGATGCCGCCAAGTCCGTGGTATGAGAGAGGAGGGTAGGCAGATAGAGGGGAGAGGCAAGGAGAGGCATGTGGGGTGGTTAATAGAAACGGAGTCAAAGGAGTGTGGCAGGAGATCAATGGCAGCAAATATGTTTCTGAAAACACTGTCAATATGGCGGAAAGGTAGAGGACGAAGATCAGGGGAAAGTAAAGGTAGACGAGGATCCGGGATCCCAGAAAAGGACCGAAGAAGGAAGGACAACCAAGGAAGGACCAGACCGGATCGACCAAACGGGGAACGGACAAGAGGGAGAAGCCAACGAAGTTGTAGAGCAGATTGCTGTATAATCGGATCGAGAACCCCAAGTCCACCAGATATGGATGGGAGGCATAATGTGGCAAGCTTGATTGGAGGGAACATACGATGTTGAAGAAATTGTCCCATGGCTGATCGTATCTTGGACATGAAGGCAACAGGGACAGATATCACTCGAAGAACATGCCATAGTTTGGAGAGGATGAGAGTGTTTAGAACGGTGGCACGGCCACGGATTGAGAGAGAGCGTGAGAGATGAATATGACAGGCGGATTGGATTTTGGTGAGAAGAGAGGAACAGAAGGAGTCGCGTTGTATGATGGATGTGTAAAGTGGGAAGCCAAGGTAAATGAGTGGAAGTGGAGAGCGTTTATCATGACAGTCCACAATTTGAAACTGTTGTAGGATGTCTTGCCAGGACGACAGAGGGCAACCGGACAGGGACAGGGCTTGTGTTTTGTGCATGTTGATACGGGCATGGGATGCGTTGGCATAAGTGTTTAAGTGGACTTGGAGGCGGGAAAGACTAGGAGGATTGGGGAGGAACACAAGGAGGTCGTCGGCGTAGGCAAGGAACTTGATGGCTTGTGGTGGGAGGAGTGGTGACGGAATTCGTGGGTTAGGGTCTGTGGGGGAAGGAACGGTGGGTGGTGAGATGGACGGTGTGTAGCCAGGGAATTCAGGATCGTGAAGGAGACGGCAAAGGAGTGGTTCGAAGGCAAGGTCGAAAAGGACTGGAGAGAGAGGGTCCCCATAACGCAAACCACGAGATTGAGAGAGAGAGCGAGAAATATGGCCATTGACATTGACGGTAATGTTAGTGGAAAAAAAAGGGAGCATATGGATGAGATGAGAGATTGGGGGAAGTGAAAGTGAGTGAGAACCTGTCGCAGGTAATCTGGATGAACTCTATCATAGGCCTTCTCCTGATCAAGTAACAGTCCTATGTCAGAGGCATTGGTGAGTCGAGCATTTTCCATGATGGCTTTGGTCAGGATTCCATTGTCTGCAATAAACCGTCCACGGACAAATCCAGTTTGGTATGCGGAAACAAGAGAGCTGGCTGCAGGAATCATGCGGTCGTTGACAAGGCGGGTGAATACTTTGGCGTCGGCATTAATGAGAGCTATGGGTCTCCAGTTCTTGAGAGAGGACAGGTCTCCTTTCTTGGGAAGAAGGATAACACATGTCGATTGCCAGGAAGTAGGGAATACCCCAAGATGGAGGGCATTATTGTAAACGGCGGAAGTGAGGTTGGTGTACATGGGATGGTCGATGAGGAGTCGGAGGATTTCATAGGGTATGCCGTCTGGGCCGGGGCTACTGGACTTAGGGGAGCGAGTGGTGCCAGCGCGGATGTCGGTTATTGTGAAAGGGGCAGTGAGTTGATCATGGATGGAGTCAGAGAGGCGAAGGTCAGGGGGAAGGTTGTCTAGCAAATCTGAAACTGCGGGCGGTTGGATGGGATCAGCTGTGTACAAAACCTCATAAAAGGCTGCAGCAGCATCAGTCATGTCCGTTGCGTCAGTGCAGACGTGGTCGGTGGTAGGGTGGCGGGGAGAGGTGATGGTGGTACGGGATTGACGGGTAGTGACAGTTCGTTTCAAATAACCAGCAGAACATTCACCTTGTTCTCGCCAGTGTTTACCGGCACGAAGAGCTAGTATCTCGACTTGTTCGGTTTGGAGAGACTGTATTTGACGTTCGAGGTGAGGAAGTTGCGGAATGGTCGAAGGGTCAGGATGTTGGCGGAGGAGATGGTTGCGTTTGGCGTGTAGTTTGCGTTCTTGGTCAGCAAGGGTGCGGCGAGGACGACGAGAAAAAGCGAGGGCGAATTGGGCGATTTTGGATTTGATCCAGTCCCACTGGTCTTGTATAGAGCCTATGTGGGGAAGCTGGGGAGAGAGAGATGAAAGAAGATTATCGAGTTCCTCACAAAAGGAAGGGTTGAGAGCAAGGCGTGGGTTGGCACGCCAAAGTCCCTTGCCAATTTGTTGGGTCATAGTAAAGCGAAATGTCACCTTCACAAGATAGTGATCCGACCATAAAGGTTGGATGTATGTTACAGAGGAAGACATTATGGATGGGGCGATATCGGGGGAAGCATAAATATAGTCTAGGCACGAAGAGAAAGATCCTCTTTGAAATGTAGGGAGGGGGGACGCACCTGTTGGAGTGACACAGTCATGTAGATTAGATCGCACAAACTGAAGCCATTCACGTGGGGCCTTTGGGGTGCGAGTTGTGGGTGTGGTTGTAGAGGGCAGAGAGTTATAGTTAAGGTCACCCAAAAGAATAAATCGGGAGGGGAGAGGTGGGATAAAGTGAGGGTTGTTGAGAAGTGATGTAAGAAAATTATGTCTATGGCTTGGGGTGGATGGGGCATATACAACGCAGATACGGATGGGGGGGAAGAGATTGTTGGAGTGAGTGACAGTAGCTGTAATGCTGCGACCACACATGGTGAATAAGGGGTCAGTAAACATTAGAAAGGGGGAAAGAGAGACTAGGCCGCAATGGGGCGACCATAATGTAGATGAGGAACGGAATTGATGTTGGAAGGTCTGTTGAAGAGCTTCTGTGGTGGCATGGGTTTCTTGGAGGGCGAGTATGTCGAGATGTTGGGAGCGGAGGTATCGAATAAATAAGGATCGTCTTTGGGGGTCTTGCAATTTTGCAAGCCCTCTACAGTTTAGTGTTCCTATATTGATCATTGAGGGGGGTTAATATTTTGGTGAACGACAATACCTGTCATAAGTGAGCCATGTTGGTCGTTGTCAGCATTATCACTGTCGCTAGAGGATTCGGATTCAGCACCGTTTTCGCTGTCTTGAGTATCCATAGCCAAGTTGTCCTTGTTAGGATCATATTCTTGGTATGGAATGTCACGGTTTGATTTGTCGGTAATGTTTTTCAATGCTGCGCGGAGGACTCATCGGTAAGGGTCATGAGTGGATAGCTGTGCAAGTTCGGCCTCAATCTCGGCCGCAGACTTGCCCAAGATGTCAAACTGATTAGCAGGCGGTGTACGAGGAGCGGACTTTTTCTTTCGCTTGGGTAGTGCGGGAAGGACAGGGGGAAGAGTTTGTGTACGGGCGGGGGTGGACTGGGATTCACGACGGGGCTGTTTACGGATGCGTTTGTTACTGGTGTTGTTGTTGGGATGAGGGTTGTTGATACGGGGACAGGTTGCCTGAAGGTGGCCGACGGCTTGACAGGCGTGACAAGTGCGAGATTCGATTGGGCGGGTGGGGCAGTCAGCCAGAACGTGGCCCATGGCCTTACAGTATCTGCAATGGGGACCCATCTTGGCCCAAGTGCCGAAAACATGACCATAACCTTCGCAGGGAATCTTGTGAACCAGGGGAGAGTAAACACGATCCTGATTAGGTGGGCGTTCCAGGTACACGTAGCCAGATCCAGTAAAGAACCTGTTCTCCAGGTAAATAACGACCTCCTTGATGATGCCGAAAGAGTAGAGGGAAGAACGGATAAGTTCGTTAAGGCAGGGGCGGGAGAGGCGAGGAAGACCGGTGATGTTGAGATTCATCATCATAACAGAAGACGAAATGGCACGGTGAGCGAGAATAACGGAATCTTGGACGACAATGGGTTCGGCACATGCACGATTGCAAAGGGTGTCAGATTCAAGGTAAAAGTTCGACGATGTGTGTGTTGTTGCGCACAGAGGTAACTTCAGCAAAAGCTTCCTCCTCAGAGAAAGCGGCGTGAATTGCTGTCCAGAAGGCGGCCATGAACGAGTCATCAGATTGGGGCAGGTCGTAAAAAACAGAGTGGGGGGAAGTACCGAACCGACATTCCGTAGGAATGGCATATGGGTCATCTGAACCAAGTACGCGTTCTATGCGCGTGAGGGAGCGTTGTTTTTCAGGGTCGACCAAGGAGGCAAAGGTGATGGGAGTGGTAGTAGGTAAAGCATGTGTGGGGGCGTTTGGTTGGGTTGATGGATGTATGTTAGGTGATAGAGGAGGGAAGTTGTTGTCTCCATAGTGTGGTGACCCTTGTGGGGTCGTTTCCTGTTGGGTAGCGGGAAGAGCCATGATATATATATATATATTGTAGAAGACAATGTTTTATTATTAGTCCATACACAGTCACGCACCATAATTATCGGCGATTCTGGGGATATCAAAGGCCTCAAAGCATACGAGAGGAAAAACTAAGGGAAGAGAAGATTACAAGGAAAAACAAATTCATCACAAAAAAGACGTGTATATTTGAGTAAATTTATGTTGTCTGGGTGGATTTGCGTGCCTGGGTATATTTATGTGTGCGTGTGTGGATTTATGTGTGTGTGTGGGTGGATTTTGAGTACCAGACGTGGCACAGCGGAAGTACAAATGTTAAGAGAGGCAAATTGAATAGTAAGAAAAAGAACGTCTTTATCGATTGATATATATAAACATATTATTCTATCTTTAATAAACAACACTCTCACAGTATCTAATTTTTCTAATCTTAAGATACTAACCCAAGATTAGTTCCGAACATCTCGTATATTTTTTATTTTTTTTAATAGATAACACTCTCACAGTATCTATTTTTTCTAAAATTGAGATACTAATCCAAAATCAATCCCAAATACCTTAATTGCAATACAGTATAATATTTAAATAAAATTATAGTTGGAATAAGAGGGTCAATTACTTGTTATAAAATAATAATAAAAAATCAAAAACTAATTGAAAGCTTATAAAAAAGCAAAAAAGTAAAGTAAAATAAAATAATTAATTTAAATTTCAAATGCCCAGTCTTTTTTGTAGATTGTAGAGCATTTTTGGAACTCAAATGGTCTAAGCTGTTTTTAGTAATTTAAAAACACCTGGGAGCGTGGCATTTTTGTGAGGCTAGCAATTCTCCTACACAAAAAAAAATGCGGCGGTGTTTCAATCTTGTATTTCTCCTAATGTCGTATAGTCAAAAAAGCAAAATTTTATCACTTCGGACTTAACAGCTTACTTTAGAAAAAAATCTTACTAAACGGTCTATTTTTTATGTGCTACAAATAAAGTAGCAAAAAAAGGTCGGCAAGTGAAAATTAAATAGTTGGATTTCACATATAATATTGCACTTTGATATGTGTGTTTTTTTTTTTTTTTTTAAAAAAATAACTAAATCATTTTGGTCTTGTTTTTTACTATATATGCTTTAGAGCTATAGTAAGAAATAAAATACCCCAAAAGTATAATTATATACTATACATATTTCATTCTCTTTATTTCAATGACTTTGCTAGCAAAAAAAAATGAGAGGATAGCAGTACCTTCTTTGCTTTCCAAAATAAAATTAATGAATTAATTAGAAGATGGGCGAATTTACTGCGGTCTGTGTTTCCATAGTTACTTTTCAATCCAAGTGAAATGATATTTGTATTACACAATTTTTTATTTATTTATTTGCAAGCTCATTCGAGTAAGTCAAACTTTTATTTGTTACACCTCCACTAACGTATTTCTTTCTTTCTCTTTCTCTCTACTTTTTACTCTCAACTCACATGCAGGCATCAGACTTTCCTTTTGAAATTATCTCAAAAATCGCAAATCTCTTATTAAAAGACGATAAGATTTCCTGTATTCTCACTTGCAAGGCATGGCGATATCCGTTTCAAGAATCACTTTGGGAGAATATTGAAGTCAATTCTATGGATACACTTGAGAAAATATGTGCTATTGTTGAGAGTCCAACGGGGGATTTCATAGAACATGATCTTATAACTCAAAGTCTACGTGTTACTGGAAAGACAACCTTGGGTGACTGGAACCAGACCCGCTTTTTCAAAAACTTTCCAAACTTAAAGCATCTCGATATTGGGCCCTTGACTTATTCCGAAAGCCAGATAGAGAATACAGAATATGGTCCTCAATGGAATTCAGTGAATAGTTTAAAACTTCAAATTGATCAAAACCCTGGGGAAATAACAACTGGATTTGTCTGTAAGGTCTTGCAAAAAATTCCCAACCTCAAATCAATAGATATCTCTCCTGATATATTCACTAGTTCGGTCACGTTTGGTTTGGAGCAATATAATACCCTGCACACTGTATTGCCAAGGCTGACACATATTAAGGCTCAATTATACCTCAACCGCATGCGCCGAAATGAAATACCATTGATTCCATTAACTTTGCCAGCGCTCTGTGTAACAAGTCTTTCTCTAGACCTCAGACATTGGGATCACCTGTGGCTGTACTACTTTTGCTACAAGTATCCAAACATACAGAATTTGATATGGAGAAGCGTATACAGATTTGGAAATTCAGCTCGTCGAGCATATAATGAAGCTAGAATAGAACTACTCCGTTCGATTAAAAAAGTGTTCCCGTACTTGGAAACTGTGGATTTTTACACTGAGGAACCAACAGAATGGTCACATTCTATATTCTGGAATCTCCTTTGTCTGTCAGATGTGCCCATAAAAAAAATAAAGTACAAGATCAAATCCAGTGACTCTGATGCAGCCTATTTTGGTATGACCATTCAACGGTTTACCCAATCCTTTTCAACAACACTGGAGAAAATTTCTATTGCCGGGAATATATATTTTGACATTGAAAACTTTGTAAAGCTAGAATTTATCTACTGTCCACATTTGGTGAGCGTTGAGATCAGTGATTGTGGCGTATCTATTGCATTGGATAATCTACTGAATAATTGGCCGGTCCTAAGACGACTCAAGTTTTCCAATGTACACCTGTATATTGATCCAGAAGCTCAAAAAGAGGAAACACAACACGGTCTTCATTTTTTGGTGCTCGATAATATTGTTGCAAGTATCTCTGTCTTCAAATACATGTCTTTTAGATGCAGAATTTTACAATATATGAACTTGAGCCAGTCGCAGATTTTTGGACCGATTTCGAACGAGACCGGAAGCCTGTGCATTGACATGACTGACACAAAATTCGAGTTACTACAGCTCGACCACGTTAAATTCTACTCGTCCGAAGAAGACATGAACAATAATATTTCTATCAACTTGACATTGATTTCCCACTTAGCTGGTCATCAAACGCTAGCTGAAGCAAAAGAAGAATTCGATGAAAATGAAAATCAGAAATCTCACTTGGAGTATCTGTCTTGGTACCATCTCTACTGTGAATTGGACTGCCCATTCGATCATGTCACAAAAATCAGACAACTTTCAGAACAAGAAGTGTGTGTTGCTATTAAGTATTTTGAAGCTTTTCAGCTTAAAGATAGGATGGATACTTTTGAAGTTGAGAGGTCTTTCAATGGACAGGTTGATAAAGAAGATTGGAAGGAAGATCTTTGTAGAGGTTATGCAGAATTTAGATGCGGGCACATAGCTAAATATAATGTGCCTTTGTTTTGGATTAATGAAAATAGTTTTTGGCAAAATTCATTTGACAGCTCCTGGTGAAATATAATTCAAAATTATTAATTTTCTTTTCACCTCTTTCACACCAACCTTTACACGGGGCAATACCCTCAATTGGTCAATGTATAAGCCATAAAATTACAGTGTTACTTTATTCTGAATTTTTAAAGACCCTACCTAAAAGAGCCAATGTTTTCGATAGTCCCAATAGTTCATGAGCAAGGATTAAGTCTAATAAGAGCCTTTCTCAATTAAGAGTTAGGAGTAGTATACCTTTATGGAAATAAATTAACGAAAATAAACTGAAATACAAGGAAACATTACCTAAAAGTTTAATTTTTAATAAATAATTATAAGCATTCTCTAATCTTATGAAAGACATACACCATTGTAATCAACTGTAATCTCGAGCTGCTCTCACTAAAGAAAAATATGTTCTATAATGTCGAACCATTTGCCTAATTTTTCTTATGGATTTATTACCTTAATCTAGCCCATCCTATCTAAAAGAATGTAAAATCCACAAGTCTGGAGTTCTTTTTTCGTAAGAGCTCAAATACTCTATATATGCTATATCAATTGCTTCATTTGGTTATCTTTACCTATGTTTTTATGTCTGTAATCCAACCTGTTTGATAGTATATTTATTCTATCTGCTCATCCTGCCAATATTTACACAAAGCCTTCTTAATATAAATTATTTAATACCAAACATGATATGATAATAGCATCTCTTTAAGAAATTAATGTGTACATTTTAAATAGATGAGTACATATAACTATCAAACCCTCGTTCTACTTTTCTGAATAAGATAAATAAATTAGAAAAAAAGGTAAAGTTGCTGCGGCTAGTATCTTTTCAGTTACTTGGTAGGGATTTCTCAAGATTCTGTCAAAACCATGAATGTTTGTAGATACTTGAGAAACCCCTTAGTTAACCGCAGCTTCTGCGTTAAAATGTAGTAATATTTGTACCAGAAGGCCTTCGTTGATCTGCTGCTTTTGTATTAAAAAAGGACTATTTTTTTTCTTTACCAAGCAACAAACATATCTCTTTATCTTTTTCTTTACTCTCTTACATTATATACTTCATGCCCGAATCAGACCTGCCTTTCGAGATTCTTTCACGTATTGCAAGTTATGTATTTAACGATGGCAAGCTAGCATGTATGATGACTTGCAAGAGATGGAAAATCCCATATCAAGAATCTGTCTGGAAGACTCTACAAATTGATTTTATGGAAGAGCTTGAAGAAATATGTACTACAGCAAAGAATTCGACGAGCAGGTTCCTACCATATGATCTTACAACAGAAATCATACATATTTATAAGCTATTTTCCATAAATAAATTGCAGAAGCTTCAGGTTTTCCAAACCTTTCGAAATTTGAAGCATCTTGATATTAAGGTCATATGCTTTGATCCAGCCGATGCAGATTTTACAAGATACGTATCTGGTTTGTCATCACTGGTCAGTCTGGTACTTCAACCTACTCAAACCACTCAAAGAATGTTTATTCCGCTAATTCTTGAAATATTGGGCCATATGCCTAACCTCCAAAAGCTATATATTGGCCTACGTTTTCCGGATTATGAGATTCAGCTTAAACTTCACCAATTCAATCACCTCCATACCCTATTACCAAAGCTGTCAGCTATCAAATTATCCCTAAGCCTTCTTTAGATACATCCAAAGGCAGTACCACCAATTTCAAGAACTATCTCAGTACCAGGCGTAACAACACTCGATCTCGCAATCATTGATTGGAACCATATATGGCTGTACTATTTTAGCTTCAAATATCCAAACCTACGTACCTTGAGATGTACGACCTGGTATTCGGAACATGAGCAAACTGCAACAGAATATACTGACGAAAAAAAATAGCTTCTCCGTTCAATTACAAAGGCATTTATGTGCTTGGAAACGATAGACCTTTATTCGCAGTGCTATACGGAATGGGAACACGCTATTTTCTCGGATGTTCTCTGTCGATTGCATACACCTATCAAGAAATTAACTTATCGCAGCATTGGTGCCAATTGCATAGAAAGCTTTTGGGAGAGAATGATACAACAGCTTATACAGTCCTTCTCAAGAACTCTTGAAACACCCGAAGTTTCAGGAGATGCTTTTTCCTATACCAATTCTACTTTTACACCAAAGTTTTCGTATTGTCCAATCTTGGTGGATCTTGAAATCAGACGCTGTAGTGTATCTGTTGCTTTAGACGACGTACTTGATAATTGCCCGGCATTGAGAAGATTCTGTTTTTCCAAGGGACGGCTATATATTAATTCAACAGCAAGTGGACAGCGGAGACAGCATGGACTACACACTATAGAGCTGAGATACGTTACTACAATATCTTTTGTATTTAACTGTGTATCCTTCAGATGCAGAGACTTGCAATACATGACGTTGTCATAAATTCAAATTCGTGGAGTAATTGCTAAAAAAGCAAAAGCCTTACACATCAACATGTCATGTACCAACTTTAAAAGATTAGAACTCCAGCATGTTGAATTCTACTTATCTGACAATTTTCTGAATACAAAGTCTACTATCAAGCTCCTTTTACTGTCTCGGTTAACTTACCCTCAGCCAACAAGCAAAGATCCAAGAGACGGCAATGTAGGATGTCTGGTGAGCCATATAGCGTGGTTGCACAGATATGAAGTATGTGAAGATGGACCGCGCAATGGATCATTTATCAGACGGCTCTCAGGATACGATGGTGATGCTGTCACTAGGCATTTCTTGGGGTTTCAATTCAAGCAAGATTGTGATTCACAGGAAGCCAAGAATTTTATTCGAGGGCAAACTCGCATTCATCACTGGAAAAAGGACATTTGCGAAGGATATGTTGAACTGACATGTGGTAGTATAAATGAATACCGTATTTTGTAATTCATTATACTTTATGGTCTTGCCTTTATTCGCATGTCTAGTAATGAAATTAATGGTGATTCCCTGTATAGCTTTCCAAAATAATAATAATAATGGTAATAAGAAATTGATCAAAACCATTTCTTTTCTCTATTATTATCCCTTCAACCAAATAAAAGCTACAATTATTTGACATGGTCTTTTTTATATATATTTAAAGAAGTGTATTTATTGTGCTAAAAATTCTTGTAACTTATATATCATAGCCTTTAATGTTTGTTTCTATATATTTTTATTGTTATTAATGCTACATGTAACACCCTTTGTTAGATAAAAAGAGTGGGTATAAAGCATCTAAGCTTTTATCTAGAGACCAAACAAACGAACAAGTGACACAGTGGATCTTATCCACCAGTGTTTCTTGTATCGCTCATCGCAGTGAGCTTCGAAGTAATGACATAGCTGTAGAAATAACCCAAAGTAGTTGAATATCTCTTTTTTATTTGTTCCTTATGGTCTTCTACAGCAGAAAATTTATTAATGCCAAAATAATCTATATCTTTAAAATCCTTAGAGCATCCACAGCGGCCTGTGTAAATTTAACAACATTTTAAATTTAGACAGGAAATTTAGAGTTTTTTTTTATCCCCAGCAGATTCCTTAACTAAAAGTTTTAACTGATCATCTCTCAATAATAATTACCGGCTTTTTAAATTTATCAATTCACAAAAACATCTAGGGCTTTTTTTTTATACCCTCCTAATTTTACCCAGACCGCTGTGGATGCTCTAAGTATATATATAGTAAATTGAGCAAAGATAATAATATGGGTTTATAGATTTGAGGAACAATAGCATTAAAGTAGCTAAGACAGCCAGTCCTAATCATTGTTACACTTGGCTTGATAAAGTAACCATGAAGAGGTACACACCGCAGTGATTTTCTTTGCCTTCATTTATTTATTTAATATCGAACAATAAAATAATATTTCATGGCTAGACATTCTCGTACTTAAAACATGTATTTGTTTTAATACACCACTATTGTCAGTCCATATGTATTAGTATCATAAAGGTGAAAGTGTTGATTTATGGAATTTTCATATTGCATTGCTACAGAGTCCAAATAAGGCTGTTGTGTGCCCTGACTTCTTTGTACTTCAATTTCTCGGCTAAGCCCTTCCATATTACACCCACAGTAATATCTTGACAATCAAGTACACCAACTGCACACATCAGTTATATTTCACAACAAAACAACAGTAGAGATATCGTTTATACCTCTTCTTTGTTATAAAAAAGTTATCATTCATTTGCTTCAAAAGTTCATCCTATTCTCTATACAATATGCTTTGTGAAACAAGTTGGGTTGGTCGCCCTCAATGGCTTCTTTGAATTAAGAACACAAAATCTATCATTACACAGCCTTGTGATTGCACACTTAAACATATATAAGCACATTAAAAAAAACTTACGTATTTAAAGCGTTGCTCTTCAGAATAAACACATTCATTTACACTCTATCATCACAATGCACATTTCTAAAATTCCCCCTGAAATTCTTACTTCCATTGCACTATCCTTTTCCGAGAAAGATTTACCGCAATGCTCACTTGTTTGCAAGAAATGGCGAGAAGTTTTTTACGTAGAGCCACGGGGTACAGTAAAAATATACGATAGTGTGCTTGGTGCAATGCTCTATCGATTTTTTAAAGAAAAACATTTGATATATCGTCAGCACGTCCAAGCCATAACAGGTTTCGAGGAATGTCCTGTCAGCATCAATAACCTCTTGATTCTTCAAAAGCTTTTTCCAAACACTCGGAACCTTGATATCACTATATCTCATCCAAATACGAGAAATACAGACACAAAATGGAGTGTACGAAAGCTTCTAAAGAACCTTGGCATACAATTTGACCAGTCCGTCGATAGCAGCTTGAAGAAACCATACTATGTTATATTGTCCCGATTCTCCTGTTTGACTACACTTGATTTGATGTTTAGTGGTTCATATACATCAAGAGTCGGAGACTTCGAAGCTATTCACAATTATTTGCCCCATCTAGAAAGTTTTTCACACAGAGTTGAGCTGGCCAGTATTACTGAAGAGGAAATGAAATGCATAAACGAGACGGTTCCAGTAAATAATTTGTCGAAGATTTCAATAGCAATGGACACCCAAGACCTGCGATGGCTTTATTATTTTGCTGTAAAATACCCAAATGTCCGTGAAATGACATTAGAAGCTATGGGAATAAGGAATTTTTTGGAGGACTGTAATACGGCAGTAGCCAAATCAAAAATATCATCGCTTCCGCATGTATTTTCAAGCCTGAAAAAACTCACACTGGAGAATAGCCCACATACTAGTTCGTTTCTTCTCGCATTCTATCAGTGCTTTTACAATGGAACTCTCTCTATCAAAGAATTCTTATATAAATTTTACATATCATGCAAAGAAAGAGCAATTGAGAATGCTACAGCAGAGTTTATGCGTGTATGTTCTAGAACCATTGAATCGATAACGCTTAGTGAGATCGATTATATGGAGCAACCCAATCCTTTTGATTCAACCCATTTATTCACGGATTGCCCTCGGTTAACTAATCTGGAATTTTATAACTGCGGCTCCTGCTTGCAATTCAATACGATTTTAGACTGCTGTCCTTCTTTAAAGAAATTGGAGCTGTATACGGGAGGTGCTTATATTGACTCAAGAGCAATACAATCGTTCCACCCACATGGACTACGCATTATTCGCCTAGACCAAGCCACAATTGATCCTGATACAATGAAATATATCTCTGCTCGGTGTTTATCTTTAAGCCATGTGTACTTTCACAAATTGATGGTAATCGGAACTATTTCTGAAGATACAGGGAATCTTTTGATTGATATGTCCAACCTCAGACTTAAAAAGCTGATAATCAGCAGTATATTTTACAAACTACATGTCGAAGTAGGATTATGGTATCCATGGACTAAAATCGATTTTATGAAACTGGTACAGCTTGCCAAGCCGTATCCTCGAACGATTGAGAGAAATGAACAAAACGACCAACATTTTGCCAATCATGTACCCAGATATGAGACTGTTACAATTTGGTACAAAGTACTCACTCGTTCATATTCTGTAAAAGACATGGCTCTTCCCGCTACCCAACAGGAAACGACCCCACAAGGGTCACCACACTATGGAGACAACAACTTCCCTCCTCTATCACCTAACATACATCCATCAACCCAACCAAACGCCCCCACACATGCTTTACCTACTACCACTCCCATCACCTTTGCCTCCTTGGTCGACCCTGAAAAACAACGCTCCCTCACGCGCATAGAACGCGTACTTGGTTCAGATGACCCATATGCCATTCCTACGGAATGTCGGTTCGGTACTTCCCCCCACTCTGTTTTTTACGACCTGCCCCAATCTGATGACTCGTTCATGGCCGCCTTCTGGACAGCAATTCACGCCGCTTTCTCTGAGGAGGAAGCTTTTGCTGAAGTTACCTCTGTGCGCAACAACACACACATCGTCGAACTTTTACCTTGAATCTGACACCCTTTGCAATCGTGCATGTGCCGAACCCATTGTCGTCCAAGATTCCGTTATTCTCGCTCACCGTGCCATTTCGTCTTCTGTTATGATGATGAATCTCAACATCACCGGTCTTCCTCGCCTCTCCCGCCCCTGCCTTAACGAACTTATCCGTTCTTCCCTCTACTCTTTCGGCATCATCAAGGAGGTCGTTATTTACCTGGAGAACAGGTTCTTTACTGGATCTGGCTACGTGTACCTGGAACGCCCACCTAATCAGGATCGTGTTTACTCTCCCCTGGTTCACAAGATTCCCTGCGAAGGTTATGGTCATGTTTTCGGCACTTGGGCCAAGATGGGTCCCCATTGCAGATACTGTAAGGCCATGGGCCACGTTCTGGCTGACTGCCCCACCCGCCCAATCGAATCTCGCACTTGTCACGCCTGTCAAGCCGTCGGCCACCTTCAGGCAACCTGTCCCCGTATCAACAACCCTCATCCCAACAACAACACCAGTAACAAACGCATCCGTAAACAGCCCCGTCGTGAATCCCAGTCCACCCCCGCCCGTACACAAACTCTTCCCCCTGTCCTTCCCGCACTACCCAAGCGAAAGAAAAAGTCCGCTCCTCGTACACCGCCTGCTAATCAGTTTGACATCTTGGGCAAGTCTGCGGCCGAGATTGAGGCCGAACTTGCACAGCTATCCACTCATGACCCTTACCGATGAGTCCTCCGCGCAGCATTGAAAAACATTACCGACAAATCAAACCGTGACATTCCATACCAAGAATATGATCCTAACAAGGACAACTTGGCTATGGATACTCAAGACAGCGAAAACGGTGCTGAATCCGAATCCTCTAGCGACAGTGATAATGCTGACAACGACCAACATGGCTCACTTATGACAGGTATTGTCGTTCACCAAAATATTAACCCCCCTCAATGATCAATATAGGAACACTAAACTGTAGAGGGCTTGCAAAATTGCAAGACCCCCAAAGACGATCCTTATTTATTCGATACCTCCGCTCCCAACATCTCGACATACTCGCCCTCCAAGAAACCCATGCCACCACAGAAGCTCTTCAACAGACCTTCCAACATCAATTCCGTTCCTCATCTACATTATGGTCGCCCCATTGCGGCCTAGTCTCTCTTTCCCCCTTTCTAATGTTTACTGACCCCTTATTCACCATGTGTGGTCGCAGCATTACAGCTACTGTCACTCACTCCAACAATCTCTTCCCCCCCATCCGTATCTGCGTTGTATATGCCCCATCCACCCCAAGCCATAGACATAATTTTCTTACATCACTTCTCAACAACCCTCACTTTATCCCACCTCTCCCCTCCCGATTTATTCTTTTGGGTGACCTTAACTATAACTCTCTGCCCTCTACAACCACACCCACAACTCGCACCCCAAAGGCCCCACGTGAATGGCTTCAGTTTGTGCGATCTAATCTACATGACTGTGTCACTCCAACAGGTGCGTCCCCCCTCCCTACATTTCAAAGAGGATCTTTCTCTTCGTGCCTAGACTATATTTATGCTTCCCCCGATATCGCCCCATCCATAATGTCTTCCTCTGTAACATACATCCAACCTTTATGGTCGGATCACTATCTTGTGAAGGTGACATTTCGCTTTACTATGACCCAACAAATTGGCAAGGGACTTTGGCGTGCCAACCCACGCCTTGCTCTCAACCCTTCCTTTTGTGAGGAACTCGATAATCTTCTTTCATCTCTCTCTCCCCAGCTTCCCCACATAGGCTCTATACAAGACCAGTGGGACTGGATCAAATCCAAAATCGCCCAATTCGCCCTCGCTTTTTCTCGTCGTCCTCGCCGCACCCTTGCTGACCAAGAACGCAAACTACACGCCAAACGCAACCATCTCCTCCGCCAACATCCTGACCCTTCGACCATTCCGCAACTTCCTCACCTCGAACGTCAAATACAGTCTCTCCAAACCGAACAAGTCGAGATACTAGCTCTTCGTGCCGGTAAACACTGGCGAGAACAAGGTGAATGTTCTGCTGGTTATTTGAAACGAACTGTCACTACCCGTCAATCCCGTACCACCATCACCTCTCCCCGCCACCCTACCACCGACCACGTCTGCACTGACGCAACGGACATGACTGATGCTGCTGCAGCCTTTTATGAGGTTTTGTACACAGCTGATCCCATCCAACCGCCCGCAGTTTCAGATTTGCTAGACAACCTTCCCCCTGACCTTCGCCTCTCTGACTCCATCCATGATCAACTCACTGCCCCTTTCACAATAACCGACATCCGCGCTGGCACCACTCGCTCCCCTAAGTCCAGTAGCCCCGGCCCAGACGGCATACCCTATGAAATCCTCCGACTCCTCATCGACCATCCCATGTACACCAACCTCACTTCCGCCGTTTACAATAATGCCCTCCATCTTGGGGTATTCCCTACTTCCTGGCAATCGACATGTGTTATCCTTCTTCCCAAGAAAGGAGACCTGTCCTCTCTCAAGAACTGGAGACCCATAGCTCTCATTAATGCCGACGCCAAAGTATTCACCCGCCTTGTCAACGACCGCATGATTCCTGCAGCCAGCTCTCTTGTTTCCGCATACCAAACTGGATTTGTCCGTGGACGGTTTATTGCAGACAATGGAATCCTGACCAAAGCCATCATGGAAAATGCTCGACTCACCAATGCCTCTGACATAGGACTGTTACTTGATCAGGAGAAGGCCTATGATAGAGTTCATCCAGATTACCTGCGACAGGTTCTCACTCACTTTCACTTCCCCCAATCTCTCATCTCATCCATATGCTCCCTTTTTTTTCCACTAACATTACCGTCAATGTCAATGGCCATATTTCTCGCTCTCTCTCTCAATCTCGTGGTTTGCGTTATGGGGACCCTCTCTCTCCAGTCCTTTTCGACCTTGCCTTCGAACCACTCCTTTGCCGTCTCCTTCACGATCCTGAATTCCCTGGCTACACACCGTCCATCTCACCACCCACCGTTCCTTCCCCCACAGACCCTAACCCACGAATTCCGTCACCACTCCTCCCACCACAAGCCATCAAGTTCCTTGCCTACGCCGACGACCTCCTTGTGTTCCTCCCCAATCCTCCTAGTCTTTCCCGCCTCCAAGTCCACTTAAACACTTATGCCAACGCATCCCATGCCCGTATCAACATGCACAAAACACAAGCCCTGTCCCTGTCCGGTTGCCCTCTGTCGTCCTGGCAAGACATCCTACAACAGTTTCAAATTGTGGACTGTCATGATAAACGCTCTCCACTTCCACTCATTTACCTTGGCTTCCCACTTTACACATCCATCATACAACGCGACTCCTTCTGTTCCTCTCTTCTCACCAAAATCCAATCCGCCTGTCATATTCATCTCTCACGCTCTCTCTCAATCCGTGGCCGTGCCACCGTTCTAAACACTCTCATCCTCTCCAAACTATGGCATGTTCTTCGAGTGATATCTGTCCCTGTTGCCTTCATGTCCAAGATACGATCAGCCATGGGACAATTTCTTCAACATCGTATGTTCCCTCCAATCAAGCTTGCCACATTATGCCTCCCATCCATATCTGGTGGACTTGGGGTTCTCGATCCGATTATACAGCAATCTGCTCTACAACTTCGTTGGCTTCTCCCTCTTGTCCGTTCCCCGTTTGGTCGATCCGGTCTGGTCCTTCCTTGGTTGTCCTTCCTTCTTCGGTCCTTTTCTGGGATCCCGGATCCTCGTCTACCTTTACTTTCCCCTGATCTTCGTCCTCTACCTTTCCGCCATATTGACAGTGTTTTCAGAAACATATTTGCTGCCATTGATCTCCTGCCACACTCCTTTGACTCCGTTTCTATTAACCACCCCACATGCCTCTCCTTGCCTCTCCCCTCTATCTGCCTACCCTCCTCTCTCATACCACGGACTTGGCGGCATCTTCTCGTCACTGACGCTTTTGTCGTAGATGATTCATTGCAAGTACTTCGTCGTCGAACAAGACCCGAGCGTCCCCAATCCCCTCGCATCATCACTAAGTTCTTCCGTCAAGTCGACAACCATTCCGTTCTTTTACAACCTTTCTTCTTCCGCTCTCTTCTCCCACATTCCTTGCTTGATGGTCTCCTTCCTCCACCTTCCTCTCCCATTGTGTCGCATGTGGACCCCAGCCCCTTCCTCACCAGTATGTTTCCCATAATACCTCGCAAACCATTCTCACCCAAAACGTTCCGCACCCTTTGCACCCCGTCCCCAGACAACCCTGTCCCTCCTCTCCACACCCACCAATGGCGCACGTTCTGGTCCGCTCCCATCCACCATTCTGTCCGTTCTTTATGGTTCCGCGCTCTTCACAACAAGCTGTCGTGTCGCTCCGTTCTACACCAAACTGTCCCTACCATCTTTCCTGACGGGTCCTGCCCCATATGCGGTGACATCAAGGAATCTACATCTCACTTTCTGTTCACTTGTCCCCCAAAGTTCTCCGCCTGGACTATTTTTTGGTCAACCCATTTTGGCAACGTGCCCTCCACGCAAGACATTCATTCTGCTCTTTTTTCCTTCCGTCTCCCACCATCCCTCACTCCAGACATTCCCGCCGTTTCTCTTGTCAGCTGTATCCTCCTCGCAATCTGGCGCCATCACTGGTCCTTTGTGTTTGACGATGCTCCTTTCCTGAGTACATCAGTCCTTGTCACTGCTGCTTCTCTTGTCACCCGTTTTCATGCGGAACTATCCCTGCCTCTTTCAGACTAGCTACTCACTCATTTTACATATAATTTAAAAACCCAAAAACACATAGAAAATATAAAACCCAAAAACAGGATTGTGACTTCCTCTTCCTCTTAGAATTGTTAAGCTCAATAAAATTTCTGAGGCCCAGCCTCCTTACAAAAAAAAATATTCTGTAAAAGATCCGGATTATTACCTCCTAAAGCATCCTGAATTAGACCTCATCCAAGAATACTTTGACAACTACCGGGACAACGTGCTTTCTGATACGACGCAGAGCATTTGTATTTCTGACAGAAACGATCCCAACAGACAATATAAATGGAATCCTGCTCAAGGATATGCGACATTAATGTGTGGATATGCAGAGAACAGTAATATTCAGTATTAGTGCCAAAGAAACTTGTGTGGGCACAGCTAGAATCATATCAAAGAATATAATAAAGTATTGTGATACAAATTATGAATTCAGTGACTTTTGTACATTAATAGCATAAAGCACAATGTTTAGCCAGAAGCATAATCCCTCTTACTAAGTTTTCTTTTTGTGATCCTCATATTTTTATTCCATATATTCTTATTATAAAGGTGTCTCATTAGTTTTCAATGTTTCGATTTTAAAACTGAAATTGTCCAGTCAGAAATAAGAATTACTTCACACTTAATATCTAACAGTCTACACCTAAAGAAAATTCTTTTGATTTAGGATTTAAACTTAGATATAGACTGGTGCTAAGAGAAATACAGCGTTTATCAAGCTCTGATAGTTTTGTTAAAGGGATTAAACTCTCTTAATTTACTTTGTTTTGCTTTATAAAACAAAACCATACATGATGAATTTAGTAGTTTTTTGGGGGATTGGCAGGAGAGTTTGCAAGAGTCTCATTAAATTATGCTTTAATTCAAGTACTCTATTTATGAATATCGGCTATTGATATGTCTTTCTGTAGTTGGGCTCTATTGTTTGTAATAAAACCTGGCAGATAAGAGAACCATTATGATTATACATTTATATTTCATTCATCCTCTTCACATTAACATTTACTTCGCATAGCATTATCTACACTCTTTCCAGAAATTATTTGGTGCAAAAATGGAATGCACCAAATGCACCAAAAAAGATGAATTAAGCAGAGAAATGGTAGAAAATTGCACCAAATTTATTTTTATTTTTGCACCAATAATTTCCGGAAAGAGTGTATGTTTGAGTAAATTTATGTGTGTGTGTGGATTTGTGTGTGTCTGGGTGGATTTGCGTGCCTGGGTATATTTATGTGTGCGTGTGTGGATTTATGTGTGTGTGTGGGTGGATTTTGAGTACCAGACGTGGCACAGCGGAAGTACAAATGTTAAGAGAGGCAAATTGAATAGTAAGAAAAAGGTCTTTATCGATTGATATATATAAACATATTATTCTATCTTTAATAAACAACACTCTCACAGTATCTAATTTTTCTAATCTTAAGATACTAACCCAAGATTAGTTCCGAACATCTCGTATATTTTTTTATTTTTTTTTAATAGATAACACTCTCACAGTATCTATTTTTTCTAAAATTGAGATACTAATCCAAAATCAATCCCAAATACCTTAATTGCAATACAGTATAATATTTAAATAAAATTATAGTTGGAATAAGAGGGTCAATTACTTGTTATAAAATAATAATAAAAAATCAAAAACTAATTGAAAGCTTATAAAAAAGCAAAAAAGTAAAGTAAAATAAAATAATTAATTTAAATTTCAAATGCCCAGTCTTTTTGGTAGATTGTAGAGCATTTTTGGAACTCAAACGGTCTAAGCTGTTTTTAGTAATTTAAAAACACCTGGGAGCGTGGCATTTTTGTGAGGCTAGCAATTCTCCTACACAAAAAAAAATGCGACGGTGTTTCAATCTTGTATTTCTCCTAATGTCGTATAATCAAAAAAGCAAAATTTTATCACTTCGGACTTAACAGCTTACTTTAGAAAAAAATCTTACTAAACGGTCTATTTTTTATGTGCTACAAATAAAGTAGCAAAAAAAGGTCGGCAAGTGAAAATTAAATAGTTGGATTTCACATATAATATTGCACTTTGATATGTGTGTTTTTTTTTTTTTTTTAAAAAAATAACTAAATCATTTTGGTCTTGTTTTTTACTATCTATGATGTAGAGCTCTAGTACATATATAAAAATTCGTTCAATTTTTAACTGTTCACAGGTGACCTTTCAAGTTTCAGTAGAGTTTAACTAGAAAAATTAAAATCTAATATCAAGCATTTTCTTTCTTTCTTTTGTAATTGAATCTTTTAGATAGCTATTTCCATTATTATTTCCATTGTTACCTTATTCTTTGGTTATACGAATTGTCAAAGAAAAAAAAAGAAAAGGCTGATATTAATATATAATGTATTTATTTTTTGATAAAGATATATAGATCAAAAAAGGATCTTTATTTCCATATTTTAATTGCCTTGATTAAGGTAATTACAAAAAAACAGTGCTTCATGCGTGGCTTATTCATTTTGCTTCTTTTTAAAAAGAAGAAGAAAAAGAAGACTCCAATGCAATTCTTGACATTTTCACATACTATACAGTAGTAGTAATAATAAAAAAATATGCCTTGGATTCTTGAATTGTAAGCTTTTCAAATTGTAGATTTTTATCATTCTTTTTCGTATTTCGTTTAATTTTATTTTTACTTTCAAAACAATGTTAGTAATTAATCCTAATTGGTTTAAAAAAAGAAGAAAAAGAAAAGGCATTCAATTGACCACCCTTCAATTTTGTGTGGGTGAATAAGTAGTCTAGAAATTAGCGAATAAAAATAAAATTGATGATTTCCGAAGAAGACCAGAGAACGAAAGAGATATATGTGTATATAAAAAATATATATAAATCACTTTAATTCCGTCTCACATTTTGGGTCTGTTTTTTTTGTGGTGATCAATGTAGAAAAAATATAAAATTCTAGTACTTCATTTAAAAAGTGTGTTGTTCTTGAGAAGTATTTTGCAAGCAAATGCAGAACCTCCTATTATCGGAAGTAAAGCTTCCTTGGTTGTGAATTGGGCAAGTTTAAGTACAGTCAGGTTATTGGATACAGTTATACTTAGTGGCCTTTTTATGAATTATGGGTTAATGTTATTATTAAACATCTAGACTATCAGGCGAATTGATATTCATTCTTTTTTTAATTTTTTTTTTGAAAAAAAAAAAAACTAAATTTTTAATATTATTTATGTTCTTTTACTATCTTCTTTAATGAATATTGTCAGCTTGATCCAACAAGCTAGAATATTGCAAAAACGCCTAAAATAATAATAAAGCAGCTTTTACACTATACCTCTAGTGTGCATTAATTTCCCCGATTTGTACGAATTTAAGAAAATAATAAATAGATGTTCTTAGGTGAGACCACTTATGCAAGGATATTGCGTTTATGCGTACACAACTCATATCATTTTTATCAACCTAGAATTTAAAATTATTTTAGCTTTTATTTTTTCTTTTTTTAACTTGGTTTATTAGGAACAGGCTTCTTGATCAGTTATTAGCAATGTTTAAAAATCCAAGTACATTTACACACATACACAAAATAAGCAAATAAATAAATAATACTTGTAAAGAATGCCTTAATATCTTTCAAAAAAATATGTTTAAAATATACTAGGGATAAATTTGTAATAAAATATTTTAATAAGCCAACGTTATGATACCAGTAATAGTAGTGATATTATCATTATTATTGACAGTGTAGAATATAAACCATATTCTTGTGGATCATAATATTGCTTTATTTATGGATTTAATTTTAGCTTATTCTAAAAAATAATAATAATACAGATTTATTCACATACGATTCTTCCTTGTCCAACATTTTCTTTTTTTATTTTGTTTTTATGAGAGAACAATTTTTTCTCTAATCATCCAATTGTATAAGTAATGTCCCAACTAAATTATGAGCCGTACTCATCGGTCTCATTTCACCACAAACAACCGACATCTCCGTACCCTTATGAAGATGACCGCTCCAAAATTCGCCAGTCTTTAATGACTCCAATGGACAGTAGATCTCGACTATTTCTTCGTTTGAGTAACTGGTGGCACCGACAATGGGCTCGGCATCCACTATTAATTTGCCTGATTGGATTCATTTCTATTATTTTTTGCCTCTCCTTCGTGAGCACGATCCAGATCTATGGAGCCTTTGTTCGAATCAAGTTAGAAAATACACTTTTTGACCGGGGCTGGTTCCCCTGTGGAGTTTTACGAAAAGACCCGGTATTATTTGTTCAAGACACTCATCACATCCAGGTTGTGTGGGAGACAAACTGTGGAACAGACACCAAAGACATGATCATCTCATGGTACAATAAGGAGGATGCTCATCATCTTAGACAACAACAGCAACAACAGCATCAAGTGATTGCACCCTTGATTCTCGATGATTACCACACTCTTTATAAAGCCACCATCGGGCCCCTGAACACTACCTCCACATTTGCCTACCGTATCGAATACCACACAAGAGACGGAAGTAAACAGACTCGCACACTTGTGAGTGACCAGGAATTTAAGTGGCATGTAACAGGAACAAAGGAACCTATCCGTATTGCAGCAATGGCAGATAACCAATTTGGCTTGAAAAGTTTTGTGACATTATTGCGGCAGATTAGTCGACATAAGGCCCCTCATTATCTTTTGCATGCTGGTGATGCAGTGCAAAAATACTCGTCGTTACGACAGTGGCAGACTGATTTCTTAGCTCCGTTGACATATTTTGGGCTTGGACAACGAGCGCCGATGATATACGCTCATGGAAACCATGATCATGATCCACGCTTCGAATACCAGTACACACGTACAAGCTCTAACAAGGATCCATGGTATGCATTTTCGCTGGCAAATGGTGCCATCCGGTTTTGTGTGCTCGACAGCAATTTAGACTGGAAACAACAAGACGAATGGTTACAGCAGGAGCTGGCCAGCGAAGAATCCCAATCTGCAGCATTTCGATTAGTCGTCGTCCATGTGCCTCCTTTCCTTGAGTATTGGGAGCCGGATGCCTGGTTTAACTTGCGCCAGAGTGAGTGGGGAGCATTTGTAAAGAATAGATTTGTACCCTTGTTTGAGAAGTACAATGTCGATCTGGTCATTTCAGGACACCAACACAACTATGAACGAGGAGAACGAAATGGTATTAGTTACGCAATTATTGGTGGTGCTGGTGGTGATCTCGACTTTGAGAGAGTTGTTGAATGGGGTATGTATGAAGCATCTATCCTGGATTTTCATTATGTACTCCTTGAGTTTGAACCACCAAACCAACTTCACGATACCTGGAGTCTTTCCTGGAATACGTATGACCTTGAGGGCCACAACGTAGACACCATGACACTCAATTCCAAGCCCTCCCCTCATAATACCACACTAGAACATCCTCTAACTTTGCAATAAATCATTTAAAGGAAAAAAAAAGGTATCGTTTATTTATTTTTTGATGATTGTAATGAAATGCTTGAATGCTTCAGATATGTACTGCCTTTTCCCTAGAGAGGCTCCTAAAAGCCACTACTCTACAACGTCATAGTTCCTAAATCTGATTCTGCATCGACAAAGAGGCTATCGTCGTCACTCTCGTCACTCTCGTTACCTTGATCAACATGTTCAACACTGTCTTCAAATTGCGTATTGTCGTCTATGGCAATGTCTTCATCTTCATCTTCATGCTTATCTTCATCTTCAACTTCATATTCATATTCTTCAAATTCCCCTTCTTCGATTTCGTTGTCAGGGTTTTCTACGGTATCAAGCTCGTCGTCTTCTTCCATGTATTCGGCTTCTATTCCCTCTTCACTCCCGCTTTCGAGCTCGTCATCAGTTCCATCTTCATCTTCATCTTCACTCTCACTTTCTTCTCTGTCACTGAATCTTAGTGATTCGGGAGCTTCATTATCATTCAATTTCTGGAACCATGCACCATCATCATCATCTTCATCATCAAATAGTGGCACATAGCCTTCGTCTTCTTCCGGACGCTGTTGTTCTTCGGATTGAATCTCGGGTTCAGCTTCCTTACTACTATTATTACTTCCTTCCATTTTTCTCTGCTCGGCTTTCTTCTTACGCTGGGTGTGGAAGTAATCATTGCTCATCCACTGTCCTGGTCTAAGGACACCTGAAGCCTTGCGACTTCCACCACCCTTTGCATGCTTATCTTTGGAAGTACTTTGGGCCACATGAGGTAGACGGCAGTTTGCATTTGAGCACTTTGCTGTCTCGGCAAATTCAGGACACACATGTACATGCTTGGAATGGCATTCCAATCCTTTGGGACAGTATCCTTCCAATGCAAAAAGCTTGCACACAGGAGCGTCAGGACTTACACTGACATGAGGGAAAATGCAGCTTTCATTTTTGCATCGTCCTCGCTGAAAGTACAAACAATGCGGCATATTATTTGCTGTAGGAGTGTGTGACAACAAGCAGTTTTGTTCTGTCTTACTACACTGTTGCTTAACAAAGCGTGGGCATATTGCTCGCCGTGATCGGTCGTGTTTGAAGGCACAATGGTTTCCTCTGGGGCATTTACCTGTAAATATCCAATCCGATACAAATCCAATACAAACCATACACACATAAACAGCATGCAAACAAAACAACAAAAACAAAACAAAAAAAAGACAAAAAGAAACGACGGAGCATTCACACCGGAAAACACCGATTCAGTAGATAGAAAAAAAAATATATATATATATACACATATAGGAAATATCCACAAACGAATTTAAAAATAAAAATAAAACACTGACCGTAGCGGGTATAGATACCACAATATCTATTCTGCCTTGTCTTGGTCTTCAGAACAAGTGAATTTCCTTCTCGTACATAACCTTCGGGCTTACGGAAAAATACCATATGTCCCTTTTTTGTTCTTAATGGTTTCCGGATTTTCAGGCTATAAAAAAACAGAAATTAGAGAAATTAGAGAATGAATATATAGGGAGTGAGGAAGAGATGTCTGGTTAAATATATTTCATTTGAATTATTATTGTTATCTTTTGTTAAAAATTAAAATTAAACTTACATTTTTGATGGCCTTGAAGGTTTTGCTGAAGTAGTCTTTAATACATCCTCTCTTACGAGTTTCTTTCCTTTTACAATAAAATTTACACCGTCCATTGTCACACGCTTGGGTACAGTACTCTTTATTGGAGCAGGAGTAGGAAGAGAAGTAGAAGCTGAGACAGGTGGAGTCGAGGGTCGGTTGAGAACAAGTGACTTATTTACACTAAATTTACTTGATGGAGTGTATGGTGCTGGGGTAGATTGCTGCTTATTTAAAACAAGAGATTTGTTCCCACTATATGGAGTAGGTGGTGTGTAAGGATTCGGTGCCTTATTCAGTGTGAGAGACTTGTTGCCTCCAAATGAGGTCGTAGGTGGATTGTAAGAATCCGATGGCTTATTCAGCGTAAGAGACTTGTTGGTTCCAAATGAGGTTGTCGGTGGGGTGTAGGGTTTGTGAACTGTGTATGGTGAAGAACGATGTGGAAATGCAGAGATCGTCATGTTTCCTCTACCTCTCCAGCCCTGGTTGCTTGGGCCTCGGTAGCTAGAGGAACCACGCCCGGTGCCTTGAGTAGCATGATGTTGTTTGATTGCACCGGTGAGCTGGGCAATGCGGGCCAAAATTTCAGCGTCGGACGACATTTAATGTGTGTATTAAAATATAATCGTCTTTAGATAATAACGGTAGTAGTAGTAGTAGCGAATAAAAAGGGAGACTGCAAAGTGGTGCAAAACAAAGAAGTGCTTAATCGTGGCTTGCAACCCTCTTATATTTTATATATGTATATGTATATATATAAAAATATATATAAAAAAACTATAGTTACGATTGTTAAATTGTGAAAGATGGTTCCGCCAATCAAAACAGAATAAATATCAAGAGTATAGAATACCTTTATAAAGATGCAAAAAAATGAAAAAAGTGGATAGGATCTAAGCCTTGGAACGATTGTGAAAGACGTAAATTTTATATTTCATCATTATGTCTCATAATATGCATATTTTTAGGTAAATTGCTTAAGAAACATAAATTTGGACTTGTTGGCTTTCTAGGTGGATTAATAATAGATTTGCTTTTAATATCTTAACGTCTTACTAATTTAAATCATGAGTATTAACAAACGTATGTACGTGTGTGTGTGTGTCACACACTAGTTTCATTTCGTAGGTAAAATGAATACTGTAATAATGTTAGAGTTTATATCCAGGGAACACCTTTTTAGACTATCAGAGTTATTAGTTTGAATTGAAGAGCATTGTATTCAACCATAAGAGTCATTAAATAAAAGACCATTTTCTTTTTCTTCCTCTTCTTCTACTCAATCCAATCAGTAGTTTCAAATAAACTATTACAATCTAAAAACAACCGTGCACCTGTGCCTCACAGCCAAAATATACTTTTTAATAAGATAGAATATAAAAAGAAGAAGCATAATCACTTTGAAGATATGCGGGTAAAAAGCCACTTGGATTTTACATATAATTATTAAACTATCAGCTAAAATAGAAGCTGTTTATTTGTAACAATAATGCACAGACAATATAACAAGCAAAGTGAAGAGATCATTATTCTGAAAAACATATTCAAATATATATATTTATTTAATTTGATTGTACACAACTAATATCAAGCTTTTACGATCAAGTAAAATAAGCAAGGAATGAAACATATTTTTTGGTGATCAATCATACCTTGGCCTAACAAATATACCATAGTTACCGGACAAAGAGCAATCCTTCGGACTGTGACGTAAAGGTCCGAGAGAGGCTTTGTCGGATTGTGTGCGGGGGATTGGGGGGTTGGTTGGAGAAGTTGTGGAGTGGCATATATTGACTTGAGAAGAACAGTCCATACAGCTTCCTTTCCATTTCGCAGAGGGTAGCGCCATGAAGGTGTGTGTGTGGATAGGATAGAGAGGCGTACTTGAGAGAGAAATTACACTTTGGATGGATGGATGAATGAACTAGAGACTGATATACCTAATTAGTTGAACATTGCCAACCCAGCCACTGGCTGCCAAAAGTTGATCGAGATTGACGATGAACGTCGTCTGTAAGTAGTCGTTTGCCAATCATATTCAATTAAGCACAGAAACACCACACCCAAAATCAAATACATACATACATACCTACACAAAAGACAACCTCGCCGCACAGACCATTCAACCTAAACGTCAATTCACCTTCACAAAACCAAATCATACACCTTCGCTATAATTCATCATTTTGGAAGACATAATACTAAGTAAATTGCCGTTTTTATTAATAGCCGCGGTTTCTATGACAAGCGTATGTCCCAGGAAGTCTCTGGTGATGCTCTCGGTGACGAGTTCAAGGGATACGTTTTCCGTATCTCCGGTGGTAACGACAAGCAGGGTTTCCCTATGAAGCAGGGTGTCCTCTTGCCTTACCGTGTCCGTCTCCTCTTGAGCAAGGGTCACTCTTGCTACCGTCCTCGCCGCACCGGTGAGCGCAAGAGAAAGTCTGTTCGTGGTTGCATCGTCGGCTCTGACCTCGCCGTTCTCTCGCTCGTCGTTGTCAAGCAGGGTGAGCAGGACATCCCCGGTCTTACCGATGTCACCGTCCCCAAGCGTCTCGGTCCCAAGCGTGCCTCTAAGATCCGCAAGTTCTTTGTAAGTTTCTCTTTTATATTAAATAACATTTGGTTTACGAACCTGGATTATATGGGTATTCAAGTACTAATAAACATTTTCTTTTACTTTTTTTCATTAGAACTTGAGCAAGGAGGACGATGTCCGTAAGTACGTCATTCGTCGTGAGGTCCAGCCCAAGAACGCCGAGAAGAAGACCTACACCAAGGCCCCCAAGATCCAGCGTCTTGTCACCCCCCTCACTCTCCAGCGCAAGAGACACAGAACCGCCATCAAGCGCAGAAGAGCAGAGTCCTCCCGCGAGGCCGAGGCCGAGTACAAGCAATTGTTGGCCAAGCGCGTCAAGGAGACCAAGGATCGCAAGATCGCCAGACGCAGAACCTCTTCTATCCAGAAGTCTGCTTCCGCTTAATTGCCCTTCTTCCAACTCCATTGTGCCACCCCTGACGTTTGTATTTTAATAAAAATGTTTTGGATCATATCATTTTCAAGATTGGAGGAAAGATATCTGTGCTTTGAGTATATTGTAATGGCAATTGAAGATGTCTACTTTTTCTATTTTCCTTTTTATTTACCATGTTAACTGATGTGGGGAGCTTAGGAGATCTGAATATCCTCTTTTATCTGATATCGTCTTTATTTTTGCTTTGGTCTTCTGGTTATTGATGTGAATGTTTTTACATCTAGTTTCATATTGATTAATATCTTAATTACTTGAGATGCATGTGTACTTCAAAACTAATGGTCGAAGAAAAGAGTATTTCGTATTGGGATTTAAACAAACTCTCCGTTTCAAGAACAGTCCCATTGACCTGGCTGCTTTAAAAAAATTAGAAATAAGATGCATGGAGATTCCCATGGGAATTAACATTTATTATTAAAACCCAATGGAACCTGTCATACAAAACCAGCCTACGAGATGCCCTGTCTGCAATGGCGAACTCAACTCATTTACAGTTGATTTCCAACAAAGTACGGTTTTTATGTGCATTAATTATAAGGTCAGTAAAACAATCTATAGGGTGTATTTAGATAAGCTCAACAGCTTAATGATTTTCTGTTTTCTCTCTTTTTCTTTTTCTTTCTTTTTACGGCCAGTGCTCATATCCATTTGAGCAACACACCTTGGGAGTATACTTCAAACCCTCAAAGGTTAAGCAAAAAAAGGGACCAAGAAAGAGAAGAGGGAAGAAAACAAAGATTGTAAGAGGAACTTGTTCATCAAGCAGCATTAATATGGACACATCTGTGACTTTTCCTGATACGTCTTTGGTGGTGGAAAGCCCTCATTTACAGATACCAGAAACAAGTAATATATCACCAATAGCAAACAACTTGTTTGATTACAATTCCGTGACAAGTCTCTCTCCAACCGATATAGGAAAAGGTGAATGTTCTCAAGATGAATTGGGCGTACACATTCATAACATCTGGTTTACTAATGTGTTATTAAATTATGAAAGAGAATCCGTTAGGAGATATTTCTGTAGTTCCTTTGGTGAATATTGACTGGCTATCAGATGAAATCAACAAATTGCTGTCTGACGAAATACCCACTGTATTTCCACTAAATGATCAAAACACAACAGAAGAAACACTTCAAACACCTCACTAAAAAAAAGACAAAAAGGACAAGAAAAGAAAAGCTATAAAACATTTACTTTTTGAGATGAATTCATGGAGGTGGTTTTCTTCTCACATCTACATCAATAGCCCTGAAAAGAGCTATTTTTCTTTTGTTTTAGTAATATACATTAGTATGTTTGATAGATTGAGATCAAACATTCCTGATTTTATATGCAAGTATATTGAATTAGATATTAAGAGTACCATTTTCTTTAAAGAAATGAAATAAGGATGAGTTGAGAGGTAGACTTTGTCAAATCATTATTCTTTTGAATATGTCACCATGGTTAATAATACACTGAAAACTGATAAATATCGAATAAATAAACTCGTGTACTGTTTACAGAAAGAAGTACCTAATATGTCTTTTGACCTTTATCTCTTTTCAAATTCACTTCATATAAGCATTTATTCATAGATAAAAGTTGGTTGTAAAAGGGTGGATTCATATAAGGGTGTTTAGTCAACTTAAGAAATCCCCACAAGCTGGGCCTTGGTTTTAACCAGAGAAACGAGACCATCAAATTCGCCAGAGTCATGGCACATTTTGTAAAACATGGAATTTGGATTACTAATCAGGTCTAAAGGGCTACAAAAAATAGTTGAATATCTAGGATCAAGTATTTCGTTTGTTTGTGAATTTTCTTACCTGGCAAATTCGATTACATTTCCTTGATCCAAAACAAGGATACGGTCATACTCAATTACAGTGTGAAGACGATGAGCAATACAAACAATAGTGCAATCAGCAAAATTTGTTGAAATTGCCTTTTGGATTGCCTTGTCTGTATTAAAATCAACACTAGCTGTGGCCTCGTCCATGAATACAATCTTGGTACGTTTGAGTAAAGCACGAGCAAGACACAAAAGCTGACGTTGACCTTGAGAGAAGTTCTTTCCACCTTCACTCACAGGTGTCGAAAGATTCCAGAATACATTGACATTGTTACTTGCAGTCTCAGAAAAAGCATTTTCTTCAAGATCTTCTTCGGGAGGAAGCAAGTGAACTCTTTTGAGAGCAGTGAGAATGGCCTGATCATCAAACTGCTTAAAAAGATCAAGATTTGATCGAATGGTTCCAAAGAACAAGGTAGGATCTATAATATTATATATATACATACTTAGAGAAAAAAGTTCTTGTTTTTTTGGACTCTTCCAAATAGTCTTTGAATAACCAAGCTTGTGATATAATAGTAAGACTACTTCTCAGATCTTCTGTCCCGATACTCTTTATATCGATCCCGTCGATAACAATACGACCTTTGGATGCCTCTACAAATCTGAAAAACGACTGTGCAAGTGTTGACTTTCCACTACCAGTTCATCCTACCAAGCCAATTTTCTCTTTTGGCTTTATGGAAAAGCTAATGTCCTTAATTACTGCCTCTAGTTCAGGAGCATAACGAATCTCAAGATTGTCCACCTGAATTTCTCCTTTGCTTGGCCACTATCAATGTGAGTCAATACAGTACTCTTTACTTATTTTCTTCTTTTAAAATATATTACCTCTATTGGTGGTCTGATGTCTGTAATTGCAGGCGCTTCTTGATCAATTTCTATGAATTCGATTATACGTTCCACAGACTAACATGCATATGAGCTTAGCCTCATTTATCTTATAAGAATATACCACAAATGTGTACTAACGTTCATGCTTAACTCGACTGAAGTGTATCTAAGAACCAAGATATACATCTACAGAACCGGACAAAAAGAAATACAGAATAAATTTTGACTGTTTTATGAGCTTAAATTTCAATAGATTTCTTTTGTAAAAAGAAAATTACCTGATCTGCGTATTCAAGTACCATGGCAAGACAGAATCCAGCTGTGGATGCATCGATATACTTCATGCTTAGAAGGATAGTAATGGCCGTGAAAAGATTAATGACAGCACCAGTTATATAAAAGCGAACGCTTAACCAACGGCTAGCTGCAACTCTGTGGAAGGTAGGCCTCAGGCAGTTATCCACGCGGATCAACATCTCGCTCATAAATTGTCTAGTAGCCCCAAATGCTCGAATTGTAGTTACACCTACAATAGTCTCTGTAAAATGGGTAAAAAGGGGAGATCTTTCCACTGAGACCATGCGCCTCAATTCCCTAGTAGCGGGCATATATCGACTCCCAATAAAACAGGTAACGGCACTAGTTATCAGCATAGGAATAGAAAACCACGGTAGAGCGAGAGAAACAACGAGCAAGGTAGAAATAACAAAAGTTGCTTGAATGGTAAAGTTTGCAAGATCAATGGGAAGCTCCGAGTCTAAAGTTTCGAAATCCTTTGAAGAACGGTTGAGAATACGGCCCACAGGTGTAGTATCAAAGAAACGCAAAGGAGTTCTGAAAACGCAGTGGAGTAGTTCGGCATATAGACTCTTGCTAGCCTGCATAGTTCCCAAGTAGAGGAATCCATAACGTATAGTAATGCATATAACAGTAACAGCCGTTAAGATCATATATGTACTCAAATACATATCAACATTATCGTCAGACGGCTTTTCTGGCAATAACTCAAACTCGGGAATCAGAGTATTACTTGGACTGACCATCATAAGAGTAGGCTCGGGATGTTTCTCTTTGGCATAAGCTTGAGACCAAAGCTTTACCCACCACACAGCATAAACTTCAAGGGCTCGGCATCCTAGGACAATAGAAGCATATACAATCCAAAACCAGGAGCTGCCAACCATTTTAAGATATTTAATGTAGTGGCGTATTTTTACATGACCAACAGCACGAGCTATACAGCACATCAATTAGTTAAGCTTTACGTATTTATATTTGCAGAAAACTTACTTTCTTGCTCAACCAAGACTCTTGGTGGATTATTTATGGTCTTTGAAGTGTCATTTTCATTCGATGGAGAGGCTACAGAACTATCTGGCGATACAATCTCCTCGACTGTCTGTTCTTCATCGTCTTGAATATTTTTCTCTTGCTCTTCACTCTTAATGATATTGTAAAGATCTCCAGAGCGTCTTAGCTCTTCAGGGGATTCAAACACATCGGCTCGGCCATTATCAATATGAACCAAATAAGCACTTCCGTTTAAACAGAGGTTTATGTGGTGAGTAACCAAAATCCTTGTGCGATTCTTCATAAGTGGGCCAATCAAGCAATTCTCATACAAGTGTTTGGCTGTATGAGCTACAGAAGCACACACAGACACAATAAGGTAAGTATGTAATACAAGCTAATTAGTGTAATCTAATCTGCATTACCATCAACAGCACTCAATACATCATCCATATAGACACTTTTGGCCCGAGAGTAGACAGCTCTTGCCAAAGCAACGCGAGCCTTTTGACCTCCTGAAAGTGTAATACCCTTTTCGCCAATCTCGGTCATATCGCCATCTTCCAGATATAACAAATCTTTAACAAGAGCACATGCTTTTACCGTATCATTGTAACGCTTCTCCGAGAAAGGGAGGCCGAATAAAATATTGTCATGGATAGAAGCGTTTTGGAGCCAGGCTATACAAAGAAGTCAATACAAATATGGTATAATGCGGATTAATAATTGCTTACGTGTCTGAGCCGCATAAGCAACAGAGCTTTCGAGGATCCAGTTTTCGGGAGAAAATGACTGCCCAGAACTTTCATTTTGTATATTCCTCAATATAGAAGATATCGGAGAGTTCACTTTTCCTTTGGTCAGAGTGGCTTCACCAAGAAGACCAAGAAGCATCAGGGATTTTCCTGCTCCAGTAGCACCAGATATTAAAGTTAGGGCATTTTTGCGGGAACTCGATATTAATATCCTTGAGAACAAAGCCTTGAGACAATGTGTTGGTCTGCTCAAATCCTTCTGATATACTCGAGGAACAACTGCCTTTGGTTTGGATAGCAGACGAAGACCAGGAAACAGTTGCTTGCTCAAAGCCAATTTTTGCTTCATTACTTGAGTTTAAAGGAGGCTGTGTGATCTCTTCTTCATTGAGATATTCTTCGATTCGCTTGATACTAGATATTGATCAGCAACTTAAAAGGTATGTAGTGTAGCAAATTGACGTTTACATATATTATAATTACCTAACCGAAATTTGCCCTAGCTGAATAAAAAGTTCTGGTAAAGCATTGAGAGCGTATCTGAGCTCGTTAAATACTGCAATAGATGTAAAAGCTGTTGCGGCAGTCAAAGGATTTCCCTGGAGGCTAGTAAATGACCAAAAAGATACCAATGTCACCAACAAAGGAGATCTATAACAAAAAAAAAGATTAGTTTGCTACTCAAAGTAAATAATAACAGCAAAAAAAATTATCTAAAGATTTACTTACCCTTTCCATACAAAGTTGAACAATACATTACTGAGATATATAAGCTTCAAATAACCAATCTCAAAATTTTTTGTTTTCATGATTCGTTTCTCCCAGTTTGTTTCCCATGCTTGAAACTTGATTTGTCGGATGCCTTGGAAAACTTCATTTAACATTGCTATACGCTTGTCGCGAACAAGCATCAAGTTTCTTTGGGCTCGATTATACATCTTGGCATTGTAATGGTTGATTGGTAATGCTATAACCAAAACCATAAGGCCAAGGAAGCATGATGCACCCATAAGCTGGTAGGCAAACAATATACCGGTCCCGAATTCAAGTGGTATAGTGAATAAAGTAAACCAAATGTTAGACACTTTAGCAATTCGCGCCGAGTCTGAGCTCATTAAGTTGATTATAGAACCGGTTAAAGCAGTTGAGCCAGGCTCTTCTTTGGGGTTCCCGCCGGTTCCTACTGCTTTATCCTCAGTACCGTCTTTCTCAACGGTTGATGCAGAATCCATTCTTGAGAGAGTCTTTTTGTATATCTCGATGTCTAACATGCCCTTGATTCTCACTTCCACCTTGCAGTTGGCCGGAAGGAAATAATATTAAGTAGTAGCTACAATATAGTGATCTAAAACATACCCCAATACCATAGTTGCGATGTTATTATACCCAGAATAACAATGCTCAATGCGAGGTAAAAAACACTGGAGAAAGTTTTGCCCATAGTTGTATCATCGACTTCTCCATCTGAGATATCTTGGACCAAAAGCAAGATCCTGTTGACAAAGTAGGCAGGTATATAAAACAGAAAGGCAGAAACAAAAGCAGCAAGTCCCTGAACTAGTAGCGATCCAGAATTGGCTACTGCGATTCTGTGTACCAATTTTTTTTCAGGATGGAGACCAAAGATTGTCATAAGATTTCGGCCTCTGTCAGAAGCCTCCAAAACTGGAAGATCTTTTTCAGACAAGCTATTTTTCTTATAAGCAGTACGGATTACAGAATAGCTCCAATTGAATATAAGGCTGCTTGCAATTGAGCAAACTTGAGAGCTTGTTACTTCTCTATTTGTTTCATCAATGAATGGCGGACCATATTCGGCCATGCCAGTGACATATACAAGATCCGTAGAGATCAGAGCACAAAGCAGGAGAGGAACCCCTTGGTAGAATGATTGACCCGGAAAATTCCAAATGGAAATGACCAGAGAATAGACAGACAGACTAAAAGTAACCAGGTATAAGATAAAGAGATGGACATTGAGCGTCCATCCCCAGTTATTTGGAAATTGATGGTTTTGAGAGAAAAGGCAAAGCACAAAAGCATAAAGCCAAGAGGAAAACACAGCTATGGTAGATATGACGTTTCCAACATCCTCGTCTGAGGGACTTTGTGGAAAGTTAGAAAGGACACCATAGAGACTTTGCCCAGTCACGATTACTAAGCCAAGAGTGCCAAAAGTGATACGAGGGATGCGAGAATTGTCGGAAAAAGGCACTGACAAATTGCGTTTTTGATCTTTGTAGAGTAAACCTTCATGACCAATTCCATCCTCAGGCTGTAATTGAACCTCTTGGTACTGAAAACAACGCTGCACTACGCCAAAAAAAATAGGAGTTTTAGAGGTGGTTTCACAGGTGGTTCCGGAGGGGAAGCCAGGGCGCGTTTTGTGTCCTCCCCCCTTTTTTCCAACCCTGAGTTCATGTGCATTTTAATACATCTCCGCTTACCGGTAGTTTTAAGATTCTATTAATATATTGATACCCTTTTCTTTTGCTAATATTTGTCTTTCAATTGGACAAAACTTCTTTAAGTATAGTTGAAATATTATATGCCATTGGTTACTACTAATTCATTATTCTTTTAATTTAGATTCTTTTAAATATTTCTTGCTTAATCATTGTTTTTATTGGATAAGACATAATTGCACTGTAGTGTATTTTATAAAAATACATTTTTATTGGTTTCTCAAATGGATATATTTTTTATTTATCGTTTTTATTGGTTATTACACTACACAATTACATTTTATATATCACTTTTATTGGCTGTTATGATAGACATTACATTTTATACATCATTTTTATTGGTTATAAACAGTCAAATACATCATATACTTCCAATATTAAATATACTACTTTACACTGCAGTGGATAGTTACTTACAATTGCCTCCTTTGACGGCCTTTCCAGAGATGACTGACTCTTGCAATGGATGCCCAATTTTGATGGCATCTGGTGAAATCTATACCAACCCTCTTAAGCATGTTTGCATGTTTATTGCAAATCATTGTTCGATCACATCGCTGGTGAGAATCCAATTCCTGCCAGCACAATGATACAGCTTCCTCTGGGTAGACAGCTTGCAGTTGCTTTGGCCAACGACCGCACCAGAAAAGAGATGTTGTATCGCCACCATCATACGCAAAAGGCTGATGGCAGCATTTCCGATGTCTTTGACGGACAGGCATACCAGTCAAAGAAGCCTCTTTTCTCGGGTGAAAACGACATCGCCATTTCGCTGTTTGTTGATGGGTTTGCTCCCCATAGTGTTCCGGGTTCGGTAACCATTGTCCACGTTACCAACCTCAACCTTCCCCCAATGATCCGCTACGAGCGCAGCCGTATGATCCAAGTCGCGATCATCCCTGGTCCCAAAGCACCCGCCGACTTCTGGTCATTCCTGGAGCCTGTTCTGAAAGAACTTCGGGTTCTCCAAGCCGGTGGAATGGTTGTGAAGACACCATCTGGAGATATTAGTGCAAAAGTCCATGTACTAATGACAACTGGCGACATCCCAGCTCTGGGAAAGATGGCTTGTCATGTGGGCCATATGAGTAAGGATGGCTGCCGCATCTGCCACGTTGTGGGTCAATCTCCTGGCCATGGCCAATATTTCCGAATGCCATCTGCCATCACCATGCGCACACCGGAAAGTTTCAAGCACTTTGATGAGGTGGCCTCATCCAGCAAAAAAGGGTTAACTGGCCAATCTCCCTTCTCCTTACTGGATTCCTTCTCTGGTCCGTTCTTCTTTGCATTGGATGAAATGCACGGCATTTGTCACGGCATTGGCAAACAGGTCTGGGGGCTCGTGTGTGGCAAGTATGGAAAAGATCATCCTCTCTCTCTCCCTTGCTGCTCAGAAAGAAATTGGTACTGCCATGGTGTCAACCAGAAGAAGTATTCCGACATCTTTCCACGGTGCATGGATCAACATCGCAACAAGATCAGGGTACTTCCGGGCTGTGGACTGGGCTGACTTCATCTTGTTTGTTATCCCCACGCTTGTGGCAGAGCGTGTCCGTGACCAAGCTGCCCGTAAGGCATTGCTTGACCTGGTGCAGACATGCAACCTACTCATGAGCTGGGAGTTATCAGCAGAGGAGAAAACTTTGATCAAAACGTAAGCTTTAATTATAATTAATATTATTATTTTATAACTTGTGTTAACTTATCTTTTTTTTTTTAGAAATCTCGTCGCATGGAATGCGTATCTGGAAGCCTCGCTAGCTAAAGGAGAGGTCCAGCTCAAGGTCTTTACGATCAACCAGCACCTCCTGCAGCACTATCCCGCAATGATAGAAGCGTATGGTCCCCCCAGAGCGTATAGTGCACGATCTGTCGAGAGGGCGATTGGGGAATACTCGCGAGCAATAAAGAGTAATTCGGCAATTGGAATCAACGCTGGCAACATCATGCTTGGCTTGACACATATTCGACAGATGAGAGTTGAAAATTCAATAACGACAACAGCAACAGTAACAGCAACAACTCTCCTTCAGTATGACGATCCCTCTGCTGGTTGGCCAATTGACCGAGAAGGTAGTAATGTTGGTACTGATTCTGACATTGAGTTCTGGGGGCCTTTGAGGAACAGAACGATTGTTGATAGTTTTGGAGGCATTTCTTGTCTTCCAGAGCTTCTTCAAAAGTTCTACGAATCAAAGGGGGAAGAGTGTAGTATGATTGAAGCAGCCATTAAAACAAGCCGTAAGGCATTTGTAAATGGTTGTGTTATTGACTCTGCACTCGACCATAATTGTGTAAGAGAGGCACATAACGTCAGACTTCAGGTTCAGGTTGATGAGAACCGCAACATTGGGCAAAGCTACTCTCCAGTCTACAAGGATTTCTTTGGGAATGTCGTCGTTTTCTTTGAGCACAAGCTCAACAACAAGAGGTGGCCGCTTGTCCTTGTCAATGTTTATGCAGTTCGTTTGGTAAATAGTATACCAGCAATCAACAATGGGCAAATGAAGCCAATGGTAGTTCACCTGGCAGATGTCAAAGAATTAGTTGGTTTGGTGAAGTCGGACGCGACTATAAACACAATAACAACAACAGCAACAACATATGTAGTGTGGCCAGAGCTTAACCGCGGCCCAAAACTGTCACTTGGTTCTCTTGCAGACTTATAATTTTTTTTTTCTTGTAATACATTATTTTTTTTCAAATTGTCTTAACATATTTTATCCTCCCAGCAAAAAGTTTAGATATTTTTCTCTCTTTTACCTCTGACTTTTAATAGTCATCAATTGCAATCTACATTTACTAAAAATGTAAAATCTGTAGTTAAAATGTACTTTTGTCTATCAGGAGATTTAATTTTAGGTGGTCAATCTGCTTTTTGTCAACCTTTTCAAAAAACAGAGATTTTCTAGTTTCAAATTGGATTTTTGGTGATTTTTTAATTATTATAGGCCAAAAACAAAGTCACAAATACAAAAAACCGCCCCTATTTGTCGTAGTGTATATATATATATTTCTTTTATAAAAAACCCCCCGGGAACTTGGGTTACTTATTTTGCGGCATATTGCCTTTTGATTTGGTACGACCTAAATCCTATTTTTTTTTAAAATATATATATATATTACCCGAATACGTACACATTTAAACATTGTAGATCAACTCCTCTTTTGTGAAAAACGTTGTCTCTGGAGCGCACCAAGAATTATAATTAAGCTTGAGATAAATGCTTACAATTATTGCAGACATATTCCTTTTGTATTTCATGAGTTTGGTTTGTATACTTTAGATAAGCCCAAGCGTTCAGGGGAAAGTTCGTTTATTGCCCTGTAATTAAGATATTAGTATACTTGATCTTCATTTGACGTGTCAATGTTCTCGACAATGTGTAGGGTTTTCTACTGAAGCTTACAAATCAAACGGGGCAGAGCGGGAACGAATAAGGTTTCGCTGCCTAAAATAATTAGTGACCGTCCCAGCGATTCCCGAGCGTCGTCACATTCCGTATTTTTCTCTTGCATATATAAGATGCCTGTATTTTCTTGCATTATTTCTCATCGTACTACTCTCACAAACACTTCATTATTACCATGGCAAGCAAAGTAAATGTTGGTGTTATTGGCTTCGGTACGTAAATCCAAATCAAATTATATATATACTTATACATACACATAAATTCAGGCTTTTCTTCTCAGACATTCCATTGTCCTTTGATCGTCTCATCTCCACACCTTAATTTGGCTGCTGTGGTTGAGCGTCATGGAAACAAGAGCAAATCGGTTTATTCCGATGTACATGTTGCCAAGTCTACAGATGAGCTGTTTGATATGGCCAACATTGATCTTGTCGTCATCACAACCCCAAACGACTCTCACTTTTCGTTGGCCAAGTCCGCCATGGAAAAGGGAAAGCACGGTATGTAATATATATATATAATATATATTGGTTTTATTTTTTAAAATTAAAAATATATGGTAAATGTGCGGGATCTAAAAACAATGAAATTTATCTAGTTGTTGTGGAGAAGCCTTTCACCGTAACCTTGGCTGAGGCTGAAGAACTTGCCAAAGTATCCAAGGATACCAACAAAATCTGCAGTGTATACCAGAACCGCCGTTGGGATGGTGACTTCTTGACTGTCAAGAAGCTCATTGCTAATGGCCATCTAGGTCGTATTGTTGAATTCGAATCCCACTTTGACCGTTTCCGTAACTTTGTCAAAGGTGGATGGAGAGAAAGTGATGCGCAGCCTGGATCCGGCATGCTCTACGATTTGGGCGCCCATTTGATAGATCAATGTAAGAAACCAATTCTTCTCTTTTTCTTTAAAAAAAAAAGAAACATAGCTAGTATTCATTTGCTTATGTGTTTTTTTTTTTGGTATTCTTAGCTCTTAGCCTGTTTGGCCTTCCTATTTCTGTATATGCCACTCTCACAAATCAGAGACAGCTTAAGGAATCTAGTGTAATCGATGATTTTACCATCATTCTTCAGTACGCTGGTGGATTCAAGGCGGTCTTACGCTCTAGCATGCTTGCTCGTCAATCCCCTGTCCTGCGCTACAATGTCCGTGGTATGAACGGCAACTTTGTCAAGCACTACTTGGATGTCCAGGAAGATCAGCTCAAGGCTGGATTGGTTCCTACCGATGCTCCTTATGGTGTAGAGAGCTCTGAAAGATGGGGTTCAATCAATACAGACATTTCAGGTGTTCACATTGTTGGTCAGGTTGAGACTGAGAAGGGTGCCTATCTTTCATTCTATAACAACGTCGGTCAGGCCATTCTCAAGGGCGATAGAGAATACTTGGAAGTCAAGCCTGAAGATGGTGTCAACTGTATCCGCCTGATTGAACTTGCTCAGCAGAGCAGTGATGAAGGCCGTGTCATTAATTTGTAAATAGTAATAAAGACAATTCAGTAAAGAAATCAAATCGGTATCAATTATTTCCGTCCAAAATATATCTATATCTATTTAAAGAGCTTAATTATGATTTGATCCTTTGTAAGTATAATTTAGTGGCCGTCCTTTTCATCTTATTTTACCTAACCTTTCTTGCCCTATTTTCTTCTTAGTGAGATATAGACTTTGACATTTCACATATGTACATTATAAATTATAGGCAACAGAAAATTTATGAACAATTTATTAAAGAACATTAATATACATATAACTCATGTTTTTGGGTGTTTGTGTACAAAAATTCTACAACACATTGCTGTGAATTTTTCTTTTCTTTTCTTTACTTTTTGAGGTGTAAAATAAATAAAAAAAAGGGGGGGAGATAGAGTTAATTTTTGGATGATACATATATAGAGATACATTAAATGAAGTGACTTTTACAGTGAGAGAAGGGGATATCGAATGTTAAGATTTATACATATGGAATAGGCTGTCAAGAGATTAATTCTTTTTATGTTGAGCGGTAAGATGCTGGTCGAATACAGACAGTGAGGGAAGGATGATCAAAGATGAGGGCATCCAAAACCATTGTCTTTGGCGACAGTCGATATGATCGAAGATTCAGTTCATCTTCAGTGGGCTCTGAAAGACATGATTCGTAAGAAATCGAGGATGAAGATGAAGAGGAAGGTGATATCATAGAGGGTAGAGAAACTGGCTCTTTGGTCTTATTGTGCCGGAGTGCTTTTTTGATAGAAGCAAGGATTTGCAAACAGTTGCTTCGACGTGATTTGCTTTTAGACTCGGCATTTTCTGTTTCTTTAGTGGTTGGGCAGTGTGCTTGACGTTGTTGGCACTTTGCGAAAATACGTTGCTGAATAGAAAATAGCTGCATGGTAAAGTATTGAAAGTATGTGAGGTAGTATTGATGAGTGTAATAAAAAGTAAAATTTAAAAAGTAGAGTCTTTATATACTCGTCAACCTGATTCATGGACATGAGATACAACAATGGACAAAACATGCCTCTTCTCAAGCATATTTCCATATACTGCCATGGCCAAAGGGGGAGTTGGATCTCATCGTTCGTATCTATCGGAAAATACGCATCAGATCTTGATCCACAAAACCTTTGATCAGATCCATGATCTGCTCCTGTCGAAGGATTTTGATGAACGAGCTCTCCTCTTTTGCCCTATAGACGTCACGGTATCTTGAACTTTCTTAACTCCTAAAACAATTTCATATCTTGTAACTACTCCTTTCTGTGTAACTGCAACATTATATGGATATGAGGCTAATTTTTCTTATGGCTTTATCGTAGGTTTGCCTGAACAATAAGAGGTAGTCTTTTCTATACTATTATTTAAAAGCAAAAAACTTCTTAGTCTACCCCCAAACACAAGTAAGTGTTGTGTAATCATTTATCATTAACGTGTCAACATTATAAAAAAAGTCGGTACCTTTAAAATGGAGATTGTAGAGTAGGAGATAAAGGTTTACCCGGCTTATAAAAAAAAAGATTCTAGTATTTCACCAGCTCTCAAGGTTTTAATATTCAGTGATGTGGTTTAGTAATTGGATGAAAATGATCTAATTTTTAGATTTTTTTTTAGGAAAAGGGTAATCTATTATATTAGATCAGCAAATCATGAAAGTTTCTTGAAAGCTCAAGAACTGGTGAGATAATTCTATTATACATATTGCTTTGCAAAATTACAATACTGTTGTGGTAAAAATAAAGGCTGAACACAAAAGTCTCTTAAAACTATTTTAAAATCACATAGACAGAATATTCAAACAGCTGTACAATCCTTTCCCAAGAGCATGAAAGTGGTATTTAAAATTAGTAGACCCTTGTTTTACTTTGTCTTTTAAAGTAAATAAATAAAAATAGAAATTATTTAATAGAGATTGTACCTCTTGATGGGTTACTCTATTGCTCCAAGTGTAACATCAAACCTAATGTACAACTTTAACCACTCATAGTTTTTCTCTTTTCTCTCTCTCTCTTACCTTCTGATAATATCTTTTATTCAAATCCATAGTTCCGTCTTGTTCTCTTTCTTTGTACCTTTGTCTCGTCCTCGTTATTATGCTGGCTTCAGAGCTACCTTTTGAGATTCTTTCCAGAATTTCAGATTTCCTATTTGTAAACGATCGACTTAATTGTGTTCTTACTTGCAAGTATTGGAAAACCCCGTTTCAGCGATCACTCTGGAAAAGCATAACAGTCCGTTCGTTGGAGCATGTGTGCAAGCTTCGCGATGCCGTGGAGTATCCGCCAAATGGGCTTGCGTACGGATCACTAGTCCAAGACATAACCTTTCGTATGCGACTTGGTTTAATTATGGTGCAGATGAATAATTTTTTTCAGATGTTTCCAAACTTAAAGTATCTTGATATGGGACATATATCTTTTGCGCCCCTTCACGCAGTGGTTTCAAAGCACAGTGATTCATGGAAGTCGTTAGTAAGCTTGACGTTTCAATACCCGCCCAGTAGCCGAAAAGTACCAGTGTCAATCTTTTTTGACATTCTGACATATTTTCCAGGCCTTCAAACGATAGATATATTTCCACAACATGATGGGACAAAGTATTTTCTTTTTAACTTGGATAATTTTAATACTCTCCACAAAACCTTACCTAAGTTGAAATCTTTCAAGCTCTTTTTAAAACTCGCTGATATCCAAGAACATGATATACAGATGATCCTCAAAACGAAACCAGAATCTTCTATAAAAACACTCTATCTCAACTTGGGTCAATGGGAAGACCTATGGCTGTACTATTTAAGCTACAAGTATCCAAATCTACGTACTTTGGGGTGGTATGTCTCAAGTGGAACCACATCAATGCCTATCGGAGACTACAGCGGAAGAGAGGTACTTGTCCAATCTTCAATTAAATGCCACTTTCCCCACCTGGAAACAATCGATTTTTGCTCTTCTGAATATACCGCAAAGTGGGATAATATTTTCTGGGATTTGGTTTTCCAGTCAAATGCTCCAATCAAGCATTTAAAATACAAAATCGACCATAGCAACTTTGAAGCGATTTTCCTAGAAACGAATATTCGACAGCTTCTACCAGAACTTTCTAAAACACTTGAAACTCTTGTCGTTGTGGGATATAAAACTTTACAAACTCAAGATATCGCAAGGCCAGAATTCTCTTACTGTCCACATTTGGTGGAAATCAAGATCATAAACTGTAAAGTATCAATTGCGTTGGTCAATCTATTGGATAGCTGTATAGCTCTGAGACGATTAGAGTTTTGTGGAGGGCAACTGTGTATTGGTTCAGATACAGATACCGATACATATACGGATGGAAAGCCTAAGAAACATGGACTCAGAACTTTGGATTTAAACGATATTGTTGCAGACGCTTCTGTATTCAGCTATATTTCCTTTTGGTGCAGAGATTTGGAGACTATGGAACTGGCCAAAGCTAGAATTTATGGTTCGAAATCTAACGAAACTATGGTCCTGAACATCGACATGCAATTTACCAGCTTTAAACTATTGAGACTTGACCATGTTAAATATTATTTATCCGACGATCTCATGAATAAAAATACTACGATCAACATGGTTTTGCTGTCTCAGCTAAGTGGCATTAAGAAGTCCAAGACAAGCCAAGAAAATGTGAATATAAAATCTGATGTGGACCATCTAGCTTGGTTCCACATTTTCTCTAAAGTAAACGATGCAGACAACAATTCCGCAGATATAAAGCAGCTTTCAGAAGAAGAAGCCTTTAAAATCACCAAGTATTATAATGATATCCACCTCAAGTCAAATAATGATGTACAAGAAGCCAAAAGATATATTCAAGGACAGGTTCACAAGGAAGATTGGCAAGAAGACCTTTCTAGAGGTTACGTCGAGCTGAAGTGTGGCCGTATAGTTAAATATAGTATACCACTACTTTGAACAAATGAAAAAAAAGAATTGTAGGAACATACTAATAAATCGTAAAATCTAATCAATAAATATGCCATATATACCAGTGGTCATCATAAAACATCAACACTACTCTATACTACACTTTTATTTTTATTTTATTTCTCAAACCTTTTCTCCTTGAAATTACACCACGTCTCACCAGATCAACAGCAACAACAAAAACCCTTGCCAAGAAAAGCAGCTTTTAGATTATGAAAGAAGACTAATAATCGGCGGTGCTATTATAAATGGATCACCCACTGACATATCTGAGAAGAATGATATACCTCCATAAACGGCATATATTACAATCAAGATTTGGAGAGATACTGGGATAGATTTTCTTAAGAAGCAAAAAAAAAACTTTGAGGATGGCTATTGAATGAGCTCAACACCATTTGATTATTGACATCAAGACGAATCGTAACACAACTCTAGGAGGTCTTAATAACTTCAAGCCAAGCACCTTGGTACATTAGATCTTCAAGTCTACCATTCGCTGAATTCTTCATAAACCCGGATTGTATTTCCGTAAAACACCGTACATACGACTATTAACAAATGCACACAAGAAGAAGTGATTTCTTTTTAATTACACCAGAGAGACTAATCAGATGTGACGATTGCGTCATCTCGAGTGATGAGTCAAGATTTACGCTTTTTGGCAAAGGTGGGAATACTAGAGTGCGACAGTATCATAAAAGAAGCGACTTCAATTTATGTGAGCTTTTGATTGGAACAATGTCTGAGAGTTTATCGTGCAAAGGAAATAGTACCTCCTGTCGAAAATTTTAATTTTGTAGAAGTGGAATAAATACCAAAACTTGACAGTGATAGTGTCGCTTTCCAATAACCCAAACCTCAGCTCCATAGAAAATTTATGGTCATATCTTACCAGAAGAGTAAAGGTAAGAGCCCCATCTATAATAATAATAATAAACTCTTAAGAAGTTTGAGACGGCTACCCATGCGGAATAAAACAGTATTCTGGCTCAAATTTCCAAGACTAATTTCATGTAGATTCCTAATTGCATACATGAGATTAAGAAGGATTATGAAAGGGCCACTACACTATTTTTAAATAAATTTAGCTTTTTTCTTTTTTTCTTTTTTTCAAAAACTATATATTTGAATTTATGCGTTCTCATAAGTGGGTTTGAGACATGGTATGTTGGTTTGTGTGGTGTAAGAGTTGGTAAGAAAAAAGGTACGAATAAGTAAAAGGGGTGGTCAGATCAACACTCATAGCCTTTGCAACGAATAGCAGTGCTATTCATATCAAGAACCAGGGAAATTTAGGATTATATAGTATTTTTTTCTGAAATAGATTGATAGCAGGTCATTAAGATACTTTAATAATTTTAATAATAATATTTGGGGTAATTGAATATGAGTAATTGTGATAATTAGAACGGGAAGATAAAACTATGGAAAGAAATTTGATATGAGCAAGTCATGAAGTAAGTAAAAATAAGGAGATACTTAAGATAGAATATATTTGGAAGCTTGTTAGACTGTTACTCGCGTTGACCAGGTATGGATATATCAAATGAGTGTGGCGGAAAACCGACTGTGTCAGGTTGTTAGGTGAAAGCAGACCGACTAAACTAAGAAAGACAAAGAGGTTGTACTATTAGTTTCTCATAAACTGATAACCATGATGGCCATTATTGCTACGAGTCTATATACATATACATACCTTGGTTATAAAAAAAGACTCGACAAGATTTCAATACTGAATAGTGTATTGAAAAATGATTTATATACTTTTAAAGTATATCCGATATATCCCAAAAGTAAAAAAATAAAGATTTTTTTGTCAAGACCTGCGCTTGAAGGCCGATCCACTCAAGTTTACACCCAAGCTTCTCAACAACCCTCATTCCTGCCTACTCGGCATGGCATCAAATTTACCATGACGGCAAAGTATCGGTGAAATGCTTTAATGCCAAACTGCTCGGGACAGGTGTCTGAGACACCCAAGTGAACAGCATAGCATTTACTTAGGCACCTTAACTTTGCTTCGGGTTCGTCCCTCATGTCCAGTTCTGTTTACCAGAGCGTGGGTTACAAGTATCAAAGTCTAAGCAATGAGGGACTTGAAAAGCACAGGGATCATTTCAACAGGAAGCAGTAAAATACAGGCGATTGTACTGGGTAATCTGTCGATTCTGCTGGAATCTACCTGTATTACCTCACGTCCAGGTGCTCAACGAATTTAAAAAACTCTACGCATCCAGGTGATACACCCTTATACTTGCACCTTTCTGTGACAATCTTGACATGCCCCGAAGGACAAAATCTGGAGAGCCAATATCCAACGTCCTAAGAAAATAGCATAAAGCTACTTCTGCGTTCCTCAGTCTTCTCCATGTTATGTGCCGCACAACACAGAAAAAACTGACGTGGATTTCATCCGGCTTTCGCCTTCATATGAGTGGCTCAGGAAGGTCTTTAACGTCCAGTATGCTCTACACTAAGAGCTACTTTCCCTTACGGTACTTGTGATCAGTTGGTTTTTTATAAGTATATTTAGCCTTCGATGAAACTTATCACCGGGATTAGGGAGTTTGTAAAACAACCCGACTCATCGGAAGCTACTTAACACAAAGACAAGAACTCAAGACAAGGTGAGGGGATTTCACCCTCCAGTAACCTTTTCCATGGAGTGAAGGCTACTGACTTGTTGGTATGCCTGGAAAAGCAGTTCACTAGTTCACAATCCAAAGCAGTCAAAAGACCACTCCGGTTCAAACATTGGAGCTTCTCCATCTCAAACAATAAAGTCCAAGACGGAATCCCTTTTGGTTTCTTTTCCACTGCAGTAAATGCAGGTAGAATCACTCAAAGTACGGACCAATTTTAGGCCATGGTACCTTGAGCGAACTCAATGACTAGACGCCAAAGAGCGCAGTGCGTTCAATAAAAAAACCAGAATCTCATATTAAGACAAGCCCTATAAATAAGGCGTCTACAATGAGCGAGTTGGAAATGAGCCCGGAAACTCATTGTTAAAGACCATGATATACACATTTTGCATGAAAATGTTTACGTATATTCCTTTTGATATATCGTGACCGATAGAATACGAGGTACTCAGTGACCACTCCAAGAGTAGAGATATAAATAAAAATCGAGTATAAGGTTAATATACTTATTGTGTCAAAGTGTGTGCGCGTGTGCGCGTTTACTTACCTAGCTGTTAACTGCGAAGGGTGTAAAATACTGAGCTGGTTCTCGGTACACCTCTCCATAAGCATACTTTGAACACTATCAAGAGAATAAAGTAATATAAAAGTATAAAGTGAGTATGTTAATTGAGTCAAAGTATGTATATATTGACTTACCACTCAGTGGACCATACATGGTATGAAGGCACCATCAAAAGAATGGTGGTTAACAGCTAAACAGAACTAGAAACTGCAATAGAAAAAAAGAAAACATCAAATCATAGTTAGCGTGTTGATCGTGTCAAAGTATGTGTGTATGTACGCGTTTACTTACCTAGTAAACAGCAGCGGAAGGCTTGAAAAGTACTTGTGCTAAAAAGCAAGACGGGACGGGACACTGGACACTGTGATAAAATAAAAGAAATATCGAATCATAGTTAGTATATTGATCGTGTCAAAGCGTGTGTGTATTTACTTACCTAGCAGATAACTGCATAGGGTTTAAGAAGTACTTGTGCTTAAAAGCAAAACGGAACTGGACACTGGACACTGTAATAAAAAAAAGAAAACATCGAATCATAGTTAGTGTGGTGATCGTGTCAAAGCATGTGTGTGTGTGTATTTACTTACCTGGTACATGAACTTGACATGAAGGACCTCTCCGTGGCTACAGTGGAATGGATGCTGGGCATAGAGGACAGAAAAAAAACAGGCACAAGAAAACACTGTGCTGTAGTTAGTATACTGACCGCGTCAAAGTGTGTGTGTGTGTGTATGTATGTATATAATACTTTACCTGCTATTAGACTGGACATCGGCTTTGGAACTTAGCTAGAAACCGTGTCTGGGGTGCGTTTCCATGGTACATATCAGTATGGGCCTTATACAAATGGAAAGATATAGGCTTTTCAAGACGGTTTTCTTACCGTGTCGGAAACCAAGGACCACCGAAAGGAAACCAGGAGGAAGAGGGGGAAAAACAGGAAATAGGGAATTGTACCGATTCTTATATGAAAAAAATTGGGGATTGCGCAGCACTGGAGGCGTAAACTGCCTATTTTGGGCAAATCAAAACAAATTCATATGAAAATTTATGGGGTTTTATGTTTTCAGTAAAATCTCTATGTTTTTTTTTATATATATACTACTATCATGGACATCTTGGTATTGGTTTATACATGCCTTGGGTATTAGATTGCCTTAAAGAACCTTTATATATCTTTTGGGAAATACGTTCTTTGAATAGCTTATACTCACACTACTTACAATCATGCTTTTTAAAATATTCGAAACAAATAAAAAAAGTCTCTGTAACCTTCCGACTAAAATTGTCTACTTTCACTTAACAGAACATCTCGAAAGGTATAGACATAAAGAAATATTACTACTTAGATAACAGTAGCATGTACTTATTAAATAAATTGATATTTTAACAGCTCTCAAATGTATTTTTTATTAGAGTTACGAAACTTTACATATATATGAAATATCTTTTGCAAACTACAAGCATACAGTTTTCTCTTAATTCTGATTGAATAAAATACTACTATTATAGAATCCACTTACATTTCTTGGCTAATGCAGCTTATTCTTTATAGAATTATTCTTAAAAGCAAATATAAGGTGTGTATATGGGATAACAAAAGCATAAGAAAAGAAAAAAGTAACTGATAGAATATGTCTTTTCAGCACAGAAATATACGTATATTGTTGTAGCATACAACGCAATGAACTAGTATTAAAGTTCTTTAAGTCTCTCTTTTCAAAAGAAAAGTGTATTAAATACTTTACAGACCACTGTTACTCTCCAATAGTATTTGTATTCTTACCACTTCAAACACACAAATATACTCTCGCACTATGTCTATTTTCCTGATTACACTATTACTGACAGCTTTTAGTGGAAGTAGGTTGATTAGTTTCTTTTTATGTGCGCAATCATGCTCACCTAATACTCTAGAGAGCACACACTGGCTGTGAAGCTATATACTTTGTGGAACTACTGGATCAATTTGTAAATGGTTTTCACACACTACTCTCAAAATTGAGATAGATGGCTGCCTGAACAGTATTGGTTTATAATATATAAAACAAATCATCCCCTTCCCCCCTTTATTGCTGTCAGATTGGATCTTTTTCTTGAGGCAGATATATATACTTCTATATTTATATAAGGATATATAGTTTAATAACAAAAGTTAGAAAATGGTAAGTACAATGGTCTCGAGCTGTTTTTGAGTAGATAAATTCGAAAGAAAGTATTTATCTAAAATAATGTGAGCCAAGGTAAGTATAAAAATATATGGCTTGGAGCTTCCTTCCTTGTTTTGGAAGTATATTTTAGAAGAGCGAGATAGAATGTCTATACTTTGATAATAAAGTAATAACGTCAGAAAAAGTACTAACTCCTACAAAAAGTTTTGAAAAATATTTATCAGATCATAATTTTAAGGTATCATAGTCAACTCAAAACTTGTGCTACAGCTGTGTTAAGCATATCTGTCAAAGGTTTAAAACAAAAGTCTGGTAGACCAAAGGTAGGTATAGAACGTGTAGGAAGGTTGAAATGCTCAGACATAATGTGTGTGTGATGAAATGGGTAGCAAGCTTTCATTACTTTTTAGTAACAAGTATAATAAATACAATTACAGACCATAATATATCCCAAAGTCGGTCATAATCATTTTGATTCATTTGTTTATCATTATATTTATTATTGTATATACATATACATATTTAAGTGTATATTTTTTATCTTTCAAAATATCCAAGCTTTATCACTGATAATTAGTATTGTTTTGAGTAGTCCCACTTATACTAATGATCCTTATAAATTTTATATATGTAATCAACAAAAGCAAGCAATGCTAAAAGTCTCTCTAACTCTCCTCGTCCTATCTTGTCTACCCACTTTCAACCATTAATGGCATAACTGAAAGATCACATTTAATCTAAGTAGGTAATTATTATTGTATACTCTAAAAATGTTGAATTTATAGTGGAAATAAAAAAATTGCTTAAAAAAAGGATCATTATGATCAAAATAATATATTCAGAACAAAAAATTGGGTATATATCCAAATTGATTAAATGAATAGCTGTTGCACTTTTAAATAATCTAACAAAGCATACTAAGATCCGTCATAAAAATGCTGTTTGAAATTGCTTGCTTAAATATTGATAAAAAAAAATCGACAATTTTCACTAAAAAAAACATTTAATAATATAATTTTGGATATTTGTACCACACGGTCATGTTTTATATCAAATTTTCCTCAGGACATACATCTCCAAAAAGAAAACTTTATTAGGAACCTCTTCACGTACATAGAAGAATATCAGACCTTAGTGCCATATTAACTCTTGGCCTTGTACAAAGCAGTGAAGTTTATGTATGTTACTCTGGCTATATATATATTACTAAATTATCACACATAATTTAAGCTTTACTCATAGTTATCAGATTTATGGAGTGTTTATGTAACTATGGCTGATTGATATGCCTTATATGTGCTCTTATATCTAATTCTATTTAAAAGTTTATACATTTCTAAGATGTAATTTTTACTTTTGAAATACCCTCCCAACACATTTGTTTCACTTTTTGGCTGTAAGAGCATAATGCTTTGTATCAGAAATAAGGTTGAGTAAAAATTGTCTACTATTCCTATTATAACATGTTACTATCAGTTATAGTACGGTAATAAGCATTTTGTACCACTTAGATATTAGTACTGGGTACCCATTGCTATTATTAAAAAACACTATTTAGGACAATACTTCAGCAAGCCAGTTGATTTTTACAAGACTTGGTTTAAAATTGTGTAATGTAAAATATGTATTTCAAGTGACTGGACCTTGTTCACCTTGTATCAAATATTCAATATGCTAATTACCAATTCTTCCTTAATTATGTTGATCGACTAGCTTTTTATGTCTAAACATTAATTTGTGGAGACTCTTTTTACTCTAACCTTACTTAATGCTGTATAGAAACATTAGAGTAATCGTATTATTTCTTTCTTCTTTCAATTTCAATTTTTTGACCTTGGTAGCTCCCTAGTATTTTTTACATAGCTCATTAAATCCAACTCTACATTATGAGAAAAGATTCATATTCTATTCATAGCATGAGCAGCTTTATTGATTATTTTGAATGGTTAATAATAGTAACCAATAAAGAAACAAAAGCAAAATTAGGAGCAGATTTGATGAAAGATACGTCTTTTGCATGTAGTTATTTTTAAAGAAAATACTATATTTACTGCGGCCTGTACTTCTTGATTGTTACCCCACTATGTCGTTATAACAACACATCTCATTAATAAAAATTTTAACAATCCACGATCTTTTCGATTTGTTAAACTTCCCACTCAAACTTATAGTTGTACCGTGCTCTCTGCTATCTTTTTATTTCTATCATGCTGGCGTCCGAGCTGCCTTTTGAGATACTTTCTCTTGTTAGAGATTTTCTACTTACATGCGAAAGATTTCAATGTATTTTTGTCTGCAAACGATGGAAAGTCCCGTTTCAAGAATCATTTTGGAAAAACACCGAGGTCGACACTTTGTAAGAGCTTGAAAGTATTTGTACTATTGTAAAGTATTTGACTAACAATTTTCCATATGATCTCATAGCACAGACATTGATCATTAACGGACAATGTACTTTAAGCAACATGATGCAGAGCGATGCTTTTAAAACATTTCAGAATTTGAAGCATCTCGTTTTTCGGTGTATATCACTTGATAATTTTGACATCAGAAATATAACTTATAACTACCTATGATAATACTTAATCAGCGTAAACCTTCGAATCGAGACTTCAAAGCTTAACGTACCAACACCGATTCTCATTAAACTCTTGACGAACTACCCCAGCCTCAAAAAGATAAACGTTTCCACACATTCTTCGACAAAATTGCTTAATTTCAACTTGAGAAACTTTAATACACTACACAAGCGATCTCTACAACTTGAATATATCAAGGGATGCTTTAGTCTCACTGATATTCATCAGAATTTGATAAAAACAATCCCGTCAACTACACCAGCTCTTCATGTAACAACACTTGATCTCGACCTCCTAGACTGGGACCATTTATGGCTATATTACTTCAGCTACAAGTATCTAAACCTACCTACTTTGAAATGGAAAACCATATGTGCACCAAGGAAGCGGATTGTTAAAAAGTACAATGCAGAAAAAATGGTGCTCTTAAATTCACTTCAAAGTGTGTTCCCACACTTAGAAATGGTGGATTTCTACACCAAAGACCGTACGGCATAGTTACACACTTTATTTTGGAAGCTCCTTTGTCGGTTAAATGTTCCATTGAAGAGAATAAGATATATGATAAAATTCAGTGGTTGTGGACCAAGTTTTCTTGGAATTATCATTCAATGATTTTTCCAGTCCTTTTCAACAACACTCAAAAAAATCTCCATTATCAGAGATGCATATTTCAAAGCTAAAAATATTGTCAGGTCAGAATTTCCCTATTGTCTACGCCTGACAAGTATTGAACTGACGGACTGTGGCATATCAATTACATTGGATAATATACTGGATAACTGTCCCGCCTTAAGACAACTAAAGTTTTCCAGAGGACAGTTGACTACTAGCCCAGAGGCCCACAAAGAGTCAAGTAAACATGGACTACACATAGTTGAACTTGTTGAAATTGTGACAAGTGCTTCTGTGTTTAACTATATGTCCTTCAGATACAGAGATTTATAATATAAACTTGAGTCACTCGCAGATTGGGGGATTGATCTCAGCAAAGATTGGAAGCTTGTGCATTGACATGTCCTATACAAGCTTCAAGCTACTACAGCTCAGTCATGTCAAGTTTTACTCATCTGAAAATGCTATGGACAAAGACACTGCTATCAACCTGACACTACTTTCGCACTTAACCGGACTTGACATGACAGCTGAAACAGAAGACTTGAACAAAGCTTTGGAGCATTCTGTAGAGAACTTAGCTCGATATCATCTATATTGCGAATTAGAAGGCTTATTCGACTTTACCCTAGAGGTCAGACAGCTTCTAGAATAAGAAGTCTGTGATGTGGTTGAATATTTTCAGAGATCTCGGGTTAAGAACATGTCTCAATCTTCTGAAGCTGACAGATCTTTCGATGGCCAGGTGAGCCAAAATGACTGGAAAGAAGATCTCTATAGGGGTTATGTTGAGCTCAGATGTGGTCATGCAGCTAAATAGATTGTCCCTTCATTGTGGGTTAGCGAAAATAGTTTCTGGAAAAGGTTGTTTGATAGTTCTGTTAAAACATAGTAATAGATTTTTGATACACTTAATATGATAAGAATTCAACTATAAAATATTTCAAACCAATAGCGTATAGAATATTAAGAGACTATGCATGAAAACGAGTATTGGAACAAGTGCAAAATAAAGAAATAAATCTTATAAAATAGAGTTAACAGAGATAGGAGCTCATTCAATATAGTCTAAGAAAAACTATCAGGAGCAATAATCAATAGTCTGAAACAAAAAAATCGATGAAGATTATAAGTATCTACAAATATGTATAGATTAAACAAATATTGCTATAAAGGAAGCTAATGATTCTTAATAGTACAAAATTATGTTATATTATATTATCTTATAAGGTTGCCGTTATAAAGAGTAGAGAATAAATACTGGTGTGCTTTTAAAAGCTTAAATCCGCAAGAGAGCAAAGATACTATACTCTTCATAGAAGTAAAAGAGTGAAACAGGTGGTTTGTTTTGCTCTTTTCTTTCTTTCTAGAAATGTCTCGTAGAATTGTCTCTGAAAATACCCTTTTCTTATAGTAGTACAGTATTTTCGGCTACACTTGAGAAAATTATAAACTTTTTTAGACCAATAGAAATGTTTTTGAGAATTATATTTTATTTTTTAAAAGTGTTTGACAAACTGGGATTTTTATTTAGGAGTGAATTTTAGAAGATAATTTGTGATTGTTTACTAATTGTATGGCAAGATAACACAATAATGTCTGCATCAACAAAAACGGTTCTATTCTTCAAAATTTCATTAACATTTTTGGATTTTTGGACATAAACCTCAAGATATCTTGTAGGTCCTTCATTGAGAATTAAACAAGCGTGTACATTTGAATGTTGGTTCTTTAATTCCATCATACATTATTGATCTGTGTAATATTGTTTACAGGTAGAAAGGTCAAAGAGATAAGCATCAGGAGATCAAGATGGATGGTAAATTCTGACTCTCAGAATTTATGAAGATTTGGCATTCTTTGAGATGAGAAGAAATGCCAGTGTGGAGCAAGGAGATGGATTTAGAGCCGGCTGCTTGCGCATAAGATTTATGTTTTGATTTGAAGGCAGAAGAAAGCATGACCCATAATAAAGCTATTAGAGATAATGACTGCTAGTATACATCACAGTAACAGCAAAAAAACAAAAAAAATAATATCTAAAATGGCGGCTGTTTGATAAACAAAATCTATACAGCACCCTTTTCTTTTTTTTAACATGAGTATGAATCCTTTTGATGAGCACAAAACCAATTTAAAAAACTATGGTATTAATGTACTTCTTAGCTGACTTCAACACGTAGGAACAGTGTTTTGATAGATTTCTGGGTGTGATATACACACCACAATTGAGTGAAGAACAGACCCCACAACTAAACACTGGTTTCTTCTTGCTAATGAACCTGACAAGTTAGCAATCTCCAGAACTGTTACACACCAGGCACACGTACACTACACACTCATACAGTGTAAACCAACCATTACACAACAGTGATTTGAATTACAGGGATTTTAATAGTAGCAGATATAAACAATATTATTTTGTCTCTTTAATAAATAACACTCTCACAGTATCTACTTTTCCCATTATTGAGATACTAACCCATAAACAATCCCGAATACCTCATCCATCATCTTGGACAATCTGTTGAACAGCTGCCCAATGCTAAGAAAATTGAGCATTTCTGGAGGAGAGCTTGGTGTCAGTACAGACGCAAGCGCACAGATTAGCTGCCATGGATTACGGCTTTTGAGGATAAACGGAATGGTTATAAGCATCACTGTATTTAACTACGTCTCCTTACAGTGCAGGTAGTTGGAGTACCTGTACTTGACACAATCACAAGTTTCCGGACCAGTCTGCCAAAGAACGGGGAGCATGCTTATTGACATGTCCCACACAAGACTCAAGATGCTGCTGCTTGCCCAAGTTCAGTTCTACTCGCTGGCCAGATACACGGATTCCCGTACTGCCATCAACTTGGTCCTTCTGTCCCACTTAATTGGCCCTTGGCAACGAAGTCTAAGCATACAAGATATCAATAAGAGATTTATTGTATATCCCATAGGCTGGTTTCGCTTATTCTATGGACTGGACGATATGTTTGACTGTACAAAAACTAGCAGACGGCTCTCAGAACAAGAAGCTGACTTTGTCGAAAACTATTACCGTGGTTTCTCTATCAACCGGCTAATCCCTGAAGGTGAAGATAGTCTTGTATATTCTGTATTACAGTATTTCGAGGATGATTGGGCAAAAGACCTTTATAAAGGACATATAGAATTAAGATTTGACTACGTTGCTGAATATTTTGTTCCTTTGTATTAGATAGATAATATATATGTATGTATTGCCTATTTAAAGGAAAAACAACTGGCAACCATTTGTTTGTATAAATAAATATCAAAGCTCTTTTTCTATATATGGAGAAAATTCACATTATTTTTACCTTGAATTTTACTTGAAAGTAACGGAATGAATCGAAAGAGAGAATAAATATATACATATCTTAAGTTAGTCGTAATAATGAAGCTAGAAAATAAGGTCTGGTATCTAGAGCTAATTTGAAAAAATCAAAGCAACACATATCTGTATATTAATTTTGAGTGATAGTACCATTTAACGAGGGTGAAAATACTGTCATGTTGTAACTAACTTACATAAAAGGCTGGTAAAGATTGGTTGAGATGAGCAAAACAGAAAAAGCGCATTATATATATATTAGATTATTGTGAAGTTTAACCAAGATACTTCTCTTATGTATTTTGTCACATTATCTGTTCTCTTTATAGCTGTTTAAGAAAACTAGATAAATCACTGACTTTGTTCTTGCAGATTGAGCAACAGACCATAACAAAAAGAGAAAGTGGATATCTACATAGAAGATATTGATATTTCAAAGTATTGAGTATGTTACGACTAAAAAAAATACTATGGATTATGCGGTGAATTAGAAAGGATAAGAATACATTAAATTGACCGCAAAGAAAAGTATTGCTATATCAAAAAAAAATGATAAGAATATAATGGTTACCTAAAAAAAAAACTACAAAAGTCAAAGAAATACCGTATCAAAAAGTAATAAAAGATCCAAATACTTTGCTCATTAAAAGATGGGTGTATTTATTATATTGTTTGGGCTTTTGTTGAGCCCTAAATCCCAAGCTCTCAACCTCTTTTTTTTTGTGTAAAATATGAGAGAAAATTGGCTAGTAATACGAATTATTAATGTTCGTCAAAAAGCCAACCACATAACTTACCAAATTTTGTCAAGATCCTTTTGAAATGCATGTTACACAGCTAGCATGTTAAACATGTTATATGTTACAGATACCATTCATTTTAGAGTAGCCAATATAACGAGGTAAGCAGTGTTAATAGCTGGTGTAAAACAATTCGGCATCCTAAAAAATTGATTATGGTCTTACCAATTTCACCGAAAGTTATAAGGTGCTCTCTGCTCTCTGTGTCATACAACTTGTATTTCACTCAACTTCGGAGCGTATGCCACATTAGCTTAAAAGAGATATAGCCAAGGTCGCATGTCTATTTAGATATAGACCATCTATTACCATATTCACTTTCCTCATAAAGTCTACTGGGTCATGACTCATTACTATAGATCATTAAGTTTTGTAAAGAGGTACAAGCTTAAAGGAATGGTGAGCATATATTGTTACAAAACAGAAGAGGACTTCAAAGCCTATTTATTATGTGTTTTATAATCCAGAAAACAAGTACTAGCTATGTATTACAAGCACACAGGCACACACGTTCCATAGCCATGTATTTACAGAAATGGGAGGTAGATCAAAAGTATTTTGCTTCTACTGGAGAAGTATCTTAAAGTAAAGAAAAAACAAGTAAGAAATGCAGATAAAGAAAACATGCTGAAGTACACCGGAGGAAAGAGAAGAGTAGGAAAATTAGTATAAATGTCATTCTTGGAACTAAAAATAAAAGTCTTCTGTTAGAGTGTGCAAGTGTGAGAAACATGCTTGTGTATGTGGTTTTTGGGACATAGTTCAAAAGATGTTGATTGTATTCAAATGATTAAAAGGAATCAATCAGATCAAAATTTCAAATTATTATCAGTAAAGGTGGAATCTTCCAAATTTAAGTACAGACTTTCCAAGTTATATGTAATAACAAAAGTAAATTGAGCTAATTATAATGATAGCTAATCCACAGACCCTTTTCAGAAAAAAATTCATATTAAACAGCTTAATAAGTTTATCTATAGATAAATAGGTAGATAAAAAGAAAGGACCAGATCTATCTTTGAAGATGACGTTTAAAATATATGTATATCATTTCATTTTGTTCCAATTTATACTTTTGTTATACAAGTAGATGGAGTGAATTTAGGAAGTGAGTGGTTGAGGGAGCTGGTGACATAAACAATACTAAGATTCAAAGTTAGCTAAATATCATCAGGCATTTTAGACAATATGATTCATTAATAAACATGCCCGTAATTCAATATTAACAGGGCTAACAAGTACTCAACAATCAACTTGAGATCAGCACCAGAGACTTTATACTAAAGTTTAGGGAATTCATGAAGAACATGCTAGATGAGAATATCATTAGAAAATGCTGGAAGCGACGTAAAAGGGCATGGGGATATCATTGATCATACGTATTCAGTATCGCCAAAAGAAACTGGGAGATACTACCTTTGGTTACTTTTATTTAAAATTCCAGGAGCAGCCTCTTTTTTCGATATTTTTACAGTGAGTAGAATAGTACAACCAACTTACCAAGCAGCTGCCCGTATGAACAGATTCATTAACACAAACAAATAATAGGATCAATGTCTTACTAAAGCAGCTGAATACTAACTTCTATCATCCTTGAGAACTTTATTTGCTTTGTTAATAGACTTCTGCCAACCAGCTGATCTGTATAATCTTTAGCTTAAGCATTTCAACGAAATGATTGAAGACTATATTCATGATGTACAACAGAACCAAACATCATATGATCCAGAATATGACCAAGAAATATATAATGATGCATTCTTGATATTTAATGTGTTATCAGCACACAAAATTACCCTTGCAAATTACGAAAGATTTTTTCTACCAGCAACAAAGCCAACTGAATCATACGCCACAACAGTATCATCCGAGATTTCCAAAGAAATAAATCTATGCATGGAAAATCAAAAAAAAAAGCCATATAACATGGATAAGTGTTTGTTCAATCCGGATCAAAAAATCTATAATCAAATAGTAAAAGCTCTTCAAGATAATTCCTGTTCAGAAAAAAAAAAGTATTCTTTGTTAATAGACCAGGCGGAACAGGATAAACATTTTTGTTTAATTCCTTATTAAAGAAAACACGACGAGACTTTGGTATCGCCCTTGCCGTGGCATCAAATGGAACTGCAGCCTTACTATTACATGGAAGAAGAACAGTCCACTCACAATTCCATATACCATTGTTTGTCGATGCAAACTCCGTTTGTACAATTACACCAACGTCGACAACCGGAAAGCTTATCAAACTCTCTCGAATTATCATCTGGGACGAAGCATCTATGATCAGTTGATTGTTCATTCAGAGATATGATGCAACTCGAGAATGAAGAACTTGCAAATATTTCACTTGGAGAAAAAGTGGTTGTTTTTGGTGGAGACTTTCGGCAAGTACTTTCAGTAGTACCTAAAGGCTCAAGGAACGAAACCGTAAAGCAATGTATAAACCGGTCAAACATCTGGAAATGTTATAAAGCTTAAATTGACAATTGACATGCGGGTATCGAAAGCCAAAACGCAAACTAAAGCAGCTCAAGTGGAGCTCTTTATAAAATATCTGCTAAGTATTGGAGAAGGAAACGAACCAACGATTGGAAATGACAATGAAACCATCCAACTTCCAGATTCAATTTTATTGAATGGTTCCAATATCAATACATTAACAGATATCATTTTTGCTGAATAGCCTTCCAACTTCACAAGCTGTTAATACTTTACTGGCCATACCATACTTACTCCTAGAAACGCAGATGTTAAGATCATAAATAACATAGTCCTCAAGTCTTTTCCAGGAGAAAAAGTAACATACAGCAGAATCGACGAATGACTTTCAGACGAAGATCGAATAAACTATCCCAGTGAATTCCTCAATACATATGACCCTCCTCACCTTTTTCTTCACGACCTTCAACTTAAGGTTGGGTGCCCAGTAGTGCTATTGAGAAACCTGGATCCTGCAAATGGTCTTTGCAATGGGACACAATAAATATGCGAATCTTTGAATAATCGTATTATCAAAGCAAAAATTGACAATGCAATATTCAGTGGAAAGATTATATGTATACCAAGAATCAAATTGATTATATCCAGCACTGAAGGCCAAATCGCATTCACAAGGTTAAAATTCTCCTTATGTCTTTCTTTCGCTATGACCGTGAACAAAGCTCAAGGTCAAACTCTTAGTAACATTGGCATATATCCTCCTCTACCAGTAATATATTTAGCCATGCGGTACAGATAGATTATTTGCCTTTTTTATACTTCTTTAACAAATTTAGTCATTTTTAGAGTAGCTGATATCTCCCCGAGTTCACACTTGTTTCTTCTCTAAAAAGCATTGGCAGACCCGTATTTACGCTTTACACAACTTTACTTAATAGACAAAAAAGAAAATTTCCCCAACTTTTTTTTCAGTTGTCCTGTGAGTAAAAGTGGGTATCGAAAATGGACTTTTTGGTGCAAATAGCCCAATTTACAGTGGATCAAGATTTTATAGAGTGAAAATGTAGGATGTTTTAGTCAATATTTGAGCAATCGATGCCAAAAACTGTTGATAAGGTGGATCTTAATATGTCTAACCAAGTTGCTTATAGTCATAGAGTCTAATAGCTTTATGAATAGTGATTTATAGCTGATTTTTGGTGTAGAATTTGCTAATTTGATCAAAATGATCATTTTCGTTGTTGGCGATTAAAATTTTTATAATTTATATCTCGGCACAGCAACTTTATACAGCTAGGACATCTGTATTAAGATACTGCTAATAAAATAGTAGCTGTCTCTAAAAAGACATACAAGAGATTCAAGAAAACAATAATTTGTATCTGATATGTCTTTAAACATTGATAAAAAGGCCAAATCCATGAAAGTTTAATATATATATATATTGGTGTGTGTGTGTGTATGTCAATAAAATTGTATGTCAATAGTTGAGATAGACCTTCGTTGTCTTCTACAAGTATCAGCTATCAGAATGAAGTATTTGTGCTTTATTCTTTGCATACATACCCAGTAATTGAATACATTTAATGTAATATTGTTGGCTTATAAATTTTTGAGCTATATTATTTTATTGCTCCAAGCTTATATTATGAAATCCTTAACGTGTTTAGCTTCAATGATCAAGAGACTCTTCTGTGAATCCCTTTTTCAGAAAAAGAAAAAGAAAATTATTGGATAGTCCTTGTAAGCAATATATATTCTGAGGTACTGTCATTATCATCTATGTCCAAAACAGCTTTGTAATATCTCTGAGCAGATTAGATATTCTATTTTATATTTATTTGTTAAAATAATAATAGCACCGGATTCTTTGTACCTGCATTACATGGCTCGATCTTCTTCAGGATCTAAACCTGACTTGATACAAATGAAGTCTGAAAATGGTGGTAAGATATATGACACCTGTTATATTTCCCTTCGCCCCTAAATCTCATCCGTGAATAACGGAGGGTCCAAACTTGCCAACGAGAATTTACTATAAAGTAGCAAGGGTCAGCTTACTCGACTACGAAAGCGTCCACTGCCAGTCATCAAAAACTCTGTAAATGTTACCAATAAAGAGTTAGTACAATTTATTGCAGGTTAGTTCCTCTATCTCTCATAACATCACTATGTTACGATTGGCTGATACGCTTTACACAGCAGCCCATCCAACAGCAACAAAAAAATTGCCTTGGCCTAATATTAAACTGTAGTACTGCAGTTTGGGGGGTCTTATAAGTGTTCTGGCATTTTGTTAACAAAAAATGGTCTCATAAGAGCTGTTAATATTTATATGTGGATTGAATATAACAAGGAAGAGGGAAAGCATCCGATAGTCAATATGATTTTTTACTACTTTGGTACATGTTTTCTCTTTCTATTGGTTCTAATTTATACTAACCTGTAATTGTGTAACTGTTATGCAACGGAAAGAACAACCAATAAGAAACAGTCACTACATCACAAGTGTTGTAAATGAGTATTGACTACTGCTGTAATTGAGAATAAGTCTGAAGGAAATAATATAAGGCCTCAGCTATTCCAGTCAAAGGTGTCTACCGATTACTTTATTATTTAACACACAGGTTTAGCATGCATGATAGTGATTATATTTCATATGATGATATCACCATAATATGGGATACATCAGTGGATTATTATAAGCATAATTATAACTCATAAACACATTTACTTTTGATGTTAATACTTCATTGGGACTACACACATTTATATAATTAATCATACATTAATTATCCCAAGATCACGTTGCTCTGATTAAGGCTCAGATAGGATCGATTACCTGACCCCAGTCATATAATTTTCCCGATCCAAAATAATATAAATAGCAGTAGTAGTTCAGTGTAGGAACCTGGTCAAACTTTGATACAAAATCTTTTCTCAATAAACAAAACCTACACAAGTTCTCACGAATCTTCGTTCCTAATCTCAAATCTTCAATTCTTCCTCTTAAAAACTTCTTCAACTTCAACCACCACAACAACAAGAACCAACTTTCTTGCAAGTAAATCAAAAGAAAATAGAGCAAAGTAAAGAAGTAAAAAAGTAAAAAAGTAAAGAAGTAAAGAAGTAAAGAAGTAAAGAAGTAAAGAAGTAAAGAAGTAAAGAAGTAAAGAAAGACTTGGTTTTGATAGTTTGTAGTAACAACTCTAAAAACAGAGTACAAGCTTCAATAACGGCAATTTTCAGGTTACTCTAAGCTGGTCTGTGCACTTCTTGTTCCAACAGAAGAAAATTTTCATTTTATTTCATTTTATTTTATTTTATTTCGGGAGTTTAATCAACACAATATAAATAAAATAAAATAAAAAATAGAATAGAATAAAATAGAATAAAATAACATATTCAAGAAGAGCGTATTAAACATCTAATGAAGCCCTTTTACAATAGTAAAGTACGGACCTCTTGGTACTTGGACTTGGTGTTGATGTAAATATATAGAAACTTATCACAGTAAAGAAGCGTTAAATATACATGAACCGGTTGGTTATTCTTTTTGTGTGGGTGGTAATCCTCAGAGGGCGTGCGGTACCTGTATTAATCATGTGAAAATATACAGGCTGCCTGGTAGTTGTTTGGGGTGGAGACAATTCTTATCTACCCATACCTATGTGTGTCAAGTTGATAAAGGCGTATAGACAAATATATTGGTAGCTTAGAGTGTGATGTCAGCGCGACTACCATCAAAAAAAAAACATATATATACCTCAGTTATTCCCACCTCCCCTGTTTTCCTTTCCTTCGCACTTTGTTTAAACATCATTTATCTCAATGAATTCCAAAGTTTACAACGCTCTCTGCGCAGCCTTCGCGCTCGCCTACCTACTTGCCCCAGATCTCCTATTCATCCCTGTGATGCTATGGGAAGCTTCTCCTTTGCCCTCTGCCTTTTGCATGGCCAAACCTGCTAGAAAAAGACGCCCCTCTATGATGGGAGTGGGTGCATCCCCATTCTTTGGCGCAAGATCAGAAGGCGAGAATCGAGTCAAAGCTCACAAAAATGTGATGCCTCAGACAATCCTTGGCCTTGTGTTAAACTTTGTAGGCTCTTTGTGGCCTACTGGTTCGTGAACAATGGGAGAACCCTCAGGTAGCTTGTTGAGTGAGCGCCACGGAGGTATCCCAGGACATATGTCTGTTAATGATTCCCCTTCGGAGGATGAAGACGTTGTTTGCGTAGGAAAGTCGAACGTGTTCTTTGGAGCAGAGCTTCGGGGATATATCCCACACCTCCTTCCTTTGCATAAGTTGGAGAGTGGCATTGCTACAATGGTGTTCCCAGTTGACGGCGTAGCTGGTACCTGTGGGGAAACCCATGCAAACCTTGACGAGGGTGTGTCGAGTGAGCTTGTAGACATATGCGATGAAGCTGAGGTCAGCATACGACTCAGATTCATCTGTGAAGATTTTTTCTCAGGGGGTTTTGCAAACCCAAGACTCCCTGCAAGATTTTTTGACACGATGTTGGAAGAGGAGCTCAACGCCTCTGAAAACAAAGGTCATTGCGACTCATTGACTGAAGTCGCTGAGCCAGAGTGCGGTTTGGTTCCTAAGCTAGTTGAGGAGACTTTTGTTTTTGGACAAGAGTCCGTTCAGACCCCATTGGGTTTGAACAATGCTGGCTTGAATGATCCCAAGCCAAAGTTTGGTACAGTGCAAGGTCTAAATGAGGCGTTCGCTTTATCTTCTTGGCAGTCAGTAAATGGCTTTTTTTGGGAATGTCTCTCCACAGGACTTCCCACACCGATGGAGATTGACGACGACCTGGCTTGGAGTGAAGTCATGGAAGTTGAAGGTCCCATGGAGATGGATGATGATGATGTCGAGGTGGTGGTGCCTACTGCTGAATGTGGCGAAGAGTTCATGGCCCACACCTACAATCCTACGGTGAAAGATTTGCAGTACGTCTCCCAGTCTGCAAACAAGGATTGTTATACGAGCAAAATCCCAGCCTGTGTCCCGCAGCAGGCTGCAGACGATAAGATGGATGAAGACACAAAAAAGATTGTGCTACCTGGAACATCCTCTCAGAAGAAGTACGATGTACCTAGCCCTAGACGCAAGGAAGGTGCCGACGAGGTCAAGGGTAACAGAGAACATCCAATGGCGATCTCCAGACCAAAAAAGGAGTGCTCAATGATCCCTCGGCCTGTCAGTCAAAAGGCCACTAATGAAGGATCGAAAATCAAGTTGGCTTCGGCCTCTTGTGATCGTCCTTCACAGCAGCCTAAGCCAGTCTCTGGCCTTCGCACTGAGAGGTCAAGACTTTTGTCCAATTTTATTTGGGAGGCGTCTGGACCTGCTACAGCAGCCAGCTGTAACAAGGGAAAGGCTCCGAACAAAGAAGTCAAGGCACAAGGGCAAGCCACTACCCCAGCTGCCAAGTATTCTATTCCTGTTGCTGCACCCAGCAGCAAAGAGGAGCAGAATGTCAAGGCGTATGAGTCGGATCTTCCTGCTGCACCCAGCAGCAAGAAAGTGAAGACTTCTGGAAGTGGTGCGGCTAAAGCTGAGTTCAAGGCACCTTGGCAAGTAACTCCCCCGGCTGCCAAGCCTTCTACTCCTGTTGTTGCACCCAGCAGCAAAAAGGAGGAGAATGTCAAGGCAGAAGAGTCAGATCTTCCTGCTGCCCCCAGCAGCAAGAGAGTGAAGACTATGGGCGGTACTAAAGCCTATGTCAAATAAATGGTACCCTTGCCGTCTAATGGTTCAGCTGTCAAATAGTCTGATCCTATTGCTGCATCCAACAGCAAAGAGGAAAAGTGTTCTGAGGCAGCAGAGTTGGATCTTTCTTCTGCACCCAGCAGCAAGAAAGTGAAGATCATGGGTGATGAGAAGACCAATCTAGTTGCTGATCCCATCAGTGAAGAGATTGAACAAGCTCTAATCCAGCCATTTCCAACTCGCAATCCTGCGTCAAAGCCGGCAAAGTCTTCGAGTAATAGAGGAAAAGAGGATCCAAAGAGCCTATTGAAGTATGTGCTCCGATTCAAAGGCGATCCAACTGTCAACAAGGAGTAAGATTGTTTGTTAGCAGTGCCAGAGCTCACCTTGACCCATTGGGTCAGAGGTGTAGTGAAAGAATCTGCGAAGCTGATGATTCCGAAAACTTGGACAAATTTTTGTTGCCCCGTACGCTTCACCAAGCGGACATCTTGTCTGTCGGTTGGCCCTGGAGCCAAGCCGACGCGGTCGGAATCAAAGGTCGATCCTGAAGCTTTCGGTAAGCTTTATGGTGATACTGGAATTCCCAGACCTTTTACAGTACTTTTCCTTGGAACTATCTGCGTGGTGATTCACGTTGAGTCTTTTGGCTAAGCTGTAAGGGTAGCCTCTTTTACGTTCGGTTCCTACTGCTTTCAAATTCAAAGGACTGGATTATCGTTTCCCTCTGGGATCGACACCATGCTCCGCCTGTTAGCTTGGTTCTGAGTCTTGGCTTGGCATAGACAGTAGAAAGAGAAGGTAGATTGTGGAGGTCTACATATGAGTGTAACTTGTGGTGGTACTAGACTGGTTTTCAATCCTGTTTGCCTCTGGTATTTGCCGTTCGTATACATTCGAGGGTGGTGCTTGCACTGCTGTAGGGTTGGCTTGAACCTTTTGTTCGTAGGGTTCTTGTTGACTTCCTCACAGGTCTGAGGCCGAGATATGTGAGTGGTGGTTTTTGTACGAGTAGGGCTTCCGGAGTCCTTGATTCTGGGTTGTTTTGGGGCCACGATGGTCCTGTTGGCTGGTCTGGTCTGGTTGGCTAGATTTCCGGTATCATTATGGTATCATTATGGTATCATTATGGTATCATTAGGGAGATCGTTGTTGGCTAGGTTGCTGGCCTGTTCTGTACCTGGGTTCTGGGTCTTTGTAGCTTGAGTTTTGTGCTTAAGTCAGGGAGAATGAATACTGTGGGGTACGGTGTTCATTATGTAGTCATGTCTGGCCAAATGGGTTTTGCTTCCTGACCGGACTCTTTCTTGGAGTCCTTGGAAGGTTATTGTCAGTCTCCTCTATTTTTTTTTCTGGTGAGTTCCCGAAGATTCACTGGTATGCTCGGATAAGTCTTTCTGGACTTTGAGTTTGCTGCATCATAGATTGTGGAAAATCTATTGCTGGGGGGGGGGGGGGGGGGGGGGGGGGGGTAGACAATCCCAAGAGGTTTTGGGAAAACGAGCCAAGAACATCTGGTTCATATTAAGATTGGCGAGACTTTCCCTCACAGACATGATGGTATATCAGTCGATATTGATGCTACTAGTCCTTGTGTCCGGACTCAAATGATACATACAAATGCATGTCCAGACAGTCGCAGCTATTTTGAGATGGCAAAACCAAAGTTCATCTGCACAAAAGGATATGGTTCAATGACTGATCGATTAGGTACAAGTGACTTTGTCAGTCGAATCAAGACAACCTGACTATACAGTACATTGTCACTGGAGAGATAGCGTGGAATTCGCCGATGATCTCAAGCATCACGCAAAACCTGTGGTTAGAGTCCTAGCCACCCTCATTTGAGGAGGGCTCTGATTAATATGGTCTGGTAAATGAACCAGACCAAGCAGGGTGAACTAGAAATTGTCACCAAAAAAAAGCAGGTTACAGTTAGCAGCTGGAAATGCGTATAATCAAGAAACCAAGACCCGAGTCCAAGGTTATTTATGCACACTTTCAGTTGTGAAGGAGAAGCAAGATTACTTTCAAGAAACCTATCCAACTCAGGTCGAGACAAGTGCTTACAAGCCGTATTTATGGAAACTCGCAGAGAATTCAGTCCAGTATCAAAACAAAACTCTCGAAACCAAATCAGAAAAGCAAAGCTGAACATGGAAATCAGAACAAACAGCACAAAGCAACATGGAAAAAATGGAATCAAGCCTTCAAGTACAAAAGGTTAAAATCAAGTAGGCTGACCCAGAGTCTCGCCATCTCGCTGGGTTGGCTAAAAAGCACATGAAGAGTCTCGACTAGGATATGGTTCCAACAAGAATAAAACCTCCATCATCATTCAAGACTATCGGCTCAGGACTGCAAAAAGGTATTTGAGATGACCGGGTTTATATTATGGACCGAAAACACCGGCAGGAACAATTAGAGGCCGCCAGTAGTACACAACAGAGCTCAAGGTAGAAACAATGTGAACCACAAAGCAAGCGATAAGGCAATTTTTCAAGGGTTGTTTCTGTCTCTGGACTTCTTTGTCAGAGACAATATCAACCATTAGTCTGTCTATCCAGAAGATAAGTACTATTTATACACGATATGTTTCGGTGCTAATTATATGATTTTTTTTCTTCTTCTCAGGGTCACCCTGTGACAGGGTTCACAATACTACAGCCCTTGAGAGGATACCAGAGAAAGTTCGTGAGCGTTAGACTTTACCAAAAGGTAAATCTGCTCGGTACGCTAGTCGTACCTTTTCTCCCCTCGAAATATTGTACATTGCATTGTATGCCTGTATATATTTAGGGTTCTTGGTGTGATAAGCCAAGATCTGGTAGCTCCTCTGCCATTTGATGGTCAAGCCCTTTTGTGGTTGACCCCATCGCTGCAAGTTGGCACATTGTTTCTGCTAGAAGCTTGGTTGTTTACTGTTGGTGGTCTCGTGTACCCCCTGCTGGTGGTCAAGGTCCATTCCACCTGGTCATCGAAGAACATTTTGCAGTCCCGAGCCCGTCTCTTCGGATGATGTTACCTATTCCAAGACAAGTTCCTTTACTTACAAAACAAATTCTATCAATTAAGGTATGTTATTTTGGTCATTCAAACCTGTCTCATATGTAAATATATTTCTCGTTTTCTCACTCGTTTTTTTTCTTTATCTTTTTAAGCCATATTTGGCCTTAGCAACTGAAATAATGCGGCAAATTCCGAAGCCTGAATCCTATGCAAGAATGACAGCAGCAAGAACCAAGTCAAGCAAGAAGAATACAAAAAAAAAGATACAAAAAAGATACAAAAAATAAAAAAAAGATAAAAAAGAATACAAAAAAAGCAAAGAAAAGAAAAAAAAATTACAGTTATCTCTCTATCTCAAGTAGAAACTCATAGGCTAGCAGAATCCCTGAAATGGTCAAGTCACGGTTTGCTTATATGTCTGAGTCCAATTCCAAGTTTTGTCCAAGTCCAAATGTCCAAATTCTGTCCAAGTACTGTTCTAGTACTAGTCCTATCACACAAATATATACAGCCAAGTACACAAGTACACAATTAGAAAAGTAGACAAGTATACACACACATGGACATAGACATATACACATACATATATACATACAAAAGTAGAGGCGCATTTCTATCCAAGTCCAAAATCTGGGCTGTACCTCCAAGTCTCAAGGCCAAGTCGATTTCCAAGAAGGGGTCCAATGCAAAATTCCAAAAGCAAGTTCCAAAAGAAAAACCAAAAACCAAAAACCAAAAACCAAATCCGAGGCCTATACTAAGTCCTCCTTTCCAAAAGGATCAAATGAAATCCGAACTTGAGGCATATACTAAGTCCTCCACTCCAAAAGGATCAAATCCAAAAACCGAGGCGTAGACCAAAACCTATCAGAAATGATCAGGCACATATTAAGTCCTCCACTCCAAAAGGATCAAAAAAAATCCGACCCTGAGGCCTATACTAAGTCCTGTCAAAAAAACACGCAGGCATATACTAAGCCCTCCTCTCTCTCTCTCTCTCTCTCTTTCTCTAAAAAAACAAAAAAAGAACAAAAGAAGAACAAAAAAAGAACAAAAAAAGAACAAAAAAAGAACAAAAAAGAACAAAAAAAAAACAAAAGATGAACAAACCGGAAAAACTCTGCATTGGAACCTGGACCTGGATTGAAGCAAAGCTGCGAACTGGAACAAGACTCTGGATTAGGACAAGGTATGATATCCCTTTTTACATATATACATACAAAGCAAATGAAGTCTTTGAACAAAAACAAAAAAAATGCTCAAAAAAAGAAGCTAAAAAAAACAAGAAGAGCAAAAAGAGCAATACCAAAACCATCTCATATTATTTTTAATATCAAAACCTATTCTCTTATTACTATTCTATGAAATTGACTGGACAAAAAAAAAGATCAAAAGAAAAATCAAATGGACCAAGAAAAAAAAACCGACTGGACTTGACTGGAGCCGACTGGACTGGACTGAAGTAGCATGAACTTGACCATCTTATATTATATTTAATTTAACTTATATTTCCTTTATAAAAATCTTTGAATAATAAAATTTTTCTCATATGTCTTTAGTATCATATTTATATTTTTTTCTCTTTTTTTTCTACATTTGCTTTTAAAGATTTTATGATTAATATTTGCAAAAGATAATAAGAATAATAAATTTTGTGCTTTTGCTATATTGCACTTAAAAACTGTTTTATTATACTAAATTACCTTGGAAGAAAAGATCATTTAGGCAATTCTGAGAAAGACTTATGATATTTTCAAGACCACCCTCTGAATTGATCCTTTTCTCCCATAGTATTGAATAGAGAATGAGATTTCCTATGTAAGATTCTAATCTAAATTTGGTTAATTTTTATAAAAAATGAATTAATACGGGATTTGATCAATACAGCAACCAACCCAACACTTCTTTGGCAATAACAGTCTCCAAGAATATTTTTTTATATGTAAGCTTTAAGAAAGTGTACTGATGTATGCTCGTATAAGATTATATTAATTAAAAGAGTCTTGAGTTACCATATTGGCCAAATTAATAACCTGGTAAATGATACCCTATTTCCAATAATATGAAAAATAGCCCTCACATATACATATCTATATCGTTTATTTGATGTAATTTCTCTTTATAAATAAGTTTCAATTGGTTTTATCTTTGCCATATGTCCCAAAGATCTGTCTCTTAGTCAAAAAAAATTATAATAACCTTCATCAAGAAAAAACAATTTTCCTTTTCCAGAAGCATATCGTTCTTTTGACCAAACCTTATAGTAAGCTTTCTTTATTGAAGGATACATTATAAAGAGGTTGATATACAGTTTATTTAATATTAAAAGATAAAGAAATTAAAAGGTATTTTGTGTAGAGTGGATGTAGTAAGGGTAAAATAAGGATATTAAGCATACAATTATTTTACCAAGCCTAGCTATTTACTTTTCTGTATATAATGTTTATAATATAAAAAATTTCTGAAAATATTAGAAACCCACAACTTTTGTAAAGCGGCAAATAAATGCATATATCTAGTGTTTTGGGACATTTATTTTAGTCGACAAGTGCTTGCACCTCTGTCACATATTAAAATTGGAACGATACAGAGAAGATTAGCATGGCCCCTGCACAAGGATGACACTAAACTTCTGAGATGGAACGCTCTACGGAGCATATTTTTTTTTGTTTTGTCACCACTTGATATTATTTTTATTTATTTTATTTTTTATGTCAAATCTTGAAATTACTTATAAAAGGATACCACATTGAGGAATGTCAATCTTACATCATAATGTACACCTTTATTATCCACTAATGCACAATCCTTCTCCCCTTCCTTGTTAAATGCATATCAATCTCTTCTGGCTCCTCATGCTGTAGATGGCTTTTGTTATGCAGTTCCGATAACACAAATCACCACTTTTTTTTTGCTGACAATGTAGCATTCTTTTTGGCTTGGCTTCAAATGTCCAGCCCATGTTCAACTTGAGCTGCGCAACATTTTTTGTATGTATTTAAAAAGGAGTCCGCGTACTCAACATTGTCTAATTTTACTTTTCAATGCAAAATTAATTAATTAGGAAATATGTGAAGTTGCTGCGGTCTGTGTCCCTTCATGGTTACTTGTTAAGCCAAGTGACAATATTTATAATATACAATACTTGCTGCCCACAAGTATGTCCGAACAAATAAATTCTGTTTTTTTTTTGCATTCAGTAATTTGTCTCGTTCTCTCTACTATCTACCCTCTACTCGTATGCTGGCATCAGACTTACCCTTTGAAATCCTCTCGCAAATTGCGCATTTTGTATCAGCGGATTATAAGTTTTCTTGTATTCTCACTTGCAAGGCATGGCGATATCCGTTTCAAGAATCGCTTTTGGAGAATATCGAAGTCAGTTCCATGGATACACTTGATAACATATGTGCTATTGTAAAGGATTCAACAGGCAATTACACACCACAAGAACTTATAACCCAAAGTTTACGTGTTACTGGAAAGACAAGCTTGGCTGACTGGCAGGAGACCCGTGTTTTTAAGACCTTTCCAAACTTGAAGTATCTTGATATGGGATCACTGTCTTTTTACGATGTCGACATAAAATGTACAAAATATGGTCCTCCATGGGAGTCGGTGACTAGCTTAAAATTCCAAGTTTCTCCAACCAGTTGGAGAATATCGAATGAATTCATCCTTGAGATTCTGCGAAAGATTCCCAATCTCCAATCAATAGACATATCTTCAGATTCTTTCTATTACTTGATCGAGTTTGATCTCAGTCAATATAATAGCTTTCACATCGCATTACCGAAGTTGACAAGTATTAAGGCTCGTTTAGGGCTCAAGGATATACATCCAAATGCAGTACCATCGATTCCAAGAACCCTACCAGCGCTCTATGTAACAAATCTCTATCTAGAACACACATACTGCAGTTACCTGTGGCTATACTACTTTTGCTATAAGTACCCAAACTTGCGTACTCTGATATGGAAATCCGTACACAAATTTGGAAACATAGTCATTGAAGAAGACGACGGAAGAAAAATATCACTACTCCGTTCGGTTAAAAGATTGTTCCCGCACTTGGAAACTGTGGATTTTTACACTGAGGAACCGACAGAATGGTCGCATTCTATATTTTGGAATCTCCTTTGTCTGTCAGATGTTCCTATCAAGAAATTAAAGTACAAGATCAAATCCAGGGACTCTGATGCAACCTGTTTTGGTATGACCATCGAACGATTTACCCGATCCTTTTCAACAACGCTCGAAAAAATCTCTATTGTCGGAAATGTATATTTTGACGTTGAAAACATCGTAAAGCTAGAATGTATCTATTGTCCAAATTTGGTGAGCGTTGAAATCAATGAATGTGGCGTATCTATTGCATTGGATAATCTATTGGATAATTGGCCGGCTTTAAGACGACTCAAGTTTTCCAATGTACACCTGTATATTAATCCAGAATCCCAAAGAGAATCAGCACAGCACGGCCTCCGTTTTATGGTGCTAGATAATATTGTTGCAAGTGCCCCTGTTTTCAAATACATGTCTTTCAGATGCAGACTTTTACAATATATGAGCTTGAGCCAGTCGCAGATTTGTGGACCAATTTTGGACGAGACCGGAAGCCTGTGCATTGATATGTCTTACACCAACTTCAGACTACTACAACTCGACCATGTCAAATTCTACTCATCCGAAGAAGACATAAGCAAAGATACTTCCATCAACTTAACATTGCTTTCCCACTCAGCTGGCAATCAAACACTGGATGAAGCAAAAAAGAAAGTGAATGCAAATGCAAATGAAAATCGGAAATCTACCGTGGAGCATCTGTCTTGGTATCATCTTTACTGTGAATTGGATTGCCCATTCGACTATGTCCCAAAGGTTAGGCAACTCTCACAACAAGAAGTGTGTACTGCTATCAAGTATTTTGAAGATTTCCAGCTTAAAGATAGGACAAATATTTTCGAAGTTGAAAGGTCTTGTAACGGGCAGGTTGATAAAGAAGATTGGAAGGAAGACCTTTATAGAGGTTATGTAGAATTTAGATGTGGGCACATAACTGAATATGCGGTGCCTTTATTCTGGGTTAGTGAAACTAGTTTTTGGCAAAATTTATTTGACAGCTCCTGGTAAAATATAATTCAAAATTATTACTTTTCTTTTCACCTCTTTCACACCAACCTTTACACGAGGCAATACCCCCACTTAGACAATGTATAAACCATAAAACTACATTATTACTTTATTGTGAATTTTTAAAGTCTCTACCTAAAAAAACTGTCTTTTTTTATATTCCCAATATTTCATAAGCAAGGATCAAGTCTAATAAGAACCTTTCTCAATTAAGAGTTAGGAGTAGTATACATTTATGGAAATAAATGAACGAAAATAAGCTGAAATCCAAGGAAGCATTACCTAAAAGTTTAATTCTTGATAAATAATTATAATCAACATCTAATCAAGTTCAATGTATAAAACAATGTAATTGACTGTAACCCCGAGTTGACCTTATTAAAGAACAACAAGTGCTATAATATCAAATCATTTGCCTAACTTCTCCTAGGAATTTATTGTCTTAGCCTAGCTCATCATATATAAAAGAATGTAAATTTGATAAGTTTGGAGTAAATTTTTTTTCAAGAGCCCGCGTATTCCGTATATGCTAGATCAATAGCGTGTTTATTTTACCGAATGAGTAAATATAGTCACTAATACCTTATTTTACTTTCTTAAATAGAATAAATCAATTAGGGAAAAGATAAAGTTGCTGCGGTCTGTATCTCTTCATGACTACCTGTTAATACAAATGTACCAATATTTGTACCACAAAATCTTAGTTAATCCGCAGCTTCTGCATAAAAATTTAACTCCTTTCTCTTTCTTTATCAAGCAACAAATATATCTCTATCTTTTCCTTTGATCTATTTCATTATACCCATGCCCGAATCAGACCTGCCTTTCGAAATTCTTTCCCATATTGCAATTTATGTATTGAATGATGACAAGCCAGCATGTATGATGACTTGCAAGAGATGGAAAATCCCATTTCAAGAGTCAGTCTGGAAGACTATAGAAATTGATTCATTCGAGAAACTTGAAGAAATATGTACTATAGCAAATAATTCAACGAGCAGGTTACCACCCTATGATCTTACAACAGAAATTATACGTATCCATCGGCCATGTAACATACGCGAATTACAGAAGACTCAGGCTTTCCGAACCTTTCAGAATTTGAAACACCTTGATATTGGGGCTATATCCTATGAGCTAGCCGATTTCGGCTTTACGAGATACGTTCCTGATTCGACATCACTGGTCAGCCTGAAACTCAAAATTAAAGCAATCGACGGCATAATATCGACTCCAATAACTATTGGAATATTAGGCCACATGCCTAACCTTCAAAAGATAGATATTTACCCAGAATTATCGATTTATAAAATTCAGTTTAAACTTCACCAATTTAATCACCTCCATACCCTATTACCAAAGCTGACAGCTATCAAATTATCGCTAAGCTTTCATTGGATACATCCAAAGGCAGTACCATCTATTCCACAAACTGATCCAGCACCATCTGTAACAACACTCGATCTCGAAATCATTGACTGGGACCATATATGGCTGTACTATTTTAGTTTCAAGTATCCAAACCTACGTACTTTGAGATGGAAGACCTCGAGATCGGAATATGAGCAAACGGCAAAAGAATATACTATGGAAAAAATAGAGCTTCTCCGTTCAATTACAAAGGCATTTACATGCTTGGAAACAATAGACTTTTTTACGGAGAGCTCTACGGAATGGGCTCACGCTATTTTCTGGGAAATTCTCTGTCGGTTAAATTCACCCGTCAAACGATTGAAGTACTCGATCAGAAATTACAGTTGCGAAGCAAGATTTTTGGAGGGAGTTATAGAACAATTTACAAATTCCTTCTCAAGAACTCTTGAAACGCTTTCCGTCGTAGGGAATCTTCTTTCTTTCGATATCAAGAATATTGTAACGCCAAAGCTTTCACATTGTCCAAGATTAGTAGATCTTGAAATCAAATGCTGTGGTGTATCTATTGCTTTAGACAACGTACTAGATAATTGCACAGCCTTACGAAGATTGTCTTTTTGTAATGGGCTACTTTATATTAATCCAGAAACAAATGAAAGGCCGATACAACATGGACTACGCACTTTGGAACTTGATACAGTTACTACGAAATCTTTTGTATTTAACTATATATCCTCCAGATGTAGAGATTTGGAATACATGGCATTGATACAAACTCAAATTTACGAATCAGTTTCTGAAAAAACGAAAGGCCTACATATCAACATGTCTTATACCAACTTTAAAAAATTGTACCTCGACCACGTTCTATTCTATTTATCTGATGATTTTATGAATATGAATATTACTATCAAGCTGGTTTTACTGTCCCAGCTAACCGACCCTCGGAAGACAAACAAAGATCCAGAACATGGCAATGTAGAATCTTTTGCGACACATATAGCATGGTTTCACCTATCCGATGCATTGAAGAATAATACATCACTCAATTCACTAGATATTACACAGCTGTCAGAAGAAGATGGTTATGATATCACTAGGCAGTTTTTGGACTTTCAGCTCAAACGGAATTATAATTCACAAGAAGCCAAAACTTTTATTCGAGAGCAAACTTCCGTGCATCCTTGGAAAAAGGACATTTGCGAAGGATGTGTTGAATTTACATGTGGTCGTATAAATGAATACCGTATTTTGTAATCTTATATACTTCCTATCTTTTATACTTCTTCTTTTTTACATTTTCTTGACATAAAATTAAAACCTCATACGCACTAAGCCCTTACCTCCAAAAAAAAAGAACGATTCAAAAAGTGTGTGCTCTAATATCTTAATCCTAAGACCTTAAAAGAGATAAAAAAGAGGAATTCAAACATTAAATAACAGCTTTATATATACTGCAAATTCGTTTTTCTCATATATAGCAGTACATGTATTACAAACTAAGATCAGTGAGAAATCAAAATAAAAAGAAAAGTCTAATATAGGTGTAATTACCACAGGCTTTGATTATCGATTTAACTTTATCGTAAATTGTTGCTTACAAGAGTATAGAGGGCTTTTGGTTCAAGTACCTCTCACTTTTGAAGAATATAAAATGTCAAATCTTAAACACCGTCTATGGGTAGACTTTTCTCTTGAGCTTTGTCTTTTAGAGGATGTTAAGCGTAATTTAGTGAGTTCAGATCTGGACTTTTAAATGCCCACTAGTCAAAGCATTTTGTTTTCCAGTGGGGTTTCCAACATGTCGTACAAGAGCCCAGTATAGCAGATAGCACAATCTTCTTGGACAATAAGTATGGTATCATGCTCATATTCTTTCTTTATTTCCTTAAAACATAAGTGATTAGGTTGTAGGAAAAAGTTCTGCAAAAAAAAGATAGGAGAATAAGGTTTTGGTAAAACAAAAACAGGTGTAATTATGGGGAAGTGACGCCGTTTTATTTTGTCGGGTGTATATATCTTTGTGATCATTGACTGCACACAAAATGTCCATATGGAGCCTCCATTTCCAATTTTTTTATATGATCTAGCATTTATCCCCAATCGCAATGGCTTTAGTCGCTTTAAATCTGGACTACATAAGATTCGTATCTTGCTCACAAATCTTTAAAGATGATGTCTCTAATAAACAATACAAGAATATATATATATATATATATATAGAATTTCGTGAGCACCTCTTGTCTCAATCAAGCCTAAGCACTGTAGCTACTTGTTGCACACAAACCGTATAGAGAATTTTTGTTTCACAATTTTTTAATAGAAATGTTTTCATTCAGTCACAAAAACTAGTGTTGCAATATAGATTTAAATAAATGCTTTGCCTAGAACAGACAAGCTATTCCCCCCCTTTTTTTGTGTGTATATATATTCTACTCCCAAGATGAATAATAGTATGCTTAGCCTATCAACCAAGACCTACTTTTACCGAGCACGGGGAAATATATCTTGTCTATGGGTTCTATTATCTATATTTGTATTGAGAGCGACAGCTGCACCGCTTACTCTCGAGGACTTTGTCTCTCCCACCCAAATGGCTATTATCTCGATCCTTCAGACAGTCTTTTTTGCCTATGTATCGCACGCAGTTACTGTCCGCCCAGAGAATACAACAAAAGCGTTACCATCTATTGCTAAGCGTGCGTTGGCTATAGCGTGGCCTGTAAGCGGAATACACGAAGCAGTTGGATGCATAATCAAATCTTTCCAAGGACGTAAAATTCTTCAAGAAATGCTTGCTGAAGACAAAGGACAGAAAGCCAAAGATACTTCAATGGATGATTGGTTAATTGACATGAAATTAAAGTATTTCGATACAGCGCGGATAGCACTCCTCATCGAAAGACAAGAGCTCAACGATAATCTTACTCTACTTAAACGTCGCTTACAAATATTCAGAGGCAGGGTTTCGCAGCATGAGGAAAGGTTACAGGCGTACAAAGACAGAAAATCAGATGAATTGAATGGCAAAGATTCATCTGAATATGAAAAGAGGCTTTCAACAACCTCCGAGTATCTTCGCGACGATCTTGAAAAACTGTTGGACTTGAGAAGTGCTAATCTGAGACATAGTTACTACCTTATAAAAAGAGAAGACTTGTTTGGCACCAGAAAAGCAAAGTTTCAAGCTGACTTGGATAGAACGGTAAAAAGGTAGCTTTTACTCACCTCAGCTACTTATTTCTAATTCCACAGCATACTAGCACAATAGAATCATAAGTATATATATATATTTTTAAAAAAAAAGAAGGAGCAAAAACTGATTGTATAAACCACCTTTATTAGTAAAAAGATACCAAGTTATAATACAAGCGAAATTGAACAGAGCATATATGACGAGAAATCAGAAAATTCAGGATCGCAGTACTCTTTGGATGATAATCAAGCAGAATCTTATTATTCTGATAGCGATGAACTTAGCACAGAGTCATACGTATCCAACGATTCTTCACAAATTGCAACAGAGCCATCTGGCTCTGAATACGATTCAGATAACGTTGAATCATCGGTATACAGTGAAGAGGAAGACCTCCAGGTGTATGATCCTGCAAATGATCCAGAATTACTGCACAGCACATTCGCGTTTGATTCCAATATGGCGGATTTACAAAATACGGATTTTGCCGTATGCTCTAATTGGGAGGAGATGCAAGATCAAAATAAAGAAAGATATGGAGATGACGATATATACAGCTCTTACACCAGAAACTTGTACTCGATATCAGAAGAAAACGATATTCCAGATGATATTTCTGAAGAACTACAAAGTCTCTTGGATAAATACGAGATTCAAGGTAAAGCTATATAATAGAGAATACCATCAAAATATAATTATTCATTCGGCTTAATAATTCTCTTCTGATTGAAGACAAAGCACAATTCAATTGGAAATTTAATTACGACAATAGCGCTTACCTTGATGCTCTCTTAACAAAGATGGGGCCGGAGAGATCGAAGAGTGTGAAAGACTTTATTATCAATGATGATATATTTATTGGAATGGACAAAGAAGATGTAGAGCTATTGAAGCCATCTAGTTACAGTCTAACTTCAGAAACAAATGTTACTGGTCCTGGTGCACATCTTCCTTACCAAGTTCCAGTTCACCCGTTCTTGTTTCGCTTCCTCCCACCAGACATGCTTGATCAATTAACAGGAGCAGGTCCTTTGGGGGGATCTTCTGCCCTGGGAAAGATATTCACATTGATTCAATTGGGCTACACAGTATATGAAATTATTGACGGCGAAGGTGACAGTTGGTCTAAGCTAATTATGGGGATCTTTATGATCATGTCCATTTCTCAGACAATATCCCTTGTTGCCCTTCCTCCGCAAGACGTTTCCTACAGTCTCAAAGGAAACTATATTACTGGTTCTTGCTACAACTATTTCAGGATACAAGAAAATGAAGTTCTTGGGATCGTCAAACAGTTTTTCTCGAGCAAACGTCATAAAACAATGGGGCGATCAGACTTTCATTCTACCTCAAATACGTTTTGTATCTTGGCCTTGACAGGAATGTCTTCAAAAGATCTGATGGGGGTTATTAAACGAGATGACTTTGACAGAAAAACACTTACTCATTTTCCGTCTGGAATATGGGAGTATTTCGTTGTTTTTGGAGGAATAGCTGTACCTCTTTTACTAGGCTTAATACCTGGGTACGGAGAAAGGAGTACAACAGAATGGATTGTGATCTCTTGGATTGTTGGGAGTCTGCCTTTTATTATATTCCGAATCATCTACTTTGATATGTTCACCACAATGAAAACCTCAGAGATGATACTACTAGTTATTGTTGGAGCCTTGCCAGGTATAGCACTTGTTCTAACTGCAACAGTCATCGGCTTTGTTACTGTTTGAAATAACCCCCCCCCCCATCCATTTTCTCTCTCTCTTCTTGCAAATATAATTAATAGTATTAAATGAAATTAACCGATAAAAAGTACTTTACTTACATTACATTAGATTGTCTTATGTTTCTTTGCTTCTTGTTAAATATAATCTACGTACTTTTCAGCAACGTAAAACATAAATTTTATATAAAGCAATACGCATCGTGCTTCTCATCCCACTGCCGCTATAGGCCCATTTTTGTGTATGTACTACCTGTGCACCTATGTACATGTGTACACTTGTACCTGTGTATCTATATATTTGTGAGACATTGTGAGTTTCTTTTTTTTTATTGTTCTTATTTAAAGCCACTAAATTTGTGATTTATGTAAAGCATAAAAGAAACATATACAAGCTGAGATACAACTCTTTATTACTGCCAGCAATTCAGCCCAATTCTCTTTGATGCATTTTTGCTTTTGTTTTTGTTTTTTGGCGTTTTTGGTTTCTATTCATAGTTTTCGCTTTTATAATCATAAAAAAAATGTTTCGTGTGTTTCGACAATTGAGTTCAATTCGTACCAGCGTGAATTATACTCTCGTTCCATGTGTCTTGGTTTTACTTTCAAGCTTTGTAGTAAATTCTGCAGCTGCACCACTCACTATCGAGAATTTTGTATCTCCCACCAAAGCAGCTATCATCTCTATCATCCAAACAGTTGTCTTGGCATATTCTGCGCATGCGGCAACTATCAGACCAGAAAATACCAGCACAATATGGCCTACCGTTGTTAAGCGTACATTAGCCATCGCATGGCCTGTTAGTGGAGTCCACGAAGCAATTAGCTCTATGATCAAGGCGTACAAAGGCTACAAAATTCTTAACAAAAGTAACTTTCTCGAAAAAAACCTTGTAAAAAACGATGAGGCGCTGGGAGAGTGGATGAACGAGATGAAAATGAAGGTCTTTGATATGGAAAGAATATCTTTACTTGTGGAAAGACGACGACTCGACAGGAGGTTGGAAGTCATCGAGACCGATATAGTTACGATGAAAGAAGAATTGTCAAGAAGCGCTCCAGAACCATCTTCAGAGTCCTTGGATGATGCAAACATGAGACTTTATATAAGAAACACAAACATTAAATATCTAGAGTCAAGTTTAAAGGAGAGAGAGGTTGTTTTATTTTACCAAACTCTTACTTTACGATCCGAACATGCAATCTTTAGTGAACATGCAAAATTTCGAGCCGAATTATATCATTATCCCTACGAAACTCGAATCAACCAGTTCAAGATATTTGCACAGGAAACCGAAGATCTAAAATCATTCAGGTCCAAGCTAACTATCCACGATGAAGATGTCCTCAATACTTCCGGACTAAAAAAAGAAGGCACGAAGCTACTTATAAACTATAAATCTCTACCTAGTTCTTCGATTGAGAACCCCATACAAAGTACCGCATCAAAAGAAGCACACGGTTTATTAAACAACACAGAAAGTGGTGTCACTGAAAAAGGGGAAAAATACACCGTAATGAAGGCCCAGAATTTATATTCTTATGACAGAGAATTACCGGTAGAAGATATTTACGAGACAGACGATGAACTCAAAGAACTTGCTAACCTCTTTTATAAATATCAAATCCCAGGTAATATTTATAAAATGAAAAAAAAAGAAGTATTGCTATTCCATATTTACTTGGGAACAAATTTGATCTTTATATATGTAGACAAAGACGAATCAAATATTGACTGGACATATAAATACAATAATGGCGCATATTTAAGTGCTATTTTGGAACGTATGGACTCGTCTGTTGCCACAACAACAAAGGGCTTTATGATCAACGGAAATATTTATATTGGAATCCACGACTTTAGTGTTGGATTATTTGACCAAGACACCTATGAATGGAAATACCAAAAGGCTTACCAACGTACAGACGAGATGGATATCACTGGACCAGGAACGGACTACGATTATCAAGTGGCAATCCATCCAGCCATGTTCTGTTACCTGCCACCTGACATGCTTGATCAGTTAAACAACATAGTAGCCTTGGGAGAGTCTCAAATCACAAGCCAGCTTTTTACTCTGGTCCAGCTAGGGTACACTGTGTACGAAATTGTCTTGGGTACTGGAGATAAATGGTCCAAGCTTATTATGGGTGTCTTTATGATAATGTCTGTTCTTCAAACAGTATCTCTGATGATACTTCCTACCCAAAGTATGTCCTATAGTATCAAAGGAAATCCTATACACAGCTCTTTGCACGAATTTGTACCAGAAGCCAATCCAAAGATGCATTCATACAAATTTAAAGAATTTGATCCAGAAATCTTCAATGGAGTCGATGAATCGGAAATACATTATATATCCTCTGCCATGAGAACATTGGCATTGACTGGAATGCCATTGGATGACCTGGAAGACGTCATGAAGAATGCGTTGGCTGCGAAGACATCCTTTTCATTCAAGAACTCTGGGGTGTGGGAGTATTTTGTGGTCTTTGGGGGAATAGCAATACCTCTTATATTAGGGATCGCGGCTGGATATGGAGCAAAGTCTAAAACCGAATGGATCGTTATCTCTTGGATTGTTGGAAGTTTGCCATTTATCATATTTCGGATATACTTTCTGGATAGATACGCTAATCTTGATTTACTTTATCTCATACTGCTAGTACCTTTTATGGCTTTTCCTGGAATAGCATTAGTCTTGGCTGCTACAATTATCGGCTATATTCCTGAATTTTCCAACTGAATATATATATATCGTTAGAAATAAAGGGTTGTTATGTATTTGTTCATGATAGTTGGTAAATTCTAGTGTAACCTTTAACAGTTGCCAAACTCAGAGTTGTTCACAATGCAGACAGTGACTGCTTCAAAAGTCAGAGATAGAGAGAGAGAGGATGAGAATCGCTGAATACCAGCTTAAAGTCTATACAGTGTGCAGATATTACACAATTTGATGTGTGTCTTTGGAATCAAATGGCTCTACCTTCTTCTTTTTTTTTGACCAAAAATAATCCCATCTTTAGAATAAACATTTATAGCTTATGATCTATATCTTTTAACTATTTTCTCACAATTCTTTTTTTTTTTTAAAAAAAAATTGAAGTCTTCCTATTCGAGTAAACAATTAGACACACAGACCCTATTTTAGACCTTTGACAGGTAAGCCAAAAATATATTTTGTTTCCTAAGGAATACAGATAGCTTTATGACTTTCAAGAGAGTAACAACATGAATAAATGAATAAATCATTTTTCACTCGTTTAATAATTTCGATCAAGCGGTGTTTTATTTATCTTGGCCAGCAACGTCAGCAAATAAACATAAGACGTCACAGAGCCCCTCTTCTCCACACCATTTTTCTGCTCAGTTGCTTTTTTTCGCTCGTTAGAAAAAGTTACTTTGAGAGAGAAAAGAAAAATATATATATATATATATATTTATATATTAAAAAAAAAGTGGTCATTTATCTTTCATACTTTTTCTTTTTTTTTTCTTCTTCTTTCTGTGTACCTAATGACCGACAAATTACCACCCAATCTTCTAAAGCTTTTTGCACCACGACCACCCCTTCCCTATGTCAAGCCACTTGACAAGGCGCCCGAAAAGCGTGTAGGCGCACAGGTGTCTGGAATCGCATCTCTCGTGCCAATGTTACGGAACTACGATCCCGACTATGTGCCATGGAAGTCAACTGAAGAAAAGCGCAGAGAAAAGGTATCATATAAGTAGGATCGAATTATGCTTTAAACGAAAAGAGAAAAGAAAAAAAAAGAGAAGCATTCTTTGAAACGGGATGAAAGAACAAATATTACTTTTAATAATAGAAAGTAGATTATACATTATATATAAATTAAGTAAATAGATTATAATATAAAAACTAGAAATAGAAGAATAAGGTGCTCATAATTATATTTGTAGATTGCAGCTAAAAGAAAGAAAGCAGATGAAGATCTTGCTAAAGCACTTTCTGAGTGTAAGTATACTATAATGCGAATCTCGTGTGCATGTGTGTGCGTGTGTACTTATACTTTAAAAATACTTATGGATTTACTAAATTCTTGATTGTAATGCAGATGATCCAGAAAATGATGACAAGATGGAAGGCAATCCATTTAATACCTTGTTCATCGCACGTTTGAGCTACGAATTGACAGAAAGCGATCTTATGCGTGAATTTGAGTTGTACGGACCTATTAAGAATGTAAGTTTCATTTTTTTTTCTTAAGAAAGAGTTTAAGCACATAGACAGGCCTTTAGAACTGTCAAGATGAAAGCGACAAATGTTCTCAACATGGCTGCCTTGTGTAGATTCGCCTCGTAAAGACACCAGAAGGAAAGTCGAGAGGTTATGCATTCATTGAATATGAAAGAGAAAAAGACATGCGAGGTAAATGATTGAAAAAGAATAGGATAAGATGGCCTGGAATTGGAATCCATTACACACGCAGAAATACTTCCCCCCATCAAAGATTACAGGATAATGATGGTGTTTTTTTTTGCGAATGTCAACTTAAATCAAACAAACAAAACCAAAAAAAATTCATTCTGTACAATAGCTGCCTACAAAGATGCCGATGGTTTGAAAATGCTGGGTCGACGTGTTATTGTAGACGTTGAACGTGGCCGAACAGTTAAGGGGTGGAAGCCTCGTCGCCTTGGAGGTGGCCTTGGTGGTACGCGTGATAGTCGTCCACCTCAGGGTGCACCATCCAACAGAGGGGAAAACCGCTCCTCGTACAGCGATAGTAATCGTGACCGCGGACAGGGTCGCTCAAGTGGAGGAAGTGGTTATGATGGTGGCCGCTCCTTCGGTAATGGTGGCGGCGGTGGAGGAGGCTACGGCGGAGGAGGTGGAGGCCAAGGATTTGGCAGAAGAGACAACGACGATCGGAGGAGATCCCGAGTGCGCTCTCGAAGCCGCAGTCCTCATTCGTACAGAGACCGAGAACGCGACAGATATGGTGGACGTGGTAGAGATAGATCAAGAGAACGCATGGGCCGCCGAGACAGGGACCGTTATGCTTAAGTGCAGATACAAAAGTAACAAATCAAACAAACAGGAAAAAAAACGGGCTCTTTCTTTCTTTCTTTCTTTCTTTCTTCCTCTTCTTTATCTATCTACCTCTTCTCTTCTCTTTTCTTTTTTCTTTTCTTTTCTTTTCTTTTCTTTTTTCCTTAATCGTCTGTCAATTGTTCTCCTCCTTTCCCTCTTTCTCTCTATCTCTACTCCTTCTACCCCCTCTCCTCATCAAAAAAACGCCGATTTCAAAGGCAAGTATCGGCTTACATCGTCATCCGCTGCTATGCTGAATGGTAAGCATGGTAAGAATCCCACATTTTTTTTAGAAGCAACCAAAAAACCAAAAAAAAAGAACAAAGAAGAGCAAGAATATCATTCTAGTTTGTTTTTTCTTTGAGGGGGGTATTTTATGTTTCTGTTTCTGTTCGTTGCCAATACAAGACAACAACTTGTAAATGTTATGTTGTACACTATGTATTATATATATATATACATATCTATATCTATATATTTCTGCCAGAATAGCAAGTTTTCTCCCTCTCTTGGTCTCTCTCGATCTCTCTGCGCACACACACACACACACACATTTATATACATATTATTATTATTTATTTTCATGCTCGGTTCCCACCATATTTTATATTACTATTAATTCTTCAAAATCCAAAATCCAAAAAAATTACCATAAAACTACTTTTGGCCCTTTCTTTTCAATCTTGACAATGACAGAAGCAGATACTACTCAACCACCCCCTGCTGTCATTGACCAAACACAAAAACATCAGGACGCTGAAGAACCTACAAATGACAATACAGATCCATCTCATCCTTCACTTCTTTTGGCTACAGACGCACGTCAAAGAGGTCTCACAACCGGGGAACCAGCTAGTCTTGTTCCCCCAATCTCATCATCGCCAATTCCTACTTCAGGACATGGTTCATTCTCGGCAAATGATCTCGAAAGAATGAATGCCAATGCAATCTTTATTAAGAATGAATTAAAAGCTGCCGGACCAACAAATTTGACATTAGAAGAACAAGAAGAACAAGGTCAGTACATACACACCAATATATATAATACAAGTTTAACTAATACATATGCGTATGTTATTAGATAAACCTGTAATCGAAGGTCTTCAATTATTACTTGACAATCGATTCATGAGTGCCAAGGCTGCGTTCTCCAAGAAAGCAAACGTGTAATGAACAACACTATGCAGATACAAATACAATTAGCTTTAAATTGACATATTCTATTACTTTTATTAATTAAATCGATTGACAGTGATCCACTCCACGCTCTTGCCCTGAGTTCAATGGCATTCTTGAAAGGTAAATGATTTAAATCTTGGTTCCTGCTTCTTCCCCTCTTAACATTAACTATCCTTGTATCTAACAAACAAACAAACAAACAAAATATGCCTATGTTTTTGGGTTAATATTCATAATAATTTCTACCTTTTCTCTAATTCTTCCTTCCGACCCTTTATATTTGTATATTTGGCTAAATAGCTGTAATGGTATGTGCATTTATTAAAACAAAATAAAACAAAATAAAAAACGATATTTTTTTTTCGTCTCCTCTGTATATCTATCTATATTTCTATTAATTAATTAATTAATGAGGACAAATGCTAATAAGTGAAGTTGATTTGGTGTAACAATAGACATCCGCTGAACATGATCAGACTACTGCCCTGAATGCACTCAATATCACCTATGATATCGCAAAAACCCAACGTAGTTTTTACAAGACACCTCCGGCAATGACAGGGTACATTAGCAGATACTACAATTTTATTGGAGGCTCAGAGGAGGACACTTCTGCAGATAATAAATCCCAGGCAGCACAAAAACCAAAACCAAAACCAAAAACATCATCAATACCACCAACATCAACATCAGAAACAGCTGCAGAAGAAGAGGAAAAGGAAGAGGAAGAAAATGAGAAAGATAAAGAAGCACCAGCAAAAGACACCACCACTTCACCAACCCAGACTGTTGCTACTAGTGAAGCCTTCCCACCGAATGGACTTTTGCGTGCACATGTAATCGAAGCAGAATGCTGCTTACAGATTGCTATCTTACAATTGATACAAGGATCCATTATTGACTATGTAAAGTGTGGATTGAATCTTCGAAGAGGTAATAATAAGGACGATTTGTTTTCTTTTAAAGAAAATTATGTAAAATGTATTTAACGGTCTCTTTATTATTATTATTATTATTCTTCTTTATTCTTTATTCTATTCTAGCTTACAGCAGCTATGTTTTTGTCTGGGAAGAATATACAAAGATGGGACCTGAGCACAGCAAATATATGGATGCCAACACAGTTTCGTGTGTTCAATTTGGGTAACCATCCTTTTTTTTTTATTTTATTTTTTGCTTGTGATTTCCACAATTTATTATAACAATTTTTTTAATAATCAATTTGTTGTTGTTGTTGTTTGCTTGTAGTGTGGGTGCTGTCCACCTTGTACTAGCTACTCTACCAGTCAAGGTATTAAAGGCAGTATCTGTTCTTGGCTGGAAGCCAGATAAACAGCTAGGATTCGGCCTTCTCAATGCATGTGCAGAGGGAAATGGTGTACGGGCATACATGGCAACCATGATGTAAGGCTTTGTTCACAAAACAAAACGAAAAAATAAGAAAGTATTTCTTTACATGCCAACACTAACTAACTAACTAACTAATGATACATTTGTGCTTATATATTATAGGCTTTTATCATATTACACAACCGTCACTTCCTTTACTCCTCAAATCCTTTCTAGTGTTTACACAAAATCAGCCATGGAGGTAAAACTATTATATATATATCTTTGTGTGTGTTTGTATAAGCAAATGATTTTATTTGACTAACATTTCCCTCGCTATCAAACAAATAAAATTATTATTATTATTATTATTATTATTATTATTATTATCATTATATCAGACATTACTGGAAGCTCAACGCGGACATCCTAACTCTGCACTTTATCTCTTCTTTTCTGGCTCTGTTGCTCGCCTCGCTATCGATCTTCCTCTGTCAACAAAATCATACCTCTATGCCTCTGACATGGGAAAAGGCGACTGGGCCGAACTTGCATTCACAAATACGTCTAGATATGAAGTTGCACTCAACCATTTGATTACCGGAAACTGGGACCATGCTGCGACTGCATTTGGATATCTGTCTAAACACCACTACTGGTCTGCAGCGTTTTGCAAATACGCCGAAGGAGCGTGTCTGGAGATGAACGGAAAACGCACAGAGGCAATTCTCACATTTGCTGATGTCGAGGCCCTGGTAGACAAAAAGAAGGGTAGTAGCCGCATGGAATACATGGACGCATACACACTACGAAAGATCGCGACGCTCCAAGAAAGCGGCTACCAAGACATGGGCATGTATTGTCCGATACTAGAGTTTATGTTCATCTGGAACCTTTTTCACTTTATGGACCACAATCTATTGAAAGAGTGCATATCTCGTGTTGATGACGCTCTGGAATTTATTCAACTAAAAGAAGAACAGGCCTACCAAGAACGCATGATTGAGCTGGCACCAGATACAGATTTGCCTGATTATTTCGATGAACGTGCGATTTTGCTACTCATCAAAGCTTCAATTAAGAATGTGCTTGGCCAGACAAGTGATATTGCTGGACATTTGAATTGGATTATTGATCACAGGGAGAGCTTTGGATCAGAGTCGTGGGTAGTACCTTATGCATTCTGGTAAGTAGTAAGGCTGTGTTTTGTGTGTATGTTTAGAGAAAATAGAGAGCGATATAATTATTATTTTTTTAAATAATTTACAATTCTTTTATAATACTTTTAAACCATTAAGGGAGTCGGGTGTTTCCTGCTGGAACCTTGATGATAAGCCTCGTGCTCGCCGAGTGTGGGAAATGGCACTGACTTGTTCAAAATACGATTTCGAATATCGTCTTTCTGTGGTATGTCTTTTATTTATTTTTTTATTTTTTTTAAAAAAAAAAAAAAGTTTCGGACAGTTTTTGTATTTTGTTGGTAGCAATAAGGAACTAAAGCGTAACTGACTGAGTTTGATGTATTTATAATATTAGCGTCTTGGTCTTGCTTTGACAAGAGCAGAAGAACTTGGGTTTACGACTCCAATTCCTGAACCTGAAAGTAAAAGCAGATTTTCACTTTCACTTTCCTCTCTGATAAGAAACAAATCGACAACAGCAGAAACATAAAGAAAGTAGTCTACCACAATATATTAAGAATAATAGATGATTTGTATTAAATATTCTTATATCCCCCTCCTTTTTTTCTTTTTCTTATAAAGACGAAAAGACTTGATTATAATAAAATACCAAAATTTTAATATGAAATTAAATGAAATGTAGAAAATAAACGGTCAAAAATCCAGGTACAAATATCTCGATACTAACCTTTCTATTATCAATTGGTATAAACAGACTAAAACGTTCAAACGACTTTGACTGACTAGTTTTTTTTTGTTTACTTATTGAAATGTTATTATGAGCACTTCATTAACATGTACATGACTTGATTCTAAACTTTTCAGTCTGTCCATACCAAATAAAATAAATAAATAAAAAAAAGTGCATCTTCCCAAGAAGATCTATCAAAATGAAACTTAATGTATGGTCTATTCAAAAGCCAGAGTGAGATATTCTGTTGGTGATTTTCTTTTGTGGGAGCGTTTATATATCAAAGTAGTTTATTTATTTTTACAGAATAAAAGATATTTTATACCAAATACACATATATGAAAGTAATAAAAAAGAAGATATAAAGATAGAAATAAAAGAGAAAATATAATATTCTAAAATAAAGGTATGATGTTATTGCAGTGCTTTTTTTTATATGAAAGAAAATACATAGTAGACAAAAAGTAATATTCAAAAGAAGAGGATAGTTCTTGTGATTTTTTCAAATCACAACAAGAATCTATTTATCTAGAGTCCAATGTGCTTCCACCGTCATCAAAGCTGGTCTTCGTTTCATTAGAGCATTTTTCAAGGTCGGGGATATCAAATGAATTTTTCTGATTTGGGTGCTCCGATATATCATCATCAAGTGGTGCATTTTTTGTCATGGTTTGTGCCTTTCCATTCACAGGTGTAACAATCTTAATGGTTGTCTTACGCGGAGAAGCTTCGGCCTTTTCATCAAACACGGCTTGCTGATTAACGCCCATGTCCATGTCCATGTCCATATCCATATTCATATTCACGTCAGTTTCCATGTATGTTTCTTTTGTGTACACTTGCTGCCCATGTGGCCCTCCGCCACCAACGTTATTGACATTAGTCCATTCGGGTTTTTCTCCTCCTCCTCCTCCAGGAAGCCCAAGTTCTTCATCTCTTGCAGTCACGCCTGACATGGCATTAGTGCTATTAGCAGAGTATTTGGACGGACGGCGCAACTTGGCATTGGTGCTTTGGATAGTGATGGTTCTGGTCGCAAAGGTTCCGATATAGAATAAAGGTATCGTGACGCCATGAACAATAACCGAGGCAAGAACCATGAAGTAAATGATTGGTTCAATGACCTGATGAGCACGGGAATCTTGGCCGACTGCATCAATGTTCTCAAGTGCAACAGTATAATAAAAGATGGCACCGACGCCAATAGGACCGAACCACCCGGTGAAAACTGCCTCACGGAATGTGTGGATTGTGGGTATGAACTTGTAAAGACCTACGACTATAGGAAGGCGCCTGAACAAGAGGACCATGATGGCCAAAACAATCAAACGCCATAATGAGACGTCTAACTCGATGCTTTGGAAAGAAGCCCATGGCTAATTGTAATGCATATAACGTACACAAACAAATAAATATTTATTTATTTTAAGATTAGCACTTGACTGACTCCTTGATATTGATCATGCAAGTTTACAATATCACGTATGTTACTTACAATAGTAGCTCCAATATATACAAATACGCTCATATTAAGAAGCAAATCAATGACCTGTTTTTAACATAAATAAAATAATCAGAAAACGATATTAATATCAATACGTGTTGTGTGAGAAATATTTCAAACCAATTTTTTTTTAGGCATTACCTCCATTAGGTGGGCATCTTCGGTTTCTGTTCTAAACCAGTCATCCCAAGTGAACGAGTTACCAGCGATGAAACAGGCCAAAAGATCATCGCTTTCAATGATCGATACAGTTCCAACCAAGAAGACCTAGAATAGCAGTAGATGAACAGTATGTGTGAGTCTCTTTTATTTACTTAATTCTCTCAAGGTACCAGTATATTTTCTTTTTAAAAAAGCCATTATTAATAAATTATGGTATAAATACTTACTGCCAAGGCAATTGCAAATACAAGAAATGATTGCTTATCAATCATTCGTCTATAAATAAAGTAAAATAAGAAGATTAGCTTTGAATTGAGTATTTTCTTCTTTTTCTTTTGATTTAGTGATACTGTGAGGGATTTCTGAGTCTTTTCTTTTTTTTTTTTTATCCCCACATTATATTTCCTTTCACCATTTGATTGTTAAGCATATATGCCTCAAGTGCCAAAAAGAAAAAAGAAAAAACTTTACCTTGTCTCCGCAAATTTGAGCAATTTTCTAGCCACATAGCCAACCACGAAACCAATTGCAATTGACAGAAGAATTTGATAGCAAACAGTCCAGTATGCCCATTTTCCGATAGCGGGTCCGACATCCATGTGCATCAAGTAGATTGCAAGAAACAAGAATGGATATCCAAGACCATCATTAGCCCCACTACAAAACATTATATATATATATATATATATATATTAAATCAATTTATTTGATCAATAACAGAAAGAAATACACATTGCATAGAATACATAGACAATAAATCTTTACCTTTCTGCTGAAATGATATTTCTGACATGAATAGGAACATGTCTTTCGGCAAACTTTCCTTGAACAATTGAATTTGCCAATACCTAATGTATATAGTTTGATGAGATACAAATTTTCTTGAAGTATATAAAATATGGTATATAAACACTTACAGGATCAGTTGGCGTAAAACAGGAAGCAATCATAAGAGATTGAAGCTAAATGTTTCAATATATATATATATATATATATATATTATTATTAAGACAGAAATAAATAAATTTATAGTGCATGTTTTATAATCAAGACATTTGACAAAATGCCGGTTTACTTACAAAGGTTAATCCTGGTATCATAGCCCAGACACACAACCCACTAATGATCCACATCCAAATCATTACAGGGATGAGAAGTACGAACAGAGACCCGATTTCTTTGCGAAGATAGGCTTTTGGAAGAGCAACACCAGCAGCCATTACCTAGAACAATATCAATAAATCAAATCTGTTACATGCATATTTGTTTATTTCTTTCTTTCTTGGACGTACCTGAATAGCAATGGCAACGCGAGTAAACTCCCGTGTAATGAATATCTTGTCTCCCCACTCGTCAACATTTATAAAGTTTGCACATACAGGGCCAAATATAATGCCGCATGCAATAGCAATAGCTATATAAGAGAGAAGAAGAAAAATTGATGAAATTTTATAATAAAAAAATAGTATTAGTTATAATTAATCATGGTAATTTGTGTTTTGTTTTTTTTTTAAAAAATAAATAAATAAATTGACGCGTTTTGAATATACTTACATGCTTCTGACAGATAGAGTCTTTCTTTGATGAACAGAGAAAACAGTCCAAAGAATACAATGAATCCTCCAAGAACACCGTAGACCACAAAGATGGTCTCAATTTGCATGTGAATAATATAGATCTATAGAATATGCGAGGAATAAAAGGGTTTGATGAAATGTGTAGTTGGGTTGTATATAATTAAATTAAATTAAATTAAATTAAATTAAATTAAAATAATAAAAAGTTTATCGTATTCTTTTATCTTGTAGAAGATTTGTAAGGTAAAGGTTAGGGGTTAATTCCCTGGTCAGGTAATGATATCGAAGGGGGTTGTGGGGTTATTGAGACAGCAATTGAGCATCAACAGTATGAATAAGAAATCAGACAGCAGATAGTTTCTCTGTCAATTAGAAAAATGGGAAAAAAAAGAGGGGTGGCAATTGGTTTGTGTATAAGGTAGAGGTCAATTGACGTATGATGAGTATAATGAAGCCAATAAGTCAGTCTTGGGTGATCTTCAATAATAGGATAAAGAAAAAATATAAATATAAATATAAAAGCTTCCACAACTTCTTTTCAAAAGCTTGCTTGAAATTCTGTGAAAGAATCTTCAGAAGGTCAAGAAGAATTAGAAAGGGTAAATTAAGCGAAAAAACAAAAAAGCAAGGCTTATATCAATCAATTAAATAATTAAATATTTTTATTTTATTTTATTTTTTCAAAAAAAAAAAAAAAAAAAAAAGTTACCGTATAATTTACGACTTTTGTTCTTTATGCTTTCAGGTCTTGTCTCTTGTCTGTGCTGTAAATATGTAATATAAAAAAAAAAAGTTCAAATTTTATTTTATTTTTACTGCCAGAATTTTCTTTATATGGAATTTTGTACGATGCGCGAATTTTGCGAATGTCCGAAAGATATGCAGATATTCAATTCAATTGGATAAAATGCTAAACAAAAAGTATCAAACAAAGGGGAGTAGGACCAAGACCGATTAAGAACCCAGATACAAAACAGCTTTAAAATTTATTTATTTTTTTGGTCGTATTGTATATTATAATTACAATCACTGTGATGCTTATAATACGACAAGGTTTTGAGTGTCTGTTTTTAGCATAGATAACGAAAGAATAAAAGGGCATCTATTGTAATTGGCTAATAATAAAGGTTTAAAGTATTAGTGATCTGTTGTAATCTATACTTGTATGCTGTCATAATCACCATTAGCACCATATATTTTTGTATAAACAATTGAGAAGGTCATTTGTAGGCTAATAGGAATTTGTTTGTTTTCTATGAAGCCAACAGTTTAATACTATAGAATATCAAGATTCTTTGGATAAACCATACACTCCAGAATTGCTTAATTTTTCTTAATAGCTAAACATATTAGGATATCAGAAAATACTTGACAAAAATGTATAAATACAAGCAAATTCTTTTTCTTCTTCTTCTTTCCTTTGAATGTAAAGCCTTTTTTATTTTTATTTTCAATTTCAATTTCTTAACTTGTTTGTTACTAACATTCTTCTTTTGAAACCAGGGATATCAAACAATCTTAAAGAGGTTTGATCTCAAAAGGTAAGGAAAATACTAACTGTAGTAATAATTCTGCCTTTAGATTGGCTACAATACTCCACGTGTGGAAGAATACGTTTGAAGATTGGTAAAAAAATATCTAGAAAATTGTGTATGAAAACCAGGAATTCTGAACATTATGAATTATTCTGGGCCTGGTAAAGAAAAAAAAAAGAAAGGGTATATCTCGTTTATTGATCTCTTTGTAAAACAAAAACAAAATCCTGTAGTTTGGAATCATAAGAAGGTAAGCTGTTCTGTAAATTTATACCGAATCGTTTCAAATAAACTAAACTCGTGCTGCTAGAAAAATAGTTTGACTTTGATATCAAACACAACCAACCATCATTAAACGTATATTTCTTAAATGCATGATCCTTTGACTCGAAATGTGAATGCCATGTGTATACACAACACACACACACACATATATATATATATATATATATATTGTACATGTATGTTGTGTATGTAACTGCAATTCCACTTGATCAAGTTACATGATCCAAATGTCCTATATCTCCTTAAAGAATTACCAACAATGGGAATTATTTTCTCGTTTCACAATGGAATTTTACCTGGTAAACATCAAATTCAAATCATTTTTTTTTAAAACGTATCCATTGCAAAGTTACATCCGATCCTTTATCTTTATATATATACCTTTCGATATTTCCAGAATATTTGACATTTCTGGGGTTTCCGAACCACCTCTTTTTGATAGAATACACTATGGCTCGAGCCCAATGATAGATCTATAAAATATCACGCCCATAAATTAAAGTACCTCTTCACAGCACTTCTTCTTTTCTCTGTCTCTCTCTATTGATCCCTTGACTTTTTTTTTTTTTTTTTTTTTTTTTTAGATTACCAAATGTTCCTTAATTTGATTACTCAATCTATTTTCGTTCATTCATTTCTTCTTCTTCTTTTAAGACCGTCAGTTGTAGAATCTTCTTCGTACTCTTGTTGGTCCAAGGCATCAAGCTTGTTTCTCTTTGTTTCATTCAGTTCAATTGCTGTAATTTTCGCTGATTCATTCTCATGTTATCCAATGTGTTTTTAAGTACATTATTCTTCTGCTTCTGATTTTGCTTGTGCATGTGCCTCTGATTTAGTTTCTATTGCGGATTATCAGTGTTCTCAAAGTAAGAATAAGAATAGTAATAAATAATCTTGATCTGGTATCTGAGTATACTTCCAAGATCATCAATAAATATCCCGGGCAGTTTCTTCGATTCGCAGTATCAATTCTGTTACACCGTCCACCGGCTTCAGGTTCCAAACAAAAAAAAACAAAATGAATGAATGAATGAAAGAAGGAAGAAAGAAAAAAAAAAGAAAAAGAAAAAAGAAAGAGAGGAAGGGAGAAATAACTTTTCCCTCCAATAGTATAAAGCAGACTCGGTAAATTCAGGGCCTATAGATATTGCACGCTCCAGATTTCTTCGCTTGTTTGGAATCTTATCATAATTTCACCTTACACAAGCACACAAGTACTTGCTCTTACACACTCGTACCAAAGAAGAAGAAGAAAGAACAAGAGGGATATAATTACAATAATCATAGTAAGACGTGTGTAAGTGTGTGTCAGTGTCAGTGTTCGTGGTTGTGTGAGCGAGTGTATGTGTACCAATTAGTGAGTGTAGACATGTGTGCTCGTGTGCTCGTGTCATACTCTGACTCTGCTAACTTTGCTCTGTCCTGCCCTGCTTTGCCCTGCTTTGCTCTGTTTTGCCCTACCTTGCCCTACTTTGGTCTGCTGTACTCTGCTTTGTCCTGCTATGGTCTGCTTTCTCTTTGATCCAGATCTCCAAATTTTTTTTTAAAAAAAACAAAACAATAATAACCTTGGAGTTCAACAAATACACTGGTTATAAACATGCCGTTTTTGGTTCTCTCTTTCATTCATTCAGATATCTTTGTGGTCTGCTAACAAGGTATAGTCTGGATCATGTTTCATTTCAATATTTTGATTCATTGGTATTTTCTCTCTCTCCCTCTCTTTGTTTTTGACTGAAATATAATCTCTCATTTTTGTTTTCATTTTTGACAATTCTCGAGTAATAATCCAAATTTTTATAGGTTGTGTGAGTGAGTGTAGTGAGTGTAGTGTGAGTGTAGTGTAGAGAGACAGAGACAGTTGATGCTGCTGTAGGTTGAGAGACATCGTAAATAAAAATAACACTGAAAAATAGGCAGTCAAATAAAGAGATCGTTATATACGGCTTTGTTCTTGTCTGATTTGTACTATGGACAAATCATTTTTGATTCATTGATTGATTGATTGATTTGTTTTGTGTATGTGTATGTGTGTATGTGTGTAGGTTGAGTGTATTTGTGCAAATGTGTTTCTGTGTGAATCTGTACGCATACACATACACATATACATATGTATGTTTGTGTATGAGTGCATGTGTTCGTCTTCGGATGTCTGTGTCTGTCTGTAGTGTGTTGCTGTATAGGAAATATAATAATAAGTATACGAAAAGAACAAAAGGTTGGCTTAGTGGTAATCGCGGCGTGGCATGGGTTGCGTTCGGTAGTCTCGAATACGTGCACGTTCAGTCAACACTGATTCTTGTCGCATATATCCATCATCACGTCTCAAATGTCTTGGAGGATCTTGGCTATTTCTCACCCAACCTGAAGAAGCTGGTGGCGGAGCGTGTAATTCAGAGTTGTGTCTCGGTCTCATGATACTACGGCTGTCAGGTCCAGGCTGTCTGCTATCGCGTCTATGGTAGGGGTCGTCATACTGATGGTAGTGGTGTTGCTGTTGCTGTGATTGTGAATGCTGCTGGTGGTGGTGGTGGTGGTGGTTATTATTATGGTGATTACTATTATTATGGTCTCTGTAACGATGGTTCCCACCATATGGTGGCGCCTGAAGCGGTCTTCGTGGTGGGGAGGGGAATCGAGAGCGGCGCGGGATTGCAGAATCTGGCGGAAGAAATCGATCTTGGTATCTACGGTTCTCTTGTGGGCGCATGGCAAACGATGGAGGCTCGTGACGTGAAGAACGTGGATTGCGGCCATAGGGAGGGGGAGAGGATGAAGAAGAGGTCGGACGAGGAGGAGGAAGATCAGGAGTTTCTTGGTCGGCAGAAGAGGAAGGTGCAATACCGGCAGTTGAAGCAACAGCTATGCTGGTACTGGTGTTTGTACTAGAGGTCTTGGAAACATAATGTTGTTGCTCTTGGTTGCGGGCTTGACTCGGACCAGCCAAGTCGTGGCATCGACGCTTGCTGCTGCTGCTTTCAGATGACGAAGATGAACGTCCTGTGGAGTTGGGGTTGGGATTGGAAGTAGTGGTTGGGTTGGATTCAGAAGAATGTCGACGGCGAGAATCGGTTTCACGGCTCTGACGGTCAGCTTCCTCTCGTGGCTTGCCGGGAGTCTTGTGTGTGGGTCGATCCCAAACACATTCTTCAGTTTTTGTGTTGTAGTAATAAACCTCGCGCTTTCTGGAGAGTACTTGACGCCATGGATAAGGTAACTCACTGTCTTGAGGTTCAGCGGTGTCATGATTAGCTTTGGAACTAGAGACTGAATTCCCATTTGATTTTCCATTGCTCATGGCTGCTGCATTTTCAAGAGCTGGCAGGGAAGACGCTGAAGCCGAAGATGGCACCGAAAAAGAAGGTGTTTCGTTCTTGCGTTCTCCAACACCTGGAACAGGATTGCGTTCAGAAGCAGTGAGCACGACGTCTTCTACAATGTCGTCTCTATCCTCAATGTCGATATCTTTTATACCAATATCGTCAACATCCTCATCATCAGACTCTCTACCCCAATCAGGAGGCATTATTGCATGAGCCTCATCATTCTCTTCATCCATTCGATTTACTGGGTAATAGGCTGCTTCCTGCTGTTGTCTGACTACTCTCTCGTCTCTAGCTTTCATTGCTGCTGCTGTTTCAACTTCTGCCTGTGTTACTACTACCACTGCTGCCGCGGCTGCTGTTTCTGTTATCATCGCTGTTACTGTCGTTGCTGTCGCCTCCTCTCTTCTTCTACCATCAGTCTTCTTGTCCTCTATCTCCCTGAACTTTCTGTCCCGTTCTTGTTTCCACCCAACTGCTTCCTTCGATTTGGCAAACTCCTTGTCCCTGCTTGCAAAACTCATTTCGGAAGTCTCTCTTTTCTTGATCGGTTCTCGGTTTCTGCCTCTTTCTCTTTCTCTTTCTCTGCCTTTTTCTCTTTCTCTTTCTCTAGGCTTGAATGCCTCTCTCTCTTTAACCTTGTTCTTGGCTGCTTCGTGTTCCATACCCTTGGGTCTGGAAGATGTTGCAGCATCTTCTTCTACGGACTTTCTAGCGTCTACCTCCCTAGTTGATCTTTCCTTGAACTTCTTGTTTATGGCCTCGGACTCGGACTTGGCTCTTGTAGCTTCTATCGACCGATGTTGTTGTTGTTGTTTCTCACGCGCAATGGCTTCTTCCTTTTCCCTAGCCGCAGTTTCTCTGGCAGCGGTCTCTCTGGCAGCAGTCTCTCTTGCTGCGGCAGCTTCTCTGGCAGCAGCTTCTCTGGCAGCAGCTTCTCTGGCAGCCGCTTCCTTTGCAGCTTGTCTGGCGGCGGCTTCGGCGGCTTCCTTGGCAGCAGCAGCTTCAGCAGCAGCCTTGGCGGCTTCGGCGGCTCTTGCTTCAGCAATTTCAGCGGCTCTTGCAGCCTCAGCAGCAGCCTTGGCTTTGGCCTCGTCTTGAGTTCTTCGTTCTCTTCGGACTTCTGCTTGCTGATCTTCAGTACGTCGTCTCTGATCATCTCTTCTTGGTCGTCTGTTGTCATCCAAATCCATGTTCATAACTTCAGCCGATGATTCAGCTGATGCCGCAGCACTGGGTTCGCAGCTTAATGATCGTCGTTCACGAGCTCCAGATTCGACGGTGTGTCGTCTGTCGTCTCGCTGCGATTGGATTCCGCTCTTTTGGACAAGATGAGGGCTTGTGTGGATTGACTGTCGATTACCAGAATGATGCATCTCTTGACGATGTGTACGGTACCCAGCAGGACCAGAACCAAGACCAGAAGTAGAAGCAGGACCAGGTGACGGTTGGCGTGAGCGGTGCGATGGCGGTTGGTCGTGTGAATGAGACTGGTAGTGATGATGCTGAGAGTGTTGCAAATGATGAGATGGTCTGGCATAATCACGGCGACTGTCTTCTATTACACGACTGTCGGTTATAGAGCGACCGTTGTGGTAAGAGGGACGGAGCATGGGACGCCGGTCGTCTTCTTGACGTCGAATAGGCGCGCGCATAGGGTACTGATCGCGCGGGTTGCTGCGATGGTCGCGCGAATGGATGTAGCGTCTATCATTAGATACTTGAATAGTCATGTTGTAGCGCACCCTTTCGGATGATCTGTCAGGAATGTGATGGCGCATATTGCCACCTGTAGGACGCCAAGACCTATCGTTCTCAACGGGATGGACTCTACCCAAGCGTTCAAATACAGTGGGTTTTTGACCTTGAGGGTTGTCTGTACGTTGATCCATTGACTCTTTTTGTAGACAAGGTTTCAAGAAGAAAAGAAAAGAAGAAGGATAGGATAGGATAGGATAGGATAGAATAAATTTGGGGTAAAAATAAATAACAATAAAAAAATTGTAAAGATGTGTATAGTATGTATTGTGTGTGTCTGTGTATTATATATGTGAGTCTGTGTCCGAAAATAATAATAACAATAAAAAAAAAAGCTGTCCCAATATACACATAGCATATACATAAATATGTGTACCTATGAATGTATGTACCTATGAATGAATGAATTAATGAATGTATATTTGTATGCTGGTTAATTGAAATGCGTCTTGTTACTTGTCTTTATCCTGCTGTTGTTTTTAGTTCTTCTAAATTAGACCCCAAAAATAAAAAGAGACGGAAAACAAATGACCTGTTAATACTTGTAGAACCCTTTGTTCCCCATTGTTTCTCTCTTTGATTCTTTTCATAAACTTTGCATATCCAAAAGTCGATTCGGCCCGGAATTCAAAACATTGTCCGATCAAACACACACAAGCGCACGCTGTAGATATGTAAAGAACACATGTGTATGTGTATATATTAGATTAAGTGGAAATATTATAGTGTATTATTCCTTTTAAACAAAATATATATCATTTTTTTTATTGGTATTTTTTATATTGTAAATTATAGAGTGAGTACAAATTGTCTAAAAGACAAACAAGGGAAATCTTGCTCATCAGATTTGACGAATACAAAGTCCCATAGACCGAACGGTCAACAAGAGGAGGAGTATCTTAATAATGCTCCTACTGAAAAAAGAATAAATAAGAATAAAAGCTTTGTCAAAAATAAAGTACATGTCCATACTTCTCTATACTCATACAAAAATCAATCTCTCTTTCTTTCTTTTCAGTAGTAAAGTGCACAGGATTTATATAATTTCCATGTACACAAATTGAATCGCCTTGTTAAAAAAAATTAATAATCTACAAGCCTAGAACAAATATATATATATTTTATCATATGGGGCGAGAACTTGGACCACCCTCTACCTCATTAGTAGTAGTGCTATTATTTCTTTTCTATAGTACTGACAATGACAATTCTTGGATCGTAATATACACTTTGTCAACGAATAGATAGGTTACTCTGTTGATCTTGTTACGGTCAAAATCAAGAAAATATCATACTCTACACAAAACTGTGCCTAAATTATAGTCTGAGTTTCTTTGTCCTACTCATCCTTTCCCTTCTCCTCTTCCTCCTCTTCCTCCTCTTCTTCCCTTCTTAGATTTCTTTCTTTTAATTAGAATACATTGCCAGAAATTAAAATAAATAAATAAAGGTAAATAACATTGGTTCGTAAACTGTGAATTGATTTTCTTTATTGCGGTTATTATTACTATTTTCATTTTAAATTTCTTGTATCTGTTTATGTGCATTAAATACATATATAATATATCATATAACATGTATCATATATTATTTTATTTTATCTTCTTATCTTCAAGGGTAAGAATGGTTTCACCAGCTCTAATTCTATCAGCTGCATCAAGACCAAAGAGAGTGGCATCATTGGGACAACGATCGGGCGCAAAATGAACCACAAAGTCGCCAGGCTGATAAAACTCGGGGAAGGTATTAAAGGTGTGGTCGTCACGGTCAAGCAAGAACACATGTTCGGCGTGTTCAGGGCGATGGAGCAACTCCCACATAGCGCCTTGCTCATACGATGGGCCGGTAAAGTACCAGTTGGTCATGGCTTGCAAGTCGCGCAAGAACTGCATGGCCCAGGGTGTGTTGCGCATCAAAAACACGCCGGCATTAATCATGGGGTCGTGGCCTGGACGAGCAATGACGAGGTCAATGGACGAGTCAAACACGGCAGGACCCTTGGGGTATCGTTTACGAACATCTTTGAGGATATCTTCGAGCTTCTGTTTGGGGTTCATCACAACCGCATCCATGTCCATCCAGAAGATCCACTCGTACTTTGGCAAGACCTTTTCAACTGCGTCAATTTTGCCCCACACCGTCTTGCGGTCGTTACGCAGAGCCTGTTGGGCGAATTCGGCCGACCGGGCAACAAACGAATAGCCGTGTTCAAGACTGTAGGCATGCTTGTTGAGGGCTGAGAGTGTGGCTGAGGGCTCCATACAGGCGTCGTAGATAAACGACGATGTCACGAGCGCAATCAAAGGCTTGTTCTGCTTGGTGCGGGCCTCAGCCGTAGCCTTTGGGTGACACACCAGCAGTGGCTTGAGGTAGGTCCAGTAGGCCAGAGCATCAAATTCGGTGTCCTGGTAGACGTGGGTGACAACGATGTCTTCGGCATGCACAGACTCGATGTTGTTCTCCCAGCGGATGAAGCGCTGGGTGTCCTGGGGACCGTCTTCACGCACAAACTCCGGAATGGCCTGCTCTTGCATCTCGGCCGCAGCCTCAGGCTCAAGAGACTCGTCGACGGCCTTCTCGAGTGCACCGCCAAATCGCTTGTAAAAGTCATACATGGCCGTCAGGATGTTGGTGCTATTTGACACAGTGACAAACTCGGCTTGTTTTCCAAGCGCCAATTTGACGGCTGCAGATCCAACCACGAATGCGTGCTTGTCGCGGGGCTCGCCTCCAAATGTACCCCAGACCATATTGGTGGGTGCATCAGTGTTGAGAGTAAAGGGAGACTCGGTGTTCTCACTGATCACGCCTGTGTCCAATTCACGTTTGATAGTCGATAGCTGCATAAAAGTGTTGATGTCCTGTACAATCAAGTAATCATAGGTAATGCCTTGCTTTGCTAATGTGGTTTCGGCCTGTATGTATATACATAGACACACAAAAGAATTGATATATAAAGTTTAGTTTACCATGACAACCAAATTTTTTTCTTTCTAAATATATCTATCTAAATATATAAATATAGAGTAGGACTATGAAATCCAAATTTACTTTGATGGATACTCATTTTGTTTTTGTTTTATAAAAGAAAAAACACGTACCCAGGCCAAGATGTTTATCTGCTCAAAGCTCTTCTTGGACTCATACATATCATTCCACTCCATCTTCTCAGACTCATAGCTTCTTCGAAGAGGAGTATCGGCCTCTGGTTGGGCGCCGTGGATCCAGAACTTGTAGTATATATCGGCGTTGTAGACCATACAAGGTTGCATATTGTCCCTCAAACCAAAATACTTTTCACGAATAAGGCCACGACGGCCAATAGCTTCGGCCTCGGATGCAATAATAACAACCTGTGTGTAGTGGGATGTAGGGTTGATAGTAACTTCTCCTTCGTCTTCGAAAGGACGAGGAAGTGCATTGTGATGCTGGGAATGTGGTGAGACGGGTTTTGGTGTTGCTGGTGCCGGTGCCTGTGGAGGTGGTGGAGGTTGTTGTGGTTGTGATGAAGATGATGATGATTCTGGAGATGTCTTTTGAGATTTTGAAGAATCTGGAGAAGAATCACCCGGTTGAGAAAGATTGGGAGGTACGGCTTGGGGAGAATCCAAGTCTGTGTGAAGAGAAGGCTCGTTTGACATACTGCCAGGAATATTGATTCGAGCATTTAGGTAGAGTACGATGAGTACACCCACTAGTGCCAGACCAAGCAGAAGTTGTTTCCGTGACCTGGGTTTCTTTGACGTAGACAGATTAGGTTCTGCTTTGTAGAGTGGGAGATCTACAGGCATATTTTCTTCTTCTTATATTTGTTGATTGGGGAATTCTTTTGATATGTGGGTAAATTATCTACAACAAATAAGAAGAAGAAAGAAGGAAGGAAAGAAAGAAAGGGCGGACAAGCGAATAATGGGATTTTTTTTTGTTTTTTTTTTAATACTTTTTTTTTTCTGTTTTAGTTTTAGTTTGGATTTGGATATGGAATCTAAATTAAGAGAGGGGCAGAGAGGGGAGGCTTTAAATAAATATATAAATATAAATATAAATATAAATTTTAATGAAATATTATAAAATAAATATATGTATGAATATGAATTTATTAGAACTCGAGCAAGTCTTTCTTTCCAGGAAGTGAGCCACACAACTTCTCCTTGACTGTCGCTTTCTTGACTGCTGTTGGGGTGGGTTCTGTTTGGCGTACACCCATTCCGCCTTCGGGTGGTAAGTGAAAGGTTTCTATGGCAAATCTCTTTCTACGGAGTTTGAATGCCAGATCGTTGCTTCCTCCACCCGAGAGTACTGATAGTTTTGTGCTAGGTGGCAACAAAGAGTTTAAGACTGGCAACTTGTGGACATGGAAGAAACCATGGTAATTCTGTGTGTAAGGGGCATCGTTGTGAACCGAGGATCCTATAGATATTATTGATGTATTGGCGTATCAAGTAAGTCAGTAAGTAAGGCAAGATGTCATTACATATCATATCATATCATATCATATCATATCATATCATGTCATGTCATGTCATTTATATAAATAAACCAATATCTTAATATAAAAATAATATTGTACCTGCAAATGATTCAATTTCAATAACTGCATCCACAATATGTTCTATGCGGCGAATAAAGAATGGCGATTCGTCATAAAGATAAGCCGGGACGGTCACAACAGCAGCTCCAAATGAAAACCGGAGCAAGCCCCGCAATCCGTGCAAAAACTTGTAAAGATCCTGAAAGATACACACATATAATTGATTGTGTTAATAGCATATTTCTTTATGTGTATAATACATATATCACTTTTTGATTTGATATGAATTTGATGGTCGTATTCTTACATGAGGGGACTTCATTTGCCATCCAGGAGAAGCTAATGAATGAATTCCGAGTCTCAGCGCTTTACGTGTAGTGTTTGGAGGAGCAGGCAATGCAGAACTATTAAATAAGCATATTGATAATAGATTTTAATTTATATTTTATTTGATAAATTTAATAACAGTAAAATTAATCAATGCATCATATATTATATTATATAATATATCTGCATATTTAAACTTTATATAGTTGAAAAATAAATACCTGAAATTGCCTTCAATAATGATCTTGCGGATAGACTCCAATAGAACATGATAATCATCCATAGATCCGTCTTCCGGAGGAGGTTCAATCAAACTAACAGACGCTTCTTCTAAAATCTGTTGTGGTATGCGCTTTGTCAAGTCAAACATACTGCAGAAAGGCAATTGCTGTGGTGGCGGTTCTGTTGTTCCTGCTGCTGGCTGTGATTGTTTAGTTAAACCAGATCCAGATTTACCAAGATCTTTGAGAGAAATTGAACTAGGTGATGCTGGAGCAATAGGTGAAGCTGAACATATATATACATTGGTTAATTATCATTTTGTTTTATTGTAGTTTATTTTATTAACAATCTTGTAACCAAAGTTACATTTGGAATTTTAAATAAAAAGATAATATATATATATATTTACCTGGCTTTGCTTTGAGGCTAGAATCAAACGACTTTAGATGAGAGTATCTCCAGGCAATCTTCATGCGATCACTCTCTGATTGCTGAGCTTGTTTACGCTTGTCATGATCTTCATCCTCGTCTGCATCTGTTGTGGCCAGCCACATGAGATTGTGCATCAGTTCTCCAGGATCTTCGTCGCGTGTTGCCAATGCACAGTGGTGACCAGAGGCAATACCCTGGGCCATAAAGTATTTCAACAACAATTGAGCATATGTCGTCGCACGATCTTCTTTGATCAGCAGTACGGTTCCGACAGGTAAACCGCCTCCCAAGATATCATCGAGTGAAGGTACTCCGGTGGATATTAACAGTTGTCCATTGTAAGCACTGAGACGAGAACCCGCAGGTAATTTTGGTTGTTGATCGACATTACGCTTCCTGAAACTCATTTTTGTAATTAAGAATATATATAAAGTGTATATATGATATGTATAGTACTTTAGTTAATATACAGAAATACAATCATATATAAATTATCTAGAGAGAATACTGCAAATCCTTGGCTGTCACTTTTTAATTTTTTTTATATACTATTTTATTTAAAAAAAAAAAGAAAAAAAAAAAGAAAAAAAAAAAAACACACACACACACAAAAGCAATACATCTGGTATGGACAGACTAAAAATTCAAAAAAAGTACAAAAAAAAAGTTCAAAAATGTAAGGCGTATTATTGGATCGGAGCTTACAACAAGTTCAAAAGACTCTGACTGCCCAGTCTTCTTCCATCGCCACTTGGATTGAGAAGAAGAGCATGCTTTTGATGGAAGATATGGTACTATGAGCACCTAATTTTTTTCTATTACGCCTTTTAACTAATCTTAAAATTTTCTTTAAACTGTTTAGTTTGTCCACACCAATTTATCTTAAGTTTTATACTAAAATATATCAGGAAGAAAAATATGGATTCTTAATAGTTTGTCTTTTTATAAAAATAGGACACTTTTATTCACAAATCGTCAAGATCTAGGATCACTCTAACCTGGACTAGCAAAGGTATCTTCTCTTAAAATATTACCCGTAATTCCAAGAAGATATTTTATCAGGATATGATTAGCTTTCTTCATAGTGTATATATATTATGAAACTGGCCTGATTTATTTCCTTTCCAAAATAAAAACATTACCTTTATAACAAACCAAACATTTTCATAAAGAGCTGTGGATCTATATGGAACTTAATTGTTGAATAACCCTTTTGAGTACTCAAATGTCTTACAAATTGTGCTTTTAATGTATTATGGACTATTGAACTTTTATTTATTCAATATCAAATGTGCAACCAAAACGACAACATCATTACCGTCAATGATCAATATTTTTAGCACATTGTAAATAACAAGCCAATAATAAATAGTTGGTACTAGCTAATTATGATGCAACATATGAATTGTCTTTTTCAGAATAATTTCAAAGTGTATCCTACGGGACAGGAAGAAAAGAGACTATTTATGATATTATTCGTTATATAGATAAGGGTATAAAATGTATCTTATATATCCAAATTCAAACCTTTAAAATTGACTCGAAAAAAAAAGCTTTGGAGATGGTGAATCTTACAATGATAAGAATCCAAGATTTGTCTTGATAGATCATGTCCCAAAGAGAGATCTCAAAATTAATAGGGCTAAAGACAGTCTCAAATATATACAGCAAGCAGTTAGCTCGTGAGCGGAATACTGATATTTGGAGAGTGTATCCTTTTGGCTTCGACTTCAATTTATCCATACATTAATCATAAGTTAAGTAAAGTACTGTATAAAGGGAACATTGGAAAAATCAAGATTGTTCTAAAGAAAGAAAAAAGAGTTGTACGATGCAATCAATGCAAAAGCAGAACTAGAGTATATATTCCTTGAACAAACAGCTAAAGAAAAAGGAAAGAACATTGAGTGAAACTTGTCATTTCTTGTGATAAACACAGAGCAAGTTTAACAAAACAAAACATACTTATATGCATCATTTGGTTTCAATTATTGTTACTGCCTTGATTATACTTTATAGCCTCAAATCAATACTGGTACTTCTCATTGTTATAATAATCTTTTTATCTCTATTTTCTATGTACCTTTTTATGAAAGTGTATAGTAGTAATAACAATACAGTGAGAATACAGGCGGTTTTAACCAATAGTCGTTTACGTTGGAGAATTAACAGTCTGTCAGACTGTTCAGCAATCTACACTCTCACAGTATATACCACATTCAAAAGTAGGAGATATACTGGGACATATTTTCATAAGAAGCGAAAAGAATCTTTGAAAACAATAGAGGAGGGAAATCAACGCTATTTGATTAAGAACATTAAGACGAAACATAAGACAACATTTGTATCTTACAACTTCCATATCAGACACCTTAGGATATTAGATCTCAAAATCTACCATTCGCCGAAAGCTTAATAGAGATGGAATTTCTTCTGACAAAACTGTGTATAAGCTGCTTATATAAAAGAGACACAGGAAGAAGCGCTTTGATGTTGTTAATTACTCCAGAGAGACTAATCAGATCTGGCGATCGCGTCATCTGGAGTGATGAGTCAAGATTTATGCTTTTCGGCTAAGACGAAAATACTAGGGTGCGAAAGTATCATATGAAGAAACTACTTTAATTTATACGAACTTTCGATTAGAATAATGACCGAGAGTTTGTCTAGCAAAGGAAATAGTACCTCCTGTCGAAAATTTAATTTTGTAGAAGAGTGGAATAAATACCAAAACTTGACAGGGATAGTGTCGCTTTCCAATAACCCAAACCTCAGCTCCATAGAAAATTTATGGTCGTATCTTACCAGAAGAGTAAAGGTAAGAGCCCTATCTATAATAATAATAATAAACTCTTAAGAAGTTTGAGACGGCTACCCATGCGGAATAAAACAGTATTCTGGCTCAAATTTCCAACTCATTTCATGTCGATTTCTAATTGCATACATGAGATGAAGGATTATGAAGGGGCCACTACACTATTTTTAAATAAATTTAGCTTTTTTCTTTTTTCTTTTTTTTCAAAAATTATATATTTGAATTTATGCGTTCTCATAAGTGGGTTTGAGACATGGTATGTTGGTTTGTGTGGTGTAAGGGTTGGTAAGAAAAAAGGTACGAATAAGTAAAAGGGGTGGTCAGATCAACACTCATAGCCTTTGCAACAAATAGCAGTGCTATTCATATCAAGAACCAGGGGAATTTGGGATTATATAGTATTTTTCTGAAATAGATTGATAGCAGCTCATTAAGATAATTTAATAATTTTAATAATAATATTATGGGTAATTGAATATGGGTACTTGTGATGATTAGAACGGGAAAATACAACTATAGAAAGATATTTGATATGAGCAAGTCATGAAGGAAGTAAAATTAAAGAAATACTTAAGATAGAATAAATCTGGAAGCTTGTCAAACTGTTACTTGCGGTGACCAGGTATAGATATATCAAACGAGTGAAGCCGAAAACCGATCTTGTCCAAAACCGACTGTGTAAGGTTGTTAGGTGAAAGCAGACCGACTAAACTAAGAAAGACAAAGAGGTTGTACTATTAGTTTCTCATAAACTGATAACCATGATGGCCATTATTGCTACGAGTCTATATAAATATACATACCTTGGTTATAAAAAAAGATTCGACAAGATTTCAATACTGAATAGTGTATTGAAAAATGATTTATATACTTTTAAAGTATATCCGATATATCCCAAAAGTAAAAAAAATAAAGATTTTTTTGTCAAGACCTGCGCTTGAAGGCCGATCCACTCAAGTTTACACCCAAGCTTCTCAACAACCCTCATTCCTGCCTACTCGGCATGGCATCAAATTTACCATGACGGCAAAGTATCGGTGAAATGCTTTAATGCCAAACTGCTCGGGACAGGTGTCTGAGACACCCAAGTGAACAGCATAGCATTTACTTAGGCACCTTAACTTTGCTTCGGGTTCGTCCCTCATGTCCAGTTCTGTTTACCAGAGCGTGGGTTACAAGTATCAAAGTCTAAGCAATGAGGGACTTGAAAAGCACAGGGATCATTTCAACAGGAAGCAGTAAAATACAGGCGATTGTACTGGGTAATCTGTCGATTCTGCTGGAATCTACCTGTATTACCTCACGTCCAGGTGCTCAACGAATTTAAAAAACTCTACGCATCCAGGTGATACACCCTTATACTTGCACCTTTCTGTGACAATCTTGACATGCCCCAAAGGACAAAATCTGGAGAGCCAATATCCAACGTCCTAAGAAAATAGCATAAAGCTACCTCTGCGTTCCTCAGTCTTCTCCATGTTATGTGCCGCACAACACAGAAAAAACTGACGTGGATTTCATCCGGCTTTCGCCTTCATATGAGTGGCTCAGGAAGGTCTTTAACGTCCAGTATGCTCTACACTAAGAGCTACTTTCCCTTACGGTACTTGTGTTCAGTTGGTTTTTTATAAGTATATTTAGCCTTCGATGAAACTTTTCACCAGGATTAGGGACTTATACTTGCACCTTTCTGTGACAATCTTGACATGCCCCAAAGGACAAAATCTGGAGAGCCAATATCCAACGTCCTAAGAAAATAGCATAAAGCTACCTCTGCGTTCCTCAGTCTTCTCCATGTTATGTGCCGCACAACACAGAAAAAACTGACGTGGATTTCATCCGGCTTTCGCCTTCATATGAGTGGCTCAGGAAGGTCTTTAACGTCCAGTATGCTCTACACTAAGAGCTACTTTCCCTTACGGTACTTGTGTTCAGTTGGTTTTTTATAAGTATATTTAGCCTTCGATGAAACTTTTCACCAGGATTAGGGAGTTTGTAAAACAACCCGACTCATCGGAAGCTACTTAACACAAAGACAAGAACTCAAGACAAGGTGAGGGGATTGCACCCTCCAATAACCTTTTCCAGGGAGTGAAGGCTACTGACTTGTTGGTATGTCTGGAAAAGCAGTTCACTAGTTCACAATCCAGAGCAGTCAAAAGACTACTCCGGTTCAAACATTGGAGCTTCTCCATCTCAAACAATAAAGTCCAAGACGGAATCCCTTTTGGTTTCTTTTCCACTGCAGTAAATGCAGGTAGAATCGCTCAAAGTACGGACCAATTTTAGGCCATGGTACCTTGAGCGAACTCAATGACTAGACGCCAAAGAGTGCAGTGCGTTCAATAAAAAAAACCATAATCTCATATTAAGACAAGCCTTATAAATAAGGCGTCTACAATGAGCGAGTTGGAAAAGAGCCCGGAGACTCACTGTTAAAGACCATGATATACACATTTTGCATGAAAATGTTTACGTATATTCCTTTTGATATATCGTGACCGATAGAATACGAGGTACTCAGTGACCACTCCAAGAGTAGAGATATAAATAAAAATCGAGTATAAGGTTAATATACTTATTGTGTCAAAGTGTGTGCGCGTGTGCGCGTTTACTTACCTAGCTGTTAACTGCGAAGGGTGTAAAATACTGAGCTGGTTCTCGGTACACCTCTCCATAAGCATACTTTGAACACTATCAAGAGAATAAAGTAATATAAAAGTATAAAGTGAGTATGTTAATTGAGTCAAAGTATGTATATATTGACTTACCACTCAGTGGACCATACATGGTATGAAGACACCATCAAAAGAATGGTGGTTAACAGCTAAACAGAACTAGAAACTGCAATAGAAAAAAAGAAAACATCAAATCATAGTTAGCGTGTTGATCGTGTCAAAGTATGTGTGTATGTACGCGTTTACTTACCTAGTAAACAGCAGCGGAAGGCTTGAAAAGTACTTGTGCTAAAAAGCAAGACGGGACGGGACACTGGACACTGTGATAAAATAAAAGAAATATCGAATCATAGTTAGTGTATTGATCGTGTCAAAGCGTGTGTGTATTTACTTACCTAGCAGATAACTGCGTAGGGTTTAAGAAGTACTTGTGCTTAAAAGCAAAACGGAACTGGACACTGGACACTGTAATAAAAAAAAGAAAACATCGAATCATAGTTAGTGTGGTGATCGTGTCAAAGCATGTGTGTGTGTGTATTTACTTACCTGGTACATGAACTTGACATGAAGGACCTCTCCGTGGCTACAGTGGAATGGACGCTGGGCATAGAGGACAGAAAAAAAACAGGCACAAGAAAACACTGTGCTGTAGTTAGTATACTGACCGCGTCAAAGTGTGTATGTGTGTGTATGTATGTATATAATACTTTACCTGCTATTAGATTGGACATCGGATTCGGAACTTAGCTAGAAACCGTGTCTGGGGTGCGTTTCCATGGTACATATCAGTATGGGCCTTATACAAATAGGAAGATATAGGCATTTAAAGGTGATTTTCTTACCGTGTCGGAAACCAAGGACCACCGAAAGGAAACCAGGAGGAAGAGGGGGAAAAACAGGAAATAGGGAATTGTATCGATTCTTATATGAAAAAAATTGGGGATTGCGCAGTACTGAAGGCGTAAACTGCCTATTTTGGGCAAATCAAAACAAATTCATATGAAAATTTATGGGGTTTTATGTTTTCAGTAAAATCTCTATGTTTTATATATATATATATATATACTACTATCATGGACATCTTGGTATTGGTTTATATATTTTTTGAATAGTACTTACAGCGAACATATTCGAGTATTAGTCTGCTATGGAGAACCTTTATATGACTTTGTGAAATTATATTTCTATATGTTTACACTCACACCACTAAAGATCATCATAATTTTAAAAAAAAACAATGGAGCAAGTAAAAAAAATTTCGTTCATCTTCTAAACACATTTTGTTCACTTTCATTTAGCAGAACATCTTAAAAGACATAGATATAGGAAATCATTACTATCGAGATAACAATAGAGTATGTTTATTAAATAAGCCAATATTTTATCAGTTCTCAGAGGGTCTTTTTTATTTTTAGCTATGCAATATCTTTTGAAGCCTACAAACACAATATCTTCTCTTACTCTTTAATGGTTAATAGGATAGATTTCTCGACTGGTAAAGAATAAAAGAGAATATATATTAATCTAATGTAATAGCTCATTAGCCTATATATTTTTAATAAAAGCTTATTCTCTTAAAAATGCTAAAATAAAATAAAAAAGAGACACTTGAGGATTGTTTATATTACTTTTATTTTTTTATGCGTATATATATATATCAGCAGCTGACAAAATAAGATAATCAGTGAAAGCAACTCCAGCAGTTTTTTCATAGAAATATTTATACCTAAAGTAATCTTAAAATATTATGACTTGGGGTATATCATCTATATCTTAACAATATGTCAAGGTTTGTAGAGACTCTGCTCATTAGATTAATTTTATATTTTATACTGAAACAGCCAAAGTATCTATAGACAATCTGGTTTTCGCTAAAAAGAAGAAATTAATTTGTCTGATAGTGTTTCTAGAGTATATTTTCTACATTCTTCATGTATAATATTAGAGTAGTTTTTGGTATGAGTATAATCTTTATTAATGAAAAACTTATAATAGCTGGCTATTTTGTTTTCTCTTGCTTTCAGATAATATGTTTGATATTTGTTTTGTATTACTTCTCTATATGGAAATATGAAAGAGTGGATATTGATTCATATAGTAATAGATACATCAGACAGCCTAGTTTCAGAAGTATTGATTATATTGGTGCCTATGCTATATTTTGATTAAATGTATTAACAGAAACCAACTTTGTAATAAAAAATATCTAATATACAAAGATTGATAAAAACCTTTATTTAGTAAAAAGGAGAGAGAGAGAGAGCTAAATCAATTGTCATTAATTTAACAAGACATATAAACTATCATTACCGGTGATATTAATTTGTACTTTGTCCCTTTATGTCGTAGTCTACATTAGATGTCGATTAGTATATAAATCTATGTGCTAAGTATAAAGAGGTATAATGCTTCAACATGTATTAATTAAATTTCTGAGGCTGTATATTCTTTTGGGATTTTTCAAGGACCATCTTCTATATATTTTTGCAAAGTAAATACTCTTTCTTTCTGCAACCATTCATATAATTTCTTTTTTATTCCCACTTTATCCTCTACAGTCATTAAATAGTTAAATACAATATATTTAGAGTTAGTATGTATATAAGCCTTGCATATATATAAGAGAAAGACAAATAAGAGCTAACTTATATATATCTTGTATTTATTTTGAGACATTTAATCTTTGTAGTATCTGATATGTTACTTATTTAACAATATATACATGACTACTCGTTGAAAAAGTGTCTTTAATATTAGCTATCATTTTACCATACTTCTTGTACTCAATTGAGTAGACTTGAATATCTTAATAAGTGCTATTTTCATTTGTTTTTTACCAACAGATCCGAAATATATCTTATATATATATATCCCTGTAGCTGGTGTGTTAGCCCAAAAACTACTATATAACTTATAATGTGCTTCATTTTTTTTAGGATTTCTTGTATTACTAACTATATTTCATTCTTAAAAAATGTGCTATTCAATCAGTATCATATCTTAATAACAAGCTTGTATTTGACAGCAAATAACTCATAATTTAGCAGTAATTTAATATACTGTAAGCTATCTTGACTCAAAATATATCTACTCTTGAAACTATAAATGTGCGAGCTGACACAATAATAAGATATGTAGTTTATTAATAATGTTTTTAGCCACCTAGCCTTTGTTAAAATGTTCCGTTACTATATACTACCGCGTATCTCCTAAATATTTCTATACATATCATATTTTAAGCCTACTACCAATCTTACAGTCAGCATATCTTTTTTTATATTTCAGTTATTCAATGGTTAAACACTCATAAATGTCTGCGTATTTACTAGGTTTATTTTTTTCTTTAGACCCTCTGGTTTGTATCAGAATATGACCAGATATCAAAAAACAAAAGTTAGGCATATAAAAAGATTGGTATTCCACATCTAATTAATCTTATCTCTTTCATTCTTTACCTCTAAACTAATATGGAACAAGTGAATAACCTTCTAGTCTTAAAAGACTATAATGAATATCAAGGTAATAAAACTATATACTACTATATACTACTATATATTATAACACACATATGCTATCTAGCTGCTAAGAAGTCACCAGGGCTCAAGAGGTCCAATGCCAAGATCTGGAAGTTTGGGAGACCTCTTCCACTGACGACTCTTTTGAGTCAATTTCCTGCAGTGCCAGAAGGGCTAAAAGAGCCAAAAGATCCAAAGCTTTCTGGATAATGTTTTAGTCACGTATAAGTTGTTTTATACATTATCTTTATTTTTATTTATTAACCACTTCTGCACTTATGAAATCTTGTATATGTATTTTTTCATAACGTCAATGTAATAAAATATTACGAGCAAGACATTCAATAGACTTTGAATATCTCTCTAATTCTATTGCTTCTTATAATGGTTTGTATGGTAAGTCTGATCCAATATCACTATATCCATCTTTTTCTCTCTGATTAAGACAAGCTAAAGTATTCACACATTTATTCCAAAACTTTATCTCTATCTTTTATTCTATATATACATTGCTTGTCACTCTGTGTTTTGCTTGTCAATTTGCTAACGGAAGTTTTTCTGGTCTCTGACCTTATCTATCGCGATTCACGACATATGATACCCTCTCTTACATCTCTCTCCTCCTTTATTTCTCAACCATTCCCACTGCCACTCTCTGCTTTCGTGTCCTTGTCCATATCTTTGTTGAGCTTCCTGGATACAACCTATATGATTATCCAAATCATACTTCCGAACACTTCCTTGCTGAGTGCCTCTTTTTTCACAAGTGTGGACTATAATATGGACAGCATGTATAACCGACTTCCTTACAAGTTCATCCGCAATCCTTGACACATTATATTTCCGCAATATTCCTTCCTCCCGCTCTCGTCAAATAGTGACTCTTATCATGTTTTGAAGGACGTTCTTTCTACTGTCCAAAGGTTTTACTGGAGAACAATTTCCAACGATGTGCCTTTTGATATTACCAATGTGTTTGCCTACTTGTACAAGACACTGCGCTTCTTCTTTCGATTATCACACATTATCGAATGATGCCGTGTTCCCTTCCACCCCCCGCACACACCCACATAGATACAAAAACCTGCCTCTGGCTATCTATTTTCATATCCCATCGCAAGCACTGCTACTGTAGGCCGTGCATATTCCTAATTTCCGTCCGTCCGAATATATACTTGGTCTACCAACACTACTATTGCTGTATATGCCAGCTTCATAAAAGAATCAGCCGAACTCCCAAAGATATCTCTCTCGGGTCAGAATCTATGTGAAACCCATTCAAAACCTTGATGTCCATTCGCGCCTCTCTACTTTTTTTCTTTAATTTACATCTCACTTTTTTTATAGCTAGCTGTACATTTTATTTTCTTATAAGCCGTTTTCCCCCACAGGGGGTTTTTTCCGTGCTATTTCTCTTTTTTTTTTACGCTGACAGTTTTCTGTCTAGCTATAGATAACCATTACTTTCTTATAAGCCGTTTTTCCCCACAGGGGTTTTTTTTCGTGCTATTTTTTTCTTTATATCTCTTTTCTTTATCTTTATTAGTTTACTTTCTTTATAATGCGAAAAGGCGCGAAGCATCAGTACATTTACAAAAACAATAAATGATTTTATTTGTCTATATGTATATATGTATATAAGTTGGGCCTTTATATCATTATCATTGATATTAGAAGTAGTATCGCTATTAATATTCCTAGTGATGTCTTTTTTTTCAGTTTCCTTTATTATGTAGTAAAAGCTAGGTAATATTATATATGTAGGTGATATACTCGCACTCAAACTTACATTCAAAGAAATCAAAGTAATTAAAGTCATTCCTAACAGCAAATATAAATGCGCGTACATATTACATAGTAAGTATTCTATTGAAGTTATCGCCACTTTTTCTTCATAATGTATAGACCCTTACTTATTAAATTTGGTCACATAAAAAAATGGAATCCAATAATATCTTTTATCTTCAAAGAGTATATCTCAAGATTATTTATTAGCTCCAGAGTATATAAAGGAACAAAATATGTGACATGGAGCTCCACAAGGGTGTATAGTCAGTTCAGTGAAAATCTTAAAAAGAGAGAACATTTGATATATTTTTTATGGGTCAATATTTTATTAAGATTTATTTAGCCGATGAAGATAGTCATTTGTGCTCATAATAGTAATAATATATGTAGATATAAAACAGGAATAAACCATATATATATTATATATCAGAATAATATATTACTCAATGTAGAATATAAAAGTATTCATTAAATTAAATTATAAGAAAAGACTAACTGTTTCAATATTTGATATTGTAATTATTTGCATCTTTTACAGCTTAATATATTATATTCATAGCCAGAACAAAACTTTGTGAATTCTTTTCTTTTTCTCCAGTAGTGCATGCTTTCTTTAATAAGTTATGTATATATTTCTATTATCTATCTATACATACTTTGCACTTGAAGTGTATCCAGATCTTTTTGACTGAACTCAAATATGAGATTTGAGGTGGTCAGTTGCTCAAAATTTAGGTCATGTAATTTTTTTTGTATTCTTTCATTATAACACTCACAAGGAGACCAATATTACTTTCTTGTGGACTCTTAACCTTTTCACTTTTTCACTTGTCTTTTGAGACAAATTGTGTTGGTTTATGCAATTAAGTGATCCAAATGGTCAAAATAAGAACATAATAGATATCAATTTCCTCTAGCAATTTATTAGCCCAAATATTGGAATTTGGCTGCTTATTTTCTTAAGAGAGATGACAAGAAAATAAAAGTGGTAAGTGAAGATGGCCTTCATAGTTTTCATGCTTCAATATTTATATAGATGTGAAGAAATAGTAAAAATAATACAATTAGTAAGATATTACTAATCTATTTAGATATTAGAATAAACTATGATTCTTTGGATAGTTAATAGTAAATAAGTGAGAAAAAGAAAGAAAATAAAATTGATAAATAATGTTAGGATTAATTGATACAATTTTTATGACTTTTAACTGATTTCTGTGGCACCTGTAACGCCAATGTTCTTTTTAAGACTATAACTTGATCAATTTGTTTAAATAGCCGATAGAAGGAAGATCTAGAAAGACATGATATATCTGGGTCAGCCGGAAGTTTGAAGACAGATTCAGCGTGCTAATAAAAAGGAAAGTTCTTTCATCTATGAAAGCTCACAATGAGAATAATGAAAGCAAGTCTATATACTAAGAAAATAATGTTGTCTGCCACAAGTTTAAGCTTGCAGAAGGGTGAAAGAAAAGCCAGAATTTGATAATGATGCTAAGGTTACCCAGCAGTCTAGATTATAGGTCCACAGAGAATTCGTAAAAACATCTCGCCGGAAGAGTGAAAAAAAAAGTTCAATCTTCAAATATCTTTAAGGAGTTGGCAGTGACTACCCATATAGAATAAAGAAGTTTTCTAGTCGAAGTTTGTAATGCTAATTAAATGACGATTCCTAATTGCATGTTAATGTCTAATTGCATGTCAGTTCATAATTGCATGTTAATTCCTAATTGCATACATGAGATGAAGAAGGATTATGAAGGGGTCACTACACTATTTTCTATAGATAAATTTAGCTTTTTTTTTCGAAAATTATATCTTTGAATTTATGTATTTTCAGACATGGGTTTGAGACGTGCTATGTTGTTTGTGTGGTGTGAGGGTTGGTAAAAAAAAAAGAAAAAGGTACGAATAAATAAAAGGGGTGGTCAGATCAGCACTCGTAGCCTTTGCAGCAAATAGCAGTGCTCTTCAGATCAATAACCAGGAAAATTTAGGATTATATAGTATTTTTTTCTGAAATAGATTGATAGCAGGTCATTAAGATACTTTAATAATTTTAATAATAATATTTGGGGTAATTGAATATGAGTAATTGTGATAATTAGAACGGGAAGATAAAACTATGGAAAGAAATTTGATATGAGCAAGTCATGAAGTAAGTAAAAATAAGGAGATACTTAAGATAGAATATATTTGGAAGCTTGTTAGACTGTTACTCGCGTTGACCAGGTATGGATATATCAAATGAGTGTGGCGGAAAACCGACTGTGTCAGGTTGTTAGGTGAAAGCAGACCGACTAAACTAAGAAAGACAAAGAGGTTGTACTATTAGTTTCTCATAAACTGATAACCATGATGGCCATTATTGCTACGAGTCTATATACATATACATACCTTGGTTATAAAAAAAGACTCGACAAGATTTCAATACTGAATAGTGTATTGAAAAATGATTTATATACTTTTAAAGTATATCCGATATATCCCAAAAGTAAAAAAATAAAGATTTTTTTGTCAAGACCTGCGCTTGAAGGCCGATCCACTCAAGTTTACACCCAAGCTTCTCAACAACCCTCATTCCTGCCTACTCGGCATGGCATCAAATTTACCATGACGGCAAAGTATCGGTGAAATGCTTTAATGCCAAACTGCTCGGGACAGGTGTCTGAGACACCCAAGTGAACAGCATAGCATTTACTTAGGCACCTTAACTTTGCTTCGGGTTCGTCCCTCATGTCCAGTTCTGTTTACCAGAGCGTGGGTTACAAGTATCAAAGTCTAAGCAATGAGGGACTTGAAAAGCACAGGGATCATTTCAACAGGAAGCAGTAAAATACAGGCGATTGTACTGGGTAATCTGTCGATTCTGCTGGAATCTACCTGTATTACCTCACGTCCAGGTGCTCAACGAATTTAAAAAACTCTACGCATCCAGGTGATACACCCTTATACTTGCACCTTTCTGTGACAATCTTGACATGCCCCAAAGGACAAAATCTGGAGAGCCAATATCCAACGTCCTAAGAAAATAGCATAAAGCTACCTCTGCGTTCCTCAGTCTTCTCCATGTTATGTGCCGCACAACACAGAAAAAACTGACGTGGATTTCATCCGGCTTTCGCCTTCATATGAGTGGCTCAGGAAGGTCTTTAACGTCCAGTATGCTCTACACTAAGAGCTACTTTCCCTTACGGTACTTGTGTTCAGTTGGTTTTTTATAAGTATATTTAGCCTTCGATGAAACTTTTCACCAGGATTAGGGAGTTTGTAAAACAACCCGACTCATCGGAAGCTACTTAACACAAAGACAAGAACTCAAGACAAGGTGAGGGGATTGCACCCTCCAATAACCTTTTCCAGGGAGTGAAGGCTACTGACTTGTTGGTATGTCTGGAAAAGCAGTTCACTAGTTCACAATCCAGAGCAGTCAAAAGACTACTCCGGTTCAAACATTGGAGCTTCTCCATCTCAAACAATAAAGTCCAAGACGGAATCCCTTTTGGTTTCTTTTCCACTGCAGTAAATGCAGGTAGAATCGCTCAAAGTACGGACCAATTTTAGGCCATGGTACCTTGAGCGAACTCAATGACTAGACGCCAAAGAGTGCAGTGCGTTCAATAAAAAAAACCATAATCTCATATTAAGACAAGCCTTATAAATAAGGCGTCTACAATGAGCGAGTTGGAAAAGAGCCCGGAGACTCACTGTTAAAGACCATGATATACACATTTTGCATGAAAATGTTTACGTATATTCCTTTTGATATATCGTGACCGATAGAATACGAGGTACTCAGTGACCACTCCAAGAGTAGAGATATAAATAAAAATCGAGTATAAGGTTAATATACTTATTGTGTCAAAGTGTGTGCGCGTGTGCGCGTTTACTTACCTAGCTGTTAACTGCGAAGGGTGTAAAATACTGAGCTGGTTCTCGGTACACCTCTCCATAAGCATACTTTGAACACTATCAAGAGAATAAAGTAATATAAAAGTATAAAGTGAGTATGTTAATTGAGTCAAAGTATGTATATATTGACTTACCACTCAGTGGACCATACATGGTATGAAGACACCATCAAAAGAATGGTGGTTAACAGCTAAACAGAACTAGAAACTGCAATAGAAAAAAAGAAAACATCAAATCATAGTTAGCGTGTTGATCGTGTCAAAGTATGTGTGTATGTACGCGTTTACTTACCTAGTAAACAGCAGCGGAAGGCTTGAAAAGTACTTGTGCTAAAAAGCAAGACGGGACGGGACACTGGACACTGTGATAAAATAAAAGAAATATCGAATCATAGTTAGTGTATTGATCGTGTCAAAGTGTGTGTGTGTTTGCTTACCTAGCAGATAACTGCGTAGGGTTTAAAAAAGTACTTGTGCTTAAAAGCAAAACGGCACTGGACACTGGACACTGTGATGAAAGAAAGAAAACATCAAATCATAGTTAGTGTGGTGATCGTGTCAAAGCATCTGTGTGTGTGTATTTACTTACCTGGTACATGAACTTGACGTGAAGGACCTCTCCGTGGCTACAGTGGAATGGACGCTGGGCATAGAGGACAGAAAAAAAACATGCACAAGAAAACACTGTGCTGTAGTTAGTATACTGACCGCGTCAAAGTGTGTGTGTGTGTGTGTATGTATATAATACTTTACCTGCTATTAAACTGGACATCGGCTTTGGAACTTAGCTAGAAACCGCGCCTAGGGTGCGTTTCCATGGTACATATCAGTATGTGCCTTATACAAATGGGAAGATATAGGCATTTAAAGGTGATTTTCTTACCGTGTCGGAAACCAAGGACCGCCGAAAGGAAACCAGGAGGAAGAGGGGGAAAAACAGGAAATAGGGAATTGTATCGATTCTTATATGAAAAAAATTGGGGATTGCGCAGTACTGAAGGCGTAAACTGCCTATTTTGGGCAAATCAAAACAAATTCATATGAAAATTTATGGGGTTTTATGTTTTCAGTAAAAGCTATATGTTTTTATATATATATATATATATACTACTATCATGGACATCTTGGTATTGGTTTATACATGCCTTGGGTATTAGATTGCCTTAAAGAACCTTTATATATCTTTTGGGAAATACGTTCTTTGAATAGCTTATACTCACACTACTTACAATCATGCTTTTTAAAATATTCGAAACAAATAAAAAAAGTCTCTGTAACCTTCCGACTAAAATTGTCTACTTTCACTTAACAGAACATCTCAAAAGGTATAGACATAAAGAAATATTACTACTTAGATAACAGTAGCATGTACTTATTAAATAAATTGATATTTTAACAGCTCTCAAATGTATTTTTTATTAGAGTTACGAAACTTTACATATATATGAAATATCTTTTGCAAACTACAAGCATACAGTTTTCTCTTAATTCTGACTGAATAAAATACTACTATTATAGAATCCACTTACATTTCTTGGCTAATGCAGCTTATTCTTTATAGAATTATTCTTAAAAGCAAATATAAGGTGTGTATATGGGATAACAAAAGCATAAGCAAAGAAAAAATAACTGTTAGAATATGCCTTTTCAGCACAACAATATGCGTATATTGTTGTATCATACAACGCAGTGAGCTAGTATTAAAGTTCTTTTAATCTCTCTTTTCAAAAGAAAAGTGTAATAAGTATTTTACGGCTACCATTATTCTTCAATAATGTCCGTGTTCTTTCTTTTACCACTTCACGTACATACATACATACATACATATACTCAAAATATCCTTCAGTGAGTTTCGGAAAAACCACTGTTTTAGTTGAATTTGTATCCTGTTTAGAAAAGAATTCTTTTGTTATTATGACCCAGTCTGAACTGCCTTTCTCTCTTTCTCCCAAATCTACCTTAGTTGAAATCAAAGTAAGTGCCTTTTAATAATAAAGGTATGAATATGTATCATCATTGCTATTTCCTGTCTTGACACTCTGGTTTCAGTTACCCAATATCTTATTCTAAAATTACAAAAAAAAACACATGCAAAAATACGGTCTTGTTCTATGTCTATTTCTCTGATTGCACTAGTACTTACAGCTTTGAACGAAAATGAGTTGATAAGTTTCTTTCTGTGTAAACTTTTCTGCTCAAATCAATACCATAAACAGGATAATCTGACTGTAAAGGCGTATACTTTACAGCATTACTGGGTCAATTGGAGATTTTTTTCTAGATTTCTTTCGATATGAGTGAGAGTACATTAATTATTAAAAAAATAACAACTTTTCCGGACTTGACTAAACTTCAAGCTAATATGTACTTCTTTTATTCTATTGTATTGTATTTTAAAAATAAGTATCAGAAAAAATCACTATACAGCTAAACTTATAGTAATGGAGAGTAGTATACATCTATTTTTAGAATATGCTATTATATTTGATATTTATTAGCATTCTGCTGGGTAGCCTTCCGCGTCAATTATTGCCTGGCATCTTTGGTAGCGTACTTGAAATAAAACTATTCAAATATTTTTGAGCAATGTGCTCCTATTTCTTCTCAAGAGCAGCATAAAGATACCTCAAGCTATACAGGCTGTCAATTTTTTGACCGAGTTATCTTGTTAACATAGTCCTAAAGGCTCTTAATGGGATTAGGATCTGGGTTTTGAGGATTCCAGTCAGAAAAATATTCGAGTGTATGTTGCTTTTTCCATTCTATAGCTACTTTGTTTGTATGTGTCTTAGCATTGTCTTCATGGAATGTCAAATCGCTCCAGCCAGTTTTGTTCTGGGAGCTAGAGTGATAGGGAAAAAGGATATGTCTGTTTTAATACTTCAATATATTTCTTGCCATTAACTTGTCCCTTTATGACTTTTAAAGCTCTGGCACCCTAGCTGAAGAAGTGTTCCGAAACATATAAAAGAAACAACCTCCAAACTTCATGACTTGGGAGATAAAATATATGTCTAGACCAGTGCTGTTCTTATGGAAAACACTCTTGCGCCCATTATAACCAACAAGTCGGAATCTTTTCTCGTCAGTCCAAATGTTATTGGCCTAATCAAAATGAGCATTGGTCTATGTAACAGATTTATTTTGATCCTCAATAGAGACTCTGGGTGTTTTGGGAGTTGAAGTTGAGGAAGTTGTTGCTGTTGTTGTTTAAAAAGGAAGTTTAGGAAAGGTAAAGGAACAAATATCCGCGAGAGCTTGTGTAGGGGCTGTTTCTTAAAAAAAAAGTGGTATCGACATTTGACAAGGTTCCTACACTGAGCTACTACTGGTGTTTGTTTGGCTGTGGTCAGGTAATTAGCTGTATCCGAGCCTTGATTAGAACACCTCCATTCTGGTATAATCCATATATCATAAATTATATAAATATGTATAGTCCTGATGAAGTGTTACCATAGAAATAAAAGGTGTTTGTGAGTTATTATTCTGCGAATTATAATTAATTGATCTATTCCTTTTTGCGATGATATTATTATATACAATATAATCACCTCTATGCATAATAAACCTGTGTGTTAGACAATAGAGTAATTGGTGGATGCTTTTGCCTGGGATAGCGGAGGACTTTATATTTAATCCTTCAGACTTATTCTCAAATGTAACAGTAATCAATATTCATTTAAAGCAGAATACAAGTACGCACACACACACATACATATATATAATTATATAATTATACTTGTAAGAAAGAAGTCTTGTTTATTACCTGTCTTTGAATATAGCTTATAAATGAGAGTTATATGGATTGTACTTGGGGAAGTTAGTAAGACATATTTAATTACAAACTAATTTAATAACGGTAATATTAAAATCCTTTAACCTTTTACACTCACAATCCAGATTTTTGGAATTTTGATTTTATAGTAGTGGTGGTAATGGTATTGTTTGATGTAATGTTCAAAATTGAAACAACAGAATGCCTTTTTTTTTCTTCTTCCTCTTTTGTATATATTTTTATTTGCACATTACTCACACTACATATAGACCATACTCATATGTTTATATTTTATGTGAATTTTAGTATAGCTATTGCCGATGTTGATTCGATCGAGCTAGACAGAGAAATCAAACATCATATTATATCATACAATACATACATACATGTGTGTGTATGAATCTTAAAAGACTTTCATATTGTATTTGCATTTTGGTGTTGCTTTTGTTATTTTGGAATGATTGGATATTATTGGATTGAACACCCCCAGATATTCAATCAGAATCTAATCATGTAAAATAAATTATATGTCAATCGATCAATATTGATAGAATATTATCATTAGTATCATTATTTTGTGTATATAAATTTACAATATAAAATATAATAATGATAAATACAGGTAAGAGTCACACAGAAGAAGGTACCACACATTCGTAGAATATTCCCACCCTGAATAAAAATAAACTAAAATATCCTAAAGGACAAAAGGAGAGATATATTTTCTACGAACGAAGCGGGCAAACGAACGGATAAAATGAGAAATGATGAAAGAAATTAAGGTTGTCTGGTAATCTGGTAATTTGAACCGGGAGATAATCGCAATAAAGATAGTATAAAAAATAAAATAAAATTCCTTTGCTTTAGATTCCCTTTTATTATTATTAATATTATTATTTTTTATTCTTCTTCTTCTTATAACTACTTTATATATCTAAATGACTATGACAGGACTGCGCGGTGTTTATGTACCTATCCCTACATTCTTCAAACCTAATGAAGACCTTGATCTGGAGGCCCTGGAACGCCATGTTGCCTACCTTGCCAACACCGGTATTGCGGGTCTAATCTTTCTTGGATCGATGGGCGAGGCTGTCCACCTGTCCGAGGCCGAGAGAATCACGCTCGTCAAGGAGGGCAAGCGACTGATCGCAAAGTACAACCCGGACTTGACCTTGATTGCCGGAACCAGTGCAGCCTCTGCACGCCAAACCATCGAGCTTGCCAAGGACGCTGCATCGGCTGGAGCAGCCTGTGCGCTAATCTTGCCTCCATCCTTTTACCGCGGTAATGTGACAAGTGATGCACTGTTTGCATTCTACACCAGAGTTGCAGACCAGTCCCCGATACCTGTCATTATCTACAACTACCCTGGTGTCTGTCAAGGTGTCGATGTCGATGTCCAGACAATCACACGTCTTTCACACCACAAGAACATCATTGGTGTAAAGGGTACAGACGGTAACATTGGCAAGGTTGGATATCTTGCTGAGCATACTGACCCCAATGGTAAGTTGATATTGTGTCATTTATATATTTTATATAAATAATTTTGATTGATTGACTGATTAATATATATATATATATTTTTAAAAAAAAAATAGAATTTGCTTTGTTGGCTGGATCTGCAGATTTCTTTTTGCCTGCATTGACTGTGGGTGCAGTTGGTCTTGTGCCTGGGCTTGGAAACCTTTTGCCACGAGCATGCGTGGAGGTGCAGACATTGTACGAGAGCGGCAAATTAAAGGAGGCTTCGGCGCTGCAAAAGAAACTTGTCAAGCCTGATGACGCATTCGCAAGATGGCATGGACTGCCTGGTGTCAAGGCCAGTATGGACAGGTTGTTGGGTTACGGAGGTGTGGTTCGGCTTCCATTACTGCCTGTTACTGCAGAACAGGCTGATGTGATCACAAAGGCACTTTCGGAAGGGTTTGAAATTGAGCGATCCCTCAAGAACTAATAAGAACATCAATAAGAATAAGAATACGAACACACAACATGTGAATGAAGTATTTGGCTATTCTTATTAGTATTATTAGTTTTATTATTTAGCACTATTTTTGCAAATCAAATTGAATAGCTTCAAGCAGTACAAAATATGTTACATTGTATACACACACACACACATACATACATACATACATACATACATACAAAAGAATATTAAATAAAATATATAATAAACCTATACATATACATATAAAGAAATTGTATTGTATAGCCACAAATATTTACATACATGTGTATATAAGCAAGCAAGTAAGTAAATAAGTAAGTAAATGGGTATATTGTAAAGGGCAAAAGTACATAATTGAATAATATTGCTCTATTCGTACACAATTCCTACCAATACGCACGAGCACATACTAACAAAGAGGGTAAAACAGATTAGGAGACAAAGAGAGTAAGATCAAGAATAAGGATACGAATAAGGATACGAATAAGGATAAGGATAAGGATAAGGATACGCTTAATAGAAGAGAAAGAGAAATTTTAAGAGAGAGAGAGAGAGAAAGAGAGAGAAATAATGAAATATTGTACAGGAACAGACGAGATTTTTAACTAACATTTATTATTATTATTATTATTATTATTTTGTCCTCTAAAGTTCCTTGAATCCCCCCCTTCTTTTTTCTTTATATTTATTTATTCATTTTATACTTAAAGCTTACAATTATTATAATAAAACAGACTCCTGAATAATCTAAAAGAGTCGAACAAAAAAAAAAGAATAATAAAATAATAAAGTCAAGCTTATGTTCATATCTAAACAGGTACACAAACAAACACAAATGTACATGTATGCATGCATGGATACATACACATAGATACATACATTTGTATATATAAATAAATAGAATAATAATACTAATAATTTTGAACCTTGTTTTAATTTTAATTTTTATTTTTTATATTTTTTTTTCTGGTTTCCTTATTCCTATTTAAACCCCTTTTCCTTTTGCCTCTTTACACAATGACACGCTCAAAGCAACTAATGGAAAGTCTCGACATCATCCTTCTCGGAACCATTGGCCTAGGCACAATAGCCTGGTTTGCCAGGCACCAGATCGCCAACACATTCAAAAGCTCAAAAGATACTGTCATTGACGATTCAGAATCATCAGAAAAGCCTACACCAAAAGCTGAGCGCAACTTTGTAAAAATTATGAAAGAGCAGGCAAGTTATATAAACATATATAAAACTATTGTTATTTCTGTTGTTGTTGTTCCAAAGTAGTTCTTCCTCTTCCTCTTCCTCTTCTTCTTTTGTGCTTTGAATCAAAATAGACAATTAAAATTTTATTATATATCAGCACATAAAACACAAGTACACAAACATACAAGGCTAACTATATATATATATATATTTATATATATTTATATGATTTAATTATTTAGGGTCGCCAAGTAATCATCTTTTATGGCTCTCAAACAGGTACAGCCGAAGACTATGCTGCTCGCCTGGCCAAAGAATCATCTCAGAAATACAATGTCAGCTGTATGACTGCAGACCTGGAACTCTATGACTTGTCTTACCTCGATACTTTGCCAAAAGAATGTCTGGCCATCTTTGTCTTGGCAACCTATGGAGAGGGAGAGCCGACCGACAATGCTGTCGAATTCTGGGATATGTTGAATGACGAATCAGTCGAGTTTTCCCAATCTGAATCCCAATCCGAATCCGACTCTGGATCTCCTCTATCAAACCTGCGCTTTATTGTTTTTGGCCTCGGCAACAAGACCTACGAACACTACAACTCCGTCTGTCGCACTGTCGACAAGCGTCTGGAGCAATTGGGAGGCACACGGGTCTGTGAACGCGGTGAAGGTGATGATGATAGCTCGTTAGAGGATGATTTCCTGGCCTGGCAAGAAACTCTCTGGCCCGCATTCTGTGAAGCCATGGGCGTCGACGAGAATCCAACCTCGTCGGGTCCCAGACAGCCTACTTACAAAGTCGATGAGTTGGACTCCTTTGAGAATGATCTGGTCTACATGGGTGAAATTAGTGAACGGCCCAAGGATAGTACCAGGTAAATTTATCATTAATGTTGTTCGATATATAACACAAATCGGGTTGTGTGGGGGAGTGGGGATATGGTTATGTGTGTTTGTGCAAGTGTGCAATCTTGTACAATCGTGTGTGGTTATGGGCAGTTACGGGTGGATTGCTTGGTGCGCTAATCTCTCTCTCTCTCTCTCTTTCTGTGTGTGTGTGCGTGTGCGTGTCTAGTGCAATAGTATATGATGCAAAACGTCCTTTTGCTGCCACAGTAACCTCGCGTGAGTTATTCTTTGTCAAGGACCGACACTGTTTGCACATGGAGATCGACTTGGGTGACTCCAACCTGTCCTACCAGACAGGTGACCATATCGCAATCTGGCCTACCAACAACGAAGTCCAGGTCAAGCGCCTGGCTAGTATCTTGGGCCTGCAAGACAAGCTCGATCGTGTGGTGAACGTCAGTTCGGTCGATGCAGCTGCATCCAAGCAACATCCTTTCCCTGTACCAACAACCTACCGCACAATCTTTAGACATTACCTCGACATCTGCGCAATCCCCTCTCGCCAGACCCTCATGTCCTTAGTAGATTTTGCACCCAACGATGCCTCAAGGGCCTTTTTGCAGACCCTCGCTACTGACAAGGAAGCTTACAAGTCTCAGGTATCCGAGCCAGTCCGCAACCTTGGCGAAGTGCTTGAGCTGGTTGCCAGAGCCGGAAAGCTGGATCAGGACCAGGACCAGGATCGAAAGACAAATACTGAGGCTAACGGTAACCATAGCACCAAAGGAGCATTCGAGGCCGTGCCTTTTGACCTTGTGGTCGAGAGCATCTCTCGTCTCCAACCTCGTTATTATTCAATCTCGTCTTCATCAAAGGAATCCCCCCGTTCCATTTCGGTCACCGTGGTCATGCTGGACTACAAGCCCCAAAAGTCCAATAACGAGCGGACAGTGTACGGTGTGGCGACAAACTATCTCTGGAGTATTCATGCAGCCGTGCATGAACTTGAGAAACCCGTGGGCTATCCTGACTATGTTGTGGCCGGTCCCCGTGGGTCTTACATGAATGATGACAAGTCAGTGGTTAAAGTGCCAGTTCATGTGCGTCGTTCTCAGTTTAAGCTTCCTCGCAACCCTACCGTGCCAGTCATCATGGTCGGGCCTGGTACTGGTGTAGCGCCATTCCGTGCATTTGTGCGCGAACGAGCAGCCCAGAAGCTCGACAAGAAGCCTGTCGGTCCCACCGTCCTGTTCTTTGGCTGCCGTCACTCGCAGCAGGACTACCTTTATGCTGACGAATGGCCTGGATTGTTTGAGACCCTGGGCGAGGATTCCCGTATCATCACCGCATTCTCGCGCGAACACGCCGAAAAGGTCTATGTCCAGCATCGTCTAGAGCAGGAAGGTGAAGAGATGTGGGGATTACTGGAAAGAGGTGCGTATGTATATGTGTGTGGCGATGCAAAGTCAATGGCAAAGGATGTCCAGCACACCTTTACTGTCATTGCCCAGCAATATGGTAACAAGACCGAAGAAAAGGCAGCCGAATTTATCAAGAGTCTGAGAAGCACTGGTCGATACCAAGAAGATGTGTGGTAAAAAAAAAAAGAGGTATATATGTATATCTATATATCTATATATATATATAGGTGTATGTATGTGTGTATAGAAAGAAAGGACAAGAACAACAACAAAAACCAAAGACTACACTACACTGCACTACTTTTACATTACCTTACACTGCACTTTACTTCACTGCACTAAAAATACACTACACTACAATACAATACAATACATTACACTACACTACACTACTTTATACTACTACTTTATACTACTTTATATTATATTATTTTTTCCTGTTATCTTTTTCTTTCTTCTTTGTTTCTTCTTTTTACTCCCTCACATTCCACTTCTTTGACATTCCAACAACAACATAAAAAACAAAACAAACAAGAAATAGAAGATCGGTCTTTATCTTTACAACCCCCTCTTTACACAAACCACCCCTATATACAAATAAAAATAATTGAAAGATCACTCAACTTTCAATGAATTTTTTTTCTTTTCCCTTTAAATCAAAACAAAGAATATATTGGTATATTAATATTCAAGATAAGAAAAGAAGAACAAAGAATGGAAAAAGGGCGAGAGAATAGCCATAGTGATATGCATACTTCTTCAAGATCATATTCCATTTTATAAAAAAAAACAAAAGGTACTTTGGCGACAAGGGCGTCTTGTCATAATGTCCATTGTAAATACATTTTATAATTTCTTACTGATTATTGACTATTTATTGACTAATATTCTTCTATTCTTCTTTTATGTTCTATATAAATACATATACATAGTATAGTATAGAGTAAGGGGAGCCTTGTCCCTTGTTGCTATTTGCTATTTGCTGTTTGGTACAAATATTTATGCTTTGTGTATCTATCTATTTATCTATTTTATCTAAGACTTTTTATTTTTATTCATCTTGCGTTCCATTTCTAGAAATGCGCGCATAGTGGGGTCCATGGCTTCCTCCACTTCTCTTGCAGCTGATTTGTTCGATCGACCCAACATAGCCGGAAGTGGTTCTCCTGCCTCTTCAAACCTTTGTCGGATTGCTTCTCTCTTGGCTTGAAAGTCCTCCATATCTTCCTGATACATATCCCACACACTAATGAACAATTACATAACAAAAGAATAAGAAGAAGCACAGAAAGACATGTAAGTATATTTCACTAATCTAGATATCCAATGCACCCTTTATTTATTTACTTCTTTTTTTATAGATCGAAAAGAAAGAAACTTACCAATGGGCGCAACCACTAAACAAGTAAGCAAACAAAGCAATCAATGGCACATGAATATCACAGCATATTTTAAAGAAGGGAAAAATATTTAAGTTTATTGAAAGACTAAAAAGAAAGTAAAACACAATTACCTCATACAGCAATTTTCTGGAGCTTCAGGTTTATCTGGTAATGGTATCGGTTCTCCTTTCAGTAAAACCACCTCTTTGGGTGGTTTGCGTTCCTGTGTTGCAGAAACAGTTGACTGTGTAGCATCACCACCAGCAGCAGCAGCAGAAAAAGATGTAATAGCTTCTTGTTGGCCAGTTACTGCTGCTACTGATTCTGGTGGTGATATCCTAGAGACCTGTTGTTCAGCTATAGGAGCAAGCCTTTCCTGAGCCTTTTTTTTGTATATATGTAAACTATTAATTAATAATTCATAATAATTTCCAGATTTCTATAAAATTACTACTCTTATTTAATTTTTTATTTTTATTTTTTTTTTAGTTTTTTTATTTTTATTTTTTTTACCCCAGGTTGATTCATAATGTGTGTCCACCATCCATCGTAATTAGGTACACGTTGATGGTAATGTCGTCGTCTAAAGAGTGAGTTTGTGAATGAAGGTTGAACAAGTGTTGCCCACGATCGTCTGTAAGATGCAATTGTCTGCATGTAATCAGCAAACGTTTTGTCTCATATATTTGTATTATATTTGTATTATATTTATTTTTATTATTTTATTTTATTTTAAAATTTAAAATTCTAATATACTTTTTTTTTTTTTTTTTAGTAACGGGATATTTATTTTTCCATCTTCCTTACTAAAAAAAAAAATACAATTTATATATATATATAGATCAAAATCAAATACTTTTGAATAATAAGCTGGCATATCTGTGTATATATATATATTATAGAATTCCAGCAATAAATATTCTCATATAAATATATTACATAGTGACGGGTGGAGAGATGAGGGTGAAGGAGTGAGGGGGTTTCTATATATATATTTATTGCTTAGCAACACAAATAAACGAGTAAATAAATAATCCAACAAATCATAATTATTTACGCTTAGCATATTTGTTACTTGTTACTTGTTCCTGTGCTTGTGCTTGTATTCGAATATGTATATAATAAGATATTTTTTTTGCAAGATATAAAAATAGAATTGATAAAATATATATATATTAACGCATAATAATAATAATAAGAGTGTAAAAATAGCCAAACAAAAATTCTTTTCTTATTCTTTATTCTTTATTACTTTTACTATAAATATTTTAAAATATATGTTAGGTGATCGACTTTATGTTAAATGGTGTATCTTTGGCTATATTTGTTCTCTTATTAAATCATATAATATTTCATGAACCTTTTATATAGCACTTGTAGTATGACGAGAAGATCAGTGCTGCGGTGAGGATGTAAGCCTTAATTGGTTTATTACATAAGTTTTATATGAGAATTTGTTCCTTGGATTTACAAATTTGCTTGTTTGTTTTTGATAAAAGAAGAGTGCGAGTAAAAAAAAAAGGAATCTTTAGGCCAGAGTCTTGTTTGTTAATTTTTGTTAAAATATATATATATATAGATATTACAGAATTATAACAATAATTGAAATAATCATCACTGAAACCCCCCTTTTCCTTTTCCAAAATCAAATGAAATCCAATCAAATTAAATCAAGTCCTCAAGAACAATAACAGAATTAGTTTCTGTCCATAATTTTCTTAATTTTCTTAATTTTTTTTTTTTAGTTTTTGGAACCAAAGATCTTTTTTAACTGTGAAAGTGAGCTTTGAGGTGCGCCTTCCTCTTGCTGCTTATGTTGTTGCTGTTGTTCTAATAACTCTCTCTGTCGCTGTTCTAGTAATTTCTGTTGCTCTAGTAACTGTTCCCGCTGTTGTTCTAATAACCGTTGTTGATGTTGCAATTGTTCGGGTGTCGGACCCTGGCCCTGTGTTTGCTGTGCCTGTGCTTGTGCCTGTGCCTGTGCCTGTGCTTGTGCCTGTTGTTGTTCAGATTGTGGCTGGACATTTCTATCTTGCGCCACATAATCAGGTGAAAGACTTGACATACGAATGGCTGCCTGCATATACGGGTGTGCTGTTGTAGCCAGCAAAGACTCTTCGTAATTAAACTATCATTCATTCAATCAAAAAAATAAATAAACAAATAATTAATTAATCAAAAGGTCAATAAAGTAAATAAAGCTTTTCTTTATAATATATATATATATATCTCCTTTGTGCAACAACCACGCCACACTCAAGCCAAAGTGGACGAACTAACCCATGAAAGCAATAGTAATATTTTTTTTAAAAAAAAAAATCTTATGGTTCATTTTACTCACCCAACGTCTCTCACGCTTCTTCTTCTCGGGAAACTTCTTTGTAACTTCTTGGATATGTAGTTCGTAGATCCAGTGATGTGCCTTGGCCTTCTTTTTCTTCATTTCTGCAAATACACCCAAGTGGCGCACAATAACACCCTTGATACCTGCTTCCTCCCACGTTTCTCTCATCGCAGCATGTTCTTGTGTTTCATCCTCTTCCCAGCCACCTTTAGGCTATTTTAAATGATTAATACATTATATTTACAGAAAAGAAAAGAAAAGAATAATACTTACAATTACCCAGGCATTCTCTGTCTTTCTTGACGAAATTAAAAGAATACGTTTGTTGATAGGATCGATCGGCAAACATCCTGCTACTTGTCGAATTTCATTATCGTCAACTACGTCTTTTCCATGGCCATGACGAGCATTCTTCTTGTACTTGATTTTAGGGTTGTTGACCCCTGAGGCTACTTCCATAGCTTCTGTGTTTTGCATTTTAATTATGTACTGGTTTGTTTTTCCTTTTAGATATATATATAAAAATATGTGTGCGCCTGTGTGCTTTTGTTTCTTTAAAGAAAAAATATAAAAAGAAGAAGAAGAAGAAGAGAAAAATATGAGTTAAAAAAAAAAAGTGGATGGTTGCTTTTTATGGAAACTAATTTTGGTTTTCTTTTTTTTTTTATATATTTTTAATCTCAACTTTTTATATATAAATAAATAAAATAAAAATAATAGACAGAGAGACAGACTATTCGGAGATTTAAAATAGATAAATATCAAGCCATTTCTCGCTTCTTTTTCTTCTTATTTTGTGGTATCAGCCACGAATTTCTATTGTTGCTTTAATATATTTTATATATTATATAAATATTGATTATACTTATGGATATTGAGTAATGGTTTAGAATTTCATAGAACTTCATATAATCACATATAGAATATAGCTTGGGCTAATATGACTTTATATATTATAAATGTAAAACACATGAAATAAATGAATTATTATTTTGTTTGAGATATATTTTATTTTGTATGAATATACATAATACATATATTTATAATATATATATATATATATATTGTGTTTTTATTTGACAGGAGGGCTTTTGGATCTATTGACTTTCTCGAGGGCAATGCTATTTGTTGTTGTTGATAGTTGATGTGGTTTGCGACTTGATGTAGTGACAGTGTCGAGAATAGCAGGAGCCGCCATAGCTTGCGGAGTGTTGAGAAATGCAGCAGACGCATACACACTCGGAGAACCATTCTTGGGCTGTGTAGGTTTTGTAGGAGATGGAATGTGGATCGTCGGTTGTAGAGTCAAACGATTATGCGTCCCACTTTCTATTGAGCTACTTTGACTACTGCTCCTACTACTACTACTGCTACTGATAGTAGTTATACTACTATTACTATTACTTTTACTATTATTTCTATTATTATTATTATTATTACTATTACTATTACTATTACTATTATTACTATTATTAACATTATTAACATTATCGGTACCACCACCACCACCACAATTACTACTACTACTACTATTATTATTTATGTTTGTATTTATATTTAAATTATTATTGTTTCTGCTGCCACTCGGTTTTGAAGCATTTCCTCCAGATCCGTTATTGTCAGTACTTGCTCTTGGCACCTTATTGCTGTTGTTGCTGTCGTAATTAGACTCATGTGCCAAAAATCTTTGTGCTTGTCGTTCATTTGGAAGGTATCGCCCGGAGTTACTGGCATATGATGAAATTGATAGAACAGAGATCGATGTTGGACCAGAGGTTACTGAAGTGGTTAGAATCGCTTGAATAAAATAGTGTATGTTGGGTAATGTAAAACGCAGATCGATCACAATCAGTCCATATGCATTCATAAGCTATAAAAATGAATATATATATATATATATATAATACAGTTATTATATAATGAAAAGACGTCTTATATACATCGATTGTTTCAAAAATAAAATGAAACGAAAGAATCGATAATCGCTCAGTGTACTTATTTTTATCAACTTACTTGTTCAATATTCTTGTTCAACAGAAATACTCCAAACTCAAACCGCCAGCTGTCAACACCTCTTGAATACAATGGAAAACTAAATGATGATAATGATAACATGTCAAATCATAAGAAGCTTAGATTTAATAAGAAACTTACTCTTTTGGCCCACCAATAAGTGAAACAAGATCTTTGATAGTGGCCCTAGATCCCATTGGCGTGATCGGGTAGCGTAAAGGAATACACAGATAAAAGGCCAACATTGACACCAGGTGTGCTGTGAATCCTAGAGCTGTAGCAATTGACTCTTCTTTACAGCCCGTATAAACCGAGTTTGGCAGATGGACACCTCGTATACAAAACTGTTGCAAGTCATCGTAGGATTTCTTTTGTTTGTTTGTATATATATGTATATATATGTATGTGTGTGTATGTGTGTGTGTGTGTGTTTGTGTTTGTACATAATCAACTAACATATACATTGCAAGAATATCCACCAAATAACAATAATAATAAAGAGAAAAAGAAATAATAAAGAAAAAGAACCCCATAACCACCACCTCTTCTTCCTCTTCTTCCTCTTCCTCTTCCTCTTGCTATTCCTCTTCGTCCTCTTCTTCCTCTTGCTTCTAACCCTTCCAACCTTTTATTCAAGCAGTGACAATAACTAACTCCCAGTAATAATAATAAAAAGAAAGAATAACAAAATAATAATAATAAAAGAATAATAATAACAATGGTTTGCTTACCTGTTCAATCGGGTAAATCGAGAATAAATCAGCGATTAGTTCCTTTTTACGACGGTCCAGTTGATTAAAGGACAATCGGTGCATTTTGGTGTTGCTATCCAGAACTGTCTCACTGTCTTCCAAGTAACCAGCTCCTGCCTCGAATCGTTCTTCAGATTCGGCCAAACGAGACTTACGAGAATCGATCTCTTTCTGAAGTGCATCTATTCTTTGTTGTTCTTTTGTATGCGTGTGTGTAAGTTTTAATTCCAAATGACAATAGCAATAATTATATATATATATATAAAACACAGAGCTTTGTATCCTTTTTTTTCTGTCTATCTCTTTTAAAATAAATAAATAAATAAATAAATACTAATTCTTACGCTGTTCATTGAGTTCCCGTTGTTGAGCAAGTCGAGTATTTAGCTCTTCTACTCTATTCTGCCGTTGATTTCGTTCACGTAACTATGTATACAAATAAATTTATTTTACTCCAATATACTATACTACACTAAGCAATCTACAGAGATTATGTTATGCTATGCTATACACAAACTATAGAAATTATAACTTACCAGCCGAAACCTCTCCTTTTCTGCCTCAAGAATGTCTCCAATTGCCTGCCTGACTTCATCGGTCGACTTTTGGGTATCAAAGATGCATTCCTTTACAGTACTAAGCCGGACAATATTGGTATGGGTATAAGAGCGTTTCTTTGTTTGAGAAGAATCGGTGCGAACACTCGCATTATCTGGTTCTACTATTGTCGATTCCGCCACACTTGTCCTCTTACTAGAACTATTCAACTTGGACTTTTTATAACAAATATAATATAGCATAATATAGTATAATGTGTATAGGTATTTTGTTTTTTTTTTGTTCTTAATCAGCACAAATATTCTTTGTATATGTATATGTACATACATATATTTTGTATGTATTTCTTATATGTATTTTACTCTTTTTATTATTCTTTAGTTTTTAATATAGTTATCCTATAGTATAGTATTGTATGATATTGTATAATAGCCTACCCTACCCTACCCTACCCTACCCTATCATACCATACCATAATCTACCCTATGCTATGCTATGCTATGCTATGCTATGCTATGCTATGTTATACTATAGGTTTATATTTCTAGCTGTTGGTTTTGTACGTACCACTATATCTGGTGCAGAATAAAAGCCATCATCGAGCTCGAATATCAGTGTGTTTTCGGGATATGGCACGCATACATTTGTTAACTAAATTGAATAGTTAGCAATAGTATTTAACAAAATATTGTTTTCTGCCATCGAACAACAAATCAATAGACTGGCACTTCCTCTCCTCTTGCTCTTCTCTCTCTCTCTCTTTTTTTTTTTCTTTCTTTTTTTTTACTTGCCGTTTTTCCGATGAATTTCAATCCATTCAATTCGACCTTCCACTCCAATAGCAGTTGGAATCCTTCTGCTGAATTAGCCGACTGATCATCTTTACGTCCAGCCCGTATTGAAGGGTCCAACCGGCTGCTGGCTAGAGATGCTGATTCGGGAACAGAATGTCTTGCCCACAACCTCGCCACAACCACAGTCTGTACTCCATCATGCCAATTGACCCATTCGGAAACATCCAGAGCACAAAAAGATGGATTGATGGTGTTTGGAATTGTCTCGGTGCAGTAGAAGCTAGGTTCATCACTTGAAAGATGCAAGGTCACATATGTGTCCAGTAGTCCTCTTTCTTCATGGTCTAAAGAGAATGGTTTGTCCTCTTCACCTTGGTCTTGATCCTCATCGTAATATTCCTTTTGACCTTCCTTTTGATCATTTGGATTTTGTTGACCTTGTGTTTGTACTTTCGTTTCACTTTCTTTTGTTTCAATCTGCTTTGTGTTAATCGATTTCTTGGTTTTGATTTTGGTTTCGGTCCCAATTCCAGTTCCCGTTCCCTTTTCTTCTTCTTCTTCTTCTTCTTCTTCTTTATTATCTTCTTTTTGTTCGTCTTCTTTCTCTTTTTCTTTTCTTTCTTTTTTCCCTTCTTCTTTCTCTTCGTCCTCTTCTTGATCCTCTTCTTTCAGGACCGATTCTTCTTTAGGAATTCTGGTTCGTTTCTGCTGGAGCTGGAGCTGCATTTTCTTGAATTTGTATGCACTTTTGGTGATAGAAGAGTCTTCGACGGTGGTTGAGCTTGAAGATCTCATTGAAGATGTACTTTCGGAGCGTCTCATAAGATGATGCTGAGGTAGTGAGGCAATTGTAGCAGACGCAGAGGCTACGAGTGAAAACTCGGGTTGGCTAGCTGTGGTCAAATCAATCGGCGAGGATCCAATCCGTTTATGGTGCCCAAACGCCCTGTCTTTTGGTTGGTGAAGCTGCTGGTTATTAAACGCATCTCTTAGAGTGCTGGGGGGAATAGGCGAAGGAGAAGACGCTCGGGAGGTATCGGCACTACTGTTATTGAGACTAGAAGAATTGCTAATCGTGTTTACGACATCAAAGTCAGGATGCTCATTGTCTTCGTACCAGACAATGTTCCGACCTGCGATGGACCGAATGTGCCTTATTCTACGCTGTCAGGACATTAATTGAAAAGAAGAAGAAAAAAATTAAAAAATATATATATATATATATATATAATTAAAAGACCAAGCGAGATAAACAGAGCGAATTTTATATAAGATAATTATGAGTGAGTGAAGAAGAAGAAAAGGAAGAAGAGGAAGAAGTAGGAGAAGTAAATTAAGCTAATTGGTTTCATGCTTTGGATGATTGTTTTTTTCTTTCTTTCTTATTCTTTTCTCTCATTCTTTTCTTTTCTTTTCTTTTTATTCTCGCTCTTCTTTCCTTCTTTCTTTCTCTTCTTCTTTTCTTCTTTTCTTCTTTTCAGTCATTCATTCATTTTGTTCTGCAACGCACCTGTCTAATGCCAAGGATTGCGTTATTTTCAAATGTCATATTTCAGCATTAACAAGCCTGTGTTTGCTTATTGTGTGTATATTGCTTTTTTTTTATGTATTTGTTTGTTTGTTTTATAAAAAATAATAATAAGAGAAAGAGAGGGAATAGTATGTATGTATATATAGTAGGTATCTATAAGAGAGAGAGAGAGAGAGAAACTGTGTGTGTGTGTGTGTGTGTGTGTGCGTGTGTATGTGTGTGGGGTTTGAGATGTAAGATAGTTAGTGTGTATAAAAATAACGGGCACAATGCGGGATTCACACTAGTTAAAAATGATCCAAGTCACGTGCATGTTACACCAAGTCTGTCCTGTAAAACAAAAAGGATCAAGTTTTTGCTTGAATTGAATTGAACAAGCTTACTGCTTTTATTGTAACCCCTTTCTGTCTACTTACTCTCTTTCTCTTTTGTCTTTCTGTTTCCCTTTGGATTTATATAATGAAATATAATAAGGCTCCTTACGTCATTCTGATGACATAATCGCAGTTGAATAAAGAGAATAAAGAGAGTAAAAGAGTGGATAATGGAATAAGTTTAAATGCTTTGAATATTCTATTTTATTGGGTTGTATTCTTTTTTAAGCTACAAGAATTTTTAGCTACAAAAAAAAAAGAGTAGGTTTATGAATAGTAAAATATGATACTTGATCTCTTGTCTTGATGAAAAAGAAGGGCTAGATCTTTACCTTTGAAATACAAATGCACACACAGGCACAGGCACAGGCACAGTTAAAAATAGATAGTAAACCTAACCACGTCATTTAGGTGTAAATAGCCTCCCCACTCCTGTCTCTGTCTATATACATTATGTACATACATGTATGACTATTGATATCTATCTATCTATTTGCTTAATATTATTTTACTCTTATAGTTTTCATACACATATGGACTCATGCCAGCCCAAGATATTGGTTGTTATATATAGTAATAGTAATATGGAAGAATAGACTTGGTAGATAACAAATGCAATGCAATACAATACAATAAAGAAGAGGTCAAAATATTGTCACCTCTTCTTTATAAATTTATTCGCTATTTTACTTTTCATTCATTCATTCATTCATTAAGTGATATATTTTTTATTTTATTTTATTTTATTTTATTTTATATTGTATTGTATTTTAATCTATATACACCATATACATTATATACTATTTGATTTCTTTCTTCTTTGCCTCTGGTCTTTATTTTATTTTATTATATATATATATATATCTTACTATCATTTCTTACTTTCTTACTCCCTTTCTCTTCATTTCTTTCTTCGTTTCTCTTTCTATCTTTCTCCTTGAAGGGAATACACAAACCAAAACCAAAAAATAACCCAAAAAAAAATAACCCCTTCACAAAGGTTCTCGTTCAGATACAAACCAACCTCTTGTTACAAAGAATAATAAAAACAAGAAGGCAAAATAGCTAGTTAGCCAGCGAGAAAGATATATAGATAAATAAAGAAATATATAGATATATAGATAAAGAAGTGTAAGAAACATAAAACACAAAACACGCACACTCTATCACAAATAAATAACCAACCTACCCCTCATCCCCCCCGCTTTACTCACGTACCACACCATAAAAAAAAATCCCACACACATACACACACAGTCAACTATCATATTACTATTGCCATTAATATTACTATCACTATTTATACTATTTACTTACCCTTATAAATCATAAAGGCAAGTTCATTACGATCTAAATGCGCTTTTTTGACTTACACTTCATCCTCATTATTACTATTGTTCTTAATATTACCATATAGTTCCTTTCTATTCTATTCTATTCTATTCTATTCTGCTCTACTCTACTCTCTCTATACATACACATACACATACACCTACACCTACACATACATATACATATATAAATATATTTTATATTTATATTACAACCATTTCACACATTACACTTTATTCAAAATGTCCCATCCATCCACAAGCCAACCATTGAGGTAACACATCTTACAAAGGATTACTCCTTTCTATCTTTCCAGTCCAATACTTCCTTGTCCTGGAAATCTGATTAAAGAATGAAACAATAAAAAATAAATAAATTCCAATTCCAATTCCAATGACAATAATTATGATTTAGCCATGAAACGGACGACTGGAAAAAATCAATTACTCTCCCAGCAAAAGACACCCGGCCACAAACAGAGGTTAGCAAAAATAATATATATGAGTGTGTGTGTCTGGTTTAACAAAGCAAGAAAAAGAAAGAGTATTATAGAATATATTGATTGTATTGAAAGAAGGAGAGGGAGAGTATTAGAGAGTGCGTGTGTGTGCAAAAGAAAGAGAGAGAGAGAGAAAAAATAAATAAAGGGGGACAGAAAGAAAGAGGGGTATAGACTCTCTAAAGCAAAAGAAAAAAAAAGAGAGAGAGATAGAGAGGTCTAGAATAATGATAATAATATTGTGTACAGGATGTTACTGCAACCAAAGGCAATGAATTCGAAGATTATTTTCTGAAGCGTGAATTGTTAATGGGAATCTTTGAAGCTGGATTCGAACGGCCGTCACCTATTCAGGAAGAAGCAATTCCAATTGCCCTAACCGGCAGAGACGTACTTGCAAGGGCCAAGAACGGCACAGGAAAAACTGCCGCATTTGTGATCCCTACTCTCGAGAAGATCAATGTCAAGAAACCAAAAGTCCAAGCCTTACTACTGGTCCCCACCCGCGAATTGGCTCTACAAACATCCCAAGTATGCAAAAATCTCGGTAAGCATTTGGATGTCCAGGTGATGGTGACCACTGGAGGAACCACCTTAAAGGACGACATCATGCGTCTCAGCGAACCAGTACATGTGATTGTGGGTACGCCAGGCCGTCTCCTCGATCTTGCCTCAAAGGGCGTGGCAGACTTTAGTGAGGCCACCACATTTGTCATGGACGAGGCCGACAAACTTCTCTCGCCAGAATTCACACCAATCATCGAACAGCTCATCAGCTTTTTCCCAAAGGACCGCCAGATCATGCTCTTTAGTGCCACATTCCCGCTAGTCGTCAAACATTTCAAAGAAAAATTCCTTATCAAGCCCTACGAAATCAACCTCATGGACGAACTCACCCTCAGAGGCGTCACACAATACTACGCCTACGTCGAAGAAAAACAAAAAGTCCATTGTCTCAATACCCTATTCTCAAAACTCCAAATCAACCAATCAATCATCTTTTGCAATTCAACAAACCGTGTCGAGTTGCTCGCTAAAAAAATCACAGAACTAGGCTATTCATGTTTCTATTCTCATGCAAAAATGCTTCAGAGTCACCGCAACAGAGTATTCCACGACTTTAGAAATGGCGTATGTCGCAATTTGGTCTGTTCAGGTAATAATCATTAGAGTCACAAAGATAGAGAGAGAGGGATATGGAAGGTGGAAAAAAAAAGGGAATATATATATATGTATAGGTATATGTATATGTATGTATTGAACGTGTGCATAGATCTGTTGACGCGTGGTATTGATATCCAGGCTGTAAATGTGGTGATCAACTTTGACTTTCCAAAAAACGCCGAGACATATCTTCATCGTATTGGACGCTCTGGTCGGTTTGGACACCTTGGTCTCGCAATCAACCTGATTACATATGAAGATAGATTCAATCTCTACAAAATCGAACGGGAGCTAGGCACCGAAATCCAACCAATCCCACCGATCATCGACAAACGTCTTTATGTTGCACCTAGCTCACTCGAAGATGCCCAGGTGCAGCAGCCAGATGTGGAAGCAGCAGCAGCCACAGCACGCCAGCAGAGACAACAGGCTGGTTTACCGCATGAGGAATATGGCCGACAGCAGGGACATTGGCGACAGAATGGACGTAACAATCCGAATGGCGGAGGTGGGAGAAGAGTTAGTGACGGTGGAGGAGGAGGAGGAGGAGGTGGTGGTGGTGGTGGAGGAGTTAATGGAAATGGAGGAAGAAGAGCACCAAACCCAATGTCTACGGCAAGACCCAAACCTAAACCCAAGCCTTTCTAAACAACAAACGACAAACCATTGCAAAAAAAAAAGAAATTCATTTCTTTTGTGCACCTTGAAATCTCTTTACTTCTACTTTATATTTTATTAAAGAGTATTTGTGCTTATTTTACTTTACTTTATTTTATCTTATCAATTATATCATATTTCATAGCTTGTACCTTAAAGTATTTGCTGACACGATGTATTGCTAATTATTAAATAAATAAAAGAATTTAAAAATAATATCTTGAGGAAGAAGTTGGTTGAAGGTATCTATCCAGAGACAACGGATCCACAGCCAAAAATTGGTCCCTAACCAACATTAGGTACGGACTTTGATTTTCATTAATGGTTCTAAAAATGGAAGAATTATAAGACCCACCCACTCACCCACACACACACAAAAAATAAAAGCATTGCCCTTTTTCTTATTTCTTTATTTTCTACCTTGTAAAGAAACATAGCAGTATACTCGCTTTTAATAATATCAAATTATTATTACTATGCGTACCTTGATTAAGCACAATCTTCATTCTTTTGGAATAAAAACTCAATGTAAGAGCTCATCGGCAAGATTCAAAAAAAAAAGCTTAGTCTATTTTTTATTTACTTATTTGTTCCATTCTTTCTCTTTGGCAACATTACACATTCACACAGCATTCTCGACATTAAATACAAAACTGCCTGCCAAAACACCATTCTCAATATACATTCACTGGCCATACTGTGAAAGGTAGAATTCTTACCTTCTTTTTTTTTCTTTGATTCAACCTTTTCACAGGAATCTTTATTACGTCGATCTATATATATATATATTATTATATTCCACTGACGATCGTTTAACAACAACAAAACGACAAAACAGTAAATGCACTTACTGTAACTTTAACAAGTACATAAATCCTCGAGATCCTCCTCATGAACGTCTTGTCAAGGCCATGACACGCGAACTTGATTTTTACTTGACAGACCCTCGATTTGGATTGAAAAACAAGAGATTGAATTCTGTCTATTTTGGCGGTGGAACACCAAGTAATAAAAAAAAATTAAATTAATAAGAAGGAGAAAAAAAAATCATACAAACACACATGTACATATAACATAGATATATGTGTATGTACATATATTGATTACTTTAAATGCTCATTATACAGGTCTCGCTTTGGTTTGTAACACGTAGATGTCAAAGAAATCTTTTTTCTTTTTAAAAAAAAAACTCTTTCTGGTTTTAATTTTTAATTTTTAATTTTTAATTTTTAATTTTAATTTTAATTTTAATTTTAATTTTAATTTTAATTTTAATTTTAATTTTAATTTTAATTTTAATTTTAATTTTAATTTTTTAATTTTTTAATTTTTTCTGGATTTAGCCTTCAACTGTGGCCAGTATTTTAAATAGAATTGATCACCATATAGGCCTATCAAAAGATGTTGAAGTTACGATGGAGGCAAGTCCACATCAATAATAATAATAATAATAATAATAATAATAATATTAATATCATCATCATCATAATAAATATTATTTCCATTTTTGTATGAAATCTTCCCTTTTTTTTGTAGGCTAATCCAACAGTAAATATCTGTTTTTATTCATTTATTCTTTTTCTTTTTCTTTTTTGCTTCCTCGACATTTTAATATTTCAATTCAAAGCAAGTGTAGCTTTATATATAATGTACATAACCTGTTTGTCTATGTTTGGGTATATTGTGTATGTAGTCAATTGAATCTGCAAAACTCCAAGATTTTGCAAAGGCGGGTGTAAATAGACTCTCTCTTGGAATCCAATCTTTTAATGACAAGGATCTCAAGGTCATGGGTAAAAACAAAAAAAAACAAAAATGATTATATTACTCCTCCACATCACTTTATCTGTTGTTGTTCCTGTTCATTTTTGTTACTGTTATTACTTTTCTCTGATTGTATCTTATACTTTACAGGACGAGATCATTCTGGAACTGATGCTATACGAGCAATCACCAAAGCCAAGCAGGTGTTTCACAAAGAACGCCTTACTTTTGATTTGATTTTTGCTAGACCAGGACAGACACTAGAGGCATGGGATGATGAACTAAAAGTAAGGATATTATATATATGGGAAATAAGATGTGTTTTTCTCTGGCTCAAAAATATTGGCTGTGTATATGTATGCGTTCTTTTTTTTGCTTTCTATATCTTAGCAAGGCCTGGAACTGGCTGGCGATCATATGTCTATTTATCAGTTGACCATGGAACGCAGTACTCCGTAAAGTTATACCTAAGCATGAATTTATTATTTCAAAGCATTAACTAAACCAACTCCAATTGATAATATACAATTTATATATATGTGTATATATCAGATTGCACAAAGCATCTGTAAGAGGTGAACTACCTCCATTACCTAGCCCAGATGAGGCAGCAGATATGTATGAACAAACATTAAAGGTAAATTATAATCTGAAAAATATATCTTCAAATATTCGTGTGCCATTTATTATTATTATTACTATTATTGAAATAAATAAAACACATAAATAGAGAACTAGTGAATATGGATTCTCGCATTATGAAGTATCCAACTATTGCCAAAATGAATCTGCCATCAGTAGACACAATTTCTCATATTGGCAAGGCATGGATTATCTTGGTAAGTATTGAACTATTCTTATTATTATTTTTCAAACGGTGTTGTAACGAAATAACTTTTATTGAAAGGTGTTGGTCCAGGTGCTCACGGAAGATTGACACGCACTGAAGATGGTGTGAGAGTACGAACATTTGGAGTAAGTTTTCTAGTAATTAAATCATATTACAATGAGTTAACATTATATATACTTTAAGGAATTCCACCCGAATAAATATATGGCATTATGTGAATCTGAAGGAGAGGGGTGAGTTTTTTCTTCTTCTTCATTTATTATTATTGATAATATCTATTATAATATATATATATATATATAAGAAGTATAACTTTGAAAACATGCTCAGCGGTCTTAATTGTTTTTGCTTTATTATTGTGGATTTAGAATTCGTAAGATGGTACCAATATCAGCCCGAGAGACAATAGAGGTAACATATTCTATATCTTCTTGTTACTGCCATATATATATATGTGTGTGTGCTTATGTGTTTTTGTATAATACTGATAACCTTTATTAAATAATAGGAGCTTATAGTATTTGGGATGCGCACACGAATGGGAGTTCCAAGAGCGAGGTTTCAAGCAATGACAGGATTATATCTCGATAATGTAAGTAATATTCTTTATTCTGTTAACTAATTTGCGTTAATTAACTCTAAAAATCGGCTATTTATCTATAATATTTCTTTGATTTGATAATTGATAATCCAGGTCCTCGACAAGGAGATGCTTCAGACTTATATTGAGGCTGGGTTTTTAATTGACGAAGCTGGTGTAATGGATCAAGCGATGAATAAGTATGTTCCAAATGAACTCTTGAGTGAATGGGATCTACATGGTGGGATCAGACCAACCGAATCAGGGCTCGAAAGGATGGATTCTATTGTACCACATATTATGAAAATATAGGATTTGCCAGTAGAATAACAATAAAAAAAAGTCTGCTATTTCATTCACTTGTAAATCAGATTTGCAGCCGATTCCAAAAATTCAAAAAAAGTATGTTTCCTGGATCTTCGAACATCACAGTGTGTTCATATGCAAACCTGTAACTTATTAGAAAAGTACCAGACTTGTGGAATATTCGTTACTAATATATTTTTTCAAGATCATTTTGCCTGCTTTAAATATTTTGTATTTCGGCATATATATACATTAGATGCAGGACATCCGGCTTTCTATGTTAATATAATTCATAGTTTATATACATATATCGTTAAAATCTTCAATCTATAGAAATTGGATATTAACTGACTCACCTTCAGAGTTTTTCTTCATAGGAACACTAGAAATTTCAGCTTTAAATACATGGTCAACCGTTACAAAGCGTACCTTGATCAATAGGTAATGTCAGACAAAAATTAATTTTATTGGCTGATTTCATTTAATTTTTTGTTTCAATCGTTTCGATATCTTTAGACCAGCCATCACCTTAGAGTTTAAACAGCACGTGATTGCTTACATCATTCCTGCTTGCATCATTCCTGCTTGCGTCAGCCAACAGATGTTTTGCTGATATAATTGTGAGGTGTTGATTGTAATAGCCCTGCAATAACCTCAAATACACATTTACATTGCACGATGGTATGTATAAAAAAGAAAGTCTGTAATTCGTTTAACTAATCAAATTTAACGTTCATGTTCTAATTGTATATAAAAGAAACGCGTTGTGTCATAGCTAAGAGGCATTAAGACTTCTAAGAGGCAATCTAGGCTAATGGACCCACGTCAAGATTCCGTGATATATTGGCAGCTCTTGTGTGTATTTCACGTCAAGATTCCGTGAAGTACAGTTGACCTTTCTATGGCACAATACATTAAACTTCCAAGTCCATCATCTGAAGTAAGTTTTATTTTTGTACAGACTCTTTTTAAATGTACCGTCTAATGCTAATTGTTTTATTTCTTTGAATCTGATTTTCTTTGTATGATGCGCTTAGGTCCCGTAATGTACAGCCGTCATTACTGGGGCGGAAGGTATGGCGAGTATTGTGTCATAGGACAGGGGCGTCACTTCCTCTAATGGCAGTCTAGGCTAGTATGTCTACGTCAAGGTCCCGTAGTATACTAGCAGCTCTTGTCTGTATTGCGCGTCAAGATCCCGTGTAATACAGTTGACCTTTTTATGGCACAATACACCAAATGGGCAAATGCCCTCACATAAAGCAAGTTTTATCTTTATACAAGCTTTTTTAAATGCACAAAAGTCTAATTTTCATTTTCATTTTCATTTTTTAGAATCTGTTGTTAATAAAAGTAATTCTTTTGAGAATAAACTCTTTGTTCCAATAACCACTTATCAAATTTCTTATTATTATTTTTTGAGTAATTAGAATATAGCAGCTTATATTTATTGTAAAGGGCTTAAGCCTATCAAGTACATTATACAAATAGTTATTTTATTATTATTAATAAATGAGATGTAAAAGAGAAGAATATGTGACCAAGCTAGTGTAGGAAACAAGAAAACGTTTATATAAAAATGAGTGTCAAATTGAGATATAGGAATAATCTGAAAAGAAACAATAAGTTCTATGAGTGTTATTTATTAAAGAGAGCCACCCTTGACACTATGCTTGCCCCGACTTCAGGGTAGCCTTAATATCTTGTATCCTGGTATACATAAATGTGCTCTGCAACTTTTTTGGCTAAAGCCACTCGTCCGCAATCCTCTTCTGCCTCGGGGTCTCGTTCCCCAATGTTTCTCTACTCTCCTTCGCTCTAAAGCTTCTACCATTAACCCTCTTCTTTCACTGCTCTTTCCTGACTGTCGCCCTCACAACCATCGCACTCTCAACTCCCCGTTACATCTCGTCCTGAAGGCTACGGATATCCTCCCCGGAACTTTGAACAAGTGGTGCTCAAACTTCCCAGCTGTCTCGCCCTTCCTTTGTCCTCTGTGATCTCCAGTCTACCCTCACATCCTCATTATTGATCAGCTTGACTGGATTTGCGAGTTTACCACCTATACACAATCGAACCCGAGTAGGATATACTCACCCCAGCTGCTCCCTCTCGTCTTCTACCCCGTTCCGTCACACTCAACGGCATCCTCAAAAGACTTCGCGATTGCACAATAGTTCTTCATCCCATTCTTTTTCGTACATCCATTTCCTCCTTTATACTTGAGTTCCAACAGCCAGATTTTTCCATTCAAGAAGGATCTTCCATCAGCCTTCACCCGCCTCTGTCAGCACAACTTCCGGATCAGACTTGACCCCGTATAATAGCTCGTTACTACCGCTCTGTCTGCTCATATCAACTAATTACTGCTCGTCCCATCCAGTCATCTCTCCTCTAACAACAACTTTGCTCTTTCTGGTCTTTTGCCTTTCCTCACAGGGCATGTAATGCTTGATTTCTCGGTTTTCACCACAATATTTTGTGCCGTGCTCTTCTCTACCGCATCATGCCTTCCATTATATCCTTTCCTCTCTGCACGATTTGTAAGAGGTCCATTGAGACGCAAGAGCATCTTCTTCTTGATTGTCAGTTAAAATCCGTGGTATGACTAGACTTTTGGTTGGAATTCTTTTGCGCCGTCCCTCTGCCATCTGTACTCTCAGCTGCCTCCCAGTCATTCGTCTTCCCTCCCACGCTTAACCTTGATGTTCTTTCTGCCCCTGTCTTTGGCTTGACCGTCCTTGTCATTTGGGACCCCTACTGGTCTTTCCGCATTAACTCTATCCCTTTCCTCCCCTTTGTGGTCCTCGCCTCTGCTCTGAGCTAAAGCATGACTCTCACTATGTATCTCCTTATAGCATTACCCTCACTCTTACCCTAAGAGCATCCACAGTGGTCTATTTAAACCTGAAGTCACATCTTTTTATTGCTCAAATGTCTTAGTGAAGAGCCGGATTTAGATATCCGTTAAATGATTGCCTAAAAAAATGGTCAAAACATTTATTTAAACAAACCGCTGTGGATGAAAAATCTAAATCTTATATCTAAATTTACATATTCGGTGAGTTTACACAGATCGCTGTGGATGATCTTAGAAATCATTTAAATGTTATTGAAAGAAAATTCAGTTAAAGCATTTAGCTAGACAAACCGCTGTTGGTGCTATAACACGAATAAAATGCCAGACACAACGCAGAAGTAATGGATTTACAATCAATCCTCGTCCTAGTACTGAAAAATTGCGCTGTGAAAGGAGCTGTACATGGGTGCGAATCTTAATGAGAATGTCGACAAAGGCCATGGACAGCTGTTTCTTGGGGTTAGTGAGGGAGAACTCCAGGTATATGACGGATTGTATTTTTTTTGTCGTTCCAAGAGGTGATACCTTGATCTTTAAAGCGAGTAGCTCAGTGTGATTGCTCTGACCCAGGAAGAGAGACTGAGATGGCTTTATCACAATTTATCCTTACTTTGTGAGCACACTCATACACCTAGAGTTGGTCCATCAGGGTGTTGAGTTCGGTGGACGTGTTAAGGAATACTATAATTTCATCTTCATAAACTAAAGGCTTGATCGGGTTGGAATCGGTCATGTCTTAGAGAAGACGTACAAAGCTATAGGAAAGGGCAAACCTGGGAATAGCAATATTGGCCAGAATTGTACGGAGTAATGGATCGAGAGCTGGGTTAAAAAGCAATCGAGAAAGTAGAGCGCCTTGTCGTAGAACTCGGTTCTATGCTACGGACGACGATAAGAACCCGTTTACATTAATGCAGAGCGTCGATTCAAAAAATAGTTACGAGAGGGTAGAAGCAAACATAGAAGAAGAGAAAAAATTCTCTGGTTACTTGCTAATGTATCTAGGGTGTAATATATTGTATGGTTTTTCTTGATCAAGTCGTAAGCCAGTTCTGGAAAGATTCTTTTTTTTTAGCACTGTCCATAATGAGTCCTTTGAACAACCCATTGTCGGCAATAAACTGACACCCCCAAGAATCTAGTCTGATATGGGTTAATTGAAGAGGCCATAGAATCGGATATACGCGAGGTGAGTAGACAAGTGAACAGTTTTGCACCAATACAGGTAAGCAATATCAGCAGCCAGTTCTCAAGGGACGTAAGGTATTCTTTTTAGGCAACATGACTACAATCGCTTGTTTCCACGAGGGAAGAAATTTCTTGTACTGAAGGGTACCATTATATACTTTCATAATCAAGGTTTTTACGAAATCATGTTAAAGCAAAAGGATCAGAAGCTCATATGAAATTCTGCCAACTCCAGGGCTGCTATGAGGATTTCGTTTGATAGCTTCCATGTTATCCGTCATTGTCTATGGGACAACCAGGAAAGCTCACACTCCCTCAGATATACGTATTTTGGGAGATATATTGTCAAATAAAGATGTAACTGCTGTGTCATCAATGAGCTCTGCTGAGTACGAGTCCAAATATACTTCTTGAGCGCATTTTCATGTTTCCTGGAGAATGAATCAGTCTGTTGCCATCCCAAAGTGGGTGTATGTACTGTTCCTGTCTGAGCTCCTTCAGGCAGAGATAGAAATAGTTATTGGACCCTTCACCTGCTTCTCGCCACCTATGTCCCGAAAGTAAATCCTGAATTATGCTCTCAACATCTTACTGTGCGTTAATCTCGGTTCCCACTTCTGTAAACTGCGTGTACAGTGTTGAGGTATATACTTCAGACTTGTTAACGTTCCCGTCAACATATTCGGTTTCTAGAAGAAGCTGAGAGAGTAACCTTTCGGCTAGGAGGTGTTCAAGATTAGTATTACGCCTATACGAGAATCCTTGCACTGCGCCCAAGTTGCTGATGTGCTGGTTTCGCACAGCATGTGGTCTGTGGATGGGAGGAGGTGCAGTTTGGTTGTGGAAAAGAGAGTCGAATCTGCGCTGAATCTGGTCAATGATGTCCGCTCTTTGTGTTTGTAAGACTATCCTAATATGATACTTAGAATTATATTTATAAAAAGATAGCAAACTAACAACAACCTAGCAACGAAATATTGCTGTTATGGTATCTCACAAGCTCTCAAACAGTAGACAGTTACAATGCTCAACTTTAATATAAAAGAAATGATTGGCTCCCATTGATATAAAAAATTGGAGAATGCGATTTATAGATTCACAACCTTTTGTCTATCCATGAATATTTTAGAAGACGAAATGAAATTAAAAACAAAAGTATATGAGACAACTTTGCAGTTCTTCTTTTATGTTAACAAGTAAGATCTCCTAAAATAAACATACGTTTCACAGTGGTACTCATAAATAGTAAAAAAAAAAAGTTAAATTCTAATCCTCGAAAACTGATAAAAAAACGCCCTGTTATAATGATTTTGTATTTGATTTGAAACTATCTTGAGCTATTCGATCAAATTCGAAAAGAAGATATTTGAGTTCGGCGGGTCACTATATTGATCAAATATCATATTAATATTCTTTCTTTCTTTTCTTCAGTCAAATCGAACCAAATTTTAGATACAAATATCCTATGTAGAAACCCATATTATATATTCATGTTTATCATGTAGTTTAATATTTGATAGATAGCCACATATATTTAAATTCAATATGTGGGCAAAGCAAATAACAAGTACCTCTCTACAAATATGCTGCATTAACCAACTGGGACTTTTCTCAAATCCGAATTCAAATACACAAAAAAACTGTTTCTATACAATTAAGTAACAAAGAAAGCTTAATTTAATTCTTTTTATTTATTTATTTACCTTTATTTTTATAGAGTTTATTATAAAATTCTTTTCCGAATCGATAAGAATCCTGTTCAGGCTCCTAAGTAGTATACTTCTCTATGTGTTTGCATCTCAATTCGATATAACCTTTACAAAGATCACTTTTAAATTCTTCTATGACATCATATTTATTCGATAATATATCAGCTTTAAACTTTTCGGTACGTCTCTTGGGGTCAGTATATCGAAAGTATTCTGAAATGGTATTAGCTTCTTGCTCTGGAATTTTATTGAGACCCTTTTTATAGCTCATGTCGTCGTCATGATCAGTAAAGATGTGAAACCAAGCTAAATGCTGAAAGCGACGTTCTACTAGAGTATATTTTGAATCCGTATTTTCATTTTTCTTATATGATGAGAGAGAGTTGTCCAATTGAGACAAGACCAATAAGTTGACATTGGTATTTTCGTTCTTGTCCACATTGAATGCTGTAAATCTGACATTTGCTAGGTGTAGTATCTTGAAGGAGATGTGAGACATGTCGAGAAACATGGACATGTCTTTTCCAGAAATAAATCCAGATATACATGTACTTTCCAAGCTCATATATTTGAGGCTCTTGCACCTGGAAGAAATATAGTTAACCATATCGAAGCTTGCAGAAACCTGGTTTAATTCCAAAGTCTGTAATCCATGCTGATGGTTTTTCAGGTCTGTATGTCGGATTATCATGGGCTCTGAATAAAGTACAAATGCTCCATTGGAAAACCTCAGTCGTTTCAGGGCAACACAATTGTCAAGAAGGCTTCTCAACTCAATAGCCACATTACATGAGTTAATTTCAAAATCCACCAACAATGGGCAGTAAGAGGGTATTTCCAGTCTTGAATTAAGCATACTCCTGTAGAATATATCTCCTTTGACTGAAAGAGTCTCGAGTGTCTCATAAAAAAACTCCATAAACTGCTTAATGATCGTTTTAAAGAATAGTCTATTGACCTTGTCGGATTTCGTCTCGTACTTTAAGTTTTTGATAGGAATTCTTAATGAGCAAAGAAATCCCCAGAAAGCATGATGTTCCGTTTCTAAGACGTCACTAGTGGTGAACTCGAACGTTTCCAAATGTTGGAGTACACCTGTATTGAAATCCAAAATATGTGGGCTTCGTTGCGTGCGATTTGGAGATATTCTATAGTACTGCGCATTTATAGTATTCCATCTGATGAAGCGCAAGTTTGGGTACTTGTGGGCAAAATGGTACGCCCACAAAACATTCCACTCACACATCCTTAGCTCAAGGGTAGTCAAAGCAAGTACGGGTACAGTGCCTAATCTTATATGCTGTTCTGTTTCCGAGTCATTACTGAGAGATATACAAGCATCGAAGGACGTCAACTGCTGCAATTTCTGGTGGAGATTGTCAAAGTCCTTTGCATTAAACACAACTGGTTGATAGATGCCCTGTTTAAATATTCTTAATTTCTGGAGCTTGTGACAATTTGTCAATAGTTCAATGAATTTTCCCGTCGATTTTGCTATTTCATTATAGGTGATCTGGATTGTCAAACTTTCGAGCGACTTCCATGTACCATTACACTTTGCCATCTCTTTGTGGATGTCCTCGCAACGGGTCCGTCCAAGATCAAGGTGCTTCAAGTTTGGTAAGAATTTAAAAAATACGTCTTGGTGTATACGTGGTATGGAGACATTTGGGCTTATTTGTAGAGTGAGTACTGATTGGCCGAGTGGTGTAGGAATACGTTTTGGGTTCTCGATGATATTGCAAATAGCTTTGAACTGTAACAGGGTTTCGACCCGAACGTTTCTCCAAATGCTTTTTTGAAATGGATATCTCCAGTTCTTACAAGTGAGAGCACAAGAGAGCTTGTCTTTTGTCTCTAAAAGATCAGCGATTTGAAAAAGCATCTCGAATGGTAGCCGTGATGCCATTGTAAAAATGAGTAGAGTCAGTTACAAAAAGAGAGAGAGAAAGGGTCGTAAGACAACTTTTTACAATAAGATTCAAATATTGGGGTATAATTTAATCATAATTATCATCATCATATTAGTACAATTTGTTGATGTACAAAAGGTACAAAAATATTAATAAAAGTCTGTTTGGGTATGACGCCTTTTTTTCTTTGGTATAAAAATGCTTTCGTGGAACATAGGACTTTTTTTTTTATTGCTGCTTTGAAAGGTTTATTAGATTAACAAAAAAGAAGCCTTTGATATTGATGTCCCGTAGTAACAGAGTTCCTTGAGGCAAAAAAAAATAAGCCCTGAGAATAATAGTGCAAAAGGCTCTATATAAACACTTATATATATATATTCTAGTATACTCATTTACCACAGAGCGTTATCAAGTTAATAATAAATCATGATTGGTTTTTTTTAATAAAGGAAATAATAACAAGGAGAAGCTTAAGACAACAGGATTGTTGGTGTTAAAGGAGAACATCATGAAATATGTGGTCTAAGTGGGTTTTCCAGATGGTACTTCAGGTGCACCCTAAAACAATATGTGATCACATAAGTGGTGTAGATTTTGAGAGATGGCTGAAAAGAGAGGAGAAGTTGATCAAGCTAAAGAGAATCACGATTTTTCTTTTGTTTGCGATTTGGTGTGTTTGAGGATAGCTGTTTATGTTGAATGCCCATCAACAAGCTCCAGCTGCATTAAGAGTATCCATGGTTGCAAGAGTGCTATAACGATAATGAGAAACAATGAATGACTCCCCAAAAAGAAAAATAAATCATCTTTCTTTCTGAAGGAGAACACCCAAGTATATGAATTTCACCATCAGCAGGAATAATATCGTATAGAGAACGTGAAAAGTGGGTATATATGACTGCATATTTAAAAGTTCTTCAAAGGACAGCCAGAGTGATAAGAAGTGTTGTGCAGCTCAAGTTGAACATGGGTTGGACATTTGAAGCCAAGCCAAAAAGAATGCTACATTGTCAGCAAAAAAGAAGTGGTGATTTGTGTTAATGGAACTGCATAACAAAAGCCATCTACAGCATGAGGAGCCAGAAGAGATTGATATGCATTTAACAAGGAAGGGGAGAAGGATTGTGCATTAGTGGATAATAAAGGTGTACATTATGATGTAAGATTGACATTCCTCAATGTGGTATCCTTTTATAAGTAATTTCAAGATTTGACATAAAAAATAAAATAAATAAAAATAATATCAAGTGGTGACAAAACAAAAAAAAATATGCTCCGTAGAGCGTTCCATCTCAGAAGTTTAGTGTCATCCTTGTGCAGGGGCCATGCTAATCTTCTCTGTATCGTTCCAATTTTAATATGTGACAGAGGTGCAAGCACTTGTCGACTAAAATAAATGTCCCAAAACACTAGATATATGCATTTATTTGCCGCTTTACAAAAGTTGTGGGTTTCTAATATTTTTCAGAAATTTTTTATATTATAAACATTATATACAGAAAAGTAAATAGCTAGGCTTGGTAAAATAATTGTATGCTTAATATCCTTATTTTACCCTTACTACATCCACTCTACACAAAATACCTTTTAATTTCTTTATCTTTTAATATTAAATAAACTGTATATCAACCTCTTTATAATGTATCCTTCAATAAAGAAAGCTTACTATAAGGTTTGGTCAAAAGAACGACATGCTTCTGGAAAAAGAAATTTGTTTTGTCTTGTTGGAGTGTATTTTGGACTTGTTTGCTAGCACATAACTAAGCTACTTTGACAATAAATACCTGAGTAGATAATATATACTTCTTTATTTCTTTATTGATTCGAGTATGATTAGTTTATTAGAGTCCTCCATATTTTTGGCCTGTATTTTTTTTTACTACGCTTTAAGATAAAGTGAATGAAAGAGATAAGCTGTGAAACTCAAAAAGAAAAGCATTTGCTACAGATGGCTTAACACATAAAGTGGAGAACCTCAAATTATAGATATAAGCACAAATACGAATACAAGTATGCTTTTGCGTTTAATTATTTGGTTTAGTTATTTTCTTTGCAAAATAAAGAAGAGGTCAATGGTAATATTAAGGTTTAGGGATAAATTCAAGAAAAGCATCGAGATGTTCTTTTTGGGGAAGAGAAGTTAGCTTTTCTAAATCATCCACCACTGATGTGTTCAGTTTTGTAGCTTCATCCTCTGTCAAAACTCTCCAGTGTGGTGAAGCTTGTTTTCTGAGCCAATTGAAGTCTTCCATTTGATCAAAGTAATTTACAAAAGGCTAAATAATTAAATGAGTAACAAGTAAGTAACAAGTAAATAAAGAAGCTTCAAATAAAATATAAAATATTCTCTCGTATCACTTCTTTTTCTTACCTCTTTTTTCTCGTTGTTTTTTAAAGGACCAACACGAACTTGATCACAGTCTTCAATAATTGGACGACTAGACACACATAACAAAATATCCACGTTTACAGCATCATGCATACGGAACTAACAACCAAAAAACGAAATATCAGAGATCAACCAAAACCGAAGAAAAAGATAGAGATGTAATTCGCCTTTCTTTATCTCTGCTTTCATTTTACTTACTTGATGGCAATCGATTGCCATGACTGATCTTGAGAATCCATACAACAATACTGATCCTTCGATTGAACCACACAAGATGACACACTCGGTTACATTCTTGACATGTAGAGCAGAAACACGTATAGTGTCATCCAACAAGGATACAACACATCTATGCAGATTTGACAATGAGACATCTACACTCTGTTTTCCGGGCGGGCGAGAATCTTCCAAGGTCAGCCACTGGTTAGATATATCTGAAAATCGAAGCATTGTCTCATCCTCCACCCAACCAGGTTCATGTTTGACAGCTTTATAAAGATATAATAAAGTGTGATTTAAGTTTTACACAACTAATTAGTCATTTGATCGTTTGCTATATATATATATATATATACATATATTACTAACCAACTGTATCAGTTGTTGGAGTATCTGTAGTTGTAGGTGTAGTTGTAGGTGTCTTTGCCTTTGTTTTTCTCGACTTAAACGAAAACTTTGGTTTTGGAGTCAAGTTTGTTCGTTCAGTCTCCAAATCTTGAACCAACGATCTGATTTGCTTTATTTATTTATTTATTTGTTGTTGTTGTTATATAAATAAGTTAATACACACACACATACTTATATACACATATAAACATACACATACATATAATAGTAATTAACAAGTTACCATTGAATATTGTCGTTCATCATAAGGTGGAATGTACTCTGTTGCTTTTGTCAATTCCTTTTCGAGGCGATTGATTGTTTGGAGGATGTTGTTGAAATGTTCAGGTAACTGAGATGTGGGAATAGTCTTTGAACGTTCGAGTTGATCGGCAATTCCTTTTTTTTAAAAGATAAAATAAAAAAGCATTATTATTATTATTATTATTATTATATATGTTTTCTTGGTTTAGTTTAGTAACCTTGACGTTCAAGTTTGAATTCATTCCAGAATTTCAAGGAAGCATCAGTAGAGCTGTCAACTGAATTAGACATGATGGTAAAGGTTGAAACATTTTTATATATTTTATTTTATTTTATTTTGCACATAAAAAAAAACCAGCTGGGTTCTCCACACTACATATATTACATATATTACAGGAGCACAAAATCTAAATTATATTTAATTTCTGGATTTTTATAATGCAAAATATATACATTTCGTATGAAAATTATTGGGTAAAAAATGTTTCAAATGAACAAACATTTCTTCTATTTTTTTATATGAAAAATAAAAATGTAAAAGTACATATATATATAAAAGCTTAAGATATTCTACAATAAAGTATAAAATGGTAAACGACGGGAAAAATAAAGACAGCAAAGAGAAACAGAGAGACAGAAAACAAAACTGTGTGTAAAATATACATTATTTTTGAAAATGTCCGGGTCTCTATTTCTCTCTCTCTCTCTCTTTAATTTGTTTCAAATTAATAAGTTTATTATGAAGGTCATTGTTACAGGAGCTTCTGGTTTATTAGGAAGAGCTGTCTATAAGCAGTTGAAGGCAGCAAATATCGATGGTCAGTTGATTAAAGAATATAACTTATGTAAATATCAATATTAATATCAGTATTAATCAAATCACGTACAAAGTGGTTGGAACTGCTTATAGCCGTGCCAAAAATGGTCTTGTCAAAGTAAGTAAACCAATCTATCAGCTAACCAGCCGAATAATAATAATAATAATATCCACACCAAGCATATCGATTGCTACTGTTATTATTATTACTATTATAACAAAATCAATGAATAACCAGAATTGCTATTTCCATTTAGCTTGATTTGGCCAATGAAAGTGAATTAGAAGCCTTTATTGCTGAACAAAAGCCCAATGGTGAGTCATCATTTATTTATGTTATAGTAGTAATAAAAATAAAGAAATATTGATTGGTTGGTATTGATAATGACATTGTCAATTTCATTAGCCATTGTTCATTGTGCTGCTGAACGCCGTCCTGATGTTGCCGAAAAGGATCAAGAGGGAACTCGTAATGTAAGATTAATTAAGAGTACTAATACTAATAAGCGATATATCTATATCCTACTCATTATTTACGCGACAAATTGTTTCTTTTTTCTTATAGTTAAATATTCAAGTACCCAAACGCCTAGGAAGTCTGTGCAAGACCAACAATATTACGCTTATTTATATTAGCACAGATTATGTGTTTGATGGCACTTCACCTCCTTATGAAGTCACAGACAAACCTAATCCATTGAATTTTTATGGAGAGACAAAATTGGGAGGAGAAGAAGCTATTCGTGAGGTCAATTCTGACGCAATTATCCTCAGAGTTCCTATTCTGTAAGTTTCATAAGTCGCATCATTGGCATTAGTGGTATCAGTGGTATAATTTTGGGGGGAAAAGGGCTTGTAGTTTAGAGTTTAGAGTTTGGGGAATGTGGGATGGTGGGGGAGTGGGGGATGTTCTTGCTGAGCATATGTATTATATTATACTAGTCGCATCCTTATAGCTTACTTATCCTCATACTTATCTATTATATTGGCTACCATTATCCATTACCTGTATTAAACTATTACGGAATGACTATACTATACATATATCATAAAGTTATGGTGATGTAGAATACAACGGTGAATCTGCTATCAACATCTTGCTTGATTCTGTACAGGTAAGACAAAGAACAATCAATATTATAAACTATAAATGTTCCGAAATAATAAGAAAATCATTATAACTTGCTTAAATCCACAGAACCAAGAAAAGGTTGTTGACATGGATAATGTTGGAAAACGTTACCCTACAAATGGTACAGTCAGTGTTTTGTACATTAATATTACATTACATTAGATTACATTGAATTAGGGCATTATCTAGCAATAGAAATTATAATAATATCACGAGAATTACAACAACTAACTAAAGACAAATGAGTCATTTCTTTCTCTCAGTTCAAGACATTGCTCGTGTGATCAAAGACTTGCTTGGTAAGTGTACTTGTTGATTTCTCTTAATATCATTTGATAAGAACCATAACCGTCATTGTCATCATCACCATCATCGCTACCACCACCACCACCACTGCTACTACTACCACTACCACCACCCCATCTTTTTTACCTTTCCCACCTTATTTACCCCCCCCCCCCCCCCCCCCCCCAATAATATATATATATATATATATACATGCGTGTGTATGGAATTGAACATGTGTATATATTAATCTACACCATTATACTATTCTCACCATAGTCAAGAGAGTTGATCTTGGAGAAGATCTAAAAGGGACATTTCACTTTACCAACACCGAGTGCTTTACAAAGTACACTATCTGTCGTAAGTTTCCTTCTCTCTCTTTTTTTTAATTTATCTCTTAAAGTTACAATTGATTCCACTGAACTTAACTGAACTTTGGTTTAATGAATTAATGAATTAATGAATTATTTAATCTTATATGATTTATTAGAGCTATTTGGAAATCTGTTGAATTTACCTATTGATCATTTGAAGCGTCAGGATGAGATCCCTGCCTCTGCTGCTGGTAAGTCCCTCTCTTTCTCTCTTTCTCTGTTTTTCTTTGTCTTAATACTATCGATGCACTATAACCATTTCTAGTATCTCGTCCCAAGGATGCTCACTTGTCTAACAAGCGTTTGGAAGCCATTGGCATTGATACCAAGAGTGTTCCATTTGTGGGTTGGTGGACAGAATACCTTTCTAAATAAAGACAATAAATATACAAAAAAAATCCATTACAAAAATAAATATAAATAAAAAGAAAAAAGTCGATGTTTTAAGCAACACAGGATTGTACTATTATTATTGTTTTTCAGGGCTGACCAAAGTTTTTCGTCAGTTTGTTGAAAGGCAAAAAACGGGCAGAATTTTATATTTTATTTAAAAACTCCGATTTTTTTTTTACATATATAATTTTTCTATCCTTTTGTAATAAAGTACAATGTCGCTAGATTTTTACCAAGAAGATAAACAGCCGCTTTTACTATACGATGGAGAAGAGCATTCGTCAAGAACCAGCACACGACTTTCTCTAACAATCAACATTAGTGACGATGAGCTCACAGACGAACAAAAGATAGACCAAGAAACCAGAGGTGACCCAATAAAACAAAAGGCACTTGACTTTTTTTATAAAAAAAATAAAATAAAATACAAAATAGAAAGACCATTAAGAAAAAGTGTAGGAATGAAAGCACTCAACAATTTATTTTATATACACAGATTTGTCATTGTGTCAATTAGCAGAACGCGGGCTACTACAGAACATTAGACATCTCATTGAAAAAAAACACATTGGAATTGAAGAAAATAGTCCAGATGGATATACACCTCTTCATTATGCAGCTGCCAACAATCACGAACCATGTGTCCGGTACCTCATTGAACATGGCGCAACTGTCGATGCTGTCAATGGAGCACTACAAGCTACACCTTTACACTGGGCAGCAAGGTACTGAATAGATACACACTTACGTATACATATATAATCTATTATATTATATTATTTTATTCTATTCTATAAATTTCCTTACTATACAAGATAATAACAATAACACTGATAAATTACACACATATACATCTTTTATACATATTTATGTATATATGTATTTTATTAGAGCCGGGTGCGTAGCCACTGTTCATATGCTAATTCAGTATGGAGCTGACCCTGGCTTGGTGGACAGCCACGGATTTAATGCACTTCACTTGGCCGTCCAATCACCTCAACCGATGCTGGTTCTGTACATTTTGTCCCTGGGCAGACTGGATATAGATACTAAGGATGGTGTAGGCCAATACACAGGTCTGATGTGGGCAGCCAATGAGGGCAACGCATTGAATATCAAACTACTCCTCCAGTTTGGGGCCAGTGTTGATGCTGTAGACCAACGAGGTGCTACTCCTCTGCACTGGGCAGTTACAAAGGGAAACCGTATGTGTATCCGTAAACTGCTCGAATACGGATCAGATCCAACCGCAAAGGATCAGGGCGGAAAAAGTGCGGTTGACCTTGTTCATGAAAATAAGCTGGGGCGTATATGGGACCAAGCTGTCCTTGAAGCTACCGTGCTGGAATCTTCTGATACTTTGCAGAAAGTTAGTCCAAATCTTACTAGTCCCAATCATCTATCAAAAGTAAGTGAAGCAAAAGATTATTTATTTATAGTGACTAAAGGCTAGCCTTATTATTGTTTTTTGTCTATTAGAAAACTGTCAATAGATCGATATACTTGCTACCGTACATTGTCTTGCCCATCGTATTAAAAACACTTTCTAGCTTCCCATGGTTCACTGGCCTTCCGCTGGCTTTGGCCGAATTTATTGTGATGCACCTCATTGTAGAAAAGTTATTGATCGTCGTACCCAACTCTGGAGAACTTCTCAAGACACCTTATGCATCTAGTATATTCCAGGCATCTGCATGGTGGCTATTCTTGACATGGGCGTGGGTACTTGTTTCAGGTGAGCCAATGTTTGTTTTGTATAACTTTATTAACTTGACATAATAACCTTGTCTCTCTATTTTTTCTCTCTCTTTGTGTGTGTGGCTGTTACTTACTGACTGTCTTAAATTTTTAATCAAATAGCAACCCCTAATATAATCATCCTTCACATCCTGTTCTTTGTCACATTTTCTATTGCGATGGCTTGTTTCTATCGATGCTCGGTGGCTAATCCAGGATTTATTGAAAACGCAAACTCACTTGACAGCATACAAGAAACAGCTGTTGAATTGGCAGATTCACATCAGCTGGACATTCGCCATTTCTGCACGACTTGCATGGTATTAAAAAAATATTTAAAATCAATTTAAACAAAAAGGTACACAATTTTTTGTTTTGCTTATATTATTCTTCATTTTAGATAAAGAAGCCATTGAGATCCAAGCATTGTAAAGTCTGTAACAGATGTGTGGCCCGATTCGATCAGTAAGAAGGCATAAACCTCACACTATTATTATTGTATTTGTTGCTTATATTCTCTCTCTATATGATTTTTTCTTTCTGGTAGTCATTGTCCATGGATATTCAATTGCATTGGACTTGAAAATCATCGGGTGTTTATGATGTTCATGTTGAACATGGTGATCTGTATCACAATCTTTGTCTCAATTTCTGCCCAATGTAAGTAATATTTAATATTCTTATGTCAACTACAATACATGTATAAAAGAAGAGAAAGGGGGAGTATACGAGGCTCTGTTTTTTTTAAACATGTCAATATCTATATGTGCATTTCTATTATTATATCAATAGATTTGATCGCAAATGCAACCCCAATCGGCGATATGCCACCTGAAGAACTCAAATGTCTGCTGGGGCCTACGATCTGCAACTATTTCGCATATGACACATGGACACTTGTGATTACTTGCTGGGCAGCCTTTCATCTGTTCTGGAGTACTTGCTTGTTACTCATGCATTTTTATCAAATTGCAATGGGAGTAACGACCAACGAAGCTGTCAATTCGCATCGATATGGTTATCAAGACTATAAAAAATTTGCACACAACAACGCATCAACAAATCAACCTGAACCAGACGCCACCAGTTCAATTGCGGCAACGATGACAAGTAGCAGCAGCACCTCCTTACCCAATGAACGCAGTGCACTCTTGTGTCTTCCTCTTTGTAAAAATAAGCATGCTGTTAGAAGTACGAGTAAAAGTAAAGGCTGTAGTATTAGTAACTGCTGCTCTTGCGCCAACAGCATCATGAGCTCACATAGTGCACACCGCAAGTACCGTCAGCCATTAAACAAACGTAGTGGAAATCCATTTGATTATGGGTGCCGGACAAACTGTGTAGACTTTTGGTCAAACAATGGGGCTGTCAATTGGTACGAAGCTTATGATATCCAACATGTAAACAACAGCCCTCTTTCGGGCACCAAATTCTATTCCCCGGTTGCTCGCCATTCAATAGAGCTTTAGCTATTATTTTAAATAATATATATAAATTATTCCCTTTTTCTTCTTCTTCTCTCTTTACAGAATATATATATATATATAATATTACAAGTGAATAATATTGTACAGTCTTATAGAAATATGTTTATACATTTAAACTGTGTTACCCTGACAACCAACTCTAATAAAAAAAAATAAAAAGAAAGAAAGAAAGAAACTGATTTGTCCATATATGTTGTGTGCACTTCTTTAAATAAAAACCCTGAATATATATATACTCTTGATTCTTTTGTTACACCAGATATTCTAAATCTGCTTTTTATCCAGCATTCCAATCTGCATGTACACCACCCAGATCCTTTCTCCCTCTCTCTCTTTTTTGTTTCGTTTTTTTGTGCACCTGTACCACCCTATTATCCAGATAATGATATGATTTGTGTGTGTATTAAATAAAAAATTAGTTTTATTTCTGTAATGATTTGTCATTGAAAGGTTACTCTTACTAAACATTGACAATCTTTTTTATTTTCTCTATCTCTCTTTGATACATGCGAGTGCTTATAGTTTTAAGCAACAAGTAATTTTATAGAATATATTCAAAGCTATATAGACAGTATAATAATACTGATTGTAGCAGGAAGAAGAAGGGTCGTTGTGAGTGGACTTTCTGGTATTCTTCTCCGACCTGTACAAATATATATTTAATATAATATACTATAATATAAAAAGAAAAGAAAAGAAAATTTCTTTCTTTCTTTCAGTTGAGGATAAATTCTTGTGAACCTTGGTTCTTCTTTCACTATTTTTTTTCTTTTTCTTCTTTACTCGAAACTATTCACCATGATTACCATTATTGAACAGACCAGAGCAATGGTTCAGGACTACATGGGAAAATTGGATCCATCACATGATATGCTCCATGTAGACAGAGTAACACGTCTAGGTAAATAATCATACTAAGCTTCCCCTTTACAAACAAACAAGAAAAGCTTAAAGGTTGAATAGATAATGTTATTTACAAAATTAACGACTATAAAATAAATTAAAATAACACAAATAATTATACTTAATTTATCTATCTATCTATATATTTGACACAACAAAGCCCTTCATTTATCCAAGTCTTGTATTGAAAATGAAAAGAAAAAGGTTGATCTTGAACTTGTTGAACTGGCTGCGCTCTGCCATGATGTCGGTGATCGCAAATACTATGATGGATCTGAGACCGGCGGAGAGTTGATTTACACATTCTTGACCAAGCAAGGGTACGATCACACTCGGGCCTCTCTTGTTTCTCGTATTGTTGATCATGTTGGGTTCAGTAAAGAGCTCGGCTGGGATGATCTTAAAGATGATCCTGAAGAAGTAAAGTGGCGCAGAGGGTGTATTGAACTTCATGTGTAGGTTTTTTTCTTCTTCTTCTTTATTATCATAATTATCAAATATTAATCATTAATTATGATTGTGATTATGATTATTTCAGGGTCCAAGATGCGGACAAATTGGATGCTATTGGTGCATTTGGTAAATATTACGTTATATATATATATATATATAATTTACAAAAAAAGTCTTAATAATTGAATTCTATTTAATTAATATATATATATATATATATACGTAAATTATGAACACCTAAAAAAAGGTGTATTGCGTTGTGCAGCATACAGTGGAGCTCAGAACAGACCTCTTTATGCTCCCGATCAAGATCCACTCAACAATATGACAAAAGCAGAGTATGAAAAACAGTCCAAGAAAAAGACTGGAACAGCCATCAACCACTTTCATGGTATCTATTCTTTATATTCGTTAATTGTTTATATGTGCGTATATGTATGTAAGAGCTCTCTTACTAATGAGACCATTTTAGAGAAACTTTTTAGGCTCAAAACCATGATGCGTACTGAGAGAGCCAAAGTTATGGCAGAAGAGCGGGACAAGTTTATGCGATTATTTGTACAGCAGACAGAGAATGAGTATAATATGCTCACATAAAAAGAAATTTATTATGACAGTTGCTGCAAAACTGTCAAGACTAGCTCATGCAATACAATACAATATTCATCTTTTGTCATTTAAATATTAATATGTATATGTATATATTGGAGACTTTGGGCAATTGGTTTGACAGACATAGCTTTAATCAAACTGTGATATATAAATTGACAGAGAATAAAAAGATATTCAGCTTGAGCTTTATTCAATCTAATACTTTCTTCAAGAACTATACGCCAAATATTAAAGGCAAAAAAAAAGTCGAAAAAAAAACAGACGGAACATAAGTTTATCCAATTAGTTGGTCAGTGAAGAGGTATAGCACAACGCCAGCCTCTTGATCAAAACGTATAGGTGGGTTGTCTTTTGTTGAAGTTTTTGCAGAATGTGTCTTTGGTAGAAAAAGAGAAACAGTGGATCAGGATAACAATGAGTAAAAAGACGAGGAAGAAGGTGAAGACAGGGAGAATGGCCATGAGCTACGAATACCGAACGACAAAATAAAAACCAAAATGTTGCTTGTACATTTATTCATGTTTCTCTGCTGTTTGATAATAAATATTGTACAAAATCTCTGGTGAAATAGAGATTAGGCTTTAATTAGCCTTTGTTTGACTGTTTCTCTAGGTTATTTTCTATTTCCTCTTCTTCTTAATTTTGAACCTGCCATGTAGTATCACAATTTTTGCTCACCGTTTCTTTCAATCTCTTGACTTTACCTTGTTTTTTTTAAAGACTTTTGTACAACAATTGAAATACTTGAAGACTATAACATCATGCTATTCATATTAAATCCCTTATTACGATTAAGCTTTTAATAGAAGGAATGAGCTAAAAAAATGCTTGCTCAGTCAGAAAGACACATTTGGCTACAGACGTAGCATTTAGCTTTTTTTTTTTTAAAAAAAAATAATGATAATAATAATGAATAAATTAAGATACTGCAGCACGTAACTTCTCTTTTGTCACTTGGCTGTGTTACATTTAACCATTCGTACAACAGAATACTTGTTACTCAAGGCGTACACTTATATAAAAGTAAAATATTTCTTTATTCTAAATACATTCTTATGTCTCTTTATTATATCTACTTTTTTTTAAAATAATAATAATAATAATTGGTTTTTGATTTTTAATCTTTATGTCGGCGTCAGACTTACCTTTCGAGATTCTCTCGAATATCGCAAGGTTTACACCAACGAGTGACAAGTGTTGCTGTATTCTGGCTTGCAAGGCATGGAAGATTCCATTTCAAGAATCACTCTGGAGAAAAATACAAGTTTATTCTATGAAAGAACTCGAAAATATTAGCGACATAATAAACAGTTCGACAAACAAGACTATGCCCTTTAATCTGATGACTACAGACATACGCTTTACTGGAATAATAAACTTCACTGGCTGGCAGAAGAATAATGTCTTTCAAGCATTTCCGAACTTGGAATATATCGATATGGGATCCCTTTTTTTCAGTGAAATCAAAATGGATGAAATCAAGTCAAATCTTGAATGGTCGTCGATCACCAAGCTTAAGACCAAATTTAAGCATACGCGTTCTAGAAATTCGACCATAAAGATGCTCGGTATCTTGCGAAGTACTCCCAACCTCCGAGTATTAGACATCGGTCCACATTATCGTCGGGTTCCACTCGAGCTTAGCTTGCAACTCTATAATAATCTGCACAACATGTTACCATCTCTGACAAGCATGGCGGCTAACCTAGCACTCGATGATATAAACCGAAGAGATGCACGAAAGATTCGAAAAACTGAACCAGCGCTCCATTTAACAAGTCTATATTTGCACCTGACGAGCTGGGATAGTATGTGGTTGTACTACTTTGCCTACAAGTATCCTAACCTGCGCACTTTGAAATGGAGAGCCCCGTGCCAAACAGAAAGAGGAGTGATCATTAAAGAATACGGCGAAGAAGAAGTATCATTACTCCGTTCGATTAAGAAAGTGTTCCCGAGCTTGGAATCGCTCGATTTTTACACTGAAGAAACGACAGAATTGTCGCATGCTATATTATGGGAATTTATTTGTCGGTCAAGTGTACCTCTCAAGACATTACACTACAAGCTCAAATTTGGTGCCTCTGGAGCGATATTCCTTGGAACGGTTATCCGCCGACTTTTACAATCCTTCATAAAAACCCTTGAAAGAATCTCTGTTATTGGTGATTTTTGTTTTGAAAAGGATAACATTGTAGAGCCTGAATTTCCGTTTAGTGCACGGTTGGTGAGCATTGAAATCAAAGACTGTGGCATATCGATTGCATTGGACAACCTATTGGATAATTACCCCGCCTTACTACAGTTAACTTTCTACAACGGACAGCTATACATCAGTCCAGAGGCAGCGCTTAGAGAGTCAAGGCAGCATGGATTAAAACTCTTGAATCTAAATTCCATTGAAGCAAATGCCTCCGTGCTTAGTTACACATCCTTCAGGTGCAGAAATTTACAATATATGGATTTGGGCCACTCGGAAATTCATGGATCAAGCTCCACTGAAAATGGAAGCCTATACATTGACATGTCTTACACAAGCTTCAAGTCCTTGAAATTTTCCGACGCCATGTTTTACTATTCTAATGACGATGATTATAACTATGACGATGATCCAAGCAAGAATACTGCCATCAATTTGGTATTGCTTTCTCGTTTGGCTGGAAATTGTCCAGCAACTGGAAAACAAGACATTAAAAAATCCGAATATTCTGTGGAACATCTAGCTTGGTACCACTTCTACTGTGAACTTGAATACGTATTCGATTTCACTCTAAAGATCAGGAAGCTTTCGGAACAAGAGGTTATTAGTGCTGTTGATTACTTTAAAGAGTCTCAGCTCAAAAAAGACAGGGAAAATATTTCTGAAGTTGAGAGATCTGGCTTTGGACTGGTTGATAAAGATTATTGGAAGGAGGATCTTTGTAGAGGATATGTCGAATTAAGATGTGGTCACATTGCTAAATATTGACAGCAGTACTTTATATATATACAAAGTAGACTGGTTGTTTCCATTGGGACAGTTTAAGAAACGATGTCAATACTATTCTAAGAAAAAAAATGTTTATCCAAGTTTATTTAAATATTTGATATTAAAACAAAAAACAAACATAACCCATACAAAAATTGAAATCCTTGGTTCAAATAAAATAGCAATAATTACAATGTATTGTTTAGTTTCTTTTACCTTATTTCATATATTGTATCCTCATCTTCTAAAATTTATGATAGCACTTCTTCCTAAAATTTCTTTTGGTTTTTTATACTACTATCAATTTAAATATTCATTACCCATTTGCACTACCCATTTGTCTAAATTTATGAAAGCCTTTAAAATTTCTATAAATGTCTTTATAGCCAAAAGTTCTCTTGTGTAAATTCAATTGCTATATGATATGCCATTTGATCTCTAACTTTGTCTATCTCTCTACTTGTGCTATACACACCACAATTGAGTGAAATACAAGCTCCACAGTCTAGAATAGATACTACAATTACTATTAGCAAACCCATTGGGATATGGTAATTTCAAATCTGCTAAAATATAAACTCGACCACAGTTGATGAAAACGTAATACTGTGACAAATATAAAAAACATACGTCTTAATAAGCTTACAATTATTCTCTTAATAAACTTGGCTTTTCGAGATTTACTTTATTAAGTAAGTATATAGAAAAAAAACTCCTGGATACCTCTTTTTTGCTTTGAAAGGGAAGAAATAAGCTTAATGTTTAATAGAAATTAAGTGATGATTTGGAGGAAAAATTTAGAGAATCTCCAAACTTTCGTCTCAAAACATCACTAAATAGCCTCCACGATAAAATCAGTGAAACTAGCATTGGAAATGAAGTTGCCGCGTAAAACGAGAATTGGCAAAAATTTGAATTTTTCACTGAACGACGGATTCTCTAATATCTTTGAAGGCAAATGTAGAAAAAAAGAGACAAAAATATAAATATGATACTAGAGACATATGAGGAAGATTTTATTATTCAAAGATTTTTATAAAGGAAATATAAGTTAAATTAAATATAATATAATATAAGATGGTCAAGTTCATGCTACTTTAGTCCAGTCCAGTCGGCTCCAGTCAAGTCCAGTCGGTTTATTTTCTTGGTCCATTTGATTTTTCTTTTGATCTTTTTTTTTGTCCGTTTTTTTTTGTCCAGTCAATATAAGCTAAGAGTGATATGAGGAGGGGGAGGATTTTGATATTGAAAAATAATAAAGGGGATACTTTGGACTTTGATTTTGATTCTTTTTTTTTGATTTTTTTTTTGCTTTTTTTTTTGTCCGAACACAGCACACATAGTAAAGGGGATGATTTAGACTTTTTGATTTTTTTGTCCAGTCAATTTCATGGAATAGTAATAAGAGAATAGGTTTTGATATTAAAAATAATATGAGGAGATGGTTTTGGTATTGCTCTTTTTGCTCTTCTTGTTTTTTTTTAGCTTCTTTTTTTGAGCATTTTTTTTGTTTTTGTTCAAAGACTTCATTTGCTTTGTATGTATATATGTAAAAAGGGATTTCATACCTTGTTCTAATCCAGAGTCTTGTTCCAGTTCGCAGCTTTGCTTCAATCCAGGTCCAGGTTCCAATGCAGAGTTTTTCCGGTTTGTTCATCTTTTGTTTTTTTTGTTCTTTTTTTGTTCTTTTTTTGTTCTTCTTTTGTTCTTTTTTTGTTTTTTTAGAGAGAGAGAGAGAGAGAGAGAGAGGAGGGCTTAGTATATGCCTGCGTGTTTTTTTGACAGGACTTAGTATAGGCCTCAGGGTCGGATTTCTTTTGATCCTTTTGGAGTGGAGGACTTAATATGTGCCTGATAATTTCTGATAGGTTTTGGTCTACGCCTCGGTTTTTGGATTTGATCCTTTTGGAGTGGAGGACTTAGTATATGCCTCAAGATCGGATTTCGTTTGATCCTTTTGGAAAGGAGGACTTAGTATATGCCCGTTTTTTTTTACAGGACTTAGTATAGGCCTCGGATTTGGTTTTTGGTTTTTGGTTTTTGGTTTTTCTTTTGGAACTTGCTTTTGGAATTTTGCATTGGACCCCTTCTTGGAAATCGACTTGGCCTTGAGACTTGGAGGTACAGCCCAGATTTTGGACTTGGATAGAAATTCGTCTCTACTTTTGTATGTATATATGTATGTATATAAGTGTGTATATGTATGTTTGTATGTCTATGACTATGACTATGACTATGTGTATGTGTGTGTGTATATATATAAGAAAGAAATAGAAAAATAGAAATTGTGTGTGTTTGTGTGTGTGTGTATTTGTCTACTTCTCTAACTGTGTACTTCTCTATATGTTTGTATATGTTTGTGTGCTAGGACTAGTACTAGAACAGTACTTTGACAGTTTTTGGACATTTGGACTTTGACTTGGGCTTGGACAAGACTTGGAATTGGACTTGGACATATAAGCAAACCGTGGCTTGACCATTTCAGGGATTCTGCTAGACTATGAGTTTCTACTTGAGATAGAGAGATAATTGTGAAAATGATCTTTTTTCTTTTTTTTTTTTGCTTTTTTTGTATTTTTTTTTGTATTCTTTTGTATCTTTCTTGTATTCTTCTTGCTTGACTTGGTTCTTGCTGCTGTCATTGTTGCATAAGATTCAGGCTTCGGAATATGCCGCATTATTTGAGTTGCTAAGACCAAATATGGCTTAAAAAGATAAAGAAAAAAATGAGTGAGAAAACGAGAAATATATTTACATATGAGACAGGTTTGAATGGCCAAAATAACATACCTTAATTGATAGAATTTGTTTTGTACGTAAAGGAACTTGTCTTGGAATAGGTAACATCATCTGAAGAGACAGGCTCGGGACTGCAAAATGTTCTTCGATGACCGGGCGGATTGGACCTTGACCACCAGCAGGAGGTATACGAGACCATCAACAGTAAACAACCAAACTTCCAGCAGAAACAATGTGCCAACTTGCAGCGATGGGGTCAACCACAAAAGGGTTTGACCACCGAATGGCAGAAGAGCTACCAGATCTTGGCTTACCACACCAAGAACCCTAAATATATACAGGCATACAATGCAATGTACAATATTTTGAGGGGAGAAAAGGTACTACAAGTGTACCGAGCAGCCTTACCTTTTGGTAAAGTCCAACGCTCACAAGCTCTCTCTGGTATCCTTTAAAGGGTTGTAGTATTGCGAGCCCTGTCACAGGGCGGCCCTGAGAAGATGAAAAAATATCATATAATTAGTACCGAGACATATTGTGTATAAATAGCACTTATCTTCTGGATAAACGGACTAATGGTTGATATTATCTCTGACAAAGAAATCCAGAGACAAAAGCAACCCTTGAAAAATTGCCTTATTGCTTGCTTTGTGGTTCACATTGCTTCTGCCTTGAGCTCTGTTGTTTACTACTGACGGCCTCTACTTGTTCCTGCTGGTGTTCTCGGTCCATAATATAAACCCGGTCATCCCAAATACCTTTTTGCAGTACTGAGCCAATAGTCTTGAATGATGACGAGGAATTTGTTTTTGTTGTAACCATATCCTAGTCGAGACTCTTGGTGTGCTTTTGGGCCAACCCAGCGAGATGGCGAGACTCTAGGTTAGCCTACTTGATCTTACGCTTGTTGTGCTTGAAAGTTTAGATGCTTGAATGCTCGATATCCTTTTTTTTCATGTTCATGTTCATGTTCATGTCTATCTTTAACTTCGCTTTGATACTGGATTCAATTTTCCGTGGGATTATATATATATGCATGGCTTGTAAGCACTTGTCTCGACTTGGTTTGGATAGGTTTGTCGAAAGTAACCTTGCTTCTCCTTCACAAATGAAAGTGTGCGTAAATGCCCTTCGACTCGGGTCTTATTTCCTTGAGTGTACGCATTTCCAGTTGCTAACTGTAATCTGCTTTTTTTTTGGTGATAATTTCTAGCTCACCCTGCTTGGTCTGGTTCATTTACCAGACCATATTAATCAGAGTCCTCTTCAAATGAGGGTGGCTAGGACTCTGACCACAGGTTTTGCGTGATGCTTGAGATCATCGGCGAATTCCACGCTATCTCTTCAGTGACATTTTTTTGTATGGTCAGTTTATCTTTATTCGACTGACAACGTCACTGATACCTAATCGATCAGTCTTAAAAGCATATCCTTCTACGCAGATTAATTTTGGTTTTGCCATCTCATAATAGCTGCGACTGTCTGGACATGCATTTGTACGCATCATTTGAGTCCAGACACAAGGACTAGTAGCAATCATAATGACTGATATACCGTCATGTCTGTGAGGGAAAACCTCGTCAATCTTGGTAGGAACCCGATGTTCTTGGCTCGTTTTCCCAAAACCTCTTGGGACTATCTACCCCCCGGAAATAGATTTTCCACAATCTATATTTCAGCAAACTCAAAGTCCAAAAAGACTTATCCGAGCCTACCAGTGAATCTTCGAGAACTCACCAGAAAAGAAAAAGGAGGGGACTGACAATAGCCTTCCAAGGACCCCAAGAAAGAATCCGGCAAGGAAGCAAAACCCATTCGGCCAGACATGACTACATAATGAACACCGTGCCCCACAGTATTCATTCTCCCTGGCTTAAGCACAAAACTCAAGCTACAAAGACCCAGAACCCAGGTACATAACAGGCCAGCAAGCTAGCCAACAACGATCTCCAGAATGATACCAGATTGATACCGGAAATCTAGCCAACCAGACCAGACAAGCCAACAGGACCACCGTGGCCCCAAAAACGACCCAGAATCAAGGACTCCGGAAGCCCTACTCGTACAGAAACCACCACTCACAGATCTCGGCCTCAGACCTGAGAGGAAGCCAACAAGAACCCTACGAACAAAAGGTTCAAGCCAACCCTACAGCAGTGCAAGCACCACCCTCGAATGTATACAAACGGCAAATACCAGAGGCAAACAGGATTGAAAACCAGTCTAGTACCACCACAGGTTACACTCATATGTAGACCTCCACAATCTACCTTCTCTTTATACTGTCTATGCCAAACCAAGACTCAGAACCAAGCTAACAGGCGGAGCATGGTGTCAATCCCAGAGGGAAACGATAATCCAGTCCTTTGAATTTGAAAGCAGTAGGAACCGAACGTAAAAGAGGCTACCCTTACAGCTTAACCAAGAGACCCAACGCGAATCACCACGCAGATAATCCCAAAGAAAAGTACTGTGAAAGGTCCGGGAATTCCAGTATCACCATAAAGCTTACCAGAAGTTTCAGGATCAACCTTTCGTTCCGACCGCGTCGGCTTGGCTCCAGGGCCAACCGATAGACAAGATGTCCGCTTGGTGAAGCGTACAGGGCAACAAAAATTTGTCCAAGTTTTCGGAATCATCAGCTTCGCAGATTCTTTCACTACACCTCTGACCCAATGGGTCAAGGTGAGCTCGGGCACTGCTAACAAACAATCTTACTCCTTGTTGACAGCTGGATCGCCTTTGAATCGGAGCACATACTTCAATAGGCTCTTTGGATCCTCTTTTCCTCTATTACTCGAAGACTTTGCCGGCTTTGACGCAGGATTGCGAGCTGGGAATGGCTGGATCTGAGGTTCTCCGATCTCTTTACCGATGGGTTCGATAATTAGATCGGCCTTCTCATCACCGCCGGAAGTCTTCACTTTCTTGCCGCGAGATGCAGAAGGAAGATCCGACTTGAATTCCTTGATACTCTCCTCCTTTTTGCTGCTGGGTGCAGCAACAGGAACAGAGACCTGGGCAGCTGGGGTAGCAGTTGACCCCTGTGTCTTGGCCTTTTTCTTTGGGGCCTTTCCCTTGTCACAACTGGCTGTTGTGACAGGTTCAGGCACCTCGGAAGCAAGGCTTGACACAAGCTTTGCCCGCTCGGTGCGAAGGCCAAAAAGTGGCTTGGGAAGCTGTGAAGGGAGATCACAAGAGGCCGAAGCCATCTTGCTTTCTGGCCCTTCGATTGCGGTCTTTGCTTCCTCAATGGCCTTTTGACTGGCAGGTCGAGGAAGCTTTGAGCTCTTCTCTTTTGGTCGGGGGACCGCCATTGAAGGCTCTTTGCTACCCTTAACCTCGTCGGCACCTACTTTTTGTCTAGGCTTGGGCGCATCGTACTTCTTCAGAGAGGATGGTTCCGGTAGCACTATTTTTTCTGTGTCGTCTTCCATCTTGTCGTCTGCAGCCTGCTGCGGTACGCAGGCTGGGAGATCGTTCGTATCACAATCCATGTTTGCAGACTGGGAGACGTACTGCAAATCGGTAACCGTTGGATTGTAGGTGTGGGCCATGAGCTTTTCGCCACAATCAGCATCAAGCACCATCACCTCAGCAACATCATCAATCTCCATGGGATCTTCAACTTCCTCGGCTTCACTCCAAGCCAGGTCGTCGTCAATCTCCATCGGTGTGGGAAGTCCTGTGGAGAGACATTCACCAAAAAATCCATTGGCTGATTGCCAAGACGATAGCGCGAACGCCTCATTTAGACCCTCCACTGTCCTAAACTTTGGCTTTGGAACCACGAAGCCAGCATTATCCAAACCCGATGGGGTCTGAATGGACTCTTGTCTTTGGACAGGAGTCTCTTCAGCTGACTTGGGAACCAAGCCGCACTTTGGTTCAGCGACTTCAGTCAATGAGTCGCGATGAGCTTTGTTGGCAGAGTCGTTGAGCTCCTCTTCCAACATCGCGTCAAGAAATCTAGCAGAGAGTCTTGGCTTTGCAAAACCCTCTGAGAAAAATCTGTCACAGATGAATCTGAGTCGTACGCTGACCTCAGCTTCATCGCATTCGTCTACAAGCTCACTCGACACACCCTCGTCGAGGTCTGCATGGGTTTCCCCACAGGTACCAGCCACGCCGTTAACTGGGAACACCATTGTAGCGATGCCACGTCCCAACTTATGCAAAGGAAGGAGGTGAGGGACATATCCCCGAAGCCCTGCTCCAAAGAACACGCTCGACTTTCCTACACAAACAACGTCTTCCGCCTCCGAAGAGGAATCATTGACGGACATATGCCCTGGGATACCTCCGTGGCGCTTACTCAACAAGCTACCTGAGGGTTCTCCCGTTGTTTGCGAACCAGTAGACCACAAAGAGCCTACCCAGTTTGACAGCATGCCAAGGATTGTCTGAGGCATCACATTTTTGTGAGCTTCGATTTGATCTTCGCCGTCTGGTCTTACAGCAACAAATGGGGTTGCACCCACTCCAGCCATGGAGGGGCGTCTTCTCTTAGCAGATTTGGCCATGCAGAATGCAGAGGGCATAGGAGAAGCCTCCCATAACATCACAGGGATGAACAGGAGAGCTGGGGCAAGTAGATAGGCGAGCGCGAAGGCTGCGCAGAGAGCGTTGTAAACTTTGGAATTCATTGAGATAAATGATGTTTAAACAAAGTGCGAAGGAAAGGAAAACAGGGAAGGTGGGAATAATTGAGGTACATATATGTTTTTTGTTTTCTGATGGTAGTCGCGCTGACATCACACTCTAAGCTACCAATATATTCGTTTATACGCCTTTATCAACTTGACACACATAGGTATGGGTAGATAAGAATTGTCTCCCCCCAAACAACTACCAGGCAGCCTGTATATTTTCACATGATGATTAATACAAGTACCGCACGCCCTCTGAACATTATCACCCACACAAAAAGAACAACCAACCGGTTCATGTATATTTAACGCTTCTTCACTGTGATAAGTTTCTATAGATTCACATCAACACCAAGTCCAAGTACCAAGAGGTCTGTACTTTACTATTGTAAAAGGGCTTCATTATATGTTTAATACGCTCGTCTTGAATATGTTATTTTATTCTATTTTATTCTATTCTTTATTTTATTTTATTTTATTTTATTTATATTGTGTTGATTAAACTCCCGAAATAAAATAAAATAAAATGAAATAAAATGAAAATTTTCTTCTGTTGGAACAAGAAGTGCACAGACCAGCTTAGAGTAACCTGAAAATTGCCGTTATTGAAGCTTGTACTCTGTCTTTAGAGTTGTTACTACAAACGATCAAAACCAAGTCTTTCTTTACTTCTTTACTTCTTTACTTCTTTACTTCTTTACTTTGCTCTATTTTCTTTTGATTTACTTGCAAGAAAGTTGGTTCTTGTGATGTAATGACTGTTTCTTATTGGTTGTTCTTTCCGTTGCATAACAGTTACACAATTACAGGTTAGTATAAATTAGAACCAATAGAAAGAGAAAACATGTACCAAAGTAGTAAAAAATCATATTGACTATCGGATGCTTTCCCTCTTCCTTGTTATATTCAATCCACATATAAATATTAACAGCTCTTATGAGACCATTTTTTGTTAACAAAATGCCAGAACACTTATAAGACCCCCCAAACTGCAGTACTACAGTTTAATATTAGGCCAAGGCAATTTTTTTGTTGTTGTTGGATGGGCTGCTGTGTAAAGCGTATCAGCCAATCGTAACATAGTGATGTTATGAGAGATAGAGGAACTAACCTGCAATAAATTGTACTAACTCTTTATCGGTAACATTTACAGAGTTTTTGATGACTGGCAGTGGACGCTTTCGTAGTCGAGTAAGCTGACCCTTGCTACTTTATAGTAAATTCTCGTTGGCAAGTTTGGACCCTCCGTTATTCACGGATGAGATTTAGGGGCAAAGGGAAATATAACAGGTGTCATATATCTTACCACCGTTTTCAGACTTCATTTGTATCAAGTCAGGTTTAGATCCTGAAGAAGATCGAGCCATGTAATGCAGGTACAAAGAATCCGGTGCTATTATTCTTTTAACAAATAAATATAAAATAGAATATCTAATCTGCTCAGAGATATTACAAAGCTGTTTTGGACATAGATGATAATGACAGTACCTCAGAATATATATTGCTTACAAGGACTATCCAATAATTTTCTTTTTCTTTTTCTGAAAAAGGGATTCACGGAAGAGTCTCTTGATCATTGAAGCTAAACACGTTAAGGATTTCATAATATAAGCTTGGAGCAATAAAATAATATAGCTCAAAAATTTATAAGCCAACAATATTACATTAAATGTATTCCATTACTGGGTATGTATGCAAAGAATAAAGCACAAATACTTCATTCTGATAGCTGATACTTGTAGAAGACAACGAAGGTCTATCTCAACTATTGACATACAATTTTATTGACATACACACACACACACACCAATATATATATATATATTAAACTTTCATGGATTTGCCCTTTTTATCCATGTTTAAAGACATATCAGATACAAATTATTGTTTTCTTGAATCTCTTGTATGTCTTTTTAGAGACAGCTACTATTTTATTAGCAGTATATTAATACATATGTCCTAGCTGTATAAAGTTGCTGTGCCGAGATATAAATTATAAAAATTTTAATCGCCAACAACGAAAATGATCATTTTGATCAAATTGGCAAATTCTACACCAAAAATCAGCTATAAATCACTATTCATAAAGCTATTAGACTCTATGACTATAAGCAACTTGGTTAGACACATTAAGATCCACATTATCAGCAGCTTTGGGCATCGATTGCTCAAATATTGACCAAAACATCCTACATTTTCACTCTATAAAATCTTGATCCACTGTAAATTGGGCTATTTGCACCAAAAAGTACATTTTCGATACCCACTTTTACTCACAGGACAACTGAAAAAAAAGTTGGGAAAATTTTCTTTTTTGTCTATTAAGTAAAGTTGTGTAAAGCGTAAATACGGGTCCGCCAATGCTTTTTAGAGAAGAAACAAGTGTGAACTCGGGGAGATATAAACTACTCTAAAAATGCCTAAATTTGTTAAGGAAGTATATAAAAAAAGGCAAATAATCTATCTACACCACAGGGCTAAATAAATTAATATGAGGACAGATTTTCTTACGAAGCAAAAAAAAAATTTGAGGATGGCTAATGAATGAGTTCAACACCATTTGATTATTGGCATCAAGTTGAATCGTAACACGACTCCAGGAGGTCTTAAAAACTCCATGTCAAGCACCTTGGTACATTAGATCATCAAGTCAACCATTCGCCGAACTCTTCGTAGACCTGGATTGTGCTCCCGTAAAACAGCGTACATACCACTGTTACCAAAGGCACACAAGAAGAAGTGATTTCTTTTTAATTACACCAGAGAGACCAATCAGATGTGACAATTGCGTCATCTCGAGTGATGAGTCAAGATTTGTGCTCTTTGGCAAAGGTGGGAATACTAGAGTCCGACAGTATCATAAAAGAAGTGACTTCAATTTATGTGAGCTTTTAATTGGAACAATGTCTGAGAGTTTATCGTACAAAGGAAATAGTACCTCCTGTCGAAAATTTAATTTTGTAGAAGAGTGGAATAAATACCAAAACTTGACAGGGATAGTGTCGCTTTCCAATAACCCAAACCTCAGCTCCATAGAAAATTTATGGTCGTATCTTACCAGAAGAGTAAAGGTAAGAGCCCCATCTATAATAATAATAATAAACTCTTAAGAAGTTTGAGACGGCTACCCATGCGGAATAAAACAGTATTCTGGCTCAAATTTCCAAGACTAATTTCATGTAGATTCCTAATTGCATACATGAGATGAAGAAGGATTATGAAGGGGCCACTACACTATTTTTAAATAAATTTAGCTTTTTTCTTTTTTTCTTTTTTTCAAAAACTATATATTTGAATTTATGCGTTCTCATAAGTGGGTTTGAGACATGGTATGTTGGTTTGTGTGGTGTAAGAGTTGGTAAGAAAAAAGGTACGAATAAGTAAAAGGGGTGGTCAGATCAACACTCATAGCCTTTGCAACAAATAGCAGTGCTATTCATATCAAGAACCAGGGGAATTTGGGATTATATAGTATTTTTTCTGAAATAGATTGATAGCAGCTCATTAAGATAATTTAATAATTTTAATAATAATATTATGGGTAATTGAATATGGGTACTTGTGATGATTAGAACGGAAAAATACAACTATAGAAAGATATTTGATATGAGCAAGTCATGAAGGAAGTACAATTAAAGAAATACTTAAGCTAGAATAAATCTGGAAGCTTGTCAAACTGTTACTCGCGGTGACCAGGTACAGATATATCAAATGAGTGAGGCCAAAAACCGATCTTGTCCAAAGCAGACCAACTAAACTAAGAAAGACAAAGAGGTTGTACTATTAGTTTCTCATAAACTGATAACCATGATGACCATTATTGGTACGAGTCTATATACATATACATACCCTGGTTGTAAGGAAAGATTCGACAAGATTTCAATACTGAATAGTGTATTGAAAAATGGTTTATATACTTTTAAAGTATATCCGATATATCCCAAAAGTAAAAAAATAAAGATTTTTTTGTCAAGACCTGCGCTTGAAGGCCGATCCACTCAAGTTTACACCCAAGCTTCTCAACAACCTTCATTCCTGCCTACTCGGCATGGCATCAAATTTACCATGACGGCAAAGTATCAGTGAAATGCTTTAATGCCAAACTGCTCGGGACAGGTGTCTGAGACACCCAAGTGAACAGCATAGCATTTACTTAGGCACCTTAACTTTGCTTCGGGTTCGTCCCTCATGTCCAGTTCTGTTTACCAGAGCGTGGGTTACAAGTATCAAAGTCCAAGCAATGAGGGACTTGAAAAGCACAGGGATCATTTCAACAGGAAGCAGTAAAATACAGGCGATTGTACTGGGTAATCTGTCGATTCTGCTGGAATCTACCTGTATTACCTCACGTCCAGGTGCTCAGCGAATTTAAAAAACTCTACGCATCCAGGTGATACACCCTTATACTTGCACCTTTCTGTGACAATCTTGACATGCCCCAAAGGACAAAATCTGGAGAGCCAATATCCAACGTCCTAAGAAAATAGCATAAAGCTACTTCTGCGTTCCTCAGTCTTCTCCATGTTATGTGCCGCACAACACAGAAAAAACTGACGTGGATTTCATCCGGCTTTCGCCTTCATATGAGTGGCTCAGGAAGGTCTTTAACATCCAGTATGCTCTACACTAAGAGCTACTTTCCCTTACGGTACTTGTGATCAGTTGGTTTTTTATAAGTATATTTAGCCTTCGATGAAACTTTTCACCGGGATTAGGGTGTTTGTAAAAACAACCCGACTCATCGGAAGCTACTTAACACAAAGACAAGAACTCAAGACAAGGTGAGGGGATTGCACCCTCCAATAACCTTTTCCAGGGAGTGAAGGCTACTGACTTGTTGGTATGTCTGGAAAAGCAGTTCACTAGTTCACAATCCAGAGCAGTCAAAAGACTACTCCGGTTCAAACATTGGAGCTTCTCCATCTCAAACAATAAAGTCCAAGACGGAATCCCTTTTGGTTTCTTTTCCACTGCAGTAAATGCAGGTAGAATCGCTCAAAGTACGGACCAATTTTAGGCCATGGTACCTTGAGCGAACTCAATGACTAGACGCCAAAGAGTGCAGTGCGTTCAATAAAAAAACCATAATCTCATATTAAGACAAGCCTTATAAATAAGGCGTCTACAATGAGCGAGTTGGAAAAGAGCCCGGAGACTCACTGTTAAAGACCATGATATACACATTTTGCATGAAAATGTTTACGTATATTCCTTTTGATATATCGTGACCGATAGAATACGAGGTACTCAGTGACCACTCCAAGAGTAGAGATATAAATAAAAATCGAGTATAAGGTTAATATACTTATTGTGTCAAAGTGTGTGCGCGTGTGCGCGTTTACTTACCTAGCTGTTAACTGCGAAGGGTGTAAAATACTGAGCTGGTTCTCGGTACACCTCTCCATAAGCATACCTTTGAACACTATCAAGAGAATAAAGTAATATAAAAGTATAAAGTGAGTATGTTAATTGAGTCAAAGTATGTATATATTGACTTACCACTCAGTGGACCATACATGGTATGAAGGCACCATCAAAAGAATGGTGGTTAACAGCTAAACAGAACTAGAAACTGCAATAGAAAAAAAGAAAACATCAAATCATAGTTAGCGTGTTGATCTTGTCAAAGTATGTGTGTATGTACGCGTTTACTTACCTAGTAAACAGCAGCGGAAGGCTTGAAAAGTACTTGTGCTAAAAAGCAAGACGGGACGGGACACTGGACACTGTGATAAAATAAAAGAAATATCGAATCATAGTTAGTGTATTGATCATGTCAAAGCGTGTGTGTGTTTGCTTACCTAGCAGATAACTGCGTAGGGTTTAAGAAGTACTTGTGCTTAAAAGCAAAACGGAACTGGACACTGGACACTGTAATAAAAAAAAAGAAAACATCGAATCATAGTTAGTGTGGTGATCGTGTCAAATCATGTGTGTGTGTGTATTTACTTACCTGGTACATAAACTTGACATGAAGGACCTCTCTGTGGCTACAGTGGAATGGACGCTGGGCATAGAAGACAGAAAAAAACAGGCACAAGAAAACACTGTGCTGTAGTTAGTATACTGACCACGTCAAAGTGTGTGTGTGTGTATGTATGTATATAATACTTTACCTGCTATTAGACTGGACATCGGCTTTGGAACTTAGCTAGAAACCGTGTCTGGGGTGCGTTTCCATGGTACATATCAGTACGGGCCTTATACAAATGGAAAGATATAGGCTTTTCAAGACGGTTTTCTTACCGTGTCGGAAACCAAGGACCACCGAAAGGAAACCAGGAGGAAGAGGGGGAAAAACAGGAAATAGGGAATTGTATCGATTCTTATATGAAAAAAATTGGGGATTGCGCAGTACTGAAGGCGTAAACTGCCTATTTTGGGCAAATCAAAACAAATTCATATGAAAATTTATGGGGTTTTATGTTTTCAGTAAAAGCTATATGTTTTATATATATATATATATATATACTACTATCATGGACATCTTGGTATTGGTTTATACATGCCTTGGGTATTAGATTGCCTTAAAGAACCTTTATATATCTTTTGGGAAATACGTTCTTTGAATAGCTTATACTCACACTACTTACAATCATGCTTTTTAAAATATTCGAAACAAATAAAAAAAGTCTCTGTAACCTTCCGACTAAAATTGTCTACTTTCACTTAACAGAACATCTCGAAAGGTATAGACATAAAGAAATATTACTACTTAGATAACAGTAGCATGTACTTATTAAATAAATTGATATTTTAACAGCTCTCAAATGTATTTTTTATTAGAGTTACGAAACTTTACATATATATGAAATATCTTTTGCAAACTACAAGCATACAGTTTTCTCTTAATTCTGATTGAATAAAATACTACTATTATAGAATCCACTTACATTTCTTGGCTAATGCAGCTTATTCTTTATAGAATTATTCTTAAAAGCAAATATAAGGAGTGTATATGGGATAAAAAAAGCATAAGAAAAGAAAAAAGTAACTGATAGAATATGTCTTTTCAGCACAGAAATATACGTATATTGTTGTAGCATACAACGCAATGAACTAGTATTAAAGTTCTTTAAGTCTCTCTTTTCAAAAGAAAAGTGTATTAAATACTTTACAGACCACTGTTATTCTCCAATAGTATTTGTATTCTTACCACTTCAAACACACAAATATACTCTCGCACTATGTCTATTTTCCTGATTACACTATTACTGACAGCTTTTAGTGGAAGTAGGTTGATTAGTTTCTTTTTATGTGCGCAATCATGCTCACCTAATACTCTAGAGAGCACACACTGGTTGTGAAGCTATATACTTTGTGGAACTACTGGATTAATTTGTAAATGGTTTTCACACACTACTCTCAAAATTGAGATAGATGGCTGCCTGAACAGTATTGGTTTATAATATATAAAACAAATCATCCCCTTCCCCCCTTTATTGCTGTCAGATTGGATCTTTTTCTTGAGGCAGATATATATACTTCTATATTTATATAAGGATATATAGTTTAATAACAAAAGTTAGAAAATGGTAAGTACAATGGTCTCGAGCTGTTTTTGAGTAGATAAATTCGAAAGAAAGTATTTATCTAAAATAATGTGAGCCAAGGTAAGTATAAAAATATATGGCTTGGAGCTTCCTTCCTTGTTTTGGAAGTATATTTTAGAAGAGCGAGATAGAATGTCTATACTTTGATAATAAAGTAATAACGTCAGAAAACGTACTAACTCCTACAAAAAGTTTTGAAAAATATTTATCAGATCATAATTTTAAGGTATCATAGTCAACTCAAAACTTGTGCTACAGCTGTATTAAGCATATCTGTCAAAGGTTTAAAACAAAAGTCTGGTAGACCAAAGGTAGGTATAGAACGTGTAGGAAGGTTGAAATGCTCAGACCTAATGTGTGTGTGATGAAATGGGTAGCAAGCTTTCATTACTTTTTAGTGACAAGTATAATAAATACAATTACAGACCATAATATATCCCAAAGTCGGTTATAATCATTTTGATTCATTTGTTTATCATTATATTTATTATTGTATATACATATACATATTTAAGTGTATATTTTTTATCTTTCAAAATATCCAAGCTTTATCACTGATAATTAGTATTGTTTTGAGTAGTCCCACTTATACTAATGATCCTTATAAATTTTATATATGTAATCAACAAAAGCAAGCAATGCTAAAAGTCTCTCTAACTCTCCTCGTCCTATCTTGTCTACCCACTTTCAACCATTAATAGCATAACTGAAAGGTCACATTTAATCTAAGTAGGTATTTATTATTGTATACTCTAAAAATGTTGAATTTATAGTGGAAATAAAAAAATTGCTTAAAAAAAGGATCATTATGATCAAAATAATATATTCAGAACAAAAGATTGGGTATATATCCAAATTGGTTAAATAAATAGCTGTTGCACTTTTAAATAATCTAACAAAGCATACTAAGATGCATCATAAAAATGCTGTTTGAAATTGCTTGCTTAAATATTGATAAAAAAAAATCGACAATTTTCATTAAAAAAAACATTTAATAATATAATTTTGGATATTTGTACCACACAGTCATGTTTTATATCAAATTTTCCTCAGGACATACATCTCCAAAAAGAAAACTTTATTAGGAACCTCTTCACGTACATAGAAGAATATCAGACCTTAGTGCCGTATTAACTCTTGGCCTTGTACAAAGCAGTGAAGTTTATGTATGTTACTTTGGCTATATACATTACTAAATTATCACACATAATTTAAGCTTTACTCATAGTTATCAGATTTATGGAGTGTTTATGTAACTTTTTTTTTTGGTTGGGCAAACCCATGAGGAGAAGCAGATACACTTTATGTAACTATGGTTGATTGATATGCCTTATATGTGCTCTTATATCTAATTATATTTAAAAGCTTATACATTTCTAAGATGTAATTTTTACTTTTGAAATACCCTCCCTACACATTTGTTTCACTTTTTGGATGTAAGAGCATAATGCTTTGTATCAGAAATAAAGTTGAATAAAAATTGTCTACTATTCCTATTATAACATGTTACTATCCGTTATAGTACGGTAATAAGCATTTTGTACCACTTAGATATTAGTACTGGGTACCCATTGCTACTATTAAAAAACACTATTTAGGACAATGCTTCAGCAAGCCAGTTAATTTTTACAAGACTTGGTTTAAATTATGTAATGTAAAATATGTGTTTCAAGTGACTGGACCTTGTTCACCTTGTGTCAAATATTCAATATGCTAATTACCAATTCTTCCTTAATTATGTTGACCGACTAGCTTTTTATGTCTAAACATTAATTTGTGGAGACTCTTTTTACTCTAACCTTGCTTAATGCTGTATAGAAACATTAGAGTAATCGTCTTGTTTCTTTCTTCTTTCAATTTCAATTTTTTGACCTTGGTAGTTCCCTAGTATTTTTACATAGCTCATTAAATCCAACTCTACATTATGAGAAAAGATCCATATTCTATCCATAGCATGGGCAGCTTTATTGATTATTTTGAATGGTTAATAATAGTAACCAATAAAGAAACAAAAGCAAGATTAGGAGCAGATTTGATCATAGATACGTCTTTTGCATGTAGTTATTTTTAAAGAAAATACTATATTTACTGCGGCTTGTACTTCTTGACTGTTACTCCACTATGTCAGTGTAACAATACATCTCATTAATAAAAGCTTTAACAATCCACAATCTTTTCGATTTGTTAAACTTCCCACTCAAACTTATAGCTGTACCGTGCTCTCTGTTATCTTTTTATTTCTATCATGCTGGCGTCCGAGCTACCTTTTGAGATACTTTCTCTTGTTGGAGATTTTCTACTTACATGCGAAAGATTTCAATGTATTTTTGTCTGTAAAGGATGGAAAGTCCCGTTTCAAGAATCATTTTGGAAAAACACAGAGGTCGACACTTTGGAAGAGCTTGAAAGTATTTGTACTATTGTAAAGTATTCGACAAACAATTTTCCATATGGTCTCATAGCACAGACATTGACCATTAATGGACAATGCACTTTAAGCAACATGATGCAGAGCAATGCTTTTAAAACCTTTCAGAATTTGAAGCATCTCGCTTTTCGGTGCATATCACTTGATAATTTTGACATCAGAAATGTAACATATAACTATCCATGGCAATACTTAATCAGCGTAAACCTTCGAATCGAGACTTCAAAGCTTAATGTACCAACACCGATTCTCATTAAACTCTTGACGAACTACCCCAGCCTCAAAGAGATAAACATTTCCACACATTCTTCGACAAAATTGCTTAATTTCAACTTGAGAAACTTTAATACACTACACAAACGATCTCCACAACTTGAATACATCAAGGGATGCTTTAGTCTTACTGATATTCATCAGAATTCGTTAAAAACAATCCCGTCAACTACACCAGCTCTTCATGTAACAGCACTCGATCTCGACCTCCTAGATTGGGACCATTTATGGCTATATTACTTCAGCTACAAGTATCCAAACCTACATACTTTGAAATGGAAAACCATGTGTGTATCAAGAAAGCGGATTGTTAAAAAGTACAATGCAGAAAAAATGGTGCTCTTAAATTCACTTCAAAGTGTGTTCCCACACTTAGAAATGGTGGATTTCTACACCGAAGACCGTACGGCATGGTCACACACTCTATTTTGGAAGCTCCTTTGTCGGTTAAATGTTCCATTGAAGAGAATAAGATATATGATCAAATTTAGTGGTTGTGGACCGAGTTTTCTTGGAATTATCATTCAACGATTTTTCCAGTCCTTTTCAACAACACTCGAAAAAATCTCCATTATCGGAGATGCATATTTCAAAGCTAAAAATATTGTCAGGTCCGAATTTCCCTATTGTCCACGCCTGACGAGTATTGAACTGACAGACTGTGGCATATCAATTACATTGGACAATATACTGGATAACTGTCCCGCCTTAAGACAACTAAAGTTTTCCAGAGGACAGCTGACTAATAGCCCAGAGGCCCACAAAGAGTCAAATAAACATGGACTACACATAGTTGAACTTGATGAAATTGTGACAAGCGCTTCTGTGTTTAACTACATGTCCTTCAGATGCAGAGATTTACAATATATGAACTTGAGTCGCTCGCAGATTGGGGGATCGATCTCAGCAAAGACTGGAAGCTTGTGCGTTGACATGTCCTATACCAGCTTCAAGCTACTACAGCTCAGTCATGTCAGGTTTTACTCATCTGAAAATGCTATGGACAAAGACACTGCTATCAACCTGACACTACTTTCGCACTTAACTGGACTTGACATGACAGCTGAAACAGAAGACTTGAACAAAGCTTTGGAGCATTCTGTAGAGAACTTAGCTTGGTATCATCTATATTGTGAATTAGGAGGCTTATTCGACTTTACCCTAGAGGTCAGACAGCTCCTAGAACAAGAAGTCTGTGATGTGGTTGAATATTTTCAGAGATCTCGGGTTAAGAACATGTCTCAATCTTCTGAAGCTGACAGATCTTTCGATGGCCAGGTGAGCCAAGATGACTGGAAAGAAGATCTCTATAGGGGTTATGTCGAGCTCAGATGTGGTCATGTAGCTAAATATGTTGTCCCTTCATTGTGGGTTAGCGAAAATAGTTTCTGGAAAAGGTTGTTTGATAGTCCTGTTAAAATATAGGAATAGATTTTTGATACACTTAATATGATAAGAATTCAACTATAAAATATTTCAGACCAATAGCGTATAGAATATTAAGAGACTATACATGAAAACGAGTATTGGAACAAGTGCAAAATAAAGAAATAAACTTTATAAAATAGAGTTAACAGAGATAGGAGCTCATTCAATATAATCTAAGAAAAACTATCAGGAGCAATAATCAATAGTCTGAAACAAAAAAAATCGATGAAGATTATAAGTATCTACAAATACGTATAGATTAAACAAATATTGCTATAAAGGAAGCTAATGATTCTTAATAGTACAAAATTATGTTATATTATATTATCTTATAAGGTTGCCGTTATAAAGAGTAGAGAATAAATACTGGTGTGCTTTTAAAAGCTTAAATCCGCAAGAGAGCAAAGATACTATACTCTTCATAGAAGTAAAGGATCAAAACAGGTGGTTTGTTTTGCTCTTTTCTTTCTTTCCAGAAATGTCTCGTAGAATTGCCTCTGAAAATATTCTTTTCTTGCAGTATTACAGTATTTTCGTGTGATAGTTGTCTTTAGGGGAATAACCTCTGTTCTTTATTAATTGTAATACATGATAGGGATATAGTATAATTGGTGTAACGGATAGATATAAAAGGGACATGTTATAATAATGAGATATTTATATATGGTAATTGGGTTTAGACTGTCCCATTTCGGTTACACTTGAGAAGATTATAATTTTTTTTTAGACCAATAGAAATGTTTTTGAGAATTATATTTTATTTTTTAAGTGTTTGACAGTGTGATTTTTATTTAGGAGTGAATTTTAGAAGATAATTTGTGATTGGTCACTAATTGCATGGCAAGTGTGACAGTCTAAACCCAAGTACCATATATAAATATCCCATTATTATAACATGTCCCTTTTATATCTATCCGTTACACCAATTATACTATATCCCTATCGTGTATTACAATTAATAAAGAACAGAGGTTATTCCCCTAAAGACAACTAAGCAAGGTAACACAATAATTTCTGCATCAGCAAAAACGGTTCCATTCTCCAAAATGTCATTAACATCTTTGGATTTTTGGACATAAACCTCAAGATATCTCGTAGGTCCTTCATTGAGAATTAAACAAGCGTGTACGTTTGGATGTCGGTTCTTTAATTCCATCATACATTATTGATCTGTGTAATGTTGTTTACAGGCAGAAAGGTCGAAGAGATAAGCATCAGGAGATCGAGATGAATGATAAATTCTGGCTCTCAGAATTTATGAAGCTTTGGCATTCTTCGAGATGAGAAGAAATGTCAGTGTGGAGCAAGGAGATGGATTTAGAGCCGGCTGCTTGCGCATAAGATTTATGTTTCGATTTGGAGGCATAAGAAAGCATGACCCATAATAAAGCTATTAGAGATAATGGCTGCTAGTATACATCACAGTTACAGCAAAAAAAACAAAAAAAATAATATTCAAAATGGCGGCTGTTTGATAAACAAAATCTATACAGCACCCTTTTCTTTTTTTTAACATGAGTATGAACCCTTTTGACGAGCACAAAACCAATTTAAAAAACTATGGTATTAATGTACTTCTTGGCTGACTTCAACACGTATTAACAGTGTTTTGATAGATTTCTGGGCGAGCATTGAAGAAGAAGAATTTGATGTGACCAAATACGACGAATTCTTATGCAAACAAAAAGTGATCAATAAGCAGACCTGTCATGACTATTTGACAACAGACATTCAGTATATACTTGAACACTTTTCAGAAAATGCGAAACTACTTCATCACGTCAAATCGCTGCAAAAAAAGCTAAAAAAACGCCAGAAAAGATGAAAGCAACAAGGCGTTTTGGTCAGATATTGCTCCTAGATTAATGAGGGTCAACTACGAAAAGCCAGCTGCAGAAGCGGAGTTAATGGTTGCAGGTATAAGAAAAGCTGCAGATTTGATTGATGCCTCTACCAGTAATAAACGTAAAATCGAGCCGCCCATGGAGACAAGAAACAAAAAAACAAAAAGCAAAGGCGTTCCAAGGCACAAAACAGGTTGAATACGATGGTTATTACGTAGGAGAAAATGATATTTCAGTCGGTACAATCATTAAGAGGACAGCTCTACAATATCTCCATGAAAGCAAGACCCGTAAGCTTAGTGCTCGCGAAAGAAAAATCATGACGTAAGTATAGTTATTTATCTATAGAAAAGGAGCATTACTAATCTGTTCTAATCTAATATATTAGAAATGGGCTGTCTTCAGTTTTAGACTTGGTTGATCATTCAAGTTCTCAAAAGTCACTATTTTCTAATGAAGCTTGGACTCAAATTACATCTCAGTTTGAATCAGAACTTAGTCTTGAACTGTTACCAATGCCGCATATCTTAACCAGTTCCTGGTTAATTATTTCCACAGTAAGTTTTCACTACTTCAATATATATTTTGACTGATTTTTTAACTAGGCTGCTGTATCATCCAACAACATCACATTGGGCTTGGACTACATCCACAGAATCTATTCAAAACAGAACAAGCAGAACAGAAACTATTTAAAATTATTTGAGCATGTGTAAGTCTTAATGTATAATAAGTTTTGTACAGAACATGTATTTAATAGGAACCATAATATAGTCTCAATTTGATAGAGACATACCCTCATTTGCTGAAGAAAAACAAAACTCGCAATAGTGATTATTCAGAGAGCGATGTTTTGAGAATTGTATGGTCTCCCATATTTGAATTACTCTTCCCACCTAACCAGCATAACCTCATTGTCAAGACTGGAGAAACAATCAGCGTCATGTCTCAAGAACATAAGCAAGATACTTATGGCGACAGTTCAAATGTTGTTGCTTTTAAAATCGATATTAGAGTGATTTTCAAAAAGCATGGAAAAGAAATTGACGTTGTTTGTGGGGAAGTAGCAAAAAATGATGAAGACAGTAAAGTAATAACAGACGAAGGAAAATTGAGCCGTGAAACAAAAGATGCAGTTGACTCGATACTTACGTTGGTAGAAACAACAGCACAAGCTTTTAGCGCACAAATCAGTGGCAGTACTTGTTTGATAGCAACACAACAGTTGATACGAAATGGCCTTTACGTATATCATCCAGCATATAGCCTTTCATTGCCTTCCTGTATTGAAGAACTTGGATCTTTTAAATCAAGTATGCAGAAGCTACTCAGCTTTCAACAACATGTCATCACCATTTCGAACATCCTTGAAAAGGCCGGAACGAAAAAATACTCGTTGAACCAGCAGTTTGGTAAACATGACGAGGCTGATAAAGATGGTGAAGCCACTTCGATTCTGAACTGGAGAAGAGATACGTTTTATACACCTCCAAGAAACAAAGAAGCAAGGGTACCTCTGGTGTTATTTGGTTTACCAAGCAGTAGTTTAGTTTCGAGGCTTTTAAAAACAAAGTATTCAGAAGGCGAAGAATGTGTTGTTTATGATCAGTTTGGATGGGGAAAGAAAAACGACAAATGGCACAACAAGGTTACAAACGAAACTCAAGATGAATATCTATATTCTGAAGAATAAATATATTGGACATTATTAAAATAATTCAATCTTTTGTTCTCAGTAATTAAGTGTTTGTAGACCACTTTTTAGGGCTTCAGTAAGATCTTCATGTAGCTCCTTTGATTAGACTTCAATGCGCTGTTATAAGAACCTTTTTTGAGTCTTTACAAATCAATGTCAAATATGACCAATCCATGTCGATGCAACTCAAAAAGCCACATCAAAACAGCTTGCCAAAACTGCCCTTTGAGCTGGAGAAGCATGCCCAATAACAAGGAAAAACCTTCAACATGTATATTTAAGTGTCAGATCTCAAAATGCAGCAGTATGTAATTAGAGCTTATAGGGTAAAACCAGCAGAGATTGAGTGTAGCCAAGTCACTTAGACGTCTGTAATATCTTTTATCATTCATAAAAGATAATTGACAGGGGAAAACACCGACCAGTCTGTGCTGAGATTGAATCTCAAGGGTTCCACTGATCTTCTGGATCATTCAATTGGACATCAAAAAACCTTTCAGGGGCAATTACACAGAAGTTTGCTACTCGAACAACAGGTATTTCTCTAAACTTTTGCATGTAAAATCGAGCAAGAAATCCAACGGTACCACTTTCGAAGCGATTATTTTGGTTTGTGAAGATAAACCATCAAAAAATGCAAAATACGTTTTTGTAGAAAAGGTCTAAAAACCGTATAATAAATTGCTTGAAGAACACTTCTGCATGCTCCAATGCGTTTTTGCGGTTGTTTTGAGCTTAGAAACACCTTAGTAGAAAATGCCATTTTCGAGGTGAAAACTTCCATTCTTTGAAATCTTCAATTTTTCCCTTGCTTACCATAGGGGCGAAATGGTCAGAAATCGATGATCAGGTCATTCCCCAAAAAATTGCTAAAAAGTGATCCATAACCTAATGTCAGGTCGTAGAACACGATTGTACTTGTTTTAAGACCGAGATCATGTTTTGTTGGCAAGATACAAGCAAGTTAAATTCTTGATTTTACAGTGGTAAATGCATTTGAGGGCTGTTTGCTGAACATTGCGCTTAATAAAATTTGATTTGATGGTCTGTAATTTATCGTCCAGCGAAACGATATATTATTAAGCACTTGGTCCATTAAAAAAGCACGAATTTTCCTAAGGATCTTCCATAGATTTATCTAAAAAGGATACCCAATACTGATAAGAGACTCAAAAATGTTAAAGAGAGTAATTCTCAACCATCTTGGGCAAAATTAAGTAGGGCGGCATAAACGCTTTGTAATTGCACTTTCAATTAGCAGAAATTTGTGGATTATGCGGGGAAGAGGGACACGCAATAAGTTTGGATCCAGTTAGACATTGCCTCAATTTCAGATGTGTTGTATGAATGGGTAAGCTATGCTTGCTCCTTTGAGACACAAACCGGCAGAGATGAGAGATTTGCTGCTCAGAGACGATGCAAATGCAAAGGAGTTCAAGGAACATACTATGACTTACAATCCAGCATTGAGCTTTACCTCCAGAAATTTGATCTGGAGAGGAGACACATGCCAATGAGGAGCATGATGCTTATGAGTGAAAAGAAGCATTTTTTTTGCCCGACTCTGACATGTCATAGCCTTCCTTTATTATTAGAAACCACATATCGCCCAACAGGTATACAGAATTGATTCTTTTCTTAAGATTGAACACTGCATTATTTGGATCAGCCTGCTGCAAGCGCGAGCTGTGCACCCCCCATTAGAACGAAGGTCGAAAAAATCCCCGTAACGAAGCGAAGGTCGACTTTTTCACCGTAGTTCGGGGTGGGGGGTGGAATACAGCTCGTCTGTTTTTATATGTGTCTTATAGGGATTGCATTAGTTAAACATGAAATCCCTCCCCCCCTTTTTCTTTCTTGTAACACCTATTTATTTTCTCCAATATAATTAACCATATCATGTATTACTGTATTCTGTATTTCTCTGCCAAATCAATGATCCAAAAGGAACAGAATTCAGCAAAGAGTTATCTCAAACTAATAAAAATATATGAATTTTGAACTACTGTGGAGAGTGTAAAAAGTGTTGGATGTTACATCAAATAGATTTATCGCATCGTATATCAGTTCCAAAGAGAAGTGAAACTATGGATACATTTGCTTTAAGATTATTTGTCAAAGACGCTATTTAACTCAACACTCAACTAGGACATGGAAAAAATTATTTTATAGATGGATACAAGTCGAACAGATGCCAGGATCAGTAGGATTTCGTTATGGAGGATGCATTTGTGTAAAACTCGATAAAGACAGGTATGTGCAGGTAGATGCATTGGACTTTTCCAGAGCAACTGTAGGATATGAACCAGGAGATCAAGTACGTCTTTGGATATTTCTTGGAATTTATCTTGATAGGTCTGAGGTGAAAAAAAAAATTATTAGAGTTACCAATGAGATCCAGAATGAAGTGTTCAGTGAAAGATATATTATTGATGGGAGAATCCTTAAGTATAAAATTCCATAGGAAAGGTTGTAGTAAAAGTACTAGTATAAATGACAACATGGAACAATTTTTGATAGAGTTGTCTGTACCAAGTGTATTCTCCTTCGGCTTTTAAGCATGATCTCCTTTGCCTACGATCTACAGTCAAAGAGAGATAACTTGCAAAGGTTGGATGACGGTGAAACCAGTGAGAAGAATTGATCTGTAATGAGCGGTAGAGAGGTAAACAGAATAGAGTTGCGACTAGTAGGAGGGACTTGGTAATGGAGAATGCAGGAAGAAAGAAGTCCATTGTCTGAAATATATTTTGCCAGATAGAGAAGTTAGTGTCAGTAATATTATTTTTCCTTTGATCTTTATTCAATAAAGGTGACAAGGAAAAGGCCTCTGAATTTTGGAAGTATGACAGTTGTTGCAACATAAAAGGTCGAATAAAGGAGAGAAAAAATTTGGTTCAAACAAGTATTAATCACCTTTTTTGCAGTATTTGATGTTGGAGGATGGGATCAAGTACTTACAATCCACCGACTGTAAGGATTGTCTAGGAAATTTCTGTTGCTAAACAAATTGGTAAATCACACTCCGAGTTAATTAGAGAACCGTTTTGGCGGTTGGAAGAGCCGAAGAGTGTATTGACAAGTGACTTGATGTTAGTGCAAAACGAGCAACCTTCCATAAGACTGATCTCCATTATAAAAAGGCTTAATTAAGTGTTTGGTGGACTTCCAGGAAGATCATTCATTATAACATCTTGGAACAAAGTGAAATCATGAATGGCAAGGATACACACGAAATGCATAAAAAATTGATAAATGTTCGATCTGTTTTGGGGAATAGAAAGGATATTTCATTACTCCACGATAATGCCCAACCACACGTTGCAAAGGAAGTTAAAAAAGCTTCTGTTACGCATTAAACGTGAAAGGTTTCTGTAAAGATAGTAGCTAGGAGGGGAGATGTCAGGGTCCTTCAATGGTTTAATACCCAGTTCGCTCAAAGTGTATAAAACAAAAGATGAGGTCAAGGGTTTTTTATGAGAGGTATAAAATAAACTATAATTTCGTTAAGTTATAAATGCAGAGATGGATTATTTTGAATAATAAAATTAGTTTTGAGAAGCTGTTAACGTTTAAACATGATGTATTGAAAGAATCACAGTATTTGAAACTTGCCAATTTCTCATTTAGCCAAGGCAAATATTGTTGTCTATTTGAAGGCGTTTTTAACATGCTGCCTTACTTTGTTAAACCCCTCAACAGCCTTGAGAGATCAGTTTAGTTACGATGGCCCTCAGTCCTTAAAGCTCAAAAATACATAACCTCAGTAATTCATTCAAACAGTACAAAATAGAGGGAAAAAACGGTCAAGACAATTTCATGATTATTCACAAGTTTTTTTTATTTGACAAAAAAGAATTACAGCCTATAAGAGTCATCAAGTTCTTCTGTCTAAACCTAAAGCTTGTAGAAAGACGTTAGTAGTCAGATTATTGCTGTCAGGTTGATTACTTGGCAATTTACTTGTCAAAATGGGGCAACTAGAATGTATAGCAGCGCGACCAAGGTAGAAACCTTGGTTTATCGCTTCCACTCCTCCAAAACAGTGCAATTGCACCATAGATGTCTGGTCTTTTTCGGCTGGGTAACCGCAGGTATATATTGTACACTTTTAAAGATTAAAAAAAAAAGAATCCGAAAATAAGTTTTTAAACGATTTCCTTTCTTTTAGATTAGACAACTTTTAATTAAAATGGACTTCATTAATTATATTCCAGACGAAAACTACAATAACTTTATGACTGAGAGAATGGAAGTTGATGAGGCTGCTGTTGAGTTCGGCGAAATTGAGATGCTCAGGGGAAATGAGTACTTTGTAGAAGATACCCCTCAAAGCACAGCTGATGAGAAAATGGAGGAAATGGTTTTAGAGCTGGGAGAGATGATGATCACTAAAACTAAAAGATATAAAAAGTACGGGCCTGAGCAAATCGCACGCTTTATAAACATATTACAGGAAACAGGGGAAACTGTACCAAAAGCAGCTGAAGCTTGTGGTATACCTACCAGCAGTGCTTATAGACTTCTAAACCAGTTTAATGACAGTAACAGAACCATTCTTCCAGGTAGTACATCTACACAAAAAGGAAAAGCGAAACCAAAAAAGCTATTTCCTATCCATACCGCCTTTTTGATCCAGTTGTTTGACGCAAACCCTTCGACCGTTTTGGAACAGGCAAGAGAAGAGTTGATGAAGCAGTTTGGACTATCCGTTGCTATTTCTTCTTTGTATGTGCATATTAGTGAAAAGTGCTGCTTGACATTAAAGCAAGCTAGTAAATACACAATTGAAAGGGATGCACCTAGAACGCTCAATCTCCGCTACGAAATCATCAACAAGTGGATAGAGGCCGGTGTTGATTTCCAGAAAAACTGTGTGTTTATTGATGAAGCTGGCTTTCACTCTCAACTGATGAGAGGGCGTGCATGGTCGAAAGTTGGTGCTCCAGCGAATGTAAAAGTGCACACACAAAAAGACGTTAATTTGAGCATGATTGGGTGTATATGTGCTAGAGGAATTATAAGCTTTACCAAAGTTATACCTTTGAAAATAGGGGATGCTGAGTTGATAGAGAAAGAGTTTCATTCCGAGGTATCAGCTAAAAAAAAGAAAGCGCAACACTGAAGAGCCCAAAAAACAAAAGCCTTTAAAGAAAGGTACTACGACTTATCATATAGTCAAATATATAGAATCTGTAATGGATGTACTTGACAAAAATGAGATGAAAGGGTTTTTCATTGTCATGGATAATTGTAGGGTACACCACTCCAAATTTGTTGTTGATGCTATTGAAAAACGGGGATACAAACCATTATTCATGCCACCTTACTCTCTGTTTTTAAATCCCATCGAAGAGTGCTGGTCGAAGATTAAAAGTGGGATTAGAAGAAACCCTTTGAAGAAAGGTGATGAATTGACACCTCGTATCGCTGAAGCATGCAACAAGGTGACTACAAAAGACTGTTTGCAGTGGGTAAAACACGCTGAGTCTTATTGAGAGAGATGTATTCAGAAAGAAAAGGGTTTAAAATAACTAATGCCATACTCTTATCCTTGTCCTTTTTATATGTAAAATGTCTACAAATTATCTTCTAAAACTCACTCTTATTTTCTAAATAAAAATCACACTTTGTCTCAATTTTTTCGAACACTTTTAAAAAATAAAATATAATTCTCAAAAACATTTCTATTGGTCTAAAAAAATTTATAATCTTCTCAAATATAACCGAAAATACTGTAGATGGAAGTACATTTAGTCATAAGCTTCTTATTTTGCTTACACAATTGTTTTCTTTTTGTATTTTATTGCTCTGCTGTCACACTTTGCGCCCAGTTTTTAAGCTCTTATCAAAGTGGAATTGATTGAACTTATAAGACAGCAAAGATTGGAAAGAAGGAATAGAGAAAAAGAAGTTATTTAGAAAATACAATATAAAGAATAGGTAAAACACTTGAAAGAAAGGAAGTAAAGTTCTTATTATAGCACTATGTTCTCTTCTATAACGGTGGGAGCCTCTTGTGCTACTGCTTGAGAAAAAAAAACCATTTCTCATCTTGCTTACACAATTTTCTTTTTCAAGAAAAAAAGTATGTCGACTGCGGCTTATATTGATGGAATGTTACACCATTAGTTAGAGTACAGCTACATAGTTATTTTATTTTAACAAAGATTACATTTAAAAATCCATAGCTTTATCTTCCTCTATCTTTATCTCGTTATTCTTATTATTTATCATTATGCCCGCATCAGAATTGCCTTACGAGATTCTTTCCCTTGTGGCAGACTATCTATACAAAGACTACAAGTTTGAGTGCATTTTTGTATGTAAAGGATGGAAAACTACGTTTCAAGAATTATTTTGGAAAGACAGAGAAGTCCGTTCTGTTAAAAAGCTCGAAGACGCAGCCGTCGCTGTAAAACATTCGACAAGCGATTTTCCGTACGGCGTTGTACTCCAGACTCTAACCATAGTCGAAGCATGTACCCTACACAGCCTACTACAGAGCGACGCTTTTGAAACTTTTTATAATTTAAAACACCTTGTTCTTGAACATGTAATAATCGACAGCACTGACATAAAGAAAATAACATATTCCCGTCCATGGAAATCGCTAATAAGCCTGAAGCTTGTAATCAAGATTGCAAAACAAAATTCACTTACACCAATTCTCATAAGGCTCTTGACGAACTATCCCAGCCTCAAAGAGATAGACGTTTCTCCACACTCCTCAATGAATTCGCTCAATTTCAATTTGAAAAACTTCAATACGCTACACAAACGATCTCCACAGCTAGAATCTATCAAGGGCTGCTTTAATCTCACTAATATTCACTCGAATTCGGTAAATACGATCCCAACGACTATAGCAGCTCTTCATGTAACAACACTTGACCTCGACCTGTTAGATTGGGACTACTTATGGCTATATTATTTTAGCTACAAGTATCCAAACATACGTACCCTGAAATGGAAAACCATGTGTGAATCAAGAGAGCGGATTGTTAAAGAATACAACAGAAACAAAGCCGAACTTTTACACTCACTTAAAAACGTTTTTCCGCATTTAACAACATTGGAGTTTTATACTGAAGATCGTTCAACATGGTCACACGCTTTATTCTGGGATTTACTTTGTCGGTCAAATGTGCCAATCAAAAAGCTGACATATATCCTAAGAGTATGCTTTTCTTCTCCCAACTTCCAACAAATGCTTATCCAACGATTACTACAATCCTTTGAAAAAACACTCGAAACTTTCTTCGTTGCAGGAAATGTATCATATGATATCAGATACATAGTAAGGCTAAATATACCGTCCTGTCCGGTGTTGGTGGACCTTACACTCTACGATTGTGGTATATACATTGATTTGGACAATCTGTTGGATAGCTGTCCTGCCCTAAGGCGGCTAATGTTTACCAGTGGACAACTTTACATAAGCCCAGAAATACGAGAAGATCCAGGAAAACATGGATTACGAATTTTGGGACTAGATAATGTTGATGCAAGTGCTCCTGTATTTAGCTACATGTCGTACAGGTGCAGGAATTTAGAATATATGAACTTGGACAGCATACGAATCAGTGGGTCGATTTCTGAAGAGACGGGAAGTCTGCTCATTAATATGCCTTACACTCGTCTAAAAAAACTGGATTTCCATCGTGTTTTGTTCTACCCGTCCAACGATCACATGAATGAAAAGAAGGTTATCAACCTAATCCTGCTGTCTCAGCTAAAAAGCTCTTTCCCGTCGGATGAGAATGAAGACCATGTAGATGAAATTCATGATGTGGACCATCTAGCTTGGTTCCATCTTTTCTGCAAGAAGATTACAATCGGTTTTGAATCAAAGATCAGAAAGCTTCCAAAAGAAGAAATTGCTACTGCTACCGAGTATTATAAAAGCACCCCGGCTACAGAAAGAGTAAACCTTTCAGAAGAAAGAAAGTCTTTTCAAGGTCTGGTACCTAAAAGATTTTGGGAAAAAGATCTTTGGAAAGGTTATGTCGAATTAAGATGTGGCCACATAGCTAGTTACAAGATGCCTTTACTTTGGGTAGACGAAGATGACTATTAGATTATGTCTGTAATCCTATCCACCCGCTCAATTGGTTATATTATGTGATTTTTCATTCGAATTATCCACCATGGTACATCTTTACCCTTCCTATAAAACTTGAAACATGTAGAGAGAATTAGTTGCATATCAACCATCGTCTACTTCTCTTAATAATATTTACTGTAATAATAATAAACCTTTAATCAATAAATATAAGTAATTTTCTCAATTAAATACAATGTTTGATTTATATCTATTATTCAACATGTATATCCCTTTTCCTCTCTCGGTTACTTTTATGCTATCATTAGACTTGCGTTTCGATATTATTTTGTAAATTACGGATTCTCTTTGTTAGGATAAAGGTTTTGCCGTATCATTATATACAATACATGAAAAGTACCATTTCAACAATAGCTCTCGAGAAACGTAAGAGTCGATTCTGTTAGAGAGTTGAAAAGAATTGTATAATTGTAAGAAAATAAATAAATAACAATGTATTATCTGGCGTATAGTCTGTCAGTAAACAATTAAATCATTCTGGGCGCCGTACTGTAAGAGAGATCATTCAGAAGAATGTTTTTTAGAACTTTCTTTAAATTAAAACGCTTCAATTCCAAAATAATTTCAATTGAAAGAAGATATAAAAGAGGTTAAAGATGACCGTCCATAGAATTATTTATTAGCCAAAGTCAAAGCCCTTTTGATGTATGAAATAAAAATTTGATGTCTAACTGCTCGAATCAATCCCAAGAACCAAGCATACACTCCATACAACTGGGTCCTGCCGAATAGTTATTTCAGTAGCTAGTATCCTAGAGCTATCTTCTTTTATATATTTTTGATTCCAAATATTCTAGAGTTATTCCTCTAAATCTTTTTACCCATAAAGACATACGAATACTTGTTTCATTTGAACCTTTTTTTTTAAAAAAAAAAAAAGATCCGGAGTGTAAATTAGCGTAGAAATAAATCCCAAAAATTGGGTTTGATATGAAAGTCACATATGAACAGAAACTCGGTTACAGGGTTCTGTGGAAAATCGAACAGCAGAAAAATAATAGTTGGGTAGATAAAAGTGCCTTACATAGAAAATAAATAAGCTGTACCATTTTTCTGAAAACATTAAAGAGTTATTTTCTAATAACGACGATAATGATGTATTGGATGTTTTTAATAAGCATCATGCAAGACCATTTTCAAACCATTGTCTTAAAATTTTCGAGTTTAAGCAATAGATCTCCAAACCAGGTCTTCGGACTCTTAGAGCATGTTCCACAGTGAAATAACTTTTAATTTATCTAAAGTCAAACACTGCTACTTTAGCTAAAGAAAAGGTCAATTTTACCAGCAGTTCAATATATCTTTTTTCTAAATAAATTTTGAGAGAGTTTTAATCAATAAATTTCATCTTGTTAAATTCAATAAGAAGATAAGAAATAGGGACTGTCTTTTATATTTAAAGTGAATTTAATTGAACAGCTGGGAGGACCAACTTTAGCTAAATATTTAAATTTAACGTAAAAGTGGAGATAAAGTGGACTGCTGAAGATGGTGTTAGTTTCCAGAACTATAGATCTGCATAGCTACAAATTTTATGAAACCATTTTATGTTAGTCGCTCTAGATGTTCCATCCATGCACACACACACATGTATATAAATAAGTACGCATAAGTAAAAACATGGCTATAACTTTCTCTTTATCTTTCTGATTATCTTTTATCTATCTTAATTAACACTATGCTCGTATCCGAATTACCTTTTGAACTTCTTTTGCAAATTTCTTCTCAATTATTGCCCAAAGACAAGCTCAATTGTGTCCTCGTTTGTAAAGGATGGGAGGTCCCATTTCAAGACTCACTCTGGAAAGATATGGAGGTCAGAAGTTCCGAATCACTCAAAAGGGTCTGCAAAGTTGCGAAGCGTTCAGCAAGCGGACTGTCTTATGGTCTAGCAGTTCAAAACCTACGTCTTAATGGAGAATATTCCCTATACGATGTGTTCAAAAACAATCTTTTCAAAATCTTCTTGAACTTGAGGCATCTCGATATTGCGGCTCTAGGTTTAAACGACAAGACACTTCGAATGTTAAATGAGCATGGCCTATGGAAGTCTCTGGTTAGCCTGAAGGTCACGCTCGATGCTTCTTCCTCGGAAGAATTGGCACAGTTTTTGTTAAGGCTCTTAAGAAACACTCCCAGCCTGGAAGAACTCGACATCTCTCCGTATTCTGAGTCGCGGCACTTGTCTCTTACTTTGGACGATTTCAGAATTCTCCACACCCATCTACCCCATCTAAAATCTATTGCAAGTAAACTAAGCTTCAAAACAATTTCGCAAGATGAAGTAGTGAGCGTCCCAAGCACTACGCCAGCACCCTTAGTCAAATCACTCGAGCTCAACTCCGTAGATTGGGAAAACCTGTGGTCATACCATACCTGGATGTACTATTTCAGCTACAAGTACCCAAACCTACAATATTTGACGTGGAAGATTGGACATGAAATTTCCACACCGCTTGCGCAAGATTATCAAGAAATGAATGAAGAATTTCTTCAGTTGACTCCCAAGGTGTTCTCACATCTGGAAACAGTTGATTTTTCCGCTATGTACACGTCTGCATTATCTCACGCTGTTTTCTGGGATATCGTTTGCCTTTCGAGAGCTCCTATTAAGAATATAAAGTACAAGATCGTGAACAGAATTTGGGAACCAATGGGCCTAGTAGAGAAAATCCGACAAAGTGCCCAAAGCTGCAAAGAAACTCTCGGGACACTCTTTTTCGACGGGCACATAGATTTTGAGGTTAGACAAGTTGCAAGTCTAGAATTGCCTTACTGTCCGCGGCTGGTAGAACTTGAAATGAACAACTGCTCCGTATCCATCATCTTGGACAATCTGTTGAACAGCTGCCCAATGCTAAGAAAATTGAGCATTTCGGGAGGAGAGCTTGGTGTCAGTACAGACGCAAACGCACAGATTAGCCGCCATGGATTACGGCTTTTGAAGATAAACGAAATGGTTATAAGCATCACTGCATTTAACTACGTCTCCTTACGGTGCAGGCAATTGGAGTACCTGTACTTGACACAATCACAAGTTTCCGGACCAGTCTGCCAAAGAACGGGGAGCATGCTTATTGACATGTCCCACACAAGACTCAAGATGCTGCTGCTTGCCCAAGTTTAGTTCTACTCGCTGGCCAGATACACGGATTCCCGTACTGCCATCAACTTGGTCCTTCTGTCCCACTTAATTGGCCCTTGGCAACGAAGTCTAAGCATACAAGATATCAATAAGAGATTTATTGTATATCCCATAGGCTGGTTTCGCTTATTCTATGGACTGGACGATATGTTTGACTGTACAAAAACTAGCAGACGGCTCTCAGAACAAGAAGCTGACTTTGTCGAAAACTATTACCGTGGTTTCTTTATCAACCGGCTAATCCCTGAAGGTGAAGATAGTCTTGTATATTCTGTATTACAGTATTTCGAGGATGATTGGGCAAAAGACCTTTATAAAGGACATATAGAATTAAGATTTGACTACGTTGCTGAATATTTTGTTCCTTTGTATTAGATAGATAATATATATGTATGTATTGCCTATTTAAAGGAAAAACAACTGGCAACCATTTGTTTGTATAAATAAATATCAAGGCTCTTTTTCTATATATGGAGAAAATTCACATTATTTTTACCTTGGATTTTGCTTGAAAGTAACGGAATGAATCGAAAGAGAGAATAAATATATACATATCTTAAGTTAGTCGTAATAATGAAGCTAGAAAATAAGGTCTGGTATCTAGAGCTAATTTGAAAAAATCAAAGCAACACATATCTGTATATATTAATTTTGAGTGATAGTATCATTTAACGAGGGTGAAAATACTGTCATGTTGTAACTAACTTACATAAAAGGCTGGTAAAGATTGGTTGAGATGAGCAAAACAGAAAAAGCGCATTATATATATATTAGATTATTGTGAAGTTTAACCAAGATACTTCTCTTATGTATTTTGTCACATTATCTGTTCTCTTTATAGCTGTTTAAGAAAACTAGATAAATCACTGACTTTGTTCTTGCAGATTGAGCAACAGACCATAACAAAAAGAGAAAGTGGATGTCTACATAGAAGATATTGATATTTCAAAGTATTGAGTATGTTACGACTAAAAAAAAATACTATGAATTATGCGGTGAATTAGAAAGGATAAGAATACATTAAATTGACCGCAAAGAAAAGTATTGCTATATCAAAAAAATAATAAGAATATAATGGTTACCTAAAAAAAACTACAAAAGGCAAAGAAATATCGTATCAAAAAGTAATAAAAGATCCAAATACTTTGCTCATTAAAAGATGGGTGTATTTATTATATTGTTTGGGCTTTTGTTGAGCCCTAAATCCCAAGCTCTCGACCTCTTTTTTTTTGTGTAAAATATGAGAGAAAATTGGCTAGTAATACGAATTATTAATGTTCGTCAAAAAGCCAACCACATAACTTACCAAATTTTGTCAAGATCCTTTTGAAATGCATGTTACACAGCTAGCATGTTAAACATGTTATATGTTACAGATACCATTCATTTTAGAGTAGCCAATATAACGAGGTAAGCAGTGTTAATAGCTGGTGTAAAACAATTCGGCATCCTAAAAAATTGATTATGGTCTTACCAATTCCACCGAAAGTTATAAGGTGCTCTCTGCTCTCTGTGTCATACAACTTGTATTTCACTCAACTTCGGAGCGTATGCCACATTAGCTTAAAAGAGATATAGCCAAGGTCGCATGTCTATTTAGATATAGACCATCTATTACCATATTCACTTTCCTCATAAAGTCTACCGGGTCATGACTCATTACTATAGATCATTAAGTTTTGTAAAGAGGTACAAGCTTAAAGGAATGGTGAGCATATATTGTTACAAAACAGAAGAGGACTTCAAAGCCTATTTATTATGTGTTTTATAATCCAGAAAACAAGTACTAGCTATGTATTACAAGCACACAGGCACACACGTTCCATAGCCATGTATTTACAGAAATGGGAGGCAGATCAAAAGTATTTTGCTTCTACTGGAGAAGTATCTTAAAGTAAAGAAAAAACAAGTAAGAAATGCAGATAAAGAAAACATGCTGAAGTACACCGGAGGAAAGAGAAGAGTAGGAAAATTAGTATAAATGTCATTCTTGGAACTAAAAATAAAAGTCTTCTGTTAGAGTGTGCAAGTGTGAGAAACATGCTTGTGTATGTGGTTTTTGGGACATAGTTCAAAAGATGTTGATTGTATTCAAATGATTAAAAGGAATCAATCAGATCAAAATTTCAAATTATTATCAGTAAAGGTGGAATCTTCCAAATTTAAGTACAAACTTTCCAAGTTATATGTAATAACAAAAGTAAATTGAGCTAATTATAATGATAGCTAATCCACAGACCCTTTTCAGAAAAAAATTCATATTAAACAGCTTAATAAGTTTATCTATAGATAAATAGGTAGATAAAAAGAAAGGACCAGATCTATCTTTGAAGATGACGTTTAAAATATATGTATATCATTTCATTTTGTTCCAATTTATACTTTTGTTATACAAGTAGATGGAGTGAATTTAGGGAGTGAGTGGTTGAGGGAGCTGGTGACATAAACAATACTAAGATTCAAAGTTAGCTAAATATCATCAGGCATTTTAGACAATATGATTCATTAATAAACATGCCCGTAATTCAATATTAACAGGGCTAACAAGTACTCAACAATCAACTTGAGATCAGCACCAGAGACTTTATACTAAAGTTTAGGGAATTCATGAAGAGCATGCTAGATGAGAATATCATTAGAAAATGCTGGAAGCGACGTAAAAGGGCATGGGGATATCATTGATCATACGTATTCAGTATCGCCAAAAGAAACTGGGAGATACTACCTTTGGTTACTTTTATTTAAAATTCCAGGAGCAGCCTCCTTTTTCGATATTTTTACAGTGAGTAGAATAGTACAACCAACTTACCAAGCAGCTGCCCGTATGAATAGATTCATTAACACAAACAAAGAATAGGATCAATGTCTTACTAAAGCAGCTGAATACTAACTTCTATCATCCTTGAAAACTTTATTTGCTTTGTTAATAGACTTCTGCCAACCAGCTGATCTGTATAATCTTTAGCTTAAGCATTTCAACGAAATGATTGAAGACTATATTCATGATGCACAACAGAACCAAACATCATATGATCCAGAATATGACCAAGAAATATATAATGATGCATTCTTGATATTTAATGTGTTATCAGCACACAAAATTACCCTTGCAAATTACGAAAGATTTTTTCTACCAGCAACAAATTCAACTGAATCATACGCCACAACAGTATCATCCGAGATTTCCAAAGAAATAAATCTATGCATGGAAAATCAAAAAAAAGCCATATAATATGGATAAGTGTTTGTTCAATTCGGATCAAAAAATCTATAATCAAATAGTAAAAGCTCTTCAAGATAATTTCTGTTCAGAAGAAAAAAGTATTCTTTGTTAATGGACCAGGCGGAACAGGATAAACATTTTTGTTTAATTCCTTATTAAAGAAAACACGACGAGACTTTGGTATCGCCCTTGCCGTGGCATCAAATGGAACTGCAGCCTTACTATTACATGGAAAAAGAACAGTCCACTCACAATTCCATATACCATTGTTTATCGATGCAAATTCCGTTTGTACAATTACACCAACGTCGACAACCGGAAAGCTTATCAAACTCTCTCGAATTATCATCTGGGACGAAGCATCTATGATCAATTGATTGTTCATTCAGAGATATGATGCAACTCGAGAATGAAGAACTTGCAAATATTTCACTTGGAGAAAAAGTGGTTGTTTTTGGTGGAGACTTTCGGCAAGTACTTTCAGTAGTACCTAAAGGCTCAAGGAACGAAACCGTAAAGCAATGTATAAACCGGTCAAACATCTGGAAATGTTATAAAGCTTAAATTGACAATTGACATGCGGGTATCGAAAGCCAAAACGCAAACTAAAGCAGCTCAAGTGGAGCTCTTTATAAAATATCTGCTAAGTATTGGAGAAGGAAACGAACCAACGATTGGAAATGACAATGAAACCATCCAACTTCCAGATTCAATTTTATTGAATGGTTCCAATATCAATACATTAACAGATATCATTTTTGCTGAATAGCCTTCCAACTTCACAAGCTGTTAATACTTTACTGGCCATACCATACTTACTCCTAGAAACGCAGATGTTAAGATCATAAATAACATAGTCCTCAAGTCTTTTCCAGGAGAAAAAGTAACATACAGCAGAATCGACGAATGACTTTCAGACGAAGATCGAATAAACTATCCCAGTGAATTCCTCAATACATATGACCCTCCTCACCTTTTTCTTCACGACCTTCAACTTAAGGTTGGGTGCCCAGTAGTGCTATTGAGAAACCTGGATCCTGCAAATGGTCTTTGCAATGGGACACAATAAATATGCGAATCTTTGAATAATCGTATTATCAAAGCAAAAATTGACAATGCAATATTCAGTGGAAAGATTATATGTATACCAAGAATCAAATTGATTATATCCAGCACTGAAGGCCAAATCGCATTCACAAGGTTAAAATTCTCCTTATGTCTTTCTTTCGCTATGACCGTGAACAAAGCTCAAGGTCAAACTCTTAGTAACATCGGCATATATCCTCCTCTACCAGTAATATATTTAGCCCTGCGGTGTAGATATATTATTTGCCTTTTTTATACTTCTTTAACAAATTTAGTCATTTTTAGAGTAGTTTATATCTCCCCGAGTTCACACTTGTTTCTTCTCTAAAAAGCATTGGCGGACCCGTATTTACGCTTTACACAACTTTACTTAATAGACAAAAAAGAAAATTTTCCCAACTTTTTTTTCAGTTGTCCTGTGAGTAAAAGTGGGTATCGAAAATGTACTTTTTGGTGCAAATAGCCCAATTTACAGTGGATCAAGATTTTATAGAGTGAAAATGTAGGATGTTTTGGTCAATATTTGAGCAATCGATGCCCAAAGCTGCTGATAATGTGGATCTTAATGTGTCTAACCAAGTTGCTTATAGTCATAGAGTCTAATAGCTTTATGAATAGTGATTTATAGCTGATTTTTGGTGTAGAATTTGCCAATTTGATCAAAATGATCATTTTCGTTGTTGGCGATTAAAATTTTTATAATTTATATCTCGGCACAGCAACTTTATACAGCTAGGACATATGTATTAATATACTGCTAATAAAATAGTAGCTGTCTCTAAAAAGACATACAAGAGATTCAAGAAAACAATAATTTGTATCTGATATGTCTTTAAACATGGATAAAAAGGGCAAATCCATGAAAGTTTAATATATATATATATATTGGTGTGTGTGTGTGTAAGTCAATAAAATTGTATGTCAATAGTTGAGATAGACCTTCGTTGTCTTCTACAAGTATCAGCTATCAGAATGAAGTATTTGTGCTTTATTCTTTGCATACATACCCAGTAATGGAATACATTTAATGTAATATTGTTGGCTTATAAATTTTTGAGCTATATTATTTTATTGCTCCAAGCTTATATTATGAAATCCTTAACGTGTTTAGCTTCAATGATCAAGAGACTCTTCCGTGAATCCCTTTTTCAGAAAAAGAAAAAGAAAATTATTGGATAGTCCTTGTAAGCAATATATATTCTGAGGTACTGTCATTATCATCTATGTCCAAAACAGCTTTGTAATATCTCTGAGCAGATTAGATATTCTATTTTATATTTATTTGTTAAAAGAATAATAGCACCGGATTCTTTGTACCTGCATTACATGGCTCGATCTTCTTCAGGATCTAAACCTGACTTGATACAAATGAAGTCTGAAAACGGTGGTAAGATATATGACACCTGTTATATTTCCCTTTGCCCCTAAATCTCATCCGTGAATAACGGAGGGTCCAAACTTGCCAACGAGAATTTACTATAAAGTAGCAAGGGTCAGCTTACTCGACTACGAAAGCGTCCACTGCCAGTCATCAAAAACTCTGTAAATGTTACCGATAAAGAGTTAGTACAATTTATTGCAGGTTAGTTCCTCTATCTCTCATAACATCACTATGTTACGATTGGCTGATACGCTTTACACAGCAGCCCATCCAACAACAACAAAAAAATTGCCTTGGCCTAATATTAAACTGTAGTACTGCAGTTTGGGGGGTCTTATAAGTGTTCTGGCATTTTGTTAACAAAAAATGGTCTCATAAGAGCTGTTAATATTTATATGTGGATTGAATATAACAAGGAAGAGGGAAAGCATCCGATAGTCAATATGATTTTTTACTACTTTGGTACATGTTTTCTCTTTCTATTGGTTCTAATTTATACTAACCTGTAATTGTGTAACTGTTATGCAACGGAAAGAACAACCAATAAGAAACAGTCATTACATCACAAGAACCAACTTTCTTGCAAGTAAATCAAAAGAAAATAGAGCAAAGTAAAGAAGTAAAGAAGTAAAGAAGTAAAGAAAGACTTGGTTTTGATCGTTTGTAGTAACAACTCTAAAGACAGAGTACAAGCTTCAATAACGGCAATTTTCAGGTTACTCTAAGCTGGTCTGTGCACTTCTTGTTCCAACAGAAGAAAATTTTCATTTTATTTCATTTTATTTTATTTTATTTCGGGAGTTTAATCAACACAATATAAATAAAATAAAATAAAATAAAATAAAGAATAGAATAAAATAGAATAAAATAACATATTCAAGACGAGCGTATTAAACATATAATGAAGCCCTTTTACAATAGTAAAGTACAGACCTCTTGGTACTTGGACTTGGTGTTGATGTGAATCTATAGAAACTTATCACAGTGAAGAAGCGTTAAATATACATGAACCGGTTGGTTGTTCTTTTTGTGTGGGTGATAATGTTCAGAGGGCGTGCGGTACCTGTATTAATCATCATGTGAAAATATACAGGCTGCCTGGTAGTTGTTTGGGGGGAGACAATTCTTATCTACCCATACCTATGTGTGTCAAGTTGATAAAGGCGTATAAACGAATATATTGGTAGCTTAGAGTGTGATGTCAGCGCGACTACCATCAGAAAACAAAAAACATATATGTACCTCAATTATTCCCACCTTCCCTGTTTTCCTTTCCTTCGCACTTTGTTTAAACATCATTTATCTCAATGAATTCCAAAGTTTACAACGCTCTCTGCGCAGCCTTCGCGCTCGCCTATCTACTTGCCCCAGCTCTCCTGTTCATCCCTGTGATGTTATGGGAGGCTTCTCCTATGCCCTCTGCATTCTGCATGGCCAAATCTGCTAAGAGAAGACGCCCCTCCATGGCTGGAGTGGGTGCAACCCCATTTGTTGCTGTAAGACCAGACGGCGAAGATCAAATCGAAGCTCACAAAAATGTGATGCCTCAGACAATCCTTGGCATGCTGTCAAACTGGGTAGGCTCTTTGTGGTCTACTGGTTCGCAAACAACGGGAGAACCCTCAGGTAGCTTGTTGAGTAAGCGCCACGGAGGTATCCCAGGGCATATGTCCGTCAATGATTCCTCTTCGGAGGCGGAAGACGTTGTTTGTGTAGGAAAGTCGAGCGTGTTCTTTGGAGCAGGGCTTCGGGGATATGTCCCTCACCTCCTTCCTTTGCATAAGTTGGGACGTGGCATCGCTACAATGGTGTTCCCAGTTAACGGCGTGGCTGGTACCTGTGGGGAAACCCATGCAGACCTCGACGAGGGTGTGTCGAGTGAGCTTGTAGACGAATGCGATGAAGCTGAGGTCAGCGTACGACTCAGATTCATCTGTGACAGATTTTTCTCAGAGGGTTTTGCAAAGCCAAGACTCTCTGCTAGATTTCTTGACGCGATGTTGGAAGAGGAGCTCAACGACTCTGCCAACAAAGCTCATCGCGACTCATTGACTGAAGTCGCTGAACCAAAGTGCGGCTTGGTTCCCAAGTCAGCTGAAGAGACTCCTGTCCAAAGACAAGAGTCCATTCAGACCCCATCGGGTTTGGATAATGCTGGCTTCGTGGTTCCAAAGCCAAAGTTTAGGACAGTGGAGGGTCTAAATGAGGCGTTCGCGCTATCGTCTTGGCAATCAGCCAATGGATTTTTTGGTGAATGTCTCTCCACAGGACTTCCCACACCGATGGAGATTGACGACGACCTGGCTTGGAGTGAAGCCGAGGAAGTTGAAGATCCCATGGAGATTGATGATGTTGCTGAGGTGATGGTGCTTGATGCTGATTGTGGCGAAAAGCTCATGGCCCACACCTACAATCCAACGGTTACCGATTTGCAGTACGTCTCCCAGTCTGCAAACATGGATTGTGATACGAACGATCTCCCAGCCTGCGTACCGCAGCAGGCTGCAGACGACAAGATGGAAGACGACACAGAAAAAATAGTGCTACCGGAACCATCCTCTCTGAAGAAGTACGATGCGCCCAAGCCTAGACAAAAGGTAGGTGCCGACGAGGTTAAGGGTAGCAAAGAGCCTTCAATGGCGGTCCCCCGACCAAAAGAGAAGAGCTCAAAGCTTCCTCGACCTGCCAGTCAAAAGGCCATTGAGGAAGCAAAGACCGCAATCGAAGGGCCAGAAAGCAAGATGGCTTCGGCCTCTTGTGATCTCCCTTCACAGCTTCCCAAGCCACTTTTTGGCCTTCGCACCGAGCGGGCAAAGCTTGTGTCAAGCCTTGCTTCCGAGGTGCCTGAACCTGTCACAACAGCCAGTTGTGACAAGGGAAAGGCCCCAAAGAAAAAGGCCAAGACACAGGGGTCAACTGCTACCCCAGCTGCCCAGGTCTCTGTTCCTGTTGCTGCACCCAGCAGCAAAAAGGAGGAGAGTATCAAGGAATTCAAGTCGGATCTTCCTTCTGCATCTCGCGGCAAGAAAGTGAAGACTTCCGGCGGTGATGAGAAGGCCGATCTAATTATCGAACCCATCGGTAAAGAGATCGGAGAACCTCAGATCCAGCCATTCCCAGCTCGCAATCCTGCGTCAAAGCCGGCAAAGTCTTCGAGTAATAGAGGAAAAGAGGATCCAAAGAGCCTATTGAAGTATGTGCTCCGATTCAAAGGCGATCCAGCTGTCAACAAGGAGTAAGATTGTTTGTTAGCAGTGCCCGAGCTCACCTTGACCCATTGGGTCAGAGGTGTAGTGAAAGAATCTGCGAAGCTGATGATTCCGAAAACTTGGACAAATTTTTGTTGCCCTGTACGCTTCACCAAGCGGACATCTTGTCTATCGGTTGGCCCTGGAGCCAAGCCGACGCGGTCGGAACGAAAGGTTGATCCTGAAACTTCTGGTAAGCTTTATGGTGATACTGGAATTCCTGGACCTTTCACAGTACTTTTCTTTGGGATTATCTGCGTGGTGATTCGCGTTGGGTCTCTTGGTTAAGCTGTAAGGGTAGCCTCTTTTACGTTCGGTTCCTACTGCTTTCAAATTCAAAGGACTGGATTATCGTTTCCCTCTGGGATTGACACCATGCTCCGCCTGTTAGCTTGGTTCTGAGTCTTGGCTTGGCATAGACAGTATAAAGAGAAGGTAGATTGTGGAGGTCTACATATGAGTGTAACCTGTGGTGGTACTAGACTGGTTTTCAATCCTGTTTGCCTCTGGTATTTGCCGTTTGTATACATTCGAGGGTGGTGCTTGCACTGCTGTAGGGTTGGCTTGAACCTTTTGTTCGTAGGGTTCTTGTTGGCTTCCTCTCAGGTCTGAGGCCGAGATCTGTGAGTGGTGGTTTCTGTACGAGTAGGGCTTCCGGAGTCCTTGATTCTGGGTCGTTTTTGGGGCCACGGTGGTCCTGTTGGCTTGTCTGGTCTGGTTGGCTAGATTTCCGGTATCAATCTGGTATCATTCTGGAGATCGTTGTTGGCTAGCTTGCTGGCCTGTTATGTACCTGGGTTCTGGGTCTTTGTAGCTTGAGTTTTGTGCTTAAGCCAGGGAGAATGAATACTGTGGGGCACGGTGTTCATTATGTAGTCATGTCTGGCCGAATGGGTTTTGCTTCCTTGCCGGATTCTTTCTTGGGGTCCTTGGAAGGCTATTGTCAGTCCCCTCCTTTTTCTTTTCTGGTGAGTTCTCGAAGATTCACTGGTAGGCTCGGATAAGTCTTTTTGGACTTTGAGTTTGCTGAAATATAGATTGTGGAAAATCTATTTCCGGGGGGTAGATAGTCCCAAGAGGTTTTGGGAAAACGAGCCAAGAACATCGGGTTCCTACCAAGATTGACGAGGTTTTCCCTCACAGACATGACGGTATATCAGTCATTATGATTGCTACTAGTCCTTGTGTCTGGACTCAAATGATGCGTACAAATGCATGTCCAGACAGTCGCAGCTATTATGAGATGGCAAAACCAAAATTAATCTGCGTAGAAGGATATGCTTTTAAGACTGATCGATTAGGTATCAGTGACGTTGTCAGTCGAATAAAGATAAACTGACCATACAAAAAAATGTCACTGAAGAGATAGCGTGGAATTCGCCGATGATCTCAAGCATCACGCAAAACCTGTGGTCAGAGTCCTAGCCACCCTCATTTGAAGAGGACTCTGATTAATATGGTCTGGTAAATGAACCAGACCAAGCAGGGTGAGCTAGAAATTATCACCAAAAAAAAAGCAGATTACAGTTAGCAACTGGAAATGCGTACACTCAAGGAAATAAGACCCGAGTCGAAGGGCATTTACGCACACTTTCATTTGTGAAGGAGAAGCAAGGTTACTTTCGACAAACCTATCCAAACCAAGTCGAGACAAGTGCTTACAAGCCATGCATATATATATAATCCCACGGAAAATTGAATCCAGTATCAAAGCGAAGTTAAAGATAGACATGAACATGAACATGAACATGAAAAAAAAGGATATCGAGCATTCAAGCATCTAAACTTTCAAGCACAACAAGCGTAAGATCAAGTAGGCTAACCTAGAGTCTCGCCATCTCGCTGGGTTGGCCCAAAAGCACACCAAGAGTCTCGACTAGGATATGGTTACAACAAAAACAAATTCCTCGTCATCATTCAAGACTATTGGCTCAGTACTGCAAAAAGGTATTTGGGATGACCGGGTTTATATTATGGACCGAGAACACCAGCAGGAACAAGTAGAGGCCGTCAGTAGTAAACAACAGAGCTCAAGGCAGAAGCAATGTGAACCACAAAGCAAGCAATAAGGCAATTTTTCAAGGGTTGCTTTTGTCTCTGGATTTCTTTGTCAGAGATAATATCAACCATTAGTCCGTTTATCCAGAAGATAAGTGCTATTTATACACAATATGTCTCGGTACTAATTATATGATATTTTTTCATCTTCTCAGGGCCGCCCTGTGACAGGGCTCGCAATACTACAACCCTTTAGAGGATACCAGAGAGAGCTTGTGAGCGTTGGACTTTACCAAAAGGTAAGGCTGCTCGGTACACTTGTAGTACCTTTTCTCCCCTCAAAATATTGTACATTGCATTGTATGCCTGTATATATTTAGGGTTCTTGGTGTGGTAAGCCAAGATCTGGTAGCTCTTCTGCCATTCGGTGGACAAACCCTTTTGTGGTTGACCCCATCGCTGCAAGTTGGCACATTGTTTCTGCTGGAAGTTTGGTTGTTTACTGTTGGTGGTCTCGTATACCTCCTGCTGGTGGTCAAGGTCCAATCCGCCCGGTCATCGAAGAACATTTTGCAGTCCCGAGCCTGTCTCTTCAGATGATGTTACCTATTCCAAGACAAGTTCCTTTACGTACAAAACAAATTCTATCAATTAAGGTATGTTATTTTGGCCATTCAAACCTGCCTCATATGTAAATACGTTTTTCGCTTTCTCACTCATTTTTTTCTTTATCTTTTTAAGCCATATTTGGTCTTAGCAACTCAAATAATGCGGCATATTCCGAAGCCTGAATCCTATGCAACAATGCCAGCAGCAAGAACCAAGTCAAGCAAGAAGAATACAAGAAAGATACAAAAGAATACAAAAAAAATACAAAAAAAGCAAAAAAAAAAAAAAGAAAAAAGATTATATTCACAATTATCTCTCTATCTCAAGTAGAAACTCATAGTCTAGCAGAATCCCTGAAATGGTCAAGCCACGGTTTGCTTATATGTCCAAGTCCAATTCCAAGTCTTGTCCAAGCCCAAGTCAAAGTCCAAATGTCCAAAAACTGTCAAAGTACTGTTCTAGTACTAGTCCTAGCACACAAACATATACAAACATATAGAGAAGTACACAATTAGAGAAGTAGACAAATACACACACACACAAACACACACAATTTCTATTTTTCTATTTCTTTCTTATATATATACACACACACATACACATAGTCATAGTCATAGTCATAGACATACAAACATACATATACACACTTATATACATACATACATACATACAAAAGTAGAGGCGAATTTCTATCCAAGTCCAAAATCTGGGCTGTACCTCCAAGTCTCAAGGCCAAGTCGATTTCCAAGAAGGGGTCCAATGCAAAATTCCAAAAGCAAGTTCCAAAAGAAAAACCAAAAACCAAAAACCAAAAACCAAATCCGAGGCCTATACTAAGTCCTGTAAAAAAAACGGGCATATACTAAGTCCTCCTTTCCAAAAGGATCAAACGAAATCCGATCTTGAGGCATATACTAAGTCCTCCACTCCAAAAGGATCAAATCCAAAAACCGAGGCGTAGACCAAAACCTATCAGAAATTATCAGGCACATATTAAGTCCTCCACTCCAAAAGGATCAAAAGAAATCCGACCCTGAGGCCTATACTAAGTCCTGTCAAAAAAACACGCAGGCATATACTAAGCCCTCCTCTCTCTCTCTCTCTCTCTAAAAAAACAAAAAAAGAACAAAAGAAGAACAAAAAAAGAACAAAAAAAGAACAAAAAAAACAAAAGATGAACAAACCGGAAAAACTCTGCATTGGAACCTGGACCTGGATTGAAGCAAAGCTGCGAACTGGAACAAGACTCTGGATTAGAACAAGGTATGAAATCCCTTTTTACATATATACATACAAAGCAAATGAAGTCTTTGAACAAAAACAAAAAAAATGCTCAAAAAAAGAAGCTAAAAAAAAACAAGAAGAGTAAAAAGAGCAATACCAAAACCATCTCCTCATATTATTTTTAATATCAAAACCTATTCTCTTATTACTATTCCATGAAATTGACTGGACAAAAAAATCAAAAAGTCTAAATCATCCCCTTTACTATGTGTGCTGTGTTCGGACAAAAAAAAAGCAAAAAAAAAATCAAAAAAAAAAGAATCAAGAAAAGAATAAAAAAAAAGAATCAAAATCAAAGTCCAAAGTATCCCCTTTATTATTTTTCAATATCAAAATCCTCCCCCTCCTCATATCACTCTTAGCTTATATTGACTGGACAAAAAAAAACGGACAAAAAAAAAGATCAAAAGAAAAATCAAATGGACCAAGAAAATAAACCGACTGGACTGGACTGAAGTAGCATGAACTTGACCATCTTATATTATATTATATTTAATTTAACTTATATTTCCTTTATAAAAATCTTTGAATAATAAAATTTTTCTCATATGTCTTTAGTATCATATTTATATTTTTTTCTCTTTTTTTTTCTACATTTGCTTTTAAAGATTTTATGATTAATATTTGCAAAAGATAATAAGAATAATAAATTTTGTGCTTTTGCTATATTGCACTTAAAAGCTGTTTTATTATACTAAAGTACCTTGGAAGAAAAGATCATTTAGGCAATTCTGAGAAAGACTTATGATATTTTCAAGACCACCCTCTGAATTAATCCTTTTCTCCCATAGTATTGAATAGAGAAGGAGATTTCCTATGTAAGATTCTAATCTAAATTTGGTTAATTTTTATAAAAAATGAATTAATACGGGATTTGATCAATACAGCAACCAACCCAACACTTCTTTGGCAATAACAGTCTCCAAGAATATCTTTTTATATGTAAGCTTTAAGAAAGTGTACTGATGTATGCTCGTATAAGATTATATTAATTAAAAGAGTCTTGTGTTACCATATTGGCCAAATTAATAACCTGGTAAATGATACCCTATTTCCAATACTATGAAAAATAGCCCTCACATATACATATCTATATCGTTTATTTGATGTAATTTCTCTTTATAAATAAGTTTCAATTGGTTTTACTTTTGCCATATGTCTCAAAGATCTGTCTCTTAGTCAAAAAAAATTATAATAACCTTCATCAAGAAAAAAAAATTTCCTTTTCCAGAAGCATATCGTTCTTTTGACCAAACCTTATAGTAAGCTTTCTTTATTGAAGGATACATTATAAAGAGGTTGATATACAGTTTATTTAATATTAAAAGATAAAGAAATTAAAAGGTATTTTATGAAGAGTGGATGTAGTAAGGGTAAAATAAGGATATTAAGCATACAATTATTTTACCAAGCCTAGCTATTTACTTTTCTGTATATAATGTTTATAATATAAAAAATTTCTGAAAAATATTAGAAACCCACAACTTTTGTAAAGCGGCAAATAAATGCATATATCTAGTGTTTTGGGACATTTATTTTAGTCGACAAGTGCTTGCACCTCTGTCACATATTAAAATTGGAACGATACAGAGAAGATTAGCATGGCCCCTGCACAAGGATGACACTAAACTTCTGAGATGGAACGCTCTACGGAGCATATTTTTTTTTGTTTTGTCACCACTTGATATTATTTTTATTTATTTTATTTTTTATGTCAAATCTTGAAATTACTTATAAAAGGATACCACATTAAGGAATGTCAATATTACATCATAATGTACACCTTTATTATCCACTAATGCACAATCCTTCTCCCCTTCCTTGTTAAATGCATATCAATCTCTTCTTGCTCCTCATGCTGTAGATGGCTTTTGTTATGCAGTTCCATTAACACAAATCACCACTTCTTTTTTGCTGACAATGTAGCATTCTTTTTGGCTTGGCTTCAAATGTCCAACCCATGTTCAACTTGAGCTGCACAACACTTCTTATCACTCTGGCTGTCGTTTGAAGAACTTTTAAATATGCAGTCATATATACCCACTTTTCACGTTCTCTATACGATATTATTCCTGCTGATGGTGAAATTCATATACTTGGGTGTTCTCCTTCAGAAAGAAAGATGATTTATTTTTCTTTTTGGGGGGTCATTCATTGTTTCTCATTATCGTTATAGCACTCTTGCAACCATGGATACTCTTAATGCAGCCGGAGCTTGTCGATGGACATTCAACATCTTAAACAGCTATCCTCAAACACACCAAATCGCAAACAAAAAAAATCGTGATTCTCTTTAGCTTGATCAACTTCTCCTCTCTTTTCAGCCATCTCTCAAAATCTACACCACTTATGTGATCACATATTGTTTTAGGGTGCACCTGAAGTACCATCTGGAAAACCCACTTGGACCACATATTTCATGATGTTCTCCTTTAACACCAACAATCCTGTTGTCTTAAGCTTCTCCTTGTTATTATTTCCTTTATTAAAAAAACCAATCATGACTTATTATTAACTTGATAACGCTCTGTGGTAAATGAGTATACTAGAATATATATATATAAGTGTTTATATAGAGCCTTTTGCACTATTATTCTCAGGGCTTATTTTTTTTTTTGCCTCAAGGAACTCTGTTACTACTGGACATCAATATTAAAGGCTTCTTTTTTGTTAATCTAATAAACCTTTAAAAGCAGCAATCAAAACAAATCGCACATGTCCCACGAAAGCATTATGCTTAGAAAGGATGGCGTTCCAAAATAATCGTGGATGAGCAACGAATTCGGTTCTGTTCTTCCTTTTAATTTGACACAGTTACACACTTGGCTCATACGGGACCATATCCAAAGCTCACTTTGCATATAAGCCTATGATATTTTCTTCTTTCTTTCTTCTCTATTTTATTTTTGGCTTTGATTTTCACAGCTCTATCGTTTTTACAATGGCAGCACAACTACCAAATGAAATTATTCTGGAGATCTCTAGCTTTCTACTCACAAAGGACAGGCTTTCTTGTTCTCTTACTTGCAAGAGATGGCATTATCCGTTTCAAAAAAAGCTTTGGAGAGATGTTAGTATCAAAACCAATCTTAGACTTAAATCTATTCGCTATAACATTGAGAGATCGAAAAGTACTCTGCCGTCACTTGGCCATTTAGTATGTTCTTTGTCCTTCGGTCCAGAAGTGTCTATATCACATATGCAACAAGACGGCTTTTTTGCATTATTACCAAACTTGAAGCATCTTGATATCGGAAGAACGCACCACAATTTTTTATTAAAGAGATTACAAGATCTAACGATACATGGAAGTCACTGGAGAGCTTAAAAATTCAGATACCATATAGTGAAGAAACAAAATCGACGGCAGAATTTATTGGGTTATTGGCAACTTGTGGCAAGCTCCATACATATGAACTATTTAAAGGAAACTATCCTGTACCAGCCAAGTTTGAAGCAAAAGACTTTGACAAACTCCATCAAAACTTACAATATCTAAAATCCTTCAAGGCATGTATAACTCTCGATATGGACGTTGCACCATCGCAGCATATATCAATAAATCGTACACCAGCACTCGCTTTGACTACCCTCGATTTATATACGTGTAAATGGAGCGATTTTGGGATGTATTATTTTGCCCACAAGTATCCAAACTTAAATACCATGAGATGGAGTACTTTGGGTACATGCTCCCGTACGGTATCTCCAAATAATATGCAACAATACTCAGCTATTTTTGATTTCACTACAAAAGTACTCCAACATCTGGAAACATTTGAATTCGTAACAGTACACGTTCCAGGAAGCCATCATTCTGACTTTTGGGAATTTCTGAGTTCATTGAGAGCTCCTATCAAGAACTTAAAATACAAGATTTCAATCAGTGAAGGCAGATGGAGCACTATTACAGCACTTAGCAAAAAGCTCATAGAATTGTTTTCGGAAACACTCGAGACTCTTTCAGTTAATAATAATGCGCCTTACAAGTCGATGTATAAGCCACAACTAAAAATATCCTCTTGTTGTCTCTTTTTGGTGGATCTTAAGCTCAGATGCTGTGGTATGTCTATTGGACTGCAAAACCTGTTCGACAGCTGTGTAGCCTTAAAAAGATTGAGGATTTATAATGCTGAATTGTCGTGTTTCTCACGCACAAGAAATCAAGGCCAAGACCTAAAAGGACAAAAGCACCAAGAGCAAAAGCATGGGTTACGAATTTTGGAGCTGCACCGAATTTCTACAAGTCGCAAAGTGTTTAGCTACCTTTCTTTCAGGTGCAGACGCCTGGAATATATGAAGTTGAATAGTACATATATAAAGGGCACCATCTCTGGAGACAGCCAATCATTTCTTCTCGACATGTCCTACACTTCATTCAAGCTACTACACCTTGTCGATGTTAGATTCACTATATTCAACGATCAGGCGAATGAAAATTGTATCATAAGTATGCTACTTTTGTCTCAGCAGAACGGCCTTTCCTCAACAGATAAAAATAAAAACGGCGTGGATCCAAATTCTACTACAGTACCTTGTCCTTCTCAGTCCTTTACTTGGTTTATATTCTTTCGTGCGAGCTATGAGGAGGAATACATATTATGGCTCATAAAACGTCAAGACCAAGGTGATCTTACCCCAGTCGAATACTTTCAGATGTTCCATTTTGAAAATTGTCCGTTGGCATGGAAAACTTCCAGATTGTTGAATAAAAACACTGACATAGACACAACGGAACACCTATTTAGTAAGTGTTATATCGAATTAAGGTGTGGTTCCATAGAGCAGTATACTATTCTTAACTCTGGTCCCAAAAACAATGACTTTTGGGAAAGTTTGTATGACCTTTATAAAAATAAATAAATATCAAATAAAGAAATATCTTTGAAGCCAATGCTAATTGCCAAACATAAAGAGAACAAGCTTCTTTGTCCGTAATGATTGCACTATTTATGATTCCTCTCTCTTTTTCCCTTTCTTTCTTTTACCTTTTGGATGCTTAATATAATATAAGCTGGTGTTGTAATTGTTATGAGCTTTATTGTTATTATTGCTATAATTATGATAAGAATAAGTATAAATGAAATATTTGTACACCTTTAATTAACAATAACAATCTTCTCTTGTTGTTTCAGGGAATGCAATTAAATAAAATAAAAACAAGTCCCCCCCCCCCCCTTCATAAGTAGGATCTGCTTAAAATGCAAAAAAAAAGTATTTTAAAAGATGTATGATTAGGATTTAAATAACCGAGCCTTCTTCTACAGTGTTTTTGCTTGAGATTGAGACTATTCTCGAAAACAATTAGACAAACGAATTATATTTTCTTAGACATTTCTGCTTTTTTTATTGGACAAATAACATTGGTAGCCAAGATGATCTTTAGGAATAAATAACAGTTAGCCCAATAAGTCTAAATAGAAATAGCCTGAAAAAATCGGTATTGCTGTTATATAAGCACTCTATATTTATCAAGAGGTACAGAAAGTGTGTGAAGAAATGGTAAATATATTGGCGAATGGCGACAGAAAATACAACAATAAAAAACGAAAGAACACAAAAAGAAATAGAAGAAAATGGAAGAAAAGGAGAGATAGCCAGATGAAAGATAAAGATAAAGAAAAATAAAGGATTCAACATCAAGGGTAATACATACATAGTACATTAATACACCTTGAGAGAACTAATGATTTGTATTAGTGGAGAATGGTATTAGCGACCAAAACATTTTAACAATGATCCCTTAAATTGCCTATCATTGCTTTTGGTGCTGCCATAAAAAACAAAAATGCTGTAACATTTAAAGATTATTGTGCAGGAATTGTAGGTGTTCTGTACCGAGCATTGAGGAATAGACAAAAGAGTAGAGACCTTCTTGTGGCAGATGTTGATGAGCTTGGAACCTCCAAGGAAAAAATAGTAAGCTTAGCATATTTTTAAGGCTTGGCTAACACTGCTTTTAATTTTTTGCTATAAAGATTTACCACCTTTGTAACCAAAGCATCCTTGCCAATATCTTAATTGATTTCACAAGTAATCCTCTCTTGCCAAAATTGCGGGATGATGTGGAATAGATATGTGAATGTTTCCAAAAATATATACCAAAAAATTACCCAAAAGGCTTTAAATAACCGTCATTGACCACTCCCCTTCTCTTAAGATGAATATCCTTTTCTCAACCACTTATATCGCCGTATCGAATACAATTTTCTTAAGAACTTTAGATTTTTACAGGCAAAAAGATTCTACCATATATATACATATAAAATTAACAATGATTTCTCTCAATTTTCTTTTCTTTTTGTTTAAAACCGAATTCTCATTAGTCTAAAAAAACCATAATTTATCTCAATCTCAAGTAAAAACAGTGTATATGGATATAATATTTACTGTTCATCAGCATTGATTATTAATACTGTTCATTACTACCATTACCATTACTATTAGTATTAATAATAAGACACACACACATATATATATATATAAATAGGTGGCTGCTTTTCAAGACAAGTTCAAATATATACAAACTCGAGTATTTGTGGGCAAATTCTCTTGTAATCAAAGCTTTAATATTATATATTTATCTATCTATCTACAAAGTGTTGTAAAGAAGTATAATAAATCCAAGATTTCTAATGAACTTAATAACCATCATTCACTATTAATAATTTTCTTTTTCTTTTTCTTCTTTTCTTGTCTTTATCGTTGTCGTTGTTGATTTATAGGCGAGTCAGTAAACCAAGAGCAGCTTCCATGTCATTTTGTGTCTTTTCATAAACAGCCTGTGCAGCTTCTACCTCGGCCTTTGTCTATACAAAATAATAATATTGAATTGATGGCAATTAGTTTATATTCTTCTAAATTTTCTTTTTCTTATAATAATAATTGTGTTGTGTGTAATTTACTTTTTGTGGTGCCTTTTCATTTTTCTTCTTCTTCTTTGTCAAATGAGAAGAGAGATCACCCATAAGACCATCGAGTTGATCAGTCAAGGATTCGTCTTTGAACTTTGAAGATTTTGTCATGGACTTTGTCGGTTTCTTTGTTGCGGCATCCTTGGTTGGTTTGGCATAAGGTACTTTTGATCGATCTGTTTGGGCTCTTCTTCCTTTCAATTTACTCATTTCTTTTTTCTTTGGCTTAAGAAATAAAAAAGAAAAAGTGTGTGTATGTACAATGAAACTCAGTAGATATTTGTTACTGAAACTTTATGCTTCTGGATTGCAAGTCACACATTTGCACGTATACGCATATAAGCACATTCCCCACACACACACCAACTCACACTAAGATTTCACAGTAGAAATTGACAGCTTTTTTTTTCACTGTAGAAAAAAATCTACGAGTATTTGAAACAAGCTGTATTATTTTGGAAAGAAATGGCAGATTTTTGAACACCATCTAGCACTTACCAAGTTTAGAATATCTCTATCCTATTTTGGCTCTAGAGAAATATTTTGAAGATGAAAGTCCAGTCGTCAACCCAGGAAACCATCTTGATTTCCGAATAAAGAGAACTACTTGCTTGATTAAAGAAAAATCAACTAGAGGGTCAAACAAACCCTATGAACTCTGTACCTTGGATCTGAGCTTATGCCAGAAACAGTCATACCTACTAATATTTCTTTTTAATGCGAACTTGTGTTTTTATTTCGTAAAGTTTTTTTCTTTCTATTTCTTCTCACTGTTACTATTGTTGACAAGTCTTTGAGGCTTTACAAAGTACTAACCAATAACTTATAGCTTTTGGGCGATAACAATATTAAGCAAGAGATCTATAACAAGACCCTATAACACAAAACCTTTTATCAAAGCCTTACAAGATAAGCACACATACACATATTTTATAGATATAATGATATATAGCTAAAGCTTTTGTAATGTTAAACGAAACTCCCTTTTTTATTTCTGGCCAAAGCGATATCTAGTAGCTTATAAAGACCTTGATCTTACAATTTTAATTACTTTTACTATATTTTATTTAATTTAAAATTATTATAGTCTTCTTCTTTACATACTTATTTTATCATTCGTCTACTATTTTTTAGTACCCTTTGTTAGAGGCAATGCTATAGATATGAGAAGGTTAAAGAAGAGCCTTATTTTATTACTTTTACTATTAATAAAGTCAAAAAATAAAAATATTTTGCTATAAAACATTAAGTTTGTTGGACCAATTATAAGAAAATTTAAAGTACCTAAAAAGGTATAGATCTACCATATTTGGAGCAATTGATTGGATTAGATGCAAAAACAATCTGAAATCCCACAAATCGCATTTGCTGGAGAATCTACGAGCGCGTATATTCGATACGAGCGCGTATAAAAGCTACGAGTACGGAGTTATAAATGCTGCCATTTACCACAGTGTTTCGTTCTTCCTTTTTCTTTTTCTTTCTATTCGGAGTGTAAATTGTGAAAATGATGTATTTCTGTGTATAAAATTAATCTCATAATTGAATACATCTTCCTTTTACTCTCATTTTTATAGAAATGGACGTCGAAAATTCTACAGAGCCAGTTCAAGTAAAACCTTGTAGTGAACCATTCTTTACACTCAGAAGAGATGAGCTACTGGCTGAAAAAGTGCTCTCGTTTTGCCGTGGTGACCAAAGAAGGCGAAGAAGCAGAGAAAGACTGGAATTGGATTCGCGATTTCTTAAACACCTTGGATACCAAGGCAGGAATTCTATCCACAGATGCAGTCAAAAGCAGATACATAGAGCTTGTCGACGAATACAAGGAGACACATGACCGTGAGGTTGCTAAAAGAGGTTATTTTGAGCCTCGGTCTATATTCGAAGGATTCCTTGAGGCCCTTATGATCGAGGTATTTTTTTCTCTTTTCTTTTGACAGGTATATACTGTAAAATATGAAGGTTGTTTAATTAACTTTTATGTATTGATATATAAGGACGAAAAAATGAAAGAAGAAGAAAGGAATCCCGAATTCAAGAAGAAAAGACAGGCAATTAGAAAACATTGTAAAGCCAGATCTAGAGAACTGTTGGACAGAATGGCGGCAACCGGGTCAATGTCATTAAGAGGCGATGATTATGAAGAAGCAATATATGACGAGTCGAAAAGAAAAGAAGAAGAAAAGAAGAAGGAAAAGGAGGAATACAAATTGCTTCGTTCCAAGTTTGACTCTGCCAGTCCTGACAAGAAAGATGGTACTGCCTCTGCTTGCGTGGAAGATGTCAAAAAAATAAGGAGCATGATATGTAGGGCTTTTGAAGATGAATTGGTTGCCACTTTCAGTCGCTATGACCTAACAGGAGCGAGTAAGGCTGAGAGAAAGGCCATCTTTAGTGAAATGGATGAATTAAAGGAGAGCTTACAGGAAATTGAAGGGTCGGTATGTAAGGCTCTGGGGACCATAGATAAATGTCAAAGTATTCTCTCGAAAAGACTGTCAAGATAGGTATGCCTTTAATATATCTTTAACCAAATACAAAGAAGCTAGTCTTCTTATCTTATGTACTTCTTTTATTTTGGCTTACAACAAATTCACCAATAAAACAAGGAATTTTACTATAAAGCATTTTGCATATGGGGAACTAGTATCATATAAGTATAGATACATATATATGCACTTTTTGAGATTTGTGAAAGTTAATTTAACCAATGTTAAATAAAAGCATGTATATATATTACAGGTAGAAATCTAAGGCCATATATCCATAATCCTTATCAATCTTGTAACATCTGTTACCCGGAGTATTAAAATACCCTTATTTTTTCTTGCAGTGACTGTACACACGCACAGGTAAAGAGAGAGGACATGAGTGACTTTGCAATATACAGTATTAAAATTACATAATATATTTCTTTCCTTTTTGTCTCTCTCTCTCTCTGCTTTTATTTCCAGAGTATTTAATGACAACCCTTACGTGGAACGAAACACACACTCTTAATGTACAACATAAATACTGTTATTGCGGTCAAGACCGAAATCTATTAGAGATTTGTCTCCAATGCAAATGTAAGACATTGAAGAAGATTACTACAAAAAAGTAGAGTAAAGAAATAAATAAACAACTATTAGAATTCAACTTGATGTCTTTATTGGGGTCTTTTTTTCTTCTTCTTTTAAAACAAAAAAAAACAAAAATTTGCTCTAAAACCAGAATCCTATAATACATGCACAAATGATATATATAAATCAATACAATTGTAAAAAAAAAAATGTAATATATATATATATATATATATATATACATGTATATAAAACGTTTACAGTTTGTCGCAATTGGTTTCATTCAAAGTGTACACAGGTCTCCAATCCCCCTGATTTATTGTTCACTACAAATTATAGCTTCACATGCCTGAATTGCAACAGCGAGAACAACCAAAAAGAAATCTTTGAACGAACCACGGCTGGTTGGAAAGATATCTGCTCCACAACAATTGCAAACCTCATTCTAGAAGATATCTTGGCTCATGTTGGCACAGATCGCCCAGAACTATTTGACAGCAAACATTCTCGCCTGATGGCTCAGTGGTACCCAGAACAATATTATTTTAACAAGAAAGAAATCATCCCATATGTTGACAAGCATTGGGATAGTATCTGTACAGAACGTATTCGTACTCCAACTTGGTAATAAATTCATTTGTTTCTTTTTTATAGATATATCTATATACATAAGCTAACGTTTTGATATAATTCTTTAAAAATAATAATTAAAGGTGGGCAACACTAGGAAGTTGCTTGTATTCTTCAAAGGAAACGTTTGTGGCGCGCGATGAACGACAACGATCGGCTGCTTCTGACTTTTGTTTGGCAGATGCTAATCTTTGGCACATTAGACCCATTCAAGTAAGTTTCTTTTCATAATCTACCCCAATATATATCTATATATGTATCTACCTACAAATATCGTTTTAATCATTGTTTTAATCATTTGATTTTAATTCATTATTTTTTTATTATAATTTTGTTATGAACATTATCATTATTACTATTACGATTGAAAACCAATCAACAAAAAAGGCAGCAACAAAACCAGTACAGATACCACGAATGACAAAGCAAAGAATGCGATCCGATTCAGATCAACGAGCGATTGCATCTACGGCATCCACATTATTACATCAATCAACTTCATCTTCATCTTCAGCATCCTTGGCAATCACCTCCCCTCCCTCTCAATCCTCACAGTCACAGTCACAATCACTCCAACTTCCTTCATCGCCTGCATTACGATCCGGAAGAGACGGTTCGAATGTCAAGTGGAGATCTGCCACGCCTACGCCGTCCCCAGGCTCAGCATCCCCGGTGCTGGGTGTCAAGACTGTACCGACCGTGTTCTCGTCCACCTCTACAGACCACCCGTGCAATCGATTTGGATTCAAGTACATGCCCTGCGAACAATCGTGTTTGCCACTGGTTGCGTACCAGCAGGCCGACAATGTGCTGGGTGGGTGCACGATCAGCATTGCCGACAAAAGTTCGTATGTGTCTGTGGCCAAGGACGGCCTGACTGTGACAACCGACCGAGGGTTCCGGATGTGCCGGGCCAATGTGGGTGTGAAAGAAGGCAATTGGTACTGGGAGGCAGTGATCCAGCGTGCAAACGGGAGTTCTGGTGCACAGGGTCCGCACGTGCGTGTGGGGTGGGCGCGTCGAGAGGCGTGCCTGAACGGGCCGGTTGGATACGACGCATACGGGTACGGATACCGCGACTTGACAGGCGACAAGCTGTTCTGCTCAAGGCCATCTCCGTATGGCGAGCCTTTTGCGACCGGAGATGTCATTGGTCTCTATATTTCTTTGCCACCACGCACCCACTTCAAGAGTCCGGCGCGCAAGAGAATCCCGATTGCGTACAAGGACCACCTCTGGTTTGAGGAAAAGGACTTTAGACAGTCAAAGGAGTATGAGGCCATGGCAGATCCTTTTAGATCGACCGACAAACCTCTCGATCCACCGCCGCGCACGATCCCCAAATCACACATCACGGTGTACAAGAACGGAGTTTGTCAGGGAGTAATGTTCGAGGACCTGTTTGACTTTGAGGACTTTGGAAGTCTGCCGGATATCATCATGGCTCGGCGCAACAAGCGGCGCAAGAAGCAAAAGAAGGAGACTGTGAATGGAATCCGAATGCGTATGGAAGAAGATGAATTTGATGGCGTGAGGGCGCAGCAGTGGACCGAGGACCCACCCCTTGAAGACGACGGTACACTTGGATATTATCCTGCCGTCAGTGTCTTCCAGGGCGGAATGGTGACCTGCAACTTTGGACCTGATTTCCAATACCCACCTTCACCCACAACCACTAAGGGCGAATTGTGGAAGCCGATGAGCCAACGCTATGATGAGTATATGGCCGAGGAGTGTGTGTGGGATCTGTTGGATGAAGTGTCAAGGTCATCTCGTAAAAAGGAAACACCAAGACAAAATAGATAGGCTCGGCCAATCACAGCCACAGATCTCGATAGAGTTTCCAAAATAAGCAAAACCCACACAATTCACTGTATTTATGATTAAATCGCCACTACTAAAATAAAAAATAAAAAAATAACGATTGACAAATAACAAGATACAAACCAAAGGAAAAAACAACTGAGACAAAAACCACACCATACAAACCATATACCTTTATAATATGTATAGTGACAGACAAGGCAATATGGTATGAGAAACATATAGGAACGGTTTTCATTATAAGAATTTGTAATATGTTTTTTTTTTAAAATAAAATATATACAGAAATATAAATAAAATACAATAAAATTTTTCCGATAGACAACATACATATTTTTTTTTAATTTTTTATTTATTTATTTTTTATTATTTTTTTTTGAAAATTATTTAATTTTTTTATTTAATTTTTTTTATTATTTTTTCACTTTCTTCTTTCTTTATTTTATTTTATTTTAAAAAAAATAGAAAAATGTCCACTGTTGAATTTGTCAACGAGAAGAACCTCCAGAAGGATCCCTTCACTGGCGAGATGATTTCCAAGTCGTAAGTATTACAAGGAAACAACACTGAAGAAGAAGAAAAAAGAAGAAGAAAGAAAGAAAGAAAGAAAGAAAAAAGGAGACGTTAAAGAAGTTCAAGTACGCGCAACCAAGAGTACTCAATTGATATTGATTGAATTTGTGGAATTCGTGTGGCTGTATGTTTATAAAGGGAAATCAAGCGTCGTACTAAGCAGCGCGAGAAGGAAGCTGCCAAGGCTGCCAAGGCCGCTGCGGCTCCTGTTGTCGAGAAGACCAAGAGTGCTGAGGAGGGTGAGGATGAATTGAACCCCAACCAGTACTTTGAGTTGCGTTCCAAGAGCATCCGCCACTTGCGCGAGACTCAGCAGCCCAACCCTTACCCCCACAAGTTCCAGGTCGAGTTGAGCTTGCCTGAGTTTATTGCCAAGTACAACGATATCCCCACTGGCGAGCGTCAGGACAACCAGATCGTGACTGTGTCAGGTCGTATCCACAACAAGCGTGCTGCTGGCGCCAAGTTGAGATTCTACGATCTCCACGGTGAGGGCGTCAAGATCCAGGTCATGGCTGCTGCTCAGGATGCCGAAGACGAGTCCAAGTACGCTGAGATCCACGACCTTTTGCGCCGTGGTGACATCGTTGGTGTACGTGGTGTACCCGGCAAAACCAAGCGCGGTGAGTTGTCCATCTTCCCTAAGTCTATTCTGTTGTTGTCTCCTTGTCTGCGCATGTTGCCCAAGGCAAACTACGGCTTCAAGGACCAGGAGCTCCGTTACCGCCAGCGCTGGATCGATTTGATCATGAACAACAACGTCCGCGACAAGTTCATCACCCGTGCTAAGATCATCTCTCACCTCCGTAAGTTCTTGGATACCCGTGGTTTCCTTGAAGTCGAGACACCCATGATGAACCAGATTGCCGGTGGTGCCACCGCCAAGCCCTTTGTCACCCACCACAATGACTTGAAGTTGGACATGTTCATGCGTATCGCCCCTGAGCTCTACCTCAAGATGTTGACCGTCGGTGGTCTTGACAGAGTCTACGAAATCGGACGTCAGTTCCGTAACGAGTCCATCGATCTTACCCACAACCCCGAGTTCACCACCTGCGAGTTCTACATGGCCTACGCCGATATGTACGACTTGATGAACATGACCGAAGAGTTGTTGTCCGGCATGGTCAAGGCCCTGTTCGGATCGTACAAGGTTGAGTACCATCCCCAGGGTCCCACCGAGCCCGCTCTCGAGATCGATTTCACTCCTCCCTTCCGCCGTATGGACATGATCCAGACCCTTGAGGAGAAGCTCAATGTCACCTTCCCTGCCGGCGACAAGTTGCAGACCCCCGAAGGAACCAAGTTCCTTTCCGACCTCTGCATCAAGCACAACGTCGACTGCTCTGCTCCCCGCACCAGTGCCCGTCTCTTGGACAAGCTTGTCGGTGACTTCCTCGAGGTCTCTTGCATCAGCCCCACCTTCATCACTGGTCACCCCATGATGATGTCTCCTCTTGCCAAGAAGCATCGCGAGCGTGCCGGTCTCTGCGAGCGTTTCGAGCTCTTTGTTGCCACCAAGGAAGTCTGCAATGCCTACACCGAGTTGAACGATCCCTTTGACCAGCGCGAGCGTTTCGCCCAGCAGGCCTCGGACAAGGATGCTGGTGATGACGAGGCTCAGATGATTGACGAGAACTTCTGTCAGGCTCTTGAGTATGGTCTGCCCCCCACTGGTGGTTGGGGTATGGGAATTGATCGTTTGACCATGTTCTTGACCAACTCCAACAACATCAAGGTAAATAATGTTTTTTATTTGAGTTATAGATGTAGCTGTAGTTATAGTTGGCAGAATGAGAATGAGCGCAGGACAAATACAAAGAGGAAGAGGGAATAGTCTATTGGCTTATCGCAAGAGGTGTTATATGTATGTCTGTGTTTTTGTTCTAAACATGATTTTTCTTAAAAATTCTATAGGAGGTCCTCCTCTTCCCTGCCATGAAGCCTGAAGAGAACTAATAAGTGAATTCCCCTCATAATATTATATTTCATTATTCTCTTTGTTACTCTCTCTCTCTCTCTATTACTCTATCTATCTTTTGATCTCTCATTATTCTCCCTTTTTTTTTGCCTTGTACTTTTCATTCCAAAAAACCAACATTCAAAAAATAAAAATGAAAATATACTCCTTTAATACAAACAATTATCATCAACATTAACCATTAAACAATACAATACATTACATTACATTACGCTACGTTACAATACACAGAAGATGATTTCTCTCTTTTTATGCCTCTTCTGATTCTACTGTATCGGCAGTTTTGGCAATAACCACAGTGCAAGGACAATTATGAGCACAGTAGTCGCTCACACTACCCAAGAAAGCACGCTTGATGGCACCCAATTGACGAGATCCCATAATCAGCACATCGGCCTTTGTTTCAATAACCTTGCGCACAATCTCACTCTTTGGGTCTCCGATCATCGACACTGCCTTGCAAGTAATCTTTTTGGAGACCAGTTCATGAGCAAACTCCCGTAGCATCTTGTGGCTTTCTTCGCGTCGGATATCTGGTACTTCTTGTCCACTACTGGTTGTGTTCATGTATGGAGCAGATGGAATATCAATAGGTCTGACATGAATAAGGACCACCTTTTTAAGTGTTTTCTTAGTGTGAGCCACAATCCTCTCATTATTTATTTTTCTAAAAAAAAAAAAAAGACTTACTAGATCTGATTCTGGGCGAATAAACTGTTTGACTGCCCAGTTGAGGACACTATGGCCTGACTTTTCTTCAATACAGACAAACACAACACGGTCAATATGTTGTCCTTCGGTGTCTAGTTCAGGGTGGTCTGAGTGAAGGGTCACGTCATGATGAGCTTCTGTTGCCATTTGGATAAATATGTGTTTATGCGTATGATTATGTAAATATGTATACAAATATACAAATATATATATATATATATAGAAGAGGTATAGAAAATGTATAGAAAATAAGAAGAAGAAGAAGCAGAAGCAGAAGCAGAAACGAAATTAAACTAAATTCAAATATTTAGTAGATATTTTATGGTTTCAGCTTGTATATTCACATGTACGCATTTATTGGATGATTTATTTATTTATTTATTTTATTATAAAATTAAAAGGTTAAAATCTCTAGACATCACTGTTTGTGTACTGTAACTGTAATTGTACTGTTGTATGCTGTAATGTACTGTATGAGTATTTTGTAAAGCTAAGACCCGTCTGCACCCGTTTTCTATAAAACAGTAAATCACTCTTTGTTACACTGCACTCCGCTACATATCCTCACTTTCTCTCTCTCTCTCTCTTTCTCCTTGTACTTCTCTATGAATCTCTTGTCCATTAATAAAATACTTTATATATATATATACATGGCAGACAAACCAATAATTTAATCAGTGAAAACGGATAATGTGAAAGGAATTAAAATGGAATCGAACAGAATAAACCCAGAATGTGATAAGCCACTCTTATCTATACCGTGTCTGTAATTAACAATTTTTTAGAATAGGGAATGAACAGACTATATAAATAAAAAAAAATATATATCAACTATTTTTTTCCCTTGCTTATTTGTTTGTTTATTTTATTTTAAATTTTCATCTAAAAAAAAATATGCTGTGGAGATCTTCTTTAGTGCAGTGCCGCCCGTTGCACACATATGTCCAGCGTGCGGTGTGGAACAAGGCCCACCTCAGAAAGCTTAAAAAGAATGAACTACTAGAACTAGCACAAGAACACAACATTGACCCCACAGGCACAAAGAACGAACTTATCAGTCGCCTGGCTGCGTTCAAGGACCCAAAGGTTGCTAGACACCCTGACGTTGTTCCTGACTCAACTTCCACAAAGCCGGCATCATCTACACCTACACCTACACCTACACCCACTCCATCCACTCCACCAACAACCCTGGAACCAATCGCCTCTACCCCAGCAGTCGAATCCACCCGAACCACCGAACCAGAGGACGAAGGCGATCTCGAGTGGGCCAAAGCGTTTGCATTGAGAGCATCCCAGCGTACCAGCAAACCAATCAGCAACAACGCCAAAAAGCTCCCTGCAAAACCTCATCCTTTGGCACCATCGCCGCCACCTCTCACCAAACCAGTCGAACAAGTTGAATTGGAAACACCCAAAGTCGAAACTGAACTCAAACCTGAGACCGACGAAAACGATGCGCCAGAGGATGTTAATGTTGCTTGGATGAAAGCCTTTGAACAAAAGGTTGGTACCCATGGAGCAAGAGGAGCACCCTCAACAAAATCAAAATCTTCGACCATCATGCCAGACAGTCTCAAAACTGTTGCTAATGAGACTCCGATCGAAAATCCAATTGATATTTCTGCATTGAAGCAGTCTTTGTCGTCATCAACAACATCATCAACTTCATCAACTTCATCAACACCACCATCAACACCACCTACTCCGCAATCAACACCGGTATCATCGCCATCTTCATCAACTCCATCTCCTCCCCCACCTTCACCAGAATCTCCATCAAATGTAGGAAAAGATTGGGCACCGGCCAGTAATCCTGCAGATCAAGGACAGGAAGATATGTTGAGAGAAATGTTGGAAATGGTTCAAAAGGACCAAGCTGAGGCTATTGCACGGGAAAATGCCGAAAGTGAATTACACCGTCAGACCAAAAAGAACAAAACAACCCAAACCAATAACAGTAATAGCTGCACTGAGATGTTGCGTGAGAAACATCAATCATCAAACTCTTCACACGAGTCTAATGCTGGAGAAACTAGCAGCCGTGATATGTGGATCAACGGAACCATTGGAGCAAGTGTGTTGGTCTGGTTGACAATGGGAGAAGATGGACTCAAAGAGCTGTTCAAATCCAAATCCAAATCCAATTAATGACAATCTTTATTATCAGCTTTCTTTTCTTTTCTTTTTTTGTTCTTTTCATATTAACTTTTTAGAAATATTCATATAAACGCCAGGCATTCTCTTGTTCTTCTTTATCCTTTATGTATATAAATATTTATATATTCATATATTTATACACCATCTCCCTGTCTCCATCTCTCTCTCTCTTTTAATACACTCTGCCTATTCATATATCATTATTAATAACCCATAGACAATATAATAATAATAATAATAATAATAAAGAAGGAGGGAAAGAGGTATAGTAAATAAAATAAAGGAACAATAAAGAGGGAGGCTATTCTTCATTTTTTAACTTTGATTTTGATTTTTGGGTTTGGGTTTGACCTTGGCCTTGACCTTGACTTTGACTTTGACTTTGGTTTTTGTTAATACCAAAATAATTATTAATAACCTTTATACTTTGTAGCAGTAGATTTTTCTTTTATTGCACAATACAATACACAAAGTACAGTAATAATAATAATAATTGTAGTAGTAGTAGTAGTAGTAGTAGTAGTAGTAATTAAATAATGAGGAGAAATAATAAAGAAAGAAGAGGAAGAATAGGAGAAAAAGAGAGGGGTATTATTATAAGCAAGTGCATTCAAGATATACAAGAAGAATATATATAAAAATAATAATAAGAAGAAGAAGAAGAGGTCGCGACTTATCTACACACACTAATGAACTAAAGAAGTAAAAATAAACCCCAAGAGTTCTTTAATATTCATTTGTTTTGTTTTTTTTTTTTTTTTTTTTTACTGGTTTTATTCATCTTCATCCACAGGTACATTGATGAATTCTTGGATATCTCTTGCCAATGATTTCTGTAACCTGTCTTTACCCAAACAACTTGGCATGAATGCTATATATAAAGTTATGAGCACAAAAAAAAATTTATAAAGGTGTGTAAAAATAAAGTCAAGTTAGTGATACATGTAAAGAAAAAAAATGTATGTTTTATATCTATATTTAATAGAATTGTTTCTAATCATCATTAAGTTTACCTGTAACACATTGTGAGTGACTCATTGATTTGTAGAATAGCATGCGAATGTCGACTTCAACGCGGCGTTCGGGTGACAAGACTTCTCCGAGGACGTTGTACATCTCCGCCGATTGTTCCTTTGGTACGGTGGTGTCAATTTCACCATGTATAAACAGAATCCTGGGCATAAAGTCAATCACTTCGGTCGAGGTAGCAAACAGTCCCTGACTGGATCTTATTAACTCGGTCGGCGAGTTTGCTCGATAGCCATCCACACTAGATCCCATTGCCCGTGCCATGGCTGATATCTTTTCCACTCCACGACTTGTTTCATGTTCAAGGTGAGTTTCAATGTTGTAAACACCCGCGAGTCTGATAAACATAGCACACACAAGAGAAAAAAAAATCAAAACGAATTACAGATAATAATCAAATGTCAAAAAAGAAAAAGAAAAATCACTTACAACAAGAGACCTTCGACTTGAGGTAAGAAATCATAGATGCTTCCATGAATAGGATGATGGCTGTGGTTATAAAGTGGCAGTGGTGGTGATGGTGGTGGTAATGAAGTTGTATGATGCGGTGGTGCCATCATCATAGGTTTGATAATTGATGATGGATCATGCTTTTCACTGATCAATGATGACATGTTGCTATTGCTGCTATTATTACTATTAATACTACTGGTATGGTTATGGCCGTGGCTATTATGATTCGCTGTTCTGTCACGAGCTGCTTCAGCATAGGATGCCTTGTCAACCAAATCGGTCAAGACAACCTGGGATACAAGATGTGCACCTGCACTGTGGCCCATGACATAGAGCAGTTCTGGATCTCCGTGGATTTCGGAAGCATGTTTGTAGGCCCACTTGATTGCCTGTCGAACGTCGGCATACATCTCGTCCACCATGACACGCGGGTATTTGCGATAGTCGGGCACAACAACCACATAGCCCATCTCTCGCAGCGTATTGGCCAGTGGGGTGTAGATGTATTTTGACCCAGATGACCATGACCCGCCATAGATGAATACAACGATTGGTGATTTCTTTTTATCGCCCAAAGGACTAGCACTAGGTGAGTAGACGTCGAGCTTACAGTCTGGATCAGCATCCGAATAAGTAATGTCCCGCCTAAAAATAAATAAATAAGATAATATAATATAAATTATTTTATATAAAAGGGTCCGAGATTAATATAGATAAAGAGATAAAGAACAATAAGCATTCTATGTAATGTAGTGTAATGTAGTATAGTGTAGTATATTAAATATAACATAATATATATTTATATTTATATCCTCGGGTCCTTTTATATGCATATATACATTTACATAATGACTATAGTTATTGTTGCCTTACTTTACAATGTGTTGGAATCTTTGGTTTCTCATGGTCCAGTAGCGCCAATAGATGAATGATACGATGATTGGGATCTCATAGATCCATCCGACAAGAAGATCGAGTATAATGAGGTTGATTTTGAGTACGCGTGAGGGATTATAAGGTAGATTGAATTCGACATGGGTCTGTGCGAGTTGGAGATATACTATCCAAGCAATTAAATACATGGCACCTAGACAAGAAACAATATGTGTATATATATGTTAATATTAATTCTTTTCTTAAAAGAAATAAATAAAAAGATAGATATAATATAAAAAAAGACTTCTTACCAACAATACATGCAATTAGTGGTAGGCATAGTACTGCACAGAGGACCATGACCGGCAAGAAGAACAATGAGGCCGACACAAAGATGGTTCGAGATTTAAATAGAGGCATTGCGTTTTTCCCATAGACCGACTTTTGTATCATTATTATTTAATAATATTTTAATATATTAAATATTATTTGTATTATTATTATTATTATTTAAGAAATAAATATTATAAATAATTCATATAATATATATATATATATAAAATATTATTTATATATTGATAATATTTGATTTACAAGATTTTTGATGAGTACTTTTGTATGTATTTACAGATATACAAATATATATATATATATATATATATATATATATATATATAGTTTATCTATTGGATAATTCGAAATATAGTTTTGGATTTGGATTTTCTTACATACAAATATTAAATATATAGCTATCAATATATATATATATATATATATAAAAGAGAAAGAGGAAAGAAAGGACGAGTGAAAGAAGAGAAAGAGAGAGAAGAAAAATATTAAAAATTAAAATTAAATATATATTTTATATACAACAATAATTATTATTGTAAAATTAAAATGTTAACAAATATATATATATATATTTCTTTAATATTCTTAAGATAGGCTTATGAATATGTCAAATAATAATAAAGAGTAAGAATAAAAAGAATAGCGTGTTTCTGCTTAAAATTTGTTATAAGAGAGAGAGAAAGAGAGAAGGAGAACAATCTGATACAAATACGATTATTTATTTATTTATTTATTTATTTATTTATTTATTTATTTATTTTGCAATATCCCTTTTTTGTGCCTGTGCTTGTGCTTCTCTTTCTTATTGTGTATTTTATGTCTTAAAAAGAAGGGGTGGAAAAGAGTGACGCTATTAAACTATCATGATTATCATGATTATTTAATATAGATATATTTATACGCAGGAATTATTTCTTTTATTTAAAATGTCTCTATTCACACCAAAATCACACACTTTACATAGATGTATCATTGTTGTTGTGTATACGCTTATGTCTATGTCTAGCTTGTATGTCTGTGCGCAAGATTATAAGAAATTGATCAAGCAATGGGTGCAAGACTTGGCTTTTATCTCTTTTCTTTTCTATTGCTTTCTTTCATTACTTCCTCCCTTTCTTCTTGTAGTACTTTATATATTTATTTATTTAGATTTCTTTAATCTAGTTTTATCTATCTATTGGCTTGTTTAGATCAATAAATGTCAAATAATTTAGGGTCATTTATTATATTTATTGGCTCGATAGTATTCAATAAATTCGTGTGGCTGGACTCAATTCGACTCGACTCAATTCACCTTTTATTCAATTACATTCAATTCAATTCAATTCAATTCAATTCAATTCAATTAGATTCAATTGAACCAGACCAAACTTTATATTATTTGCATATGTATAAATCTAATCTTGTTTTGGGAGTATTGGGTTGATTAGGAATCGCAAAAGTGGTGCCACCAATATCTCTATTAAATATACACATGTAGGATGTACAAGGGCCCCTTTATATTCACCCACAAAAGGAGGTCAATTGGGTATTTAACCTATCTATATACTCATCTACTTATCTATCTATCTATCTAATTATTTTCTTTCTTCATTTCTTTATTTAAAGACTTGGATATATATGTATCCATGGTTACAAATATTTTTCTATTTTTTGAATATTACTTTAATATCCAATCATACTAATTACACTCCTTTATCAAAGTACTTCTTTATCAAGCATCGTCTGACCACTCTGTGTTGTATTTAAAGATGTCAAACTATATATATACATGTACTCACATGTATATGTAATTTAATAATAGTAAATAATATATTTTTTTGTTTATTTATTCACTATTTTGAACTTGGATTTCTGATAGGTTTCTTTAACTCTACTTTTCTATCATAACATATTATGTGTATTTTTCACCCCCTTATTTCTTGTTTTTATTTTGTCTCTCTCTCTCTCTCTCTCTCTCTCTCTCTCTCCTCTCTCCTATTTCCTTGTGAAGAGATTTGATTTTCTGATAATCATGTGAAAGCAGTAGGATGAAATAGACTTTTTTTTATATAGAGATCTTTATTCGTTACAACCCTTTTTTTTTCTGGCTTGCTTTCTTGAACACAAGCATTCAATATACCCTTTATGGAATTATGCATTATCTTATTATAAAGCATGCACACAGATGTACATGTATGTATATATGTATATGTATATATCCATGCATATACATTGAGAGCTAACTAGATCAAAATATACAGATACAGAGATAGCAAATGGAGAGAGTGAAATTGTGTGTATGTCTGTGGCTTTATTAATATTCATGTCAAACCAACCAAGTTTCTTATTTATGTATATTTCTATCAATTCAAATTACAAATATAGTCTCCTTTCTCCCTTTCGCTTATTATCTATATAGATCCATACCTTGCTTTACCTTCTTTCTTTCTTTGTCTCTTACAAAATCAACCTTCCCTTTTTATTTCTTTGAGTTCTCCTTTATCAAATATTGATTTACAATACACAATATACATTATACGGTATTTAAGCCAAATCCTGTTTACAAATCAACATTTGTTCAGGAGAGATATCGAAAGATCAAGTTGCCTTTATGAAGATAATGGACATTTTTTTTGGTTGATTTAATTGACTAAACCCTATCTTATTTGATAGGCGTTTATATATATATATATATTTGTGTATAGTTGTGTGCTTACAGTCTAGTCTAGTCGAGTGTAATATGCAATAAGTACTATGAGTCTTTGTACTTTGACGGATTGTAATTATTTTATTTTATTTATTTATTGCTTTATTTATTACCTGTCCAAATCCAAACCAAAAACTCAAAACTCAAAACTCAAAACTCAAACCAAACAACCAAAACGCAACAACGCCATTTGGACGTCTCTTTCTGTCTTCATTTTCTTTTATTCTTTAATTTCTCTCTTTTAATTTTTTTAATAATTTATTTTAAATTCTATTTTATTTTTATATATATTTTTTTTTCTTTCTTTAATTAATTCATCTTCTTCCTCGTTCTTTGATTTGACCTGGAGACAACAACTATGGAACTCGAACAAAGTCTAGGTCAATTATTTGACCATCCTTCTCAGCTGAGACTTGTGAATGCAGCTGAACAGATTCGAGTATCCACAAATGTCGAGATGACCCTGACTGCCCTTACATTCCTTCGTCTCAAGGCAATGCAACTAGACACCGAAGCAAAGACAAAACTCAGCACCATCTATGCAGAGGGCCAAAAGGATGTCATCGAAAAGGATCAGGATGAAGCCGACCTGTGGTCCAGAAGTGTATTCGACAAACAGCTCAATCAGGCACTTGTCATCAGCACAGATGATCTCATCACAATCGGAAAACAACAGCCACCCAAGGTTGCCCTGTCGACCACGGCTCTTATCATGGCTGGTGCGGAACAAGGTGTGCCGACCCTTTGCTACCTGGCCGGTATTATGTTGACCAAGGGAGTCGGCTGCGTTCCTGACATCGACAGGGGTCTGGCATTCCTAGAACGCGCCGGTGAACAGAAGCAGCCAGACGCTGCCTACGAATTGGGCAGATTCTATAGCGACCGGTACAATTACTCACGTCCGGATCTCAAGCAGTCCCTGTACTGGTACCAGCGCGCTTACGAGAACGGTGACACCCGTGCCCTGGTCGATCTGGCCTATGGGTTCTCAGAGGGGGATCTTGGACACGACGTCCCACGTGATGACGATCGGGCGTTCAGGTACGCTGAACAGGGAGCCAAGACCGATGACAAGTACTGTCAATATATCTTGGGCCACCTCTATCTGAAAGGCCGTGGAGTCGTCCAGGACTCGGAGAAGGCTGTCCACTGGCTCAGTGCCTCAGCCGAACAGGGCTTTGCAGTAGCTCTCGAAGAAATCTCCGCTATTTATCTCAAGGGTCATGGCGATGTCCCAAAGAACTATCAGCTGGCACACGACTGGTGTCTCAAGGGTGTTTCGACAACAGCATATTGTCAGACTTCTCTAGGTGATATTTACCGAAACGGCTGGGGTGTGCAGCGGGATTACCAAAAGGCTTTCCAGTACTACCAGACAGCTGCTATCCAACCAGATTCACCGCACCACTATGCACAGCACATGCTTGGAGAAATGTAAGGATTCTTATTGGATTTGAATTTGGAATTGTAGAGTGGATTTGAGATTTGAGATTGAGATTGGATTTGGGAATGGAGTAGAATATGGTAGAGTGTGGGGTTGGAGGAAGATGGAATTGGTATGGTATCGGAAGTGCAAGTGAATAATTAAGTGGGTTTGGCTTGGTTTAGTTGGGTTGAGGGACGCCAATAATATTCTACATATATAAAAACCAATGGGAACAATTGGATTACAATGCATACATACATACATACATACATATTTTGTTTTTGATAAAAAGGTTCCTTAATGGTGAGGGTGTACCACAAGATCTGGCGGTTGCTAGGGAATGGTTCCAGATTGCGTCAGGACAAGGTTATGAACCATCCCGGCTCAAACTTCAGATCTTGGCTGCCACCAAGAGCATTGTGCCCGCTGAGAGCTCGCCAAGAAACTCATCCAGTCCAAACGGATCGACCCGATCCTCTTTGGCCGATATACCACCCACACCACAGCCTGTTCAAGAAAAGAGAAGCAGTCGATGGTCAATAGGTTTCTTTAACAAGAAGAAAACATCATCATAATAGTAACAGCAGCAACAATAAAAATAAAAATAAAAATAAAAATAATAAAAATAATAATACTAATACTAATCATAGTAGTAATTATAGTAAAGAATCTTAATATCTTAATATCAAAAAAAAAAAGCAACGCGATTTCTTTTCTTCTTCTTCATTAACCAATTATACATAAAAGCTGCATGCAATTCAATGTAATGCAATTCAAATTGATAAGTTGAAACACGGATAAAAAGAGACAAAATGATAGATATAATTATACGTTTCTTGTATATAAATCATACAAGTATATACAATCTACACAGATACACACACAAATGTATATATATATATTGCTGATTTCCTCTTTGATACTTTGAGCTTCAAGTGCTTATCTAACGTTTCATAAGTTTATTATTTGATCTGTTTGTGTTTGTATGTGTAGTGTGTGAAGTACAGGAAAAAAAATCTGAATATTAATAAAAAAGAACTACCAAGAAAAATAGACTACTCTTCATTATTAGTTTTTTTTTAAAAAAGTTTCATTGATCCGAATGAGTCTATTAATATGGTATGGACTATCACAAAGACTGGGATTAAATTCCTTCTTCTTTTGTTTCTTTAAAATCTTCGGACATAAAAGGCTGTTGTATTAAACCACGTTTCATGGCGATACTTGTACATTTAATATCTTCTTATCTTTATTAGAGTATATCTTTCTTATAACAGCAACAATAACAATAGTATAGTAGCAACCAATAAGATCAATTGTATCATATCATATCATATCATATCATATCGTATCTATAGAACTTATAACCTAATTTGACCTTTAATTTCTATATTATATACAAAGACACATACATAAAAGTAGTAAAATGAGTTTTGAAACAGCTTTGATTAGAAATCATTAGCACACGACCTTTATCTCGCAGAAACTTGAAATTCTCATTTTTCTTTGTGCTTAAATATTTAGAGAAAATCATTACGGGTATTTAAGAGAGTACTGGTTATTTTTATTTTTCTCTAATATATTCAATCGTATATATATTGCAAAAGATGTCCCGTTGGCAGATAACTTGGCTACTCCATAAAAAAAAAGGACAGATATAAGCTATACAGGATAGTGACTGACTCGCACACATATTGTAGACAGTTGCAACTTTCTTCTTTTTCTTAAAACAGTTCATATGTGAATGCTCGGTTTAACTTGTATATAATCATTAAATGTTAGCGCATCTAAAATAAAAGCGACAAAAAAGATAAGCATAGTAAAAGGCTGTTATCATAGAAGAAAAAGAAAATCGAGCAGAGCTTTAAGCCATCTAACACAAAGCTAGTTTGAATCTAGTTTCCCAAAACTAAAGGATTATCTCATAATTATAGTCTATCTATCCTACCAAGATATTCACATACAGACCCATATCAGTACTGAATAAAATTTTAAGATTCCGCCAAATCAAGGCATCACCATTACACTACTTTTTAGGGCAATGATATGAACATGCAAAAAAAGACCAAAAGGGAGAATTAAATATGATGTCACTTATAATTGGCCTTTGGGAGTGTTACTGACAAATTGAGCACTGATAAGACATGCAAAAGCAACCAAATTGAAGAATTAAACGTGATGTCACCTATAATTGACTTTTGGGAGTGTTACCAACAAATTGGTCACTGATAAGACATGCAAAAGTGAGCAAATTAGGGCAATGATATGGACATGCAAGAAAAATTAGGGTCGGACATGCAAAAGCAACCAAAAGGGAGAATTAAATGTGACGTCACTTGTAATTGGCCTTTGGGAGTGTTACTGACAAATTGAGCACTGATAAGACATGCAAAAGCAACCAAATTGAAGAATTAAATGTGACGTCACCTATAATTGACTTTTGGGAGGGCAATGATATGGACATGCAAGAAAAATTAGGGTTGGACATGCAAAACAAGACCAAAAGGGAGAATTAAACATGACGTCACTTGTAATTGGCCTTTGGGAGTGTTACTGACAAACTGAGCACTGATAAGACATGCAAAAGCAACCAAATTGAAGAATTAAACGTGACGTCACCTATAATTGACTTTTGGGAGTGTTACCAACAAATTGGACACTGATAAGACATGCAAAAGCAAGCAAATTGAAGAATTAGACGTGACGTCACATATAATTAGTTTTGCATGTTACATGCATTTTTTTTTTTGGGGGGATCAGATAAATTACCCTCCAGATTGCCAATTAAATCACTGCCCTTTTTTACTACAACGTCAGCGCATAATTTTTTTTGACATTTAACATGAGCAACATTAACAACATCAACAACACCAATGACTTTGTCATTGTTAGCGAGACATCGAAAAAGTACGATGCTGCCTTGACTGAGTTCAACTCAATTTTTCTTGTTGGAAGAGAATTCTCTTCAGCTGTAGCTGTTCGAGAAGCTGCCAAGGCATATGGTGTCAAGCATAACATTGCTCTCACTACTGAATATGCATCAAGCTCTTGCATCAAATTGATTTGCAAGCACTCTGGCGAATATAGAGATACCAGAAAAGCCGAGAAGGTTGCTTCCAAAACATCAGTTATGGGTGAAACTCTTCCTGGATGGGAGAGAAAGCACGAAAAAGACACGCAGAAGCATGGCTGCCCTTGCTTCATGCATGCCAACACCAAGAAGGGCGGAAAGCTCACTGTGCGCTCCCATGAGACAGAGCATAACCACTCCATCAAAGAAGACCGCAGAGCATATGTTATGCACCGCAAGCTCTTGCCTGAGGCAATGGCACTTGTGGTTAAGCATCTGGAGAACAATGACAATGTATCCACCATCTTCAACAGTTTGAAGATAAATGGATATACAAACATTGTTTGTCATGACATTGCTAATATAAAGCAACATTTCGGAAAATCGGAAAAAGGAAAGGAGATGTTTGACTTTATCACCACTCTGCAAGATCTTGACTTCCATGTCAGGTATTCTGTTGGTAATACAGAAGACAATCAAGTGAATATGGTCTTTTTTGTGCATCAGAATGCGATCAATGAGACACAAAGAATGCCTGAGACTGTCATTATTGATGCCACATATAAGACAAATAGTCATCGAATGACTTATGTCAACATTGTTGGTACTAGCAATGTGAGTGGAAACCCTCGTACCACTTTAAAGACGTATCCAATTGCCGGTGCTTGGGTAGAGCATGAGACAGAAGAAAATTATCTCTGGGTGCTTAGCTGTCTCCGCAATGCAGTCTGGCCTGATGACAACAACAACAACAACAACAACAACAACAACAACAACAACAACAACAACAACAACAACAACAACAACAGCAACAGCAGCAACAACAAACAAACAACACTTCTCCCAGATGTTTTTATCACGGACAATGAAAAAGCATTGAGAAATGCTATTACTCGAGTCTTTCCTGAGTCAAAGCAGTTGTTGTGCTATAAGCATATCAAAGACAACTTTAAAAAGCAATTGCTTTCGATGATGAAGGGAGATGAGAGTAGCAAAAAGAGAGACCTGTTAGATAAGCTGTCAGAATTCCTTGACTGAATTGCTTTAAAATGCATTACATATCAAGAAGTAAAAAACAAAACAAATGGATACCTTGAATTTGCAAAGGAAAATTGCAAATACCAGGGAAAAGCTGCTAGTGCTTTTCTTGAGAAGTATGTATAAATTTTTTAAATTTGATATAAACAGTATTTAACTATAAAAAATTGTGTTTTTTTAATATACGTTATCAGAAAAATGAAAGACAAGGAAAACTGGGTGAACATGTATGTTTACAAACATGCCCATTTTGGCAATTGCACGTCGGACCGTGCAGAAAGTGCCCATGCTTCTCTCAAGCATTCTCTTGGTACTTCTTTGGGTAAACTGAAGACAGTTACCCTTAAAGTAAAAAAGTAGTATGACAAGTTGGTAAGTTTGTTCTATACTATTTTATGCATTTATTGGTTATAATATATTTATAAATTGTACAGGTTGCAGATTGCAAGCATCAGCTAATGGTAGAAAGCCTTGGAGAAGGAACAAAAATTGTGTTCGATAAAGTCAATGCCGCCAGACTAAATGACATCTGTCTTAAAGTCTGTAGATTTGCAATGGATCAAATCAAATTAGAATTATCCAAATCCATTATACCCAAAAAACTAGCCAAAGAGTATAAATGCCTCATACAATACAACTACCTGCTTCCTTGTTACCACACACTTGCCAAATTCGATACCATCCCAATCTCCTGCATCTCAAGATGCTGGAGAAAAAACTATCTAGAAGGAGAAAGTAATATATATAATAATAGCAATAATTACGTGACGATTTTCTCATATAACATTTTATTATGTAGACCATTTAACTATCTAAAATGCAACCCCAGTACCCCCAAACATCAACAATATCAAACCAATAACCCCAAAATTCAACTATGCTCTTGAGCTTATTTGTGAACATTTCGCCAATGCTCAGAGTGAACAAGAACAAATCAATATATATCAATGGATAGAAAAAACTTTGAAATAAATTGACGCACAGAAACTCGAAAACCTTAAGGGCCCAACAGTAGTTGAAGCCATTAAAGGCCGACCAAAAAATACCAAGTGCAAGATGATTGCATTAGAGCATTGCATCAATACCAAAAAAGAAAAAATCACAAAAAAATTAAAACAGAAAAAGAACAAAAAAAGTAAGATTTTAATATTGTTTAGATTTAATTTACTAAATCTTTGCTTTGTTTTCTAGGCAAAAAATATCCTCAGCTAAAGAGCAAAAAGCCATAAAAAATATTATCAATCTTGGGTCACCATGCGATCCCACATTACTAACAAATCTCACAATTGCACCAAAACATATATCAACAATCTTTTCTCCTGAAGCAGACGGAAATTGTGGATACAGGGCAATAGCAATGGAAGTGTACCAGGACCAGGAGGAGTGGTCAAAAGTAAAAGACAAAATGCTAGAAACATTTTTAAAGCACCAAAACAACTACTACCACGGAAGAATGGAGCATGGCAATATGCCTGCATCCAATAACCCACTAATTCGCAGTCTCCAAGACAAGCGCTCACCTCTCCCCCAGCAACATTGGTTCAGTACAATCGACCATTCTCAACTTGTAGCCAATATATTTAGCAGAGCAGTGGCTGTATATTGGAATACTCCAATTGAAACAGGCGACTGTCTTTTTGTTCCATTTGCTACCTTGTCAGAAAAAGTGGAACCAATAATTATTATCTTAGATATAAATCACTTTCTTTTTGCCAAGCGCAAAAACACTTGAAATTTCTGCTAGCCAAAAATCAATCCCTTTCATAAAAGAATAATTCAAAAACATGGCCTTGAAGATTATTCTTTGATGTACTAACAATCAAGATATGGCTTTTAAACTAGAATTATCTTGAATTATACTAACTTTTCATATATATCTTTTTTAGATTTTTTTTTTACTTTTTAGATTCTATATTTATCTCTATTATTAATATTCCCTTCTGTTTCTATTCAATTTATTATTATCTTTCTATTTATCTGTATTTCTATATTTATCTTCTTTACAATCTTCTATTTTTATCTTTATATCTATCTTATTATCATTTTTTATATTTTTATAATCAATATTAATTTTCAAACATTTAATAAATATCAAGGCTGACCCCCCAAAAAAATGCGTGTAATATGCAAAACTAATTATATGTGATGGCATGTCTAATTCTTTGATTTGCTTGCTTTTGCATGTCTTATCAGTGTCCAATTTGTTGGTAACACTCCCAAAAGTCAATTATAGGTGACGTCACGTTTAATTCTTCAATTTGGTTGCTTTTGCATGTTTTATCAGTGCTCAATTTGTCAGTAACACTCCTAAAGGCCAATTACAAATGATGTCACATTTAATTCTCCCTTTTGGTTTTTTTTGCATGTCTGACCCTAATTTTTCTTGCATGTACATATAGATTCCCAATTACAAAGAATTCTGCAATGTCACCACACTGCCATACAACCAAAATTTTGTTTTGCACTGATAATTATTCCAACATTTCGTGTCAATCTGCCACGTGTGGTATGTAGTTGTGTGTAGAAGATGTACAAGAAAAGATAATTATATATAAAAAGAGGAATTGAAAAAAGGAATTGAGGGTTTGGGTTCGATATTAGATAAATTGAGGTAATAAAATAGTCTCTTTGTTACCAAATAGAATAGTTAAAGAAATTAAAAGGGAAACTAACACTAAGATAAGAGTGTAAATAATTTGAATGATTAGAAAAATAGTTAAACTAAATGAAGTGAAATAAATAATACTAATTCTAAAGAGTTACTTATGAGAAAAAAATGTTTAATAGAGTAAAGAATTTAGCTAAAGGGAAATTTACTATAGTAAATTTACTAAGAGATAAATAAAAAGAGAAATTGGGACAAAATAATAAAATAAAAGGAGATGATCAATCTTCTACAAAGACTTGACAAAAAAATGAAAGAAATTTCATGAGAAATCAGAGATAATAGACAGCATCTTGAAGAAAACTTGTATTGGAAAAATTTGACAGTTGTTTATTGATTGTGTTGTGAATGAGTATTGATTACTGCTGAATCTGAGAGTAAGACTGAAGGATAAAATAATATCCTCAGCTATTCCAGTCAAACAGATCTCCCTTTATGATATTATTTAATACACAGATCATTATACACATAATTGATTATTTATTATTAGCACCATGACATGGGATATACAAATACATATACATTATATATATGGCATCATTATATTTCATCTACATATTTCTTTTATTATACAAATACTTAATTGAGAGACTACAGCTACAACTATTTAATATTATGAAACATTACCCGAGTATCTGGGTCGGAATACTAAAATATTACCAATAGCATAAATGCTCTTCTTTACCAAAACTCTTGGACTGATCTGACTGAAGAAGTATTATATCAATTGGTCTTTCCGGATCTTTCCAGAAGAACAATACTCCTGGAAGATGACTTATTGTGATAAAGATTACTTAAGCACACACTAAATTATAAATTAGAAAAACATATAAATATCAGTAGATAGTTCCATGTAGAAAGACAATCGAATTTTATTATTCTTTACTTTTCTTTTGAAATAAACAACCTACACAAGTTCTCACGAATTCTTTCGTCTATATTATATTTTGCTTTATTTTCTCCTCACAACACCAATAAATCATGACGCGTGATGTGTTAGGTTTGTAGTAGATTGTAATGAATCACTTGGCAAATAAAATACAATGATAATAGAATAGAACAGAAGACAGATGTGGTGATCCAGACACTTGGTTGTTGGATTTATTACATCTAAGAACATATTCCTATTATTATAGTAAAACAGCTATCATTACAAGAACAAATGAATAATTTATTTATTTTACTTATGGTAAATCAATAAGACCAATAATTAATTACAGTAAGTACTGTAATTATGACAGCTCAGTAAGCACTGAGTTAATATGAGGACACTGCAATTAGATTAAATTATAAACATAGCAGTACCAGCTCTCTAATATCTAAATGAACTCAGACTTAAGAAATTAAGATGTGACTGACAAAGCAGATCGTGTTTTGATATAAAAAGGACAACTTTGTATTCTTTAATAAAGACAACCTATATACAGTCTCAAAGTATTCTTATATACGTCTCAATCTTTTTACTGTTGATTTTATTCTATAAAACTTCACATTTTTTACTTTGAATTCTATAATGTCTTCCCAACACTCTGCTGCCAACTCTCTTCCTCGTGAAGAACAAAGCCCTCTTACCGAAGTTGGTATTCCCTCTCCTGTTCTGAATGAACAGACACATCTCACCGAAATTGGTGACATTTCTCCTCTCCTTGGATCCACCGCTCTTTCCATCGATGGTGATATTGAAATGATATACACCAGTCTTGATTCCTTGCCACCTCTTTCAGTTGTTGGTTCTGTCCCTCTTACTCCTGTGCCTACCGTCCCATCAGCTGTTAATAGCAACACTAGTAGTTCCATCACTTTGGAAATGTTGTTAGCTTCTGCGAAGGAAGACCTTAGCATAAAGAAGAACAACTTTTATGTGGCTTATGCTAACTATGTGGCTCTTTCGAAGGTCAACCCCATGTCAGACGCGGCCAGACATGCTTCTTCCATTAAGAAGGAAGCTCAAGAATTGTTTGAGAATGCCCAGAAGACTCTCAAGGTGTTTGAAAAAGCCAACGCCCCTCCTGCTATTCTTGAAGACAAGAAGAGCATGGTAGTCCCTAGCAACTTACCTTTCTTGCAGCTCTGCACGGAAACCAGGGTGAAGCAAAATCGTGACGTGTTTGACTCTGTGTACGATTTTTGCCAAGAATTCACTATGGTTTTAGAGTCTCATTCCCTGTCCTTGGACTCATGCTGGGAGCGTCTGCTTCCCATATGCCTGAACAAGGAGGAAAGATCCTGGTTTGAAGACAAACTAAAGGGAAAGGCGTACAAGTGGAAGAAGGCAGAAGGGATTCTGCTGGATCACTATGATACTCCTTTCAGAAGATTTCTGAACATGGGTCGCGTGTGGAAAATGATGCAGAAGAAAGGTGAGTCAGTTTGTGCGTTTGGAGCTAAATTTCAAACAGCTAGAAGACAAGCGTCCTTGGAGGATGGTATCCAGATGGTTCTTTGTTTCTGGTGGAACTTGCGCCCGGAAGTCCGGGAAGCAAGCCTGATCCCATTGTCGGCCAACTATGGCACCAAACTGCCCTCCAAAGTGGAGGATATAATCTCGTTAGTCAGTGTAGCCACTAGCGATTCCACGGCCCTACTCAACCAACCTGCGGAGTCTGGCACCCCTGCCAAATGGAAGTCATTTGCCGATGCCCATAGCATCTCCTCTTCAATAAGCCACAAGGGAAAGAAGAGAGCTATTGCCAGGGACAATGATCCTAAGTACGCCAAGAAGTCTTGGAATTTTAAGAAGGCAATCAAAGATAATATTTGCTTTTCTTGCAAAGGTGCTTGGGAGAAGGGTCACACCTGTCCTGAAAGGGATAATTACTTGACAAAGGTGTCAAGAATGGCTGTGTGCTCACCTGCTGATAGATCAGTAGCTTCCTCCCCTGCTTGTGGTGGTTTCCCCCCTTCTCGTGATAGTCATTTCTCTGTTCGTGGCAACTCTTCCCCTGTTGGTAGTTCCTCAACGTCGTGGTCGATGGACCAAGATAACACAAGTGCTTTGGCCAAGATGGCCTTGAATTGTAAGGACAATCATAAAGACATGGTCATTAAAAAAGATTTTAAGAACGTGAGCACTAATATTACCTTCCCCATTCTGGCAAATAATTCTATTAGAACCATCGCCTTGTTGGACTGTGGCGCTACATTCAGTTCTGTGGATAAGAATTTTTGTTTACAGAATAAAATATCTATTAATTATGTAAATCACATCAACAAAGATTTAGTGAACAATTCCAATGTTCATAAGTATTTTATTTGTTTGGCTGATAGCAATACACATATTAAAAGAATTGGCACTTGTGTGATCAGTATAACTTGTAATAGTAAGACTATTCAGAGAGAATTTGAAGTGATGAACTTAACTAATAGTTATGAGTATGATTTCAGTATTGGTACTGATTATATGTCCACTCTGGGTATTGGTATTTATGGTTTACCTTTATCATATGATGATACTGATTCAAGTAAGGAACGTAGAGAAGCCGATAGACGCTTCAATAATAAGAGTGATCTTCTTGAATCCATTGAGAGAGAAAATGAACAAAAGGAAAATAATCCGGCTGTAGATCCCAAACAGTTTGAGGATGCTATGGATTATATTTGTCCATTCATTAAAGACAATCAAGATATTCCTAAGGGTTCGTTTTGTACTATACCTGAAAGTGTTGTATGTTTGGACACTCCAGAAAATGCTACGGCGTTCAGAAGCCCTTATCCCATTCCTTACAAGATGCAAGGTGTAGTGGATGAACAGGTGAAAGAATGGCTGGACAATGGTATAATTGAAAGAGCGTCTGCAAACACACAATGGAATACGCCTTTGACTGTTGTCAAGAAGACGAACGGTAAAGGAGAAATTACTGGATATCGCGTTTGTCATGATCCCAGATTAATTAATTGCCTGTTGAAGTCAATTGATCATATGCCTTTGCCATTGATTGGTGAATTGTTTGAAGATTTAAAGGGTGCGAATATTTATTCCACTCTGGATTTGAAATCTGCATTTAATTCTTTGAGGTTGAACCCAAAGGACACACACAAACTTAGTTTCACATGGCGTGGTGTACAGTACAAACCTATTGGTACAGTGTTTGGTATTAAGCATGTCAGTTCACAATTTCAAAGAACTATGAGTATAGCTTTGGAAGGACTATCTTTTGTACGGTTTTTCGTGGATGACATTGTTTGCGCAAGCAAAACGTTCGAGGAACACAAGGAACACTTGAAGCAAGTAATTGAGAGATTAACAAGGGTCAATTTGAAGTTGAATCCGAAAAAATGTCATTTCTTTCAGAAAGAAATTTATTTGCTTGGTTTTCATATTTCACCTGAAGGAATTACAATGGACCGCAGAAAACTTGTTAATGTTCTTGAATTTCCTCAACCAAAAACGGGTAAAGATATCCAAAGTTATTGTGGGTTGATCAACTATTTTAGAACCTTGATTCCGAATGTATCTTCCATTATGTCGCCATTAGATTCATTGAGAAATGAAAAGTCGATTACCCATTTATGGACAGATAAGCATCAAACTGCATTTAATAACTTGAAAAAAGCACTTTTGAGTGATCTGGTGTTGTCGTACCCAGATATGAACTCTCCTTTTAGTATCAGCTGTGATGCATCTCTTACTGGTATCGGTGCAGTGTTGTATCAAGTCAAGGATGGCAAGAAAAAATATATTTCTTTCGTGGCCAAGAGCTTATCCCAAAGTGAAAGAAAATATTCTGCGACCAAAAGAGAATTACTAGCATTAGTATTTGCACTCAAGCGTTTTCACAAGTATGTCTATGGTTCTCACTTTACCTTGTACACGGATCACAAGGCATTGACATATCTTCACACCCAACGTGTTGCGAATCTGATGATGATCGCATGGATGGACACGATTTTACAGTATGACTTTAAGATCGTTCATTTGCCTGGTGTTTCGAATGTGCTCCCTGATGTGTTGTCACGTTTGTCTGAAGAAACTGAAACATTATCAAATGAACTGGGTGGGGATAGTGTGGTTAGATCCATCATGAGAAATAGTGCTGTCACTATGGAACCGCTACCAGACATCTTGAGTGGTGAGTACTTTACTCCTCCCACAGAAAATGAAAGGAATAAGTTATTAGTTGAAGAACATTTGAAACGTCATTTTGGTGTAGAAGCTATACTACATGCCTTAAAGAGAAAAGGTATTTATTGGACCAACTTGAAGAGTCAAGCAAGTGATCTTATACAATCGTGTATACAGTGTCAACGTCACAATATCACAAGAAAAGGATATAACCCTTTAAGACCAGTGACCGCAACACTTCCTGGTGACAGTTGGGGAATAGACCTGGCTGGGCCATTTACAACGTCGACTAGAGGAAATGAGTACTTGTTGGTGATGATAGACATCGCAAGCAAATTTTACGTATTGCGTGCCATACCTGATAAAAGGGCATCTACGATTGCGTTACAAGTACTGGATGTCATTAGTACATGGGGTCCGATGAGAAAGTTGCAGAGTGATTGTGGACGGGAGTTTGTAAACTCGCTGATGACATGTATAAAAGAGAATGTTGGTTTTGAACATGCATTGATTTCGCAGTACCATCCTAGAGCTAATGGTGCGAGTGAAAGAGCTGTCCAGTCGGCAGTGAACACCATTAAAAAACAAATAGTTGGTAATGTTGCTGATTGGGATCAGAAGGTACCATCCGCACAGTTGTTTTTGAATAGCAAATATAATGTTAGGACTAAGAGTACGCCATTCTCATTAATGTTTGGAAGGAATCCAAATGACTTTGTCGATTTTAGTAAAGAGAAGGATAGTGCAACTGCTGAACAGATTCAGAAAGAATTGCAAGAAAAAATTAAAAGAATGACTGAGATAGTCTACCCTGCCGTGTTTGAACACGTAAAGCATGTCACACAAAAGCAAAAGGAACGCTTTGACATGAGTCACAAAATGATAGATCTGGTTCCAGGAACTATAGTTATGATTTTGGTGACAGAAAAACAGAATAAATTAGATCCAAAGTATAAGGGATTTTATACTGTTGTTCGAAAGACTGCTGCCAATACTTATGTATTGAAAAATGAAAAGGGATTTTTAGAACCAAGGAATTACCTTCCTTCTTTATTAAAAAAAGTGTCGAATAAGATATTAGAGCAAAAGAATGATTTTTTTGAAGTCGAAGCAATTATTGGTCATAAGAAAGATGATATGAACAATTATTTGTATAGATGCAAATGGTTGGACTATGATGAGTCTCATGATACCTGGGAGCCAGAGGATCACTTTACTGATCCTAAATTCATTAAGGAATACTAGCAAAGAATTGGGGAAGCACCAGAAAGTATCAAAGACATCAACAAAGCCAATAAAAGATTATTGAAGGATATGAAAGTCGTAAATTCCATACCCAAAGAAAAGTCAGGTATAAAAAGAAAGAACTATGCAAAGACAGCTTTGCAAAAGAAGAAACGCAGTAAGGTCTAAATAAAGAGTTATTTGAGCACCACAGTACTCGTATATATATAAAAAATGCATAAAGTACTTGAACGGTATTTAATTAATACCTGGGTGGGGATAATGTGGTGATCCAGACACTTGGTTGTTGGATTTATTACATCTAAGAACATATTCCTATTATTATAGTAAAACAGCTATCATTACAAGAACAAATGAATAATTTATTTATTTTACTTATGGTAAATCAATAAGACCAATAATTAATTACAGTAAGTACTGTAATTATGACAGCTCAGTAAGCACTGAGTTAATATGAGGACACTGCAATTAGATTAAATTATAAACATAGCAGTACCAGCTCTCTAATATCTAAATGAACTCAGACTTAAGAAATTAAGATGTGACTGACAAAGCAGATCATGTTTTGATATAAAAAGGACAACTTTGTATTCTTTAATAAAGACAACCTATATACAGTCTCAAAGTATTCTTATATACATCTCAATCTTTTTACTGTTGATTTTATTCTATAAAACTTCACAACAGATACAGCAAAAGGCAGTAAGCAGCAATAGTTAACAGATAAGAAAAGGGAGAACAACCAATAGAATTGTTGTTAAAATTGAGAGGAAGAGAAAGATATATGAAAAGAAAATGACGAAACAGAAAAGTAATAACCGACAAGGAGACCAAAACCAACAAACAATCTTCCTAAAATCAAGGAACCTATATGTTATGTCGCAAGATGATATAGACTGCAAAGAGAAGAAAACAAAAAAAAGATATTGAAACTGAATGAATGATTTTTTATTGAGTTGAGTTTGCTTCTCTTTTTATAGTTGACAACATTTTAAGTTGATAATAGAAGTTTAGAAAAATAAAGATAGTAAAAATAGAATGATGAATAATCAATACAGCAAGAATAAAATATATGAATAAAAATACAGTAAAAATATAATAATAAAGGTACTGATGTTGTGCAGAGATGTCGGCAAGATGAATTATGTGTATTGTAGAAGAGGAATGTTACTAACATGGGGGACTATGATTTCGAATGAGTATAATGTAGATGAATATATTAACAAGAGAAAAGGAAGAAGTATTGTATGTAGAAGGAACAGGGAATGAAAACGAGTTTTTTTTGTACACGGAAAAATTCTTTTCTTACTACCAAGGGCACAGCACCACATCAACAAACTCTTGATGTCAGCCTCTCATAACTGGGACGACATGTCATGACAAACTACTGAACAAACCTACTGAGCAGACTGACCTTCTGGTACCAGACACCACGACATAGCCCTTTGTGACCGGTACTTTTAACACACTTGAAAGTCAATGTGGTCTTCGATAGTATAGTGGTAAGTATCCCCGCCTGTCACGCGGGAGACCCGGGTTCAATTCCCGGTCGGAGAGTGTTTTGATGTTGTCGTTCCTGATCTGGGTTGGTTTTCCTTTTACTATAACAAAGTCAAAATGTCAGAGCTGACATCAGTAACCAAAATCGGGATTTACAAGCAACCAGTAATGGTTGACTTTGTCGTTCCTGATCTGGGATGGTCTTCCTTTTACTATAGCAAAGTCAAAAGGTCAAACCCACTGGGGATCGGAGAGTATATGTAAAATCGAAGAGAGGATAAAAGGTCCTTTTTATTGATAGGAATTGAATTGTCTTATATAGTTTTCTAAACTAATACTGCGCATTATCCGCAGTAAACTATTATACTCTATTTAATTACAAGAGAAGTCCTTTTACTGCGGTTGATGCTCAGAAGATGTTACTGTGGTTAATCTTTACAAGACATTACTGCAGTTCGTTATCTATGAGGTATCTTTGACATACAGAACTGCTGCGGTCAATTATCCCGATTTCTCGGATTCATCAAAATAATGTCCGACAACTTTTTAGGATAAAAGATCTTGACTTCGCCAATTGGTCTTTCACATATGTTTTAGATGTTTAAGATGGTGAATATACTTGTAGAAGATATTACTGGACAACAAGCATCTAAGACATATTATTGTAGCTATTCTTTTAGCCAGAAATCAATTATCATTTTGTATAAATAGTCAAGAAATACATTTTGTTGTGGTGGTTGAAGTTGAAGAAGTTTTTAAGAGGAAGAATTGAAGATTTGAGATTAGGAACAAAGATTCATAAGAACTTGTGTAGGTTTTGTTTATTGAGAAAAGATTTTGTATCAAAGTTTGACAAGGTTTCTACACTGAACTACTACTGCTATTTATATTATTTTGGATTGGGAAAATTATATGACTGGGGTCAGGTAATCAATCCTATCTGAGCTTTAATCAGAGCAATATGATCTTGGGATAATTAATATATAATTAATTATATAAATGTGTGTAGTCCCAATGAAGTATTAACATCGAAAGTAAATATGTTTATGAGTTATAATTATGCTTATAATAATCCACTGATATATTCCATATTATGGTGATATCATCATATGAAATATAATCACTATCATGCATGCTAAACCTGTGTGTTAAATAATAAAGTAATCGGTAGACACCTTTGACTGGAATAGCTGAGGCCTTATATTATTTCCTTCAGACTTATTCTCAATTACAGCAGTAGTCAATACTCATTTACAACAGCCAGAAAAGAAATACCAGATCGAGACTTGACAAAAAGGTCAAACCCACTGGGGATCAAGGAGTATATGTAAAATCAAAGAGAGGATAAAAGATACTTTTTATTAATATGAATTGAATTGTCTTATACAGTTTTCTAAACTAATACTGCGCATTATATGCAGTTGTTATTATTTATATTTAATTAAAGAAATAGTCATTATACTGCGGTTAATGCTCAGGAAGATATTACTGCGTATAAAGAAGTACTGTGGTTAACTATCTTCAGATTTTGTCGGACATTATTTTGATGAATCTGAGAAATCGGGATAATTGACCGCAGCAGTTCTGTATGTCAAAGATATCTCATAGATAACGAACCGCAGTAATGTCTTGTAAAGATCAACCACAGTAACATCTTCTGAGCATCAACCGCAGTAAAAGGACTTCTCTTGTAATTAAATAGAGTATAATAGTTTACTGCGGATAATGCACAGTATTAGTTTAGAAAACTATATAAGACAATTCAATTCCTATCAATAAAAAGGACCTTTTATCCTCTCTTCGATTTTACATATACTCTCCAATCCCCAGTGGGTTTGACCTTTTGACTTTGCTATAGTAAAAGGAAGACCATCCCAGATCAGGAACGACAATTTTACGGATTCATCAAAATAATGTCCGACACAATTATGCAATAAAATGGATAAAAAAGAAACGCTCCCGGGTGGGCTCGAACCACCAACCTCCTGATTAACAGTCAGACGCGCTGCCAATTGCGCCACGGAAGCAGATTATAGCTTGACACAAAGCGTGATTAAAATGATCCACGTTTAATAATTTCTGTTGTCCGGTAGTGTGCACTGGAAAAACCGCCCTGATTAACAATCACTGCAAAAGACTGCTGATTTTAGTTCCTGAAAACCTGCAAAAATTTTACTACAATTTTCGATTTTTAATTTTTTCAAATAATTTCTATTTTTTTCTGTTGTGATTTCAGATCGCTTTTTTTTAGCTGTAAAATCACACTACCATCATTTTTTTGGCCATAAAATTACAAAATTAAGTTTTTTTTTTATATTATACACTTCTTTGATATAATTCTAAATTACACTGAAGAAACACTTATACAAAAATTAATATAATATTTAATAAAAATTATATATATTCTTAAGGTTTCACTTTTTCTATTTCAAAATAAATTATTTAAATATTTTTTATATATTATAAATGTGAATATAAGAACAAATATTTAATCAATATATTTCAAAGGAATGAGACAAAAAGTTGTGATTTCATTTTTACTGTGGCAATATTTTTGTGTGATTTTTCCCTTTGATATATGGAACTAAAATATCAGATTTTTTTATTTCACATGTTGTGAGATGCGAATGTTCCATTTTTCGATTATTTTTTGTCATAGTCCAATCATCATCATATCAAATATTATAATTCTAAAAAATGACTTTTAAAAAAAATTACGTACACTTTTAGTAATGCACACAGTATTTGACTTGGCTAATGACTTAACGATATATGAGTATAATTATGATGATATGTATGATAGATGTATCAAAAAATTACTTGGCATACTATAGTCATGGCATGGAGCAGTATTTTATCTATTTATAAATTTTTTTGGTATATAAAGACCTTGATCAAGATCTCTTAAAATCTATATAATTTTTTTTATAATTTAAAACAATCGACATGTCCAATAATCAAAAGAAAGACAGTTATGCTATCTGCAAATGTCTAGACTGTACAAAGTTGGATAGCTGTGGAAAGAAACAGAAAAGACAAAATGCACAATGACACTATGAGAAACATATAGTACCTGTTGCCAAAGACAATGCAATGGGTAAATAACAAGAATAACTCGAGCTGTACATGTAAAATTAATATAAATTAATTCATAAAATAGATGTTCTTGAAGAACATTTTGACAACATGGAAGTAGATAGTATTGACAGTGACAATGATAATGATTATAATTACGAGAACAAAGGTGAAGGCGAATATGAAGATGAAAATGAAGAACAAAACATTGAATTTGATCAAGAAGGTAAGAAAATAAAATAAAATAAATGAACAAAATAATAATTGAAACTGATATATATTTTTTTTATTTTTTTTTATATGATTATAATTGTAATTATATTTTTATTTCTACGTCTTTACAACAATTATTTCTTTCCAGTTGGCTTACCTTTGTCCCAAGAAGAGTCCATCTTTACTGCCAAAAATACAATTACAGAAGCATTTGTGGTTGATGGCGATAAGATTGAAGAAGGCAATACCGGTTTTGATTTTGAACAAGAAGAAAACTTTGATGAGACCAGTGGGACCTCGATAGTAGAATCAGATATGAATTAATACGGTATAGACAATTAATCAATATATTAATTTAAACTAACTTAACCTTTGTCTTCATAGTTCGTCCTTTGTCTTTTGATAACATGCCCTTGTATATCCACTTTGTTGCAGTATTCATTATCATATTTCACTTGATCTTTTTGGTGGAAAGCGGTGGATCGATTCTCATTGAATTTTGTAATACTTTACTGTCTCTCTGTGATATGTCTGGTGCCCTTTCACTGACGATCAATAGCTTGAAGCATAAGACAAGATTTAACATGACAACAGACGGAATGACAGTATACATTGCATGCTCACAATGTCATTCAATTTATCCTCTGGAAACAAGTCAAAGAGTCTGTACATTTAAGAAATTCTCTCAATCCGCCATTTGCAACAACAATCTCTTTAAAGTGTCAACTGGAAATCATTCTCTTCCAGCAATGGTATATCCATTCAACTCTCTGAAGTACGCCTTGCAACAAAAATTCTCCAAGCCAGATTTCGTGTCCAAGATCAATTTGTAGAGAAATTGTCAAATAACTGAAAACACCAAACTTGACATTTTCGATGGTGCAGTTTGGAGTGATATTAAAGACATCAATGGCAGACGGTTTGTTGATGATAGCCGATCTTTAATGTTGACTCTGAATATCAATTGGTTTCAGCCATTTGATGGACGAACATATTCCAGTGGTGCGATATATCTCTCTATCAACAATCTCCCACAGAGTGAACATGTTAAGTCTGAAAATGTCATTCTTGTTGGTATGATGCCTGGGCCAAAGGAAGCAAGCACTGACAGCATGAATCATTACTTGAAGCCGCTTGTTGACGAATTGTTGGAGATGTACATTGGTGTAGAAATGACAGACTCACAAAATAGAAAGATTGTTGTTTGTGCTGCATTGATGTGTGTTGCCTGTGATATCCCTGCCATTTGCAAAACCTCTGGATTTACTGGCCACATGAGCACATGCGCCTGTCACAAATGTCAACGACAATTCACGACTATAAAGAAGACCAGCAAGCTTGACTACTCTGGATTCAAGTATAGCAATTGGGTGAGACGCACGAAGACAATCAATCTGGAACATGCTGTCAGCTGGGCAAATGCATTGAACAATACTGAGCAAACACGCCTAGAAAAAGAAAACGACACTCAGTAGTCAGAGCTTCATTGGTTATCTTACTTTGACCCAGTCCGCTTTACAGTTATAGACCCAATGCATAACCTCTATCTTGGAGCTGCAAAGTGAATGATTCAGATATGGTGCGAGTGTAACTACATCAATGAAAAGAATCAGTTAACTATGCAAGAGCTTGCTAATGGTATTGTTGTACCTTGTGGATATGCGCGTATAACAAAGAAGATTGCCGATGGGTTTTCCTTCATGAAAGCTGACAAGTGGAAGTCGTGGTGTGTCATATACTCTCCATTTGTTTTGAAGCATGTGCTCCCAGCCAAGAATCTCGAAAACTGGATTTTGTTTGTTGACGCATGCTGCTTACTCACAAAACCTTTGATCAATGACAAAGAAATAGACGAAGCCCACAGTAAACTCCAATTGTTTTGTATAAGATTTCAGACACTGTATAGAAAATTGGCCATGACACCGAATATACATCTACATCTTCATCTTGGCAAGTGTGTTCATGACTTTGGGCCAATTTATGCTTTCTGGTTATTCAGTTTCAAGAGATACAATGGTTTGTTGAAGAATATCAAAACAAATCAAAAAGGCAGCTTCGAATCAATGATGATGAAGAGATTTTTAGAGAGAACATACATTGGCAGCTTCATACAATCTTTTGTCAACCATCTTCCCCAGTTTGCAATTGACTTTCTGCATCGCATTTCAAATAGTCAAGATCAATTAGCAGCATTGCATCCATCTTCTACTGCCAGTACCTTTTCTCTGTCTGACTTTGTTGAATATTTGTTAAACCCTTGTCATTCTGCTTTGGGTTGTGAGCCGTTGCCCCCTTCAGTGTTTCCGATTAAACTTGATCAAAGGATTACAATGTGCAAGGGACATTATGAATGTTTACTGGAGTTTTACAGACACGCATATGACAGTCACGATCTTTTTGTCCATTATTCAAACTGCGAGTCTAACCAGATTTTTGTCAATAACTGAATTGAGAAAATGAAACGGATATCTCTTCTTGGACAGGAATACTCTTCTGGATCTTATTTCTGCGCCTATTATCTTGAGAATAACAGTGAAGATAAAGCAGCATTTCCTGGCCATATACTGTATTTATTTCAACATTTGATAACCATCAACAAAACTGTCATCACCCATACTTTTGCGTTTGTTGAGTGATACTCTAGTTATTCTTCGGGGAGTTACCAGCCAATGTTAAATGAAGGCATTGAGCTCTGGAATGAACCTTCTTCTGTACTTAATTATGAATGTATTATTCCAGTACATCGTTTATATTCACCAATCATAATTGCTAAATATAGGTTTACTATAACTAGTGAATTTAAACGTTTAGTAATCCCTTTACCCCAAAAAATAGAAGCTTAAATAATATTAATAAAATACCACTTTGCACTCTTTTATCAATTTATTAGAAAATGTTTGATTTATTGTCTTATTGTTTCTTTGACCATGATGGCAGCTTGTTTGCCTTGGTCTTACTAAGCTGCTTATCTCTTATTCCTTTAAATTTATGCTTGAATGGATGGATATTATTTTTCTTATCATGAGCTGCCTCATAATCCACATCAAGTTCATCAACAAACCTATCTCCCTATATATCAATGTAAGTATTATTACACACCATCCAAAAAAATAGTTTTTTGTACTATACCTCTTTGCTTCTCCAGCTTGGGCAGAATCTCCAAAAAAAACTCTTTTCTGAGGATGAATCCTGTTCCTCTTCTTCTCTTTCGTCATCACTCTCAAGGTCTGACATGTAATCAGCATGGAGAATACTGTCAACATTCTCTCCAAAGCTGTTCACAAAGTGTGCCCAATTGGCTTTCAAGGCAGATTGTATTCTTTCACACAACTATATATAAATATATAATATTTCTAATTTAATATCACATCTAGTATATTGTGTGCGTGTGTTTTTTACCTTTACACGTTGCTGATGAAGACAGGCCCGTCAATTCTCTTCCTGCTTCTTTTCTCCTGTTTTTTTTTCTTGCAACTTTCTGTTGCCAATATGTCGCACAATCTTAGTTCAAAGAGTTGGCAAGTCCACCTTTTTCCCCTCTTCTTGACGACAAAGGTAATCGGTAACAGACTTCAGAATGAGTCTGTTTCCCTCGCTGTTTTTATTTTCATTGGTATTGTATTGGTCATACAATTTCTCTTCACTCAAATAATCGCGCAACAATTGCTATAATATAAATGTATATTAAATTCTATCTACATAAAAACATATTATGATTACTTACATCCAATGTTGGTTGACGTCCAGGCAACATGTCTTGCTCAACTGCATTACTAGCAGTGGCTTCGGCTTTCTCAGAAGATGTGTTCTTCAAAACAGTGTTTAAGACACCATTCATAGTATCAAGTTTCTTGTACACATCATGGATGTTATGAGTTCTACACAACAAATCACCTTCAAGATTCAACCGAGCTCTCTTTGGTGCTAGTAGTATTTGATTGCTCACTGTTCCCTGTGAGTGTTGCAACATTATTGTCCTTATGTCATTGGTATTTCTTGGTGGGCTTTTTTTTTGATTTTTATAAAAACCAAAAATAAAATTAATATAAGAAAATTGAAGACTGCCTGGTTTTAATCTACCTTCCCACAGAAGGTTCTTTACCAAAAGCATTGTTAACTGAATTGTTATTGAGATTTCTTGACATTGTGAATAATAAGAATAGCTTGTTTTTTTTTAAATCCAAAGGGTCTATTTATATTATGTTTAATTTGGGCTTTAAGTTTTATTCTTTCTCAGAGAACACCATGATCTATTACGTAACAAGAACAGCTTTGAATGTTTCCACTCTTGTTGTGAGTATTTTATGTGTTTCTTTAATTTAATTTTCAATCCATGTTTTATTCTTATATTATGTATTAGTATTTGAATAATATGATTTTATACTATACTCTGTTTTTCATATGTATTAGCTGCTGGCATAGTGCAACTGCATTTTCTTTCAATTCTAAGTTACAGACAAAAATTATTTTTTGATTTATTTATTTTTAAAAAAAAACCCCAAATTTGTATTTAATAGAATAACTGCGCCCCTCTTTTTTATTTTTTCTTTCTTTAACCTGCTCTTCTCGTTTTGTCTCTTTTTATATGTCTTGGTAAGCTTACTCTTAAGATCTCAACTTTTATTAATACTTTTGGCTTTTAGAATCATCTTAATATATATTAGATAAACAATACACTCAATAAGCATTCAAAACAGTACAGGTAATAAACAATCTCCTAACCAAAATGAAACACCTTGCTGACTAAATATCTTTTATTTTTAAAATGATAGGGCTTCTACCCATTTTGTAATAAAAGATGTTTTGCTCTTGACACTATATACTTTCTGGTATTTTCAGTCTATGAAAAGATAATATATATATAACTCAACTTAAATAATGTAACTTATCAATTCTTCTTCTCAGATAAATATGTCATGCCTTTTTTTCAAGTCATACTTGTGGTGATCCAGACACTCGGATGTTGGATTTATCACATATAAGAACATATTCATATTGGGATAGCATAGTAGCTATCATCTTGTCAGTATAAAATATATATAAACGATTAAGTAATCAGTCCAATAATTATTACAGTTAGTACTATAGATAATATCTTAAAGATTGTTAAGATAATTATATCATACTGCCGGGTAAACTGTGTCAGATCGATATGGAGCTAATTTAGTAGGAAGTCCTAAAGCTCTAGTATAAAAGAGAAAAGAATAGCTAAGAGCTAAAGAAGTACGATTTATGACTTGATGTCATAATTGTAACACCGACACTAGTTAAGCAGTAAATACACTCTAATAACCAAATATAGTAAAGGAAGAAAGCCTTAAGAAACTAAGACGTAATGACAAGAGCAGATTGTGTTTTCTTATAAAAAGGGACACTTTTTATTTATGAATAAAGACAACTTATATACAGTCTCAAAGTATTTCTATACGTCTCTATTATCAAATATTTTATTTTTCTATTGTTTCGTACCTGAAATACCACATTTTTTACTTTGAATTCTCGAAATGTCTCAACAATCCGCTGTCAACTCTACTATCGTTTCTGGTGAAGAAACCGCCCGTGTCAACTCTGGTGTCATTCCTCCTCCTTCTGCTGCTGGTTCTGCCGACCACGATGGTGATACCGTGATGACTCCCTTGTGTTCTGAGGATGGTGCCTTTGATTCTGAAGAAGGTTCTTCTGGTTCCGATGCTGGCCATTCTGGTTATGAGGGTGCCTGTTGTAAATGAGTATTGACTACTGCTGTAATTGAGAATAAGTCTGAAGGAAATAATATAAGGCCTCAGCTATTCCAGTCAAAGGTGTCTACCGATTACTTTATTATTTAACACACAGGTTTAGCATGCGTGATAGTGATTATATTTCATATGATGATATCACCATAATATGGGATACATCAGTGGATTATTATAAGCATAATTATAACTCATAAACACATTTACTTTCGATGTTAATACTTCATTGGGACTACACACATTTATATAATTAATCATACATTAATTATCCCAAGATCACGTTGCTCTGATTAAGGCTCAGATAGGATCGATTACCTGACCCCAGTCATATAATTTTCCCAATCCAAAACAATATAAATAGCAGTAGTAGTTCAGTGTAGGAACCTGGTCAAACTTTGATACAAAATCTTTCTCAATAAACAAAACCTACACAAGTTCTCACGAATCTTCGTTCCTAATTTCAAATCTTGAATTCTTCCTCTTAAAAACTTCTTCAACTTCAACCACCACAACAGTGCCAATTCTCCTCGCATCTATTTGGGTAACTCTGAAGTCAGAGTTAACAACAACCTTGTGGCCACCGTGGAAATGTTGCTGGCTTCTGCTGAGGAGGACCTCAACACTAAGAAGGGCAACTACTACGCCGCTCTAGGCCACTACTTGGGTGTTTCCAAGAGGGATCCCATCTCTACTGCTGCCAAGTCTGCTTCCAAGGGTGCCAAGGAAGCACAAGTACTGTTTGCTGAGGCTGAGCAAATCCTCAAGGACCTCAAGGCTTCCACTGCTCCTGCGTCTAAGCCTCATGACAAGAGAAGCACTCTGGTTCCCAGTAACCTACCTTTTCTCCAGCTTCGTTCTGAGGGTCCTCTGGTGAAGGCCAACCGTGATGTGTTTGATTCGGTGTATGACTTCTGCCAGGAGTTTACTACAGTCCTGGAAGCACACTCTCTGTCCTTGGATTCCTGCTGGGAACGTCTGTTGCCCACTTGTTTGAACAAGGAAGAACGTTCTTGGTTTGAGGACAAGCTCAAAGGCAAGGCCTACAACTGGAAGAAGGCCGAAAGTATTCTTCTAGATCACTATGACACGCCGTTCCGTAAGTTCCTGAACATGGGTCGTGTCTGGTGCATGAAACAAGGCAAAGGAGAATCCGCTCGTTCTTTTGGTGCCAAATTCCAAAAGTTCCGCCACCAGGCCTCGTTGGACGATGGTGTTCAATTGGTTCTCTGCTTCTGGTGGAATCTGCGTCCGGAAGTCCGGGAAGCTTGTCTTATTCCTTTGTCAGCCAACTATGGCACCAAGATGCCCTCAAAGATTGAGGACATCATCTTGTTGGTGAGTGTGTCAACAAGTGACTCCACTGCTTTGTTACATAATCCTGCCAATGGTACTGCCGCGTCCTCCTGGAGTTCGTTTGCTGCTCACAATGGTGCGTCCTCTCTCTCTGCTGGTTCCCACAAGGGAAAGAAAAGGTCTTTCTCTCGCAAGCGTGGTTCCCAGTCTCCCAAGAAGTCATGGGACTTCAAGAAGGCGATGAAGAATGGCATCTGTTTCTCATGCAAGGCTCCCTGGGTTAAGGGACACTCCTGTCTGGAACGGGAGAAGTACTTGACAAAGGTGTCAAGGATGGCAGTCCGCTCCTCTGCTGGTAGACCAGCAAGAGCTTCCACTGTGGTTGAGGGGAGTCCCTCGTTGTCTTGGTCAGAGTACCAAGACAACACTAGTGCTCTGGCCAAGATGGCATTAGATTGTAAGTACAATCTTAAAGACATGGTTATTAAAAGAGATTTTAAGAACATGAGCACTAATATTACCTTTCCTATTTTGGCAAATAATTCCATTAGAACCATCTCCTTGTTGGACTGTGGGGCCACGTTCAGTTCGGTGGACAAGAATTTTTGCTTGAAGAATGGAATAGCCATTAGTTACATCAATCACATTAATAAAGATTTGTTGAACAAAAACAATGTTCATAAGTATTTTATTCGTTTGGCTGATAGCAATACCCAGATTAAAAGAATCGGTACTTGTGTGATCAGTGTAACTTGCAATAGTAAGACTATTCAACGCGAGTTTGAAGTGATGAATTTAACTAATAGTCATGAGTATGATTTCAGTATTGGTACTGATTATATGTCTTCTCTTGGTATTGGTATTTATGGTTTACCTTTATCATATAATGATGCTGATTCAAGTGAGGAACGTAGAGAAGCCGATAGACGCTTCAACAATAAGAGTGATCTTCTTGAATCCATTGAGAGAGAAAATGAACGAAAGGAAAATAATCCGGCTGTAGGTCCCAAACAGTTTGAGGATGCTATGGATTATATTCGACCGTTCATTAAAGACAATCAAGATATTCCTAAGGGTTCGTTTTGTACTATACCTGAAAGTGTTGTATGTTTGGACACCCCAGAAAATGCTACGGCGTTCAGAAGCCCTTATCCCATTCCTTACAAGATGCAAGGTGTAGTGGATGAACAGGTGAAAGAATGGCTGGACAATGGTATAATTGAAAGAGCGTCTGCAAACACACAATGGAATACGCCTTTGACTGTTGTCAAGAAGACAAACGGTAAAGGAGAAATTACTGGATATTGCGTTTGCCATGATCCCAGATTAATTAATTGCCTGTTGAAGTCAATTGATCGTATGCCTTTGCCATTGATCGGTGAATTGTTTGAAGATTTAAAGGGTGCGAATATTTATTCCACTCTGGATTTGAAATCTGCGTTTAATTCTTTGAGGTTGAACCCAAAGGACACACACAAACTTAGTTTCACATGGCGTGGTGTACAGTACAAACCTATTGGTACAGTGTTTGGTATAAAGCATGTCAGTTCACAATTTCAAAGAACTATGAGTATAGCTTTGGAAGGACTATCTTTTGTACGGTTTTTTGCAGATGACATTGTTTGCACAAGCAAAACGTTCGAGGAACACAAGGAACACTTGAAGCAAGTCATTGAGAGATTAACAAGGGTCAATTTGAAGTTGAATCCGAAAAAATGTCATTTCTTTCAGAAAGAAATTTATTTGCTTGGTTTTCATATTTCACCTGAAGGAATTACAATGGACCGCAGAAAACTTGTTAATGTTCTTGAATTTCCTCAACCAAAAACGGGTAAAGATATCCAAAGTTATTGTGGGTTGATCAACTATTTTAGAACCTTGATTCCGAATGTATCTTCCATTATGTCGCCATTAGATTCATTGAGAAATGAAAAGTCGATTACCCATTTATGGACAGATAAGCATCAAACTGCATTTAATAACTTGAAAAAAGCACTTTTGAGTGATCTGGTGTTGTCGTACCCAGATATGAACTCTCCTTTTAGTATCAGCTGTGATGCATCTCTTACTGGTATTGGTGCAGTGCTGTATCAAGTCAAGGATGGCAAGAAAAAATATATTTCTTTCGTGGCTAAGAGCTTATCCCAAAGTGAAAGAAAGTATTCTGCGACCAAAAGAGAATTACTAGCATTAGTATTTGCACTCAAGCGTTTTCACAAGTATGTCTATGGTTCTCACTTTACCTTGTACACGGATCACAAGGCATTGACATATCTTCACACCCAACGTGTTGCGAATCTGATGATGATCGCATGGATGGACACGATTTTACAGTATGACTTTAAGATCGTTCATTTGCCTGGTGTTTCGAATGTGCTTCCTGATGCATTGTCACGTTTATCTGAAGAGACTGAAACATTATCAAATGAACTGGGTGGGGATAGTGTGGTTAGATCCATCATGAGAAATAGTGCTGTCACTATGGAACTGCTACCAGACATCTTGAGTGGTGAGTACTTTACTCCTCCCACAGAAAATGAAAGGAATAAGTTATTAGTTGAAGAACATTTGAAAGGTCATTTTGGTGTAGAAGCTATACTACATGCCTTAAAGAGAAAAGGTATCTATTGGACCAGCTTGAAGAGTCAAGCAAATGATCTTATATAATCGTGTATACAGTGTCAACGTCATAATATCACAAGAAAAGGTTACAATCCTTTAAGACCTGTGACTGCAACACTTCCTGGTGACAGTTGGGGAATAGATCTGGCTGGGTCATTTACAACGTCGACTAGAGAAAATGAGTACTTGTTAGTGATGATAGACATCGCAAGCAAATTTTATGTATTGCGTGCCATACCTGATAAAAGGGCAGCTATGATTGCGTTACAAGTACTGGACGTCATTAGTACATGGGGTCCGATGAGAAAGTTGCAGAGTGATTGTGGACGGGAGTTTGTGAACTCGCTGATGACATGTATAAAAGAGAATGTTGGTTTTGAACATGCGTTGATTTCGCAGTACCATCCTAGAGCTAATGGTGCAAGTGAAAGAGCTGTCCAGTTGGCAGTGAACACCATTAAAAAACAAATAGTTGGTAATGTTGCTGATTGGGATCAGAAGGTGCCATCTGCGCAGTTGTTTTTGAATAGCAAGTATAATGCTAGGACTAAGAGTACGCCATTCTCGTTAATGTTTGGAAGGAATCCAAATGACTTTGTCGATTTTAGTAAAGAAAAGGATAGTGCAACTGCTGAACAGATTCAGAAAGAGTTGCAAGAAAAAATTAAAAGAATGACTGAGATAGTCTACTCTGCCGTGTTTGAACACGTAAAGCATGTCACAGAAAAGCAAAAGGAACGCTTTGATGGAAGTTACAAAATGATAGATCTGGTTCCAAGAACCACGGTAATGATTTTGGTGACAGAAAAACAGAATAAATTAGATCTGAAGTATAAGGGATTCTACACTGTTGTTAGAAAGACTGCTGCCAATACTTATGTATTGAAAAATGAAAAGGGATTTTTAGAACCAAGGAATTATCCTCCTTCTTTATTGAAAAAAGTTTCTGACAAGGTATTAGAGCAAAAGAATAACTTTTTTGAAATCGAAGCAATTATTGGGCACATAAAAGATGACAAGAACAATTATTTGTATAGATGCAAATGGTTGGATTATGATGAGTCTCACAATACCTGGGAGCCAGAGGATCATTTTACCGATCCTAAGTTCATAAAGGAATACTGGCAAAGAATTGGTGAAGCTCCAGAAGGTATCAAAGACATCAATAAGGCCAATAAGAAATTATTAAAGGATATGAAAGTTGCGTATTCCGCACCTAAAGAAAATTCAGGTACTAAAAGGAAGAATTATGCAAAGACAGCTTATCAAAAGAAGAAACGCAGTAAGGTCTAAATAAAGAGTTATTTGAGCACCACAGTACTCGTTTAAAATAAAAAAAAAAAGAACAAGCTGATCAGAAGAATTGCATAGAGTACTTGAACGGTATTTAGTTAATACCTGGGTGGGGATAATGTGGTGATCCAGACACTCGGATGTTGGATTTATCACATATAAGAACATATTCATATTGGGATAGCATAGTAGCTATCATCTTGTCAGTATAAAATATATATAAACGATTAAGTAATCAGCCCAATAATTATTACAGTTAGTACTGTAGATAATATCTTAAAGATTGTTAAGATAATTATATCATACTGCTGGGTAAACTGTGTCAGATCGATATGGAGCTAATTTAGTAGGAAGTCCTAAAGCTCTAGTATAAAAGAGAAAAGAATAGCTAAGAGCTAAAGAAGTACGATTTATGACTTGATGTCATAATTGTAACACCGACACTAGTTAAGCAGTAAATACACTCTAATAACCAAATATAGTAAAGGAAGAAAGCCTTAAGAAACTAAGACGTAATGACAAGAGCAGATTGTGTTTTCTTATAAAAAGGGACACTTTTTATTTATGAATAAAGACAACTTATATACAGTCTCAAAGTATTTTTATATGTCTCTATTATCAAATATTTTATTTTTCTATTGTTTCGTACTTGAAATACCATAATACTGGTTTGCCCGCTTTTGCAAACACATGTCTATAATATGTAAATAATTCAAGTGTCTTAACAATCAAAGCGTACATATTAATAAAGTTGTTTATTTTATTTCTTGCTTTTTATTTAAAAGAAAATATCAATCAAATGGATTTTTATTCTATTGCGAGATTTGTTATGAACCCCCATAAATGATCTAGTAAGTATATTATTTTATTTTATTTCATAAAGAAACCTGTATTAATACTTCTGTATCTTTTTTTGCTCTAAGCTAATGTAGTTCCAAACAAACGTATTCTCCAAGTAAATACCAAGGATTTCATTTTCAGTTAAAGAAGTGTAAAACCAAAAAACGCGCCAAATACATGAAACCAATAAGGTAGGGAAGTATAGTATAAGTTAGGTCATCCAATGTATTCAAGCCGTCCAATAAATGAAAGTATAACATGTATACAAGTCATACTATTCGGATACACACTTTTAAAGAAGTATTAGTAGTCCATATTAAATAGCTAAATATATTTTCCAACCATTCAAAAATCAATAAAAACCATTTTTCCATGAGATTCTATTTCAAATGCATCATCTCTTGATGATGTCAACAAGATCTATTTAAGTTTTTTTTTACAATCATTCATTTGAATGCTGGTTCCTGTCAGATTTCAGACTGAGTCTAAGTCGATTTTAGTGAGATCTATCCAATAATATCATGTAATTAAAGCAAATAAAATTTTTTAAGAGGTAGAGAGTTCAAAGCCAATTCCATAACAAGTAGGGTTTAGGTACGGTTTGAAGTTATGGGTGAATATATAACCAGAATTACAGACAATTATAACATTTCAAAAAAAGGGGGAATTATAACTCTCAATTTATCTATTGATCTTAGTATCTATAATCTCATCATTTGGTTAACTAAATGAATCAATTTTTGTAACAAATACCAAACTATAATTGAACATAAACCACCAATTTTTGGAGGATTTAAACAAAAATTAAGCTACTTAAATTGGTTGTCTTTTGCAGTGAATGTGGCCAGGTTGGTAAACACATGTGTAGAAATAGTGATTTTTTTCAACTCAGTGTGTTTTTTTGAAGTTCAGATCAAAGATGTAGTTTTAGTTGGTTTCATTGGCTAACAGAATTTTAGAATATCAGTCTGGTACAGAAGGCTAAATTCACATACAGAGACCTATCATAATTCTCATTCTACCATCCCTTTTTTTTTATTCCTACTATTTTCTGGATTTACTCTTGCAATAATCTATTTATAAACTCATAGTAGAAAAATATATGTCTTTTACACACAACAGGCATTCTTGAAAACATTTGAATAAAGACTATGAATTGATAATATCATAATTGTCATGTCTCTTTCTATATTTAATAATATAGAAAAGAACTTGTTAGAAGAATTCAATTAAACAACCATAAAATATAATTCTTTTTTTTTTACTTTAAAGTCGGTGCAAATAAAGTATATTTTACGTTTGTTCCTCTTTTTATTCTCAATAAATCACATCAAACAAAACACATAAAATGCCTTCTATCCCCCACTGCCGTAATGTTGTCTGCCGTTGTGCTCAATGTAACAGAAATTCACAGAGATACTCATTGGTGACAAGTAGAACTGCTGAGTGCCATATTAGAAAAGATGAGCTTGAGAGAATCGAGAGACTGGATACGGCTGAAAGATTGGCAAATAGTATGTTATATTCAGGGTTTATTTTTTGATTACTGAGTAATAACTTCTTTATTTTTTTAATTTTAATGAAACACAGCTGTGCAAGAAGAACAAATGATGGACGTTGATACCCAATGTAAGAAAAGAAAAGAAAAAAAATATTTGAAAACCAGTAGAGACAATAAGCTAAATTAATCTATATTTGTATATATCCCGACCTGTCAATCTGAATCCATCGAAAAAATAGACGATCAGGCCGGCTCACCTGATTCGAATGCCGCCACAATGGCTGACAATGTCTCGGTAGACGATGAGATCAGCGAGGTCAATGGCAATGACTCTGACATTGAAAGAGACACGAACTCTGACTCTGGCAGTGGTAAAGAAGAAGGTGTCGAGACAGACATTGAAGAGTTTGTTAATGAAGGTCAGTCATAAATGATTTTGTTTTCTTAAAAACAGACCTAAAGAAAATTTGTTCTAATTTATTTTTGTTAATTTTAAATAGACCCATTTGATGCTCCTAACATGCCTGAAAACCCTGTCCATCAGTTCATTGCTACCTTTGCCGTTCTTTTTATCTTGCGTTATGTTGTTAACAAAGGTGCCACCGTATTGATTGAATTTATCAATCAGTTACTCAAGATCTACAGCAAAGATTTCCAATTACCAACAAGTCTTATTGGTCTGCAAAGAATGACTGATTTTTCCAATTACGCCAATGGTATCAAGAAGTCTGTTGTATGTGAAGACTGCCACAAGGTTTACGAACAAGATGTGTCTCTCCCTACTCATTGCGACTTCAAAAAGCATGGTTCTTGATCAGTATGCAATTGTGAATTGATGAAGGTTTCATCTTCTGGTGCCATGGTAGCCAAGTGATCATACGTCTACAACTCTATCCAGAGATCATTACAAGTTTTCTTTCTTCGTTCTGGGTTTGAGCAAAAAATCAGACAATGGAACAAAGAGCTTAAGGTTGTAGATATACTATGCGACGTCTATGATGGTGCTATGTAGAAGGAGCTAAAGGACCAAAGTGGCGTATTGTTTGTGGATGAACCTTGTTTATTGATGCTAACAATGAACATCGACTGGTTCCAGCCATTTGATGACATTACATATTCAACTGGAGCTATCTACCTTGCAATAAATAACTTGCCTCGTGAGGAAAGATTTAAGCCTGAAAATGTCATCCTTGTTGGTTTGATGCCTGGTCCTAAGGAACCAAAGACCAAAGAGATCAACCACTATTTAAAGCCAATAGTCGATAAATTGCTGCAGTTGTTTATGGGGATAACCATCCCGACCTTTGAGTGCCCAGCCGGTGTTAATGTACATGCCGCGTTACATATGGTTGCCTGTGTCATCCCCGCCGCCAGGAAGACCAGTGGATTCACCGCCCACAACAGTACTTGTGCATGCCCCAGATGTGTGAGGCAGTTTACCAGGTTACCAAGCACCAATCAGATCGACTTCAGTGGGTTTGACTATTTGATGTGGAAAATCCGTAGTGGTCTGGAAAACAGGTTGCATGCTGAGGAGTGGAAGAGTGCCAGTATGCCCTCAGAAAGGCATCAGTTGGAAATCGAAAATGGTGTTCAATGGTCGCAGCTGCATCGCCTTGGATACTTTGATCTAGTACGTGGAACGATCATCGATCCCATGCATAATTTATTCCTGGGGACACCAAAGAGAATGATGGAGCGGTGGATAAAAGAAGGACTGATAGACAATAGAAAGCTAGCTACGATGCAAACAATGGCAGAGACAATGGTGGTGCCAATGGATTACGTGGTGTTGAAATCGAAGATTGGAAAGGGCTTTCCATACATGAAAGCTGATTAATGGAAGTCCTGGGTGCTAGTGTATTCGCCTATCTTGTTGAAGGCCGTCCTGCCAATTGAAATGTTCAGAAATTGGATCAGTTTTGTTGATGCCTGCCACCAATTAGTAAAGCCAAGCATCACGTTCTCTGACATTGATGATGGCCATAAATTTCTTCAAGAATTCTGTACTGAGTACCAGCGTATTTACACTCCAACTATTCTCACCTGTAACATGCATTTACATCTCTATCTTTGCGAGACCATCCGTGATTTTGGACCAGTATATGGATATTGGCTCTTTGGGTTTGAGCAATATAATGGTCTGCTAAAGAACGTGAATACAAACAGAAAAGATTCCTTTGAGGTTACATACATGAATAGTTTCGTCCAAGATACATTCAAAGGTGATTTCGTTCATGCTGCTCTCACATGCCCAAGCCAAGTACCGTTTCTTCCTCTTCTCGCCAAGCTTACTGCTACAGCTCAACCCTCCACTTCAAAAAATACAATAACTTTTCCCCAGCGCCCATTCAGACTATCAGCCTTCATCCAAGCATACTCAAACCCTTCTCTTCCAGTTCTTGGCAATGAACCTCTTCCTCTATCTGCATTTCCTCTCCATATCGAACCCATCAGCAATGAGTGATGTCAACTATCCTCGTTTGCTTGATTACTATAAAGTCGCATACTGCATGCCAAAGCTTGAAGGTTACCAGCATCCCTCCTCTCCATTCTCCTTTGTCAACAACCAAATCATAAAGTTGAAATCAATCAATTTGCTTGGTCAGGTTTACAAAGGCTGCAAATATGCTTCTGGTCGTGGCTCATTTGTTCAATCTCTGTTCCTTGGAAGTCAAGGCAATAATCAGTTGGCATACACTGGCCAAATTCAGTATCTGTTCTTGCACTCTTTCACTCCACCAGTAGACAACACAGAGCTCCAAGCACTTATCATTTATCAAGATAAACACGTGTTTGTGTTTGTTAAGTAGTTCTAGATTGAGCATGACCATTCAAGAGAGTTGAAAAGTGTTGACATCTGCAGTGCAGATTTTATTGCATGTGATTTTGAATGCATCTTGCCAATACATCAAATATCATCAGTTGTTGCAACATGTGATTATAAAACCAGCACAAATAATAAGAAAATATTTGTCAACACTTTATCACACAAACAATACAATTAATATTTAATACATTTCTTTTTTAATAAAAAATTTCAATACATAAGCTAATGTAGTCTTATTATATATGTTGCAAACAATACATATGTGTTAAGAAATTTTGAGAGTAAAAGAAAAAAAAAATGACAAAAAATGAGTTTTATTTATGACCCATATTTAAGAGCCCATTGAGGTAAAGCAGGATCTAAATCAGTTGGGACTGTTGATTCCACTGTTCTATCATAAACTCTCTTAAGCAATTGGCGGGAATTTGCACCCAATTGCTTAACAACAAACGAGTCAATCTCCGTAATGAATTTGTTAAGCTAAGTAATAAACATATATTAACATTCAGCCTGGCATCATTCAAAAAAGAAAACTGTTAGGTTTTACCTCGTCACTTCTCCAACTTGGGCGAGCAACACGAATCTCATTTCTTGGCTGAGAGGGGGACATATCATCGTCTGATTCGCCTTCAGACATGACCGACTTTTGGATCAGTCCAGAGCAGTTTCGACCCATCTTGAGATCAATGTCAGCCTTGTAAGCATCATAAGCAAGGTGACGGCGAGTGTAGTTCTAAAGGAAAAAGACAATACAATTAATATTCTAATTGTTATTATTTAGCATAAATTGAAAATATAGTTTACATCAGTTTCACGGCCAGATCTTCTTGAATTAGTATTCAAGGCTCGTCTTGTTTCCAGAAGTTCCCTTTGCTGGCAACGTCTACTACAGAAGTTTGTATATATACACTTACGAAGGTCGCGTGTCCTCATATCAGTGCCAGCAAACTTCTTTTCCAAGTAATACAAGAGTTGTTTGACTAACTCTCTATTTGGAGAGCAATCAAAACGAACATCAACTGCCCACTTTGGTTTTATGGCGTTTGCTTGGATTTCTGCCTGGTCTCTTGATTTTAGCTTTGGGTTCCACATATAACCATGAATGTATCCCTATTATATTTTAATTAGCAACAAGATTGGCAAGTGTCTTTTGTATCTTTATACTTGCAAATACAGCGTTAGTATCACTTGATTCGGTGATGGGAAGGGCAGCAGAAGTGGATGCAACACTAGTGGGCACATGCGCAGATGCTGGGAGGGCAGACAAGGCATCAATGCCATTAATGGCGGTTGCGTTACCGGTGATCACTACACCAATTCTTGCATCCATCAATGTGATTTTATCCTTCATGGCCTTCATCTCTTCTTTCATCGCATTCAAAGCTTGTAGCAACTGGACATCAGTGCTAGCAAGAGAAGGAGCAAGTCTGCAGTTGGGGGTAGGCATTATCTGTAATACATTGTAATATTTTCAATTGTTAATATTAGTTCTTTTTCTTTTTTATTCTCTTTTGTAAGAGACAATCCATCTATTTTGTTATGTAAATTACAATAAATTCGCAACGTAGATTTGTTGAGATGATATAATCAAGAGTGAGTGACATTGAATTGCAAGTAGAAATATTAAGTATTTATAGGTGGTAGTGATGCTTCAGGAACACTTCAAAGACAACTTCTTGAAACACTGAGATGCAAATCGGCCTTGATACATTTTTTGGCCTCAATTGATCACCTCTTTTCAGTTTTTTTTGCTATCGTTTATTGGATAAGCTTTTCAGTATTTTGTTTCAAACGCGGAAAAAAATTTTACGTCTTTTTCTTTCTTCTTTTCTGCTCCTTTCCTCTTTTCCAACGTTTGTCATTATTATATTAGTGACTTTTTTTTGGTAACATACTTCTTTATTAAATACTTTTTTATAAACAATAAAAATTAATACATTCTTTTATTATCATAATAGATACTCATTTGCTCTCATTTAAATGCATTCATTTCACAATCACTGTCCAGATTAACAAAGGTCAATATTATATTTTGCGAAATTGACATCTATAAAAATCCTTCTGACTTGTTTTTTTTATTACAGACTTGATCATCAAGAATAACTGCTACAAATGAATTTGGTTAAAAACATCAAGGTAGTATATATATATATATATTATTTTGACATGTATCTTACTAAAATGAAGTCTTATTATAGATGAACACTATTGATCCCGTCTTTGATTTCCCTTACATTATACAGCTGGAAATGACATTACATGGTAAGGATCACTATATTTTTTATTTTAGTTATATTAATATTATAATATGTTAACATAAAATATTATTATTTTTCACTAGAGTTCTATCAAGTGTTTACAAAGACAATCTATCTCTGTTAATATATATTCTTGCTACTGGTATGTAAATTATTTATTATTTTATTCGATTCACAAAAATTAATGTTTTTTGTTGTTTTTATAGTGAAAGATATCATAAGGAATGCCATGGATTATCAATAGCAACATCTATTTTTTGCTTGCTCTTTTCCAATATTTACAATGTAAGTATAAAAGTGTACACAAAATGTAAAAGCATACTACATTAAATGTAGTACCCAGCACACATAGCTAATAATTTTTCTATGCTTCTTAAAGACTGTTGTATTTCAACAAATAGTCTGCTTTCTTTTTATATTTTCAGGTATTTCTTTTCTATAGATAATTATTCTATTCAAGCAGTATCAAGCAGACCAGTAGAAGCAATAACTGACATCCAATAAATCAATACTATAAGATTGTTATAGTTCTAAAAACATTTTGTTCTTTCCAAATAAATACTATTATAAACTTTTACCAATAAAACAATTTCTGAAATTAAAATAAAAACGATTGAACTATACTATGGTTCAGAATCCAAAGAATTGCTCAAGTATTGAATTTAATTGGATATAAATGATAACGAAGAAGTGTAATGTTGAACTATACTACTGTGTCAAGATCGAAAATAAATATATTATCCACCTTTAAAGCTCCATATAAAACATATAAAAATAAAACCTTGGTTTCAAAAAACTCTTTTCAATATCCCAAGTCAGATCAACACACTGAAAGTGCTAAAGAACTATATCCTCGTCATTTTTATTTGACCCCACACATGTGTATAGCTGGTCATGGCACATGGTGTTAAGACAAACTTGTTACATGGTGATATGTATCTGGACTCAATGTTAAATCCCGTCTTGACATCTGAGTAACTATGCCTTTACACATACGTATGTCACATCATTTTTCCAGTGTAGATATATGTAATTTATTAGAAAGTTTAATAGAGGGTATGGAATCCATTATTTTTTCTAAGTTCTTTGATTCGATCTGTCATTGACATGCAATGTGCTTTCACTACTTTCTTCAGTTTTTTTTTTCCATTCTTCTTGAAGAGCTCTGGCCAACGAGTATGAATTGGTTGACTTTACTCTTCTAGCTCTCAGCTGGCATTCCAAGTATGCCCAAATATTTTCTATTGGGCTCAGATCAGAGCTGTTTGCTGGCCATGTCATCACTGGCAGATTCACGTCTTCTTTATATTCTTTTGCCAAAATACCTTTATAGCAGGGTGCATTATCTTCTTGGAAAATGAACTCGCCATCTTTTTTTTGCTTAAGGCATCAAAACCAGGGTATAAAATGAAGTCATAAGAGTCTTATGTACTTCGTCTGATTTAGCGTGCCATTGACAATTACAAGTTTTCTCACTTCACCAACCCAAATGCACCCCCAGACTATCACTGAGCCTCTTCTGCCTTGTACTCTTGGACTTATATAGCCTCTTCTATATTTCTGTGCTGGAGTGTGCCAAACACGCACATTTCCTGCCCTTGGATAGACTATGAATCTGGACTCATCACTCCAGATTACCTGATTCCACTGTTGATTGTGACGACAAGCATCTCTTGCAAACTTTAACCTGTTTTTTATATGCCTTTCTTTTAGCAAAGGCTTCTTTGCAGCAACACAAGAGCGTAAACTAATATTTTTTAAGGAATTACAAACAGCATTCCTCTTGATGGGTACACCTGAAGATTTCTAAATTTCAGCTGCAATCATATCTAATGTTGCAGTTGGGTCATTGCGCTCAATATTTCTCAGAGCTCTCAAATCACAATCATTCAAGAGAACAGATCTCCCTTTATGTTTTTTGGTAAGGGCAGTACTCGTTTTCTTCACTCTCTCAATGGTTGTTGTCACTGTCATGTAGGATAGCTTATACTTGCACGCAATCTTAGCTATGAGAATTCCAAAGTCATAAGCACCCACAATCTTGCCTTTCATGTAATCTGAAAGTTTGGGACTCTTTTTACGAGATTGTTTAATGGTTTTAGGAGACATGAGAAGATTTGATTGAGAAAAAGAATGAAAAAATAAATAAAAACAACAATGGGTGTTTTTTCTCAAAACTTTCTTTTTAGTAATATATGTAAACTTATTCAAGATCAGTGTAAACTTGTATACCTTTAGACCCCATCAATCTATATATCTGATTATATACTTCATCATCATAGATAAAAGTTCACTGTATATCAAAATTAAATATTACTATTAATGTGGGAGTATCTTATCTTCCACTTAGATTTATCTGATATTTGAGCAAGATAAAATTGATAAATTTTTCCAGTGTATATTATGTTGCAAGATGGTACAAACCACAAAGAGAAGAAAACAAGAAAAGATACTGAAACTGAATTAAAAGATCATATTTTATTGAATGAAATTGCTTCTTTTTTATAGTCAACGAGATTTAAATTTGGTAATAGAAGTTTAGAAAAAATGAAGATAATAAAAATAGAATGATGAGTAATTGCTATGGTAAGGATAAAATATATGAATAAAAATATGGTAAAAATATAATAATAAAAGTACTGATGTTGCACCTAGATGTCAATAAAATAAATTGTATATGTTGTAGAAGAGGGATGTTACTAACATGAGTGACCATGATTTCGAATGAGTACAACACTGCAAAAAAATGCCCAATTCCCATACGTGATAGAATGTAAAATTCTGTGTGATTTTTGAAATATATTCCAAATATTATACAACAATTCTCAGAATGATAGGAAAACTAGCTACTTGTTGTAAATGAGTATTGACTACTGCTGTAATTGAGAATAAGTCTGAAGGAAATAATATAAGGCCTCAGCTATTCCAGTCAAAGGTGTCTACCGATTACTTTATTATTTAACACACAGGTTTAGCATGCATGATAGTGATTATATTTCATATGATGATATCACCATAATATGGGATACATCAGTGGATTATTATAAGCATAATTATAACTCATAAACACATTTACTTTCGATGTTAATACTTCATTGGGACTACACACATTTATATAATTAATCATACATTAATTATCCCAAGATCACGTTGCTCTGATTAAGGCTCAGATAGGATCGATTACCTGATCCCAGTTATATAATTTTCCCGATCCAAAATAATATAAATAGCAGTAGTAGTTCAGTGTAAGAACCTGGTCAAACTTTGATACAAAATCTTTCTCAATAAACAAAACCTGTACAAGTTCTCACGAATCTTCGTTCCTAATTTCAAATCTTCAATTCTTCCTCTTAAAAACTTCTTCAACTTCAACCACCACAACACTACTAAATATTAAACATCTAGATTCTATGGATAGAATGGATCTGTGCACAATCATAGAGTTCTGTTATATCTCATTATATCCGAAACCTTAATTGAATTCCGAGTTTTTTTTTCTAGTAAAACATTACATTTATTTTGTGTATTGCCTATTTATTCTTGTTTCGGACTCATTCAATAAGGTGTATATTTCAACAATCTTCTGATGATAGCTCAACTATCTTCTGGCAAGTATCAATCTTATTGGACGGGTACTTCATTTACAATTTGAATTTCATTATTTGATTGATCAAAAAATATACTTCTTGTACTTTTATTTAAAAATAGTTTGCGGGAAATAGTTTACAAATGGGCTTTTATTTTATTTTATTAAAAAAATCTCAAAATAGATTCTCTAATAATGGGTCTTAGATAGTTGGCATTTGGTCTGGGCATTTGATCCAGACATTTGACATTGGGTCTTTGTTTTGCATTCTTGGTTTTGGGTTCTTGATTTTGGGTACTGCGATTCTACTTTGGTCATTAATAATATCTCTTATCTTTTGGGATAAATAAATGGGAATACTGCAATACCTCTTTGAATATTAAGGGAAGAGGCAGAATCTTGGGATGACCAAAATCGATTTTGTCATTTTCAAAACATGTGTGTACAGATCAGATTTATTTTTTGGAAATAGAGGATCATATTGCTATGGATAGCATTTATATAATTGTTACTGTACTCCAAGTATTCCTAATAGAAAGGGAAAAAATACGATTAGTATGAGAGAATAATAATTATAAAGTCTTGCTTACCAGAAAAAGTGATTCTTTGGCATTCTTTTAATGTGTGCATGCAAAAGAGAGATAGAGAAAATCTAATAAATTTAAAATGATAATGAAGAAAGTATAACATTAATATAAGTGATTAGAAGATATTCTATTAAAGTTTACTATGTTTATTTCCATCATTAGCTTTTGATGGTTGTCATCATCATAATTTTGCATCTAAAGATTAATAAGCTGATGATTAGCATTGCGCAATAAAAGTTGTTTGCTTTCTTATTCACCTTTGTAAGCCAGTGTGTTATGTTAACTCGTGCAGGAAGCCCTACATAATAAAGACAATAGAAGTTTTTTAGTGTTAATAATCACGTAAAATAAAGTAAAAAGAAAATATTAAGTAATTACCATAGTGTAGAAAAAGAAGCAAAAGTAAACAGTATAAGAGAAAGAGAGAGAACAAAAAAAAGAAAAATAAAAAAACAAATTGTAAGAGTAGTGAATAAGCTCATTCTGTTCTCAGAATTTATTAGAGTCTATTATAATTTAAAACGTGTGTCCCTATAATTTTTTCTTTTGTTGCTGTACACCCAAGAAGTATTGGGACATATAAATACTACTTCTATTTACCAGATTATTATATCCTCCCTCATATTTTATTAGAAACCTCACATACTATTACTGTGTTTTACCATATATGTTTGTATAATTAAAACAATATTTCATAATATTCTTCTATATATGCTTTATTTATTTATATTTATTTATTTTTTAAAAAATATGTAAATATCTGTAGCATGCCTTCCAATGCCACTAGAAAATCAGGACGCAAAGGCAAACAGAATGCCCGAGGAACACTTAGCCATGTTGCTGCCAGCCGGATTGAGCAATGTGAGATTGCTCCAAGAGTATCGCCACTTGCAGCTGGTCCAAGTGGGGCAGAGGCTCCTGGAATGACTGTCGAGTCCCTAACGCAGGTTATGGCAGCCATCAACATGATATACAATTGTATTGTTGAAGCCAACACTAGAATTCGTTTTCTGGTTGATGCTCACAACCAAGCCATTGCCCAGCAAGCTCTTGTTGCATCTTCTGTAACTCAGGGAGTAACTGCCGCCAATGTGTCTACAAATAGACATACCAAAGGCGAAATGCATGCAATTGTTCTGGTATGATTTTTTCTGACTTCATGCTTTAACACACTACCTAAATAATAATAATAATAATCATATAGAATCTCATCAATGGGAGAATGTGGGCAAGAAACTTCCGTTCGGATGATCCTGAGCTTGTTGCTGAAAACGAAAGCCACAGGCAATGGAACACAGATGAGAGGATTGATCATCCTGACAATGTTGAGGTGATTAATTACCTCCGACAGTATATCATTGTCCAGCCTCGCACAGCTGGGTTCTGGGAGGATATGATAGTGCAGAAAATAAAAAACAATTACGAGGCATGTTTTCGTGCTGTCAATGCAACCCCCGAGCAAGCATCTTCCAAAAGACGCAATAATCGTATCAACAGTCATCGCATTGAGATAAAATTACAAACAAAAAAAAGAAATTAAATATTTTGCATTCTGTTCTAATCATTTTAAAATATATCTAGATTCACTTGCGTTGTGTTGATACCTACATTAACAATTGGCTAGCAATTGACACTGAGATGGGATATAAGCCAGGTAACCCTGATGAGATGGCATACTTGCATCTCCTTGAGAAGAGTGTGATGTCTGATGGTGAATTGGAAGATGAGGACGTCACTCCTATAATCCGTGTGCAGGTTTTGCAGGTTGCTTGTCCTAGTTGGAGAAGTGCTGAGGTAATTTTTTTTAAAGGTGTACACTATAATATATTTCTATAAAAAGATGACTGTACATAAATAAACTAACTAACTATATATAGCTGAATAGGCTTATTCAGTTCATTGATTTCTTGGCAGCAGAGAATGACAAGAAGATTGCAATATCACAATCAAAGCAAAGAATGCCCAGATAACTAAAAACTATTGTGGTCACTCCTGTCCCCGGTCTCCTGACCGCGATCCTTTCTGTCTGGGCAATTCAAAACCAATTTGCTCTCTTTTTTGTTCACTGTCATATTAAAAAAATTGAATAATATTATTAGAAAGAAAAGAAGAGGTAATTATATATTTTAAAAGTAAAGTTTTTTAGGCAAAGGAACAATAAGTTTTTTGCTGATATTTTGTAATGTTGTATGGTCAACAATTGCAACAGGAAGAAGAATTTGGTGCACTGGCAAGATGCTTTGAAAGTCAGGCAAAGAAAACATGACATCCCATATTTCTACGCCTGCAATTTTTCTACTTGTCTCCTTGGAAGCCTTGTACCATTTTATATAAGCAAATGTATGTTGGCTACTTTGGGGTGTTCTGTGATGTGGAGTAGAAACAAGTGGACTAAATGAATGAACAAATAGATACTGAATCTCTCTGACATATGTATACTTTTCTCCGTTTCGACCTTCTATGAACATTGCTTGTATATATAATCCTCTTCCATTCATACCTCTACTTCCCTTGAATGTCTGGCCAAGGAGGTTGATGGATTTGAGCGTTTCAATCCAGTCATTGACGAAAGCTGTATCTTGAATCACATCTTTGCAACTGGAGATGGTGGGATTGTTGTAAACAGCTTGGTAATATCCTACCAAACAATCATACTCCTGTCTTGGCATCATCTCATACGCTTTTTTTTGCAAGGGCAGCGCTGATGGCGGCAAAGGCTCATTACCACGAATTGACAAGTTTGGATTATCAGCAGCATCAAGAAAGTCTGGTAGAGAGAACCAATTGTACAAGGCAGTGCTAGTTGTAGAATCAGCAGGACTATAACCAGTTACCAATTTATTGAAGATGCTGGAGAAATTGAATGGACCAGATGTCTTCAAGAAATTGCAAACAAAATCGCCTTTACGGGTATCTTCAATGACTGTTTTCATGTATGTCATTTCAAAGCCGCTCTTTCTGTTAGTATTTATATTCTTTAGGATGCTGTTGTATTGCTTGAAACTAAAGAGCCAGTACCCATAAACAGGCCCAAAGTTCTTGATTGTGTTGCGAAGATGAAGATGGAGATGCATGTTTGGATATAACAGATCTTTGCTATACAGCCTTTCACAACCTTTACCGAACTTCTCAAGTGCTATGTGTGCTGACTGTACATCATCTTTGGAAACATTTGGCTTGGTAAGGAAACGGCAGACATTCACAAAAAACATCCAATTCTCAAACTTTTGCTTTAGTAGTACGCCTTGTAGAACCACTGGAGAGTATACCAGACACTACGATTTCCACTCGCCTGCCTTCATAAAAGGAAATCCCTTTGAAATCTTTGATCTTAGCATAGTGTAATCAGGTAGCAATGTCATGCTTTCAACGATTTTCTGCATGGCAACGAGTTTTTTATTGTCAATTAGACCATCTGCAACCCATTTCTCCATCATCTTCTTGGCTGTGCCTAAGAAGAGATTGTGCATTAGATCAATGATTGTGCAGTGGACAACGTCAAAGTACTGGAGACAATGCAGTTTGGACCAGCAAACACCATTTTCAACTTCAAGACAATGTCTCTCAGCTTCAGTGGTTGCACTTCTCCAGATCTCAGCATCCTTACAATTATCATTCTTAGTGCAAAGGAGCCACTTTGAGAAATCAAATCCAGAATAATAGACAGAGCTCGTTCCAGCTAATCGGGAGAATTGGTGATTACATTTGTGGCATGTGTTTGTACTGATATGGGACGTGAATCCACACACTTTTTGGGCAGCAGGGATGTTGCAGGCAACTATAAACAGAGCAGCATGGATGGTGGTACCATTTGGGTATTGATATGTCTGGACTCTGACTCCCTTGTACAACTTTTCTAATTTGTCAACCAGAGGTCTGCGGTACAAATTTATCTCGGATGTTTTTGCTTCTTTCGGACCTGGCATTAACCCAACAAGAATGACATTTTCTTTCTTGAATCTTACACTTTGAGGAAGATTGTTTACAGCCAGGTAAATTTCACTACACAAATATGTCACACTGTCGAATGGCTGGAACCAGTCAATGTTTAAGGTCAACATCAGTGAGTGGTTGCCATGAACAAAGGGAATTCCATTGGTGTCTTTCAAATCCTTCTATATCAAGTCATTATACACATCGAACATATTATTCTCAGCCTTTGAGCTACGGTTCCACGAGTTGATTTAGGTTTCAAAATCAGGCCAAAAAAAGAGAGCTTTGATCAAATTCTGAACAGAGTGATACACATATGTTCTTTTTGGAATGGACAACTGATTTCCCAACTTGAACAAACTATTACCGCACATTGAGTTATTCCCAAATTTATCAAAGATACAGAAGCGGAGTGTTGATTCATCATTCTCATATATACTGTGACATTTGCTATAAGAAACATATTTCTTTATACTGTCTGTAAAGATATTGAATCCTGCCATGCTTTTGAGACCAGAGATGCTAACTGGGAGACGGAATGGATCTCTGAAAAGCTCGAGTATTTTGTTTATGATGGCAATAAGAAGAATGTTGCCTTTATTGATGATGTACAAGGATACAAAGAGTGCAAGGACCTGTACAATAAAATAATGGATGAAACTCAATTCTGAGTTGAATTCAGGAAAGTTGTCTTTTTTTAAAAAAATCAATTTCTATTATTTTATACAGCAGAACCCAATATCCATTATGAAAGTGTGCAAACCTTCACTATCAAGCATGACATTCTCACTGGAATTGTCTTTGCAACTGTCAGAATTAAGATCAGAGTTAAACTCTTCATTCTCATAACCAAAGACAGCATCGGATTCTGAGAGAGGTAAGACTCAAATAGGCTCTTGTGTCTCCATGTCTACTTCTATACTGGTGTCCATTTCTACTGGAATCATAAAAGAAGTTAGAGCAAATAAAAATAAAAATAAAAATATATATTTTTACCATCAAAGTCATAATCCATATCATAATCATTGTCTATGGTCACCGAGTTCTGTTCATCATTGTTGATAACTTCAGAAACATAGCTTACAGTAGTTTTGACTGATCTCTTAATAATTACTATATTACATATGTTATTAAATCAAAAATATAAATATAAATATAATAAAACATAAAAAAATTCCCTACATCTATTACAAAAGATGTTCATTCAAGCATTGTCTCTTCTTTTATAAAAATTAAATGTCTGTACAGACACTGTATCTGATCCTCCAAATCTTGTTTTGCAAACAGAACATTTGCATTCTTTTGTTTTGTTTAATTTACGGGTTGGTACCATTGCTTAATAATTATTAAAATAATATTATTTTTTAAACAGTAAAGAAGATAAATATATATTCAGGTACAGTTTATTTCATTCAATTTAAGTTTATTATTGTATTTTTTTATGCTACTCGGTGCTCTATGACCAATAGAATCGTTTTAAAAAATTGCAATGTTTATTCTATAAAAAAAATCCTGCACTACAAATTTGGGTTTTCTGTCCACCAAATTTTACATCCCATCACATATGGGAATTGGGCATTTTTTTGCAGTGCAATGTGGACAAATATGTTAATAAGAGAAAAGGAAAAAGTATTGTATGTAGAAGGAACAAGGAACATAAATGAGATTTTTCCTGTGCACAGAAAAATCTCCTCTTACCACCGAGGGCACAGCACCACATCAACAAACCGTTGACATCAGCCTCTCATAACTGGGACAGCACATTATGACAAACCATCAGACAAACTCACTGAGCAGACTGACCTTCCAGTACCAGACACCACAACATTGCTAAACGCTTAATTTAATTTTAACGCACTCAGTATAAGCAGATACGCCGCAATAGCTCAGCTGGGAGAGCGTTAGACTGAAGATCTAAAGGTCGTGTGTTCAATCCACACTTGTGGCAATTCTTTTGCATTTATTTGTTGATTTCGATCTGGGTTGTTCTTCCAATGCTATAACACAGCCAAAATTGGTCAAACCTACTGGGAATTGTAAACAAAGATAAAAGAATAAAAAGAGGATAGAAAGATAGATAACTTTTATGGTGCAATCAGAGATAACTATCTAAGTTTTTGAGTATTTTTTAAAAGTTTATAACTTTTGCAAAACTTAAGTTAATATAATTCTGAACTCTTAATTTGATAGATATGATCATTATCTATAGAATTAAGAGTTTACAATTGCTCTAACTACTCTGAATAAAAAGTCTTAGACTTTCAAAGTTGGGATTTATTGGTCTATTTACAATGGAGTTTATCCAGTTTTTATGATATTGAAACAAGTTAAATGACTGTCACTGACGGACATTAAATATAATTTCTTAAAAAGGCAAACCACGTGCATGTGACTTTGACTTTTATTGCGTACCTTTTATTATTTTGGTCTTCCTCAAGTGTTACTACTCAAGCTTGACATACTTATATTTAAAACACTCTAAAATGCCTCGTCCAAAAAAGAGATCAACAATGGCAAAGAAATAAACAGATCGGCTAGTAGTGGAGTTTTTATTAAAAAAATACAATTGGAAAATGAAGATTATGTGAACTTGGAGTTTAACCATGAAGACGATATTGTTTTGGATGACAGAGAGCTCCAGGGAATGTCAGAAGAAGTTACTTCAGCTGCATATACAAACCAGCTACTGAAATGACATAAAGGTGCTGATAAGTCGCTTCGTGGAACTTATCAGAAAAATTTGCAAACAACTGAATAGAGAAAAAGAAAAGCAGATAATGATGCTTCAAATATGCAAGAAAGCTAGCGTCTTACAGATAAATGCTTCTTTATTAAAGTTCAAAAAGAGGCTCTAATTGAATTAAAGGAATCTATTGATAGTGAATTGGAGAACATACAGATTGACAAAATTGCTGTGCTTAAACTTGCACATGAAGATGTTAAGAAAGATATTTTCCCTTATACTTGTGCAGGTCCTTCTTCTCAGTCAGTTGATGCTTTTGAACTCTGTAAGCTTAAATCAGTTGAATGCTACCTTCGGTACAGAATATCAGGCACCAAAACTATGGAAGCTTCAGAGAAAGCATCGATGGAAATATGGCTTCACAAAAACACTTATCGTCCAGCTGATATAAGAAAGTATGTCAAAGAGTATGTTGATTTCCATTTAATTGCCTTACACCAACAAGGAAAGCATTTGAGAAAATATTCTTTATTTTTGGATGAAGATATAAAGTCTACTATCTGTAAATGGATTTAAAACCAAAGACCAGAAAGTCGAAGTCTTATCGAAGTGAAGAAGTATATTGATGGAGAGATTTTGCCAAGAAAGCTTGGTATACCTGGAAATACTTCCACAAGTACAATCTGGAAGTACTTTCATGAATGGGGTTATGTGTTTAGAAAGAACTCTAAAGACATTTATTATAACGGTCATGAAAGAGAGAATGTGATTGCATACCATCAGAAATGGGCAAAAAGAATGATGGTGTACAAGAAGAAAATGACAACTTTGAAAATGAAGAAACTGTAGTTTTGCCAGTACTTAGATCTGATGAAATAGAGCATGTTCTTGTTACTCAAGATGAATCAACATTCTATGCAAACGATGGGAAAGATACCATGTGGCTAATGGAAGTTGAAAATCCTATCCGTAAGAAAGGTCCAAGAATGTCTCTCATGATCAGTGAGTTTAAATGCGTATGTCATGGAACAATGACTAGAGGGGCATGTTTGTCACGAGAGGTATTCCACCCTGGGGCCGACAGAGATGGGTACTGGACAAGTGCGGATATGTTGAAGCAATTGAAAAACAATGTTATTCCTCTTTTTGAATTGATTCACCCAGGGTGCAAGGCCGTCTTTTCATTTGACCAAAGCACAAATCACAAAGTGTATGGTCAAAATGCTTTGATTTCAAGCAAAATGAATCTAAATGATAAAGAGATTGAAGATAATGATTTTTGTTCTTTGTGGGATACAGTATTTGTCCGGAATGATGTAGAGGAAGTACAATCAATGTACTACAAGAAGGACAAATGATTTGCAAAGAAAAGTAGACAATGGGTCCAAAATAAGATTAAATATGTTAAAGGCATCCGTCATATTCTGGAGGAGCATGGTTTGTGGCTTGAGAAGGATCCGTATAATCCTATTAAGAAATGGCAACTAGACTGTAAGAGTAAAGACATCTCTGAAGATAGCAAGTGCTGTGCACATCATTTTCTGGCTTCACAACCAGATTTTATGTCACAGAAAACTGCTCTTCATGAGGCTGTCGAAGACTCTGGTCATATATTTGAACTTTACCCTAAGTTCCATTGCAAATGCAATTGGATTGAGAGGTATTGGGGTGCCGCAAAGCGTAAAGCTCGCCTCCAGTGTGACTATCACTGGAAAAATAAAAAAAATACTATAGCTTTAAGTAACGAGAAAGGTAGTGGAAATGTCAGGGCTTTTTTTCAGCTCAGTCATTTTTTTATTTAAGTTGGGGGTGTATTTTCAACGTATTCTATTGGCTTAGATAGACAATAAAAAATTCATATTTTTTTGGCTTGCTATAAAATCACATCAAATAAAGTATTTGTAGTACTTGTTTTCTTTTTTATTTTATAATTCAAACTATACACAATATGTTTCCCTCTACCCAAATTCACACCTTAGACTGTCACTGCATTAAATGTCGCAACAGTCATCAGAAATCTTCTTATGCTGCAAAGCGTACTGAGACTTGTCGTAATAAGAGAGTTAGAGTTGAAGGTACCAGAATATTTGAGAATAGTATAATATATTCAGTGTTGGTTTTTTGTTTGCTGCATAATAATCATTTTAATTTTTTATTTTTTATTTTTTATTTATGTTGTTTATTTTTAAACTTTTAATGAAACACAGCTGCAATGAGAAACATGGATGTAGATACTGAGGGTAAGAATTTTTTTATTTGAAAGCAGAAAAAAAAACTAATAAACTATTATATTCCATATTTGTAGTAATCCTGATCTCTCGTTCCGATTCTGTGGAAGCAATGGACGGTCAGGCCAACTCACCTTTTTTGGATGCTGCCTCAATGTTTGACAATGACAGAGACGACAATGATTTCGATGACAATGTTGAAGATGAAGTCAATAAGATCGAGATTGAGGACTTCAACAGTGAAGGTCAGTGTGAGATACATAAAGAAAACTAAAAGAAAAAGAGAGTAAAAGAAAAATCGTGTTAATTTTTTTTAATTTTTTACAGACCCTTTTGCTGCTCCTGATATGCCTGAAAATGAAGTCCATCAATTCATAGCCATCTTTACGGTACTGTTCGCTTCACGTCATGTTGTTGATAAGGGTGCTGCTGTCTTGATTGAGTTTATCAACAACCTGCTGAGAATCTATGACCAAGATTTTCAATTACCAACCAGTCTTGCCGGTTTACAAAAAATGACAGGATTTTCTACTATTACAAAAGGCATCAAGAAATTTGTGGTGTGCCAAGACTGTCATACAGTATATCAGGATATCGTATCTGCTCCTCCTCGATGTGTTTCCTCAAAACTTGGTGCCAGGTCTGCATGCAACTGTAATTTGACGAAATCCATATCTTCTGGTGCCTTGGTTGCAAAGCATGAATATGTCTACCAATCCATTAAAAATACATTGAGCGTTTTCTTCCATCGCCCTAGTTTCGAAGCCAAGATTTGTCAATGGAATAAGGAGTTGAAGATGGTTGATACTCTGTGCGATGTCTATGATGGTGCGATGTGGAAGGAGTTGAAGGACAAGGATGGTGTATCATTTGTGTTGGACCCACGCTCACTAATGTTAACACTTAAAATCGACTGGTTCCAGCCCTTTGATGGTGCCACTCACTCCTCTGGTGCTATCTATCTGGCCATCAACAACTTGGCCCATGATGAAAGATTCAAGCCAGAGAATATTATCCTTGTAGGTCTCATGCCTGGTCCAAAGGAGCCAAAAACTGATGAGATCAATAGTTACTTGGAGCCCTTGGTAGATGATTTGAAGCAGCTGTACGTTGGCATGCGGATTCCTACACACGAATTCCCAAATGGTGTCAGTGTTCGCGCTGCACTACTGATGGTTACATGTGATATCCAAGCCACCAGAAAGACAAGTGGATTCACAGTGCATAACAGCACATGTGCTTGTTACAGGTGCAGCTGGCAGTTTACTTGATTAGGGAGCAGCAACCAGGTTGATTTCCATGGATTCAATTATTCTTGTTAGAATATCCGCAGTGGTGCAGAGAGCAGGTTGCATGCTGAGGAGGGGAAGGATGGAAGTACACTCTCAGAAAGGCATCAGCTGGAGGTCGAAAATGGTGTTCGATGGTTGCAGTTGCAACGCCTTGGATACTTTGATCTAGTATGTGGAACGATCATTGATCCCATGCATAATCTTTTCCTGGGGACGTCTAAGAGATTAATGGATTGGTGGATTGATGAGAAGACAATTGGACCTGAAGAGTTTGCTTTGATGGAGAAAATTGCAGAGACAATGGTACTGCCCAGAGATTACACCACACTGACAACCAAAATTGGAAAGGGCTTCAGCTACATGAAAGCGGATGAGTGGAAATCATGGGTTCTGGTTTATTCTCCTGTCTTGTTGCATGGTATTCTCCCCCCATTACAATTCAAGAACTGGATGTATTTTGTTGATGCATGCCAATACTACGTAAAGCCCAGCATTACTTTTGATGAGATCACCACTGCCCACAGCCTGTTAGAAAAGTTTTGCAATGCATGCAACATAGACTATACTGCCACTATTCTCACCTGTAATATGCACCTACACCTCCATCTTCATGAATGCATTCGTGATTTTGGACCAGTGTATGGTTATTGGCTCTTTGGGTTTGAGCGATACAATGGTATTTTAAAGAATTTCAAGACAAATGGCAAAGATGGTTTTGAGGCAACCTACATGAAAAATTTTGTTCAGAATGCGTATAAGGGTGATTATGTCAATGCTGTTCTTAAAAGTTCTAGCCAGATCCCCTTCATTCACACTCTGTCTAAACTTGTTACAACCTCCATACCTGCCGCCACAGCCACCACTCTCTCCAGTTGCCCATTCAGATTGCAAGCATTTGCTCAAGGCTACACTGATCCTTATAATCCACCCAAGGGTAACGAGCCTCTTCCTCCTTCTACATTTCCTCTAAAATACAGAAAGCCATCAGTAATGGATGATTCCGACTATCTCCATTTACTTGAATATTACCAAGTCGCTTACAACCTCCCAGACCTTGCCAGCTATCAGGACACGTCCTATAATCGCCCAGCACTTGACAATCAAATAATCAAATTGAAGTCAATTGACATTCTTGGTCAACACTATCGAGGAACAAACAACAGCACAATCAGTCGCGGATCACTTGTTCAGGCAAAGTTTGTTGGTAGTAATGGAAACATTATACTTGGATTTGCTGGACAAATTCAGTATCTTTTTACACACTCCTTTCAACTTCCACCCACACACAATCTCCATCTGACTCGCATGGTTCATGATCATCAACATGTATTCGCATTTATCAAGTGGTTTCATACTTCCTCTGATAGGTCGCGTGAGGATGACAGTGTTGAATTTTGTTTGCCCACGTTCTCTCCTGATAGCTACCATAGCATTATACCTGTACATCGCATCTTATTAGAGGTTGCTACAGCTACTATTGTGACAAGTAGAAATGTTAGCAAAATGCTGGTAATTCCATTGCCAAAGAAGCTATATGCTTAAATAATAAATAAAGTGAACTTTTACATTTCTTTTTCTTTAACAAAAAAAACAGAGCATGTATTTCTGATATATATATTGATAGTATTTTGTATGTGAAAAGTAATATATAGATAAAAAGAGAGAGGCAATTTTTGTTTATTTAATACCCGTCTCTAAGGGCCCACTGAGGAAATTTGGGGGTTATGTCATCTGGGACTGCTGTATTTGACACACTGGTGAAAACCCTCTTCTTCATTTGAGAAGCACTTGACCCCATTGCTTCAATAACATACTCATCAACGAGTTTAATGAGAGTATTGAACTAAAATGATTTTGTTAATACTTCACTTTATATTTTTTATAATAAGACATAATTATTAATATAAAATAATATACCTCGTCACTTCTCTATCCTGGCCAAACAATCTTGACAATGCTCTTCGTGCGATTCTCAAAGTCTTCATCTGCAGATTCTCCATCGAACATTGCTGCCATTTGCATCATGAAGTCACAATCTCTCTTCATTTGTAGATCAATTGCTTCTTTGTTGTCTGTGTATGCAAGTAAACGGCATGTATGATTCTAATAGTAGTTTTTTTGTATTAGTATTTTTAAAATTCTCAAGACTAAACTATATTATTTTGAAATTATTTATTTAGAGATTACACTTACATCTCTGGCACGTCCTGCCCTTCTCAAACGAGTGTTTGTTGCTTTTATTTTCTCTTCAGTTTTTCTTGCTTTTGAAACCCAGCTGGTGAAGTTTTTGTATAGTTTTTCTCTCAAGTCTGCCTCTCTAAATCCCTCATGGGTAAACTTGCACTTCAAGTTTTCAAGAAGTCGCACCACCAACTCCTTGTTTGGCGACTTGTAAAAGAAAACATTTGTATTCCATCTGGGCTTACTCTCATTTGCCAGGATATCAGCTTGATTTCTTGTTTTCAGCTTGGGATCCCACATGAGATTACGAATATGAGCCTGATAGAATATATGAGAAAATACATCGATAAAATTTTGCACACGTTGATACTCACATAAACATCATTAGAGGCCTTCTTGCTAAACTCAGACGGGGCGTTGAAGGCAGGCTGAGAAACATTAGCCATTGTATTGGTAGGGGATGTGGTATTTCAGGTATGAAACAATAGAAAAATAAAATATTTGATAATAGAGACATATAGAAATACTTTGAGACTGTATATAAGTTTTCTTTATTCATAAATAAAAAGTGTTTCTTTTTATAAGAAAACACAATCTGCTCTTGTCATTACGTCTTAGTTTCTTAAGGCTTTCTTCCTTTACTATATTTGGTTATTAGAGTGTATTTACTGCTTAACTAGTGTCGGTGTTACAATTATGACATCAAGTCCTAAATTGTACTTCTTTAGCTCTTAGCTATTCTTTTCTCTTTTATACTAGAGCTTTAGGACTTCCTACTAAATTAGCTCCATATCGATCTGACACAGTTTATCCGGCAGTATGATATAATTATCTTAACAATCTTTAAGATATTATCTACAGTACTAACTGTAATAATTATTGGGCTGATTACTTAATCGTTTATATATATTTTATACTGACAAGATGATAGCTACTACGCTATCCCAATATGAATATGTTCTTATATGTGATAAATCCAACATCCGAGTGTCTGGATCACCACAGAGCTGGAACCAATTGATATTTAATGAAGAGAAATGAACGTTTCTTTGCAACAAACTAGGCACCTTCATAATCAACAAACTTTTTCCACAATTTCCCATTATAAACATTAAATAAAGTGCCATCAACCTTTGGCTTGCGGTTCCACTGATTGATATTCTTTTTGAAAGAAAGTCGCATGAACAATTTCTTCAAGGAAGCTGTCAACAAGTTGTAGATGAATATACGTTTGGGAATCATTGCATTTCTTATACTGTGCTTATGAATATTGTTTCCACAAAAAATCTTGCTGCTGACTCTTCTAAAATTGCAACGTGTTTATGTGGTGTTGCTATAGTCATACAAGGTATGACAATCACTGCATGCTATGTAATTGGACACCTCGTTCATCAAGTCATTGTACCCTGTCATTTTCTTCAGACCAGGAATACTTATAAAAAGTTGGAAATCCTCTCTGTAATGTGAAAGTATTGTATTGATGAACGTAATCAAGATCACAGCACTGTCATCCACAATGAAAGTCAAAATAAACATTACAGTGAAAATGGCAATTACTCTATGCCAAAAATTTTCTGGGAGGTTTGCTATAGACTTTATAGATTATTATGATATAGTATTAATTTTTGTTTTCTTGGTTTGATCCAGGTCAATTCATTTTAATTATCATTTATTTTTAATAATTACTCTGTTCTTCCTCTCTGTCTTGCTCTTCTGGCTCAATTTCATCTGACAATTCATATTCAGACTCATACTCTGAAGTATACTCTTCTGTTCCAAAAAGAGATTCTTCCACCAAAAGAGGTAAGTAGGTATGGACATACTGCTCTGGTGAGGGTGCACCAATAGAGTGATTGTTATCTATTGGTACCAAGTTTAAATAGAGTGCACATTGGGTATAAAAAAATAAAATACTATTACCTTCAACATATTCTTCAATTTGATCTATGTCCATATCAGTTTCACCAGTATTTACTTCAGCTGTCAAAACTATTTGTTTCAATTAATTAGAATACATCATATAAATAAATAAAAAATTGATAACTTTAGTTACCATTAATGATTTTATCTATTTTTCTGTTGTTGTCATTCTGGGCATGATGTTTGGCAGTTTTTTTATCTGTCATAGTGTATCTGAGAGGATTGTGATTGCATTTTGTATATTTGCAACGAACTTCATTGGGATTGGCAATGGCAAATATTTTTTTACTTGATTTTTCTTAATAATAAAGGAAGTGTATAACAGATGTTGCTTATTATAATTGGCTTTATTATTTTAAAAAAATTCTCTCAGAGACTCTAATATATATTAGGCCAATGATATATCTTTAAATTTATTCTTGCTGCTAAACACAGAAAATGATCCGAGTTGTAATTTTTTTACTACTATTATCGATAATTCCAGATAAGTGAAATTCAATTATTTTAAGGTATCTTTGTAGTGTAAATATAGTGAGAAAATAAGATACGATGTGTAGTTGTCTGAAGTTATTGTTAACAGTATGATGTTTTTTTGTTATACTTATTGACGTTTTGCTCTACAAATAAAAAAATTGCTTTCTATTCAGCCTCGGCCGCCGTCGGAAAATCAAAAAAAAATAGAATATAATTTTCTAAAATTACAAAGAATTCTGCAGCGTCACATCACCGCCGGACAACCGAAATTGTTTTTATTGACCATTATTACAACATCCCGTGATAATACCAATTGTCCTCAATGGTCTAGTGGCTAGGATCCGACGCTCTCACCGTCGTGGCCGGGGTTCAATTCCCCGTTGGGGAAACGCTGAAATTTTTCTTACTATTGTAAGTGTCAGAGTGTTTTTGTTACCAGACTGTCAAGTCAAGTCTCGATCTGGTAGTTCTTTTCTGGCACTTGTAATTAAGTCGCAGAATCAATACCACTGGGGATCGTCAAGTTTATGAATAGTTTTTAGATAAGAATAAAAATGCTTTTTATTAAATATATTTCTTGACTATTTATACAAAATGATAATTGATTTCTGGCTAAAAGAATAGTTACAATAATATGTCTTAGATACCTGTTGTCCAGTAATATCTTCTACAAGTATATTTACCATGTTAAACATCTAAAACATATATGAAAGACTAATTGGCAAAGTCAAGATCTTTTATCCTAAAAAGTCAACTCTTACTGGTTGCTTATAACTACCAATTTTGTTCACTGATGTCAACTCTGACAAAGTTGTCGGACATTATTTTGATGAATACATAAAGTCTGAAGATGGTTAACCACAGTATCTCTTTATGTGCAGTAACATCTTCCTGAGCATTAACTGCAGTATAACAACTCTTCTTCTATTTAAATATAATATAATAGCTACTGCGGATAATGCGCAGTATTAGTTTAGAAAACTATATAAGACAATTCAATTTATATCAATAAAAAGCATCTTTTATTCTCTCTTTGATTTTATGTATACTCCTTAATCCCCAGTGGGTTTGACCTTTTGACTTTGTTATAGTAAAAGGAAGACCAACCCAGATTGGGAACGACACCGACACAAAAATGATTGAAATAGCCCAACGGGGGGGTCGAACCCCCAACCTTGAGATTAAGAGTCTCACGCTCTACCGATTGAGCTAGCCGGGCCTGCACTTCTATCTTCTTCGTTGTACTTAATAGACACAACAATACAACTGCAAAGTGGAGAGTAGAGTACAACTTTCAGCTTATTAGTGTTAGTTCTTTTCTTCTCTTTCTATTTTTTGTCTTTTTGTGATCTTTTTGGACTTTTTTTGCTTTTTCTTTTGTACTTGAAATGCTATATGATCTATAGATTGCCAGCAATATATCTCTTTAATAAAACATAATCTTTAACCTGAGCTATCTGGGTATTTTTCTTTTGATGCAGTGCGTTACACTGCAAAAGACTACTAATTTTAATTCCTGAAAACCTGCAAAAATTTTACTACAATTTTCGATTTTTAACTTTTTCAAATAATTTCTATTTTTTTCTGTTGTGATTTCAGATTGCTCTTTTTTAGCTGTAAAATCACACTACCATCATTTTTTTTGGCCATAAAATTACAAAAGTGGGTTTTTTTATATTATACACTTCTTTGATATAATTTTAAATTATACTGAAAAAACACTTATACAAAAGTTAATATAATATTTAATAAAAATTATATATATTCTTAAGGTTTCACTTTTTCTATTTCAAAATAAATCATTTAAATATTTTTTATGTATTATAAATGTGAATATAAGAACAAATATTTAATCAATATATTTCAAGGGAACGAGACAAAAGGTTGTGATTTTATTTTTACTGTGACAATATTTTTGCATGATTTTTCCCTTTGATATATGGAACTAAAATATCAGATTTTTTTATTTCACATGTTATGAGAGGCGAATGTTCCATTTTTGGATTATTTTTTGTCATAGTCGAATCATCGTCATATCAAATATTATAATTCTAAAAAAAGACTTTTAAAAAAAATTGCATACACTTTTAGTAATGTACGCAGTATTTGACTTGGTTAATGACTTAATGATATATGAGTATAATTATAATAATATGTGTAGTAGATGTATCAAAGAATTACTTGGCATACTATAGTCATGGCATGGAGCAGTATTTTATCTATTTATAAATTTTTTTGGTATATAAAGACCTTGATCAAGATCTCTTAAAATCTATATAATTTTTTTTATAATTTAAAACAATCGACATGTCCAATAATCAAAAAAAAGACAGTTATGCTATCTGCAAATGTCTAGACTGTACAAAGTTGGATAGCTGTGGAAAGAAACAGAAAAGACAAAATGCACAATGACACTATGAGAAACATATAGTACCTGTTGCCAAAGACAATGCAATGGGTAAATAACAAGAATAACTCGAGCTGTACATGTAAAATTAATATAAATTAATTCATAAAATAGATGTTTCTGAAGAACATTTTGACAACATGAAAGTAAATAGTATTGACAGTGACAATGATAATGATTATAATTACGAAAACGAAGGCGAAGGCAAATATGAAGACGAAAATGAAGAACAAAACATTGAATTTGATCAAGAAGGTAAGAAAATAAAATAAAATAAATGAACAAAATAATAATTGAAACTGATATATTTTTTTTATTTTTTATTTTTTATATGATTATAATTGTAATTATATTTTTATTTCTACATCTTTAAAACAATTATTCCTTTCCAGTTGACTTATCTTTGTTCCAAGAAGAGTCCATCTTTACTGCCAAAGATACAATTACAGAAGCATTTATGGTTGATGGCGATGAGATTGAAGAAGGCAATACTGGATTTGATTTTGAACAAGAAGAAAACTTTGATGAGACCAGTGGGACCTCAATAGTAGAATTAGGTATGAATTAATATGGTATAGACAATTAATCAATATATTAATTTAAACTAACTTAACCTTTGTCTTCATAGTTCGTCCTTTGTCTTTTGATAACATGCCCTTGTATATCCACTTTGTTGCAGTATTTATTGTCATATTTCACTTGATCTTTTTGGTGGAAAGTGGTGGATCGATTCTTATTGAATTTTGTAATACTCTACTGTCTCTCTGTGATATGTCTGGCGCCCTTCCACTGACGATCAATAGCTTGAAGCATAAGACAGGATTTAACATGGCAACAGACGGAATGACAGTATACATTGCATGCTCACAATGTCATTCGATTTATCCTCCGGAAACAAGTCAAAGAGTTTGTATATTTAAGAAATTCTCTCGATCCGCCATTTGCAACAACAATCTCTTTAAAGTGTCAACCAGAAATCGTTCTCTTCCAGCAATGATATATCCATTCAACTCTCTGAAGTATGCCTTGCAACAAAAATTCTCTAAGCCAGATTTCACGTCCAAGATTAATTTGTGGAGAAATTGTCAAATAATTGAAAACACCAAACTTGACATTTTCGATGGTGCAGTTTGGAGTGATATTAAAGACATCAATGGCAGACAGTTTGTTGATGATAGCCAATCTTTAATGTTGACTCTGAATATCGATTGGTTTCAGCCATTTGATGGTCGAACACATTCCAGTGGTGCGATATATCTCTCTATCAACAATCTCCCACGGAGTGAACATGTTAAGTCTGAAAATGTCATTCTTGTTGGTATGATGCCTGGGCCAAAGGAAGCAAGCACTGACAGCATGAATCATTACTTGAAGCCGCTTGTTGACGAATTGTTGGAGATGTACATTAGTATAGAAATGACAGACTCACAAAATAAAAAGATTGTTGTTCGTGCTCCATTGATGTGTGCTGCCTGTGATATCCCTGCTGCTTGCAAAACCTCTGGATTTACTGGCCACATAAGCACATGCGCCTGTCACAAATGTCAACAACAATTCACAACTATAAAGAAGACCAGCAAGCTTGACTACTCTGGATTCAAGTATATCAATTGGGTGAGATTCACAAAGACAATGAATCTGGAACACGCTGTCAGCTGGGCAAATACATTGAACAATACTGAGCAAACATGCCTAGAAAAAGAAAACGGCACTTGGTGGTCAGAGCTTCACCGGTTATCTTACTTTGACCCAGTCTGCTTTACAGTTATAGACCCGATGCATAACCTCTATCTTGGAACTGCAAAGCAAATGATTCAGATATGGCACGAGTGTAACTACATCAATGAAAAGAATCAGTTAACTATGCAAGAGCTTGCTAATGGTATTGTTGTACCTTGTGGATATGTGCATATAACAAAGAAGATTGCCGATGGGTTTTCATTCATGAAAGCTGACGAGTGGAAGTCGTGGTGCGTCATATACTCTCCATTTGTTTTGAAGCATGTGCTCCCAGCCAAGAATCTCAAAAACTGGATTTTTTTGTTGACGCATGCTGCTTACTCACAAAACCTTTGATCAATGACAAAGAAATAGACGAAGCCCACAGTAAACTCTAATTGTTTTGTATAAGATTTCATACACTGTATAGAAAATTGGCCATGACACCGAATATACATCTACATCTTCATCTTGGCAAGTGTGTTCATGACTTTGGGCCAATTTATGCTTTCTAGTTATTCAGTTTCGAGAGATACAATGGTTTGTTGAAGAATATCAAAACAAATCAAAAAGGCGGCTTCGAATCAACAATGATGAAGAGATTTTTGGAGAGAACATACATTGACAGCTTCATACAATCTTTTGTCAACCATCTTCCCCAGTTCGCAATTGACTTTCTGTATTGCATTTCAAATAGTCAAGATCAATTAGCAGCATTGCATCTATCTTCTACTGCCAGTACCTTTTCTCTGTCTGACTTTGTTGAATATTTGTTAAACCCTTGTCATTCTGCTTTGGGTTGTGAGCCGTTGCCCCCTTCAGTGTTTCCGATTAAACTCGACCAAAGGATTACAATGTGCAAGGGACATTATGAATGTTTACTGGAGTTTTACAGACACGCGTATGGCAGTCACGATCTTTTTGGCCATTATTCAAACTGCGAGTCTAACCAGATTTTTGTCAATAACTGAATTGAGAAAATGAAACGGATATCTCTTCTTGGACAGGAATACTCTTCTGGATCTTATTTCCACACCTATTATCTTGAGAATAACTGAAGATAAAGCAGTGTTTCCTGGCCATATACTGTATTTATTTCAACATTTGATAACCATCAACGAAACTGTCATCACCCATACTTTTGCGTTTGTTGAGTGGTACTCTAGTTATTCTTTGGGGAGTTATCAGCCAATGTTAAATGAAGACATTGAGCTCTGGAATGAACCTTCCTCTGTACTTAATTATGAATGTATTATTCCAGTATATCATTTATATTCACCAATCACAATTGCTAAATACAGGTTTACTATAACTAGTGAATTTAAACATTTAGTAATCCCTTTACCCCAAAAAATAGAAGCTTAAATAATATTAATAAAATACCACTTTGCACTCTTTTATCAATTTATTAGAAAATGTTTGATTTATTGTCTTATTGTTTCTTTGACCATGATGGCAGCTTGTTTGCCTTGGTCTTACTAAGCTGCTTATCTCTTATTCCTTTAAATTTATGCTTGAATGGACGGGTATTATTTTTCTTATCATGAGCTGCCTCATAATCTACATCAAGTTCATCAACGAACCTATCTCCCTATATATCAATGTAAGTATTATTACACACTATCCAAAAAAATAGTTTTTTGTACTATACCTCTTTGCTTCTCCAGCTTGGGTGGAATCTCCAAAAAAAAACTCTTTTCTGAGGACGAATCCTGTTCCTCTTCTTCTCTTTTGTTATCACTCTCAAGGTCTGACATGTAATCAGCATAGAGAATACTGTCAACATTCTCTCTAAAGCTGTTCACAAAGTGTGCCCGATTGGCTTTCAAGGCAAATTGTCTTCTTTCACACAACTATATATAAATATATAATATTTCTAATTTAATATCACATCTAGTATATTGTGTGTGTGTGTTTTTTACCTTTACATGTTGCTGACGAAGACAGGCCCGTCGATTCTCTTCCTGCTTCTTTTCTCCTGTTTTTTTTTGCAACTTTCTGTTGCCAATGTGCCGCACAATCTTAGTTCAAAGAGTTGACAAGTCCACCTTTTTCCCCTCTTCTTGACAACGAAGGTAATCGGTAACAGACTTCAGAACGAGTCTGTTTCCCTCACTGTTTTTATTTTCATTGGTATTGTATTGGTCATACAATTTCTCTTCACTCAAATAATAGCGCAACAATTGCTATAATATAAATGTATATTAAAATCTATCTACATAAAAACATATTATGATTACTTACATCCAATATTGGTTGACGTCCAGGCAACATGTCTTGCTCAACTGTATTACTAGCAGTGACTTCGGCTTTCTCAGAAGATGTGTTCTTCAAAACAGTGTTTAAGACACCATTCATGGTATCAAGTTTCTCGTACACATCATGGATGTTACGAGTTCTACCCAACGAATCACCTTCAAGATTCAACCGAGCTCTCTTTGGTGCTAGTGGTCTTTGATTGCTCACTGTTCCCTGTGAGTGTTGCAACATTATTGTCCTTATATCATTGGTATTTCTTGGTGGGCTTTTTTTTGATTTTTATAAAAAACGAAAATAAAATTAATATAAGAAAATTGAAGACTGCCTGGTTTTAATCTACCTTCCCACAGAAGGTTCTTCACCAAAAGCATTATTAACTGAATTGTTATTAAGATTTCTTGACATTGTGAATAATAAGAATAGCTTGTTTTTTTTAAATCCAAAGGGTCTATTTATATTATGTTTAATTTGGGCTTTAAGTTTTATTCTTTCTCAGAGAACACCATGATCTATTACGTAACAAGAACAGCTTTGAATGTTTCCACTCTTGTTGTGAGTATTTTATGTGTTTCTTTAATTTACTTTTCAATCCATGTTTTATTCTTATATTATGTATTAGTATTTGAATAATATGATTTTATACTATACTCTGTTTTTCATATGTATTAGCTGCTGGAATAGTGCAACTGCGTTTTCTTTCAATTCTAAGTTACAGACAAAAATTATTTTTTGATTTATTTATTTTTAAAAAAAAACCCCGAATTTGTATTTAATAGAATAACCACGCCCCTCTTTTTTATTGTCTCTTTCTTTAATCTGCTCTTCTTGTTTTGTTTCTTTTTATATGTCTTGGTAAGCTTACTCTTAAGATCTCAACTTTTATTAATACTTTTGGCTTTTAGAGTCATCTTAATATATATTAGATAAACAATACACTCAACAAACATTCAAAACAGTACAGGTAATAAAAAATCTCCTAACCAAAATGAAACACCTTGCTGACTAAATATCTTTTATTTTTAAAATGATATGGCTTCTACCCATTTTGTAATAAAAGATGTTTTGCTCTTGACACTATATACTTTCTGGTATTTTCAGTCTATGAAAAGGTAATATATATATAACACAACTTAAATAATGTAATTTATCAATTCTTCTTCTCAGATAAATATGTCACGCCTTTTTTTCAAGTCATACTGGTTTGCCCCCTTTTGCAAACGCGTGTCTATAATATGTAAGTAATTCAAGTGTCTTTACAATCAAAGCATACATATTAATAAAGTTGTTTATTTTATTTCTTGCTTTTTATTTAAAAGAAAATATTAATCAAACAGATTTTTATTCTATCACGAGATTTGTTATGAACCCCCATAAATGATCTAGTAAGTATGTTATTTCATTTTATTTCATAAAGAAACCTGTATTAATACTTCTGTATCTTTTTTTGCTCTAAGCTAATGTAGTTCCAAACAAACGTATTCTCCAAGAAAATACCAAAGATTTCATTTTCAGTTAAAGAAGTGTAAAACCAAAAAACGCGCCGAATATATGAAACCGATAAGGTAGGGAAGTATAGTATAAGTCAGGTCATCCAATGTATTCAAGCCGTCCAATAAATGAAAGTATAACATGTATACAAGTCGTACTATTCGGATACACACTTTTAAAAAAGTATTAGTAGTCCATATTAAATAGCTAAATATATTTTCCAACCATTCAAAAATCAATAAAAACCATTTTTTCCATGAGATTCTATTTCAAATGTGTCATCTCTTGATGATGTCAACAAGATCTATTCAAGTTTTTTTTTACAATCATTCATTTGAATGCTGGTTCCTGTCAGATTTCAGACTGATTCTAGGTCAATTTTAGTGAGGTCTCACTACGGGAAAAAATGGCGGTTTTTTGCTTTTGTGACTATGTTTTCGGCCTATAATAATTAAAAAATCACTAAAAATCCAATTTGAAACTAGAAAATCTCTGTTTTTTGAAAAGGTTGACAAAAAGCAAATTGACCACCTAAAATTAAATCTCCTGATAGACAAAAGTAAGCTTTAACTACAGACTTTACATTTTTAGTAAATGTAGATTGCATTTGATGACTATTAAAAGTCAGAAGAAAAAGAGAAGAAAATATCTAAACTTTCTGCTGAGAAAATAAAATATGTTAAGACTTTGAAAAAAAAAATGTATTACAAAAAAAAACAAATTATAGGTCTGCAAAAGAACCAAGTGACAATTTTGGGCCGCGGTTAAGCTCTGACCACACTATGTATGTTGTTGTTGTTGTTGTTGTTGTTGTTGTTGTTGTATTTATAGTCGCGTCCAACTTCACCAAACCAACCAATTCTTTGACATCTGCCAGGTGAACTACCTTTGGCTTCATTTGCCCATTGTTAACAACTGGTATACTATTTACCAAACGGACTGCCGCAATCTCTACAAGAGCAAGCAGCCATCTCTTGTTGTTGAGCTTGTGCTCAAAGAAGACAACAACTTTTCCGAAGAAATCCTTGTAAACCGGGGAGTATGCAGAATTTATGTTGCGGTTTTCATCAACCTGAATCTGTAATCTGATGTTATGTGCCTCCCTTACACAATTTTGGTTGAGTGCAGAGTCAATCACACAACCATTGACAAATGCCTTGCAGCTAGTTTGTATAGCTGCTTCAATCATACTACACTCTTCCCCCTTTGATTCGTAGAAGTCTTCAAGAAGTTTCGAAAGACAAGAAATGCCTTCAAAACTATCTCGGATCGTTCTATTCCTCAAAGGCCCCCAGAACTCACTATCAGACCCAGCACCAACACGCTCACCCTCATCTGTCAACGGCCAACCAGCAGTGGAATCTTCATATTGTAAGTGTCGTGCTGTTCTTGCTTCTGTAATCATGACAGTGGCTCCGGCCTCTGCTTGTTGTATTTGTGCTAAGCCAAGCATGATATTGCCAGCGTTAACATTTATAGCAGAATTACTCTTGATAGCCCTTGAGTATTCACCGATTGCCCGTTCCACAGATCTGGCGCTATATGCACGAGGTGGGCCGTATGCGTCAATCATGAGAGGATAGTGCTGAAGAAGATGCTGGTTTATAGTGAAAATATTGATTTTGATTTTTCCACTTGTAAGCAGCGATTCCAGGTACATGTTCCATATTTCAAGTTTACTGAAGAAAAATAGTTAGAATAAATAATAGAATAACACATAGCTTTTACTAAAATATACCTTTTGATAGAGGTTTGTTCCTCTGCTGATAACTCCCAGCTCATGAGTAGGTTACATGCTTGAACCAAGCCAAGTAATGCGTTCCGGGCAGTTGCATCTCCAATACGCTCTGCCACCAGCGTAGGGACGACGAACAGAAGAAAGTCTGCCCAATCGACGGCCTTGAATGACCCGGGGTTCTTGTATACATCCCTCCAATCGCCATGGAAGGATGTAGGGATGGTATTTCTTGTTTTGTACATTGCTGTACCAATCTCCTTCCGAACACCAGAAGAAAGAGCAAAACAATGGTCTGTTCCGTAGGTACCAGAAACCAAACCCCAGACCTGCTTGCTTATTCCATGGCAAAGTCCATGCATCTCATCGAGGGCAAAAAACAATGGTCCAGAGAATACCTTCAATGTTACCAGGGGGGATTGTCCGTTTAACCCTTTGCAGCTGGATGCACTGGCCTGGGAAAAATTCTGGAAACTTTCCAGCGTACGGATATTGGTGCTGGGCAAAGTTCTGAAGTATTGTCCGTGCTTGGGACATTGGCCGACAACATGACAGATATGGCAACCGTCTTTGCTCATATGTCCAGAATGACATGCCAACTTTGCTAAGGCGGGAATGTCACCAGTGACCATTAAGACATGTACCTTGGCACGAATGGTCTCGTTTGGTGTCTTGACGACCATCCCTTTGCTCTCCAACACCAGGAGCTCTTTCATCGTTGGTTCCATGAACGACCAGAAATTGGCAGGTGCACCTGGACCTGGAATCATTGCAATCTGGAGTATTCTGCTTCTCTCATACCAGACCATGGGATTCAGGTTAAGAATGGTGGCATGGAGGATCGTTACAGAACCAGGAACATTGTGTGGCGTGAATCCATCAACAGACAACGAAATTGCAATGTCATCTTTTCCGGAAAACAGATGTTTTGCTTGCTGGTAAACCTGGCCATCAAACACATTGGTTTTACTTCCATCCGAGCTTGACTCATGATTATGGCGGTAATGCATATCTGCTCTTGTATCCTCGTTGGCTAACGCAAGAGCAAGTTGTCTCGCCAATGGAAGCTGTATCATTGTGGCAGTAGCAACCAGATCACCACTCTCGGTTTCTCCACGTCTTGTTTTGTACCAGCTTTGTCCACAGTTGGAGCACTCAGTCTGGGATAGACTGGTAAAGAGCATACATCCCCTCTGACAGATATCATGGACTGTCTCTTCAACACCAGAGAAACGCTTCAAAAGCTTTTTGCTGAGATGAGGAGTACATGCTCTGTATGTAATACAAGTCGACGTTTCCAAAATGCTGTTGAAATGCTTGACTATCATTTCATGGGCATTGCGGGAGATACTAAAATCCTTAATGATCTTGAGAAACTCAAGGTTCTTTGCGTCGTCTTTGTCAGGGGTAGGTGCAGGCTGACTGAAGTCAAAAACCAAAGGAGATGTTTCGTTTTCAATGATATCCATGTCGTTGCCAAGTTCCGCATCATACTTTAACAAGGTAGATAATAATTAGCATTATATAATAAGACATGTATATCTATATATATATCTTACCATAGACTCATCATTATCATCATTACTAAAGATATTCATAATTGGATCATTGTTATCTTCGCTGTTGAGTGTATCCATGATCTGATCTTTGATTGCATCAGCACGTTCTCTGCTTGTTTATGAAGGTAACAATATAATTAATTACACTTTCTAATAGTATGTATGTGATTTGTAGATTTACTCGATAGTGTCATTTGAGACAGTGTTCAAAACAACACTGACTTGTCCAGGAACAAGCGTGGTCTGTGAAGTCTGGATATCATTATGTCTTCTATGACGGTTCTTAAAGCATTGAGCTCTACAACTCTTGGCTTTTTTTAAATTGGTGTGGCGCTCTTTGCATTGATTGCATTGGTAACTATCAAGGATTGAATTTGAAGACATTTTTTAGGTTGGAAATAAACACTTAAGAATAAAGGTATGAATATTGATAATTCCTTTTAAATAATATGCCTTTATACTTAATAGCGTTGAGATTTGTATAGACTTATTGCCTACTTGTAGTCATTGACATAGATGATACAAATATAAACTCAGGAACAGAAGCTAAAACATTGCGTAATAGCTGTTATTAGAACTACAGTAGCCCAATAATAATATTGGCTGGACCAATAGGTTAAACTCATTTATATGAAACTAATAATAGACAATAGAAAATTTTTTCGGCCTTTATCTTTCTTTCACAACAATCCTTTTTCTCAGGTAAACCAAACTCTCAACATGAATAACACAGATAACAATTCCATCTCTTTGCTACACGCCATGTACAATGAGATACTATCTTTGAAGGCAGGCCAAGAAAAGGCCAAACTTGAAATGAAGGCACAGATTGAAGAGTTAAAGCTCGAAATGAAGACGAGCAGTGAAGATTTGAATTTGGAGATTACTGCTCTCCAGAGCCAACTGGAGAATAGAAACATTTCCAACTAACACACTTCGCCTTCTGTCTCTGCCATTGTAAGACAAAAAATAAAACGAGTTGAATATATATTAATATGTCATTTAATAGTCTAGTGCTAATACCATCCGCAAACCAGTGAGCATATTCCGTGAAATAACTTTAAAGCATATCTTCAAGATGATAAGTGAAGACCTTGGCATTGAAGTAACGAGTAACGAAAAGGCCACACTCAATATGTGTACAAAGCTTATATGTGATGATATGGCTGCCCATCCTTCAGTGATTGCTCTTGGTCCTAATCCTAGCTGGGGGTCTATACCAGTAGCACTTAAGAAAGAAATGTGTGCCAGGCACGCAAATATAATGAAGGATTCTGGTATAGACTTCACTAGATGTCTCGGAAACTGGGCATCAACTGCAAGAGTTGCACATCTCTGGAGGGACTGCCATAAAATATTACAGTCTTGTAAGTAATCCAGTGTAGTAGAATTGAATAGGATATTTTACTATGAAAACCTAGAATATTAAATAGTAAATAGCCAATAAAATGTATCTATAGATTTTTTTATGCTTTAACAGCCAATAAAATAAACAATATTATTTATTTTTCTGTCATAATAACCAGTAAAATGAACAATATGATTTTTTTTCTGTCATAACAACCAATAAAAATGATTAATAAAAACGATCATCTATTGTAATAACCAATAAAAATTTGTATTTATTAAAATGATCAAACATTTACATGTATATTATCTAATAAAAAACTGTTTTCATAAAAGTAACATTAAAAAAAAATTACTAGTGTCCAATAGAATTCCTTTCTAAGCTAAAATATTAAAGTAATAAATGACATTTAAGAGAGTACCCAATAAAAGTAATCGATTATATAATATACTTTATACAATAAAGAATGAAATGCTGTCCAATAGAAGAGCCAACAAAGGAGAATCAGAAAGCAGAGATCTGTAATATGTATTTAAACTCCAGGGGGGCAAAGTGGATATTTGGCAAAAAACCGCTACAAAGCCGCCCTTTCAAATCACCATAAAGCAGCCATAAAACCCCACTTTTTTTTCCCATAGTGTCTATCCAATAATATCATGTAATTAAAGCAAATAAATTTTTTTAAGAGGTAGAGAGTTCAAAGCCAATTCCATAACAAGTAGGGTTTAGGTACGGTTTGAAGTTATGGGTGAATATATAACTAGAATTACAGACAATTATAACATTTCAAGAAAAGGGGGAATTATAACTCTCAATTTATCTATTGATTTTAGTATCTATAATCTCATTATTTGGTTAACTAAATGAACCAATTTTTGTAACAAATACCGAACTATAATTGAACATAAACCACCAATTTTTGGAGGATTTAAACAAAAATTAAGCTACTTAAATCGGTTGTCTTTTGCAGTGCATGGTGTTTATTTTGTTATAAATGTTAAGATAAAAGGGAAACAAGTGTTACATTTACTTTATTTGTTCAAACTTTATAATAATAATAATAATAATGATAAAATAACTTGGGTGGTTATTATATCTGAGCCACTAGAAAATTACAACATGACTTTATGAACATGTACACCAAAAAAACATGCTGAGATGAAAAATTGCTCTAAATATCCACATGTAACCATGAACCTTCACACAAGAGTATTCAAGGTCATTTCTCCAGTGACTCTTGTAGAGAACTATGAGCTCGTCAACAAGAGGACACAAATAGTTATTGATCTTGTCAGTACTTGCTTCTTTGGGTCCAGGCATTAACCCCACAAGGATAACATTTTCGACCTTGTTGTGCTCTTCTCTTGACAGATTGTTTACCATGAGATATATGACATCGCAATAATATGTCACCCCATCAAAGGGCTGGGACCAATCGATATTTAATGTCAAGAGCAATGAACGTTCCTTTGCAACAAACTGGGCACCTTCATCATCAACAAACTCTTTCCACATTTTCCTATCATAAACATCAAATAAAGTGTCATCAACCTTTGGCTCGCGGTTCCACTGATTGATATTCTTTTTGAAAGAAGGACACATGAACAATTTCTTCAAGGAAGCTGTCAACGAATTGTAGACGAACATATGTTTGGGAATCATTGCATTTCTTATACTGTGCTTGTAAAGATCGTTTCCGCAAAAGGTCTTGCTGCTGACTCTTCTAAAATTGCAACATGTTTGTGTGGTGTTTCTGTAGTCATACAAGGTGTGGTAATCACTGCATGCTACGTAATTGGACACCTCATTCATCAAGTCATTGTACCCTGTCATTTTCTTCAGACCAGGAATACTTATAAAAAGTTGGAAATCCTCTCTGTAATGTGCAAGTATTGTATTGATGAACGTAATCAAGATCACAGCACTGTCATCCACAATGAAAGTCAAAATAAACATTACAGTGAAAATGGCAATTACTCTATGCCAAAAATTTTCTGGGAGGTTTGCTATAGACTTTATAGATTATTATGATATAGTATTAATTTTTGTTTTCTTGGTTTGATCCAGATCAATTCATTTTAATTATCATTTATTTTTAATAATTACTCTGTTCTTCCTCTCTGTCTTGCTCTTCTGGCTCAATTTCATCTGACAATTCATATTCAGACTCATACTCTGAAGTATACTCCTCTGTTCCAAAAAGAGATTCTTCCACCAAAAGAGGTAAGTAGGTATGGACATACTGCTCTGGTGAGGGTGCACCAATAGAGTGATTGTTATCTATTGGTACCAAGTTTAAATAGAGTGCACATTGGGTATAAAAAATAAAATACTATTACCTTCAACATATTCTTCAATTTGATCTATGTCCATATCAGTTTCACCAGTATTTACTTCAGCTGTCAAAACTATTTGTTTCAATTAATTAGAATACATCATATAAATAAATAAAAAATTGATAACTTTAGTTACCATTAATGGTTTTATCTATTTTTCTGTTGTTGTCATTCTGGGCATGACGCTTGGCAGTTTTTTTATCTGTCATGGTATATCCAAGAGAATTGCGATTGCATCTTGTGCATTTGCAACAAACTTCATTGGGATTGGCAATGGCAAACATTTTTTTACTTATTTTTTTTTAATAATAAAGGAAGTGTGTAACAGTCGTTGCATATTATAATTGTCTTTATTATTTTAAAAAAAATTCTCTCAGAAACTCTGATATATATTAGGCCAATGATATGTCTTTAAATATATTCTTGCTGCTAAACACAGGAAATGACCTGGGTTGTAATTTTTTTACTACTATTATTGATAATTCCAGGTAAGTGTGATTCAATTATTTTAAGGTGTTTTTGTAGTGTGTGTAGTTTTTTTTTGTGAGAACTAGCATATTTTTTCTTACAGTGCTTATACTGCAATTAATGCTCAGGAAGATATTACTGCGCATAAAGAAGTACTGCAGTTAACTATCTTCAGATTTTATGGATTCATCAAAATAATGCCCAACACAACAACAGATTAACAAAAATTCGAGCACAAGATAAAATGTTAAATCCAAGCCCAACGGGGGGGTCGAACCCCCAACCTTGAGATTAAGAGTCTCACGCTCTACCGATTGAGCTAGCCGGGCGTGGTTGCTTGTGTCACGTGTGTAATTAATAATGAAGGCTATTGGCAATGTCGTGGTGTCCGGTACTGGAAGGTCAGTCTGCTTAGGAAAGTCTATATTTCCTGGTATGTCATAAATATTTAACCAAAATAGTGACTGTCAATACTTTTTCTTGTTTTTGAATTGTTTGTTTGAAACAAAGATTCTATATCCCCTGAAAGCGCGTTTTTTTATTTATATATATTGCTATTAAACATGTCTACTGTCAATATTATATTAACAAATGAAAACATTTATATTCTTGCAACAATTTCAGAAGCATTGGAGTGCTCATCTATTCCCAGAGTAATGACACTTAGACTCAACAGTACTATTAGAGTTAGAACATCTGAGTGGAAAGAATGCTTTGTAGAACTCGGTGAATCTTGTGCAGTCAAATAGACTATTTGTAACTCCAACAAACAACGTACTGATATTACTGCTGAAGAAGCCAAAAACAGTAAAATTAAGATGTGCTTCTCACAGGAGTACTCATGTCATCATTCAGAAACTTATGAATCTAAGGCAGAGATGCGAGTAGTTCAAAAGAGAACTAAGAAAAATAAGTGTCCTGCTTTTCTTCTCATCAGAGGATTCTTTAAGATACCTGAGTGATATGAGATAACCTTGGCCAAAGATCATACTGATCATACTCCTGGTGATATCCGTGAGGATATTCATACTCTTCCTCTTGTCAGAAAGTATCTGTATGAACTGTTTCAGCAATTAGAGCAATCATCTAAATCTGCCAGCCAGATACATATTGATATGTTGAGAGCTATTGATAAATATGAAAGAAGTTCTGATTGTAAGGTCAAGTATTATAATATTTGGAACTTGATAAACAAGATAAATAAACCCCATTTATTTCAAATAATATTTTATTTAACCAATTGTTTATAGATAAACAAGAGATTGTATCATTTTGACAAAGATCAAATGGTTTCTTTCTTGATATGAATAAATGAGAAGCTTCCTGCAATGAATTTTTTAATTTTTAAGGACAATATGAGTTACTCTCCTAACACAAATGCATTTGCTTACAGTTTTATGTCACCAACACAGCAGATTAAAATGAGAAATGCCGTTTCCTTTTGTTTGGATGCTACACATGCTATCTCTGGAAAAATTGATGAACTTTTATATACCCTTCTTGTTCGTGACAAAGAAATTGGTAGAGGATGACCTGTTGCTTTCATGGTAACAAACGATTGGGGTGTTAGCCCTATTGTACAGTGGCTACAGTTTTTGAAGTCTTTCCTTTTGTGGATCAATTCTCAGCAAATTACTATTGATTGCTACTCTGCAGAAGTACATGCAATTCAGACCACTTTCCCTTCCACACAGATTTAATTCTGCATCTTTCATGTCACTCAAGCATGGAACAGAAAGCTGTCTGACTCTGTTAAGATTCCAGGTGCTTTGCCTTCTGAGGCTCATCTTCTTTAAGGTGAAATGATGAGATATCTTCAAGATATTATGTATGAAGACGATCTGGACCAGTTCCATCAAAAACTTGTGGAATTCAAAAGTGAATTCAGTGACCAAGAATTATTCTTTGACTACTTTGAAAAAAATTAGTGCACTGAAGAAAAGTTTAAGATCTGGAGCCATGCTTATCATGAACGGCAATTCTCTCATATGCTCATGAACAACTATATTGAATCGTGACATAATCAGCTTAAAACCGTGTTCATGAAGAGGTCAAGAAATAAGAGATTAGACAAACTTGTCTTTATCTTGGTACATGATGCTGAGTACTATCTAACACAAGAGTACAAAAGAGTTATGTCAAACAATAGAGCAATGAGCTCTTTTACTAGACAACAAAGAATCAGAGAGATAGAAGCAGAAGAAGTTGATGATGATGCAAGAGAGACAATGATTGTTGCTTCAGTATCAGCAGAAGACAGTAGCTGGCAAGTGCAGTCATTTGTTGATGAGAACACAGCATATGTAGTTGAGGTTACAGATAGACTGATTATGAAATGTACCTGTTTTGACTTTGAAAGAAGACAAAAACTATGCAACTATATGTATTTGTTAAAAATGCACACTGCCTTTTCTTTGCACTTCTCAACCACTCCTTTAAACCTTACCTATGAACACAATGTCATTCTAATCCCTCAACCCATCACTACAAACAATCGCTCCTCCCTTTTCTTTGATCAGTGCATTCAAACAAATCAAACACTGCATCAATCACATCAAGACCTTGCCACATTAGCACAGTATACAACAGACAACAAAGCAAAGCATATATATGACATACAGTAGCAATTACTTCATTCCATTCAATCCTTAAAAGATAAATATGAAGTACATTTTCATCGATCAAATAATCAATAAAAATATAATTATTTCTCTTTTTTTTTTAAAAAAAAACCTGTAAATTGAAACAATTTTCAAAGTGACTTAGTAAATTATAAAAGTTCTTATTTTCTGGTATGTAAACCTCATTTTTGGTTAAATATTTATGACATATCAGGAAATATAGACATTCCTGATCAGTGGGTTTGTCTGGCAATTTGTTGTGATGTGCTGTCCTGGATATGAGAGGCTGACGTCAATGGTTTGTTAATGTGATGCTGTGCCCTTGGTAGTAAGAGGAGAATTTTTTGTGCACAGAAAAAATCTCGTTTCCGTTCCCTGTTCCTTCTACACACAATACTTTTTCCTTTTCCCTTGTTAACATATTCATCTACATTGTACTCATTCGAAATCATAGTCCCCATGCTAGTAACATTCCTCTTCTACAATGCACATAATTTATACTGCCAACACCTCCGCATAACATCAGTACCTTTATTATTATATTTTTTACCGTATTTTTATTCATATATTTTATCCTTGCCATATTGATTATTCGTCATTCTATTTTTACTATCTTTATTTTTCTGAACTTCTTTTATCAACTTAAAATCTTGCCAACTATAAAAAGAGAAGCAAACTCAACTCAATAAAGAATTAATTCAGTTTTTAGTATCTTTTTCTTGTTTTCTTCTCTTTGTGGTCTATACCATCTTGCAACATAACATATTGGTTCCTTGGTTTTAGGAAGGTTGTTTGTCAGTTTTGGTCTCCTCGTTGGTTATTACTTTTCTATTTTGTCATTCTCTTTTCATACACCTTTCTCTCTCTCTCAATTTTAACAACAATTCTATTAGTTGTTCTCTCTTTTCTTACCTGTCAACTATCGCTGCTTGCCGCCTTTTGCTGTATCCATCTTCTGTTTTATTCTATTATCATTGTATTTTATTTGCCAAGTGATCCATTACAATCTACAACAAACCTAACACATCATGCATCACTTGTGGCGCAGTGCATTGTGTTTGTGATTGGCCGCAGTACCAATCTCTTTTTTAATCAATTTCAACCTTTTTAATCAGTCACAAAGTCTCAAACCCCCAATTATAATTTTTATATTTTAATTTTAATTTTAATTTTATTTATATTATTTTTATTCTTCTCCAATTTTCTGCAAATTTGCCTTCCCTTTATTCTTTTCCAAAATTAGTTTCTTCCTTTTTATTTTTCTTACTTTTTTTATGCACTAAATGTGACGTTTTTCTCTCAACACTACTTTACCAAAATTGTTAACTGTAGTTTTTTTATTTCTTTATAATATACTCCTTCCCAATCTTTTCTATTCTCTGTAGTTATGTATTATAACTTCATTTATTTTTCTTTTATGACGAATCCTGATTACAATTATTTTATCTATCTTTTTATCACAATTATCTCCTAGACATCAGTGCAACCTAGTTTCGCCATAAATTTTATCCAAGAAGTAGTATAAATAATCCTTCAAAATCAATCAATAAACAATTGTCAAATTTTTCTGATACAAAAGTTTTCTCTAAAGACACTGTCTATTTTTCCTAATCTCTCTTGTGAATTTTTCTTCCGTTTACTGTTTTCTATGTCAAGTCTTCATAGAAGATTGACTATTTTCTTTTATTTTTCTATTATTTTTTTTCTGCTCAAATTTTACAATTTTTATTTTGTTAAATTTTCCCTTTATTTTTCATTTTAAAATTACCTTAGAAATTCTCTTAGTTAATTTTTAATCTTTTATTCTCTAAATACTTCTCTTAACTTAGTTTATTTTATATTAGTATTATTCATTTCTTTTTGCTAGTTCTAGATATTCCTTCTCTTCTGAAATTCTTTCTATTTTTTTCTTCTAGAAGTAGTTTCTCTTATTTAATTTATATTTTATTACAATTGCTTTCCAATTCAAATAATCCTATCTCATTACAGAATTCAATCCTTATTATTACCCATACTTTGCTTTTCTTGAATATAACATATATACAACAAAGTACCACACACGTCATATATTTTAGTAGTTGCCTGAAAATACAATGGAATAATGTAAAACTCCCACAGAGAAGATCATGGGTTCGACCTCCTAAAGCTACATATTTATCTGTGTCTGTATACCTGGTTCTCTCCTTTGCCCCTGCTGTCATGGTGCTGCATTATAGGCGCTAATTCCCGAGTGTACACTATGGCTAAAAAAGTGGCAACATGTTACCACTTTGATAGCATAACTGCCATTTTTTACATAATAAAAAATGGCAGATATGAGTCTGTATAGCACGATTAGAGACACAGTTGCTACTTTTTTTAAAAGACCAAGGTTCATTCCTTTTTTTTGGTTTTTTTGTTTTTTTTTTAGTTTTCTTTTATACCCCCCTTTTTTTTGCTCTTCTGTATCCAATACTAGTATATTATTTCGCTTTTTATTTGTCATATTAAATGAATCATTTATTGAATTGAATTAAAATGAATTGGAATGAATTGAATTGAATAAGATTTTGCTTCAATTAATGTTTTATTATATGATAGTAATACTACTTAAAACCCATCTATTAGAACTTGCAAAAAAGATATGATATTATTTGGCTACTGCAGGGTATGCAGTAAAAACCCTTTATCTCAAAAGCATTTCATGTGTTTTGAGTACTTCGATATAGACTAGATGACATTCTTTAATTCTTACCAGTTTCTATAAATATATCAATGTTAGAGAGAAAATAAATAAATAGACATAATAATATAGTGCTTACCTTTATGTAATATGCTTAATAGCTTCAAAGAATTTTTTTTTGCTCTAAAAATATATATATTAGAAAATATTATTAATATGCAAGCTTCATATGTCATTAAAAAGTGTTAGTATATCTACAAGACAAGTGAAAAAAGCAGTGAGTATCACTCAAAATTATTACCAAATAAAACCCAAAAAAAATTCGAGTCATACAATATAAAGTCTAGTTGAATCTGGTTGAAAACTGAATGAACATTGTTTTGTTAACACAAGATGTATATTATATCAAAGTACTTACATAGAATATAACACCTATCAAGTATAACATAGCAGCATAAGAGTATTATTAGTTTTTTTTTGTTCTTTGAAAAAAAAAGAATCTATTGTGCTTCATTCAAAAATTAATTGTAGCAATGCTGCAGATGTTGCACATTAGTTTTCAATGCTGATGACTATATAAATATCAATAACATAAAAAGGGCAACACATCTTTATTTAAAGAGAAAGAATAAAAAAACAAGAGAAAGAAAGAGAAAAGAAGAAAATAAAAGAAAAATATAAAAACCGAACTAAAAATATGCTAAAAAATATTTTGAACTAATCAAAACCTCCTACGATCTTTGGCTTCTCTTATGTGCTGTCTCAACACTCATTTCTGCCAGAGGAGACTATTATAAAAAAGTAAAAAGTTTATATTAGTTTTGTATTGACAGCATCAAACCAGCAGAAACCATGGTAACTTACAGCACATCCACCATAATAGGCGACTCGCCACCATCTGTTTCTGATATATTATCAGAAGACAATGAAGAATCATTTGCATCTTGCTATGCCTTCTAATTTTTTTAAATGTTTATTAAAATATATGAATGAAACCTTTTGATTAATAAACTTACATTGTTCTTCTCTACCATTCTTCTTTTTTGCTTCTGGTTGTCACTTTTGAAGCTTCCTGGAGAAGACTTTTTGCACACCACATGTTCTTGCATTTGTAAATAGCAAAGCTGTTATTCTTTGCCATTCTCTCTAATTGAATCATGTAGTATTTCCAGTGCTTTACCGGGATACCTTTCCATTCTTTACTTAAAGGAGGAAAGTCTTTGTCAATGAGATTGTGCTTGATTGTGCAGCTCAAAGTCTTGAGCTGCAATTGTTTCATATGTGAAGTTTTATAGAATAAAACCAACAGTAAAAAGATTGAGACGTATATAAGAATACTTTGAGACTGTATATAAGTTGTCTTTATTAAAGAATACAAAGTTGTCCTTTTTATATCAAAACACGATCTGCTTTGTCAGTCACATCTTAATTTCTTAAGTCTGAGTTCATTTAGATATTAGAGAGCTGATACTGCTATGTTTATAATTTAATCTAATTGCAGTGTCCTCATATTAACTCAGTGCTTACTGAGCTGTCATAATTACAGTACTTACTGTAATTAATTATTGGTCTTATTGATTTACCATAAGTAAAATAAATAAATTATTCATTTGTTCTTGTAATGATAGCTGTTTTACTATAATAATAGGAATATGTTCTTAGATGTAATAAATCCAACAACCAAGTGTCTGGATCACCACAGGGAGGGTGCTAGCTGCTTTCATTAAACAAGGCCAAAAGTTACAACATGAAGACTAAAGATAAAAGTAGACAGGAAGAGTTAGTTAAATCAAAGATAAATATATAAATATTGATTATTATTTAAATTGTTATATAAAGCTAGCAATGATATTGACTTTGCAAGTAATAGACTATATTAATAAAATGTTACAATTGAATAAATATAAAATCAATAAGACAAGCCACTTAATTAATAAGTGATGTACATAAAGACCAACTTATGAAATGATAATATTTCACCCTTTCTTTTTATATAAAGGCGTGTTTTTTTACTTATCTAGTAATAATACTTGATGCTAAAAGAATTTCAATAAAACTCAAGACATGCCGTATTATTTTTATAAAACATGTACTTGCTAATATCTGTCCTTGATGAAGTGCAATTGATAAATAAATATTAAATATAATTTTTACAAAGTTGATTCATTCACAATATTGATAAGCATAACTGGAATTTATTTAAAAAAGAAGATTTTTTATTTACAAAATTAAAATGTCAAAAAACAATAACTTTATTACCCAAGACATCAGTATAAACATGTATTCTACTTCCTTAGATTTTGTTTTGTTTTTGCTTGAAAAAAAAATAAATAAATTATATGACATTGTTTTTATAATTCTAAGCAGTAGCATTAGATGAACCAAAAAAAAACTTAACACTATTGGGAAAGAAAGCTAATTGAGCAAAGCATTAAAAACATTTTTTTTAGGATAGCCTTAAGATTATTTTAAAAATACATACTATCTTTTGTAAAGCAAAGCAGCAGGTCATATAAGCATTGTTTATCAAAACCATTACTTCCAAAGACTTAAATTTTAATATATATCTATTCTTGCTCCAAGTTTATTTGTTGATCTTAATATTCAAATAAAATCATCAGGTAGTTGTTTTCCATTGCTGATTTATCTTGACTAGCGCTCTCATCTGTCTTTAACTGTTTGTGCATGATTACAAGAAGTTTATGACAAGATTTATGAGGCCATTCAATCAAGTGTTCGATACATGTTATAAGATGATGATGATGGCAAAGGGTAACATTTTATTTATTACTTAAAATACTTATAATGTGTATATCAGCAATCTTACGGGGACGACATTTTCAGGATGGGGCACTACCTTTTTTTTGCCGGACTAATTCGTTGTGACTACTTGTCCGAGGTCCGAGGTATTTTCTCCAATCCTTCAGGGCAAAACGATGTGTCCTGAAATTCTTAATATTTAAATAGAAAACCTTCTTTTCTATTCTATACTCATCTCGTAAGAGCTACTAATCAATTGCACTTAAAAATATTATTTTTTCTTGGAGATAGTAAAGAGATTACTTTGCTCATTGCAGATTAGCAATTAGAAATCATGATGTTAATAAGTATTCTCTAGAAATCACTTCAATATGAATCCTATCAATAAAGAAATCTGCTTTTTCAATGGAAAGAAACATTATCCTGTCCAACAACCTCTTCCTGTCTCACCAGCTAATGGTTACAGTGACATGACAATGGCAATTTCAAAGATGCAGGAATATGCACTTGCCAACAATTTTGCACTTGTAACTAGAGATAGTAAACCAACTCGAGTGTATTTGAAGTGTGCCAAGGGCGGTCATTATAAGAACACACGGAATATTGAAGACAGCGAACGCAAGAGAATTCCATCTAGTGGAAAGACTGGATGCCCCTATCTCTTGAAAATATCATACAAGAAGGCCGCTAAAGGATATCTTCTTTTGAAAGCCACCAATGAGATTGAAGGCTACCACAATCACCCTCTTGATGATGACTGCCTGGAATCTACCTTGAAAGGTCGTTTGTCAAAGGTTACTGTCGATGATGCTAGGGAAATTATGAAGCTTGTTGAGACCAAAACCAAGACTCGTGAGATCCAAAAGGCGATCAATGAAGAGGATAATGTCAGCCATAAGTTGTATGTGAATGACATCAACAATATCAAGGCTGCTTTTGCTCGTGCTACTGCTTCCACTTCTCAGGATGCAGGTACTGAACTCGTTAAAACCATGGAAGCTAAGGGATATCTTGTACGCTATGACGCCGGCAAATATGGATCTCTTGAAAGAGTATTTTTCTCGCACCCAAAGATGCTAGAAAGAACCCGTCGCTTCCCAGAAGTCATGGCCGTCGATGCCACCTACTCAACCAATAATTTGGAAATGCCTCTTGTATGCGTGGAAGGTGTCCATAACCTCGGGGGAGACACTCTTAAATCGTTTCCCATTGCCTTTGCCTGGGTTTCGAATGCGAAACAGGAGACCTACGTTTGGTTCCTTGAGCAGCTCAAGGCACTTGTTTTTGAGAATAAGAAAAGCAGTTCTCTATTTGTAACAGACAAATGTATGGCCTTAATGAATGCACTTGACATTGTATTCCCAAAAAATGTTAAATTGCTATGCTACTGGCATATGTTGAATAGCGTTGAGAAAGCCTTCGCTGGAAAACTCAAGTCAGTTGCAGAGAAAGAGGTCCTTATGGAGTATGTGAACTCCATGATTCGCAGCAGTACCAGAAGGGATTTCGAGGTTGCGTTGATGAAGTTCAATGCAGTATCTTCTGGTTGCGAAGTAGACGAAGGAGGGTCCAAGGTAGATGCATCGGTTTACTTTGCCGAAAGATGGATAAAGTGCCAGGAGAAGTGGGCAGGATACCTGACCAGCCAGCAAATGCATTTTGGGTGTACAACTACCCAGAGAGTCAAGAGCGCACACCAAGCTTTGAAAAGAGGGATATCAGCAATTTTGTCTTTGGGGCTTGCATTTGAAGCTATCAACTCCTATGTAGACAGGCTCGAAAGAGACTTCAATGCTATAAAAATCAGGGAATCGACAACTGTTGATGTCTTGGTTGGCCGCAACAAGCAGCTTTCCAGGCTTTTTATGAAAGTCTCTAAGAGAGCATTGCTTGTTATTGATCAAGAACTTCGCTTGATCAATAGAGACGATGAATTTTGTCATTGCAAAAACAGGTTTGAGTTCGACTTGCCCTGCAGACACTCGCTGCCAGCTGGAAGGGAGCTCACCCTTGATGATGTTCCTGAAAGATGGATCATAAACCCTGTTCTAAAAGAGACATCTTTCGAAGAAAGTTGTACAGCGCACGTAATTGCCGAGAGGCCAGAAGAGTGGATGCAAGAGATTGTAAAGCTTGAGGCTCTTTTCCGCTCTTGTGAGGGCAGCCAGCAAGTGGCCAACCTCCTTCAAAAGATCAAGAAGGTTACTTCTGAATTCGAAGGCAAAACTGGGCACCCTTCGATTAACTTTCAAGCCCCAGAAAAAAATAAATATCCTGGCAGAAGAAAGGGTGGTGCACGTCCCAAATACCTTCCCAAAGACTTTGGTCGGGCAAACTGGAGGAAGATCAGTGTTTCGTCTGGTCATGTAAGATAAAAAAAATATAACATAACAAAGTACTAATATGTGTCTTGAAATACTAGGCCGGCCTTAAGGCAATGGTTAGGTTAAGAGCTAGAACAAGAGATGGAAAGCCTGCAGCTACACAAAAAACGAAAAACAACAAAAAACAAAACAAAAGCAAAAAAGAGCCTCTCGACCTAAGTAAGATGCTTTTTTATTTTACATATAATTGAGTTTATGAAAAAGAATCTTGTCATATATTTACATACATTTTTTAGTCGATGCTACCAAAAACAAAATAAAACAAATTAAAAAAGAGCCTCTCGACCCAGGTAATATGTGCTTTTATTTTATAGTGTAATTGAATTCATGAAAAGGAATCTAACCTTATACTAATATGCTTTTTAGTCGATGCCACCAAAAACAAAACAAAAAAAATAAAACAAGAGCCTCTCGACCCAGGTAATATTCTTTCTCATTTTTCAGTGTAATTGAATCCATAAAGAGAAATATCGTTGTATACTTATATGCTCTTTAGTCGATGCCACAAAAGAAATAGGGTTTAAAAGACCTGCTACAGCTCAAGAAGATTACCAATATGACTATCGCACCTCTGTTGGCAAGAGGGTTAAATTCCAGCCCGGTTTTCCTGTCTCTCATGAGATAGTCAATGACGTTAAGGGTGGGTTTAACCCTACTGCTGATGGATGGTGTGGTTTTCGGGTCCTTGCCCATTTGATCTATAAAGATCAAGAAAAGTTCCCTCTTGTGAAAAGAGATATGCTTGCTACCCTTCCAAAATACAACAGCATTTACACCAGCACGTTTGGAACCGATGTCAAGCAATTAGAAGACATTATAAAGCATGGTTCTGATCTCTGCATCACCAACTCCAACTCCAACTTCATCCCAGCGTGTTTAGATGCCAGTATGTGGTTTAGCGCATCTGACTGTGCTCAACTAGCTGCGGACACCTATAAGCGACCAGTCTGCGTCTACTCAGACAACCCCAACACCCCTTCCGTATCGTTCCTTCCCTTTACCCTTCCCAAAAACATATCAAAACATCAACAACCTCTGATTTTCAATCATGTTAACAATAACCACTGGACAACAGTACACCTCTCCCGCAATGTCTCAAGGAAATGGCCAACCATTTCTGAGTTATTCTTTTTGGGTTGTGTCAGAAACCAGATTCCCAACAACTTTGATACTTACTGGAACAAGTTTAAAGAGTTCAATAAGTATGATTGTAGAAATGCGATGTTCTCTTTTCTTTCCGATCGAGAGGAACATGTTGATCTCACTATAACATAATCTTTTTTTCTTCTTTTTTTCTTTTATTTTTATTATATTTTTCTTTATACTTCATTAGCTAGACAACTTATTATTTATATACTCATTTACTCTTATATTTTATTAGCTAAACGATCTTTTTTTTTACCTTTATAAATCTTATCAATTTGTTTCTTTGCGTCAACATAAGCTATCTATCACTTGTGGGTTAAATGACTCTCCACTCTGTTTTTTCATAGAAATCATTCGTGGGAAGTACTTTACCCTACGAGTTACACATATATCCAGCGAATTAAAAAGCATAAATGTCGGGTGATGTTACACAGATAGAGCCAAACTATCTTCGAATATGTTATATTATGCATTTGCATCTATTTATTTCATCAATTCAAGAATTGGCTCTCTATAACTTTGGATCCAAGTAGTGTATAGATATATGTATGGGTTCTAGGATTTTTAGTTGAATTGAAAGGGTCGATCATGAGAAAACTAACGTAATATCTCAAAAATTTGCTTTTTTTCAATAAAATAAAATATTGTATTTGCTTGTAGAATCACTTTTTTCTCATTTGTTTTCTATGAAACTTTTACTGGATTCATATGTTATCTGAATATATGTAATTAAAAACTTTTTTTGGTCTTATATGAATATTTTTCATTTTTTTGTATTTTTGATAAAATATCTCATGTACATGTTGTAAGGAAATGATAGAAAGAGTTTTTACAGAAGAAATAAAAATAAAAAATAAAAAATAAAAACATGAATTTTGTAAATATATATTCGCTTAACTTCTATGCAAACTTTCTTAGGCATAAAAGGCTTCATTACCTTTATATCCATTATGAAAGTTTTTGAAAAAAATGCAAATTATATGGATTATAATCTTTTCCACTTAAATCACACAAAATGAAAACATATGATTTATGTCTCAAGTTAAATCGTGAAAATATGACTCATTAGCAGCCACAGGTATGTGATTTGTTGACGGGAGCCAAATAAATCTTATATCTTACAAATACTCGATTTTAGTTACCATTTTTGTATAATAAGTTGATTCTATTTTTGCTTCTTTGCCTTATAATATTATATCATGATTATAGTAAGAAGTAAACTTATTAGTGTTTAACTATTAATTATGACTCTAAGTAGCTGTCACTTTATCTAATATATATTTTTTTTAATGTAAACTACATTTATTCTACAATTATTAGATATACTTTTTAATATATGCAAAATTAATTAATACTATATGTATTCTCAGACATTTTTGCGACTTTGTTTTTCTTTTCTGAAGAAGATTTAGCAGTTTTTATTAGTGTTTATCTTAAATAAGTATTAACAAAAGGCAATGTTTATTACATTAAAGGATATTATAAGCCTAATAAAGTATTTAGTAAAGAAATTTCAAATTTTATAAGGTATTTTTTCGATAGGCAAGATATGAAAAGTCGTGACTTTTGGGGGACGACGTTTCCAGGGTAGGGCACGACATTTTCTATTAGGATATAATGTCTTGAAGTAACATGTTAGATAGTTTTTTATTATTCTATATATATATCAGTTAATTTATTACATATAGTATAAAACTTTAAGTATAGAATTATATATATAAAACAACGCTTTTATATTTAGTCAAAGCTACTTTTTTATATGAGAAGATTTTTTATTATCATTTTGCCCAAAAACAGGTCGTGCCTCCTAAAGAAGGAGAGGTATATGCCTGGAGACAGTTTGATGAATGCACAAAGTTTGGGAGCAATTTAGTGAGCTAATACGCATGAGTGGAGAAGGAAAAGACATAATTAAATAGAGGAAAGAAGCGTAGAAAAAGCTATTAACCTGCCTTGTATAAAAGTATCTTTATTATGATAAGTATGAATCCTTAGGGACCAGATATAATTATTTAATACCGGACAGCAAGTCACAATTTGTGATCCGGTAAAATCAAAACAACGTTTCCCATCAAAAAGGTAGTGCCCCATTCTGAAAATGTCGTCCCCCTAATATTAGCATGTGTATATTATTAAAGTAGATTAGGAAAGAAAAAATTTTGAAGTCATTTTTTTTATTTTGAAAATTAAAATACATAAAAAACAAGTCACAAAAAATAGTAAAAGCAAGAATCTATTGTACAACACTGGAAAGCCTTCTGTGGTGATCCAGACACTCGGATGTTGGATTTATCACATATAAGAACATATTCATATTGGGATAGCGTAGTAGCTATCATCTTGTCAGTATAAAATATATATAAACGATTAAGTAATCAGCCCAATAATTATTACAGTTAGTACTGTAGATAATATCTTAAAGATTGTTAAGATAATTATATCATACTGCCGGGTAAACTGTGTCAGATCGATATGGAGCTAATTTAGTAGGAAGTCCTAAAGCTCTAGTATAAAAGAGAAAAGAATAGCTAAGAGCTAAAGAAGTACGATTTATGACTTGATGTCATAATTGTAACACCGACACTAGTTAAGCAGTAAATACACTCTAATAACCAAATATAGTAAAGGAAGAAAGCCTTAAGAAACTAAGACGTAATGACAAGAGCAGATTGTGTTTTCTTATAAAAAGGGACACTTTTTATTTATGAATAAAGACAACTGATATACAGTCTCAAAGTATTTCTATACGTCTCTATTATCAAATATTTTATTTTTCTATTGTTTCGTACCTGAAATAGCACACCTTCGGATAAGATATACATATAAGTTTAGCATACAAATTATTAATTATAGAAGTTAGAGACAAAAACATGTTTTTATTAAGCTTGTCAAGCCTTACTCTAAAGAGCGAGAGAAAGAAATGAGCCCTTTTTCCAGGGCATTAACTAACATTTCTTTCTCAATATTTTTCATAAGACTGAGTGGCACAAAAGGCATCTTTTCTGGCCATCCAATGGCTCTGATGGTGCCTTTTTTGTTTTCAATTGCTTTCCAAGAGAAAGATTTTCTTGTTTCCCCGGTTTCTTCTAAGAAATTGATAATATAAAGTAAATATTAATTTTGATATTTTATAGACTTAACATTGAACAAGCTTATCAAACATTTGTTCATCTTATTCTTGAAGTCGTTGGCAGCAATGGTTGCGAGTTGTATTTCTCGCACTATGACAGAAAAATAGATTAAGATGAAATAAATAATACATCTATTATATAATACTTACTTGGGCGTCTTTTGACGTTTCCTATTGCTTCCAAGAAACTCTTCAGAGCGCCATATTCCTCAATACACTTAAAAAATATAGAAGACGTATCTCCTGACAAGAGGCTGCCAATCTTTCAACTGGAGCTGGTGCCTGACTCTCAGAACAGAAACAGACTATTGTAGTTCATCAATAGCTTCATTGTGTTCATGATAGTCAATATGGATTTTGCCTACGATTGACATCAGAGACAGAAGATTCCTGGTGAAGAGTAGCGGAATCTTCTTTTGCCATCTCGTAATATCTGCCTTTTCTAAAGGACCCATCGAGTTGTACAAATCAATGATTTCCTCGCGTCTGTAGTTTTCCCCTAAAAATATATTTTGAATTGTTACAAAACTATTGTTTTACTTGTAATCAATGCAGTTAATTATATTACTGTCAAGTTTTCTCTTGTTCTCCATCTCCTTAGTATAAAGATTAAAAGGATTTTTTTTAATCTTTTTGGGCCCCAAAACAGTATTGCTGAAATTATAGGCAGCTTCAGCCATGTTTTCAACAACCTTTTATTGCAAATTAAATTCTATAGCAAAGCTAATTTCGAATTCTTTTCTACGCTGCAATTCTAATCGCAGTTTTTCTACTGCATTGGTTGGCAAGTTTGCAGCATCATTCAAGAAGCTATTAATGTTCATTTTTAGGTATTTAATATATAATAATAAGAATATGAAATAAAATAAACAATTATTTCAGTTGTTTTGGAATAATGACCAGATGACGTGTCAATTCATCTGATGGGAACCTGATTTTGCTACCAATCATATATTGTAATTTATTAGTAACTAATGGTAAAATTATTAGCCTTACACTAGATAACTAGATAACTAGATAACACTATGCAGTTAGCAAATGTGACAAATAATTTTGCGGGAGAAATTTGCATTTTGATAAATGAAAATTGTTATTCAGATTTGTGAGGTGAAAATCTAGTGTCAATATTTCTCTTTCTCTGCTATTAAATTCAAATACTGCATTTTTTCAAGACCTAAAAAGTGTTGTCGCAAATGACAAAACTAAACATGTTTTCTGTTTACTTTGTAGAGAAACTGTTTCTTAACAAAGTAAACAGAAAAGATATTCAGTTTTGTCATTTCCAACAACACTTTTTAGGTCTTGAAAAAAACAGTTGGAGTACAATTTTTTTGTCAATTATAAGAAAAATACACTATACTCTCTCAGAAATGGAAATCTGCTAGACTTTTATCACTAAAGCATTAAAATATATACTATACTTTGAAAAATAATAGTAATTTAAAAATTCATGCATTCTTAAATAATATCATATTTAAAAAATAGAAAGAGTTTTTCTTTAGATAAAAATAGCAAAAAGTAAAACATACATTTATATATATATTTAGAGATGTTATAACTAGAGCTTTTAATATATTTAATATATAAGTTATTCCTTCTTTATGTAATTTTTTGTATACTTCTTTATGTACTTCTTTATTTATTGGTTTTATGAATTAAGAAATAAAATAAAATAAAGAAATCATAAAATTCCAATATAAAACTGTGTATTTGTTAAACCAATTATTAGAAGAGTAAGGATACCTAAAAAATATAAACTTGTCATATTTAGATTATTTGATTGGATTAGATGCAAAAATAATCTGAAATTCCATAAATCATATTTGACATAATCTGAAATCTCATAAATAGTATCTGCCCAAATGTAAAGCTTATAGATTGATATCTGGCATGTTATTGGCATAGAAGAAAGTTGCAGATTGGCAACTTTGTTGGAAATTCTTTATTTCTTGTACCTTTTGCACATTGAAGTCCGCCTGGACAAGATAATGTGACTGGCTTTCCTTCTTTTTTTTTGGCTCTAAGAATAATAATAATTACTCCTTTTTCTCTATTTTAATACACTACTGAAACACCACCAATGTCTGAAGTAACACTTACAAGAAGAGAACAACAAGCTTTGAGAAAGGCAGCACTTGAAGCAGTACCTGTCAGAACCCTGAGAGATATTGGATCTGCATTGGAACCTTTGACAATTCCTAATGTTATGAAGTTGAAGTCTAACATTGTTCGTGTTTTTGCTTCTGAATGGGAACTTTGCAAACAAGAAATTGAAGAACAATACTGCGTCAAGTGGATTATCAGTCGTCCTAATAGACATAGTTCCACTGTTGATATCACCAAGAAGAAGCGTGTGCTCTTCTCCCAGGTATACTCCTGTCATAGAGGTGGAAGCTATGAATCTGAAAGCAGAGAAAAGCATCCAATACAACATAAATCGAAGAAAGTTGGCTGTGAGGCAACTCTCACTATTACTTGTTATGCTGACAAGTCTCATGTTTACGTGTTTGATTTTATTGCCAACCATACCAACCATATTCCTGGGGATATTAAAACTGATCTTGGACTTATTCCTTTAACTTGAGGTTGTGTTGATGATATTGTTGCCCATTTGACAGCCAGTCCAGACTCATCAGCTAGAAAAATCAGACTTGAGATTCTTTGTGACATCGACCAGCAAGAGTATTCTCTCAATGTACATAAAATCAACTACTTTGATATTTACAACAAAATACTTGCAGTAAGTTTTACATTGCAATTATTCTTCAACTTCTGAATATTAACAGTTGTTTTGATGTATCTGAACTTTAGATCAACTGAACAATCTTTCGTTTGCACAAGGACGACTTTAAGTCTATGAAGATGTGGTTTACCAAAAAACTTTCTCCCAAAGGTTTTATTATCTTTGAAGGTAACCTGCAGACATATTTGAACGACAAGAGTCTGTATGCATGTGGATTTACCTCGCCTTTCCAGCAAAGCAAGATAAAAGCTGCAGCAACATTCTGTATGGATGCCACCTACAGTATCACTCAAAGATTGGATGACATTCTTTATACTATTGTCATTCGTGATCAAGAACTTGATCGTGGTTTCCCCTGTGCATACATGCTGACCAATGACCATTCCTTGGGTCCAATTGTCCAATGGTTAAAGCACTTGAAAGACAATCAGTTAGTTGTAAACCCCCGGCAGTTTACTATTAACTGTAGTGATACTGAGACAAATGCACTCATGACAATCTTCCCTGGATGCCAGATCCAATACTGTCTTTTTCACGTCAGTCAAACATGGTACAGACAACTAAACCTGAAAGTCAAGACAGGAAATACTGCTGCCCAAAACCATTTGATTCGAAGAGAAATGATGGCTTTTCTTAAGCATAACATGTATGAAGAGCATATAGTTGTAATTCTTGACAAGATTGCTGACTTCATTGGAAGATATTAGCAAAGTCAATCTGATTTTGTCCAATACTTTGAGACCAACTGGTGTACCACGGCTAAGTATTGTGTTTGGAGTAGAGCTTTTCATCAGCTTGAATTCTCTCACATGCTAACAAACAGCTACATCGAGTCTTGACACAACCAGCTAAAAACTCATTTTTTAGGCCGCAGTCACAACAAAAGATTTGATTGACTGATTTTCATACTGACAAACGAAGTAGAGTGTTATATTTTTAGAAAAGAAAGAAAAACAAAGTGCAGACGAGAAGTACGGTGAGACTTTGTTTATTGATGAAAAGAGAGATGATCTTCTATTGCTATTTGCTATGTGAGTTTATATAGACATTGCGTGTGTATTTAGAATAATGATATGAGTATATCATGTGATGTCTGTTTTCTTATATCATAGATAATATATTGTTAAGTTATTACCCACGCTCTTGTTTGAGTGATTAGTGATGTTGACTAAGGTGTGTGACCTTGTTATCGGTATATTCTTTATTTAATGATAGTGTGAGAAATAATGTATAATTGATACTGGTCGCTTATTCAATATGTCTTTGTCTTATTGTCTGTGCGCTCTATTTGAATCTACGATTATGTTGGATACAACATAGAGTTCTACTTCAAAGAGGAGAGTATCAGAATCAATATGCGCAGTGGCCCAATGACAGCTGCCCAAAGACAACAAAGGAAGATAGAGATATCTGCTGAAGCTGTTCCAGCATACATGTGTGCTAATATAATTGTTAGCCCATCAAAAGCAATGTCTCTGAACGCCACTCTTGATGACACTGATGATATTCTTGAAGATGGGTTTTGGTTCATCAACTCGTTTACCAAAGATAGTATTACATATCAAGTTGAAGTTAACAGCAATGTTATTCTTTCTTGTATGTGTTATTCTTGGGCTAGGTACATGAAGCCTTGTAAGCATATGCATTTGCTTTGTATCCATATGTCAGGCTTTGCTTTCTTGTCTGTGGCTCCTGTAAATAATGTGCTGCCAATCACAATTTCTGGTGAGCAGTTCATTAATGACAACACTATGTTGATGGATGACACAAGGGAGAGCACTGGGCGTGGGTATGCCATAGAGGCATTTGAGTATGCAAAGAATTGTTTGTTAACAACTAGACATAATGAGCAAGACTTGTATCAACTGATGCAGTATGCTACAGAAGAGGAAGCAGAGGTTATTAGAGCAGCATATGCTGCTCCCATAAAGGCTTTTCAAGAAATCAAAGCTAAATATGAAGCTCATTTTAGAACTTTAAATACATAACGTCATTAATAAAAAAATCTTCTGCTTTATTTACAATTGTTCTCACAATATATAACTATTCCTATTACTTTCTTAACATTGTATATTTGGAAATATATGTAAGTATAAATTTAAGCTGTATTCTTGGCTATCTTAATATGTCATTATTTTGGTTTTATATCTCTGCGTTTTTTTAAGAAAATGCAAAGATAACATGTGGCTTAATTCTGAAATTCAAATTCTGGTTGTCCGGTGTGCAAAAGGTACAGGAAATAAAAAGATTCAAACACTTTGGCTCAGAACTTCCTCTCTTGGTTCCAAAATATTTTACAGGAACAGAGCAGAAGCTTTGTGTTCCAAGAGGACAATTCTAGCTGCCATACTGGGTCATATTCAAGATGGTAAAAAGATAGCTATAATATACAAGGTTTTGACTACTGGCCTGCTCAAAGCCCAGATCTCAACCCCATCAAGCATTTCCAATGGCTCTTGAGAGGCGCATGAGTGATGAGAGGGCCAGTATTAACAACGTTGAAGATTTGAAAGTTGTAATGCAACGAGAGTGGTGAAGGATAGGTCTCAAACTTGGATCAACTTTGGCTGGAAGCATGCAGCATCGATTGCAGGCTGTAATTGAGGCCAAAGGAGGTTATACGAAATATTGATCTTTTTTTTTATATATTTCAATAATAAACATATATATAATCTTTTGTTTGCAGTTTGAAGACTTTAGCTTTTATTACTGATGAGCAGTTGCATGTTGAATACAAGCCATGATTTCTCTCATGTATTTTTTGGGCTCAGAAGTCGAAACGTTTTTGATTGTGACTGTATAAGTACCAATAAAAAGTCAAGTATAAGTTCCAAAAATATGTATTGATAAATAAATAAAACCTCACATCTGTTAAAGGGCGGAGTTATACAGTAATCCATAACAGGTAGGAGGGGAAAAAGTGGGTAAGTTCATTTTACCCTCCTAGGCGGCTCCCCAGAGAACCCCTGGGAACACCTCTTTTTTTCCCGTAGTAATACCAAGTTTATCCAGAACATCTTAGATGAAGACTGCCAGAACCATTGGAATCATTAAGGACAAGTTACTAGAGCAGTTCCCTGGACTTCAAGATGTTGGTATCTCTCCTCAGCAAATTCACAAGCACATATATACAAAGGTTGGATTCACATTGAAAAGAACAAAGCCTGTTGAAGAGAAGAGAAACACACCAAATGTGATCAAAAGTAGATTTGAATTTGCCAGCATGCTTCAGCAACTAGGCATATCCTACCAAACAAACTGCATTTTTGTTGATGAGGCTGGATTCAATGCTAACTTGATTCGTGAAAGAGGGTTGTCCAAGAAAGGATCAAATGCTGTTGTCAGAACAAAAACCAAACGAGCATTTAATATCACAATTATGGCAGCCATATCTTTTCAAGGTGTTGAAGACGTTACAGCAAAAATGGTTGCAGGCAGTACAAATACAGAGCTGTTCCTTCAATTTATCAAACAAATCGTAGCAAGTTTGGACAGAGACAATGCTGCACCTCACTACTTCATCATGGACAATCCTGCCATTCATACTGCCAATCTTGTAAAAGTCTACTTCCGCAACCATACAAAGCACAGGGTTCATTTTCTTCCACCATACAGCCCCTTCTTGAACCCCATAGAGGAATGTTTTTCAAAGTTGAAGGGTTTAGTTAGGAGACAACCTGGTCTCTCAGCTGATGAGCTTGTAAAACATATTGGTGATTGTAGCAAACAAATTTGTAAAGACAACTGTGAAGGTTGGGTTGATCACAGTATCAGCTTTTTTAGTAAATGTCTTGGTGAAGAAGAAATCTATTATAGTGTATTTTTATTAAAATCAGGAATTTTAGGATTTGTGTCAATTTTTTCATTTAAAACACCGATAACAAAAATCAGTATTAAATGTCCACTAGTTTTTGAAAAAAACTAAAATATTGAAACTTATACACTCGAGTGTAATAGGTCATTGGATGGTCTTCTAATTTTCAAAATTATTTTTCAAGTATATTATGGATAATATTTTCTTTTCAATAATGTTAATAATAAAATGTGCTCAGAATAAAGCAAAACTTAGAGAAAACATAGTTTATTATATATATATTTAAGAGAAAAGGTATGAGCTCTAGTAATGAGTTGTGTCACCACCTCTCTCAATTACTTCTTTAAGCCTATCTGGCATGCTGGCTACCAAAGTTTTCAGAACTTGAAGTGGTATCTCCAACCATGTCTTGTGGATTACCGCTTCAAGTTCTTTCACATTGGTTACTAGTGCTCTATTCTTGCGAAGTTTCCTTGCAAGATGGGCCCAAATATGCTTGATAGGATTACGATCTGGGCTCTGGGCAGGCCAAAAATCAAAGCTATCTATTAGACATCTCTCTTTTTTATACCATGTGGCATAAGTGCCCATGTGGCATGGTGCACCATCCTCTTGGAACAAAAACTGTTTGTTATTATCCCTGGACAGTTCCTCGTACCAGAGAAGAAAGTACTGAGCCAAACAGTCGATGTACTTGTCTTGATTGATGTTTCATTTCAATGTTACCAAGGGGCCAAGACCTTCACCCCAGAAACAACCCCAAATCATGATGGAACCCTTACCAAACTTGTATGTTTGGACAATATGGTTCTTGTCAAACCTCTCGCCAGTCTTTCTGATGACTCTGACTCTTCCATTATTGCCAACTACCATGAATCTGGACTTGTCTGACCAGACAACTGACTTCCACTGCTCAACAGTCCAATTCACTTTGTCAAGGCACCATTTCAGCCTGTTTTCCTTCTGTTTCTTGGTCAACCCTGGCTTGCAAGCTGCTGAGTAAGAACTAAAGCCAAGAAGTTTCATGTTCTTACGGAATGTAGTCATGCAGATGGAGATTTCCACATCGACTAATCTCTGATGCTGAGCTGCAATTGACACGAATGGCTCACTACAAAATGAGCGCACCATCACAGATTGTGTTCTCTTTGTAACATTTGGTTCCCTTCCTAGACGTGTCAAGGGCTTGGAAACACCTTTATCTCTGAAGGCTTTCACTACATTTCCAACAGTGCTCTTCAGAATGTCAAGAGCTTTAGAGATTTCTTCATATGTAGCGTCCTTCTCCCATTGACCTATAATTCGGCCCCTAATGAACGCATCTAGCTCTTGTCTTTTGGGTTTTGTGATGCTAGAAGTTGGTGGAGTCATTTTGTGCTTTTGTTTTATTTGTTTAAGAGTTTTTAGTGGTTTTACAAAGAAAAGAGTATTTTGATAATGCATAAAAAAAATCAAAAAATCAAAAAATCTGTGACCGTCTAATGACCTATTACACTCGAGTGTACATAGGCACAGCATTTTATATTATAAATTATAAATTTTTATTTTTTTTATTTTTTTTAATCATGGATGCCAATGCTGCGGTGAGATTTACTGATTCTTGAGGTGAATTTCTTCATCTCAGCATCAGCATCCTTAGCATCCAAAAACTTGCTGTAAGCTTCAATATATCTCCAAGTCTTTTTATAAAATCTCCTGATTATGGAAGGAGAACCAGCCACAGGAGAGGCACTGTCCAAGAAAGATGGGAGATTCTTTTCTAACGACTTGAAAGAATAATCGCAGTTTAGGCGAGCCACACGTTTGGCTGCACCCCAATAACGCTCGATCCAATTGCATTCACAATGGAACTTGGGGTACAGCTCAAATATGTGACCCGCCTCTTCCACCACCTCTTGAATAGCTGTCTTCTGTTCAGAAAAGTCGGGCTGAGAGGCCAAGAGGTGGCGGGCACAGCAACAGTGGTTCTCTGCTTCTTCTCCATTGCAGTCCATTCTCCATCTTCTAGAAAGATTGGATGGATCCAGTTCCATCTACAGTCCACGCTCCTGAAGGATCTGCTGGATGCCAACAAACTGTCTCTTCTCCACCGGCCCCTTTCCTTTCCTTCCAGCTTCAAAGACTGTCTCATAAAACGATTGAGAGATGATATGCCCATCCCTCAAAAATGTTGTATCTTTGAAAATGAACATGTCATTTTCAGAAACGATCTTTGGCTTTAGAACCATGCGGGTGGCAACCAAGGCATCTGTGACATATGATTTGTGGTTGCTGCTTTGGTCGAAAATAAAGACACTGGTGCATCACTTGTGCAAGCTTTTGAACAGAGGGATAGCATGGTTCTTCAGCTGGTCAAGCATGTCTTCGCTTGTTCAGTAACCATCATATGCTGTCCCAACGTTAAATATTCTGCGGGAGACCCATCCCTTCACTCGCATAGTGCCATGACAAGCACACTGGAACTTGCTGACCATCAGAGATCTTCCCTGATCTTTTTTGCGGATGTGGCTTTCACCTTCCTCAAGCCACATGTCCACCTTTCCATCATGGGCATAAAAGGTGGACTCGCCATGGGTCACCATAACCAGCTTCTTCTGGTTCTCCAAAAGAAGAGGGGTCACCTCAATTTCTTCATCTTCCCCAGTAAAGTCTGACATACATTGTTTGTATCCCATCATTCGCATTGCCCAAGCATGGCAATACTGAACAACGTCTTGTCTTTCGTGTCCATCGTAATATACGTCCTGGTTGTTCTTGCGGTGGACGTACCCCCAAGCTCTCATGCATTTCCATGCTGTGCTTATGGCCACGTTGCCTTTTACACCAAGGCATGATGGAAAAAGCATTTCATCGAGATACTTTTTCAAATCCACAACAGTTCATCTTTCTGCTTTTTGAGCACGAAGCCAAACGATTGCTTTCTTTTTAAGGTCTTCATCGTCTACAATTGAAGACCGCTTGGCATGCTTGCCCTGTTGATGTTCAGAAATTTTGCCAAACTGAAGAAATTCTTTGGCCCAACCGCAGACAGCCTCTCCACAGTACTTGGAAGGTGTTGTCCAAAAAATCTCTGCTGCTTTTTCAGATGCCTTGATTTTCTTGCAATTGTTCAAGAGGCGTCGGAAATACTCTTTCAAAACAATGTGTTTGCTTACTTCAAACAAAGCAAACTTGCCCAACTCACTATCTGAACTGACTGGAGGCTTTATCATCTCAGAGATTTTCTCATAAGCTTCACGAATCTCTTCAAGTTTCTCATCTTTCAATTGCTTGTATACAGTTAATGCTTCTGTTACAGGCGAAACTGGTGCAACAGGAACCAAGAAACCAAAATCAGCAAGCGTTCTGACCTTCTTGTCTTTATTTGCCTCAAGCTCTTCTTTCATTTTTCTCTTGTTGCACATAATTGATGATCTTGAGTCTCCTCTGTAGAGTCCACGCAAATTTTTTCCTGCGTCTGGTCTCCATGTCAGAAAGCTATTATAGTATGCAGCAATCATCATATCCGTATCTAAATCCAAGAGCTCCCAGTCGTACTCTTCCACAGGTTAATCTTCAACAAGTTCCTTTTCTCCAGCTTCCTTTTCTGTATCAATAGTAATAATTGGAGACTTGGCGCAGAATTTTCCGCCCTCTCTTCGAGCCATTTTAGAAGTAAGGATAGAGCGAGCATTTTTACAACCCATTTTTAAGAATTTGTTTTGGTAAAAGTAAAAGAAGTGTTTTCAGGGCAGTCTTGATAGACAGCTGTCACATCCAAAAACGTGGTTTATACTCCGCATGTTACACGCAATTACTAATTTAGGATATATAATTCTCTACATCTGCCTTGAGATGCCATCAGAGATGTAGATTCAAGTCTCAATATTTCTCTTCCCCTGCTATTAAATTGGAACACCACACTTTTTCAAAAGTCAAAAACTTTGTTGGAAATGTCACTACAAACAAGCTGCTCGCACAGTTCTTTTCAGAAACACTTTCTCCGTGTCCATGAGCAACGGTTTTTTTGTATTGACATTTCCGACAAAGTTTTTGCCTTTTGAAAAAAATATCGGAGTCCAATAATTCTTCCTGATTATAAGAAAAATACACTATAGCCAATTTTTTTTAAAAAATAAATTATATCTCTTTTTTAAAGGACAGACCTTCTTGCATTTAAACCGAGACTATCACAGAAAAGTTTTGATTTTCTAATTTTTGAATGCGAAACTCTGTATATATAAACGCATAATATGAATAGCAATAGAAGATCATCTTATTAACTTTTTTCTCAATAAAAGAAAGTCGCACTATATCTCTCGCATGCACTTTGGTTTTTAATCTTAAAATATAGCAATATCTCTTTTAATCTTTGCACTTAGTTTTTATGAGTATACATAGTTATCAAAATTTAGACCAGCTACACAAATATTAGCTGATTGATTATTCTTTCTTCATATATAGAATAACTATTCATTTCAATGGGGAACCCTTGGAGAGCGAGCAGACCTCACTTTAAAAGTTAAGTATCGGACTTCTTGCTTTTATTTTGTATAGCGCCCTGTCCCCTAAGATTTACATTGATTGATTGATTGTTCGATTGATTGATTGGTTTGTTGCAATAGATGTAGATGTAAATATATCTTTGTAGAAATGTATATGTAAATGAAAATGAAAATGTTACCACACTAGTACTCATCAGTAACAAAGTTGTAATTGCTGTAGTAGTTCAGATTTGGCAGGTTTTGGTCTTCACTTTCTTCACTTTCGGCATCTTCTTCTCGGTTTCTGTAGTGTTCCTCATATACACTCATAGTAGATGTACTTGCTTGCTCATTCGACTGATATTCTTCTTTATCTCCATCAATCTTTATTTGTTCTAGCACAGGTATAATATTTTCCCATATAGATATACCCTAATAATGATAATAATATTGTTATTGTTATTATTAACAAGTAAACCACCGCAAGGTATTCATAATTTAATGATCTACAGCAATTTATTTTTCTCTGTATTTACCTTTTGACAGAATTCAATATGACAATCAGCATATGATGCAAGACCCTGTTTCAGTTCTCTTGATTTGGCACCCTGAAAAATATCAAATTCTCTGACCATTTGGCTTGAGAAATAGTTGTTTGCATCATTGGTGCGCGCTACCTCTTCTTGAAGCTGTAGATACATACATATGCATAAAAACCATAAAAATAAATAAATGATTTTGTTTTTAAAAAAAAAAGTCGAACCTCGTTGATCTTTGCCTGAAGTCGTAGCAATCGTTCTTCTCTTGCTCTATTAGAATCAGTTCCGCGTACTTCATTCATCTTATCAGCCATAAATTCGGTAATGTTTAGACCTGACCCATCTCCCATATTCCTTCCAGGATACATTATTCTTTCTCGTTCTTGAATTGCTCTTTGGAGGTAATTTGAAAGCTCTTCAAAGTCGACTTGTTTTTGATCGCGTTCATGGAGAACTTCCTACAAAATAGCAGCTATACAGATTAATTGTACGTAAAATTATACACGTCATATAAGATCAGAATTTTACCTTTGTAGCATTACAGTAAGCCAAAAGCTCGTGTACATCGTTGAGAAAATGGAGCTCTTCTTTGTTGTTCTTTAAAATATTATTATTATTATTTTGTAAGAAAATGCAAGATCCCAAGAGCCTTATATATATGTGTGTCCGTATATATAATATACAAACCATTGAAGCCATAGCAATAGAATATTCTTCGATAGACTTTGCAAACTGTTGCAGTGGTTGAGCTGCATCCTTCTCTATCATTGATAAACCTTTGATGCTGGCTGAGAAATTACTGTAATTTTTTGCCAGTTCTAGAAAAAAATAGTAAAGCAAATCACATATAGGCATATAAATACAAGTATGTTAACTACTTTGTCAAACTTATAGATGTGTATTAACTAATTACTTGCCTTGCTGCCTCTTGCTAATTCGTGAATATAGTTTCTCGACTGTATCCAAATTATCATGAAGTTTGTCCACATTTTCCTTCATATCAACAAATCGCTCATCTGGTTTTTTGACTTTAACAAATGCATTCAGCAAGGTATCACTTAATGTGTCTAGTACAGATGTTACACGCGGTACTCTTCTCGATTGCGCTTGTTGATCATTTTTCTGGTTGAAGGATATACGTATCAAAAGCTGAATATATATATATGTTAAAAAAACAAATTGCTTACAAAGTCTGCAGACTCGAGGAATAACCTGGTGGATTGTGATTGCTGCAGGTAAGGGTGACGTGCGATTCTGTCCATAAACCACTGAAGACTATATTGTTTATAAGAACCATTACCTTTTAAATTATTATTATTATTATATTAGGCAAAAAGCTTTACATACCCTAGTCTTCGCCGTTCAATAAACTCACTACTGAACCGATCGCCCTTGACGTATTCTAAAAAGAAGCAACCCGCCCAAAAAGAAGGAAAAGAGAGAGAAGTGTTAATCACAGCAAATAAAATGGCTATAATATATATATATGTGTGTGTGTGTGTGTGTATGTGCAAGTCTTACTCATCCGGTGCTTTTCTGGGAGTGGAGGAACGACAGATGCAGGAAATTCCAAGGCCAGTACATCATGCAACCATATAAAATCATGAAATCTCCGCCTGACTGGACGAGGTTGTGGTGAAGAAAAGGTTTGTACGGTTGTCTAGATAAAAGAAAATTGGATGAATTGATGAGTTTTTTATAAGCTAATTTTGATTAATTTTTTGTTTCTTTGTTAAAGCATAATGCTATTTTCTCGAGATTTTTCCACAAAAATCTAAATTACTCCCACGCACATACACATATATACATAAAAGACAAGGGACAGAGTTAATTTCCAACTTACATTGGTAGCAATTAGATAGGCCACATATGAGCTGGTACCTTCGGATCGTTTTTGAGGATCCTCCACTCGAATTATCATTGGCATCGCTTCTTTAGCTTCTTCAGTTTGCTCATTCTGGACTGACTCTATTTTTGGAGAGTGTGATGTGGAGGATTGAGAGTGGGTAGCTGTAGATTGTGTGTTGTACTTTGGAGAATTTGCAAGAGGCGAGCCATTGTTTGGTTCTGCATAGAATTGACTAGTAGTTCCTGAAGCATCAATCGACTTTGTATAAGAAAGAATTACATTAGCCAAACCTCACAGGAAAATCAGCGCTGTGATGCCATCAAGATTTGTAATGGTATAATCGAAGCAACAGCTAAAACTAATAGTATATTACTTGGTTATCGTTATAATAATTGTGCTGAGAATTTGGACTGAACATCAAATGAGGATCGTTCCTGTCAGGTAATGCATCTGTGGTGGCATGAACGTTCCACTGCACGCTATCGTATTCATCGTTCATTGGAATCACAAATAAACCAAATAAAAGAAAAAGTAGTCAAATGAAAGTAGAATACAATAAGGTGCAATCCAGTACAGTAAAATATAATGCAATACAATAAAGTAAAAGTAAAATAAAATAAAAATCAGACAAAGTTCAACTTTATCGTCTTAAAATGATGTCACTCCGCTTGATATCCTAGGCGTGGTGATACTTTCTGTGTGTACAGTATTTACTTCTTTGTGTTTATATAAGTACAAGCAAGTTATGCTCTTGATATATATATATTTATATATATATATATATAACTATTCAGGTGTTTTTGTCTGCGTTTGGATTGGCTCGGTCGACTAGATTCTCTGGCCGGTTACTAAACAGACTGTGTTTCTTGCGTGCCAAGAACTTCTTGGTCGTTCCACACACCTTGCATGTTGTAATGACTGCTGTTTCTGGTCTTGCTGAAATGAAATAAATAAAAAAGAAAGTAAAATCGTGAGCTCTCAATTCTTTAAGCAGATATGATTATGATTTATAGCTTTGATGACTTACAGGTTACATGAATTGAGCTGGTGAGGCCAGGCACAAGAGTAGAATCACACTGCTTACATATGGTACGCTTAACATTCGGATCTCTAAAAGGATTTCATTGTTTATCGATGACTATGATTAAGCAAGTCAACTTACAGACGGAATACCATTCTTCGTCCAATCTTCTTCATTGTGCTGTTGTAATATTGCCCAAGTGGGTGAAGAGTATGGGTAGATTTTGTATTGCTCCATTTCTTATTTTTTAATGTGGTTGGTTGATTTTGTGTTGGAAGAATAATAGTTGACATCAAGGTAGCTGCTTGATGCAAGAAATTCATACGCTGATAAGTTTGGAGCTGTTGTTGATTAGCACCTGGAATGCCTTGCTTCTTTTTGGCCATTATATTATTATTTTTTGATGAGATCTAAGGCATTCTCTTTTTACTTTTTTTTTTTTACTTTTTTTTTACTTTTATATATATAAAAAAGCCACCTTTATGGTCTGTCATGTAATAAAAAGTAGAAAATTTCCTTTAAAAAGTACAATTATCCTTAAGCCTTTAGTGCTTTGGTGTAGGCTTGAAAAAGAACGTTAGAAGATATTTTATATATGTATGTATATGGATGTGCATTGTTTGATTTCCAGTAGAACTTTTGTATGAATCTAAGAGATAAATCTAATTGATTATTATTGGCTCACTAAAATGTATTGATAGACGAGCGAATATTTTTCTGAACGTACAGTGTAAATTATTTCTGATTCTTACTATTAACTATTTATGTATGATTTTAGTATCTGGTATTTATTGATAATTGCAACTTTAAAACTGCTCGCATATTTTACTCATGTGTAAAATAAAATACAATAGTATCAGTTTTGCAATTAATTAATACTTGATGATAAATAATAAATACTACGTTACTTTTGATTTTGGTACTCTTTGTACAATTGAGTGGCTTAAACCATGATCAATCTGCCCATTGAAAGGAAAAACAGGGTATTTGAGTGCACTGATAAATGCTACTCACTGTAGAAGCACGAGGAGACACAAACAATATAAGTAAATGATAATAATATTACAAAAAAAAAGTACAATTTCTTATCTTTCTTGTTTTTTTATTTATTTATTTATTTATTATTGTTGTTGTTGCTGTTGTAACTTTGAAATATTTTGATAAAATTAGCTAATATACTTTAAAAGAGATGATATGTAAATAAATAAATATATATATATATAATAAAGATGATGCACTATATGTAAGGGATGTGGAGTAAAGGGGTATGATACATGAGGGTGGGTTTTTGTCTGGATGAGTTATGCACTGATACAAAAAAGGAAAATGTGGTTTAGGATATAGGAGATTCTTTCAGGAGGGGAGTTCTCTCGTGAGATACTTGTATTCCATATTTCCGAGCTCTGGAAACGCCGGACTTCTTCTTGTCTCTTCTTCCACCACCGAGAATAAGCAGGAAGGAAATAAAGAGCAATATGAATGTGAAAACAGATAATATAGCATAGTTTAGCCAAAGAATAGAGAGCGACAATACGGCTGACCCGAACACATTATCTGGTAAAGCATCTGCTGGGAGATCCATAAAGAATAAGAGATATGTACCTGTTATTTTAATTTATTTATTAGCAAGTATGATTAGTGTAAGGAATAAGGGTATCAAAGATAGATGCAACATACCAAAACATGCCCAAATAATTTGAGATATATACATAAAGCGCTTAGTCAAGCAAACCCATTTTGATGGTGGTCTATCGTACGATTTCTCTTGTCGGGATCTGTTTGCAGATTCAAGATCAAGTTCGCGTTCTCTGGAAATAAGCCCCACATATCCCTTTGGTGTGGTTGGAACGGGAGGGGTTGAGTTGTGGTCGACGCGGGCTAGTGACTTGGTGCTGCGAAAGCAGACGCCAAACACCATTATTACTGTGGTGAGAGAGGAAACAATCGAGCCAGCTAGAAAGGCTAGACAAAGCTGGACTTCTTTTGAAAGGGACCCTAGCTGGCCATGTTTGATGTATTCGTATTGCAAAAGATCTTTGAGAGATTTCAGGGCGATTACTGTGTTGTAGACATTCATAGGTAAAAGTGTCAAAAGTGATACTGCCAAGCCAATCATGCTGGTCACACCAAGTATTAGGCCCAGGGTTGTTATGGTCGAATCGCAGTTCCGTAATGCCATCTCCTTGCTATTACTATTTGATATTTGAGTTTTGGATAAATAAATTCAGAAATTTAAGAAAGAAAAGGGAAGAAAAGGAAATGAAATGAAAAGCAGATGTACCCTATTTCAACTTCTCTTGTATCGTATTATGATGTGTCCTGATTTAAGATTCGGTCCGTCAAAGAAAGGCGTCCAACCCTAAGATGATACGGACATGTTCTAAACATGGAAGCTCCGGTAATACAATTCTGGAGTACTAAACCTTCATCCTGGCCCCGTCACCTGGCCCCATGTCCATATCTGTATAGTCGTACAACTGCCACTTGGGCATTGCTTCGAAAAAGCTGGTCGGTCTTTAGAAAAAAACGATTAATCTTTTGGGCACAATTTGATCTGAAAAAGGAAACTGAATTTTACTACAGTTGGTGTGGACAGACTAAAAGGGCAGAAAAAAGGGTAAAACAAGTTCATCCTGAACTTGGGCAATCAGACTAATTTATGATTGTCCACACCTTTTTTTTTAAGAAAAAATAGTTCAAAGTTAGTGCAAGTACATACTAGGTAAAATTGTGCTTATAATGCCATCTCTGTCATTAAGTGTGGATCTTTTATCACGAGTTACTCTAGACCTTGCACTCTATATCACATAGTTTTCATCAAAGGCATGCTCTTCTTCTCGATCCAAAGGACAATGGGAGACGATTAAAAAGGGCAAAATTAATTAAAGTTCTTGTCCAATAATATAGCTTAAAGTCTTGCTTTTTTTTGACCTTTTTTTTGGCTTTTAGTCTGTCCACACCGAATATTGTTTCTTTTTTACAAAAGCCTAAATTGTTCAAGACTTCTAAAAGAAATACGCTTAATAGTTATCAAGATTAATATTGATAAATATAAAGCAGTGAAGTTGACAAAAGCAAGTAACTTGAGGAAAATGGACTGAAAGATATTTGTATCATTTATATGATTTTCAAGCTTACTCGCATGCTCATTAGAAGTGGTTTTGAGAATTGAATGGAATATGTATTTTGGTTTTTTAAAAGTAGGGATCGGGCATAGTAATGTCAATACAAAACAGGCGTATAACTTTTGATGAACAGAAGCAATTAAGCAATATACATGTCTTCATCAATAGTTTAGTATTTAGAAAATAGTAGTATTATCATTTTTTAAATAAAAAAAGGTAGAAAGTAGCTCATAGCAATAGATATATGCAAATTATATAGCAGACTTATAGCTTAGACCGTTACTAAATATCACATAAACCAGTACTTCTTCTTTTTATACTTTTATTATTTGGGCGAAGAAACCATAAGATTCCAATGTAAAACATCATGCATTTGTTGAACAAATTATAAGAATAGAGATACCTAAAAAAAGTGTTAATTTGCTATATTTAGAATATTTGATTGGATTAGATCCAAAATAATTTAAAATTACACGAGTCATATTTGCTAAAAATAATATTAAATTGCTAAATTATGATATTTTATTGGCTGGAAAATCTAAGCGCTAGTAGATTTTTTGCAAGTACAGAGTTATAAATCCTGCCATTTCCTACAGTGGAGCGCTAGTCCCATCAAAAGATTCAAGTAGCATAAACACATGATTTACGTAACGTCACGTGCCCTCAACCTGTCCGTAAGGTTGTCCTACTTTTTATTAGCTTTTGAAAAGTACAAATTTACCTAGCGAGTCTAAGAAGAGAAACAACCCACCCGTTTTTATATATATATTTTATATATTTAAAATTGTGACACATAGACACAATGTTTAAATGTTGAGGACAACACCGAATGCTCCGTTAGCGCTATTTCTAAAGAGTGCCCCGGTACATACAGTAAGATTTTTATTTATTTATTTCTTAATCTTCTTTTGAAAAATAATAAGGAGAAATAAGCATAAATATACACATCTATATACAATGAAGCACAAATGGGCCCAGAAAATATTTCAATATTTCAATATATCTACATACAGATTTCTATTATTTTCACAAGATATACACGCACAAAAATATTGTATCTTCTTTATCTTTACCTATGTATTACGCACCTTTTGTCTACACTCGACATCATATGAGTCAAGAAACTTTGAACTCAAACAAATTAATACAAAAAAAGTTTATAAATAAAAGCTTGTCTATATCCAAAAGAGGATTAAAAATTGCATAGAAAGGTTTTGTGCGCAAAGTTGTTTGATGATATATGGCAATCGAAGCCCCATAATATATACTAATCATCGAAATTACAATGCCACATTAGAGGGCTCTATTTGTATTCGAAAAGCTTATCTCACAATGAGCTCTATCAATCGTATCATAATCTTCAAACTAAAATAATACTTTATTGCTATTGTTATTATGAAAAGAGAATATTTCATATTGCTTTATTCTTATTGGCTCTTCTTCTGTGTACCTTTTTGATTTTTATACCAAACTCTCGTCTATGATGCATAGGAAGAGAAAGGAAGAAAGAGGGAAAGGCTATCAACGGTGTACTTTCAATGTGAATTTTGTAATATAATAATAACATAAACTTTGGAAAGACAGGCAGTGAACATGTTTAATATTTTGACTGCTTTCTTACCATGTATAGTGTAAATTTATTCAATAATAAATTTTGGTCAGCCAATCTACCTTGTCAGCAAACTTCGCATGGCTGGCTTCTTTGCTTCTTGATGGTATTTCCTGCAAATTTTATGACTACACTAGACATAAAGAAACCAAAATGGACCTAAAGTGCTAACTCACACAATCTTCTTTTATTTAATTTTTTAGTTAAATGCTCTATTTCGAAATTTAACAAAGTATAGTGGCTGGTACTGTTAAATAAATTTAGGCTTTTTATAACAGTTTTGTAAGGCAATAGGGTAGCCAAAAATGGAGAACTTGGGATGAAAACTTTATATTGTATGTGTGCTTTACACAATAATGTTGATCACACTATATTGATTGAAAAAGGTTAGAGTTTTACAAGTAAAACAAACAATCACTATGATAAGGAGCCTATAATCAATATGAACATTTGATACAAGGTTTTTCATTTGTAATTATGAGCATACCCATCGACAGTACAATAGTTATATTTATGATTATTTTTAAATATACAAATATGCAAATTCGATAATAAAGCCGAAACAGCCACACAGCCACACAGCCACATAAACATGTATGTATATATACATGCACACACACACACACACACAAAGTACATATAAGAGTATTTCTTATAATCCACCACGTCTCTTCTGCTCTTCTGCCATTTTTCTAAACATCTCAATAGTCGCATTCTCTTTTGCCTTGTATTCAGCAACTCTATCCTGGGGAGGTGCATAGCGTTTTTGATATTCTGCCTTTCTGGTATTTCGGCGTTCTTCTCGTTGTTTCTCAGCAGCTAGCCTAAATGCATTATATATAAATATATAAGCACCAGTCGCTTTCATTTAATTCCTTCCTATTCTCCTGTCCTACCTTGATTGGAAATCATCCCCACCCATCAGATCTGCTTCACTAAGTTCCACATCCGGACTCCTTTCCCGTTTGTGGAACGCATTCGTAGCTTTACGTTTCTCAAGCATTGCCTCACGCCCAGTTTCTTTTGGTGCAACCTCGTCAAGATAAGAATCCCGCTTCCGTCGAAGGTTCTTGGATTCTGCCTTTCGTCGCATTCTTTCTGCCTCCAAACGTTCTTCAGCAGCTGAAATAAAATAAATGAAAGTATAAACACACACACACACATACGCACACAGGCACACGCACAAAAATAACAAACAAACAAACAAATAAATAGATAAATAAATAAAAGCATGTCATAGTTATGTAATATAGAGACTTATTTACTTTCTCGGTCCTGTCGGATGACGGGACTAGTAGGCATTGCAGGTCCAACATTTCTTCGCCGACCTTTATTAGACTCATCTTTAACCACCCCTCTACTCGTCATTGTATCTACACTGTCTCTGATAGTATCAAGCTCATATTGATCAACTTTTGATGCAAACTTCCATTTGTACCGAGTTGTATCTGACGATGCTAGCTGTGCCGAACTAAGTCCCTTGTAGTATTTTTCTATTGAACGTGAGTAAGAGTAATAGTAAGAACAAGAGTATGAGTATGTTTTTTCTTTTTAGTATTACAGAGACACATAGCATCATAAAATTGTACAGAAAGTTAAATAATTAACTTGTAGCTTATTTAGTTACTTTTTAAAATAAAGTAAAACTATTGTACCTTGGAGCTCAAAGCGATTCCATGCTTTGACAAACTTTTTGAAATAATATCGAGAATCGCTGGAATCAAGTTCATTAAAATATTTGCGTTTTTCCTCTTTAAGCCAAAGACGAAACTCGGTTGCCTTTTCAAAGTAATCTTCCTCAGTAATGGCTAAATGAGTAGAGCAGATTAGAGAACTTATTAATATTATTTAGGGGCTTTAAGACTAGCTTTTAGTGACATACGTTTAATCTGATCTCTTAAATCGTCAGAGATGCTTGGCGGCTTTTGGCTTTTGGACTTTTTAGAATGGCTTCTACGTTGCTCATCATCAGAATCATGGCTACGATGATGTTTTCTTGAACTCATTAAAAAAAAGACAGTAATAATATGAATAATATAAAATACAAACTACTCTAGTACTTTACCCATCTGCCGCTATCATCAGAAGGACTGTGACTCGCTTTTGCAGAGAATCTGAACTCTCTAAGCTTTGCATTGATACCCTCTCAGTAAAATCAAAATTCTGTCTCCCTAAAATTAGCGTTGGCAAGAAGACTGATGATGTATACTTCCAGACTGTCCCGCCAGGCTATCCGTAAGGTTCCCTCCAAAAAAAGGGTTGCTGTTTTATAAACAAAAGAGAGATAGATGAGGTTTTCGGTAAAAATGACGTGGGTATAGGTGTAATATATTTTGATATTAAATTAAAAACACTAATTATCTCCTTTTTCTCCACTTTAAGATATACCCATACCTATATATCCAGCTGTTGAAGATTTCATGCGCTCCAAAAAGAAAATAAAGTACGCAAAAGTATAAGAATAAGCCGGTGATATTAATACAAGCAAAAACAATATACCGGAAAAAGAGAATAGTGCCCTGTATAAATATAAAATAAAACAAAGTAACTCAAATTGCTTAAATGCGTGAAAATAAAAGACACTTGAAGAAAAGAAAGAAAAAAGTATTGTGAAAAGGAACAGAGCAACTTTTTCTTCAAGTGCATCTGTCTTGACCTGCAGTTCTTGTAATATCTATGGGAATTCGTCAGCAAGAATCAAGCTATGCTCTAATAATGATTTCCCCATGAAAGAATTGATTCAAAAAGAAATCGGCGACGCATACGAAAGATACGCTATCTCTCTCCCTTTATAATCATTCTTAAATGAAACAGATAAAAATGTCCAGCTAGAGGAATAAAGAGATAAAATTAAGAGTCTTTCGATTTATTTTACGTAAGTTTATGTTCAAGGCACAAGTCTGTATCAGTTACTACATATTGAAGTACCCGCAAAACCTTCCGAATTAATTCTCTCGACAAAACTCCTGGTACTCTTCTTGTCGAGTGGTTTGCCAAACAATTGTTTGTACAAGACTTACGAAGCAAGTATACGCATATTCACTACTTAGCAGACTTGTAGATAGAAATCAACAGCCACAATGATACCGATTTACTCGTAGCAAAATATGGTCTAAAAAATTACGATCAAGTCCTTGCGAATGTATGCGAGACTACTGCTAGATGCTACAACAACTATTACATTGAAAATTTTCAAAATATCTTGTAATTATTTTATTTGCATAATTTGTAGAAACTTTTCTGTAAATGACAAAAAAAATTAGCTTACAAGATATTAACATAAACTCGATATAGAATGTCAACAAATATATTATAAAACATCTTGTTTACGAATACTTATTAGATTAAATATCATCATCTAATCCAGTAACATCTATTCCTAACACGATCTTTACTGCGTTAAGCCCAGATGTCAAAGAAGCAATTCAGACTTTTGTAAACCATTTGGTTGTGGAGCTGAAGAATTGTTTGTCTTTGTTTTCAATCACAAAAGCAACTCAAAATGCAAATCCTTTTGATATTTGACCAGAATTAAGGCATATCCTTTGCAAGTACGAGGCTTTTATCACAGAAAACGCTGCACCACAAACACAGCCTGAATCGTCTAAAGAAACAACTGATTCAAGTAGCAAAAAGAAGGAGAAACAAAAAGAAAATATGAAAAGTAAAAATGAACAAATGTTTGTACACCCCAGACTCTTCGGATTATTCCCTAAGCCTGGCTTGGGTTGGCGAGTTATCAAGATTGATAGTAAAAATATAGCGGGTGTATTTCCAGAAGCATCATTGAAGAGAGAAGTGAACGAACCATTATTTCGTTATACTCAAAAGCGCTTTCACAATGGCTTCCACTTTGCCAAGTTAAAAATTAAAAGGAATATATATGTATAAAGCCATACGAAAGCACTCTTTTTGGGATGGGAGTAAAAACAATATACTTTTTCTGTCTATTGTAGTCTCGAACATTTGCATAATTTACCTATCAAAAACGGCAAGATGTTTTTAAACGGACTATACCTTGATGGTTATACCTGTCTTGTTTTATTCTGTCGTAAATTTCAGCCAGCTTTACCTGTAGAAAAAGTTTCTTTGGAACTCAAGGATTTCAGTGATGAAGAGGTGAATGAACATTTCAGGCCATGCGCAGGTTATATTGGGAGAAAATATGCATTTGTTTCTTACCATGGAAGCAACGACTTAAGAAGTCTGTCTTCAAAAGAGTATTATATCATGGGTAGTACAATCAGAAGGCAAGGAAAGGAACAGGAGCACAAAAAAAAATTGGGTGTAGAAAAAATTGAAACAAATACTCCCACTCCCAAAACTACATCATGTCAACGCTACATTTCGCATATCGACTACATGTTTCGACATACGGGTGTCCTTTTTAACTTTGATGGGTTTCGAATTGTTGCCATCAAATGGCGTAATTATATTGGACCCCAAAAGAATATTGAATATTCTGTAGATATCCTTTTGAATAGATAAAAAAAATACAATAAAGACAGAAGAAAAAAAACGAAGCAGACCTGAAAAAGGCAGCACACCGCAGCAACAGTATAAGATTATTAAAAAGTATATCTACGATTACATTTATAAAATAACAGTTTTTCCTTAAAACAAAAAAGCATCATATCAAGAGGTCATAAGGAGACATTTCAGGAAGGTGATTGTAGCAAGATGCTTTTGATAGTTTTTAGCAACAGGCTAAAAACAACAACTAGAAGAGGTTTAAAGGTCTGCGCCATGGTGTCAGAAACAAGCTATATCTGCAACTGAAGAAAAAGAGAAAATCTTGGAGAGTTTTTGCTCTTAGCTATCAACGAGTTTAGGACATCCAAAGTTAGTATAGCAAAGTTCATATAATGTACATATTGCACTCTCGGCTAAAACTACTTTTTCCTAGATTTGAAATTCTTGTCTTAATTATGACCTGGAAAACTTAAAGTACGGCACCGATGAGAATACATCATATATTCACTAAATATTGACTTGTAAACAATGCAATATTTTCTGGAATCGGGATGTGATGGCTTCAAAGAACATGTTTCTGATTGCTCGTTTTATCCGGAATGGCCAAAGTCAACCTAATGTCTTTAATAGACAATCCGCCATCTTCAATGTGGTTGTCTCAACTTACTCTGGTGAGCCGACCGCCCAATTTATTTTACTGATTATAGTAGTTACTGAAATTGAAAAGACAGGCACATAAAGCTGGTTGCTCAGAACATTTGCGTTTTACTAGAATGCCCCAAAAGTAGACTTTTATCTTTCTATCTATATACAAACATGAATAACAACAATAGCAGTCAACTCATCGAATACAAAAAAAAGACGTATTATATTACGGAGTTTGGTAAAAAAGCAACTTTGACTCTATTAGAAATGCCTAAAAGATAAGAGCAAGATGCAGATGCTGCAGATTATGTAGATAATTAAGTACTTGAAAACTTTTAAAAAAAATTGGATAAAGGCTCGTCAGCTTAAAGAACCTCGTTGATAAAGATGTCTATAAAAGGAGCGAGATTTAGTGCATCCTTTGTCTCTGTGCTAGGGATGCCCTTGAATTTGTTACTCGTTTTTAGAAAGAAAATTGTGTAAAATGAAAATAAAAACTGGTCGACAGCCGAGAAAAACCCGCCGACCGCCGAGAAAAATCTGGCGACCGCAACAAGGTGAACGTCAAACAAATGATTAAGCAAAACACTTGCCACATTGAACGGCCGAGATAAAATTTACTTGTTAAATAAACCACTTTTGAGATCTTGTTTCTTTTGCAACTATTATATTCACAATGCCTCACATCACACACTGTATATTTGATATGGTAATATAGACAGCATTATACACATATAAATATATATATTTAACAATTATATTTTAGGACGGTCTTTTGCTAGACACTGAACGTGTCTATAGTGAAGTAACCCAGATTGTACTTGACAAATATGCTAATGGTGCACGCTTCACATGGGATGTTAAGAGTACATTGATGGGGAGAACTAGCCTTGAGGTAATTTATAAGCCAAAATTCTCATGCTTGATAATACGCAACTCTGAACCCAACCGCTTATTATTTCAGTCTGCAGCCATGGTCATCAAGGCTTACACTCTACCAATGTCTGTCCATGAGTACCTCACAATCATCTCTCAGCTTCAGGAATCTTTGTTCCCACTTGTTAAGCCCTTGCCTGGTGTCGAGCGCTTGATTAGGCACCTTCATGCAAAGGGAGTCCCAATCGCTGTCGCTACTTCTTCTACAAGAGAGAAATATGAATTGAAGACATCTTTGCATAAAGAGCTTTTCGAATTATTTGACCACATTGTGTGTGGAGATGACAAGGGCATTGTAAATGGAAAACCTTCTCCAGAGTTATTTCTGGTAGCACAACAACGCCTTGGAAACCCACCAGCAGAGAACTGCTTAGTCTTTGAAGATGCAGTGAATGGTGTTGAGGCCGCTCTCAATGCAAAGATGCACGTAGGTCTAGTTTAAATAATTCTTTTCTTTCTTTTTCTCTTTTATTGGTCGTGTACTCTTGTACAGAAAATAGCATCTATAACATCAATACTATTTTACTTATTTAGGTTGTATGGATCCCTGACGCTAACATCTTAGCATTGGGTAAAGACAACGAAACCCATGGGGCAACAGTTGTATTGGATTCCATGGAGAAATTTGTACCAGAGGTAAATTATATATATGTGTGTGTGCGTGCGTGTGTGTGTGTTATATCCAAGAGCAAGGGTGCCTAATAAATGGATTTTCTTGCGTGATGGGAAATATTTGTAGCAATTTGGTCTTCCTCCCTACACAGAGTAACTCTTGAAGAGGTTTTCTGATCTTTGCGGTATAGCTTCAAACTGTATCTGGTTTTTACATTTTAAATATCATTTAGCTTAAAATAATATATGTATATATATCATAGAAAGTTTGCCTTTTTTTTTAGACCAATAGCTCATTACCACAATATAAACAAGAAGAAATATATTTTGTTTTAAACCATTAATGATTGGTTATATATCCTTGGATACAAACTAGATTTATACTAAATTCAAAACTGCTTTTATTTTTATTGTGAAAGAAAGATATAAAAACCATCTCGGCTTAGACCAAAGTCTATATCAAGTAAGGCGTTCTATATTCTGATATACTCGGGTTTCTCTTTTTTCTTGTGTGACTTTATTTTGGTTTTATTTGTATAAAAAAACATGAAGCATAGAGAACAGAAAACATAGAGAAGTAGGCATGTAAATATAATTACGTAAATAAGTAAAAAATAAAAGCATAAAGAATAGTATAAAATAATTAGCATAATTTACATAAATTTTGCCCACAAAGGAGAATGGTAACTGGTCAAAGATATGTATCTTCCTGAATCCAGCACTGGCATAGTTGAAAAGATGTTGTCAATGAGAGTATTCTGGCTTGTTGCTGATTGAATAGTGTTAGGGAGCGTAGTAGTCATATTTCTGTTATTCATAAATTGAAGTAACGTCGTTTTCTTGATCGATTCTTTCGTGAAATCAACATTAAAGTCACCAGCAATGGTTATATGCATATACGTATGACTAACAACAAATTCTAGTGCTTCCATCAAGGTATTTAGTTGGCATAGTGGGGATACATATATGCTGCAATATAAGTTGCTGCTTAATATAAATAATGATATGCTTGTTGATCCACCTGCTTCATCAATGAACATTCTGGAACTGGTTGTATAAACCAAAGAATCGTCGTTTGAGTTGTTCGTACTAGGTAAAAGAGAGCTACGAATATAGCAGCAAGAACCAGAAACTCGTGCATTGGTTGAATGGCTATCTATGCGAGATATCATGGTAAAGTTTGGAATATCATATTCTTCATTATTAGGCAGTGTCCAAGTTTCATTGCAAAGAATAATATCAGATGTTAAGTATACTTGATCGCTGGTTATCTGGTTTATATGTGCCCTCAATCTTTGCACGTTATGTGAAATTAGCTGTATATAATCACTTGTTTCTTCCTTTTGTAGTTGGCTAAATGATAATCCCAACTATATTGTCTGCTGTCTAATGAGCTCATTTTTCAATTGATTGTTTCGATCTTCTGCTATTGGTCTGGGCGGAACAAATCTGTTACCCTTGCATATTAACTTTAAACCTTCTGCAGAAGTAGCTCTAGAACATGCAACATATAGGAGTGATCGAGACATTCTGTGTGATCCATGGTCAAATACAACAACTGATTTATATGTGCCTCCCTGTGACTTGTGTACAGTGAGTGCTTCAGCTGGAACAATTGGGAATTGTGTACGGGTTAGATGTATCTGACTTTTGATATTTCTGCGAATTATGTTACAGTGTGGTTCTATCATTGTCAGATCGTCTGAAATCCCAAGACTACATCGAATTCTTTGTTGCTGTCTCCTCAACTGCTTCCCACTTCTTTCATCATCAAACCTAATCCACAATCTTAATGGCTTTCTTAAAACTGTAGAAGTAGATGTTTCAGAGGCAGTGCTGTCTGGTACAATATTTTGGCCATAATCAATCCTCTCCAAGATTCCAGTTGCACCATTGACAAGTCCATCTGCTGTATCTAGGTTTGCAGTCATCATATATTTTCCACTTATTTTTAGCAAAAGCGTTTTTATCAGACCCTGAACATCGGATTGCTTTGCATGATCATCGGCAGAATGTATGAGTCTTTGAATAGCAGTGCTATCCCTGCAATGTCCAGTTACTCGGTCAAAGGATTTGGAGATTGCACCTTCAGTATTCAAGCTGGTAAGTATGTGTTGGTTTGTTTGCTGAACGTATGCATTTGTGTTAAACAGATATATCGGCTTTTGGTTACTGCTTTCAGATAAATTGTTTTCTTGAGCTACAAGGCTTGAAGGTAATGTTCTTCTGCCAGTACTAATTTCCATTGCATCTTCAGGAGTTATTGAAGCCACTCGACTTTGGAGGATATGAATATCGCCTTCAGTCATTGACCCAATTGCCATGTTGTTTAAGGCTACTGCAAATGGAACATCGTCTCTTTGTCACATTATCTCCGTTAATTTATGAACTTTAAACAAATCCCAGATCTTGTACCCAAATAAGGATACAAATGGATTTGTATCTCTTGCATGGCTGGTGCTGTAAAGTAGTGTATCCCCAACTGGTGGAAGTTGTAGGAAGTCACCAAATACAATAACTGATTTTCCACCAAAAGGAACTGATCTATCAAAAATATCTCGAAGTCTTCGATCAACCCATCCAAATAGTGTCTCTCCTACCATACTGATTTCGTCAATAATAACCACTTTCAGGTCTGCAAGTGCAACACCCATTGAATGGGAGACGTCAGATGAGAGTGAGGAAAGACCTTCCATCTTCCTGTCACACAATGTGGAAGAGAAGGCATTGTGCAAAGTTTGAGCAGATATGTTGAAAGCAGCCTTTCCCGTTGGAGCACAAAGAAGTACGGATGGTGTGCTCATATCTCTTTCTCTTGTTTTGTCAAACTCACGGACAAGACTTTGATAAAGTGCTTTTATCAATAGACTTTTTCCAGTGCCGGCTCCTCCCGTTACAAAATGATAAAACGGTGTATGTTGTTGATCAGATATAGAGCTGTTGCTGTTACGAATATGATCAGTAACATGGTACAAGTATTGTCTCTGCTGCAAGTTCAGCATTGATAAAAGCTCTTGATATTCAGTATTATTTAACCACTTTGGAATATTGATTTTTTCAAGGTAGGTTAATCGATTGTTCTGTGATACTCTCCTTCATTGTCATCAATATCTAGCGTGTAACGTCTGAAATCGTTTTCAGCAATAGGTGGGGCTAGGGTATCTGTGTTTCTAATGGGTTCATCTTCTCTTTCTGTATCCATGTTACTACGTTAAAGTGAAGCCATTTCAAAATAACCTTCTAGTACATCATCGTTAACCTGACAAAATTCTTTTTTTGCTAGCAGAATAGTCTCAGAATTCTCTAGAAAAACTTCCTCGCAGTTGATACTTAAAAGGTCTTCTTCTTCATTTCTCCAACTTTTGAACAGCATCAATAAGCAACGAAAGTACTCGTCAGCATCTTGATCAATATTAAACTTGTAGTAACGTAGGACACGCGGCTTAGTTCTTTTTCTAATGTAGCCTTGGTTTTCCAAAAGACAATACACTTGGCCTGGCTCTCCATAAAGCGTGTTTTCGTTATTATTCTGTTGAATATGGTCTTCTTGGTCTTCTATGGGCTCATAATAAGTATCATCATTTATGTCATTATGATCGATATAATTAGTTGCAGTATTTCTTGATGGTTGCTTTTTTGAAAACTCAAAATAAGCAGCAAACTGTGCCAAGGTCAAATTCTCCAAATCTTGGGGCCTACAAATGTAATGCTCAATTAATCCTGGTTCAAAGCAGCTGGTAGAATCGGGATCCATTGCTACAAGTTCAGATTGCTTCTTTAATATGTGAAGTCGGTTTTCTGGTCTGCTTGTTGGTATAAATACTGTAGCTGTGCTCGCTTCTGACATTCGAATTCGTAGTAAGTTGTATGCTGCTTCTTGAGTAGATATCTCACTAGCATTGTAATAGGTCGCAGCAAGTGACCTCATCATATTAAAAGGTGTCGAGCTACTGTCATCTTTGTGCTTATTGTAAATTTCTTCAAGTGTCTTACTTAAGCCTCTATCAGCCTTGCTTATATAGTCAACTACATATGCGCAGCAAGCATATGAATCGAGAATGAATTGAATATCCATATTTGATCTGAACATACTGAAAATTTTTTCGTTATAATTATTTATCATGACTTCGTTCGGTTGTCGTTTTATCATGATTTTGTTCATTTTAAGAGTATTGCGGATAGACAGTACGTATTCATCAATAGATGTGATATCAACAGCTATTAAGAAACCATCAAAACCCATGGCTGACGTTTGAAGAGCTTCATAATATTCTTGGAGATATCCTTTGATGCGAGTCATATTTTGCTTTAATTTGGTAATCGTAGTTTCTGATAGACCTTCGTTTTCAGTTATTGGGCATAATATCCGAGTTCTGTCCATAGGATAAAATGGAATATTAAATCTGCAAATTGTAATATTGTTTCTTTTTCTTTGGCAAGTAGATGTGTGCATATGACATTGCCTTTTCAGCAATTCTTTCCAGGTGTCCTCGTTACAGCGATATTCCTGTTGATGATGCGGTATTTCACCCCATTGTCTCTTACAAGTAATCATACTATCAACAAATTCACAGATTTTTCTTTTCATATCCTCATGAACAGATTCATCTGTCCGTTGGTCAGGTTCGTACTTTGGAGCGCCCTCAAGCCATACAAGCATATGAACATGAGGCGAGCCTCTATGCTGGAATTCTATTCGGAAGTAATATTCATTAATGGAATGATTTCCAAAAGGCCCATATGGTGCTTTCCATGTTTTCTTCAGCTGTCTAAATCGATAGTCAAAGTATCGTGCACATGTTATTGGGTCTTGCTGAATCAGTTTGGCTTTTTCATCATATGTCATTTGCTCCGCCTGTTCTTCTGTAATAGCAACTCCATCAGTTACAAGTTTTAAAAAGCATAATAGCTCAGGCCAACTTGCTTCTGCTGCAGATAGAGTTACAAAAATTGTTGGGATACCAAATTGTCTAACCATTGCCAAAGGATTTTTCTTCTCGTTTTTCCAATATTCTGCAGTAGAACGGATACCACTAAATGTCTTATAAGCCTGGTCTTTACTGAGTAATCCATCAATACTGTCATTATTTAAGAAGTCGGATGCAACGTATGGTACATTGTTGGAGAGTTTTGTTTTCTTCCGGAGAACTGTATTTAGGTTATTGTACATTCTGACTATTTGATTTTTTCTGTCCATATACAGTATATACTCTACTCTTTGTGCTGCTCTACGATCGAATCTCCTTGCAATGGACTTTGTCAGGAAAGAGTAAGTCAGAGTATCAGTAGATAATCGCTGGCCACAGAAGATTTGAGGAAAAGCCAAAAAGTCGCTGTCTTTATCAGTCAAAATAGACAAAGGGATTCTTTCATCTCCAGGCGAAAGTCTGAGAGCTTCGTGATCTGAAACTATAGCCGTTTCCTGCTCACTAGAGTTTATTGATTCGTGTCCGGTACTACTTTCTTCATTTCCTTCAAAGTCTTCAACCCTATCAACCTCTTCTACGTTTTCAGTATCATTATTGGCAACCTCTTGTACCCAATTATCACTCAAGGAGATATTATACTCTTGATGGAGTGTTGTTGACTGTAGAAATAGTGCTGCTCTCCAAACTTTAGCGGGACTTATATTTCCTCTGATATAGTCTTTGATATAACGCATCCTACGAGCTAAACTCAAGTGAATTGTATTTGAGTCGTCAAGATTACGAGGAAGTAATGAAACCGTTGTATCAACATTAACAGGTACGTTGATAATACCGCCTTTACTTCTATACTGCCCAGTTAGTCCTTTGTGTGTCCATATAGACTGGAAAACGTGTCGAGGTGCAACAAGTCTTTCTTCTAATCTTGTCAGGTCGTCTAGACAAACGACATGATCAGGAAAGTGGAGACCATTAGAGAGAGCAAGAGTTGGAAGTGTTTTTTTCGTAAGTGATGTTTTACAGGTAGGACATAGTGGAATATTGTCTATAATATCTTCACCAACGAAAGTGCTTGGTATCTTATGATTGTCAATTGCCCAAAAGGTTTTCTCAACAATATCTTCTAAACAACCCCAATTGCCTGTAAGAGCGTTTCTTTTTACTGAAGATATATCTTTTTGAAAGAAAAGGCCTCCACAATATCCGCATACGCATGTAGGACCCTCTCTGATTGTTGATTCATACTTTCTTTGTATACTACTCCAATTATTTGTGCCAACGTCATTCAGTCTACGCCTTCTTACTACTCGCTCATTCTCTTCAATAGCTCTACTTTGTCTACTACGCCTATACTCGCGCATATATTCTGCTCGAGAATTATGGCTCTCCTCTTCTGTCTCTGCCGCTTCTGTCTCCACTACTTCTGCTTGAATTACTTGTGCTCTCACTACTTCTGCCTGAACTACTTCTATTTCAGCTGTAAGTCGGCATCTGTGTCGATACTCCCGCATATACTCTGCACGAGAATTACTAATATTCTCTGCTTCTACTGTCTCAACTACTTCTATTTCAGTTATTTGTTGGCGCCTGCGTCGATATTCTCGCATATATTCTGCACGAGAAGTATTAATATTCTCTGCTTCTACTGTTGCTATCACTTCCATTTCTGCAGTTCGCAGGCGATTCCGCCGATACTCTCGCATGTACTCTGCTTGAGACATTGAATTCCGTTGTTGTGTTTCTGTTTCTGATGTTTCCACTTGCAATGATTGCCGACGATTACGCTGGTATTCTCTCATGTATCTTCGTCTTCTTTCAGCCCTTTCTTCAGGGGTAACAGTGTGTCTAGGCATTTTGTACTTTATAATAATATAATATAAGAGTAAAAGTAAGAGTAAGAAGAAAGTATAATATGCTTAGTAAGCTATAAAGAAGAATCAAAAGCGTCACGTGGTTAAAGTGTTTACATTTTTACTAGTAAAATTCTTACAAACTTTCACTGCTTAAAATTGTAACAAACTCCGCATACAAAATTGTTACAAAATCATTGTTTACATTGTTACGGATTTCCCCTTTTTCTTAGGTTTTCTAACTCCGTAAACTCCATATAGAACGCCAAAAATGGGCGTAAAATGGACAGCAAGCTGCGTATATGTATACAATAAGTAAATAAGTAAATAAATAAAGACTGGGAGTAAATACGAAATTAAGATTAAGATCCAAAGTGATTGCATTCGTTGAAAACAAATACAGATACAATCATAGACATAGCTGCGAGTATTATACAGTTAGTAAGCCCTGATTTTCGCATAGAACACGTAAAGACCACTTACCAATCAACATATCCCAACGATCAGTAACAAATGTCACAAAGTTTACTTCCTTCCTTTCTTCTGCTTCGTCAACAGAGTAAGAGTTGACCATACCGTTGTTAAGACCAACAACTACATAGCAAATAATATTAGACCACACCACCAGGGGATTTAGTGCTTATAAATTTACATATGTAGTTTCCGGTAGCTCCGTTATCACTGTTTGTATTGTTTATAAATCCAACTGTGCTTATCTTTTTTTTTTGAAAAATAAAATAAAATAAAAATGATAATATAAGAATCCGGTATTAGAAAGAGGGAAGATTAATAAAAAAAGAAAAATAAATAAAGGCAACATTAAATCGATTTAATATTGTTCCACCTTACCGAGTATCCACGAGCCCTTTCATTTGGGGTAATAACCATTCGTAGGGACCATTCATCCAAAAACCTATCAGACGATTCTTTTGTACCTGATGTAGAAATCCCATCCTGACTGACTACTTTCGGTCCACCCTCAAGTACAGTATCTTCCTCATGGATGGATAGAACCTGCTTTTTAGAGGTGTCGTGCAAATCAGCATCGCCACGCTTATAAATATAAATATTTTCATGTTCTGTCCATAGTGCCAATATATTTCCGCGATCGTTGAGGCTAAATCCTGTGATTTGTATATCGTAAACATTTGTGCTCAGTTTGGTTTTTGACCAATAATAGTATTCAGGAAGGTAGGTGCCTTCATCATTCTTATACAAATGTTTGCGTTCCTTTTTGTCTTTCTCTAGCAAGTCAATACGATCAGTGTAGTCAATGATCAAAAACTCTGACCCAACGAGTGGAAATACAACCGTCTTGGCATCACTAGAGCGAGCTATAAAGTACAGAATTTTAGAGAGAGAGAATGAGATATATAAATATTATTAGTCCTGATTATATCGTACCAAAACACAGCTTTGGAAAATCGGTTTTTAACCTTTCATGCTGTGAAATCTTGGCTACTTCCACAAATCCAATATATTCCGAGGTATCATCGACATAGTTATCATACTATCCATGCATTTTTCTTCTTATTAATAATCTTTGCTATTTAGTTTCGTTTTATTTCTTTAAAAAAAATAACACATTCTTACTGTCAAATTGGCCATATCTCTCCAATTCCACTTGTGCTCAGGAACACTTCCCCGCAACTCTGATAATTGGGTAATTGTTTTTTGATCATCAACAATTGTAATATTTTCATAAAGCGAATTTGTTGTCTGGTGAAAATCCATGGTAAATACTCTATATGTTTCTGGACTATATATTTTTCCAGTATAAGATAGATGTAGAAACTATCGGATTTAGAAATGTTTTGATATTTGTATATACTTGCTCAGGAGAATAGAGTTTTGTCAAGATGAGTTTGTGACTTTCAAGTTGTCCGGGTTGATACCATCCTACAATATCTTATTAACATACCATCACCTTAACTTTCCTCACATTATCACACACTCACTTCCAAAGGGATCACCGCGTTTACTGTCCCTTAACTTAACAATCTCGCTATCGGCAGAATGTGGTTTTGACGTAATATTTGCTGGAAATGAAACAACACGGAACCGGTAATTGTCTGGATCACTAAGTATGTCCAACCAAAAGGACGAGAAATTAAGGGAATTTAATGATCCACACCACAATCACAATTAAAAACATAGACTCTACAAACTCTATATTTACTTACCGAGAAAATAAGATACTGTGATGTTCTAAAGAAAATGCATTGACCCACGTGTTCCCCGGTAGCAGTATATCTTTGTATTCAAAGGTTGGTATATGTGTAGCTGTCAGTTTGGGTAAATAGTATACCCTCACAAAATGCTGAGCTTCTTCATCCTCAAGAGCATGATATAATACTGCAAATACAAGTTCATTCGCTTCATCAGCAATCTCGCTAGGAGGTACGACCGATATACTGGATATTGGACCACGCAGTTGGTGCTTAAATGTTTCTACCCAACCTTTAAACACACATACACGCATATATATAGTTACTCTGAATGAACGAAAAAGGTTCAGCTTATATAAGTATATACAAACCTTGCTCCAAAACATCTTCTTTTCCTAATAGTTCACCAAGCGGTCGTCGAACCTGCTTTAAATGACCTTTATGTATTTATATATATATATATATATATAAATGCCATTAATACGATCTTCTTAAAGTAGATCTACTCTTGTAGAATAGATTGATGAGCATCTTAAAGATTTACCAATTACTCCGGTCTTCATTCTACCCGTGCCATGTTTCATTCCTCGACTAGTTTGAAGAGATGCCTCAAACCAAATAGATGTCTGGTACATATACCCATTTGCCACCGTAAGAACAGTTTCGTCTACCAAATATCGCGTTTTCGGCTGTTCTGATATCAAAATCTTTGCTGGATGTGGATATGGAGTGTCTTGTAATAAACTAGCAAGGTAAATTGTGGCTATTCCCGCCACCAGGAGAAGGAATGGACGCCATTGCATGCTGGAGAAGGACAAAGGGGAAAAGAGGAAGAAGAATAAAAGGATGGCGGGATGTTAAATATAAAGTTCTTTAACAAATAAGCATGTTAAAACATATTTTGTGTGTGTGTATGTGTGTGTGTTTGTTGTTTATTGGTAAGACCTTACCCCCTCCACGTACACATATAAGATAACCATACTGAGGAAGCGCAAGGTAGATATGATTTTAGAGGGCTTAAATAACCCGACTCGTATACTTACAGAAAAGAAAAGAAAGAAAGAAAAAAGAAAGGGATAAGTAATAGCTTTGTATAGCTAGCACACATTATTTTTGTGTTAACTTTAAAGTATAAACTTTGATCCACACACATATAGTTATTAAGTATTTGAGAGTGGCGTTGTCATTTACATTTATTCAAACAATCTTTTAGGTGTGTATTTAGGTCTCTTACAGTCATGATCGACTATTACAATTAAAATATAACTATGCAACAGACTATCTGTGGATATCATCCTAGAACCAATAGCATATTGTTACTATTCCCAATAGTTAATATATATATTCTCTCTTGGCATTATATTTATTATTAATATTAATTTATTTGTTACAGCTCAAAATCGGCCATTGTCTCACCTATTGCGAAATGTATTTCTAGATGAAAACCATTGGTTTTTTTTATTTGTTTGTAAGAAGTATTCTATTAAGCTTGGGACGTCTGGTGACACTCGAAAGAAAGTAATAAAAAGAGTGATCACAGCATTTGTTTTAAAGGGTTTCTAGCTTTTTCAATGCTTTTTTTTTGGAGAGCGTGCTTAGAAGGCAGGGACAATAATATTAGCTGAGAGGGGCAAATCAAGACGAGTAGTCAAGTTGACTACCCCATTATAAAAGTCGCGAAGAAGGTTGATGGCAGCGACGATTAAGTTCAGAGGAGAGACAAGATCCTGCCATCCAGAAGGTTTCATACTTGGAAATACAAGGGAGAAGCGGGGAGAAATAGAAGGAATTGAGACTTGAGGCAAGCCGGACATCCAGCACGGAACAAAACCAGGTGGAGACTGAGGAGACCGGACAAGATGTTGAAGACAGCGAAGTGGTAGAGTGTCCTGTTGTGTCTCAGGATCGATGATACCAAGTCAACCTTACAGACGGGGAGGCAAAAAGTATCTGAAAAAACCAAAGGGAAGGTACCGCATTGAAGAAAGCCACCCATGATGAACCAGGTCTTCTGATAGAAGCACATAGGCAGAGAGACCTACGCAAACCATTCCAAAGCTGAGAGAGTATGAGAGATGTTAAAACTGTGGCTTTACCCCAAAAGGATAGAGAGCGGGAGGAGTGGAAGTTGGACCTGTCTTCAATTCTTTGGAGAAGAGAGGAGCAGAACGAGTTCCGCTGAGCCTTAGAGTAAATCATCGGAAAGCTGAGATAACGGAGAGGTAGGGACGAGGTGCGGTCATGCCAACTGGTAATGTTATGACCACGGAGAGTGGAGGAGCAGTCAGGAAGAGGACTGCCAGAGAGCGAGAAAGCTTGTGTTTTGTGGAGGTTGATACGCGCATTGAACGCAGCGGAATAGGCGGTGAGATGCGTGTGGAGTCGGGCAAGGTGAGCAGGATCAGGGAGAAATACCGGAAGATTGTCGGCATAAGCTAGAAGTTTAATAGGATGCAGAATAGCCACAGTATCAAGGACAGAAGACAGAAAACCGAGGAAGGATGGGTCACCTATAACTCGTCGCAATAAATGTTCAAAAGCCAAATTGAACAAGATGGGAGAGAGAGGGTCGACTTGGAGGAGACCACGCAATTATGTGAGAGGGCGAGAGAGGAAACCATTAACGTTAACGTTGACCTGAATATGTGTAGAGAAAAGCAATTTTGTGATACAAGTTATTGTAGACGGAGGAAAGCGAAAGCAATTGAGAGCTCGGCGCAAGTAGTCTGGGTGGACTCAGTCATACGCCTTCTCCTGATTAAGAAAAAGACCCAGACCAGTCGAGCTTTCCCGGAGAGCCTGAGCCATGACCATCCGGGCGAGCATTCAATTATCAGCAATAAATCGTCCTTGAACAAAGCCACTTTGGTAGGGGGTGACAAGAGCAGTAGCGGCAGGGATCAAACAATAGTTAAGAAAACGAGTGAAGACCTTAGCATCAATGTTAATAAGTCTAATGGGCCGTCAATTTCGAAGAGATGTAAGGTTACCCCTTTTTTGGGATAAGACACCATCCGACAAAGCTTCATTGTACACACGCGAGACAAGAGTGGAGAATTCAGGGTGGTCAAGTATGACTTGAATAATTTCATATGGCAATCCATCAGGGCCAAGGCTACTAGAATTGGAAGATTTAGCAGCATATTGTCAACACAAAAGACATTTGACAGGACAAAATCGCTTTGCGTTTATAAAGCACAACTTCTAAAACTAAAGGTTATTTTATCAGTAAAATTCAACCTTTGTTTTAAATACCGAAAGTAGTTCAGAATATGACCTTTTTACTCTACAAACCTTTATCCTTCTTTTTTTCTTTCATCTGCATACCTTCATATCTAACCATATGCTTTCCCCCGAAGTCGAGCGTTGCGCAAAGCAAATATACACTCACCTTTCACAACGTGAGCGTATCGCTAATTTAACTGAGCCATTAGAGAGTCTCCCAGAAGAGATTCAGAAAATGAATCAGCTACATTCATTAAAGCCTGACACATTAAACATTGTTGCCCGCCACTTTTTACAATGGAAACCCAAAGATACACAAAAATCAATCAAGGATCTTATTTCACGATTAGACAGTGTAATTAGTGGTCTAAGACGTGAGTTGACTTTAATTACTTCTTTTTCTTATAGAAAGAAATGGTCTCTATATTTATCAAAATAGAAGACCAGTGGAATATTCATAACTGTATTTTTGGACTTTGTTTACTTTCTATTTCTAATGCATAAAATTTCTTTTAGTCAATGACACATTACCGTCACTTACTTTACAACCTAATGCCGTTCATGTTCCACAACCACTAGAAGTAACAACGTCTTCACTATCCAATACTAAAAGTATATATTGTTCATCGCCTACCTCTGCACACACTATCCCAACAATAAATGGCTGTAATATTCTATGCAGCCCTGAGACAAATGTCTTAGCAAGCTTACCTTGGATTCTTAAGTTTGATATCGGCAGATTTCTTCTTCTTAAAAAGCTGACATTTAGCGATATACCCAATACTGTCATTGAAGAAATACTTAGCGTAGGCAAGAAAGAGCCACGTGAAGTCTTTTCGGTTATGATAAAATGGTACGAAACCCGAAAACTCACGCACCCAGACACTCTTAGTTACGCCAAAGTCGAGCAGTGCCCCGAAGTTGTATGGAATTGCACCGAGACATATGTTAAGAATAGAAGTGTTCGATACTTTGGTACCGTTTTTCTGTCTTCGAAAACCCCAGCCTTGACTCTTCGAGTTCCAAAAACAACAGCTTCTAACCGATTGTTTCGTAAATTTGGTGACGACCGATTTTTGGAATTCAAACTGTTAAAAAACTCGCGTCCAACAACAATCAAGGACTCCTTGAATTACTTTTTGACGCCATTACTATTTATGAATCGAGTATTCAGATTCTTATTTATCAAAGAGGATCGTCTTGTATTCTTCGCTACAGAAGGCGAGGGTCTCCAGCCTATTTCTATCCGTCAAGTCGTAAACTGGCACATTCCTTTAAAGGAAAATGCGGCCATGACAATAAGCAAATTTGCAAGTCGAATGTCGCTTGGGTATAGTAATAGTACATCCACTGTCGTTTTTCAGGCCGACATGATTAAGTATATTGATGATATACACGCACAAGCAGAAGGAGAAGAAGAGACAGTCATGACAGATGGCTGCGGTATAATTTCGTGCGCTGCAATGCGCAAAATCATGGGTTCTCAATATATTGAAGAACTCCCATGTGCTATTCAAGGTCGTATTGCCGGCGCAAAAGGTGTTTGGATTTTAACACCTGAAATTGAATTTGAATCTGGAGAATGGATTAAAATCCGTGCTTCTCAAAACAAGTTCAAGACATGTTTACCCCAGGCCGATATGGACTACCAAACAGACCCAATTCATTTTACTTTTGACCTTGTTAAAACCTCAATCTGTATATATCCTTCGAAACTGAATACCCAGTTTATTCAAGCAATTTCTGCTGGAGGAGTACCTAAAGACGCGTTCACTAAGATTCTGCACGAATATCTTCAAAAACTGGTTACAATTGTGCTTGAGAGCAAGAATATCAAAGTATTACGCGACTGGGTAATAAAAACTGGCGCTGTTATGAATGCACGGTGGGAAGTTGAGGCAGTAGAGCAAGATGTATGGAGAGATACATTGTCGGATACTTGGCTTACAGACTACGCTCCTACCGAGGATACACTTTCGCCCGATATTCTAACAGCAAGCAGCGGAAAAGCAAATTATTGGCGGTATAATGCTTACTCTGGTCTACCTGCTTCTCTTTACGATTCCGCTGTCCGTATGATTGACTCAGGATTTGACTTGACAAACCCCTTTTTGGCCAACAAAATTACAAACATATTTCGAGATACGATGCGCATGGTTATGTCCAAGTATAGAATTGAAGTGCAACAGTCGTGCACCTTGACTTGCGTACCAGACCCCACAGGAATGCTGGAAGAAGGAGAGATATTCTTCCAGCTGTCTCGAAGACGTGTAGACGAGAAATCTGCCATTAAATCAAGTATTGTCTTGGGTGATGTTCTGGTAACGCGTAACCCATGTGGTCTTAAAAGTGATGTGCAGAAAGTTACAGCTGTGGATTGTCCCGGGTTGCGTATGTATACCGATATTGTTATTTTCCCAGTCAAAGGTTTACGCTCATTAGCAAGCAAACTTAGTGGCGGTGATTACGATGGTGATATTGTACGTATAATGTTTTGTATTATTATTCGTATGATGTTAATTTATTACACAAACTTTTTGACATAGGTATTCTGTTGCTGGGATGAGCGACTTGTAAAGCCCTTCACAAACTCGCCTATATTACCTACACCAGAAAAAGCAAAGGCTGCATTTGAACAGAATATGAATACAATATCTCAAGTAGTTTTCAAGCATACTGAAGACACATTTCAAGAGAGAATGCTCCAGGAAAATTTTATCTCTGTGGCTATTCCTGATGGCATACTTGGGAAATACGACAATTGGCGTACAAATCTCGCAGAAGATACATCATTTGACAACGAAGACGTAAACTACCTGGCACACATGTGTGCTCGACTTGTAGACGCTTCAAAACAGGGCTTGACTATTAAGCCAAGTGTACTACAGAAAGATAGGTCCGATTTTCTTAAAATTCCACAATCAAGGTGGTTTTCCGATAAGGTGTCTCGACAACGGGAGAAAGATATACACACATCTGTAGAGGAAGTACAAGAATCGAATGTCTCGAACAGACCGTCGACAACAACCATGGACTTCTTACATGAAACTTTACTAGCTGAAGTAGAAAAATTTACCCGATACTCGGAAAGCGTTTTTCAGGAAAAAGATGTCAAACTTAAAGATTCGGCGCTGGAGAGACCTTGGTTAGAGGCTATGGCGATGGCGATTGATGATAAAGACGCCGAGCTTCAGGCCGATTTAAAAGCCATTCAATCGTGCGTCGATAAGAATATCCATACGTACACTTGTGATGCAAAACAGCTTTGGCTGCGCCGCCAACAAAAGTTCACTGCAAAACATGATCCTGGACGAAAGTCAGAAACATTTTACGAAGACGAGGATCAATTCAATACGGCCTTTGAATTGGAAGAGCATGCAGCTAAAGAATTTCATCATTTTCCAGATCCTGTTACCTTTGCATCCAGTGTATTTCACTACGATCTCGAAATCAATCACGGAATGATGATACAAAAGATTAAGGCTAGCTATGCTTATATTAAGACCATCCAAAGTGGTAAATTCTCCAAATACTGCTACGTGGTCGCATATGATGCTTTGCGTCGGATCAAGGCAGATTCGTGTGGTAATAATAGTAGGGGACTGTGTGAGAGCGTAGTTCCCAGTATATTTCAGGCGCTCAATGTGGACAAATATTGGATCTGATAAGTACAGGATGGCATAACGTCAAGACATGCTAGTGGATGAGAACGAAAGTCGCGAGGGAATCTATCTAAAATATAGAATTTAACATGGTTTTGCAAGCACAATAAAAAAGCAATTACTTCGTCCATTCAGTTAAGTGTACACTGTGACCTTGCCTAAACTGTCAGCTTACTCTATTACAGAATCACATGACTCCTTGTGGTCATGCATATTTGAACACCAATTCATCTAACGCAAGCACTTTACTCCCCCTTTCCCTCCGCTCGAAAACTACTAATATATTTTCTACTTTTACTATGGATTTGGATGGAAAATGGTTTGTGAATAGAGGAACAGGGCAGACTGTTCTTTTCCGTGGAGTTAATGTTGGTGGAGGTACAAAGCTACCTATTGGTATGCCTTCTCATGAGCGTAATGGATTTTGGGTCGATTATGACCGAAAGGTGACATTCGTTGGAAGACCATTTCCACTAAATGAAGCTGATGAACACCTTGATCGGCTTTCACAATGGGGATTTAATCTTCTGCGATTTGTTGTGACCTGGGAAGCTATTGAGCATCAAGGACCGTATGTAGCTATTAATTTCATATTATCTGCTGACTTACTCATTATTATGATACAACTGCCTATTTTTTTTTCTAGTGGTATATATGATCAAGATTATCTTGAGTATGTAGTAGAGGTGTTGAAAAAATGCAAGAACTATAAATTGAAAGTCTTTATTGATCCTCATCAGGATACTGTAAGCATCTTTTTGATGTACTATACACTTAATAATTTTCTATCGTTAGTGGTCTAGACAATGCGGAGGGTCTGGGCATCCCGGGTGGACCCACCCGCTTGTTGGATTGGATCCATCAAACTTTGGACCTACTGCAGCTGCAATCGTTCAGAATACTTATCCGACTCCAGAATCGTTCCCAAAAATGATTTGGAATACAAATTACCAAAGACTGGCAGCCGCTACCCTCTTCACACTTTTTTTTGCTGGAAAACATTATGCACCACTATGTATTGTCAATGGAGTAAATATACAAACCTACCTACAGAGCCATTATTTCAATGCGATAAAACAAGTTGCTTATCGTATTCACGATAACGATTTGGAAGATTCGGTTGTAATTGGTTACGATAGTATGAATGAACCCAATCAGGGCTATATCGATATTCCCGACATAACGAAACTTAGTGAAGACGATATTGCGTTCAAGATGGGGCCTATGCCAACTGCGTACGAAGGGATGCGACTGGCTTCTGGTATACCTACAGCGGTTCAGAACTGGGTTTTTGCCTGGAATGGACCCAGGAAAGATGGTACTATTATGCTGGATCCAGAAGGCAGAGAGGCGTGGCTAAGTGAAGAAGCGCTCCATGAAGCATGTGTTATATTTGATTGGAAAAGAGACCCCGCATGGACTTCTGGATGTATTTGGGACATACACGGTATTTGGGACAGGAAATCCGAGACTGTAATTCAGCCAGAATATTTCGCTAAAGGCCAATATCACAAGTATTGGATTGAATTTCTACAAAATTACACAGAGGCTATTCGAAGTATCCACACTGACGCCATTATATTTGTCCAACCTCCGGTTATTGAAGCACCGCCGCTTATACCCCGCTCTCTAGAGCGTCTAGCATATGCGCCGCACTGGTACGACGGTCTGACCTTGGTAAAGAAAAAATGGTGTAGTTACAACGTCGATGTTGTAAATCTTAATCGAGGAAAATATGGCACGGGCCCTCTAAGATTTTTACGTGCATTAAGAGTAGGCGAGAAAGCCATTCGACAGTGTTTTGTGGACCAGCTCCAAACAATCCAATCAGAGGGACAAGCTAATGTCGGTGATTACCCCTGTGTCATTGGAGAAATCGGCATTCCCTTCGATATGGAGCAAACTTCAAAATCTAGTGGACTTTTGGGTGGTATCTGGGGCTGGCTTAGCTCATTCTTCTTTGAAGTTCATTCCGACTCTTCAATCAGCACACCAAACTCTGATCAAAACAAGGCTATGGATGCGAACATGAATGCGATAGAAAGTAACCTACTCAACTGTGCCATTTGGCATTATATGCCAGATAACGATTCATTCTGGGGAGACTGTTGGAATGGTGAAGATTTGAGTATCTTGCAACTAGAGAGAGAAGATAGCTCAGATACTGTGGTAAACGAGAACGTGTGGCAGTCAGAGTACTCGTGTGAAGATGAGTCTAACTCTCGCCTAATGTCTCGCTCGCGCAACACACGGTCAATAATATCTCTCCATCGTCCTTATCCACAGAGAATTTCTGGTGTTCCAGTCAGCTTAAAAGTTGTATCCCCTACCTTTAACGAACGAGGCTCATGTACCTTTCGATACAAGGCCAGACCAGGAGAACAGAAAAGCCATGAGACAGAGTTGTATTTGCCAAGTAGCTATTACCCTCCCCTATCAGAGGATAAGAGCGGAACTGATGTGTGGATGTCACATGGATATTTTACGAAAACAGTTGTAAAGGAACGACATTGGATACTTACCTGGACAGTCGATACTAGCAATGACTCTGAAGCTATATATGAGATCCGCATTGAAGGCCTAAAAATACAAAAGAAGCAGAAAATGTATTAATTTACATTAATTTTGTATTTATCTGGGTCATTTTTACCCGTATTTTTTTTCCCCTTGGTTATTTATAAAATCACCTAATTATGTTCAGATATGAAGTATTTTGAATTTTTTATAGGTTAATATCTTCAATATAAAGAAAATTAAATACTGTGAGGGTATTGTAGAACGATGAAACTATTTTACGGTTTGAGCCTGAGCAGTCTGTCAGTAAAAAGAGGCGAGGGTTTTACCCTAATATCTAAATTTGTTGTAGCGCCTACAGGAAGTAGAATAAGAAGCAGCATCTTTGATCATCTTAATAAAATAAGTAATTCTTTGTTTTGCTGTAAGAGGGTGTTTTGAAATATCCTTGAGCGAGAATAGAGAAATTAAAGCCACGATTTGTCGAGACTTTAGTTGACAACTTTGAGTAAAAAGCTGAGGACTACCCACTTTACCGTCCGTACCAGCACTGTAAACAATATCAACAGAACCACCAAAGACGACCTCTACCAGTTACACTCCAGTGCATATTACACCTCCCCACACACTCTTGATTTCAGGCCATTCTCTAATTTTCTGTTCTTGAGCTGGACTACCCAAATCCATCGCTCTTGAAGTCCTTGATACTTACCCTTTGCCCAATTTTACAGTATTTTGTGCGCATAATATAACCAAAGCAGAGACAAATGGGAAAAAATAAAATAATTAATCAGGAATATACCTACAAGATAGAAATGAGGGTGGAATTGTAGCCCATTACAAAGTTGGCAACCATAAAAAACGTCTCTTACACCTAACAAACACCAGAAATAATACTATTTTTGATAGCCATCTGCTCCTATATTATCTTCTATAGAATATTTAAGCACATTTCCCTCTTAATACTACTTAAATTAAAGGGATCTAACTTACCAGAAGAGATTGTGAACTGTCGGGAACCAAATATAGCTGTTTTATAGTGGTCCTTCTATAATTTCAAGGCCAAGGGGGGAGGGACTAAGTGCCTTGGAATTATCGAAAAACGAAATTAATGAGTGCAGATTATATATTTTCCGATGAAGGTAAAGGGAGTGTTAAAGCATGCTCTGTTAAAAGTACCCCTATAAACAATAAAAAAAGCTGACAACTAAGTATTATCATAACTTGATTGACTGAAATCCTTCTTCGCTAAGGATCCAAGGCCAAAAATTATTGTGAAAGTTTAGCCCTGTTTTTAAACGGAGGGCCGCCAGAGCATTAAAATTATCGAAGGACCATTGTATTTCCGAAATTTAATAAGATTTGAGGCGTTTGGTTAAATCAAAATGTTGACCTCCCTCTAAGATTAATGAAATCTTGTAACAAAAAAAATGAAGGTAAAGTAATGAACATATCAGATTGTATCGGATAGAAAACATGACTTTGAAAGTAACAGCATTCATTAGGGCTACTTTTTATATTGAACTTAGTAAAAGCATTTAAATAGTACTTTATCTCTCTAAAAATAAATGTACCTTCAATTATCAGCTTCTAGAATACCCTTCTCGAGCCCTAAGTCCTATTTATTCATACATATCGTTATCATATTTACTCGCTTTATCTCCCATAGAGTATTATTAAAGGTACTAGCTTTTTCATAAGACTAGTTTCTACTGAGCTTACCTAAATTCGCATCAGAATGAGTAGTCTCTTTTCCATGTATATTCTTGATCAAGACAGTATGAAATATTAGACACTTCACTGCCATAACTAAAGTCTAACATTTGTATTTGAATTTATTTTTAGGCCTAATGTGCAGGATTGTCGCAAAATTAATACCGCAAAAACACGTGATATAACGACTTCTTTTGTATGGATTTTTCGACTTTCTTGGGTGCTTATTTAAAATAGAAAAATCAATACAATGCTAAGACGCTTCAAATTCGATCGATTTAAACTACACATACCCCGTGAAGAAGCTCGTTTTTATCGTTCTACCCCATCACTTGCTACAAAAAATTCTGATAATCACGATCTGACAATTCAACCCAAAATTAACTATGGGTACCTCGATCAAAATGCCAAAGCAGTGAGTGAAAACATGCGACGAAGAAATTACAACAAGGTCAACATGAACGAATTTCAAGAAAACTACGAAGAAAGACGAAAACTCTATTCCGAACTTCTTTTACTCAGAGCTAATCACAACGAGCTATCAAAAGCTATCAAGCTATCTATCAATAGTTCCGGTGATGAAAGGCAAAGGCTTATTTCTCAGAGTAAAAATCTTAAGGCACAGGTGAGATTCCAGGAAGAAAGACTCCAGAAAGTAGAATCTGCTCTTTCTTCTCAAGCTCTTCAAATTCCTAATGATTCCCATCCCGAGGCACCTGTTGGACCAGAATCGCAAGCTAGATTGGTAAAGATTGTGGGCACACCCCGAAAGGATACAGCGGACAAGATTTTGGAAGATCACATATCAATTGCTCGAAGACTGAATATTCTCGATCTTGATCAAGCTGCCTTGGTGAGTGGATCCAGCTTCTACTACCTCCAGGGAATGGGTGCATTCCTAGAGACAGCCTTAATCCAATATGCTATGCACAAGGCAGCTGAACATGGCTTTTTGGGTGTGATTACGCCAGACATTGTGCGTACTTCAGTTGCTTATGGATGTGGATTTCAGCCTCGGAGCGGCGAGAGCTCCCAGATTTACAATGTCTCCACGGCAGGATCTGACGAAAACAGCACACATTTATGTTTAGCTGGTACAGCTGAAATCCCGCTGGCGGGTAAATTTGCAGCCAAAATTATTGATGAATCTGATCTACCTCAACGTTTGGTTGGCTATGGCAGAGCCTTTCGCGTTGAGGCAGGTGGACGAGGCACTGAAACGAAGGGACTTTATCGTGTCCACCAGTTTTCAAAAGTAGAGTTATTTGCTGTTACTACGTCAGATAACAGTGATGCCATGCTAGAAGAGTTCAAACAGTTACAAGAGGACATCTTTACAGAACTTGGATTGTGTTTCCGGTATGCTTTTATTATAATTTGATTACGATATGATCCAGATGGAAATTTTATTTTGGGTATTGATGTCTGGATCTCTCTTTTTTTTTCTACAGAATTTTGGATATGCCAACGGAGGAACTGGGTGCAAGTGCGTATCGTAAATACGATATGGAAGCATGGATGCCAGGACGCAAGAAGTGGGGAGAGGTAAATTTCATTTATTCATTTATAATAAAATACCTAGAAATTTACCCTTTTTATATATTAATTACTTATCTTTCTATCTGTTTTTGTTAGATCTCTTCTACTTCCAATTGTACAGACTATCAATCCAGACGCCTTTCTATCCGATATCGACCTACTCATCACACTGGCCAAAATACTTATTTTTGTCATACAATTAATGGTACAGCCATTGCTGTACCTCGGATTATTATTGCTATCCTGGAAACCTTCCAAAATTCTGATGGTACTGTCAGTGTACCTCAAGTACTCCAAAAATGGTTACCAGGACAACCTAGTGTATTATTTTGATGTGTATTATCTCCATAAACCACTAAATAAACAATTGCTTCATAGAATTCTCCAAGCCATCTTCTTTTGGTGCTTGTGTATTTCCTTTGTGTTTTTCTAATACTTTTGCTGCTGATTCTCTTTTCTTAGCCAATCGTTTTTCTTTTTGCTCCCGTTTTGCTAACTGCTTTCGTTCCCGGGCTGATAATACCCTGGACTTTGTCGAATCAACAGGCTTACTGATTATTTCGGTACTTATGTTTGACTCATCCAAGTTCTCAATCTTATTTTCCTTCACGACCAAATCTTTTGGCAGCGTGACATTCAAGTCGCTCTTGCCCTCTTCATCACATAAGTCTATTTCTTCTATTTCTTTCTCTTCTAAAGATGATCGGCTCTTAAGTTGTGGTATGAGTATTTCATCAACCTTATTTGATGACTGGGCAAGATCTTTGGGCATTTCTTCTGAAAAATCGTCTTTTGGCATATCGTAAAGATGATCGATAACCTTGTCAGGATCACCCTTAAATTTCCGTAACAGACGTCTAATTTGACGCGTCGTAGCATCTGGACAAGCATCCTGAACGACCTTCTCTTTTGAATTGTGAGCTCCATTGGATTCTTCATCCTCTTCATCCTCGTTTTTTACATTTGAATAAACATCAGAAACTATCTATATATTATAGAAAAAGACAACTTTGTATTAGCGCCTATCTTATAATTCAGGGACTTTCTTTACGGAAACTTCCCTCGATTTCGGGTGGTCCTGTGTGTGGGCCAAGGATGTTCCGTATAGAGCTATAGTGCTCCCAGCTATGATAACTATTACGTGTTGATATCAGAAAGCTGTTTATTTTACCATTTCTTCGTTCGAACATATACGTGAGTTCGATATATTTCGTTGGCTACTCACGCAATATGAAGAGTTAGCATTCCGTTATCGGTATCATATTCATCAACGCCGTCTGTACCAGGAATAATGTAGCTACATTAGATAATCTCTGGTCATTTGTTATATTCTAATCATAAACTTGGAATATAGACATTGTAACTATTGACCACTTACATTAATCCTGGTTGATATACTTTAATATTCACATTAAAGAGACGTGCAAAGGCCACAAGCTCCATATTTCCTCCATACGTTCCATTACTTTCCATACAGCGTACATGGTCTTTAAACGACCGATCGTCTTCTACAAAATATTTGAAGTCATCTTCATGATCACACATGTACCGACATACTTCTTGTCGTATTTCTTTGTGTTTTCGGTCTGATCCATAATACTGATCAGAGAGTGCACTAACGATTATGTTAGAGATTCAGTAAATTCACAAGGAATCTTTATTTATCTTGTTTTAAAAAATCTTACCGGAACAAACAGTTGCCATCTCCAGCTATGTCTTTAGTACATAGTTGAAGAGTCCGTAACTGGGCATTCAGATCGCCAAAGCCATCCTCGTATAATCCAGGCTAGATGTAAATTATTGTAAATTTTGTTCACTAATGATTTACGCAGGACAGCAAGGAAGTATGATCAAAGAAGAATGGACATACATTACGAGATCGCTTCAACTTTCTAGATTCATTTTTTTGTGCCTTGTCTTTATAAATTCATTAACTTTTAAACAGTATTTATTTATGCCTTACGTACTTGTTTTTGCAATTTCTTTTTTCTCCTGTTTAGCCTTTCCTTTTGCCATTATTAATTAATTAATATACAGCTAAGGGTATACTTTGATATATATATAGAAACAGATCAGTACAGTGCTTCCACTCTTAATTTACCGATTTTTTTTTTTGGAAAAATCGCGCACTTGTGTGAGGTTATACACTTTTTCCGGAAATTATTGGTGCAAAAATACAAAATTATTTGGTGCAAAAATGGAATGCACCAAATGCACCAAATTTTATCTTTGTTTTTGGACTAAATAATTTTTTATTTTTGCACCAAATTTATTTTTGTTTGTGCACCAAATTTGTTTTTATTTTTGCACCAATAATTTCCGGAAAGAGTGTATTGCCCAGAAAAAGGAAGCTAGTTTGGTCAAATTTTTGAAGCTAATTTGACCAGCTTTCCGAGAATAAATGGGAAACCTTACGGACAGCCTGGTAGGATAGCTTGAACAGCCTGAACGTATACAACGTCACTCATAATTAGTACTTTATGGTTATACGCATTTTTTTTGGGTTGGGGGTCAGACTTTGCAGCAATCTTACGGGAACGACATTTCATGGTGGGGCACGACATTTCTATCTAACCGGACTAATCAATTCTGACTACATGTCCGGGGCCTGGTGTATTTCTCTAATCCTTCAGGGTAAAATGATGTGTCCAGAAAAAACACATTACACACTTTGTGATTCAATCTCGTTGAATGTTTTGCTATTTATTGGCCTTCTTACGCGTAACATGCCTTTCTCTTTCTTTCACCTACTTATATTCCCAGAGTCTGACAGTACCAGCTGGTAGGTAATTCCCCATACACTCGTTCTTTGCAAAGCACAAAAGAAAATCTTTACGAATATTTTTTATCCTGGCTGATATTAATTATTGTGATAAGAATAAATCCTTAGGGACCAGATAGAGTTATGCCATGCTGGCAAAAAGGTCACGATTTGTGGTCCAGTAGAATCAAAATATTCCCCCCCCCCCAGGAAATGTCGTCTCCCTAAAACTAGCGTCCAGGCTTTCTGCCAGGCTGTCTGTAAGGCTCTCCTTTATCAAGGACTCTAACGTGGTAGACTGGGATAATTTCGCAAACCAGATAACACAAAGGGAGATGGAAATGGATGTAAAGAAATTATCCTATGACTTGCACGCGAGGGTAAATAAAGAGGTAGCAGTCGAGGTAAAGAAAGTTTACGATTATACATCAAACCAACGTGAATAAGTAGCACCATTTATTGCAAAATTGGCTTCTTTCACTCAAACTCTGACAATCAGACAACGCATTTATAATTAGGGTCAAACTTGATGAATATAGGAGAAATGCTACTTACATTATTGAAGTTCCTTGTCAAGAGTAGGCTTTTATCTTATTTATTCGAGTCCTACATACTAAGCAATTTTATTCATTTTACTGTATTACGGAGTGATTGATTTGGTGAAGAACAGTGCTTGTGCAACTGTGTCTATTCTGGAAGATGAACTCGGGAAGTTGATTTCATACATGAAGGATCACTTGGAAATAGAGTACCAGAAGAGTAAAGCTGTGAAGAAATATGCAAACCAGCTACTGAAAAGCATCTCTGTTGAAAAAATTGAAAAAAAAAAATGATGAAGGCAGAGAAGAGCAGAATTTGCGGATCAACAGTCGTAAGCTCAGACCAGCCAGTTGACAAAAAGAATATGAAAACTGTGGTGAAGATAGTCAGCTTGTTTGTCCAGGTCACCAATAATGAAGAGAGACATAGATGGCTGAAAGATGAGATAACAGAAGCAGAGTACACAGCAAGATTTATAATTCCACTTATCAACCTCAAACTGAAACCATGAAGTACCAAGATGACCTTCAAACTTGGCGACCAAAAGCTACTCCTTGTGAAGGATTACGAAAATAGTGCTTTGACTGAAGATGGTACTCGCTTGCCTGGCTAAAATATGGACGGTATTATCAAGAATATAAATCTTGATGTTCTCTTTCCTCTCTTTGAGGTTTCTGGCTCCCCCAATTGTCCTACTAATAGTTACAGTTATTACAAAGGAGACACCAACCAAAGCTCTCGCCACCCCAACCGTGTTCCTCGTCAGGATCGTATTATGCTTCCTGGCCCTTTTGCGATCACCCCCCTCATTGGCTCATCTTCTGCTTCCATCTACAATCCAACCAACAAAGATTCCCTTCCTTCTTTGTCGGTTAAACCGCCACGCAACACTGATGTAGTCGACCCTGCCGAAGAGAAAACACTGTTCGACAAAACCGCAAATGTCGCAGATCTGGAAGATTATACCATGTTCGACGCCCCTCCAGAGAAGGCGAATGCTGAACAAGTGCGATTCCATCTGGAGTCCGAGTAGGACGCTGTCCGCTCCGCACAACAGGCCGCCGATAAACATGCTCTTCTGGAGGTTATCCAGGCTGCCGAAACTGAAAAAGCACGCCGACTCGACCGGTATACCACAAATCGCAAGACCCCACACACAACTCGATTTAACTGTTAAGCCTTCGGCTCAGAGGCCAAGCCTACCCAATAATTACCATTGGTACTATGAACTGCAGAGGTTTTGCCAAAGTGGGACGACCCGAAACACGTTAATTATTTATACGCCGCTTTCACTCGAAGGGAATTGACCTACTCGCCCTTCAGGAAACTCATACCCACTATATTGCTCTTCAAGTCTCATTAACTATGCAACTTTAATCTTCTTTTTCTCTTTGGTCTCATCATTTTGGACTTGTACGCCTTTCAAAAGATATTATGGTTACCGATCCACTGTTCAGTTTATGCGGCCGCAGCATCACTGCTATGGTGTCTCACTCACAGTCTATACTCACCCCTTTCCGTGTTTATGTTATTTATGCTCCTGCTACTTATCGCAAATAACATTCTTTTCTCATCTCTTTTCTTCCAAATTCTCTTTGCTACCAGCGTCACCCACTAATATGATTCTATTGGGCAACCTCAATCACTGAATCACTACTTCCACACCTCATAAAACTCCACCTCACCCATGGCTTCAATTTTTCACTGACCATCTGGTGGACTGTGTCACTTCTACCGGCGAGGTACCTCAACCTACCTTTCACCGCGATACATCATGCTTCACAATTGACTACATATTCGCTTCCTCCCACTCGGTTGTATATATACACCCGTAGTCGTCTGACCATTTTATGATCACATTCGCATTCTCCTTTATTTCTTCTCGAATCAGTGGTAAAGGCATTTGGCGAGCCAACCCTCGCCTTGGTCAGCTCACTTCCTTTCAGGACGAGCTTTCTGTCTTTTTTTACACCCTCGCCCCCACTCTCCCAGCCTCCCATTCCCCACAGACAAATTGGGATTTGGCCAAATTCTAAGTGACTTGATTCATTAAATGTTTCTCTCGTCGAACCTCACCTTCTCTATCCACTCAAGAACAACAACCTCAATGTCGGCGTGACAAGTTGATTCTTCGGTTTCGACATCAACCCGCCTAGAATTCTCACCTCTCATTATTGAATGCAAGCTCCAACAAGTTCAACTGGAACGTGTGGAAATTGTTGCTCTCCGGGCTGTTCGATAATGGCGTGAACAGGGTGAAACCTCTGCCAATCTCCTTATGCGCACCGTTGCTGCATGCCAGTCCAAAAATCTCATTACGCACCTATGCCATCCTGCTACTTACTGTCTTTGCACCGAGCCTGACAGCATGACAGAGGCTGCTGCCTGTTTCTATGAAAACCTGTAGTTTCCTGAGCCCATCACTTCTGCTGCTGGCGACGATCTTCTCCAGAATCTTCCTGACAATCTTGCCCTCACTGGTCTCACCCAACAATGTCTCACTCCCAAGTTTTCTCTAGATATCATTTGCCAAGGTGCTGCTAAATCTTCCAATTCTAGTAGCCTTGGCCCTGATGGATTGCCATATGAAATTATTCAAGTCATACTTGACCACCCTGAATTCTCCACTCTTGTCTCGCGTGTGTACAATGAAGCTTTGTCGGATGGTGTCTTATCCCAAAAAAGGGGTAACCTTACATCTCTTCGAAATTGACGGCCCATTAGACTTATTAACATTGATGCTAAGGTCTTCACTCGTTTTCTTAACTATTGTTTGATCCCTGCCGCTACTGCTCTTGTCACCCCCTACCAAAGTGGCTTTGTTCAAGGACGATTTATTGCTGATAATTGAATGCTCGCCCGGATGGTCATGGCTCAGGCTCTCCGGGAAAGCTCGACTGGTCTGGGTCTTTTTCTTAATCAGGAGAAGGCGTATGACTGAGTCCACCCAGACTACTTGCGCCGAGCTCTCAATTGCTTTCGCTTTCCTCCGTCTACAATAACTTGTATCACAAAATTGCTTTTCTCTACACATATTCAGGTCAACGTTAACGTTAATGGTTTCCTCTCTCGCCCTCTCACATAATTGCGTGGTCTCCTCCAAGTCGACCCTCTCTCTCCCATCTTGTTCAATTTGGCTTTTGAACATTTATTGCGACGAGTTATAGGTGACCCATCCTTCCTCGGTTTTCTGTCTTCTGTCCTTGATACTGTGGCTATTCTGCATCCTATTAAACTTCTAGCTTATGCCGACAATCTTCCGGTATTTCTCCCTGATCCTGCTCACCTTGCCCGACTCCACACGCATCTCACCGCCTATTCCGCTGCGTTCAATGCGCGTATCAACCTCCACAAAACACAAGCTTTCTCGCTCTCTGGCAGTCCTCTTCCTGACTGCTCCTCCACTCTCCGTGGTCATAACATTACCAGTTGGCATGACCGCACCTCGTCCCTACCTCTCCGTTATCTCAGCTTTCCGATGATTTACTCTAAGGCTCAGCGGAACTCGTTCTGCTCCTCTCTTCTCCAAAGAATTGAAGACAGGTCCAACTTCCACTCCTCCCGCTCTCTATCCTTTTGGGGTAAAGCCACAGTTTTAACATCTCTCATACTCTCTCAGCTTTGGAATGGTTTGCGTAGGTCTCTCTGCCTATGTGCTTCTATCAGAAGACCTGGTTCATCATGGGTGGCTTTCTTCAATGCGGTACCTTCCCTTTGGTTTTTTCAGATACTTTTTGCCTCCCCGTCTGTAAGGTTGACTTGGTATCATCGATCCTGAGACACAACAGGACACTCTACCACTTCGCTGTCTTCAACATCTTGTCCGGTCTCCTCAGTCTCCACCTGGTTTTGTTCCGTGCTGGATGTCCGGCTTGCCTCAAGTCTCAATTCCTTCTATTTCTCCCCGCTTCTCCCTTGTATTTCCAAGTATGAAACCTTCTGGATGGCAGGATCTTGTCTCTCCTCTGAACTTAATCGTCGCTGCCATCAACCTTCTTCGCGACTTTTATAATGGGGTAGTCAACTTGACTACTCGTCTTGATTTGCCCCTCTCAGCTAATAATATTATCCAAGGTTCCTACTGTAAAAGAAATGTAGTGCTTAATTAAAATTACACTATAAAACACACTGTAAACCCCGGAAAACTTGCAAAAATCTTACTAACATTATCTTTTTTTTCTATAGTGTATAATCCTTATATTTTCAGCCATTTTTTAAGAGGAATAGGATCAAGCATATTAATTTCCTTGATATTACAGTGTTTCTACTTGAGATTGAGACGATGTTGATTTTTTTTGGACAAACGAAAAAAGAGAATTAAAACACAAAAGAATAAAATTTGGGATAGAAAGAGAATTTAGTTGACACAAGGTAAAAAAGAGATTCTGTTAAAAGGTATTCACAGAGTGGTTAATTGATTATAAAAGCACAGTCAATTAAGCTTGACTTTTTTTCGGCAATCATACAAAAAATACAATTACTTATTGTTTGTCTCCCATTTCATTTATAATAATTTAAGCTATTACAGAAACTCTCGCCGACGTTTCTAAAATGCCTTTAATTGTCTTTGGGGATAGGCTTACAAACAAAGCAAGTGTCAGATTTCACAGTTTATGGCATAGGGTATCCGAGAAAATTTACAAGCATCTTCTTGTAAAGCAAAAGATCGGATAATTGTTCCTTTTGGATATCAATGAGCTTAACACCTCAAAGGTACATGCACTTTTTCTTTGAAGTTTTATTCTTTATATTTAATATTGCTTGTGTAGGTTTACAACTCCTGTAAGACCAAAGACCGAAGATATTTCCGAAATGCCAACGACAGACCTATTCACCCAATATTAGTTTGCAACAACTGTAATATTTTTTGGAATAGGGATGTCATGGCGGCAAAAAATATGTTCTATATTGTGCAGGAAATTTGGAATGGTAATTCTCTTTTTTGTTTGTCCAAAAAGAGAGCAAACTGTCCAAACATTAATTTTCATTTGTCCAACCCCCCCCCCCCCCCCCCCCCCCAACATCGTCTCAATCTCAAGTAGAAACACTGTATCTAACTTCAATAAATAAAATAAAATAAAATAACATGTTATTCAAAGCTTATGACATTTCTAGTTCACACATATCTTCGAATTGAATGAGAGTTTCATCTATCAGACTAGGTTGATTAAGCCAAATGGACAAAAGTGTAAGACTTTCCTCGCGGTGCTTAATATGCCTAAATCCCTTTATACTAGCAAGAGATTGTTTCGTAACCAACTCAGACTCGTACATTGATACAATCGTCTTGGCTTGTTGCACTAAACACTAGATCAGACATTGCACTTGTTATGCTTGGTGAAAGTATCTTACCAAATATATTTAGAGAGCATGTCTTGTATAATGGAATATATAGAAGATTTTTACCACCTATACTAAGAGTTCTATTGGATATAGCTTCCATTTCTTGTACATGTTGTTGCATTTTTCGTTGCTGGGTTGCCTAGTAGACGTAAACCGATAGTCAAATTATCTGTAAAATAAATAAATAAAAATCTCAAAGCAAAGTACACGAACCATTTTTTGTACAATATTCTCTAGTTTTTGAGAATGACCATCGATTACGACAGTCATTTTGCCATCATACTTTTGCACCACATTAGGAAAAGCTTTAATAAGTACCGGATGCCAATACGCAGAATCGTCTACATATCTATAATAACATCAGCTATCCATTCCACATTTATTCATTTCTAGTCATTTTTTTCTTACCTTGATTGAATGACAGCATTCACCAGTTTATTTGCTACCGGAAACCCTTCGGAATTCAACTCCTTCCAATATCTTCTCGCTCGCTTAAAGTCGTCCAGAACAGTTTCGAGACGTCTTTGGGTTGTTCCGATGATGTGAGCCATACTAAGAGTGGCTTGAAAGGAATCGAGCCGCTCTTGAAACTGAGTTTCTATCTTTAGAAAATAGGGGATACTCTTTAGCTGATTCCAATGACAAACGGTAAGTAAAAGTATGAGCTCTAATCTTTCTATTTCTCATCACAATTGTTTTTTTATATAGAGGTGTGATTATATAGCAATTTCTTGAGAGATTTACATAAATGACAAGGAGGTGTCTACGTGTTAGAGCTTTAACCATCTCATGGGATTATTCTTTCTTTCTTTCTTTTTTTCTTCATCTTTAATGATTCTAATAGGTATTAGATAAAAAGCTTCGTGTCTTGACAAAAGGTTGGTATCTTTCTATCTATTTATTTTATGCTGCTTCAACAATCCGGGAACCATTCTTATACATTTGAATAGCACTGGAAGAGTCTACAAATAACAAAGACACTTCATCGATTTTATTGGAACGAGCAAGTGTGTACGAAGCACTTGGTCAGTCAGAATTGGCGCGTAAAGATGTACAGCTTGCAACCGAGAAAGATACTACCAACACAAAGGCAAAAGAAATTGCAGACCGCCTTTCCAAAAAATCTCTAGCTACAGCCCCTACACCAAAAGACTCGCGAGTCGATCGTTTTCGTTCCTTCCTTGAGCGGATTTCTGATTCCACCAAGACTACAGAAATTAAACAATTCTGTAGTTCTCCTGAGTTTGTCAGTGTCCTGACTGCATGCGGAGAAGAAGATACCCCGACAGAAGTGCGTGCCGCGGCCTACATGTTCCTTACAAAGTTGTTGAACCCTGGCCCTAATGCCACGCAATATCCTATGTCATTTATTATTGAGCAATGTGCCAAGTGTTTCTCTCATTGTATGGATACTGGAAAGAATGTGGACAAACTTCTCGCCTTTCGTACACTTAATGCATTATTCCAGACCAACATTACAGTAGGCGCAGCTATTCTTGCTCAGGAAGGTGTTGTGGAGGAGATCATGGATGTTATTGAATTTGAAGTATTGGATGTACAAATTGCCATTGCCAATGTGTTGGCGATTGCTTCTTCAGATAGCAGCTGTCAAAAAGTGATTGTTAAATATGGTAGCGGATGGCTAGCAAAGACCGCAAGCCGTTCTTCAACAGATGAGCGTCTCAAAGCTATAATTGGCACCACTTTGACCAAATTACAAGCCCAGGGAGCAAGCGCGACAGCACAAAAAGTCCCAGGCAATACAGAAACTAAGGACGAATCACTGGAGGATGCAATGCGGCATATGAACCTCAAGAACGCGGACTTGACAGAATCTATGAAAAATGTTCTAAAGAATCAGGCACAGGATGGCTCGGTTGTGTTGAATGCTGTTGAAGGGTTAGCATATTCTTCTTTGGAGTCTAATGTCAAGGACTCTTTGGTCAAAGATGGAAAGTTTATGAAGAGCCTCGTTGCAGTGGCCATAAACGCAGCAAATACCAATAGCAACCCACTTCTTTTTGGAATTGGTACTATATTGGCCAATATCACCATGTATAGACCTGTCCTTGATGAGCAACAACAACAGATGAAGAAGCTCAGAGACCTTGCGAATGCTAAAAGCAGTGACAAGGCCGTTCCTTCTGACGATCCTCTTGAAACTGACAATGCTGTCGAAACTCGTATAAAGCTTGCAGTCGATCATAGCTCTGCATTGGCTTTGATGGTGATGGCCAAAAGCACTAGCTCTAACATCCGGATGGTTGCTGCTCAGACATACCATAACCTCGTTACCCCTCAGGCTACACGCGGAAAACTATTACAACAAGGAATTGTCAAATCTCTTTTACCGTTGGCCGGTTCGCAAAAGGATCCTCAATGTGCCATTGTAGCTTCGCAGGCACTCGCAAAACTTGCCATTACAACTGATCCTCGCCTAGCATTTGGGCCTGAACATTCCCTAGATCTTGTACGACCATTCTTGAGCTTGTGCAAAGATGACAGTAATCAGCTACGACAGTTCGAGGGCTTGATGGCTCTAACCAATCTTGCGTCTGTGGATGATAATGTCCGTCAGGCTATTTTTCAAGAACAAGGATTGGTTATATTTGAAAATCTTCAATTGTCCAACAATACTATGGTTCAACGCGCTGCTACCGAGATGTTATGCAACATGACATTCTGTGATCCTGTATTTGATCTCTATAGCGACTCTAACAAACCAGGAACACAAAACAAGATCCGTCTGTTGATGATTTTATCTGATCATGATGACGAAGCCACGAGGCGCGCTGCTTCAGGTACATTGGCTATATTAGCAAACGCCAAGGGGACCTGTGAGATGATGGCACGTATTGATAAGGGATATGAACGTATTTCACGGCTAATGAACGAAGATGAAATTGTGGATGTTCAACACCGAGGCATTGAGATTGTGCGTTGTATGATTATGCATCTTGAAAAAGATGCAGTTGTTCCATTGGTGGCCGAAGAAGTGGATAAAAAATTAGTGTGTATTGTCAAGACATGTCAAACAAATGTAGTCCGTAGTGCGGCTATGGATGTTTTGAAGCTAATGGTTGCCCATGGTGCTAAGCTCAAACCATAAAGGAAAAAGAGAGAACTACTTATAAGAATATTGCGTAGAATTGTGTATATCTATGCATTTCCCTTACTAAGAAAGAAACAGGAAAAAAATAGCTTATAAAAGTGACATCGAAATAAAACAATTTTTTAAAACCCCATCCCCATATGTATTCTATAATTTTAAGACCTTATTAACCTAGTTGATATGTATTCGGTCATGAATAGCAGTAATAAGATCTATGGAAGTTATACTTTCATATATTTTTATACCTTTAATACTGGTACAAAGTCAGGGAGTTTTTATCACTTGCTTTTCAAAATTGCACGTTTCTTTAACTCTGGCATTATTTTTAACTAGAACTACGGAGGGAAAATGAGTGTTTAGGGGTGTATGTTTTAATGTGCTCTTGTGTGTGCTTAGATAGTGTATTTTACTTTTTTTTATTTAGTATTTTCACTGATTATTCGGGTACAATATTATTTCTTGTTATTAAAGCGTATTTAATTAAGGGCAAATATATTTAACCTTCTTCTATTCAGCTTTATAATCTGATTTTCCTCATTCTGGTTGACATGATCGAGCGTATTTATTTTGAGGATAATATCCATCACACGAACAGCTTAGAGTTACTTCAGTATAGCCTATACATTATCTAAAGGATTATAACCTAACATTTATAGCATACATAGCTAACTTATTTTTTTAAAAATTTATAAACGAATACAATACCAGAAACAACGGAAATTGGTATTTGGGATTTCATGCTAAGTTAGCACGTGATCTGCTGAATATGGAAATTCTAACAAAAATGAAAAATGAAAGATTAAGACGCAAGCAAAGAAAAAGGTTGATCGATTGTTTGCTTTTTTAAAAAAAAAACGATCCATTTAATCCATAATGTCAGGTTTACAGCAGCCGAACCGTTTGACGAAGGAGGAGTATAGAAAACAAAAGGATCTCGATGCTGCTCGTAAAGCCGGTACTGCACCTGCCGAAGTCGATGATGAGGGAAATGAGATCAATCCCCACACGCCTCAATTCATGTTAAAAGCACCTTGGTACGTCGACAATGGACAGGTCTCTCTTAAGCATCAAAGAGCTCCAGAAAAACGACCCGGTACCAAGTTTGGAGCCGAAGATAACTTTTGGTATGCTCGCGGCCAACGAGCGGTAAGCAGTTGCATTAGAAGTATAGTCTGGTTGAATCGAGTCTATATAAGAAAACAAATTTTTTTTGAGTCTATATACTCATTGAATCGGATGAATCAAACTTGTGATGTACTACTTTAGGGTCCAGCAGCAACAAAATACCGTAAGGGAGCATGTGAAAATTGTGGTGCAGCATCTCATAAGACACGCGATTGTGTGGAGAGACCACGTAAAAAGGGTGCTAAATGGACTGGAAAAAATATCAAAGCAGACGAGATTGTACAAGAAGTAGATCTTGATTGGGATGAGAAACGAGACCGATGGAATGGCTATGATCCCAAAGAGCATGACAAAGTTATTGAAGAATATAATAAGATTGAAGAGGCTCGACGTGCGGCCAAGGCCACAGAGCTTGATAAGGAAGGACCTACTACAACTTCGGAAGCCAAGAAGATTGCAGGAATGTCGGATGATGAGGAAGAGGATGATGATGACAAGTATGCAGATCAGGCAGATATGCCCGGTCAATATGTCAACCAAAAGACTCGAATGACCAACCGTAATCTCAGGTAAGTGAATTACTATTTATCTTTTAAGGTTGAATCTAACAAAAAAAGGGACGTTTACATTTACATAGAATTCGTGAAGATACAGCTAAATATCTGTTAAATCTGGATACAGATTCAGCTTATTATGATCCCAAAACACGTTCTATGCGTGATAATCCATTGAGAGAAGAACAGGGTGCGGACGATGTACCATTTGCTGGTGATAACTTTGTACGCTACACTGGTGATGCTCCAGCAATGGCCAAAATTCAGCTATTCGCCTGGCAAGCTGCTGATCGTGGCAGTGACGTTCATCTTCAGGCCAATCCTACACAGGTGGCCATCTTGCACCAGGAATATGAGTCCAAAAAGGATGAAGTGCGAGGATCTACTCAAAAGAGCATTTTGGAGAAATATGGTGGAGCAGAACATTTGGAATCTGTTCCCAAGGAATTGCTTCTTGCACAAAATGAAAACTATGTGGAATACTCACGTACTGGTCGAGTCATCCGTGGTCTTGAGAAGGCCAAGACAAAGTCGAAATATGAAGAAGATGGTATGGCAATAATTACAAGCTTGGATAATATCCAGCAACTGACAGACTTGTGTTTCTTAATTTGTAGTATTTATCAATAACCACAACTCTGTATGGGGATCTTACTGGGCCGATGGAAAATGGGGTTACAAATGCTGTCGATCATATGTTCGTAACTCATATTGTACTGGCCAGGCTGGTATTGATGCTCAAAAAGCTTCTCAAATGGCCTCTCATGGTGCTCTTTAGACCAACCAAATTTCTCATTATTCAACTTTCTTTCGTCTTTATTCATTTTATTTTCTCGTAAATAATATCCACTTTGTTTTCGTAAGCTTTCAAATTATTTTTGTCTTGAAAATGAGTGCATTTTGGATTGATTGCCCCCTTTATAATTTTTTATTTTATATTTTATTTTATTTTTTGGTCTTTTTTTTTATTTTTTTGTTCAGGCTCAGAGATCTTTTGCCCAACCCTCATGATGACCTCACCCTTTCTCGGAGATTTATTAAACCGGCTTGAATGTCTTGTCTAAAATAACGACAGGTCCTTTTTATTATTTTAGGGCAAGCTTCAAAGATATTAGACTATAATGTTCTTATTCAGTATCTCCTTCTCTCTCTCTCTTTTTTTCTTTTTTTTTCTTTTTCATTGTTAGTAAACGTGCACCAAATAAGGTCTCCTACAGAATAAAAAATATTCATGTATTCTTGTATGATATAAAGAGATCCAACTAAGTAAATAAAAATGGATAGAAAAAGAGGGAAGGAGAGAAGGAAAGAATCAGCAGTAAATTTTGGGGGTTTTTTTTGGTTAGATTTTTAAGCTTTTTTAAAGTTATGCAAGAAAGTCAGCAGGGTTGAACGCATCTCTTCCTCCTTCTCTTTATATTCCTCTCAATCACCCATCATGTATTATCACCCAAGCAATATAGCTGAACCACTGGATACTTATGATATCCGCAACCAAGCTGAAGTGGGAGATACCATCGATTGGAATACATACACATTAGATGGTTCACAAGTTCCGTTTGAAAATACCTTTTGGCCCCAAGCCTCGATGTTTCCTCATGATAATATGGGCTTCCAACGTAGAAGAAGCTCTTCTGTAGGTGCAGCTCCATTTCAGCACGCAGAGTTTCTATCGCAATATCAACAAAAGATCGAATGCATCACTGAGGAAGAGTACCTTCCAGTTCCCCATGTCACCGACCCCTCGCTTTCTGGGTCTCCGTTTTCAAGTGCCTCTTCAGACACACACATGACCTCTCCCCCACAACAACACCAGACATTATTTCCAGAGATTGTCCAGCCTAATACAGACACACCCATCAACCGTCGTCCAGCTGTAGGGAAACGGCGCAGATCATCATCTGTGCCGTCTTGCTTCCAACGTCGACCGCCAGCACGAATGGAACCCCTGGTGTTTGCGCAGATGCAAGTGACTGATCCACGTCCGCCTGCACCACCTGTCTTGCACCACCAACCACCGGTACCCATCGAAAGGGTGCAACGTATGCCGCCCAAGCCCTCGACAACTGATCCAGAAGAGGAGCAGCGCAAGAAGGATCATGAGCTTCTCAACACTGACTTTGATGACATTACTGTGGCAGCTCTCAAAGAACTTCTTCGACAAAGAAAGCTGCCTTCCAACGGAAAAAAGGCCGATCTAATTGATCGTCTAAGACAAGAACGTACTCGCGTACTTATATCCAAACTTATGTCACCTTCTCCTCTAGTTCCCAAGCAAGCCAATTCAGATAATCATTGTACTTATAATAGCAGCTATCATACTCCTTGGAATCAAGAAATGTTAAATACGTTTCTTGAGAAGCTTTAAAAGAAAAAAGAAAAATTGTATACTTTCTTTATAAATATATATATATAAATATAAATACAACACACACAACAACCCTTTAATACAACCAAACTCACTTTCAAATCTTTCGTAAATTTCGTCAATAAAGTCATCTTTCTCTTCATTTCACTTTACTTTACTTCTTTACGTTTCAAAATTAAATAAATAAATAAAAAGACTGATACACATGCACACAAATGTTAATGCGAATATTATTATCGTTATGATTGCTGCTGGTTTTTATCTATAATCTCTTGAATCTCAATCATCAGTCGACTATCCTGTGCAAGGGGCACGAGTGGCTTGTGGAATGTCTTTTCAAAGCTTTTAATAAGCTTTGGCAACGCATTTTCGACATTGGTGATACATCCCCGCTCCCGACTAATGGAGGTCACTCGTTTGTCGGCTAATCCACATGGCACAATATGGCCAAACCACGTTAAATCCACATCACAGTTTAGTGCCAAGCCATGACTGCTCACGTATCTTTGCAAATGAACACCTTTTGAGAACCTAGAGTTTAATAAAGAGTCGATTTGCAAATAAATATTTTACAATGTTACTTGTCTCACCTAGAGCAGCAATCTTGTCCTCCTGTCCTACCCACACGCCTGTGTTCTCGGTCGTGTTGGCCTGGATGCCATACTCGGCGCATGCAGCAATAACAGTCTTCTCCAATCGTGACACGAAGCATCTTACATTGAGCTATAGGCATTATTATTCACCTATTCAACCACCTTTTGTATACTCTGGCAATAATAATAATAATAATATTTTTTTTAAAAAAAAAGGGAAACACTTGCATTATAATCTCTAATATCGATAATAGGGTAAGCAATCAATTGACCTGGGCCATGGAATGTAATCTGCCCTCCTCGCATTGTCTAGCAGCCCGGAAATAAAATAAAAAAAAATAGTTAATGAGAATCTTGAAACCTGATCAGATATAGTGATATACCTCGAAATATTCTGCCCCCAAATCACGTAATCTCTTTTCTTCATCTTCTACAGTCTTGTTACGGATCCTTCGACCGGATGTATATGTAGGTTTGTGCTGAAGAAAACATATGATGTCTTTGGGATCATCAGTAGACTGACCGCGGTTTACGGCATGACGACGCTTGACAAGATGCTGTTGAATGTCTAGGCCAGCCTTGTAGGGAATTAGCCCAGAAAGCGACAAATATCCAATAGGAAGCGAGTCTTTTGGTAATATAGAGCAGGATTCAGTTGTAAATGAGCGAGCCAAACGCAACATTGTGTTTTGGATTCCAGAATTGATTAACATTATCTAATATGCAAAACCAGCAAATATTATCATAAATTTAACTAATTCAGTTTTTCACAAAAAGTTACTTTGTACAAATATATAGCTGATTGTAAAAAAGTTGTCTTATTATTCTTATGAGCATTATTTTCATATTACAGTGTTTCTACTTGAGGTTGAGACGATGTCAGTCTTTCTTTCTTTTTTGGGCGAATCAAACTTATTATATATATAGCTGTGTGTGAGAGAGAGAGAGCAAACTGTTTGTATGAGGGGTTGAATGCAAATTCTATGACCCGCTTATGCTGAGTTTATTTTCTACGTTAAATGCTTTCATCTCTAGCCAAGTGTTGATCGTTTACCAACACCTTTGGCTCCTTCCCCAGATTTCAATTCACCAGTTCGGCCAGTAACAAATTCATCGTATATAAGTTGGAGTCTTAGGCGCTCATCGGCTGTAATGGATGGTCGGGTGCTCTTAAGAGATTTATCCAGATGACTCTGCTGAATAGCCGCTGTATGGCTGTTGCTGATGCTTACTTCCTGCTTGGGTTCATCTTTCAAAGCAGACTGTTTGTGATTCTGTTCGCCTTGTTGAATCATGGCCAGCTGCAAAATAATAATTTTTAATAACTGTGAGCTACAGATATGATCTATTAGCTTACCCTTTGTGAGATGTGTCCTTTCTCAGCTAAAGTGAGAGGTGTTTTGACAGCCGCCTTTCCAATCATCACAAATCCATTCTTTTCTTCTTTAGGTCCCTGCTTCTTCTGTTGCTCGCGGAAGCTGTTAATATCCATAGAGTCATGGATAGCTTCTAGATGGGCATTGTAAAAGAATCCTTGAAGATCCGCACCCGTAAATCCTTCTGTGTTCTGTGCGTAATGGGTTAGATCCACATCTGACGCCAGCGTCATCTTGTGAGAAAGAGCCTCTAGAATCTATTTTGAGATGAATTAACAATGAGTGGCAATAGTCAAGCATATTTACATCCAGTCTTTCTTCAAAGCTTGGCATTCCACACAGTAATGCCTTGTCAAGTCGACCAGGACGCAGCAAGGCAGGATCAATGAGATCAGGACGACTATAGAGATAAATAGATAAATAAATAAAATATTATTAGACTTCTCTTTCCTTAGGCTACAATGCGTTGTATTATATATATATAATGAGGAGTAATGTATTAGACAAAATACCATTTAACTGTTTTTACCTTGTAGCCGCCAGAACGTAGACACCATCAAGACCCTCAGCACCATCCATTTGAGTTAACATTTGATTTACCACTCGATCTGTCACACCAGTGCTGTCGTGTCCTCTATGATTTTTTATATAAATAATTGTATCATAATATGGCTTTACTTTTTTGATAGCCTGGCTCACGTCATTTATTTACCTTCTAGGAGCAATAGAATCAAATTCATCAAAGAACAAGACACAAGGTTTTGCAGCCTGAGCACGATCAAATAGGTCTCTGACGGACTTTTCACTTGCTCCAATATATTTGTTTAGGATTTCGGGGCCCTTGACACTGATGAAATTCAAGCCACACTCTTTGGCAACAGCTGAAGCCAACAATGTTTTTCCGCATCCGGGGTATCCATACAACATTAATCTATTCATTTAATTAAATTGTAAGTATTATACATCTTTTCTTAAAGAGAAACATCCTACCCTGATCGGAGACGAAGAGGACACTGAGAAAACACGGCGGCATATTTTGTAGGCCATTCGAGAGTCTCCAGCAATGCCTTGCGAGTTTCGTGAAGACCACCTATATCAGTCCACTGCACGGTTGATGACTGAAGTTTTACGCCACGTAATGACGATGGAACGAATCCTTGGCGTGCAGAAACAAAGTCTTGTTGGGTCAACTCGAGCCTTTCGGTGGCAATTGGATTTGTAGCATCGTAAGAGCGGATGTTCCGAACAGCACTCTCATGTACAGCGCGCTCTACTAGGGCCGTAAGATCTGCGGCTAAGTAACCTTCGGTGTCAGATGCAACTGCTACCAAATCGATGTTTGGAAGACTTTGTGACAATACGTCTAATCCCTCAGACATTATAGCATGCATAATCTATATATATATATAAAGAGAGAAGAAAATTGTAAGCTTGTATATATATCTACAGATACTCGTTACACTTACTTGTTTACGTTCATCACGAGTAGGTGGGTTAACATGACGAAGTTCAGTAAATACATGGTGAGTGATCATAGTTGGGTGAAGCGACTGTTGCTGTTGCGATGTGGCAATGATCATTATTGGATGGCGAGATGTCATAGTACGTGCCATTCTGCTAAAAAGCTCTGCCAAATGGCGAGATCTTGTCGAGTCTGCATGCTATTATTTGAGACAATATACTTTTAGTAACTTTTCTATATTGAAAGTTGCGTAGTGATATATTTACTTCAACCTCGGCAGGAATAAGACGATCAAGATCATCAAAGAACAATACTGAAGGCGCGCACCATGCAGCCTCATCAAACCATTTCTGAAGCATATCCTTAAATACCGGTACACGTTCATCGACTAACTCTGAGCACTGGACTGTGATGGTGTCTATTTCGTAGCCAGTGTAAGAAATCCCACTTTTTGATACCGTAATATTTGTGATCAATTAAACTTACACACGAGGCATCCAGGATCATGGTAAACGTCCTCCATCAACTTTTTCACCAAGCTGGTTTTTCCAGCACCGTGAGCACCTGTCACCAGCACACCACCAGAGCCGGGTACATTCAATTGAGACTTGAGATCTCGTTCAGCCAAGTTGGCATGTGTGTAACGATGTAACTGGCCATAGATAGTATCTACGCCACCCATTGTAATCAATTTCTTGGGTTTTGTAGGTGGTTGTTCTTCTTTAGTAATAGATGATTTTGAAATATCTTCTCCCACATTAATCGAAGCTTTCTGCACCGCAGCACGAGTGAAGTTTGCGTATATGTTCTGTTCTGCGGTCGTTTGAGTTGAGGAAAATAACCCCTTTTGAGGACTCAACTGGATGACACAGGCAACACTTTTTCCATTAACCTGAAGGCGGATCTTCATTCCATGCGTCAATACAATTGGATCATCTAGTCCCTGTGCCCAGGCTATAAAGATCAAATAGAGAGAAAGGAATCAATATATATATATATATGCTAATGTAAATAAACAAAAGGTATTACTTGCTTTTGAAAGACTCGGCCAAATTTTGATCCCGTTCGATCTTTTGTTGAGCAGCATTTATTGCTCTAACGTCGTATACAGGCAAAAGTATAGGGTTGGTTATTAATCTTTATATCAATAATAGTATCAGTAATATATCTTACGCTGTATCTAAGCCGAGTTTTATTACACTTGTTGGTGCGGGTGAGCTCAGTCTTCGTAGTGTGATACTGACAGTAGGATTTTTCTTTGATGTGACCGTAGACACCCTAGCAACAATACCAATTAAAAAGATTGGTCGTTTGATATTTACAAGCTAATTAATTATATATTGACATTTTACTTACTTAATCCTGTCAAATGGTTTGATTTCCAGACTATCTGATAGATAAGATTCGATGTGTACATGATTTCGTGGTACAAGAGTACTCAAAGTGATAGATGCATACACAGCTTTTATATCTTTGTCTGTGTGTGGTTCACTTTGAGTATCTTCTGATGGTTGACTACGACCGGCAAAGGCAGGAATAACTTTTGATATCCTAACCAGCCCAGATTCCTGACTATCATCAGGGTGAATCCATACACCATGAGCGTCTGGAAGCGTGTAAGGTAAGTTGCGCAAACAAACATGAGGTGCTGCTTGTTGTTGCTGGGCTGAAAGGATCTTTGAGGCAGCAATGTCGGCAGGCTTTGTAGATTGGCGTACTTTGGGGGCCACAATAACCTCAGCGTTGGTTGTAAGCTTTACATATGGGCTGGCAGGACTAATTTCGGCTACCAATGTATGCATATGTATATAAGTTATTATATTATTATTTTGAAAAGAACAATGGTAATAAAGATTGTATTCATTTGACAAATTTATCTGAACACACGCACACCCACTTACGAGCATGATTTACTTACCGACTCGTAAGCGAACTAAAGTTCGACCATGGATCCATACACACATTAGCTGGTTATTATACACCGCACGGATCTGACTTAACAGGTTGTCTTCCACGTAACCAGCATGAAGTTCCTATATATTCACATGGCTAAATATGTCGTTTCATACTGAACTTGACACCCAAGCTTTTCTTTTGTTTTACTCACCAGGATCTCCCAGTCATCCTCAGTGTGCGGTTCCACGTGCACAGATACACACTCGGGTACATTTCGACAAAACTCAACATTCACCTGTAGGTGTATTATATATCAATACCATTTACAAAGGTGGATGACTATTACCAATTGTCCTTCAGATATTCCTATTGCTTGCCCAAACTGGGGATCTATGGCCAATACATCAGGAGGGGGATTTCCGTACTTGAACACAGCGTTTGGATCCAGAGGTTTGGAAGCTTCCCCGGACCAACCACAATATGCTTTTTGAGTGGTGCCCTGACTTGGCCAGCTCAACTCAACCATGACATTCTGGGGTAGCTAATAAAATAATGTGAACTTTAGAGATTGTACTAGTCATTTTGCGCTTAAATTTGAGATTTACTTTTCCCTGGTCAATCAATGCATTTGCCCATGGAGAAGGTAAATGAACAAGACAGGATCGAATAGGTGTAAATGTTACTAAAAGTTGTTTTGGCATGGTATATTGCTATAAATATTATTATCGCTCAAAAGTGTTCTAATGAGCTTAGGAATTTTAGAAATTTAGAGAGAAAGAAGAGAAATAGAAAACAGGTACAAGGTACAGAGACACATATTCACTTACTTTCTTACTCACTTTCTTACTCACTCGACACTCACACGCTGTGAAAGATAATCTCGTTTTGTCATGTTAATCTGAGACTTAAATCTGAATTTGAGTTTTAATGTGAGTTTATAAGCCCGCGCATACTGGGAATAAAGGTTTCTTAATCTTTATATATATAAACAAACAAATGTGATTTTTACAAAGATAAGTTTCTACTACTGTTGGTTTTAAATCCACTAAAGACATGGTCTTCATATCAGTTGCTATAGTCTTTGCTTCCAAGTAAAATCTATTAATCTTCTTTAATGTATATTTAAGCTAAATCCAAACAGAGGATATTCTAGGGCTAGAATATTTTAGAAGACATAAAAGAAATGAATTTTCTTCAATTCATTAGTTGCCTATATGTCTGATACAAAAATAAAAATAAAAGAGAATATTGAAGCATTTACTGCTCTTTAAGTACTGCGGCTGTTTTTTTTTGTTGGATTGGGCTTTGCTGCCAAAGCCATTCATATATGTATATATTCAAAGTTTTTTTTTTGTTCGGTTTTTTTTTTGTTTTGTATATGAAATTTTGCTTTTCAAGGCAATTAGACAATAGACAATACAAGAAAGAAAGAAAGAAATAAAAAAAAGAAATAAAAAAACATAAGAGCTAAAAGAAAGAAGCTCAATAAAAAAAAAGACCAAGAAATAAGAAAGATCTTTTCAAAGCCTTTAAGTAAGAACCTTACAGAGAAAGAAATGATTGCTATGTGCAATCAAAGAAGAAGTTAATAAAGTAAGTAAAGACGTAGGGGGGGTGGGTGGGGGATTGGTCTAGAAAATAAAATAAGAAAAAATAAGAAAAGAAAATAACAAAATGAATTTCAAAAAATGAATTTCAAAACAGCTTGATATTTGCTTTTTCTTGTTTGTTTCTTTTTCAAAGAAAAGAAAGTCTAACAGATTTGGTGAGAAGATTGGTATCAGAGAGGTGGAGGAGATGGTGGAGGATATGAATGGGAAATGTTTGAATGGGAATGGGAATGGGAATGTGAATGGAAAGGATGTATGAGGGCATGCAAAGAAAGAATAGTAAAACATAGGGACAAATTGAAGCGCAAAATAAGTATAAGAATAAATGTAAGAGAAAGAGACAAGTATCAGGAATAAGAATCTAAATATCCATTAAAGACCATCTTAATCTTCTTTACATTGCTCCCATCTGGTACATTCGCTCCAATGTCTGCTTCTGCAATACTGATTCTTGGAATCTATTTAGGTTCGTAAGTCAATAAATGCATATATATATATATAATAAAATCCTTAAAGATACTTACTTTCTTAACTGCTCATTCTCGTTCACTAATCTTTCCAGCTCGGCCAAAAGTGAGGTCTGATTATTCTTTAGGTGTTGGAGATGCTGTGTGGTTCTGTGTAGCAGGGCTGCCTTGCTCATCTTCTTGTTCACACAACCGGGCAAATGCTGACGGAGCTCATCAAAGCCATCCTTGATTTGAGCACGACGCTTCTGTTCAGACTGGATGTGGATTTGGCGGCGAACTTCAGCAGCAGATACGCTATCAATATCATCTTCCTGGTCTGAAGATGAACTCTCAAAGTCGCAAGAGGATGAGGATGAGGACTGTTGTTGCTGTTGCTGCTGTTGTTGTTGTTGTTGCTGTTGCTGCTGCTGCTGCTGTTTCTGAACCCGGCGTCTCTTCTTGCTTCCACCGTTTTCGTATGTTTCTTTAGAATACTGGTGAAACTCGGGCAAAAAAGACTCAGGCAGGGTGTTGGCTTTGGCGATCTTTTCTGTGATGGCGTGGGCCAAGTTAGACACCAGAGGGACAGCGGCAGGTGGAGAGCAAGACATCAATGGTGAGGGGGCGCCAGGTGACAGGCGTGAATAGACAGAGTCTGGGCTAGAAGGCTGAGGGTAAAGCATGGATGAGGGCATCATTTGGGGCATTGCAGTGTTCTCAAACACAACAGTGTCATTTCCATAGTAACCCACTAACAGGAAGGTATTAGTATGACGTCATTGGTTATATAATTAGGGGGGATTCATCTGTAAAAAATATAGTAGTAGTAAAGAGAAGATATTCTAATATGTTTTTTTTATCGGGGGTATTCCGTTTTTTACCTGAAGGATAGAGCTGAGTGTTGTAGCATTCAAGCTTGGGGACACCAGCGTAGGTGGTGGGCATGATGTATTCGTCAAAACCAAAGTCGGATTCCATTTTTTAGAAATTAGCAATAGTAATTTGTTTTGTTATTTGGTTTGGGTGATAAGAGGGATGGTAGGTAGGTAGGTAGGTAGGTAGGTAAGTTGTAAGAAAGGGTTGGTTCTACTTGCAAAGGAAGGATGTAGGTTGAAGAGGGAGAGAGTATGAAAGGTGGAGGTTGAGGGAGGAGGGAAGGATATTTGGTTGTAGGGAATGTGTGGGGTTTGTGAAGGAAAGTAGGGTGGAAGACCTTTGCAAGGAAAGGAAAACGCTGGTTTTGTGTGAAAGAGAAAGAGAAAGAGAAGGAAAGAATAGGAAATTTGGGAGGGATAAAAAAGAAATAAAAATAGAGAAGGGGGGACGATAGCAAAAATAAAAGGTCATCTTTATTACTGTTGTACAAGCCAAGTGTGCAATGAACCCACGCCCTTTTTTCCATTTGCTTAAAAAAAATCAGTATCAAATTTTCGATATTTCCATGGTTTATGATATTTCTACAAAGGAAGATGTCTCTACTACATAATATTTATATCTATATATCTCTTTGTGAGTATATCAGTTTGTATGTATATGTAAGAGTGCAAAAATATTGATAGATATAGAGATGTATAAGATAGCTAGATAGCTAGATAGCTAGATAGATATATAGATATATAGATATCTATATGTAGAGAGAGAGAGAGAGAGAGAGAGAGAGAGAAAGATAGGTAGTTAGGTAGGTATGTAGAAACAAGGTATCGACTAATAATGTTGGCGGATTTATAAAAAAAAATTGCCACCAAGAGGTCCGGTTGAAAAAAAAAGGGTACCCAGTTTTTGAAGATTCAAGTTCCCACAGATTGCATTGTATTTATAAAAGATTAAAGTCTAGAGTGGGATACGTCAAGTATTTGGCTGTGCGCAATCTTTAGCTTGCTCGCACAATCGAACTGCCAGAATTCGTGTGCGTATTAAAGCATCTTCAGGTCTCTTTTCTTGACTGAATATCGCAAATGTTATAAAGTGGTTGCTATTTTTAAAGTTTGCACTGAGTAGGACCGAACTTTCTCTATTGTTTACCTAGTTTCTGAAATGTAAATATATTTTCTTTTCACAGGGGTAAAAGTATTGCCACTGTAATATCTGTAAATAATTACAAAGTACAATCGATTTTGGCACAATGTATCGTAGCTTTCTATTCAACGGCTTTGTATATAATCAACTCTTAGACTAGGTCAATTGGAGGGTCAATTACACAACCAAACACGGAAGTTCTGTGTATAGATCGATTTAAGGATTGCTGGAATTGGTTAATTGGGGGTTTTTCATTGCAATCAGACTGGGTTGCCTAGTTCTATAGAAATACTCAGAGCTGGTACTACAGTCTTGTGTAAGAAATACCGTTGATTACTCAAGTACAATAAAACCTATCGAAAATGAACAATTAAACCTAGTAAGTAACTAGGCTCACACAATAGAACGACTAGAACCATAATATTAGATCTTGCTTTTAAAGATCTTGGGCCTCTTTAATTGTCAAGCTATTTTTAGAGTCCAAACTTCTTGAGATGAACAGACCACCTCTATCTTACCAACTACTTAAAAAGAACCTCCGCTTCTATGTCTGCCAATGTATACATATATACACACATACATGTATGTATATGTATATTAAAGAAATAGTGGATGAAAGAGTGAGAGAGGGAGTGAGTGAGTGAGAGGAAAGGAGGGAGGGAAGGAGGGAGAAACTCCCAAACAAATTGCTTTTTCCGCGACTACAATTTATCTTTTTTGGCCTTAATATACATATACATACACTTATCCTTAAACATATTAAATACGATTAATACCAAAGGTATTTACACCTAATATATGTAGCAAGATCCTTTATGTATGTATCCTTTGTACCATTCGAAGGCTTATACGCAATATTCAGCAGTACTAAAAACGCTAATAATGCTAATAGTGGTTTCAGCTGTCCATTGGTACGCACAGACGGTTTTTGGTCAACCGAAGTTGTGAATAATTGCTTTGCTAACAAACGGATTCATTGGACGGCTTCAATGGTTGTACTGGTCGTACATGGTGTACAAGGTAAGCGCCTATCAAAATATATATTTTTATTACTGAATCCAAACCTTTTTTTGATATTTTAATGTCGCACTGCTGTGAAAGAATACCACTTGCTATCCCAGCCACAGAAGAAGAAGAAGAAGAATAATAAATATGAAGAAAGAAAGAGAGAAAGGGAACAAATCGAGAGAGAAAAATAGAATCCGTAGATAATTAAATACAAAAGTATTTTGCCTCTAGCATTGCTTTGCTGGCTAAAGTATCTCTCGGTTGTTAATCCCAAAGGCATGCTTTATTACTATGTCAGTCCCCATGCTCTGTACAACGGTTTAAATGATTGGACTTATCTTGTGTACAGGAAATAGTTTTAAGCAAAATATCAATAAGATATTTTAAAGGGAAACCTTACGGACAGCCTGGCAGGACAGCCTGAACGTATGCAACGTCAGTCATAATTAATATTTTATGATTACATATTTTTTTTTTGGGTTGTGGCCAGACTTTGCAGCAATCTTACGGGAACGACGTTTCCTGATGGGGCACAACCTTTCTCTCTAATCGGACTAACACTGTAGTAAATGGCAGACATTATAACTCCGTGACCGTATAATTCCTACGGTCACGGAGTTATATTGTCTGCCAATAGAACCTTGGCCTTTAGTAAATTAAAAGTATTTACAGCGAATACTATTTATGGGAGTTAAAATTACTTTTTATCTAATCCAATAAAATCGTTTAAAGTAGCAAAATTATACCATTTTTAGGTACATATTTCTCTTTTTATAACAAATTTGGATAGTACAATTCGTTGGATTTCAGATCATTTTTGCATATAATCCAATCAAATATTCTAAATATGGCAAATCTATACCTTTTTTTAGATATCTCTATTCTTATAATTGGTTCAACAAATACACGGTTTTATATTGGAATTTTATAGTTTTTATTGATCAAAATAATACAAGTTGAATATAAAGAAGTATGGAAAGAAGTATTACTATTTTTTATGATATTTAGTAACAACTTAAGCTATACATTCATTAAATAATATACATATATCTATTTTTATGTGATACTTTTTACATTTTTTTTATCTAAAAAAAGGCTATTATCTAAGTACTATGGTATTGATGAAGGCATGTATATTGCTTAATTAATTTTTTTATCAAAGAGTATAAACCTGCTTTGTGTTAACATTGTCATGTCTCATTCCTACTTTTGAAAAACAAGAAGACAGATTCCTTGCAATTCTCTAAATCTACCGAGATTTCTAATGAGCATGCGAGCAATCTTGACAACCAAATTGTACTTGATGCATATATTTTTCTGTTAATTCTTCTCAGATTGCTTTCTTTTGTCAACTTTGCTGATTCGCATTTTATTAATACTAGCCTTCATAGTTATTAAGTGTGTTCCTTTTAGAGACTTAATAATTTTAGACCTTGTGAAAAAAAATAGAAACAAGTCCTTTTAGATGTACCAATCTAAATTGTTTAGAGAACATGGACGGGTCAGAGGTTATGCATCGTTTGTGAAATCGGGATCTTGCTGCTGTCCTGAACTTCCGGCATATATTTAACAATCTGAGATATGATGGGATTATACCTGTAAGGTTCACTCGTGTCATTCGGATTGGACGTATCAGAAGACAAGCAGAAGAAGATCTCCAGGAGGGTCGTCGTTTGAGACAAAGACTGACTAGAATTCAAAGAAGATGAAAAAATTCCGTCCTGGTTACCGCTTAGGACCCACCCAAGCTACCGCTGGTAAGCCATTAGATTTGAATAACTTGGTATTTAGTTTTGTAACGGGTTGAAAAAGCTAAGAAAAAGATGTTTTGCTTTGACTGCAAAAAACATGGTGGGGTAAAAAAAAAAGTAGAATATAAAAGAGAGCGAGAGAGAAATTGGTGCTTAATTAAAACTCAAGTACAAGTCATTTTAAACCTCGGAAGACTTGCAACAATTCACTAAGATCGCCTATTTTTTTTCTATAGGGTAAGCAATTCTGATTACATGTGCGGGACCTGGTGTCTTTCTCTAATTCTTCAGGGTAAAATGACGTGTCCAGAAAAAACTCGATAGAGGGTTTCATTATCTCTGTATAGAAATTCAGATTAGGATTCGTAAAGCGGGTGTTTAAATTGTGAAATTATTGGCTTGGAAGAATTTGAATAGATTTAAAATGTGTAGATTTAATCTGAAGAAAAAAGCTTTCGGATTGAAATGGAGGATTGCTCATTTTGACGTCTTGAAAGACTTAAAGCAAAAGTTTATCAATTTATTTGTCTCTCTTACATATTTCTATTTTATATACAAACTTTTGTAAGCAAAATGCCTAATATAAGTGATAGAAATTAACTTAATTTTTTATAATAAAATAGCAGGTACAAAAATAAGACGATTAATTAAAAAGGGGGACTCAATAATTTCTATTTTATGTTTACTATCATTGGCTACAGGTTTAAAATCCGCCTTCCGAATCCTAATCTGAACTTATCCGAAGATATAATGAAACCCCCTAATATGTACACGTCGCATTTTTTGTTTAAAGGCTCAGAAGATGCTTTCTCCGAGGTACTCGTGAAGCCTTTCGTCAATATCGTAGCCAGGAACTTGGAACCTGAAGATTGTAAAGCTGGATTTTTTAAAGGTCAGCCCATTCTGGAGAGCATGACAAGTCAATTAAGACTTCAAAAAGTATTTGTTGACCTGAAAAGTCAATATAAAAATGATGGGTTAGTGAAGCTCTTTGGCTTGAAAGAAATTGGGGTCTTTCTGGTAGAAGTTTCTGACTGCTATTAAAGCAAGGTCATGTAGAGGCTGTGCTTTGACAATCACAAGGGGATGTTTGGTGGAGTAGCAATGTTGAAGTCAATCGTTGATCATTATTCCTGCGCTTCCATTGAAAGCTTTGAAAATGTGAAGGTCTTCTTCTTGAATGCAGTTGGTGTGTATTATGCATGTGTTTAGGTATGACAAAGATAAATTTCTTGTACATCGATAGGCAAACAGTTGCACCTCTGGAGCCTTTCGTTCAAGATAAATAGGATATTTGATATGTGGATAGAAGGCTCTCTTCTTCTCATACCAGATTTCTCTGAAAACGATGACTTTGTTCCTGACTTGGCGCAGTTCTGTTGGAACATGAAGGCAAAACGCTTTATCATAGTAAGCCTGTTTACGTGACATTGCTTATAGTATATTTAGGGTATTATGGGGAATTCTATTGACTAAATTGTGGCCTTAAAAGAAGACCACATGAAGAAAAAGGCCGAGTACCGATACTCTTCGAGTATGCCTGTTGTTCTGACTGATGTGATAAACCCCACATTATATAAATTAACATAAGAAGAATATTGGCCTAACACGAACAATTTAAGGTCCATATATTCTCCACCACACCCCTAGTTTGTTCTATTTTTATGTTTTTTGAACACCTCCTTTCAATCCTCTCCATTGTATAATACTTGACATGCAAATGCTTATTATCATTTTCCAGCTTTGTGTGATTTAAGTATATTATACTAGCCGTTCTATCTCGCTACGCTTGGTTGCGGCGCCGCCCTGCGGGCTCTTTTAACCCAGATGCTTAGTATGATGGCTCAATTGTGTTGTTTTTGCATCTTCGATTCGCTACAGTAGAAACCAAAAGTAGCCTAATGCGACTATATGTCTGTTATGACACTTCGTCATGGTAGAGCTTCAATGAGCCCAATCAAACGTGTTTGAGAGGAATCTCATAAACTATATCATTTTATATAGAATAAAGAATGCTGTGTTATAGAATTTAACAAATGCAACATGATAAATAAGACAGCATTGGATGCATTATGGCAATACATAAAAATTAATTTTACCAGTTTTTGTACAGGTTATGCAAGCAAATTCTTTATTTTAGCTTAATAGACAGCAGTTTTAAAAGACTTTTCTAGGCGATTCCTACCGCTTTTTCCGCACTCAAACCTACCCATGTCTGTTGGAAAAGCAAAAAGTCAAATATATTCATTTTTTTGCACACTCTTGACTCAGAAACAGGATTATTTCCCATCATAAGGTATTTGAACAATAATCTACTGCTTTTCTGCATCGAATTGTATCAATTGTTTATGAATGAAGAAAATCTGTCGTAAAAGAATTGAAGATGCATGTAACAATGTAAGCCTCAGTAATCTTCATGGATTCTGTAGATACTCTAAGGCCCAAATTATTAACTGCTATAACAAAACGAGCTTCTAATTAACTGCTCACTTCAATAAACATTTGCTTATATATGACAAGCTTACAATTAAGCCGACAAATCGAATTTTTTTAAAAAGACAAAGTGAAATCTCGGAAACGACAATCATATGCCAACAAATGGGCAATCATTTTCTTGGTAGCGCCATTTATTTTTTAAGAACGGACAAAATTTACCAGCCGCACTGTAAATCAACTGATCACATAATTACATTTCTATCTGTGCAGAAATAAAATACAGTTTCACTTTGTATATTCAATTTAATTTTATACTTTATATATAAAAAGCCAAAATCTCTTTCATCATGTCTCAATTCACAATCCCATTCGAGATATTTGAAGTCATTGCAGGATTCCTTGATCTCAAAGATAAAATTCAATGTGCATTAGTCTGCAAGCAATGGCTACCACAATTTACAGAATTCATTTGGAAGGAAATAAAGATATCTAGTCAGAGAAAGCTGGCAACCATTTGCGATTTATCAAACCCCAAAAACAAAGTATATATTACAAACGGTCACCATGTTCACATACTAGAGCTACAAGTCTGTGTTGATGCAACGGATATTCAGCTCTATGCTTTGCAAAAATGCTTCCCGAACATACGTCGTCTGGTCCTTGAATATGAAGCATTTATTGGAGAAGATTTTGGAAAATATACGAATTGGAGTTTATGGAGGTCTTTAACAGAGATGAGTTTGAACCTGGATACCGTCGATATTTTTATTGCAGACCTGGAGTTCCAAAAGATACTTGCTTGTGTCCCTCATCTTACATGGCTAAAAATTGTACAGAATAAAGCCGGGGATGTCAAGAGTGTTAATCCAGAATGTCTTGAAATACTGCACAAGTATTTACAAAAGCTGAAATATCTTAGTCTCGACCTAGAATTTGAGGATATTGCAGACGCAAGCCTTGGCTTTAATCCAAAGCTGACTCCTATCACAAGCTTACAGACACTAATAACCCCAATATGCGCCATGGAATATCGGTGGATGTATTATTTTGCTACAAAGTATCCAAATTTACGCACTATAAAAACAAATTCTAGTGGCCCAACCCGTCAGTTTCGTATGAGCCCCGTACATTTGCCAGCTATTTCAACATCGCAGGATCTATTTAAGCAACTGACAAGCCTTGATATAAGCATTTCAAACGGCTCAATCTTTTATCTCGCATATTGGACCCGCGTGTTTTCTCTTGGCATACCATTAAAGCATATAGAGCTTAATGTCACTGAAGTGGGCACAAACGATCCGCCTTTTGCAGAGAATATTATAAAGCAATGCATAAATTCGTACGGAAAACTCCTTGAGTCGCTTATAGTCAATGTTTACGGACTACACTCTAAATATTGGGATGTTTTAGCAGTATTAGATTCATATCCACATCTGGTGTCTTTAACTCTTCGCACAAGGCACACAATAATACCTCTTGATACTGTTTTGGATTGCTATAGTGGATTGAAGAGACTACTTATCGATTCGTATCAACTTACCACTGACGAAAGTTTAGCAGAAATCGTAAAACCGCACGGACTCCGTATTCTAGGAATCAAAAACTCGCATTTTTACTATAATATTCTCTGTTATATCTCCGGACGCTGCAAAAATATTAACTACATGAGCATGAGTTTTGTACATATAACTGGACCCGTTTCTCCAAAGACAGGAAATCTTTATATCGATATGTCACACACACACCTTAAAGCGTTTGTTCACTCAAACGTTCGATACAATGTATCAGACGCTGTCGAGAGTGTAGAGAACAGCATTAACTTTATACACCTAAATGCAAGTAGTACATATCCAAACCGCAGAGAAAATACAAAAACTACCCCAGTTCTAAAGTCACTACCGTGGTACAAAAAAATCGCTCTTTACCCTCGCTACAATAATCCGTTTACTTCAAAAAGTCATTCGAAGGTTGAATCTGATGCTATTTGGTTTTATTCATCGTATCTAAGTAATTGGAACGGTGTAATGGGAGATTTCACGTGGCAGCTTGAACAAATGGAGATTGAAACAGCTCTACAATACTTTGAAAACTTTTCTCTAAGGAAGATACCTGTAAATCGCGGATTTGGGAATTCAGAAAATATCAATGACTTGAGAGAAAGATGGAAGATAGACCTTTACCGTGGATATGTTACATTGAAGCTTGGATCTGTTATTCATTATTCATTTCCTTTTGAATTAGGCGCCATTGATTATAATTGGGATGAGGAATACAATGCGTTGATATAATCATTTACACTATCTTTTTATTTTACGTTATTTATCAACTACAAGCTACTTCTTTCTTTTGTGCATACGTAAATAAATATTTGCTTACGTGTGCAAATGATATTAACACAGGATTAATCTTACTTTTACATAAAATATATTTACTTGTATTAAATTGGATTGAATTTGTATTGAAATTCGTGCTTTATTATATGAAAAATAGTGTTACCAAGAGAGAGAGAAATTCTTCTATCAGCTACTTACAGCAACTTCAAATACAACAGTATCGCTTGTCTACTGCAATATATATATCAAGACAATCTTATATTAGTCATATGACAGATATTTTAAATACTTTGATATTTCTTTGATTGTCTTTATAATGTTTCTCTAATTTCTATAAATATACTGCTGTCAGAAGAAGAAAAGAAATGAAAGTATAATATTTCACTAACTGCAATTATGTATAATATATAGTATTTCAGGTACAAAACAATAGAAAATAATAAATTTGATAATAGAGACGTATAGAAATACTTTGAGATCGTATATAAGCTGTCATTTATCTATAAATAAAAAGTGTCCCTTTTTATAAGAAAACACAATCTGCTCTTGTCATTATGTCTTAGTTTCTTAAGGCTTTCTTTCTTTACTATATTTGGTTATGTGGTATTTCAGGTACGAAACAATAGAAAAATAAAATATTTGATAATAGAGACGTATATAAATACTTTGAGACTGTATATAAGTTGTCTTTATTCATAAATAAAAAGTGTCCCTTTTTATAAGAAAACACAATCTGCTCTTGTCATTACGTCTTAGTTTCTTAAGGCTTTCTTCCTTTACTATATTTGGTTATTAGAGTATTTACTGCTTAACTAGTGTCGGTGTTACAATTATGACATCAAGTCATAAATTGTACTTCCTTAGCTCTTAGCTATTCTTTTCTCTTTTATACTAGAGCTTTAGGACTTCCTACTAAATTAGCTCCGTATCTATCTGACACAGTTTACCTGGCAGTAGGATATAATTATCTTAACAATCTATAAGATATTATCTACAGTACTAGCTGTAATAATTATTGGTGCGATCACTTAATCATCTATATATATTTTATATGCTGACAAGATGATAGCTACTAAGCTATCCCAATATGAATATGTTTTTGTATGTGATAAACCCAACATCCGAGTGTCTGGATCACCACACCAGTCAAACAGATCTGTCTTTATGATATTCTCTAATACACAGATCATCATACACATAATTGATTATTTATTATTATCACCATGACATAGAATATACAAATACATACTCATTATATATATGGCATCATCATATTTCATCTATATATTTCTTTTATTATATAAATACTTAATTGAGAGACTACAACTACAACTATTTAATATTATGAAACATCACCCAAGTATCTGGGTCAGAATACTAAAATATTACTAATAGTATAAATGCTCTTCTTTACCAAAACTCTCGGACTGATCTGACTGGAGAAGTATCATATCAATTGGTCTTTCCAGATCTTTCCAGAAGAACAATACTTCTGGAAGATGACTTATCATGATAAAGATTACTTAAGCACACACTGAATTACAAATTAGAAAAACATATAAATATCAGTAGATAGTTTTGTGTAGAGAAACAATTGAATTTTATCATTCTTGACTTTCTTTGAAATAAACAACCTACACAAGTTCTCACAAGCCATTTTGTCCCTATTTTTATTTTGTTTTATTTCTTCTCACAACATATATAAAATAAAACAAGTGCAGATGAGAGTACAGCAAGACTTTATTTTATTAGAAGAAGTAAAAGAATCAGAAAGAATATGATGTTCTATTGCTATTTGTATTGTGCATTTATATAGACATTGTATTTAGCTTGGTGATAATATGATGATATCATATAATGTCTGTTTCTTTATCATTATCTTCTGTGGTGATCCAGACACTCGGATGTTGAATTTATCCCATATAAAAACACATTCATATTGAGATAGCATAGTAGCTATCAGCTTGTCAGTATAAAATATATATAGATTGTTGTGGGGAGAAAATAAAGCAAAATATAATATAGACGAAAGAATTCGTGAGAACTTGTGTAGGTTGTTTATTTCAAAAGAAAAGTAAAGAATGATAAAATTCGATTTTCTTTCTACACGGAAATATCTACTGATATTTATATGTTTTTCTAATTTGTAATTCAGTGTGTGCTTAAGTAATCTTTATCACGATGAGTCATCTTCCAGGAGTATTGTTCTTCTGGAAAGATCTGGAAAGACCAATTGATATGATACTTCTCCAGTCAGATCAGTCCAAGAGTTTTGGTAAAGAAGAGCATTTATGCTATTGGTAATATTTTAGTATTCTGACCCAGATACTCGGGTAATGTTTCATAATATTAGATAGTTGTAGTTGTAGTCTCTCAATTAAGTATTTGTATAATAAAAGAAATATGTAGATGAAATATAATGATGCCATATATATAATGTGTATGTATTTGTATATTCTATGTCATGGTGATAATAATAAATAATCAATTATGTGTATGATGATTTGTGTATTAGATAATATCATAAAGGGAGATCCGTTTGACTGAAATAGCTGAGGATATTATTTTATCCTTCAGTCTTACTCTCAGATTCAGCAGTAATCAATACTCATTCACAACATAGATGATTAAGTAATCGCACCAATAATTATTACAGCTAGTACTGTAGATAATATCTTAAAGATTGTTAAGATAATTATATCCTACTGCTGGGTAAACTGTGTCAGAGCAATATGAAGCTAACTTAGTAGGAAGTCCTAAAGCTGTTATATTTTTAGAAAAGAAAGAAAAACAAAGTGCAGACAAGAAGTATGGTGAGACTTTGTTTATTGATGAAAAAAGAGATGATCTTCTATTGCTATTTGCTATGTGAGTTTATATAGACATTGCATGTATATTTAGGATAATGATATAAGTATATCATGTGATGTCTGTTTTCTTATATCATAGATAATATATTGTTAAGTTATTACCCACGCTCTTGTTTGAGTGATTAGTGATATTGACTAAGATGTGTGACCTTGTTATTGGTATATTCTTTATTTAATGATAGTGTGAGAAATAATATATAATTGATACTGGTCACTTATTCAATATGTTTTTGTCTTATTATCTATGTGCTCTATTTGAATCTACAATTATGTTGGATACAACAAAAGCTCTAGTGTAAAAGAGAAAAGAATAGCTAAGAGCTAAAGGAGTATGATTTATGATTTGATGTCATAATTGTAATACTTATACTAGTTAAGTAATAAATATATTCTAATAACCAAATATAGTAAAGAAAGAAAGTCTTAAGAAACTAAGATATAATGATAAGAGCAGATTATATTTTTTTATAAAAAGGAACACTTTTTATTTATAGATAAAGGATAACTTATATATGGTCTCAAAGTACTTGTTGTGGGGAGAAAATAAAGTAAAATATAATATAGACAAAAGAATTCATGAGAACTTGTGTAGGTTGTTTATTTCAAAGAAAGTCAAGAATAATAAAATTCAATTGTTTCTCTATACAAAACTATCTACTGATATTTATATGTTTTTCTAATTTGTAATTCAGTGTGTGCTTAAGTAATCTTTATCATGATAAGTCATCTTCCAGAAGTATTGTTCTTCTGGAAAGATTTGGAAAGACCAATTGATATGATACTTCTCCAGTCAGATCAGTCCAAGAGTTTTGGTAAAGAAGAGCATTTATACTATTAGTAATATTTTAGTATTCTGACCTAGATACTTGGGTGATGTTTCATAATATTAAATAGTTGTAGTTGTAGTCTCTCAATTAAGTATTTATATAATAAAAGAAATATATAGATGAAATATGATGATGTCATATATATAATGAGTATGTATTTGTATATTCTATGTCATGGTGATAATAATAAATAATCAATTATGTGTATGATGATCTGTGTATTAGAGAATATTATAAAGACAGATCCATTTGACTGGAATAGCTGAGAATATTATTTTATCCTTCAGTCTTACTCTCAGATTCAGCAGTAATCAATACTCATTCACAACAGTATTTCTATATGTCTCTATTATCAAATTTATTATTTTCTATTGTTTGTATCTAAAATATTATAGTAGATATATAGAGACAACTCTTGACTATATTATATTTATGTTTGAAGGTAAAGAAACAAGCTTAATTCTTAATAAAAATTTGGTGATGAAATGGATTAAAAAACTAGAAAACTACTAATTTTTCACGATAACAGATTCTCTATTAGCTATTTATTATTGTAATTTTTTTATTAATATCATAATAATGGCTGATATTTTTTATTTTTTTTCATTAAACTGATACTAATTTTTTTTAGAAAATATACTGAGGATACTGAAGAACACTTTTATTAAAAAGAAGTTACTGGAATTATATTTTCAATAATATTATTAGACTAGACGACAGGACATTTTATTGTCCTTTTTTTTATTTTGTTTGTCAACGAATGTATATGGAGATTTGGCCGAGTGGTCTAAGGCGATACGTTCAGGTCGTATTCACGAAAGTGGCGCGAGTTCGAATCTCGCAGTCTTCAGTTTTGCTTTTTACTGTTCTTGAATTCTTGTCAGCCAATCAAAATTCTTTGTCGGACATTATTTTGATGAATCCGAGAAATCGGGATAATTGACCGCAGCAGTTCTGTGTGTCAAAGATACCTCATAGATAACGAACCGCAGTAATGTCTTGTAAATATTAACCACAGTAACATCTTCTGAGCATCAACCGCAGTAAAAGGACTTCTCTTGTAATTAAATAGAGTATAATAGTTTACTGCGGATAATGCGCTGTATTAGTTTAGAAAACTATTAAAGACAATTCAATTCCTATCAATAAAAAGTATCTTTTATCCTCTCTTTGATTTTATGTATACTCCTTGATCCCCAGTGGGTTTGACCTTTTGACTTTGTTATAGTAAAAGGAAGACCAACCCAGATCGGGAACGACAGGCTATCTTCCAATTCACTTGTCGTTTTCAATCTGGATTGTTCTTCCAATGCTATAACACAGCCAAAATTGGTCAAACCCACTGGGAATCGTAAACGAAGATAAAAGAATAAAAAGAGGATAGAAAGATAGATAACTTTTATTAGAGGAGGTGTTATCTAATGGAAAAAGTGTGACTTCTAAAAAATAAAGATTAGACAAACCCAGTAAAAAACAAAGCACTCCGGAAGCAGTTGTGGAAACTTATCAATTGATGAGAACATCATACTGTGTCAAATATAAGAAAACTAAATCCTCATAAATTTCAATCTTTTTTTTTAAATAAATTCGACCTTTAAAGATCGAATAAATTAATTACATATACAATAGACACTCCTGGCTACCCTATACCTTAATTTGAGAGTGAGAGAATAAGCTTGATTTTGAGGAAATATTTTATGGAAAATGTTAGTGGAAAATTATGAAATTCGTAATTTTCCACATACATTTTCCACTAAATCGCGTCAACCGAGAAAAACGTATAACAATTATTGGAAATTAAATAGCCGTTTAAATTATAAATGGATAAAATATTCAATTTTCCACTAGATAACACCTCCTCTATTGAATGAAATAATGTCCTCTTTTATATCTTTTCTAAACCTACCCAGCCATTATAAATGTCTGTTTCGGTTTCTATTCTAATTTTGTTAAGCTATGTGTTTTCTAATTCTTTTTTGAGTAAAAGGGAATCACTTTGGTCATCGTTCTTAAAAGAGAGCTCTGTGTAATTGTCATCCTGATTTACTGACAAGAACTCGGGCGCGACATTATTTTGAAGAATCTATAAAATCTTAGTATGGTTAACTTGTCGTTCCCGATATGGGTTGGTCTTCCTTTTGCTATAAAAAAGTCAAAAGATCAAGCTCACTGTGGATCAAGGAGTATAAGAGACTTAAATATAAGCACACACCAAATATTTAGCTATATCAATTTTAAAGGAGGCTTAAAAGATGTTCTATATCATTAGACACTAGCTCAACAGTGAGTGATTTACACCTCCGCCCCCTAAATGTTTTGGTACCTCAAATATATTTAGACGATCGAGATTTTGCATTATAAAGTCAAGGGGGAATCATATGTATTGCGTAACATTTAATATATTACGCCATACAATATAGAAGCAAGTCAGATCCAATTGATCGGCCAGTACTGATTAACACTGAAGCCAGAATAGAGGTTCAAATATATATATAGAATTTGACCCTTAGTGACTCTCTTGTAAAACACACACACATATATATATAAGAACTTATCCATGTGTAAAGGATATGTATCATTCGATAATCCAAATAAAAGGACAATCTGTAAAGTATAAAAAATGCTCGCTATTGACAAGTATACGGCTAATATAAGGCGATCTGCTTTCACATACTGTTGGTTATTACTCCTGTCAAGATAAAGAAAAATAACAGAAGAACTTTATCACCCCCCCCCCCCCCCCCCCCCCTTTCTTTACATACACCCGATTACCACAAAGCATCATGTCAATACATAATTATAATAGTCAATCGATTTTCGATCATATCCATTAAAGCTAATACTTACTCAAATTATATACTTTTGAGAGAGCAGTTAAAATGTATTTTATAATACTCAGTACCTTTACTTATGCATTCTATTTACGTGTGGTTAGCTACTATCTTCAATATAAAGAATTAAATCTTCTGTTCCACAGCTTTATTCAAAGTACCGATCGAAATATATATATAGACAAACTATATCTTCATGGAGCAGAAATATACGTGTAACAAAATGGTATTTTCAGTCCGTACCGGGATACTGAAAAAGGGAGGGTTTGATAAGACTACCCCTTTAATTACTTTTCAGATCAAAACTGTGGCCCTCTGCATACTTATGACATACATATAAAGAAAGGCCAGTGTTGTTGAACGCTTTAAGCAGAACGAGTGTTTTTTTTATAAAATAGAAAGTCAAGACAGATACTGAACGGATCATCGAAGCCAGCCCAATTTTATAATTATACTATAACAGTAGCTTTATACTTGGTATTATCAAAATGGTTCTGCCCCGATTAATATAGCTCTAGATTGGGAATATATAATTCAGAGTATCAAAACCTCTATAAAACATTTTATATATGAGTTGCGGCTCGATAAAGGTAGCCAAAGTTAAAAAGGAAAGAAAAAGACGTGAATAAACTTCCAAGTAGCTACATTAGTTAGTCAAACTCATTCAATTTTGAATTCTTAATCGACTACCAGACTTTTATAAATTTACCCTCCATTATACTTGGCTATATTTAAATAGTTATATAACACTATTTAATTGATTAAAACGAACTACTTACACGTAATATACTATGATATTTATGCTATCACAGTCTCATTATAATAAACTGTAATAATATAGGCTCTACAAAGCTCCCAGCTCTTAATTAGACGTCTAATGTTGTCTTGGGTATACACACATGTAAAACGTATATATAAATGTAAATACAATTGAAAAGAAAATAGAAAACAAGAAATATTTATTTTGTGCTTTATTCAATAAGTCTGGTTCTCGTATGAATACCCCTCGAACCAAAAAAGCAATAGAGAATAGATAAAATAAACCGGCATGATATCTAAAGTTAAACACGTAAGATATAATTAATTAGATGTACATTGAAATGAAATAAACGCAAAGAGTATATACTTACAAGTGCTCTTAAGGGCTGAAACCACAATAGCAGGCACCATCCTGGCAAATGGGAGCAACGGCTTTGCCACCAGCAGAAGCTTGGCATCTATCATTGCAAGAGCTGTCGGGGCAAGCGTAGTTACAGTCACGCTTGGAGAGACCAAAAGGAGTGGCAGAGGTGGCAGAGGCAAAGGCCAAGACGGCGAAGAGGGAGGCAAGGATGGTCTTTTGGAAAAGCATGTTTGAGAAGAAGAAGATGAGATAGAGATTAAAAAAAATTAAGAAAATAGGCTGTTTATATAGTCGACTAAAGTGCTGTCTTATACAGGGAAATTGCAAGAAGACTATGATCCAAAAATAATAATAATTTCAAATCTTGGATTACAGTGGTACTAAGATTAAAATATTTAGCTTTAAATAGACGAGATCCAAGGAGAGTAACAAACTTTAAAGAGGTTAGGACCCAAAAAAAATACATCGAATTTTATTATAAACCTTGGCCAACTAAATATAAAACAAAGTTGAAATATCATATTATAATTCATCCGAGAACACTAGAGAGGCCTCAATTAAAGTTTTACTTCAACCGGATATATTGATAAATCTTAATAATATAAGAGTATGTCTGCCTGCAATTGATATTGGTGTACTGCTATTTATTTATGATAATTACTACTAAAGCTCAAGATAATATAAGCACAAGGCCTTAATATACTACTATGAGCAATTAGGGAGCTTTTATATACAGAAGGAAGTTATTATTTAACATTACTTTAAACTTGTATGATTCTTATATCAGAGGTAGAAATGTTAGGCACTAACATATATCTTATTAGTCAATTAAGTTTTATAGGCTCGTAGTTACATGATAACAATAAACGTCGAGAAAGAAGATCATCGCAGAATTATAAGCTTTTAGTTTAGGTCTCTTCACACAATTAAGATATACACAACATTGGCTTATTTTATTGACGTATGAAGTGCTACGTATACTTAAAGCATTCACACATTAATGAAATGGTAATGGGTATTGTGTCTGTTATTCTCATAAATAAGCTCTAAAGTTTACTATATATCACTTGTAAGATTCATCCACATATCGGCGCTAAGAATTTTAATCTGGTATTACTAGCTTAACTACGTGTGCATATTACCGTAAAGAATATATTGGACCACCTATATAACTTTATTAGTAAATCTGATATAAAAGTTTTTATCTGATAAGTCAATATACATGTATTTGTGATAACACTCACTAAAACTTAGGGCATATATATAATTATAAATGAGAATAAAAATATATAGGTAAAAGAAAATGATGTTATACATTATATAAAAAGCATAGAAAAACCTAAAGGCATGTATTTACAACTATGCTTTATATTCGTTTCTTATTCATACTTTAAGCAAAATTGGTAAAGAAATTGCTTGAATTGAAACGGTAAATGTTCTTAAAGTGAATACTAATATATCCAAAATTCTCTTTATAAACCACCCTAATAACGTCTTTAAAAGAAAGATCATATATAACTTTAACAATGTAAAACCAATGTGAGCAGACATGGGATTTGGTTGAGCTTTTCACAAGCAAATTAAAAGTACTATTTTATGGAAGAAAACAAGGAAAAAGAGAGAAATGCAATATGAGGAGTGCGAGCGCTTTTTTTTTACAGAGCATATACTTATCATAGCTTGAATGTTTCTTTAGGTTTAAGCAGAAACGAGTAGACAATTGTTTTTCAAAAATAAAAGAAATCAAGTAAAGTCTGCAGCCAGTACCGAATTAAAATTATAAATATTTATCTATGATGCTCATGAGCCAAGCCAAAGGATAAACACCAATTAAAGAAGAAACATGCAACCTGATAGAAACCAGTATTACAAATATACAGTCCATATATTATTGCTGAAAAATTACAAATACTGATATACATCATTTTATTTAGTAACGATCCATTTGTTTTTCTAAAATTGAGGAAGGTTAGAGTGTGAGTATAGTTTGCTTATTATTTTGTTGTAGCATCCTAGACTAAGTATTGATAGTCTAGTTCACATTAGGAATATCAGAAAAATTTACTCATTTTTTATCAAAGCATAAATGGTAACCACATTTTTAACAAAGTAAACAATAGCTCTTCAAAGCCTCCATGCGCTCATTTTTTGGAAGGCGCATTAGTAGAGTCAATATTCCTTGTACCGAGTTAAATATATAATAAATATACATGAATTGAATATAGTACTAAGGTATTTTTTATGAGAAATACTTCTAAAAGCTATACACACACAGTAGCAATATGAGCAGAAGAAGTAGATTTATTTAATATTTTATTGAATAAAACTGAGCACAATATGAAATATCGACTTGTGTGTCAATAAAATATTGGCAAAAAATAAACCGTTTATATGCAAGAGACTAAAGAAAATAGAGTCAGACATACATCATCCAATATTATATATATATATATTTCTATAGGTAAAAAGGTATTTAACTTACTTTTAGATCTCTTAAGGACTGAAGCCACAGTAGCAGGCACCATCTTGGCAAATGGGGGCAACGGCTTTGCCACCAGCAGCAGCCTGGCACTTGTCATTGCAAGAGTTGTCGGGGCAAGAGTAATCACAAGCACGCTTGGAGAGGCCAAAGGGAGTGGCAGAGGTGGCAGAGGCAAAGGCCAAGACGGCGAAGAGGGAGGCAAGGATGGTCTTTTGGAAAAGCATGTTGATGAAGATGAAGATGAAATTAGTTTCGAAAATTAGAAAATAATGACTGGTACTTATATACTCTCATTTATTTTAAGGAGCCATGACTCTACGTACATCTATGTACCTAATACAAGTGGTCAGCGAATACACTTGCCACCGAATCAACGAGTGATTTTGAGCTCGATGGCTTCAATTATCTCCCAGTTGCTTAGCTGTTTAGTCGACTTTAAGATTTCTAAGGGATATTTAACACTTACATCAAAGAGAGTGTATTGAAGCACATAAGGGATAAAATAATGAATCTAAGAAGGTCTATATGTACCTCTATGTTTAAACAGCAACTACGGCACTAATGCAAAGACATCTTATGCGTAGTTTCAAAAGGGTTTGAGCTAGTGGTACACCCTTTCAATTATATAGCATTGCTCTATCTGTGAGGTAGAGCATGAATAAACTACAATCTTATTTTCTTACAATAAATAAAAGGTGTAAATAATCCATAATATGCACTTAACCCTTGATGGTGTCTAAAGTAGTATTGTCTGTACGATAAAAATAAATTAATCTAGTGCTTTAAAAATAAAATGATCCAAATAATAAAGTTATTTTAATAATATGGCCTAGACAACTACCAGCAGAATCCAGAACGCTGTATGTAGAAAATACAGCGTATAAGTGTACAATGTCATTAACTAAATTTATGGGTACATAATAGTATTTACTAAGAATATATTATCTGCTATATAGTATGAATTGTAAAAGATAACTCGTTATATATACCCATTGCAAATATTTCTCTTGTTTTATATATAAACCTTTCATTACCGTATATTATAACCCATTGCTACTTATAGAGATGTCATTTTAGTACCTCCCTTTATTTTGGTAAAAGGCTTGGACGTGCACAAAGCTTGTAATAGCCACCGTTATAGTGTTTATAGTTTAGTTATTGTACAAGATAGTGTAAAAAGACATGTATTGCTTATAATTTCTAGTGTGTAGGATATAATTAAGAAATAAGATACATTGTAACCTGTTTATGAGGGGATAATACCTTTGTAAGCTCTACACATTTACCCCTATTATTGTTAATCCAGGAGAGAGCCCGATATACTATTATTGGGAAAATATACTTAGTCATAAATTGTAAACCACAATTGCACAGTTCTGTAGCACTAGATTAAAAAGTGTCAAAGATCCCAAAGATTTAGAGTAGTATTTTTTGTTGAAAGCTATCAAACGTAGCAATTTGCACGAATTTTTGATCTGTGTATATTAAAATGCTAGGTAATGACAAGGGCTATTTTTTTTTTGGATTTGATAAGGGGTTAGTGTCGTGTAACGAACTGCAGAAAATAATGTACTCCGTAGAAAGAACAAGTACAACTTCAATCTGCAGATTATAATCGGTGAAGGATAATAGTCCATGAAAAAAAAACGGGAGGGTGAATGATTGAACTTGGCCTATTTTCATGGAATCATTTTGAGAATACAGAGTATTTGTTTGGTTGAGTTAAAATAACTCAAACTGAAGACCAAGACTCTTGTAAAATAGAATTACAATAGCTGAATATAAATCCCATTTCAGCTATAAATTCATCCAGGATTTACAAAGAATTACTGTTGGTACAGTAAAGGCTGTTTACATATACTTATCAAGCGTAAACTTTGACTTAATTAAGTCGAATAACGGAAACCTCATTCTACAAGTTTACCAACGTATATACAGCAATTTATTTGGAATTTTTTTTCTTGCATAATATCTATGAAAAGACGTCTAGCTAATATATATTAAAATATCTGCTCGAAATATGAATCCCTTCTCTCTAAAGCTCGTTATATTTACTATGTAGTGAAGTTGATTGTAGTAACTGAACCATGGTTTTAAGTCTGTGAGATTATTCAAGCACATATTAAATGTGGCTACTAGTTTTGGCAAGATAAATATCGACTCTGTCAACAGGCTATCTATTTACTTGTACTTACACTTATTTTACTAACACAAACATATCCAAACGCAATCAAGTATATTTACCATTTCAATAATGCGCTTAAGAAAACATATACGCAAATTCCGTCTTAAGTGAGAGCTGGTAAAGATGTAGAGAACAATTTACATCATGTTATCAAATAGTAGGCACAGTTCAGCATATGCTTTTGACCCTCTGATAATCATATCCCAGTTATTAGCGACAGATCCTCTGAAAAAACAGGTGTTTGAGGTCCACATACTCTTGTATTATAGCAAGATTATTCCCGGTAATTCACTTTTTACATTCTTTCTTGGGTTTTAAGGTTATGCCATGTAACCTTCTCGTAGTTGATTACTTGTCTTTTTGGGACGGAGAAAGATATTTGGGATTGTCATTTTTTGTATTGTTTATTAGATGCAAAATTAAATATGAAAGGACTAGAGAATAGCTAGTGCTGTTTCTGCTTAGAGACTTAGATGTGTAGGGTAGCTAGGGCTGCTATAGGATTTGGGACAAATACTAAATTATCAAAAACTAGGCGGAAGTGGGCGCTCCAGATAACACTTAATGTACATCCAATGATCATATGAATGTCTATGATAGAATTAAAAACTTATATTGAGGGTGGGGTGGGGGCATGTTTTGAGTAGATGGGTAATGATCAGAGAGTCGGGCGTAGTAAGAAATCGAAAGCAAATTTTGCTCCAAATTTGAGCTTTGAGAGGGCAAGACCAAAAGCTTAGTATCTCAATAAATGTGAAAAGTAGATACTGTGAGAGTGTTATTTATTTAAAGAGATCCAAATAATAGTGTTTATATCTACTACCATTAAAACTTCTGTAATTCAAATCCCTGTTATATAATGGTTGGTTTACACTTGGTGTGGACAGGCTAAACGTTCAAAAAAGGGCAAAAAAGAGCAAAAAGTTAAGTCATATCATTGGGCGAGAGTTTAATTAATTTTGTCCCTTTTTTGCCCTTTTTTGCCCTTTTTTGCCCTTTTTTTGAACTTTTAGTCTGTCCACACCAAGTATATGAATGTAAAGGGCATGTACTTAGATATACTGTCAAATTTGTCTTGAAATAAATCATGATCTCTTTTACAGCGGGAACCTATGTGTCTGTGCCGGCTTCGCCGAGCTCAATATTCCCAAAGTCGTTGATGTTAGTGAGACAATATACTACTCGTAGATCCACATTAAAATTTGTTTTATCTTAGCTAAACGATATTGTATTACACCTTAAGGAGCTGAGTTAATACAAATCACATTTGGACTTTGCAAACGTGGGTTTACTAGTTGATTATAAGTCTGGAACCATAAAAGGTGGCCTCTACAATTGTCGATCAGAATTTTACAATAAGACTGTTTTCTGAGAAGCACCCAAGAACTTCAGACGACATGTATTCCAGATAGCGCAGATACTACTAAAGCTTAAGAATAAATATTAACTTACGTACTATTTACACTAAGATAAGCTTACACATGCCTGATAATCTTGATCAAAGGAAACCCATTATCAACCACAACCTCAACATTGGAATAGGCCTTTTGATAATATTGCTCCTTTTTTTTGTTCGACCATCTATATAAAAATCACTTCTTTTTGTAGACTACCTTTTATTATTCCCACACCGTACCTTTTTAATAGCACTATCATTGATAAAATTGGCTTTTAGTTGAATATAATGGTAGATTTGGGAATTTGAGCAATTATAGTGTCACGCTGCTCCTCTACTAGGGCACTCCTGCGTCCCTTTTGCTTCATATTTGTTAAATCGTTCCAATATAATAATCCCAGAAATTTTACAGATCCGAAATTAACATAATGTCTATAATATGTACGATGTCAAGCTGACTATAAGCTAACATTATTTTAGATATATTGACATATCAAAAGTACACCCACATACAAACACCCAATATCTTCAACATCACAGCATTGAACATTATAAAAATTGATTGTAAATAGTTTCTTTATAGATCGGAAAAAAAAAACAGATTTCTAGAGAGACTATGACAAGCATGCTATATAATGAATGAGGGACAGAAAATGCTAATGGAATTGATGCTTAAAAAACAATTGAGCCTGGTATAATTCCTACAAAAAGAATAAATCGAATTGAATAAATGAAAAGAAAATTATATGAACGCTTATAAGATATTTACCTTGATATATTTAAATCAAAAAAAATTAAGGGTTGAAGCCACAGTAGCAGGCACCATCCTGGCAAATGGGGGCAACGGCTTTTCCATCAGCAGCAGCCTGGCACTTGTCATTGCAAGAGTTGTCGGGACAAGAGTAATCACAAGCACGCTTGGAGAGACCAAAGGGAGTGGCAGAGGTGGCAGAGGCAAAGGCCAAGATGGCGAAGAGGGAGGCAAGGATGGTCTTTTGGAAAAGCATGTTGATGAAGATGAAGATGAAAGTGAATGATTTAAAAAATAAGAAAAAAAGTTGTTTCTTATATAGTGCTAGATTTTGGCTGCTTCAAAAGAGTCCCTTGTATTAAGCACATTTGTGTTTATATGAACCATGTGTAGTGAGTAAATTAAAATAGTGTAATAATAGAAGAAGAAATGTCTTTTCCTTAAAGACCATATTGATCTTTAAGATCGAAACCCATTTACGGACTGATTAAGACAGAGGAGACATTTGCACACGTTGAGCTAGATGCTAGAATATATTAAAGGGATAAAGTGTTACGCTTAAGATTTGGGATTTATGAATGTCTAAAAATAACAAGACTTTATACATGCAGTAATATAACTCAATATACAAATCACACACACACACTTACACACACAGACACACAAAGACACACACACACATTTCTAGGAAGCCCTGAATTAATTGAAAGACTCCTTGCTTGTATTGCGTATTATTATGTCCCTGGCGTCATTACCCACAAATTTAGTAAAGACTATTTAGCAGATATATATATATATATATATATCATTATTGAAGCAAGCAAGGATCTTAAGAACATCTCAAACGAGTTACGACCGACCCTGATAAATATGGGCTGTATAGATCTAGTTACATGATCCCTAGTATTTTACGGTCAACCAAGCGGAAAAGTAAATACTCTGACTAAAATAAACTTATATTTTAGGTGCGATCGATTAGTAGTAGCCATTGCTAATGTACATATAAACATTTATATAATAGCACAATTGCCATCAAAGCCAAAGAAACAATCTTATGCGATGTTTTTGGTAAAGTAATTGGGACTGCAATTTTTATAAAGCACAGTTTATGTTTGTTATGATGTGTATGTGTGTGCATTGTAGGCCTATTTGAGCGCGACATCTTTCAAAAAGAATACAACTTCTTTTTGCAGGATTTCGTCGTGATACATTGAGTGATACACCTTATTGTCTACGTCACTTGTAAAGCTTATAGTAGATATAATTTAATTTATTACTACAAAAGCTTCCTAGAAACCATCAACCGAAGCATAACTCTATCACTATTGAATCTTTATTTCCGTTTGAGCACCATTATTCTCATATCATTTATTGTCCTTCACTTGTAGATAACTCTTCATAATAGTTAATGCCATACTGTTTGAAATAGTTGCCTTTCTTTTATATTTCTTAAAGCTCATGCCAGCTGTTGGATATACCCAAGCGTTATCATATTCTTTTATTCAATATCTTAGTTATCCTTGCCTTTTTAACCCTTTAGAAACTATTTACTATACTTATCTCTACTAATATTGCATTAAAAATTCAATTCAGCACTTTTCGGGTTAAAATTTGAGTTAAGGAAAGGTTGTTACACATCATTGTATTCCAAGCACTTTTAAAGTAGATGTGTATATACCTTGAATAACTATTTCGGGTATACTTTTACGAAACTCATACATAATAAGATATTAATTGTGTGTACTAGATTATTTGTTCAATGTAATAGTTTTATATCTTACATAAAGAATAGTAAAGTCGAATAGCTTCACATTCTTTTAAGTCTATGTACTTCACACAATGCTTGAAATAATCATCTAAGATTGGCTGAAAGTTAAAAGTAAAAAACATGAACTACTAGGCAAGGTTCATTTATCTTATTTACAAGCTCTTGCTTGAATTGTATAAAGAGTCAAGAGTGTATAGTAAAGCTACATAATTAAAAGCCTACCTTAGAGCATCCGTAGCAGTAGCATTTCAATTAGCATTTAATTAAGTGCTCATAAGCCATATAACGTTGATTATTATTAGATATCTTTCTTTTATCTTTAATATAAAAAATACAAGTTAAATGTTTTCAAGACTATCAGCTTTGTAGTGAGCATAATTTTTGCGAGTTTTTGTAAGTATTGCTATATACTATCATTCGATTTAAAGAGAAAAATAATAAGAAAGACGATTTAAATGCTCGGCACGTTTTTGAATTGAGCATCTTTTTCCATGCTCAAGCTCATACAAATCACGGAGCATGTAAATACATGCTGTCGGAAATGCTACTGCTGCAGACGATTTTTTTGAAAAGCATTTCCAAAAAGCATTTAAATCGGGAAAAGCTGAATTTAAACGCTACTGCTACGGATGCTCTTAAAAGAAAAGTACACATAAAAGTATTTTAGACATGAGTTAATAATATCCAATAAGTAAACCTCAAAAGCATAAACAGGGGTATTCAATTGCTTTAATATAGAATATTCCAAGTCTCTTCACCCGATAATATTGATTTACGATTTAACACTCCTAGATAAATCTAAATAGTATTAGTGAATGTTTACCTGTATATTAGATGTGGCGTTTCTGGCTACATATGTGAGCCAAGACAATATATATATATATAATATTCAAAACAAGGAGATCGAGAGAGAGAATGAAGAAGTAATATGATAGATGCTTTATCTGATCAGTATAGTAGCAGCGCTAGCTTGATAGGCTACAGAGAACCATACACTTCCGAAGTATACTATTCGAAGAAACAAGGAGAAAAACAGAAAAAAGGAGAGACAATGTTAGTACTTTATCCTAAGTACAGGCATTTGGGATTCCAGATCAAACTTGCTAACATCAGCCGGATATATAGTAATTCGAGGGCCAAATAGACAAAATTCATTCTCACAGCGTATTTACTATATAAAAATAGCCGGGATTTTTCCTTGCTGCAGCTCTACTACACAAGAAAAGAGATAAATAGAAATTACCGTGTGCTAGGAGCGAAATACCCAAAAACACAGCATTAAGAGACTATAAATACACTCAAGTGTTCCCGCACTTAAGAGCACTTAAAAGAATTGTAATATTATAGACGTGAAAAGACATATACACATAATCCAATTGCTAGTAAGAAAAAACGAAAGTTTTTGGTGGCAATGAGATTTGGATGAAAAAGTTATTTATCTATATTAATCTTGAATGTAGGTAATAATGTGACAAGGACCTATATGGGCTTACAAGGAGCTATTGCCATTGGTGGGAAGATACCAGTGATGAGAACAGGTATTAGAAATACATATAGCAGTAGCAGCAAGTGTAGCATGTTTGGCAAAGTTAGTGCGATTGAAGCTGTCAATTTTTTTTATAGACGAGTGTAAGTGCGGTGGCTAACTGACTGAGATTAGGTTGAAGTGTCTCAGAAAAACGGTCGGTTTAGATATGTGATCATACTACCAGTCTATTGTTCCCGCATATAGTCTACTTTAAGCCATGCGGGCATTTGGATCCATTTTGACTTATGGTAGCTTGATGAAAATAAGGGGTAAATGGTGAAAGATCTATTGGCTATACGGGATTTGAAATGTTTAGCCAGAAAAAAAAAACGCATGTCCCTTAATGTAAAGCGTCCAAATTTAAATCAAATGTAAAAAGCTTTTGCTCTCTAACAAGAGTAGTGAAAGCTGTATTATGCAGGGCTTAGAGGGAGTGAGCAGCAAGGAACAAGAGTAAGTCTAAAAGTGAAAGAACTGATAGAAACAAAGTCACAGTCTTTAGTATGTATCATTGGAAAGAACATACTTATCATTGGAGTTGGAGTTGGAGAAAGAGAATCTATGTTTCATGAAAAATCTAACCTACATGTACTTCTGTTATTATCTACTTTATGATAATTTAGGGTCTCTTATTAAATAATAAGCTTGTAAAAGAGTTGTAACCGAAAATGGTTCACCAATGGGCACACAATAGTGCCAGAATAATACTGCTTATAAGTCAAGGCAAATGAAATATCAGTGTGAATATTTTCTTGACAGAAAAACTAATCAGAAAGATAATATTGCAAATACTTAATCCAGCTTTCTAGTGCCTGAAATACTTGGACCACGTTTGTACTCAAATATCTTATTTGGGGGAAGATTGTGAGAAGGTAATTTGTTTTAATATCGGAATTGTTATATTGCATTGAAATGATATTATAGTAGCTGGCATGGTACGGCGTAGCAATTATTAGCAGGAAAATTTCTTGTACAGAGTATTCTACCACAGAATACACATATTATTGTAGAGGGACAAGATCCAGAAACAATTTCATCATTTGAAAGAAAGGTGTAAGCTAAAGTTAAAAATATTTTCTAGATTCAAGTAAAATCACAGTATCCTTTGGCTGTCAATAAAAGAAATAAATTATATACTATACGTATATTAATGACAAATCGTATAACAGGCGCCGTTTCTCCGTTTATGGAGAAGACAAAAGTGGAGTACTTGTTTGTGGGTAAATTATTGCGCCAGAAAAATGGTTCTAGGTGCACTACAGATACTGCATCAAACACAATTACCCAAAAAAATTAATTTGGTATATAACTAATCGAACATTCCTGCTGTAAAAGGATGTAAAATTATGTAATAGTATGCAAAATTTTTGAAAGCTCCTAATAAAAAGATACCATAAAGTAAAGCTGTTATAGATTATTCACCAGAAATAGCAATGTAAAGCAAAAGACCAAGGGCCACGTTATAGATGCAGGTGAAAAAAAAAATCATTCAATATATGAAAAAAGTGGTATTATTCAAGATACAATAACCATACAAATAGTAATATCCCAAAGTAATATATACGAATTACTCAGTGGCTCCTAATAGCATACGGTTACATGCATGGTAAATGGCCTTGAAAATATCTTGAAATAGAGTAATTGTTTCGCTGAAATTTCCTTATACTGTGAAGGTCTCATTTTCTTTTTGCACAAAGCTAAAAACAGGATAGCTAATATTCTGGATGAATTAAAAATTTCTTTTATTTTCAAGAGAAATGAATAATTGCTTCTTATGGATATTAATATACATAAAAAAAAGTCTGTATAAGAAAATAGGGCTGGTTTGCTTTGATGAGTATACCCAACGATTTAAAGGATGATGAAACAAAACAGACAATCGCTTATAAAATATAACTGTCAATATTTAATAAAGCCTCATTGGAACCTCAACATGTATTAGCGTCTATTCAATATTACAATCCTAATCTCTATAAATCATAGTAAACATGCTTTAGAGGGCCCGTATAAGCAACAGTCATTAAAGACGCTCTTTACGTATGTATAAAAATATAAGCCTTGAAGACGAGCCTAATATTTGACCTTATATCAAACAATTTAAGGTATTTATATATTACTCAAGCCAGTTTTTATAAAGTTTTATTACAAATATACCCACCTCTAATTTGCGATTTACTTTTAACCATAGATTTTACAGAATGACTGTAGAATCATGACCACTTAGAGTGCCTTATCTGTGCTATTACTTCTCACTTTACTTAATATCTTGCACAGCTTGAAGGTAAAAAATACATCTTTGAAATACATTGATCTTAATATTTTTAGACAGCCCAGTGTTACACGATTACCATATAAAATAAAGTTTCTGTGTTAGGCTAGAAATTAAGCTTGTTTCAAGGCCTGACATTATTTCAAGTATTTGAAGAGTTCCGAACGTCTTTACTAAAACTATATGAATGTCGTGTATAACAATATAACTCTCTAGCTTTAAAACACCTGGCATAAATGTCTAGAAGTTTGTAAAAAAAGCTCTACTTTTAATTATATATATTGATGAGCCGCTATTTATTTTAGTAGACACAAAGTGTTTGACATATACTATGTATATACATGCAAGTCCCCAAACTTATTATTGTCTACATTCCTTTGAGTCAATCAAAATATAAAGAGTACACACACAGTATCTTCAACATCACAGCATTGGACATTATAAAAATTGATTGTAAATAGTTTCTTTATGGATCAGAAAAAAAAAACAGATTTCTAGAAAGACTATGACAAGCATGCTATATAATGAATGAGGGACAGAAAATGCTAATGGAATTGATGCTTAAAAAACAATTGAGCCTGGTATAATTCCTACAAAAAGAATAAATCGAATTGAGTAAATTAAAAGAAAATTATATGAATGCTTATAAGATATTTACCTTGATATATTTAAATCAAAAAAAAATTAAGGGTTGAAGCCACAGTAGCAGGCACCATCCTGGCAAATGGGGGCAACGGCTTTTCCATCAGCAGCAGCCTGGCACTTGTCATTGCAAGAGTTGTCGGGACAAGAGTAATCACAAGCACGCTTGGAGAGACCAAAGGGAGTGGCAGAGGTGGCAGAGGCAAAGGCCAAGATGGCGAAGAGGGAGGCAAGGATGGTCTTTTGGAAAAGCATGTTGATGAAGATGAAGATGAAAGTGAATGATTTAAAAAATAAGAAAAAAAGTTGTTTCTTATATAGTGCTAGATTTTGGCTGCTTCAAAAGAGTCCCTTGTATTAAGCACATTTGTGTTTATATGAACCATGTGTAGTGAGTAAATTAAAATAGTGTAATAATAGAAGAAGAAATGTTTTTTCCTTAAAGACCATATTGATCTTTAAGATCGAAACCCATTTACGGACTGATTAAGACAGAGGAGACATTTGCACACGTTGAGCTAGATGCTAGAATATATTAAAGGGATAAAGTGTTACGCTTAAGATTTGGGATTTATGAATGTCTAAAAATAACAAGACTTTATACATGCAGTAATATAACTCAATATACAAATCACACACACACACTTACACACACAGACACACAAAGACACACACACACACATTTCTAGGAAGCCCTGAATTAATTGAAAGACTCCTTGCTTGTATTGCGTATTATTATGTCCCTGGCGTCATTACCCACAAATTTAGTAAAGACTATTTAGCAGATATATATATATATATATATATATCATTATTGAAGCAAGCAAGGATCTTAAGAACATCTCAAACGAGTTACGACCGACCCTGATAAATATGGGCTGTATAGATCTAGTTACATGATCCCTAGTATTTTACGGTCAACCAAGCGGAAAAGTAAATACTCTGACTAAAATAAACTTATCTTCTAGGCGCGATCGATTACGGGTGGACTACCACACGCTGTATTTGTATGACACGTCTAGATTTATACTCTGTCATTAATTCAATCGACAGGTACAGTAAAGCTCTTATTAAATTATATAAGCTGCTATATAATACGTCTTCTACAAAGCTGCCCTAGAAATAGCCACCCTAGTGTTCTATTTCTAAACTTTATATTAGCCTAATATAACTTGTAGAAGCTCCTACAGAGGATACTTTGATGCCTCCCTTTGCTTTGACAGACATCTCAGCTATGTACAAAACTTGTAATAGCCACCGTTATAGTGTTTATAGTTTAGTTATTGTACAAGATAGTGTAAAAAGACATTTATTGCTTATAATTTCTAGTGTGTAGGATATAATTAAGCAATAAGATAAATTGTAACCTGTTTATGAAGGTATAATATCTTTGTAAGCTCTACACCTTTACCCCTATTATTGTTAATCCAGGAGAGATCCCAATATACTATTATTGGGAAAATATACTTAGTCATAAATTGTAAACCACAATTGCACAGTTCTGTAGCACTGAATTAAAAAGTGTCAAAGATCCCAAAGATTTAGAGTAGTATTTCTGTTGAAAACTATCAAACGTAACAATTTGCACGAATTTTTGATCTGTGTATATTAAAATGCTAGGTAATAACAAGGGCTATTTTTTTTTGGATTCGATAAGGGGTTAGTGTCGTGTAACGAGCTGCAGAAAATAATGTACTCCGCAGAAAGAACAAGTACAACTTCAATCTGTAGATTATAATTGGCAAAGGATAATAGCCCATGAGAAAAAAAAACGGGAGGTTAAATAATTGAACTTGGCCTAGTTTCATGGAATTATTTTGAGAATACAGAGTATTCGTTTGGTTGAGCTAAAGCAACTCAAACTGAAGACCAAGTCTCTTGAAAGATAGAATTACAATATCTGAATATAGATCCCATTTCAGCTATAAAATTACTCCAGGATTTACAAGGAATTACCACTGGTAATTGAATGTTATAAGTTCAAACAAAATGATCCTAGAAATCTCACAGCCAAAAAAATTAACATAATCAGAGGTTTCAATATTCTTAAAGTTATTGGTAGTAGAATAACCCGATATAGTTCCCATAGCTAGGCTACAATACAAGGTCAATTTGTCTTTATACATATAAAAACCAATATATACACTCTATAATGACTTCTCTTTACGCATACATATTAATGCTGTCTATAATATGTACGATTTCAAGCTGACTATAAGCTAACATTATTTTAGATATATTGACATATCAAAAGTTCACCCAAATACAAACACCCAATATCTTCAACATCACAGCATTGAACATTATAAAAATTGATTGTAAATAGTTTCTTTATAGATCGGAAAAAAAACAGATTTCTAGAGAGACTATGACAAGCATGCTATATAATGAATGAGGGACAGAAAATGCTAATGGAATCGATGCTTCAAAAACAATTGAGCCTGGTATAATTCCTACAAAAAGAATAAATCGAATTGAGTAAATGAAAAGAAAATTATATGAATGCTTATAAGATATTTACCTTGATATATTTAAATCAAAAAAAAAATTAAGGGCTGAAGCCACAGTAGCAGGCACCATCCTGGCAAATGGGGGCAACGGCTTTGCCACCAGCAGCAGCCTGGCACTTGTCATTGCAAGAGTTGTCGGGACAAGAGTAATCACAAGCACGCTTGGAGAGGCCAAAGGGAGTGGCAGAGGTGGCAGAGGCAAAGGCCAAGACGGCGAAGAGGGAGGCAAGGATGGTCTTTTGGAAAAGCATGTTGATGAAGATGAAGATGAAGATGAGAATAATCCTTAACAGAGACACAACTTGATGCTTATATATGTTTTTTTTTAAAAAAAGAATAATACATCCCCAATATTAAATGCTTCAATATAATCATTGTACACCTTTCAAAAATAGGTGTGTATTACCAAGTTAGCTGATCATGTATACATATGTAGGTTCACAGTACAACGCATTACTCAGTAATTTAAACTATTTTAAGTCTTAGGAAGGATAGTCGCCTTCTATACCCATAAAAAATGTGTCCAAGACGGATACGCAAGGGGTAGAGTGAGAAAGCCAAGAGTGTATATGCTCATCGAGATGCGTTGCTTGAAATACCTCAGTTGAGATGTAAAGAAATATTAAAAATACCTTTTAAAAAAATTATTAAGCACCTGTACATTAACCTTGCTATTACTTATAATGTTTTACAGCATATACAATATATGTCTCTATCATTCAACAGATTTTGGGTATTCAGCATGTAATATTTTTACCCAAAGAAAAATAATAGGAAAACTAAAAATATACATTTCAAATGGTTTATAGAATCTTTATGATAGTTTTGGATAAATGTCTTTTATTAAAAGGGGGACTGAAAAATATTAACAGAAGAAGAAAAAAAAATCCAAAAGGCTGGAACCCAGAGAAGTTGTATTATCCGCCAGCGCAGTAGGTACATATGAAGGTCTAGATGGTTAGAAGAGGGTTTCTTTTCAATTAAAATACGTGAAACTATACATATAATAATTTCTATAAATATGATATGAATTTAGCTACCCCAAATGTCTTGATCTCTTTCTCTCTCTTTCTCAAGACTACCCATAAAAATAAAACAGTTAATCTGTACTCCTAGATATACTATTTTAATATTTCCTTTTACTTTAACAGAAGCCTTATACATACACAAACCCTGTAATAAGCACATTTACCAAGCCTCTGTAGTTTAATTAATGGTATAAAATAGCGTACATGGAATTTTTATTACTTTTGAATTCAAATTTATGAAACGACATACAGTGATACGATGTATTGTGACATATTGGTAAAGGGTTCGTGTTTTCGTCAGCCGTACAACCTTACTCCTACCATGTCAATTCAGGGGAGAGCTTTATGTACTAATATCAAAGTAATACTATCAGTCATAGACTGCAATAGATAGTAAAAAGAAAAGCATGTAATATTGATCTTGAATATCTCAATTAATTGAAAGAAAAAATGGAGCTTGTAAGGGGTCAGTTTTTCTTTCTGTATTAAGCTACAGATCTATACTATATCCGCGTAGAAAGGACAAGCACAACTCCAAACCATATATTATAATTAGCGAATGGTAATAATCCATGGAAAACATGAGAGAGTAGGTTAAGAATTGAGTCTGATATATTTTTGTGAAATTATTTTAAGGACATATAGTATTGATTTGACTGAGCCAAAATAACTCACATAAAAGGTCAATGTATTTGTAGAATTAGAATATAGGATTTATATACCAGCTGTTTTCCACTATAATTCACTCTAGAATTTACAAGCAATACTTATTGCTACTTGAATATCATGAATTCAAATAAGACGAGACTTAAAAATGGCATAATACCAAAGAAGCTAATGATTCTTTTTTTATCAATTGGGAGTCTATTCTTATAACTCTCCCAAGAGCTTGTGCACTGGTAAATACTATAATATATATATATATATATCTGAGTATCTTTTCTCTCTCTATATATTTGTATTAGTTGTATAGATAAAGTACCAATATTTTGAAAATTATTTGAACAGGGATTGATTGCAAATGCCCTTATTTGTTTATTTATTCGTGAAAGACCAAGTAAATGCAAAGAAAAAAAAACTGATAATGCAACATGGCTATATAGGGTGTAGGCAAAGGTCATGAATGAGAATGGAGTAAATAGTTCAATAACATTGTTATGAGATAGATTCTAACGAATTGAACAAAAAAAATGGTCAGCTTAGATTATTTGGTTGTACGCACACACTCGTAAAGAAACAAAAGAAAGATGGTTTACCTTGCTTATGTCAAGATAAGTTAAGGGCTGAAGCCACAATAGCAGGTGTCTCCCTGGCAAATGGGAGCAACGGCCCTACCATCAGAAGCAGCCTGGCACTTGTCATTACAAGAGTTATCGGGGCAGGTATATTCGCAGTCACGCTTGGAGAGACTAAAAGGAGCAACAGTGGCGGAGGTGGCAGAGGCAAAGGCCAAGACGGCGAAGAGGGAGGCAAGGATGGTCTTTTGGAAAAGCATGCTGATGAAGATGTGAATAACCTGAAATATAAAGAAGATGTCGTGCTTATATATATATATTTATTGTCAAATCTATTTTTTTTCTGAATACGATATGGTCTTGTATTCTCGTTTGGAATGATTGCTTTTAGCCTTTGACCGAAGCAATATTCTGGCGCGGGGTGATATGAATGATAAAGACATTTAAATTAGTTACGCCTTTGAGGGTGAATTGGGATTCCTCACCTATTACTCAAGAAACAATCTCCATCCAAAATTGCTTGGCCCTGCGTCACTTTGACCAAAGGAAAGAAAAGGGGGTTAATTTGATCATTTTAATAGACGATAAACAAGAATGGCACCGAAAATAATATATTTTCAAACCAAGTGGTTTTTAATGAGAATTAGTTCTGGAATCTTACGGCTATTATATCTCTCTCTATAAAAAGACTACTTATATTTATACTTTGTTAAATCCATGAATTAATTTATGGCCGTATAACATAGCATAGCATAGTACAGCACAGCACAGTACAGTACAGTACAGTATAGCACAAGAAAGGGATAATATGTGATCAAGAACCCATAAAATTGGAAGTAAACATACCTCTAAGAATTTTGGCTGTGATGGTAGAAATGGCTAGTATGGACTGCCAAAGAAGTGCTCCAAGACATCTGTGGCACAATATGCACAGCCAATACTCATGCACAAAGTGAAGACATGTAGAGAAAAAATTCTTGTTCTGAGTCATAAATTAACCTCCTACTCCCCTGCCTGACTGGAATATGTCTTGAACCAAACCCCTTTGTTTTCTTCTAATTCCAGAGTAAGATGGTCTTGCTTGAACAAGCCGAACAGTCCAAGAAGGTCCATGTCATAATCGAGGGCTGAAAATATTTACTATTTACCCCCCTCCCCCCTCCTTTATTAAGCATACTTTTCAGCTTTGTATTAATATGTGCATTGAATGAGTATCAAGAATAATAATGAAAAATAAACCAGTTCAAAAAAAAAGCTTAGAAAACCTGGTCACCCGAAAGATTTTGTATAATTGTGTGCTACGTTATTCATTATTATTATATAGAAAAGGCTTTGTAACAAATAAGGACACCTCTACAAAAGTTATAGCTTTTATCTTTGACATACACGTATGTATATAAGTATACTAGTGCAAAAAGTAACGTATACAGGAGTAAACATATCTTGGTCAGTGGTGGACATAAAGCGGCTAGCTATATTGGAACGGTCTCAAGGGTGAACACTAGAGCCACCAAAGATTGTGAATAAATGAATAAATTGTAAATTATTTTTACAAAGAAACAGTTTCTATCAATTGTAGCCCATTTCACTTGTATTGATTCTGTACACACATACTGTTTTGTGAAATAAGAGTAATATACTTTTCAGTATATAGGACTTCCTTGTTTGTTTTTGAGTGTCAAGATCAAGATACAAGAATTTTCTCATAGTGTTTGCAAGATGTCCTGTGAAACACACCCTGATGAATCTTGTAATCAAAGTGACCAGATACATATATCACATACTTGGCATTTATTGAATATAAATGTACGTATTTTGTAGGCTTTTTCTAATTGTTTATTATAAATTTGATCTTTTATTTACCCAAATCCCTCTTAATCGTTCATTTTTAATCAATTTTTGTATACAGATACAGATATAGATATATAATTTCGCAAAGCAAGAAAGGTCCAACAGATTTTAAATTAACCAGTTTTGATCCATTGATAACTATATTAATTACAAAATAGATAACATATGCAGTATAATTAAAATTTAACATAATATGGCTTGTTCTGCACAATAGATTGACCTCACGTATTTTATATATATATATATAAACAAATGTCAAATTTGCATACATTTTCATTTACCCATTGTAAAATGTACATTTGAATAATATGCCTGAAACGCTTTAAGTTTCATCAGAATGCATGTGATAAAGATACTGATCTATATAGAGATTTTTGTAAACATCAAATTGCAGCTTTGAAAGAGTTCTGAATATGCAAATAAATAAATACATTATATTGTAGGTCGTACAATCTAATTAAATACTCCCCCCTCCACCGCTGTACTGCCCTTTTCTTTTTTATTAGATTTTTATCATATCCAAATCAAATCAAATAAAAAAAACCCCTAAGAGAAGCAGAGACCATATAGACAGGTAAAGAGGCCTTGCGATCCTCAGACCTGGTCGGCCTTTTCTTCTTGTTTTTCTTTTGACGGACGCTTTGTTTAAGCTTACAAAAGGGCTACAAAATTGAGTATAGAATGATATGTTTGGCTGCGAACCAAATTAAATTTTACAAGCAGTTGGTATGGACAGACAAAACATTAATTTGTTTGGCTGAGCTCATTTTAATCTCCCCTTTCCTTTTTTTTGATCCTTTTTTTTTGTTTTTAGCTGACCACACCAAATGTCGCAAAACTCTTTTTTTTAAAAGAAAAAAAAAAGAAACACTTTACTTGGTACGAAATTAATCATAGTAGTTTTATAGTTTCTTTACTTTATCTTCCCTCTCTCTCTCTCTCTCTCTCTCTTTTCTTTTACTAGCATTTGAAAAATTAAATTTCTCTGTAAAAATATTTTATTTCTATGGCATATATCATACTTACTGAAGCACCAGAAGTCACACCGATATAAGTAGCAATACACAGCAACATGCTAGACAAAGCTGCTTTTGATAAGGCCGTAATGAGCCAAAAGACGATTGACTAGAAAGATTGTAAGGCGAGTTTGAACAATCCTGCTTACAAAAAATTGACAGACTACGGGAACAAAAATGTAATCTTAGAGGCAATTCGAAGGATCTTTTCAAATATAAACGCTAGAAACTCTTTTGCATAAAACTTGCCTTTTTCTTCCTTCTTTTATCTTTTGGCTTTTATAGATAACAATGTAGGCTTAGTCTTTCGCAGACAAAAGGTTCTATTCAGACACTAGCACGCTCTCTTATCTTTTATCATTCCATTTGTATAAGATAATACATCACAGGATTTATCTTGTACAACTAAATACTATTGGCTTCTTTTATAGCAAGATTCTATCAATTCCTGTTTAATGTAGATATTTTCTTTACTTTGAAATTCTATTCCAAAAAAAAACAATATATTATATAGCTACATATCACAAAAGAAAATCTTTTAGGATTTTATAAATAAATGAAATAAAATGAAAAAGAAATTGTTATTTATCATATGTTTTTATGTCAAGTTCGCTATGGTATCATACGCTCTTATAGTATATTGTATTTGTCATATAATTCCAATTTTATTTAGAAATCTTCAGAGATAGGTACCTTGTTTTCATTAAGTTCAATAAAGACAATATCATTTTCCTTAAAAAGAACTGTATGTTTGACAAAAAAAAATTACTTGTCACTTGGAAACATTTGTCCACAGTCAGGGGCGGGAAAACCAGAGTCTTTGACAGAACGAAGAAAAGTCAGGTAATTAAAAATAAACTAAAGTAACATATTAAAGTGATTCCTTTAGCATAACCTGGTCACTTGATCAAGACCCTTGTCTTAGTCTTGCAAGAATATCTTTCTCACTTGAGTCCTGAGTACCGGTTACTAATGACCTATTATCTTACAACTAATTTGAGTATATTCTTATTACTTGGTTTACTAACATCAAAAAGGGGGCATGAACTACTTGTTGCAACAATTCTCTAAAACTATTCTAGATTCTAGTAGTCCTAATGTAGAATGGTTTTTTGGCTCATATTTAATGCAATAGGTACCTCGTGTATATATTGTAGTAACGAGTTAATAGTAGTTTTAGTAATACTACTTATAATGCAATTCTGATTAATGTATGCTGATACTGCTCCAAGGTAAAGAACACTACTTTTTTTTTCCTTTTCTTTTTTCAAGGGTCTGTTAATGGCTTTGTGTTTGTTGTGCAATATATTAGCCCCTTAGTATATCATACTATCGCAGTATATTTTGTTGAGTAACATCACTATACAATGCTATTGGATATCTTGTAAAAATAAATAAATCTAGAATAAGTCTCTTTTGCGTTTGGGTTATACATGTTACAAAACAACCAAAATAATGTACCTTTTTTAAGCATACAAAATGTACGGCATTTTATCACGTGATTTTTATGTTGTGTAGCGTCTTTACTGACCTAGACTTCTGCGACAGTTTATTTTATGCGGCATCAATTCTTTTAAAATATGCGATATCATCTTTTTTTTCTTAAAAAAAAACAAAAAAAAACTACAACAGTTTGAGCTGTTAAAATGCGACATTTCTTTGAGAAAAGGTGTAAGTAGATATGCAATTGTGTATAAGTGAGTGAGTGAGTGAGTGAGTGAGAGTCTGTATTGTTTTTGAACAGGGCCAAAAAAATAAAGAGAGAGAGAGAGTGTGTGTGAAAGGCTTGAATTATTGATTGTAAAAATTCCCTTTTTTTCTTTTTTTTCTTCCTCTTCCTCTTCCTCTTACTCTTCTTTTTGGTTTGACCAACTTTCTTTCTTTGGCCTACTATTCACGCCCACACTCACACACACCCTCATATTTACGCCCAAGCTCAAGCCCAAGCCCAAGCTCAAGTCCAAGTCCAAGTCCAAGCTCAGGCTCAAGCTCAAACGAATAACAACTCTAAAATACAAACCCCCTCAAAAAATAATAATACAAAAGTCCAGCGAGATAAAAAACGTATGGCCCTTTAACTGAATGAAAAGTTTTGAAGAATCTTCCTTGGCAGATGCCGACCTCACTTCGTCTATGCATTCCTCATTGCCGACATCCTTTCTCCCTACCTTGTCATCGTATCACATCGAACCTGACCGTTCCACTGCGCCCACAACGGAGCAGGGTGACAATGGGTCAGCAACGGCCATTCGATCCCCTTCTAATCCCCCTAGTCTTGCTTACTCTCTCCTGCCATCAGTACAGACCAGAGCAGGATCATCCCTTGATGAGGAAGATGAGGACAAGATCCAGTCAGACAAAGTTTACTTGACTCTATTGCTAGTTTCTGGCAGTAGACACACCTTTTCATTTGAACCAACCAATACTATTTTACAAGTTAAGGCTCATGTACTCGAGCATTGGCCTCAAGGTAAAGATCATATTTATCAAGACTCTCGAAAACTATAGATATTCATTATTTGATAACCAACATTCTATAATTTAGGTTGGTCCGATCATGTCCAGTCTGTGGCAAGTCTACACTTGGTATATCTTGGCAAGTTCCTGGAAAATGATTCGACACTGGAATGTGAGTATTTTATATTTCTTTTTGCTTTTGCTTTTTCTCGCTTTTCTTCATCTTCTTCTTACACACATATGTGAGCGAGTGAGTGTGTGTATATATACATTTGGCTGGGAATAATCGTATACGTATATACATTCTTATCAAAAATACAGTGTTATCGTCATCACTATAACTATCACTATTGTCCATCGTATTGTTATTGTTATTGTTATTTTATTTTTAATTTATATTACATTTGTGTATAAAGCCAATCGCCTTAAAAGTGGCCAGGCCACTATTGTTCACCTAGTCTACCGGCCATATACTACAAAGGTCAATGAAGGTGATGCTCGTAAACAAAATAATAAAACAATAATCATACTACTTGAATCTCATCTGATGCTCATAGATGCCAATAGCCTTGAAGTGGCATCTCGCTGTAAATGCTGTATTATATTATAAGGCCTCTCACTCACTCACTAAATCACTCAATCACTCAATCACTCAATCACTCAACCAACCAACCAACCAACCAATCAACCAATTGAGCACACAGTCCACCCACTTACTCACCTACTCATTCACTCTCACATTTACTCAAATATTATATCCCTCTGTCAAACCCCATTTTTTTTATGTACCATTTTCCCAAATCATTGATTTTACTGGCCCAATATATATATATATATATATATATATTTATATATAATATATATGAAAGTCTCCTTTTTTCATTTTATTACCACCAATCACTACATGATACACATATGACCTTGGTACAACAGAAACTGGGCCACTTTTTACAGCAATATTTACACTCTTTTTTTTTCTTCTTTCTTTACTAATGTTTTTGAACAAAATAATAATAATAGTAATAATAATAGTAATAAATTTCAGATCAATATATATATATATCAATCAAAATTTTAAAATAAAAAAAAAGATTCTTTTTTTTTTACCTTTTCTTTAGAGTGGACAAAGTGTGCCAAAGTTCAAAGTTAACAAACCTCCTTATTATTATTATTAAAAAAAAAGACGTTTCAAATTTGAACAAAGTATTGCCTACAGAAATATTAAGAATGGTTTCAAGTAGTGTTCTGTTTCAGGTTTTTCGAGTTTTTGGATTTTATGCTTCTTCTTCTTCAAAAAAAAAAAAGACTACTCTTATTTGAGTTCAATTAAGAGCAATAATGACAGAGTCAAATATATTATATATCTAAATAACGTGCGAAACTTTCTACGACTGATATTTATTTATTTATTTATCTAGAGCTTTTAAATTGACTTTTTTTTTTATTATTATTATTAAATCCTAACAACTCGATTTTTATTTTAAAGCCCCACAATATTTTATATTCCCATTTCACTCAGGCCCTGAAGAAAAACACACACACACACACATACATATATTATATTCCTTAGTAATGTCAAAAGAGCAATCTCATCCCGGACTTTTCAAGGTTATTCATCGCAAAGGCTCCTTTTCTTCTCAGCTTATTGCCGAAAAGGACTTTAAAGCAGGCGAGACTATTGCCGACCTGACCGGGCTCACACCTGGTCCAAAGCGATACTCTTCTGTCCAGGTCTCATGTACCGAACATGTCGAACTCAACAGTGACCTATTGTACCTCAACCACGCCTGTGATCCAACAACCTATCTTGACGTAGATAGATTTGCTATTGTAGCCCTTGTAGATATCAAGGCTGGCGACGAACTCAACTTCTTTTATCCTTCGACTGAATGGGAAATGGGTAAGCTAAGCGTGGGAATTATATAATGCTTTATTTTTAAACATCTTTATTTTCTTTCTATACAGCTCAACCATTTGAATGCTGGTGTGGATCCTCAAAGGTAAGCTATATACTGTTATTTAAACGAGAAATAAACCAAGATCCCCCCCCCCCCCCCCCTTTTTTTTTTACTACAAATTCTAATACAATTTTGTGTGCAAAGTGTATCAGACTTGTCAGTGGAGCCAGTTCAGTGAATCGCAAGAAGCTCGAGAAATTCAAACTGAGCAAACACATCCAGACACTACTTGACGAGCGCGATGGATAGATAGTTAATAAAGGCCCAGAGAATATATATATATATATATAATTTGATAGTAATATGTATATTGGATTATTAATTATTCTTTCTTTAAAAAAGTAAAATAAATATATATACTTAATTCTAAATAATACAAAGAGGTATCCAGTAAGATTTATATATTTTACTGGTCAATACTATCATTAAAAGCCAATATTGAATCGACCAAAAGATCTGCCAAATCACAACCCTTAAAGGTTTACAGCTATCATCAAACCAGGCTTATAAAAACAGAGTGTCTTAACTGATTTCTATATTACACCCATTAAACGTTTGTATCTCTGTCTATTTTCACCACTACCACATTATGATTCAGAGTCACAGTATAAGAAAAGAAAAAGAAAAGAAAGGTAGGGTCAGTTCCGATTCTTTTGGCACACACACACACACACACATATATATATATATATAGTGAGAGAGTATGAAGACGAAGAAAAACAAAAGGTGGTTACAATAGGAACCAATTTATTGGATTTTTATTTTATTTTATTTTATTTTATTTTTATTTTTTCATTTTTATTTTATATATAAAATAAATCCCATAATAAAGGTTTCTTACTTGTATTTAATCAAATCTTAGTGCAACATGAGTGGCCTTGAGAGTAAGTTAATTGCACATTATAACATTACGTACAATCTATCTTTTTTGTTAATTGTATTCAATAGATAACCTTTTCCAACTAAAGGTACATTTAGATAATTACGCTCGAGAATTCACGTTTGAGATTCGGGTTTCGATAGTGTAATCTTACTGCTCAAGTGTAGTTTACTGCCAAGCAGCTCAACAAGCAATCCAAGAGATGCCAAAAGGAAGAAACTGCTGAGAAGTTGAAGTTGAAAAAGGTAGATTTGATGATTTGGCTCCAATTAAACACCAAGCAATGCATAGAATTCCTTCTTATTCTTATTCTTATTCTTCTTTTTCTTTACTTATATGGAATGGGGGTTCTTTTGCGTGTGCGTATGTGCGTATGTGTTTAGGCAATGCAGGATGGAAATACAGAAAGTGCTCGTATATATGCAGCCAATGCGATACGCAAGAAAAACGAAGCATTGAACCTATTGCGCTTGTCGTCTCGCATCGATGCCACTGCGAGTCGGGTTCAAACTGCGATTACGATGCGCAAGGTACGATATAATATAATATATATATATGTGTGTGTGCGTGTTATACTAATTATACTAATTTTTTTTTAAAAACAAAACATGTATAGGTTAGTGCATCGATGGCTAATGTTGTAAAGGGTATGGATAGAGCAATGGAGTCTATGAATCTTGAAAAGGTATATTTACAGAAATAATAATAATAATAATAATAATAATAATAAAATATATATATATGAATTGAATTGAATACCTTTAATTTTCTTAATATTCAATAATACATGGATAACTGTAGATTTCCATGGTAATGGATAAGTTTGAGTCGCAATTTGAGGATATCGATGTACAGACTCAGTACATGGAAGGGGCTATGGCAGGTGCAACATCTACCATGACACCACAGTCAGAAGTGGACTCGTTGATGCAGCAGGTTGCCGATGAACATGGATTGGAGCTCAACCAACAATTGGCACAGTTGGCTCCAAGTCAGGTCATTCAACAGCAGGTTGAAGAGCGTGAGCCTAGTCAAGATGAGATCTTGACCCAACGTCTCAAGGCTCTGAGGCAATGAAAATAAAGAGTGTTATTAAAGAAAAAAGAAAAAAGAAAAAAGAAAAAAGAGCGAGATCAACAATGATAAATGCCGCATACATATTAATGTACTTTATCAGACCAAGCATTTCCTTGCAATACTCTACATGAAGACGAGGTTTCTATTGGTCTTATATACAACATATGCTTAATAATAAAGAAGACAGAAAGAGATTGATATAGACAAGTCTTGTAAATAATAGCCACCTTATTCCAAATCTACCACCAAAAAAAAAACAGACAACCCCTCTTCTTTGCCTTTTTATTCTTCATTATTTCTCTCCCTTTCCCCCCCTTGATAATGTACCTATCAAACGCAATATATATATATGATTATTAGAAAGAAAGACATCAAACGCAACATGATTTCATCTAGCCGTACTTATTCTAATGGACTCTCGGTGTGTTTCTTTCTTTCATTCATTCATTCAATAAACCTATACATCTTTGCTGCTTGCTAGTTGACCAGTTTGGTTGTTTGGTTGTTTCCAATTGAAATGATTGGGTGTCTAGTGGCGTGTTGGGACATTTTCTGTTAATTATGTTGCTTCTTTGGTCTGAATTGATCAAACCAGAGTACTTACCCCCTTTCTTCTCTCTCTCTCCTCATCCCTTCTCCCTGAATCTTATGGCAGCATTAAAAGAAGGGTCATCGAAAAGAAACCCACAAAAAAAAATAAAAATCATCTAATCTTCCTTTTCTTCCTCTTTAAACCATCTCCTTTATTTCGAAAAAGAAGGAATAAAGTAATATATATTTATATTTATATTTATATATATTTTTTCTTAAAGCAAAAGAATAATAATAATAATAATTCTTGCTTAATATTCATATATATATATTTAATTTTTTTTTATAAACAGTTGCCAAAAAGTATGTAAGCTTCATAGCCTGTATTCTGGTCTCTATAACACTCTTTTGCTTTGTTTTAAACCAGATGGCTACAACTCAATCAATCGCTTTACCTCTTGATTTTCAAATCTCATTCGATGCACCAACAGACTCTTTCTCGGCCGACCTTATGCACCAATTTGATACCAGGACATCAATAATTCGTAACCAAGTATTCACATTAGCCGTAAGACAAATCTATGTAGATATATTAGAAAGAAAGAAAGAAAAATTCGATTGAATCTAATGTGTTATGAATAGGATATTCCTGTATTACAGCCCGAAGAAGACAGGCAGATCGAGTTGCCAAGGGTCGAGGAGAAAGAAAAAGAAGAAGAAGAAGAGATCAAGGAACCCACGGTTCTTAAACTTAAAGAGTCTATTGTGGTTTTTGAAGATCCTCTGGCTGATTTCCTCAGTGGACCAGATGAACCGATTCGTTTATTTGAACCTATTCAACTGATCACTACTCCTTGTCCTCTAGAAAACAAGCACACGCGACTCACAGTACACCCTACGCCAGTCGAAGAAAAACACATTATTCCTCAAGAGATCTTTTCTGCCAACGACAGCAATACTAGCAGTGATACCAATGATCATGAAGAGATCTTTCACATGGCTGTTCAAGAGGCACCTTTGACCATGTTACGAAAATCATCCAACTTTTTTCGACAAAAGATTCAACAGATTAAGTCCAAAGACGATTCATCTCTGAGAAGCCGCCGTGCTTCTCTGGTTCCACCTCTCAGTAGTTCGTCTGGAGTTTCACAGGCCGAGAGTGGGTCTGATCTTTCTTCCAGTCCAACCGTTAAGTCCTCTCCACAAATATCCACGCAACGATCTACTCTTTCTTCCAAGCGCCGTTCAATGTTTTGCTTGTTTTTGTTAAAGTAAAACAAAGCAAGGCAAAGCAAAGCAAGCTAAAGAGTAAGAGAAGAATATTATATATATATATATATATATACTTACAGCTACAGCTACAGCTACAGCTACACATACACCTACATTCATATCTATACCTACATTTATACCTACACTTATATCTATATTTATACTTTTTCTCTCACTCTTTCATTCTCTCATTCTTTTTTTGTCAAATATACATGTGACTATTGTACTATTATTATTATTATTATTATTGTCCTCATCCTCGTCCTAGTTATCATTATCATTATCACTTTACTACCTGGAATGTCTTGTGGAATATGATTTTAACACTCACACAAAAGACTAGTATTGAAAAAGAAGAAGAAAAGAGGGAGGAGAAGGGAAAGGGAGTAAAGAAGGAAGAATTAGATACAATGACTATTACTATTATAAAACATACTGTGAAGATATTACAATTATTTCTTACTGATTTGAAACAAGATCATAAGAAAAGTACTCAAAATTCTGCATACTGGTATATAGAAATTGAAACATAAATATTATTTTGTGTGTGTGCTGGGAAAGAATTGAATTGAAAAGAAAAACAAAAAAACAAAAAAAATTCACAGAGCGAATCGCACACACACACACATATATAGCCCACGCAACCCAAAGAAAAAAAAAAGGGACTTACAGAGCCAACAAAAAAAATTATTAATACCATTATTTTTATTATTTTAATTTGTTTCTCCTATTCTCATTTCACATCAAAATGTCTGCAATTAACGAATATTGCCTTGAAAACAACACTGTCTTTTCTATTGAAGGCAAGGGCTTGAAGCTCAATACTGCTGAAGATGTCAAGCTATTCTGTGATACAATCTCGCGCATGGACAACCTTCAAAAGATCATCCTCAGTGGAAACACAATTGGTGTCGAGGCCGGTAAAGCACTTGCTGCTGCATTGAGCACCAGAAAGACCTTAAAGGTAACGAATATTTGTAATGCAAGTATAATATAATATACAACACTAACCTGCGCGATTTACACATTAAATGTACACTGCGGATGTGTGTTATTCTAGGTTGCCATTCTCTCTGATATTTTCACCGGCCGTCTATTGTCTGAAATTCCTGCCGTTCTTAAGGCCTTGTGTGATGCTCTTGAAAAGACCCAGTTGACTGAACTTGATCTTTCAGACAACGCGTTTGGTCCTGCTGGTGCCGAACCATTGATCGAATTTATCGCTCACTCCAAAACCCTTCAAACCTTGCGTCTCAACAACAACGGCCTTGGAATTGGCGGCGGATTGATGATCGCCCGAGCTCTCCAGGCTTCAGCTGATCAAGCTCGTCTCGAAAACCGCCCTTCTTCCCTTCGCACAATCATCTGTGGTCGCAACCGTCTCGAGAACGGATCTTCTCAGGCACTCGCAAATGCCTTTGCCGCACACGCCACTCTTGAGACCGTTCGTATGCCCCAGAACGGAATCCGTCCTGAAGGAATCGAGATTCTGATGGGTGGACTTGTCCAGTGCAAGAACTTGCGCCATCTGGATCTCCAGGACAACACATTTACTGCAAAGGGAAGTCGTGCCCTGGCATCAGCCTTGGTTGAATGGCCTCTTTTAGAGGTACTCAACGTCGGTGATTGTTTGCTGTCAAAGAAAGGTGGTTTGGAAGTCGCTACTTCTCTCAACCGCGGTAACAACACCGGCCTGACCCACCTCCACCTCCAATACAACGAGATCCAAGCCAATGCAATCGAAGTCCTTGCCAAGGCTATCCGATCCCATCTCAAGGACCTTGTTCACCTCGAACTCAACGGTAACCGATTCGATGCAGAAGAAAAGGAATTAGAAACTCTTGTCGAGGCTCTCAAGGAGTGGGACCACGAAGAGGCCCTGGATGAGTTGGATGATATGGAGGAACTTGACAGTGACGACGAAGAGGAGGATGATTCTGAGGATGAGTTGGTTGAAGAGGCAGAAAAGGCCGAAGACTCTGAACCTGCTGTCAAGGGAGATGACAAGAAGGAAGAAGAAGATTTGGTAAAGAAGTTGGAAAAGACCCACATCTAAATTATTTGCCAATATCCGACTCCTTTGTTTCTTTATCTTTACTTCTTCTTTCTTTGTTCTTCTTCGTACCTTTCTTCCGTGTGCATATCTTCTTTCCTCTTGTATTTTTTAGAGAAGGAAAAAAAAAAGAAGAATTACAGGTCATTTTTTTTTATTTTATTTTTTTTACATTAAACATTTTTCTATTTTTGATACAAGAATTACGATTTATTAATTATCACAAAATATATATTAAAGCATATAAAATGTATGTATTTTGTATACGTGTAGTTTGTGTATGTGATTGGGTGTGTTGGGTGAATAATGGGTATTTTAATACATGTAATTTAGATGCATATATATATATATATATATATAAGTGTATATGTATGGTATGTATGTATGTACGTATATGAAGATGTATATGAAGATGTATATGACTATATGACTATATGAATATATGTGTGTGGTAACTTGTGTGGTGTTAGCTAAATTCATTGTTACGTGCTTGAACAAACATGTTACGAATATACGCTGTCCAGGTTGCATTTCCTATGGCATCACCCATCACCATCCTTTTTGCCAGCGCATGGTAGCTTTTTGGCGACAGATCAGGCATTCCATAAAGAGTGTCGGTTGTGTATTCGAGCTGGTATTCAAGTGGTTTGCCAGGTACGGCATCGTATGAAGCCTGATTTGCGTGGTACTGTGCGTAGCCAAGAAGGGTCCCGTAATTGGAAGCACTAGGGTTTGTTTCATACCGGTAAATGCGGATAGCGGGCCAGTAAATGGGTAAAACAGACGGAGCCACTTGCAAGACTACCAAGGGAGATGCGGGATAGTCTGGGAGCTTATTGGGATCGCTTGTGACCGGGTCCAAGGCTGAGTACATGTCCCGGAGCCAACTTACGTACTCGGTGATATCTCTTGTAGCGTGTAGGTCACCGCCCTTGTCCTCGTCAGTCTGTCGGAAGGTTTGGTTGGTTGGCTGACTGGCGTCATAGAGCATAAAATGATCCATGTTCAAGTGGCCAAAAAACTGACCCATGATGACATCGCTGTACTGGGACACGGTAGCCATATAATTATCGAGACAGGTTGGCCGGAAATCACGCGCACTGGGTGGTACATGTCCCATTATATAGACTTTTGCCTTCTCTCGCCTTGCTAGTCTGAGCTGATCCTCCATCCAAGCCAGTTGGACATCTCCTGGGTGGTTTTTGGAACCACAGTCTTCTATTAACGGATTTCGGTTGAAGAATAAGAGAGTATTTACGGAAAGGACGCGGAGATGTGGTGCAACCTGAGTGGCAAAATAAGCGCCCTGGCGAAACGACTTTCGCTGACCAGTCGGGATCCAGGGTCTCCACAGTTTTTCATAAAACGATAACAAATCATGGTCTTTTTCATCGATCGCATTGTGAGGGAATACATCATTATTTCCTAAACAGGGAACGACAGGCAGTACTGGGTGATGTGGTGACCAGAATGCTTTCTTGACCATGTCAGTCACTTGGCGGTTGAGAGTATAAATATCTTTACGTTTTCTCATTCTGGATTTATCATAATCATGTCTAAAAAAAAACCAAACAACCAAAATTATAGTTAGATCTGATCCATGAAAAAAAAATTGGGGTGTTTTTTTTTTTTTTTACCTAGCACTATCGCCTGTCCAGACTACAAAATCTAGCTTGTCTCGCCAGTTGCGTGCGACCCATTCAAGGGTTTCTTGTGCCAGACGAGCAGGTGAATCGCATTTGGCACCAGGTGCACCTAATGGGCCAGCTACCTGAGAAGTGACATCAGATTCCTTGGCCAACTTGTGACAAGCGGACTCTACAGTTGCTCCTGACACATAATTTTCGTCTACCTGGAGATGATAATTAAATATACATATAAAATGAGTTCACTTGGTCAAAGGTTATATTTAAATATATTTATAATTTATAATTTACATGCATATCGGTTATGTGAAGGAAATAACCATGTTGACGTGGAAGAGGGTTTACTGGTAGTAAATGTGATTCCCATTTCTCAAAAGAGTGGCTGACAAGAGGGCCGTTGGTTATTCCTCGGAGAAGGTAGATCGATGGTGGCTGACATATCAAAATCAGGGCTAAGCACACTGAAAATCCACCGAGTAAGACGAGAGTGAGTGAATACATGATCGAGAGCTGGATAGCAAAAGAAAATAACAAATTGAAAGCAAACTGGGGTTTATAAAGAAATATTGAAAATAAAAGCCTCTGTTTGTTACTCATCTGCTTGTCAGTGTGTTCTTTATGGTTCAGTTTTAACCGTAGTCATGCTGGTCCAACACAAACATAGTCGTAATACTGGCCAGTCGTCTAGCGCATGGAGTCCGCCCTGGACGATCATTGGCAGACTTTAAGTCAAGCAAGGGGACCAGATCCTTGTACCGACAAGCACATCCTTTGCCTTCCATTAGAAAATACCTAACAAGTTTGTCCCAGTATTTCCTCTTTTGAAACTTTGGTATTTATTCAGTTTCTTTAAAACCATCTACATGCAGTACCTTGCATAGATGTCTGTATAATCAAGTATGTTTCATCGTCACACACACACAAAAATGCTGCTTTACACCCGTGCCTTCAAACAAAACCAAAAAAAAAAACATTGACGAAATTTTCTGAATTGCTTATTGTAGCACGTATTACGAGATTCTTATCAAGTTTAAACAATATATATATATATATATATAAGAAGAAATAATAATTCACTATCAGTAGGGGGTACACAATCAAAACGAATGTTTCAAAATCCTTTATTAGCCAATGATATAATTTTATGATCGAGGACTCCAAAATACAAAAGTACGAATTTTAGTACAAAAGTTTCATAGCATCTATTTAATTATTTAATTAATTATATATTTAATGAAAAAATAAAAGGTAACTATTATAGATTGCATATAACAAGGTAAAATAAAAAATAAATAAATAAAATAAAAACTTGTTCAATCAGAGTAACGCTTGATATAGTATAAATCTATATGTTTGACATACAATTTTCTTTCTTTCTTTGAAGCGCTAAAGGAATATTTGTCCAATCATGTTGATTAAAGTTTTAAAATCCCAAGTAGTAAGCCTATTCTGATTGAGTATATTCAATATATGTGGTAATGAGGTATTTGTATGATTCAATAAGGAACCTGGTAACTCTATATTTCATAATTTTATGGTTAGATACCATTCTATTACAGGATAGTAATCTAGCTAGCTGCACAGTAATAAATGTCGATTGTGTTTTTCATTATTAAGAACCGTTTGTACCAGATATTTCAATTTATGGCTGCAGTAACGAGATGATACTACAGATGCAAGATATTTCATTATTGAATATTTAAGAAATCTAAAGATAGAAAAAAACAAACAAACACAAGCTGAACAATAATCTACGCTGGAAAACCAACGAAACATAAAGGGCTTAGGGATATAAATAAATGTTATTATTATTATTATTAGTAGTAGTAGTAGTAGTAGTAGTAGTAGTAGTAGGTATATAATAAAGATAGAGAACGTTATTTTTCTTGTACTATATTGAATGCCATTTTAAACCAAGACAAAACAAGAAAGGACGTGCACACATTGACAAGGATAGCAAGTGATTGTGGGGAAAAATAGCGCAAAAGATTAGAATACCAAGATTCTTGTTTTCATTATTTTTTTAAATAGCTCATCACAAGAAAAGAAATCTTCTTAATAGGTCATCCTCTTGATAATCTTGTGGTCTGCGAGGGGGGGTTATCGCACAAGATTATATCTATAAATCAATTAATGTCTTTTAATTACTCCTTTTGATTTGTTCCACCCATATATATATATATATATATATGATGAGCACTGGATCTACTTATACAATACATATATATGTGTTTTGTTAATAGGTGTATCATGACTACCTAGGACTTTATTAACTAAGTTTTGTGACCAATTTCTTGGGTACTGATCATACATTCAAATCGAATAGTGTGTAGATTCATTAATCCCTTGATCCAAACGCGTGCTATGTTTTCCTTTTAGTTTACCACAGAGTAATCTCCAATACAACCAGAGAAAAACAAACTGTCTAATGTTTTCCCTTTACATCCACAATACAAACATACAAGTTTCACCCCCTGCGCTATTATACAAAAGAGAAGATAAAAGTAGGCCACACAAATAGAATTGATATACATTCGTAAAGTCAACAGCAGCGGCTCCCAAAACAGTATATATTTAACAGGAATATAAATACATTACCAGGTAGACCTTTAAGCTTGCCTTTCATTCTTATCTCTCAAACTTTCAATCCGTAGCTTGTATTCACAAAGCTTAAGAATGTAACTACAATAAACAAGTCCAAATTGCTCTCCAAAAAATAATAAGAATCAATTTAGCTAGTATTTCACCATGTATTCTATACTATTAGACTTTATTTGATCTTAATTTTTTTTGTATCCATTTTTGAACAAAAAAAAGAAGCCTTTGTACTATACAAAACGTGATATTCCATCGAGGACTTACATATCTATTTTATATAAAGACACCTGCATGCATCTTAAATCTTCTCATCATCCCAACCTTTAATCTTTAATCCAATCAAAATGAACCAATTCTCAAGCAACACGTTTAAGATTGGCCACAAGAAAATACCTGCATATTTGCTATTGTGTTATGTTTTATTATATTGCGTTCTATTGTGTACGTCTATGTGAGCTCGGTGCTATGTAGTTTGTTGTAGAATAAAGAATTAAATTGATATAATCTTGCTGTCTGCATGAAAGTCAAAGTAGTTCGTACCGCCTTTTAAAATTGTATTTGTATCCGCGTATTCGGATAAGACTTTTTCTTTCTCTTTACCTTTACCTTTATAAATAGAATACAATACAACCCAATAAACCATATACTTTTATTAATACATAAAGAGTACCTAAATATATTCTATGTAAGCATCTAACCTTATCAATTTAGCCAATCGTATTACTTCTTGGTTTAGGGCACCAAAACGAAAATAAAAAGAATGTTACAGCGACATGGAAAAAAATTCCTAATACTCTAATACGCAAATCTAAAAATTTATAGACAGTTGTTCAATTTGAATATCTTAATTATGTTAAATTTTCTGAGCGGTAACTCTCAAGCAAGATATTTGGTTTTCTTGGGGTTTGACAAGGTACCATCTTTCTCCTTTTGAACTCTAGTTTTGAATTAGAATCAGTAAAACAACTAAAACAAGCTGGGCGGTTACCAGTGCTCTGTAATTCGTATAAATGCTTTTCTAAATATACAGCAGCAAAATATCGATTCCAAATTTTAGAAGGGGGGTGGCTATTGCACTTTAGTATTCGATTGCATATTGTGGTTGCCATTCTCTTTCTTTTTAAATAGTATTGGGCTGCCAATATTCTTAATTTTTCCCTCAATTCCCTTTCTCTCCACACAGGGCATGAATAGAACGCTGTGAAACCATTTTTCTTTAGCATCTTGATTATACCCGTGCTTATAATAGGCTCATAGAGTTTGACTGTCGGAGCTGTCCAGGCGCTAGGGACCAGGGCGTAATCAGAGCCGAATTTACGCCTCAAATTTCTAACCAGATTTGCATCGTTCTGTTCGTAATACACCTTACTTGAGAAACGCATTTTGCGAAAGGCCAAAAGATTCAGTGACCCTAGCTACGAATCGGTAAATTTTTGGATCTCGCCAAATTTTTGTTTTGAGGCTTTTTATCCCTGATTTTCTTAAGCTCAGGTGAAATGTTTTTGTAGTAAAGAGTGACAGACGATCTACGATATACTAGGAGACCCGTTCTTTAACATACCTTTGGCCCAACATTACTTGAATGTGATCAATATTTATTGTAACCTGATACACTCGTCTTGATCATCCTTAATATTTCTTGGAAATATTCCCGTATAACATACAACAAATAGATGTCCCCAGTACAGATTGTACCAACTTCTTGTAGTAAATTCGTTCCTGACATTAGAACAGAAAGCTTGTTTGATGCTTCTTGCCCAATTGTCGTAAAAGTCATATAGCAGTTCTTTGTATTCCACTTTTGTTCTAATATGTTCAACAAACGGCAAGGGACTGACGTCTTATGATCTTGTCTTGCAAAGCATATTTTCGGCCAAACGTACATTCTCGGGCTTTAAGTTCGTTTGCAATTGAGTGTAATATCGGGATTGTTTTGATCTGCATTTTTTTTGTATATTGGAATAAATACCTTTACTCCAGTGAGCTTGTCCTCTTCGTACAATAAAGTCGATCCCGTCAATTGAAGCCCATAAAAAATACGCCCTTTTTTGTATCGTTTAATGCTTCGATCGAGTTAAATTCTCGTCCCGAAGACTTTTTGTTTTTTAGTTTTGGATTACCTTGATCATTTTCTCCTGGTAGTTTACAAGTTGTCCAGAAGTTCTGCTTAATTATTGACGTACAGATCTCATCTGTTTCGATTGTGCCCTCAAAATGAATACACTTTTTTTTTAATTCAAATAGACTACCTTTCCCTAAATAACATTCTTGTCCTTTTTCATATTTGATTTATACTTTTAGGCACAAGTATACTGTCAGCTAGTACTAGTCTTCTCTTCTTCTGAAACTTGATCCTTGGGATTGTTATATGGTTGAGTTAGAGCTCTATTGATAACTTATTTGAAAGTTTCTCTAGTGTATCTTTCTTTTGTCATTTTGATTCGAATACGAGAAGAATATTCTTTTGATTTGCATACAAAGTTCAGGAACATTCTTAATCTATTGCCAAATAGGGCTTTCAATTTTTTGAGACAAGCTGTCTGCATGTCTTTACATTTGCGCTAAAGCTTGATTTTCCGTTTTCGTCTCATCACGAACTTGTCGTTCAAAATTAGAGTATTATCATTTCAATTACTACAAATTCTATCAATATTGCATTGAGTAGTTAGGCTTTTAAGAATTAATAATCTTTCACAAAATCATGAGAAATCGCCCATTTTTCCTTTTGTCACAAGTCTGAAAAACTTCTGGTTATCGAACAACTCATAATTGCCAACCATCTGTGCTTAGGATATAGAAAAAAAAAGGTGGTATATAAAGAAAAACCTTAAACCAAAAATGACACCCTCAATTAAATGTCATATTTTATAAATTATTATTTTTTATTAGTAGAAAATATTTTTAATAGAGAATTGAAACAAATTTAATTTTTTCGATATTTATACTCTGAACACCACAGCACGCACAATCATTATATCACCGGACTCGATCAGTTCCGGAGAGAAATATAATATAGATACGCAATTTTACTGAATGGCACAAATTCCGGGGGGGACAGGGAAGAAATAAGCTTACGGATTGATGATTTAACGAGTGATAGGAAACATCGAAACAATTCTGTATCTTGTTCTTCAATCCATCACACAAATGGTTCCCATCAAGTCCTCCCCCGTTGCCGCCAAGAAGGCTAAGTTTGTTATCGACTGCTCTGGTCCTGCCAACGATAAGATCTTTGATGCTGCTGCCTTTGTAAGTTACCAAAAAAGAAAAGGATGAATTATATATATATATATATCAAAATAAAGAAATGGATTACTAATATGTCTTTTCACAGGAAAAGTATCTTCACGACCGTATCAAGGTTGATGGCCGCACCAACAACTTGACTGATTCTGTCACCATCAGCCGTGGCGCCGACAACAAGATCACTGTCATCGCCTCTATTGCTTTCTCCAAGCGTTACCTCAAGTATCTCACCAAGAAGTTCTTGAAAAAGAACCAAATCCGTGACTGGCTCCGTGTCATTGCTACCGACAAGCAAACCTTTGAGCTGAAGTACTTTAACATTGCCAATGAGGAGGAGGCTGATGAAGAGTAAATCCCATCGCTTTACTTTTTTTTTCTTACTATTTTGTTAAGCAACAAACAAAACTAAGCTTGATTCCCCCCATTACACTCTAAACTAAAGAAAATAAAGTTAAAAAGAGCGCACAGACAAGGGTGAGACGAGAACGAACCCGCTGAGCAAAAAAAAAAACTTGAAAAGCTCACAAAATCACAATCTCTGCGGACCCAAACGGTATACACTTAAAAAGTATATCTATACACGTTGAAACTAGACTTTGAGAGAGATAACCGAGGTTGTAAATTGTACAACGTTGAAATAGGGGCAAAGTTGCCATCTTGAAAGAAGAAGAAAATAGCGAGGAGCAATTTGATACAAGCTTCTTAAACTTTCTGAAAAAAAAAGTAAAGGAATATATATTGAACAAACGAAAATGCCGTATGTTTTTCTTCTCTTGTTATTTGCAAGCAGCGTAGCAGCCTTTCCAAGCACTAACACCAGAACCACTGCCATTGTTATCTGTGTCTCCACCGCTGTATTTATACTGGTCATTGGACTGGTTGGACTAGTGTATTATCTCTATTCTCAAAAATGTAAAAGGGTATCTGATTCCGTTAAAGACTCATACGGCTTGGATGATCCAGACAAAGAAAGCAAACTATATATCGGCCAAGAATCTTCATCATTAGTAGAAGTTCACTCAGTACCATCATCACCAACGTTTTCTATAGTCCAGACATTACCAGGAACATCAGCAGTGCAAACAGTACCATCAGTACCATCAATACCAACAGTACCAATAGTATCAGCCATATCAGCAGTGCAAGTAGAGTTGGAAATACCTCAGCACATATTTTCAGATAATCATCCCATTCCGGCTAAGCGACGGGGATCAACAGCTTCGTTATTGCTGCTAGGTAGTCGATTTTTACGGCCCAGTAAACCTCTGAGGACAACAGTTGAATCTACTGGTGTAGATAGATGCGTTAGTCACAGAAAGACATCGTTTGGCTTGTCCTGCATTTCTTTGCTGGAAAAAAGAGGGCCAAAAGAGGCATCTGTGCGCAAGAAGTATAGGCGAAAGAAGATGACCGTCAACAGTCTTCGAGGAGGCATGGGTTCCTGGAAGGCTGCATGCTCCTCCCTCAGTCGCAAATCAGTCGCCTCTGTCCAATGGGTGAGCTTCCCTGGTCTGGAGAACGAGACTCAACAAACATTGAGTGTTGTTAATGGAGAGTCAACAATAGGCAAGAAGAGAAGGCTGCACAAGATCCCAATACAAACTACACCAAAGGACAACTAAGGAAAAGTCCTGGCTTTATCCCGCCTTGTTTTGTATATACCCGTTTTCTTTTGTGTCGACGTTATGCGTGTATTATACCATAATGGGTTGAAGAGATACATACTGATTGGCCAAACTGATGATCTTTTTCAACCACCTTCTCAACTCTCTTTTACTTTCTTCTATTCTCCCTCTCCCTCCCTCTCTTTATCTCTCCCTCTATCTTTATTGTCTTTATATATTATATTATATATTAATTATATTATACTATACTATTTTATTAACTATCAAATATTAACTGTTAAATATTGAATATTGAATATTGAATATTAAATATTAAATATATATACATATACATATACATACACATACACATACACATACACATATACATATACATATATATATATACATGTATATATATATATATATTTATATATATTTATATACTTGTATCATTTTATATGTATATATTTTTATACTTATATTCATAATCAAAAACGAAAAACAAAAACAAAGGTGTTGTTCGTTTGTGGTGAATTCATTTAAACCTATGCGACATTCAGCACAGCTACTCAAAGCAATAAAAGTCTTATTGCTGTGGGTTTCTCTTCTTGGCTTTCCGGTAACATGTATTTTTCCTCCTCGACCAACAGTAGCAAGTCGATCGACACTTGACATTGCCAGACAAACAATGATCCCATTAGACAAAAATTTACTTCCACCTACTAGACGACAAGATACCCACTGGTCCCCACCACCTTTTCCACCCACACCATCATTAAATCAGCATCACAAACACCAATTGCATTCAGATAATCTACATTCATTTTCTGCTAGACCTTCTCCATCCGCTACAGTACATGATCAGGTCACAACGATCTTTGTAGATATCACGACTATCATTATAATGGCCAGTCCTGATCCCAACAAGGTCTTTCACGACATGGATAACGATACTTATGCTCATCAACAGCAGCAAAATGGTGACAGTAATAATAATAACAGCAATAATAACAATAATAATAGTGGTAGTGATAATGATGACCCCAACGACTTTTCTGGAACAAATGCAGACCTAGCCAAACAGCTCAAGGACGATCAGGAGGCACTGAGGCGCATGGTAACCATTCTATCACTTGTCGGCAGTTTTGGTTTTATAGCCGTTGTTGCAACCGTAGTGATTTTTGCACGGATGCGATTGCGAAAGAAGGCCAAAGCTGAAGAAGAGCAAATAGCCGCAGAAGACCTTGAGGATGAACACAGAGATCAGGGTACGGATGGTATTGGAGTTGGAGTTGGAGTCGGTATAGGTGCTGGTGTTGGTAAAGGAAGTGGTCGGTCTGATCATGACAGTGATGACGATGATGGAACCCCTTTTATGCCGATACCTTCCGCACCACCTGCGCCAATGCTGATAGAAATCCACCAACAACACCAGAACCATTACCATGAACATTCAATAGACGATATGTGCCTACCATCCTCTTCTACGCTGAGCCCACCACCTGATCGACGACTACTGTCAGTTCATTCGCAGACAGCATTGGCGCCATCCGCACCGCCTGCAAAAGAACTTGCGGATCAGCCTGAACAAGGTTGCCGTCATCGTGGAGATGGATTATCGGTCGAACACGGCAGCTCTAAACCTCTCCCTGACTCCACGCCCTGTCCCAATTGCCATCATCATGCGACGGTCTCAGAGATCCCACCCCCAGCATACACCCCTAGCGCACCGCCAATGTATGCCGTACCTGATTCCCCTTGAAAACATAACATATTGATCCATTCATTGTAAATTATATCCCAGGCATGCAAGGTGCCTCCATCTACACATCATTACTTTGCAAACAGAAATCCCTCCAAAAAAAATAACCCACATCCTCAACCTCATCATTATAATCCTAATCATAATCATAATCATAATCATAATCATCATAATCATCATAATCATAATCCTCATCACAATCCTCATCACAATCCTCATCATATTAAAGAGATCGGACGCGTCCTTCTTTCCTCATTATTACATATCTACTTTTATACATATACCAATATACATTTATTTAATAATAGCTTGATAAGCCAATAACGTAATACTTTTTATATATATATATATATATACATATTATACTATAATAAAACGAAAACAACGAAAACAGAGACATTAACAAAACAGCAATATAATTGCTATCGGCGAAGGATGGTAAGTTATTGGAATATGCTAAGCTTCATTATTATTTTTTGACAATTCCTATACTGAGCTACAAATAGATACACTTCAAAACAGTACAGGATCGTATGATTGTCCTGGAACTCTCATTGGTGCCTCGGTCTCAAAGTTGGATCACACCGGAAGCCCTATTTCGTGGAACTCACAACGCACACACACACACACACACATATACATAATTTCCAAATCATAGTCGGGGTGTTGAAAGCAAAGGTCTTGCTAAAGACAACGTCATTTTGAGGGTTTCTTTTTTAATCAAACGCAGATTAAATACAGATAAAACAATGGTCTCATTAAAGCCACCAAATATATACCTCTAAATAAGCAAGTTACATTTGAAAGAGGTTTTCTAGTTGATATAATTCAATTTATATATATATATATATATATATCATAATAAAATACAATACAGTACAATACAATAAAGTAGCCTGGTGTCAGCCTACATTTTTTTTATCCGATTATACTTTGTCATGAATTGCCTGACAAGTCGAACAAGGGATTCCTCGGGGTAACTCATTACACGATTGGATCGCAGTCTCAACCACACAAATCCTCTAAAGCATGAACACTAATACATATATATTATATTATAATTGTCATAGTTGCTATTATTAATTTGTCCGAAAGTGTCAAAAACTGTAGTATATAAACAGTAGAATTTAACTCGTTCTTTTCTTCTTCATTATCATCTACTTTATCATCATGAACTCAAACAACGAAGAACTTACTCATCCTCTGCTTTACCGTGACTCTGTCAACCACCCAAACCCTTGCTGTAACAAGGCAAAATCCCCTTCAAAGAGCCCTGACGAGATCATCGAGCCCAGGCCAGCCAAGGCTGAAGACAAAGACAATTGGGATCTCTATCCAAACATGATCCGTGAAGTCGAGAACAAAGGAACTCCAGAACAAGTCGAACGTCTTCACGAATTGGAACACAAACATAATTAATACGATACACTTACCCTTTCTATTGTTGCCCTTTACCATCACCAAATCAAATCAAATCAAATCAAAAAATATTCTCTTTGTATTTCTCTCACACACACACATATATATATTTCATTTTTTAAATATCACAAAAAAATAACAATATTATTATATTTATCATTATTTATTATCATTTTATTAAAGTCTCAATATATCATTCTGTAATAATCATCAGGTCCAAAGTGTGTCTCACAATTTTCCCAGTCTCTCTCTCTTCTTTCTTTCCCACACAGCCACAAGTGTTTGCTTGACTTTGGCAAGATTGTCTTTAAAATTTGCCTCTGCTAACCCAGATAGTTTTGTGACCTGCTCGCTTGTATACACAAAATTCCACGTGCTACAGAATTCTGCTGTTTGAGGATCAAATCCATCATCATAGTCTTCGTTCTGGATTAATGGAAAGTACAGTAATGTAATCGGATTGCTGTGGTTAGGATATGTTGTACGTGTGGAAGGCTCCCCATCAGTCTCCTCATGAGATGTAGTTTCAGATGTGCTGGTAGCAAACACAGCACATGTACCCAAAGGATATCGCGTCTTCTTTGCTTGAGCACTCTCTTCAATTGCCTCCTTCATTTCTTCGCGCGCTTGCTTATGATCCTTGGACATATTGAGTTTTTCTGTTCCACAGAGTGTTTCACCTTCATTGGTTGCGTCCATATTATCTGCTCCACCATCCTTTGATCCGAGTTCATCAGAGATATTGTTTTTTGGCCACCCAGCACCCAGAGGCCAACCAAGGATCCCTCGACGCTTAACATAGCCTTCCGCACGTTCAAAATGCGAGTTTTCTTGAATAGCCGCACTCAAATCCAATGCCAGGATTACGTCGACATCACGTCCTTTACGCAATAGGGGGTAAAATGGAATATTGTTGTCCATACCGGCATCCATCAAGCTTAGTTTATCGGAGCTCACAAGAGACTCTGATCGGATTACATTATCGTCTTCCCGGGAAGGAAGGTTGTAAAATGGATTAGGGAAAGTGGCAGGAGAGATTGGATGAAATGTAGACATGGAATTCTCATAACGCAATATGGTGTCATCTGCTGTCTGTAGGGCAGACGAAGGTAAAAATCCACGGATCTCATAGTAAAAATGAGCCAGACTTGCAGCAAATGCAGAACCAAATAGACTATAATAATACCATAATAAGTAACTGCCAAGAAACACCCAACATAACAATATACTTTACCCCATGAGAATACCAATGGTCTGTTCCGGAAGCCTCTCTGTATTATTTTTGCTGTCAAATCTTCTTCCAAAAGACCACACCGGAATCCAGGCTGTGTTGTATAAAAACTTTAGGAATTGCTGCGGAAATATACTGTGTGTATTATCTTACCGCTAATTTCTTCGCTACCCATCTCATAAGGAGTAAATTCGAACCATTGGTATACGCTGTCAATCTCCTTTTCTACATCATTCTTACTCTCTTCACTATTAGAATCCTCTTTATCTTCTGTGGCGTAGGTTATTTCATGACGTACAACACAATATATCGGCATTGGCTGCGATCCATCATCAATATAGTGTCTTTGGTTTGATAACTTCAGATCTGCTCTGCCTATTAATCGAGGCCGTTTCTCTGCTCCGTCATCTTCTTTTATGGTTCCCTTTTCAGTTCCCCTTTGTTGTTCCTTGGAGACTTCTTTGGGCTCGATTTTTTCAGTGTATTCCTTCGCTTGGTCTTCATTAATGTCATTATCGGCTTTATCAGACGGAGAAACTTCTTCCATGGTAGTCAGGAGAGTACCGCCAAGCAAGAGTCCAAAGACATCGACAAGATTGAGTGTACCCTCTTGCTGATAATAGCGTTGTATTACACCACGTAATAGTACTTTAGTGTTGTGCGCAGAGGCGTACAGAACAGTCAGAAAATTGGATACATTGGCAATGTGTGTGTGTAGATGACTCTTGAGATGGTCTTGAAGGGCCGAGAACGATGCATTCGTCAAGGAACTAAAGTATTGTGCGATAGCCCACGTTGATCCGGAAACACCAGCCATGTACATCACACAATCCATCAATCCCGTATCGTCCATAGCTTTCATATATGCCGAGCTAGCCACCATAGCACGGTACCCGCCACCACTATTGAAAGCATTAAATTATTAGCCAATCTGCTCGGATATTCTTTCTATTACTAGCCTACTTACCTTGACGCAATTCCAATCACAGGAACATCTTCTTCTTCAACTAATGATGGATCAACTCCAATGAAATGTGCAAATGCATCCCGAATTTTCAGTTTTCTTGCCTTTATGAATGATATCTCATCTTCTGATAGACCGGTCCCCATACTAAGCAAAAAATCATTGTTACAAACCCACAATCAACTTTCTTTTTGACCTGCACGTACCGTACGGAAGCATCCTTTTCGATCTCTGGGAACACACTCGCATTTGTGTCATCCTTCCGGGTTTCTTCTACCATCTTTCTAAAATCTTCTAAAGAAAGGAATTCCCAGAAATTTGTGTAGCTCTCTCTTATAGCTTCAAATTGACCCATAAAACCAGGATACATGTCTGATATACGGTTATTAATGTCTTCCAGTGATGGCATGTTAGGTATGGCGACGGATGGAATATAAGGCAGATAATATGTTGAGAATAAACTGCTTATGAATTCGTCTGCGCTCTCGATAGATGGTAAGGTTAAGTAAGATGCTAGGCCGCCTTCATCTTCACTATTTTCAGTAGATTTTGTTTGAGACGTCTCGGGTTCTCTTGTTTTCAAAAGATAGTCCTTCACTTGTTGTTCTGTGGTACGGGCAATATGTTTTCGCCGGCGTTGATACAAAATTGTACCTGCTATAGCTACAATTGTGATGGATGTAAACCAGACATGGGAATTATATATTTTATGTGTATTTGATGAAAGTATAGTATGAGACATAATGAGTAGATAGAGAAAGAGAAAGAGAAAGAGAGGAGAAGAGAGTGATAGAATGCAGGTACAATTCAAAAACCCAAACTTGGAATACAATGACGATATACTAATGATTCACCGCTACACCATATCCACAAACCGCCAGAAACGACGTCGTACAAGACAAACGGATGAAAAGGCAAGTGAGTAAAAGAAATATTGATTTATGCTATAGGGGGTACTCAGCCAGATTGATCGATCAAATTCTTGTGTGAATCTTGGCCAATGGTATCAATTTGTAGTTGAGGACACCAAAAGACAAAAGTACAAAATTCGTACAAAATTCATAGATTTTTATAGCATTTATAGAATAATCTTTGCACATTCTGATTTCTTCTTTGAACGTGTAGGCATCTAGACTCTCGAAGAAATCAAGTGTTCTTTCCCTTTACTCAACATCTGGCAATACATTGTCAACCTTGTGTATGTATTTATTGGCTTTAAGTGTTTGTTTAAGCTCCTTCGCGGCAGTCATCTGCTCCAACTTTATATTAACTTCCTTTTTGATTACTTCCAAAATATCTTTAATAAGTTCGTCTGCACTTGCTGATAAAGTCTCTACCAGTGTTTTTTTTCACGATAAATTCCCTGATTTTATGCGATTTCTTCAAGGCATCAATTGCTTGTTGCTTTGTACTATATTTTGGCATGTAAGATGGAGAGAAAGAAGTATTATATAACTGTTGGCAATAAATTCTATGATTTATTAAGGAGAAAGATAAAAACAGTATCGTATTGCATATAAAAAGTAAGGATTAGGTTAATCAGAGAGCCGTACGTTTTTCGATCAAAATTTGATCGAAATTTGACCTTTCAAAAAGACGATCAAATTTTTATCGTCGCTATTACAATTATAGTCCAATAATATGGCGTTCTGAATTCAAAATTTGATCGATCAATCTGGCTGAGTACCCCCCATAGAACTACTGTGTATAGAATATTTTGATTTGTCAATATCTAACCTTATATGATCTCATATATTTTAGGTATCTTGGCCAAGAATATATATAATATTCCCCTGACTAAAATCATCGACCTTTTGACATCATTTTTGTTTCAAATACAGGATTTCTACTTCAAATCCAGCCAACGTTAGTTTTCTTTTAGACAAAAGGAAAATGATATTCAGACAGTGAAATTAAGTTTTGAGACGAAATCTCTGCCAATGAGGTGGCTTACCTGTAATTATCAAGAGACTTCAAGAGAAATACGCTGCTTACAATATATAAATTTTACAAAGCGCAACAATGACCATAATATGTATGTATATAAGGTAATTCATAGATCATTATACTGTGAAATCAAAGCGTTGTAAAAAAAATGCTAGTGGATAATAATCAAGTCTTTTCGTTTGATCAGTGATTCAATAATTAGCCAAATTACCACAGTTTCTATTTGAGTATAAAGTGCCCTTGGGTTCTTTAATTTTAATAACGTTACTTTCCTTTAATTATCTAAAACCAATGTCTAAAAAAGACATATATGAAATATTTTGACCAATTCATAAAAAAAAGAGTACCAAGTATGAAGGTAGCTTATATCTCTGTATTCAATCATGCAACCTTATTACTTCATTTATATTGTGATATCAAATATAGACGTATTGTGTAAAGATTTTGGACAGAGATATCATTATAACAAAACCTTTTATGCATGCATCAATGATAACTCTTTACCATCCGCTTCAAAAGGTACATTTTTCTTTTTTAAGAATAAAGACGATCAATAGATGAACTATTAATTTATTTACATAACGTATACCTTATATATATATATATGGCTTTTAGTTGGAACAAAAATAAGAAGAAAATGAATAGGTATGAGAAAATTGAAAAGAAAGACCAAAACGAATATAGAGAACTCAATGTTTGTGTCAAATTACTCTACTATAGTAACTTGCACAACCTGTAGAAAATTGGGTAACGCGAGTGCAAGATCATCTTAGTGTCCCAACAAAAAAAAGCAAGCAAAATAAAAGCAGGTTGCTGCGTTGATTAGGCCATTTACCTCTGTCACTCTAAAGGTCAAACTGGAAGCCTTTTTTACTACCGGAATACAAGAAGGCTTTAGCGACAAAATTTATAGACGTATCAAACCAAGTTCGAAAGATATTGTTTCGCTCACATCTATTTATCAAAATCTATAAGCAAAAAATTATTGTCCCAAAATTTCTGGTACATGACATCTCAACCGATAATCGAAAAGAAAGCTACAAACGCATTATTAGTACCAGATTACATAGTACACTTGAGCAGAATCCAGTAAAAAGTATGATATCAGATACACAACTCAATTGGAAAAATTCTATAGTCGGTGCTTATCTCCCACCCAAAAACTTAAGTTCTTTGTTTGAATATCATTCTTTTATACACTAGAAAACTAATATCGTGTCAATCTCAAGTAGAAACACTGTAAAAAGGCGTCTTTTATTTACAGTCAATCTCCAAAAAAGTAATTTCAAGATTACATTTTTTTAGTTAATTTATGTACACGGAATATACATTCAAATATATATTTGGTATTTTGCTCCATTATTACTTGTTAACTATTTCCAAGCCTTAATGTTCTAATGTTCTAATGCTCTTGTTTTCATTTAAAAAATGTGTAATATTTATTATGTACAAGAATTCATATATACTTTAGCGTTGAGATAATCAATTTGGTAGAGATTTCAAGTAATTGTTATATAGATATATATATAATATATACATAAAGAAATGCAGGAAAAATACGTTTGTTCACACGGCCAAAATGTTGTATTCTGGAATACAGAACCTGCTTAAAAGAATAACGTGTTGACCCAAGGTTATTTGCTTTATAAATAAATATACATACATACATACATACATACATACATACATATATATGTATGTGTGTGTGTTTGTGTGTATAGACATGTATATACAATTGATTCGTGTTTTCCTTGGGTTTAAATATTGATTCCTACAATGCTTCGGGAGTAAATTATGTAGCGCTTACTATCATATCTTTGTGGATTATGAAACCCATAAAAAACAATCGACATTATCTTTAATAAAATAATCAAGTTTCTGTTTTGTTACTCATGCTCCTCATGCCATAGCTGGTCTGACTCTTGTGTCTACGCATGGTAGATGTTGGTTCAAATGAAGGAGTTGCATATGCCTGACTGGTGTCAATACCACTCATACTTCTGTGCGTCGCATGTTGTTTGCTAGAATTGTCTCCCTTTCCAAGATAATAGCCATGTTTTGCGAATATGCTGTAGTTGTTCCATAATTTTGCTACTTCCGCTGTCACTCGTGTAACGTGTAGGCATCCTTGTTTAACTGCCTTTGGCCAAGTAAAGTCTTCTTCAGTAGAAATAGACCGTATAGAGCTCATCACCGATAGAATAGACTTGAAAATAAAAACAATAACTTGTGACCTTTAGATTCCTAAAACCCCCCTTTTAAATAATAATAATAATAATAATAACAACAATTAATTACCTTTAAGTATGCTGTTGTATCTTCCCACAATTTTCGGCTTGAATCCTTGTGTAAAGAAGGGCTAGGTGGTGACACAATGTTGGGTAGCTGGGATGTAGAAGAAGTGAACAAGGAATTCATACCGAGTCCGTTTCCTTTTGCCATGATGTTCTCTAAACTCTTGTCTAAACATAGGGCCATATCAACTGCTTGCTGGGCTTGCCTGCCGAGCGAGTGGAGCTTTTGCTTTAGGGTATCAGTTCCTGTGGACGCTTCAATGGATAGATTAAGTAAGTCAACTACATGAAGTGAGCCAGTGACAGCTAATTTGAGATGCCCAAGCAATTGAGTACTATCTTCAGCTGTACAGGGAGAAGCGAGGGGTGACATGGCAGGTGAGGCCGCATGGTGCTCACTTGCAGATCTAGCACGAGGTAGGGAGGGATGATGATTATTGGTAGAATGAAAGTCCGTGGGAGCCGAAAGGTTCGGTTGAAGAGATAAGGTGTGGACAGCTACGGGAAGAGAAATGATCATTTCCCAGGCTTCTTTGAGGTCTACTGTGGCGCAATGAAGAGTCATCACCAAATTCCTAGCATGTTTAGGATCCAGGATATGAACAAATAGGCTGAGACAATCTTTAACCCGCTTGCAAAGTTCTCGGAGCGAAATGATGCAAGCCTTGGCAACCTTGACGAGATCAATCTCAAATGCTGGGCTTGGTGATGGCTGCCGAGCCATTTGGTAATCGATTTGATGAAGTGCCATAGCCAGTTTGTCTGTACATGACCTCGAATTTTGCAAAGAGGGTAAGAGTGTTCCAGTGAGTTTATCGCTAACACAAAAGTCGAGACATTTATAGAGAGTTGTGTGTATAAGAGTGGAGAGAAATGAAACGTTTTGGCAAGCCTCCAGGAGTTTTTGGTTGGATGGGTTGGGATCGGGTACTTGGGGATGCGTGTCCGTGCTCATGCTGCGACTGGAGAGGATGGCCGAGGTAGCATATGATGGACTATGAGAGGTATAATTATATTCTAGTGATGATTTTCGGGAGAGGTTGAGTGGAGGAAGATTGGCTATCCGAATGGCATGCCGATTTGACGAGGATTTCATTATAGAGTAGCCTTGCTTATTAAGCGGTAAACCGGTTAAATTAGGCCCCGTATTTCCATTATAATTACGCGATAAAGGAGAAGGAGGAGAAGGAGTATCAGGGTGATCCATAGAATAGGGCCACTACCAATAAGTAAGAAATAAAAGAATAAAAGAATAACAAAGAAGTTAGAAGCCAATGGATACTAAAAGAGAGAAAGTAAGAAATAACTTTGGATAGAGATCACGTGGTTCAAGCAGTGATAAATGAAAGCAAAGGGGGAAAAAAAAGAGAATTGTGACCAACGCCAAGGTTATTTTACTATATTTTTTTTTATTAAACTGCTTTTCAAATACACATAAATACACATACATTTGTGGTAGAAATTCAATACAGAAATGGATAATAAAATATATATTTATGAAAAAACATATCATATTATAATAACATCAATTACAAGTCAATTTCATATCTACAGTGATATCTTGTAATTAAACAGACACATACAAGTGTTACATGTACATATAGTCCCAATAAAATTATGCTTAAAAAAGTATCAGAATATCCCTTTGTCTACCAATATCAAGTAAATTCCCTGAACATGTACAATTAAGATTCATGCAAGCTAAACGAAGCAGTCCTGAGCCGTTGCCGCAAGCCACCTAAAAAGCTAATCGGGATCCAAACCTTGTTCATTTTTTGCAAAAGAAGACCTCAATACATTGACCATTTTGTCTTCAAATAATCTGTCATGAAGAGCAAAGAAGATCAATCGTCTATCGCAAAAGACAAAAAACCACAACAAAATCAAATGGATAATGATTATTATAGAAAACCAGTTGAGATTGCCGAGGCTTTGAAAGTATGCGACATTGAAACGATGGTACGAGGTAAACGTCTCTTCGAGTTCTCCATTTTTGGAAAACAGCAATTCAATCTAATTTTAATACATGCTTGTCGAAAAAAAATCTGTCTTTATAAACAAAGCCCTTGGTAAATTGAGAGCTCAATTATCCAATGCTATCCGTGGCCGTGTTGATCCCATGGTCAAGTCAACTCGACCACTAGTGGAATATGTTCAGGGTTGCTCTGATTGTGGGGATCTGACAAGGTTGTGGGATTACCAATCTACCGTGAGTTTACATTCTACTTCACTGGCACTAATTTAGAAGTAAAGTTAAAAAAGTAATAATTTAAATTAACATCTTTTTTTTCCTCAAAGGCACATATTCAAAATTTGGAATGTATGGTACCTGATATAATTAGCATGTTCATTCGACTCTGCATGACACCTATTATTCGGGCTTTTGGTCTTCAACTCATTCAGACAATATCCTTTTTAAATATATTAAACCGATATGCGCCGACTATATTGTTTACATATTATACATCCTTAACCCCCTACTTATTTATTACATCCTAGAGAAGCAAATGAAGTACATTTACAGAGGCATATCATCTATGCGTATCCCGCAATGCCAGTCTACATTTAAGTTATTGACTTCAATTTGCTCATTCAATCAGTCAACTGCACGAGATTTGTTTCATTCATTCAATTTTCAGACAGAGGCAAGTACAAACATACCAAAAATAAGACACATGAGAACATTATATATAAACGTATGTAACGAATTTATAGGGGTTCTTGAGAGCATCTCGCTATAGACAAAACAAAAAGAACAATAATGTTCATAATTATATATATGGTAGGCCAAATAATAATAACCAGAATTAAGTATATATCCTATCAATTGTATTAATATTCCATTATTTAGACCTGAGAACAAACTATGTCGAATTGGTACTTGCGTTTCTGAGAAACGGAGATGCTGATATCAAAAAGCAGTTGCTTGGTATCAAAGGATTCGTTAGTGGTATTCTTAGTGGAATAGAAAATGATGCTTATCCGGTAAGAGAATAATAAATAATCTGATTCTTTGTATAAGACGTTGATATAATAATTCATGCATGTATATATTAGTTGATCAAAGAAACGCTTTCGGTGCTGTACGAATATCTTTTAATGGACTTTAAAATTTCCAGACTTGCAAAGACCCACTTTTTTTCATCCTACATGCTTGAGCAGGTAAAGCAAAACAAATTACAGATTCTTTATGTAATATACTTATCTAACATCATCCAGGTTGCAAAAATATATGCTCGTAACGAACCCGAACAAATATCATCTACAGATACTGGAATACCTGCAGACTTAGCTCATAAATTCCTCATTGATGCATGTACTGTACCTGGTATTGGCGTCTGCTTCCGTGATGCTGGCTGGTACCCCGCAAATACTCTTGTTGACGGAAATGTAGAAGAAGGTGTAAAAGGGGGGAAGATTCAGAACCGCGTTCTTTCTAAATTTATCCTGAGTTTAAAGCCTGCCGATGATATTCGTCAACAGGAACTTCTTTTGAAAATTCTGACTGCTTGCCCTGAACTAATTGAAAGGTAAAATATTAGCATAACATATATTTTTGTCACAAATAACTAAACGTCATTGCTATAGCTACTGGAAGACAACTTCAATGACCCTCGAACCCCGTATTAGTAGCAAGTGGCTTGCTAATGCATCATTGCTTCAAAAGACTATCCAGATATCTCCACCATCTTTCTACTACGGAGATACCCAACTCTACCGTGCAACGCCACCAGAAATTGAAACCATACTTGGAAACACAATTCCAAATGTATTCGGACGTAGTTTCTCTACAAAAGGTCTTTTACATGCTAGTCCATTAGTCCGTTATACTACAATGCTTATTTTGGCAGCTGCATTCCAAAAACATGCCAAGGTCACAAAAGCAATCAATCAAGTAATCTCAACCTTGGAAGACAGTGAAGAGAGTTCAAAAATACTTAATGACACTATTGAGGAGCTCCCATCAAGACAATGGCAAAAGTGTTTGGAGGGCATACGCGAAGGTTTAAGGCGTAGAGTCCCCGAGCTATATGTGTTTGTCGCTATTCACAGTCAAACTTCTGGAAAAAAGAAGGAAAAGGCACCCGAAGGTGTGGACGAACAAGAATTTGATGCACAGAATGAAATGCTGGGAGATAGTGCTTTTCGCTTGATTCGATACTACCAAGAATTCTTGCCCGAAACAATCATGGAATCCAACACAGACCCTAGTAACTTTGTCCCTTCTGATATCCTGTCTGTTCGTCCCAGCTCTCTTGTTCATCTTCTTGAACTTCTCTTGTGCTCCCCAGACTTCAAGTGGACAAACAAAGCTGGTAATAAACTTAAACTTTTCTTTTTAAAAAAAGTGCTAAAAAAGAATTATTTGAGTGTTCTAACCCGATTTATAGCTGCCGACTCATTTTCTCATATCACCACCTTGTTGACTCTTTACCTTCGTACACCTTACAAGCATATTCGAAACCTTACGGGAAAGCTTGTACACAAAACTCTTGCCGACTCCTTTATGTTCAAGCATGACCCAGAAGAAGTGGAACTCTGGCTTGATGCTCTTCCTCATAATTTTGTTCGTTCCGGAAACGAAGATGTATCTCTTTCCGAAGAGCAATCTACCGTTCTAAAATTCCTTGATGGTGGTATAATCCGATTTGGAAAAGCACAGTATAAATATTCAGATCAATTAGCCGGCCTTGTCGAAAATACAAACAAATCAGCCCTGGAAAATGGAGAAATTTCTAAAACAACATCTAATGCCCTCCTACGGTCCGTTATCAGCACCAACGATACATCTTCTATGGCAGATGATGGCACAAACGGTTTCTCCGAATACACCCATCCGTTCAGCCCTCTGTTGTTGACTCTTTTTGAATATTTTAATCTTATCAGTATCGAAAAACGACCTATCGTCCGATTCCTTACCAAACTCATAACTCTTTTGCTTTCGAAGCAAAAAGCCCCCTTTTACTTGCAGTATTTTTCCGAGAAACTCGCAGAGACTTGTGAAACAAAAACTATCTTAAACCCTCAAGAAATTTCTGAGTGGGGCGTGAATGAAATGATAACACAGACACAACAATGTTTGGAACAAAAGACCAAAGAACCCTGTACTGAAGCGTCGGGTTTAGATACCGAACTTGAGGGCGAGTTGATCGCATTGATTAAAGGTAATACAATATGCATTAATGTATATATATATACTTAGACTTTATTAATAAGGACCTTAAATTTTGACAAAAACTACAACCAATAATAGATCATGATACTGTTCCTGATATGCAAAAGAAAATGGTTGATATGCTCGAAATATTACCCGTTAATGTATTTTCCAAGAACTTAATTAACGTAGTCACATTATGTGGCCAGAACCTTGGGTGGTCTTCTTACGAACCTCTTGTTGCCTACATCTCCGAGCGCTATCCTCTTTCTGGAAGTTTATTTGACAATGCTGAAGTAAAAAAGTTGACTTCTATTGATTCCCCGGAACAGTAAGTTCGCTGCCGTTTATTAAAATATTCTACTTATCTGTTTTTTCATGACTCTGAAATATAGTGAGGCCATCCTTGGACTACTAAAAGCCATACCATTTACAACACTATTTTACAATGCATGGGCACAAAAACAAACTAGCCGTGTTGTATTACCTCTTATGCAGAATGCTATGGAGAAAATGTCACCTACAAAGCTATCTCATGCAATTCATTTGGTACTCGAACATCTCACTATGCTTCTTCTATCCGATACCAAAGAAATCAAATCGCCTCTTTTTCTCACCTTTGGTATCTTGAGACATGCACTGAATGTACTGGAAAAAAGCCATGACCTGAAAACGCGCCATTATCTTAAGAATCTGGTGCTTGATCATCCTGCCTTAAAAGACGTATTTACAAAGGTTATTTCGTTAATAAAACAACTGCAAAATGAAGCAAGTTTTCCTGATGTATTCGATACATGTGTAAGTTACTACTCCAAAAAAAATTAACGTAATGAGAAAGCAATTAAACGTTATATTTATTTTCGAATTAGATTCTTGACGTAGCTGTTGCCTACGTTGATATTTTAGGAGATGGTTTGAATGCGAGAGAGTTGATGAACTCTCTCGTTCGTGTAGACTATGACGCCTTGTTTGCACACTGCAAAAAATCCAACATCTTATTTTTTGAGACTACAATCCGATTGCTGATTGCACTTGTTGGTGATGTCCGCCGCCGTTCCGATTCAGATAATTTCGTAATTCCTAGCGAAACATTTGCTGTGATCACCAAGCTATGGGAAAAGCGCCCTTCACCAGCTCTGGAAGCTGATATCCTGTCACTATTGGAATTAAGCATGACAAACGCACAGGATCGAGAAGCACTTTCTGTTCTTTTGGATGTATGTTGCGCTCCCATAATCGGTCATATCCTTTCAGGAAAAGACACCAAGACAGATATGGCTGTTTTACGTGAATCTTGTCAACGATCGTCTGTCGCAGTATTTGCTATTATTCTCAATAGCCTCAAAGATTCTTTGCCCTTGACACCGTCTTTGGTGGAGCTGATCCAAATGGGGTATGACTTGTTCCCAGAAACTGCCGAAGAACGAACAGATTACGTTCAGCAAGTTCTGGAACACATACTAAAGCAGTTGACTGCGGCAGCAGATGCGAACAAGATGTCAGATGTTGAACCTATCGAAAATTTCTATGATAAACTCACCAGTTTGTTGGAGAACTCATTAGAGGACTTCGACTGGAAGATTTTGGATCCTGAGGTTGTTCGTGACTTTATCCTTACTACACTACTCGACAATATTGCCGACGCAGAAGCCATTCGATTCACAACTGCCTTGACAAAGCGTGTTTACGAAAATGTAAGTACATTTTATGTATTGAGCTTTTATTCTTGGTAATATTAATACATATATTTTGTCCATCTTAGTATGAAAAGAATGAGCCTATTGAAACTTACGTACGCCGTGTACTTGATCATGATCAATACCAAAACCTCACAACTCCTACAATTCAAAAGATCACTGATTCAGAAGAACCAGAGAATGAAACACAACGAAAGGCCATTATTTCTTTGATCCACGCTCTCAACGAAATCCAACCAAATGTACTCAGCAAACACCATGGTTTGCTTGATCCTCTCTTGACGAGCTACAGTGCTACAACTTCATTCACTGATCGACTTATTCTTCAAATACTCATGACTTGTGAACGAAACGGGCGTGAGACAATTTTGCCTAAACTGTTAATGTGGGGTCCAGGATCTGATAAAACACGTCAAGCCCATGCTCAGGCTGGAACTCTTCTTCAGGCAAACACAATTTCACTAGAGACATTGGGTTTGGTTGATCCTGGTCTGATGAAGTATACATTTTCTCATTTCCCCGTGGATGCCACTCTTTCAGATCCTAAGATACCTGATGAAAATGAACAAAAACAGGTTACATATGACCCTGACTTTTTCTTGCCTTTGTTTGCGAACCTCATTTCCAGCGGAGCAGCAGATTGTCGCAAGTTTATTGAATGTAACGCACTTGGATTTGTCAGTGTTTCAATGTCTTCTCTCGATGAAAATGTGAGACGGATTGCATTCCAAATCATGGATCAATTCTATGTGATTCTTGATGTAAGTTAACATGATGCTAAGGGAGTTGTTTTGATCTTCTTTCTCTTATTAATATCTTTAATAGCACGCCAAGTTTAGAGAACAAAGTGAAATCCTGTTCTTGTTAGATGTCTTTAAGAATTCTATTGTAGGAAGATCTAGCAATGATGTTCCTCCTCGGATACCTGCTGCAGTCACCGTGTGTGTAGCTCATGCTCTTTCTATCATTCTTCACCCAGGGCATTATATGCTTCCTTACCTTGCCAAATGGATGACACAAAGTGCGGCATTTGATTTTAACGTAAGTTTTGTAGAAACCAATTATATATATCTAACTGTACGTGCGTATATTGCCTATAGTATGTTCCTCTTTTCGGATTACTTTTCTCTTCTTCGTCAGAGAACCATAAGAAGGAACGTTTGTGGATGTTGCGTGTACTGTCATCTTCAATGCGTACATACGAGGTAAGTACTTGATAAAATTTTATATACTAGAAAATGGAAAAAGATCAATAACTGGCTTTTTATTCAAAGGATTATAAAATGTTTGCAAGACAACGTATTTGGGATATGATTGCAGTATTTTACAGTTCTGCGTTGGCAGACCAAGCTAGCAAAAAGGCTATAATAGAGGTATAAAAAAACTATAATAAGTACAAAAAATAAGAAGAAAAAAGAGGTAATGCCATTTTATTAATATACATTTGCTTTGTTAGATCATGGAACAAGCTACATCTATTCCTTCTGTCAGTGGAAGTTTGATCAAATACAATGGCCTTCTGGCGTGGGTTCATCAAATATTGGCTTTATCCCCTGATGTTGAAGAAATTCAACAATGGAAGGACATTCTTTCGGCCGCAGTCAAAACTGCTTCGACCCATGATAAATTGCCTGAACACGTAAAGGAAATACTCGCGGATGAATATGAGGTCTTGAACGATTTGTATTAGACTCTATGTCTGTGTTATTTTTTTCTCTCTCTCTGTTTCTTCTTATTTGCATTAATTACATTGTTTTACCAAACAAAATAAAAATACAGGATACGCAATTTACTGTATTCTCACTTATTATTCACAAACTCTGGGTACGTTTGTTTCAAAAATCTGTAAATCAACTTCTCTATAAATCGATATCATATTCACTCAGACCGATATTTATTTATCAAATAAAATCATCGACGTTTAGCTCAATTTTCTTTTGTATGAAGTACTTTTGCTAAGTAGTTCTTTACATAAATATACTATTACTGGTTCATTGTTGTGTTGTATATTGTGCCTCGACTAATATATATTTTAAGAAAATGATATATAACATGTTTTTGAACTTGAAACAAAAAAAAAATCAATTTTAAATACTGAAATTTTTGGGTCTTTATCCTGTTAATTTTAAAGTTACACTTTGACTACAATAAAAAAAATTAGAAAAAAAATGATAAAGGACTAGGAATGAAAATAAAACACGGTTTGTTCATAACAAAAACAAATACACTTGTAAAAAAAAAGGCAACACAATGCATTGCAATAATTTATACAAAATATCATCATATAAAATTGATGTCACCCATTTGCATTCATCATGTCTATGTTTAATCTTATAATAAATCAAAAACTTTAAGAAAATTTTAGAGCCCAAAAAATACAAGTCCTTTAGATGAATATATCATATTGTTGGCTGAATAATAATATTGTACTGCAACTATTATTATATATAACTCATAATAAAGAAGCAACGACCTACAAACACATTATCGAAAAGTGTCTTTTGTATGATTTACTCATGCAGTTGATAGATTGTGTTTATACTATGAGCACTAGCATTGTATTATTATTATTTATGAATATATATATATACTCCTTTTAAAAGAAATTTAATAACTTTAGTGCCTCCTCTTCAGAATGCTTTTGTCCGAATTACCTTTTGAAATACTTTCAAAAATTGCTTCGGAGCTTAGCCGTGGTATTGTTAGTCAGTGCTGTCTTGTATGTAAAGCGTTCCTAGAGCCCTTCCAAGAATCGTTATGGAGAGATATCAGGATTTGTAATCAAGATGATTTGGATATTATATGCTGTCCAGAAACACCAAAAGCATACTCGAAATTTGGACATAAAGTACACAACTTGTGCTTGATTACACATGGAACCATGACAGACCATCAGCTCAAATATTTACAGAACCTCTTTCCACATGTAAAATCTTTATATATTCATGGAGTAAATGCTGGTCCATTTGACGATATAGCTTTGACTGGCCTAGGTCCCTGGTATTCAGTAAAGAATCTAGATATCACCTTTCTTGGGGATTCGACTACTGCAATCAAACAAGTCTATTTAGCCCTCTTACCACTCTTTCCGAATGTTATAGACCTTAAACTCAATTGTCGTTTTCAGGCGGGAGTAGCATTCTATGTGGAAGACTTTGAAATCATTCATGCTTGTTTACCGCAGCTCAAACATCTCCTGACATCTGTAAGGCTTGGTATGATGACAACGAGAGATCTGCTTCGTGTACCAGAAGTTCCTCCTGCCAAAAGCATGTTGCGATTTGATGCAGGGCTTGAAGATATTGATCATAGATGGCTATGTTACTTTGCTCAAAAATATCCAAACTTGCAAGCAATTAGATGGGTTATCGATGAAGAATATGAATCGGATGAAGAAGTATACAACGAAATGGATATAGTGCCTCAGGAGACTAACAATGACTATGGAGAATCTATAGTCAGATTCCACGATCGGTACCATTCTATTGGTGAGGATGGATTCTATCATAGGCTAAATCGCGGAGTACTTTACAATAAAGAAGAAGCTCTTGATATGTTTTCAAGGCTTCCGCGAGTGTTTCCACATTTGGAAACAACTGATTTTTATAGCACTGGAGAAACCGATATTATTGGCCCTTTAATTTGGAAGATATTTACGGTTTTCAAGGTACCGGTCAAGAACATACATTACTTTTTTGGGCACTACCTAGAGGAAGAGAAACTACTTCATAACACCATTCACAACTTTACCCTGGCATTCTCTCAAACTATTGAAGAACTTTTTATCGATAGCGTACTATACTTTAATAGTCGCCAAGAAATTACAGCTTCATTTGAACGCTGTCCTCACTTGACACAGCTAGAGATCAATAAATGTAATGTGTCGATCGATGTTGATATTTTAATGGATCGCTGTATATCTTTGAAGAAAATAAAGATTGCAGGTGGCTTGATCACTGTGAGTTCAGATACAGTAGAGAATCCACCCTCTCACGGATTACGGCTATTAGATCTCAAGGAGATAATTTTAGTACCTGGGGCACTTGATCATATCTCAAAGCGTTGTAAAAGATTAAACTATATGGCTCTAGAGAATGTACAGATTTTTGGTCAGGTAGAGGCTGAAGGTGGACTTTCGATCGATATGTCTCTGACCCACTTCAAGCTTATATATATATATAATGTGAACTTTAGTTCCAGCTTCGAGTTCATAGAACTACGACCCAAAGACATTGGAATTACTATTGTTTCAACCCCACATTATAATATAAAATGGAATGATAAGCCGGGTCAGATGTATAATAAATATAAGAAATACGATACGGAGGTTTCTCAGGATCACACAGAGGAATGCACTGATAGCAAAGGGCCCAATTCATCTAAACTGCTCATACTGGATAAAGAAGATAGCCAAAATGCCTATGTATACTTTCATAAATTGAAGACCGTCAACAAAACACACGAATCCGACCTGATACAAGAGTGTTATAAAAAAAAATCTGATATAACACCAAAAAAAAGTGAAAATCTTAGTTATGCGATTATGAAATGCGGGAAAATAGATGCCTATGAAATAAGGGTATTTGGCGAAGGAAAAAATGTAGATTATTGGAAAGACTGTTTTAATACGTTTGGTACAGCCTGTTCTCGTAATGATATGTCAAGCATATTTGATTTTCGTGTATAAATTCAACTCAATATAGGATTCATAAGATATATCTGTCTGTACAGTATACTATAGCTTTAAAAAGGATTGATTTATTGGGATTTATTGGATTTTTATAATTTCTTTTCCCTAGAATTTCTTTATATATAATATCAATAATATTAATAAACAACCCCTATTTGAACAATCACTATTTTTCTAAGTTTCATGTATATTACTTTGGCTTGAGGTGATGTAGCAAGTATAGCCTGAATCTACTTAATAGAGCTATCAGTATATAAACTATTCACAAAAGGTATTCTGAAAAACAATACCTTTCTTTCTGGCTCGTCATCAGAATCCACGATTTCCAGTACCTTCTGGGCGGCATTAATTAGTATATATATTTTTTCTTTTTATGTGTATTCTCCTTTTGAATATAATATCTCTTCTTATATAACTTACATTTCTAGTCGGCAACGTCTTATTTTTGCAAAAGAGAATACCTGTTAGTATCATGTATGTATATGTATATATATGTATACCCGTCTTCGTTTCTTTGAATTTAACCCTATTGTAGTCTGAGAGTCTTGGAATGAGCTTTCAGTTTCTTTTTCTCTTTTGACGCTCGCTTCTTCTGAGTGATGGCTTAGCATTCGAGCCTGGGTCGTTTCTCGGTTCCTATGTATTAAAGTATACATTCGAAATCAGTTAATTTCTTAAGATATGTAAACTCACGACTTGCCGAGAATAACTGGCAGTTGACAAAAGACTACGTGAATTCTTTGCGGTGGAACCTGTGTTCTGAGTTGTAGGAATAAGGTGCTGAGCCTCTTCAAGTCGCTTGCATCTTTTAAAATGTGAGTATCAGATTTAACTTTATATCATATTTCATGCAGGCACCTTTCTTTTAACTCTGTTAAAAGTGTTTCGGCAGTAACTGCTTGAGTTTTATATTTCGAAACTTCCTCTTTTAAAGCATCTATTTCGTCTGCCTTGCTATTTTTTTTTGTAAATATACATATACATATACATATATATATATATTATTTTCTCATTAAGCTTAGAACTTAATGAACATACGAGTTTCTGTATTCTCTCAACTCTTGTTTTTTACTCTATAAAAGTATATACGAGATGTTTAATATTTAATCAAAAATCAGTACTAAAGTATTAAAAATTCAACTTTCTGTTACCTCAGTATTCTTTTGAATGTCTTGAATAGTTCTTTCGTAGTGTTTACACATTTCATTATAGTTAACCTTCGACATTTCCAACCTGTGTGTCGCAGAAAATGAGTACTTTTGTATATAGTATTCCAGAACTTACTGGGCAAGTAGGCTATTAACAGTAGACTTTGTGGCTTTATCGACATCAGCTGTAGATTGCTCGTAAATTTCTAAAGTAGTTTCTAATTCTGATATACTAAAGTAAAATTAATAAACGTATTATACTATATATACGCCTTTACCCTTACGTTGATCTCATAAGAATCATATCTTCTCTTATGGTTTGGCATAATTTTTTAATTTCCTCAATAAATTCATATATAGACCGTGATCTTAAAATACTTGTATCGATACTACTACGCATATCGAAGATATGTGTCTTTAAACCATTAATTTGTTCGATATAATCCCTATCCTGAGCTTTACACATATCTTCATAGACATGGTTTATGGTGTACCGTTAATGAAATCTCTTCCCATTTATAACAAAGAAATATGTACCAATAAGATCTCGGTAGGCCTTGTTTTGAAGATCCGTTTCTTTTTTCATTTCATTTAGATATCTATAGTAGCTATTATGTTCTCCAATCTGTGTAGAAATATCGGCAAGCTTATATGCGTTCTCCAAGAACTTATCAATTTCTAGAACCATAATTTAATACACTTCTCTTCATTTTGGTAACGATTAATTATTTACTCTTTTTTATGACTTTAATAGATTTTTGATCAACCAAAGAGACTGCAGTTTCGGATTCTTTTGACTCAGTCCCAGATTCTTTTTGGCTTTTTTCAGTTTTGATAAACGATTCAAGGCCTTGGAGGGTAGAAAAGAAAATATCATATTTTTCGGATAGATTCTCGAAACTACTATTGTAAGAATAATTAAGCCTTCTTACTTATATATATTAAGCCTACCAAATCTTGGTTTGATCACTTTGTCGAAATGATTTATTAAAAAAATCTTCTAACTTTGTGCTTTTTGTGATGTATTCTTGAATTTGCTCGCTTTGCCATTGAATTTTTTTTTCGAGAACTTGTATTTGTTGATTAGATTCAGTAATCGCGGTTTCTTTCTGAGCCAGTATCTGTTTGCATAGGCCAGCAAGAGAATCAATTTCAGTGTTAAAGTTATCTACGCTGGCAACTTTAGTGCCGGCCCTAGTGTATTGCTGCTCTATCGGATAAACCGTTTTGGTGTTTTTTTGAAACGGTGCTGCTTTTTTAGGGTTTGGAAAGTCGAGTTCTGGATTCTGTTTATTTTTAAAGGTAGAGAAGGCAGCTATGAGTACTAGTTTCAATAGCTATAGTAAGTACCGGTAAAGTTTGTATAATTCTCTCATCTGGCTTGATATATTTGGTAGCTTTTTTGGGCAATATAATGGGGGACATGCTCGGCTGTTCATTGCCATGCGACGATTTTACAGGATTCTGCGAGGGTTTGTCTGGATATTGAACACCCTGTATATGAATTTCGTGGCCGTTTTTAATCTTAGACGGCGGTATAGAAGTTGCACCTTTTTTCTGTTCTTGGACATTGACCGCAGAGTGATTCTGACTAAAGTCTTTAAGCATGTCCAAAGTCTTGTTCTGGGGAGGAAAGCAAGAAGAATTTCTTAAAGGTGGGTCCTGTCTTTTAGAGAGGATTGGGAGTAATGATGGTAGATTTGTGCCATTGGTATTACTGGGTAAGATGGGTCGATGAAGTATCTTCATACTTCTTCGTGCAGTTTCAACAGATTCCATCGAATCCACTGACGGTTTTGTCTAATCATCCAACAATGAAATATCTCAAAATTACAACACTAGTACTCTGGCTTATTTAGTGGGCAGTCCACCTCACCTCTAAGCTGGATGCACTACGTTCATAGCTTGATTGAGACCCCAGAGAGGTTCCTAACCTCCGGGTTGGATTGGGCTTGAAGCTAAAGGAAAGAGGCTCAGGATGGAAAGAAGAATCTGTCTCTTTCTCTTTATGATTATCCATTATGTTAAATCAATAAACTCGGAAGGGTGAAAGTGCTCTATTATTTTACAGAATAATATCATTTTTTTTATTGTGAAAAGAGAGAAATGATGACGCCAAGCCAAATAAATACACTGATGTGAATTTTTTTTTATATATCAATAATATTGGTGTGAATTGACATATCGTAAGGAAAGATATATATATACAGGATCTAGCAAAGAGGATACAGATACACTGGCCTCTCTATACCAACATCTTGGACATATAAGGGCCTAGTAAATTAAGTTTAAAGATTGAATTAGTTGTATGTGTGGCTAAAAGATTAGTGCACGTATAAAACTTACCATCCAGATAATAGCCAAGTTTCTGGTAATAATGACGAACGCCAACACCAGAGATGACAGCTAACTTGACACTTCCGTGTTCTTCCCGGGCGATTCTCTCAGCTTCCTCCATAAGTAAAGTACCAAAGCCCTGATGCTGGAACTTTGTAGGATCACGATCGTGCATCGGTACTACAGAGCCATAAACATGGAGTTCTCTGACAATAGAGGTCTGTCCGGCAGAAGTGAGTTCAGGACGGAAAGTCTGTGGTGAGCATTTTCTGAGACGGAGCAGACCGACAAGAATATCTTGATGAGGATCCTCATAAGATAAAAAGGTTTCCCAGCCGTTGTTTGCTGTGTAATCACGTCGGATAAGCTCAACCTGGTCTGGTTGGATCTTTTGATGGATCTCGGTGATACCGACTTCTCGTGTGCGGACATCGCGACATTCGGTTCCGAGATCCTTCATTCGGTTAAGTGCCAACTCGCGAAGATTGCCATGCTCTACACCCGACGTAACAAGTGGCATGGGGATGTCACGTTGGACGCGATAGATGCGGGTCCATGGTGGGACAAGTGCAAGAATGCGAGCAACCAAGTCGACCAGCGCATTGGGCGTGTAATTTTGGTATCGACCAGTACGCCAAAGCTCATACAAGCCTGTGCCACGGATGACAAGCGTAGGGTAGATTTTCAGACCGTCCGAACGGAACGCCGGATTCTCAAAATACTCTTTAAATTGTTCCATGTCGCGCTCCATACCAACATTTGGAAGATCAGGCATCATGTGGGAAACAACCTTGAAACCAGTATCCTTGGCTAGTTGGAAAGACTCTGAAACAGCCTTGACAGTATGGCCTCTATAGAACAGTATGGGAGATTAGTACGGATAAAGAAGAAATGTGATAGATTTTTCATCATTTTACCTGTTTGTATCTCTAGCTACATCTTCATAAACACTTTGAACACCAATCTCAAGACGTGTACAGCCATAACGCAGCATCTGACTCAAATGAGGCTTCAGACAGTAATCTGGACGAGTTTCTATTGTGATACCAATACATTTTGTCTGGCTCTGCTGTGAATAACTATACAAATTGCATTAGCAATCTTCAAATAAACTAGATATATGACTCCGCCGATCATTTTTTGTTATTTCAAGGTTCTTACCGCACAGCCTCGTCAACATCATTACTAGGATGTCCCGAGAGAGCATCATGAAGGTTAGCAATAAACCAGTTGCGGTAATCTTCTGCCATCGACATAAATGTACCACCCATCAAAATATATTCTACTTTGTCTACACTATGACCCAGACTTCGGAGCTGATCTACACGGCCACGGGCTTGTTCAAATGGATCATAACGAGCACGAATAGCACGCATCGAAGTAGGTTCATAACCGGTGTAAGATTGGGTAGAATACTCGAAATCTGAGTCAGGGCCACCGGGACAATACCTATTTGAAAATATTAAAATCAACACTAAATCCATATTTTTACTCTTATTTTTAGATAATTTAACTCACACACAAATATTTCCTGTCATGGCAATATGAGGACATCGATGAGGCTTGCACATCACAGCCACAACAGCAATCTGTTGATTGACTCCATATTTTTAGATATACATTCCATCTTTTTTTTGTTCTAAAGTATATACATACACCAGAAGCAGTTCTAATAGGCTTGGCCTTCAACTTTGGTAAAAGAGCTGCTTTGTATTGTTCCGGGATAGCAGCAATAATGTCTACAAGCTTAGGCTGATTTTGGAGTTTGTTTTTACTAGCAATTCTGTTCTTGAGACCGTTAAGGTTAATATCTTTGCGAGCATCAACAGCTTCGACCAATTCTGCAATGATCTCTGAACATGTCTTGACCATAAGCTCAGCCTACGATAAAAAAAGCAACGAAAAAGGCGACACATAGATATAAATTGCAGGAAAGTTGATGAATGAATGTGTGTGCGATGCATAAATGTTAATAACAACAGGTCTAATTCATACCTGTGAAGGCCCTTTTTACACAGAAAAAAAAAGTCATCAGAATTTGAATGATAAGCAGGCAATCGTAATCATAACGTCAGAGAGGTGTACCTTTCTTGTTCTTTGCTGACATGATCGTGTTGATCTCAGGTTTAAGCTTATGTCTCGGCCTTTGAAGTTAAAAAACATAAAGGTTTGTATAGTGACGGCTATTATTGAATGCAAAGAAGAGCCAAACTTTACATTTAGTAATTCCTTTTGCTGCTCTAGTATTACTGGTTATTTTAAAACGAGCTTTAAGTTATTTGATAATGATAATGAATATAACCTCAGAGTAAGGAGAAAGTTAACCATATTGGACGTTTTGGGGCCAAGGATCTAAAGTTCGATTTTATTGTTTTGTGGATAACAGATACATATATTGACAATACACACATATTCATTTGATATTATATAATACGTTAAATCTAGTGTATTAATGAGTAACTTTATAAATAACATTTATTATATAAAGAAGTGCACAATAATAAACTTTTTTTTGGTAATTTTTTTATACATAAAGAACATTCAACAGAAGTCTCTAAATACGTGTGCAAATAGATGACGCACAGGAGGTGTGAATAGAGAAAAGGGATCTTTTTTCCCCGAATTGGGATGTAAGGCCGGCTTGAATCCTATTTTTCTTTGTGGCACGCGCATTGGTCGGGAGCTACTTGCTCCATCGCACCTTTGGAGATTCGTTTTCTTTCTTCTTTCTTTTTAATTCTTTCTTACTATTTTCTTCATGACAGATTCTCATAATCGACGCTTCTTTGGCCTGAAAAAAGAGAAGGCGAGCGTGTCACCAAAAGTCGATGCTGGGCCAGCAAATGTACATGGCTGGTTGATGAATGTTCCTGGGTATCGAGAGGATGCATCTGCTGTACCGGCAGATCAAAACAGAGATGGTCATTCGTTGCTTGTAGATGGAGACAATAACATGTAAACAATTTAGCAAACAAATAGGCATCTTTGTTTATGTGCTGAGCTCATACTTCTTTGGATAGTATTCCTATAGAGACGAACTCTCGACACCGCCGACAGGGACGGCCCGAGTCGATATCATCGATTGGATCAGAAGACAGCGTTGACTTGCAAGATCTGATCAATGCCAACTTTACAGTGGATATGGACGATGAAACGAATTTGACCGATTTGGCTGAATTGGGGCTGGAAGACTCTGAAGATTTCCTGAAGACGTATGAGGTAAGCAGTAAGGAGAACAAGGGGGTAAACGTCTAACAAAGTATTCCAGACACTCGATTCTCTTCGACCAATCCTTCATGGAACTAAGAGCAATAACAACAAAGCGGCTACAGCAACAATATCATTAGAAGACGATTTTGAGAATTTCCTTAATATTGGAAATAAGGTGTGTACACTCACAAAGCACATGTTGTATTCAAAGCTACTTAACAAAATGTTACGTTTTACTTTACCTATAGCATCATGTACAGCATGAGCTTGACTGGTCACCGGAAGAAGACCATATGGAAACAATGTCAAACCATTCTTCACAGACAATACATTATAGACCAGGAGCTGCACAATTTAGGCAGACGGCATCATTGATTGAACGAGGGGTGCGTGAACAGCGATCGGGGAGCATGAGTAGTGAGAACAGTTTGAACTCCCAATCGACCATCACTACCGGACTTAATCAATTCACACGCTTTGGCCCCCCTATATATCCATCAGAGTCAACCTCGACATCTTCACGCTCTCATAGTCGCCTCAGTAATTATTCTGCTAGCAGTCAGGCTTCTTCTGCTGCATCCCCTATCTTACCGCGTCCCAGTGGAATGCCAACACCTAGTCGCTCTTACACACGCAAAGATGTTGATTCTCACAGTAGCCTTCCCCGTCCAGGTTCCCGCATGAAATCAAGTCTGGTGCCAACTGGACGCTCACCTTCCGCTCTTCCTACTCGCCCATCTCATATACCTGCTCCAAAAACATCAACTCCTAACCCAGAGAAAACGCTTTCTTCTAAAAAGCCTACACAACAACAGCACCAACTACAGCAACAAAAGCAACAGAAACCGCAGCAAACACACCAATCAATAACTATGGGAAGATCAGATAGCAGAATTGCGCAAAGAACAAGTCATATTCCAAATGTCTCATCTACTCCTCATTCCCCAATCATGAGTCCAGTAGACAGCAGACGATATTCTGCCCTTTCTAGGCCAACTTCCCCTATGCGGGCTAATACAACTCCACGCACGAGTCTTTTCAGCACGCCACCTTCAAGAATCACAATTGTCAAGCCGATACCACCTACAACAGGATTCAAACCTCCTCAGCGACGACATAATACACAACCACTACAAACAGATCAAGACGAAGAAACTTCACGTACGACAGGACTTAGTGGACTTAGGCCTCCTAGCAAGAGTATGAGCAGAATTGGAATGATGAAAAAACCATCTAACCGCCCATAGAAAGTAACACATTGTTTTTGACCAAAAATGTATTCCATTTTTATGTCCTTTGCTTGTATGAATAAATAGTAAATGCAGATTTATTGAATTGCTAATAGAGCTAAAAAGAAAAGAAAAGAAGAAGAAAAAACACTTTTTTTTTACATCACTCTCTTTTACCAGCTTCACACAAAGACAAATATACACACACGCACATACACACACATATATATATATATATATATTTCAAATTGGTTGATTGCAAGAAAACGCAGCATTATTAATAGGGCAATGAAGTGAACAATATTTATTTGTTGCTGACAACACCATCGAACTAAAGGCATAGATGTTAGAGCGATTTTCCAGTCTAAGCACAACTATAAAGTAACTTACGCGGGTCTTGAACCATTCAACAGATTCTTCCTTCTTGATGCGGTGGGTAGCACCAACCTTGGACTTGCAGTGCTTGCGACGAGCGACGCGGTTACCGGGGCGACCCATAACAATGTAGTAGTCCATACCGTAAATACCAATGGAAGGATCGTACTTGATGCCCAAGTCAATGTGCTCATCAATACCGAAACCAAAGTTACCGGTCTCAGAGAAGTTACGGGCACGGAGCTCGTACTCCTTGACCTTGAGGCCACGCTCAAGAATCTCCTCAGCCTTGGGGCCACGGACGGTGACGTGAACGGAGATCTTTTCGTTACGACGGATACCGAAGGTACGGACGGTATAGCGAGCCTTGGAGTAGACGGGGGTCTGACCGGTCAATTGTTCGAGAACCTTGGCAGCACGAGTAAGTCTATCACCAGACTCACCAACGCAAATGTTGAGAACGAGCTTCTCGATGTGGAGAGCCTTCATCTTGTTGACGGCAACAGTCTTTTGTTCGGCGCTCTACGATACAAGAACATTACGATGAGAGGTCATGTAATTATTGAAAGAACCGTAATTCCACATGATGTCGAAATAGTTGTATCCACAGAAAAAAAAATTGGTGGGTGGATAGATATGGTTGGATCGATAGATGGATTGGAATTGGCGTGGTTATGATGATAAAAAGTAGCGATCTATAAGGGATGGATGCATACCATTGTCTGACGATATCGAAGCTAAAAGAGGGATCGATTGGGCCTGCCTTGGATGGTGTCCAATATACATTATTCCGGTGGGTCTGGCACTAGAGATTTCGGGGAATCAATTTCTTCGTCCACTGCTTAAACCCATTCTGAAAGTATCCAGATTACTTTCAATTTGATCAGCACACTTTGGTAATTGCTTTAATAAATTGAAAGAAAATTACCAGTATATGTCTATCTTGGAGTATGTCCTTTCAATACAATTAGAATGTATATCATACTTAGAAAAATGTGGGTTTTATGACACCTAATTTAACTTGTATGTCTTCACAGAATAACAGATTACATATGCTTCAATAAATATGACAAGTCTTAATATATTTTTATAAATCAAGTCTCCAATTATGATCTGTCTCCTTAGGAATACACATATAATTATATATACCTATGACTACATCTTAATCATTTGAACGCAATATTTACTTATACCCAAAATCAAAAGCACACAAAACTCCAAGTGAACAAACAATATTTGAATACGAACATAATGAATTTTTGAATGATTTTTAAACACAAGGGGGAGGAACATTTATTTCCAGAAAAGTAACCGTTTGGAACTAGTCGTGCACAAAAATGAACCATGTAGATTAAAGAGAGAGAGACAACTAAAAATTTTAATGCTGCTTCTTGGACTATAAAGAAAAAAATGTTTAGTACACTTAAATCAACACAACCTTAGTCAAAAAATTACATACCTTGATCTTCTTGACGTAGAACTCAAGCTCCTTGCCCTCAAGGATGTAACCATCGCAACGACCAGACTGGCCAGGGCGGGAGGCAATGACGGCATAAAGACGACCGGCAGTGAACTGATCATCGAGGAGGGGGTCAACAGCGGCATCGGCCTGACGGGCAGCGATCTTCTTCTGGACGCTGTTAGACTTCTTCTCGACGGTAACTTCTTCGGCATTGGCCTTCTTCTTGCCAAGGGAGGAAGCGTAATGGGCCTCGTGCCACTGACGGAAGGGAGTAGCATCGATCTGAACGACAGCACCCTTAACGAGAGTGTTGGTACGGACCAACTCGTTGTTGGAGGCGTTGTAGACGACAGTCAAAACACGGGTCTTGCGAGCAATTCCCTCGGATCCCCAAGAGAAGTTGCCAGACTCAAGACGAAGAGCTCTGTGCTTGACGTTACCGCCACGGACACGGACGACGTGGATACGTCTGCCACCGAGCTTAGTCATGGCTGGGGGACGACCCAACTCGAACCTTAGGAATAAAGTGTGAGTTTACTGATTCATTTATTTGTCCATTTCATTTACATCATCAAATGCTTACTTTCTCTTTTTTCTGTACTGATCGCGTTTGGCACCGGTGGCGCTGCGCTTGTGGCGAGAATCACGACTGATACCTATTCATTCATCCATTGAGAAGTAGAGGTTGTTAGGTATGGATGGATGGGTTGATAGATAGATAATTTCGTCATATCATCTTGGACGGATGCCTTACCCATTGTGTTTGCAGAGAAGGAGCCTTTCGACTGCCAAGCGTATTCCGTTTTACGCTCGCTCCGGCTGCTCCTTGGACGGTTTATGATGTCAGCATTCCGGAAGCTATTCAATTGCCGCCCACAAATCCCTCTTTTTCATACTTCTTCCGAGATTTGTCAAAAGATGTTTATTTTATATGAATATTTACAAAAGCTAGAATCAGATAGGATGATAGTACAAAAACATAATAAAAATTATCCAGCTAGTCCACCTCAATCATGTCTGCCCGGACATCGTTTAAAATAGCATTTGGTGCATCGAGCATAATAACATCTTCATTGTTTTTTTCTGTTTCCCCATTAACTTTTGTCTGGTCTTCCTTTTCCTCTACGTTGTTTGTTTGTTCTACTTCTTCTTCCGCTTCTTCTTCTTCAGGTTGAGAAAAGCCTGGGTTTAACCGACTACTAACTCGAGTGGGTCGGACACGTTCATAGTTCTCCTCCTGATCATAATCATCCTTATCCGTAAAATCATCGTAGTTATAGCGTACAGGACGTTTACGATCTCTCTGTCGAAGTTCACGGGGTACAAATGCTGACTCCAGGGCCAATTGACGGGCTTTAGCTCGATCCTTCTTTTCTTGTCGACGTTGACGTTCCTCTACAATTGGGATCAACTCTTGTACACGTTGTAATAGGGCTCGTTCAGCACGATTCTTGCTGACTTCAGTTTCACTTAAAAAATTTTGGAGTCCTTCTATATCCTTTGCGACTAAACCGCAGATAGAATATTAACCAGTTGTATCCCATAAAAGCTTTCATTTTTACCTGTCTCCCATTGGAAGCCATTCTTGATCCCAGTCTTTTCACGCCACAACCATGCAGAATCTATGTCATGATGTCATTATTTCCTTTCGTCTTTTTCTGAATACAAGAGTATCCAGAACAAATTTTCAAAAAAATAATAATAATATTTACCTCCAAATTGAAAATAAGCTCTCTTTTTACTGTCATATCCAAAAGGAACAAACTCGAGTGGGTTTGTTTGGTTTTTCTTAACATTTTTGAAATAAGTATCAATCACTGAATGTATATTGACACAGTCTTGGAGTTGCCATTCCACCAATAGACGCAATAAATTGAGCTAGATAACTAATATTAGTTCTGGGGTATACCGCTGTTTATTATAATAATTTACCTTTACTTCTGGTGCAAGTGAATGAAAATTGTTGTGATTGAGCAAAGGATTTTCTGTCAGATCGCATTCAAAAGCCTTAATTTTGGTTGTAATCAGTTCTTGGAGTGTTCTGCTGCATCCGCTTATTCTAAATAAATAAATAATAATAATAATAATATTAATAATTATCTTGATAATTATCTTAATATCCCTTACTCGACGCCTTTTTTACGATTCAGGGCATTGCTCAGAAAAGAGCAAAGTATTTGATCCATTAAATCACTTTCTTCGGTTTGTAATAAGGCGTGTTCAAGATCCTAATGTATCATCATCACACTAAGTCATGTCATTACAAATGACTCTCTTATAAAGAGGCCAATATTTGTACACGTGTATGCCTTACCTCTGGTTGAAATTTTGGAAAGGGATACAACCCAGCCTGTCGCGCCTCTGGTTGAAAAGTAGTGGTGAATGCAAACACAAAGGCGATCTCCCATTGCGACTGAGGAGACCATTGGATTGTCTCAGTAGCAGGCATGAATTATATAAGTGTATGTATATATATATATGTTTTAAAAAAATCTTAAATAAATCCTCCGTGTAAGAATGAGAGAGTATATATTTATATAGAAAGAAAGAGAGTGAAAGAAACGAGGTTGAAGAATTGTATAATTAGTTTTGCAGCCAAACTTTTTTTTTAATGAACGTCAAATTTTGACACTTTTAATGACCGCTTAAGTGGTTTGCGATAAGTTTACAGAGTTTTGCATTCAAAAAGGAGAAAATCAAAACTTTTTTGAGATAATTTCAGGTTAAGTTTGAGAAACTCCACCCTTCAAGTGTGTGATCCGTAATTTCCAAACAACAGCATTATGATAATATTTATATATTGTGTACAGTTACAAATAAAACCATAATGTACGTACAGTAAAAGAAATATGAAGACTTGTAATAATTTTACACTATACTACATTCACCAACTTTGATGGGAGATTGCTACAACTTCATACCCTCTCTATTTTTAAAAAGGTAGACTTTCTCAAATTTAACCCGAGATTGTCTCAGAAAACCTTTGACTTTCTCATTTTTGAATGCGAAACTCTATAAAGCCAAGACCAACAATAAAAAAGATGGTAGGTAAAATGTTTTTAAGTAGCTTTATTTTGAAATAAAATTCTGGTTGGTACGATATAGAAGAGAACAAAAGTGTTAGAATAAATAATAAAAGTTAAGCTTATAGATGCTGATAGAAATTGAAGAAATTGCTTACCCAAACTTCTCTATGATCAGTCATAAATAAAAAGGCACAAGTTTATACAGATTACAGTCTTCAAAAATACCTACTAGCTTTTTACTACTAAAGAAAGAAAAAAGAATTGGTTGACGGATATTGCCTTTCACACGCCATAACTAAAAACTAAGCGTACAGCTAAAAGTTTCTATTTAAGGATGAGATTTTTAATTAAATAAGATACCTTTGCTTTCCTTTCTCATTTATAACTATACCACCAGAAGAAAAGAAGGGATACCGAAGGGATAGTAGCGCTTGCAAAGGTCACAGGCGAAGGGTTTCTTCTTCAGGCTGCTGCTGATTAAAGCCGGATGAGACAGTTAAAAAGCGAGATAGGTATCCAAGATGTTATCAGCTCTATCACCATTTTGTTTATTAAAGGCAATTTAGGATTGTTATCTTTGAGAAAGAGTGGCTAAATTTATTTTATACATTGTATATAGAGAAGGTGTTGCTGCTGTAAGTGAAGGACGAAAAGAGAGAAAACAATAGAGATAATATAGACTGTAAGATTGTTCAAGTTTGTATTAATTAGTCTCTAAATCTCTGATATAGTTTATACACAGCCTATGCGAAAACAACCTAAAAGACAAATCAATTCCTTTAAAAAACAAGAACAGGATTGTAAAGAGGAAAAGGTTACAGCACGTTGAAGACAATAAGAGCCTCAGGTTAAAGATTATACTTTATTGCGATATGTTGCTGACAATCTATAGATCATATACTATCTCGGGTGCAAAAATAAAAATAAAAAAAAAGTCCTGAATTATCACAAAGGCAAAAATAATATTAATTAAAATGACAAGTCCGTTATTCAGGCATGTAAGCTAAAGTCGTAGATCAAGAAAGAAGAATTCGTTCTCTGAGTTTACACCTTCATGTAAATAGAAAGGTCGAGAAGATGAAGCACAATCACTCCTTATTTATGTTTAATATACAATTATGTCGAAAATTCATGGGGTTTATCAAAGCAATACAGAGGTTTATATTCAGATTTTGATTTACAGATGAAGCTATGGAGCTTCATGCTTGAGACTTGGGTTGGAGGCAGCCAAAAGATCTTGTTGCATTGGTAATATCTAAAAGGCTTGTCATTATGTCAAAGCGCATACATTCCATTTTACTAACTGTGCTCATCAAATCACTTAATTATAGGAGAAACTTCATTATTGAAGCTTGTAAGAGTGTGAACCTTAGGTTCATGCTTGATTTGATGTTTCTGGTGTGGAAATAATATGTTACCATTTTTGATGATAGTACTGGAGAAGTGGTCAAAAAGGCAACATATCTAGACGAAAGCAACATTATAGAAGTAAAATGGCCAATCATTCAGATTGTGGGCCCGAATGCGTACTTGTGCACAATGAGATTAGATGCCAAACAGCTGTATGTGCTTGAAGAAGTTTATGCTTTTCCCTTTTCCAACTCCTTGTTTGAAATCCGGTATGGAGGTATTGTAAGCTTTACCGATGGGCTTTCTAAAAAGAGATAAGACACAGCTGGGCTAATTTTACGTATTTCTGACTTATCTACCATTTTCACATAATATAGAGTCTTTCGTTAGAACTGGAAAGGATACGCTCTCACTACAGAAATTACTATCAGATATCTTGATTTTTAATCTAGAATAAATTACACTTTAACTTATTTATGCTATATCTTCTAAAGAACTCAACTGAATAAGATGAAACTTCGCTTTCTTATAGTTAACGGAATACATTTTATAAATTAAAAAGAAAAAGAGAAAATGTCTAATATACGGCGTTGGCACCACGAGCTTTGATCACTGCTTTAAATTTATTGGAGGGAAACTTTACGAACATGACAAAGGGAGGTAATTGAAGTTTGAGCGACGTAACATACATCTTGTGTTGGTGCAACATGCTCGTTTTTTGGAGAAACTAAATAAAATTTCTGAATTTGAAGTGTAAGAACTGTAACTTGACGAAGAACCAATATAAAAATCGTGTCCCTAAGATTACTCGTTAATCTACCGATAGAAAAAAGTGATTTTGTCATCATTATGAGGTCCGTCAACCTGGTCTGTTGAAACAAAGGCCGTGACTGGGAATTTAACCTGAACAGGCAAAGTAGGTTGTAACTTGGTGTGCGGGGGGTTAAGCTTTGAAAATTTTCTAAAGGGCTCCATATAAATAGAGCTTAATTACACTTCTTTAAACATGAACACATGGAGACAGCTTGCAGCGTCTTCTAGAGTCCTTTCTAACAGCGCTAAAACAGCTGCTTATGCAACAAAAGTCTCTCTTCGTCTCGGTTCTTCTACTGTCCGTCCTTTCCTTCAAAAGCATGCAGTACATCACACAACTGTCCGTGCCATCTCTTTCAAGGGTTTGTTCTCGCCACCTGCCCCTCCTGTAGAAAAGCCAATGCTTGGGCCAGACAATTTATTTCACAAACTTTCCGAGTCACCTATTCCTGAATTGCGTGAACGTGGCAGTTACATAAGCAAATACGGTGTCTGCCCTGTCTGCGATCTTCATGATCATGAACACAAGAAGCCGCCTGTTTATGAGTGTCCCGATTGTGGATACCCTACTCATTGTAGCGATGATCATTATCACAAGGGGCGTGAAGCCCATAAAGAGATCTGCTCAATTTTGCGGGAGCAGAATGAAGACGACCATGACTTGCGCTCCGGACGTACTATGAAAGAATTTGAATTTCCTAGTAAGCTTAAAAACAAAGCATTTATATTTTTGTATAATTTGACCTAATTTTGTATCTAAACTTTTTCTCAAGGCTCCCAAGGCTTTGATGAAGCTGTGAACATGTCCAACTGGGATGTGTTTTTCTACACCCGCAGTTTCCCTTCAATGGATTCCGATCGTTCAATGCGCCACGTCTCCAAACTCTTGACTTACCCTGTTACTGTAGCTTCTATTCTTCACCAGTCATGCCCATACAAGCTTGGAAAAGAGATTACTCCCGAAGGAATGCGCTCAATCTCCGGTAAGATATAAAACATTTCATTAATATGAATACCGTGTGTAAGGGGTAATTTTTCTGACAAGATGGCTATCGTATTTTTTGGTGTTAGCTTTGAGAAGTATTCTCTACCCTCGTAATGAGGTAGCAAAGGATGGACAGACCATGATTCGTACTGAGACCATCAATCTCTATGTTGTGGGTGCTCGAGCTGAAGCCAGTCTTCCTCAACATATCTGGCTCCAGCTTGCCTACCTTTTCCCGCAGACTCCATTCCATATCCATTTTGTGGGACCTGATGCCCTTCCTCTCAACAAAGAACCCTATACTACCTCTCTCAACGAGCGTGTCTCGTTCACATACGACAACAGCTTGTATTCCGATTATCACGAGAAGATTGACAAGTTTGACCCTTATACTGATTTGTTTTTCATGTTCTCACCTGGAATCGGACATTCCACTGCCCGTGATGGTTGGAAAGAGTCGATCACAAAGGCTTTGGAAACCAAGTGCTCGATCTTCTTGACAGGCTATGACCAGGCTGATATGCTAAATGATATTGAGGCTGTTGAGCAGGATTACCAGGGTGAATTTGACTGGGTTCTCAAACCAACTACCAACGAGTTCAGAAGCCTTAAACGAGATGTTAATCTTGCTGATCTTCGACAGACCATCTTTGCCAACTGGGGTATCTGGGGTATCCGTGGCAAGCGTTATGATGTCACTCACCAACCCGAGGAGGATTAAAGAATGAAGTTAACAGCAAAGCAAAAAAAAAGGCAACGATACGAACAAGTGTCTTAATTGAATGGTTGATTCCACATATACACATACACCCACACTCACACCCACCCACCCACACGTACATACATACGCACAAATCTACACAGACACAAAGAGTAAAAATTAATGCCTATGAAAGGTGTTTTTTAATGTGAGAATTTCTTGTTAAAAAAATTAGAATATAAGAAACACCCACACCCACACATATATATAATTTTATATATATACATATATATATATATATACATTGACATGAAAGTAAACCAAATATATCCGGCCTCTTTCTCTTCTCTTTTTTCTTTCTTTCGATTTCTCTTTTCTTTTTGCTTATCAAATCGTAATATGCATACTAGGCAAAGCTCGTCTTCTCAATTACGATTTGTGGGTGTCCCACGCACCAAAAAATCAGATCCTCTTGCACCACCAGTAGATACTATGCTATTGACAGAACAACCCTTGGCCAAGAAATGGAAAAATATGTGGATACGAACCATCACAACTCTATTAATGGTTGGAACTTTTTTTGCTATCTTGGCTTCTGGTCATCTTTTTGTCATTCTCATGGTCATTGCAATTCAAACATTGGTCTACAGTGAGGTGATTGAGATTGCACAAGTCCCAGCAAGAGAAAAGAATATGCGCTGGTATAGGACCATGAGTTGGTAATATGCCTTTAAATATATAAATTAAATAATAATAAAATAATAAATCATGAAATTTTTATTTTATCTTTTATTAAAAGACAAAAAGCAAACAAACAAACAAGTTGTCTATATTATACTTATTAATTCTTAGGTATTTCTTGGTTGCAGCTACTTATTTTCTCTATGGAGAGTCCATAATATATTATTTTCAAGAAATTCTACTCGTCGATGCGTTTCTCTTGCCTTTCGCAACTCACCATCGATTCATAAGTTTTACGCTCTATGTCATTGGTATGTCACAAAAAATCAATATGTTCTGCGTTTTTATCATTAATTCCCCGTTTTTTATTTGTCAAGGTTTCGTATTTTTTGTCGTGAATTTACAAAAGGGACTCTACAAACGTCAATTGGCCCAGTTTGGATGGATGCACATGGCACTACTGTTGATCGTATTTCAGTGCCATTTTATCGTTGACAATGTACTTGAAGGGCTTATCTGGTAAATAGCTTTGAACTTTGATTTTTTATTCAATTATTTTTTTAATTATTTTGTCTTCAAGGCTGGTCTTGCCTGCTTCTTTAGTTATTTGCAATGATATATTTGCTTATGTATGCGGCTTCTTTTGGGGAAGAACACAATTAATTCAACTTAGTCCTAAAAAGACAGTCGAAGGGTTTGTGGGTGCTTGGATATGTACTCTTGTATTTGGGTTTTTGGTAAATTATTCTAATAAATATATTTATTTAAAAGCTAATGAAAAACAATATATTAGTGGGCATCATTTTTGATGCGATTTGATTACATGGTTTGTCCAGTAAAGGTATTGTGCACCAAAGGTTTTTCTTCTTCTTTACTTTGGAAAATTACAAGCCTCTTAATATTAAAATTCAAATCACGATCTTAACAGAATTTGTCTACTTCTGCATGGTCAGCCGTAAGTTGTGAGCCAAAAAATCCTGTGTTTACAGCAGTTCCATGGGAACTATCTCAAAACTGGAGTTCATTACTCAGTAAAATAGTAAGTTTATTGTTTATTATATCTACAAACTTTTACTTATTTCAACAATCAAAAGACTGGTAGACATGTAACCGAAGTTTGGATTGCCCCCATTCAATTGCATGCACTAGTCATGGCTTGTTTTGCCTCTCTAATTGCTCCTTTTGGAGGTTTCTTTGCGAGTGGGGTAAAGCGTGCCTTCAAAATTAAGGATTTTGGTCAAAGTATTCCAGGGCATGGTGGATGGACTGATAGGATGGATTGTCAGTTTCTTATGGGTCTTTTCTCGTACATGTACTACCAAAGTTTTATCAAGGTAAGGGAAAACAAGGAAAAGTAACCAAATAAAACAAAAATATTGAGTTTCTTTTTTAGACACACACTGCATCAGTTGGCTCTGTTTTGGCCACAATTGTTAACAACCTGTCACTGGGTGATCAACTCGAACTTCTTGAACGTATCTTGACGTACTTTGTGAACCAGGGTATCCTCGATTCAAGTGTCTTAAAAAAGTGTGGTACAAGTGCCTTGACAAAGCAAGCAAAACAAATGTTTGAACAACGATTTTAGCTTAAAATAATGGTATAGTACCATTTAGCTTCCAAAGGATGCTTCCACTACTACGTTGTTTCTGTCAGATATTTCTATCACCGTGTGTTTAAACATTGCCTACCGAATTCATCTGGTTCATTTACCTTTATAAAATATAAAGAAAATAAAGAAGAGTAGTTCATTTAAAGCTCCTGATCTCACCTGCCATTCCTGTACTTGTTGTACAAATCTCGGTCACTAATAGTAGTGCTTTTTTTTACTTTCATTAAAAAGGATATAATTACCTTGTACACCTTTATTAAATACAAATGAAAGAGTACAATATTTCTCGATTAAAGCATATTTAATGAACTCTTTTCTTAGATGTATGGATACAGATCAATATAGTTGCTGTTGAAATCGGTATCAATTTCTTATTATTTTCATAGCTCAACTAAAATGCCTATTATTCAAAAACCATATTAACGAAACATCTGATGATACACGCCTTGTACGCACGTACAAGAAGAGCATCTTCCAGAATTCTTTATCAATCTACCGCACATACCCACACATGTACAAATTATAATAATATGTAGACCAGAACAAGCAGGAAGACCACCAGGTAAGAAGCCGATAATAGGAAAACCTAATCGTTTTAGTGGTTGGGTAAATAAGTGTTTCACAGAAATTTCAAGGTTGAACAATAGACATTCAAAGGAAGCAAAAAAAAATCGCCTTCCCGCTCACCCCTCTTTTCTTTCCATACAGAGTATCTTTTTTATTTTTATTTTTATTTTGATAAATACATTCTTTTTTCTTTATTTGCTGGAATCTTCAAGACAAACTTCATCTCTCGAGATTCCATTGCAATCATCATCTTTTGCAAATTTTCATTTTTGACGTCTAGGCCATCTGCCCATTCATTATTATTACTTTTATATTTAACCGTGCCCTGAAGTCTATGCTGACCATCTCAAAGCAATGAGTACAGGAAACATAACCTGCAGAGTTTATGCTCTTTACCCCTATTCTTCGACAGATAATTCTTCCCTGTCATTTGAACAAGGTGCCATCATTACTGTCCTTGCCAAACTAGAATCAGGGTGGTGGGATGGATTGTAAGAGACAAGCAAGCAAAAAAAAAATTAATTAATTAATTGATTAATTTATTTATAAAATACATAGATCGTTAAAATATATAAGCACATTTAATCTAAAAAAAACATATATATATGCATGTATGTATGTATTTCTTTGATGAATTAGATGCAATGGGAAACGAGGCTGGTTCCCTAGTAATTATGTTCAAGTCATCCCGGAAGAAGTACCTGAACCACGCAATACTAGACAAGAATACTCGATTAATGATAGAGTAAGTGTAAAAAAAATCAGTAGATTTCAAAAAATAATAACAATTAATGAACTGACTCGATAGAATGTGAGTCATTCACGCCGTGTCGAAGTTACTGATCCCTGGCGAGGCGGAAGTTCTCAGTATGTAGAACCACGCCTAGTTGAAGAAAAAAATCCTCGTCGTCAACAACTACGCCTAAGTCTTGATGCAACTGACCTGTTGATATCAGACCGGTCCACACAAATGACTGAATCCAGATCTCAACAAAGTTATGGTCAATCCGAGTGGATACAGCAGACTACTGAAGATGGATCAGAAACATATTATTACAATGTCGTCACAAACGAAATGCGTTATTCACTTCCACTCAATGACTTTGAATATGACAGTCAAAAGATGCTCTATGATACCTCAAGGTCAATCATATCCCAAAACCAACAGACGAGCTCAGACTATTATGAGAAGCACTTTGGACGCAAACCTTTTTTGGAGCACGAAACATTCGGAAATGAAGAAGAATTCGAAAAAGTAGAAGAAGAAGAGAAGCCGGTTCGTCCTGTTCGGTCCATGAATCGCTTTGACACCGGTCGTCGGTTCTCTGAAGATTCTGTCTCTCCAAGCATAGGCGCAACTACAGCAGAAGGAGGAATGACTACATACTATAGTGCGCCAGCTATGGAATCCTTGGAAGAAGAACAGGTATATAATGGAGTGTATTATCTGCTGTTGTGCTATGTTTTTTTTTTACTCAATGTTTGGACTGCCGGTTAGCTGCCACCTAATTGGGTTAGCAAAACAACACCTTCTGGGCGACTATATTTTTGCAATGTTGTAACCGAACAAACTACTTGGAATTTGGAGAACATTGATTTCCAAACAGGTGCACTGGTAATTTTCTTAACTTCAACACACATTTGTGTGTGTAGGATTCTGAAAGTCTCATTGATAAACCCCTAGATGCATTCTTCTTCAAACAGTCAGGAAAACTCTGGGACCCAGAATGAAAGCGTCGAAGCTACATCTTTTGCTGAATACCGAAATGCAAGCAATCAAAGTCTTGTCGATGCCCAAGTGGTTTCTTGGAGCAAGGTTTCGGCTCAGATTGCTATGGCTATCCAGACGTTAAAGAACTCCATTAGAAACGAAACATTCGACACATTGCAAAAGAACACAATTTCTGTGGTATACCATGTCCGTCTATTGCTCTATCTTTCCAATTCTATCGACAAGGATAGTTCGCCCCAAATCAAGTCCAACAAAAAGCTTCGTACACATCATCGCGGTGTGATGGCTTCTCTGGCCAAGCTGGCCTTGTCCTCCAAAGTGGCTTCTGGTGCATGGCCACCCCCTGAATCCATCAACAAGCTTCATACAGATGCAGACGAAGTCCTTGTAGCTGTTCGAAACTTTATCATCACTGCACAAGAGGCCCAATTAGACTTACATGACAACAAGCCCAAGCTTTTGCATGATGGCGTATCCCCTCTGCGCTGGCGTGTAGCTGGTGTAAATCGTGTAAACGGAGCAAATCCCGATGCTACTACTACCTTGTTGGTGTTGGCCGACAATATTCATGGTGCTACGACTGCATTTATAGAAAGTGCCAATGAAGCATTTTCGGACTTGAATCCCAACCATCCCATTTCTGACAGAATCAAGACGACCTCACCTGTATTAGTAGCCCAATTTCGCAACCTGAGTAACACAACCAGTCAGTTCTTAAACTCGATGGAAGACATTTGCGCTATCAACCCAAAACAATCTTCTTACTTTGCTGAAGAAAAGCAGGCTATATTTGATGACATGGGCACATTATTTATTATTTCGCAAGCCATCACGAACCAAGAACTTGGGTTCGATGAAATTAAAAGCACGTTCCACAATCTAGAGCAGTGTGTTAAATCAATTGAAAAGAGCGTTCGAGATATTTGTGATATTAGCCGCCAAATCAACCAAGATGATAATATTGATTTAAACAAGAGCTCATATATTAAAGACTCTGCAACCCCCCTTGTCGCTTCTGCTGTAAACGGTTCTTCGACTGCTCTTGTTAATCCTAGCGCTGTTGTTGACAGTGATGGATGCCCTACGTTTCTTGATGATCCTCAAAGCCAATCGACTGGTGATCCAAATACAACCGAGGCTGTCATAGCCACTCAGTCTGCAGACGTATTTGAAGGTACAAAAGATGATGTCGAAGACGGAGCACATGAAGGTCTGGTATCTGGGAACGCCTCCGACTTTTCTGATGGTGAGGTTGGAGAATTAGTCTCCCCTCGTCAACCTAAAGATAAACTACTTAAGTTTTTTGGCGAGGATACGGTGGCGTCTGCCCGTAATAGGGATACAATACCAGCCATGGTTCTCAGTGCAAGCATGGCATCTTCACCCGTAAATTCCTCGCCAAGTGCTGGAGCTAGTCTTTACAATAACGAGCGTACCGACTTTCTGGGAACAGATTACAACTCATCTGAGATAATCTTTAATATGGAAGGAAATGTCAAAGGTGGAACTATCAGAGCACTTGTCCAGAGACTGACTCAACATGATAAACTCGGTAAGGGAAATATTTAAGGTTTAGTTACGATGCTAATCAAAATTCTTTGCACAAAATATAGATTCCAAGTTCATTACCACGTTTCTACTCACATATCGCTCGTTCTGCACAACCCAAGAATTATTTGAAGAACTTTTTATGCGATATATGCTTACTCCTCCAGAGGATTTGACAGCAGAAGAACTTACTGTGTGGCAAGAGAAGAAACTTAAGTTGGTCAGATTACGGTAAACCATCAAATAAGGTTTTTAGAAAACTAGCAAACCATTTATCTTATTTTCTGGCTAGTGTGTTTAATGTGATCAAATCCTGGCTGGACACTTATTTTAACGAGGAAGAAGACCAGGCTACATTGCCAACGCTGGCAATGTTTACTGAAGACTATGTGCGAGTTACGATGAAATTCGGCTACGATCAGCTTATCAAATTGATTAAGAAACGTATGGACTCTGAAGAGAATGGTCAGATCCGTAAGATGACACTCAATATCCGGAGTGAGATGCCTCAACCAATCTTGCCGAAGAACATGCGACGTATTCGATTTTTAGAGCTGGATGCCTTGGAAATGGCCAGACAATTAACTATTATGGACTTTAAGCTCTATAATCGCATCAAACCTGTTGAATGCCTTGACAAGAATTGGGGCAAGGGTGATTCAGAGCATATTGCTGTTAATGTGAAGGCATCTATTGAGTATTCTAACCAGGTGACTGCTTGGGTGACTGATTCTATCTTGAGTAAAGACGATGTCAGGAAGAGAGCTGTTGTTGTGAAACATTGGGTTGTTATTGCAGAGGTAATAGAAATATATGAATTATACTTACATGTGTGTGTGTGTATGCTTATAAATTATTTATCTAACATACTGAGTAGAAATGTCGATTGCTGAATAACTACAATACATGCATGGCTATATTGTCTTCTTTTGACAATAGCTCTGTTGGTCGTTTGAGAAGAACTTGGGAGGTAATGTAAAAGGCTGATTTCATATATGTATTGTAGTCGAGTTTTTTCTTAAGAAAAGTAAAGCTGATTTTGATTGATATTTCTAGTTAATGAATGCTCGTACAAACCAAACCCTAGCTAGCATTAGACGCCTGATGGGTGCAAACAGGAATTTCACGGAATATCGAGATATTATTCATCATGCCAATCCACCTTGTATTCCATTCCTGGGTATCTACTTGCAAGATCTGACATTTATCGAGGATGGCAATAGCAATTATCTCAAAAAGTCGGATAATATGATTAATTTTTCCAAACGTATGAAGACTGCGGAGGTTATTCGCGAATTACAGCAACATCAGTCTACACCTTATCTTCTACAGGCTGTACCAGATATCCAAGAATTCATTACTACTCATCTACAATCTAGTCGCGATGAAGAAACTTTGTACAACTTGAGTTTAGCGCTTGAACCAAGGTATGTGCTTATATAGAGATGCAAAGGTGTAAAGATATATTATATTAATCTACAAATATGTCTTTTTAGGGAGAGAGATGAAGACACGATTGTTCGAAGACTAAAGGAATCTGGAATGTAAAAGAGGATTAGATTACACCCTATTCTGTAACAAGCCTGTATTTTATAAAGATGATATAACCATATATGTTTGAAATCTTAATTATTACTATTTACTATTTACTATTTACTATATAAATATTAAATATCTGTCAAAAAAATTAAACTGCTATTAACTACATTTACTTTTCTTTTAGTGATGTGAATGTATAACATGACATCGTGCAGAAGCCATATATATATTTATTGCAGGCTTTTTTTTTGTTTTGTTTTTGCACTAGATTATTTCAAATTAAAATATAAAAAGTATGCTTTATCTTTCTTGGATTCAATAGCTGATCAATAAGATTTGATGTTAAGAAAGGTTATCGAAACCATCTTTTCAGAAATTGTATTCTTCGAATATATTACAGAGTACTTTGGGTTTGTTATGTGATGTCTTTGTAATAATTGCAAGAATACGCTTTCAATTTTGTAAAATTTCATGTGAAAATAATTCGAAATATCCTTTCCAAGTAATACATTTCTTCATTAAAAAGGTAAAGAAAAAAAAAAGCTAAAATAATAATATAGTTGCATGAAGTATATTATTGTGGTAGGGTATATAAAATAAATACTGTAGAAAATATATCTCTTTTTATCCTTTATCCTTTATATACAATCCTAAATATTTGACTGACTATTAAGAACAGTAGCAAAAAACACTGAAAAGAAAAGGAATGAAAAAGTCTTGGAAATTAATTACCCTTCTGCTTCCTGTTAAAAAATTAAAAAGGCAAACTTGAGAATTGATTACTAATATATATATCACATATGATATCTTTGATTTATTTAAAATATATTTTCCTGCTCAGTTCTATTTGAAAATTTGATAGCAGTAGAAATTTCAAGCTATATTTTCTCTATACTTTGTAGAATAGTGAGACTAATTTTTTTTTGTTCGAACCTGTATAATTTGGCCATAGAATAAGACATGGATTTTACTCAAATACCTTAAATGGTTGTAACATTTACAGAAGGTAGGATAGAAAACAAAAGTTACCAAAAATTTTAATAAAAATCGTTGGTTTTGTTTTGTTTTGTTTTGTTTTGCCGTAAGGTATCTTGAGAGATTCCTTAGCAAGAATAGAGAAATAAGAGTGGTACTTTGTGAATCTCTCCGTTGAAAGTTTTGATTAAAACCTTGAATACAAATCCCCTCCCCCCCTGCTGTAGCATTCATCACATCGAAAAATAGTAGCAAGCCTTTATAACAAATATTTTGCAATATACACCTCGGAGCGCCATACAACCTCCCCACGCACGGCTATCTTGAAACCCTTTATACTCCCCTCTTTTGCCCAATATTGCAACTTTTTTTTTATTTTCCTTTTCTGTAAATTCTTAGTTTATTCTTTTGTAATATATTCCTGCTTCTTATATATATATACATATATTTAAAAATATTCTGTTTAACAAATAAAGCTGCCCAGATTTAAGTTGTTGTTTTTTTATAAAACCTTTTTTTTTCTGACATTATGTTCCAGGACTATATATTAAGTTCCAATGAGTTAAGATATAGTAAGCTGCTTTATCTGCTCTCCGTATGCTTTAACTTTACTTTTTGCTTTTTATTTAATGTTGTTATCTTTGGATTACAAAGCTTAGTCCTAGGTACGCTATACTATTCCGTTGTTTTCCTGATCAGCTCCAAGGTTACTACAAATTTAACACGCGTAACATAATATAGACTTTATGTGTATGTATATAGCTATGTTTAGCAGAAATCAATCCATTAAAATAAGGAAACATCCTATTAAATATAAGAAATTGATGATTTTGATTCATTTGGAAGGTTAGTTGTATGTATATATAATAGATTAGATTAGGGAAGAAAATAGAAACAAGTTTCAATATGCTTTCTACAAGCAAAAAACTAGCATTCTATATTAGTTTATTTCGTAAACATTACAGCCAATTTGAGAAAAATGTGCGTATATACATGTATAGATATAAATATAAATATAAATATCGATAATTGAATATATTGCCTTAGCATTGTATATTTATATAATATGTTAATGCTTGTGTGTATTTGTGGGAAGAAGATTTGTTCTTGAGTTTATGTATGCAAAGTCTAGTAAACTAACCAAATATAATCAAATCAACAATAAAGAAAAATCGTTATTTAGAAATGCCTCATATGCTTATCAGCATTCTAATCATTATTATTTCGGGTAAAACTAATTTAATAAATACATAATAATCACAAATCCAGTCAAAGATCGCAATACTACATTCAGCATTTTTTTTGTTTCGGTGTACTGAATTGGATTATATAGGAATCTTATTTTCAAACACGAACGAGAAAAGGAAATCCCTCACTGAGCAACGAGTACTGATATTATCAGGTATGTCAACTGTTTTTTTTTTTAAAAAAAAAAAAATTGGAAAATCTGTTATTCTTAAATTTGAATATTGAATATTGAATATTGAATAATACTAGTATTAATACTAATACTAAAACAAATAAGTAGAGATATGAGAATCCTGTATATATATATATATATCTTATAAAAAAAGCACTTGTTGTACACAATAAACACAGAATCTGGTAGAGTCGAGTAATATTTTTTGTAAATACAAACCCATATGTATTGAGGTCGTGTTTGTCTCACAATAATTCCAGGTTTGGGTTGGTGTTCTGTAGCCTTGTTCTCAAAGAAAGTCTATTTAAGCTTTGTGACGTTTAATCGACAAATAATGATGGTTATATTACGTGTCTTTGTTCACTTGTACCTGTAATTTATTTTTGGGTTGACGAACAACAATTCCGTGGGTGATGAATTAAAAGCCGTAACGTATTCTTACGCGTCAAGTAATATTTTTTTTACCATTTTATTCAAGGCAGATGCACAAATCCACAAATCCACAAACGCACAAACGCACAAAAGGTTTACTGTTAACAAGAGTAGGAAGCAAAGAAAAAATGTACAAATACAAATTAGCCGGATTTCTATATTTCCATTTTTTGTTTGATCTGCATTTATCGACGCGCGTATGTCTTGGTTACTCTCCTAAAAGATAGTCCTTAAATATCACATCAAGCAGCAAGACTGGATATAAACACGGTCTTATTGTGTTATAAGATACATTATCATTATTATTGTCATTTTCAATGTCATCGTCTAATTTTTATTTTTGTGTTTTTAATAAATGAATAAATAGTAAAAGAAATTCACACATCTTATATTAAGTGTTCTTAAGCAAATCGACAAACTTTTACTGCTATTATTTGATTAAATAATATGGCCTCCTTTGTTGCCTATCTTTAATTGTAGGCACCAAGAAAATGCAAGGGGGGATTACCATTAAAGTCAATTTCCATATTAATATTAATAAAAAATGGTCTTATTTTTATTATCAACAATATTATATAAATATAAATATATACATATATCATAATTATTTATTGAATTATCTGATTGGTAATATTTATAAGAAATTATACAAAGCCTCACAAATACAAATACAGGGAAAGTACCAGCTTGCTTTGACTAACGCACTGTGAGAACCTTAAATCGTTACGTCATTTATTCTGATCACTGGTGGTGCATATAGTCTATATTTTAACATGACGCAAAACTGTTTAAATGGATTGGTGTGAATAGCTAGAGTAACTAGCTCTGTCGCTTTTTTTTCGAGTGTTTACATCTTGAAATCTGCGCTAATTGGAATCCTAAACACAGTTTAGTCATCCATCCTTTCATCAGTATAGCATCAATACTCACCGAACTAAATAACATTAAACTGATAATTGATTCTCAATGGATGACTCTGTTGTTTACCACTTTGCGACTGTCAAACAAAGACGAGATAATCGACATGAAATGTACGATTAAGAAGATCTTGAGTTCCTTGTTTCGAATCTTTGCTGAAGCTGTGATGCTTATACTTTAGCGACTACCAATTATCTTTACGACAGCAACCAAAGCAATCTCGAATGTGTGGCGTAGGAGAAAAAGGTAAACCCGAAACAATTTCATTAGTAATCCTTCAAACTAATCTTACTCTTACTCTTACTCTTATTCTCTTTCCTTTAACGCCTTTTAAAACTCCACCATCATTTTCTTCCCCTTCTCCTTATCCTTTTACTCCTACCCCTTTCAATTGATTTGAATAGCTGACAGAAGGCCCATCGATCCTCCACGTATGATATAAATGCATATAAAGAAACACAAATGTAACAATTTATTTCGTATTCTCATGCGCATTTGGATATATAGCCATTGTACAACTAAAAGTAACCGATCCTAGCTCACCTACCGCAGACAGAAAGTAAGGATAAATATATATATTATCTGTTTCTCTCTCTCTTTGTGATGCCTTAATTTATACTAACGGTTAAATGGGCTTCTGGCCTGCATTACTCAGCTCCTATCTTCAAAATCCATACTATTTCATGTATGCTTCTCTTATGGCTGCCGATTTGGACGAAGAGCTTCATCTCTTGAGGGATGGCAAAACTAGAAGTACAACTGGATCAGTTGTGTCTTCTCTTTACCACCTCAAAGATATCGATAACTCTGATGCGGGTTTCTTTGTCTTCCCGGACCTGTCTGTTCGGATGGAAGGCAACTATAGGCTCAAATTGAGTTTGTTTGAGATTATTGGGTAAATAGTTGTATCTCTTTAATTATACTTTTGGAGATTTTCTCGCCTTGCCTTGTGTTTACTAACTTTTCTTTGTCGCCTTTTATTTCTTTTTCTTTTTCTTTTTCTTTTTTATTTATTCTCCAGGAAAGATGTTTTTCACTGCAAATCTATTATATCCGATGTATTTGTTGTATATTCTGCAAAAAAGTATACCCCCACTGAATACGAGAACGGACTCAATTACTCATCTAGTGTGTATTTTGAATTAGGTTCCCGGGCATGGAGGAGTCTACATATCTATCTAGGACTTTTGCTGACCAAGGTCTAAAGATTCGTATACGCAAGGAACTTCGCCAACGAAAAAAGACTGGCCGAAGGAATGAGTCAGAGGATGAAGCCCAGGGCTATACTGATACAGAGCCAAAGATGTGGAAACGTACACGCAAGTCTGAGACAAGCGGCCAAGACAATCCTGTCGAAGACCGTGTACGCTCGCCTGTCCAGTTTTCTGAATCACATACATCCATGATTCCTGTTAAAGAAAGACAACTTGGTGGGCCGTTTAATCCAATAGTTGGTCTAAATTCAATGGGTTCAAATACCTCGCCTACCATTTCTGCCGTCTCAATTTCCTCTACACCCACCAACCAATTCTTCCAACCAGGGGCTAATAGTGATTCTGGATTCAATTCTACAAATCCATCATCGTATGGAAACTCTACAGAAATACATCCACTACGCCCACACGTGCCGCCTTCCCGACTGGCTGTACAATCACTTGCACCACCATACAGCTCCTTAACTTCTAAAAAAAGACAAACAGGTACGAATGATTACTCTCGGGGATGGAGTGGAGATACCGGACATACATATATAGCTGGGAGCACAGACGAATCTCAATGGCACAGAACAAACATGCTAAATTCGTACGAGCCAACGTACTACCCAGACAGTGGTGCAGATTGTGGTAACACAAAGATTTCCAGTTCAAGCTCAACAGGCAATGCATTTTAGTGGTGCTTAGATTGTTTTATATAAATGAAGTAAAGTATCTAAAGTATGTGTGTGTGTGTTTTCCTTTTTAAAAATAAAGGAGATCAGGAACCTCATCTACGACAGGAAACAGACGTCTCTCCATATCGATCACCTGGAAATGCCCATCAATCTCGCCAGACAGCTAATGGGGTGCCTCAACACAACCGAAATGATACATATACATACTCAACACCACAACCTCAATCATTGCACCATCATAATAAACATCAACAGCAGCAGCAGCAACAGCAGCAACAACACCAGGAAGAACAACAAAGAACAGTAACACAAAATTATTATCATCAACCTCAGTATACTCCAACCCCCACCAATATATCTCTTTCTTCTCATATGAACCATTATTCGTCTTATGCCACAAACCGTCAATCTGCATCAGAACTTGATGGCGAACCTGTTGAGAATTCACCATCCCAAGCTCACCATGGTCATCATCGATCTCTTGATATCGTACCTGGTCTCAGACGCCCACACATATCTCGAGCACGTGGTATCCACAATCAAATACCGCACACACAAGTAGAACACTCTTCATCCCAATCCCCTACAACCGATACACACTGGACAGAAGATGTTAAAGCTGCTGCCATGGCACGTCTCGGCTCATAAAATAAGATTATATACATATCTTTGAACAAACCCAAAATATACACAACACAACACAACACAAAAAAGACCAAATTTAGAGAAAGTAACTTTACTCTAAAGTGTTTTAAAATGCTCTACATACTCTCTATCCTTTGCTTCATTTAATAATACACAAAAACATTCAAATTTTTATTGATGGATTATATATTGCCTCTTTTATGAAATAGCAAGCAAACCCAAAAAACAACAACAACATATTGATGAAATAGATAGGTTTTTAGCACTATGAATTTAACTTTATTGGGTAGGCTTATGTTACCTAAATTTATTGGTGGTTTGGTTGGTTAGTCGGTAGAGACATCCATAATTAGTTAGTCTCCTCGTTACAGCCACCTTTATTGTCAGATTAGACTTCCGATAAAGGAGCCAGAAGTCTGGATTTTAGTCCATCTAACGCAATCTAACCAATCAACTGTTAATAATTAAAATATTCCCAGTTTTGATGGTTCAAAGGAATAATCGCATTCTGGACACTCTTTGTCCATTTAAACTCTTGCACTAGTAGTATTCAGATATTAAAGCACACTACTAATACTTACTGTTATACACAGCTTCCAATTCTCTAGTAACTGTCACTAAAAGGTGTTGGGTACAGTGTTTTTACTTATTTTTCGGACTTTGACCGAATATTTTTATTTGAAAAAGTCATTTTTAATTTCAGACATTTTCTAAAAAGGTTTTTTTGTACATGGCAAAATTCAAGCGACTTAGTTAGAGCCCCGCCTACCTGGTCGTTCGATAAGTTTACCTCGTCTACATTCTCTTCTCTCATCAGCAAAACTATGGCTGTCATCACAAGAGAGCAGACAATCTACATGTTTTCTTGCGAAGAATATACCAAAAAAAATGTTGTCGAGTTGACCAAGAATGCTGTCTTTATAGTAAATGTTGATATTTGCGTCTTTTTTCTTATACACGCAAGCCATTAATAAAAAACTATTTAAAATACACAAGTACCAAAAATAAGAATTAGTAAAAGGATATTAGGGGTCACAATTCGTGAATAATCTTCAGTAATCGGAAAAAAAGGTGAACTTTTTTGAACAATAATAATATCATAATTCTACCAAATATGTACTTGAACTTGTTTTAGAAAAAAAAAGTGTGGATAGCCATAAATTACTCTGATGGGGTGAGTTCAAGATGAACTTGTTTTGCCCTTTTTAACCTTTAGAGCATCTTCAGTAGCCCACTTTATCTCCACTTTTACGTTAAATTTACCCCACCGTGTTCTTGCAGTCAATGCAAAAAACCTTTTCAAACTCCTTCAATCAAGTACAAGAATTAAAGATAAAGTTATTCAAATCTAATACCTTACCATTCGGTAACAGCTCCCCTCCTCCTGAATCCGAGTTACATCCTATTTCATGATGACATCTTATATAAGCCAGATCCTTATTATAAAACATATTAATAATAATAAGCTATAGTTATATCTTGGCTATCAGTTATACAAGAGGTACACATTACACTACAAAGTTGCTAACATTTTCATATTGAGACTACCGAAGTTAACCAGATCTCGAGAACTCTTATAGGCATTTCAATTCTCTTTTGATATAAATATTAATAATATAAAATTATTTCTAAACATAATAGACTGTATAAAAAATATGATTGATTCGAAGGATTTCACTTTAAGAAGAGAATGCGTCAGGTCCTTAAGAAAACCTAAAAACTGGCCCTTAGGGCACTTGCAGGAGGCAATGTAACCAATTACGATAATATTGCGAGGAGGGGCGCTCAAATCATTTAGTCTCTATGTCCAGGTTACTAGCTAGCACAAATTATAATCCTTAACGGAGATGTGATAACAAGGGACAGTAAATATGAACTCCAATAGTTAAGATGAGTCAATTACTCATCAAACTTCATTTCGATCATAATTAAGCTCGCTAATCTAGACTATTAAAGGTATGCATACTCAAAATAAAAGTATTAATATAATGTAAAAAGCATCAAATACAAAGCTTTGAATTATTTAATGTTCATTCAATATCAAAGGTATGCTATTTAACGTAACTTCCTTCAGATCACAAATACTAAATTTCTTTCTTTCTTTTTTCTACTTCTTTTAGAGCATCCGTAGCAGTAGTATTTTAATTAGTATTAAATAAAGTGCTAATAAGCCACGCCGGAAGTTGAAAGCAGTAAAAAAAAATGAAGGGTAAAGCCTTAGTTACATAATAAAAGAAGCATTTAGATAGTTATACTATTTGATATAATCCTCACTAGTAAATTCATTACGATTATTATTATCATCTTAAAATAATTTTATTAGACGTTTTTATTTTATTTCTGATATAAAAAGATGCAAGTTAAATGCTTCCAATATTATCAACTTTGTATGGACCATAATTTTTAAGAGTTTTTCTAAGCATTGTTATATACTATTATTCGATTTAAAGAAAAAATAATAAAATGATTAAAATGCAAAGCTATAATTTTAGATTGAGCATGTGAATACATGCTGTTGGAAATGCTACTACTGCAGGCGATTTTTTTGAACATCATTTCCCAAAAAGCATTTAAATTAGGAAAAACCGAATTTCAATGCTACTGCTACAGATGCTTTGGAAATGTAGTTTTTGCGGGGATATTCGCATTTGTAATGTATGAGTATTTTAGAAACAAAGGCAAAGAGAAAACAATGGGCTGTATACCTGTTAGATAAAAGAGACATAAAATCCCAAAGAAAGTTATTGAAAGAGATATGGTGCTATCGAACTTAAGTATCTATGTTTTTGCATTTGTTTCAATTTCTTTGAAATTTTTATATATGTAATAATTATTCGATCTCCGCTAAATGTAGGAAAAAATGTGTGTTCCTAAAGCTTGGCCACTTTCTTGATCACATGATTTTCTGTTTTAGGATAAATATTTTCATATACCGCCTATTGGAGCCATCAAGATGTTTCAACTTCTGAAAAAGTTAAACTCCGCAAATAAATCTTTCAAAACACCCAAACTTTGAAGGGTATCAACTTTTGCAAAAATGAATTTAATACAAAACGCTTCAATAGAATTATAGAGAATAGTATGCTTAATAATTCTATTCAAAGATTTTTTATTAAATCCATTTTTGCAAAAGTTGATATCTTTTGAAAAATACCATTATACATAGATACTTAAGTCCGATAGCACCATAAGTGCCTTCTTGTACTTTTTATGCGTCACAATCCAAGTGTCAGTTGTGAAAAGTTAGTACAATAAAATACAACTATGATGAACCAAATATCACGTAAATTAAAATAAAAACCATTACAATATAAAGTAGTAAGTATTGAGCTTGATTCGTGCTTCGTGAGGAATATATAAAGGAAACACTAACCCGTAATTGAAACCAAATACTCTGACACAAGATACCAACTGTTTTATCTTTTTCTTTCTATTTTATTTTAAGCAGTATATAGTAATTTTTCTATATAGGGCATCTTTTTTTGTTTTAGGTACAAGAACCTAAACTATTTTCACTAATAAGTAGGTTGGTATCACTGCTACTTTGCTTTTTAGATGTATTTTCAAATTCTAAACCCTTTTTTTAAAAATATATATATATTTATTTATTCACTATATTCATTACAATAAGAACATATGCTTAATGATTGGTCATACTTGAAGACATTTAATGTGTGTGGTTGTGTAGTTTTGTATTGTTTTTTTTTTAGATGAAATAAAAGGAGAATTACTAGGAAAATAAGGCGTGCATGTATGTTTGTGTGAATAGAGAAAATAAAAGTAGAGCAAAAACATCTTTTACATAACATATAGATACACCTGTTTGAGCGCGCACATCCGCATTTACCCAATAGGTTTCTGTTGCGTGGTGTCGTACATCCGAATGATTTTGGACTGATCGGTATCATTTTGTGAAAAAGCATAACCTCGAGGCTGCTTCAGGCGTTGAATACGGCGAACCTTGTTTACAGCCTGACGGAATCGGTCCATGCGCGGTCGATAATCAGGTAAGTTGAGTTTCTGAATTTCTTGAATACAATGGTAGCTTTCTGGTTTATACATCCGTTTGTAGCTGTAGTTACACGTAAGTAAACATTTAATATATTAGTATGTAAAAGAATTAATATAATCATAGATACTTACTACTTCCATATGTAATCACGAAGAATACATCCTAGCGGGACAAGGAAAAAAAATAACCAAAAATTCAAGTTTCCATACAACAATGGTACAATTCCTTGGTACTCAGTAAATATTGCCCAAGGTAAATGAGGACCAACATAAGACACAAGTGGCAAAAATAGAAACCATATCAGCATGGATCCGGGTATTGCAATGAACGTATATTTTGTCCAGATACTATTTTCCATGTTAGTTTTACAAAAAAAAACTTTTTAATAAAAACACATTAAATTGCAGTAAATTTGCTTACTCTGTAATCAAGGCGGCTTTCCATAAAATAGTAGCCAAAGTCGCACTGAAAATGGTAGTCCCAACCCACCATTGCCCGCCTGTCCAACCGTTCTCAAAGACAGCATCATCCTCAAAGGCAATCATTCCCACAAAGAACAGAATCTACAACAGACCGCATTAGCATTTGCAATTCGATATACTTGTGTAATCAAACATACTGCTGAATGATATGCTGCATTCATGATCCAACCCCAAAATCTTTTTTGGTTGAAAAATTCATTCTGTTGTCCCAAAAGGTACATTTGTGGATACTTGTCAAGTAATCGTGCAGAAGCAAATTGATCAAATATGCCGATCACCATGGGCGGCAGAATGGTGAATATTACATTAAAACATGACATTGTCCACGACTCATACAAAGTTTGGCCCGAGAATCCATTGAAGATAGCATACTACAAATAATAGTTAGTTCTCTTATTCATCATATATGCGTATCGTCGAGAGCTCCATTTTTATTCAGAGTACACTTACCCAAAACTGTGTTAAGTACAAAGCCACATTCTTGTAAAAGTAATAGAAGATCATTTTACTTAATCTTTGATACGCCCACGCACCGTGCACGAGTAAGAGTTTCTTGAGAAACCTAAATTGAGATATAGAAAAGTCTGCACTTCTAGCAGCCTGAAGTCCTTCCATGCCACTTATCCCAACACCAACATGCGCAGCCTGAATCATAGAGACATCATTAGCACCATCTCCAATTGCCAATAGAATGGATTGAGAGTAACGCTTGACAACTTTAACCACTAGGGCTTTTTGAAGTGGGGATACACGGCAACATATGACAGCTTTGCATCGAATAGCCAGATTGTAAAATAATCGTTCATTATCTTTTTCGAGTGCAAATGTCAATGCCTTTCCCTCGATAACAAATGCAAAAGACTGAATTAAGCAGTATGCGTACATCAGCATATGAGTACCAGCACATCACTGATCGTTTAAACAATAAAATTAAATAAAAGGATATTTTACCTGGCCATCGTTTTGAGCTGTAATCTCTTCAAGCTTTTTCTGTAAGAATTCTTTGGTTGATGTGTGATCTTCAGCTGCACACACCACAACATCCATATCTTCATTTAATAGCTTACAGCTGTAGCCAATGTTTATCGCTGTCTCCTGACGATCCCCTGTGAGCACCCATATTTTGATTCCAGCTTCTTGAAGAGTGTGGATAGTATCTGGTACACCATCTTGTAACTTGTCTTCTATAGCAGTTGCACCCAGAAGCTGCATGTTTTGTTCAATAAGCTCAGCAACTTTATCAAGAGCATCTGCACGGTCTACCAATGTAGTAGCCGCTTTATCGTACATATCTGCCCATTTGGTGTACTCGTCAATGGGAACTTCGCGCATAGCATAGCATAACGTACGTAGACCTTCTGATGCAAATGTCTATGATATAAAAAGAAAGGGCTTTTTAGACCTGTTTTTTTTTAAAAAATAATAATAATAATAGTAATAGTAGTAGTAGTAGTAGTAGTAGTAGTAGTAATCTAATTTCTATTTACATCTAGATGAGCCAAAGTTGATTCCACAAAAGGCGTATTTTGTGCCAGCCGTTCCAATATAACAGAATCAGCGCCTTTGCAATACAGGATGATTTTACCGTCAGGATCTTTGAGAATAACAGACATGCGCTTTCGCGTAGAGTTGAATTCGCACACATTCAATATGTCGAATTTCTTGTCGACACCTTTAATTTCACAGTGGATTGTGTGTGGTCTACGAGCATAAAATGTATATCCAAATACTGTACTGGCTCCTTGTACCAATGCGCCTTCATCGGGTGAAGATGCTTGATATATTACTTTGTCTGATCCGTCTTTTCGCTCAGGTATGACGGTGTGACACGTCATTAAGGAGGTTAGAAACGAATCGATGATCGAGGCATGAGCTGAATGTGTTCTGTGATATTCTAATCGATCAAAGGCATATTTCTCAGAACTATTGTACTCTGTATGTGGCTGACGATCAGGATCTGCATGAGAGGTGTATGATACGCCAGCAATAGAGCACTCGCGAAATTCCATTTCATTGCATGTTAGTGTGCCAGTCTTGTCAGAAAAAATATATTCAATCTGACCAAGCTCTTCTATCAAACTACTGCTACGTGCCACCGCTGGTGTATTGGTTTTCGCGTGATAGATATCGAGGTCATTATCAATCATGGTGGATTGTACGAATTTGACTATTTCCATTGTTACCATCAAACTAAAGAGAGAGAAAAAAACATAAATAAAGTACAATATAAAATAAAATCAGAAATAAGATATACAAATATTATCTTTACCTGATGGGAATAAAACTGTTGAAAAGAATCATGAAAGTCAATATATTGAATCCAAATTCGCGCGCTCTTTCAGTTGTGGCCTGTAATAAGTAGCTCAGTCGGAATCCATCTCGCATCTACATATATAAAGTTTTCCTTCTTATATTAGAGCGTCAAAAACTTAATAATCCTCGTATTTATTACCGTAATAGCTAAATTCCCTACTGAGCAGAATATACTCATGAGTACCAATAAAACAAAGAGATAGAGGATATTTCGGTTGGTGATGTGAGTTACGTTTGAGGCCTTTGTTGGTTTCTTGCTAAGCAGGAAATCTTGCTGTTGAGTCATTTCAGGTTTTTTTTGAAACAGTATTATGTATTATATTACCTTGAGTTCAGCATTAGTTTTGTTTCGTGGCCAGTGAAAATGACTAGACCATAAATCCAGCTAGTGTTACGCAACTGTGCACCACGCAACAAGAGCTTGCTAGGATCAAGAGGGTACTGCTTTGGCTGCCCCAACCCAGTTAAGGGACTTAGATATAGAGTTCCATCATAGTTATAAAGTCTATCATTGGGTTGCTCTGATTGAACCATGCCCTGGAGTCGGGAAACTTCTGCAGGAGAGATACACCATGCTGTTTCAGGAAGTGCTTGTTTAATCTTGAAATTGACTTCACTAGGTTTAACTGGAGTGTTAGTATAAGACTTTTAAAATAAATTAATAAAAAATAAAGTATTTTACCCGTCCAAATTACTTGTCTCGATATAACACAGTCCTTCAGGTTCTGAGCTACTAAGCAATACCAAATCTGCAGGGAAGAACTCGGAACTCTCTATTCTACAAATGTCACCAACTTTAACATCTTTCCAATTCTTTTCTACAAATTGCTGTCCTTCTAGTAATTTACACGCCCTTGCATTAAGTTGATCATCCGAACGATGAACCCCCTTTATATATATATAAACAAGCATTTTTTTTAGTCATAGATCATTGTCTTGTTTTACTTGATTTCTTACATAGTCTTCAATAAGTTCTTTTATAGCTGTAATAAGTAGCACAATTACGAGTGGAACAAGAGTAGTGTAGCGTGATGTGGGCGATATATCTGGAATTTGCTTTTTAAACGTAGTGAGCATTATTCTAATAGGATAAAATACAAGAGTTCTATTGAGTGTACTATTTACTTGGATTCCGGAGATAAAAAGAAAAAACATATTTGCAGACTTGCTGAACTCAACAGCAAAGAACTTTGGTAAGAATGTCAAGAGACTATACTTGGCTGTCGAGACTTTATTGTCGACAAATCGGGTATGATTGAGTTCTGGTTGGTGTAGATAGATCAGGCGCGGGGTATCAAGCGGCAACTTTGATTTCCAGAACTTCCAGTCGAAACCCATTCCTTTTAATGGTTGCGTAGGATTTGAATGAATAAATGAGGATTGATATCTAGATAACGGATCTTTAGCAGCCTGAGAAGGATCGAGCATTTCGGTTGAATCATTGTTTGGCAATTTCGAATTCATTGTAGATAATGAATATGCCGACATTACTGGTGGCGTTAATGGAATAAGGAACCGAGACGATTCTGTGGCTTCTAATACAGAAAAACAACTAACTTTAGAAAGATAATGTATAACTATCGTGCATATAAGAAACACGCGTCTATGGCAAACAGCACAATGATCTACCATGCTGAGGATGGCCATGAGCTGAGTCTTTGTTTTTCCGACTGGGCATGACAAAGTGGCTCGATGAGCCTTTGGAATAGAACAACAAGATGCGAGTGAATAGGTGAGTAAGTGAGTAAGTTGTAAGGAAAGAGAGAAAAGAGAAATGAAAGGGATGAATAGAGTAAGCGTACAAATAAGGGGGTTGGAGGCTGGCAAGGGATCTTGGATAAAATGGAAATTCCAGGCTTATTGAATTGTTGAAACGATTACCTTGTTAACTCAGTTTTTGATCTAAAGGTATTCATAAAAACAACTCGCTCCCAATTGATTTTTGTGGTCAATAAGATACGGGTCTATTGTATGAGTAACAAGTGTTGTCAAAGAAGTTTGAATATCCATTGACCAATAAGAAGATAGAAATTCTCAGAAGTATACTTGCAGTCAGTATTCCTGCGCGATTACTCCCCCTCCTCCCCCTTTCTTTCCTTATTCAATTGAAGAGAAGCCTTCTGCAGACAGTCGCCTAGAAGATTAGAATAATCCAGGATCTCGGATTGGTTCTGATTTTGCAGTACCGAATGTAGGCGCATTGAAGTATTATTTTTATTATTTTCCTGCAACAGACTTTATTAACCTGACCTGTTTAAATAAATAGTATCATGTACTAGTATATTTAAGCCGGCAATGGCAAGGAAATACTTGTATCTTGGAAGAATAATATCGAAAATAGCCAATCGGTCTTTTGTTACATTTAATTAAATGGATCCAAAGTACTTTTCATAAATTCGATACCCTTCTTATCTCATCATATTCTGTTTTCTAATGAGACTTGATATCCAAGAAGACACAAAGGCAGTAGTAGACTACACTGGTTAAGTATTACTGAAAGCAATATATTTATATTTGCCTTACTCTTAGCTAAGCAACATATATAAATAATTGCATCATCCAATTTAAGCCTACTTCCAGACACCCGTTTGCTTTGAGGTTTCTTACAGGGTCTTCTCTAATCAGTGGGTACAAAATATTAGCCATATTTTATCAAGACGGCGAGTTGAGCTTTGAACATGTTGTGACATTTAACACGGATGAGTATGTGGGACTTTCATCTAGTCACCCCAAATTTTATCGCTCCTTTATGTGAAAAAACCTGTTTATGCATGGCAACATCCAACCTCATCATGTGTATACACTTAGTGGATATGCTCCTGACTTAGACAGAGAATGTAGCCGGTATGAAGCAGTTATCAGACGTATAGGATTAATTAGACTTAATGGCCATATCATATTCAATGAACCAGGTTCTTCTTTCACATCCTAAACACGTGTATAAACCCTGGTTTATGACATCGTTCTTGCTAACACTCGATTCTTTGATGGAGACATGGCAAAGTTACCGAGAGTAGCTTTGACTGTCGGAGTAGCACAAGTTGTACTCATTGAGTTTATTGCAATCAATCTGATTATACACATTAGAGCTATTATGGACTATCGTGAGGTGCTGATAATAATAACAGGTGTCCGCAAGACATTGAAAGTCTAGAGGGAAAAGTTAGAATATTTTGAATTGGCCGGGTGAATTAAATTATACATTTCAATCAGGCAATTGCATTGGCAGAATGTATCGAACAAGGCGTTGGCCACATGTGAACTGTATCGGCCCTTCAGATATACCCCAAGGGTCTTATTGTGTGTTATGAGGATGAGACCCTGGAACTCCACGTCAAGGTAGGACATGCTTAACGCTACACGAGCTCTAGGTGATCCAGTCTGGTGAATCACACCCTCTTTGTTTTTTTTTGTACAGTCAGCCCAATAATTTTTATCGGGCTTGAAATACACTGTCGGGTCTCAGAAATCGATTTTTTTGTCGCAAAAAAAAATTATCGCACCGGACCAAGTTCATTTGTCGCACCTGAAAAATACTTAAAACAACTTTAACAGTTTCTTTTTAAAAAAATCTTTATATCTACATTTAGATATAAAGTAAAGGATTTTCCAGAAAAAAAAGATCCCTAGCAGCTGTAATCACTCCTTCTAACGGCAGTATCACGCACACAATATTAAGTACCATCTCAGAAAGAAGAATATGAATGGAACCCGAAAATCGGCAGGAGTACTTGTCTAAAAAGCTAAACATTATAATTCATTTAAGCACCAAGCACTATTCTATTTCAGTTTCCACATTGATGTAATGGTTAAACTTCACTATCAATAATTAGACTCTGTATCACCTTTTCTACATTATTATCCTAAAATGACATTAGTTTACAAAGATAATAGGAAAATATTGTCTAGGAAACTTGTTTTTTTTTATTTAAAGATTTAATTTTTAAAGAAACTACTGGATACTGTTTTCTGGAAAATTAATACTTTAGCAGTTTCTTTAAAAAAACAAAACCTTTATGTCTACATTTAGATATAAAGTTGTTTTTAAGTATTTTTTTCAGGTGCGACAAATGATTTTTTTGCGACAAAAAGAATTGATTTTTGATACCCGACAAAATAGATTTCTAGCCCGATAAAATGAATGTTGAGTCCAACAAAAATCACTGAACTGACTGTACTTATCTATACATTTATATATATATATTCCTAGACTGTCAAGTACTTTAAACCAATAGAGCACATTCAGCAAGAGATTATAAAAAGTTGTAGCTTGATATTGGAAGATAGTTATAGCATAATAAAACACTAAAGGTGCTAGAGTAACAATCTAACTGTCTCGCACATTTCCCTTTATCTATGGTAAGATGATTGAGGCACGCAAAAAATGGAACAAGCCGGGCATCTCCACCACTATAACCGGATTCATAGTCCCTTTCATCTAAATTGCCCAGTTACATAATCACCTTTTAATTATAGTATGTTTACAAGATGCACATGGTGTATTTCGATTATCGTAATTTCTCATACACAAGGTTATAAATAAAAAGGACCCCGCTCGGTCATCATAGTTCTGATGAGCCCATCGTATTACGATTGGTTGAGAACGCTCTCTTCAGGGTCTCAGGGAGAAAATGAGTGGGTCTTATGTTGCACACCCAGTGTTCTGGTCTGACAAATCAGCGACCCTGCTTAACATTACCCTTTCTTCCATACGCTTGGCCATATCTAGTCTCGCCACACCGTTAAATATCCAGAACGAAGTGATATTATTATCGCTTCTTTCCCCTTATTCTTTTTTTCTCTCAATGATTGATCCACTTACTGCTATTCGCGAAGCGTTCGAATTATCGCCTACTAAATTTGAGGCTCTCGTCAAAGGCTTCCAACAAGAGTACAATACGGGCCTTACTACATCCTCTGCAGAAATCGCCACCATGATCCCTTCGTACGTTACTCGTATGCCAAATGGCAAAGAGAAAGGCACTTTTCTAGCATTAGACCTTGGAGGAAGCACCCTCCGAGTCTCAGCAGTCAACTTACTTGGCGAAGGCGAAGTTAAAGTAACTGAAGTACGTCGGGCAATTGCCGTGGCCGACCCACTCCGTACCGGAACATCAGATGCCTTTTTCGATTGGATTGTGGAAGCTGTCGATGAATTACTGTCCAAAATCAATACACATACACCTCTTTCAATGGGTGTCTGTTGGAGCTTTCCTATAGAGTAAGCTTGTGTGCTGTCTTTGAATTATTTGCTATTGTAACCAGTGTACACACTATTAAGCGACCTGAACTTTATTTCATATTTAGCCAGACTGGTATATCAACTGGTACAATCCTTCGTATGGGAAAAGGGTTTGATATCAAAGGTATCGAAGGGAAAGACTTGAATATCCTATTCCAAGAAGCTTTTAAGCGCAAAGTAAGCATACACCACATATTCAATAATAGTTGGCTGACTATGTTTGATAACGACAGGCTATCAATGTGACCGTCACTGCAATTTTAAATGACACAGTGGGAACTTTGGTTGCACATGCATATACCCACCCGCAAGCCAGAATTGGGTTTATTTATGGAACTGGGGTTAATGCAGCTTATCCAGAGAAAGTTTCCCGTATTCAAAAGTTGAAGAATCATAATATGGGACCAGATGTAGAGATGTTGATAAATACAGAGATTGACATCTTCGGAAATGAGTCCTATCTCCCTTTAAACCGCTTTGATCTTGCCTTGGATGCAACTCACTCGCAGCCAAAATTTCAGCTCTATGAGAAAATGATGTCTGGAGCTTACCTAGGCGAACTTACCCGACTTGCTTCTTTGGAATTGATTGCTTCCGGAGATCTGTTCAAAGGAAATATCCCGAATCAGTTTAAAAACCCTTGGGATTTTTCTTCTGCCTCTGTTAGTATTCTTGAGAGGTAAGCCTATTATTCAAATTAAATTTTATTATTATTATTATGTATACTTATATGCTTTAAAAAAATGTCTATAATAGTAACGCTGTTACTCGATGGGAAGATCAAAAAGTCGCCGTAGAGACTTTACTGACATTCGAGAATGAGTACCAATTATCAGCTACAGATTTATCGCTATTAATACAGGTCGCACATCTTATCTCGGATCGTGCTGCCCGTCTTGCTGGTGGTGCCATGGTCTCTTTACTCGAACAGCAGAAAATTAACTTGTCTGAAACAGACCCCATTGTAATCGGTGTTAATGGCTCAGTTTATGAACTTTACCCTCAAATGCCAGAACGTATCCAACAAAGTTTAATTGATTGGTTTGGCCCAACTATTAGTAGTAGACTACAAATATCGCTGGCCACAGAAGGCGGAAGCATCGGAGGTGCATTGATTGCGATGTTATATCAACCAAGGTAAATAGCCTAAACACATCCATGCCAATCATAGGCAGATAGTAAATGTCTCATTGTATGCTTGCCCTGTTACCTTTTAACTAATCGCTTCATAATAATAGTGCACCAAAGCAGCGAGCTCATCACAAACCTCCACCGCAGCCTTCCTTTTTTAACTGTTTATTTGGTTTTCTGCCATTTCTTTCCCGAAAAAATCACCCAAAAAAAACAGAACTCGAGGTCGACACGAGAACTTTATCTATTTCTAAAGAGGACCTCTAACTAAGAGGTTATACTACATATTATTTACCAACATTTAATACTATTTTTCTATTTCGTCTCTTTCAAGCCTAGCAGTCATATATACGTTTACATAAAAGCGATTAAATACCATTATTATCAATAATTTATTTTTACGTCTATCTATCTTACCGGGACTGTTACATAGTCTCTTCTTGCAAGCATATGCTGCGCAATTCTTTTTCGTTGATTTGATCTTCGCAGTCTCCATAATCTTGCACATTTTACCCATGTAAAGAAGCCAAACAGGATCAATACTATAACACCAGAAACAGCCGACGTTTTAATCAGCCCAATAAACTCTTCTGTATCCTATCAGACCTCATTTTTTTAGACGAGATTACGATAGATAGAGTATTAAGTGACACAAAAAAAGCTATATTTTACATGCGTAACGTCCTATTTTCTTTTTATTTCTTTTGCTTTTACTTGCCTTATTTAGCCACCAGCATAAATCTGATTGACCAACTACCCAACATTGTGCACTTATGGCTGAATTTAGATTGATCCACACCGCTCTGTCTTGAGATTTCTCCTCTGTAGAAGGATCAATATAGTCTCTTTGAATGGTATAAAATAGTTGTTGATTTTGCCACGCCGTGCGAGGAGTATCAAACAGATAGTTATCTGGACAAACTAAAAAAGCTTGATCATATGAAGCTGTTGTATTAGCCACTACCCACTGTGTAATTGTAAAAAAAATTAATAATTTTTTCTTTAGTGCTGTCAATTTATTTATTTTTACTTTTCCAGGTTCATTTCTGTGGCGGCAAGCTACATTGAGCTGCTCTGAGCAGTCTTCCACACGCCACCGCCCGTTTGATTGTTGTATGGCAGCACATGCCACCTTGTTATCTTTAGGAGGCTGTCCTTCGTCCCAAGACCAGAGTGTATTTTCAATAGTTTTTTGTAAAAGATCTCTATATTCTGTACTTGACACACTGATATCCAACATTGGGGATTGGCCACAGTGTATCTAGAAATAGTATGAGATGGTAAAATGAAATTTATGGGATGTATACTTACAACCTGGGAAATTTCTGCTGAGTTCAATGACTGGTTTTTCTTGTCAACTAAAGACCATGAAGGTGGTTCGCTCAAAGGATTTTCCAGTGCTTTGTAGCACGTATCCTGGACAAATGTGCTATTCTCAAAATATGTGGGAACGCCAAAAGTACCGGCCCCAAATAGTATTCCCTCGTTGCTCATAGTCTTATTGCTGCTATTAACTTCAGCTTGTATCTCGCCAAAGCCAACCAAGAGCTGGAAATGGCGTTCAACTAACTGAATCCATTGTGGCCACCATGTAGAGTTACTAGGCTTGTTTTTTTGATCATAGATAAAATCATTCGGTGTGTATATACGGGAGGTGTACGCAGTTGAAGATATGATGGTTTTGGAAATAATTTCTGACAGCAAGGTGAGTGGATGAGACTGGTTATCGGTGCCATGAATATGCAATATCAGCATCACCAAATTGGTTTTGAGTGGTGCCTTGGGAACTTGTGTTGATACAAGATATCTGTTTATAGACCCCAAAAAAATTTCTAGGCTGTGAATTGTACATGTAAATTGATTTATCGTCTGGTCTTCGGTAGAATTCTTGTCCGAAACCTCGACTGGACAAAGTTCCCATATCTCATAGGTCGAGTCCCAATATATATCGAATTCAAGTCGCATATAGCCAAGTTCAAGTAGGGCGTCGATACTATCAAGCTGCATTTTGGAAAAGTTGGTTCCGAAATAAGAAGAAGTAAGGTTGATGGCCGGCCATAAGTAGTGATTAATAGTGACATTACAGCTAATGTCTCTTTGTACTCTTAATGAATCTTTTATGTCGAGTACATTGTTCAATTGTTGAACATCGTCGATCGAGTCATCAAAGGTTGCACTGCATGACCAGGTCAGAAGACAGATCAGTGAGAAAAATATACCAAGGAGCTTCATTCCAGGTAAATAGATACAAAGCTCAAGGTCCTAAAGAAGTAATAAAAGCTGACATGACTTTTGTTGAAACAACAAAATAATGGTGTTCTCCAGCAAACGGAACAAATTATTCAAGAATGGAAAAATAATGAATAATTACAAATGTAGCTACTAAATTACTTTATGTAGTAATTTTCTTGTCTTCACTCTCATTTTGTTCCAAAAACGGAATTTGCTTCTAAACATTCGCTGGCCTCAGATGAGTATGATAAAAAAATGACCCATATGCTGGAAAACACCATAAATTTCATTCTCGTTTTGTCCACAAAAGGTAAGCATATTGACTAAAATTACATTTTGATTCGTCTAAGACATTTCCTAATTTGTTTCAATATCAAGTAGAAACACTTTAGGTGCTCTTCACGCAACCAGACCTTACAACTGGACGTTCCACCAGACCCATCACCCAGACCTTACACAAAACAATTTTGGAGCCATATGTTACTCAAGATATTTTTGGAGTACTTGATCTCTAAAATGCCATTATAATATGTGTGCATTTTTTGTATTATTTCTCGTGTTCTTTATTTTGCAATATTTTTATTAAAACAAAACAACAATGAACTACAACCACCTTATTGACACTGTTCTTGGAGAATGAGGAGTCGAAGAATTTTTACAAGCATTGTCTAATGCTTGCCCTTAGATTTTCTAATCGACAAATAACTCAGAAGAGCAAACAGATTCATTTAAAAGACCATTTATCATTTTGCAACAATTATTCATTCACATCCAAGTCCAATATGCACTTTCAAAAAGTTGACATCTTAATATGGATATACAGTACCTTTCTTCTTCTTAGGATTCCCTGTAGTTAACAGAAATTTGGGTTAATGATCGATATCCAAATGACAACAACTTCAATTGGTGGGCTCATACCATTACCAACTTGTACAATTGAAGGAACCCAAACACTTCTATAGCTCATTATATATATATATTTGTATTGGTAAAAGGCAAGGAAATAGAAGAAAAAAAAATAAAGTAGCACATTAACATAACTATTGTTTTTATGAAAAGTAGCTATGTAAATATGGCTGTTTAGTATGCTGTATATGGGACGTTATTTCCCATTTTACTTCCTGTCGAAGGTGAAGATGCATCTTCAACACGTATAAGATTTTTTATCATTTTGGAAATTTTATGTTACATAATTACTATATATATCATGAATATTTATGTACGTTTTGGGGGATGAGTCTGGTGGAACGTCAAGTGGTAAGGTCTGGGGTCGTGAAGAGCACCTTTTATTTTATTAGTATGTAGGATTTGCAGTTCCCTTCGAGCCGATTCGAATGTCAATTTTTTTTGAATGAGACTTACGAACAAAACAATTATTCTAAGACTATACAAAATTTCCCCTCAAAACGTACGAGCAATTTCCGGAAAAGGTGTACGGTAAAATGGATAAGGAATTTATTCGGGAAATAACCTAGAAGGCATAATGTTCATCCAGGAACACATATGTATAGCTAGCTTCAAAGCACATTACCCAGTTAATATTTTGACAATGGAATGTAAAGATAATGATAATAATATATGTATAGGTTGTATACTATGGGAAAAAAAAATGGCGATTTTAGTAAGAGAGTTTTTGTAAAATACATCTCTAAGCACACCCGGAGAACATTAAAAAATACACCCCTAAACACGCATTTTTTTGTAGTGGTAATAATAATAAGTAAATACACTAATCTACAATTATACGCAGATGGTTTGCGATGATACAATAAAGCATGAAAATCAAATAGATACATATGATGATGAGAAGGGAAGAATAAAGAGAGGTTTGGTTTAACAAGTACTTTGTGCGTATCTAATGCTTAGTACTTTTCGCGATCAGTCTCCACCTGCTCTTCAGTAGCTTGGGCATTGGCTAATCTCATTTGGCGCCTGGCTAATTGAGCCTCCTTCTTGGCCAGGATACCCGCATCTTGGTATCTAGGAATCCAACCAAAGAGTATACGACCAAGTTGAGGTTTACGGACACGCACAAACCAGATCGGAATAGCTAACAGGCCAATGACAATACAGATAATATACTGGTATACACCGTCAGAGCCAGCGTCAATAAGAGGAGCAACGACGAGGTAACAGTCAACAATAACGAAAAAAACAGCAAGAGGGAGCCAAATCTTTTATACATAAAAGTTACAGTTACTTGTTAGTCGAAGTTTATCACTTGACGATGTATTTCGAAAGATTTATCTTTTTTTTTACCTTGAAAGGGCGATTAAGGTCCTTGGTACTCTTCTTGAAGCGCATGATGATCAAACCAATAACCGAAAATCCATAAAACAGCCATCCAGTGAAGCTGTACATTTTTGCAAGGTAGGTAAAGTTACCGGGTATACACCAAATAGTGCTGATGATGCCAACCAAGATGGAGGCACGGATAGGAGTACCACGTTTTTTGTCAATATGAGCAAAGAAAGTGGGCATGAATACACTATCTTCTTCAGCGGAAGCAACCACCAGACGCGAAGAAGCCCACATATTTCCGTTTACAGCACCAAACGTAGATAGAACAACCATTAATGCAAAGAAGTATCCACCAGCAACTCCCATTGTTTCCAAACCTAACTGCATAGCTACAGTGGAAGAAGTGGATACAACAGAAATCGGCAAGGTTGCAAAGTAGGCGATATTTGCTAAGACGTAGACGCTGGTTACAAGCATACAAGAGATAGTGATAGCAAGAGGTAGAACGCGCTTGGGGTTCTTGACTTCACTAATACCATAGTTCAAGTTATTCTATTAAAAGTTTGGTTAATAAGATAAGAATTCAGTTTCCAATGCATGCGTATAGCTTACCCAGCCATTGTAAGAGAAAAGAGCCATGTACATTGCAGTACCATAATCCAATGCATTGGTTGAACTTCCAGCAAATGCGTTTTCAAAATTTGAAACATGTCCTTTACCGAGCCAAACCCAACCGATAATAATAATCATGACTAGTGCAATAAGTTTTGCCAAGGTAAAGATGTTTGATACATAGGCACTTGCTTTACGGGCTACTGCATTCAAGATAACAACTACCCAGATACAGCCAATAGTAACTAGCTTAGTTGCGTATTCTGGAAGGACCAAACCTTCGCCAGTTGGGTTCTCTTTATCAAAATATGCCATTTGTAGAATATATTGGGCAAATACGGTAGCAATCGATGCTGTGCCAATCGGGTTTGTCAGGAGCAAGTTACTCCAGGTAAATGTCAGTCCCATACAGAGACCCATTGAACTTCTCAGGTATTGGTATTCTCCACCAGATTTTGTGATCATAGTACCAAGTTCTGCATAGCACAGCGCACCAATATAACTAAGGAAGCCACCAATTGCCCAGACGAGTAACGAGGGGCCTACTGAATGTACTTTAAGAGTTACTGGGCCGGGAGAAGCGAAAATACCACTTCCAATAATAAGACCAACAATCTAATACAAGCCGCAAGATATGATGAGATTTTTGTATGAGACAAAGTTTTTCGTACAACATCAACTCAGAATATTCCCAGGGTTGTCAAACACAGAAAAGTATGTAAAATGATGTGTACATTGTATATAGCGATTACTTACCATATTCACACTACTAAGAAGACCCATATGGGGTTCAATTAGTGGTTTATCGTCTTCCACTGATCCATTCGAACAAATTGATGCAGTTTCGATGGATGTGATAGATGCTCTCTTGTTCATATCGCCGTATGATGCGCCGGTATGAATAGCGCTTAATGAAAGCACTTCTGGTTTTTCGTGATCTGATGACATGCAACAAAGAGAGAGAAGGCGAGTTGTTATAAACAAGGATGTCAAGTATATATATATTTCTATCATTTTTACTTTTTTATAGTGCGATCTTGATCCGCTTGAAAAAAATTTTACTGGACAGGTTTCTAAAGAAAGGTAGGTGTAGTTTATTGCACTACCAAAACTAAAGCGGACTTTATTGGCCGTTGAAAAGAAGTATATAATAACAATAATAATAAAAAGCTTGTAAAGAAATACTTGATTCCTATATAATTGGTAGGGCATACAATAGTCCATGGTTATTTCCTGGCTTAATTATAATTTATAGCAAGTTTTTGGTTAAAATGATTCGGATGATCTGTAATTATTTAATGTACCTTTACTATATCCAATTGATACTCATGAAAATCACCTTCACATTTTCAATTTGAATCGGATTTATGGGGTATGAAATCAAGTGGAGATTTTAGACCAGGAGAAATACGGTTTAAAATTTTGATCCTTAGTAGCACAAAATCTAATACTTTTCTTGATAAACTCGGGAATCCTGGCGGCAATAGACATTATTTGACTCCTTTTTTAGCTAATGTTCTATGACTCACTAAGTAAATCGGAAGGCATTCTCAAGTTTTTAAGGTTCTTTACTTTCAGTTTGCACTTGTTCATTTGGAATTTGTACTATGAAATGTTGCTGTTAAAGTAATTATTATATCACAAGGCAGAATATTAGTGTAAATCTTTCGGAAAAAGCAGCACTTGTCAAATGTGACGATTAGGGCTTTCGATTACAAATTCAGCCCTTGTACTCTTTTTTTTGGTCACGTGGCACTGTATGAAATGTCACCCTTTAAATACAGATTTATCCATTAAGTTTAACTTCATTCATTAGAGCATCTTCAGCAGTCCACTTTATTTCCACTTTCACATTAAATTTAAAGATTTAGCTAAAGTTTGTCCTCCCAGCAGTTCGATTAAATTCACTTTAAATATAAAAGACAGTCCCTTTTCTTTATCTTCCTATTAAATTTAAGCCTTTCATTGGCTCCATACAAACAAACAGAAAATTAATACAATAGACCAAGGGGTGTACAAATAGCGATCAAAATAATGTGTATTGATTTTCAAGTAATGGTTTCTTTTGAAGGACTTAATTATAGATTGCTCTTCATGTAAGCAATACTATACCGAAAAGTCCTTTAAAGAAGTACAGCAGTGTTAACTGTAACTACAAATGAGAATGCAAGACACTTAAAACATTGTTCTGTGCACTTTCAGGTGTATTTTAACTGACTTTCTTTGCTATAAAAGGGTGTTTTCTATTTGGGCGTAAACAAACGTAGATAAAGCAAGTAGTAGCAATGCTGATGAAAAATGTAATGCTAAGCACAAGCATTAGTTTTAGTCCAATGAAAGTAGCCATATTTATATACCTAGTTGAAACAATTTTTTTTTGGTGAAGAATTTCATACATATCTTTTTTTCACAATTGCTATAACTATTTTCTGTTAACTCCATCTCCCTTTCCAAGATAATAACCATGTTCTGCAAATACACTATAGCTGTTCCATAGCTTGGCTACTTCTGCTGTTACTCTTGTGACATGCAAACATCCTTGTTTTATTGGCTTTGGCCATGAAAAATCCTCTTCCGTTGAAATGGATCGTATAGAGCTCATCACTAATAGAATAGACTGTAATACAATAAATGTTTCTCTTTTTTTTTTAAAAAAAAAAAGAAGCGCCGAGTTCTTGCCTACGCCCACAAAAAATATAATAAAAAAGAAAAGCAGTTTACCTTGAGATACGCAGTTGTGTCTTCCCACAGTTTCCGACTGGTATCCTTTTGTACTAACATGTCTTTGGGAGACACAAGCGTGGGTACTTCTTTGGAAGAGAACGCAACAGGAATTACATCTAAACTATTGCTATCATAATTGTTGTTTCTGTAACTGTCGCTTTCTTTCAACATCACGTTATCTAAACTCTCAGCCAAACACAGCGCCATATAAATTGCTTGCTGGGCTTGTTGACTTAATGCATAAAGTTTTTGATTCAGGCTTTCGGTTCCGGTAACTGCTTTAATAGATATATTCAATAAATCAATAACATGAAGTGATCCGGTAACAGCTAGTCTGAGATGACCGAACAGCCGGGTACTGTCTTTAGTTGAAGAGGTTGTGAGATATGCTATATAATGTGTGCCTGGTTGATGTTCACTTGCAGATCGAGCACGAGGTAAATAAGGAACATGTTTTGTGTTTTTACGAAGGCCGGTCGGTGCTGAAAGAGTTGGGTGGATAGAAAGGATATGAACAGGAGGAGTCTGAGCTGTGATAATCTCCCAGGCTTCTTTAAGGTCTACAGCAGCACAGTGAAGATTCATCACCAGGTACCTAGCGTTTTTTGGATCTAGTATATTGACAAGCAGCCCCAAACAGTCTTTGATTTGTGTGCAGAGTTCCCGGAGAGAATTAATACAGGCTCTGGCTGCTTTAATGAGATCAAATTCTAAGGCCGGTTTTGGTGCCTGGCGGACCATTTGGTAATCGATTTGATGAAGCACCATGGTTAATTTGTCTGTAAATGACCTTGAATGCTGCAAAGAATCTGCCATTAGTGATTGTAATTTATCGCTCACGCAAAAGTCAAGGCATTTATGGAGAGTGCTTTGTATAAGGATAGAGAGAAAGGAAACATTCTGGCAGGCATCCAATAGTTTGTGACTAGGGAATTTTGAATCTAGTGTAGCGATTCGCTCTGTATTAATGTCAGAATCTAGTTGACTGGATTGATGTTGTTGAATTTTAGTGCTCATGTTACGAGTAAAGAGTAATTTTGAAGTGATATCGGAGGGGCTGTGTCTTGTGTTGTCAGATTCTATTGAGGATTTATGCGAGAGGTTGAACGGTGGGAGATTTGCTATTCGAATGGTGTGGCGATTGGTAGGAGGTTTTACTATGGAGTAGCCATGCTTATTAAGACATAATCCTGCGACAATAGATCCAGAGATCCCATTGTGGTTTCGTAATGGAGGTTGTGTTTTGGAATCTTCCATCGTAGATATACTGAGATTTATGAATATATATAAAGAAAAATAGGCCAAGAAGAATACGATACAAAAGCAAGACTAATCCTTGAAGCACACGGCTATGGTAGCAATCACGTGTATCATTAGATATCATGCCTTGTTAGAAGCAATCTATCTTATATTTCAAGTAGATATCAGACCACAGCTAAAAAATATAAATGTGACACCAAAGACGCACGCACCAAATAAGAAAGAAGAAGAGTATTATATTTAAGATATCAAAATTAACTTGGACTATTCGAATGAATAGATTATCTAGATCAAAGAGATCTTGGATAGCTTGAAAATAAAACTGGGTATAGAATTCTAGTGAAATGATCTCATTAGATATCTACAGACATAATACCTTTCTGCTACTTAAAACCAGGGTATTTGACAAGTTGCTGCTTGTTTGTTTTTAGTAGTTATAATTAAATAATGAGATATAATTTACTAAAGATTATTCTTTCCATTCCTACTTTTAGATTACAATGTCCCGATATTGTATCCGTGCAAAGAATCTTTTGTCTTTGATATTTATGACCAGACTTTGGATCCAAGAGTTATTCATATGGATAAAGCTACTTTTTGATACCGCGGGAAGAATTATTAGATATGTTAAAATAAAAAGGTGATTTTTTATAGTACAGTCAAAGCTCGATTTAGTAATACTTTTGGGAGAAGCCAAATTGTATTACTATTACTAAATCAAATGTATTTTTTCTTACTCCGCATATGTTTTTTAGCAATATTGCAGATTTGATCTATGTGACTGCGAATAAAAGTGCTGAAAAAAATATTACTAAATCGCGATTATTACTAAATCAAATATTACTAAATCGAGCTTTGACTGTATATTAAACTGCCTGTTACATAAAGAGCTGTAGCAGTACAAGAATCAATTAGAATTCTTGTATATCCTAAATTTTAAGCATGGCAATAATTCCTTAATGAGATATTCGGCATGCATTCCGACTCAATGGTTAATATACACAAAGCAATATATTCATGAGAAAAAATTCCACCATTTCCAAAAATTATTTCTTTACAATGAAAATGAAAGCATCAAATACTTTCTTCTTTTGCAAAGATGTGCAAATAGTGTAGCTGACAACATTTTCCAGTAAGTGGAAGTGCCCATAAGCCCCCCATCCTAGTTAGCTCGTTTTTGCTTTTAGCAACATCAATTACTTGCCCGTCTTCATAATAAACATGTAATGCCTTTGTGTATATGCGTCCTTAAAGTTTATCTTCTTTTTCTAATAAAATAAGTGAATTCAGCTTACCTAAAGCTAGACAATAAAAAAACGTGTGGGTCTGAATTGGGATAACAATTAGTGTAGAAAGATCGAAATGATTAATTAAAGATAAATCTAAAAGATGCCTATATATATGTTTCGATTCACCCTCAACCTCACTAGTATTTCTCCTTTCAACATCAGGGATTGATTTATCAGTAAAAGCCTTTAGCATTTGGACTGGCCATATCACCATGAGTATTCTTAAAAATGATGAGGTATGTTCCGGAACATCCGAGCCAACAATGAATAAAGTCAATATACTACTTGGACAACATTCTTGTGCTGGAAAAGTCCAAGAACAAAAAAAAACAATACTTGACGCAAGCTACGGACCAACTACAAGCTTTGAGCTTTCTTATCGATTGGGAAAAAAGCAACAATATTTTCTGAGGTTTACGCCCAATTCGATAGAAGTGAAAGTAACAGTATTATCTGAGAAGGTAAGAAAACGGAGGGCTAGGAGATAAATTATGCAAGCTACGATAAAGAAACTATACTGCATGTGAATAATTGGCTTGTTAGGAAATATTACGGCAATCATATCCACCGTACGAGAAGCTCTCGTACATATAGAGTACCTTAAGAGAGATTTAACAATGTCACTTTGTCAGAATCATCACAAATGGAACAGCCAATGTCCAATGTCAGAACAGCCCAGAATGGGTATGAGCTGGTGGCTGTAAATAGCAAAAATCAAGAATGGTTTATCCATAGCACCAATGATACAGGAACAGGGACAGGATATTACTATCAATGTCTATGTATTAGGCACAGGGTGAGGAGTCACTCCAGAATCAGTTGAGACTACTGGATACTGAAAAAAGGGCGAATATGAGCTTTCGATCAATGTGAGTTAGTTACAGATTATATTATCTACCTTTCAATTCCACGCCGCGAAAATCGAAAGATGTACCGTTTAAGCGTTCTTGAAGAATATTACAGTACTCAAGTACGTGAAGAAATTGGGAGAGACGGCATATCCAATTATACAGCAACTAGCTCTGACGCTCATATTTTATAGAACTATTACAATTTGACAGTAAACTGCCTACATATACCTGGATTATACAATATTCGTATATACCACTTAAGCCGAAAGGCAAAACTCCTGTAAGGATGGATCTTAGCGAGATGATACTTCCAGCTCATTCAGATAAATCTTGAAAGAATTACAGGGAATACATTCACTATACGAGAGAACACCATACTATCAATTTTATTGAGGTACAAGCTGGGCACATCAGTAGCTGTGGCCAATGCTTTTCCATAATCTTGTCTAGCAACAGGACTGTACTTACACCCACTGTGGAGGTGGCTCCATTAGGCATTACAGAAAAATCGACAAGATTGAGTGAAAATACCAGCACTGGTGATATCCAATTAGTTAATTCAGTATTTCTGACAAATGTTAATTCGACAAACGGTAGGAAATTTTATAAGTCTTCCAAGAAACCGACGATGGTTCTTAGCAATATGAATATCGTTGGGCAGCACCTGAAGAAGCCATGGTCAAGAAAAACAGCTGGTACATATATACAAGGAGCAATCAGATGCAGTAGTAGAAAAGCGTGTGATTGTGTAGCAAAGATTTTTTTTAGTGGTGCAATAGTTTTTTTGTATTGTTTATTAAGGACATAAACCCGATTGTGCCATAGTGTTAGCTATCACTATAAGAAATGGTAGAATTTATAACTCCAAACTCGTATATTTTCTACTTTTATATCGAGATTTTATGGGTTTTATTGATCAAAATAATTGAAGAAGTATGTAAAGAAGTACCTTTATGTGATATTTAGTAAGAGTTTAAGCTATAAAATTGCTATAATATATATAAGTCTATAAAAAAAAGTACGATTGACAGGAAAGAGTTTTAAACTCTACATACTTTTATCCTTTACTCTTGTAAGTAATCTATCAACCGACCTACAGCATACATACTTACCCAATATCTTAGTATATAATCCATAGTAATTGTCACTTTCAAAAGCACTGTCCAAACCTCGTATCTCTAGTCCACTGTGGATTAGAAGACAATAAACGAAGCTACCCCATTCCGAGCCCTTACTGTTGAGGCATCAATAAAGGCAACAGGATGGAACCCAGACTTCCTTAGACCCCTACGAGTTCTTTTTACTAAAGTCCACACAATCGTCACCCACACCGCATTAAACAATAGCATCTTCCTTACCGAGCTACCACGCGATCCATTCTTCGATCTTGATGAATATATTACGTTAGATATTTTTGCTTATGTCTCTTTACTCTTGTTTGATCATAGCACTTCCTTTTATATAACAGAAAGGACAAAGTGAAATTATGAGCTCATTTATTATCACGACGATGCCTATATTACTGTAAGTATCTCTATCTTCTGGTTCTTTTACGCAAGTACCAAAAGTCGAACCAGTCATCAATATTTATTCCGCAAGTTTCACCTTTCCTCATATATTAACCATTCCAAAGCCAGCAAATGTCTAGCAAGAAAGATCAGTGCTGAATTTGGTTGGCCTTCTGTATTGATGGTGAAAAACTGGTATGTATATCACAATAAAAGCCATGAAGCAATCAATGGTGTAGTAATTAGATGTCTACCTCATAAGCATGGATCCGATCTTTGTTTGTTTGATACATTTAGTACTTCCAAGCACTATTTTTCGTACTCTCGGCTTTCCCTTTGAACCTTCAAGCAAGTCGAAAACGCTCGCTAATATAACCCCATTCAAATGACAACTGTAACTTGCCATAGTTTTCTAAGGGGAATATTACAGCTAGTCATCATTTTTTCTATTACTAATACTTTTTATAAATCCATACAGATTTACCAAATCAAAATTGTTTTGAGAACATGGCTTCGTTACAGTTTGAGCATAATGTGTGGAATAGAAATCTTACTGCTGTCCTGAACTTCTGGAATATACTTAACCGATTTAGACATGATATTTTCCTTAATAGGTTTACCCGTGCCATTAAAATTGTAAGTGCTAGAAGACAAGCAAAAGAAGCTCTTCAGGAGGGTTGTTATGTGAGACAAAAACTGACAGGAATTCAAAAAATATAGAAATATTCCCTCCTGTTTACCGCCTAAGATTCACCCAAGATACCGTTGGTAAGCTATTATACTTGAATAACTTTATATTATGCATGTAAATCTCCCATCCTACTGGATAAACTCTATTTCACATCGCACCTTATACCTGGGTACAAAGGTTCTTGTTTTCTCACCAATAAATATAAAGTAGAAAATACAAACTAATCTCATTTATACGACCGAGATTTATAAAGGAGGAACTTGATAAAGACTTAAACTTTATTTATATATAAAACTGATAATAAGAACACGGCTCAGAGGGCCAATATCATATCTCTTGTTTCAGCTTCGGCAACTGTCCTATTGAATACAAGGCCACTTTTGACTTTATAGGTTTAAATGAAATCAAAACTAATATCCAAACAGACTTGGTAAAGGAATTTTTTTTTTAGAATTTAAAAAAGATATCAAAAACCCTTGCCACTTTATTGCTCAAAACACCAAAAGGTCTACTAATGTTGAACTTTAAGAAGTTTCATACATCCACACCATGACGTATTAATACAGTCACACAGACCCGTTTCATTTTTCGCGTGTTTTTTTGGTCCCTTTGCTGTCCTCGCGTTGGCCTCTTCGTCACAATCGCGCTTCTATTCAATAAAGTAGGTTAGCCTATAATACTATATATAATTCAGAATCACAACCTCAATAGAGCTTTACTGGGAAAATTTCGACCCGATAGAGACTATATAATTTAAATGTACGGTATTCCAACTTGGACAGAAGAAGCCCGTACCCTTCACGATGACATCTGTCGAGCCAGAACCTCCGAGTCGTCTGTTTTGGCTTCTGATCTCAGAGCCAAGCTTCAATTAAGCAAGCCTAAACTATTACGACTTCTAGACGATGATTCCAGAAATACAGCACACAGAACCAATCTCAATCAAGGTAACAGGTGACCTAATGTACAATCGATGAGACAGAGAAAGGATCGATTAACATGCCATGTTAATCAGGCAAGGCATATATCAATGGAACTCTTCAGAAGATCGCACCAGAATTCGCACAGAAAGCCATATTTCTTTCCGACCAACTAGATATTAATGAGTACACAGCAGCCACTCTTTTAAAACGAGGGTTGGAAGAGGTATCATACACAGAGGATAATGCTATCGACATTTCAATCGTTCTTTACCACCAAGAGCATGAATATCTCCTAGAATGCTTCGAAGTTATTCTTACAACGGCCAAAGATGCAAGTGTAAACAACGACATACGATTGGTTTGCTACGATTTCATGAACGATATCATGCAAACTCGTTTACCTCAGGAACAACTGTCAACAGTAACAGGTGGACCAGGTGGACCAAGTGGATCATTTATAGCGAAACTGATTGCGACTGTTAAAAGATACCAAGAATATATCAGCTCAATCATGGATACCGGCGCATTATCAAATGCCCAGCCAACTCCTGCTATTGGATTGGCAAATGGGGTTGGACAGGGAAAGCTGGGAGAAGAGATTACAGAATACAGAATGCACCACTTAGTGGAGGAGCGTACAGGTCTGATAAGGATATTTTATCACCTTGGCTCTCTTTTTTGGCCAGAACCAGAAGACGTACTGTCTTTCTTGGGAATGTTGGAAAACGCAAACCTCAAAGATTACGCTACACCTTATATGATTATCTGCATGATCGCTATTCTTTCACCAGAGAATCATGTTAATATGGACGACGATTACCAGCGCAAGGATTTATCCAAAAATGAAGAATTCTTAAAGAAGTTTCACGAGCGAATAATGAATCAATCATGGACAGTACTTCCTATAAAAGCGACAATATTTATTCAATGGGTCATATTACTGGAGCATGCCTCGTTATCAAAACCGGGTCTCAAAGAAAGAGTAACGGGTACTGGAGATTTTACTGAACTTGTAAAAGATGCGATATCAGCAAAGGCGTTTGTATTTATGAACAACTATCTACTGCAGTTTCAACAAGAATACGGAAAAAATAACGTTTACCGGGGAGTATTGAAAGATCAGATAGATGACGATGGAAATATGGTGACAGATAGAGCTGTCAACCTTGGAGACTTTACACTATTCAATGCATTTATTCGCGAAGATTTTCATATATATGTTTTACATGAGCTGGACATTTTGGCAAGCACGTTTATCAGAAATATGAAAAGCGTTTTACAAACCCTCAAATATCGCGAAGAAGATTCAAACCCGGCTACTTTACCCACACAACAGTCATCTATCATATATACAGATTTAAACAACAAAGATGAAAGATGTCATGATTTAGAAGATTTCTTTTCTTTCCTTGCCAGCGTCTATCGTTATCGTATTGATGCAGGATTTCAGTTCTGGACAAATGATGAAGGTGGTCTATACATCTTCACACAATGGGCAGCAAGCATCAGAGTGCAAAGTACAGTAAAAGCGGTATATGATTTCTTGGGGTCGATTTCGACAGGAGAACGTTGTGCACGCTCTTGTTTCGCCTATCTCAGAAGATATACAACCACATATGAGTCGGGTGTAAATAATTTCTTCTCATGGGCGAGCCTCGTTCAGACTCTTCAATACTATGCACCTTTGCTGCACACTAGTACCGAAGACCGTATCAACCGTCTTCCTCCAAATGAAGAGAACCTCTTGAAGACATTTCTCTACCTTTTAAAGCAAGTGGTTCTGTATTACGTGGATGCGAGAAAATTCTTATGGGAAGATAAAATCTTAAATGTCCAGAATAGCTTGATTGATATGATTAATTCCCCAACTTCAACACAACTTCGCGCTGCTCTTTACGGTGCCCTCGCAGCATTTTGCTCTTCTGGTGGTGGAGACATTAATGGAGTTGGAAGATCCCATGCTCTGGAGATGTGGGATGTTTTAGAAGGTGGACAATTCCTTGTTTATCACCCACCAAAGGAAGGATTGACCCGTGCTCAAGCTATGGCTTCAAAACAAGTTGGATTCATGAAAGACCTTTCGCTCGAACAATCTACTGGCACTTACCCCGAGACTTTGGCAATTATTGAACTCTTGACATCACTTATCCATCCTCAAAATGAACGAAATGAACTGATTGCAGGGTATAAAACAACGGGCTTTTCTATTCCTTCCAAACTTGGCTATAATCGAAAGAACCCGGGTGCTGAACCGTATATATCTCTTATTATTGAAAACGTGTTTCTCCAGCTGGATTCTTTCAAATATATGCATTCAGAATGCAAATGGCAACTTACTGAAGCATGTCTTAAACTCTTGGAGAATTGCATCATGTCCTTTGATTTGAGACCCTTAGTATATTGGTGGAGGGGCGACATAAATTACCAGCAGAAAACTGGCGCGGAAGAAATCCTCAGCTCCCTCTTACGTTATATTACCCACCCCGGATTTGAGGTCTTCGTTCGCCTATTCTCAGACTCTCGATTAACTAAAAAGCTTTTTAGTATCTTAGAACACGAGACAGAAGGCTCAATTAGCTGGAGAAGCATGCCTACGTTTTCGAGAGAATGCGTTGCGAGATGTCTATCGATCATCGATAAAGCCCTTGAAGTTCAAGACGCCTTTTGCAACCTGCTGGTGCCCACAATCCTACGTTCCCTGACAAAAACATCCTCCCCTGATATTGTCTTGGGGGATTTTAACTTCAAGCCTATCCCGTCTATTACTATGTTTAGCCATTTAATGCTCCATCACCAAAAGGTTCTTATCAATATCAGCCAGCTTGTTAACAGCAAAGACTATGAAGAGATCTGTTCGCTAAGCGCCAAAATCTTGCAAACACTTTCTGCCGATCCCTCCTTAAACGATATGACAGTCAAGAGCGAACAGGGAAATTATGTGCATTTGGACACTGGTGGCCTTGGAAAACAGCTTACCATGGTCTTACAAGCAAGTAGTGAAGCGGACGCAATTATCTATGGATTCAGTGAAAGACTCAGATTAGACTACTCAGAATCTATCACTTTTAATGATTATATGTATGATCTCAACAATATTCCGTTCTGGCGTGCCGAGACAGTAGCCGACAATATTCACCAGCTCAACGAAACTTCTCCACGACGTATTCAAAGTTCGATCCGTCTAGAAATTCTTGACTTGCTCCTAAATAATTCTGTAAAATCCAAATCTTCTCCTAATCTCACAGAATTCCTTTTAGGTTTTGAAACTAAAAATGGGAAGGGATTAGTTAGTATAAAAGATCCTCTCAGTAGTAATGCTATTCCCACCAGCTTTCACTCCATTCTCGACCTATTACGATCAGGCGTGAGTGCTAAAGGTCTGCCACTCATTGCAACTCATCCACTATTGGCTGAAAAGTGCTACCAATTGATCTACCAACTCTGCTCCAAAAAGTCGACCTCAGAACCGGTTATGCGATATCTCAGAACCAGAGAAAACTATTTTTACGAGCAATTCAAAGCAATGCCATCCGGTCTAACAAGCTACCAAAGTACACCTGTTCATATGTTACCAGGAACCCTTATTTACCCTGACGGAACAAAAAATAGTATCGACTTCTTCTCTCTTCGATCACAGCTCCTTCGACGTGCCTGGCTCCTTCACTCAGTTGCACTTGAATTACATGCCGCAGCTGTTTCTGGAAGAACATCTGATGCAAGTCGACTAATTGAACTTCTGTATGGCGATGGCGAACTTCCTGAAAAGAATGCATCTCCTCAAGCAACACGCGTGCTCCAGCAACCGCTTGTTAAGATTCTGGAGATTGTCAGCTCGCTCAACTTCATCTGGGATGACCACACCAAGGACTCTCCGAAAGATTTCTGTTTGGACTTTTTTACAGGTTTTGATGACACACGGTTTGAGGTTACAAATGAACATGGATGCGTTGTCTATGACATCTGGTCTGCCTACAAATTTCTCAGGGGTATTCAACACATGGAGGACCCTTCAGATACCAACAAATGGAATAAAATTGAGCTCGAAATCCGGCGAATTATCCATGTAATGGTTATCCAAAACCACAAACGTGAAATTGCACATGGAAAGTTATGCTGTCTTGAGGCCTGGAAACAGGTTGTCGAAATATCTGTATTGGAATGTCACGAACTGTTCAGATCCAATAGACGCTTCAAGGTTATATATGGCCTGTTGCAGATGCTCCTTCCAGAGTTACCTCGTTTGGCAGACAAAAATGATGCGATGCTTCAAGGTATGAGTCAGGTTATCCTGACTCTGATGGATCAAATCAATACCACACCTCGCCGAGAAAAGATTGTGATGATTAAACCCGGAACAAATGCTGTCTATAGTCTCCCAAATTTTTCGGATATGGATTTATCAGAAATCTTTATTGGGATTGTCAATTGTATACAGGATAGCCACGGCTCTGTTATGGTCCGTGGAAACATGTATATCACCCTCAGCAAATATCTTGCCTTAATCACACCGCCAACACAGCAAAAGGATACTTTACCGCTACCATTAACTAAATTGCAGCACTTCATCTCCGATTCTGTCCAAAATAGTCACCCATCATTTCTAGAAACTATCTACTACGACACCATATACAGCGATGATGTCTGGAAGCCTACTGCTCTGGCGGCGATGTCTGTCCTATATGAACTGACCGAAAGAGCGGGAACGTACACTGTACTGAATTTCTTAGAAAGAAAGAATTTTATATGCCATAGGTTGGACGCGATATTTGAAGGACAGACTGGAGAAGGTCAATTCAAGCCACAGGATAGTAAGTAAATAAATGATATATATGTAATAAACTAGAATCTTACCATCTATTATAATAATCATAGTCTCTCCTACGAGTATTGCTTTATATAATGAAAAGATGAACCTCCTGTTGCGTATTGCGTCAAAAAAGCGAGGAACTGAAGTACTATGTGCCCATAACGTATTTGATGAACTCTGCAGATTCAACTTGAACAAATTGCCGCGTGAAGGCAAAAAAGAAACAGGTAGGACATTAATATAAATAAGCGACCCTTTTTTAACTATTATGAAATTATAGAATTGTTTGACATTATTGTTACTCCTGTACTTCGGCTGGTGCTCATATTGATATTGAATAAAGGGCAGTATTGCGAAGAGACGAGAAGACAGGTTAGGGTTTGCTTTCTTATTAGCATTATCATTGACAAGCCATTAATTTAACTAACTTTAACTCTAATTACTAGGCTAAACGATGGGAAATTTCGCATGAAGATGTATTACAGTACATAACTGCTATAAAACGCCCACGTACATCTACATCCGAAATACAACTAAATTTAACAAAAGATATTTTGCATCTTTTACAACCAAAACCTGAGTCCTTCAGTACTATAGTAAGTACAAAATATATACTAGCATAAACTTATAAGCCCTTATTAAACACATTATACAGGAGCCTAAACAGCCTCATGCTCATTGGTAAACACAATAATGGGCTATAATATCCTAATAATATGAATAAATTATTGCTGTAAAATCTCATTGTGCTTATAATTGTACTTAATACAAATGATCCTTGGTGTGGAAAGGTCGAAAAGATTAACCAAAGATAAAACAAAGGCCTTAATGGGCTTATCCAATAAAGTTAATTTATATCTATCCGCACCGTTTGTTTTTTTTTTAAAAAAAAATTCAAATGCTCATAATACTGTAAGGGTGCCATGATTTTAAATCGACGAGATGATCCAGCCATCGATTAAAGATTGTTGATATTTTTTTCAGGAGAAATGTTGAGTGCATTGAAAAGCTATCTAATTAATGAACTAGAATAAGTAAAAATTATCTAGAGCTCTACGATCTTCATTCTTTAAGAGTACTTAAATAATAATATGTTATATTTACAAACACTGTCTATGCTTTTTTGTTTTCTTTTTCTTTTTCTTTTGGTTATATACATATAACATTTATGAGAAACTATTCATGCTTTAATGAGAAATTTCCACAATCTATTTTAAATATACAGCAAGTATGTACATAATTCAAAGTAATAGTAATAGTAATAGTAATAGTGGTAGTAATTAAGATATTTAGGTAATTAAGCAGCAACGTCCAGGTTGGCTATGTATCCGCACTTGAGTGTAGTAAAGCCGTTAAAAAGATGCTCTTTCCAGTTTTCTCCGGTTATTTCAACAGTGCTATCAAAAGAATACTTTGTTCCGGCTAAAGTTCTTTTAAGCTCAAAGTTACGAAAGTACTTTCTTGCCCAGTTTGCTTGGCCTTTTGATAGCCTCCAATTTACAGAACTCCAGCTATTGTTATTGTCCTTCTTATACGAGGAATATAGCCAGGTGTACTCTATTGTGTTCTTTGGAGATACCTTTTCTGAAGGTATGGTGTTTAGGGTATCTGTTGTCTGTTGATCAATAGTTGGGTGAGAAATAACTATAAGATTGAGATTGCTGCTGCCATTTTCGTCATCTTCTAATGTGCTGAACCACACATTCTCGAAACAAAATCTCTCAAAACGAGTTCCTGACATGTCAATAAAGAGACTTCTGGTGTTTTGGAAAATAGATCCTATAACTTTTGTATTTTTCAGTTGAATGTCGTCCAATTTTTTGCAGCGGGATGATATATAATCGAGCGTTTCAGCACTGACGGTCGATCTGTGGATTTCTACCACTCGTAGTTTACACATAGAAACGTTTTTGGAAGCTGTTGAGCTAACAAGCAGTCGCCCGCGAGAAAGTCTAAGATTTGTTAGAGAAGCACAAAGCTCCAGAAGAACGTCCAATTCAATCGATGTATTACAATATCCAATTCTCAAGTAAACCAGCCGGGGACAGTGGTTGAATGAGTTTGTGATTGTAAATGGAGTATTGAATATGAACCGACATTTGATGGAGAGACTCTCAAGCGTTTTTGAGAATGAGCGCATGCATGTCTTGATAATTTCTTCGAATACTTCTGGTGTATTTTTGGATAAATAAGGTCTGCACGTCAAATGTTTGATGGGTATATTGGACGGACAAAATGATCTCCAAAAGATGAGATGTTCTCCTTTTGGGCATTCCTCGCTTCTTATCGAGGCTATTCTCAGGTTCTGAAACCCAGTAGGGATTGCTTTAAATAAAGCGACTGCTTCGTCTTGGTGTTCATCCAGTGTAATTTCATTATTACAGGTTGCCCACCTCAAGGTATGTAAGGCGGGGTATTTCCGTGCAAAGTAACTCAGCCATCGAAAATCTGTAGTTTTACTATCAATATCAAAAAATACCAGGCCCTTTGCTGGAGATACATCGGTAATATGTATCATATCTACGGCTGAAAGAACTGTCAGATCTGTACTCAAACTTAGATTCTTCAGTTGTGGCAAGTGTTCGTGAAGGGTTTCAAAATCTTCGAGTGTGAATCTTAGTCGCACCGGAAGCCAAGTATGACGGATAAGCTCCAGCCGTTTCAGGCGAGGTAGACAAGACATGATATCGAGAAACTTTCTTTCTGCATTTTCAATACGTACATCATCCAAGACGATCTGTAACTCGACTAGTGCATCCCAAAGTCTCCAGTTTGCTGTAGCTCCAAAGTTGAAGTTGCTTATACGAGCTTGCTTGACATAAAGGTATTTTATATTCCGAAAGTGTTGCTGAAGGATATGGAGCTGTTCATCGCTTGCCTGGAATTCCCCATATAAGTAGAGATATCGCATGTACTGACCATTTTTTTGATATACAATATCATTAGTAATAAATTCGTCACATATTTCCTCTAGTTGCTTCTGGTCATATATCACTATTTCGTTCAGCATCGCTTCTTGGAAGGGCGCTTGCCATGCTTTGCAAGTGAGTGAACAAGGAGACTTGTCTTTGAATGAAACGAGGTTTGCAATATTGATGAGAATCTCGCATGGTAAGTCAGATGCCAACATGATGGAGAGGAATGACTATTTGTAAATAACCAAGACGGAATTTAATCAATTTTGTGCATTGGAAAGACAGTTTACCATAAAGAGCAATGCTGTGGTTTTTATATGGGTACACGACGTAAAAATAAAAATAAAAAATAAAATGTAATACAGTTGGCTATGGAGCACAAGACTCAGACTGAGCATTTTCGGTGAAAATCAAATAAAAAAGGATACCCAAACTCTTCTCATTGTTTTAAGTATTAGCCTTTTGAATTTGTTCCTGCTGGGTGTTGAGTTTCGATGGGTACCTTCAAAAGACTTTTAATTTGGATGTATCAAAATGGGTATTAATCAACTCACCAAATAGATTAAAAGAGAATCATTTTACGGTCTAAATCATGTATATGAAAGTTTGGTTTTACTACTATGGGGGGTTGGCAAAAGAGTGCAAGTATTATAGATACAAGGCGTATTTATCAGAATTCCAGGCCAATTTCATGATTTGATATTTGAAACAAATCCACCTATAATATTTTCTAGATTGTTGCACACAACCTTTCTCCTTTTCTTTTTTTAAGTAAGTTTTATTTTTTAAAACGCTGTTTGTGGGATTGTATGGCTTTTGGATTGTTTCAATTCCATTTTGCTTTTTCTACCTCTGTTGACCTGCTTGATATTTTGACGACCGTGTTATGTGGTAGTATTCGCTATTTGTGCCTTGTAGTAAACTATATGTTTTGGTTCACAGCCTTTCTGTTGCAGAAAAAACAACCTTTGGCCCAGGGTCTATAAAATCTGGATTATAGTTATGTTGTACTTCATTGAACTCGAAATCTGATCATTCAAGTTGAAACATGTTGTCTTTTACTGAGATAATTTTGGCTTATGAATTTCCCCTTCACTTTTAATAAAAGACAATACGAAGACTCATCTCTCGTTGTGTTCCTTTTCCAGTTACTATCTCAAGCAAATATAAGTCGAAATATCTCCCCATGTTTAGATAGGTGCTTACACAGATAAAAAGTTTATAGGTCACTATACGTTTTATTGGATACCTGGTGATATGAGGTCGCTTCAGGCTATTTAGGGCCGTTTGAGTTGATACTTTTTTTCTGTCACAAAAAAATCAACAAACGTAGTATAAGTTAGCTCCAACGGTTTTTCCAAGATGCACATCTACATTTCCTTGCTCCTAGTCACCCAATGAGTCCAAATTCATCATCTGTACTTCAAGTGCTTTCATTAAGTATGTAAGAATATCAAATATGCGAACCCATTTGTTTCGGTCTTCGTAGCGTGTTGGAATATCAGAAGTTCAAAACTGTCTTTGGATAAACTTTCCTTCATAGTCCGTTTGTAATTCTGACAAAATAATTGTCGTCTTCATTGTTTGAACGTCAAATACTTTGGTTAGTAAAAATGTACTGAAACTTGAATTTGTGTGGGTATTGGCGATGCATTTGAGCATTTCGATCATACTGTGAACTTGTTTTACGCTATTATCAACGGTCTTGGGTATCTTTTCTTCGTGTTGTCCTGAAGAGCCTTCCATTACCAGGCGCTTACCACCAGTCCAATCGTAGCCAAGCCCATCTGCAAACCATGGTTTCCCTTTTTCCCAAAGTTTCGGATCTATGTCTGCCAGAGCATGTTATTTCAACTTGCGTTGACACCAGTCGAAGGAAAGTCGATCTGTTTTATTGAGAAATGATCGAATAGTAGGTAAGATTTGACCCACCCACCATGCTCGTTCATAGTTGCCTTCAAAGTGCGTCATTGTTGCCGAGCTCGCGTTGCAAGGTTGCTGCAGTGCAGTTGTCGACAGAGTTGGTAAATACAAAATAAATGATTCTTCACGATTTTTGCTCGTCGGCATTCAATTCTTCAGGCTCCGTTTGATGCCGTAGAGCCACACAGACAATGCTTTCAGATCTTGATCCAGTGTCTCCAATAGAAATATATGAACTCGTTGGAACTCATTTAGATATGACAAACTTGATTTTGGTAAATTAGCAGGTTCAAAAAGAACAATTGACTCTAAAGCAACCACTATATGATGCAGAATTCTTGTTGCCTTGACGTTATACAGATATCTTGAAGCCGAAAACGTCACAATCCTCTTGCTTGTCGACACATTGACCATTGGCTGCAACCACTGCTTTTTAGACGATTTGGTCACTTCAGAAAAAATGTGTTCACATTTGACATGGCGACGCAAGTCGTCCAAAACAGCGAAATGATCAAAACAAGATGGGCATGCAAAATCCCGTCAAAAATTGTCGTGAAATATCCATCAATAATTAAATATAAATAAATTTGCATGTGTTGAATCGTTTCTTCCCTCGAGGAATACGTGGTAAATCAACATTGTGTGTTTGCAACAATGTTGTAATGAAACGAGAGCTACCGATGTTGCTGTTGATACCGCGTCCGATGTAGGACTAGGCGCTGTCATGATAGAGTATTGAACGATTTAAAAGCGCTAATTTTAGGTGGGCGACGTTTCTTGATGGGGCACGACATTTTGATTTTACCGGACCACAAATCGTGGCCTTTCTGCCGGTATGGAATAACTCTATCTGGCCCCTAAGGATCCATTCTTAGTATAATAGTTATATCAGCCAGGATACAAAATATTCATAAATATTTTCTTTTGTGCTTGGCAAAAAAGAGTGGATGGGGATTACTTATCAATTGGTACTGTCAGACTCTGAGAATATAAGTTTGGGAAAGAAAAAAGGTATGATACGCGTAAGAAGGCCAACAAGTAGTGAAATATTCAACAGATTTGCGTCACACTCTAATGACAACTGCTTATGATCTTCTGCATGGTTGGTAATTGATATAGTGTATGTGTGATTAATTATTGTTTTTATGGTCAAGTCTAGATTTAGGGACACTAATTGAATATATTGTATTCTTTTCAGGACACGCCATTTTGCCCTGGAGGATTTGAAAAAGACACCGGGTCCCGGACAAATAGTCACAATTAATTGGACCGGTTAGCTAGAAACGTCGTCCCCGTAAGATTGCTGCACCATAAACCATAGACGTATCCTCAACCCCAATACTACAAAATGACTGTAAAAATTGAAAAATAAAACATGTATCACCACCAATGTCTTTTTCATACTTTCTTTTGTTGAGAACCGAGAATTTCTTTTTAAGAATAAAAGTAAAATGGAAAGAGATGAGCATTAATCTTAAAATGTGATCATCAATTGATACTGTTAGCAATCGTATATTCAAAACCCATAAGTCCAATCACTTTCTAAAAATCTGATGAAATCAAACAGAAGTAACAACTCCATCCCTGTATTGAAAGCAGCTTGTATCTTTTGAGGCATATACAGCCACAATCAAAAACGTTTCGACCTCTGAGCCCAAAAAATGCATGAGAGAAATCATGGCATGTATTCAACATGCAACTGCTTATCATTAATAATAGCTGAAGCCTTCAAACTTCAAATAAAATATTATATATATGTTTATTATTGAAATATAAAAAAAATAAAAGATCAATATTTCATATGACCTCCTTTGACCTCAATCACAGCCTGACATCGATGCTGCATGCTGCCGGCCAAAGTTGATGCAAGTTTGAGACCTATCCTTTGCCACTCTCGTTGCATTACGACCTTCAAATCTTCAACGTTGTTAATACTGGTCCTCTCGTCACTCATGCGCCTCTCGAGAGCCCACCAGAAATGCTTGATGGGGTTGAGATCTGGGATTTGAGCGGTCCAGTAGTCAAAACCTCGGATCTCATGGCTATCTTTCCACCACCTCGAATACGACCCAGTATGACAGCTGGCGTTGTCCTCGTAGAACACGAAGCTCCTGTTCTGTTCCCATAAAAGACGTTGGAGCCAAGGGAGGAAGTTCTGAGCCAAAGTGTTTGCGTATTGGTCTTGGTTTACGCTACCATCTAGGGACACCAAAGGGCCGAAACCACCGGCCCAGAAACAGCTCCAGATCATCACATTACCCTCCCCACACTTGGTTCCTTCGATGATATTTTCTTCCTTCCACCTTTCATCGACTTTCCTGATTGCCCTAGCTCCTCCATAATTACCCTCAACTGTGGACTGTGATTCATCTGATCACACTATACCTCTCCACTGGTCCTCCGTCCAATTGACGTGCTCACGGGCCCATTCCAGCCTTCTTTTCTTGTGGCTTTCGGTTAAAGCTGGCTTGTAAGCTGCGATATATGATCCGAAGCCCAAACGCTTCAGAAAACTAATTATTGTCTTTCTACAGATAAATACCTCCATATTCTTTAGGGAAGCCCTTAGCCAAGAAAGTGAGGAAAAGGGGTCCTTACAAACTATTTGGACAAGGTGTCGTTCTGTCCTCTCGTCAATCTTTCTAGGTCGTCTGAACCCTTTTCTTGGCTCAGGCGATTATGTCTCATCCACTCTCTTAATGATGTACTTGACGGTTGACAGACTCATGCCAACCACCAATGAAATCTGGGTTGCCCCGTAATTTGCTAAATGCATGTACATGATGCATCCGTATTTATAGGGATTAGTCATTTCATGTGATCCGTGGGTGTTTTCTGATGAATTTGTGTCTTGCATGTTGGATTCGATTAATAATATTTGGAGAAAACAATGTTTTTATTTTTATTTTTTCATGATTTTTTAACCATTTTTTTTGCGGGGGTCGAAACGTTTTTGATCGCGAGTGTAGATGGTTACAAGTAAGACGTATGTATTGTGATCAATATCCTTTCTATATACTTCTTTCTCTCTGGTTTTTTCTCATGTAGAGTCAAATTATACCTATAGATTGTATTGTACCTTTTACTTTGTGCTTTTATTAAGAACTATAGTCTTACAAAATACTTGTTCAAACATCATTTGTTTAAAAATAGAAGATTCTGTTTTATTACAAAAGAGGATAAAGGGACAAATGTATCCTTCGAGTTTCACACATCTTTAATTCGGAAGTTTATCAGTCTTTGACACTAGGCATATATTATAACCTTTTTTTTTTGTTAAGAAAAGAACGAAGGGAAGGATATTTTAGAGGCAGTATGATTGAAAGTAGGTGTGAATGATTAGTAAAGCGCAAATATTAAAAGACATTAATCATTGCTTTTGATTAAATACTCTAAAGACGGTCATGTATGTCTCATAAGCTCCACCAGAACTGTCTGTTCAATAAAGTTTGTCTTACAAATGTATATCCCTTTTTGTGTATGTCTGTTTGTAAACAATACGCCTTGATTTTCCCAGAGACTTCCCTTGACGAGGTGTGCACTTTTATTAGTATGTCTTATGCCTCACTATTGCTTGGAACTAATAAAAATAAAGATTGTATTATATTGTGCTGTTTTTGCTTCTTCTTTTTAGTATTCAATTTTAAATTTATTAAAGGGACTTGGACGTGCATATTTCAGTTAAAGAGAATAAACCAGTGCAAGCATAAAGACAATTATAGAAAGATATACTGCTTGTTTGTTTTGAATATTCAATAAACTATATCAACCTCCCTTTCTTCTCTACTCTTTACTTTCTTTCTCTCTCTGCCCTTTCTTCCCTTTTTGAGCCTTACTATGCCAGAAAGACCCATAAGTTCAGCGTTTACACTGGGACCTTGGCGAAAATTTAGTGGTGTATCAGTACTGCTGTTATATATTCTACTAATCACAACTGTCCTTTACTTGTTTCATTTCACACCTGAGTCATGTGGATCACGTCATTCTAATCCCTGTCCATATGAGCCTACAATCTATAATGTTCCATTCGTCCGACCTCCACAATCCCAGCGCAAGTTTACCAGTCCAGCTGTAGAAGAGTTTATTGTACATGTCACAGGCAAGATGCGCGATGGCGATTTAAAAACTCTTTTGGAAAACTGTCTACCAAATACCCTAGATACGACTGTTGAGTGGTTTGACGTCGATAACTCTTCCAGTAGCCATGATCCTCGTGCATTTTTAATTACTGGCGACAGTAAGTATTTATGCTTAAATTAAATAAAAAAAAACATTACCCAGACACACACACATACATATATATATATTCAATTAGTTCCTGCTATGTGGATCAGGGACTCGACCAACCAAATATCTCCTTATGCGTCAATAGCCAAGAAAGATCCAAGATTACAACGATTAATCCTAGGCGTCTTGAACGTTCAGGCAACATATTTGTATTACGACCCATACGCAAATGCATTTTTAAGACCCTGGGATGCGCCGAAGCAGGATGAACGCTATGGGGCAGACGATCGTGTGATTCCAAATTATGATGCTACTTATGTCTGGGAATCTAAAGTATGGTAATCAATTGAGATACTTGCTTATGTTTGACTGATCCAAGACTGTGTTCTTAGTATGAATTGGATTCTATAGCCAATTTTTTTCAATTGGCAAACAACTATATCCAGGCCACTCAAGATTATGAAGGTGTATTCCTGTCCTCAGAGTGGCTCAAAGCGGTCCCTCGTGTCTTGATCGTACTCCATGATCAGATGAAAGGTACTTGGGAAGATACAAGAGATATTATGGACTTAGAGTCACCACACCACTCTATACGTCAAACCGGAAAAGCCGAGTCGGCACCGCTCCCGTTACCAATTGGAGATGGATATCGGTTTAGACGTACGACAGAACGTCCAACAGAGACATTGGGAGAGAATGGACGGGGGGGAATTGCACGAGAATGTGGGTTAGTAAAAAGTGCCTTTCGGCCGAGTGACGACGCAACTACCTTCCCCTACCTTGTAAGTGCCCTTCTACCCGCCACAGTACTATTGTATACTATCGTATATTTTTCTTATCCTGTATCAAACAAGAACAGATTCCAGCCAATGCTCAACTAGCAGTTCAGCTCCAGATGTTATCTGACCACCTTCAACATGTGCCTCACCTATTAACACCTTTACTTATCGACATCGAGCAAAGAACTCGAAAATTATCCCAGACCGTTCGTACAGCAATTGAGAAGCACGGAATTGTCGAACATCCAACTTTTGGAAGAATCTATGCATTCGAGGTTGATTGTTATGGATCCTACCTGCTTATGGACGATGCAAATATGCCAAGTCTGTTAAGTCTTCCTATTCTGGGATATGTATCTCGTACAAACACTGTATACCAAGCAACGAGAGCATTTGTTTTGTCTCTGAACAACCCGTGGTATTTTGAAGGCACCTTTGCCAGTGGGGTCGGTGGTCCACATACTGGTCAAGACATGATATGGCCTATGAGTTTATTGGTTCGGATACAGACCTCTGTGGATGAGGTTGAGATCAGACATGTTTTGGATGAGGTTAAAAGATGGTCAGCTCGAACTGGTTTGATGTGTGAATCATTTGATAAGAATGAGCCATCACAGTTTACCCGACCTTGGTTTAGTTGGGCAAATGGACTTGCAGGTACCACTATTATCTATCTACTCGATCATTATCCCCACTTAGTCTAGAGTAAATAATGCTCGAATGAAATATATACTACCACTACAAGACTCTTTCCAGATAGGATACTTTTGTAGTTTGGCTTGACAACACAAAAAAGCTGTTCTTTACTTGAATTCTGTTTTTGGTTGCAATCAACCTTGATAATCGTGATAGAACAACATTTCCTAATACGGACCTTACTTCTTTTTTTTCCAATACTAAAGTAAATAAATAAATAAAACAAAGTATTGCCTCCTTTTATGTGACATTATGAAATCGTCTGTTTCATTTTGGATTTCTCTTCTTCTTCTTCTTCTTGAAACAAAATGGCTGTTGTCAGGGCATGGATTTATTTGCTCTTTACTCTAATATGCTTTGGCAGAGTATGGTATCTATTTCGTTTATCTACAGCATCTTTACGAGCTCCTCGTATACCGACCACCCACACAATTCCAGCTGATGTGGATCGCTCTATACCTATAAGTATGGGAGCTGAACCAAAAGGAATATTTTACTTTGTCCAGGTAAGATATCTATTTAAATACCCCTTTTTTTTTAAAAAAAAAGAAAAGAATGATTTACTTACAGTGAAGCTCTATGGATTTAGATTTCAGATCTTCATATATCAAAGTTTAGACCAAAGGGCCACACTCATTATTTTTTGCATTTCATTCGATCAATTTTGCCAGTATTAAAGTAAGCTTATGACTTATTTACATCACTTTTGCATCTTTATTAATATGGAAATAGACCTTCTTTTGTGGTAGTAACCGGCGACCTAACAGATGCAAAAGATATGCGCAGAGTTACATCTCAGCAATATGTTGAAGAGTGGTCACTCTACAACTACGCAATTGATCAAGGTGTTCAGGGCACCCGATGGTATGATATGCGTGGAAACCACGATTGCTTTGATTTACCTTCCTGGAAATCCCGTGCGAATCTATATCGCACTCATGGCCAGAGCGCATCTTTGATAGCAGAAGGTGGCGGTATTTATGCATGGGAAGAACGCTTGGAGTATGGTCGATACAAGTTTATTGCAATCGATGCTTGGTAGGTTTATACGATCCAGTGGTAATGCTTGGATTCTAAATTCAAATGTAGTCCAAAAAAAGGACCATCTCGTCCACTCAATTTCTTTGGTTATCTAACATCCAAAGCCATGGATCAATTGGCAAGCCATGTCCTGAGCGATAGTTACAATCACACATTCATGGTAAATTATATATACGCTGATTTATATTCTATTTATTATTGGAACATACAAAAAATTAACAATTTATTACCATGTTTCTTTTTTTTTTCAATGGAAAGTTTTCCCATTATCCTACAACAACTATGGTATTTGGTGTATCAAGTCAGGGGTACACCTATAGAGATCTCGCTCGACACACAAGTGCATATTTTTGCGGCCATCTTCATCGTCTTATCGGAGGGTTGGGCGACATTCTTCAAGCATATCACCCAAGTACACAATCCTTGGAACTGGAACTTGGTGATCTCAAAGAACACGGGCTGTATCGGATTGTGGCTATCGACCATGATCTGATATCATTTGTAGATACGCCTTTACCATCTGCAATTATGAAAAGTCGTCCCGAGAGATTGATTCCTCTGGACAATACAACAGTTCTTTGGCCTCATGCTGTAGACATTGCACCAGTCGTGTTGATTACAAATCCAAAAGAAGCTCGATTTTCTATCCCAGCCAAGGAACCACTTGAACAGATCCAGAAAAGCACTCACCTAAGATTTCTAGTATTCTCGTCTTTGGATCCCTCTCAACTTCAAGTATCGATCTGGATTGATAATATTGAGCATATACACCCGGCTGAATTTGTTGGGAACCAGGAAATGCCACTATGGGTAGCCAAATGGGACCCATCTAGCTTGGAACTAAAAGAGTTACACACTATCCGAGTACAAGTCGACACGCCTACAATGATAGGATCGTCTAGTATTGAATTTCGCTTGGATAACCAGCGTACAAAAGTGAATGGTGGAACAGGAGAATGGATAATTTCTACCCATATGACTAGTACTGTAAGATTCTGCTTTTCGACTTCTTCCTTTTAACAAGCTAAAACGTGTGTATATGTTTTTTTTAGCTTCAATGCATTACGGCGTTTTCTTTCTTGTTTATGCTGATATTATTGCTGGTCCCAGTTCTTCACACACAAGCCAATATTCCTACACGCTCGCCCATCGAAATATGGTCCAAAAAACTCGCCGCTTTGGACCGTCAAGATCCGCCAAGGATTTATGGATCCGTCCAAACCAATGTTCTGTCGAGTGCTCTACAATTTTATCAGTTTCCACAAGAGCAACCAATAGTTTGGCATGGGTTTCTTGTTGGTTGCTTGGTGCTTTTGACCTGCCCGTGGTTCCGTGCGGAATTCTTACCTTCTGCTGAAGGAAACGAGAGATATGGAAATTTTTATCTGTGGGGAATTATGTTTGGCTCGGTTTGGGAGCCTATTGCAGACACATGGTTATTTGGAGCTCTTACGGTTGTACTAGATGTGCTTGTATTCTTTGTGGTTTTTGTATATCGCTTACACTTGAAAGGGAGTGCGAGGTTTAAGAGCGGGATGGTAGTGTACTGGCTCTGGCGTGTGTCTGAATTGTTATCGCTTGCTATGTTTTATGGTGGATGGTGGCCAAGTTTGGTCCTCAATTTTCTTGTAGCCTGGTTGTGTTGGATCGGAGTAGTTCTAGTTGGAGGTATAGGAGGTATATGGACCCAAATTCATGTCCAGCAGCAAAATATTGTACCTGACAAGGAAGCACAATGGACTCAAGAAGATGAAAATGGATCAAGTAGTTCGAGTAGTTCGATTGAACCGATAGTGTGTGGAGTTCATGTGAAAAATAGGAGAAAAGTCTGATTTAATAGCCAAATTATGATATAAAATTCGGGCACTTAAAAAAAATTGTTCTTTTGTTTGAATGGAGTACGATTATGATTATTTTGGTGAGTGAAGTTATTTATGACCCTCATTATTGGTTGAGAAATCATATTATGGTTTGATTTTTACGGTCCTACAGTATTTTTGGGTTTTCTATTTCGATTTATGTCCAAAGGTCTAATGAATAGAAACAATACAGTTTTTTTTTACAGATAATAAACTAAAGCAATACTGGTAATGATTATTCTACAAGTTAGAGGCTGATCAATGTCAAAGGTGAAAAAACTAGGTGTAAAGCTAGAGAAAAACCAAACTGGAAACACAATATGAGCTAGAAACGCCACAAAAAAGCTTGATTGAAACATGAGTCGAATTAAAGATCTTCTGCTTGGCAAACGAAAAGTCATATCAGTTCGCCATCCCGCTACGGACATGAATGGAGTACGAGGGAAAAGCTCGATATTTAAATGAAAAAAAAAAAAAGGAAATTGGTATTTTCTATGTTTATAATCTCGGGCAATTTTTATTTTACTTTATTACAATATCCGTAGATATAATATATATATATATTTATTGTATTGATCCATGGTTACTAATATAAGATCCCTCCACTCTTAAATTTCCTTTTTCTCTTCTTCTTATTCCAACATTCTCTCTCTCTCTTCTTTCGATGGCAAAAAGAACAAACAACTATGAGGACCAACGTCTTCAGGAATCAAATTCAAAAATCATTCGCTGGTTTGGTTTTGATCAATTTGTTCCTGAACAGGCAGTGACTTCATATTGGGTCTCTTCAAAGACATTCTTGTTGATTCGCGTTCCAATTCTTCTCTACACAACCATAGTTATATGGACTGATCTTGGTGTAAGCGCAGCAGAGGGCGGTGGCTCTCGATTTTTTGGATATTTTACCACCCTAACATTTGTTGGTCTTCATGCTTATATCGTGGTAAGTTTATACATATACATACACATACATACATACATACATATATATATATATATATATATATATATGAGTATATGTATGTGGGTGTGTGGGTGGGTGGGCGTTTATTTACCTATTAAATATTTGTTGATCCCTAAAATTTTCATTACCTAGACATCAGTAGTGCATCATGTTCGTTACTTGATGCAATCTCCTCATCGCCCATCTTCTTTCCTTGATCAACCAGCCTGGATAAATTATCTATATGTCTGGCTATATCACACTGTTGTTACATTCAAGTAATATATTTTTATGTATTTGATCTAATTAATTAAGACTTGTGTGTAATACCTGTACCTATAATTTTTTATTTTTATTTTATTTTTTAATCTCACAAGCATCGTCACACCCGTTGTCTATTGGAGTCTTTTGGCAGGCACTATGCTTGAAGGTAAGAGGATAATTATATATATATATATATATTAATTGAATTGAATTGAATTGAATTCAATTTAAATTAACCTAATCAAATTATCTTTATAGATGGAGCAACACCTCTCAATTGGTGGCTGACTGGCTCTGTTCATGCTGTATCGTTCTTCCTGATGATGACTGATATGATTTTTGGCCGTGTGAAGTTCTTTATTAGACAAGTAATAACTGTACTTTGCACTGTAATTCTTTACATGTTCTTGTCATTCATTATTCATGCAAGGTAAGCTTTACTGTAAATATAAATGCGTGCTTTCTTAGCATACAGATATTTACATTTCTATATTTATAGTACTGGTTGGTGGGTATATCCTTTCCTTGATTGGTCCAACGGCCGATTTACTGCCTTGTGGTATTTTGCAGTAGCAATCGGAATAGTCGTCATCTTCTTTATCCAGTTCTTCTTTCACTGGCTCCGGGATCGTATCGCACTCGGTAAACCTCGGTCTTCCACCTTAGATTCAGAAGCTAATGATATACAGGAAAAAGATTAGATTTGAAGTGAATTGGCCACTTCAATTTCTTTTATATATATATTTATTTAAACTACAAGGGAGAAACATATCTGCCTTTATAAGAGTCTCGTCACAAAGACTTCAGTATTTTAATACTTTAATGATTAAACTTATTCTTCTATCCTTTCCCCCCCACCCCCTTCCTCTCCTCCATTTTAATCCTTCTTTTCCTTTTTTGTAAGAAATAATTATTTCTTATATTTATATATATATATAAAAATCCTAATATTTTTTTTTATTCTATTTTTTTTGATCTCTTTGACGGGCGTGACTGTTTGGTCCCTTTTTCTCCCGCTTCACTTCAACCCCTTTTTCTTGCCTTTATTCTCTTGTTGTCACCTTTCTATATATTATATATCAAATGGCTCCTTTTAAGCCTGCGTGGACTTATTTGGTCTCTAAAGACCTCGTGTCTGCAAACGATGCCATTGTTTACTCTCAGCCTCTTTCTCAAAACAGCCAACTAAATTCCATAAAGCAAGAGTCGACTTTACAGCCTGTCACAAGTCTCAAACCTTTGAGTGACAATACCTTACTCCACACTCAACTAATTAACAACAATACCACCCTCCAACTTCGCCTACTTGGCACAACACAACCTGAACGCGTCGTTAACATCGAGTACCATGTACGACTCTTGCATCTTATTATCATTACCACCACACCAAACACTGTATGTTGGCTCTTGACACTCGATGGCCGTCTGATCCGTCAAGAGTTACCTCCAAATGAAATTTGGGCTGGAACAATGACAGCGAAATCAACAATAGTACACACAATTCAATCTTTTCGACACACCGCACCACTAACATTTTCTGTCACCGATGAAGGGTTAGTGTCCCTTGCAGGCGAAGACGGAACACGCGTCTATTTACAATACAAACCTGCAGTATTGCCATCCGCACAACATATTCAAACGATTTACAAAGGCAGGTTAAGATCCCAGACATCAAATCTGCAACTTAACTTTATATATAAGAATAAAATAAAAAAATGTTGAAAATGTTTATGCTTATTGTATATTATCTATAAACAGACAAATCTTGGTGTGAATACAAATCAGAATCAAAACACACATTTTGGCCACTGTTGGCGTTCCAATCGTTCGGATCTTGGATTGGATGGCAAGCAGCAGAAGGAACAGATAAAGCTAGCCAAAAACATGCTATGATCTTAGCAAGCCACCGTAAAAATGCTCAAGAAGAGGTATCTATTGCTTTACGCAAAGATAGACGCCTTGAAGTATGTGTTTCCGGACCTTCTGCGCTCCAGAAAATAGCTCAACCATTGCCATGGCTTCAAGAAGATGGAAAACTTGAGTATCCCGAAGAACCTGATGTTCTGGAATCTTTTCCTGGTGGATTACCCAACGAAAGGCGCGCAGATTCTCTTAACTCTCTTGCTTCTTTTGCAGAACATCCGAAAATGGTTCTAGTGCCTACAGGAGGTGGATTGACATTGGTAGTTTACAGTGATATTGGAGTACCTTGTTTTCTGGTCTACACTCTTCCAAAAGACAGTATATTGATGGAGTTAACCCAGACTGTACCACATCCTTCAAAAGATACACTTTTGGACATGGACGTTCGTATTCATGAAACAACACTTGATTTTGAATTGGTGGGATTGTGGAAACATGCCAAAGATGACCGCTCAGCAGTGCGCACAGTGAGGTGGTCAGCAGCAGACAAAGGATTATTTCACCCACGATGGAGAACAGTCATGCCAACATGTTCCACCAACACATTTGATGCTGTTAGATATTTGAAGGATGGTACAGTAGTACTGGCAAGTGCTACGTCAGTTGGGTCCGTGTTCCCACTATCTTATCTCGAGGCATCATTCCTCTACCACACCAAGCAAAAAGAAGACTCCTTGATGGCTGAATGTTTTAGTCCTCTTGAGGATGTAGTTGCTGACCATGAGATCGATACTCCCTCAAGACAGGAATTGGCTTCTTTATTCCAGCAACCACCTACCGATCCTGAGAAGCTGCAGGAGATGTTGCGTACTACCTACACTAGTCCAATTTCTGATCTTAGCTCATTGGGACTAAAGACACCTACTTCACCTGCCACGGTGGTCGCACTTCGCTCACTAGTACATGTTCTTGTATCTCCTAATACTAATCTCGCCAGTAAGAGCCCATGGTTCAATTTGTGGAGACCAGATACGGCCAAATTCATTATCCAAGTTCGACATAGATTGCTACTGTCTGTAGTGTCAATAGTTACTACACCCCAAACTCTTGCTATTCAACAGGCCTATGATTGTTTGGAATGGGTCACCCGACAGGCTGTGTATCCTGCTCTGGTGGACAGTGTAGATTATGGTGTGGACGTAGTACATGCTTTATTACCAATCTATCCTCGCCTTCCTGTGAGTTTGTGCCTGAAAATCGAGTCACTCGGAGATGCACCTACGGCTACTCAGCTCGCAAATGAATTCTTGGATCCCTCTGTGGCCAAAGAATGTTTAGATCTGACCACAGCTGAGCGGGAATTCCTTGCTCTTCGTCATGTTCAAAAATGCATCCCCAGTCGTTTAGAAGAAGCTATGGAGACACTGGTAGCAATGCCCTTGACTCCCCAACGCCAGGTGTGGATATCGCGTTGGTTGGAAGCGGCTTACGCGGCTGAAGAATATGACCTTATCTGTAGCTCTAACATTGAGCCCGTAAATAAAACGGGTGGCTCGGGCCGTCTGACTTGGGAGGAACTTAGCTTTGCATATTATGCTCTGCGTCAACAAGACTCAAAAGGTAAGTGAGAAAACAGTCTTTGTTATTTGTTATTTGCTTATTTGTTTTTTGTTTTTGTGTTCTGTTTGTTTGTTTGCTTATTTGTTTGTTTGATTGCACAATCTCACAATGAATTTGCGAAACTAATTAAAATATATCCCTTAATTTCTAGCCAATCAATCAATGAAAGAGTATTTGAACAAAGCGCGGCCTATGGATGATCACCTAAAGACCTTTTTCACCACCCCTATGTAGACTTGTTAAAAAAACAAAAACAAAGAAATATTGCGTTTATGGAAATTGAATTGAATTGAATTGAATTGGATGAAAAGCTACAAAGATTCATTTATACTGGAAATATGAACAAGAGAATCAGATATAGGAAAAGTAGAAACAAAAAAGTAGAAACAAAAAAAATAGAAAGAGAAAGATAAGGGGAGCTTAGGTATTTAGATATCGCCCAAGATTGCCTTGAGACCTTGGGTGGTGAACTCATCAGGCTTGTAGTTGTTGTAAATCAAAAGGTTGGGTGTGTCCTTGGGGATCTTAGATAAGGCATCCTTGGTAGCCAACTGGAGAATCTTGTCTTTAATTTCCTTGGGGGTCACAGGTCCTTCCTCGAGACTGAGGAAGTAGGCAGCCAGACCTGCCACATGAGGGGATGCCATGGAAGTACCCGAGATGGTATTGACAGCATTCTTACCGCCCTTCCATACAGACAATATGTTCATTCCGGGTGCAAAGACATCAACACAAGGACCGTAGTTTGAGAAATAGGCACGATCATCGTAAAGTGTAGATGCGCCAACTGTGATGGCAAGCTCTGCTGCAGCAGGCGAGTAGTCGCATGCATCACTGTTATCGTTACCAGCGGCAACAGCAAATACAATACCTTCCTCGACCGCCTGAACAAAATAGTCAATACATAGAATCAAGTTATAAAGGGAACCAATTTTACTTACAGCATTAACGAATCGGTCCAAAGATGGAGAGCGACCACCACCAAGACTCATATTGGCAGCGGAACCCTTGAATGTCTTTCCGGCCTTCTTTGCCGCAGTTCCTGCTTTGATATGTTCGCCTGTAGCCCAGTCAACACCACTAATGACATCGCTCATGGTACCGGAGCCATTAGATCGGAGTACCTTTACAGCAACAGGCTCAGCCTTCTTGGCGACACCAAAACGCTTTCCTGCAATAGTTCCAGCACAGTGAGAACCATGGCCATTTCCATCTGCATTAGGATCACCGCGTGGGACAGTTTTTCCCCAGGTTGCACGGCCTTCAAAGTCGGCATGGTCGACATTGATACCGGTATCAATTACGTAGACCTTGATGCCTTCGCCACCTTGGCTGGAATAGTCATATGTTGATTTGTTTTCTAAGGTCAGTCCTTCTCTGTGACTAACTCTGGCAAGACCCCAGGGGGCATCGCGCTGGAGCTCACTTGCGTAGACCATCGAATCTCTTTCAACAAATGCGACCTAGATATTTTATCAGAGAATGTTCACTACAAATAAAACTTAACTTACATCATCTGATTGACGAATCTGGTGGAGAATGTGGTTGTCAAAGGTACCAGAATATCCTCTGATAGATGGGGTCTCATACACATGGCGGATAGTGTTTGATTGACGGTCTTCATTAAGCCACAGATCACGATCCTTGGTCTTGACCATGGACTGGAGCCAGTTTGCATGTTGTTCGACGTGGTTTGCAGTTAAATGATCCTTGAGAACGACAATGTATGAATCTGATACTGTCTCTGCTTCATTGGACACATAAAGTGGGGCCAAGTTTGAGGAGGATGGGTTGGACCAGACAGGACCGGCAGAGACGCTAGAGGCGATCAAGAGAACACTGGCAATAATCGAAAAACGCATTTGGGAAAGAAAGAGAGAAGTGAGATGAAATGGATGTGTTGAAGTGTCAGCTATTTAATAAGATTTGTTCGAGGTCAACTGACGTACAGCAGTTGATAAGACGTGACTATTTCTTTAATACTTTATGAAATGCGTTGCGTATGCTTATCATGCGGTCTTGGTCGGATTTCTCTCCCAACCCAAAATAGGGTCTTATTTGATTTACTTGCCAATGACCGCCGGCATGACATTAACTGGCTCTGATTGTACAGGGTCCTTTAAAAATGGTTGGTCCTTTTGATATCCGACATAAAAGGGGGTAGAGAACACATCTTTAAAGCTATAATGATAAATGTACAAACCAGAAACTCATAAACTGGTAAAACAAAAATGACGCAAGCATTAAAAAAAAAACTAATTTATCAAGTGATTACCAACCTTTGAACGGATCTATTCTTCTTTAATCTTGCTGTTTCTGATTAGAATATCGCAGCAATCTATTTATTGGTTATTCAGCAATCTTACGGGGACGACATTTTCAGGATGGGGCACTACCTTTTTTTTGCCGGACTAATTCTTTGTGACTACTTGTCCGAGGTCCGAGGTATTTTCTCCAATCCTTCAGGGCAAAACGATGTGTCCTGAAATTCTTAATATTTAAATAGAAAACCTTCTTTTCTATTCTATACTCATCTCGTAAGAGCTACTAATCAATTGCACTTAAAAATATTATTTTTTCTCGGAGATAGTAAAGAGATTACTTTGCTCATTGCAGATTAGCAATTAGAAATCATGATGTTAATAAGTATTCTCTAGAAATCACTTCAATATGAATCCTATCAATAAAGAAATCCGCTTTTTCAATGGAAAGGAACATTATCCTGTCCAACAACCTCTTCCTGTCTCACCAGTTAATGGTTACAGTGACATGACAATGGCAATTTCAAAGATGCAGGAATATGCACTTGCCAACAATTTTGCACTTGTAACTAGAGATAGTAAACCAACTCGAGTGTATTTGAAGTGTGCCAAGGGCGGTCATTATAAGAACACACGGAATATTGAAGACAGCGAACGCAAGAGAATTCCGTCTAGTGGAAAGACTGGATGCCCCTATCTCTTGAAAATATCATACAAGAAGGCCGCTAAAGGATATCTTCTTTTGAAAGCCACCAATGAGATTGAAGGCTACCACAATCACCCTCTTGATGATGACTGCCTGGAATCTACCTTGAAAGGTCGTTTGTCAAAGGTTACTGTCGATGATGCTAGGGAAATTATGAAGCTTGTTGAGACCAAAACCAAGACTCGTGAGATCCAAAAGGCGATCAATGAAGAGGATAATGTCAGCCATAAGTTGTATGTGAATGACATCAACAATATCAAGGCTGCTTTTGCTCGTGCTACTGCTTCCACTTCTCAGGATGCAGGTACTGAACTCGTTAAAACCATGGAAGCTAAGGGATATCTTGTACGCTATGACGCCGGCAAATATGGATCTCTTGAAAGAGTATTTTTCTCGCACCCAAAGATGCTAGAAAGAACCCGTCGCTTCCCAGAAGTCATGGCCGTCGATGCCACCTACTCAACCAATAATTTGGAAATGCCTCTTGTATGCGTGGAAGGTGTCCATAACCTCGGGGGAGACACTCTTAAATCGTTTCCCATTGCCTTCGCCTGGGTTTCGAATGCGAAACAGGAGACCTACGTTTGGTTCCTTGAGCAGCTCAAGGCACTTGTTTTTGAGAATAAGAAAAGCAGTTCTCTATTTGTAACAGACAAATGTATGGCCTTAATGAATGCACTTGACATTGTATTCCCAAAAAATGTTAAATTGCTATGCTACTGGCATATGTTGAATAGCGTTGAGAAAGCCTTCGCTGGAAAACTCAAGTCAGTTGCAGAGAAAGAGGTCCTTATGGAGTATGTGAACTCCATGATTCGCAGCAGTACCAGAAGGGATTTCGAGGTTGCGTTGATGAAGTTCAATGCAATATCTTCTGGTTGCGAAGTAGACGAAGGAGGGTCCAAGGTAGATGCATCGGTTTACTTTGCCGAAAGATGGATAAAGTGCCAGGAGAAGTGGGCAGGATACCTGACCAGCCAGCAAATGCATTTTGGGTGTACAACTACCCAGAGAGTCAAGAGCGCACACCAAGCTTTGAAAAGAGGGATATCAGCAATTTCGTCTTTGGGGCTTGCATTTGAAGCTATCAACTCCTATGTAGACAGGCTCGAAAGAGACTTCAATGCTATAAAAATCAGGGAATCGACAACTGTTGATGTCTTGGTTGGCCGCAACAAGCAGCTTTCCAGGCTTTTTATGAAAGTCTCTAAGAGAGCATTGCTTGTTATTGATCAAGAACTTCGCTTGATCAATAGAGACGATGAATTTTGTCATTGCAAAAACAGGTTTGAGTTCGACTTGCCCTGCAGACACTCGCTGCCAGCTGGAAGGGAGCTCACCCTTGATGATGTTCCTGAAAGATGGATCATAAACCCTGTTCTAAAAGAGACATCTTTCGAAGAAAGTTGTACAGCGCACGTAATTGCCGAGAGGCCAGAAGAGTGGATGCAAGAGATTGTAAAGCTTGAGGCTCTTTTCCGCTCTTGTGAGGGCAGCCAGCAAGTGGCCAACCTCCTTCAAAAGATCAAGAAGGTTACTTCTGAATTCGAAGGCAAAACTGGGCACCCTTCGATTAACTTTCAAGCCCCAGAAAAAAATAAATATCCTGGCAGAAGAAAGGGTGGTGCACGTCCCAAATACCTTCCCAAAGACTTTGGTCGGGCAAACTGGAGGAAGATCAGTGTTTCGTCTGGTCATGTAAGATAAAAAAAATATAACATAACAAAGTACTAATATGTATCTTGAAATACTAGGCCGGCCTTAAGGCAATGGTTAGGTTAAGAGCTAGAACAAGAGATGGAAAGCCTGCAGCTACACAAAAAACGAAAAACAACAAAAAACAAAACAAAAGCAAAAAAGAGCCTCTCGACCTAAGTAAGATGCTTTTTTATTTTACATATAATTGAGTTTATGAAAAAGAATCTTGTCATATATTTACATACATTTTTTAGTCGATGCTACCAAAAACAAAATAAAACAAATTAAAAAAGAGCCTCTCGACCCAGGTAATATGTGCTTTTATTTTATAGTGTAATTGAATTCATGAAAAGGAATCTAACCTTATACTAATATGCTTTTTAGTCGATGCCACCAAAAACAAAACAAAAAAAATAAAACAAGAGCCTCTCGACCCAGGTAATATTCTTTCTCATTTTTCAGTGTAATTGAATCCATAAAGAGAAATATCGTTGTATACTTATATGCTCTTTAGTCGATGCCACAAAAGAAATAGGGTTTAAAAGACCCGCTACAGCTCAAGAAGATTACCAATATGACTATCGCACCTCTGTTGGCAAGAGGGTTAAATTCCAGCCCGGTTTTCCTGTCTCTCATGAGATAGTCGATGACGTTAAGGGTGGGTTTAACCCTACTGCTGATGGATGGTGTGGTTTTCGGGTCCTTGCCCATTTGATCTATAAAGATCAAGAAAAGTTCCCTCTTGTGAAAAGAGATATGCTTGCTACCCTTCCAAAATACAACAGCATTTACGCCAGCACGTTTGGAACCGATGTCAAGCAATTAGAAGACATTATAAAGCATGGTTCTGATATCTGCATCACCAACTCCAACTCCAACTTCATCCCAGCGTGTTTAGATGCCAGTATGTGGTTTAGCGCATCCGACTGTGCTCAACTAGCTGCGGACACCTATAAGCGACCAGTCTGCGTCTACTCAGACAACCCCAACACCCCTTCCGTATCGTTCCTTCCCTTCACCCTTCCCAAAAACATATCAAAACATCAACAACCTCTGATTTTCAATCATGTTAACAATAACCACTGGACAACAGTACACCTCTCCCGCAATGTCTCAAGGAAATGGCCAACCATTCCTGAGTTATTCTTTTTGGGTTGTGTCAGAAACCAGATTCCCGACAACTTTGATACTTACTGGAACAAGTTTAAAGAGTTCAATAAGTATGATCGTAGAAATGCGATGTTCTCTTTTCTTTCCGATCAAGAGGAACATGTTGATCTCACTATAACATAATCTTTTTTTCTTCTTTTTTTCTTTTATTTTTATTATATTTTTCTTTATACTTCATTAGCTAGACAACTTATTATTTATATACTCATTTACTCTTATATTTTATTAGCTAAACGATCTTTTTTTTTACCTTTATAAATCTTATCAATTTGTTTCTTTGCGTCAACATAAGCTATCTATCACTTGTGGGTTAAATGAATCTCCGCTCTGTTTTTTCATAGAAATCATTCGTGGGAAGTACTTTACCCTACGAGTTACACATATATCCAGCGAATTAAAAAGCATAAATGTCGGGTGATGTTACACAGATAGAGCCAAACTATCTTCGAATATGTTATATTATGCATTTGCATCTATTTATTTCATCAATTCAAGACTTGGCTCTCTATAACTTTGGATCCAAGTAGTGTATAGATATATGTATGGGTTCTAGGATTTTTAGTTGAATTGAAAGGGTCGATCATGAGAAAACTAACGTAATATCTCAAAAATTTGCTTTTTTTCAATAAAATAAAATATTGTATTTGCTTGTAGAATCACTTTTTTCTCATTTGTTTTCTATGAAACTTTTACTGGATTCATATGTTATCTGAATATATGTAATTAAAAACTTTTTTTGGTCTTATATGAATATTTTTCATTTTTTTGTATTTTTGATAAAATATCTCATGTACATGTTGTAAGGAAATGATAGAAAGAGTTTTTACAGAAGAAATAAAAATAAAAAATAAAAAATAAAAACATGAATTTTGTAAATATATATTCGCTTAACTTCTATGCAAACTTTCTTAGGCATAAAAGGCTTCATTACCTTTATATCCATTATGAAAGTTTTTGAAAAAAATGCAAATTATATGGATTATAATCTTTTCCACTTAAATCACACAAAATGAAAACATATGATTTATGTCTCAAGTTAAATCGTGAAAATATGACTCATTAGCAGCCACAGGTATGTGATTTGTTGACGGGAGCCAAATAAATCTTATATCTTACAAATACTCGATTTTAGTTACCATTTTTGTATAATAAGTTGATTCTATTTTTGCTTCTTTGCCTTATAATATTATATCATAATTATAGTAAGAAGTAAACTTATTAGTGTTTAACTATTAATTATGACTCTAAGTAGCTGTCACTTTATCTAATATATATTTTTTTTAATGTAAACTACATTTATTCTACAATTATTAGATATACTTTTTAATATATGCAAAATTAATTAATACTATATGTATTCTCAGACATTTTTGCGACTTTGTTTTTCTTTTCTGAAGAAGATTTAGCAGTTTTTATTAGTGTTTATCTTAAATAAGTATTAACAAAAGGTAATGTTTATTACATTAAAGGATATTATAAGCCTAATAAAGTATTTAGTAAAGAAATTTCAAATTTTATAAGGTATTTTTTCGATAGGCAAGATATGAAAAGTCGTGACTTTTGGGGGACGACGTTTCCAGGGTAGGGCACGACATTTTCTATTAGGATATAATGTCTTGAAGTAACATGTTAGATAGTTTTTTATTATTCTATATATATATCAGTTAATTTATTACATATAGTATAAAACTTTAAGTATAGAATTATATATATAAAACAACGCTTTTATATTTAGTCAAAGCTACTTTTTTATATGAGAAGATTTTTTATTATCATTTTGCCCAAAAACAGGTCGTGCCTCCTAAAGAAGGAGAGGTATATGCCTGGAGACAGTTTGATGAATGCACAAAGTTTGGGAGCAATTTAGTGAGCTAATACGCATGAGTGGAGAAGGAAAAGACATAATTAAATAGAGGAAAGAAGCGTAGAAAAAGCTATTAACCTGCCTTGTATAAAAGTATCTTTATTATGATAAGTATGAATCCTTAGGGACCAGATATAATTATTTAATACCGGACAGCAAGTCACAATTTGTGGTCCGGTAAAATCAAAACAACGTTTCCCATCAAAAAGGTAGTGCCCCATCCTGAAAATGTCGTCCCCCTAATATTAGCGTACTTGCAAGAGGCTGATTTAATTCAATTGGTGAAGTAACAAAGATTACTACAAATCGCCAGGAATTTGTTTAGAGTTCTTACACAAGTGGTACCTAAAGACTTATTCCACCTATAATAGAATTTATATAGCAAGTACACATAAACATAAATAATAATAATGATAATAAATAGAGAGAGAGAGAGAAAGGACTTGTGGCAATTTATCCACTACCATGTTTGTCGAATTTGTTTCGCTTAGATTAAATATGTTTAACTTCAGAATATGCACTTTTAAGATTTGTCTAAATTAATTGTAATTTTATCGATTTTTCCCCTCAAAATTTGCTATAAGTGCCCTCCCATTTGTTCGGTGTTTACAAATCCTGAGAAGACTTAAAAACCCGAATTACCTTATTTGGGCATACTCTAAGATTGATTTGAATTTTCCACAGGTCTACACCTCTAATAATGAAAAATACAGTAAAACACATTTGTAAGTCGCACAATTCGAGAAAACGAGTCGCATTTTTAAGAGTTCCTAACAGTTATGAATGGATTTTCGTTTCAAATAAACAGCACAGAAAAGTATTCTTAGGTTATTAATCTAGTAAACATTCTGACACTATTTTTTTTATAATGTATACTCAACTTTTTGTTTAAATATATATTTTTTGTTTGTTTGTATGGAGCTGTGACAGGCTCAGATTTATTAAAGTTCTCTGAATGAGTAGGGCAAAAGAGAAAATTACAACATTTGTTTGTTTAAATATATAAAAAAAAACTCTGAAAATCTTTTATCCCAAAAATGAGCCTTATATTTTTTTGAATTATGCGACTTGTATAGTGTTTTTTGTTTTGTTTTTGTTTGTGTGAAGTTATTGATAGGCTCAGATTTATTGATAAAGTCTCGATTTTGATTATTACAATGAGAAATTAAACTTTGTTTGGAGGATTATGTGGGATTATATGATGTCTTTTGGGTTTTTTCTATTTTGTTTTACGTCCAGTGAAAAGGTGGCTAGGAGATATGTAATATTTCTAACAAAATGTGAGACGAGATAGCATTGGAAATGATTATTCTACAGGATGGGACAGACCAACATTGCCAGATTATATTGTATGTTTTACTGTACAAGTACTCGGATAATCCTTAACTTTCATTGGCAAATCTCTCTTCACCCCCTCCTCTCCTCTCTCTCTTTTTTTTTTCTTCTCCCCCCCCCTTTTTTTTTTGGGTCTTGTCTTCCTATCCCCTATCCCCCTATCCCCTTTCTTCTCCTCCTTTTATTCCTTACTTTTTGCTTTTAAAAAATTACCTTTCCAGCAAGGACTATGCGTGACTCATCCACCAGTCCAGTCCAGTCCACACCATCCACAGAGTCATCGGCATGTAGTGTTCTGAGTCATGAAAACGGAAAACATCTCGAGATCGCCGTCATCGAATCCACAATGATGGTTCATGAATACGATTCCAAAAAACAACGACGCGTGCGCAAAGCCCTGACCGTGAGTATTTATCAATCGTAATACAGATCGCTAAAGTTTATTATTGTTAGGTATTTAATGTGATTGTTGAAGACAAACACCAAAATTTGTCACTTATACGATACGTTCCAGACTTTGTTGAATTTGACAAGATGGTAAATAAATAAATTTTTAATCGTCAAACCCATTTACGAATGAAGATTCATTATAGTAAATAATAAAAAGACAAAACAAAACAAAAAACAAAATAGAAAAGAAGTGTAAAAAAAAGGTGTTCAAAGCTAAACAGTAATGGTATAGATCAAACTGCATTACCGCAAATGCAAACTCTCCTTGCCTCCATTGTCAGAACCAGATCTAGGCGTAGACGGTAAACGTGCCCGTACACTGAGATCCTTCATACTCAGTCTGTCGAAACTACGTTACGTAAAGCCCAATTCTGAAAAGATCGAGTGGTACTTGCGGAGATGCGCACTCGATCCGTTTATCAGTCGATCATCTCTGTTTCGAGATTTCTTGTCAGCCCAGAGAGACGAAGACAGTGTGGGATCCAAAGATGGAGTGCAACACTATGTTAACCGTCAATGGCAAGAGAATCAACAATCTATCCTTGCACAAGACGATGTATTCTCATTGGACCCTCCTACCCAAATCCAGGAATCAACTGTGCCACAAGCTATTCTGCCACCTACCCCGGCACCACTTGAATGGCAACCTGCCTCATCCACATCAGAATCACTTTCCACCGCCTCAAGTGAGTCGATGCATTCGATGCGCTCTGATTCGATTGTGTACAGCACGATTGAAGATCGTTCCAATAGTGCTCCAATGTCAATCTCAGATGAAGGAATTATTGAAGATGAAGACCCATTGCCACCCCAAAGAGTAACCATTCAGGATTTTCAGTTTATCAAGGTGCTCGGTAAGGGCTGTATGGGAAAGGTGCTTTTGGTTCGGCACTTGCGTACCTCTCGCCTGTTGGCACTTAAAGCCATCAGTAAAGAATGGGTGATTACTCAAAGTGAGGTTGAACACACACGCATGGAACGAAATATTCTTACAACCATTGCACACATACGACATCCTTTTTTGGTCAAGTTGCACCACTCATTTCAAGATGCATCCCAGTTATTCCTAGTCTTGGATTACCATGTCGGCGGTGATCTAGCCACACAACTAGCCAAATTCACTCGCTTTACACCTGACCGGGCCAGATTGTACACGGCCGAGATTGTGTTGGGATTGCAAGAATTACATCGACTGGGGATTCTTTATCGTGACCTGAAACCTGAGAATATATTGCTAGCAGCAGATGGCCATATTATCCTGACTGACTTTGGACTCTCGAAGCAGTTCACACCTGGAATTAATAACGATGATCATCGAACTCGCACATTTTGTGGGACAGCAGAGTATTTGTCTCCCGAGTTATTGCGGGGAGAAGACTATGCATTTGCAGTGGACTTTTGGAGTCTTGGGACGATCCTATATGAAATGCTGACAGGTGTTACCCCCTTTTGGGCCGATACACATGCAGAGATGTACAATCGGATTGTAGAGGACCCACTTGAATTTCCTGAAGACTTTGAGCCCGTGACGGCCAACTTCATCAGTGGTCTTTTACAGCGCGATCCTGCCAATCGGCTCGGGGCCGGTCCAGAAGGACCCATCACCATTCGATCCCATCCTTATTTTGATACCCTTTCTTGGTCCGAAGTGTTCTATAAGCGCACCCGACCCCCTTATGTCCCGCTTGTGAGATCCGAAACAGATTTTAGTAACTTTGACCGAGACTTTTTGGAAATGACTCCCCGCCTCAGCCCACCCAATGAAGATGCCTTGTTGACCCAAAGTGTCCAGCAGGCGTTCCACGGCTATTCCTACACCAACGAGAGCCAGTATTTAGACAACATTAGCAATGGAAGCTACCGTTCCAAGTACTCTTATCACGGAAGCAGTGATATGTATGACCAGTATACCGAAAGTGATATCCAACCCCATGATTATTATCGAGACCATGTTGACGAACCCAGTGATTATGGCACAGGCGAAGAAAACATGAGTATTCATCACCATCAGAGCCGACCCGCGTCTTCATTTACCTCTTCAGAAGGCAATTGATCTCCTGAATGAAGTTACAAGTCAAGCACATTTATTGTAGTATGCCCAACCATCCCTTCTTTACAAACGTTGTTTATGTTATTGCCGGATCATGCCCTTCAACAACCTTTGGAAATTCACCCACAAAAAAAAAGATAATATTGACAATACCTCTATATACACATACAAACGCACAACGCACATACACATATACACACACTTATTTCCCAACCTCTAATACCATGCCCTTTCCCTTTACTTTTAATAAGTACCTTTATTACTATTCTTTTTCCAACTGATCTTTCCTTAATTCGCTTTAATGATACTCTCTGTATTTTAATATATATATAACCCATTTGCATCGACATTCCAATAATAATTATGGATCACATTCAATCTCATCAGAGGTTCTACAAAGTGTGGGAAATATATACAAGGGGTCCGTGACGCCGATTTGTGCATCCCTTTTGCATCAACGCAGTACTTTGTAAAAAATATCAAGATATACCATATTGTAAAGACTGCATTGCGCCACAGGATATATACATTACACTGCGTTTATGAAATAAATAAATTCCATGTTTCTCTATATTCGATAGTTACAAATCTCCTTGAACTATATTCAAATGCGTCATTAGTCAGAATACATCGCCATCTTTGTGTGCTAATCGATAACGATACACCCATGATCCAAAAAAGATTAATTCTTTTATGGTAAAATTTCTGGGAATCTGTAGATCCAATGAAATTCAATCAAAAAATAAATAAATGTAAATACATACATACATATATATATATATATATATATTCTCTATTTATCTTTCTTTGTTTGTATGTGTGCTTGTTTTTTGTTGTTGTCTCTTATTTGGCTTGTACTTGGTCAGCTTTGTTTGTTTGTTCGTTTGTTCGTTTGTATTTGCTTTGTCAAGTTCATTGTTAAAGTCCAATGCTTATAAAGTGAAATGCATGTCCAAGACGTCATTTTGATAGATCTTTCTTACAATAAATTTCCATCAAACGCGGGACAGAAATTATTTGTCCTTTCCGTACGCACATGTATTATATATATATATATATGCATGTGTGTGTGTGTGTGTGCGTTAAGAGGAACTCCAGCAGATTCTGTAAAAAAAATCTTTTTCCTAAATTAGAGCTTAAAACAAAGAAAAATCTAAAAGTAACTCCAAAACTTTCTTTATAAAAATGGTTCTTTTGGCAGAGGACAAAGACCGATGGCCTATACCATTTCCCGTTTACTGTATACTTTAAGCTTAAACAAATGATGAATAGCAAAGAATCAAATTCTTCAGTTTTTGTTCTCTGAAATATTCTTCCTAATAAAAAAAATCATGGTAACGCAGAAATAATCAACTCAGATAATGGGTACACTTGTCCTCGGCCAACCAAACCATACATATACAAACATATCAAATGAATGAAATAAATGAAAAAAGAGCAAAAGAAAACTATATTTGAATTATAATACAAGCTTTGATATTTGGTTACCTTCCATTGTGCCATCACATTCGAGTAATTCTATAAATTTGGAAGTTTGGGAATTCTTGCCAAGCTTTAACATCATATTGGGTTGAGCTATTGAGTTTTTCGACTTTGAGAGATACTTATCAAATTATAACGCATACTTCTGTATTGACTTTTGAGGAGGTACAAGTTTCTACCTCTAGGGCAGACATTGTTTAGCCTTCTTATATCCAGCTGTCTCCAATTTCTACTGCTGGCTATCCACTTGGCTAGTTGTTTGGAGGTGCACACATTATCAAATTCATTTATTTCATCCTTTAAAAAATTCCAAACGCCTTCGTCGGTGAGAAAGATTTGTTCATACTTTTCATTGTCTTCAGGGTCTTTCAATACAAGAAGGGCCCTCATTACATTGAGGATGTACTCCTTCGTGGTGTTTACTACAATAAAAAAGAAAGCTTTTTCATAAAATAATACCAGCATTAATAAATATGTCTAATATTTACCTATATATTTATTGATTGATTCTAGTTTTAAGAGAAAAATGAAGTGTATAATTAGTTATTAAATACAAAATTTATTGGGTAACCTTACAGACAGCCTAGCGGGACAGTCTGGACGCTAACTTTACAGAGACGACATTTTCTGGTTGTGGGGGCAACATTTTGGTTCTACTGGACCATAAATCGCGACCTTTTTGCCGGCATGGAATTGCTTTATCTGGTTCCTAAAGATACATATTCTTCATAAATATTTTCTAATGTGCTTTGCAAAAAAGAGTGGATGGGAATTACTTACCAGTTGGCGGTGTTACACTCTGGGAATATAAGTAGGCAAAATAAAGAGAAATACATGATACGTGTAAGAAGGCCAATAAATAGTAAAATATTCAACAAGATTGCGTTACACTCTAATGACAACAACTCTTTATGATCTTCTGCAGAACTGGCTATTGATATAGTGCATATGTGACTAATTATTATATCTTTATTGTCAAGTCTAAATTTAGGGATACTAATTGAATATACAGGATTTGTTTTTCGTATGAGATAGTATGTTATTATTAAGTTGCCCAAATACAGATTGTGGCTCTTAAAATAATGAGAGCTAGGTTCTTGGCGAGAGATTAATGAACGCAAAGTGTAGGGACAAAGTAGTAAAGCTAATGCATACAATGGATATATTGTGTTTTCTTTAGGACACACCATTCTTCCCTGAAGGATTAGAGAAAGACACCGGGCCCCGGACATGTAGTCCTGATTGGTTAGTCCGGTTAGATAGAAATGTCGTTTCCGTAAGATTACTGTTTTCTTGGCAGGTCATGATGGTCGAATGCCAAGTACAACGTCTGAACAACGTTTTTGGGCTTCTAGTGCTATAGGAAGCCTCGGGAACTGACTTAGATTGTTCTTTCCTCTCTCTGTATTTTTAAATATCTACTAATTGTGGTCAACCAATTGGTTTTATTAATTATTTTTTTGTTAGGATTTCCAGAGCTGTAAATACCAGTTGCCAAGTCATGTGGTTTAGAAATTGTTGTCAAATTAAAATTCTTGTGACAATGAGTTCTAGTCCCTCGGACTACACACACACACACACACACAGACCTGAGAATGCTAGTACAGATAACAAGCATACAAAAGTAAGAAAGATAAGGAAAATGATAACAAAGAACAGAGAAAAGTGTTGATTACACCACCACAGAGATTAGAAACTAAATACGGGAAGCACTGTGGTTCTCTTCAAAGATATATCCTTCAAATTTTGCTGTAAAACTTTTTCTACGGCTTTGTGAATCTGAAAAGAAGTGGCCTGGCTTTAGCTCTCTAAGAAACAAGTAGCCCAGTTCATATTTTCATAACCAAGGCTTTGTGTATAATAGTCAACAAATTCTAATCCTTTTTTTTGTGATAAAATAATGATAAAGCTTTTTCTGGTACTGGGGATGATATACTAGATATAAATACTTGAATCTGTAGGATTCTATGTATTCCAAGCCATCATTTAAAAAACTGACATCCTATTTATTTGCTTCTGAAACTTGAATTAATACTCATCACAAGGAGAAAAGGTCATTAATGTTCCATTTTTTAATGCTAGTTACCTTTTTCAAAAATATGCCTGGATATACTACAGTCACAGTCAAACCCATTCTGACCCTCACAAAGAAAAGAATTGTCAAAAGATAAAGAACTAATAAAAATAATAACATTGTTTTTTTATTAGTTGAATCCAGTATGCAAGACACATATTCATTAGAAAACACTTGTAGCTCCTATAAGAAAAATCAATTTAATAAATACAGATGCATCATGTGTATGTATTTAGCAGATTATAGCAAAGCCAATATTTCGCATGTTGTTGGCACGAGACTGCTCACAGCTAAATGCATCATTAAAGGAGTGAAAGAGAAAGAATCGGTCTGAGCCAAGAAAAGGATTTGGAGGACTTAAATACATAGTAACTCGCTACCTCATGGGTTTAGGATTTGATTTATATATAGCAGCTCGTAAGCCAAGTTTTGATAGAAAATCATAAGAATAAAAAGACTAATTGATTGGGTTCGTGCTTATCTCAATTGCTCTGCTCACCTGGAAACATCTTGCACGGTCCGATGAATCAGAGCTTACAGCCGAAAGTAATAATGGAAGATCTTGAAAAAGATGTAATGGAGAAATCATAATCGATAGAACCAAGTGAGCGAATGGTAATATAATGGCCTGAAGCTGTTTCTGGGTTGGTAGCTTTAGGAACCTTTGGTGTCTCTATATGGTGATGTAAACCAATACCAGTACGTGCACTTTGACTCAAAACTTCCTCCCTTGTTTCCGAGAAGACATCGCCAATCTACCGTACTGAATAATGTTCGAAGTAGTGGAAAAACTGTCGTAAGATCCAGGACTTTGAATATTACCCAGCTCAAAGTCCCGTTCTCAACCTCCATTGAGAATCTCTGGTTGGCTCTTTCTCGAAAGACATATTATTGACGAGATAGCTAGCACTAACAAAGTCTGGAATATGAAGGTTTTAATACAACGATAGTGGCAAAAAAAATATGCGCCAAACTTGTATCAACTTTGGTAAGTAGCATGCGACATCACCAGGCTGTAATTGGTGGTGGGGGAGGTCATACAAAATATTGATATGTTTATTTTTTATTTTTCCATAATAAATATGTATATCAGCTTATATCCCAGGTTTGAAGGCTTTGGCTTTTATTACTTATGAGCAGTTGGATGTTGGAGATATATTTTGATTTATCTCATGGATCTTCTTTTGGTCTCAGAGATCGAAAAAAAAAATGGACGGTGACTATATACAAAAGACCATTGTCGTTCACTTTACAATGGAAGCAACCTTTGAAAATGGCTCATACTAAATATAAGACAATCGCAAATGTGATTTGTTTAAAATAAACGCTGGTATAGAACTACAGCTTTATTTCGTCTTTATACCATTTATTCAAATATCTTTGTGTAAACTAAGCATAATAATCTAAGTGTGCCTTTAAACAAATGGATGACCAAATAGATATTTCTTTCTTATATTCATTTAATTGTATTTAATCTTTTCAAGGATCCGGAGTACTTCCATTGTGCTAAATGAAATGGAGCTTGCGCTTTGTCCAAGAAACCAAGGATATACCCATTAGTACCTGGCTTTTGTTAATGTTGTCTACCTATAAATAATATTGTAAAAAAATAAGAAGAAGACAATATCTACTTTATTCATAAAAAACACCAAGCACAAAATGAGTCCAGAAAACCCTATTCCATGTACTTTACGGTTGATCACTCAGTTTATGCATTCCATCACAAAATATCTTGATAAAATTGGTTCTCGAACCGAAACCAGCCGGCGGTCTTCCTACCCAAGATCAGGAGAACCTATGAAAAAACAACCAGAGAAGCATTTATCCATTCCGCCTTCTAGTAAAGAGCTTACGAATATTAGCTGGGATCAAGCTCTTAGAGAAGAACATCTTCTTTATCACGAACCTCTGATTTTTTATGGACAGCGGTTTTGGATGAATTCATGGGTTCGGCAGATGCGAAGATATATCGAATTAAACGATATTAAAGATGAAGAAGTTATGAAAATTATACCAAAACTATTGGGCGGTGAGGCTCTCGAATGGTATAATAAACAGGCTGAATGGGTTGATCCTGAACAAGTATTTCAACGCATATCGGAACGATTTGTTTATTTAGACTAAGATACATATATATATATAAATATATAAATATAAAGAAAGAAAATCAAAGTAGCAAAACTATCCAAGCTTATTACTGGTAATCAATTAAAGCTGTTACAAATATGCTTGGGGCGCAACTATAATATATGCCAACTGTTTTATTAAATCATTGTCTATCGCTTTATTGCTTGAGCTTATCACAAATCAGTAATTTTATTTGGATACAACAACAAATAGCCTATTTTACCTAAAGTATATCTTGGAAATATAGTAAAAAGGTACTGGCGGCTCATATTATTAATATTAAGCTTTGAATAAGAATACATTTGTAATAATATTTTGAGAATTAGCTGGCTTTTATATACTAAAGCCTAAATTTTGGTTACATCAATTTAATGGTTAATAAATGGTGAACAGGAAGCAGAACAATTAGGGGAGAAGCAAAGCTAGATGAGATGCCCCATTTGAGCGATACGAGCGCCCATCTTTCTTTATTCTATATGTAGGCAATAAAAAACAATACAAATTATATTTAGTTTTGATTATCAAGTCATCGGTCCATAGGATGAATAAGATCGCACTGGCTCAAGGTCAGCTGGATAGACAGGTCTGCCGCGTGATGAAACCCGTTGTATATACTGAGTTGGATAGCCCGGTCTTGACCGGTATTCTGTGTATGTACCATTTACTCCTGGAGACATGGCTGCTGGAGACACTACATGATTTCAACATAAGATACTATTTACATATGTGTCCATGTGTCTATACAATGGCTTACTATAACCAGGCTCTCCTCGATAAGTCTGTCTTGGTATCGCACCAGCAAACACTTCTCGTTGTTGGTAGACTGGTTGCCGGGAATGTCTTTCACGAGGTAAATTTGTAGATTGGCTGGACCGCACACGCCTTAAGGACTCTGTCCGCACCGGCATTTGCTGATGTTGTCTGGTAGACCAATGCCCAGAAGATTTGCGAGGTATAGGTTCACAGGCTGTGTAATAATAATCTTCTTCGTCTCCTGAGTAATATTGGTCATCTCCATAGGTGACATACTCGCCCCTTGAATCTATGACCGTATAATCCTGATTATAGTCGTGCCATCGACCGTGTCTTATGTCTGGCTGATACCATCCATCATCCAAGATATAATTTCCTGTACTAGGGTGGTCCAATATACGTGGCTGACTTCTACTGCGGTGGTTCCTTGAAGTAGAACGTTGATTTTCAGAAGGGCTCATGATAGGATCCTGGCTTACAACACGATGAGACTGAGCGATTGAGTCTGACAAGGATGCTGTAGGGCCTCTGCGTGCCTTTCCTTTATTCAGTCCTCGTCGCCCGGTTGAGCCCCCACTACTGTTTCCACGTCTATCTGGCCTATCCTCCTCTTCCTCTTCCCTCTCCTCATGCTCTACATCTTCTTCTCCCTGTTGCTGCGTAGCCACTGGAATATACCGCGGAGCAATAGGCGTTTCATGGTTTACTACATGTGAGCGTGGATCCTCGGGTCCCCACGACCGACTTCTACTAACTGAAGATCGGCGTACTTGAGGACCTCGTCCACCACTACCAGTTACACCACTAGTTCTCCATTGATCTTGAGGATGACGCTGCCATGTATGATTGGTCATGATGTGTTGTTCCAGTACAACCTGACGGTCCTTGAACTTGTGGTTTTCAAGTTTAAGTAATTCGAGTTGTTGTCGCAAAAGCTCATTTTGGCGCATTACAGCCTGGTGGATATCTGGCGATATAATGCTGGCGCGTGTGTAGCCACCATCTTGAGCGTAATTATCCTGTGGGTGGGTGCTCTCTGGAGGAGTAATGTGGATCTGCCTAGAGTCTTTTTGGGATTCGATCGGTACTGGTACTGGTATTGGTATTGGTGCTGGTTCAAGAGTCTCAGGTGAACGTTTTGTAGTAGGAAGAGGCCCATTGGCTCCAGATTTTGGTTGTGCAGGACGATTGTTGTCATGGGGGCTACGGCTTATGGGTGAAAGTATCTTTGTGGTTGGTATTTGAGGAGGATGAAATGGTTGAAATGCTGTAGAATGTGATTTATTGGCATACTTTGCAGCCAAAGACTGTTTGTGAGTATTTTTTGCATCAGTGGTCTGTAGAGAGGCAGAGGATGAAGAAGCTTGTCTTAATTGAACGAGTGGGCGAGTGGGAGCTGTGGCTGGAACTGGGCAAGGCATCAGTACTGGCGGCGGTGATTTAGTAGGACCCTGAGGATTTTGTTTTGAATGGGTGGATCGATATCCACGACCATCAATGTCATCAGCTTGGGCTTGGATAGACATAATAAATAATTAATCAAAAAGAAGGTGGAAAAGGGCTTTGGGATAATAATTTTTTTTAGATATATGGCACAGCATGGATGGTCATCAGGTTTGAATAAGATATGTACATGACTTGGTTTCGGAGAAGAAGCGAATGACGCTCCATGCACTTGCCTGACCAGTGGTTCCACAGCCGAGAACACTCTCCACAGCCTACACATTACCATATATTCATATGCCAAGTCAAGTATGGGGTAGGATCTGGAGAACAAAACACAAACAAAGTACTATCTAACAAATAAACTATATTGGTTGTCAAGTCAACCAGAAATATAAAAATATAAAAGATAAATAAATAATATAAATAATATAAGAGAAAATAAAATATTAAAGATTAAAGAATTAAAGAAAAAAAAAATCAACAGCCGATTTTGATTTCTCTCTCTCTCTCTCTTTCTCTTTCTTGAAAAATGGCCTCTCGGTTTCAAAACTTATATGTTGCGCGCTTAACGACTCAAGAACGCCCATGTTTTGTATGTAGTAAATTTACATCAGTGGTTTTAACTTCGGCCGACAACAGCAATGACGACTGGTTATATGTGTGCCGTAGTCATCTTGGCGATACGAATTTCTGTGATAAGCTGGGAGGCAAACCTGCTCAGCCAGTATCTCCACGTTTAAAAAAGACAAATCTAGAAGACAGAAAGCCTGAAAGTGACAGTGTGGGTGACTTGGTGGCTAGTATTGGATCGGTCTGGAAGAGCTGGAGAGGTTCAAAGGAGGAAAAAGATGATAAGGGAGACAAGGAAAAGGAGAATAAAGATGAAGAAAAGAAGAAGGAAGAAGAGGTACCAGCTACCCCAACCACGCCAACCACACCAACTACACCAACTACACCAACTTCTTCTACTGCACCTATAAGATTTGTGCTTCAAAAGGATTATTTTTATCTACGTCAAAGAGAATATATCAAAAAGAATGAGAAAAAACAGGCTAAAGAAAGGCTTGCTGGGCTATCATTCCCAGAAGTGCCAAAGCAGCGTCCTGGTGCTTAATAAAAAAAAATATGTATACATGCACACACACAAATATATATATATATATATGTGTGTGTATTAAAAAAAAACTGTAAATAGTCCCACTTTTTATCGCGCTTCAAAGTCCGTGGCAGCCTGAAATCTCCTACGTCTCTTCGCGGCCTGGGCACCTTCTCTTTCGACTCCCACCCGACCGTGAATCATGAAGTAACGTATATCCACCTACCCATCCATCCATCCATCCATCCATAAACACAATACAACACTCCAATCAATTCCTGACATCGATGGAAACGCTTCAATAGGCTCGAGATTTGCTCCTTCTCAGGTCACAAGATCTACCCCAGCAAGGGTAAGACTTACGTCCGTATCGACAGCAGAAGCTTCCGTTTCATCAACGGCAAGTCCGAGTCCTACTTCCTCCAGCGCCTCAACCCCCGTAAGATCAAGTGGACTGTCATCTACCGTCGCTTGAACAAGAAGGGTATCACTGAGGAGATCGCCAAGAAGCGTTCCCGCCGTACCGTCAAGCACGAGCGTGCTGTCGCTGGTGTCTCCTGGGATGCTATCCGCGCCAAGCGTAACCAGAAGCCCGATGCCCGTGCTGCTGCCCGTCAGGCTGCCATTGCTAAGTCTAAGGAGGCCAAGAAGGCTGCCGCTGCTACCAAGAAGACCACCACTGGCTCTGCTGCTCAGGGTGCTAAGGTTTCCAAGCAGGGTGCCAAGGGTTTCGCTCCTAAGGCTGCTGCCACCTCCCGTTAAATTCATTGAATAAGTTCTAGCCTCATTAAATATGAGTCTCCCTCCAATTATATATGTGTGTGCGTCCCTAAGAATTTTCTCTGTTCTATCCATAAACACTGCCAAAAAAAAAGCAAAATATTATACAATGTGGTTGTTTTAAAATGTGGTTATTTATGCGGTTAAGGCGCTGTTTTTTTTTGCTCGGTTTTTATGGCATGGACTTGTTTTTTGCATATGTGTGTATTCTATTGAGAAATTCAAATTGAAATAGATGTAATGGTCTTAAAGAAGTGCAACCTTAAAAGAAACATATGTGAATGCGGTTGTGCACAGGAAAAGCGCCGACTCAACCCCAACTTTCGTTTTCTACAAAAATTATAAAATGAAAGATATTTTTTTTTTGTTATTTAACAAAGCTTTGTATTCTATTGTTCAAGTGTGTGTAGATACCAATACACGCACATAAATATACATACATTAGTATTTTATTTATAATTATATCATGACCGATTCCGATGCATTGCGTGCCTGTCCCGTTGGCATCCTTACAACCGATGCCTTTGACAACATTTCTTCTTTTATTCATCAAGCAACCGATGCTGGACATGACTTTATTGTTACACCTATCTCGCAACCTCGATTTGAGCGCGTCCTTGGAATCGACCAGCCAGTCAATGTGATCCAAACATGGCGCGACAGTCCAGCATTTGAAAGAGACGATCTTGTCTTAAAATCAGCTGGTAAATTATAAAAAGCAATATATATAATACGAAGAAAATAAAAAATGACAGCTTTATAACTTTTGAATTTTTTCTGAATAGATTGGTCTGATGTAGTTGTGGGATCATTGTCACCTTGGTTAAATTTTGAAGATCCTGCATTCAGATTGAATTCTGAATTGGTACGATATCGAAATAAACTGAATCTCGAAGTAAATAGCTAATGATCTATTGCGATTAGGCATTGAAGCAAGAGATCGCATGGGCATGTCATCTCAGCTTGTTGGCCGTGATATTTCCAACTTTATCTGGTGGAATTGCTGATACTGCCAGAGCCCTCAATGGAGCAGTAACATCCATGTCTTATACACAGGTAAAGGAAGAAGGAAATATAAAAATAAAGAAAAATTAAGTAATATTTATATTCGAACTCGCACACATACACACACATACACACATACATATACACGTTTGTATGTATGTATAAAGATGTGGGTACAGGTCCCATTGACCCTTGAGAACGAGATCACACCTAACCAGTCATGGCGTAACTGGAACCAGCTGCGTACCTTGACTGAGCACAGCCCCAAAATCCAAGTTGGTGAGGACCAAGGTTTTAGTATCTTAACATATAATGTACTTATGATTTGTATATAGCACTTGAATTGACGTCTAAATTGCCGGAGGATGAACAGCTTTTGGATATGTGGCTTGCTGAACCAATTAAGGCTGTAATTATTCCTGCCAACGTATTTGTCAGTAATGCCAAGGGTTACCCTGTCTTGGGCAAACGTCACCAGTCATTTGTGAAGAAGTTGATGAGCGGCCTTCGACCCAATATTATCGTCACTCTACCAAGCACTCAACTTCATCCTTCTGCTTCCCCAGAATCTTACCAGGAATACATCCGATTCTTGAATCGTAACTTACCTGAATTAAATGATGTCGAGCGATTTTCTATCGGTTACCAGGATTTCCTGCAGGCTCCTCTCCAACCTCTTATGGACAACCTTGATAACCAGACTTATGAGACATTCGAGAGGGATCCCATAAAGTACCAGCAATACGAAAAGGTAAAGATAATTGCTTACTTGTGTGTGTCGTGACAAGTAAAGAAGACATTTTAATAAGAATATTTTGGATGGACTGTGATGTGTAGGCTGTTTATCATGCACTTTTGGATCGTGTCAAGGCTGGATCTGACATTGAAACGTAAGCATTAAAGATGGACGACAATTTTACACTACAAGTCTTATTGATGTTCAGAATCGGGATTTAGTGTTATTATGGTAGTAGGTGCAGGTAGAGGTCCTTTGGTCAACTGCTGCTTGCGTGCTGCAACAAAGGCTGAACGTAAAGTACATGTATATGCAGTCGAGAAAAACCCAAATGCATTTGTTACGTAAGTACGACTACAGAACTTAATGCACAATGACTAATATTTATTATACATCCAGACTGCAGAACGCAAAGGCTGATGTGTGGCACGACAAGGTGACGCTGGTGTTTGCTGACATGCGCAAATGGAAGCCTACTCGCAAGGTACACATCACGTACAATCAATATACCAAGAAAAAAAAACTGACTGTATAATGATATTAGTGTGATATCTTGGTGAGCGAGCTTCTGGGTTCATTTGGTGACAACGAGCTATCACCAGAATGTCTTGACGGTGCCCAAAAGTTCCTCAAAGGTAAAACAGATATTTCTGCTTGTTATACTATGTTTTATTTCAGTCAACTTGGGTCACTTATATCTGTGTGGTCTAGAGGATGGTATTTCAATTCCTGCCTCTTATACAGCATTCGTGGCTCCTTTGGCCTCTACAAAGCTGTATAATGAAGTGGCCGCCTATAAGGACTTGGCCCACTTTGAGACACCATATGTGGTTATGTTTCAGCAAGTGTGCGAACTAGCAGCATCAAAGCCATTGTGGACATTTGAACACCCCAACAAGACACCAGATGTGCCTGTTGATAGTGATCCCATTAACAACCTGCACAACCTGCGTTACAAGCAGGTTTCTTTTGAGGTTAAGAATGGTATGGTTATGCATGGACTGGCAGGTTACTTTGAGAGTGTACTCTACAAGGATGTAATGATCTCCATTCACCCCGAGACCCATTCGCCTGGCATGTTCAGTTGGTTCCCAATTTTCTTCCCTGTCAAGGTTCCTGTACAGGTTCCTCAAGGGGCTATAGTCACGGTTGATTTTTGGCGTCAGACTGACCGTAAAAAGGTGTGGTACGAATGGTCTGTCGCAGTGACTTCCGGAGATGGCAAGAGTGACTATACTATACTATCCTACCATTGCACAATGTTGGAGGCCGTTCTTCGTGGGTTGGTCTCTAATATATACATATTCACAAATACACACACGCACGTATATATTTACATGTACATGTACATGTGTATGTGTATGTGTATGTGTATTTTATAATGTAATAATTTTTTTTTATATAGAATTAAATTTACAAAAATAATAAAAAGACAGAATTTACAATGAATTTGTGACTCTTGTGAATTTGCATTATTCTCTAAATCTTTGAAGCCTTTCGCTAGATTTCATTCATCCTGATTTGTTGGAATGTTTTGGCCGACAATGAGTCGATCACTGTGTGGAACAAGCAAAACGTCATGGATTAAAACCCACCCAGTCTATGGATGCTCTAATTCTTGTTTCCTGGATTACATTTCTAATCTCTTTCCTTTCAAATACAACGCACTTTCTTTTCGCTTTCTTTATGCTACAACCCTTTCTGTGGATTTCATTGATTTTAAAATAGAGCAGGTAATATCCTAGGCTACAAACAGAAAGGGTGACTCAAAAGAACAGAGATTGTGTGTATAAATATGTAATATCGATAGATGAATAGGCTCAAGCGAATCTTCGCTCATCCAAAGAAGCACAACAATGATGACGGCCAGCTACGACGAACAGAGTCGACATCATCGTACATGCAACAGCGGCGGAAGATATATGTCAATATGCCTCTGCCAGCAAACGAATACGATGATAAGGGCAAACTTATCAAAGGAAACTATGTTTCAAACCGGATTCAAACTGCCAAATATACACCCTTGACTTTTGTCCCCAAGAACTTGTTTGAACAGTTTCGCAACGTCGCCAACCTTTATTTCTTGTTTATTGTCGTACTACAATGTATTCCCCTCTTTGGCGTCACCGAGCCTGCCGTGTCAGCACTTCCTCTCATTGCAATTCTAGTCATTACCGGAATCAAAGACGCGGTCGAGGATTGGAAGCGCAATCAAAGTGACGACAAAGTTAATAAGTCCAAAGTCTTCACCCTTCACCATTGGACAAATACGAATATACCTAGAGTCGAAAAAGGACCCTGGCACTGGCTTCACATTATCCTGGGCTTCTTTTCATCTCTTGCAGGCATAGAAAACAATTTTGCACATACATATCGATCTATCAAAGACAGACCTGTTGTATTACCTCGGCTCGATAGCGATTATCGCACTTTGTCTCATCGTACTGCGTCAAAGGCAACTACCACAGCTGGTACACTAGCCTCTGGACAAAATTTACCTTCCGGAAGCAACCAGACATCTGGGACAAGCGTAACAGCGACTGGGAATAAATTGCTTGGCACAGTAAAGCAAAAGTCTGGAACTCTTCGTTCTGAGCTTACTAATATCTTTACTCCTTCTGAGCGTCATATGCCCTACAGACCGGGTTCAATTCCACATTCGGTATTGTACCGAAAGCCAACAAACCAAACGAGTCAGACAGACCGGCGACCTTCAACAATTCACCCGGGTGGAGAACCATGTGCAGACCGGATGGCAGGTGAGCCGGAAGCACCCAATTGCAAGGTTTGTTGGCAAATGGTCCAGTGGCAAGACCTTAATGTGGGCGACTATGTAATGATCCGTAATGACGACAATATTCCTGCCGACATTGCTATACTGTCTACGTCAGAAGTGGACAATTTGTGCTATGTTGAAACACAGAATCTTGATGGTGAAACCAACCTCAAGGTACGCCAAGGTTTGCAGGCCACAAGTGGATTAAGGAACGTCCATGACTGTGAGAGAGCTAGATTTTATATCGAGACAGAACCTCCACATGCCAACATATATCAGTTTAATGGTGTTGTACGTTGGAATATCGAACAGCCAGATGATAATCAATCTACAGTATCCCATCAAAAGACTGAAGCAGTTACCTATAATAATTTACTCCTCAGAGGATGTGTTTTGCGCAACACACGCTGGGCAATTGGAATTGTTGTCTACACGGGAGTTGAGACCAAGATAATGTTAAATTCTGGAAAGACCCCGTCAAAAAGAAGTAAAATAGCCAAAGCGACAAATCCTCATGTAGGTAATGTAAGATTATAAAGATTTTGAAAGCTTATCTGTATTAAAAAAAAATAGGTTATTGCTAATTTCGTTATCCTGGCCATTATCAGTATCGTAAGCTCTATAATGGCTAGTGTACAATTCAACGACACAGGATCATCTAGATTCTTTGATTTTAATATTGAAGGAAGCAATCCTACCTACGCTGGATTCCTCACATTCTGGTATGAAAAATAAATATACACAAAGAGACATATGAATCAAGCTACTAACAAGTGTAATTTTTATATATGTAAAGGGTAACTTTGATTCTATACCAAAATATTGTCCCAATTTCACTTTACGTCTCGGTTGAAATTGTCAAGACATTCGCTGTAAGTCTTAATATGCATATGCGTGTGTATATTGATCGGCCAATAATTGACTCTAGACATTGACTTTCCCTTGGTGTGACAGGCTTACTTTATCTTCTCGGATATTGACATGTACTACGAAGAAACAGATACTCCTTGTGTTCCTAGATCGTGGAATATATCTGACGATCTCGGCCAAATTGAATACATCTTCTCAGACAAAACCGGCACTCTAACACAAAATGTAATGGAATTTCGAAAATGTACAATCAATGGGGTATCATACGGAATGGGTGAAACTGAGGCCATGCGTGGAGCCCGTAAACGTGAGGCTGGTGTTAGTGAAGATAATCACGAGGAAACTGGTCCTGAGCAAGAAAATAACGAACTTGATCAAGCCCGCAAGACAATGTATGAAAAACAGGCCAGCATGTTTACCAACAAATACATTGGACCCAACCCGACCTTTGTGGACCCAAATTTGTTTGACGATATTGCCAAAGATGATCTACAGTCTACAGCACTTATTCATTTCTTCTTGACGCTTGGACTTTGTCACACTGTTATGGCAGAAAAAACCGAAGATGACAATATAGAGTACAAAGCTCAGTCTCCTGATGAGGCTGCTCTTGTAGGCACTGCTCGCGATCTAGGATTCGTATTTTTGGGACGAGAATCTAATATCCTTAGCATTGATGTTATGGGTGAACTCCAAACATTCGAATTGCTAAATGTATTGGAATTCAATTCGACTCGTAAACGAATGAGTGTAATTTTACGACCGACGGACAGTGACAAGATTGTACTACTGTGCAAAGGTGCAGATTCGGTTATCATCGAACGCTTATGCACAGACTTTGGTGATCAGAACGACCTTAAAGAAAGTCAAGAAAATGTCAAAGAAGCTACTTTACAGCACTTGGAAGAATTTGCAAATGAAGGTGTGTATTTGCCACACCTAATGATAATGATGGTTATACAAGTTGGTTCACTGATACTAAAGGTTATTTTTCCGTTTGTATATACTAGGTCTAAGAACACTATGCTTGTCATATAGATTCATCTCAACAGAAGAATATAAGCCCTGGAATCGCCGTTTTCAAGAAGCAAGCTCCAGTATTAACAATCGCGAAGAAAGGATGGAAGAAGCAAGTGAAGAGATTGAGTGTAATATGCTGCTTATGGGAGGTACTGCAATTGAAGACCGTCTTCAGGAAGGTGTACCCGACACAATTGCAGAGCTAGCCAAGTCTGGGATAAAGCTCTGGGTTCTTACTGGTGACAAAACAGAGACAGCGATCAATATTGGGTTCGCTTGTAACTTGGTAACAAATGATATGGACCTTATAATTCTCAAGGCCACTAATCGAGAAGACACCAAAAAACAACTCGAAGACGCACTTGTTTCTACTGACAAGGATTCGGACGTCAAACGAGCACTTGTGATTGATGGCATAACTCTAAAGTATGCGCTTGAACCCGAAGCAAAAGAATCTATGCTTGATCTCGGGATGCGTTGTGCAAGTGTACTCTGCTGTCGTGTCAGTCCTAAGCAAAAAGCTGAAGTAGTTATGCTGGTTAAAAAAGGATTAAAAGTGATGACATTAGCTATTGGTGACGGTGCCAACGATGTGTCGATGATCCAGGCCGCTAATATAGGGGTTGGTATCAGTGGCGTTGAAGGTAGACAGGCAGTTATGGCTTCAGATTATGCTATTGCCCAGTTCAGATATCTTCAGAAATTATTGTTGGTTCATGGTCGATGGTCCTATTTACGCACGGCAGAGATGATTATGGGATTCTTTTTCAAGAATATTGTGTGGACATTTGTGCTGTTTTGGTACCAAATATTCTGTCAGTAAGTATACAGTGAATCTAAGATAGAATATATCTATCGAGACCTAATTTATATTACGTCTTTTTTTATATAGATTTAATGGTACTATATTATTTGATTACGCCTTAGTTACCCTCTACAACCTTATATTTACATCGCTTCCAATCATTTTCTTGGGTAAGTTTAGTCGCTGGCCAATAATGTATAGCTGATTCCATACATATTTACTTATTGTTTTCTATTTTATTGAATGTTCTTAGGTATATGGGATCAAGATTTATCTGCCAAGATCTCGTTAGCTTACCCTGAGCTTTATCGAATGGGCCTACGAAACGACAAGTTTAAGGTGTGGCGATTTTGGCTGACAATTTTTGATTCAATATTTCAATCTGCCGTTTGTTTCTTCTTTCCGTACATGCTTTTGTTGGGTGGTTCGATTGATCCAACAGGCCGAGATCACAATGGAGTTTATGAGCTTGGAACCATCATTTCTAGCATTGCTGTGATTGTTGCCAACCTTTTTGTGGCATTTTCACTATACAGCTACACCTGGATTCAATTAGTCGGGATAGCAGGCTCAATTTGTGTGTATTATGTATTTGTAGCCATCTACGCTTTGTTCAACACTTTTATTTTTGCCGGGCAGTCCAATGTTTTTGGTACGGGATTATATTGGCTCTCTCTGATTCTTACGGTTGTTGCATGTTTTTTACCGCGAGTGTCAGCCAAGCATTATCTACATCAGTATCATCCATACGATAATGATATTGTCCGTGAAGATGTGCTGGTTCTCAAGAAAGGGCGTCTCCAAGATATATCCGAGAAAGATCCCAATTCACCATGCCAATGAAAGCAGAGGATGATCAAGGGAATTTTAGACTAAGCCATATTATCATATTATTTTTCTCTCTTTTAAAGGAGTGCCTTAGTGAAAGTGGGTATTATACTGTAAAACTCTACTTCTATTCTACTGAAACCAATTAGGTTTTATTTGTAAAAACAACGGATTAAAATCTCTTACATGTACATAATAAAGAAATAGATTTCTTTTTAGATATTAAATATATATATATATACCAAATTGGTTTATTTTATTTTATTTTATTTTTTAAAAAAAAAGAGATTTTTATTGTAGCTTTTACAAAGACATGAAAGTGTGTTATGATACCAAACACCTCCGTCACTTCTTTATACCATATTTCTGTAGAACATCGACATAACTAAACTGTCTCAATAAACCATCATATATTTTCTCGGGTGTGTCATATTTGTTTTTTAGAGCGTAGGCATCGTACCATAATAGCGCCTTGCCTTCCAGATGGGCTGGTATGATGTGTAGTGCATCCTCTTTACTAAAGTTATTAAAATGTATGTAGAGCTTCATACGCCGGATCCATGACTCGACTGAACAGCCGTATGAAGAGAATACTAGAGGTTCTAGAGAGAGCCGATTGTTTACACGGATTGCATCTTCTCTTTTGTTAATCAGGAAGTTTTGTCTAGCCTCTCCTGGGAAGATACAATGTTTCAAGCTCTTGGTGTTCTTGGTTTCTTCTCCAACCGATTGATAATCTTTTATTTCGACCGATTCTTGTATAGCTGTCAAAGAGTTTTTGGTAGAAATAACGCCGTTTAGCATCGATAAATCTTTGTTCATGTTTTCCTCCTTTTATTCGATGCGCCTTCTATGCCAACTGCTTTTTTATTGAATTTGAATTTGTTTGATTTTGAGAAAAGAAAAAGTGAATTTTTTTTAAAAAAAAAAAAAAAAGAACTAGGGAAAAAAATAGAAAAATAATGAACAGTCCAAAAGACTATTTTTTTTTCTATCTGCCCTTATATTGATAGACAGGATTAATCATACGCCTACTTCATCCCTGTGATTATTGTTTCTTTTAAATAGGCTGATTTGTTTAAATTGGCCTGTCTGTGGGTTTACTCCAGTTAACTGTTTTGTGTAGATAACAACGGTAATTATATCTTTTATATCAATGCTAAGAAAAAAAACGTACATTTGGCATAAAAAGTCCTTACAAACCCAAACACCGAGTCTTTGAAACGGATATTTATCATTTGACTTTACATAAGATTATGCCCTTTTTTTTTCTTAGGGGGTTTCTTATTATAAATGCGTGTATTTGATAATTGCGTTTGATAAAAATAGAACTTGCGTCTTTGAAAGAAACAAAAGTTAAATCCGATATATATATGTATGTTAATAATCGATAAGAAAATATTATATCTTGGCTGATATTCAAACATGTATAATAAGAATATCTACAATACATTATTGATACCATTGCTACTTGCATTACATGCTTATGCTATATATCGTCAATATAATCGTCAAAAAATTAGGCTGTAAACAAATCAATAAAGGTCTTTGAAGCATTTGTTCTTTAGTATTATGGAGTAATCTAAAAAAAAGTCCTTAGATTATCGAAACACATCTATAAAAAAATTGAAATTAGAAATAAAATTAAAAAGGTTATGGTTGGTAAACTAACTATTTTATTATTCGTTTTTCTTTACATATCTTAAGAGCATAAAAGTCTAGAAATATACAACTTTGTGATCGTATATGCATGCTTGGTTAAAAATAATTTATCGAAGCCTTCATTAAGAATTGAAATCCAAGACTTATAGTGGTTTTACTAATCTGTTGTAAAATGCCCAACTCTCCGAGTAATGGACTTGACCATCCTTGGCGGAATATATTGTTTAAAGCACTATAATCTAACAAAATTATTCACATATTACCCTTAATTAGTTTATCTACTTTTTTTATATAACGGTCGTTCCTGATTACAATTCAATACAATTGCGTATTGATGTCTTTCTTTAAAGGAACTTGAGCTATCTAGGGAAAATGCTTATATTGGATCAGAAGTAATAAAATCAGTCAAGCCACATGGACTACGAAAACTTAACCTAAACAAACCCTCTGCCGTTCCTGATACATTTAAATCAGCAATCTTAGAGCATCTGCAGCAGTAGCATTCAATGCCATTCACCAGCGTACGAGGGAATTGAAAGAAAAATTATTTTTCATAGTAATTTATTCGATTCCGAATGGATATATTTGTCAATTCCCTAGACAATTACATGGTCAAAAACACCGTGTAATTGTCGAGAGAATTGACGAAATTTCTAAAAAAAAAAGGGCTCTAGTTACAAAAAAGGATTTACTAAACAAAAATACTGTATAAAGCTCATTCTCTATAGCCAAAATGAAACAAATAATTAACAAAAAAATAAAAATGGGCAGAGTATTTTAGTAAAGAATTAAGAAACAGATGCCGAATAACAATCGGGATCTTGTATAACATGGTTCAATTTCCTCAATGCAATTCCCTCGACAATTCTCTCGTACGCTGGTGAATGTCATAAATCCATCTAGGAAATTTTATATCAATAAAGGATTCCGTGAGCACCTATCGCATATATATATATATAGTGAGGGGCAAAAAGAATCGCCTTTTTTTAAAAATGCCGAAAACAGCAAACGTAATAGTCTCTCTCCTTTTCTCTTAAATTAACATTTTATGAAATGAAGAATCAAACCGAATGCACAAAAAAGATTACTAATGTTTCCACCAATGGACATAAAAACACTGATAATACAACTTGTGCAATCATTGTCCATGAGAGTGTTAAGAATGACACTAGTCAGGTTGACATTGTCAAAAAAGTAGGCGTAAGCAAAGACGTGGTGAAGCGTGTTCTTCAGCGCTACAAAAAAACTGGCTCGCATATGGCTGCACCACGACCTGGTAGACCTTTAAAGTTAAATGAGAGAGAGACAAAAAAGGAATCAAGCTTCAGATCAGTCGTGATCCAACACAGCGAATGAGTACCATTGCTAAAACCTTGTCCACACCAGTTTCTGTAAAGACTTTGAGAAAGTTTCTTCGCAAGGCTGGAATATACTCTCAAAAGATGATTCCGAAACCAAAGATTTTGGAAATCAATCGTAAAAAGAGATTGCAATGGTCTAAGGAACATCTGTACTGGAAAACGACAGATTGGAATTCAGTTATCTGGTCTGATGAGTCAAAGATCCAGCTCCACGGAAGTGATAGGCGCCGGTGCATTCGCAGGCCAAACGGCAAGGGCTTTAAGCCCAACTTCGTCTCACCAACTGTGAAGTCTGGAGGTGGCTCCATTATGGTCCGGGGGTGCTTCTTTGGAAAGACTGTCGGAGTTGTAAATGTCGTGCCTGGAAATATCGATTCCAAAAAGTATGTTGCAACCTTGGAAAGAGTCTACCTCCCTTCTTTAAAGGCATTCAAAGAGAAAGATAGCTGGAGAAGATTTCGACTACAAGAGGATAACGCTAGCTGCCATGTGGGTGCGCTGACAAGGGAATGGAAGAAAAAAAACAAGGTAAAACTTTTGGGCAGCTGGCCACCTCAAGGTCCAGACTTGAATCCAATTGAGCATCTCTGGGCATATCTCAAGCGTAGAGTACGTATGAACAGATATAACCTGTATAGCGTTTACCATTTGAGACATGTCGTAATTAGGGAATGGAAGTTAATCCCCCAGAAGTATTTGCAAAGTTTGGTCCGGAGCATGAAGAGAAGATGGCAAGCTGTAATAGATGCAAATGGTCATAATACCAAGTACTAAAATAAAGACTCTTCTCTAATATAATAAAAATAAGTGCTTTCAACTTTAATCTGAAGTAGTTTGGGAGCTGTAAGTGCTGTATTTGCTTCTTTTCTTTAAGCATGAAAAATAGATATATTTTGGAGAACAATCGGGATCTTAAAAAAAGGCGATTCTTTTTGCCCCTCACTGTATATAACTTCTCATTTGGTTTACAAGGTTCTGTATAAACATTTTATATATATAAGAAAAAGGTTTAATAAGTCATTATATTTACGGTACTGGACTTTTAATAACCATCCCCCATTCCAGAAACCATTTCTTGGACTTCTTCGGTGGGACCTGACGGAACGTTACTAAGGTGATTTTCTGCCTTTTGGTCATCATATTTTTCGGTATAAACACGGATGGCACTGATAGGTGGAAATGGAGCTGTTTTACTGAGAACAAGCAATCTTTTCTGGTGGTAGAGATAGCCACGGATGTACCTCTATATTTGTTTAAAGCAAATTATTATTTTGGTACATTTGATTATTATTATTATTATTATTATTAGTATTAGTATTACCTGGCTTACGAGAGAAACGAGAATAGATTCAGTGTCTTGCATATCTAACGTTGGATCTTGGGTTGATTTGGAAAGGGCCAAATGACAGTGATCAAAAGTCATTACATTTCTTTCGGCCACCACAATCTGAGATCTGGTCAGGAAGGTAAACAGAATAATACGAAATGTAAGAGTGCTTCATTAGACTAGGAGAAAGAAAAGCAATAGGCTATGGGTTTCTATTTGATCAAAATCAATAATAAACTTACAATCTCCTGAGTAAGCATGTCCATACCAATACTGTTCCTCGTTCTCGTAGCATTACGTATGTAAATGTTTTGTAAAAGAACCCAAAATGAACGTCGAGATGGTTGAGATATTCATACAAGTTTCCACTCTTTAATGTTTGTATTAAACCAGCAAAGGGTATGACAAGTTGATATTTTGTCAATAGTTGCATAGATGGAAATTTTCCCAGAATAATGCGACAAGGGATAAGAAATTTAAGGATCAATCTAAAGAGAGAAAAACATAGATCCATTATATGGTTTTTTTTTGATAATTAAATGTAGCATTGAACTGTGTAAGACTACCTCTTGTTATTCCATTGCTGGAATGTGCATTTATCGAATGCAAATGACAAACACTCATCTGCCTAAAATAAATGATGAATAAAGAAGATAATATACAATAAAGCAATTGATTTGAATAACATACTTTTCGAAGTAGATTAGAATATAGATAGTAGCGCCCAAGATAATATCGATATGTGACTTGTTGGGCTATAGGATATATATCAATATTGACATTTCCTGTTCTTATATTGGATATCAATGTCTGGCATAATCGAATTGAGTCAAGCTGTAAAAAGAAGGATGGTCAGTAATCTTTAATATATATATATGTATTATTTTATATCATTTCATTTCATTTCTTTAATATCTAAAACTTGCTTTGAAATAGGCTTTGAAGGCGAGGTTAGTGATATGGAATATTCCCTGTCGCTTGGATTCTTCCATTGGTGCTCTTTGTAAATAATTAGACATTTTATTAGTCTTGTTACTATGAAAAAAAATTGGTTATTATAATATTCTATAGACTTACCTGTCAGCCAACATGATGTTGAATATTTTGGACAGCAATCTGGCAGCGCTGTTTGTCTTTCTTGCCTTGCCTTTCAGATTCTCATGATTATCTGCCTTTTTTAAAAAAAATACGAGATGTATTTAATTGGATATTATTTATTCTTTATATACACTTACAAGGAATGCTAGTGAAACAAGTTCACTTGATAATCTTCTTACAAGTGATACTTGATAGAATGTATCTGCTCCATTGAAGACAGGTACAAGAGTGCTTGTTTTTTTTTGGTTTTTAGGAGTGTAAGCTTAAACTAAGCCAAAGCCATGAATGATGCCAAGATTTATATAAAAAATAGTATTTTATAAATTACCTGTAAAAGTTGGCATAATGATCATACACGTCAATTATAGATGGGTCCTTTAGATTTCTGAGGACTACAAGATAGGCACACACAAATTCGGATAGAGCTGACGATTGGTCTTCCAATACTCGATTAACGATCGACTCACAGCGAACTGTGTCTATCTATGGTCATTCACATGCATAAGCTAATCCGTTTTGTCATCTCGCTTGTAAACGATGTCTTGCATTATAGAGATCTTTTTGAAGAGCGATTACGCCTGGATTATACTCTTCTAGTTGAAATAGGTCGGAGAATAAGCCTGCATTGTGGGTTGTGGCGGCCAGGCGAACTTGTTCTGAGAAAGTCTCGACAGTTGACATATGAACAAACAAGAGAATATACTATAAAGCCAACGTTCTTTCTTTCTTAAGAAAAGCCAGTTTAGGATGTTAGATATCACCAGTATGGTAAAACCTTAAAAAAAGGAGTCACATATGAAAGATGCAGTTGAGGATTTCATGAAATATATGAATAAAAATGATGTCTACTGTGTTTGGTCTGTATTATTCTTTTCTTATAGCCTAAATATGTATAGAATTGTACTCGTCGATCCAATAGTATTTTCTTTATTGAAAGAAGTGTATTAAATGTTTCATGAATTTCTAATAGGCAAAACAGGCAACAAAAGTCTTGCTTGCTATATATATATATACTGGTTGATTGATTGATTTATTGATTTATTTATTTATTTTTTAAAAAAAATGCTTATTTATGGTTGCTGCTGTTTTTACTTATTATATTATATTTTATTTTATTATTTTCTCTTACAAATGAAACACACCTTGGATCTGGTATTGTTTAATAATCCAGTTAAAACGAAAGAAAAAAAAAGAAAGAGAAAGAGAAAATGCGAGCTCTTCTTCTTAGTAACGACGCGCAGGGTAACGAGCATAGTTTGGTGCGGCATTTGATGCAGGGCCAGTGGGGATCATTTGGTCAGAATACAATTTTCCCGAAGATCTTATATCACAGCAACAACATATTATACATTAGTATTTATCGTATAATAAAGCAAATACTACATTATCACTAAAATAAAATAAGAATAGTCTACTTACGGGGCAGAGGTGTATCCAGAACGAGTAGGTGCAATAGTTGACCGGACAGTCTGGGCAGCAAATGTAGACTGAACAGGAGCGGGTGTTCCAGCTTGTTTGTTTCTCAAGATAACACGCAACACACGCCCTAAAAAAATTACACATAGAAACCTTGCTTAATACTACTGAACCAATATCCTCCCGTATCATTCGAAGGAAAAGAAAAGTAGTCTTTTTTTTTTACCATCTGCTACTTCGTTGTCCATCTGTGCAATGCAGTCTAGTGCCGCAGTCTTTGTTGAATATTCCACCTCGGCTTCTCCAAAAGAGCGACCCATACGATCGGTCAGGACCTCACAGCGAAGAACTGGGCCAAACTGCAAACAAGCAGTCTAAAATAGATACACAAGTACATTAAGTAATCGTCAAATTTAGCGAAAATATAACCAATATAACCAATATTCCATTATATGTATACAATAGTCCCAAACAAGTGATATGTATATATATAAAAATAAAATTTTACTTACTCTCACGTCCTCAGTATTGGCCTCAGGGTCAAGGTTACTGATTAATACTATGGAAGGACCAGACTCGCCTCGGATTGACATACCCGAGGATGGGGTGTTGGCATGCGACAAACCTCTGATGGAAAAGTTTCTATCCTCAGATCTTGGCTGGTACAAAGGCCTTCGCTCCACAACAGGTGGTGGTGATGGAGGTGCTCGCTGACGAATATCGACATCTGGCTCACGTTGCTGTTGCTGTTGCTGTTGCTGTTGCTTTTGCTGCTGCTGTTGGCGTCCTTGAGAAGGCTGTTTACCTAACCGACCTTGGAAACGGCCTGGTGTACGTGTGGGCGAACCAGAGATAGGTATGGTAGCAACGGATTTGGTGATGACGATAGCAGAAGGGTCAATCTTGGGTGCTGTCGTGGTAAAGGATTTCGATGTGAAGAGTGGCTTGCTAGGTGTCTATTTAGAGTGAATCTTAATCACTAGAAATCTACGTGTTTTTTTGTTTTGTTTTTTGTAGGTAATTCTTACCACTTTTGCGGGTGCACGTTGGGTGGGCTTAAATATGCTCTTCTTGGTGTTGATCGGGACCTTGGTTCGCACACCAGCACGTCTAGCAGTCTGAGGGGTACCTTGTTGAGGATGTTTGTTTGTTTTGGGGGTGTTTTTCTTATAGTCTCCTCTCCCTCCCTTTTTGTGCTTGATAATATCGTCAAGAGACGAATCTAGATCCATCATCGAGGCCATGGTGTCAATGATGAAAGAAAATACTATCCTCCTTTTTAGCTAGTTGACTGTTTGGATTTTTGGTCACGTGAGACTAGCGGTCAACGATTGTAGGGCAGACAGCTTCGAGTGAATGGACAAATGAATATGTACAGAAATCTGTGCGTATTTATAATGTATTATATTCTTTCTGTATATACATACTATATATGATAACAATACATATAAACCAATGGTTCTCTTTAAAGAATTTATTCTAAATAAATATATATATATATATACATAAAGTAGTAATAAAGTATATGATGGGATATTTTTTTAAGAAAAAAAATAAATAAAAAAAAACGCAAATAAAATATAACAAAAACTAAAGATTAATAAAAGAAAGATATTAAGGACATTTAGGGAGCGATCCAATGCTTTACAATAGAACTATTGCCTAAGCTTGGATGTAATACAACATATTTGAAAAAGTACTCAAGGTCACGTCTTCGATGCTCCACAAATACTGGAGTGAAATTTCCTGTTTGGTTGGAATACGCCTTTCAGTTAGTTATTTACGAATAAACCCCCCACCAATTGAATAATCAATTAATTAATCAATAGACTTACCAACAACCTTTTTTGGAGGTAATTTTGGTATGTTCTTCTTCATTTTTGGGTATTTTTTGATAAGTTCTTCTCTAAGATCAACAAAATCAGAGTACCGTTTTCGCACAATGATGGATGCTCCCTATAGGTGTATACAAATATATACAAACATAAAAGTGTGGAATTCTATTTTGTGAGTAAAGAATGAAACGCGGAGAATAAGCCAAGAAAGTATTATGTTTACCTTGTTGCTCAGAACGGTACAGCTGTAGCAAATGTAGCTTCCATAACTATCAATTTTTTTATGTATTAGATCACAAGTTTAAACCAACTTTAAATATATATATGCTTCTTTTATTTTTATTGTTGTTTTTTCTTAACAGCTGATGATGTTAATATATAACTGGATAAATGAACAATTAACTCACCCGATACCTATCCGGAGAGGATGGTTGACGATTGCATCAGAAGCAAAGATTTCATTGTCTTTACTATCACTATTTTCATCATTTTTGTAAAAGTTTATACGAGCAGGAGCACCTGGCAACGGAGTAGATCTTGAGGAGTTCTTTGATTTGAGCAGAGGAATCAGCAGTTTAGATCGTCGCTCGGTATCGACCTTTAATTCAGGAAATTCTTCAATCTAAATAAATGAAATAAATAATAGAGAAAAAAAGCCAACCAATATACTTAATACTTCTGTATTATGTGCATACAAATTCCATCTGCCAGATAACCTCTTTCTGGCTGCTCTGGTTACTCAAAATATAAATTGAAGATTTACCGTCAGGGACCGTCTGCCAAATGATCTCTCGGTGCTTTCAGAGGCCGTAGGAAAAACCGGCGGTTGAATGTTGTAATTTTCTTGGCGGGCAGGCGAATCTATAAATCTCGGCGGAAGAGAATACATACTCACACTGCTATTGGATTTTGGGATTTTGGGAAGTGAAATGGCAGAAGAATATTGCTGATAGTCGTTGTCAAATTGCTTGGATTCTAGTGGACTCGAGCCATAATTATTAATCTCTTGGTCCATGTCCTCCAGAACCGGCTCGGAAACTCGATTTAGAAATGGGTATCCGACGAATTGCTTCTCTGGAGATGAAATTGTGAACCTTGGTGCTGGAACAAGAGCCTCTTGACTATTTTTGGGGGTATCTTGTGTGTAAGAGTCTTCGTCATTGTAATCGTCATCCTCGTCTTCGTCTTCGTCCTCTTCGGATATACTGCTGTTCAACAAGCATGTATTTTGACTCGATGAGGATGTCGACCGGAGTGAGCTGGATAGTTGTCCTGGTAACTTTAGCGGTGCAGACTGGGTTACCATTGGAACTGCCTTTACATAACATGTTTGTTCTTCAATAACAGTATCTTTGGTGGGCTGACCATGTGGTTGTTTCAGATGTTTGGTAAGACCAGGCGTGGAGCTTGCTGTCGTGGCCATATCTGCGATTGAATTGGTAAAGATTGGGGACAGGTTTGTTACTGACTTTTTTTTCGTTTTATCTTTATTTTTCTTTGTATTAATGTCTCACCCATTGCACTTTGTAATCTCTTCTGAACTTCTTCCATAGTAAATGAGTATCGACCTAGCCAAGCTGAATCCACCTCCTCCTGACCAACCTCGTCTAATTCGTCTTGTAGATTGACTAGGAGTTTGATTCCTTCGTGTAAATCTCGGCTACATTGACGAATGGACTCATCGACAGCATATTTTCCGTGTGATTGCAATGTCTCCCATTGGGTTTGGCACACTTCAAGGAGTGCACCAATATCTTTTTGTTGGTCAAGTACGTTCATGAGGATATGGTAAGAATAATAATGACGGTAATGAGAGTAATAAAGCAAAAAAAAAAACAAAGAGTAGATATATATATATATGTATGTGTGTGTGTATATATTTATAGCAAAAAGAAAGACAAGAGAGAGAGAAAAAGAAAAAGATAATAAAATAAAATAAAATTATAGGAAAGGAAAGGACAGTGGACTTTAAGGCGACATTGTCAATGTGAGCATTGGATGTGTTACGGCTTTTGGGTATTCTCTCTCCGCTTGAGGAAGCGAAAGACAAACAACGTGACAAGCAGCAGAAACAGGGTGGTCATGGCTGTGGCGGGGATCTTATTAACACGTTTGGATAGGTTTGGTTGGTTTATAAATACGGGTGGTTTAGCAGCCAATCTGTTTTGTCCTCGCAAAGAAGTATCGTATGAGTGTGTGCTACGCGTATATTTTATATTAGCATCTTTAGACAGCTAGTTTTGTTATCAACCGGATCGGCAACCAATTTTTCCTAAAGACTACATATCATACGTTCATTATAAGCACAGTGTAGGGCATCTAGACAGGCGCGCGCCCACCCCCTTCCTTCCCTCCCCTTTGTTTATATATTAAAAATAAAAGTTGGTGTATAGTTTGCAACACATAGGATTGAAAGTAATTAAGCACAAAGTCAATTCATATAAATACATTATATATATATATATACATATACATATATTACTATTTTCCATTTAACCATTTGTTCACCATTGTAACCAATAATTGCTCATAATCAAACCACAGATGGTCGGCACCCTTCACAACCTCGGCCTTCACGTGGCCACCAATCTGGTTCTCTAACCATCTTTCATAGGATTTACTAGACGTGAATTGGTCTCTGTCACCATAGATTATAAGAACACCTCCTTCTGCATCTTCCTGGTTTCGATAGTGGTCTAGCAGTTTTGTAATCTGTGATCGGAAAAAGGAAGCTTTGAATAGTGCAAGTGCCCATGTAACTGACAGAGGATAGCTTATCAACAAATAGAAACACGGAAGGGAACAAGGGGCTTCTATAGAAGAAGCAATCATACTACCATACGAATATCCCTATAGATATCCATATACATAAATATATTTATACCTTTTTAGTTTCAATAAATAAATAAATATAAGAAAAAAGACTATCAAAATATATGTATATAATATAGCATTCAATATTTGATATTCAATATATCCTTACACATATCATCAATCTTGATGGTTTTGGATATTTGCTTGCATAATCAGGGCTGTGAAGGACATGGTCGATCACCGCCTGATAATCGCCTCGTTCAGCCATTCCAGTCCAACTGGTTCTTCCTTTGGATTCGCCACATCCTCTATTTTATGGTATTAAGATATTTATGTATGTATATACTGTTTTGAATATAAGCAATATATGATATAAGCTACTTGCCTAAAATTAATTCTTATCACAACATAGCCTTGGGATACAAAGTACCGGTGTAGTGAAGATACGACATTGTTATTCATATGGCCTCCTGTACAGTTATAATTTGTTGTTGTTATTGTTATTGTTATTGTTATTGTTATTATTGGTTTGGAATGATAAACTTTAGTAATCTACAACCCAAACAAAGGGCATTCCTAATTGTGTCAATCTTTCTGACCTAATGGACCATAAGGATGAGCAAGGATGGCAGTTGGGGCTTCTGTACAAGGAATTCCATTGTAGCTTTGTTTTGTCTCAATGAGCACCTTGTCATTGGCAGATTCAATAAAAATGGTCTCGGTGGGCATATTCTTTAGGTACCTTTCTCCTCCCGCTTCTCTTTATTCCCTTTAATTATTTTACCCCACAAAAGAAAACAAGAGAGAGAGAAAAATATGTAATTCACATAGCCCTAAATTTAGATATAGTTACTTTTGTATATATATTTCATTTTAAAAATCCAACTAATTTAAATGTATAGCTATTGCTATCGCTATTGCTATTGTTATTCATATTACAAGTATTTTCTTTGTGCTTATTTATTAATCAAAACCTGTGTATTCATCTGGGAGCACGAGAATATTGGCTGTATATTTGAGTTTTTTCTTTATATTATTTTGTTACTTCATTATATATATTATATATATTATTTAAAGTGATTGTGAGACTAATGCAACCGGAGTCATAAGCGAAGAAATAAGGTTTATTCAATCGGATAGTAGAAGAATAAATCAACCAACACTGGTTGCCAGTGATTTTATAATAAAACATGAGTTTTGCAACATCATAAATCATATTTCTTGGACACTATATGATATTATGACATTAGAAGAGCACATACACATAGATCCCTTATACACATTTGCAATCCTTTTTTAAATTTCATTTTATACCACTCGCAACTTCTGCATGCACTGGAAAAATATATCAGTTTTTATTTATTTATTCTTCTTAAAAAGCGAAATTTTACAGCAATATATAATATGCAACTTAGGAGTAGAAAGATGAAAATATTTTATTTTATTTTATTTTATTGCGGTTTTTTCAAAGTCTTGCGTATTGTGGCATATAGGTTACCCGATGAGAGCTTAAATAATAATTAAAGTATATATATATATAAGTAAAAGAATACAGAAAAAGAAAAACCTACAATTTAAGGGGGAATGGCTTCGAGTAAGCCTGGATTAGAAAAAAAAAATAAGTAATATAGCAGGCAAATATATATGATTAGGAGTAGACAATCAAAACAGTACGTTTGTTTTATTATTATTCACCGGCCAATAATATTGGTTCATTATTTAAGGCTTCCAAGTAAGCATCACATTAAGAACGACGAATAAGGCTTTAAGGTTATATACATACATTAAACAGGTTTGAACAAAAGTAAATTTTCTACCTTTTATTTATTTATTGCTGCTGCTACTTAAACTCATAAACTTTGGTTTATTTTGGACCAACCAATATAACCAGCATGGACAGCTTTGACAGCCTATGGCACCCTTTACGTGAATCCTGATTGTATCAGAGCCTTGGTCAGGTAAGTTTCATAGCATCACAATTTTTTTAAAAAAAAATATTACCTGTGTACTAAAATTTCAGTAAAAACCATGATTCTCTTGAATATATTGTTGGTAATCAGTTTCGAGAAACTGGAAAAGTACAAAGTATATAACTGCAAAGAGATAATTGGAAATAGTAATTATTTAAATCCTTTTGCTTATCCTAAAGCACCTCATCACCTCTCTAAAGGATAGAGCACTCCATCAGCGCCCTTGATATTATTCAAAAGAATTTTTTTTTTTCAAAAAAATTAATATCCCATAAAGCCTTATTGTTTTCAACTTTACATATAAAAACTGTGTATTATAAAAAAAAAGGTGCAATTTAAGTTTATATCAGAAAGTACCAAGGGACACCAGTGACGAAAGGTATGATGTTTAGGAAAAACAAATAAGATGGTGTCTTTAACAATTTTAGTATAGGGAAACGATGAAACTAATTTGAATATAAACTATAACGAAATACAGCAAAGATAAAAGTAATGAGCCAATAATTTGGTTAGAAGAATAGTATGTCAGGCTAATGGTCAGGCTAATTATTTTTAACAATTTTGAGATGTCAAGAAAGAATAACAATTAAAGAATAAAGACAGCTAAAGTCATCAATGGTTGATATCGTAGAATTGGTATTTGACTAGAGTTGTACCGGAACACTTGGTGGTCAAGCGACTTAGAAAAGAAAACAGAGGAAATAGAGTGGATGTGTGGAGAGCCGAGAAACCCACGACATCGCGTATACTAAACAAGCATTCGCAAAGTTTCTGGCTCGAATCATAAAGCAAATAAAAGCCACTTTTTGGGTGATCGCTCAAAGTTCGCAAAAAACATGAAATGATAATAATGATAACAGTATATTAAAGCCTGTCTTAATATTGAGTATCTTAAAGAAATATGTAAGGCTATTTATGAAGAAAAGAAAGGAAAGCAAGTGAAAATGAATATTTATATCAATTTCTTATTGTGTCATCATATCCATAGCTTGTAAGGCTTTCTAACACAAGACAAGTGAATTAATATAGCCAAAGTTCAAACAGACAGCAGAAAATATATGCTTTTTTCTCCTCTTTATAAATTGATGTTAGATGAGGACAATTTCTTTTTTAGTAAGTGAGATAAGGCTTCATTTGTCATTCCATACCCGTTCGAATACGCGCCTTTTTTTTTGCTTTGTATTTTTGCTCAGCCATTGTAATCCTTTGGTGTGTCTTACAAAGCTTTGTGTACACCAGACATTAATTGTTAAATTTCCGTACATAATTTCTATAAATATATATATATATATATCAAAGCTGTATTTGTACAAATAGTAATGATGAAGAAAAATATAATTATCATGCTTCTTTATCTGATTTTTGTTTAGTATTAATGACCGCAACTCAACTCCCGCATGAAGTACTCGCTCATGTCGCAAGTTACCTGTCTGTAAATGAACAAAGTCGCTGTAATACTGTTTGCAAGAAACGGAATACCATTTTCGCCCAGTTACTGTGGAGCCCAATCAATATCAATATCGTAGCCAAAATTCACGTCTTTTATGACTCCTGTGAGGAGAACTATCTACAGTGGGGTCATATTGTAAATTCATTGCGAGTCGCTACAGACGATATCGTTACAGACAAACATCTGGCAAATCTTCAGAAATGCTTCCCAAATATAACCAGCCTCAGTATCTGGAGACTAATCACAAAGGACGCAAATAAAAAGGCCGACTGGAACAACTGAAAAGCGCTCAAAAAAACTAAAGATGTATTTTCTCGAGCCTTCTCATAATGACCTAAAACAATTCCACTTTGATATCCTATCCTGTCTACCGAATCTAACACACTTGACCATCGGTGATTTCGTAAGAAAATCCATGGTTTTCGGCATCCAAGACTTTGAAAGGCGCCATACCATCTTACCCTATCTCAATTCTCTGAGCACCCATGTAAGCTTGGATAAAATACCCCAAAATCTTTCTACCGTCTGTCAAGTAGGCACAGCCCCAAAAATAACATCTTTCAATTGCACGGCGACCGATAACGGTGAAATCTGGATGTTTTACTTTGCAGCAAAATATTCGCAAGTATTCGATATGACTTTATCGGTCTGGAGCGATAATAAGACCTGTATTTCCAAAAAAGACAGTTTGATGGATGGCAAGGTACAAATTTCAAGGGTTTCCGACACTAACTGTCGTAACCAACTAATAAGACCAGACGTCTGTCGTATCATTAGGGTAGACCTCCTTAAATCCTCGTTATGGAAGGTGAAGGCACCAGTCAAGAATATACAGTATACTGCCAAAAAATATATTACTCAACCGACCTTTGAGCAGCGCTTGAACCTGTTGCTCGATATGTCCATGGCCACAGCCGAAACCGTCAAATGCCACTTTGAAGGTAAAGGGGTCTCCCTTGGGTTGAACGATCTAACCACCGTGTTTAGTATCTGCCCCAATCTGGTCTCGATTGATCTAAAGCATTGTGATGTTTATCTGGCAGTCGACACCCTGTTGTATGGCTGTGGATCTTTAAAGAACCTTACTCTACTAACCGGTGGGCTGTATCTTGCTTCAGATCCGATGAAATTTACCAATGAACACAAACTAAAGAGGGTTGATACCAATAGTGGAACGATCAGTGTCGATGCACTCGACTATCTTTCTACTCAATGCCCATTACTGGGTCATCTAGTCTTGAGTACTGTGCAGGTTCGTTGACAGATTGCACAAAGATCCAGAAGCCTCTACACCGACATGTCATCTTTTTACCTAAAGGTTCTATATATTCAAGACCTAACAGTTTGGGAACTCGCTGGTCAGGATGCATAGCTATATTCGGGCATTAACTATATAAAGGTTTCACGGTATATTGGCTCCAAACGACTAAATAACAAAAAACAAAAGTATTTCGGAGTCCAGTTGGTTTTATATATCCCAAGATCACCAAGATGGATGGTATCCAGAGACAAAACAAGTGACCAGTGAACAGAAAGAAGCTATTGAGTATATTGAGACATACTTTAAAGACTTTGAGACCAAGCGCCTTTTAGGTCAAATGCGGATCAGCGGTTCATTGGATGAAACTTCACCATATTGGAAACACAGCCTCTTTAGAGGGTATCTTGAATTGAAGTTTGGAGATGTAAGCAACTACAAAATTATATGGGGTGATGAAGACGATAAAGAATATAAAGACAGGGAAGGTAGTGAAGATTTGAAGAATATGTATGATGCTTTAGATGATTTGCCCTGATCTTGTTTAATGAAATAAAAGATCTTTGTGGTATAAGTGTATCACCTATACAGACACTCGCATACTGACACAACATTTCTTATATTCACGTTGTACATGCTGTTGTATTCTTAACTCATGTGAGCCTGCATTTGCAAATTTGTTCTTTACAGTAAACACACATCTATATACAAAAAGGCCTTTTCCCCCCTCTCTTTATATTTTAAACGGACCGGTTCCGATCCCTATAGTGTGTGTATGTTTATTTGCGTTTTATTTCTTTATTTCCTTATTTTACCGTTCTGCTCTTTCGGTTGATAAATCCGGATCGTCTGAAGGATCGTTTAGTTGTCTATACTCATCCAATATATGTGCTTTTTCTTCACTCCAATAAATAAATGTCCGTCGGTGGATAAGTGCCCAGACATAGGGAACAAAGAATTCGTGTGCATCTTGTTCTTCTTCATATTGAAACTTCAGGTCAGGCAGCACCTATTATAGCTTTAGGTATCAGTAAATCTATCGATTTAGTCAATTGCTGATCTGGGTTGGCTTACTGTTAATCGATTGGGAGACCATGTACGTGCCGATTGGGCAATCAAATCGAGAACCTCAACAGATGATGGTGCTTTGAGGTTAGCTTCTTCAACTCGAGCATGGAAATAATTGATCACATGCTCGATGTTGTTGATCGGTTCAGAGAGTCGTGCATGAAGTCTGAAGGGCACAAAGATTTCTCGTTTCAACAATAGAGCATATACTAGCTGGGTATTATGTTTCAACCGGTGGGTCAAGACAGAGTTTATGATCTCCAGAACAAGTGACAAGAGGTCTTCATAGACTGTAATGTCATTGTAAGGTAAGGCCTATAGATATATCGGTTTGTTGATTGACATACATGTTTTATTTCTAGTTAGTTCTTTAGTCGCCCTAATTATTATTATTATTGTAGATACTTTTTTCTTTTTTTTTCTTTCTCCTTACCTCTCCAGACGCCTGTGATTTATTTACAACCTTTTGATGTCGTTTAGAAATCAATTCAAATAGACTGTATATATATATATTAAAAAAAAGGAATCGATATTTAGTTTGCTGCTTTGTTTTTTTTAAGAAAAAGCAAGTTGTGAACCAAGATTTGTGTACCTGATAATCCGCTGGGCTACATAGGCATGCATATCTAGCATGGATGTGGACATGTTTGCCAAGATTGCAAGACAATTCGTGTGAAAATATATATCCTAAAAATGATAGATATATGTATAATATATATATAAAAGATTGTATTTTAATCATGTTAATTAATGTGCACTATACAAATGAGTTTGTACTTGAATAAGGTTCTTTACCTTTTGATGAGACAAATTCAATTGAAGAGTTCTGATCAATACAAGGGATACTAATCCACCCAAGGAGATTGATTTTAACAGTGGACGTTCTGTAAACCATGCCAGATTACCAACAGACTGTATTGTTATTATTTGAGTCGTTGGTTTGTATTAATATTATGGCGTGTACATGTGCGTGCATGTGTGCATGATTTTGAGATACTTACGATTTTTTGGATTGTTTCATTATTCACATCGTCTTGACTAAAAATCAGCAGAAAGATCAAAAGTACATAGACCTGAGAATAGTTTGTTTTGCCCTCGATTGCTTCATATATCATCTTTAGGATTGGAATATACTATGTATTACAAAATATAGCAATAAAAAGGGCCAGGTTGTGAGTTGATATATTTGTAGTATAGTATAGTGTAATAAATGTATGCACATGTATATCTATATCTATATTAAGCTTACGATTGTTTCTGGATCTGTTCTGGACAATACATAGACCCTAAATGACTCATTTTCGACCAAGATGAGATAGAATAATAGCATACGCTCCTCTACACCCAAAGACCTTTTTTGCGTACATGTCAATCAATGAGTCCCTTTATTTGTTGTTAGTACTATCGTCTATAAACTTACCGACAGAATATTTCAAATAGATCTTTAAATGAAATCAAATGGACCTTTATATTTCCATTCTCTAGGTCAGAATACCTGGCTTTAATAATAAAAACAACAACAGTTAAAATGAAACAAAGTAAGGCTTAATATATTATCATCGTATTAACTCACCATTCTGATCTCTTAGGCTAGACAGTGCATTACGATATGCACTTGACCATATTGGCGGTCCTTCTTTAGAGACTGGAATATAGTGTTTTGCTTGGTTTCCCAATAGCAACAGCAACAATAAGCTTCGATCTGCCACCGGAAATGCATCCGCATCTGAACCTGATCCTGACCTTGAGAAAAAGTAATTGTATGCACTGTATACAACACCTGTTTGTATATATTTTTTTGTTATCAATCAAATAATTAAATATATAAAATTTCTGTTTTTGCTTCTTACTAGATGTTTGAGCAGGTGGAGACCTTTGTTCTACAAAGTTTTCAAGTAGTTTGGCAACAATTGTACTCGATCGATTACTTTACGGACAGACGCACAAATATATAATATTGTTTCAGTTTAGTTTAGTTTAATGTAGTCCAGAATAATACCAAGTGATTTTTATGACAATTTACCTAAACTTCTCTGACAAAAGATCCAAAAAGTAATTGGCTTCAGATAGACGAGCACGATGCAATTGAGTCGAAAACAAGACAAGAAGCATATTAAGTACTTCTGTATAGAATTCATAGGTTGAATAGCTGACACTGATGATGATTTTTTTTAGAGAGAAAAAAAAGAAGAGGTCAAGAAAATGATTAAGAAAATTATTGACAGCATATAATTAGATATTTCATTTTATTATTAAAAGATGAGAAAAAGAAGAAGAAAATGTTGGTCTCTTTCTATAGATATAGATATAGATCATATACTTGTCAACCTTGACTTACTTTGGATCTGTGTTGATTAATATTGACAAGAGGCTGCCCAAAAGCTGCTCTCCTTTTGGCCGACTGTCTGTCTCTACATCTGCATGAATAGCCAACTTTTGCACATCAAGGGTTAATGATGCCTGACTAGAGTGTCCTGGGCTCCAGCCACCATTGTTCTTTTGCGCTTGTTGACGACCTAGATAAAGAGATCCACAAGTTAAATTATATTGTTATCTAATTGATTGGCTGATTGATTGATAATTGTGCTATTTACCCTCAAACTGTTCAATCACTTGTTGATTTGTCAGGTTTCCTGCAAAATGTTTGGCAAATACGCGTGTCAAAAACAGAGCATTGTAGGCTGAAGTGGGTACAATTCTAAAAATAAATATAAAAATCGAAAGAAATATATATATATATATATATAAAGAAAAGAAAAAAGCTTGTGTTCATAATTGACTTGGCATGCAAGTGGTTATATTTCCTTTTTAGGATATTGACATACTCTGCCTTGCTGTCTTGCCATCGATGGAGTTGAGACAATAGATGAAGAATCAGACTATCAAAGTTGTGCGTACTGATGTTGTTGGCAGCTACAGTGTTTCTGATTAGCTTTAGTCTTTATATATATATATATATATATACATTGATGGTCTAATTGTACAATTGATATTGACAGTAATTGTACCTACCTAGTTCAATTGAAAGACCAACCGTTGCCATTTCCAAATCGTGTGCGTCTTGTCTTTATTTTATTTTTTTGGTATACAAGCGTTAATAATAATAATAATAATAAAAGTAAGAGAGAGAGAGTGAAAGATAATTAGATTAAAGGGATATATTTGTTTCTTTCTTTCTTTATGTTATGTTATGTTATGTTATGTGTATATAGTAAGATCATTGTGTGAATTCAACTCACGGTGAATGTGTAGCTGGGTATTTATTCAAGTCTAGAAGGGTAGACCAGAGAGACGCGTCTGAAGTAATGGGTGAGCAGAGGGATTTGATGGCTGCGGTTTGGGTTGGGGTAAAGAATGTGGAATCTGTTTTCCGGGAAAGAGTTGAGCTGATTGAGTGTCTGATGGTTGTTTGGTTTGAGAATGCAGAAAATGAATCTGAAGAGAGTTCGATTGATGGAGAGCGTGCTAAAGGAGAGACTGGTGAGGTGAGGTGGAAGGCTGAGCGTTTGGCAGCCAGGTTGGACAAGGGTGAAAGTGGAGCAAGTGTCTTGTTTGGAACAGTCAGGACTGGTAAGGGAGGGCTCGACTGTGAGCGGTAAGGATTCATAAGTAGGATAGTGTATACAATGTATATAATGTATAATATATATATATATATAGATATATATAGATAGATAAATAGATAGATATCTATGTATGTATGTAATGTATGTAATTTATGTATTTTATATATATATATATACTTTTTATATATACAAACACAAGTACATATACATATACATATACATATACATATAATTTATAATTTATAATATATTTATAAATTATATATAAAGAAACTAGCTTGAGGTTTGTACAGGCAAAAATATGTATATAATTGGTACAAGCGTCAATTGATATGATTCTTCCTTTTTTCTAACCAAAAAAAATAGGAGGAGGGTGGGGTTAGAATAAGGCAACAAGGTAAAATAGAAATAGGTTGATAACCACGCTTATATTCAATTGTAACAGAATAGACTCTTACCCCTTGATTCACGTGACCTACAAATATATATTATATTTTGTATTAAGAAAGAGAGAGAGAGGTTATATGCTATGCCTATTAAATTAAATGTTTCAAAATACATGTAATATTCATATATTCATATATATATTTATTTATTTATTTTTAATTGAAACACACACACACACATATATATATGCTTATTCTTTTAAGCGTGTGTTGATATTCATTTGTATATTTAAGATGTTTTTATATGTATATGTATATGTATGTGCGTGCGCGTTTGTGTATGCGTTTGAGCTTGAGCTTGTGCGTGTGAGCCTGTGCGTATGCCTGTGCGTATGTATATGTTTTTAACTAAAAAAAAAAAAAAAAAAAAAAAAAAACAAAAAATGCGGATTTGCGAATTATTTATGATTTTTATGCTGTACACCACCAGAGTGAATAATGAAAAAATAGTAATCATATAATAATAATTAGATATATATATATAAATCTTTTTAAATATCAACCAAGCAAAACAAAACAAAAAATAAATAAAGAAAGTCGTTGTTAATTGTTCCATATTTCTTTATATATAAAGCGTGAATATCACACTCTTTTTATATCTATTTAAAATACTTATATAAAAAAGCGGTAGGGTGATTGTGTAGGTTAGCTCTACAAATAGAAATGTGATTATATATATATATATAGACAGAGAGAGAGAGAGAGAGTGTGTGTGTGTGTGTAAAAAAAATTATATAGGCTTTTTTTTCTTTTCTTTTTCTTTTTCTCGGAGATGTAATTAATTTGTGTCAACACGTCAGAACCCCCCGCTCAGGTCCAAGATCCGGGTGCAAATTCCGTTTTGACTGAATAAAAATAAGTGATAAAAGAATTAATATTAAATGTATATATATATATATTAATTAAGTATTGAATATCACAGCACAGCACAGCACAGCACAGTACAGTACAGTACAGTACAGTATAGGACTATATAGCAAGATAGGATATAAGAAAGTATATATATATATATATATATAGTGTGTGTATGTATATATTTTATAATAGAGATTGTTAATATGTTTCAAATCTACACACAGATTTATCGTGATGCTTAATGGCTGATGGCATAATGGCTAATGATTAATTGTTAATGATTAGTCGATTAGCAGGTAGTATTAGATACAGTATGTGTGTATTGTAAATAAAATAAAATAAAATAAAATAATAGTAATCATGGATGATGAAGCGGAGGACTTCCGATAAGCGGACAAGAACTGACAGAGTAGATGTGTTCCGGAATCGCAAGAGATGGTCGTACATGTTACTATACTATGGCAACCTTGTTTTGGCTACAGTCATGAAATTCAACAGGTAAAAAATAAGAAATGACAGGACCACGGGTGGGAAAAGTACAATACTGGCCAATACTCACAACATAGGCTCAATTTTAGTTAATTAACCTGCCCCCACCCTTTTCCCTTTATTTTATATATATATATATCTTTATCTCTCTTCGATCTTGTCTTGCATTACAGTGTATTGTGTTTTTATGGTACTGTTAATACCATTATTAATACATTTTACACAAACAAACAAATATATGTATCTCTTGCTCTATATCTTTGATTACCTTTCTCATATACTACATTATACTACTTCTTTTGTTTCGCGTCAGATGTGTGACATCACTGAGAATTGCTTATGATTTTGGCTCATATATTATTATTATTATTATTATTATTATTATATAGAAAAAATAAGACCCTTTATATTTCCATTTTACTTGTCCTACTCTTGTCCTGTTCACAATTATTCATATTACTATTTATTTATTTATTTATTTATTTATTTGATAATATATAATATAATTTTATATACACCTACATAAATATATATATATATATATCTTTTCTTTACAGTTTCTTTTAAATTTTTTGTGTCTATCTGCCTGTCTTCTGTCTACCTATTCGCCTATCAGTTAGTCTGTTAGTCAATACTATCTGTCAGTCTTTGTGTTAAGCATAGTGAATTAAGATAAAATAAAGAGAGAGAGAGAGAGAGAGAGAGAGAGAGAGAAAGGAAAAATAAAATAAAATAAAATAAAATAAAAAAAAAGAAAAGAAAAAAAAAGAAAGAAAAAAAAAGTGTCTTTTTTTTTAAAAAAAAAATTTCTAGTCATCCTTCACTTCTTTACACTTCTTCTTTCTACTCATCATGTCCGGCAACAATATTAAGGTCGTTTGCCGTTTTAGGCCTCAAAATTCTCTCGAAATAAGAGAAGGAGGAGTGCCCATCATCGAGATTGACGAGGAGGGTACTCATCTTCAACTCAAGGTACATTTCACTTATTATTAATAGATATATTTGAATATCTTGAATATCTTGCAAAAAAAAATGCACACCCACAACCATTATTCTCTACATTCCTACACCCACACACACATTCCTATCTACCAAACCCCATGTACACAAAGCCCATCTTCCCAGATGAAACTGACATTGGCATCTAGGGCAAGGAATCTTCACCAACCTTTGCCTTTGACAAAGTGTTTGGTACAAACACCCCCCAGAAAGATGTATTTGACTACTCTATTAAAACTATCGTTGACGGTAATAATAACAAAGATAATATAAATATAAATAAAATAAAATAAAATAATATAATTTAATATATAATATATTTATATATTCATATATTTTATATATATATAAAAGATGTCACTGCTGGTTACAACGGTACAGTGTTTGCCTATGGCCAGACAGGTTCTGGTAAAACATTCACAATGATGGTAAATACACATATACACTTGCTTAATACACATACATATAATATATATGTATAATAATTTTGAAGTAAAATAAAAATAATAATATATAAGGGGGAGAAAGAGGAAGGAGAGGGGTGGGCGGGAGGGGAAGAGGAAAGGGGAGGGGTTAGAATAAAAATCTCTAGTAAAATAACACGCACACACACAGAAATGTATATCTGATTAACTCTTTTTTATTATCATTTTTTATTTATGATTCTGTATAGGGTGCAAGTATCGACAATGAAAGTACAAAGGGTATTATCCCACGTATTGTCTGTCAAATCTTTGATAGTATTATGGCTGCCCCAAGCAACCTCGAATTCACAGTCAAGGTTTCTTATATGGAAATTTATATGGAAAAGGTTCGAGATTTACTTGATCGTAAGTATCTAATTATACAAAATACGTTTTATAGTTATGACAAATCTCCTCATATGTTTAAATCCCTTGTTTGTTTGTTTCTTTTTTAGCTACCCATGACAACCTTCCTATCCACGAAGACAAGACAAAGGGTGTTTATGTAAAGGGTCTTTTGGAAGTCTATGTTGGTTCAACAGAAGAAGTCCATGAAGTCATGCGTCGTGGTGGCGACAACCGTGTGGTTGCCTATACAAGTAAGACTTTATCATTATCATTATTAGCCAATATATATATATAATAATAACGCTATATGATTTTAGACATGAATGCCGAGAGTTCTCGATCCCACTCCATTTTTGTCATCACAATCACCCAAAAAAACCTCGATACTGGTGCTGCAAAGAGTGGCAAGCTTTATCTTGTCGATCTGGCAGGTTCAGAAAAGGTAATAATCAAATAAAGAAAATCTTAATAATGCACTGTTTGTGTATTGTGTGTGGTGTATGGTGTATAGTATATAGTATTTAGTATTTAGTTTGTCTATAGACAATATGTATACATTTATTTATTTTTGTACTTACAAATCTTTGTTTCTGTCTTTTCATAGGTTGGTAAAACAGGTGCTTCTGGTCAGACTCTGGAAGAAGCCAAAAAGATCAACAAGTCATTGACTGCCCTTGGTATGGTCATTAATGCTCTCACAGATGGAAAGGTAATAAAGAAAAGTAAAGTAAAGAAAAGATAATAGATAATCTTTCCACTCCATACTATATATTATATACATTATATATTTTGTGATCCGTCACTCTTTTTTTTTCTCTGCCTTTCATTCACATGCTTATTTGTTTATTTATTCTGTTACCTATATATATATATATATATATATATTAATTCATGTCTTTAATATCATTGAACTTGTAATAGTCAAGCCATGTTCCCTACCGTGATTCGAAACTGACGCGTATTCTTCAAGAATCTCTGGGTGGTAACTCGCGTACGACGCTTATCATCAACTGTTCGCCTTCGTCCTACAACGAACAAGAGACTCTGGGCACCTTAAGATTCGGTATGCGTGCCAAGTCCATCAAGAACAAGGCCAAGGTCAATGCCGATCTGTCGCCTGCCGAACTCAAGGCGCTGCTCAAGAAAGTCAAGTCGGACACCGTTACTTTTCAGGCGTATATCAAGGCTCTTGAAGGCGAAGTCAATGTGTGGCGCACAGGTGGAGTGGTGCCTGAAGACAGATGGGTGACGATGGAAAAGATTTCCAAGGGCGATTTCAAGGCCCTTCCGCCTGCCGCCGGCTTCAAGAGTCCGGTCCAAGAAGATTCCCGTCCAGCTACACCGGCCGTTGTATTGGAGAAGGACGAAAGAGACGAATTCCTTCGACGAGAGAATGAACTTACTGATCAGATTGCCGAAAGAGTAAATATATATATATATTTAAATTATACTTGCTCCAAAATAATAATATAATAATATATATATGTACGTTTTTTTGTAGGAAACCGAACTTGCCAATCGTGAGAAACTGTTAGAGGCTCTGAGGGAAGAATCGACTTATTACAAGGAGCAGGAACAAACTGCCACGAAAGAAAATCAGCAAATGACAACCGAGCTGAGTGACCTTCGTGTCCAGCTCCAGAAGATTTCCTACGAAAGCAAGGAGAATGCAATCACCGTAGACTCTCTCAAGGAAGCAAACCAGGAGCTGATCTCTGAACTCGAGGAGCTGAAGAAGAGTCTTGTAGAGATGCGTACTGCCCACAAGGAAGCCAACGATGGCGAGAAGGAAAAGAAGAAGGCCGAGAAAATGGCCCAGATGATGTCTGGCTTTGATCCTTCCGTAAGACAAACTTCTATTAGTGGCAACAATCGTATCACCTCACATTTATTAATCTCACTCTTACATATTTATATACATACATACATACATCTTTCTTAATCAATTAACAAATTAATTGATCGATTGATCGATTGCTCGATTGATTAATTGATTATGAATTTTTTCTTTAGGGTGAGATCAATGAAAAGGAAAGACAGATCCGTGATGCTCTGGATAAACTCGATGGTGATAGCCATGGTAACCTTAGCATGGAGGAACTTGTGTCCTTGCGCCGTGAGTTGGCCGAGTCCAAGATCTTGATGGATCAACACGCCAAAACAATCGAGAGTCTGACATACGAGAAGACTGGAATTGAAAAGAAAAAGACCGATCTGGAGACCAGATTTGCTACTCTGGAGCAAGAGTATGAGGAGCTCTTGGACAAGACGATTGCCGAGGAAGAGGCTGCGGTGCAAAAGAATGTCAACATTGCCGAGACCATCAGCACCCTCAAGGGCAAACTCGAATCACAGTATGCCAGCAAAAAGGAAATGCAGCAAAAGGAGATCGAGGATCTCAAGAGCGAGCTGGACCGCAAGAGCCAGGATCACCAGAAACTTAGCAGTGCCATGGCTGATCTCAAGACGGCCAATGACCAGCTCCAGGCTGCACTGGCTGCCCAGCCCTGTCAGTCGACCGCAGATCTCAGCGAGCGTGAGAAGGATCTTGAACGTATGCGCAAGACAATGGCCCAGCAGCTGGCCGACTTTGAGGTGATGAAGAAGGCTCTGATGCGTGATCTCCAGAACCGATGCGAGCGTGTGGTTGAATTGGAGATGTCGCTTGACGAAACCAGAGAGCAGTACCACAGCGTTCTCCGAGCAAGCAACAACAAGGCCCAGCAAAAGAAGATGGCCTTTTTGGAACGTAATCTCGAGCAACTCACCAATGTGCAAAAGCAGGCAAGTATATATATATATATATATATATTTATTAATTAATTAATTATTTAATTTGGGGTTCTATAGTTGGTGGAGCAGAATGCATCCTTGAAGAAGGAGGTGGCTTTGGCTGAGCGCAAGTTGATTGCCCGTAATGAGCGTATCCAGAATCTGGAAACACTCTTGCAGAATGCTCAGGCAAATTTGATCAACCAGAACCAAAAGTTCGAAGCCCAGCTCAAGACTGTCCGAGAACGCCTTGAACAGGCACGAACACAAAAGGGTCAGAACTCACTAGTGATGGGACTGACACGTATCGCCAAGCCATTGCGTGGAGGAGGAGGAGTATCTTCTGCCGATGCCGAGACCCCCGTGTCTCCTGTTGATAGAAATGAGAAGCGTGGTTCATGGATGGGTATCCTTAACCGTACATAAAAGAAAGAGACAAAGAGACAACCATTCGAACCAACAACCCAACAGAATGAAATGAAAAGAAAAGAAAAGAAAAGAAAAGAAATGAAAAAATTCCCCCTCCAACCCTCTTACCGACCCCCCGTCATCTGTCTACCCCCATCACAACTCCCAAAGGTTGAAAGAAAGAAAGAAAGAAAAATGAACTTGGCTTTATATTTTTTTTTCTTAATTTTTCTCTTTATATATTCTTTTGTTTATATATATATATATATACAATAGAGCTTAAATTTCTCTACTTTCCTATATTCCCCACCTTCCCTCCCCCACCTTCCTCCTCCCTTTCAACAAATTTGCTACCAATTTTTTTTTTCATTTTCATTTTCTTTCCTCTTTTTTTCTCTCTTTCTTTCTTACAAAGCTATCTCTTTTAAACCCTTACCTTTTACCTACCTACCTTACCTACCTTACCTATCTATCTATCTATCTATCTATCTATCTTTTTATTTTTATTTTTTATTTTTTATTTTTTATTTTTTATTTTATCTCTCTGTCAATGACTCTATTTTTTTTTCTTTTTTTTTTAAACTTTTTCTTTTCTATACCTTGACCCACTCCCTCTCCTTTTTCTTTTCCCTATTTTTTTTTTAAACGAGCAACTTATCAAAGTGCGAAACGAATAAAACACAATCACAAAAAAAATCGCAAAAAAAAAAGTTGCATATTTTTTTTAAAAAAAAAGTATTTATGTAGCCGATTAAACATATTTAATTACCGGTATACTTTTTTGTGACTTTTGATTTAAACCCAGAGGTTAACAAAAGACAGAATAAATATATAAAAAAAAAAAAAAAGGATAAGTTGATGCTCTTTATTGTTTTCATCTCCTCTTTCTCTTTCTTTTTATTCTACCAATATCAATACCATTTTTATTTTTCTTAATTCAAATACCAAATCTTAATACTTATTTAATGGCAGGTAAAAATAAATAAATAAATGAATAAATAAATAAAATAAAATAAAATATGTATATTTATTCAGTAATTAATTAATTTGTTAATTAATTTGTTAAACGTAATGAATTCTAGGTAATCACACTAAAAAGAATAATACTGAGCGACGAGATTCCTTAAAGCCATCGCCTCCTCAGCAACGCAAAAATTCAAATGGTAAACTAGATTCTCTTGTCCTTTATGATTTACTTTAAATGTCTATATATACACACACTCCATTACCTTTTTTTTCCTCTCTCTCTTTCTCTCTTCTTGTATGTATGTATGTGTATAGATATATACTATTTGTAATAATAAAATCCCCCAAAAAAAAAACAAGCAAACAACATCAACATCAACATCAACATCAACATAATGCTATTTCTTAATTTTTAATTTTTATTTTTTCTATAGCCAAGAAAGATTCTGCACCTAGTTCATCACCTCGTCCAACCAGTGCAAGTCCTCGTCATGAGATGAAATCTATGGGTGGTGGTGTACTACCTCCATTTGCAGCCATGGCAGCCGCAGCAGGTGCCAATCAAGCCCCCATCAAAACAGATGGATTCAATGGAGCCGAAGTGATCACATTTCTTAATCTTCGTAAGACCAGAAAGAAATAGATATATAATTAGCTAGTTAGTTCTATAGTGTGTGTGTGTGTGTGTGTGTGTGTGTGTGTGTATGTAAAGAAGAGAGAGAGAGAGCTAGATAGATAGATAGATAGATAGATAGATAAAAAGAATGAGTGGTTCTTGTTTTTCGTTTTCTTTTCTTTTATGTTTGTTAAAGTTTGCATTCTAATACACACGCATGCAATCTACATACAACATAAACTCATACAAACCCACAACACACAACTTGTATATATATATATATATATATACATATACTCTACGGACACATACATACACATACACACCTACCAATACATGTATACTATATAGGCTATTCGGACAGCTTGACATCCTTCCATGATACAAACCTTGATTCTCTTCACCGTCCAGAGATGTACGAAGTGCCGGAACCTGCACCTGTACAACCGGCTTGGGGTGGCCGCTCTGGTTCACCATGGGCCAAGAATATTACAACTACTCCTACTCCTACTGCCACTGCCACTAGCTCTTTTGATTTTGTTAGTGAATTAATGGAACGTGCCCGTTAATATATAGACATAGACATAGATATATATATATATATACATACAAAAGCACACAGATAAACACACAGGTACACACAAGGTACACGTACACGTACACGTACACGTACACGTACACATACATGTGTGTATCTTGTGGTTACTTTTACATGTGTGCGTGTGTATGAGTATGTTGATGAGTATGTGTATGTGTATGTGTATGTGCTTGTGTGTAGTACGTAGTATATGTGTGTGTATGTAGATGTATTAAAGATAGTGCAAAAAAATATTTCTGATTTAGTTAGGGTAATATTATTATGATTGTTGTGGTGGTGATGGTAGTGTCATTAAATAGATGATGTACATGTAAAAAAAATATATATTTATATTTATATTTATATTTATATTTATATATATATATATATTTAGCCACTCATTTCACAATCGGATATCTTGTAATCTACCTTCTTCTTTCCTTTCTAAACTACGTTTCTTGGCGCAGTACATGGCAGCACATTACATGGAAGTACTAGCTTGGTACAGCAAATTACTATCATTATTAGAGCCTGAATAAGAAGAGCTAGAAATAAGGCCAACAATACCAATACTCTTTTTCTTTTATTTGCTCTTGTCCCCTTTGTTTGGTTCGTCTCTATGGCTTTTTTTTTCTATGTATATTTTTTATTTGATTAACCGAAAATATGTATATAATTTTCTTTGAATAGAATAGAATATAATGGAATAGAGGTTCCACGGCTGATTAGTATATTATTTTCTGCCGTTATGAGTACTGGGTCTTAACGGGTATTTTTTATAATAAAAATATAAAAATGGAAAGATCAAGTGGGCTACCAAATCTATATATTCTTTATCTAGATTGTGTTGACTGCGCCCATCAGTTGGCTTTGTTTGTTGCTACTGATAATATCTCTTGGTGGATAGTACATAAAACACATATAGGTTCCTGCCTTTTGTTAGATCGATTGAAACAAGAAAATGATTTTGGATATCAATAAGGCTGGTTGGTACCTGATTGTTACAGTCGCTTTTATATTTTATTTATTGAAACTGAGATGTGAAAGAGAGACGGATCGACAGTATTGATTTAAACTAGAGTTTCTGGGCACGCCGTGGATTATCAAATACGGTCCCATTTTGGGGTACATTTTACCTTGACAAATGCCAAGACACACTAAACAGGTTCAAATACGACACGCAGACAACCAACTCACGCATTTAACTTCCATGGATATAAATACATTCTCTTTACTGATCCCATTTTTTTTAACGCACTATATTTAAAATGCCTGTTGATTTATTCCCTTCGTTTTACATTTTTTTTTTAACCATTACCTTTCTCTTTTTCGTCTTATTTTTTACTATTATTATTATTAGCATTAGGCTTTTTAACTCTCACAAGAAAAAAATATGGAAATATGAATATTCAGCCTTCTCAGTCTCAAGTTAGTATTGTATCTAGATAAAGTCATTCATACCACAAAACATATATTATACTATTCAATGAGAGAGAAAGATGGAACAATAAGGAGAGAAAGCAAAAAAGAAAAAGAAAAAAGGTTGTGTGGGTTGGCATGGGGACACATGAATACAATAAATTAAAGAAAAGAAAAGAAAAGCCTTGTGTGTGTGTGGAGCTTTTGTGGGGAAACACAAAATAAAATATAAATAAAAAGCTTTTTGATGATAAAATACACTTTTTATTTTGTTTTTATATATATATATATATTCGAGTGTCAAGAATCTAAAAATATATTTATATATATAAATTATTATCATTACTATTTAAATTGGAGATTCAATTTTCTTAATAAAAATAAAAATAAATTTATAATTACTTATTTTAATTTTTATTTTCAGCCCCCCCTCTCTCTCTCTCTCTCCCTCTTTCTCTTTCATATTTTTATTTTTTGGTTTCAATAACCTCTTTAAGTCTTTACTTTTTTTTAAAAAAAAAGAAAAGAAAACATAATGGCTATGAACGAAAGAGACAATTACTATAGCCGGTCAACATCTGGACCTACATCTCCTGCCCATACACCAGACCACACTATGCAACAGAGCATGTCTGGATACCCACCCAGTCCGTTTGGATCAAACTCAAACTCACAGGACAAAACCGAAGTGTCTGATCCGGACACTGGCTACCACAGCCACCAGAGACACACTCCTCCGGCCTATGGAAACTTTAGAGACTCTGAATCGGATGACACATACCTGGCCGACCGCGGACACAACTCGACCGAGATCCTTGCCAGATCTTCTGTGGACCCCAGTGGCGGAAGGGTCCGTAACCGGGACGAGAGACGCTCTTGCTGTGACAGGATCTGCTGTGGATGTTGCAACTGCTGTTTCAGGATGCCCAGGTGGCTGCGTTACTGTGGCTGCATCTTTTTGCTGCTTATTATCATTCTGGTGATTGTGATTGGTGTCCTGGTGGCCATATTCAAGGAACCCGAGGTGACTGTAAATGGGCTTGGCAATGCACCACAGTACAATATTGCCGGCACCAACCTCAACCTCAACTTTACACTTGACATTGGAGTCAACAATCCCAATATTGAGAGTGTTACATTTGAGAGCATCGTAGCAAAGGTAAAATATATTTAATAATTTAATAATTTAATAATAATTTTTATATATTTTTTTATTTTTTTTTTATTTTTAGGCTTATTACCCTAATTATGATAATTTGGAACTCGGGGGCGGTCAAAAGAACGACGTCAAGATCAATTCCAACGGAGTAACCAATATCACCTTTCCCTTTGACATTTCAATCGATGCCACCAACGGAGAATATACACCGATCTTTAACGACTTGATCGCCAAGTGTGGCCTTACCGGAGGAGCAAAAGAAAATATTGTGGTCAACTATGTTGTCGTTCTCACCCTTCGTATTCTTGGCATTGCCATCAAACCAACCATCAGAAACAAGGCCAGTTTCCCTTGTCCTCTGACCGTAAGTGTTACATTTAGGCTATAGATGCACAGAAATCTATATCTAATTTATTACTATTCCTACTACTTTTGTAGGCTTCTGATCTTGCAACTTTACCCGGCTTATCTGACATCATCACCTCTGTCGCGTCCAACTTTACTTAAGGCTACTTGAATCCATATATAAATATATTTATATATACACAAACATACATGTATAATCCCACCCCTTCTTTTCTCTGTCTCTTATACATAATATTATTATATCTTATATCTTATATCTATATATGTAATCATTTTTTGTATTTTTGTATTTCTTTCTTCATTTACCCTAACATGGAAAATCTTTGGTTGATATTCCTATACACACACAATTACATACATATAAATATAAATATAAATATAAATATAAATATAAATATAAATATAAATATTTAGTTGGCAATGTAAAAATAAAAATGTACATCTTTACACACAAATACACAAATTTGCTCAAGTATTCTTTAGATAAATTCATGGCATTAATATATCGTGTACAGAAATCATACACAGGTTTCTTGTGATGTTGAGGGTAAAAGAGGGGGCGGAGGAGAATGGGTGTAGAAGAACAGGATTCTTACTTTATGTTTAAATTTATTTATTTGTTTGTTTGCTGTTGATGATTTTGAGGAGTTGTACGTTTATCACAAATCCTTGTGTCGGTTTAATGATTATAATAGTAATAATAATCTAAGCATAGGATTTTATTCGCATTTTATAGAAAATATATATTTAAATAAATAAATGTATCTATGTATGTAATCAATCCAAAATGGCTAGAATACTAATATAATTATAATAATTACCTTTTGTATATATATATATATATATAATATTAGGTGATCTTCTTCTTCTTCTTTTGCTTTATAAATATTAATTAATTAATCAATTAATCATTTAATTAATTATATATAAAAGATAAAAATAAAATCGACGAAAGATGAACACGGATTTAAACCCATGGCTTGTTGTTGACAAGGAGTTATTTGCTATGGAAACATCAAACTGAAAGTCAAGGGAGCATTAAAGATACTGACCTAGATTTCACATCAATTTAAAACGGGCTATTTATTGGTCAAAGAAAGGCACTCCTGCGATAGTTACAGTACCTACAAAAGCCAAATACAACCTCAACAATGTTCCTATTCACAATTAAACTGGTAAAAGTACGCGATTCACAAGACTACACCGTACATCTTTCTCAAACTCGCCGAACTGAATCCAATTGAGCAGTCATGATCAGTTATGGTCAAGTTGGACATCACAGAACCTCTTGCGGAGGACCCAGCCAGGACTTGTTTTTATTAAATAAAAAAGAGGTTTTGATTGATTAAAATAACTAGTTTAGGATAGCCAAAGATACCCTAGATTATCGTTTGAACATCTGCAAATTGGGGAGGTGGGTGGTTATTCTACTTTAAACAAGTGCAATATATCATGTAGAAAACAATAGGTTTGCAGAAAATATCTTTTTCCCTTTTCTTCTTCTTCTTCTTCTTCTTCTTTATTCATTGTTGGTAGTAACAATGGTAATGTAGGTAGGGGTTTAGGGGTGTATTGTAGTATAGTAATAGTGAAGTAGTAGTAATGTAGTGTAATTTAGTGTAATTTAGTGTAGTATAATATATAGTTTAGTGTAGTGTAGTGTAGTGTAATTGCGGCGTCGATGGTGATGGTAGTGAAAATGGTGAGGCTGGTGAAGATGGTGATAGTAAGGGTGGTAGGGTTTTGTAAATTTGTAAAGTTTTAGCTGTAATTTTTTTTTTCGTCTTTCATTGTTCAATATGAATTAAGCCGCTGTAAGTCTTGTTGCTTTTGTATTCATCTTTTTTTTTTTAAGAAAAAAATACGAAATCCATTTATCCATTCACCCAATTCATTCATTCTTTTGTTGTAGTTTAGGTGAATCGAATAACCATAATGCTGAGATTGTCAGTACTGAAATTAGCAAGGGCGTGGTCGAGCAAGGTGCGGGTGGCCAATTGAGGATCTTCGATTTGTTTAACTAGGTCGACTGCATCTTGATCTTCACACACATCCCATAACTAAAGCAGATGAATTTAATTTAATTTAATTGAATTGAATTAGAAAAAGTATAGAGCCATATCTACTATCGGTAGCACTTTATCTTTCTTTCTTTCTTTTTTTTTTTTTTTAAAAAAAAAAACCCCCCCACTATAGATAGATAGATAGATATGATTTTCACTATAATTACTCCTTTAAACCCACTTACTCCATCACAGGCCAAGATTAGAAATGAATCCTTGTCTGTCAGCTCAGTCTCGGTAGTATATGGATTGCCGACCACAAATTCTTTCATCACACTGTCGCCAAGTGACCGAGTAACTGCCAAGACTCCATTCACCCGATTGTTCATCATAAACCCTCCAAGATCCATGATCCGCTTTGCTTCCTGGGCATCTGAGCCCTTGTGGTCGTACGAAAGTCGGACCGCCTTACCATCACGACTATTTTATAACATATACATATATTGATATTGATATTGATATTGATAGTGATATTGATATGGTATCATTTTTGTTTAAAAAATAATAATAATATCATGTATACCATAGAAATAAGAAAGAAATTTACCATAATACAGCACGAGCATCTCCAACATTACCAGTATGAAGAATACGCTAAAGATTTTTTTTTAAATTTTTGCAAGATAAGTATAGTATACGTATTAAATAAATTAATAAATAAATAAATGCATTCATGCATATATCTATCTATATATATATTTACCTTTGAATCCTTGACTTGAACAAAGGCAACGATTGCAGTGCACCCAGAAAATTTGCCTTCTTTTTCATTTACTTGAAGATCAACCTCGAGAAAGGTCTTGTTTAAAATTTCCGCTACAGGTTGATCTTTGAATTCTTTCAAACAAAGAGCGAGAGTCTAAAATATAAATATATAAGTATTGTTGTGAATTACAAGAGTTTCATGTGTCTTAACATACTTTGTCAAAGTTATCTCCACACCAATCAGCCGTAGCCTTTCCAGCATGACCATCAAAGATTGCAAAAAAGCCTTGACAAGGAACGCCATCAAAGTCTGTAACTAACGAATGGGCGTCTTCCATCGTTCGACGACACCGTTTGTTGCGGTCCTCTGAGAAACCGATTGCAAATCCAGGTGCAATAAGGGGAAGTTTAGGGTCATTGGAATTTGTTGAATTGGAGGTCATGTTTCTCTTTTTTTCTTTTCTCTTTTTTCTTTTTACTTTTATTTTGATTAATTAATTAATTAATTAAATATATATAAATATATATATATATATATATAATTGTATATACAGATATCTATATCTATATCTATATATAAATAAATAAATAAAATATATGTAATGTGTGTAATGTGTGTATTCGTTGCTTCTTTTGCGTTGTTCTGGTTATTGAGTTTGTTTTTTATTGGTCGTGAGCTGTAGTGCTTTAGTGATGACGATGACGATGGGTTTGTATTGTTCGTAGCTGTTCGTAATGTGTATTTGTAGATATTGAATATCTTTTTATCTATAATTTGCTATATTCAGGTCTGTTAAATATGTATTATTATTATTATTATTATTATTATTATTATTATTATATAAATATATATAAATATTTAGGTGTAAATAGAAATAGAGAGAAATGGAAAGTGAAAGAAAGGAAGAGAATAAGAGTGGAAAGGAAATAAATTATATATATATATATAATTTATGAATGCTATAAATAAAAATATATTTAAATATAATTATTGATTTTATTGGCCTAGGGGGATCTTCCCAAAACAACAACAACAAAATATTATATATATATAGATAATTTTCTATTCATCATTCTTTTGCTTGTATTATAAAATTCTTTGCTACATTATACACAGCATGCACACTACACACATAAAACACATGAATTTACACAGCCACTTGAATACAACGTTTAATTCAAACTGTAATTAACAGCAATTAATTAATAATAATTAATAGTAATAAAGTGTTTCAAATATAGATAGATAAATTTATATATACAGGATATTCATGACTATTCAAGACTAGGCAGTAATCATAAGCTCTATTGACAAAAAATTAAATAAATTGTATAGTAACAGCAATCATGTATCTTATTTTATTTTATTATTTTAATGGGATAAATGATATACAATATATCATCCACTCACCCATCCACTTTTTACACTCACACACTTTTATACCTTGCCTCATTTCACCTACCCAAAACCAAAGCAAATCACTCTTTATTTCTCTCACGTATTCACCTGTCTGCCTACCAGCCTGGTAACCAGCCTTCCTGTTTACTCAAATATCGATACTACACCACACCACATTGCATTACATTGCGTTACATTACATTACATACACAAAGGAAAAACAGAGAATCGAGAGATAACGAGTGAGCAAGAAAGAACGAAAGATATATATTTTTGAAAATAAAAAAAATTATTTAATCTTTCCCAACTTCTTGGATGCAAATTTAAGTTTGGTCTGTGTTCGACCCACATCTCCATCTAGCTCATCAAGTATCTGGCTCTGTGTCTCCAACTCGTCTCCAATCGCAATACCCAACTGCCGCTGTCTGGAAAGGATAGAGCTAAACTGTTCTACCTGCTGGTCCTGGTCCTCCATCAGCTGCTGCTGCTGTGTCAACAGACCGCCGTTATCCAGTCCACGCGTCCATTCGGTCTCCTTTGCACGTTGTTGTTGTTGCTGTTTTTGTTGCTGTAATGCAGCTGCTCCTAATGCACGTCCAGACCCAATCGTGGTAGCTGCTCTTTGGATAGTTGTGTTGTTGTTGTTGTTATTAAAAGTTGTTCTGGTTGGAGGAAAACCATATGTGGCCTGGGTATCTTGGTTCGTAGACTCTAGCAGTTGCTTTCGGTCCCCGGCACTGGGACTCTGCGAGGTAGGTTTGTTGTAGAGCAACTCCTGTTCCTGTCTTCCGGTGTTCACTAATCTCATCAGGGTGTCGCGCTCGTCTTTGAGGGTACTCAGCATATCCTGGCGCCGGCGCAACTCTCCGTCTGACATGAGCCCCTGGAAGAACGAGCCGTTTGCCAGGCCAGTCAGGCCGCTCTCGAGAGCAGACGTGCGCGACGACAGGGTGATGAGCAGTTTTTTGGCCTGCATGGTGCAGTTGTGCGAGGCCGAGATCTCGTCTCTGCCCATATGGGTCGCACGTTTGTTGATAAGAGATCTAATCTCCCGAGCCGTGCTGTTCATCGCATTGTATTCATCTAACCAGGATTCCGAAGTGTAGTGGGCCTGGCCATCCAGTTGACGCCCGGTCGGGATGGCCAGAAACTCCTTCCAGAGCTCCGTCTGGCGCCAGCGATCATCTCGGCTGCTGAGCATGCCCCGAAGGTAATCTTCTAATCCTCGACGGCGATCTTCAATCCGGTCAGGGTCAGAAAAGGTCGACGGAAAGATGTGTTTGGAAGGCAGAGGAACAGGAGGCCGGTTTTTTGGGAATATGGTCAGGAATCGGCTGTTTAGCTTTGCAAACTCGGAGTAACGCTTCCATACGATCCAGTTCCGCACAGCGGCGTGTACTTCGATCTTGTAGACCGTGTGGGGTTTGGGTTGAGAGCGGGTTTCGGATTCTCGTATGAAGATTGCTTGAATGTGTTCTGTCATTACAAGACACTTTTAGTTGTTGTTTGTTTCTCAAGTGCGTGTAATATTTTTTTTAAAAGAAAAAAAAAAGGTCAACTATATATATATTTAGATATACTATGTGAGTATGAGTATGAGTGTGAGTGTGAGTGCGTGTGTGTATATACTTGTATTATTTTGAAAGACAGAAGACAGAAGAAGGAAGGGAGGAAGAGAGGAGGAGAAAAAGGGAGAGAGGGAAAGGAGGTGGAAGCGGAAGCGGAAGTAAAAAAAAAAAAAAAAAAGAAAAAAAAAGCAAGTTAAGGTAGGCAGGTAGGCCAGACAGACGGACAGACAGAAAGGTAAGCCGAGGCAATAAAATAAAATACAAAAAAGGATTGCGTCATTTGGAAAGTGACGCAAAACGCAGTTATTTAAATAAATATAACCTTCATATGTCTTGTATTTCTTTTGGACAAGAAATACTTTTATTTTAATGAATCAAGACATGATAAAGTAACTTGTGATTTTGAATGAAAGTTAAGCAAAAAGAAAAAAAAAAATAAGATGAAATTTGTTTGAATTAAATGAATGAATGAATAAATAGACACACGAGAAGAGAACCTTTTTATTTTATTTATTTTTTTTAAAAAAAAAAATTTAATTGATTTTATTGACTTTTTGGTCAATCAACCAAGTCAGCTCTTGTTAGCCTTTTTCTTTCTCTTTCAGTAATATGAGCAGTTTGGTTGATCAGCCAACACAATATCCAACTGGTTTGAATAGACAGATAGACAGCTGGCTACCAAGAACTGGGAATGAGTGACGGTATCACAATAATCAATTCTAATTATTTATTTTATTTATTTATGCGTGGGAGAGAATTAACCAGAGGACAACCCCATTCATGGATCAAATAAGCACAAGAAAGTTTCCTTTTCTGGATAAAACACCTTGTTAAAACAAAAAAAAAAGAATCTGTGACACACCATACACACCATACGCATTATAATCACTGTAAACTTTATACACATGCTTACATATATATATGTGTGTGTGTGATTAGATAGGTGCCTTTCTTTAAATAAATAAAAAATCATCACACAATCATCATAATCATGTCATATATAAAAAGAATTCAAGTCAGTTTAAAGATCCAATAAAGTAGTTGTTTTAAGCACAAAGAACAATAGCAATTAAATCAAATCAATCAACAATATTCTTTGTTTGTTTGCTTCTCTATCTGTGTGTGTGTATACGTGTCCTAAAAAGGTAAAAAGATCCCAAAAATATACAATAGTATAAGCAATCAAACATCAGAATAAAAATGTAAAATAAACGTACAATCATCTGATTGGACCACTTCCAAACAATGCATTAGATACACACTAACTTGTTTCTTTTTTTGGTTTAGAAAATAAAAATAAAATAAAAAAAAGACTCACAAATCGGAGTATGAATATATTATTTTAAAAAATAAGAAAGAAAAATAACAATATCATCATCAGCATCATTATAATCATCATTATCCTCACCACCTCTTTTTTTTTTTTTTTTTTTTCTACTTCTTCCTCTTCTTCCTTGTCTTCTTTTTACTACTAATTTAATATACTACTTTGAATTGGTATTATTTTTTATTATCATCTTTAAAAACATAATAAAAGTTTTTTATTTTTATTTATTTTAATTTTCATCACCATTATTTATTATTATATCTTTTTCATACGAAAAGGATAAAAAAGAAGCAAAAAGGAAAAGAAATAAATAGATAAAGAAGTGACAAAAAAGAAAAAGGAAGGAAGGAAAAGAAACTGAATTTATAGAAAACCAATCAAAAAAAATCCAAAAAAAAAATCACATTTTAATTTGTTGTTGTGAAAAAAATATTAACCTTTTTTAATCTTTTTTTTTTTTTTTTTTTTTTTTTTTGCTTTCTTTCTTTCTTTCGTTCTTTCTTTCTTTCTTTCTTTCTTTTACATTTCTTTTGTAAAAGAGATATATATATATATATAATATAATAAAATGTATGTATATATTTAAATATTTAAATATTTATATACATTTTATATACATAAAAAGACAGAGAAGGGAGAAAGAGAGAAGGGAGAGAGCAAGATGATGGGGGAGAGAGAAGGAAAGGGGGGGGGATGTGTGTGTGTGGGAGGAGGAGGAGGAGGGTCAATTGGAACATCTGCACACGAAATCGGAAGTTTGATATATATACAATTTCACTTTTTGTACTCCGATTGCCAAGCCACCAAAAAAAGGTATATAAAGGACTGCAGAATTTCGTGTCCTTTTTATCAATTTGTACATTTAGATCTCAGACCTTTTTTTTAATCTTTTTTGAATTTTCTTTATTTCCTATTCCATCACACACAACACCATCACCACCAACTCACCAACTCACCAACATCTACTACAAGTACTGCTACTACTTTTTTTTTTATATATTATCTTTATTATAAAATATTTATATTTAAATACATTTTACTACGCTTCACACTTTTAATTTTTATACATATATATTCTCCCCACTCACTCACTCACTGTCTGTTTGTCTGCATAGCCTTTGGACAATTTTAATCTCCTCCACCATTACCCTGCGTCATCTAAAATAATATCATATAATATAATATATCTTTTTTTTTTTAAAAAAAAAATGTCTGGATTCAATATCGCTACACCGGCCATGGCCACACCTGCTGTCCAAACACCCTCTGTGCCAACCCCTCATCAATCTACACCCTTTGCCCTGCCTTCCACACCTGCACCAGTAGATGCTCCAACTCCAAGTAGAGATCTCAACCCCTATGCAGTGGCTGGAATCACCCCTACCCTACAGTAAGCAAATTTTCTATTTCTATTCCTTTTTCTTTATAGTCAATAAATATATTACCTCTTTAGAAATATCGTTGCCACAGTCAATTTGGATTGCCGGTTGGATTTAAAGACGATTGCACTTCATGCTCGTAATGCAGAATACAATCCAAAGGTAATTTCTTTTTTTTTATTTTACACAAATATTTATATAAATATCTACCTATCTGTATATACATCTATTGTTATGTCTATTAAAGATATAAAATAAAATAAAATAAAATAAAATATAATTTTTTTTATACCTTTACCCTTACGAATTCAATCAATCAATCAATCAATGAATCAATCAAATTATTATTATCAATACTGTATTATTTCTTAATTATAACAATCAATTAAATAAATGAATGAACAAATGGAATGAACTTAGCGTTTTGCGGCTGTGATTATGCGTATCCGTGATCCAAAAACAACAGCATTGATCTTTGCTTCCGGAAAAATGGTCGTCACTGGTGCAAAGTCTGAAGATGATTCCAAACTGGCTGCACGAAAATACGCTCGTATCATCCAGAAACTTGGGTTCCAAGCTAAATTTACAGATTTCAAGATCCAAAATATCGTTGGTTCATGTGACGTCAAATTTCCCATTCGACTTGAAGGTCTTGCTTACTCACATGGACACTTTAGCTCGGTAAGTCACTACATAAATGTATATATATATATATATATATTATTACCTTTCTTTTCTTTCCTTTATTTTTATATATATATATATATATACATAAAATAATTTCTTATAAAATTTGAACCAAAAAATCACAAAAAAAAAAAAAAGTATGAGCCAGAGCTGTTTCCTGGTCTTATCTATCGGATGGTTAAACCCAAGATTGTGCTGCTTATCTTTGTGTCCGGTAAAATTGTCTTGACTGGTGCAAAAGTGCGTGAAGAAATCTATCAGGCATTCCAAGCCATCTACCCTGTCCTCACAGAGTTTAGAAAGCCTTGAAGCCCATGTCCACTACCAAATCCAAATCCAAATCCAAATCCAAAAAAAAGCTAAACGCTAAAAAAAAAAAAAGGAGCCAGAAAGGAAGGAAAAATCTAACCAAACCAACAACACTATATATATATATATATAATAATCACACAACTTGCACAAAACAAACTCACATATATACTTACAAAAAACGTACCTTTCTTTCTTTCTTTATTTATTTTTACTCACCTTATTTTATTCTACTTTAACATACACGACACAACACAACACTACACTACACTACACTACACTACACTACACTACACTACACTACACTATAAACTACTCTAAATTACACAAATACTATATTATACTATACTTTATTATACTATATTATATTACATACTTTCTATTCACTCACACATTCACCCATTTTACACGCCTTTTTGTTTTTTTCTATTATATTATATTATATTATATTATATATATATACAATTTTTTTTTAACACACAAAATATTGTTTAACAATCTTTCTTTCCATCTTGTATACATCATCCCAAAAAATTCCCTTTACTTTTACTTTATTCTATTGCACCTTACCTTTTTTTTTTCCTTATCTTTTTATTCTTTTCATTCATTTTTTTTTTCTTTTTCTTTTATGTTTCTATTTTGTCTTGTCTTTTATATAAAATATATAATATATATATAATTTGCAAGAAAAAGAAGAAGAAGAAAAATTACAAATAAAATAAAAAGATTGAAAAGAGAGAAAGAGAGATAAAATATATATATATATATATTTACATACATAAGATACATAAGATATTTTTAATAAATAGAAAAAAAAAAAAAAGCTTGTCTGGTGACTGTTTTTATAATCTCTTTCTATCTATTCTTTTTGTGTGTGCGTGTTTTTTTTTTTTTTTTTTTTTTTTTTTTGTCCGAGTATTTAAAAAATTAAAAAAAAATAAATAAATCACGACACTTGAATTTATTTATTTATTTATTCTTTCCTTTCCTTTTTATTATTATCAATTATTATTATTATAGTAATAATCAAAGAAAAGAATATGGAAAAAGTCGATATATCACACAGTATAAATAGCACAAAGGATCCTGTTCACCTTGAGGAATCAATTGTTGAACCAAAGCCATCTTACTGGAAGACTCGCTTTGCTTTCCTCAAGGATCCCAATTTCCTCAAAGTATTGTTCCTCGGCCAATGCAAGTATCTTTGTCGGTTTATTTATTTATCTTTTATTAACAACATATACATATCTATATAGTGCTATCGTTGTGTATTACGGGTACAAATGTCACTACTACCAAACTGGCCAACGATTACAATTTCTCGGCCCCAACAACCCAAACATTTATGTGCTAGTAAGTTAATTTTTTGTCATGACAACAGCGTAGATAAATAAAAATGATCTAGATCAAAAAAAAAAAAATTCTTTTTATTAATTAATTAATTTTTTTTTAGTGCTTGTCTTGCTCTGGTATATAATTCATATGCTCTTTACAAGCGAGGTATCTGGGGATGGTTAATGCAGTTCCGTCGTCGAGGCATCTTTTGTAAGTACTAGACAACAATCTAAATAATACTATAGCTAATATACAATATACATCTAGACTTCTTTTTGGGATTTATTGATGTAGAGGGTAACTACTTGGTCGTAAAGTCTTTCCAATATACATCTCTGCTGTCCGCAATGCTGCTCGATTGCTGGAGTACTCCGGTCTGTATGATCCTCTCGTTTATCTTCCTCAAGGTCCGGTATCGATGGGTCCAATATGTCGGTGTCATCATTGCACTGATTGGTCTGGCCCTCTTGGTCGTCAGTGACCTAATCACCGACAAAAACTATACCGCAAGTAACCCAGTCAAGGGAGATTTGTTTTGTCTGCTCGGCGCAACCTTTTATGGCTTCTCCAATGTCGGCGAAGAATTCATGGCACGCAAACACCCTCTCTACGAAGTCATCGGCATGTTTACCTTCTTTGCAACCTTTATCAACTTTGTCCAGCTCATGATCCTCGAACGAGACGAATTCCACACCTTTGCCGACCAGCCCGAGGCAATCGGCATGGTCGTCGTCTACACCGTCTGCATGTTCACTCTTTACTCACTTGCCCCGGTCATGTTCAGACTCGGAAGTGCCTTGCTCTACAACCTCTCGATCCTCACCAGTGACTTTTATGGCCTGATCTTTGGTCTCGGTCTGTTTGGATACAAGGTCAGCATCCTCTACCCCTTTGCATACGTTATCGTTATCATCGGCATCTGCATCTACCACATCTTCCCAGCACCAATGCCTCCAATGGGCTCCTTTGACAAACACAAACACGAAAACGAACGCAGGCAACTGATGGGATTACCTCTCCTCGAAGAACAAACAGAAGAAGATCAACAAGCGGCCGATAGCAGCTCCCAAAAATCAACATCGCCATCGCCATCGCCATCGCCATCGCCATCGCCATCAAACCAACACCACGACCACCAAATATCTGAACAAATCACCTTGGCTAACCAGAGCTCCAAGGCGTAAGTATAATAATTAATATTCTTATATGATTCTACTGTGATGCTTGTTGTGTTTGTAAGAAAAGAAGGAGATTTGATTTTGATTTTGATCTTGATTATATTTTGACAATTGAAAAGTATCTGTGGAACGTCATTTCTCAATATCATTTTATGGTATAATCATCATCATTATAATCATTCTTCTTTGTAACCTTTAAAGCACAACAAATTTCACCTTATTATTATTTCTTAATTTTATCCTACTCCCTTTATTTTCCTTTTATAATTTCTCCTCTTTCCTTATCAAACTCTACCTCTTCTACCTCTTCTACTTCTTATTCTTCTCCTTCACCACAACCGCCTTTACTACTTTCCCCCCCTTTTTTTCCCCTTCTACCCTGCCATATTCACCCCCCTTTTTTTTCTTGTTATTTTCTTTTTCTTTCTTTTTTTTTTTACTTTAAATGTTGAGATGTATTAATTTACCAGTGTGGCACTTTACGTCTTTTGGCCCACTGTAAATAAAAAAGACGTTCCCGATCTCATGCAAATCATGATTTGTGATCAAATTTCTCTTTCTCTTATTGTCTTGAAATTTCAAGAGAATAAGAGAAAAGGAAAAGAAGAGAGGTATCTTTATCGCAGTTTGTTTCCAATCTTCTTTATGTTGCAGAAAGAATGGACAGAAGATTGAAAACAAACTGAAATATTCTCCTCCTTCTTTCTCCCACTTTTTTTTTTTGGATGTGTTTGTGCGTGTGTGTATGTATGTGCGTGTTTTATATTTTGATGTTGGTTTGTACTTTGTCTCTTTTCATGATTATTACTATTATTTTTGTTTAGTAAGATAAATTAGTAGATGATAGTAAATGTAGATTATGTATATATTATGTATAAAAACAATAAATAAATTATAATCACAATTATTGAATCTTTTATTTTCTTTATTTTACAAAATATTTAAACTAATGGCTCAAATATACAGTAAATCACGTGTTGTATTTCCTCTACAGACTAATTGGTCAAATAATCATTACAGTTCTTTAATATACCTACTATCTATGGGTCTACATATAACACACTTGGAATAAGATCAATTAACCAAAGAACAACAAAAAATTGAATAGAATAAATAATTAAATGATTTTTTTTTTGGTTGTTATTTTGTAGGCCAATTTTTTGAAATTCTAAATTATTGTCATTATTATTAATTATTATTTTATTTTATTTTTTTTCTGATTTCTATACTTTAAACCAAAAAGCAAAAAGCAAAAACCAATTATATATATATTTGTATATCAATTATCTACACAAAATCAATCATTCAATAAATAAATAAATAAATAAATAGACAAGCAAACAGAAAACAACAAACGAAAAAGACAACAGCAACAATGTCACTGACAACTGATGCAGACTATCTTATTCATGGCATGCGCATCAAGTTTCTACGGATAGATGAACGTGCCGAACGCATAATCTCTTTTAGACCCACCGTCATGTCCGACGAGTACATTCGTTTGGCTGCACCAGTCTATCCGGAAATGCAATACTGTTACTCTCCAGTACAAGAAACAGCCTTGCAGCAGAATCAGTTCCCTGCTGCCGCTGTGTTGAGCAGTCCACGTACTAAGCGAAGCCAATACCATTTACGAAAAAAGGATGTCGAATCCAACATACATCAACGATATCAACCCATAAAATCCAGACGCAATCCTCGTGATCAAGGCTCTGACAGTAGCGATGACGAGGAAGAGGACGGTGACGACGAAGAAGAAGAAGAAGACGACGACGACAATATTATTAACAATAACAATAATGCTACTAATATTATCAAATTAAAAGGGTAATACAATCATTCATATCTGCTTATATTTACATGCATAAATATCTTCTTTTCTTTATAGCAAACATATAGACGTCAACAAACCTTTGCCTGTCTGGTCTTCTCCTTCTACTCAGGACAACGACGACACAGTCAAGCCAGACCAAACACTAATCGGTCCAAAAGACCATAGACTGCCTAGTGATGCAAGTCTTGGATTTTCATTCCATGGAGATGGTAGTGAGCAGGCAAATACTCTCTCGCTTGATCCCTCTGTAGACTCTGTACTCGATTCTTCATCAAGATCACTCTCGGCCAGCAGTGATCCTCGTCTGGTATTTCCGGTAGTACCCAACAACACTCATACAGCAAATCCAACAAAGACCATCAATGCTCCTCAATCAGGCCCAATTTCTCACGCCGGATCAACTACCCCCACCCAATCGACAGAAACCGGAGCTGCCGTAGGTCTTCAGGGTCTACCAGCCCGAGATAACGACACTGCCTTGTCAAACCCATCCCAAGATCATCCCCCCAACTTCAAACCTACTCCCAGCCAATCATCTCCTCTACAGTACACAAAACGGATCCTGTCCAACAACAATATTACCCCTCTTTCAATGTCAAATCGACCAAACAACAACGGGGTAATACCATTATCAGTATCAGCATCAGCAACACAATCCACAATCTCAATGAAACCCGGCGCCGGAGTATCTGCTCTGACAGCCATGATCGCCGAAAAGGCCTCGGTCGCAGACAATCCATTTGCAGAGTATGCATTTGTGGCCGGCAAAGGTGAAAACAAACCTGTCAACCTGTGCGTGTACTTGCCACACTCTTCTACACCCTACAAGCCTGTGAAACTGGTAGTAAGGCCAGACGCGATCATTGATGATGTGATTGGGTACATACTCTACGACTATGTTGAGCAAAAGAGGACACCCGAAATCGAAGAAGAACAGTACGACCTTGCACAATGGTCCTTGTTGATGGCAGAGGATGACGGTGAAGTAGAAGACGACCTGCCAGGTAAGAATCCAAAAATGATAATAACTTGAATATATGTATATATATATATATAATATTCAACACTAATCCTAATCCTAATGTAATATATGTACATCTAATTTGTTGCCGCTGTCTTTACTTTTTCTTTTTAGCCTTGGATCGTATGCGTAAGATCGATAGAGTTTCATTTGATCAATTTGCACTCTGTAGAGCAACTCCCTCCCAAAGTAAGATCCCCCCCCCCCTTTTTTTTTTTTAGTTATTAAAAAAAATTGCTACTTACATTTCTTCTTTTTCTAATGATTCTTTATATATTTTCTTTTATGTCTTTAATAGTCAAGGAAAATGAAATCAATCGTTCAAAACTGGGTCGCGGTAAACCTGATCTAGAAGCAATTCGAAAAAACAAGCAGATGGTTCCTAGTATAATTGTTCCTCCTTCAACAAACTCTGGACTGTTAACTGACATGTCTGGATCAACTCGCATGGACCAAAGTAATATCTTGCCACAATCGACTATAAATTCAGCTGATCCATTGGTCGGCCCTCCTTCTACAGTCGAGTCCAACAATAATTATCAACAATTTAATCAATATCAACCACAACAGCAACAACAACAGCAACAACAACAACAACAATCATCTCAACAACAACTATTACAAGTTCTATCACAACAAACCGAACCCGATTCTTCTGCCGTGGCTGTTCCAGTACCTTCATCCAAGGCTGTCTTGACAAAGTCTACTATGCCAATGACACCAATAAAATATTTCAGAATTAGACTGATGACCAATGAAACAGTTTCTGCTACAACCATGATAGGAGTGGACGAAGAGATGTTTATTGGAGATGTGCTTGACTTGGTATCCCGGAAAAGAAAGCTAGACCCTGAAGAGTACATGTTGACCATCGCAGACACAAATATGATTGTACCCAATGATACGCCTGTCGAAGGATTACCTAGCGAGACTGATCTTTGTCTGACCAAAAAGGGCACTTCGCTTACAATCCCAACTTGTGAGTGAGAATGGTAGCTGTGATTAAATGAAATTAACGTCTGTGCTTGTATACAAATATATCTATAGCTGCCAACCACCTCTGGAGATCGCCGATCAAGAAGAAAAAAGAGGACTCTCAGCAACCAATGTACTTCTCTACAGCAAACTCTCCGAGCATAAGTAACAATAATGGGACTAGTGATAACATCTTGTCTCAATACAAGGCAAGTGTGGTAGTAATAGTAACTATATTAATAACAAAATCTTCAAAAAATAAAAATAAAATATACACCTTTGTATGTATATATATATATATATATATATGTGTGTGTGTGTGTGTGTGTGTATGGTTGGGTGTATCGATATATTTACGCATATATACTAAGTTTAATGTGATATTTAGAAATATATTGTCAATCGAAAGATGCCAATGTTTGTTGGTAAACGGGCTAGTGTGCTAGCAATTGATGGTGATTACATTCACCTAATGCCACCAGAACACAAGGGAATGTTTGATTCTGTAAAGACAGTGAGTAAACCTTTAAAGTATTAGACTAGCCTATTTGTCCCCCCCCCCCCCATCCCTCCTTTTTTTTTTTAAAAAAAAACTATTTATTTCATTTATTCACATACACACACATACACATATACATTATGTATATCAGACTTCATTTCATGTCAGTGCAATCAGAACTTGCAAGGTCAGCAAAAAGTTACCTAGTCATTTCAAGATTGTGGTGATGAAAGAACGTGATTACAAGACCTATGCCCTTGAAGCAGAGAGTGCCAAAGAAGCATGTACGTATTTTGATTATGTTAATATTGCCAATGATCATTACCCTTATTTACTCTATGCTTTTAAAACTTTCATCATTACTGCTATCATTTCAATTATTATAATTTTAATCGCAACTTTATTTTCAATTTCAATTTCAATTTCAATTTCAATTTTAATTTTAATTTTAATTTTAATTTTAATTTTAATTTTAATTTTAATTTTAATTTTAATTTTATTTAAATTGAAAAATTATAATTATAAAAAAAAAAAACGTCAAACATCAATTATCAATTCTTACCAATATTTATTTTTATTTTTATTTTTGTATGTTTTATATATATATCCATTTCCCCCTTTATTTTATTTTTTACATAGATGATATTTGTTCAAGGATCAAGTTTCTCATACAGGTTACAAAAGAAACATAAGAATTCTCTCACTCTCTTACTATCTATTTCTCACAAGCATTTCTCAGACTCTCTCTTATTTATTACTGATTTTTTTTAACATGTGTAGTGCATAAAGTTGAGTAGATGGAGGGGGTGGAGGGGGATGTATTGAACCAACAAAAACACATACACACACACACACAAGAATTATTATACATACATACATATATATATATATATAAATGGGTGTATAGTATGTGTAGTGTATATTCCAAAAACCAAAAAAAAAAAAAGTTAATTAAATATATATATATATATATATTAAATATTAAATATTTTATTCATCCATTTTCACTTGCTTTTTTTTTTTTTTGGTTCTTGACCATCCGACATTTTCTTTCCTTTTTTTTTCTTTTTATTCAATTGCAAATGAAGAGGTTCTCTGAAATTGTGTCTCAATTATGGTCAAACAAAGCACCACTTGAAGAAGAGCAAGGACGACAAGGTAGACAGGATGTAACTTACAACTTGTTCAATTGCCTGATTTACACTATTATCATTCTCCTAATCCCAATCCCTTGATCACAATAATCACATTCACAATCAAAAAAAAAATGTATATACTTGATCATCAGAGATTCCTATTCGTATTCTCGGTGCACGTGGAGCGGGTAAAACAACATTTCTGTACAAGCTTTACTTTAAATATTGTGCCGAAAAGGTAAATTGACATATACATATACATACATATGCATATAATTAAAAAAAAAAAACAAAAAGAAGAAGAGGAAGAAGAAGAAGAATAATTTACTAATCGAAAATTACAGCCGAGTACATTTCAAGTATTTCCAACAGAATCACATAATGTAGAAGTAATTCCATATCGACAGTTTGCATTTCAAATCTGGGAATTTGCAGGTAAAATTTATATTCTATATCTATATTATTACATTCGTGTAAATGTATTTAAATATTACAAACACATACACATTATCTACGTATATAATATATATAAAACAGATATTGGAGCCTCTTTAAATTATATCAAAGATACCCGAGTAATCATTTACATGGTCGATGCTGTCGAGCAATCAAAGCCAGTGGTTGCTTCAAAGGCCAGAGAGAATATGAGTTGGATCCTAAAGACCTTTGAAGAAGAACTGAGGGACGCAATTGTGATTACAGTAGTCAATAAAATCGAGTCAGAGGGAGCAGTCGATATCCAGGACCTCGGGCAACAATGGATTACCGACCCTCTGCTGACCAAGGGCCTGCGTAACCATCAGTGGCGTATATTTGAGTGCGACGCCGCAACCGAAAAAGGATTCGAAAAGGTGCTCGATTATCTGAGTCAAAAGATTGAAATGAAAGATGCATTGACTGTCGACGTTGATCGGTCGTCGGATTACAACACCCTGGGCCCAACATCGCCTTCAATCTTACCTCGGTCAGCCCGCCGCTCGGATTTCTTCTTACGACGACAAAGCGACGCAAACTCTCTCTCAAACCCACATACCTTATCTCACTCTCAGTCTCACTCTCACTTACATGAAATCACCTACAGGCGCGATCTGTATCCCCAGGCACGGATGCCTGTAGCACCCTGGGAAGACTTGCCCAATCCACATCACTTCAAAGACAAGGAGTTTTGCGAGTGGTTCTTGCAAGCCAAAGCCTTTCTGTTCTTTGATCACTATTCGCTCTTGAGGATCGCGTATCTAAGCATACTTCAGGACAAACAGGACACCCGTCGGCTGCTCTATAGTCTGCGGACCATCCTGCGTGGAATAGAACTTTTGGAACAGGACGCGCTCAGAGATACAGGGTTGGCTAATAGGCGCCCAGAAGATCTGCTACACGAGTCAATTGAATATTCAGAAACCCAGACCTTGTTTTGGATCCAGATGGTCTCGTTTGCATTATTGCGCCATCCTGTGTTGGACGGAGAAGAGAGAGACTTTGAGTCATTTCTGATGGGCTGTCCAGAGTTGTGGGATGGTCAAGGCTGGAAAAAATACTATTCTCCAAAGATCTATTTGTCCCTCAAGGCAGCCCAGGAGTTTATCCCGCCTGATCGTAAGCCTTTACCTAATGCGTTTAAAGCATCTTCATTAGCCTTGAGAGGAAGTGGCCTAAAGATTGACTATCAAGTATTATAAAACTGCAAAAAAAATTGAAACAGCAAAACAGCTATATATTCTTTATTAATTTATAACAAAGTGGTAATAAGGAGTTACTTGCTAATTGTTACTTTTTATTACTAGTAGTAGAATGTAAATATAACCACAACCCATTAGAATACACCTCTTTTTCTTTATTAGATACACAAAAACATGTCCACACTTTGTTTCAAAATCTCAAAAAAATGATTCAGGTTTTTCTTTTTTTTTTTTTTTGTAAAAAAAAAATAGTGTGCTTGTGTTTTGTATTTTGCTTTTTGTGTGTGTGTGTGTGTGTGTTTTTTTTTTCTCAATTTTTTTTTTCATTCTAAATCTTTCCTTTCCTTTCTGTCTAGCTGGCTGACTGGCTGACTGGTTGGCTGACTGGCTGACTGGTTGGCTGACTGACTAGATTGGTGGCTATCTTTGCTTCTTATTTTACTTCTTTTTTTTTTTTACTCTATTCTATTTTATCTTTTTTTTTTATATATCTTTTTTTTTTCTTCTTCTTCTTCCTGTCTTCAATGACAGCGCCATGCCAATTCGTCAAACATTCACAGATACTTCAGATATGAATTTCGCTGCTGTATTTGTCAAGTTGATCCAAATTATATTACGGGAGAGATTGGAGCCTGGCTATGATTGTATTCATTCTCATCAATGTCTCCTGCATGGCCATGTAACATCACGAACAGATTGTACACGAATAATTAGCATCGTTCGACGAGGAGTATTGTTGGAACGATGGATGATGTCTATCGACAATGCATGTTCAGACGATCCGATGGATCCCATTCTTTTACTTCAATCAGTTTATGCCTACAGCCATCGGATGCCTCTTCACACTTTATTGGCCCATCAAGCTCTCAATCGCTCTGATCTTGATTTTGTTTTGGCATCATTGGACAACACCTGTCCGTGCTCTTCTTCTCCAGTCTGGGAAAAAGTAGAATTTAATCCAGAAGCCCGCCTGAAGTCTCATCGCTTCCAACCAACTAGGCTTGAAGATGGGATTGGAATATCAGGAGGAGTAGGAGTAGGAGTAGGAACAGGAGCGGGTGTAGGTGCAGGAGGATCAGGAGGAAATAGTGGTGGCAGCAGCAGTAGTAGTAGTAGTAGTAGTAGTAGTAGTGGTGGTGGTGGTGGTGGTGGTCAGTTGATGCTCGAAGTTGTTTATGACGAAAGTTGTAATACAAAGAGAATTGATGATAGACACGCCATGATAGGCATTCGACGACTGTCTCGTCTGTCTCTGTCTGCTATGCAACAAGAAGACGAAAATACCCAAGCAATGGAAATCATGGCTACAAACAATACATCCGCAAAAACACAAACGGCAGCAGCAGAAACATCAGGATATGATGGCGATGATATTAATGGACACGGACCTTTTTTATTACCACAATCTGTCGGATCAGGCTCATCTAGTCTATCTGGGTCTTCGTTTGCAATGCCGATTCCTTCGGCAAGAATGCAATACACACACCACACACACCATGGCCATGGCCATGTAGGAGTCCGATCATTGGCTTACTCCACCTCTCCTTCTGCATCCTTTACACACCTTCCATGGCATGTACGATCTGCTCAGCCTCGTGGACTATATTCAAATACCCTCAATATCCCGTCTAGTCCTCAGAGAAGAAGCTCGCTTGGAATGGCAGGCGATCATCACGCCAGCAGTCTCGTGGGAAGTTATGAAGAGTCCCTGCTCAGTGGCAGGATGTCGACCATGCCATCCAAGCCAATCGTATTCCATTGCCAGATTGGAGTGCTTGGCTGCGGTGACTGCAGACCGTCCCTCAAATGTCCTCCCCATCTGTCGATTGTATTCCCAGCCCTGTTTTATGAACTCAAGGAAGATGAACACCCGACCCCTTATGTTGGCACCGTTGATCTCACTGACATTCCCGATCGACCGGCTGGCTATCGACTACCCCCAAAAGGTCAATTGCAGATTGTGATTAAGAATCCAAACAAGACTGCCGTCAAGCTGTTTCTGATTCCCTATGATGTAAGCGACATGCCAAGAAATACAAAGACCTTTTTGCGTCAAAAGTCATATGTTGAGGATCATGGAAGGAATCATCTGCGGTATGCTATCCATGTCCAGATCTGCCGACATGAAAAGAGAATCTACCTCTACAATCAGGTTCGAGTTGTATTTGCCAACCGAGTAGCTACACTAAATGAGAAACTCAAGGTGATGTGCGAAGGACCAAAGGCACCAGTGTATGTTCCTCTGTCCAAAGCAGAAAAATAAAAGATGAAATAAAAAATCTGTTTCTTTTATTATTAGTATTATTATCATACACTCTTCTTTATGTATGTATGTATGTATGTGTATATGTGTGTATGTAGATATGCGTGTATTTATGGGTGTGCATGTGCGTGTACGTGTGCGTGTGCGTAGTGTAATGTAGTGAAGTGGTGTAGTGTAGTGTGGAGGATAAACCCTTTTGCGTTCGGTGTCTCCCGGTCCGTTCCAATTCTCAAAAAGGATTCATTTTTTTTCTTGTATTATTTTTTTTGCTTTTTTTGGTAGTTTTCTTTTGTGATTTTGCACAAATGGCATAAAGTGTGAAATGTAGATTTATATACTATATGCTGCTTTAATTGTAAGTCGTAACATATGCTCTGATACTTTTATATATTCTGACATTTTTACAAGGTCACAAAATAAGATGTATATACACATCTTTACAGCTTTACAGCTTTACAGCTTTACAGCTTTACAGCTTTACAAAGACTATGAAGAATCTTACAGTGATTTTGTATATATTCAGTATTATATACGTAGTTTAAGCAAAAAAATTATAAATCCATTATAGGTTTGGACCGAATTTTAGTTTTTATTTTGAATTTTCCCCAGGTGTGAAGTGTGGGCAGTCGATAGTTTTGCAGTGTGAGCTTGTGGACTGTTGGACTGTGGAGCTGTGTGGAGCTGTGTGGAGCTGTGTGGAGCTGTGCGATTCTTTTCTAAATATATATTAGTTTTTTTTTTTTAATTTATATAATTTTTATAATATGCATTATATACAGGGTCCCCTGGAAAACAACACTTGTGGAAAAAAGAAAAGAAAAAAATCGGAAATTGGAGATTGTCTTTTTCTTTTTTTTTTATATTTCTTTTTTTTGTTGTCTTTATTTTTTCTTCCCCCGCATTTCAATAACCTGGACCCCTTTCTCCCCACTCTACCATGTCATTTGCACTTTCTGCCATCAGAAGCGCTGCTTTGCGCACACGCTGGGCTCCCATGGCTGCCGTAAGTCATTCAACACCACAGCTTACAAGAAGTATAAGAAGAAGAAACGAGAACAATAAAACTCATAAACATTTATTTATTTTGTTTTGTTTTGTTTTGTTTTTGTTTTTGTTTTGCTTTATAGCCTTTGAGCCGTGGCCTCATGACCAGCTCTGTCAACCCAATGGCATCTGTTACTGAGGAAGCCCCTATCAAGAAGGAGCCTCTTCTCAAGACCTTTGAGATTTATCGCTGGGTAATTATATATACATACACAAACGCACAAAGAGATAGAATAGACAGACAGACAGACAGACAGACAGACAGACAGACAGACAGACAGACAGACAGACAGACAGATATAAAGAATTTTATATAGAGAGAAATATATACGTGTAGAATACAGACTATATGCATTGTTGTGTCAGTGTATATATTTCAATTATCTATCACTTCTTCTTTATATATATACACGCACGCACATACGCACATACACACATACAGACAGACATACTTACTTACTTACATATACATATATATACATCTTGAAACCATTTATATACCTCTTCCTTTCATTTTTTTTCAAAAAATAAAAAAAAAACAATAATATATATATTATACATATATAAAGAACCCCGATACTCCCACTGAGAAGCCTAGCCTTGTCAAGTACACCGTTGATCTCAACTCTTGTGGACCCATGATTTTGGATGTCTTGATCAAGATCAAGAACGAGCAGGACCCCACTCTCACTTTCCGTCGCTCTTGCCGTGAAGGTATTTGTGGCTCTTGCGCTATGAACATTGAGGGTGGCAATACTCTTGCCTGTATCTCCAAGGTTGATCGTAATGTCTCCAAGTCCACCAAGATCTACCCTCTTCCTCATAGTAAGTACATACATATATTATAAATACAGTAAATTGCATTTGTGTATAGACGCAGTTAATATTTTTCTGCTCTTCATATCTTATTTTATTTTCGATTTACAAAAAAAAACCCTCAAAACAAATAAGCAAACAAATTGAAATTGGAAACCATATTAATTACCATCTTTATCAAGTGTACATTGTCAAGGATTTGGTTCCCGATCTTACCCACTTCTACAAGCAGTACAAGAGCATTGAGCCTTACCTGAAGCAGAACACCCCTCCCCCTGCTGACAGAGAGAACCTCCAGACCATTGAGGACAGAAAGAAGTTGGTGAGTTCATTACTATGACTATTATTAACTAACTGCTAGTTGATTAACTCTTTTTTTTTTTTGCTCTAGGATGGTTTGTACGAGTGCATTCTCTGCGCTTGTTGCTCCACCTCTTGCCCCTCGTACTGGTGGAACCAGGTAAAGTGAAAGTGATCGGAAATATATTTAAAGAACCACCCCCTACCCCCCCTCCCTTGTTTATTCTCTGCGTCAAACTCGAAATTCATGTGAAAATTATTTTTTTTTGCATACGCGTTTATTTTATTTTATTTTATTTTTGTATTTTAAAAATAATAATAATATTAATATAAATTAATATAATAAATTTGTAGGAGGAGTACTTGGGTCCTGCCGTTTTGATGCAGGCTTACCGCTGGATGATTGATTCTCGTGATCAGTTCGGCTACCAGCGTCGTGAGGCTCTCCAGAACCAGATGTCGCTTTACCGTTGCCACACCATCATGAACTGTTCCAAGACCTGCCCCAAGGGTCTTCAGCCTGGTGCTGCCATTGCCAAGATTAAGTTGTTGATGGCTACTGAGTAAATAAAGAAAGAAAGAAATGAACAACCTAAACGTTCAAATCTACCCAGAAAGTCAATCAGACAATAAACAAAAAAAAACAAACAAAAAAACAAAAAAGAGGGCAAGAATAATAAGGAACATAAAACACGAAACCAAATCATAATTACATTGAAAATGGGATTTGTTTAAAATTGCATTAATATTTAGTGAATTAGTATCCAAAAAAAATCAAAAATCAAATGTTAATAAAAGGTGTAGGAGAGTGGGAGAGGACCCCCCTTTTGGGATGAAATGAAATAAAAAGGGGAAAATCGTGAATAATAATAATATTAACCATAATGAAAATGAAAATTCATATGGGGTTTTTTTTCTTTAGCTGGCAGTTTTGAAAGCCTTTTCATTTTCTTCCAGGCTATTAAAATGTCATGGAAAATATCGCTCATTTATGATTAGATGCTTATCATAAAATAAACGCATTGATTCTGTCAATCGAATCAAAACACCAGCAAGTAAATCCATAGATGCAACACTGCTTGTAATAGTTCAACACATAAATTATATAGCATATAAAGTATTGTCTTAGAAACGTTTCTAAAAAAATGATGATAATTAGACTGATTTGACTTTACTTGTTTTTCTTTCTTCTTTTGGTTCTGACACTCGGCCTTTCTGAATTTCGATTGTATTTTCTGCTATCATTTACTAACCAGATTTCTTGTGCTAATCCAACAGAATAGCATATTCAATATATTGAATCGAATGAATGGATTTGTGGAAATACAGCAAATAATTCATATCCTGCTGTGTGACACACGATTCAACAAATCAATTCATTTATTTAGAAATCGCGCTTTTTTTATATATAAATGTTTATATAAAATCTATATATTATTTTTTTTGGTTCAAAAATCATACTCCTTTGTATTCACTTTTTATATAAATTATATTGTATTGTATTGTATTATATTATATTCTTTGTGCGCGTATTTTCTCTCTCTCTCTTTTCTCTTCTCTTCTTTTAAGCATCAATACAAGGTCAATACTATTGGTATTAATATCAATATCAATATTCATAATATATTGAACTATCAATTCCTTCTCCCCTCTCTTTTCATTTTCACCCTTTATTTCTTATATATAAATATAGATATAGAAAGCAGTAGAGACAAAATAAAATAAAAATGTCAGTTCCAAGACCATTCTCTCCAGCCAGAGATCATCATCAACCAAATCAACCATCATCTCCAACCCAATCACATTTAATTCATGATGCATCAAGACGTACACGAAGACACTATCCAGTCACCGCTGATATTCCATCTCAACAGACATCCGGACCACATCAACAACAGGTACCCGCAATGAATGCATATCAACAACAAGCGTCCGGGATGAACCATTATCAACAGTCAACCTCCGGGATGGCCAATTATCGTCAACCATCTCCTGCACTTGGTGGCTATCAGCAACAAGCCATGGCCCCAGCTCCAACACAAGTAGCAGGTGACTATCGCCAACCATCACCTGCTCTTGGTGGATATCAGCAACCGGTACCTGGAATCAATAATTATCGCCAACCATCACCTGCAAATGGTGGATACCAGCAACCACCAGTTCCAGCAATGGCTGCTTATCGTCAACCCTCACCTGCTCTTGGTGCGTACCAGCAACCTGCCCCAGCAATGGGCGGATACCAACAGCCCCCACAAAACACTCCTTATGCTGGCCAGCAGGATCCCTATTACTCTGGTATCGTTCAAGGCACAGCAGCAATGAGTCTGTCAACTGTTCCTCTTAGACAGGATACTCCTCTCTTTGGTCAGCCTCCCCGTATCCAAGACCTGTCTTTACCTACACCAACCCCTTCTTTGCCTTCCAATGTAAGTATCAGTATGTCACACTTCTATCATCAGTTTTTTTTTTTCTTTTTTTTTTCTTTGGTCAAATGAATAGACAATAGAATTAATCTTGCTTCTTTTAATGACAGATTGCTGCTACATCCTCCACTGATGTTCAATGCTCGTCGGTGTTTAATCGATCTACTCTTAATTTTGTACCTGCTACTCCTGCTCTTCTCAAAAAATCAAAATTGCCATTTTCACTTATTGTTGAACCTTTCCCAAGTCATGTAAGTATATATTACCATTTGGTATACAGATTAGGCTTATAATTGGAATATACATATATACATATATATATATCTATATATGCAGATAGATGTACCTGTTGTTACAGACACAATCGTCAGTCGTTGTACTCGTTGCAAGACCTACATCAATCCTTTTGTCAAATTCGTAAATATGGCTGATTGGCAGTGTAATATGTGTGGGCTTGATAATGAAGGTAAGCCAAGACATAGGATACCATACCACACAATAATCTAGACGTGGGTCGGTTTCTGCTGGTTGTTGTATAGGCAAACTAGAATTGACACGAGACAATTTTGGAATATTTTGTATGATTAATATCTAGTTCCCCGTGCTTTTGATTGGGATGAGGCTCAACAGCAGCACACTGATCGATGGAGCCGTCTTGAACTGAACCATGGCTGTGTTGATTTTGTTGCTCCTGCCGAATACATGGTCCGTCCTCCTCAACCACCAGTCTACGTATTTGTCATCGACACTTCTTTCCAAGCCGTCCAGACTGGCATGATTGGCGTTATTGCAGATGCCATCCTAGCATCTCTTGACAAATTGCCCAACGAGGACGGTCGTACAAAAGTTGCGTTTGTTACAGCAGATGATGCTGTTGCGTTTTACAAACTTATTGGAGAAGAACCCGAGGTTTTGGTGGTCGGTGATCTGAGCGACATATACCTGCCACGCGCTTCTTCGGATCTTGTAGTCAATCTGGTCGAGAGTCGATCGGTTGTTGAAGATCTTTTGGGCCGAATGAAGACCATGTACCAAAACACTCATTCGTCGACGAATTGTCTTGGATCCGCTCTCCAAGCAGCCCGTAAATTGTTGGTAAGATAATTGTGTATATACACATTAGGTAGAGTGCTTAATGTCGGATATTCATATATATATATGTGTGTGTGTATGTGAATACAGTCACCTACAGGTGGAAAGATCGTCTGTTTCCAGGCTAGTATCCCAACTGTCGGCGATGGTGCTGTAAAGCCAACCCCAGATCAAAAGAATTCTGTCACAGATGGTCCTCTGATGGTACCATCCAGTGCATTTTACCGTACATTTGCCACCGAGTGCACAAAGTCTCAAGTGTGTGCCGATATGTTTGTTATCGGTGGTCACTACTCTGATCTGGCTACATTAAGTAAGAAAGGAATATTGCATATAAATACAAAAAGGAAAAGGTTGGAGTAACTAATGTATGGGTATTTTTTCTTGTTTTTGTTTCTGTTTCTGTAGATGTTATTCCTCGTTTTACTGGAGGACAGACCCACTTTTTCCCTCAAGACAAGATCCACTCTCAGGCAGATAAACTCAAATTGACGATGGAAATCATAGCCGTTCTTTCGGAGAAGGTCGGACTGGAAGCCGTAATGCGCACCCGTACTTCACCTGGTTTGGTCTGCCACGCATTCCACGGCAATAGCACTTTGCGTCCTCCGGATATCATGGCTTTGCCAAATGTCCCTCGCGACCAGTCCTACTGCGTTGACCTGATCTTAGAGGAAGAGATTAAATCATCTGTAGTATATTTCCAGACTGCTCTGCTCTACACCACGTGCTTTGGTGAACGTCGTATTCGAGTAATGAACTTGTGTTTGCCAGTTACTCGTATTGCAGCCGAAGTATTCACAGGCGCAGATCAGTTTGCCATTGCCCGTTCATTGTGTCATCAAGGTGAGAGAGATTAATTTAGTATAGGAGAAGAGATAAAAAGGGTTTTTTGTCAAAGAAAATATAATATAATATATATATATACGTTGCAAAATTCATTAATACTAAACTACTCCAATATATACGATTTGTATTTTATTTTGACAGCTATCGACAAGGCTGTCACTAGTAAACTCAAGGATGCTCGTGAGCAATTGTCAAAACAGACAAGTGATATTTGCAACGCTTATGCAAAAGAAGTTGTTGGAACTGGTTCATCCACAGCACCCCTGTCTATGCCTCTACACCTCGCACTTCTTCCATTGGCTATTTTGAGTATCATAAAGACGGTAAGTTTTTCTTTTAATTAAACTTTTTTTTAAAAAAAAACATTAGTAAAATAATATAATTAGATACATATTAATTTTTTTCTCGCTCTTGATTTTGTTCCTTTTAGGATGCGTTCAATGATTCGCCTTTAGTTCACATTGATTTGCGCTCTCAATCTACAGTCTTGCTGCGAATCCTGGCTATGGATGCGTGGGTCAAATATATTATTCCTAGATTCTATGCTTTACACAGCATGTCACCCGTGGTATGTTTGTTCTTTTCTTTTCTTTAATTAATATTTAAATATCTTTGATAATTGGATGTGTTTGAGTGTTTTATTCTTCTTGCTTACCAAAAAAAGAAATATTTGATACGATTATAGACTGGCTCTGTTGATCCTACTACTGGAAAATTCATCATGCCAACCAATCTCAACCTCTCAAGCGAAAAGCTAGCTCCTCATGGCTGCTATATGCTCGAGAATGGCCAACAGATCTTCTTGTGGATCGGAAAGGATGCTATGCCTTCCCTTTGTGTAGACTTGTTAGATGTTCCCAAGATAACCTCCGTAAAATCGGGTCAAGTAAGGAAAAACGCATTCGGATTTTTTTTAATTGAATTGAATTGAATCGAATTGAACTAATTTTTGTTTATTAGATTACTTCCTTGCCCACTCTAAAATCTGCCTTGTCTCAACAAGTTAATGCTATTATTAAGTACCTTAGAACCGAGGGCCGTAAAAACACATACTATCCTTCACTCTATGTGGTTCGTGAGGATGATGACCCTGTTTTGCGTAGCTTGTTCTTGAGTCACTTGGTAGAAGATAGACAACCAAATGGACCTGCTCTTGCTGGATCTAACCAACCAATGGTTAGTTCTGGGATGAGTTACTTCCAGTGGCTAGGACATGTACGTTCCAAATGCCAGCCTTAAACTAACAAACCGAACCGAACCAAACCAAAGCATGCGAAATCAGTTTCGTCAAACATATATTCTCTCTCCCTCGATCTCTTTTAAAAGTATATAAAGAAAAAATAAAAAAGAAAAGATATTAGTATTGGTATAGCAAGCATAATTTTTTCTATAAAGCCAAAAAAATACATGCTAAAGAAAAAAGAAAACCACGGGCTGTTTGTTTTAATGGCTTGTATTGTAATTTATTTTTGCTTTATAAATCATTATTTATGTATTTTACCTTTGTCCACCCCAGAAATTATATATGTATTCAAGTTGAAATTTTGGTCAAATATTCGCACACCTACAACCATTTTATTTTTGGTTTTGGTTTTGGTTTTGGTTTTTGTTAATAAGGTTAAATTTACTCTGAATATTTGTAGCTTTTAGAAAAAAGTATTTATGATTAACGCTGTCAATTATTTTAATATTTGATTGTACAGGGCTTTCCCAAATAAATAATAATACTATTATAAACATGTTTATTTTTCATTATGAATAATATTTCCTAAAATCAACATACATTTCAAAGTGGTGCTCATAAATAGTAAAGGATCAATCAATTTCTTCAGCCAATATCTCGGAAGTTAGGAGACATGGACAATAATTATAAGTCATATATCATATGATATGTAACTTCATCCTGTATTATTAAATACCCTTGAGCTTTATTTAAGATATAGTATCTGATAACCGGAATTGATATAGACTGGTGTGAATTAGGATTAATTTCGGTTTTATTTTCTTCAACAGTACAGCTTTGGCTGAATCTAATGAGATATACTATTTAGTAATATTTACTAGAGTAAGATACTAAGAAAACATAATGAGAAAGGTTATAAATTCTATCGTTAAATAAATAAAATATTCTTTAATTTTTATTCAAGTGTGTCACAGTCCTCACTTGTAGTCTAAAGAGATTTTTATACATATATATATATATATTTAATAATAATAATAAAATTAAAAATCATTTGAACTGTTTTATTTCATTTCATTTCATTTCTTATACATATATACATTACATATGCCGGTTAATACAGAAGTAAGAACCCGTATACGTTCTCAAGTCTCCATGTCCTGACATTTGCTTTATTCAAACCTAATCTCAATTCTCTCTCTGGAATGTTAATTGTAGGAAAATAATACTCAGGAACTTGTGCCAACTTATATTGTCAAAGCAATCAGTATACCAAGTCAAATTCAAGAATTCAGAGCACAATTTAGACGCCCAGACAGTATTCGCCTTTTTCACAAGAAGGAATCAAATGAAACCAACGACGAATCTTCTTCTGACGAGGAATGCATCAACTTAAAGAATGGAATCACGATTAGTAAAATTGTAGAAAAGAAGGTCGAAGACAATGGAAGAGTCTACTATATTGTGGTCTGGAGTGATAATACAACATCCAAGGTAATTTGAATTTTTTTTTTTGCTTGCAAAACAATATATATAGACAACTAATAACTTGACCATGACTTTGATTTTGATTCTGTTACATTTTGTTGCCATCGTTATTGAATATTATAGGAAGCTCCGTCTGTTATAAGTAAAATAGACCACGATGCTGTAGAGCAATTTGAACACAAAATAGCCAGAAAGATACTCAACCTGTGAACTTTATAACATTATATATATATATATTAGCCTTGTAAGCTACATTCATTCTTCCATGTACAAACTTAACATTCGCAAAATCATACAAACAAATAAAAGGGAAATTTAATATGAAATTCTCTTTCTTTATTCTCTTTCTATCTTTTCTTCTTTTGTCACAGTATGTTATGTTATCTATACATAATGGCATCAACTTCAAATAACTTTCTCAATTTACTGGCTATTCAAATGTTCGCTGGAACAAAAAAGAAGAATCAAAAGAAAGGTAAATCGAAATCGAAAATTTTCGGTCGATAATCTAGCTTAGTACCAGCTGCACTGTGATTTGGAATGCGATTATGGATATATCCCATATATTAAACAACTTGTTCTTTTTTTTAAAAAAAAAACATGGTTTGTACAGCTATCTAGTATTTTTAAGTATCTTTAGCTTAAAGCCAAGATGAATGTTTTTTAAAGAAGTTGAAGAGATTAAAGACATTCAAGAAGACATCATGTAGACAAACTATATCCGCTCTTTGAGAACTTTTTATAACAGAAAAAAAGGGAATAATTACTGGATTTAGGTCTATGAATCTCTCATTAATTTAAAAAGAATAATAATAATAATAACTATATATACATTTATAGACCCATTAAATTCAAATGAGAAATTTATGCTTTAAAAAAAATCATGCATTTTCCTATTGATGATCTTGAGTGGGTATAAAATTCATCTTTTTTTTCTCTTTACCTTGAAAGTTAAATAGTCTACTGGATAAAAGTCGTCGTTAAGAAAAGTGTTGACAAGACAAATTGACAAATTCCTCCGGATCAGATAATATTCTCAATCCATAGTGGTGCGATACATGCTGATTTTTGTCTTTGGAAAGACCATTGGCTATCAAGTGCTCCTTTGGTTGTAATGTAATATATTCATGATGTTTATTTACAACATGTTCTTTGCAGTATTTTGATATCTTGAAATCAATCATACGGGACAGGCAACCAGAGTTTTTTCTTTTCATCAGTGGATTTCAGTTCTTTTAGTTTCAGAAAAGATGTACATAAAGTGAGGCATGTTATGGCTTATTACAGGAATCCTATAAATTTTATCCATTATGTAGAATAGACATTTTTATTGGCAAAACAAAAAGCCAATTATGAGTAGTAATATATTAAATATCAATGAGCCATGCACTTTTTGTATTTATTATCGAGAATACTATATAAGCCGTTTAGTATATTGATGACAAAGCAAGAGTGTCCATATATACATATCAATTTTCTGTTAATTTTACTTTCTCTTCAAAAGCTCATAAAGCTGCTAGAAATTATAAAACTGGATATTTTATAGGTGTACTTTATTTCACTAAAACAAAGGAGGAAAAAAGACCAACTGGCCCTCCTGGGTATAAGGAGATTACACGATATCATTAGAAGCTTTCACTAAGACCTGACGATGATTAATAGTAGAACAAACTAGTATACAACTTTTGCTCCTTCTAAAGATGTCAGATATTTAAGTCATGGCCTTTTTCTTTGTGTTTTGTATTAGAAAAAAAATTTGTTTCTCTCCACTATTTTACTAAATCTATAGCTGACTGTATATATTATTACAGACTGGTCACATCATTGAGAAATCATTTTAAAGTGATTCTATTATGAACAAAAAAAAACAAAAAAAGAACATAATTGTTATTTCAAGTTGTATAATATAGGTAAAGCAAAAACATGTAAACATAGCTACTACTCCAAGCCACATTGATAGGACTTATTGATCTGGTCCTAATTAATGCTACCGCGGTATCATTTATCCCAACTCTTAAGTTTAAAAAGTAGATCTGGGGTGTGGTTCAATTGAGTATATTAATGAAGAGTTAGAGAATTTTGTCTCTAATTAGGCACTCTGTTTATTTATATTATCCTGTCTTGTATAAGCATGTATGTAGATTATGATATTGTCTTGAAAAAAAAATACTTTCAAACAAAGTGTTCAATTGACCACGTCTACAGTCTACTCATCATACTCATCACACTCATCATACTCATCTATATGACGGAGTTTCTATGAGCAATTCCGTAAAAGATACAGATAATCCTAAAGAAAGAAAAAGGGTGTCCATGTTGTGTTACTTTGGATCTTCAAACAAAAGAAGCAGCAGAAAAAAAATAGTCTCAATTTCAAAGTGTAAAATAAATAAATCTATATATATTTTTTCTCACGGCTTTCTTCTTCTCTTTCTTCTTTTTTTATTTTTTTTTTATAATGATTCCACTTTATCCATTTATAAGATCTGTTCGCCGCTACTTACATCCCATACCTCTTGGAAGACGAATTCATACAGCACCTCACAAAGAAGCATACCTTCAATATCTCCACGGTCCTTCTGAAGGCATTGCGGTGTTGAACTTGAACCGACCGGCGGCTAAAAATGCCCTTTCAATCACCCTCTTGCGGGAATTCAGGGAAGCCATAAAAGAAGCCCGTTTTATTCGGTAACGTATACATATAAAGGATTTTCAGAGGGAATATACCGATATACATGTAATCTGAGACCCCAACCATAATTAGCCAACCCCGGGTCCTGATCATTCAGAGTCTTGTTGAAGGTGTATTCTGTGCCGGTGCTGATCTAAAGGTATTATCAAAAGAATAACAACGATAAAGTCAAAAGAGACAAGTTAATGATATACTTGATTTGATGATTGACAGCTACTATTTTTTTTTGTTTTTGTTTTTACTTTCAAAAAAATAATAATTATAAAAGGAGCGTGCAACAATGAGTCCCGATCAGGTCACAGAGTTTCTGTATAATCTTAGACAGGCTTATAGAGAACTAGAGGTAAGATAAATAGATAGATTGAAGATACATAAAAGAAATAGATGTAACACACTCTAATAGACTTTGCCAATGCCAACCATTGCAGCCATTGATGGAGCTGCTCTCGGAGGTGGACTTGAAATGGCATTATCATGCGATTTACGAGTTGCAGGTACGTGCACTTTGATCGTGTGCAGGAGCACAAAGATCGTGCTTGTTTTTTTTTAATAACTCTTCCACCCACCCGTCCCCCAGGCCCACGTGCAAAAATTGGCCTTCCCGAAACAAGACTTGCCATCATCCCAGGGTAAGAACAACATCATCTTGAGATAAACGCTAGCTCTTTATGCTGATACAAAGATCTATTACTAGTGCTGGAGGAACACAACGATTGCCTCGCTTGATTGGCTCAGCAAAGGCCAAAGAGTTAATATACACAGCTGCAATATTGAACTCCAAAGATGCCTATAACTATGGTACACACACATATATATATATATCCTGGATACTTTCAGTCCTAAAATTTTTCTTTTTGTGTGTGTGTTATATTAAGGCATTGTGAACCATGCAGACGAAAAGAGCGCTTATGAAAAAGCTCTTAGCATGGCCAAGCTAATCTTACCACAAGGCCCTATTGCAGTATCTATGGCAAAAATGGCAATTGACAAGGGAATGGCTGTTGACATGTAAAGTATCATCAAATGTTAGCGATATCTCTGTCGTACGATTTTCTTATGACCCCCCCCCCCCCCCCCCCCCCCCAACTTTTCCTTTTCCTTTGTTTTTATTTAGTGATTCCGGCCTTGAGATAGAGCAAGCCTATTATGCGCGTGTGATACCTACACAAGATAGACTAGAAGGCTTACAAGCATTTAGAGAAAAGCGTCCACCAGTTTACAAAGGCAAATAATAATTAATATATACTATCATAGATAATATTATTATTTTTCTAAAAAAAACAGCTATTAAGTTATTAGAATATCATATTCAATCAAAGGATATATATATATATATGTTTAAAGAAAGAGGCTGTTTTCCAAACAAAATACACTATATCAAGAGTTAATAAAAGAAAATTGGGGGAGATGTTATTGAAACAGGAGGACCATCCGATGGAGCCGATCTAGTCTGAAATCTGTTGTACAAGTAGAAAGAGTGACAAATCGAACTGGGATAAAACGTATTGTTATTTCAAGGGACATGCGTTTTATGTTTAGTATCTTGCTAAACCGAGTCTCGATGAAGAACCACACCAATTAGTTCTTTTAGCCTGTATTAATTGTTTTTTTTTTAAAAACAATTTGCCACCAACTTTGGGTATAATGTATATCTATACTATGTGCTGACTTGGCTCATACCATCTCAAAGTATCAAGAGGTATTTTACAAGAAGTTTGTATATATATAAGGATTTAGTAATAATGGAACCAAAATAAAAAGGTGATTAAAAATATATTTATATAGAAAAAGTCGTATTAGAGATTAGGTTATATTGAATGAATATGTCAATAAATGGGAAAAGTATGAATTAGGATAGGAACCAATCAATCGATTGTCATTATTTTCTGTACCAAAATGTTAAGAAAGAAAACGAAACAAATTCTCAAATATACTATGAGAGTGCTGTTTATTAAAGAGCTAAAAGAAATACCGTTCATCATCATCATCATCATCATCATCATCATATTAGAAAGACAGGATGAAATTAGAGATCATGTGATTTAGCCCTTCCAATCGGTCACGTGTTCTCTAATTTACTTGCTATTTCTCACTAAAATAAAATGTAAAAACCTATACTACTTGGTAATTGTGTGCCGTACACTATTACCAGTAGGGAACAGTTACATAGAACTTAACGTAGCCAAATGGGGCCTTTTTATAAAAGAAAATGGGCTAATACGGGATTTGATCAATACAGCAACTAGCCCAACACTTCTTTGGCAATTACAGTCTCCAAGAATATCTTTTTATATGTAAGCTTTAAGAAAGTGTACTGATGTATTCTCGTATAAGATTATATTAATTAAAAGAGTCTTGTATTACCATATTGGTCAAAGTAATTACCTGGTACATGACACCCTATTTCCAATACTATGAAAAATAGCCCTCACATATACATATCTATATCGTTTATTTGATGTAATTTCTCTTTATAAATAAGTTTCAATTGGTTTTACTTTTGCCATATGTCTCAAAGATCTGTCTCTTAGTCAAAAAAAAGTTATAATAACCTTCATCAAGACAAAACAAATTTCTTTTTCCAGAAGCATATCATTCTTTTGACCAAACCTTATAGTAAGCTTTCTTTATTGAAGGATACATTATAAAGAGGTTGATATACAGTTTATTTAATATTAAAAGATAAAGAAATTAAAAGGTATTTTGTGTAGAGTGGATGTAGTAAGGGTAAAATAAGGATATTAAGCATACAATTATTTTACCAAGCCTAGCTATTTACTTTTCTGTATATAATGTTTATAATATAAAAAATTTCTGAAAAATATTAGAAACCCACAACTTTTGTAAAGCGGCAAATAAATGCATATATGTAATGTTTTGGGACATTTATTTTAGTCGACAAGTGCTTGCACCTCTGTCACATATTAAAATTGGAACGATACAGAGAAGATTAGCATGGCCCCTGCACAAGGATGACACTAAACTTCTGAGATGGAACGCTCTACGGAGCATATTTTTTTTTGTTTTGTCACCACTTGATATTATTTTTATTTTTTTATTTTTTGTGTCAAATCTTGAAATTACTTATAAAAGGATACCACATTGAGGAATGTCAATCTTACATAATGTACACCTTTATTATCCACTAATGCACAATCCTTCTCCCCTTCCTTGTTAAATGCATATCAATCTCTTCTTGCTCCTCATGCTGTAGATGGCTTTTGTTATGCAGTTCCATTAACACAAATCACCACTTCTTTTTTGCTGACAATGTAGCATTCTTTTTGGCTTGGTTTCAAATGTCCAACCCATGTTCAACTTGAGCTGCGCAACATTTTTTGTATGTATTTAAAAAGGAGTCCGCGTACTCAACATTGTCTAATTTTACTTTTCAATGCAAAATTAATTAATTAGAAAATATGTGAAGTTGCTGCGGTCTGTGTCCCTTCATGGTTACTTGTTAAGCCAAGTGACAATATTTATAATATACAATACTTGTTGCCCACAAGTGTGTCCGAATAAATAAATTCTGTTTTTTCTTTGCATTCAGTAATTTGTCTCGTATCTATTAATATTCAAATCCTTTGTAATTCAAACCTCTTCTGTGTAATGGTTGGTTTAGACTACAAAAGTGTGCAACGCATGTGTGTCTGGCGTGTAGTAGCCTCGGAGATCAGCAAATCATACGAGAACGACATTTCCTGGTGGGGCACTACGTTTCTATCTAACCAGATTAATTCATTGCGATCACTTGTCTGGGGTCCGATGACTTTTCTCTAATCCTTCAGGGAGAAATGTCGTGTCCTAAAAACATATAAATATAATATATTCATTGTACGCATTAGCTTTACTACTTTGTCCTCACACTTTGTGCTTATACATCTCTTCTCAGGAATCTACATTTCCTTCTTTTAAAAAGTACGACCTGTCTTTGTGAAATTTAATAATAAAGCAATAATAATTAGTCACACATACACAATATCAATAGCTAGCTATGCAGAACAGTATGAGTTGTTCTCATTAAAGTGTCTCGCAATCTTACTTGATATTTTTTTTATTTTTTATTGGCCTTCTTGAGCGTATGATATATTTCTCTTTCTTTCATCTATTCTACTTATATTACCAGAGCTTACAAATACCAACTGGTAAGTAGTCCCCATCAAACATTTAATTTTATTTTTTCAAAACACAAAAGAAACCCTTGATACGAACATTCTGTACTCTAACTCATTATTAACTATTATAATAAGAACGGATCCTTAGGGACCAGACATGATTATTCAATGATGGCAAAAAAAGGCCACGACTTGTGGTCCGGTAGAAACAAAATGTCGTCTCCCACCAGGAAATGTCGTGCCCCTAAAAATCTGCATTATCGAGATATCAAAAAAAAAGGTATTTTAAATAGAGGTGTCAATTGATTATATACAAAAATGCCCAATTGTGAAATATGCAAACGTACACATTCACACTTGGTCAGGACCCTTTTGTCTTTTGAATTTGCCCTTTACTCTTTTTCTATAGCTTACGGGATGATTTAGGGTTTGTTATAGAGTACTATATGTAAATTTTTGACCAAGACAAAGTGCGTACAATTGTTGATCGGGTAATTTTGATTCTCTAAAGACAAATTAGCTAAACATTGACAGCCATTCATTTAGTCCAAGAGTAGCATGGTGTACTATACATTATGATATAATCAGCGCTCGATCGAAGGATTTTTTTATTTTATTTTTATTGATACCATCTAATAAATACATATAACTTATGTCGAGATTGAAGAAATTGTAACATGCAGGTGTTTTAGCATATAGTAAGATATATGTATATTGGTGCAATTAAATTAAGCCAATTAATAAAAAGTGTCCCGAAGTGCATTTGGTTAAAAACAAGAGAAGAGTTGGTTTGGATATTTATTAAAGAAATAGATGAGTTTGAGGGTATCCTTTTAAGAACATACATGAGAAGATGGTTAATATGGCTGTGCACATACATTGAGATACACGCAGAAAGAAAGAAAGAATGAAAGAAAGAAATAAAGAAGAGACACACAGACACACAGACACAGAGACAAAAGGGTTAGCTACCGATAGTATACTTTTCTATATATCCACATTTTAATGTGGTGAAACCATGATAAAGATGTTTTGTCCAGTTTTCCAGCGTTCTCTCTTCTTTATCATCACTACGAGGTCCCCTTTGCATTGCTAGATACCTCTCACGTTCAAAATCACAGAAATATTGATGGGCACGATTAGCTTGTGCTTTGGTAAGCTTGTGTGTATTAGAGGTCCACCACTGATTACGTGCTTTCTCATGGGATGTATATATCCAAGTGTACTTGACCGTATTTGACTTTGTCTCCTTACTACTATTATTACTACTGCTGCCGCTGCTGCTGCTGCTGCTATCACTAATATTATTATTACTATCAGTATTACTACTATCATTATCAAGCATCATTGGATCATCTGGATTGTTGTTATTATCTTTGATTTTCATAATATCCACCGCAGATCGGGCAAGGATCATTAGGTTAAGATTGTGGTCTTCGTTTTCTTCATCTTCTGACGTGCTGAATCGAACATGACCAAGATAAAGATTTTCAAAGCGAGTACGGGACATGTCGATACACAGACGCCCTGTCTTTTGAGAAATTGATCCGGTGACCTTTGTAGAGCTCAAGTGTAGGTTGTCCAATCGCCTTGAACAGGAGGAAATGAATTCGAGAGTGGCTGAGCTGACAGTTGCTTGGTGCACTTCTATTGATCTCAACTGACGCTTCGATATCGATATTTTTTCAGATGCTTGGGGACTGACTGAGATTCGACCCCCAAAGAGCCGAAGTTTCCCTAGAGCAGGAAAGACATCGAGGAGAGTATCTAGCTCGATCGAGGCATTGCAATGATGGATGTTTAGATCGACTAAGCGAGGACAGTGATGGATGAACGCATTTCTGATTAAGAACGGGTGATCGAGGTTAAATAGACACTCGATCGAGAGTATTTCCAAGGTTTCTGAAAACGAATGCATGCATGTTTTGATGATCCTTTCGATTATGTCTGGTCTATCGTAGAATATATAAGGCTGCCACTTGATGCTCTTGACAAGGATGGTTGAAGGGCAGAATATCTCCCAGAAGCTGAGATTCTCTTCATCCTGAGATCTCTCGCTTTTCATTCTGAGAGTCCTAAGGTACTTGAAGGCATTTGGTATTGACTTGAATAATGACGCGGCCTCCTTTTGATATTTCATCCGCGCCATTCCACTCCCGTCGGTTCTCCAGTGGAGTGTGTGTAATTTGGGGTACTTGTGAGCAAAATAGGCTATCCATCTGTAGTCCATGATCTTGGTATCGATGTCAAAATAGGATAAGTTACTGACTGGAGGTGTGCTTGATATTCGGACTAGATCTTTTGTCGTGAGCTCGTTCATGTCTAAACCGAGGGCTAGATGCTCCAAACGTGGTAAGTTTTTGTGCAGGGTCTCGAAATCATTTAGTGTAAACCACATTTTGGTGTACCAAGAATGGCGAGCCAGTTCTAATCTTCGAAGCTGGGGAAGACAAGATATGATGTCCAGGAACATCTTTTCTGAATTTTCGGTGACCAGTGTTTCCATACCGATCCACAACTCCCTCAAAGAACTCCAGAGGTTCCAATTGACCGCTGTTCCAAATGTTGTGCTACTAAAGTGTTCGCCTTTGATATGCAGATGCTGCAGATAGGGAAAGTGCTGCTGAAGTATTTGGATGTGCTGGTCAGTCGGATGGCTGTTTTCGTAGAGGAAGAGATGTCGGACATGCTGGCCATTTTTTTGATATATTCTAGGATTTTTAGTTGACATGTCACAGATTGCGTCGAGTTCTTCCTTTGTGTGGATTACGACGTCTTTTAGCATTGACTCTTGAAATGGAGCTCTCCATGATTTACAGATGCGAGAGCATAGAGACTTGTCTTTTAGTGAGACAAGATTGGCAATAATAATCAAAATCTCGAATGGGAGATCGGATGGCAACATGATGAAAAGAAGAATGACAAGGTTGATTTTACAGGGACAAACATGATATTAAATATGATTTATTAGTATTAAAAATAAATAATAATAAATAATAAATATCTAATTATATATATATAGAAAAACAAGGTGCTATAAGGGGTAAAGCGGGGTCCAAGATGGCTACACAGTGTTAGAGAAGGTTATGAGTTAAAGAACGAAGGATATAAAAGAAAGAAAATAGAGAAAAGAGTATGAAAAAAATAAAAGGTTAAAGAAATGAAAAAAAAAATTAAAAAAAAAAGAAAAATAAAGGGGAGAAAGAAAGATACAAAAAACCAAGGTCAAAACCAAGGTCAAGATTATAAACTCTTTCTATTTATTTTACTTTCATTATTATATATATATATATATTTGAGATCACTGCTTTGTGTACAAAGCCGTTTGATTCGGGAGATGTTCCGTGATGCGGTTTACAAGGCGGGCTCTGAGTACTTTGGATATGAAACTTTGTGCTGTTCATGTGATAAACATGACAAGTAAAAAAAAAAGGTTATCCATAAACTTGTTTACAGATTCTTTTAAAAGAATAATATATCTACTAAAGGCTTTTAATACCAAGGCAGAATCTCTGACTTTAATTGGCTTATTCTACTCTATTATATATATATATTGGTCTTTCATTATTTCATAATAATCTCTTGGTCAGTTTATAGTGCCTTGAGATTATTTATCTATTTTTCCTTAAAATATAGGTAATCCCAAGCAAGAAAGATTCTATTGCTATTATTGCTTACAATCTATCAACTGAAATTATCACAGCTCTTATTGAACTGAGCAATAAGAAAGGTTGAGAATGATAAATAATGTAATTAAATACATCTTTGAGGAAGAATAGTATATCCTTGAAGAAACAACCTTTTTTTTTTGCAAACATTTCTTTCTTTCTTTTCTACAAAAAACTAATAATCAAACTATGAATAATTCGTTTTCTTTGATTGTGTACTGATTAGCTGAGCTGATCAGTATAATGAGCGTCAGTAACACTCTTGATAATATAAAAATAAAATAAAAAAAGGGCTGGACAAGGAGAGAGAAGGAGAGAGAATGGTAGATAAGGAGTTGAGACTATCACTGATTTTTTTTTATTAATGATCATTCTTGAGTGCTGCTGTCCTCAAGCCTACTTTGTACCTAATACCTGGCATAATTGAATACAATTAAATTCAAATTAATTCAATCAAAGAATCTCAAAGTATTCACAGTAATTTAGAATATTATAATATGAAAACAAATCTCAGGGTTTCATTAAAGAAAAGGAAAATAGATTCTGTCCAAGTGCGCAAATCAGCTGTACTGTACGAGGGGTATAAAACATCAATTGGAGTATCTATTTTTTGCCTCTTAGTAGCCATCCAAAATCGTTCTTGCATCTTTGATCATTTCTGTTATTCGTATTCTCTAAAGACAGCTCTATTTTACCCGTGCTACTATACAAAACAAAAGAATTGATAACAATCTTAAACAAACAGTCATAATAACCGGGAGGATTAATTTTCATGAATTTTGGTAAAGTTTTCTTGATACAAGAAAAATGAACCCTTTAAATAACCAATGCTGGTCACCTCATTGTTCCTATAGTGATTTAGATCAGTCATAGCCACTTTCTTTTTATAGTATATACATACTACTCTGAATGGTACTTTGTTAGCTGAGCAGTTGCTAGCTGAGCATTTTATACCCGAGTAAATCAAGTGTTGAATTTTATTCTTTAATAGACAATAAATGGTATTTTTATTTATTTATTTATTTACTTATTACAAAAGGCACAATTGTAGGTTTATAGTCAATATATATAAATATAAATGTGTGGCTAAGCCAGTTACACTTGGTTGTATTCAATCTTTTCTTCTAATATTGACCTGTCATTATGCATTTAGTTAGATAACCAGGTACCTAACATTGTAAATATTTGGTATTAATTTAAATGATCCATAATTTTTTTTTTCAGTCAAGCCAAGATATAATTCAAGTAACGTGACAAACTAAGGGTAACACAATCTAGGATAACCACATGGAATTATAGTTTTTTTTTGGAAGCGTTACACCAATTACGTAGACCAGGACTCATTTTGGTTCCTTTATTTTTCTTTTTATGTAACTGTTGGACAAAAAAGAAGATATTTTTTTTTGCTGGTGACACTAAGAATGATCAAAGTTCCTGTGCCTATGCCTGTGCCTGTTCTGGTTTGATTTGTCTATTATATAGGTACAAATTATGACGTTGGTTCAATATATATATATATATATATATTTTGTATTTTTCTCAATATCAGGGGAAACAATATGCATAATTTTATATCATGTGTACTGAACATATCCATAAATCAAGAAAGACAAAATAATAATGATAATGATAATTGGCTATTGTTGTGAGCAGCTGACATATTCTGTTGTCAAAATTCCCAACAATAACAAAGCAAAGAACTTGGTCACATTGGTCACAGTTCTCAAGGCAAGAGGTATATATTGAACAACAATAATAATGAATGAGATTACGAACCCGGGATCGATTTTAATAGAGTGAAGCATCTCTATGTATTCATACTGCATAAAAATATTTGGAAATGTTGCAGATTGATATTCCCTATTGTTTGAAATTAGTTCATATCAATATCAATATCAATATTCAGGATCGGTGGAATAAGTATATATCTGTGTTTACTTGAACTATGAATGGTTCCACTTTACAAATCCTTTTCAGTCCTATATTCATTATTCATTACCCATCATTATCCTTATATATATATATGTGTGTGTGTGTGTATTGGGTGAGGTAAGGTAAGGCAAGACAAGGCTTTCTTTTATTGCTCTTCTTGTTCTTCTTACTATTGTGAAAATACAATGTACAAATATTTGTATATGTAATAATGGAGTTTCTAAGAGGAATGGCTATAACTGTCATAATTGGCCAATATGGTTTCCATTTTAGGGAAATAGAATATAAAAAATAAGATAAAATATAGCTATGAACAATTAAAGTGTACAATTGTTGATGATGTATGCCAAAATCAGGTGTTTTCTTCTTCTTCTACTACTTCTACTACTTCTTCTCTCTATCTCTTTGTTCCTATTTCTATTTCTATTTCTATTTTAAGCATAAAAGGGAATACTGGCTTAGACTTGTACCTCTTGGATATATCACTTCTTTAATCTTGTACACCCTACTGATTTCCCTTAACTGCGCCACGACCAAGTTTATAGTACCTGGATTTTTTTTTCTTTTTTTTTTCTACTTGAATTAATTTAAAATATTTGTGTATATATAAGTACTGCAAAGCATAAAGTACGCAGCATGAAAAAATATATGTACATATTCAACTCTTTACCATGCTTGCATCACAATTACCATTCGAAATCACAATCCACATTTCAAATTACCTTTCCACAAAAGACAGAATCGAGTGTTCTCGTGTGTGTCAGGCCTGGGCAATAGCCTTTCAAGAGTCACTCTGGGATAGCATCGTAATATCTGACAAGACAACCCTTAATAACATTTGCCACCCTGGATCGGCCATCTACCAGACATATCGAACCAATGGCTGCTATGTAAAGTCCCTCGACCTCGGTCTACGTCTCTTTGCAACCGACAAACAGCTGCACACCCTCCAGAACCATTTCAAGAATTTACAATATCTACGAACCCAATGTAGCTCACTTTCGGCTACTGACTTTGGCACAAACGCTCCAAATTGGTCCATGTGGGGAACATTAACTAAACTAGAGATGAACCTGGGCTTTATAAAGACTCCTCATATAAAAGCAAAACTTCTCGACATACTTGCTTGCTTGCCACGATTAGAACAATTGCATATTGCCCAGGACTATACCAGCAAGACCGTCCAATTTACTTTGCGAGATTTCGAAACACTTCATGCATCTTTACCACTACTCGAGCACCTGACATTGGATATGGAATCCCAATTGATAACAACCAGCGACCTAAAGCTCGTCCAAAAAAATATCACCCCGGCTACAAAACTCAAAAGCCTTGTATTTACAGTCAACAGATCAGGTCATCGATGGCTATACTATTTTGCTATCAAGTATCCAAATATCGACGGTCTGGCCACAATATCTTTTGATGCCAGCGAAGGCATAGAGACCACTAAAGCCGAGCTTATGACCCTACTCGGTCGGAGGACACCTGAAATTGGACTTGGACTTGGACCTGGATCTCTGTTTCAAAAACTCGACAAGATTCAGACAACAATCTGCCAACAATCGAGCCCACTTCATTTTTGGATATGGAAAAAGATTTACTCGGACTACCATTTACCCCTCAAACATCTGCATTGCGCTATCGAAGAAGTATACGACAAGAGTAATGTGGTCAAGAACACTTTTGAAGATTGTATCAACCCGTACAGCACCTCTCTGGAGACGCTGTTTATACAGGTGTACGAGAATGCAATCACCACGGCCCCCTGGGCAATAACGGATTATCTTGTGGACTATAGAAACCTTGTCTATTTGCGAATCTACACCTCGGATGCACCTATACTTGTGGATATCATTTTGGATCGGTGTGTGGCCCTAAAGAGATTGGGAGTCAGTACAAACTGGTTATCTGTCGGTCAGTCAGCTTTATCATCTCTGTCAACAAGACTGACATTACATGGTCTTCGGATGCTAGAGGTCTACAACTCGACCGTGTGTTCAAAGACATTCAAGTACATATCTATTCGTTGCAGGGAATTGAATTATATGTGCCTGGACTACACTGGCGTCACTGGCTATGTTTCTATCAATACTGGAAAGCTTTCTATCGACATGCCATACACTCATTTCAAGACACTTCTCTTACGGCATATACGGTTTACGAGTTCAAGGGACGTTAAAGAGTGTGACCGGAATGTCAATCTGATGGCTCTGTCTTTTAAAAACAACAAGGATAACAATGACGATGAACTGGCAACACAAGGAGTGCAGGAAATCAAGAAGAAGCCAAAGAAGAAGTTGACAGTGTGTTTGTCGAGTCGATTCCCTTTTGTGTCTACAAAAAGAAAGGTGGTCGAGAACATCAAGTCAAAGAAGGATAGTAAAGTTGAGGATTGTGGGAAGTCTAGCTGGTTCTATACTACATACAGTCTGAACAGCTATTCTTTGTGGGAGTCAAATGTTTCACGGTTAAATGAAAAGGAGGTTGAGCGGGCGAGAGAATATTATGACCGATATTCATCAGAGATCAGGTTCGTTCAAGAGACGACTATCGGAGCAGGTGGAAATATCGAAGGCACCAGGGAAAAGTGGAAGAAAGATCGGTTCCGTGGTTATGCGGCAATAAGGTGCGATCGTATAGATGAATACATCATCAATACCAATTTGAGAAGAGATTGTTCAGATTGGGATTATTTGTATGATGAGCTGGATCAATTATAGATATTCCATTCTATATACAAATTCGTTTCTTAGACATGTAAATAAATAAAATAGAAACCATAGAAACCATAGACACATCAACATATACATCGTATACATAGAGCAATCTAATCTTATAATCTCAATACTCATTAAACATAATCTAAATTATATCCACTTTCCCCCTTTTCCTTTGTCGATTCCTACTTGCTCTTATACAATCACAATCACATACACATTCCTATTAGAATAAGCCTATTCTCTTTTACTTTTCTTTTCATTTTTTTAAACCCCCCCGAATATATATTTATATTAAAGAAGTGTGGGTATGTAACATTATGCGTAATAAATGTAACATATAAACAAATAAATAAACGTGTTTTTTTTTGGTCTCTTTTGAAGGGGGTGAATTGATCGTTTTGAGCGTCGGTTCTGCCTTTGGAAACAAACCCGTTATTTTTCTTCTTTTCTTTCTAAAAAAAAAGCAATAAATTCACAGTTTGTTTGTAAGCTGGCACACACAACATTGCAACGAATACTAATAAATTTAAATTTAAGCCAATGATAAGCAAATTATAGAGGTTAAAAGAGAGAGAAAAAAATGGTTGTATTTCAATTGAATGACAATAATAGTAATAATAATAGTAATAATAATAATAATAATAATAATAATAATAATAAGATAGTGATAAAGATAATGATAATGATAATCGTTTATCCACCGAAACCGTAAAGGGTACGGCCCTGTCTCTTGAGAGCGTAGACGACATCGAGGGAGGTGACAGTCTTTCTCTTGGCGTGCTCTATAGAAGGAGAAGAAGAAAAGTATAAGTAATCAAGAGAAAGCAAATATGATTGGTTTTAAGTTTTTATCTTCATTCTCTTACCGGTGTAAGTAACAGCATCGCGGATCACGTTCTCCAAGAAGACCTTGAGGACACTACGGGTCTCCTCATAGCTAAATAGTAGAAATAATTATGATAAGTTTCAGTTTGGTAGGTACAAATTTAGATTTATTCTTACATCAAACCAGAAATACGCTTGACACCACCACGACGAGCAAGACGACGGATTGCGGGCTTGGTAATGCCCTCTATAGAAATGAATGAGTTTCTGGATGTAACAATGCAATGACTAGAGTAAAAGAAATGTAGAACTTACGGATGTTATCACGAAGAATCTTGCGATGACGCTTAGCTCCTCCCTTTCCGAGACCTTTTCCACCTTTTCCGCGACCAGTCACTAAAGTATTATGTGATTAATAGAAAGTATATACAAAGAGAGAGAGAGAGACTGTATGTATGCGTGGGTAGGTAGGTGTTTGGTTGTGCATTATTGGGTTTGGATGGACTGTTTGTTACTGAAGAACCAGAGCCAAATAAAGTAATATGTATATATATATGTAAAGGATATTAACTTACTATTGTTAAATAAAAAGAATATATATTTCTTAAAGAAAAAGAAGAAGCTCGAAATAGCGACACGCGCTTTTATTTTTTTTTTAATTTTTTTAATTTTTTGTTTTTAATTTTTTTTTTGCTGACTCGATGACGCTGCCAACGCCACCTTTGAATGAGGGTTCTCAAGACTTGTTGTATTTATTTATTTGGAGACCAAAAATAATATATATAAAATTAACCAAATATAAATAAATAAGAAATTCTAACAACCGATAGACGGAGCGCTTTATACTTAAAGCACCAACTATGTACATCTATATACAAGTGGGCAAGTAACCTTTCATTCATTTCCCTTCTTCGTGCTTTTTCATGGTAAAAAATACATAGCTGTTATATATACATTGGTTGAACTTTGAAACTATCATAAATCCCTTAAAATATTGCTTTTATCACTACTTGCAATATATTAGGACATTAGGTCAAATGGATAAATAAATTATAAGATATTCGTACTTCTTTATCAAAGACGTAGCCTGGTAAAGAAGGACAGAAATACAGTAAAACACATTTGTAAGGCGTCCAATTCGAAAAAATAAAATGCATTTTTGGGATAATTTTTTTCAAAAGCTTTTTATATATATATATATAAAATAGTGCCAAAATGTTTAATAAGTTGACAACCTAAGAATACTTTTCTGTACTGTTTATTTGAAAAGAAGATCCGCTCATAATGGTTAGTAACTTTTAAAAAATACGCTTTACAAATCTCTTATTGCCACCAAGAGAGCAATATATCAGTAGCTTAGAATTCTAATTGAAGGCAGAGCACCATCATAATTAATCAAAATGCGAAATTTTGTCCTTCAACCTTTCTTTTCTTTTTTTTTGTATTATTTATTAGAAATTAGCATTCCTTTTCAAAGCTTGTGGCAAAAACATGAAACGCAAACAAGATAGCTCATCCGAGAATTCAGCAAAAGAATAGGCTTTAAAGAATAAGTATCAAACGTATATATTACTGATGAAAAGAAGCATAAGTTATTTTCTGAAAATCTTCGCCTGCAAGACCTCTGAATTTTATTGTCGTAGGTTAATAGTGAACCAAAAAAAAAAGTCAATTTCCTATTATATTTACAGCCAGAAACTAATGAAAAAAATAGCCATGACTGTTATCTATTGAAAAGACAGATGTTCTCAAGGAAATTACCAGAAACACCAATATGTTGTGGTCTCGCTATCAGCCAGTAAATTCTGAATCAAATACCTTGTATGCCCAGCCTCATACGTATTTCAAATGGCTTCACTTTCTTCAAACAGAAATTGAGAAAGAATCTCTTATCACTGAAGAAGTACTAAAAACTGTCGCTTCTAAAGCATACGTCTATCGCAGACTCAAAGAACCTCTTTTTTTTTGCCGCGTCGTTATACAGAAAGCAATTTAATTCTTTACGAGAACAAGTCCTTACATCTACAGCCACAATCAAAAACGTTTCGACCTCTGAGCCCAAAAAATGGATGAGAGAAATCATGGCATGTATTCAACATGCAACTGCTCATCATTAATAATAGCTGAAGCCTTCAAACTTCAAATAAAATATTATATATATGTTTATTATTGAAATATAAAAAAAAATAAAAGATCAATATTTCGTATGACCTCCTTTGACCTCAATCACAGCCTGACATCGATGCTGCATGCTGCCGGCCAAAGTTGATGCAAGTTTGAGACCTATCCTTTGCCACTCTCGTTGCATTACGACCTTCAAATCTTCAACGTTGTTAATACTGGTCCTCTCGTCACTCATGCGCCTCTCGAGAGTCCACCAGAAATGCTTGATGGGGTTGAGATCTGGGCTTTGAGCGGGCCAGTAGTCAAAACCTCGGATCTCATGGCTATCTTTCCACCACCTCGAATACGACCCAGTATGACAGCTGGCGTTGTCCTCGTGGAACACGAAGCTCCTGTTCTGTTCCCATAAAAGATGTTGGAGCCAAGGGAGGAAGTTCTGAGCCAAAGTGTTTACGTATTGGTCTTGGTTTACGCTACCATCTAGGGACACCAAAGGGCCGAAACCACCGGCCCAGAAACAGCTCCAGATCATCACATTACCCTCCCCACACTTGGTTCCTTCGATGATATTTTCTTCCTTCCACCTTTCACCGACTTTCCTGATTGCCCTAGCTCCTCCATAATTACCCTCAACTGTGGACTGTGATTCATCTGATCACACTATACCTCTCCACTGGTCCTCCATCCAATTGACGTGCTCACAGGCCCATTCCGGCCTTCTTTTCTTGTGGCTTTCGGTTAAAGCTGGCTTGTGAGCTGCGATATATGATCCGAAGCCCAAACGCTTCAGACAACTAATTATTGTCTTTCTACAGATAAATACCTCCATGTTCTTTAGGGAAGCCCTTAGCCAAGAAAGTGAGGCAAAGGGGTCCTTACAAACTATTTGGACAAGGTGTCTTTCTGTCCTCTCGTCAATCTTTCTAGGTCGTCTGAACCCTTTTCTTGGCTCAGGCGATTATGTCTCATCCACTCTCTTAATGATGTACTTGACGGTTGACAGACTCATGCCAACCACCAATGAAATCTGGGTTGCCCCGTAATTTGCTAAATGCATGTACATGATGCATCCGTATTTATAGGGATCAGTCTTTTCATGTGATCCGTGGGTGTTTTCTGATGAATTTGTGTCTTGCATGTTGGATTCGATTAATAATATTTGGAGAAAACAATGTTTTTATTTTTATTTTTTTATGATTTTTTAACCTTTTTTTTGCGGGGGTCGAAACGTTTTTGATCGCGAGTGTATTAACAGTGATCAACCTCTAACATTTGGAAAGAAGCTGCAAAATATTCAACCGCATAAGACGACAGTTTTAAACTTTCACTATAGGAAATGGCAAGATTTATACCTCCGACCTTGTAACTTTTATGGCCAATAGCACGCCTGTGTTAGCCTATTAGTTTTACTTTTTGTCAAATACTATTTATGGGATTTTATATTATTTTGCATATAATCCAATCAAATATTCTAAATATGGTAAATCTATACCTTTTTTATGTAGCTGTATTCTCTTTATGATTGGTTCAACAAATGCATGATGTTTTATATTGGAATTTTATGATTTTTATTGATCAAAATAATACAAGTTAAACATAAAGAAGTATGTAAAGAAGAAGTACTAATTTTTATGATATTTAGTAACAGCTTAAGCTATACATTCATTAAATAATATACATATATCTATTTTTATGTGATACTTTTTACATTGCTTTATCTAAAAAAAAGCTATTTTCTAAGTACTATGATATTGATGAAGGCATGTATATTTCTTAATTGATTCTTTTAATCAAAGAGTATAAACCTGCTTTGTGTTAACATTGTTATGCCTGATTCCTACTTTTGAAAAAACAGAAGACAGATTCTCTGAGATTCTCGAAATCTACCGAGATCTCTAATGAGCATGCGAGCAATCTTGACAACCAAATTGTACTTGATGCAGATATTTTTCTGTCAATTCTTCTCAAGTTACTTTCTTTTGTCAACTTTGCTGATTCGTATTTTATTAATACTAGCCTTCATAGTTATTAAGTGTGTTATTTTTAGAGACCTTTAATAATTTAGACCTTGTGAAAAAGAAGAATTAAAAAAGACTTTTACAAAATAAAAAAACAACAATGCATTAAAAAGTAATCACAATCATTACTTTTTGGTGGCAAAGGCTTCTTTAAGTTTAGATTAAAAATATAAGTAATCTGTAGGCCATGTTTGTCCCTTTCCCAGTTTTGCAGTCTGATAAGCAGTTTCACATACTATATTCATCTAAAACGGCCTTCTGGCCTAAAAGCAAAACAATCATATTTTAATGTCAGCCTCAGAATACTAAAATAGGCTTAAAACATACTAAACTTAGTAGTGCGTGTCGGACCTTTTCAAGTTACGAGTTTTGGACAGAAAGTTACGAGTATCAAAAAATACTCGTAGATTTTTTTCTACAGTGCTACGTTGTCCCCTTCTCTAATTTGAATAAAGTTTGACGAAAATTCCACCAAACCTTAATCAAATTTGTAGTATAGTGGTGCTAGTGTTACGCTTCTTTTCCTTTCTAAGGGACTGAGTTTATTCGCTTGACCGCAAATCTGAGTGCCCGAAGGTCTCTATTCTATAGATGTGTAGAATTTGACTTGAAAAATTAAGATCGCAAGTCCGTTTTTGGTTGTGTAGAATCTTATGTAGAAACTGCTGGAGGCGGTTTTCTCTAAATTCTATACAATTACTTCCTAATTTGGTTGTATAGAGTTCGTGTGTAGAAACTGCTGGAGATGCTCTTACATAGCTAAATGTTCTAAAAGACATTTTGGTTTTTCTTCTTTTCAAAACAGTCTACTGTGTTTAATAACTATGTAATAAGGGTAATTTCAAAAATACTAAAATCCAAGAAATTTAAAAGGTAGTAGTTATATAAAAAAAACACGCACACATAGCCAAATTGTAGCTACATTTGAGAATGATATTTAATCCGTGACACTGTGCTGTTTCGTTTTTTATTCACTAATAATTCCATGCATCTTCTTTTTTAAAATTGTTATTGAACATTTTGCCTTTTATAGATGCAATATTATAAGATAATGAGTAAAAGAAGATGATTATAGTACAGTAGAAATCAAGTAACTGGGATATAACCATTAGAGTGTCTATACTCGAGACCGAGACGATTTGGAGTTTTGTTTTAGGCGAGTATTTCGAGGCTCACACACAAATAAGCGTGGTATCTCAAAATACTCTTTTGAAAAGAAAAATCCAAATCAATTCAATCTCGAGTAGAAACAACTGTATAAACTATATTAGGATTAAAATAATCTCCAACATAACGTCAAATCTTCTTTTTGACATTTGCTCTTCTGAAAAATGTGATGAAGATCAGTTAAATAAGGCAAATATAAAGGGAGAGACTGGCTACAATTGTAAGCCTCCACTTTGCTCCATTCCTAGGTGATTTCGACCCTTATGTTAGCGAACACCATTATTCTTTTTCTTATTCTGTTCTATTCTGTTCTGTTCTGTTTTGTGTTTAAATCTACCTATGTGACGTGCATGATTCTTACCTTTAAGGGATTCCATCTTCATTGTCAGTTTTATTTTTTAAACCTCTTTTTTTTATTATATTTTTTTATTACAATATTATAATAATACCTATTCTATCATCATCATCATGCCTTTAGATTATAGCAAGTGGGACAATCTCGAACTATCGGATGACTCTGACATTGAGTGCCATCCCAACGTTGACAAGCGTTCGATGATCAAGTGGAAGCAAGAGTCTATCCACCACGAACGCGCCGAGAGAAAGGCAAAGATAGAACACCTCGAGTTTTTGATTGCCCAGCAAAAGCGCTTAGCTGCTCGCCTGGAAGCCCTCAATGGTACTCTTCAAAAAGGATCAGATGAGGAAGGTATTCGTGGCGTATTGACCGAGCTGGCCAAATTAAGAGACTCTGCCAAAGAAGAAGCCAAGAAGGGCGACTTTAGACCGACAATTCCCAACCCGAATGGAAATGGAAAGATGCCCGACAATATTGGGCCTGACCAAGTGTTTGTGATGATGATGGATCAAATCGAGGGTGGTCTCAAGAACCATTCCCCTGCTCATGTCAGAAAGGTTGTTTCCGGCCAGTTACAACAGACTCTCGAGGCTACCAACACAAACATCCAAGCTTCCTCAAAGGAGCTCGCAGCACTGCACAAGGAAGCTGACAAGAAGCTCACTAGCGAAAACATGTTTAAAGAAACTGCAAACCGTACAGTAAGTGATTTTGTATATATTATATAAAATAAAAATGGAAAAAGATGTATCATGTATTTATTTTATTTGATTTTATTTTATTTTTATTTTTAATACAAAAACAAATAAAGATCCTCAACACAAAGTCGTCCTCTGCTCCCAAGGAAAAGAAAAAGGAAAAGGTCATTGAAACCTTGAACCCTAGTGCACAATTAAAGGATCTTGTAAGTATAAATACTATGTCTGCCAAGAACAAATACACGCACACATATACTCTTAGGGGGGTGAATCTGGTTACTAATTTTATTTGTATAGACTCCTGCAAACTCTACTAGCACACAATCTGGTTATGAAGGAGATGAAGAGGACGAAGACGCAGATGATGAGGATGATAAGGATATTGAGCTATCACCAAAGGCAGAAGCCTTTTCAAAGCTTAGTGGATTTGGCCCTAGTTTCAAGTACATCAGTGCCAACCCTGAAATTGTCAACGAAACAATCTCAGACCAAATTCTCGCAGAAGCATTTACTGCACAGCTCAAGGGACGTACAGAGTATGCTAAGAATTGTGTTACCCAGTCACTGACTCTTCAATACTGTGGAAACCTTGGTAAAGATGGTGTCAATCTCTTTTTTATGAGGTAAAAGAAAGAAAGAGTATATATATGTATAAACTCGACTTAATTCCCATGATTTTGATTTTGATTTTAGAATGAACGGTCCCAACGCACAGCCCCGTAACATGTTTGGTGACGATGTCAAGAAGACATATGAGCGCATTGTGAACAGATGTGCAGAGATTCTTGAAGAAAGGGAGAATGAGGCTCCAGTTGAGACTATTCAGCTGCAGCCGATGAGCGATGGATCCGAATTGACCGTGCGCATTCCGGACCCTAATAACGAAGAAGACAAGGGAGTCTATGAAGTATTTGAAGCCCTTCCCGAAGAATTCAGAAAAGCGCTTGCCACAGCTGATCTCGACAAGGTGAACAAGGTGCTCGAGAAAATGAAGGTTGAGGATGCTGAGATGGTAATTCAGGTCTGTTCCGAGTATGGATTTTTGGATGTCGGAAGCCAAGTGGTAGACGGAACTGGAGAAGAAGAGGGAAGAGAGTAGTGTTTCATAAGCTCACGTTGGATATTACTAAAAAAGGGAAGTAAGAAAGAAAGAAAGAGAGAAGAAGAAGATTATGCTTAATATACGGGCACTTGGATATCTTTGGTTTGTGCGTTGTGCGTTGTATGTGAGTACTTATATGCGTATATGCGTATATACATACATATATATAAAACATAATTATACGCATATATACTTGTATACAGATGTATATGTTGTTTCAATTATCAGTCAAAGTTTCTCTATATCATTCATAATGGTTTCTAAAAGCAAAACAAAAAGTGATAGGAAGCGAGAGACAGACATATATATATATATATATATCTGTGTGTGCGTTTAGTCATTCTTGAGCTTATTGAATTGAGCTCATACTTATAAAAAGCGTATTTAATGCTGTGGAATGATAAACTGGGGTATATGTAATGTTAAAAATAAGGGTTTAACGGCAAATAGCTAAAAATTCAAATGAAGAAAGGAGGGGGTAAACTACCCATTTTACTCCTTGCACATGAATTATTCCAGAAAAATAGCGCGAGACTGAAGATCAAGAAGGAAGTTATTCTAAGCAACTAATTATATTATCATCAGTCATTAGTACTTTCTGATCTAGTGACTTATTAATATTTTATAATTTAATTCTTTTTATTAATTATTGGAAATTATTATTGCAATTAATAATATAAGCTTCTTGAGCACATGCTTCTTTAACCTCTGCTTTAATAAAGGAAGAAGGGAAGATATATATGTATATATGTATATAAAAGAGAGCTAAGATAATCAATCAAGATTCAAAATAGACTAAATGCATTATATATGAATTTATTTTATTTTATTTAACCATCAAGAAATTGAGATTTCTTCTCCTTTTCCTCCTGCACCACCATACACTGTCAAAAAATGGACATATTAGGTAGAAGAATGCCTCACATATTATCCTCTTATACAATACACACAATAAATCATCGACCTTGCAAACCTTTTTATATCCTGCTTTAATAGTTTCATCTTTACTTACCTTCTATATCAATTACTGCCTTTAATTATGCCATCTACAACACCATATCTCGGTCCAAACAAGAAGACAAGAAGACATTCAGTCGGCTGTTTTCCCTTTACTCGGACTATCCGGTGGTCTCGAACCCGCTCTCAGATCCTCCAACGTCGATACACGTATTACCCTCGGCGCTCCTATCGTGCATCAGAATGTCTTCATCGAACCTCGGCCAAAGGATGGGATATTCTGCACGAGTTACCCCAGACAACCGACCATAAGAGCCGTCATACTAGAAATCTCTCTATGGAAACATACTTTTCCTGCCAAACCCAATGGGATACTCAGCCGAGGACGTGGAAAAAATGCAAAGAACGACGCCATTCAATACAGAGTGAATTGACCCTGTGCAGTCAGCCCTTGACACCCGCACCTCGCTATACACCTACACGCAGACCTGCCACGTTTAGCTTCTTTCGTCTTCCTGAGAGATCTCCTGATCCTGGCAGTATAGACTCAGCTCTAATAGCATTTGAAACATCGAATGCCTTATTAATTCCCACAGAATCTGCTCGTCCAGCGGCATCTACTCGTCTGTCATTCTTCAGAAACACCATTGCTACAATCTCTTCCCTCACATCTGCGTCGACACGTACCAATCTCGAAAATTCAAATCCAAGACAGAGCCGCCTACCGACTTTACCAGATTATTGTCATCCTTACGACATCGAACAGTTGTCCCAGCAGCCTTCATCATGGGTTTCAATGTCTCCTACGTATTTTAGTGGACCTATCCCAGTGTTTCACGTACAGTCTCTCATGTTCCTTTTTGGGTTTCTCTTCTTTCCTTGCTGGTGGATAGGTGGCTTCCTAGTAGGAAGCAAAACTGAAGAAATCAAACGACTTGTGAATGTTACGAACACTAATACCAACACCAACACTAACGCCACAACTTCACCCACAACTTCTCCTATATACCCCCTACCTACATTACTGGTTGTCCATCCATCAATGCTGGCCAATGGTCGAACGGCTTCTCGTCTGCTGTGGTTGGATGAGCCGGGTACACCAGATCGCCCGGTAGTCGCAAGAACGGTGTCTTCTACCACACTTGTTCCATCAAAATCCCAATACAGCCGTTCCCAGGAATTCATTTGGCGATCTCAGTACTTGAAAGAATTATCCATGTTTCGAAGGTGGAACCGCATTATGAGTTTTATATCACTTGCATTGATAGGAGTTGTTGTAGCTATGATATTGTGGTACAGCGCAGGAATTCAGTACAGTTGGTGGCAGCCCATTTAGAAGCATTGGTTTTTTTATAAGCTTTATCCTTGACTTATTATTAATATTCTACTGGGCCAATAGCTAAGAGCAAAAAAAAAGAATCCAAGAAAAGAAAATACTTTCTTTACACAACGACAACAAGACAATAATAGTATTACTTTTATTTTAATATCCATTAATTATATTTATAAATACAATCAAAAGCCACCAACCTTTAAATGTACCTATATATCACTGTAGTAAATGGTAGGCTTTATAACTCTGAAATCGTAGTAAATATACGGTCTTGTATATCTTTCACAAATCCGTGTATTTCCTACTACAACTACGGAGTTATAAAGTATGCCAATAGCATATCAAATTTTAGTAAATTAAAATTATTTATAGCGAATAATATTCATGAAATTTAAGATTACTTTGCATATAGTCCAATAAAATATTCTAGATATGCCAATTATACCTTTTTTAGGTATTTGTATTCTCTTTATGATTGGTTCAACAAATGCATGATGTTTTATATTGGAATTTTACGGTTTTTATTGATCAAAACAACTCAAGTATGCAAAGAAGAAGTACTGATTTATATAATATACATGTATCTATTGCTATGTACTATTTTTTCTCTTCTTTTTTTTTATTTAAAAAACAGCTGTTCTCTAAATACTATGATATTGATGAAGGCGTGTATCTTGCTTAATTGATTCTTTTTTATCAAAAAGTATACACCTTTTCTGTGTTGCCTTTCTATATCTGATTCATACTTTTTTAAAAACCAAAATAATGAGAATTTAATATCACCCTAAGAGCTATTTATAAGATTTCTTGGGATCTTTGTAGACACTGTTTTGAAATAAGATGTAACCCGGGTTCAGAAGGGGGGTTTGTTACCGAATGGTAAGCTATTAGATTTGAATAATCTTATTGTCTTCAATTCTTGTACTAGGTTGAAGAAATTGGGAAAAAGATGTTTTGCATTGACTGCAAAAACACGATGACATACAAAATGGGATACATATAAAAGAGAGAAAAATTGGTACTTAATTAAAATTCAACTATAAAACATTTTAAGCCCTAGAAAACTTGCAACAATTCGCTAAAATCGCCTTTTTTTTGTTTTCTTTATTATACTCATAAGCTCCCTTTGAACATTCCCTAAACACATAAACATACACAGAGACTCGACTAAAGGTCATATGATGAAGCCAATAACAGAAACAACAGTTATTAAGAGCTGTTAGCGAAATTGAAGCAAATGTTCGATCTATCTAAATTAATAAAGCCTTTTAAAAGAAATCCTTTGCTCTCTCTCTCTTTCTTTCTCTTCCACTCCCCTTAATGATCTAGTCTATTATTTATTGGTAAATATATAGATTGGTTAAATATTAAGACCTTATTTTTTGTATGAATTTCAAAAATTCTTATATGGACATTCTCTTATTATTATTCTATCCATTAAAATATTCTTTTGCTTTACTTTACTTTACTTTGCATTTTTTTGGGATTTTTTTTGGGATTTTTTCTTCTTTTTTTTTAATGTAAAAAATCTCATTTTTCAAATGGCGCAAATCATAATGGGAAAAAAAATACAGCATCGAAAATATATGGAGGCCTTTGACTGCTTCCTTGCAATAAAGAATCCAACTGTGTAGTGATGGTGAATCAGTTTCCATACAATGTAGGCAGTCAAATGATCTATTTACATGTGATATATTTTACTAAAGAAAAAAGAGGTGCGCCGCATTTAGCTCAATACATTAACGTGGGATCCGGCTCATCGCCGGAATGACCAGAACACCTATTGTTACTGTGGTGGTCCATTTACAGAGTGAGCGACATTCCCACTTGTTCTTTCTTTTTTTATAAGTTAAATAAATAAATGGCATAGTTAACACCATTATTACATTGTCTTTTTTTTCTTTTCTTTCTTTCAATAAACTAATAGTACTTGTCATTTTCAGTGACAAACCCATGCTACAATGCGAAACATGCCAACAATTCTTTCATGAAGGTTTGTGCTGATCTTACCTTTATGGCTGGTATCAATTCATTCAACGTCTTATCGTGACTCTTCTTTTTCTTTACTTCTGTAACATATATATATTATATAATACAATATATCCTGTCAGATTGCATTATTGGTGCACCTGGTCCATTATTATTTGGAGATAGATTTTTACGGTTTCGATGTGCAGTTTGCACACAAGGAGAAGAGGAATATGAACGGCAAAATATGAGCTGGATGACTATTGTCCATCTGGTGATTTACAACCTTATGCGAAGGCAGGGAATCGAGGCCACTAAAATAAAGGATCGTGATCACAAATTCTTTCGATGGAAAGAAGACGTCTGTGCGTTTATTGAAGACCATTGGCATTATCTTGCACCGGACAAACAACGTAAAGCTTACATATTTTATTTTGAATTCTGTGCTCTCATCATTTTCACAAGAAGTTTTCTAATATTCGATTATTATGATATTTTTTTTAAAAAAATACGATCCATATGCTATAATCCTTATGATAGGATCTTTGACCTGGCACAATACAATTGCCAGTGTATTATCAACTCACAGCAACATATTTCAATCTGGATTCGAAAAATTTCACCAGAGCGGTAACTAATTAAGACGAGAAAAGCAGAAGGAAGAAGAAGAATTAATTTATTTTCAATATATATATATATATATATATATATCTGTATGTGTATATGTAGCCTGGTGGACCTTGAAAAAAGAAGAGCCTCCTGGGCAAGGTATACATTTTTAATGTTATCAATACTACTATTACTATTACTATTACTTATTCATTAGGGTACTTCATTTTGTTTTATTTTGAAAACTATAGAAACAAAACCAAAGGTTGTGAAAATGAAACCAAATCTCAAAAAACCCTTGAAGCGTGCTCGTAACGAAACCGAAGTCGAAGAACCGTCAACGGATCGCATACTACGCCGAAGAACCTCGTCAATTGCTCACCCGTCTGGGTCAGAGGGGCCAGAAAACGGCAAAGCCCCAGTATCAAAATCCCAGCGTACTAATGAACTTCCGAAAATCAAAGAAGAATATAAAGAACCTCCGCTATTGACCCCTAAAGTATGTAACCATGGAAATAAATTCACTGTCGAGAGAGTTGATCAATGTTTATTTAAAAATCGATTGATGACTTTAATAGGAAGAAGAAGAAGAGGAAGATATTTTTGACCTCAGCTCTTTATCCGATATCTCTTCTGACTCTGATTTATTTTCGGAAGAAGACGAAAAGGTAAACTTCACAAATCTTGTATCCTATATATATATATATATATCTATATCTATATATCTATATTTATTGGTTGACATGTATTAATAATATATGTATAGCCATTAAAGGATCAAGAAAAACCTACACCCATCAGTCCACAAGACAAAGATAAGGCTACAGAAACATGGGTTACACACGTAAAAGAAGAAGTTGAAGAGCCAAGGTATATCCCAGAAGAACCACCTGTTTCAGAAATCGACGCTACAAATCCAAACAAAATATATGTATGTATCAGCTTCCTTTCCCGTCTTATATATGTATGTATGTCTAAGCACATATTTATTGATGTTGGATGGGTTAAATTTATAGGAAGGATTCCAGCCGATTTCCACACCAAATGTTATACCAACTCCTGAACCTCCTCAAATTCAAGAAAATCTCCAGAAGCATACTAATGAAAGGAAACCTGCCGAAAACAACTGTATCCAAAAGTATTTCCTTCCAGCCAAAAATAACACCAAGGTCTCTGACGCCAAACCTGATGATATTGTCGACACTCACACATCAAATCCCATCGCATCAAATCCTACCACACCAAATCCCACCACCACAACCCCCATCACACCCAAGCCTAGCACACCTAAACCTAACCTTCCTGAACCTATTCAAAGTCCCCCTTCCGAAAACCTAGCCAACACACAAATCATCGACATCCAACACACCTCTAATTCTCAAACTAGAGAAGATGTAAGCTCCATTGCGTGTACTAGGTGGAACTGTTATAGTTATTGTTTTCATTTACCAGATATTATCATTTTTCTGTTATTACTAGAAGCATGATCACAAGAAAGAGACCGATGTAAACGCAACCCCTCGCATTCCACCAACACCTTCTGTATTATCCCAGCACGAAGAATGGATATTATTTCAAAAACTAGAAAATTCTGCTCGAAAATTACCAGCCAATGCTGCTAGATATCGTCGAAAGCTTGGTGTTAGAAGGGTACATATAAGTTTTATTACTGTATATATATATATACTATGATTCTTGGGTACTTGCTTTGCTTTGCTTTATTTAACTTTACTTTCTTTAGTTGAAACGTAATCTTGGCCTCAAGATTTTTGATATCGATAATCATGTTGCTCAACATATCCGTCAGAAACTTGAATTGGAACCGATGTCCAAAAACTCTCATGTCAAACCGGCGATAAATCAACTGACCTCTCAAAATCCAGACTCACTACTTTCGTCTTCGGCCTCTAGCTTAGAAAACCTGACCTCAACACCATATGTGTCTTCATTTGCATCACGCCTGTATGGGCAGCCCCGTCAGCACGCAACCTTGACACGCGATGAACCGTGGCTGTCTCTCTGGAATGGACGCAAGCTCCGTCCTTACATTCGGCGTGATTTTGAAAGTAAACCGGCACGGATGCAAATGCTCTGGCAGATAAAGACGTGTTCTGGCCGGCCAATACCACGCCGAGAGCAGATAACCAACCAGGTCGAGGAGAACTCAAGTATTGATTATGTCTATTTCCAAAGACAGCATCTGGAACAAGCAAATGCTATGCTGTCTAGATGCTTTTGGGAGGGCATTGACGTTTCCGAGTCTTTGCTATTCCCTGAATTCAGTGTGATTGCACTCTACAAACGATGTGTGATTGGGTGTGCGTTTATGACACCTGAGGCATACATTACATATATTGCTGTTCTTCCGGGCTGGGAGAGTGCTGGAATTGGACAGTAAGCCAAGCTTAGATAATCATATGTATCACTAGTTTTTATTATTAACTAAAATGAAAACAATTTTCTAGGTTTATGCTGTACCATCTTTTCCAGGTAATTTATAAAGCAATGATAAAATAATCAAGATTTAATTGGCTTGATTCTAATACATACATCTTGTGGTTATTATAGACTGCTATTAGTAAGGACATCACACTCCATGTTTCGGCCAACAACAATGCTATGGTAAGCAGTATGGCTAGAGCCCCCCCCCCCCCCCCCCCCCCCCCCTTTTTTTTTTTTGAAAAAAAAAGCATGATCTCTCGGGACTAAAATCTAGTATCTTTACAGATCTTGTACCAGAAATTCGGCTTTAAACCAGAAGAGTTTATTGTCAATTTTTACGACAAATATCTTCCTTCTGACAGTGTTTTGAGCAAAAATGCCTTTTTACTACGACTCAGAAGATGATATCTTTTACACACACACACACACACACACACACATACATACATACACATCCTTACTCATACACACGCTCACGTACATACATATACATACATATATGGGTATATAGCCTTCCATAAACTTATCTGTACAATTTTAGAAAGGAACCTTGGAATTGCCAAAGTTTTCTACCTCTTTCTTTTTCAATTTCTTTTACTGTATCTTCTAATCTAAAACTATAATATATATATATATGTATATCTTTATACACTTGGCTTGACTAGAGCTTTATGTGGATAAGAGTATTTGGTGTCATTGCCTGTATTGCACTGTTTGCGCTTTCTGCGCATTTCCCGCAATTATTGACTGACAGCTGCAGAAAGGAATTTTTATGCATACGACAGTTTTAAAATTGATTTATCTATTAGAATAAGGAAAACTAGCCTTGAACTTCCCTTCCAAACGAGTGTTCATTGCACCTTTTTCCAAAAATTGACCAAAAGATTAATTGTTGGATATTGTACTTCTTTATATTTTTGTTATGCTTTTCATTTAGCTTCTTTTGTTTTAGTCTCAAGGCTATTCTTTTTGGGATCATATGGAGACAAATAAGGATAATTTCCTTGCCTGGGAAATATAGTTAAAAAAAAATCCTTTAAGAAAATACTCATATTGTTTTAATTGGCCGATAATTTTTTTTTATTCATACAGTAGGAGTTTAAACATGATCCCAAAAGAAAAGGAGAAAAAAAAAAGTTTTTATATTAGAATATAAAATAAAATGTTGTCTTTTTCCAGCCCGTCAATTTGTCATGTGAAATCTTATTCTACTCGACTTCTTTGTGTCTGTATATTCTTCTTATTCTTCTTTTGACTAATACCGAAAATCCAAAACACTTGGAGTCTATACTTCTTTAACTTAAATACATTGAAATTCTCTTTCTTATTTTTCTTTCCTTTTCTTTTTGAATATCATGACGCTGTTCAATCGATTTTGATACTAAAATAAAATAAAATAAAATAGCTTGCTCTCAATTATTGTTATTATTTTTATTATTGTTTTTTGCTGAGAAACAAATGAGACAAGAAAAAGACGGCTTTGTCTTCCTGGTTCATCCGAGTCTACCACAGTCCTAGTTGATCGATACTCACTGACTCACCAGCCCTTCAAAGGGTGTGTAACCTCAAAGGATCAAAATTCAATTTATATACTATTTATACTATTCTGGCCCTTATCCCACATATAACACGTTTCCCGGCTTTTTTATTTCCTTTTGCTTTCTTTCTTGCTTTTTCTTATTTTGATATTTTATATATCTCTGTCTATCTAAAATGCTCTCGGCAATCACTCGCGCTAACGTCAAGCCCACCCGTCTCGCCCAGCGCGCACTTGTCTCTACCTGGACCAACGTCCCTCAGGGTAAATAAATATATCTTACAATATGAAGGTTATCCCGGGATTCCATTTCTTATACTCTATACAGGTCCCCCTGATGCTATCTTGGGTGTTACCGAGGCTTTTAAGAAGAACACCAATGTCAAGAAGATGAACTTGGGTGTCGGTGCTTACCGTGATGATGCTGGTAAGCCCTACGTCCTCTCCTCCGTCAAGAAGGTAAGAATATATGTATATGTATAAGAGAGAAATAAGGGAAACATTTTATTTAGTCTGCGGGAAAACAAGGGAAATTACAAGGAAACTCCAGCAAAATTTAAATAACAATCTTTTATCATATAGGCCGAGCACAAGTTGATTAACAGCAACATGGACAAGGAGTACGCTGGTATCATGGGTCTCCCCGATTTCACTGCTGCTGCCGGTCGTCTCGCTTATGGTGACAACAGCCCAGCCATCACCGAGAACAAGGTAAAAAAATAAAAAAAATTAAAAAAAAAGAGCTAATGATACACTAGTCTTTTATTCAATTCGTGGGAGAAAAAGAGGGGGAGAGAAGGGATTGGTTTTTATCCAAAGAAGAAGTAATGTTAGTAACCTTTTTGTATTGTGATTATAGTTGGCCATCACCCAGTCTATCTCCGGTACTGGTGCCCTCCGTATTGGTGCTGCTTTCCTTAGCAAGTTCTACCCTCACTCCAAGAACATTTTGGTCCCTAACCCTACCTGGGGTAACCATATCCCCATCATGGAGCACAGCGGTTTGACTCTTGAGAAGTACTCTTACTTTGACAAGCAGACCAACGGTCTCAACATCGATGGCATGCTCGAAGACTTCCACGTAAGTGTTGTTATGTTATAGTATTTCTCTATTCTGTTTCCTTTCTTTCTTTGTGTGCGTGGGTACATACATGCATTTATGCATATAAATACACACGTATTCGGAACCAACAAATAATCTAAACAATCTATAGAAAGCTCCCAAGAACACCATCCTCCTCCTCCACGCCTGTGCCCACAACCCCACCGGTGTCGATCCTACTCCCGCTCAGTGGGACGAGATCTCAAAGGTAGTCAAGGAGCGCGATCACTTTGTGTTCTTCGATATGGCCTACCAGGGTTTCGCTTCCGGTGACTGCAACCGTGACGCTTACGCTCTGCGCAAGTTCGTCGATGAGGGCCACTCCGTTGTCTTGGCTCAGTCCTTTGCCAAGAACATGGGTCTCTACGGTGAGCGTGTCGGCTCCTTCTCGGTTGTCTGCGCCGATCAGGAAGAGCGTGCTCGCGTCGAGTCTCAGCTGAAGATCATCATCCGCCCCATGTACTCCAACCCCCCTATCCACGGTGCCCGTCTCGTCAGCACTGTTCTCAACACCCCCGAGCTCAAGGAGGAGTGGCTCGGCGAAGTCAAGGTCATGGCTGACCGTATCATTACCATGCGCAACAAGCTCCGTGGTCACCTTGAGAACGACTTTGGCTCCAAGAAGAACTGGAACCACATCACAAACCAGATCGGCATGTTCTGCTACTCTGGCATGACCCCTGAGCAGGTCGACAAGATCAAGGAGGACTGGCACATCTACCTCACTCGCGATGGTCGTATCTCCATGGCTGGTATCTCGTCCGACAACGTAAAGTACCTTGCTGAGGCCATCCACGACGTCACCAAAGATTAAATAAATATATATATATATATATATATACGTGTATGTATGTATGTGCGCGCACGCGTGTATATATGTGTGTACAAGTGTGGGCAAGTGTAACATTGCAAAAGGTGGGGTAATTTTTAGGCTTCCTGTTTTCTGATTCGACCCTTTGGGTTAGGTCAAACACACGCACACAAAAAAAACAAAAAACAAAAAAAAATGAGGGGAATCCCTGTGTGTGTGTGTGTGTGTGTGTGTAAGTTTGTGGGTGGGAGGATATTGATGCGAAGTTTTATCATATGCTTCACGTGAATTCTTAGACCTTCTTACTAAATCACCAACGCACGCATCCACATTCATTCATTCATTCACTCACTCATTCAAACATCCACCAATTCTCTATATGCACTTGCCCATGTGTATGCACTTTCTTTTGTTTCTCCATTAAAATTCAAAATTCAAAATATCCCTTTTCCTTTACTTCTCTTCCCTACTCTCATACTTTATATTTTTATATAAAAATCTCAACTTGCATTCACAATCATGTCAAAGTTCTACACACTTGAAGAAGTAGCCAAGCACACTGCTGCTAATGACTGGTACTTTAACCCCATTATCACACACACGTCTTTGTAACATACTATGTAGCTGGGTCATTATCGAGAACAAGATTTACGATGTTTCTGGCTTCCTTGATGATCATCCAGGCATGTCTACAGCTACAGCTACAGCTACAGCTACAACTACAGTTCTGGTTGCAGTTCTGGCTACGGCTACGGCTACGGCTACGGCTACAGCTACAGCTACGGCTAAAGCTACGACTGAAGCTTTCCATTATTATTATTATTATTATTATTATTATTTCTTAAAAAATGGGAGATAACTAGTTACAAGTACCATGTGTATTAACTAATCCCTATAGGAGGAAAAAAGGTTCTTCTCAAGGCATCCGGCAAAGACGCCACTAAGCAGTTCCAATCCTTCCACAGTCCTTCGGTCCTTCAGAAGTTTGGTCCTGAACTCTTGATCGGACACGTCGGAACTGCCGAAGATGCTCAGTTGGCTATCGAAGAAGAGCGTTCCAACGAAGAAGAATCTGAAGAGATCGAGCGTGGTCCTTTGACTGTCGGTATTCCTTTTGGTGACATGGTTCCTTTTGGTGATCCAATGTGGTACCAGGACTGGTACAGGTATGAAAAAAAAAAAGAAAAAAAAAACATTCGTTTGATAATAAACTTTAACTAAGAAACTTTTTTTTAAAAATAATAATACTAATAATACTCTATAGTCCCTTTTACAATGAGAGTCACCGCAAGGTCCGGAAGGAAGTCCGTGCCTTTGTGGAAAAGGAGATTATGCCATTTACCCATGTTTGGGACGAGGCCAAGAAGATCCCTGCCGAGGTTTTTGGCAAGGTAGCCAAGGCAGGTCTTCTTGCCAGTTGCTGTGGAGTTGTTCCCCCAGAGTTCATCACGTTCCGTTTGCCAGGTGGCATCGAGCCTGAAAAATTCGATGCTTTCCACCGCTTGATTGTAATGGATGAGCTATCTCGTTGTGGATCTGGTGGTGTAAGTGTTTTATATATACATATATACATATATGCATACACAGCTTTACTATAGTAATAGATATGCTGTTACAATAAAGAGAGTGAAAGAAAAGAAAAGAAATCTAATATAATGTAATGTAAGATACTCAAAGCACATCATCTTCTTCTTCTTATTCTTCTTAGGTAACCTGGGGTCTGATGGGTGGTCTTGGTATTGGCTTACCACCAGTAATTCATTTTGGCTCAAAGTACCTTCAGGAAAAAGTTGTTCCTGGATGCATGTCCGGTGAAAAATTCATCTGCTTGGCTATTACTGAACCAAGCGGTGGTTCGGACGTCGCTGGACTGCAGACAGAAGCCAAGGATATGGGTGACCATTACCTGGTCAACGGCGAAAAGAAATGGATTACAAATGGTGTATTTGCAGACTATTTCACTGTAGCCTGTCGTACAGGCGAGCCTGGCTTTGGTGGCATTTCGTTCCTTCTCCTGGAACGCGGCATGCCTGGTATCACCACGCGCCAGATGAACTGCTCGGGTGTCTGGCCTTCTGGTACAGCCTACATCACTTTTGAGGACGTCAAGGTTCCCAAGGCCAACCTGATTGGTCAGGAGAATAAGGGATTCAAGTACATCATGTACAACTTCAACAGCGAACGTCTTGGTATCGTAGTCCAGGCCAACCGCTTTGCCCGTGTCTGCATTGAAGAGTCTCTCAAGGTTTGTGATTATGATAACTAAGGCTCACTCTTTTACTATTATCTGGTTTACACAATCTCTTAAAACAAAAAATTGTTATGATTTTCTTTTAGTATGCCCACAAGCGCAAGACATTTGGAAAATTATTGGTTGACCATCCTGTTATTCGTAACAAGTTTGCCCACATGATCAGACAGGTCGAAGCCACCCATGCATGGCTAGAAATCCTCATATATCAGAGCATGCACATGCCTGAAGAGATTCAGCCTATTCGATTGGGTGGGCCCATTGCACTCTGCAAGGCTCAATCTACCCAGACATTCGAGTACTGTGCTCGTGAGGCTGCACAAATCTTTGGTGGTTTGGCTTACACCAGAGGTAATTAACAAACTAGTACAACAAAGATGGGGATAAATAATTTAGCCAGTGATTAACTTAATCTTTTTTTTTGTATGTATGTGTGTGTGTGTTTAGGTGGTCAGGGAGAAAAGGTTGAAAGGTTGTACCGTGAAGTGCGGGCCTTTGCTATCCCAGGTGGATCAGAAGAAATCATGTTGGATTTGGGTGTTCGACAGGCTGTAAAAGTGGGTGCCTTTATGGGTGCAAAGATGTAGAATAGATCCAAAATACAAAATACAAAAAAAAAGTTCCAAGGAAGGCCTGAAGACGTTCTTTATTTTTCTACTGGTTAAAGTTGTATAAAATTAAAGATAATTTGTCTGTGCTTATTATAATAATAATGATAATAATATTATTAATACATAAAAGACTTTAGCCATTTTTAATTGTTAGCGTATTCAGAAATGCTGTTTGCCAGCACAGGAAGAAATACATAGAGGAAATTGTCGAGGGAATTGAACCATGTCATATAAAGATCCCCATTGTTATTCAGCATATGCTTCTTAATGATCTGTTTCATTTTGGCTATAGAAAATGAACTTTATAGACTATGGTCGTTTAGTATATCCTTATTTTAGAAAATTTGTCAATTTCCTCGATGATTCCCTCCTACCCTGGTGAAGAGCAAAATTGGGGTTTTTTTTTGTTTTTTTTATTAAAGTATTTTAGCTACACATGCCGCTCTTAATGTCTTTATATCTTTGGAGAAAAAGGTAGGCATGAATGTAAAATTCTTTATTTTCTATTGCATTTTACCTTTTTTGACTTTCTGGTGATATATATGTGAAATAAAGACAAAACCATGATACACATAAGGCCAATAAATAGTAAAAATATCCAACAAGATCGAGTCCAAAAGTGTGTAATGACAACTCATAATCTTCTGCATAACTGGCTATTGATATAGTGTATTTATGACTAATTACTACTTTTTATAGCCAAATCTAAATTTAGGGCTACTAATTGAATATATTAGAGAGCTTGTTAACAGAGTCGATTAAGCTTATACTTCGACTTAGGCTTATCGGAGTATATATTTTCTTATACCGACTACAACTTCCATTTTTGATAAGCCTAAGTTCTCTACTTCGACTTAATTTAGTCGAATAGCGAGAACCTTATCCTACAAATTCATGAAGACATATACAATAATTAATTTTCAATACTCCTTGCATAAAATCAATTATAAGACTCTTAGCTAAAATATACTAAAATATCAGGGTGAAATATCAATTAATTCTCTCTAAAAGTCATTATGTTTGTCATGTAATAAAATAATAACATAACATTCCAAGTCTTGGGTATAAAACTCATAATAAATCAACTTTTTTCTATTTCATACATCAAATTTTTTTTACAAATCACAATCTTTATTACTGTCATACATTTATAAATATCTAACCAACTATGGTACCAAATAAATCAAACAAAACTACAAGAAGAAACAGAAAGAACTTGGTCATTCACCAGTACATACCGTCACCTCCAAGTACAAAAGATCAAGAAGGCGAGAAATTTGTTCCTACGGTCAGCTCGTCGGGTTCTCTAGGTAGCTTAACATACTACAAAAAAACTAGTACTACTTCAAGAGGATAATACTTAGTTAAAAAGGTTATAGTGTAATTTTTAAAGGTAAAATAAAGTTCAAAAAGACATAAAATCGATGTTTAATCCACTTTATATATTATTGATGGTATTGAAATATGCATAAGGCAGCTCTAATAAAATTAACCTCTTTACTGTAGATATAATTCATAAATACACTCAAAAAGAGCACGGAAAAGCTCAATAACAACAGAGAACACTTATACTTCTTTATAAATCTTCTGACATTAATCTGACAAATTAATGTATATTTTCAGTATAAATTTCTAATAATATCCAAATAATTTATGAAAAAAGTGGACAAATAATTGCCACAATCATACCCTAGTCCTAAGTCAATGAAATAACTCCCGCGGCGAAAATAAACTACTGCTAATTTTGGCAAGAAGAAGTTCGACTCTATTAACAAGCTATCTATTGTATGAATCTCAGGACACATCATTCTGCCCTGAAGGATTAAAGAAAGACACAGGGCCAAAAGCATAGCCTGGTTAAATACAAACGTCGTGTCCCACCAGAAAATGTTGGTCCCATAAGATTAGCGTTTTTTTTGAAACATTTACCAAATATCAAAGTATGACCCTCACCTCAAAAAAAAGTAATTTCAAATGACAGCACGCCTAATTGTTCGATTTGATCCCTTTAGCATGTCCTGTTAGCGTTCTACCAGCATGTTTGTAACTTTCCGGAAGATTTTCATCTGAGTTGGTTATCACGATACTGAAAGCTGTTACAATTGCTGTATGCACACCCTCAGGAACATAAAATAAAAGTAAAAAAAAAATCAAAGTAAGCATACACCAGGTGCTTCAAAATACTGAGTGGGTATCTTTGGTATAGTTTTGCGGCGTCACAACTATATCACGGGCTTTTAATGTGATTTTTGTGATAGAAATAAAATACCGGGCACCGGACAAAGAAAATTGAAATAAGATTTGAAACAAATGCAACTGCACTAGCAATTTTTTTTTAATATATATATATATGATTTTATTGTTTTTTTTTAGTTTAATGGAGAGTTTGCTAAGGGACCAGCCGTTAGCAGTTCTTTGTCTTTCGACAATATTTACGGCCTCTTCAATTGAGCATCGGTATTCTTTTTCTACATCTAATACTTTATTTATTATTACAAGTATTCGAGAGTAAAACTGGGGTTCTGTACAAGATATTAGTAAAATAATAATAATAATTTAATTATGTCAAAGTAATACCTTTTACATCTCTTCTCCCGATAAACCTTTTTTTCTGGCAAGCTCCATAACAGAAGGGCCATCAGAGTGCAGTCCAATTGACCATTCACGCCACAGATCAGGAACCGAGTTTATGCTTCGATTTAATGTATACGGTGAAGCTGTTTCTTGTTGTTGAGCAGTGTTAGGAGATGGGTACGGCTGGAATCGTTGTTGTGGTCTATTTCCGGAACCAAAAAAAAAATAGTATGTTTCACGTAACCGCTGCATGTCCTCTCGCATTTCTTTACATGGGTGACAGTTATGTCCTCCATTTGGTTGGCAGTCTTGTTTCTGCAACAAACTCGTTTAGAGGATTGTTTGCTTACTGTCTATTTTGGCACCTAAGCTCTGTAGCTGTCTTGATAGCACTGAAACGGCCCTTTGTAAAAGAATGTCTTCGGGTTCTTGAGCAATCTGACAGGCAGCATGCATAGCATTTTCGAAGGAAAGGAACTCGGGGTCACTGAACAAGCTATGGTTGAAGAATGGGCTGGCTTTATGCTCGGCCCGGAACATAACTACATCTTGCAAAATAATTTTGGGCATGTTCTTTAATACCCGGAGAAAATCTTGGGCGGATATTGACTTCTCACAGATTATGCCTTCCCCAACTTGTTGTAAAAGCTCATCTACTCTTGGAAAAACCTTTTTCTGAAGACTTTCGGTTGGACAGACATTTGCTCTTGGTATCCAGAATTGACTCTTTTCTTCAGAGAAGTCATTAATTATACGAATCGACCTTCGGGGGAGAGAGGTAAGATAGCATGTTTCCATACTTTGCATATTCCATCGACCGTGTCTTTGCAGTTGGTCCTCTGTTGCTCCATCAATCTCTGCATGACGAGCACCACTGCTGCGACCTGCGTGTGTCTTTTTGCTACTAGTAATGTTACATACTTTAAAGACACGGTTTGTTGAATTCAACTGGGTGCTGTACGTCAATGCTTTATCTCGGTGGACTCCTTTAGCCACTTTCAGATCGTACCAGACCTTGTTGGTCGTAAAACATGGAAAAAGTTTGTTAGAAATCTGCCAGCAATAAGAAAAGTACATCGCTAAAACACCAAATGCACACACCCGATAGTCGCGATGTCTGATTGTACCAGCGTGTTGAACAGTGCCAAATTTTGTTGTTTTTCCGTGGCCAATGCGCACAACCAAAACAGGGCACTCAGAATAGTCTTCATCTTTGGATTCAAGAGGGAAAAGATCCGCCAGATTCATGTTCCGGGTAGTCTCTCCACGAAGTATCATCATATACTGTAATAAAAACACCATTCTGTCTAGGAAAGAACTTTATTTCTCTTTGCTAAAGTAACACATCACGACTTTGATGAGCTCATCTGGGGAATATCCATCTTGGGAGCTATGAAGAGCGTGGTCATGGTAGCTTTGACGATGTCTCTGTCTTTCTCCGTACAGTCTTGATTTTAATCAGGCTTGCAATGCCTTCCCTCGAACACTCGGCTCACTCGAAAGGTTTCTCGAAGCTTGAGATGCGTAAAGATCTACAACTGCCTTGATGTATTGCAAAATTGGCTCCATTTTGAGTTCTTGAAATGTACCATCAGGATTGGGGCCTTTCTTTAGATTCCCACGAGAGACTACTACTTCGTCCAGAAATCTGAGCAACTTTGCCTCTATAACGAGATATCCGTTCTCATAGTTATTCTCTATACAAAAATCCTACATACAGTGCCGTAGGTTAGTAAAGTGCACAGATTTAAGTTCCGAAAAAATGAAAATGCTTATACAAATGCTACCATCTATGTTTTTCCATTTTTACACTTATAACACACTGTCAAAATAACACACAAGAAAGCTTGAAGTCTTCTCTTCTATAAAAATTGGTTTTAAAAGTATATTTTAATATTTTGTATACAATCCTTTACTCTTCTTGAGAGCATGTAGCCTCTTTGGCATTGAGTTGCAATGGGTCGCACACACAGAGGCTGGTATTTTTCTCCATTCCTCTTGTAAAAACCTCTTCAATTGGGTAAGATTCTTTGGGTGAGGTCTTCTAGCCCTCACCTGCTTCCCAAGATATGCCCACATATTCTCAATTGGGCTGAGATCGGGACTGCGCGCAGGCCACTTCATTACCTCCAAATTGGCAGCTGTTTGGTACTCTTCTATCATTTTTGTTCTATGACAAGGGGCGTTATCTTGCTGGAAAATAAAACTATCATTGTGTGCTTGCTCCAGGCGACGTTTGAAGGGAACCAGCCTTTTTTCCAGGATGTTCTTATAACTCCATTGATTCTGGCTGCCATGCACGATTTCTAGGGGGCCAACTCCACCAGACCAAATACATCCCCAAATCATTACTGATCCTCCTCCGCCTTGAATCATTGGTCTTATACAGTCATATCTGTATTTTTCTGATGCCAGACGCCAGATTCGTACACTTTTGCACATAGGAAGCAGCATAAATGATGACTCATCACTCCAAATTACGCGTTCCCAGCTCTGGTTGACTTTTTGGACATGGCGAGTAAATGCCATGCGGTTCTTTCGATGCTTATCAGTAAGCCAAGGCTTGTGTACAGCCATACATGACTTCATATTAAGTCTTTTAATAGCATCACGCAAGGTATCCTTACAAACAGTCCGATGCAAGGTGATTGACATAGTCTGAATTAGGGTGTCCAGGTTGGCGGACCTGTCTTTCACTATTTCGCGACGCAAAACACGCAGATCTCTTTCAGTAAATATCCTGGAAGGTCCCTTTTGCTTTGGTGTAACTGCAGTCCCTCTTTCATCATATTTTTTGACTAAATTGTAGACAGTTCGTCGTGATACTCCATGCGTCTCACAGATGACTGGTACTTTTTCTCCAGATTTAAAAGATCCAATAATTACGCCGTTCTTTTTGCTTAAAATCTCTCTTTCAAGCATACGAGCTTCAGAAATGTTTTTGGAAGACATGGTTAAAATTAAATGAGAAATAAAGGGTGTGAAAGAGAAAACAAAACAAGAGATGGACATTTTTTTATTAAAAAAAAAGTCGGGAATTCAAAGTGTGTACTTTCCCAACCTACGGCACTGTATGTATTTTTATTATTTAACAATTAGTTATTTATAATTAAATATCAAAGCTTTTTAACATACTTCAAATAATTTCTGTTTGCTCACATAAGACTTTCTGGTGTAGATAGGCTTCTCATTTTCTCTTGTAAATAAAGTTAATGTTATAACAGCGGCTTCACGGGCAGCATTATTGACACGGTTTGAAGTTTGACGGGAGACAAAAGATTGGGTAGACATGTTATTGAATTTAAATAAAAAAGGGCTTTAATGGGTCAAAGAGTTGATACTTTTTATTATATCTTATTGTCTAAATGATAACCAACCATAAACCAATGGAAGCCTTTAAATTAGAGAACTTAAATGCTGATATACCCACATCATTAATGGCTAGTTCTGACAAGCATAATGCGTCAAATATTTGTCATTAAGATACAGCACTAAAAACTGTGATACATTTACTGAAAAGAAATAGATAAAGTAAAGTATATATATATATATATATATATATATATATTATTAAAGTTATATAGCTTTAGATAGAGTTATTCGGTGGAGACTATATTAATGTTGATTTATAAAACATTGCAAAAGTATATAAAAAAAGTGTTCCAGGGATAGTGTAACTAAGCAACAAAAGAAAACAAACTGCTTTAAGATGCTCCCCAGCGTCCTCAGTATATTAGCTAAAAAATCTACAATCGTTTCAATTAACAAATATAAGAATTTCAGCTATTATTATAGTATTATTGTGATAATAGACAATAATAAGTATCTAATATTATGATGAAAAATGAGCATTTGTCTAAGCAAGAACATATTATTTACTGCTTAACTAATGTCAGTGTTACAATTATGTAATCAAGTTATAAATTGTATTTCTTTAGCTGTTAGCTATTCTTTTTTCTTTGCACAAGAGGTTTAAAACTTTCTACTAAATTAGCTCCATATAACTCTGACACAGTTTACCCGGTAGTATGATATAATTATCTTAATAATCTTTAAGATATTATCTACAGTACTAACTGTAATAATTATTGGCCTGATTACTTAATCGTTTATATATATATTAATTCTGACAAAATAATAGCCACTAAGCTATCCCAATATAAATATGTTCTTATATGTGATAAATCCAGCAGCCGAGTGTCTGGATTACCACACTTTTTGGTACAACTGGGGCTATATATGTATATATGTATATAAAGCTGTGATTAGGATTTTATCATTTATCTAATATTATATACATATATACACATAAATCAAGACTTACCCGAACAAACTTCATCTTCTTCAAAAGATGAAGGAACGTATGAAGAAGATGAAGAAGAGGAGGAGGGAGAGGATGGAAGAGGAGAAGAAAGAGAAGAAGAGGAGGAAGAGGAAGGAAGAGGAGAAGAAAGATAAGACGAGGAGGAGGAGGAGTAAGGAACGAATGAAGAAGAGGAGGAGAGAGAGAAAGAAGAGGAAGGTGAGCGAGAGAGAGAGGAGGGGGAGGGGGCATTCGAACGCTGGCGTGACTCCAGCGACGAAGCAGACGAACGAACGGAATAAGATGATGGGAGTGACGAGGCGGGGGAGGAAACGGAAAAAATGGTTGAAGGTGAGGGAGAGGGGGAAGGAGAGGGAGAGGGGGAAGGGGAAGGATTATAACCTCCCACGGATGGGAGGGGGGAGATTGTGCTAATGGATCTGTTGAAGATTCCATTGTCACTGTTGTTGCTGTTGAAGCTGTTGTTGTTGCTCATTGTATATAATCTGTGCAAAGAAAAGAAAAGAGAAAAAAAAAAGACTGCCATACATTTCCTTGTCCTTTTATTACTTTTTTTTTCTTTTTCTTGTTCTCTTGTTCTGTCTCTCTTTGGCTATCATTTTTCTGTATCAAAAAAAAATATTAATCACAGTATGTAGTAGTCTATTGGCAAGGGCTGTGTTGCAATTAGCATGTGAAGGCTAAAGGTGCTCTCCAGCGTCCTCAGTATATTATCTAAAAAATCTATGATCGTTTCAATTAACAAATATAGAAATTTCAGCTATTACTATAGTATTCTTGTGATAATAGGCAATAATAAATATTCAATATTCTGATGAAAAATGAGCATTTGTCTAAGCAAGCACATAGTATTTACTGAGCTGGATGAATTTGTGGAGAGATAATAGAGTAATACTAAGAGCAAAAGATACTAAATCCAGCCTTGAAAATAATAAGAAAATTTGAATTTGTCTTTATAAATGATCGAGTTTTTTTTGTGGCATTTTAGTAATATATATTTTATAACTAATGTACCTATCAAATATTAGTTATTTTATATTTTATACCTTTTACTCTCTTACTTTCACAATATTTAAAATGAGTAACAACACCAATATCAACAGCTACATTGACAGCAGTAATCATGTTTACAATGATAGTGATGATGAAAATGAGACAAGTACTGAGCATGAGTTGGCAACTATACAGAAAATATTTTATCTCATTTTTTAACGTAACTCTAATTTTGACCTTGATAAATATAATTCTTTAGAGCTTGAAGTATCTCACATGATACAGATTAGAAAGTAAGCAGTAACTATATATACACTATTCTCTCAGGCTTAGAACATAATAATGTTAGCCCAGAATGTCCGGACCATAGACAATTTTCAGTACGCTTGTTACCTGGGCTCCCCTGTCCATTTTGTAGAAAAAAGTGGAATTTGAAACAACCTGAATGGAGACATAAACCATTGGTAGACATATTGTCACCTTTACTTGTATGATAGAACTGGCTCCAACAGCTTTCAGGCCCATTATCAAGTAAATAGAGAGAAATTCAATATGATTGTGAATGTTCTCAGACAAGACCCTGAATATCAAGCCTCTGAGCAATATGCACTTTGGTTATAGAATAGAGTTGTTAACGGTTAGCCATGAATCATACTGCTGCTTTACTAATAGATTTGTAAATGTCATGATTTGATCCTTTTTGGACGCAACAATAAGATGGCCAGCAAAACTTGAGGAAATCCAAAAAATTATGAAAGGATTTTCTGTTCCTTCAGTCCGAGCAGAACACCACTACCTTAATGAATGCATTGACGCCATGGATAGAAAGCTAGTTGTAATCCAAAAGCCATTCTTATTTGGCAACAGCTGGTTGGATCGTTGCAGCAGCGCCTCCATGGCTCTTGTGGCTGTATATGATTACAAAAAAGGTTTACGGATATAAGAGTTGGATTGGCCGATAAATATTATATAGCAATATTTATGTAATTACTCTTACTAAACTTTCTTGTATTTAGGAAACCAAAAACAATACATTTATCTTCAAGACTAGTAAGTTATATTAAAATATAATTCACAGCTCTAGAGAGCTGTTCTGTGATCCAAGATCATATATTGTTGAAGATAATTTATATTATATAAATACTCTAATAAAACTAATTAAACATACATATATTTAAAAAAGACTCTGTTTTCCCTATCTTAAAGCATTGTCTTATTTCTTATTGTAGAGCGAACGATATGACGGTAGAGGAGAAAAAGTTCAATAATATATAACCAGCAACACGATTTAGAATTGAAAATGCTTTTGAGTTGCTTGTCTCCAGATGGAGATTCATGTTCAAGCATCTTTTTCTCATGTAGCCAGAATCAATAACAAAAGATGTAACCAAATGTTGCATTTTGCACAGCATGTGTATCATCTTTGGCAACAGCAAAAAATATCTTGAAGAGCTATTAAGAGCAGATGAGACCAATCCGCAGAGAATGAGGATGAGAATTTTGAGAGCCTGTATGCTAAAATGAATAACTTTCGTATAGATACTGAAACTGCTTTTGAGGGAAGAGCTAAACACTATGAAGTGAAAGACACCTTTTAATTTTTTATTCAATATTTTTTTTAAAAAATAACCATGATAAGAAAAACGATTTAGGGTATTTTATTGATAGCATAAAAGAAATAAAGAAGGCGTATAAAAAGGAGAAGCAAGTTAAGATATGTTGCTCATAGTATATAAAGAGAAGAAGACATAGAAGAGAAAAATATTAGTCGGATGCATTATTAAGAGAAGTAGAAGAAGCAGAAAGATACTGTGTAATTGTATCTGCACTTTTTTTTTCAAAAAGGCTAATAATCTGCATTTTGCTTCTCTTTCTTCTCTTGCAATTATTTCTCTGCTGAGAAGATCGTTACTGGAAATCTGCTTTCTTGCGAGGACGTCTTCTCTTGCGTTATTGTCTCTTGATGCCCTGTTCAAGCGACGTGCCTCCAAAAATGACACAGTGAGTATATATTGACACTCTACTGAGCAGACGAAGGCATCTTTTACCTACTCTAACTACGAACTTGGAGAGATAAAAGCCTCATCAAAGATATCAGTCTCTCTCTCAGAGCTTCTCAAGAATTCAGACTGGAACTCCAGCTGTGTCAATCTCGTGTTTTTGGTCTCTGATGTCAATGATGATGAGAGTGATAATGATGGTGCAGGCATAGATACAGACGCAGATGTGGAAGGGAGACGAAATGAGAACTGGTAAGACAGCCAAGAACTAGGCTCAAAACTGCCTTCTGAGATGTGTAGTGGTTTCAGATCTGCTGTCACAGGGGAAATGCAGCGTTTATTTTCATCTATAATTTCTGAGACAAAAATAGGGCCAGAAAACTAGGTGTTGGAATATGTGATTCCATCTTTTTGCCAGACGAATATTACTGGGGCTGCATCTGTCTCAACTAAAATGCTTAACAAACTAATGATTATTGGTGGGAAGAAACTAGGGTCCAACAACATTATCTCTTTTATGACATCAAAAAATTGAAACCTCTCTTGAGGAGGAGAGCAACGAGATCCAGTTCTTTGTATATCAACAAAAACCTTGTGGAATCCCTTGTCGACAGTTTAGAATCTCTCTTTTACACATTTAAGGTCCCTGTATTTCAGAGAAAACTGGTGTCCCGCAGAAGTATCAGCAAAGCATATCATATTGGGGTTGATACAAAACTCAGCATGAAGATTGCTCCCCAGGCTTGCCTTTCTTGTACTGTCACCAATAACATGCTTGACATGGAATTTTGCTTCTATGATTAGGCGAAGCAGCATCTTTATAATTGTATTGCCACATTTTGTATGGCGGCCTACTCTAGAAGCCACTGTCATTTGGACGATGCCTTCCTCACTGGGATTGCCTTCTTGGTTTTTATAATTATGTATGTTATGATTATAAAAGGAGCTCATAGTAGTTAAATAAAAAAAAATAGAAAAAGATTGTGAGAGATTGCAGAAGGTTGTAGGAAATTGTATGAGAGAAAACAGTTTTAACTTAAAGTATTTATAGGACTGTCAATGAGAATTACTCTTATTATTTTCAAGGCTGGATTTAGTATCTTTTGCTCTTAGTATTACTCTATTATCTCTCCACAAATTCATCCAGCTCAGTAAATACTATGTGCTTGCTTAGACAAATGCTCATTTTTCATCAGAATATTGAATATTTATTATTGCCTATTATCACAAGAATACTATAGTAATAGCTGAAATTTCTATATTTGTTAATTGAAACGATCATAGATTTTTTAGATAATATACTGAGGACGCTGGAGAGCACCTTTAGCCTTCACATGCTAATTGCAACACAGCCCTTGCCAATAGACTACTACATACTGTGATTAATATTTTTTTTTGATACAGAAAAATGATAGCCAAAGAGAGACAGAACAAGAGAACAAGAAAAAGAAAAAAAAAGTAATAAAAGGACAAGGAAATGTATGGCAGTCTTTTTTTTTTCTCTTTTCTTTTCTTTGCACAGATTATATACAATGAGCAACAACAACAGCTTCAACAGCAACAACAGTGACAATGGAATCTTCAACAGATCCATTAGCACAATCTCCCCCCTCCCATCCGTGGGAGGTTATAATCCTTCCCCTTCCCCCTCTCCCTCTCCTTCCCCCTCTCCCTCACCTTCAACCATTTTTTCCGTTTCCTCCCCCGCCTCGTCACTCCCATCATCTTATTCCGTTCGTTCGTCTGCTTCGTCGCTGGAGTCACGCCAGCGTTCGAATGCCCCCTCCCCCTCCTCTCTCTCTCGCTCACCTTCCTCTTCTTTCTCTTCCTCCTCCTCCTCGTCTTCTTTCTCTCTCTCCTCCTCTTCTTCATTCGTTCCTTACTCCTCCTCCTCCTCGTCTTATCTTTCTTCTCCTCTTCCTTCCTCTTCCTCCTCTTCTTCTCTTTCTTCTCCTCTTCCATCCTCTCCCTCCTCCTCTTCTTCATCTTCTTCATACGTTCCTTCATCTTTTGAAGAAGATGAAGTTTGTTCGGATAAGTCTTGATTTATGTGTATATATGTATATAATATTAGATAAATGATAAAATCCTAATCACAGCTTTATATACATATATACATATATAGCCCCAGTTGTACCAAAAGGTACAAAGAGAAAGTTGGATGAGTTGGAGGAGCTTGCCGAGTTGGCAATGGAGTACCGCCGTGTGTACAAGCGCACGGCGGTTAACAAACCGTTCAAGAAGTCTCCCCTCGGTTGTGAAGAAGACGGGGATCTCGGGTAGGCGCCAAAGAAACCTGCGCAAGTACTTTCAGTTGGTGGTAAGTAACTACTTATCTTTATACATATTTGTGTGTTTATTTATATATATATATCTAACAAATGCCTTTTCTTTTCTTCATTAGCGGTAACCACTGGAACGAAGCGGAGCTGCCCTGAGGACTTTGACGAAGACGAACGCGTCCCAAAGCGCGTCCTTCGTCAGATCCTTGCTGATTACGAGGAACCCGTCCAGAAGGGCAAGACGGGCCTTCCATTGTCAAAGGCCCTCTACAGACGGGTTCTGAGTCAGGAGACCCAGGCAGAGGCGGTCCTGGCCATCACAGGGTGCCTCCACCCTAGAAAGTGTGAGGCAGTAAAGCCAGAAGAGGACGCCGCCGTCTTCCAGGTGCCACATCCAGTAGTGGTATCACCAGCATCAGCATCAGCAGCATCAGCAGCAGCATCAGCATCAGCATCAGCAGCAGCATAATCAGCAGCAGCATCATCATCATCAACAACAACAACATAAAACCCAGCGCTTTTGGTCTGGATATTCTTTTCTCAAGAGCGGGAAAAAAAAGATGAAGAATCTCCAGACCATCTCCCGGCAGAAGCAGAAGTTACTCCAATTAACTGCTTTATATATCTTATAGCAACAGGAAGCAACAGATTCCAATCTACTAACAAGCAACAGATTCCAATCTACTAACAAGCAACAGACTAATCTACTAACAAGCAACAGTTACTAATTTACTAACAAGCAACGGGAACTAACCTACTAACAAGCAACGAGAACTAACCTTACTGGCAACTAACTTGATTAGCAGAAACAGAAACAAAATCCGAAATCTGGATCAGTATTAGGATCAGTATTAGGATCAGTATTAGGATCAGTATCAGAATCAGTATCAGGATCAGTATCAGGATCAGTATCAGGATCAGGATCAGTATTAGGATCAGTATCAAGATCAAGACCAATGCCAGGGTCATGGATAAGGATATGATTAGGATCAGGGTCAGGATCAGGGTCAGGACCAGAAGGAAGGAAGGATAGATAAAATAAAAAATTAGAATATATATATAAATATTATTTATTTTATTATTTATTTTATTATTATTATTATTATTATGAGAGAAATATATCTATTTTACAATTGCGGTAACATAAGAATCGTTGGATTTACTATTGATACTATAATGTAATATGAATTAAGAAAATATTAATACTAATGAATATCAAGAAGACCATAATATATGCTTATATAAAAGTAGCTATTGTACGGCACCAATAGTGCTAGCACTGGAATTGGCATTGGCATTGGCATTGGCATTGGCATTGATATAATAAACTTATACAAGAGCCATACACACACATATATATATATATATTGAAAAGCAGATATGGCCCTTTATAAGAAGAAAAACTGACAGGCTTAAAGATGGAGTCATAACATACTTTTTCGTTCGGCAGGAGATATAGTTTGACCACATTCTCAAGTCATTTGGTAAACAGAGTTTATCGACTGCTCAAAGTAGCCCATAAGAAAGTTCTTGAAAATGGAGCAATCTTACTTACCTAATGTCCTGGACGACACGAAACAAGAAAAAATAATAACCAAAGAAGCTAATTTGTCATTTCATAAAAGATAAGGATATCTTGATAGTACTACTCGCTTTGTCGGTTACGACTGTCCGTCAGAAAAGGTACATTGCTAGATTGCGTTGTAGCCATAAAAACAGTTTAAAAAGAACACTGGGTCAACGTCTCAAATTATTTTTGAATCACCCATGAGAAAAACTGGCATGGGAGTGAGAGCAGTAAAGTGCAGATGCCATGTTCGAAAAGAAGTATCTTCAGTGTTAGACATCCTGTAAGCTAGGTCTATGGAATCATGTAATTTTCTTTACAAGTCAAAGGATTAGTTCTCTTGCAAGTAGCAAATAAAGATAGGTAATGTTTTATTATTATTACTATACAAGAATTATAGAATAAAATTATTAAAGAAAAATTATACACAAACAATGGAAGAGTCTACGATTTTGTCAAACCATTGTATACATTTTGCCAAAATCTGTCATCGTAGGTTTTTTCAAGCCTCAGATCATATTTGGCTATATATTCACATTTCAGCTCAGCATAGCCTCTTGGAAGGTCTTGATGCCATTTATCCATAGCTACATTTCCTTCGTTTGATCTGTACACTTCTTCACTACTTTCAGTATTCTTACTATCGTGAAAGTGACCAGAATGATAATAATCATAAGCATAAGAGACTTCTTCTTCTTCCAGTATTCTCACTTTAGACCTTCCTCTATAGATTGTTAGATCTTCGCAGAATGTATGAAACCAGATTGAACTTGCTAAATATCTCGAGTATATATTATTGTATAATCGAATATCTGTTGATCTGTTCTTGATCTTCGTTTGGTCATTATGGGCAACTGAGGACGAAAGAGAAAGGGAAACCAAATTGAGATTGGAATTTCGAAGGCTATTCACACTTTGTTGATAAAATTGAACACAATGTATATGCAACAACTTAAAATCTGTGTATGGCATATTAAGGCAGAGACACCCAGTATCTTGATAGACTATTCCGGTAACATTTACACCGTTCAGACGCATGTAGTTGAGCTGGCGGCATCTAAGCGATAGGTAGTTAAACGTTTCAGACTCGACAGTTGCTCCAGTAACGTCCAGTATCCGCAATCCATGAGTGATTGAGTAATCAATTTTTTTTTGCTTGATGGATATAGATCCCAAAGAAAATCTTAGCCTTTTGAGAGACACACAATGGTCCAATAAGCTGTTTAGAGTAATATGGGTGTTGCATTCGTGGATATTCAAATCGACCAGTCGAGAGCAATTGTTGAAACCGGTGCTTATGATCTGTGGATCTCTGAAATCATAGCCTATGACATTGAATATTTCAACTGTTTCTGATACCGCATTTACACATTCTGTGATATTTCTTTCAAGTCTGGCTTTTTCGTCTTTGTGGTAGCAGAATTCGTTGATCAAATCCTTGATAGGTACGTTGAACGGACGGAGAAGCTTCCAAAATGTAAGATGTAGTTGATCCGGATTTCCGGAACTGTACATCCTCGCTGTGTTGAGATGCGGAAAGACATATGGAAGACTGGTTAAAAGTCGCATGGTTTCATCCTCATGCTCGTATTCAAGATCCTCATCATCATTAATAGCCCATTCGAGTAAGCGAATATTGGGGTACTTTCGGGCAAAATAGCAGATCCATCGAAGATCTAGGCTGCCATACCCAAGTTTGAATGATTTTAAGCTTATTGCCGGGGTTGCCTTTTCCATCTGTGATAGGTGCTCTGGAGTGAGTGATGCAAATTTGAGTTGGATTGACAGGTGCTCTATTCGTGGTAGGTACATATGAAGCGTCTCAAAATCTTTCAACTCAAAGATCATAATCTTTTCCCAATTGTATTGCTCGAGTTCTAACTCAGTGAGAGAAGGAAGACAGGATAGGACTTCCAGAACGTTTTTTTCTGCATGAGAATATCCCAATCTAGTTGTGTCGACGCACAGTTTTGTCAAGGAGGTCCAAGAATTCCAGTCTGCGGTCCTGCCAAAGCTGGTCTTGCTGATGTTCTTTTTACCGGTCTTAAAGTGGCGCAAATTTGGAAAACGTTGTTGGATAACTGAAAGTTGAGTGTCGCTGAGGATAAAATTTCCATAGAGGTCAAGTTTTCGTACAAGATGTCCGTACTTTTGATAAATGTTCTGAGAAGGATTTGCCGAACTACAGACAGCAAATAGTTTTAATCGGCTACTTATTTCGACTGTATCCCATAATGATTCTTCAAAGGGAGTCTTCCATGATTTGCAGGTCTGGACGCATGGTATTCTATCATTAACCAAAAGGAAGCTTGCGATGTGAGCAAGAATTTCAAAGGGAAGTTGAGAAGCAAGCATGGTGAAGAAAAAGAAAGAGAGAGAAAAAATGGCTCACGTAGTTTTATAAAATCAAAGGCAAGATTATATATATATAAATAATTTCTTAGTAAAGGGGAAAAATAATATGAATGAATAAATGTAAAACGTATAAATGTATAGTTCATATGTGCGATATCAATCAGCTCATATATATTTACATAATATTTCTTTCTTAGATTTCTCATAAGGCATGCAATTGTATCAAAACTCACGGACACCAGGTCATATTGCCATAATTGAATATCTAAAATAGCCTGTTTTTATTGCAATAGAAAAATTAAAAGTGACTAAGAAGCTCACAAGGCTTTACTGAAAAGCGTGGGAAGTTCATTTGATAACCCAATTTTGATACCAAAGATTTTTTTCTATATTATCACCAAAATTTGAAACAGAAAAGAAAAAGCATAATACACTCATATTAAGTGCATTATGTAATACTAATATCAGCTATTATACTATGAAAAGCACGAGCGATACCCAGAAGCTTTCTTTCATTTATCATTGTGGTCTGAAACTTAGATAAAGTCATTATACTATAGAAAAAAATATGATTTTAGTGAGATTATTGCAAGTTTTCCGGGGTATACACTCAAGTGTATTAGAGAGCTTGCTATCTAATCCGTTAAACCATCGGCGTAGGCGTAGGCGTAGGCTAAATGAATTCCCAAATTTGTGAAAATATTGTACCTCCGATGTTTCATTTCCCTTTAAAGCTATCCGCTGAAGATTTACCGGCTATCTAAGCCTTTAAAGCTGAACCTTATCCTTTGGATTCTTGAAGACATATTCACCTCATGTTTTTCAAATTCCATAGCATAAAATATAGAAGGAGGCCCTTGGCTAACATGTACTGTAATGTCAATCGGAAATATAAATTAGTTCTTTGTAAAACTCATTATATTGGACATGATATCAATTATTAACATAACACATCAAAGAGTGTAGTGTAAATAAGAACATTTGTCTTTCGAATTCTCGCTAAATTTCTTCTATTTCACCTATTTCACTCTTATATACAAGCTAGTATGATCTTCATTACTCTCAAAAACACTCTCATAACTAGTAAAAGGAAGTTAATCTTCAAAAGTTACACTTCTCCATATGAAAAAGACAAGTAGTCAACTGCGAGAAGGTTGCATGGTATAACATTAAAGCTAAAGAAAGAATATACAAGTAAACTACCAAAAATAAGCTTGCTCTAATACAAGAGTACCCGGACCTCTACACAACTGTTTGTCCAGAGTATCTGTCCTAAAGGATTGGGATACAATTATCAAAAGGGTAAACTCGTGTGTTAAACTGTGTCTGTTATTTGGCTATATAATTTAAAATATTCTCCGTACCTCTGCAAACCCTTACTTATGACGAATCTTAAGTATATGTTTTCTTAAGCGCATTATTGAAGCGGTAAACATATTAGGTTGTTCTTTGGATATGCTTATTTTAATAAAATAAGCTCAAATACAAGTAAATATAACGTAAATCTTCTTAAATAGCAGTGAAACCTTGGAAACAAAACATAATATATAAAGAAAATATTAATATAGATATTGTATTGGCCAATTATTCGTAAAAATGTATGTTAACAAGGTCATTATGGTTGTTTTTTCTCTCTCATCACAACCATCGTATCCCTATTCTAAGTCGATGAATAATTTAAACACATATATAAGAATTTTGCTACTTTTGGTATACAGTATTTAAATCCAGGTAGCAAGCTCTATTATTATTTATTTATTCATTTATTAGAGAACCCGTTGGGATGTGATATTTTCAAAGACTACTAAAAAAGAATTATTAGTGAAACCCAGTCAAAAAAAAAGAGAAACTCGACCACAGTTGATGAAAACATAAGTACTGTGACAAACATAAGAGAGATACATCTTAATAAACTTGGCTTTCCAAGACTTATTCTCTTAAGTAGATATATAGAGACGACTCTTGACTATATTATGTTTATGTTTGAAGGTAAAGAAACAAGCTCAATTCTTAATAAAAACTTGGTGATGAAATGGCCTCCCTCAGTAAAATTTTACATCTTTTCATTGGAATTTAAATCGCTGCGTAGCAAGAGTGAGTGAAAATTTAGAATTTTCACTCGACAACGGGTTCTCTATTTATTTGGATGTGGGTATTGGATATGCCGATTTTTTTTTACTGGATATGTGACTTTTATTTTCGGGGTCGGTGCCGACCCGCCGGTGAGGATCATTTAGTGACACCCATTAATCCAGCTACTCTTGCTTCCTTTGTGAGTTAATGGAGAGGATGAAAAAATACAGTTACATATTAAAAAATGCATTTGAACGCATTTTACAAAGTATCATATACAAAGTTTTATCAGCAAAAGAAAAGGTAGTACTCTGTTCGATTAATTTAAGTTTATAGACAAGAGGCACAAACCTAAAAGGGCTGCGTAACTCAAAAACAACAGCTACCAAAGTGAAATATGTCAAACAATATTGAGAGAACACTGTTCATTACGAATCTAATTATGATTGCAAGTCGATTTTAAATGGAAGGGCAGGCTTGAATATAAGAGTTTTATGGTGAAGATGAGCATGAAAAATTAACTATATACATCAATTGTTTTTTTTTTGAACCAAGGGCAAAAGCGCTTTAACGGTTGACCGACCCGAAAGTAACGATGCGTGTTACCCTCTCTAGAAGTGAAACGTAGCCCACCTGTTCCTTAAAGAATACCTGACCAACAAAGACAATATTAATTTATGGGTAGTATAACACTGACTTCAATGATTTCTTGGTTTTCACAAAGAGTATAAAGGTGAATGTACATTCGATACAGTCAAAAGCAAGACCGACCAGCCTTCAACAGTAACCGAGCCGAAGCCTATTTTTTTAAGGAAAAAAGAATGCTCGGTACGTCTTCAGTGCACAATGTCTTTAAATGTTGTGTATCCACACATAGATCATAAACTGCGCCGCTCTCCCAGTATGGTTGGTTAACTCTCACAGAGTTCGCACAAATGAAAAGAAAATACAACAACTCTGTTTTTCATTTTTTTTATTAGTAAAAAAAACACACTCGAACTCACGCAGACTCACGCACTTACTTTTTCATTGCTCTTTACATCATGCTGGCATCTGAATTGCCATTCGAAATCATTTCCCACATTGCCAGCTTTCTTTCATTCAAGCGCAAATATATATGTACAGTTGTTTGTAAATCGTGGCAAGCTCCCCTTCAAGAGTCTTTGTGGAGTGAATTACGAATTTTTAATCGAAAAAAGATGGAGAAGATATGTGACCAGTCTACTGACGAATACCAAAGCTACCACAGAAATGGACAGCATGTAAAAACATTGTTTCTTGAAGGAGAGTTACGTGCAAGTGATGGGGAACTTCACACCTTTCAACAACATTTTCAAAGCTTAAATTCCTTGACTATCGAACAAAATGGCCTGAGCAATGACAACTTTGCCGCGACTGCTAATTGGAACCTTTGGGGAAAATTAACTGAGCTAACAATCCACTTGAGTAAATGGAACTCTGACAGCTCAGAAAAACCTTTTCTCGATATATTTGCTTGCTTACCTTGTCTGACAAAACTACGACTTTCTCAGGGATGGGTTAATGGTTCGATGTACTTTACATGGAATGATTTCGAGACAATACACGATTATTTGCCACGACTCGAAAGCTTGTCAGTCAATATGACTCTTGCCTCGCTATCATCAAACGATTTGGATCTCATTCAAGACGTAAAACCAGCAAATCGACTAGTAATCTTTGGTCCCGAAGCCGTTTACCATGACTACCGTTGGCTTTGTTATTTCGCTCTTAAATATCCGAATATACACACACTTGGAAAGATGTCCTTTGGTAATGACAGACTTGTAGAAGACTGCCCGAGCTCTATGATACCGTGGTTTGAAAGCATTTCATTTGTATTCCAGTATCTCAAGGCAATAACCTCTGTCATCGGAGGCCACGAAGGAAAACCGAACCTCCTATTTTGGAATGTCTTATGCCCATTCCATATTCCAATCAAACGCTTAGAGTACGATGTACACGTAAGCTTAATCACGCCAGGCACATTTGAAAGCATTGTCAAAGAAGCTGTGAATCCATTTTCCAAATCTGTCGAGTCTGTCTGCATCAGAACATACAATTATATTCGTGGTCTGTGGGTACTCACAGCTACTCTTGACTACTGCCCTAACCTAGTTGACTTGAACCTTCGGATACGTTGCGTTATTATTGAAATGGATATACTGTTGAATCGATGTGTAGCATTGAAGCGATTAAAGCTATCGGGGGGCTCTCTTATAATCAGTCCAGAGGCACCAAAAACCACTACCTTACATGGATTGCGAATGATGGAACTTACATTTATAAAAACAAGTTCTAAAACACTCAACAACATATCTTTCCGGTGCAGACGCCTAAATTATATGCAGTTGACTAATACTTCAATCACTGGATCTATTTCTTCCACAACTGGTAATCTTTGTGTCGATATGTCATACACTCGCTTCAAAGTACTTCTTCTCCGAAACGTGCGATTCAATATCTCTGAAATACACAGCGACATCAATAATATAAACTTTATGGTCCTTTCTAGACCAATCATTGACCAGCAATTAAGAGATGATACAAGGCACCGCAGAAGACGAAGAGTTTCTTCATGGTATCGACTCCCATTTTTTGCAGCCCAATCTGATGCCTTGTTGTCAAGTAAAGGACACCCAAAGAATGGCGTAGAAGCTACCTGGTTTTACACTCCTCACAAATATGAGGGTGTTGAAGGGTGGATGTCACAGACATGGGTACTCACAGAGACAGAAGTCAAGAAAGCTCTCGACTATTACAATCATTTTAACCATGGAGAAAGCACAGCATTAAAGAAGCAATATAAACCAGCTGATAATATACGAAAGAAGAGAAGCGATTGGAAAGGAGATCTATTCCGCGGCTATGCTACACTAAAATGTGGATATGTAGCCGAGTACACCATTGGAAGCGGGTGGTTTACAGATGATTACGTTTGGCAAAGACTGTTCGTTTCTTTGAATTAATACTAACCACATCTTATCTTATTGTATTATATACCTATCTATGATACCAAATAATCAGAAAAAGACAAAGGATACAAATACATACTTGAGTTCTTAAAGCCTCTTAAAAGTGACATATGATTAATTTTACAACCAATAACTTTGAATCATTAAATTCAATATTGAATATACCCCATTTTTAACATTTTTTTAATACATCATATTTTTGCAAAGAGATACTTACAGAAACAGCTGTGGCGATATATATATATACACAGAACATTGTCTTTACCTCTATCAGAACTTTGATTTTAATTGAGACAGTTTATTTAATAGAAAATAATAGACTAGCTATAAACTTTTATACGTTAATCAAGTTCAATATTACAATTTTGTGTGCAATATTTGAGGCTAAAGTTTATTTTATTCATCATAGAAATGTACGATAAAGATCTCTTTCGTATTGACACCATACTTCTTTATCAATATCATATTTCTCAATGTATCCAAGTCGAATTTCAGCATATCCACGGCAAAGATCTTTACGCCATTTCTTTTTAAGTACTTGTCCACGCCAAGATCGAAGATATTCATTATCAGTTTCGGCCTTATTTCTAATTTGAAAGTTACTGTAGTATTTTCTGGCTCTTTTGGATTCTTTTTTCCCCAAAACTCTTTTCGCACTGTTCCAATGGCCCGATCCATCGAATAAACGGTATATATGAACCCAGCTTGCATCTATATTCTCCATTGATTTCTCATTGCTAGTATATATTGGTCCAGTTTTAGCTTCTTTATTTATATCTGACTCTAGTCCAAGTGAATGCCGGGAAATTGGTCTGTGAATGTTTATAATATTTATGGAAATTGGCTCATCCGAAAGATTATTTGATGCCTTGATTTCAGAGCCGTTTAAATGAAAGTACTTTAGGTTGGTGGAGGACAAGTCGATAGCAAGTTTTCCACTTTCTTCAGATATTGATCCACTTATGACTGACTCGGAAACACACATGATTTGAAGTTTCATACAGCGGGGAGACAAATAATTGAATGTATCGGCAGTAATAGTTGATCTCACAAATGAAATAGTAGAGACATCGTGTGGTATACGTGTATTGAAAGCACTTGAGCTGATGTCAATATCTACCTCTCCCAACATAATATTTTTTAAAGCCTTACAGCCATTTAAGAGCTTGTCGAGTTTAATAGAAATTCGGAAGGTAGAGATGTTTAATTTGACTAGACGAGTACAGCAGGATAATGCTGATGTTACATCTTTTATGTTTTTGTATGCTCCAAAATATGATATATATAACTCTTCGATTGTGTTGGAAAAAAATTTAACGCTAGCTTCTATGGCTCTTCCAGAAATATTGTCGGATGTTCCCTGATAAAAGCGCGGACTGTATGTTAGACGTTTGACCGGAATATTACAGGAAGAAAACATTTTCCAAAAGGAAATATGCGAATCATCTGAAGATCCTGACATACGCACAGAAAGTTCCTCCAAGCAAGAGAATGCGTAAAGATCAGAAGCAAAAAGCGATACTGCCTTTTCGCAAGAGACTACGGGCAAAGAACTTATTTCTTCTGTTCCCAATATAAATTTACGAAGATTCGGGTATTTTCGAGCAAAAAAGTATATCCATCGTTGATCGTTATTAAGGCAGTTGAGTTCGAATTCTGTTACATTATTTGCAGGAACAGTTTTGGCTATGTTTTTAATATCTTTATGGATGAGTGTCGTGAGAACCCCATAAAGGTGAATATTTTCTAGGAGTGGTGCGTGTACTTGGAGGGCATCAAAGTCTTCTACCTTAAGCTCTAAAACCTTTGGTGTGACTTCAACAAGCTCCAATTTCTTCAGGGATGGCAGGAAAGAGAATATGTCAAAGAAGCCGCTTGGTGGATTGGCTAAAAAATCGTCCATCTCAACAATCAGAGTATCGAGGAATTTCCAGTTTCTCCAGTTTGATAGTATTCCATAATTGCACTTTCTAAGACACACAAATCCAATAGTAAGATTGCGTATGTTAGGGAGTTCTTGTTGAATTCTTTGTAAGCAATCCGAGTTTATACGGATTGTTCGATACAGGTAAAGTCCCTTGGCGTATTTCCCATTAATTTGGTATGTAGTCATTTCATTGGTTTTTGGTTTGGTGATTGCGTAAATAGAGCTACTGTTATATATTTTGAGGTAGCTCCATGATGCTACTTGAAAAGGGTCTTTCCATAGTTTGCAAACGTAAGTGCACGCTATCTTGTCTTTAAGAGAAAGGAACTCGGCGATATTGGAAAGAACTTCAAACGGAAGTTCTAACGACATTGTAGCAGAAAGGTGAATAACTGTCTTTTTAACTTTCTTCTTGCGCAATAGAAATACAACATATTTTGTGGAACAATAAGCCGCAGCATTATTAAAATCTTGTTACTACAATATAAAAGACCATAGATCTTGCTGTGTAACTGAATATAAATTGCCATTGTAGGAAATGGCACAAATTTTAATTCCGTAGTGCATATTTCAAGCGATTAGAGGGGGTGTCGAGTTGTGATAATAGAGACCTTCATGCATTTTGGAAAAGTGCAAATTATTGCTTTATAAGGGAAACTTTTAAAATTTTCCAAATCTAAAAATAAAACAAGTGAAACATGACAGACAAAAATTGGAAAAGTTCCTCTTACCCTGTTCAATATTTGAAAAATTTGAGGTGAATTTTCCAATTTTTTTGGTCAATAATTTTCTATATTTGTCTTCTACTAAACTGTCTTTACAAATCACTTTAAAAAAGGAGGAAAATATTTAATTTCTTTCCTTGTAATTTTAGTGATAATTATATGTCCGGTAATATACATAGAAAGTCACATCTGATCAAAGTGACTCCACTTTAAAAAGTAATTTAGTGTAGTACCCGACAATTTGAAAAATTGTTGAAAAATTTGAATGCATGAAGGTCTCTAATTTCAAGATGACTAAAAAATAATTGTTTGTAAAACCCAATCAAAAATAAGAATAAAACTCAGACACAGTTATGAATATTATAAGTTGAAAACATCGATACTAAGAAATTTAGAGGAAATAGACCTTAATAAACTTGACTTTCCAAGGCTTATTTTATTAAGTATGTATAAAGAATAGGCTACTGGCTATAATACATTTTGTTTTGAAGTGAGAAAAATAAGCCCAATTTTTACTAGACATTTAGTGAGCATTTGAAGTCAAAAATCAGGGAATCCCTAACTTTTGGCGAACTATCCATCATTTGTAAACCGCGCAATATTAGGGGGTTTCATTAGAGAGCTTGTTAACAGAGTCGATCAAGCTTATACTTCGACTTAGGCTTATCGGAGTATATATTTTCTTATACCGACTACAACTTCCATTTTTGATAAGCCTAAGTTCTCTACTTCGACTTAATTTAGTCGAATAGCGAGAACCTTATCCTACAAATTCATGAAGACATATACAATAATTAATTTTCAGTACTCCTTGCATAAAATCAATTATAAGACTCTTAGCTAAAATATACTAAAATATCAGGGTGAAATATCAATTAATTCTCTCTAAAAGTCATTATGTTTGTCATGTAATAAAATAATAACATAACATTCCAAGTCTTGGGTATAAAACTCATAATAAATCAACTTTTTTCTATTTCATACATCAACTTTTTTTTACAAATCACAATCTTTATTACTGTCATACATTTATAAATATCTAACCAACTATGGTACCAAATAAATCAAACAAAACTACAAGAAGAAACAGAAAGAACTTGGTCATTCACCAGTACATACCGTCACCTCCAAGTACAAAAGATCAAGAAGGCGAGAAATTTGTTCCTATGGTCAGCTCGTCGGGTTCTCTAGGTAGCTTAACATACTACAAAAAAACTAGTACTACTTCAAGAGGATAATACTTAGTTAAAAAGGTTATAATGTAATTTTTAAAGGTAAAATAAAGTTCAAAAAGACATAAAATCTATGTTTAATATACTTTATATATTATTGATGGTATTGAAATATGCATAAGGCAGCTCTAATAAAATTAACCTCTTTACTGTAGATATAATTCATAAATACACTCAAAAAGAGCACGGAAAAGCTCAATAACAACAGAGAACACTTATACTTCTTTATAAATCTTCTGACATTAATCTGACAAATTAATGGGGGTACTCAGCCAGATTGATCGATCAAATTCTTGTGTGAATTTTGGCCAATGGTATCAATTTGTAGTTGAGGACACCAAAAGACAAAAATACAAAATTCGTACAAAATTCATGGATTTTTATAGCATTTATAGAATAATCTTTGCACATTCTGATTTCTTCTTTGGACCTGTAGGCATCTAGACTCTCGAAGAAATCAAGTGCTCTTTCCCTTTACTCAACATCTGGCAATACATTGTCAACCTTGTGTATGTATTTATTGGCTTTAAGTGTTTGTTTAAGCTCCTTCGCGGCAGTCATCTGCTCCAACTTTATATTAACTTCCTTTTTGATTACTTCTAAAATATCTTTAATAAGTTCGTCTGCAATTGCTGATAAAGACTCTACCAGTGTTTTTTTTCACGATAAATTCCCTGATTTTATGCGATTTCTTCAAGGCATCAATTGCTTGTTGCTTTGTACTATATTTTGGCATGTAAGATGGAGAGAAAGAAGTATTATATAACTGTTGGCAATAAATTCTATGATTTATTAAGGAGAAAGATAAAAACAGTATCGTATTGCATATAAAAAGTAAGGATTAGGTTAATCAGAGAGCCGTACGTTTTTCGATCAAAATTTGATCGAAATTTGATCTTTCAAAAAGACGATCAAATTTTTATCGTCGCTATTACAATTATAGTCCAATAATATGGCGTTCTGAATTCAAAATTTGATCGATCAATCTGGCTGAGTACCCCCAATGTATATTTTCACTATAAATTTCTAATAATATCCAAATAATTTATGAAAAAAGTGGACAAATAATTGCCACAATCATACCCTAGTCCTAAGTCGATGAAATAATTCCAGCGGCGAAAATAAACGACTGCTAATTTTGGCAAGAAGAAGTTCAACTCTATTAACAAGCTATCTATTATCTCTTAGGATTAGGATTATTATTCTTCATTCGCCGGAGACTCTGGCTGTGTTACCATCAATTCTTTATTGAGACGAAAATTTTAAATAAAAGCTTGCTATTGCTATAATACTATTCTTTATCATCTTTTCTTTCGCTCCTGGTATTCAACCGCTCGACTTTATCGAAGATCCAAGTTGACAAATGATATCCACGACACTTTACAAGCTCTCCTCACCCGCATGGAAGCTTTGGAAGCACGCTCTGCTGCTCCTCCTGTGGCCCTTGACGGTTCTCCTGCTGATGACGACGACACAATGCTACCTACCGACCATATTGTCGAACGACCTATCGCATCTGAGCTCACTCCTTTCCCCGAACTTATTAAAGCCATTCCCAGGATGGAGCGCGACTTCTTCCGGCAACCCTTGGACGAAGCCTCTCGCCGCCGATTCCTCCTTAACTGCCCACGAAATGTACTTCGTCAGTACCAAGCCCCTGTTCTCAACTACAGTGGCGTGGGAACTCACACCAAACGTACTGATGCCCAACTCGCTGATATTCAGTTCCGCCTATCTGGTCTCACCCGTCACATCGACCTGTTCGCACATGATGTGCTTGTGGAAGGATCTATCCAGGTTACACAGGCGTTGGGTTTTGCCAACACTATGCATGAATTACTATCAGACCTTGCCTCTGTTGTCACCCAGATGCGTAGTGATAATATCTGCCGAGATGCCAATCTGCCTATCTCACCAATTGTCACCAACTCTGCCTTGGAGCCCAAACCACTTCTCGACTCTCAACGAATTGTGAAACAAGCTAAGCTCCAGCGTGCTTTGCACGACGCCGCACGGCCTTCCCGAACGAGAAAGGGAAAATGCACCGGCCAATCAAACCGGACCAACAAACCCACTCAATCTGTCCCGACTTCTGCTACCCCAGTCCCATCTTACCAGCGATCTTCCCATCCCCACGACGCGAAGAAGGTTTTTCACAGTCGCCCACAGCTGTCCAAGTCTCAGACAACCAATACACCACATTAGGTGGGCGCCTTCAACTATTTCGCAACGCATGGACCAAACTCACAAACGAACACTGGGTTCGACGCACCGTCGAACAAGGGTACGACATCCCTTTCACTCGTCTGCCATCCATCTCCTCGTCCGGACCGTTGACGAACCACAGCCGGATGGACAGCAATGTGATCGAACAGGAGAGCATGTCCCTTCTGTGCAAGAAAGCCATCGAGGAAGTACACGAACCAGGGTTTCGTTCGCGCATCTTCACAATTCCGAAGAAGACAGGCGACCTCCGGCCTGTCCTCAACCTACGACCACTCAATCAGTACATCCCGAAACAATCGTTCAAGATGGAATCCATCAAGCACGTCTGCCAGTTGATCCAGCGTGGCGACTACCTCACCAGCGTCGACCTGCAAGACGCTTTTCTGCACATCCTGATCGCCAAGTCCTCTCGCAAGTATCTTCAGTTCTCCTGGAAAGGTCACATTTACCAGTTCCGCGTTTTGCCGTTTGGCCTGTCCTTGTCCCCATTGGTATTTACGAAGATGATTCGCCCAGTACTTCGTTGGGCACGGCGACAGGGGATTCGTCTGTCGGCTTACCTCGACGACTTGATCGTGATTGCCCGATCCCCAGCACTGTCCCTGCAGCACACACAGCGAGTAGTGGACAAATTACAGTCACTAGGTTTCTTGATCAAAGCGACCAAATCTCATCTAACTCCCTCGGCCTCCATAGAACACCTAGGATTTGTGATCAACAGCAAGAATATGACACTAATCATCCCTCGCTCCAAGTTGAGAAATATCCGGAGAGAAGCATCTCGCCTTCTCCACAACCCAACAATCACCTTAAGACAGCTTTCCTCGTTCATCAGCAAGGCCCAGACAACCACTTTTGCAGTCCTTCCCGCGCGCCTGAAAACCCGGCAACTGATATCCATACGCAACCAAGCCTTGTACCGCGGATTGCAATGGACCAGTCTGATACATCTCTCTTCCATGGCTCGGCAGGAACTTCAGTAGTGGATCGACCAGCTGAAGGCATGGAATGGACACTCGTTCCTCCCAGAAGTACCTCAAGTCGAAGTATACACCGACGCCTCGGAGACCGGTTGGGGCATCGTGTACGACAACACCGTCCTGTCTGGCACATGGACCACAGACCAACAGACCGAGCACATCAACTACCTCGAATTGCTGACCATTGCCTTTGCCACCAAGCTTCCACCCCTTCAAGGGAAAGCCCTTCGCATCTACTGCGACAACATGACCACGATTGCCTATGTCAATCATTTTGGAGGAACCCGGTCTGCCAAACTCATGAATCTGGCCACGGACATGTGGAAGCAATGCCTTGTCACTGGCACCCGTGTCCGCCTGGCGTACATTCCCTCGCCCTTGAACCCTGCCGACCCTCCCTCTCGCAGCTTGATTCAGCAGCTAGAGTGGAGTATTTGTCCAGCGTTCTTTCGGCACTTGGACTCACTGTGGGGCCCCCACCACATCGACTGCTTCGCATCGAGCCTGAACACCCAGCTTCCGACGTACATGACATGAAAATGGGATCCGCAAGCATTTGCGATGGACGCACTTTCTGTACCTTGGACAACCTGGCCTCGCCTATATCTTTGTCCGCCGTGGAACCTACTTCTCCACATACTGCAAAAACTACAGCGCGAGAAGGTTCCCGCTACGTTGATAACGCCCAACTGGTCGAGCGACCTCTGGTATCCTCTCCTCCAGCTGTCGTCCCGCCTGCCAATCCCCATCCCTCGTCACCTGGTCCTTCCCGCACCAGGCTGCGCCTGCCACGTTCTCCTGAAGAACCCACACTGAAACATGATCGCGTGGGACATAAATTGCGGAGGTTAGAAGACCAAGGATTCGATGACAATGCCAACACCATCATCCTCAACCGCGATCGCAACCACTCCCGACGATCCTATAACCGTATTCAACGCTCTTACATCGACTGGACACACCACCACGACGTCGACCCTTTCATTCCTAATCCCGTTCATATAGTCAACTATCTGGCCTATGGCGCTACCCATTTGAAATGGAAAGCATCCACTTGTCAAGCCTACTGCTCCGCCATTCTTGATTTGTACTCGGATAAAGATTCTATTGTCAAAGACTCTACCTACATTGAATTCTTTTCCGCACTCAACGAACAGAACCTACTGTCTTTCCACCGTCCAACATATGATATTGCCCCGGTCATTCAGTTCATTCATAACCTTGGTCCTAATGACACAATTAATGCGATAGATCTCACACTTAAGTTGTGCTGGCTTCTTGCCATTTGTGGGTTTCTGCGTCCCACCGATTTGGAATGAGTCGATGACCGCCGTACATCAAGAGACAATGGTATCCTTCGCTTGGTCATTGTCGCCCCCAAAGAAAAACGTTCGGGTAGACGCATCGAAAGGGTTGTCGCCATTCAACCTCATGAGGACCCCTTACTTTGCCCCATCGCCACCTATCTAGCCTACAAGTCCAACATCGCCTTCTCGGTCTGCGTTCGGCCTCACCCTGTCCTCTCTCAGGTGACTTTGCAACGATTAGTACGTGACGTCCGTAATTATGATAGACCCATTGGATAAGAACGGACATCCAAGCATATTCAATTTCTCATGGAGAAGATCCCTCGTCCTTCTGGTGCCCTCCTCCCCAAGGCCCGGACTCTCGGACCTACTCTGGCTTTGGCTTCTGGTGCTTCGGTTGAAGACATTCTTGTACACGGCTCATGGGATTCCTCCGCCGTTTTTGACACATTTTACCGCTTGTCACGACAGACTGTTAGCAATTTCTCTACCATGACTTTGACTTCTTCTAGCGGTTATCTGGACACACAGCCAGAGTCTCTGGCGAATGAAGAATAATGGTATTGTTGGCCGAGGCCGAAGGCCTATACCTATTATTCGAAGAGACAGAGACTCTGGCTGTGCCCTCCCTTCCCTTCCCTTCCTTATTATAATATATACCACTCGCGAATAGATGATAAAGAATAGTATTATAGCAATAGCAAGCTTTTATTTAAAATTTTCGTCTCAATAAAGAATTGATGGTAACTCAGCCAGAGTCTCTGTCTCTTCGAATAATAGGTATAGGCCTTCGGCCTTCGGCCTCGGCCAACAATACCAATCCTAAATTTCAATCCGAAAGCCTTTTCCTTCGGATTAAATCTACACATTTTAATTCTATTCAAATTCTTCTCAGCCAATCATTTCATTATTTAAACACCCGCTTTCCGAATCCTAATCCTAAGAGATAATGAAACCCCCTATTGAATGGCTTTTTGGGGGTTTTTTTTTTCAAATTAACTGTAGACAGATGAAGCATGATATGATTGGCTAGATTAAAATCTTTCTTATTCAAATCTTATTTTTGAATTTACATCTGCCTACCGCTTATATATATATATATTTCTAACGTGTTTTTGTGTATTCAAATGCACATTTTTGTAGAGCCCTGAGCTGATGAGTGAGTACCCTAAAAGGTTTGACAGTTTTTTAAGACTGTAATTTATGTAAGAATAGGTTGAAGTTTAAAATGAAAAAAAAAATGATAGAAAAAAAGTGAAGGATAAATTAAAACGTTACATATACTAGCCAATGTTCTATAATTGCAGCTATTACTGGCCAGTATATTTATGAGTATCTTTCCAGCTTGCAAAGAATGTTTTGAATAGACTCTTTCCAGATCCATCCAATGCAGTCATGATCAAACTACGATCTGCATCAGTGCACATGTCCAAGATCTCATACAGGCTCGGAGTTAGTATAGCCTTGATCTGAGGTCTTGCAATGCTCATGGTAGAGTTTGACTGGATAGTAAAGTATTCCATCAATACATATGGAACATATCTTGGCATCGAGCGCCATAACGCCAGTGATACAGAACTATTGGATTTCTGGTTCGATGGGTTCTTTTGAGGTATGAGGGAAAGTAAACGTGCAAATTTTTCCGCAGAAGAATCATCTAAAGGAGCGAATTTTGCAAACAAAGCAATTGTTTTTCCATGTGCGACAAGTGATTCTGATGCGTCTGTACCGTTTTTCTTGTCGATCGACTTTCTCTTCTTTGTGATCAATGAAAGATGGGTAGATTTGAAGCAGTGTAAGAGGGATTGTATGATACCCAAAAATGTAGGCATAACATCAATTAATGAATCACGGTGGTTACGGAGAATGTTTGCAAGCACATCGCAGCAATTGTCGAAAAGTGCAGACACAATATCCTTGTTGAGTTGGTCACCAAATCTTTCGGGAGCATTTGGACTGGCAATTTGGAGTAGGCAAGATAAGATAAGCGACATGTCAAAACTTGAGAACGAGTATTCCTAATAATAGACCGATATTCATGAGATTTTATTTGTATTATAAAGCATTAAACTATCAGCAAAACTTACATTATCATAGGTTACATTGATAAGAAGTAATATCGTTTGAGACAAAAGCTCCAACGATCGTGTCTTTCCAACAATCAGCGACTGTTTGAGAACGAATTTAGGAATCCATTTCTTTAGGTTATTTTTTTGTGCTATTAAAAAGATACAGAAAAAAATGAGCCGAGATAATACTTATTTAATAAACTTGCAATTACCATCAGTACTATTCAACACAACAAGCTTCAGTAATGACAAGAATACTTGATGGCTGTGTAATCGATCAATATCATCCTTCTGGGCTGTCTCCTCTTCACTTTCTTCAATAAAGCTTTTGATAAGAATTTCATATTCTTCCTTAGAAAGTGTTTGAATCCATGCAGAGAAAGTAGCCGATAAGGAGTCGATTGATGCTTGATCTCCTAATATGATGTTAGATATATTGCAGTATATAATATATTAACTTACCTGATTTAGAAACCATAGAATACACAAACCAAATAACTGCAATGACACGTTTGGTGGTATGTACTTGCTGGTAACGCGACAAGGTCATACAAAATGCGGCGATAAATGCGGTAGTCATATTCAACACTTCCGTTTTCAATTCAGCGCTTAATAAAGTAGACGGACGAAGAGATGCTTGCATGAATTGAATAAAGGGAGAAGAGAGAGTCACAAGCTTCTTTGATAATTGAGCAGTATCGACCACTAAATAAATGATACTAGTTAGTTCCAGCAAAAACTGGCTTGTAATCTATACGTATATATTACCAGATTCTGCAGCAGATCCAATATTATGAACATAATCCTGTAGCAAATGGGCCAGTACAAGGACATGGTTTGCTTTTATAAATTCAGTAGTAAAATCCATAATAATTTTGTTCTGCTCATTTTCATCTTCAATTATTCTGACCAATTCTAACATTTCTGACACTTCTTCTTTTGCTTTGTCGAGTGATTCAATCACATAACAGCCAACAGAGGCAATGGTCTTTGAAGCATATACAGTATCATTAATATCCAAAGAACTATGCCTGTTGAAAAAAAAAAGAATTAGCTTCTCCACGTAATAGATGTATATGGTTCCTACATTTTGTTATGAACCAGGGAGCTGACACGAGTACGAATGTAACTGTTGAGGGTTTCAATTATACTGGTCATCCAGATGCTTGCGCCGATTGTGCGGGTCTTATCATGTTTTTTCAGAGGCTCTACACTAAGTTTTAATATCTGTTCCACATAGTCAGATGCAGAGGCATCTTGTGACTTTTTTCCAGTATGAGAGAGCATCAGACTTTTTTTAAAAAAAAAAAGTAAAATAAAATAAGTTTCTTGGGTTGAAACATTTGTATTGATTATTTATACCTCAACACGTCTCGGTTAACATCAGAGGTTAGCTTCTTTAAAGAAGACAGTTGCTTCATAACGCTCAAGTCATTGTTGGTAGGAAGTTCGTTGATAGAATGAACAAACCAGTTGAGAAATTTGGGATCAAGAACCTGTAAAAAGGGTAAAGAAAATAAATATTTTATACAAAGAGTTCCTAAGCCCATAACACAAATGTAATTTATAGAAAGAGAAAGAGAAAAATTACCAAGAAAGGTTTGACTGTATGCGTACTGATGAGTCTTGCTTGAAGATTTCGACACACAAGGGATGCTTTGATGCGGGATCCTGAATCGGCAGATTTGTTGGAAATAACCCAGGCATCAGCGTAAAATGACAATGCCATAGCCTGTCTACGATAAGCTTTATCATAGTATTCCATAGGAAAAAGGGAGAAGAGCTTCATAAACATAGCAATTTGATCAACACATTTTGTACTAGCATCATTGATTTCTTCATCCATTGCATCCAAAGGTTCCAAAGTATCTCGTAATCTGGAAATATCTTCAGCCGATAAATTGAGAGGGTTTTCGAAACCAAGCTTTAAATCAATTATTGAGCGAGCCAACAGTTTTGTTGACGGATTAGAGCTTTGCTCCAAAATATCGGCACGGAAAAGCTCGATAAGTCCCTTTACCAAAGTTTTAATAGTGTGATCTATAATACAATATATAAAAGTCAATAAAACCTTTTATACAAAATTATATTTCGTTGCTTATTGGTCTCTTACCTTTCAAGCATCTAGCTTCGTAGAAGTTGGCAGACCGTAGCAGGGTTTTATTGAGTACTTGGAAAGTGAGAACATTAGGATTGTAATTTTCCGAGTTTGGAGTATGAACCAAAGATAGTAGTGTAATCGAGGAGATCTTTTCAGCATGCTCGTTACTAACAAAGCGACTATACACCAAAAAAATTAGATCAAGTAATATATATATTGTCTTACTTACCACACAACGTCAAACCATTCATCTGTGATCAACTTCCAACAAGCAAGATTAACCTTCTGGCTGCTATCTAAGTGAACAAGAGTCCCATCCCAAGAGACTTCCTCCTCATGTTTTGTATCAACTATAGCATCTAGAGCGGTGTTTACTAACTCGGAAGTTTGTCTAGCAGGGGTATTCTCACTAACAAGGGATGCAAAGTAAGCATGTTGAAGCAATGCATCAACCTAAATTAAATTAAATCAATAAAGTTATTTAAATGCCAATATCAATATATATTGTAATTTACTTACACTGGTAACTACTGAAATTCTTGCACTCTGTGTCTTTCTCTTAAAATTGCTCTTAAAAACCTCTTTAAGAACCGTTGCCAGCCACTCGCGCTGATCTTCCTCCAAGTGTTTCCAATAAACATCAAACAATGTGTTGGTCAAAGAGAAATGTATCTGAATAGCAGGTAGAGCTGTGCATTCGATATCAGTTTTTGACTCCATCCACTGCTCTAAACTTGGTTGGATAAATTGTTCGAAAAGGTCTTTTGACGCCTTTACAAAGCTTCGACGTTGATGCTGACTAAGGCGAAGTGCGCCAACATATTCAACAAGATAAACGATGATGAAACGAGCAACTGGTTTTCTATTTGCCTTTTGTGCCTGAGAACGCTTGTGTTTCTTCGGTGCAGGAGTTTGGGATACTTGCTTTGCAGCAGTGTAAAGTTCGGTGGCGAAACGTTCGAAGATTGCAAGAGCCTGAGCTGCGGGCATATGCTTATTGACAGTCATCGCAAACCTAAAAGACATATAGACTTAATATCATATTGTAAACATGTGTGTGTAAACATACACTTCCAAGAATTCCCTTGAGAACAATGGTTTGGCTAAAATTGTGTAGGCGTCTTCAAAATCAATGGCGTCAAGTGCGACAAGAAAATCGTTGACAAAAATATCAATTTGTCTTGATGCAGAGTAAACTTGCAATACCGATTTGGTGAATGTCAAGCATGACTTCTCGGCTTCTTTGACAGGCTATTTAAGTGCATAGTTAGATTTATGAGTAAATACAACGAAAATTTCTTTTGGTAATTACGTTTAAGAGTCCAGGCCAGAAAGAAGTAATACGTGACTCAATAAAGGAGAGATCAATTTGTAGTAAAGTGTCTGCCACATCGAATATAAGGCCTTGATCATACTCTACTCAAATATTAGAATTCTTCACAATCAAATTATTATACCTTGTAATAAAATGCTTACTCTTTAGATCACTCATATAAGTAACCATATCATCTCCGATCACGTTTAGGACAGTCTGCTCAGATTTAGTAATATCATCGTTACGAGCACTATAGACATTCAGTTGAAGAAGCTGCTTCAACAATCCACCGAGCGACTTTAGATAAAACTTCGGGGAGCCTCCTCTTGCCTTGTTTAGAATAGACAATGCTTCAATAAAAAATCCAAACTCTACTGTACGCTCTATTTCCTGCATAGTTGATGAAATTTGCATCTCGCGTTTTGTACGGAATCCAACCACAAAGCTAGAAAATAAAGTAGGAAGGACATCCAATGCTTTTTTTTAAAGAAAAAAACATAGATATAAGTAAAAGCATGTTAATAAAACAAATTATATTATTATTTTTACAGTTATTTATTATACATGTATGAATCCACTTACCATCAATTAAAACTTCTTTATCCTTTGATTGTGTTACCATACTTGTCAATTCATCAAATGTACTTTTTACATAAGGTATTTGTTTAAGTGAGTTTGTGTTTTGGACGTTGGCAAATGCGTCTTTCAAAAGGGAGACATATTCTGAAATATTGTCGGGATGGAACATGGCATTTGTAAGAACATCGGTTATCCTTTGGGAGACACCGATGTATGTCTGGCCATCTTCTAGTGTAAGAACACGACGTCTAATCGCCAAGAGTGATCTAAAGGATCCTCCTATAATTGAAGTATAAATCTAATAATAAAAAACAAGCCATTCTTAATTTTAGTATTCTAATAACCTCTCTTCATTGTATCCCCAGGTTCTTAGGTCTGCCTTTGCGTGTACCTTTCTCGGGTTTCCTGCTTGGATTATTTGACTATCATAACGTTCTAAAATGTTCTCGGAAAGTCGTGCAAGATTTTCCATTGATTTAGCTTCGGTTAGACTTCCTTTTTTAGTGAGGTCAATTTGAATGGACAGGCCAGTTGCAATCTGATCCACAATGATTGCCATGTGTTCAAATGTAGGACGATATGAATATGTAAATGAGTTCGAGAACAAGAGTTGCACACAATGGTTTAGTTCTGTAAGCATCTCTGTTCGTTTCTTCACATCGTCTTTTAGTTTAGTGTACAAATACTCCAAAACTCTGCTTATTGCAAGGACGAGATATGCACGAATGACAGGTGGGGTTCTTTTGCGATCCAGCTTTACTCTCGCGTCATAGTGTTCCATAAGTTTGTTAAGTAGCTGCCAATAAGCTATATTCAGTAGTGGAGACTCATTAGGGCTTCACACAGGCCAATGGAAAACATTAGTAATTAATTTTCTAAAAACTTTCTTTTGGCTTCTATTAATTTTATTAGAGTATCAAACTCACTTTTTCAAATTAGATCGGATTAACAAATTGCATAGCCACTCAAAGAGAAAATCATCCTTGTTAGGAAAAAATAGATCATCGTTAAGCCAAGCTTCGGTTGCAGCTTCAATCCTCTGCTTTGAAGAAAGTCCTGCTCCTTTTAGGGCCCTTGCGATCTTTTCGGACGACAATTCGGACATGGCCTTTAAATTACGAGATCGTCTTGAGATTTGCAAATGTCCTTTTGCCAACTTTTTTTTTCTTCTTCTGATTTTGGACATTCGCAGTCACTACTGACATTAGAAATACTCGCATGCCGTGGAGAGAGAAATGTTGTCGAGCTTATTAGAATGACATTTCAAATTCCTGTAAAAAGAATCATCACCAAAGAGCATCTTGAAGAATTTTTAAAGTCTGATGCCTACAGTACTTATATTGACTACATCTTGCGTTTGAATGAATCTGTCAAAGGCCAAAAAATTGACAAGGAGCTTCCTGCGTCTGATGTAGGGCAAATTTATTTATGCATCTGCTTACATGTTTATTAAATATGACTAACATGAGCTTGTCTGAAAATAAAGAACGTCAAAAAGATTTTGAAAATCTTAGATCAACTCGCACAATGGGTGACAGATATCCCTCCTGTCGAGAACTCAAAGTCTCGCTTCGGCAATCCTTCATTTCGAGTGTTTTACGACAAAGTTCAAGACGTAAGTTGTCCAGTGCATTTTTAGGATAATATGTATATTTATATGATCATTATACAGAGTTTGAATGACCTGATGGGCCGCTTAGTAGAAGAAGAAGCTATCAAAGAAGTTGGAAGGTACTTTTTGGACAGCTTTGGAGACCGTAAGCGGATAGATTACGGAACAGGTCATGAAGCCAATTTTATGGCATGGCTGTAAGTTTTATCATAAAATCAACCAAGCGCTTCGGGTACCATGTATCAATATTGTGTATCTTACATCTGTAGGCTGTGCTTGGAGAAACTCAGTGTACTTACAAAAGAAGACGATAAGGCTGTAGTCTTGAAGGTCTTTGTAAAGTAAGTCCTCTATAGGTGTCTACTTTTTTTTGGGTGAGAGTAACATAGCTATTGCTTTAGGTATATCGAATTGATGCGTAAATTGCAGTTTGAGTATTGGTTGGAGCCTGCTGGATCCCACGGTGTATGGGGTTTGGATGATTATCATTTCTTACCATTCTTATTTGGTTCATCTCAGTTGATCGGTAAATACTGTATTCTTGGCTAATTATACTTAATTACTGACTCTCTATACAGACCACAAGTACATTCGCCCCAAATCTATTCACGATTCTGAGATTGTTGAAGAATTTTCAAAAGATTATATGTACCTTGCATGTATTCATTTCATCAACACTGTCAAGACAACTGCCTCTCTCCGTTGGCACTCACCCATGTTGGATGATATATCTGCGTGTAAGCTATGGTCCAAAGTGAACCAAGGAATGATCAAGATGTACAAGGCAGAAGTTCTTGGAAAACTTCCAATCATGCAACATTTCATGTTTGGTAGTATTATTCACTTTGAAGGTGGTTCGATCAATGCAGAAGGTACACAAGGTGACTGTGGGCATGTTCATCATCACGCACATGAGAATTCTTCTCCTGGAATTCCTTCCGGTGATGTTTATGCTCTTGGCCAAGAACCTCCTCCGTGCTGTGGTATCCCTGTCCCGAGTGCCATTGCTGCTTCTGCGATAAGGAACAGAAATAATAATGGTCCTCGGCCTATCCCTTTCGACTAGTTTATGTACTAGTAACTTTATTTTGTGGGATAGATGGCCAATACATATTTCCATAATTGAATTTAAATTTGAAAATATAATCTTACTATAATGTCCTGTATCTAATAATTAACTTTAAAGCTTGCTTGTTGGTGGGTTAAGAATTATCTCGGGGTATGAATCAAGATGTCAAGAGAGCCAAGCACCATCTATTTTAAATATAAGTTAGGTCATATATATATAGTTAATATATATTACAACAACAAACGTAGTTACCACACTTACAATAGGTCCAGATGCGATACCGTTAACACCTATAGAGTATTATGAGATTTTTTAAAATAAGATAAATTATATATTTGCTAGTACATACGAACATCGTGAGGGCCTAATTCAACTGCCCAAAGCTTGGTAAGAGCCTGAGAGAAACATAGGTATCGTAAGTTTTACAGCCTTTGTTCACTATCCACATTTTAGGATTTACATCAATTCCAGCCTTGGCAGCTCCGGGATGTTGTTGATAAGGAACCCCTGTATAATGCAATGTGGCACTGTACATTAAGAATGGATCCCTTAGATTCTTTAAGGTATGGAAGAGCGGCCTTTGTAAGGTTAAATGTGCTTAAAAATCCACGCAAATATCAATTATGTATTCAAATCACTTTTATTCCAGTACATAGTCACCAATAAGCTCAATTTCAATCACAGTGCGGAAAACATTTTAAGACAAATTCTAGAAAGGAGTCAGAAAGTTTCCTGCAGCACCGTTAATCGAAAAGTCGATTCTACCAAACTTCTCGAGAGCTTTTTGAACAGCATTCTCAACCTATGCAGGATTGCGAACGTCCGCAGCTACTGCACTACAATACAAAAAAAGAAAGGAGGTTAATAGAGAAAAAGTAATTGAATATACTGGTGATCATGGATTGTAGTTTTTTTTTTCGGTTAGATTTATCTACTTACAAAACATGGCCACCAGTCATCTCACTTATCTCCTTGGCTGGTTTTTCTAGCTTATCCTTGCTATAACTTTATTATTAGCATGAGGTTTTATTTGGTTTTAGAAAGGGATTTCAATTAACCTTCTACTGATGATTACAGCCTTTGCGCCATGGCGAACCATAGCTTCTGTCATTCCGCGAAAGATACCACTTCCACCACCGGAACAAAGGAAAACCTTTCTTGGAAAAATATTGTGTTTGAATATTTCATTTGTATCTACGGCTTCCATGGCAGACTGATCTAGAACGACAACCTGGAAAATTGTTTTAGCCTGGTAAGAAACTTAATGTGAAATAGTGTGCGCTACGTTTTAAACTTATTGCAATTAAAATGACCAAACACGCTTAATATGTTCCCACACAGCTAGCACTATGAAAAAAATAGTAAAACTTCGAGGGTGATTTCAGAGGTGATTCTATAGACCAATTTTCGGCACCCTCTCTAATATCAGTGATGCTAGATAATGATTCGGTTTCGAAAAGGACCATTTTATGCCTAAATTAGCAATCCTTTATGGATCATACATTTATTCCATAGGTGGGCGCTCTTAAGTTTAATTAAATGCTTTCAAAGTATTGTTTGTGAGTAAACATATCAATAGCTTTTATTAATAGTTAGATTGAAATGTTGTTAAAAAACACTTGTACCAAGACGTATATAAGCTGATACCAATGACTGTTATTCAGGTTAAATTCAATTTTAGAGCGTAAAAGAAAAATATTTATTAGGTGTAGGTTACTCTTAGAATGCAAAGAATAATAATAGTCTAATGCTAATAAATACAAAATGACATGTCAACTAACGAGCATTATCTAATCGCATCTTGGTGATGTATGTTGCTGTTTGAGATAAAAGCTCATGGATACATTGGGCAAAATCCAAAGCTTGCTCCAAGGAAACTGATTTTTGAGATATGACACCATCAACAAACCAATCAATCGGACGAGTGATCTCCGCTATACGAGCTTGTATAGCAAAAAGTCGCAAATCTGTTTGTCTGGTATTGGTCCCAAAATGTGAGAGATCAAACGAAGGTGGCATATATTTACGAAGGATATTCCGAGGACAACTTCTCAAAAACTGACGCCGATTTTCTTCATCCAATGGTCGCTCAAAGAAATTTCCAGACATGCCTGGAATTGCCAACAGTAATTCAGGAGATGGGTCAAGGTCTGTAGACAGCGGTGTAACTATGGAGTTCATATTATTGGCAATATTAGATATCATGGTGCTTCGGGATCCAGTATCAGAGATGTTTATTCCTTCGTCCTCTTCTAATGCCTGAATGTTGATTATGAGCTGCTGAAGGTTGTTACTATCAAGACTATTCATAGTAAAAGTTCAAAGAATAGAAGAGATGAAAAAGTATTAAGCATTTACCTGAATTTATTGAATTTGGCTTTGAATTTGAAGAATAAGAAAGAAAGAAAAAAGAAAACAGGCTTTTGTTAAAATGTGTTTGGAGTAGAATGAGACCTGTATTATTCTATTGTTGTCCTTCGTCCTATAGAAATGTAATACAATACTATAGATCGTATGAGATTGTTGTAGCGTACCTTTCTTACCCCATATTCTCTAATACCTTGTCTAAAATGTCTTTCTTTATTATATGTATAGTATTATCTTTAATTTTGTAGATGTTTTAATATGAAAATTTAGCTCACTATCCTTCTATTATGATTAATATTGTGTATCATAAAATAAGGTTTCTACAAGTATCAACTGTAAAACTAGATCGATTTTGTACAGTGTAGTTAAAGAATGGGGGGGGGGGGGGGGGGGGGGGGGGGCAATATGAGACTTTGGGTTGCTGTTGTCTAAAAAAAAAAGTCAATTGCTACATATGTTCTTTTAAACCATGAAGTAGATTTATTATTATTAAGCCCTTAAATGGTTCCTGGGTATGGAAACAGACAATGAGCTACTTAAGGGCAAATCATTGTCAGACAACAGTAATACACTCAAATATTTATACAAATGGGTGTATTTGGATAATGTTCAATTGTTAATGATGTAAACAAATAATTCGTAAGGTAACAATACACTATGGTAAAAAGTGGGGACCTTAGAGCATCTGGAGCGGGTACATTATGATAGAATAATCAGTAGTAGCTCAACGTATGAATCTTTTTCAGCTTTTGATACCAGATATTATTACTTTATATAGCCAAACTTTCACAAATTCTCACGAATCTTTGTCTTCAACCTTTCCTACTTCTTTAACATACATACAGAGACCTGTTTAATCCTCATATCCCATTTTCACTCTTATTATTCCTTGTATTTCTTTCCGGATTTGCTCTTTTAATGACCAATTTATAAAATTCAACCAATGACCCCCTCTTATATATATATATATATATATTGCAAGCATTCTTTAAAATATTTGAATAAAAGCTATGAATTAATTACCACAGCAGTCCTGTGAATCTGTATATGGGCTTTGTCAGGAGAACTAAACCCATGCTTTGACGAAGCGTTGGTCAATACCTGTCAAATAACAGGCAGTCACCCAACTGGAAAAAAAAGAACCTTGTTCATTATTGATGCCCTTCAGCTAAAGCTATCGACCATATTTAATAAAGATGAAATGTAGTAAAATATCCTGACTCATGAGCGCATTTTCAATCGCAGCATCTCATATAGCGATACTTTTATGCCAATTTTGTCATTGAAGTGCCTTTTCTTTTTTTTTTGATGAAATAGACAAAGTATTTTGCTTGAGATGCACTCGCACGAGTCTTCTAGGTCTTTAGCGTGTTCTTGTCTCGTCATCTTACACATGTCTCATTCGGCAACGCCAATTTGTAGAGCTATCTCTAGAAGTTTGCGAAATGCTGGACAATAATGATTGAAAATTCCATCCACAAGTTAGATATCTTACTGCCAAGATATTGTCCGGTGTGGAAATACATAACACTTGCAATGAGCAAGCTATTATGGCAAATACAGCAGAAGCTTATGGATGAACCGAGAACATCGATGACCTCTCAGCAATGTCAGACTGGACTGTTTTGACAGAAATCGCCTTGTAAATAAATAAATAAATATCAACTAGGAAATTGTTAAATTATATGATTCGGTTTTCGGTTCCTTTTTCTTCCTTTCTTCATCTAAGCTCTACCCGACTCTCTTAAAGGGATCAACTCCAACTACCCTTTCTTATTCTTCTTCGTCATCATTTTCGAATGGCACAAAATGCGGCAGGTGTAGAGCACTACTATCTCATGTTGTTTTTCGCAGTAGAATATCGATAGTGCCTTGGATTTCCTTTATATAACGTATCCTTTCTGCTCATAACCTCTCACCGTCAACTTCACTTGTTGTACCAAGCACAACACGGACAGTCGTAACCGACAAAGCGAGTAGTACTATCAAGATATCCTTAGCTTTTATGAAATGACAAATTAGCTTCTTTGGTTATTATTTTTTCTTGTTTCGTGTCGTCCAGGACATTAGGTAAGTAAGATTGCTCCATTTTCAAGAACTTTCTTATGGGCTACTTTGAGCAGTCGATAAACTCTGTTTACCAAATGACTTGAGAATGTGGTCAAACTATATCTCCTGCCGAATGAAAAAGTATGTTATGATTCCATCTTTAAGCCTGTCAGTTTTTCTTCTTATAAAGGGCCATATCTGCTTTTCAATATATATATATATATATATATGTGTGTGTGTGTATGGCTCTTGTATAAGTTTATTATATCAATGCCAATGCCAATGCTAGCACTATTGGTGCCGTACAATAGCTACTTTTATATAAGCATATATTATGGTCTTCTTGATATTCATTAGTATTAATATTTTCTTAATTCATATTACATTATAGTATCAATAGTAAATCCAACGATTCTTATGTTGCCGCAATTGTAAAATAGATATATTTCTCTCATAATAATAATAATAATAATAATAATAATAATAAAATAAATAATAAAATAAATAATATTTATTTATATATATATATATATATTCTAATTTTTTATTTTATCTATCCTTCCTTCCTTCTGGTCCTGACCCTGACCCTGACCCTGATCCTAATCATATCCTTATCCATGACCCTGGCATTGATCTTGATCTTGATACTGATCCTAATACTGATCCTGATACTGATACTGATCCTGATACTGATCCTGATACTGATCCTAATACTGATCCTAATACTGATCCTAATACTGATCCAGGTTTCGGATTTTGTTTCTGTTTCTGCTAATCAAGTTAGTTGCCAGTAAGGTTAGTTCTCGTTGCTTGTTAGTAGGTTAGTTCCCGTTGCTTGTTAGTAGGTTAGTAACTGTTGCTTGTTAGTAGATTAGTCTGTTGCTTGTTAGTAGATTGGTATCTGTTGCTTCCTGTTGCTATAAGGTATATAAAGAAGTTAATTGGAGTAACTTCTGCTTCTGCCGGGGATGGTCTGGAGATTCTTCATCTTTTTTTTCCCGCTCTTGAGAAAAGAATCTCCAGACCAAAAGCGCTGGTTTTTATGTTGTTGATGTTGTTGATGATGCCGCTGATGATGCTGCTGCTGCTGATGATGCTGCTGCTGCTGATGATGCTGCTGCTGCTGCTGCTGCTGATGCTGCTGCTGCTGCTGCTGATGATGCTGCTGCTGCTGCTGCTGCTGATGCTGCTGCTGCTGCTGCTGATGATGCTGCTGCTGATGATGCTGCTGCTGCTGCTGATGCTGCTGCTGCTGATGATGCTGCTGCTGATGATGCTGCTGCTGATGATGATGCTGCTGATGGTGGCACCTGGAAGACGGCGGTAACAGCGGCGGCGTCCTCTTCTGGCTTTACTGCCTCACACTTTCTAGGGTGGAGGCACCCTGTGATAGCCAGGACCGCCGCCGCCTGGGTCTCCTGACTCAGAACCCGTCTGTAGAGGGCCTTCGACAATGGAAGGCCCGTCTTGCCCTTCTGGACGGGTTCCTCGTAATCAGCGAGGATCTGACGAAGGACGCGCTTTGGGACGCGTTCGTCTTCGTCAAAGTCCTCGGGGCAGCCCCGCTTCGTTCCAGTGGTTACCGCTAATGAAGAAAAGAAAAGGCATTTGTTAGACATATATATATATAAATAAACACACAAATATGTATAAAGATAAGTAGTTACTTACCACCAACTGAAAGTACTTGCGCAGGTTTCTTTGGCGCCTGCCCGAGATCCCCGTCTTCTTCACAACCGAGGGGAGACTTCTTGAACGGTTTGTTAACCGCCGTGCGCTTGTACACACGGCGGTACTCCATTGCCAACTCGGCAAGCTCCTCCAACTCATCCAACTTTCTCTTTGTACCTTTTGGTACAACTGGGGCTATATATGTATATATGTATATAAAGCTGTGATTAGGATTTTATCATTTATCTAATATTATATACATATATACACATAAATCAAGACTTACCCGAACAAACTTCATCTTCTTCAAAAGATGAAGGAACGTATGAAGAAGATGAAGAGGAGGAGGAGAGAGAGGATGGAAGAGAAGAAAGAGAAGAAGAGGAGGAAGAGGAAGGAAGAGGAGAAGAAAGATAAGATGACGAGGAGGAGGAGTAAGGAACGAATGAGGAAGAGGAGGAGAGAGAGAAAGAAGACGAGGAGGAGGAGGAAGAGAAAGAAGAGGAAGGTGAGCGAGAGAGAGAGGAGGGGGAGGGGGCATTCGAACGCTGGCGTGACTCCAGCGACGAAGCAGACGAACGAACGGAATATGAGGAGGGGGGTGATGAGGAGGGGGAGGAAACGGAAAAAATTGTAGAAGGTGAGGGAGAGGGGGAAGGAGAGGGGGAGGGGGAAGGAGAGGGGGAGGGGGAAGGATTATAACCTCCCACGGATGGGAGGGGGGAGATTGTGCTAATGGATCTGTTGAAGATTCCATTGTCGCTGTTGTTGCTGTTGAAGCTGTTGTTGTTGTTGTTGTTGTTGTTGTTGTTGTTGTTGAAGCTGTTGAAGCTGTTGTTGCTGCTAATGCTGCTAATGCTGTTGAAGCTGTTGTTGCGGTTGTTGCTGCTGATGCTGCTGATGCTGCTGATGTCGCTGATGTTGCTCATTATGTTGAAGCTGTGCAAAGAAAAGAAAAGAGAAAAAAAAAAGACTGCCATACATTTCCTTGTCCTTTTATTACTTTTTTTTTGTTTTCTTTTTCTTTTTCTCTTGTTCTGTCTCTCTTTAGCTATCATTTGTCTGTATCAAAAAAATCAGTAACCACAGTATGTAGTAGTTTATTGGCAAGGGCTGTGTTGCAATTAGCATGTGAAGACTAAATAAAAACTTATAATAATAATTTTGGTTTAGCCAATAGAATTCATTAGTTTGGCCACCTTGATGGGGAGGGGGGGTTCATAATTACTGTGAGGATATAAATCAATAGAAATTATTTTAATGGCCAGAACAACTCATTAGTTTGATGATAGTAGAGGATTTCATAAATACTTGGATTTTGAATCAAATTACATGGGCTCATATATCTAGTGCCATTAATAGCCAATCAAATTTTAGCATCAATCAAATTGGCTTTTAAAAAACGTTGCACAATCATATGAAGGCTGTATAAAGAAAGAAAAACAAACAAACAATCAATCAATCAATCAAACATAGTATGGCTTGCGATCGATAAATGAACTCACAAAAGACTATCTATAACACTCTAAAGTCTACACCAAACAGCTAAAGAAGATACCAAAATATGATATCTGTACCTACACTTCTTCTTTAAAATATTATATATGTAAAAAAGAAAGAAAAAAGGACTCTCTTTAGGTGAGAGGGGGAGTGAGTATTAAGATGGGTGGGAAAAATTTAAAACGGGAATCTAATATTTCAAACAACAATTTATTTTTTAGGGGGATGGTATTCAGCCATTAAATATAATATGCCTTTATACAGACGGCGTGTGTGAAAAAAAAAAGAAAAAAGAAAAAAGAACAGGGTAACTTGGGTCTTGTAATCTCCGTCGATACGCCTTTTGATGCAAAACATACAAGTTTTTATAATAAGACATCATAGAGCTATTGGGTGAATATATTGATTTGATTTACATGTGACGGATGTTTAAACCCCAAACGAGTCTTTTCGCCTACCCTCTAGCCAGTTGAATACGTATTCGACCCATCCTCCTAAAGCAGTTTGTCTGCTTTTGTTGCCTAGTTACACTGTCTCTGGAACACTTCTTGGATATAATTTTGCAGTGTTTTATAGATCAACATTAATATAGTCTCTACCAAAAGACTCTATCTAAAGCTATATATCGATACTTTACTTTACCTATTTCTTTTCACTAAATTTATCGCAGTTCTTAGTGCTGTATCTGAATGGCAAATTTTTGACGTCTTATGCTTGTCAGAGCTAGCCTTTAATGATGTGGGTATATCAGCATTTATTCTGTGTCTTCAAGCCTTGACGGAAGTATGGAGAATATTCATGAACAAAGCTAGACATTTTTTGCGAAAAGGATGACCAACTTAACCAGCGAGATTTTCAAAGTTCAGAAGAACAATACATCCAGATCGTATTCGTGTTCGTGTTCGTGTTTCAACTATTAAGCAGGTCATTAACACTACCCAAGGATACAACCCTAAAAGGACTACAATTATTGACACAGAAAACTTTCCTTGCATTCATGAGACCATCACAAAAGAATCTCGTAGACTTTGTGCTTTAATCGATCCTAGAAGTGTAAACATGTTATACTGCATTCATGTGGACTCTACTGCGGTTAGGTGAGGCTGCTATATATACCTCTCCTGCCCAAATAATAATAATAAGAATAATAACAATAAAATAAGAGTTGATCTTAAAAGTGGCAAGTTTTGTCGGATTCTTCTGGATCACAAAACCCAACACCCGAATGTCTGTGATCCAAAACAAACCATGTTATGAATGTCCAGCCGAGTTCATTAACGTCGCCGACTTTTTCTTTTCATACTTTGGTCAAATCAGCAAGCTACTCGATTCCCAGCTCCTTTCTTGTTAATGAACCTGGCAAGTCAACAATCTCCGGAACTATTACACACCAGGCACACGTACACTACACACCCATACAGTGTAAACCAACCATCACACAGCAGGGATTTGAATTACGGGGATCTTAATAGTAACAGATACATACAACACTCTCACAGTATCTACTTTTCCCATTATTGAGATACTAGCCTAATAGCAATCCCGAATATCTCAGTAAGCTATTAAATTATTTAAATAATCTTTCAGTGAATTACTATTTTATTATAATTATTGTTATTTTTTGTATCTGGTTGAAGAGGTAGAAAGAGGTGTTTTGTATTGATTGCAAAAAAAAGCGTGGTAGGGTAAAAGTTGTGATTTTACTTTTAAACCACAATAATAGTGCTTAATCAAAATTCAACCCTAAAACAACCCTTAAATCCCGGGAAATCTTGCAGAAATATTCTTACTAAAACCATCATCTTTTTTTTTAATATAATGTAACTGCCATAGTCATGTGTATTATCAGAGTGATTTTCTCAAATCATTGATATGTAATTTCTTTTTGCGATATTAGAGAGGGTGTCGAGTTATGATAATTTCAAGATGACTAAAAAATAATTATTTGTAAAACCCAATCAAAAATAAGAATAAAGCTCAGATACAGTTATGAATATTATAAGTTGAAAACATTGATACTAAGAAATTTAGAGGAAATAGACCTTAATAAACTTGACTTTCCAAGGCCTATTTTATTAAGTAAGTATGAAGAAGAGGCTACTGGCTATCATACATTTTGTTTTGAAGTGGGAAAAATAAGCCCAATTTTTACTAGAAATTTAGTGAGCATTTGAAGTAAAAAATCAGGGATTACCTAACTTTTGGCTTCAAATGCTCACTAAATGGCCTCCACCATGAAATTTGCAAAACAAGTATTGGAATTTAATTCGCCGCGTAAAATAAAAATTTGCAAACGTTTGCAATTCAGGCTCGAAGATACCCTCTCTATTATATAACCCTTTCCCACACATTTATATGCAATGTATATAAATTATAATTTTACAAGAAAAAATAAACCCCACATACACTCACATCACCTCAACTCAACTCAACCCAACTTAACTTAACTTAACTCACTCTATCGCACAAGAAACAAGTGTACAACGGTTTATATGTACAAACATCTATATATCATTCCAAGAAATATTGTACTTGGCTAATATTCAAGAACCAGTAATAAAGCCATCAATTGATACACAAATAGTTAATTCAATGAACATTGGCATTATACATTTATAAGTATATAGCTGATGTTGTTAAGACAAGTTTCTTAGGGGATTTTTATGCGCAAGTGACTATTAATTTTTTTAAAAAAAAAAATTGGCGTAGATCACATTTAATTTATAATAATAAAATAGTAATAGTAATAGTAATAGTAATAACAATAATAACTAGGCTCCCTTTTGCTTCAATTGTTGTTAAAGGGGGGGATTATTGCGTTGTTTGATTAATACAAGACCTGCTTGAAACATGACTGAGCTCATGTCTTTCTAAAGCGCTTTTGTAAGCGAACCATCTCCCACAGTCGTCATGCAGACACATATGTTTTTTGTTGTATACATGTATAAAGTTAAAATGCATCCCAAGCTTCTCTTTCTGTGTGTGTATATAAAAGTCAGAGTGAATCAACTTGACGATAATAACAGTGATAGTGATAATGATGGGGATTTAGGAGTCTAATCCACAGACATACATACTTACTGTCGAGAAAATTTTCTCACAACCATCTTCTCCACACACAAACCCTTTTGGGCTTTCATGGATCTTACGGTGATGATCTATCTGAGCCTGACAGATAAGCAGTTCGCCGCACGATGCGCACTTTTCTGAATGTTGTTCTTGTACGTGAAGGCACAAGTCGCTCCAGGTGAAAGATCGAGAGTTACAATTTTCCTTAAAACAGACATAGGTCTCACCTAACAGAATGAGTATAAATAGATATGGATTAATGAGAGGATGAGCAAAGGATAAACAGATTGTTGAATAATAAACGACTTACTAGAGAAATCAATTATCTTTGGAAGCTTTTTATTGGAGTCGGTGCGCCATAAAGAAGTGAAAGTAGAGGTGGGGCGAATGTCATCGTTCGGGCGTACTCTCTTCCGTCTCTCATTAAAGCTTTCTAAGAACCCTTTTGCTAAAGGATCGTTGTTAATCTGGGATATATCTTCGTCGGTTTCTAGTTTCCGTTTTCTTGAAATGAGTCCAGAAGTATGCATGATAGTGGTGGAGTCGTCAGATAAGCTAGAAGAAGAAGAAGAAGAAGAAGTTGCTATTGCTGTTGTTGGTATAGAGGGAGCGTTGTAAGCAAACATTGTGAATTGCAAGGTAGTTAAGAGAGAAAGAGATGTAAATAGCAATAGTAAGAAAAAATAAAATGAAATAAAATAAAATTAGACTGGTATTTTATCTTACTCATGGGGTTTGAAACATTGATGCATATGTTTCTCTTTTTGGCCAATAAGGTCAGAAAAGGTATTTTATTCGGTCTGTCTGATATCCATCTATTTAGCCGAATGGAATATGTATTTATATCAATACATAAAATATAATGGCTTTCGATGCAAATTCATAGCCAAAATAACGATAGTTTATCAATTATAAGATTTGAACCACAAATACTTTTATATAAGAATTAGAATATATCTCTAAAGACCCGTACAAAACAAAACCAACTGTCTTTATCTTTATATCTATCTCATTTTATTCTTATTACTAAACAAGAGGGTCTATATACTACCGTCAATTAAGCCTTCTATTTCTAAATAAAGAAATATCTGGAAATATCAATTTCAGAATGACTGTCTGGAACAAGTCTTATAACTCTTTATCAACATCTCCTTATTTACAAGCTAGTCTTGAACGTCTTTAGATATGGTATAAAAATAATCTAGTGAACCCGGGAGCTCACCATTAAATTTCTAAATTCTCTATATATATATATTGGGTTATATAATAAATTGGCCTACTAAGAGCTATCTATTGGCTGCTTACATGATTAAATGAATAATGTTGGTGTTTAGTTTATTCATTCAATGTAGCTTAATTTGTACGACAATCATTTTAGAACGATCTGCACAAACATAAGCACAAGCACAAACACACCCCACCGCACTGCACCGCACCGCACCAAATTAAACTAAAATAAACTTAAACAGAGTACAATATTCGGTTCGAGTAAGATAATAAAAAGTATATATATATATACCTTAGGCTAACAACAACAAGATGCTTGGCCTTACAGAATTCGGGACTTGTTTGTATATTCTGAACATTGTACCCCTAATATATATATATATATCTTTGCTTAAAAGGCAATAGATAAGGTCTATGAATTGGTGGATCATTTTGTTTTGTTTTTCTTAGAAAATGGGTCGCACTGTAAAGTATTTTGTTAGTTCGGAATCTTATTGGGATTGATTCTGAAGGGAGACAAGAATGGCTTCCAGAAAATATTGTCTTTTGTTTGTTTTTACTAACCATGTTGCTTTTTGGTAGCTTATTACAATGTATTTAATCAATGGTCTTTTTTGTTTGTCGAAAGGAATACTATGGCTGATGTGAGACGATCTTTTTGAAAATATCTACAGTCGTTTATCTAGGCTATCTAGACACACAAACACACTAGGATTAAAAGTTTCCTTTTATAACATTGAGCTCCTTTTAATTGAAAGAAAAGTTCCTTTTTGGTGTACAGAAAAAGAAGCTTTTCAAATATGATTTCATTATCATTTTGTTGTTGCTGTTGCTCATGACTTGGTTCATTTTTACAATGACTACAAATATGCTCCTCATACTAAAGCTAAAAGATTATATATATATATATGTGTTTATGAACGTTCAAGCTAAAGAAAGGCATATACATGCTTCTTGCCAACTTGAACTTCAGGCCTTTAATGACAAACCAAAGAAGAAAGGTGGTTATGCAATGACTAACTGTGAATATCAAGTATATATTTCTTTACTTTTATTTTATTTCTTAAAGAAAAACCTAACTGGTGCGGTCAACTGTAAACCATGAATTAGTGTGATTCAATCTGTCCTTTAATACCTGGACAACAAGTCTTAAAATATATGGTCTTTAGATCATTTCTTTCTTTCTTTCTTTCTTTCTTTTTCAAAAGACACTTGTCTACATAAGGTACTCATCATCTTGTCTCCACATTCTTTAGTTTTACCCCTTTATTCTCGTTCCAAAAAAAAAGAATGGAAGAAAAGCCAAAGTATTAAAGGGGGACTACATATGTATTGTAAGTACTGTAAAAGCAATACGTTTGAAAAGATATATTGTATTAAACACTAATATTATATGAGAGCGACGCATTATATTTATAATTGATAAATAAATAAATGATTAAATGTAGTGTAAGCTATTTAAACAGGTCTAGCCAATCTTTTTTCTTTCTTTATGTCTCCTAAAAGCACTGTGCTTTCTTTAACCTTCTGATGGTGATTTACTGGTACAAAGGAAGGTTTACACAATTTTCTTTGTGATAAATATTGTCAAAGTATACCTAATTATCTGGTAACAGTCTGTAAATATTTCAGTATTATTTGGTTGTATGTATATGTATATAGAAATTAAATCCAGGTAAATCATGCTTGACCTCAGATTTCCAACTTACAATCTTTCTGAGCACCGTTCTTACATAATTCTAATAAGCTATCTAGAGCCTCACGTTACCTAGCATCCGCTAAAAAATTAAAGCACTTTATTTCATTTTTGCTATTTTGGATTCAAGATTAGAGCATCCACAACGGTCTGTGTAAATTTAACAAGAATATTAATTTAGACAGGAAATTTAGATTTTTTCATCCCCAACGGTTTGCTTAACTAAAAGTTTTAACTGATTATTTCTCAATAATAATTACCGGCTTTTTAAATTTAACAATTCACAAAAACATCCAGGGCTTTTTTTACATACACTGCTAATTTTACCCAGACCGTTGTGGATGGTCTAAATTATCTCTTTTAAATGCGGCTTTTTTATTTTACGTAATTATTTTAGTTACACATACCACTGTGGATGCTCTTATAATCCTTGTTTCAATATCAAAAGATATCACTGTAGGAAATGGCAGGATTTATACCTCCGACCTCGTACCGAGTTACGCACTCGTAACTTCTGCTATTTAAATATCGGTCTTTAAAATACCGATCTCGTAACTTTTATGGCCAATAGCATATCAGCTTTTAGTAAATTAAAATTATTTATAGCGAATAATATTCATGAAATTTAAGATTACTTTGCATATAGTCCAATCAAATATTCTAAATATGCCAATTATACCTTTTTTAGGTATTTGTATTCTCTTTATGATTGGTTCAACAAATGCATGATGTTTTATATTGGAATTTTACGGTTTTTATTGATCAAAACAACTCAAGTTAAACACAAAGAAGTATGCAAAGAAGAAGTACTGATTTATATAATATACATGTACCTATTGCTATGTACTATTTTTTCTCTTCTTTTTTTTTATTTAAAAAACAGCTATTCTCTAAATACTATGATATTGATGAAGGCGTGTATCTTGCTTAATTGATTCTTTTTTATCAAAAAGTATACACCTTTTCTGTGTTGCCTTTCTATATCTGATTCATACTTTTTTAAAAACCAAAATAATGAGAATTTAATATCACCCTAAGAGCTATTTATAAGATTTCTTGGGATCTTTGTAGACACTGTTTTGAAATAAGATGTAACCCGGGTTCAGAAGGGGGGTTTGTTACCGAATGGTAAGCTATTAGATTTGAATAATCTTATTGTCTTCAATTCTTGTACTAGGTTGAAGAAATTGGGAAAAAGATGTTTTGCATTGACTGCAAAAACACGATGACATACAAAATGGGATACATATAAAAGAGAGAAAAATTGGTACTTAATTAAAATTCAACTATAAAACATTTTAAGCCCTAGAAAACTTGCAACAATTCGCTAAAATCGCCTTTTTTTTTCTGTAGGGTACCCCACGATATCTCTACAAGACATTTCACTTTATATAATACCCATCTATCAGCTAGACAAGGAGTGTTTTAACCAGTTGCTTCTCTCTCTCTACAATTTTTCAAGTAACCTTTCTCTTCCTTCCATTTATCCCTTCCTGCCTGTCTGCCTTCTATTGTCGTTTCGTGTCGTGTCGTGTCAAGTAAAGTCAAATTCATAATTTCTAATTGATTCTATTTATTAATTCAAAATCATTCACTGCTTCTTTTCAAAGAAAGAAAAAACTCCTTTTATTATACTTACCACTTTTTTGTGTCCAATAATGAATGATATATGTATATATATATATATATGTAAACATTCATTTTGAGGTTTTGGGATGTTCTTTGTCATAAAGCATGATTTTAAGTTTATCAGTTAATATATCGTCAAAGCTCTTGACTCCTCCTCCTGTTGTTGTTTTTGTTGTTGCTTCTTGAATTTTTTGGGGAGTTCTTCTTGCTGGGAGACCCAACTTATCTCTCTGCCGCCGAATGATACCCCCGGCTGTAGACTTGGGCATTCCGACAGCCTTTCCTGATTCCTCGATCGAAAGTTTGTCGACATAATAGAGTTTGCAGACCAGAAGGACCTCTTCTTCAGTATATTGTCTTTGTTGTCTCCGGGCTCTTGTTTCTTTCATCTTGACATCATCATCATTGGCAGATTCGGATTTAGTATAATTGATTCCGCTCAGTTGTGAATTGACGTGATTTTCGTAGGAATCGTCAACAATATCCATGTATTCAATTTCATTGCTAGGATAGTAAAAAGGAGTGGCGTTTGTCTGGAAAGGATACATTTATAATATTTGAAAGTCTCTCTCTCTCTCTCTCTCTCTCTCTCTATTTCTTTTTTTTGTTTAGTTGTTGGTATTGGTGTTGTCTCAATAAAATGAATGGTATATATATACACTTTCAATGGTCTGATTTTTTTTTATTTTGACCATTTTCTACGAGCAATGGCGGATAGTCACAGTCCTATTAAAATAAACTAGGATTAACTCAGTAAGAGGAAGCTGGTGATTGGCTGAAAGGGTAAAAGAGAAATAGAGAACTTTTGAAGGAAACGAAAGATAATGTTTATTCATGATAATGTTGGTGATATTTATACTATTTTATGAGATATCGCAGTATCTTAGATTCTATGTAAAGTTCCTTTTGCTACGGTATCTTGCTGAGCAGTGCTCCTCCTCTGCCTGATTTTGCTCACTCAACGCCTGTGGTTGAATTGGTTGCCTCTGATTGGAGAGGATTGGAACTGAGTGTTAATTACAATCCACTCCCCACATTTGCTGGCTCAGGGCTCACAACACTATTAATCATATAATCATAACGAAGATGTACATTGTGTACAGTTGTCCGGATCGGAGATGTAGACAATTCGACTCGGTAATAAAGATTGTTGCTATACAAGCCGAAAAAATAAATGATATATGAGTGAATAATCTCCTCATAAACAATGTCCAGAGCAGGAAAGTGCTATGTAGTGCTATGCAGCAAATATAAAGCTTTTGATAACCAATTGAACTTTTAGGCTAATTGACTACAACATCTGGCATGTATTATCATCATCAATTGTAAATAACATTACTGGAAATTATTCGTAAATTCTACTACATTTTTTTTGACAGCAAATCACGGACAATGTGTATGTCTGTCTGCATATATATATATATGTGTGTGTGTGTGTGTTTCTGAAAGTGTTACTTAATCTCTATTTACTCTCTTCATTATTCTCACAGTACATCATGGTCGGTTCTAACGTAGAGCGGCTTCCTTTCCCAATATCCAATATGTATTATCTTTTGGTGGATCGTACTGATGATTTACACATCAATGTCTTGGGCCCAATGGTTTTCTAATACCACCAATATGCCTATTAGGACAATTTTATAATAGAATACTGTCCTCCAAGGCTATTCAATACGATCCTTTAAAAAGAAAGAGAGAGAAAGAGAGACATGACTCAAAGAAAAGACAAATGAGTGAGCTAGATAAACTAAATTAAATCAAATTAATTAAACTGTGCTTATAAGTCTTGATTGAGTATTATATAATTAAAACCTTTGACCAAGAAGTATACTATAAACCAGCTGCTGTTTTTGTTGTTATTTTTTCTCTATTATCCAACTAGTATAATATTGTTTGTCTTTTGGTCTTCTGGGCCATTTTCCATATACTGGTTTCCAAATCAACATGGCGTAGATTTCAAAAATGACGAAAGATGTTTGAGATAAGCAAATCCTGTCGCTGCTTTACTATAATAATTGATTATAATACAATGCAATGTAATGTAATGCACCGCGTATTCTTTACCTTATTTTGCTTAATTATATACGTATTTATTCCCATGATACATTAATGTCTAATATAGTTATCCAAAGAAATAAAGAAGAAGAAGAAGAAAAAGGAATCTAAAATAGGACCGATTATGCGTGAAATATGTACATAGATGTGTAGTTGAGACGCCCGTTATTTTTGTATGATCAGTGTACCTTTTGATTTCCGGGGTTAATATATCAATTATCTTGTAAAATTATTATTATAATTAGAACAATAAGAATAGACCTGTGGTTTCAATGGCGAAAAGTAATAAAAACATGTGCACTGTGTATTAGATTAAACAATGTGTGTAGCGCAAAATAATATATATGTAAAGGCTTTTTATTTTATTTTATTTTGTTTTATTTGAAAGGTTATTAACAGGCTTGTCAAACCTATCACTGTCAGTGTACTAGAGAATTATTTTGATTTTCTTTAAAAGAAATAAACGTGGGCTATATCCATTTGCTTTCATAGTATTCCCTCTATTGTGGACTAAAAGAAAACTGAAATTGTACAAGCGATCGTTCAAAAGGCTATGAGCCTAACCAATTTAGTTTGTCAAACAGAGTTGGCTACACAAATCCTTGGCTTTACTTGAATTATTCTTATTTATTTTTCTGTTAAAAGAAGAAAAAAATAATTTACATCTTTAAAATGTGTCGAATATTTTTAATTATTATATATAAAATATAATATATATATATAAAAAGAATTGTGGTAGGTAAATTAGCAATATATTTTACATTATTATTATATTTATTATATTTATTATATTTATATAAACAGATAATCAGCTCGATCAATTCTTCAAATTCTTCCAGAAACAATCAGTGTGTGATTTTATAGAATCTATCTCATAGACTTCTATAATACCACACTTCAAGGTCGAATAGCCTAAACAGAGACTCTTTGGCCAGGTTGGATTGGACCGTCCTGAAGTTCCAGAGGTGTTGATTCGCCTCAGACTATTGTTGACCATCTTTCCTTGGTCCTCTTTGTTGTACGGGCGGTCTATTAAAGAGACACAGGCATGGTCTATATCTTGCTTATCCAACATCTGCATTGAGCATGCGCCTCCGATAGCCAACTCAATTTCACAATCTGAGTGCAGCCAGTTTTGTACATGTGTTCCTTTTCGGTAAAGACTCAAGGGAAACGACGACGTGCTTGACGACCTGGCCTTCTTTCTGGGCGGTGGGGTGGGCGCCGAACGGGCCAGGGTAATCAGTTCGATACTTGGATCAGTACTCGTGAGATCGGAATTGGAATACACCTTGATGGCGTGGATGCGAAGAAGCTCAAAGCGACTAAAGGACATATCGATGCACAGATTTCGTGTCTTCTCGGAAATCTGTCCATAGATGCTGGTGTTCTTGAGGTGCATATAGTTTAGACTCCTGCACCGAGAAGATAGGTAGCTCAGGGCACTTGACTTGACTTTTACTCCATTGAGGTCTATGAGGCGTAGGCCGTGTTGCAGAGAAACAGGGGTGATGGGTGGGCTGGGTTTTGTGGACAGGCTTCCTTGAGATATACAGAGAGTCTTGAGAGATGGACAACGATCCAAGACCACGTCGAGTTCGACAAGAGAATTTGGGGATGAGAAATCAAAGTGGACCAGACGTGGGGAGCGATTGAGAGCCGTGACAACAGAAAATGGTCTTTGGCGAAGCATAGAGTTTCCGATGGTCAGCCTCTCGAGAGTGTCAGAGTATGAATTTGTGCTCAGTTGGACAATCCGTTCAATTAACTCGTGTTCATCCAAAGATGAACTCACGTTGTAGGTCAATTGCTTGATCGGTACTTTTAATGCGCAGAATAAATCTCTAAAGATGAGATATGATCGTCTTGGGTCACCACAGGCGGATATGTCTACCGTCTTTAGGTGCGCGAAAGCACATGGGAGTACAGACAGCATTGAGGCAGCCTCGCTGTGGTGGTCGTCCTGGATCTTTTTGACTCCTCTGGTCATCCACTTGAGGGTTGTGAGGCCAGAGTATTTGCGGGTGAAATAATAGAACCACCGATGATCGGTGATTCTGGAGTGTATCGTGAGTTCTTTTACTCTTTTGGCTGGTTTTAGACTTGTAGACTGTAGAAGGTCCTTGGTGGAGAATTGAGCGAAATCGACCTTTAGGGACAGCTGGGCTAGATCCGGTAAGTGAGCATGAAGTGTCTCTAGATCTTGCACGCTAAATGCTATGGTGCGGCCTTGCCAAAATTGAGCAAGATTCAAGCGTACAAGGCGTGGAAGATGTGATAGGATGTTGAGAATTTTCTTTTCTGGGGTTTGCACTGTCAAATAATCCAATTCGAGGTCTAGTTCTGTCAGGGACTTCCATGGGCTCCAGTTTACATTGTCTCCAAAACATGTTTCGCTGAGACAGTCTCGTTGGACGTAAAGACTTCTTATGTTCCAGAAGCAGTCCTGGAGAGTAGAGATGTTTTGGGCTGTTGTGACCACATCTTCCTGTATGCATAATTTTCGTACGAGCTGGCCATGTCTTTTGTAAACATTCTGGTTGGATAACGGTAGGTGGCACACACTGTCTAGTATCTTTTGGTGACTGATTTCCATTGTTTCCCACAGTGAGTCCTGGAAGATATTTCTCCAGGATCTTGCGACAAGTATACATCTGAGCTTGTCTTTTGGTGAGAGATATGATGCGATGTGGAAAATGAGTTCTAGTGGTAAGATTGATGTCAACATTATGATTATGATTATAGAGTATGAATATGAATATGAATATGAATATGAATATGAATATGAGTATGAGTATGAATATAGGTATAAGGATGTCAATGAAAAAATAAAGAAAAAGAGTATAAGAAGGAAGAAGAAGAGGAAGAGAGAGGGATACCAAAAAGATTTTATAGTAAAAAAAAAAAATTAAAAAAAAATGTGCATCGATGTATGTATGTGACAAAATGTTTGACTATAATGACGCAAGGCTTAGGTTATTGTAAAGATGGGGGGTAAATTATTATTATTATTATTATTTTGAGGGAGATTGGTACACAACGTCAAGCATTTCGATCTCTTGGTTGAATTAGGATGTCAAACACTTCTTTCTTTTTTGTCTCCCTTACACCGCCCTTTAATTAAATTGTGTCTTTTTATTTCTTTTTTTTTTTTTTAAAAAAAAAAAAAAGCAAAGTTTAACTCTATCCAAAAACACAAGAACACAAAAACGCAAAAACGCAAAAACGCAAAAACGCAAAAAATGAAACTCACAAATGTAATAAAAGAAAAACGATCAAGACTGTTATTGTTGCTATATTCTGTAGGTAATTTTATTTTATCTGTAATATATATATATATATATATTGGCCTGTCTGAATTAAAGACTATCTTTGTTAATGATAGTATATACCTTTTGGACTTTCCTTAGCTACTGTACTTTCATTCTAATACCTACATTATATATATAGTATTCTATTTATTTATACGTGCCTGTTTATAGCATCTTGAGTAACACATTTCTGTTTTTAAAATATTCAAGGGAGAGTTGGGTCACTGACTGACTGATTGACTGTAGGACTGTCTTACTCATCATTGAACAAATGCATCTCAATATATAGTAGTTCTGGAGTACCGTTGCTCTTTTAGTATGACTATAATCTAAATGCCCATTGTTATTATTAATAAGCTGTCAAGCAAAGATATTTTCTAATATATATTTATTTATAAAAGCAGTATTTTATTGGCCTGTATAAAACAATAATAAAATGAGTGGGAAACTGTGACCAGATCGACCGTACAACCCAAGGACTGGGTTCTTGTTATATAAATACGCATTATTCGGTTCGGGTAAAATAAAAAGATGAAGAAAGAAAGTATTAAACTGTACTGGTTAAGCTTATAGATAGTTTGTATTTCACAAGCACACATGTCTCAAAGTAGAGTGGTCAAAAACTTATACTCAGTCAAGATCGTACTTTCATTCGATCTTGGCGATAAATAAATAATAAAAATCAAAAAAAAAAATATCGATGATGAGTATGCGATTTTCTCAAAGAAGTCTTTTTGTAATCCAAACAAACCCAAAACCTTGTACAGACCTCTTCCCGCCTTTCTTCCCCCCTTTTTCTTCCTTTCTTCCTTTCTTTATCTTCTTTATTTCTCCATCTCCTTCTATGGATACCTTTTGATTTCCTGTGTGTTTCATGTCTATTAAAATCACATTTACCCGACGTAGTTACCCTACTAATCTGTAGGACAGAGAAATCTCGCTTGTATAAACATTCAATAGATATATAGTATTCTTGGGTAAATTTATAAATATCAATATCAATATCAATATCAATATCAATATCAATAGCAATAGCAATAGCAATAGCAATATATACATTTGTTCAAACCATTTTATTATATTAGTATATTAGAGTTTATTTCCTTTTTTTTGCTTGGCTAGTATTATTATATTGGCAATTGGGGGGGTTTTTTTTTTAAAAAAAAAAAGATTATGTTTTTAATGGAAGAAATGGCATTATGAGCACGTACTTGTATCTAATACCTCTTGAAAAAATATGTACTGGTTGTTGAAAAATGTTTACAGATTTTATCAAAACAAACTTGCTCAATTCTAAATTATTATTTTTTTGAATGATATATATCATTTTATATTTTCAACCAAATAATAATAATAATACTTTACTGCACTTTATGTACTGTCTTTTTCTCAAACTACTTTTGTTCTCAAACTACTTTTATACAAGTTACATATAATGTACTACTCTCTATAATCTCCTTATGTCCCTTTTCGTTATCCTTATATCATATCAAGGCTAGATATATATATATATATTAAAGTTGAAATACCATTACTTGCGTTAATTATTTATCTACATAGAAACAGTGCACTGTTTCATAAGTTTAGTATTGTATTGCCATTTCTCTCTCTTTTTTTTTTTAATTACTATTGTTTCCTAATACACCAGAACTCAATTTTAATGAACAACATCTCTGGGCTATTTTATAAAAAGAAAGCAAAGTTAAGCCGGATATTCTTAGTGATTTTGCATCCTTTATTGATACAAGAACCACCAATGCTGGCACTGCGTTTCTTGTCCGGAATTTTGTAAAGTAATTGACAATATTTACTGTTTTCACTGTATGGTTACAGTATTTTTTTTTAAAAAAAAAACAAAACATTTTTTATGCTACCATTGAATTGGTTCTTCAGGGCTAACAGAAATTAGTAATAGTTTTAGTGTGAAAATCAACTGTGAGTATCGTTTGGCCCAAGGTTGAATTATATTTTAAATATGCGTATACTTACACCCACACTTTTATACAATCTATCTATTAAAGATATTGCATCTAATATATACTCAATACATGAATGATAACGTCCGTTTTATTATTATTATTATTATTATAGGAATAAGTACTCGTTTTATTTTACCCTTTTTTTTCTTTTGGACAAATCGAGCCACGCTATTTGTGTGCCAGTTACAAGGTAATGTACATGGTACCCATAAAACATTTAACCATTTTGAGATGATGTATATATATATATATGTATTAACAACACGTCTAAGCCTATATTTTCAAACAAAGACGTCAAATGTCAAATTCAATATGTGTATATTGATTACTATTAATCAATTCAATTTATACAATACTGTGTTTTATGTAGTTATTTGCTTTGATATATATATATAAATATATACATACATGCATTTTTATTTTATTTCTGTTTTTGTTTCCTAGCAACAACAAAGATAAATAAGTGTCGCAATAGTAATGCATGGTTACTATGCGAGGATAAAAGTTTATTTTCTTATTGAAATTCTAGTAAAAGATTGTAGATTACTATATGGTATGTATGAAATATTAACATAAAATTATGATAAAACGGATAGAATATTTTAAACCACGGGGTTATGTTTGTATGTGAGCGTGAGCGTGTGTACGTGTGTACGTGTTTGTGTGTTTGTGTGTTTGTGTACAGATTTATATATATATTTCTTTTTGGGAATCCAGATGACAACCAAAAAGCCAAACAAAAACTGTGACATTGTGAACCGGTTCAGATTGAGTAACCTTATTAGGTTTGGGAAATTAAACTACCATTTAAAGTAATTGAATATCACGTCGCTATAATCAAGCCTCTTTAGAAAGTTCTTTTAAATCCATCACCATGGATATGAAAAAAAAAGATACAGATAAAAACCAATAAATGTAATATGTATATATAACAATTTAATTACCCTAATTACTTTAATAATTACTTGTTGATTTATGTTATTTTATATTTTATATTTTTTATTTTATATTTTATTTTATTATATTATATTTATTATATTTATTGATTTATTTATTTATTTATTTTAATTTGTGTGTCTATAAAGTATATCTTTATTCTTATATATATATATATATATATATATATATATTTAGATAGACCATGTACAGGTAGTAGGCTTGTCAATACCCATAGCAGGCTCCTTTTTCCGCTTACGATCCATCTCATTTTTGAAGAACTTTAAAAGAAAACATTTACCATTATTAGCAAACTAATTCCATGTGTGTGTGTATATGCGCAATAGAACAAGATTCATATTTCACTTACTGTAGCATATGTGTGATCCAAAAAGTCTTCCATGTTGTACTTTGGCTTTCTAAATTGTTCTTTGAATATCTTTGCTAATGTTGATACATTTGCATAGTAGTGCTCTGCCAAAGTATCCATTTCCCAAAGCGATGATTCAAGCGCTTTGCACTCATAGGGACTCTTTTCTTCGTACACAAAAGGATCCTCACGTTCTCCAACTGCTGAGTTGGTATGGATGAGCTTCATGCAGATAGGATGGCGTTGGAGAAGATTGTAGATGAATGGAATGACGATCACACTGGCTGCAGGTGGTGCGGTAAGTGATAACCGTGCCAAACGTTTGATGAAGGATGCAATCAAGCCAGCAGGAAGGTAACTATATTATTATAAAAAAAATAATTAGTTCATTAATTAATTAACAATATTTATGTGTACAAGTTGAGGTCTTTACTTACGCAGAAGCCAAGAAAATGTCTAGTAAACGGAAGAATCGAGAGCGGTATTTGACATGGAGAATATCACGATCCAACAGGTTGTACAGCTTTTGGTAGAAATCAGGGTAATCCAAGTTGTGTTCTGTAATCAAGGTAAATAGACCATTGAGAGCAAGTAAACTGATAGAGCCACCTATAAACACATGTACAAACACACGCACACACACATACACATACACAACATAAATAAATAAATATATATATATATATATATATATATATACATCCTTGGAATAACATAATGATAATGATAAAAAGAAACATACCTTGGTTGTAAGAATCGGTCAAAAAGTCCATCAACATCTTGGGTTCAGCCATGTGCGGCAGTACTCGCTTGTGAAGAACCAAAAGTGTCTTTTTGTAGATCTCCTCTGTAAGTGGCAATTTGAGCATCGCAATCCAGCAGAGGGAGAAACTACGCTTGTGAACCTTGAGTTGTAAAAGAGGATGTTTTGCCTTTCTTTCTTTTTTGGTTAATTTTCTGGTCGTCTCTTCTTCTCCTTCATCTCCAGAAAGACCTCCACCAATGACATCTTCAAGGTTATCGTCATCTTCTCCAAATTCTCCCTCATTATCACCATCCTTATCCTCCTTTTCTCCTTCGGGATTCTGGGTCCAGAATTCATCGATTTCGGATTCTTCGGTTGGCATGGATTTGATGGCGTCCAAAATGCTGAATACATTCTGTGCCATGATTGCCTGTTCATCGGTAGAAGGTCCCTTTAACTTCTTCTTGGTTGGTGTTTGCTTTTCGGTCTTTTTCAATTCAGCCTCCATAATCTCACTATACAAACCTCCCCAAATAAATAAATAAATAAATAAATAACCAATAATAATGAGAGAAAAAAAAAGTTCTTGCGTATAATTGTTTTAGTCTGACTATCCTCCTCCTCCTCCTCTTCTATAAATACATACATACACATATACTTCATATCCATATATAAAACACTTACGCAGCATCCTTGTAAAAGTAGTGTCTGAGATCATCGTATACATTGACATATTTATCCACAAAGGCAGCGAAAAGAGGACGACTGAAGTTTGGGTTTCTGATGATAGCGTCGACAAGAAGACCATAGAAGCTGTTGGGGAATGAGTATTGGTTTGATTCCATAAATGCAAATTCGGATTCTGTTCTCAACAAGCTCATGAGGATATTGAGAGCTGGGACCTGAAGTCCAGGTTCTTCGTTGGAAATAAGCGAGCGAACATGGTTGAGATATTCGATGTACTGCTCACGCAACCACAATGAGACCTTGGCTTTAGGTGAGGTGTCTTGTGTCTTTGGTTTCTTGAGGTCGCCATTCATCAGTAACTTTGTGAAAACACGGTGGAGGGCGTGGATAGCTGCGTGGGCTGTCTGTGCATCCTCATCGTGGGTGAATTCGAGAATGGTGACAATGTTGTTCAGGTTCGTCTTGTCAGACAGATCGGCTTCAAGCTTCTTGATCTGATTGCGAGCAGCCTTGGCATCAATCTACATTTACAAATTCATATCTTAATATTACACACATATATATATAATATTGTTGAGTTTATAAAAAAATGTGAGAGAGATATATAAATATATATATATATAGGTAGATAGTAATATAACAATAAGAAGAAGTAAAAAATTTAAAAAAATTAAAAGGTATTTATATATCGTACAGCTGATCCTCTTTTTCTCTTTTTAATGGGCTGTGGCATGCTTTCTTGTCTTAATGGCTTTACAAATGTGGCATGCAACATTTCCATTTTTTTCTCGGGATCTTCAAGAAAATAAGCGTGGCTTGTGCATGATAGCAAGTCACACACACCTTTGCAAGAAGTAGACAAGTGCTATTTAAAACCCCGTTAAGTAAATGCAAAAGTAGCAATCAGCATTACTACAGCACTTGGGTCTTTAATCAGTACTGTCAGCTAAAGTCTTGGCCAATTGTTGTCCTTATTTCTCTTTGTTTTTCCTTTATGATTTTCTCAAGTTAGCTTATTATAATAAAATAAAAGGAAAAAGGGCTGATTTTATCAAGATGGTCAGTGGACCCTGTTTCGTATCCTACTTCATGTAGGTGTTACAATAAATTTAGAGATTATTAGGGTAAAAGCCCACATCTTTTCCTACGGACAGGCTGCTCAGGCCCGAGCCAGGAAATCGTTTCACTATTCTACACACAAAGAAATATACAACCGTTTAGGGTATATGATTTGCAAGCTACAGAAAAATAAAAATGAGTTATTTTTCCACTCAAAAATAAATAAATAAAAGTTGCATAACTGTAGCACATTGCTTTAATTGAAATAAAGATGGATGTGTGTAAGTGAAGAAAGGAACCATGAATGATTGGTTTATTCTGTAGGTAAACCTCTATATATGTATGTATGTGGGAATATTTTATCAATATATATATATATTCAAAAATAGGATTCAATATGATAAGTAAGTAAACTAAATTAGAAAATCAAAGAAGTTACTTTTTGCTTTGACAGGATGTCTTCATGTCAAGTAATTAAATTTGGCGCTAAAGTTAATCATATACGATCGTTGATAAGGACATCATTGCAGGCATCAGAAATTCGATCAAACTTCATTTTACTTTTGACTACTCCCCAGAACTGTTCAATAGGATTCAATTCAGGTGAGTACAGAGGTAAGTACATCAATTTATCTCTGCGTTCAATTTTTCGTATCATTGGCTTGGTATTTTTGAATTGAGGCGTTATCCATTACAATATAATTTCCCTTCAAATTTTCATCAAGGTTCATTAGATCAAGAAGTGCATTCATGACTGTAACGAAATGCGCAGTAATCATGCCTTTTACTACTGGTTTATTATCAGTAGGATCTTCAAACTCTGGATCCTCTATATCAACCTCAGCTACGATTCTCTCTCTCTTTTTTTTTTACTAATACATTGCTTTTCTTTTCTTGGTGGAAGTCTTTTTTATCACAAAATGAACAACACTAGATGAATGGATAGGACCAATAATAGTATGTGTTATTGCTCTAGTTGTCGGTCGTTTTACTATATCAGGGTTGCCCTTTTTTTGTGATCTTGCCTAATTATTTCTCATGTCAATCTGAAATCCGGCTTTATTAATGAAAACACAATTCTTTGTAAGAACCAAGATTAAAGTTCTTCCATTTCATAAACCACTCAAATCTCGTCTCCATATTTTCCGGTGAATTTCTTATTTCAGGTTCAAACAATGGTTTTTTGATAGTGAAGCCTTCAAATTGTTTAGTCAAACTTTTCATAATATCAACCGAAAATAGTTGAGGATCATTATCCAATAAGACCCTGTAGATACTCGTTAATGTTTAGTAGTGAACGAGCTATTAGGGCTACTTGCTTTCTTTGGATTTCTTAGATGGGATCTCCTTTGTTTCTTTATAGCTATCTCACCATCTTAACACAATGCGATAATTGATATTTAGGGACATTTGCAACCTTGGTCACCCAACCCACGTTCTTCAGGCTTTTCAATCATACGATCTATAAACGTCTCTCTGGTAAAGTCGCTATAATTTTTTGTATGGTCTATTCGAATCTGGTACTTTAAGTCTTTGATTATTTTAAGAGAAGACTCTTCAACAGTCTTTTTTTTTTCTCCGGACGTTTAACACTTGAATAGGTTTTCTGTCTAATAATTGTTTTAAGAATTATATTCGGGTCATCAATTTTATGTAAGAACATCCTTCATCGGAAGGTAAACGATTCCTCCTTGCTCATTATAAATGTTGTCTTGTTAATCTTCATAAAAAAAATAAAATAAAATTAATAGATAACAAAATAAAAAGAATCGAGCTTGTGACATTTAGTTTTTTTTTAAAATTTCTGCCAATCATTTTTGCCTTTCGACCAATCATTTTTATGAAAGTGACAATCGACTAACTCGATAAATCTTTTTTCCTTGTATTAGGACTATGAAATTTTTTGAAACAAATTTGATCTAAAGAAGTGTGTTTGTCTGTCTGCTTATTCAGGTGGCGCTTTATATCATTTTCCCTCCTAGCTTGTTTTTATTTTATTTTTATTTTTTTGTTTCAAATGAATACATGTCTATTATATACATATTTGAAACTACATTGAGTTAAATGGTTGGTTTGATTTCTTGGCTCTTTTCTTTTTTTTTCTTTTTTTTTTGAAACCAATAATTTCTTGTTAATTTTTCTTAAAAATAAAATAAAATAAAATTTAATGTCAAGTGGGATGATGATTACAAAATGCCTAGTTTGTTGTAATAGATAATACTAATGCGAAATGGTCTATATCTTATTGAACTCATTTTACCACCCCAACATTAGGGTAATACAAGTAGTCAAAGATAGCAATGTAGAAATCAATACAAAAATAACCGGATAGATCAGCATGACGTGTAACAATAACCCTTTCTTATTTTTTTATATAATATTATTTAATTATATTGAATTGAATTGAATTGAATTGAATTGTATTATATAATAATAGAATATAAAAATTATACATCAAGAGCTATAGCCATAGCCATAGCCATAGCCATAGCCACATTCATAGCCACATTCATATAAACGACCCATTACCCACATCTATCTATACCCACACTCCTTGTTCAAATCTTAAACCACCGAATTTTGTGGTTTGCCAAGTCCCCGACAGTTGGGGGCAAAATAACTCAGCCTATATTCTTCTTCTTTAACCTATACATCAAAACAACAATCCTATATATGGCGTATATGCAAGAGTTTAAGATAGAGAAATAAAGGGTTTAAAGCCATAAAATAATACTAATATTTATTGACCAAAAGGCATACACACACACAACAATAATCTTAGTCATACATAGATAGTCATACATAATAATATTTTGTAATTTTATTTATTATTTAATGAAAAAAGAAAAGGTAACAAAATATATATATTTATATACATATAGCACATACAACACTGCACATACAACTACTTGTATTTATATATGTATATGTATATATAAAAGGTGTGTATGTGTGTGTAAAGAGAAAAAGAGAGAAAAGAAAAAAAAATCAAGTCAAAGAAGTTTAATGATTAAAGATGTATTGGTTGTTTGAATCTTTTTCACACTTGAGATGCGTCCATTTGGTGAACAATTGTCTGATTTTTTCAATCTGAGATCGGATCCCATGCGGGGGTTCCACCTGATTGCTGGTCAGATAGATTCTTATGAGTTCCAAAGCCTGATCAATGCGCTCGTCTGTCATAGGCAGGTTGCTGTTCTGGAAAGCCAACGCCAGATTACGCTGGATCCAGTTGATCTGAACTTCTGTGTAGCCTAGCTGACGAAGGGCATCCCAGGAGACATCATACCAGTAGTTTGCAAAGGTACGCTTGCAACCCAAGTCTGTAGACCCAATTGGAGTAGGAACAACGGCCCCAATCGGAGCAGTTGATGTGGTCGACAGGGTCAGGACAGTAGAAATGACCTTTGCAGAGGTTATGGTGGTTGTAAAAGGTGCCCTGGAGTTCTTGACTAGAGATTAATTAATATTATTAATAAAGTGTCCAAAAATTGGGGAAGGGGGGTAAAGAAATAATAATAAAAAAAATTAGGATTTGATACATACATTTTTCATGGGATTGAATGGGCCACAGATGAGGTGCGATGAATGACTCAACATTGTGAAGAACCCAGTGGAAACGGTGTCGGACAGAATCAAGGTAGCTCTTTACAGAATCCTTGATATCTATGGCTGCCTGGTTGGTCTCTTGGATGGTGTTCTGGATATAGTCCGATGCGAATATCTTAAAGGCAGTGATGTCTTGCTCAATCGAATCCACAATGGACTGCACATTTTCCTTTGCGACCTCGGGCATTGATTCTATCCGATGGGCCAGCTCTTCAAGCCATGTTTTATCGCCTAGCGTGTTTGTGTCATTTGATACGACGGCCTGCTTGATATGATCTAGAATCTCGAATATTTGATCGTGCGTCATGTCCTTTCGGGCCGCTAGTCGATTTCCAATCTTGTGCAGCCACTTGTGAAGCGAGGAAGATGCCGTGTTGAAATCTGTTGGGTATTTTCCTGACAGCTTTTGGTACCATGTCTGATTCTGGAATGATTGCGAAACATCGAGGACAAACTTCTTCCACTGAGCATCTGTCATGATTCGATGCTTGATAAACTCGACCTGCTTCTGCTCAAGCTCGTCCTGGACACGGTCCCAGGACAGCTCGCCTTTTAATTCTAATCGACGCAGGATGTGCTGCAGATGTGACAAGAGTGCCTCTCCAGCTACCTTCTTAAGACCACTTTCTTTCTCGAGTTGGATCTTGATGCCGTCCACGATTCCTTCTACTCTCTCACCAAAGAATTTCGCATTGGATTCCGCAGCATCCTTGTAGGCCTTGACGGTGTCGATCAAACTTGCGTCGTCGGCATGTTTGTCATATAATATCTTGTGTGTATCTAGATACGAGCTTAGCTGATACCTTGTCCAACGTAGAATATCCTTTGGAGTAGGCACAGCTAAATATATATATATATATATATAAAATAAGGTACCCAAATACACGTCAGTTGTTTAATTTGATGTTGTTTGCCTTGTAAAAAACGACGCCACTTTTTGGGAGCTTTTATTTTTATTTTATTTTATATGTATGTATTGTAATTACTATATATAATCTAGTTTTTATTTATATTAATGACTTACATTTGGTAACTGTGGAGCATGTTACATCAATAACAGACAATAGTGCGATGGTTAGACATATTGCTAACCAATATCTCTTAAAGAGGTTCATGATTATGTTGGGGACAATAAGAGAAAGAAAGAACGATAAGAAATAGTAATCAAAATAAATAAACAAAATAAAGCCCTAACCTTTTTATTTTATTTTATTTGTTAATTATAATACTTGAATTAAAAGTGAAAAGGTATAATAAGTAAGTGAATTGATTCAAATTGAATCAAATTGAAATGAAATCACAGTGATGAAACTCTTTTCTTCTTTAAACTACCACTGGGTTTCAATAATATAAGAAAAGGGTAGAAGGAATGCTATTCAAGGCAAAAGGCAAAAAATAGCCCTTGTAGCAATATCGGATTATTATTATTGTCATTATTATCATTTTCTTTTATATTGATAAACATGCAAAAAAAAAAAGAGGCTTTGATCCAATCGAGTCAATAGATTCCAAATGACTTGTACTGATAAAACAGTACATTTACTGTGTTTAATAAAGAACTTTTCTTTTACATTTGATATACTCTTTAGATCTATTTTATACATATAAGCATATTTGTATAAAGTAAATAAATCAAGGCATTTTTTTCTTCTTCTTCCTCTGTGCACACATAAATATATAGGGAAAGAGACACTACACACAGACGAATGAACACACACACATTAATTGAGGGAGGGGATTTAGAGGGTAATCTAAAAACTTGGTATCTTTTTTTTTTTTTTCAAAATCACCCTCTAAATCCCCTCCTTTTTACTGTAGTAATATTAAATGTTTAAAGTGCACACACACACATATATATATATATTTGTAGTAAGCTCAGAAATTGATCTAATCCAATAATTGATTGTGCAATTGAACAGAATCTTTTTTTCTTCTTCTTTTTTTTTGGTTGCAATTCTTAAATTCTATCAATGTTCCAAGTGTCGGATAGACTGAATAAGCAACCCTAAACCTGGGTATTTGGTTGCTTAATCTTTAATGGACAATGGCAGCAAAGCTATCCTATTGGGTGGGATCACCCCAACGACGCCCCCACCGGCCCAACAAATTGCCAATGATCTTTGGGTTTTTCCTATCGGCCTAAGAAAGGCTTGGTGTTCTCCGAATCAAATATAAAGGCACCAATATAATCTGACAGAAGAGTTTTTTTTTGTGTCTTTACCAGTCTTTGTTTCAAATCACCTCAGGGCCCAGATATAAAGACAAGGTCAAAAAACCCCCCAGACTACTTCTTTCTCTTTCTCTCTTTTATCTACCCACCTGTCGAAAGAAAGCAAAAAAATAAATAAAGTAGATCCCTTTCTTTGATCTTCTAAATCACAATCAATGTCAGAGACCGAGACGCTGCTCTACAAGCGCACCCAGTCGGAGGCACCAAAGCCTCCATTGCCCAAGACCGAACTGCCATGCATGTTTGATGAACCCACCAACGCTTCAAACTGGCACAAACATGTCAACTGGCCACAATCGATCCTTCTTCTCGGCACTCCATTGATTGGTCTTTATGGCATCTTCACAACAGAATTGCAGACAAAGACACTTATCTGGGCAGTCATTTACTACTTTATCACTGGATTGGGTATCACTGCTGGTGAGTTCAATTTATTCCAAATTATTACTATCTATTATAATATTATTTTTATATTACAATATATACACACAAAATCTTTTTACATTATTATTATTTGTATTTATATAATTTACATACAAAAAAAAAAGAATATCTATAAAATTTTTACTGTCTACTATAGATAAGTTTACTAATTTATTTTGTAAAAATAAAATTCAATAGGCTATCATAGACTTTGGGCTCATCGTGCTTACAACGCAACCGTTCCCCTGAGAATCCTTTTGTGTGCTGCCGGCACTGGTGCTGTCGAAGGTTCTACTTACTGGTGGTCCCGCGGCCACCGTGCTCACCACAGATGGACCGACACTGACAAGGATCCCTATTGCGCTCACCGTGGCTTCTTCTTCTCCCACTTGGGATGGATGTTGGTCACTCGCCCCAGAAGCCGCATTGGTTACGCTGATGTCGCCGATCTCAAGGCTGACAAGATCCTTAACTTCCAGCACCGTCACTACCCTTACCTTGCCCTCTTTATGGGATTCCTTTTCCCTACCCTCGTTGCCGGTCTCGGCTGGGGAGATTACAGAGGTGGTTACTTCTATGCCGGTGTCATTCGCCTCATTGTCGTCCACCACGCTACCTTTTGCGTCAACAGTCTTGCTCACTACCTCGGCGAAGACACCTTTGACGATCACCACACTCCCCGCGACCACTGGATCACTGCCTTTGCCACCATGGGTGAGGGCTACCACAACTTCCACCACGAATTCCCTCAGGATTACCGCAATGCCATTGTCTACTACCAGTACGACCCCACCAAGTGGTTGATCATCCTTTGCTCCTGGCTCGGACTCGCCTACAACTTGAAGACCTTCCCTGCCAACGAGGTTTCCAAGGGAATTGTCCAGATGAAAGAAAAGAAGATCCTTGCTGCCAAGCGTGGTCTCGACTTTGGCATACCTATCCACGAGTTGCCTGTCTTCACCTGGAAGGAATACCAGAACCTTGTCGTCAACGAGAACAAGAAGTGGACCTTGATCGAGGGCATTCTCTACGATCTCGAGGGCTTTGATCACCCCGGAGGAGAAAAGTACATCTCCAGCGGTATCGGCAAGGACATGACCACTGCCTTTAACGGTGGTGTCTACAGCCATTCCAACGGTGCCCGTAACTTGCTGACCATGATGAGAGTTGGTGTTCTGAGAAACGGCATGGAGGTTATGCACGAGAACGAGTAAAGAAATCAAATCCAAAAAAATATTTATATATATATTATCGAGTCTAACTTGCCCTATCCTACCTTATCCCTATCATATCAAACTTTACCTTACCTATCAACCTCTACCTACAAAACCCCTTATTTATATCTCTTTTCTCTCTCTCTCTCTCTTTCTTTTATAATTCATTCATTGAATTATACTAGATTTCCATAGCAACCAAATCTCTTACCTCTTATTATTATTTTCTTTCTCTTTGTATTTTCTTTATTATTTTTCTTTACTTTTTTTTTTTTGCTTATCATCTCATTACCATCATCTTCATCATTCAGTAATAAACTCTTTTATTTTTTATATATATATATATCTTATACATAAATGTGAATATTAATCTTTTTTTTTTTTAAAAAAAAAGAAAATGACATGTCAAATACAGATCTTTATTATTCATAAATCAATACATTAATTAATAGGAATAGTACAATTAATACTATAAGCTTGCCTTGAATGAGTTGGATTAGGTGTAACTATTGTGTCTCACCAAAAGAATATTTGTTATATTAACAGTTTATTAGATAAATGAATAAGAATGGAAGAGGTTCACCATAATTAACATACCTTTATATTCTCTTTCTTTTCTTTTCTTTTCTTTTGTTTCTTTCTTGCCTCTCGTTTAATATACAGGCATATACTAGATTATAATAGATTAGGTTAGAATAGATTAGAATAGATTAATGTCATCAACACTCGACATTCATTCCGAAATCATTGATTCCAACTCGAATCGTCAATTTATCACCAATGAAAAGAAACCAACCGGAATCCTGGCTGGCTCATACTCTTCTCTCCCACCAGCCACACTGTGGACTCGATTGAGCAATCGATACAGATACGGCAGACTTGGCCTGATAATTTCGGGAATTCTTGGTGTCTTTGTGGTCATGTTTATCATTATTGGAACCCTGGGTGTATTTAAGAATGAATTGTACCGTACTCGACTCGGATTACCGTCGGTAGGCAAGACAAAATACAAAGGCTCGAGTACAGGAACAGCTACAGAAGGCGATTTTAATATTAGTGGAGAAGGAGATGGTACATACTATGGCAAGTCTTTTTGAGTTTTTTGTTTGCTTGTTTGTTTATAAGTAATAAATTATTAAATGATTAATTATTAATTATAACAATAACATTAATGCACACACAGATCCTGGTGTTGGAATCACTGCATGTGGAACTCAATTCACTGCCCAAGATTATGTGGTTGCACTGGTATACACAAACATACATTTAAATAAATACATATAGACATATTGAGTGGTAGACTGGAGTGTAGTACTGATTAATTTTTATATATATTTACTAATAATAAACACAATCTATTGTTGTTCATTAGAATCATGTTGACTATGGTGTGTATGCAAACCCTAATGAAAGCCCTGTGTGTGGAGCCTGTATCGAGGTTACAGGTGAATTGGGTACAGTAAAAGTAACAATTCAAGACATGGTAAAGTCAATACAAAAAAAAAATTAACTCTATAAGATTAAGAGATTATTAATTATTAAATCAACTCATTTGGGGGGAATTCAATATATGTATGTAAACAGTGCCCGGGATGTGAACAAGGTAAGCAAAGTGAAAGAGACACTTGACTACAAATTGTCTTTTTATTTATTTATATTACATACATCATAGGTTCTTTGGATCTCTCTCCTGCGGCCTTTTCTAAAATCGCTGACATTTCTGAAGGCAGAGTCCCTGTATCTTGGACACCATGTTGAAGAAAGCAGCATTTTTGATTTTTGATTTTTTTTTAAAAAAAAAGAAGAAAACACCTGTTTGACTATCTTTGCTTTACTCCAATTGATTGATTAATTAACTACATTATACGAGTGCCATGGATAGTAACAATAGTAAAATGAATTATCCATGCCACTGTTGTTGATTTTATCATTACTACTATTATATCAACATTATCGTCAAAGAAATCACTTGAAATAGCAAAGAACAGGCGAGCAAACCAATGTTATATGCTATATGTTAATTTAGCTTTCAATTCTTTTCTTTTCGCAAGTCTTGTAAGCCACACTATGGTGCATTTGTGTGTATATAGATATTTCACACAGATCCCTGGCTCTTTTGATAGCTTATAACAGGAAATACTGACTATGTAAAATATTACTCTCTTAAAAAAGTATTTAGAGAGAGGGGGGGGGGTTAAGAAAATATCAACCCATTTTTCATGTCTATATATAGAAGATATTGTACTCAATAACAACCGTCAAGTTCTTTGGAGTACAGCTCCCTTTTTCCGTCTGCTTTTATTTAATTTAATTTATATATTAATTTTTTTTATATTATATTATATTTTATTTATTTATTTACTTTTTTTTCTTTTTTCTTTAAAAAAAAATTATTTTTATTATTATTGTTATTGCACACAGAAAACGCAAAAAAAATACACACACACACTGCACACACCACACACACACTTAATCTTTTTCTCTACCTTTTTCTCTCTCGTTCTCTCTCTCTCTCTCTTACACTCATACACACACACACACGCACACACAAATATACACAAACACACATCACACACAAACACACACACAAATACACACACACACACACATATATATATATATATACATACATACATACATACATACATACATACATACACACACAAACACAAACACACTTTACACACACACACACACACACACACACAGACACACAGACACACACACATACTACACACACACAAACACAAACACAAAACACACATTTCAATCTTCAGTAGATCATCATGTTCTCTGACATTGCCAAAAACCTCAACTATCAGTTCGAAACATTCGAACCACTAAAGACCTTAATCGAAGAGAAAGCACGACAACAAGGATTTTCAGTTGCCATTCGTAGCAGCACCCCCGGTGTCAGATTCTACCTGAAATGCATCCACGGAGGCGAATATAGAAATAAAAGAGGAATCACAGACGAAAGCAGAAAGAGAAAAAAGGCTATTGTCCAATGTGGCTGCAAATGGGCGTTGTTGGCTGCCTTTAGCAAGAAGTCTCAGCGCTGGGGAGTGCGCTATGTGAAAGGCCACTCTGAAGAAGTCGAACATAATCACCCCATGGAAGCACATCCTCCTATGCCGCGTAGAGTTCAGCGCAAAATCCAGCAGCCCACCATGCCAACACTGAGCTCAGTCGGTCAAATGCCCTTGAGCCACACTAACCACACCAACCACACCAACCACCCTATCCACCCTACCCACAATACTATCCATAACAACAACACCAACACTAACACTAACACTAACACTAACAACAATAACAACAACAACAACAACAGTACGACAACAATTTCCACTCACAATGGCATTGTCAACGTTCCCATGACACCCAGCCAAAACACCACTGCTGGACTGTCTCTCAAACCAACCTGTACATTTGGCACCTGTTACTGTATGGAGAATAAACAGCAGGCACTGGCAGACACAATTGCTTTCCTTTTCAACCGGAAATTCGTCGTGCGCTATGAGACCGTCTCTATCGACAGAGACACCCCATCGGTATTTTTTGCTCATTCATCAAGCATCGAAAAGGCTATTCGTTTCCCGGAGGTCATCCTGGTCGACACCAACTACAGAACGACCATCAATAGCTTACCTTTGGTTAACTTTATCGGTGTCACTAATCTTGGGAGCACCAGATTGCAGTCTTACGTGATCGCGTCTGCCATAGTCGCAGGAGAGGAAAAGGGAGCTTTCCAGTGGATAATGAGGCAGCTCAGGGACAATGTCTTCATCAAATCTCTCCCGACCGTCTTTATTGTCGAGGAGAACCAGGATATAATGAGTTCTATCAAGGAAGCCTTCCCAGAATCCAAGCAATCCTTCTGTCTAGGCCACCTACAGAAAGAGTTTGCTCAATGTGCATCAGGATGTATCTCCAGCAAACTCGATGCTGCACTGAGATCCATGTTCTTTGCTCGCAGTGAGAAGCAGTTTTGGCTCTCTGTTGACCAGTGTCGGGCAGCCATGAAGAGAACCTCAAAGGCTGAGGAGCTTTGCCATCTTCTTGAAAAGTAAGCTAATATTATTTTGGATTGGATTGGATTGGATTGGATCGAATCCAATTGCGTTCGATATTATGTGTATGTTTGTATGTGTGTATTGATTATTTGATTCTTTTCTTATAGACAATTGACAAAGAGAGTATTCTGGGGTGGTCCTTGGGCTGAGACCTTGCCACACATGGGCTATCGAATGACCCAGTCTGTAGAAGGTACCCACGCTGCAATTAACAACATCCTTGGTCAACACCTTGGTCTACTGGAATCCATCAAGGCAATCGAGCCATACATCGCCAGTTCGGTAAGCGATCTTTATTAGACTCTTAAAAACATATTATACCAAATTCAACAATGTTCAACACGTACAAACAATTGATTATCCAACCCTCTGTATCTAACCTCTCCCTCTCACACTCCTTCTCACACTCCCTTTAACACCCCCTTTAATTTTTTTTTTAAAAAAAATTAAACAAAACAAACGCATAAAACATATAGATGATCGATGAACAAAGACTTTTTGCTGTCAAATGTTTGGACACACCTATCAATATTCAAGAGCACCCGGTATCCTTGTCTTCGATCATGAACAGCATCAGCTTCTTTGCAATCAATTCCATCAAATCCGAACTTACTATTGCAAGCTGGTTTGCACCAAAAGATATGAGTCAGCTTGACTGTGATTGCCCACTAAGAGTCAATTTCCTTCTCCCTTGCCGGCACACGCTTCATCTGAATGTTCAGATCCCACTGATGGCTATTCACCCAAGATGGAGAGTCTTGTCCTCGGAAGGTAAAACATCAATTATACCAAAGAAACAAAGAGAAAATGATTATGTAGATAGAATACATATGTTATAAACTTATTTGTCTGTAACAGTTCTCTCTAAAAAAATTCTTTTATTACCTCTAGACATTCCATTCTGTCTAACCGGTAACCAAGGCCTAACGTTCTAAGGCCATCGAAACAGCCAAACTCCCCTTTTCTTTAACACACTCACGCCCATTCTCACCTCAACCCCTACTCTCCCCCCCCCAACCCTTAACTCCAGATCTCGATCTCACTTTGACTTTTCCACTCACTCGCTCACTCACTCACTCATTTACTTACTTACTTACTCACTCACAAACAGACAAACGTACAAACGTACAAACGTACAAATGTACAGACGTACAGACGTACAAACGTACATATATATATATATAGTATATATATATATTATACATATTTGAAATAAGGAGTTTGGGAATTTTCAAATTTGCTTAATGAAGGACAATAACCCTTTTATTACAAGTACAAAAAAAATGCAACAACAGCAATAACATATATTTTTAAAAAAAAATACCAAAAAATATATATAAATATAAATACAAATACAAATACAAATATATTTTACTGATATTTCATAATACAGTACTATCATTTATTTATTTTATTTTTAAAAAAGAAAAAAAAAGTCCTTCCTCCTCCCACATCCATTAAATTATCTTTGCTTTGATTTCCAAATCTAGGCTTTGTTTTTATTTTATATTCTATATTTCTATTATAAAGAAAAGGTGTAGATCTTTAAATATCCTTTTTTATCCACCCACACATCTAATCATTCATTCATTTACTTTGGGGAGGTACATAATAGGGGGAGGGAAGAAGGGGGAAAATTCAAACAGTTTTTGATGCTTAAACTCTTTTCTTCTTCTTTTTCTTCTTCTTCTTTTCAGGTCTTCTGAAGTTTAATTTATGGCCAGTGCTTTTAACCAAATATATATATATGTATATATATATACACATAAAGAAGATAAAGAAGAAAAACTTGCCGAGCAATATTACTTAACGGCAATTTGTATTAATGAATTCTGTAAAAGAAAACACATACACAATCATCAAAAGAAAAGAAAAAAATCTTAAAATATATAACTGATCAATATTAATAATAGTAATAATGATACTTCTTTCTTTACTCCACAAAACTACCCAGAGGTTGGTTTTTAAAGAAGTGTATAAAAGAGTTTCTGACTAGAGACTTCCTTGTTATCTTTAAAAATAATAACATGACCTAGAAAAGTCTGGCTGCCAACAAGGGATTTTTTTTTAAAAAAAAAAAAATAAATTAAAAAAAAGAAAAAGAAAAAGAAAAAGACCGTGACAGTGACAGTGACAGTCGGCTCAGATATAAGCATTACTCAATACAGACATATACATATATATAGACAGAAAGTATATAATACTGTCAACCAAAAAATAATAATAAATAAATCGATATTCTTCATTGGCATTCCAAAAGGATCAATAAGATAACAATAAAACAGACAAAAACAACAGCAAAAACAACAACAAGAAGAAATTTGCAATGAGAGCCGAGATTCCTGGCTATTATTTCAATGAGGAAATGAACCGGTACTTTAAAATAATGCCTACAGGACCACACAGTCTAGCAGCAATCAACCAAGCTCGACAAGTGGTAGAGAGAGAAAAGGTGGTTAGCCGCGAGATTAAAAAGCAAAAGAAAAACACAATGAAAGTTCCCCAGTACGTTCGATGGCGACAGACAATGAACAGATCCTATTCACCACAGAAGATGATAGCAATCGGACACGCAAGTCTATTCCGACAAACGACTCCTATTACGTCCATAACTCTTCCTCACAAGGGTGCCAGCCTATCGTCTTCACAGACCTGTCTGGACGTTACCTCTTCAGACACTGGAGAAATTGTGTGCAGTTTTTCAAATTCTGGAATGTCTCGTTACGGATACCAAGTCACGCCTTTCTTTCATGTCTGGGGAACAGAAACACATCAAAGGGCATTAAACATATCTTCGCTTCAATTCGCCAATACGCTTCTAGGCCCAGACCGGGGCAAAAGAACGTTGGTTGGAACATTCTTTGGAGGAAGTGGCACGCCCCGCCAATCTCCGGAACTGTGGCGCTTCAGTATTGATGCCCTGCCTATGATTGATGAAGAAGCTGCCGAGAAATTGATCCTGACAAAACCTAGGCCAAAACCAAAGTCAAAGTCAATTCGTGGCCCAGGCCCACTGAACCATGGCAGAGTTTGCCAAGTGTTTTCCGACCAGCAGTCTCGGCCCGTGAGCATGTCCAAGGTGTGCAACTTTGGCGATGAGTCGCTGTGGTCGTCTGCTGTGGATGACACCAACGATACCGTAGTTGTGGGTGGAGACCGATTTCTTTATTGCCTGACCAGCGAATTTGTCTCTCTTCAACATATCGATACTCGTTCTTCGGTATTTACTGTCCGCCCATCAAACAACAATCCAAAGACATCTTGGTATGGATGTCGCAACGGCACTATCGGACTCTTTGACGCCAGATGTAACCGATCCAACCAACCAGCCAACATGTTTCAGCAATCATCATCTGTCACACAGCTTTCCCCCCTCGAGAACCTCTCCTCTCAACACACAGTCCTGGCTGCTGGTACGGGCGGGCTGATCAATATCTGGGATATCCGGTCCCCTTTCCCAATAAAACGTAAAGGGAAAAACATCTGCAATAAACCCGTCAGATCATTTACAGGGCATCAGAATGAACATACACACAGTCTTCCTGTAGACACAGATCTCCAATATAATGTGTTGCTTGCTTCAGGGGACGACAGTCGACTCCGGCTGTGGTCCCTTCTTGACTCAAGTTCAAATGAGCCAATATGGACTAGTGAACGTTATGAGAATGGTCCGGTCAGTGCAGCAAAATTTGTAGTAGATCCACCAAAGTTGCAAGACATTTGGAAATCCAAATCCTTGATTGACACACCCTATTCAAAGCAGTGCTATCCAGGTATTCTTACATGTGTACCTACCGAAAATGAAGCCACAGCTATGGAATGGTTATCATGGTCTAGGTGAAACCAATGAAAATATTTTACCGAATATTTGTCTACATCCATCTATACATCCATCCATTCATACATACATATCTTTATAACCACGTATACACCCACAACCATATACATACATACACTATATATACACATTATACACATATAATACGTTATTAGAATGATTCAGCAGCCTTGGATATCTGAGCTTTCATATCGACAATGCTTTAAGCAAGGACATTGTTCTTGTCTAAAGTTAACCCGAGTTCACTGTGTGTTCATCTTTACTTTATCATGTTTTTAAAAACTTACAATTAATAGATATAGACACTGCATCATAAAAATACATCTTAAAACACAAGCCATTTATTTAAAGACGACCTAAATGCGTGTAATAAATATCCAACGTTTTTAAATATACTCTTTGATTCGATTTTTTGTCTTTTTTTTTGCATTCTATATGAATTTTATATAGGGTTGAAAAACCTTTGGAAAAATGAGGTCGGAATCTGTAACAATTTTTGCTTATAAGAAATTTGTAAGACATGTTTATTAGTATAAAGTGTAAACAAGTTATTAAGTGACTCGACTTTAGATTTTTCTTCATAAGCTTAACTGATCGTATTATCTCTCCTTTTTTTTGCAACTTGTTTTTTTTTAAAGAGAATTCTTTATCCCTATTAATACTATTTACTACGTTTATTATTCTCTATGTATATGATATAAAGTTAGATGTTAATACGTACATAAACACTCAAGGTTGAAGCCTTTGTTAAATCAATCAACTGCAAAATGAAAGATGAGCGGACTGCGTTTTTTTTTAATAAGCTCTATAAAGGCAAACTCACTCAAATAAATAGTGTCTTTTATATATATATATATATTATATTATTTTATTCTATTCTATTCTATTTTATTTTATTTTATTGTATTAAGCAAAAAGAAACAAATAAATTTCACTCTTTCTTTGATTACAGAATACGCTGATTGTACACATCTATCAAGGAATCAAACTGCCTAAAATAAAATAAAATAAATAAAAAAAAAAAAAAGTCATGGTCTTGTGCAAGTTTTTCCAAGAAAATCGTTGTTCTCGTGGCAGCAGCTGCACATTTGAGCATGTTCGTCCTGGTGGAAGACAAGGTGGCCCACAAGGACCTGCTACTACTGAAAAATACAAGTATGGATAGATTCTACAGTACTATTGGAATGATCCAGAAGAAACAAAGAAGGAAAGAAATGAGAAAAAAACAAGTCATTCTGACAATCCTTCATCTATTTCAGTGAAGCATCTTTAATAGTTGGTCTCAAGGACGAAAGACCTACATGGCAATTGAGTGTGTTTGGTCCTGCAAAAGAAGAACCCAACATTATTGTGGGAACCGACAGAAGTCCAGAAGAAGATCGCGTCTTGTATTATCAAAGCATGCGCACCCAAGGCAACTTAACCCAATTTGTATGTCACTTTAATACACCATTGTTTTTTTTGAATTATATATATATATTTGAAGCAATTCTCATAGTAATACTCTTTTATTTATTTATTTATTTATATATTAGATCGCAAACAATGACGAGGCATCCAGAGCTATGGAGGCCCAAGTGAATGCCATTTTAAGCGATCCAAAAGGCGCATTGAAGCACTACGAAACCCAAAAAACAAACAACTCTGGTGGATTCGGTCAGCCTCCAAGCACCAACTTTGCACCTTTTCTTGGATCTGGCGGTGCTGGTGCCAGCGGAGCATTTGGCGGTGGAGGTGCATTCGGCCAGCCTGCTAGCGGGGGAGCATTTGGACAAAAGCCCACTGGCGCTTTCGGACAGCCTATTGGCGGAGGAGCATTTGGACAACCTGCTGCTGGTGGAGCCTTTGGTGGAAGCGGCGGAGCATTTGGACAGAAGCCAGCTACTGGCAGTGCATTTGGAACCACTTCGACTCTCGGAGGTGGTGGAGGAAGCGCTTTTGGAACCACATCAACCTTGGGATCAGGAAGTGCTTTTGGAGCCACTTCAACATTAGGAGGAGCTTTCGGACAGAAACCTGCGATGGGTGGAAGCGCATTCGGAACTACTTCAACATTAGGATCAGGAAGTGCATTTGGAACTACCTCGACACTGGGATCTGGTAGTGCATTCGGAACAACATCGACCTTGGGATCAGGAAGTGCTTTCGGAAGCACATCAACATTGGGCGCAGGAGGAGGAGCCTTTGGTCAGAAACCAGCTGCTGGTACTGGTGCATTTGGAACAACGTCTACTTTGGGAGGAGGGCCATCTTTTGGAAGCACTTCAAGCTTAGGTGCTGGAAGTGCTTTTGGATCTACTTCAACACTAGGAGGAGCCTTTGGGCAAAAACCAGCCATGGGAGGGAGTGCATTTGGATCTGCTTCAACTCTAGGTGCAACTCAACCAACTTCAGCTTTTGGACAAACTTCATCAATGGCTACCAACAATGCATTCAAGGCACCTACAACAACAGTATTTGGGCAAACATCGACAACAGCATTTGGCACAGCTGCTCCACAACCTTCTGCAGGAGCCACTACAGAGAATACCCTCCCGAGCGATGACCCAGACATGATTGCATTTAAGGCTCCTGCTTTTGAACTCGGAAAAATCCCAGAAATTCCACCACCCATGGGATGTCGATAAGAATTGGTACTTAATTCATGCTGTACACTGTATTTTGTACCCGTCCTATTTACGCCACGGCGTTATGTATATAGAATATTGTTTTTTTTTCTTAATATCTCGAATTAATATTCAATTGTCATCATTGGTAGCTTAAAATAAGAAAAATAAAATCAAGAAAGAGGAACTATGGTAGCAAACTTGAAATTACGGATTTGATGGTGGTAGACATCACCTTTAAATTTATACTATGTCCAAAAGAAACGCATTTTTCTTTCAACTGTCTAAATTCCAAGCTAATGTGAACTTTCATTTTTTTAAAAAAAAAAAAAAGGGGGGGGGGGGGGCAAGAACAAGGGGTACACATCTAATATTAAATCAATATAGAGTAGATTACATATACTTTTTGAATACATTGTTAAATCTGATCTTTATTAATAGTTTTTTTTTCGGACAGTCTTCTGCATCAATTACTGCTTGGCATCTTCGATTCATAACATGAAATCAAACCACCCTAATATTCCTGATGAATTTGCTTTCATTCCTTCTCAAGAGTAGCATAAATATATATCAGGCTATACAAGATTTATTTTTTGACTGGATTCTATTGTTGACGTGGTCCCAGATGTACTCAATGGGATCAAGATCTGGGTTTTGAGGAGGCCAGTCAGACTAACTGTTCAGTTTATGTTGTTTTTTTTTCTTCTTCTTTCATTCTATAACTATATTATTTGTATGTGCCTTAGCATTGGCTCTTTGGAGAATTAATTTGCTCTAGCCAGCCTAGTGGGAAAAACTAGAGAGAAAAGGAAGATATGTTTCTTCTAGTATTTCGATTTGCTTCTTGATGTTGGCTTGTCTGTCTATGACTTTTAAATCCCCGGCATCCTTTCTGTAGAAGCGTCCCCAAACCATAAAAGAACTACCTTCAGACTTCATGCTTGCAGAGATAAATGTAGTACAAAGGCTAGAATTTTTCTTATAGAGAACTCTCTAGCGCCCGTCAAGGCCAAAAAAAAAATTGGAATCGTTTCTTATGGCCCCCAAATAATTTTATTCTACCTTTCAATGCTCCAGTTAAGATGAGCATTGACTCATTCGACACGTTTCTTTTGATTTCCGATAGAGTTTTTTTTTGATTTTCTATTGATTTACGTGAGTATATACCATGGCTGCGAAGAACCCGCCTGAATGTGTTTGCTGATGTAGGAGTGGTAACGGATCTTCTGATGACTGACATTGGCTGTTTTGGATCCTTTGAGATCTCACGTAAGATCTCTCTTTCATCTCTTGCATCCAACTTTTTTGGCCTTCCTGAATTTTTTACGCTCTCATACGAGTCAGTTTCTTTGTAGTGTTTGAGCACTCTTGAAACAGTATAAGGACTGACATTTAGCTTCTTGGCAATGTCACATTGCTTAGTACCATTTTTAATGCTCTCGTGTACAATAATAGCACGAGTTATGTTGTCAGTTTTCTTTTTCTCTTGGGATCTGAGAGTAGGTGCCATATCTGTAGCTTTAGTTTTTGGATTGGTTTATTGAGATGTAGATTTCAGAAAAAGAAGAGTGTAATGCATAAGGTGCTCACGGAATCAGTTATTGATATAAAATTTCCTATTGATTACTTTACTAAACACCATATATAGTGATTTCCAAAATTCAAAAAGGCTATTTCGCTTTAAAGTCCGTGAATTTTTCCCCTGCTCTCTACCAGGGGAAAAAATAATTAATACCCATATATGGTGATTTCCATAATTCCTATCGACACTGCGTGTAAGAATCATCTTGTTTTTACTATATTATCTCATTTTCTAGGCTTTTTTATATATATTAAAGCTAGTATTTTTTAAAGAAGCATACAATACATTACTGTAAATAAAATATTTTGTTTCAAGCAGTATAGTTTGTACTTCTTTAACAAGAAATGGGAAAAACAATTGATTTCAATATGCTATATGTTCAAACAAGATCATATCTCTTGAGTGTAGTACTGATTACAACACCGACTTAAAATTACGTAAATAGCACCTATACTTGGTAATTTGCGCTATCCTAAATATGGCGTTTAGTAAAGTAATCAATAGGAAATTTTATATCAATAACTGATTCCGTAAGCACCTATAGTGTTTAAACAAAAATACACTGAGTATAAAAAAAAAGGAACACAAATTTTACAACCCGAAAACTCTTTAAGACTTGCATGATGTTATTAGTGTACAAAGATCGCTATATTTATGAGAAAGATTTACCAAGATACTCTACCATATTCTTGGTAGAATTCCATTTGAACCCATCCAAGCTTCTTCTATACTCCATGTTGATGTAGCTGTTCTCTGCATACCCACACATAAACGTCACATATCCTCGGCCAGGATACACATCATACTGTATACCATATTGATTTTTTTTAGAAATACAAATATCTTGCATTTTGTCAGGAAGCATGTTGTCCCGATAGTTCTCAAAGTATTCTTTGATAAAGTCCACTTCAGGCTGCTTTAACATGTACACGTCCGAAGGTGCTGACCAATACGCACAGGTGAAAACATTATACCAAGTTGTCTCGGTCTCATATATGGATACATGATTGGCAGAATATTGATCGGTCTGTTCATATCTTTCACCCGTTTGAGGATACGGTTTGGTAAGTCGCACCAGTTTCATAAGGTCAATTTTAGTTATTGGATACCATAGTCCTACTGCTTCAGGAGCTCTGTAAAATAGACCGTCAATTAACAGCTCCGTAAGTCTGGCGTTGGACATATCGATCAAAAGATTCCCTGTATCTGCAGAAATAGTTCCGAATACTACCAATCTGTGAAAGGACGCATGGCTTAAGGATACACACCGAACAGAAATATATTTCAGTGTATCAGGGTCAATGGATGCTTCCTTAAGGTTAAGTATCCGTAGTCCGTGTGGTTTGAACGATTTGATTGCTTCTGGGCCAATATAGACACCTCCCCTATACAGCTTGAGCTCCTTTAAAGAAGGACAACAGTCCGCGATTGTATCGAATTTCAGGCAGGAACCGCAGTTATCAAAGTGCAGACAAACTAATCGAGGGCAGTCGGTGAATAACGTGGTTAAATCTCGAGGATTGGAACATTCCATATAATCGTTCTCGCTGAGAGTCATTGATTCGATGGTTTTAGAAGATACACGCATAAACTCTCTTGTAGTTCTTTCAACTATTCTTTCTTCGTTTGGCATGATGTAAAATTGATATATGAATTCTTTGATAGAGAGTGTCTTATCGTAAAAGCACTGATAGAATGCGAGAGGAAACAAAGTAGCATGAGCGCTATTGTCCAACGTGAGTTTGTCCAGGCTTGGGAATACGTGTGGAAGCGATGATATTCTTGATTTGGCTACTGCTAGGTTACAGTCTTTCAAATAATCCCTTTCGCCTATGACATATAATGTCATTTCGCGGACATTTGGGTATTTCACAGCAAAGTAATAAAGCCACTGTAAGTCTTGCATATCCATTGTTATCGAAAGCTTCCATACGTTATTTGCTGGCACCGCCTCATTTATAAGTTTAATGTCTTTTTCAATAACTCTGACCGATTTAAGTTTGATCGAAAAGCTTTTTAGGTATGGCAGATAATAATGAATAGCCTCAAAGTCCCCGATTCTTGATGTATACGTATCGCCAAATACCAAACCAAGCGTTGTCAAATAGGAGAGGTGCGACAATATTACAGAGCACGATGTCATTACGCTACTATCGATGTAGTATTGAAAATCTACGGCAAGCTCAGTTAACGACTTCCACACACTCCAATTTATGCTTATATCTGTCGTCTCTGGATATGATAATGCTATATCAAGGTGCCGAGTGTTTGGAAAAAGCTGTTGAAGAACCAAGATATTTCCGCGGCTTACAGGGGTTTCCCCTGAAATGAATAAGTTTCTGACATATTGACCATAAGTCATATATTTGTTTTGAGAATGTAAACAGAGCATTGCATTAATAGCTGCTTCATTATATAACCGGACTGTTCGCCATAGCTCTTCGTAAAAGGGTTGTCGCCATTGTTTACAAACAAGCGAGCTTTGCCGCAATTCTCTCTTGGAAAGGAACATTGCAATGGAAGTAAGAATCTCGGGGGGGATTTTAGAAATTGTCATGGTGTTAATGGAATATTAATGAATATATTTGTTGCATAAGAATAAAATTCTGAACAAACAAGCGTTTGTGCTATGCGTAGATAGGCAATTGCAAAATTGAGTAATTCCAAGCCTTGTGTTCTTAATCCAAGGAAACAATTGGAGCGAACAATATAACTTGTAACACAGGTCATACCGAACAAAAAAACAAGGATAAGACAATACAAGGACAAGGAAATAGTTCCTTTTTAACAATTTTTCGAGGAGTTACTTAGGAAATCGTTTTTCCTTTACATCTAAATTGAACCTAACTTTTTATTGGAATTCTTATTCACTCTACTATTCGTTATTAAACTATTGGGGGTACTCAGCCAGATTGATCGATCAAATTTTGAATTCATAACGCGATATTATTGGACTAAAATTGTAATAGCGACGATAAAAATTTGATCGTCTTTTTGAAAGATCAAATTTCGATCAAATTTTGATCGAAAAACGTACGGCTCTCTGATTGGCCTAATCCTTACTTTTTCATATGCAATACGATACTGTTTTTATCTTTCTCCTTAATAAATAATAGAACTTATTGCCGTCAAAGTCTTATAATACTTCTTTCTCTCCATCTTATATAAAAAAATACAATACAAAGTAGCAAACAATTGATGCCTTGAAGAAATCACATAAAATCAGTGAATTTATCGTGAAAAAAAAACACTGGTAGAGTCTTTATCAGCAAGTGCAGACGAGCTTATTAAAGATATTTTAGAAGTAATCAAAAAGGAAGTTAATATAAAGTTGGAGCAGATGGCTGCCGTGAAGGAGCTTGAACAAACATTTAAAGCCAATAAATACATACACAAGGTTGACAATTTATTTCCAGATGTTGAGTAAAGGGAAAGAACACTTGACTTCTTCGAGAGTCTAGATGACTATAGGTTCAAAGAAGAAATCAGAATGTGCAAAAGCTTATTCTATAAATGCTATAAAAATCTATGAATTTTGTACGAATTTTGTACTTTTGTCTTTTGGTGTCCTCAACTACAAATTGATGCCTTTGGCCAAGATTCACACAAGAATTTGATCGATCAATCTGGCTGAGTACCCCCCATATATTTTACTCTTATTATCACTCCTATTTTTCCCGCATATATTATCCCTTTGGCATTTTTACCTTTTATACATACATCTTCCCTTTTCCTTTTCCAGTTTCCCCCCACATTCTCGTATATACACATCGCACATCATTTTCATTGTAATTCACCTACATCCACATCTCCCGAACATACTTGTACCTCTTGCATTATTTTACCCATTTATATTCCCAGTTGCCTTTTTCTCACACTATTTATCTTCCACTATTACTGCTATTAACTTCTCACTTTGTATTCCACTCTTATTGTATTCTAACATCTTACCTTTACATTTTATCAAAAACACAAACATTATCCCACTCTTTCCCTTGACATTGACATTGACATCTACCCGCCTTTACATAGCATCCCTTCTCACACTATAAGTCACATCTACAATCTCCAAATATTTTATTTTCATATTTTTCATTTTACAAAAGGTATATAAGAAACCTATTTTACAAACAATAAATATCATCAGTTATCTCTCTTTCTTAAAAATTACTGTCCTTGAATTGCTTTCTACCTGACCCGTAGGAAAGCAATCATACATCGTATTAAAGTCTTATATCCCTGTTCAAAATCCTCATTTCCTTTTATCTCCTCCCTGTTCTTCTTTACCTGTGTGATTGTCCCGAGTGAAATCAAAAGTTTTCTCTTATTTCCGCTTCTACTTCATCTTCTTATGACTTGCTGTTTTAACTGTTTGGATTGTGTCGAGCGAAATCGATAGTGTTCTTATATCCTTCTTCACCTTCTACCTTAACATCTTTGTTCTTTTCTGTCCTCAACAGTCCCGAGTGAAGTTGAACATTCAATCGCCTTTCTAAATACTCTGTACCTTTCTTATATTCACCTTTCTCTCTAGGCGTTCACATAGTTGTGGTCGACCGATTTTTAACGGTCGACCGCCTTAATTTTCTCTACTGTTTATAGTAGCTTCTGAAATTGAAAACAAGAGTCACTCGAGGTTAGTTTCACATAATATTTGTATTTTACTAAAATGCCCCCTAATAAACTTTTATTTTTCTATCTATTTACAAACATGAATAACAGTAATAATAGTCAGTTCAAAGGCTTCAAAAAATGAACTTTACTGATTTTTTTAATAACAACCTTTTCTTTATCAGAAATGCCTAAAAAATAAGAGCAATATGCAGATGATGTAAATAATTAAGTGCTTTAAGACTTTAGCAAAAAAGTAGACAAAGACTCGTCAGCTTAAAAAGATGTCGTCGATTAAATATTCTATAAAAGGAGCGATTTTTAGTGCATCCCCTGTCTTTTGCTGGGGATGCACTTAAATTTGTTGCCCATTTTTGGAGTAATTTTTTTGCCTAAAATTGGGAAAAAAAACCGGTCGACCGACGAAAAAAATCGGTCGACCGCAACTATGTGAACGCCTTCTATTATTCCCTTTCCCACCCGAACTCGTACACCAGAATTACATTTTTAATTCTTCTTCAATACCTTTTCATTCTTATTTCTGACCAAGTTGCACGCACAAAAAACTCAACACGCGTCAGGACAACGTAGGGAACTTTCATGACTGCTAAAAATGGAAAAGATTTAAAACCAGAATCGGAATGCACGTCTCCGGTTAAAATAAGGGGCGCTTTTGAGGACGTTACAAAAATCATATTTATACTTCTTTCCTCTTCATTTATCTCATTTAACAGAAAAACGCCATGCTTACTATCACTCCTGCTATATACAGCTATTATTTGGGTTCTAAAGGCACTCAATATACCATTCATAAGAATAGAGATACCTATAAGTACCTTCATCTGACAGCTTTTTTTGATAATACACGCAAGGAAGAGTTCCAGTTTACTCTTTCCGAGGTTGCTATTTTATTAAGCCACTGATTGATTCATTAGAAAAAAGCATATCACAGATAGACTTTTAACTTTATATAAGCTAGATTATGTCGACTAATATTATTCTGTTGGAATGGTAAAGTGTAGAGCTTGAAAAGATCAGTTTTTTACTTTAGAGCCTTGATTTTTTAATGAATCAAGACTCCATTGACAGATGATTAGTTTGTAGCGTGTATATGCTACTAGCTTTGATAGTTTAGTGATTACCTGAGAAAAATATACATTATCCTATTTATCGGATCACTTTCAGGCGCTAGAGACATTGTTTTTGTGCTAGGGATATTCTGGCTGAATTTTCCCTAATTTACGGTCATTTCTGCCAGAATATCCCTAGAAGTGTCCCGGGGCAAAAGTAAAAATAGTAAAAATCTGGGTAATGTAAACCCAGGAAAGTCCGTAGGGACAATATCTTCAAGTTTTCCCTGAGTTGTCCCCTTTTCTACTATTGCTATTACTAATAACCAATTGTTTATATTGGACTTAATGTTTACAGCATGTACAGCAAAGTCTTGGATTTTAGCAGAATTCATCTACTGTGTTGCTGTTAGTAAGCTCGTCTCTAACCAAAGATCTGGAAAAACTGTCACCCCTCCAGGCCGTTGCTGAGCTCTGTGGCCATGATTTGTGGTCAGACCAATCAATTGAAGCACAACGAGCAGAACGATGGAAATTAGCAGAGTCGTTTTTAGGTCTCGAACGCTTATTTGATGATAATGAAGGATGGAATGAAAATGGAATGATGGCAAAACTATAATCATAATCATGGCCATACTGTAATAAATAAGAACTTACATACACACACTCTCACACACTTGTGCGTTAGTGAATAAAGCAAAATTTGAATTAATGCTATTTGATATGATGTAATCCTCGGTTATCAAAAAAAAAATGGGTGTACAGGTCACCTTCTTTATTTCCTTCATTTTCCTCTAATTTTATTTTACTTTACTTTATGGAATCTACAAACGAAGAACCTACCAAACCATCTATATTGGGCTCGGGACTCTCCATCTTTGTTCCTCGTCACAAACGACAATCACCCTCAATTACATCTCAATCTACAATCGGTTCAACAGAGCCTCCCCCACCATCATCACCATGGTCACAAGTCTCATTCGATCAACTTTCAACCTATGCAAGACGAGCATCCAGCACTAGTCTAAGTATACTAAATAACGGAGCAGTCGCAATTCTCCATCCGGGATTAACCACCAGCTTACATTCTCTTGATCCCGAAGAAAAAGAACAACGTGTGCAAGAACGGGTCTCAAAAGGTAATAAAAGATATCAAAGCTACAAGAAATAATAATAATAATAATAATAAACTCATGTGTATGTATATGTGGTTTTGGTTTCTTTTTATGACAAAAAAAAAGTGACAGAGGGAGTTGTGAACACTCTCAAATTGGCCTTGAATGATTGTTCACTAGGACTGTTTCGAGTATCAGATCATATCCATCGGAGGGTTCCTAGAATAGTCCAGGAAAAGAACAATCTTACTGCACTGGCTAATGATGTAGATACTGCAAATCTGGACATCTCAGACGTACGCAAAACAGTAGGAGATATGGAGCGTATTGAATCATTTCATTCTATGGCCAAGATGATTAAGAAATCCATGGATATATTGGCACACAAACCACATCAATGAAGATCCATTACATATACAAACATATATGCATACACAGCTATGGCTATGGCTGTGTCTGTCTATGTGTATATTGGTATTTAATTTGTGGATGTGTAAGTATGTGGTTGCAATTTTTTTGGCTTCTTCATCTTTGGCCCTTGTTAGCGTAAATCTACTACATTGACATCAAAATTGATCATCTCAATGAATCCTGTATCACTTGCATCCTTTTTTTATCAGTACAAAAATACACATATATACACATACATAACAATTAGTTTAGTAATGAGTAATGAATAACCTACAACCACACCCACACAAATGCACACAAACTCACTCACGAACTCACACACACAGATTGGTGTAAAACAAATAGAGAAAATAGAAATACTTACGGTATAAATAGGCTTATCTGGATGAGTGTGAAATGCACGCTCAGCTCTACAGGTACTAATTATATCCAATCCTGGTGGATCTGTCAACCGAAAGATACCAAAACTGATCAAGTACCCACGCACAAAAAGAAAAAGAAGAAAGTCAAGATATATTAATAAATGAATTCCTTCAACAAACTCTTACTTTGGTGTTTGGCTTGGTGAGCACACAATGGCAATTGCTTCAGGGAGCATCAGTTGATAAGAGCAGTGAGTATGTAGATCAACCGAACTTAAGAAACAGGATTGAGTTGGGTGGGTCTAAAAAAAGAGACTTTAGTATATCTATATCTATACACATACTTCATCTTTGTTTTATGAATGCAAATAAACAAAAGAAGAAATGGAAATACTTGCATGGATCCAACCAAAGGTTAACAAGTCATGCTTATTTTGAAATTCAAAAAGATCTTCTTCGTTTTCAGTAGAACAAGTATCTGAGGTACCCGTCTGCTTTGGTAGAATTAACGTCGTGATTGTCAGGACATTATTTTTCTACAAATAAAAATACAAGAAAATCATGAAAAAGGAGAAGAATAAGGAAATAAAAGAGCGAGTCAAAGTGTACACAATATAATGAAAACACCCATACCGACAAACATACATACATACATACATACATACATACATACATACATATATACATATATATATACACGTATATGTGCGTGTATTTGCACTTACAAGATTCCCGGCAAGAATTCCACAGGTTTCAATATTTTTGAGAGTATTGGGCCTTGCGAGAGAAAGGAATTGTTCTTGAAGGACATGGGGTAACCGCATCTTTCTCAAAGGCTCTCCTCTTTCTGTACAGGCTATCGGACTATGGGACTCTGTCGGTTTGTCTGGGATCTTGGGTGGTAAGATAGGCTCATTTTTGGGTTCCAATGGAACCTTTGGTGGAAGTGTAGGTGGGTGAGAGTAAAGATGAGGAGAGGATTGGTGGGCGTACGCAGACTCTTTTGGTGGAAGAGGAGGAGCAGAGGGTAAGGGCGTGTGTGTCACTGGTACAAATAATGGAGATGAATTAACTTGATAATGGAATCTAGAAAACAAAACCAAAAAAAAAAACACGCACACACACACCAATTTAACAGATTTGTTATAATTCGTATACGCAAATTAACACAAAATAAGAGTGTAGTTTAAATTACCCATCACTTTGATTTCTTTGAAGAGAATGCGGATAGTCAATGGTTTGGCCATGAACACTATCAGATGGATAATATGTTGTGAACCCAACTCCCTGAACTCCCTTGAGAGCCTCTTGAAGTGACCAATCTGAGGTGGGTTGCTGTTGCTGCTGCTGTTGCTGTTGTTGTTGGTGGTGGTGGTGGTGGTAGGATTGAGGTTGGGGTTGGGGCTGTATTTGACGGGTGTGGTATTGATTTTGGCTCGCTAATTCCTCTCGTTCTTGTTCTCGCTCTTGTTCTTGCTCTTGTATAGCATGCTGCTCATTAATATATTCATCGTACTGTTCTTGAAGAATTGGCTTGATGTTTTCCAAAATGTCCAATGCATCTAAACAATTCTTTTTTTTTAAAAAAAATACACACATTCCATTCCATTAATTCATTTATTCATTAATAAATAAAATAGTAAATATGCACAAACACACGCATATGTACAAATTTAAGTATATAACAATAAACTTGGTTTCTTACTTGAATAATAGAACGTTTATTTTTTTTGTATTTGGGATCATTATATTGTGGATGGTTTGGTAATTCAGTCATTCCTAGACTTTTAAGAACTGTATTAGACTCGAGCAGTAATGAACAATTGACAGCTTAAATATGTTCATTTATTTTGTTTTGTTTTTAACAAGGACTCACTTTGTGTACTTCATGTACATCACATAGGCCTGCTCAAGATTGTTTTCATCAAGATACACTTTTGCTTGTCGGATGAGAAGTTCGGCTGAGCGTAGATAAAGATGTATAGGTGTTGAATTGGCAACTTGAAAAGTAGCCAGTTTACTCAATTCATGCGGTGACCTTGGACGAGACATTATATTAAAAAGAAGAAGTTGTCCAGTATTTCTGTTCTTTGTTTCTTGGTGTATCTGTGTTCTTTGTCTTTATAGATATATAAATATGTATGTATGTGTGTATATATAATTAGATATTGCTTGGCAAAAATGAGAATAAAATAGAATGAAATAAAATTGGCATGAATGAAAATCGACCTGAATCCAACCCCAGGTGTGAAACGAGTCACCTGGCGGGGTTTGAACAAAGCCATAGGGCAAGATGTCTTGGTCGTTGTATTGTCCACCCTCTTTTTTCCCATCGATCCTAAAGATGGTAAATACATATAGATACAACAGAAATACATACGAAAAATAGACATCCCCACTCGAATCCTATCCATCCGTCTACTCGTCAATCCAAGAACACTGCCAATTGACCTTTTTTCTCAAATATATATATATATATTAACCTATATAAATTATTGTCTCATTTTTTTAATGCTCTGTGCCATGCTGTACCATGCAATTGTATGATTTTTTTTGTGAATTGTCATCATTCTACATTACTATAGTCCGCGGCTGCCAGACCCGTTATCAACGTCTACTCCAAGACCGGCAAGGATGCTTCTGCCACCCTTCCCCTCCCCGCTGTCTTCAAGGCCCCCATCCGTCCCGACATTGTGAACTTTGTCCACACCAACATGGCCAAGAACAAGCGTCAGCCCTACGCTGTCTCTGAGAAGGCTGGTCACCAGACTTCCGCCGAGTCCTGGGGTACTGGTCGTGCTGTTGCCCGTATTCCCCGTGTCAACGGTTCCGGTACTCACCGCGCTGGTCAGGTAAATAAGATGAAAATTTGATGTAATTAGATTAAAAGGGGGCATTTTTTTTTAAAAAAAAGAAGTAATCTTAACATTCTAATATTCTTTTCATTTTTGTATATGAAATACTATTATTATTATTGTTATATTAGGCTGCTTTCGGTAACATGTGCCGTGGTGGTCGTATGTTCGCTCCTACCAAGACCTGGCGCAAGTGGCACATCAAGACCAACTTGAACCAGAAGCGTTTCGCCACTGCCTCTGCTTTGGCTGCCTCTGCTCTTCCTTCGTTGGTCATGGCCCGTGGTCACCGTGTTGAGAAGATCGAGGAGGTTCCCCTCGTCCTCGCTGATGATGTCGAGACCCTCACCAAGACCAAGGATGCCGTCGCTCTCTTGAAGGCTGTTAACGCCTACGCTGATGTTGTCAAGGTCTCCAACTCTCGCAAGCTCCGTGCTGGTGTCGGAAAGCTCCGTAACCGTCGTCACCGCCAGCGTCGCGGTCCCCTTGTCATCTACAACGAGGACAACGGTATCGTCAAGGCTTTCCGCAACTTGCCCGGTGTTGAGGTTGTCAACGTCCGTCGCTTGAACTTGTTGCAGTTGGCCCCTGGTGGTCACCTTGGCCGTTTCGTCATCTGGACCAAGAGCGCCTTCGGTCTTTTGGATGCCCTCTACGGTACCTACGAGACCCCCGCCACCTTGAAGAAGGACTACGTTCTTCCCGCTCACATCATGACCAACCCCGATGTTGCCCGTCTCATCAACTCTGATGAAATCCAGTCTGTTGTCCGCCCCGCTGGTAACAAGCACGAGAAGCGTCCCTTCACCCAGAAGAAGAACCCTCTCCGCAACCAGGGTGTCATGAACCGCCTCAACCCCTACGCTCAGGTCCTCCGTCGTGCCGAGATCGTCGCCGACTTGAAGCGCAAGTCTGGCAAGGTCTCTAAGGCCCAGCCCGCCAAGAAGTCCAAGCGCACCAAGCACGTTGCCACCAAGTTCCTCGAGACTCTCCACTCCGCTTAAATGCGTCCGAACACATTACCACCCAAAACAACCCTTTCATCTTCATTAATTAAATATTTTATATTTTTTATTAAAATTTGAATATTTGGATATATATTTATTTATATTTATATATATAAATTTATAAATTTATATGTATTTGTTTTGAGTTTAATTTGTATATGCAGATGGTTATAAAATATTTGTGTGTACAAGACAAAAACAAAAGAAAGGATAGTCAAGAAGAGATTAATAGACTAGAGATCTGACGAATGGATATTCGGTCTTGAGGAAAATGAGGAAAGAGATATTTAAAGCTAAGTAATTATGGTAGACAGAGAGAAAATGGACTTCTTCTGGGTGTACCATATTTGAATTAAGAAGAGGTGATTTTGTTTCAATTTGTCAAACACAAATTACGCACCTATTAAACACATGCACCTACTCAGGGAAATGTGTATATACGAATACACACACAGAGAGAGATACAAGTATGTATGAATGTGTATGTCTACATATTTATGTGTTTATGTGCTTATGGGATCCTATGTGTGCATTTGATATACTTGAAAACAGGGATCAATCAAGCTTGAATTATACACATAATATGTATTGTAGGTATTTTAAAGATGTACAAAATTAGAGTATTTGAGTGTCTGGAACGGCATTTGAATCCTTGATGAAAAAGGGGGGAATATGATACGATGGTACAGCATGGGATATGATGGGATGAGTTTGTGGGTTGATTGGTTGGTTAGTGAATAGGTGAATAGGTGAGTGGGGTTAATGGTCGAGTGATTAAGTGAGCGAGTAGGCTGAGTGGGAGATGTATAAGGGGCGAGGAGGCTAGGAGAGGAGAGGGAAATTTAGAAAGAAAGAAGAAAAGAAAAATTGTAGTGGGAAAAATTGAAAGCGTTTAAATTTATTTCATATATATAAAAAAATAAAAATAAAAATAATAAAAAAAAAAAAAAAAAACTTGTTTTGTGTGCGTGTGTTTGTGTATATATATATTTTTTATATAGTTTCTTCTTTTCTTTTCCTTTTTTTCTTTTTTTTTTAAAAAAAAAATCTTATTTTTCTACTTCTTCTACTTTTACCTTTACCTCTACTTCTTCCACTCCTACTTCTTCCTCTTCTTTCTTTCTTATTACAATAGCCGACCCAAAGAACATCCGATGGCAAAAGATGGTCAAGGCCAGATTGCTGCTGTCCAAGTAGGCAAGTCATTTAAACCTAAACCTTCTCACAATTATTTTATTTTAATAAAAAAAAATTAAGAAATTAATATTAGATACATAATGCCTTGTCATCTCCATTCTAAAATAACAATAAAACAACTCCTTTTTTTTAAATATATATATTCGTTTATTCATATGTGTCTGTGCTTGTGCTTGTGTGTATTTAGCTCTTCGTATCCGTACACTTAGCGAAAAGGACCGTGCACAACCACGGTTTGCTAATCTCGCTAATGGAGACTGTCTACGAGCTCTAGAGAAGTCTGTTCATGTCGTACCCTTAAACAAACTCTTCACTTTCGACCATGTGTTTGGTCCTGAGAGTAGACAAAGCGAGATCTTTGCTGCTGTTGGTCAGAAACTCATTCACAAGTTTGTCGAAGGTGAGTTCAGTAAAACAAGAAATAGGCATCATCAAGAAGAGAATAAGTACATTAGAGTGGAATAAAGTAAAACAAAAAAGAATAAGGACAGAAGGAAGAAAGGAAGGAAAGAGACAGATAGATATGTAGATAGATAGATATGGATATAGAGTATAAAGAAGACGACGACGAAGAAACAAAAGAAAAACGAAACGAAACGAAGCGAAACAAAACAAAGCAAACCAAAGCAAAACTTGTTCATAATTTGCTTTTTGTTTTGTTTTTTGAACCATCATTTATTTGTGTGTATATATATACTCTCTTTTTTTTGGCTTTCTTCTTTATCTTCCCTTTGGTCTTTTTGCTTTTTTACATTGTCTATATTTCGAATGTGTGCATTTCAAATCGTAATTAGGCTACAATGTCACCATCCTAGCTTATGTAAGAACACACACTTTTCTTTTGTATATATGTATAATTGTGTATATATACTCATTCAAGTAAAATAAAGAAAGAGAGAGAAAGAGAGAGAGAGAAAAAAAGAATATGGGCAAGAAAAGAATATCGTATAATACATATGAACCATTCGCTATTTCAGAATATCAAAATGGTTTTGCTCATCTATACTACTATATTGAACATCCACACAAATCCACACACATACACTACTCTCGATAACACAAACACACAAACACACAAACACACGGATACACGGAAACACATACGGAAACACACTTGGACACATACGCATATACGCACATACGTACATACGCACACACTCATACGCTTATACCCTTGCATTCCACTTGTACAACAAATTGAACATCGACAATCATCTACAATCATCTCCAATCATCATCATCCAAAATACAACAATGGATTATTTTTTATTTTTTATTTTTTCTAGGGCCAAACGTCTTCTGGAAAAACGTATACAATGGGAACAGCACAACACAGCGGACGATTCGATTTAGAACAAGAAGGAATTGTACCCAGAGCCATGTCTCTTTTATTCGATCTCCTCCAGCAAAATGACACCCGACCTACCTCTCCATCTTCAGTCAATTCAAACGATCCACCTGGTAAACCCGGGGGACGACTCCGACCGGTCTCGCGCCTGTCGAGCCCGGCAAGCGTGAGTGCACCGGCACGATATCGATTCAGTGTAAAGGTGTCATTTGTAGAGATTTACAACGAGGATCTCATCGATCTGCTCAACTCTGCACCACCTTCGGAACGGCCTCCAGTCAATATCCGAGAAGACACAAAAGGGCATATTTATTGGACGGGTGTTAAGGAAGTGACGGTATCAAATACTGAAGATGTTCTCTAGTGAGTAATAAGCATGTTTATATGTATACATGTATATATATATATATATATATATACTTTGACTTGACTTGATTTGCATATTGTGTCAAGTATAATTCATCTAATCTTACTTTATTTATTTTTGATTTTTGATTTTTGATTTGATTTTCAAGTCATCTACAACAGGGTACACTAAACAGAGCCACTGGTTCTACAGACATGAACGAACAATCATCTCGGTCTCATGCAATTTTCTCGGTCACTCTTCGACAGGAGCGATGGGTGAGCCATGGCGGTGGAGGTCAGATAAGTCGAGCAGCCAGTCCGGTGCCCTCAAAACTTCACGGGAAACAACGACCGATGAGTGCAATGAATGGACGAGCAGAAGATGGAGAGTGGATTGTGACCAACTCAAAATTCAACTTTGTTGATCTTGCTGGCAGTGAACGGGTAAATTTATCGATTTGATTTAACTTAATTTTTTTATTTTTACTTTTATTTTTATTTTTATTTTATTGATTTTCTTTCTTCTTTAGTTGAAAAGAACAGCTGCAGAGGGAGATCGACGCAAGGAAGGTATCAATATTAACGGTGGACTACTTGCCCTGGGCAATGTCATCTCGGCCCTGGGTGATCCATCCAAAAGAAGCACCCACGTCCCTTATCGTGACTCTAAACTTACCCGCCTCCTGCAGGACTCATTAGGCGGTAGTGCAACCACCCTGATGATTGCCTGTGCAAGTCCGGCCGAATCCAATCTGGCCGAGACGCTCAACACACTGCAGTACGCCAACCGTGCCCGAAATATCAAGAACAAGGTCGAGAAGAACGAGGCCGAAGAATGGATGACGACCGACAATATTGAATTGCTGCGATCCATGGTTGGCAAACTGAGGAACAACTTGGCTCGGTCGCAGCCCATTAACATCAGTAACGGCAGCAAATCAGAACCCGACAGTCCAATGTCCCTCAACAGCAGTCATAACCACAACCACCATATGCTTGACGTTGACCAGTCCACACAGGACCAGCAGTCGTTGATCGCAGACCTCCAGCGGCAGGTCGAGGAGATGGATTTCGAGCTGTCGGTCACACGTGAAAAAAACCGGGTAGCTGAAGACGAATTGAGACGACTGAGGACGTCGACCGACATGTGGAAAAAGGAGATTGAACTCAAACAGTCGCGTGAATTGGATTTCCAGCATCTTGTCGAACCTGTGATCGAAGAGTACGAAAAGAGCATCTCGGCTCTCGAGTCACAGCTGGCCATGGCCCAGGCGGCCATCAACCACTCCGACTATGGGTTCCACGAACAGTTGGCAAAGCAGGAACAGTGTGAGATTGTGATCGAGAGTCAGGAACAGACGATTATGGATCTTCGGCTCAGGTTGTCCAAGGTGCTCGAGAATGAGCACTCAAATGACGCATATATTGAGGAACTAGAAGAGAAGCTGCGACACTCTACACGTGATGCAGTCCGGGACCAAGAGCACCTGAATGAATTGAGAAGTAGGGTTATGAAGCTTAAGGAGGTTGATGAATCTACAGAAAACTACATTGCTAGTCTGGAACAGCGAGGGGCAGCGACAGATGCAGAGCGGGCCTTGCTGGCTGCAAAGGTCGAGGAATTAGAGGGACGGCTCTTGATGGCCATGACTGGAAACTTGAGTTTGAGTGACGCCTCTACATCATTATCACTGTCCACAACAACAGGTGGAGGAGGAGGGATAACTGGCAGCGGCAGTGTGGTACTTGGGTCAGCAAGTGAGACTGATAGTGACATGACAATGGTTGTTGGGGATGAGCCACAGCAACAAAAGGAGTCAGAGGTGACTGCGGCTGCTGTTGTGGCAGCGGCTGCTGCACTAGAAGAAGAATCGATGTTCCAGGCCGAGCGTATTAGACAATTGAGTCAAGCGTACAACGAGCTCCAGGAAGACCATCAGGAGACGACCAAAGAGTTGGACGAAGTGCTTGTACGATACCAAGAGGCACTTGAACAAATTGAGCTCCTTCAATCCCGGCCTCAGTCGAATTCTGCTGATGACCATATTTTAGTGAAACCCCTTTAAAAAAAGCAAAAGAAAGAATTAAGAAGAAGAAGAGAAAAATAAGAGAGAAGAATAAGAATAAGAAATTCCTATTATAAAACTGAATAATTCAGACAAACAGTAAATCAACCAATCAATCAATCAACCAACAGATATCAATTCAACTCAATTCAATGCAATTCAATGCAATTCAGCTCATTCATACAAACAAGACAAGACACACGAGACAAGACACACAAGACAAGGCATATAAGACAAGTCAAGCCAAGTCAATACAAGACAAGACAAGACAAGACAGATACACCTTAATTTCTCTCTACTTATTTCTTTTTTCTTTATATATTTTCTTTTCTTTTTTATATTACACTTTGTTTATTTCTATTTTATTTCTATTTTTTATATTTTTTTTTATATTTTTTATATTCTATATTTTATATTTTATATACTGTAAACAAGCAAGAAGGAAGAAAAAGCACAAGCACACATTAAACAATCACTCATTCACTCAAAATATATATATATACTTTTAATGAGTTTTTATTAATTGAATTGAATTGAATTGAATTGAGTTGAGTTGCATTAGATTAGGTTACGTTATATACGAGCTGTATATTCTATCAAAGCATTAAGCACATGAAGAATGTGTAAGAGAAAGATAGAGAGAGTGAGAAAGGAAGAGTTGAAGAGATTGACCTTTTCCCTCGTGTAAAGGGAGTCAGTATGTATGTGAACCCTTTAGGTGTTCAAAAATTATGTGGTCTGTGGGTTAAATCTAGCTGTGTACTTTAATTTAGATTATAAGTCTATAGGGTCAATATGTCCCATATCATTATCATCGTGTATATATATATATATATTGAATCTAAAATCGAGTTAAATGAAATTAGTTTAGTGATAAAGTAGCCCAAACCTGTAGGTGACACACCAAAATACAATCATAATCATCAATCATACTTGTACATATAGAAACACATTACATTTTACATTAAAATTGGGTTAATACTTATATCCGTCAATCCCAACACTTTCTTTATTACATTCTGTGGCTATGGAAACCAAGTTTGTAATGATCTATACCAAAACTTATATTTAGTATTAAATAGCTTCTTTGGTCATTTTTTGGGGCTCATTTTTTTTTTGGCTTTCTTTAGATTGGTTGGGAACCACTGAAAAAAAATGATTTTTTTTCTTAAAACACATCTACCCACATGGAAATTCATGCTTGAAAAAGAAACAAAGAGATTAAGAATTACGAGTACAAAATTGAATCCAATATATATATATATATAATACTTGTGAAATCCAAACAAAAAAAAAGAAAAAGGGAAATGGTATTATCAGTATCCCTCTTTTTTTTATTTTTTATTTTTAGTTTGGATTTCACAAGCTCCATCTTCAATGTTCACGGGGACAATTTGGGATCTGTTTTTGGTTGTTGTAAAATTGAAATTCTAATATGTACATTACAAGATGTTGCTTATCTCCATATAAATTGTATATATATAAAAGGATATAATTTTTTTTTCTTGCAAGTCCCAAGACATCAGCAGTTTTGTGGGTTGCCTTTGCGCAAAGAATGTCCGTGCTCTTTCTTGTATAGTGAGAATTGTAGCACAATGTATATACAATTATTTTTATGATATCCTGACAAGACTTTTTTATTTTATTTTACATATGTTTTTTCTCTTTCTCTCTCAATTTTAAATAAATAAATAGTTGAAACAATTGTTGTAATTGTAACCATGGAAACAGCTTGAAACATTTAGAGAGAATATCAATCAATCAATAAATAAATAAATAAATAAATAAGATTTATATAAATAATATAGTGATTGCTTTGGGCGGATTATTTTGACGGAGAGTGACCGAAACTCTCTTTTATATATATTGTTTTTTCCTTTTTGGTGAACTAGAGAGCACCAGGCAAAGGCTGATGTACAAAAGAAGAAAAGAAGAGAGAAAAGAAAAAAAGGGAAAATATAGGGGGTGGAAGCAAGTGATTTCACGGGATAAACTAAAAGGAAATAGAAAAAAAAAAGAGAATGAATGATGTATAGATAGTTAAAGGCAGACACATATAAAGAAGAGTATAGATGAATAAATGACTAACTGAGTGAGTGAATGATAGTAAACTTGTACAAATATAAATATAAAAGAAATATCGGCTGATGTACATTGGTATCCACTGATAATTCCAGCCCACAGATGCGTCCAGACAATATATATATATATATATATATCTATAGATGGTCACATAATGTATCAAGGGACCTGGTCTGGAGACATTCCCAGACGATCGTTGTATGATCCCTGTTTTTTTATTTTATTTTATTTTATTTTATTATAATTTGAGATCTCGAGACTACATTGGTTGCCTAGTGACCAAAATAAAGAATAAAATAATGACAATGACAATGACAATGCTAATGATAATACTAATGATAACGATAATGGAAATGGAAATGGAAATGACAATACTCGCACCGATACCCGAGTTGATTTGATTTGATTTCATTTGATTTGATTCGATTCGATTTAATTTGATTATTTGATATATATATATATCTCAATATATTGGGTTTGTCATGTGATAAGTATTCTAACCTGTGTCAATAACAATATTTCACTTTAATCATTTCTCATGTCAGTCAACAAGGGATATTCACAGTCCAGATCTTTACTCTGTTCTGCTTTACTTTAATTTGCTCTACTTTAGTGTGTGAGCAAAAAAATAAATAAACAAAAAGATGAAACATTAATAATACACTTTTTCAGTGGACCCGTCACTACAAACATACCCACACCCATATATATATATATATATATATAGCTATAATTGTAATACTTTAATTTTGAATGAATTCGACTTCTAAATAAAAGAAGAGAATTGTTATGAATCTCAAGTAATGTATATATCTAAATATATTAAATAAGGAAGGAAGGAAGGAATTTGTATATTTGAATAATTACCTGTAAATTACTATAATTATTATGATTATTCTTATTTTGTCGGAAGGAATGGAATAAGTAGACGACACAATATACACTGTATATATACAGTATATATTGTGTATGTCTGTACAGAGTAGATATGTAATAATGAACAAACGCATGATCGTGTCATTAACTATATAAGTGATCGGTTGTGCTTTGTGTTACTGCTTCACAAGGAAAGAACAGGGTTAGGGGAATTAAGAAAAAATAATAAGAGTAAACAAGATTCCTATGTTTTATAAGTAGAATATAAGTCTGTATGTTATATTTCCATAAATTTATGAGAATTTGTTGTGATTTCTACAACACTAAATCCCAACTTTCTTTCCTTTTTCTTTTCTTTTTTACTTTTCTGTGATAAAAGTGATTATCATATAAAGAGAGAGAAAGAGAGAGAGATTCATAGAATAACGATAAATGGTAGCAGTAACAGTAACTTGCTTATGTTTTGAATTTGAATTTGAATTTGAATTTGAATTTGACATGAGAATTTCATGATTAAATATATACCTATACACATGCGTATGTATGTGTGTGTGTTTTTTTTGTACACACAACGCTTCCATTCTCTCTCTTTCTCTCTTTTACTCACTCACTCACTCACTCACTCACTCACTCACTCACACTCACACACACATCATAGCACAAGCACAGGCACAGGCACAGGCACAGGCACAGGCACAAACACAAACACAAACACAAACACAAATACATAGATACACAAATATACTTACATAGCCACATACGAAAACACACAAGGATTATAAACTATATATATAATTTTTTTTCCTGGCCTTTCACTTGGCACTATCTTTGTCGGACAATTAACCAATCAGTCATTAATTATTTATTTATTTATTTTAATTTTTTCAGTCATCCCAGTCATCCATATAGTCAGCCATATAGTTAGCCAGTCAGCCAGTCAGCCAGTCAATCAATCAATCAAAATGATAATAATATTGAATTGTCTGTTATTTTGTTTTGTTTTGAGTTCTAGAGCCGGCCGATGGATCACACACTTTTGCTTACACACCCCTCAATATTATATATATATATATATTTATTTTAGTAATAATCATAATCATAATACTTACTGCTATTTAGTTTAGGCTACACAACAATCAATAGTACAAATAACATTGGTTTACAAAACCAAAAAGACAAACAAAGACTTGCACATAGTAGTGTGCAGTATTTGAATGAGGCTGATTTCTCTTTGGCTTGGACTAAAAGCAAAATAAATCAATCACTCAATCAAATGGGAGGAAGGAGGGAAGGAAAGACAGCGGAATAAGAGATCCGAATTGAGATTTTATTTATTTATTTAATAATTATTATAATTATAAACTATAACTTTTTTTTTATATATTTATATTTATATATTTATACATATGCTATTCTGGTAAATCCCACCTGTTACTTTCTCTTTCCTATATATATAAAAGAAGCGTGATTTAAACTTTGGCTTGTGCACAAGAAAGATTGTTTTTTTTTTGAATTTTTGAATTTTTGAATTTTTGGTTTCTTTGGTATAAAAGCCTCTCTGTTTCTGTACATCTTTACAACATTTTTCTACTTCAAAATTATTCTACCCTACCCTACCCTACCCTACCCTACCTTATCCTATACTATCCTGTCCTATTCTGTTGCATTATACTGTACTATATCATAACATACTTCTTTTACAACATGTCTTTTGGATCAACAAATGTAAAGATTTACAAAATTTGATTTATTCAAACAGCAAAAAAAAACTAAACACATTATTAATATCATTCTTCTTTGTTTTTTTCTTAGAAAACCTTTCGACCACTCGTAATCTATCATGACAACCAATCGAGAAATCAAAACACTGACGATCGAATCCAACGACATTTACTAAAGACAGCCGAAATGTTACAGTTCAACGCTCAACAATGGGCAAGAACACCAAACCAAAGTAAATAAGTAAATAAGTAAATAAATAAAGAATCTTACTTTATTTTATTTTATTTTATTTTATTTTATTTTTATAAATAAATAAATAAATAAATAAATAATCATATTTACAAATTTAACGATTTTTAATATTATTTTATTTAGTCTTTAGTCTTTAGTCTTTAGTAGTTAATTAAATGGAATAATAATAATAATTCTCTATTCTTCCTAGATCATCTTGATGACCAAAATATTATACACATGCCATCAAACCAAATCTTTGGCTCACTATATAACAGCAACAGCAACAGCAACAGCAACAGTAATGCTACAAACCATATCAGCAGTAACATCAGCAGAAGCAGCAGTAGTAGTAGTAGTAGTAGTAGTAGTAGCAGTAGCAGTAGCAGTAGTAGCAGTAACAGCAGTAGCAGCAATAGTGTCAGCAGCAATGGTACACGTGATAGCCCACCCAGTCATTGGCGTACCTTTAGTGGTAGCGGTAGTGGTAGTTGTCGGCATGATTCAACAACAACAACAACAACATCAGGAGTACCAGCAATAGCACCAGCAACAACAACAAAGGGATTTACAGGCTCAGTTGACGTTGACACGGCTTCCAATTCGAGAATGCTGGTCAAACAAGGCATCAAGAAACGGCGTCGGGGAAACCTTCCCAAAGAGGTCACAGAGTTTCTCAAGACATGGCTTGTCCGACACAAAAAGCATCCTTATCCGACCGAGAAGGAAAAGTTAGAGTTAGCCTATCGGACAGGACTGACTGTAAATCAGATATCAAACTGGTTTATTAATGCTAGACGACGTATATTGCAACCCATGCTTGAGTCCGAGAGTCTTCATGCCCACAGATTAATGTTACTATCAGCACCACCTTTATCACCATCTTCATCATTATCATTATCATTATCAGCATCAGCATCAGCACCAGCATCAGCATCAGCATCATTATTAATGAAGAGATATCAAGATACCAAAGATCCCATCAGGAGACAAGGAATATATGCCTATCACAGTTACCCAGGTAAGAATAAATTATTCCTTCTTCTTTTTATGTATATATACATATTATATATATTTTATATTGTACGTGAGAAAAATTTAAAAAAAATATATATATATATAAAAGAATAAAAGAAGGACAAGAGATTATCGATAAGATTTCTTTGGACAGAAGATGTCAAGCAAAATAAAATAAATAAAAAAAAAACTCAATTTTTTCTTTTATTAATATTTATATAACTTCTATTTATAGAAACTTTTAAAGAACAAGTACCTTGGCCATGGTTTCATCGCAATAATTTACCAGCAATAGTAGAGAATCTTTAAAGAATCCGAAGAAAAAAAAATCAAACAAAAACAACAATACAGCAATCGCAAATATATATATATAATATAATATATATATATACATTTTGCTTAATTTTTAGCTACTTAATTAAATATCTATCTATATTTTTAATACTTTCTATATCTTATATTTCAAATTCTCTTGTACATTTTCCCCCCTAAATATATATACATATACATACTTTTTCACACCTTTTCTTATTTCTTCTTTCTTGCGTTCTTTTTTTTTTTTTTTTTTTTTTTTTAATGACGTCTGCTACGAATGACATTTTGTACACTGACATTTCAAGACCTAATAACATTTTAATTTCCTTTTTTTGTTAGCCAGACCGAGCGGAAGAAAAAGAAAAAGAAGAAAAAAAGTTATATACCTCTTTCTTTATTATTATTATATTTTATTTTATATTGCCAATGACTTGGTCAATTGTATAGTGGGACAAAGTAATATATATATATATATATTTTAAATAAATAAATAAATAAAAAAAAAAAAAAAGTGCATGTATTTATTTGATGGAACAATCCCGTGTAGTCATCCGATCCTAATCCATCAAATCAATCATTTCACTCATTTCACTCATTTTTCTTTACTATTATATATATATATATAAATAAATAAAAGGCGTGTTTACATAAAAGGTCTGTGCGCCTTGTAAGTGTGATGCAGATCATGCAAAAATATATAACTATATAAATGTATATTTCTATCCTAACAAAAAACGCAACAACAACATCAAAAAAATATATATATATATCTTTCTTCTTGTAATGCGGAGTGTCAAATAAGCATTATTATTTTTATTATTATTAAAATATATATATATATAGAGATGTGATTATGATTATGATTATGATGGATTATTTATTTATTTATTTCTTTTTAAAGACTTTTATCTTCGTCTCTTTTAAGAACCATGTTGCCACCCATCTTAATTACTCTCCGCATCATCCTCTTCATGTTCTTTGGCTTCTTTTGATGATCTCCAGTGGATGATCTTCCATCGGATTCTCCGTGTCCAATGTAGGTTGCGTCATCCCTTGAAAGACTGTCATCCCCTCCTCCTCCTCCTGATCCTGATCCTGATCTTGATCCTGCTGTTCCTGCTGTTCCAATAGATGGTACTCCTACAAATCCTCCTGGTCCCAAAATTCCTCCTGTTCCTGTTCCCCCGACTCCCACAAATCTATCTACACCACCAATATCCTCCTCACCAATGTCGTGACGTGAACGGATCTTTCGGATATTCAATTTTAGGTTTGAAATCGAGTGGTTGAGTTTGGCAAGTGGGCTTGTTGTCTTTTCTACCCATTGCCGCGACATAGGGTGGCTGTAACACAGGGCCGCGAACTCTTTAAACGCCTCTCCTAGGCAACTCTCGACCTGGTAGGCCTGGCTGGCCGAAAACAGATACGATTGGCCAAACGGATTGGCCGGCACGGGTACAACTGGCTTGTTGGCCTCCATCAGGATACGGAACAGCAGCGGCTGCGATGCAGAGTCCCGGTTGACCATCAGCTCCTCGGTTGTCGAGAAGATCGACAGCCAGGGCTTCTCAGGCGGGTCCGGGCCACAGTCAGCATAGGTGTCGTCAAGCATCGCCTGCACCCCACTCAGATTAAGCACCCAGTCGGCCGTCGTACTTTTGGTCTTGCGAATCAACCGGTCGTAGTACTTGGCCTTTGCTCGGCCGGCCTCTCTCTTTGTCATTGGCTTTATCCGATCACAGTAATAGTTGTACGTGCTGTTAGAACTCGGGCCATAGCTGCCGTGGCTGTTGGTCTTGTCTTTGTCTTTGTCTCTGGTTTTGGTTTTGGTTTTGGTTTTCTTGTGGTAACCATCACTCAGCTCATGCCCTCTCTCAAATCCAGAATCAATCCGGCGCAGTCTCTTGTGGCCACGCATCGTGAGCAGCTTGGAGTGCTCAATAATCATCCGGGTCAGAAAATGACCTGCCTTCTCAGCCATCACAGGATTGCATTCAGAAGGCCCCAGTGTCACCTTGCCCATCGCCTCGCCGAGTCTGTAGGCGTCCATTCCGTTCTTTTCCTTGTAGTGCATAAGCTCCACCAAAAAGTCCAATAGATCGATCAGCAGTTGTTCTCCCTGCTCAGTCAACAGTCGTGACAGGCCAGACAGCGTACAGGCTACCAAAAGCAGAAAACAAAGTAAAGTAAAGTTCAAAAAAAAAACAAAAAAAAAAGAATTACTACCATTGAATCATACATAAAGATACATACATAAAGATACATATAGATACATATTCACACGAGTGTGAATAGAATAGCTATGTGCATACTTGTTTTTCTATATATGTATATATTTCTTCTTCTTTACATTTACGTTTACGTTTATATTGAAATTTACTTACTTTCATAGTTTATGATTCGCCATGCCTTTTTGGATATTATTCTCTCTTGACAGCACACCAGGATATCTTGCATCAGGGTAGCAACCGAGTGAATATCAACACAGGTCAGATCAATGGCCGAACATCGATGGCGTTTGAATACTTTGATAAACAAGACACTATTTGGAACTATTGTCGTTTTTTTTTTGTGTGTATAAAATAGGTATATAATTATTGGTTAGAAAACAGCACCCAGCCGATTATTATTATTATTATTATTATTATTATTATAGTAATAGTAATAACAAAAAGGGGATGTAGGAGTAGAGGAGTAGAAAGGAAGAGGAGGAGGAGGAGGGGGCGATGTTGGGTTGGGCAAAGAAGGTAAGACAAAACCAAACCAAATCAAAATCAAAAATAGTTTTTTTTATTGTATTTTATTGATCTTTTCTTACCTGACTTTCTTAACAATTTGCGTTCTTCCAACCCTATAAATGTGGCGTATTATTAGTATTAGTATTACTAGGAATATTGTTGTATTTACTATACCTCGATGCCTTATTTCATCCATACAAAGATGGACTACCTGGGCTGCGAAATCAAAGGAGTAGTACATTGAAGCTTCTTTCTTTTGTAAATCAAAAGAAAATAAAATATAGTAAAATAAAAGAAAAGAAAGTAAAATAAAGTAGAGTAGTAATGGCAATAGCTATATATATATATATGTGTGTGTGTGTGTGTGTAATATGTATATATATGCGTGTTTATGTGTGCGTGTGTGCGTGTGTGCGTGTGTGCGTGTGTGCGTGTGTGCGTGTGTGCGTGTGTGTATGTGTATATCCGTGTCTCTATCTTTCTCTGTGTGTCTTTGCGTGTGCGCGCGTGTGTATGTGTGTGTATGTGCGTATGTGTATGTGTGTATGTGTCTGGGTGTTTGTATGTTTGTATGTCGGTATGTCTGTGTATTTATGGGTGTGTTTACATATGTATATACATATATATATACATGTGTATTTGTATTGTGCTTGCGGAATATTATCAGTTCGTGAAATTGAAACAGGTATTAAATGTGTATTAATGATATTTAATTGTAATGGTAATGGTAATAGTAAGAATAGTGATAAGAATAAGAATATTAGTAGGAATAACAATAGTAATAAGAATAGTATTAGTTTGGCTTGGCTTGGCTTGGTTTTGATTGTTCTTTTTTTTTTCTTTTTCCTTCCTTTTTTTGTGCCTCGTTTGATATTAGCCGCCAACCAAAAAAAAAATTGCAAAACTATATAAAAAAAAAAGAAGAAAAAAAAAGAAGAAGAAGAAGAAGAAGAAGAGAAAGCAGAAAAAGAGGAAGAAGAGGTTGAAGAGTAGGAAGAAGACCAGAAAGAAGAAGGGAAGAAAGGGAGAAAAAAGGAGAAGACCGAAAGATAAAAAGAGGATAAAATAATATGTAAAATAATATATAAAATATAAAATAAGCTAAACCCTCGCCTTAACCCCCACTCTATCCCTCTCTTTGTTTCTGTCTTTGTTTCTTTCTTTATTTCTTGCTTTTATATCTCTTTATTTTCTTTCTTTCTCTCTCTTTTATATATATATTTTTTTATCTCCCTTTCCTTCTTTAGTATAAAGGAGTCCAAGGAAACAATATATATATATATTTATAAGAATCAGAACCAGAACCAGAACCAGAACCAGAACCAAAACCAAAACCAAAACCAACGAATCAAAAAGAAAATCATAATGGTAATAGTAATCTGATTGATTTTCTATAAAAAAAATGATCTCGCATTTCCAATTAAATAAATAATGATCAGCCATCGGTCTTTCTTCTTCTTCTTTCTTCTGCTTCCTGTATATCCAAACCATCACCTCAATTCATTCGTCAATTTCCTTTTCTATATTTTCCTAGCCGTTTTATTTATTTTCATTGATTGATTCAAATACACGCATACATACATTTCACCTTTTATCAGTTTAATTGCTACTAGGTAGTGAATGACTGAATGTGTATGTATGTACAACTAGCTGTGATTTTTATTAGATAGTAAACCAAATTTGTCTTTTTTTTTTATTTTTTTATATAAAATAAAAATAAAGGCGTATCAAGATAATTTTGATGCTAGTGTATCCAAAAGAATAAATAAGGTCCGTTTTCCAAGGGATAAAAGGTTGCTTCCGAGGGATTCCTGTTAAAACAAAACAAAAAATTATACTCAAAGAATGATAGTAATAATAATGATAATAGTAAAGACTGAAGGCAAAAACCAAAACCAAAACACAGAAGATAAAGTATAACAAGAATGCTATAGTTCAATAAAGTTCGTACATCTATATTATATATGTATTTTACATCATTAAGATCCATAAATACAGATTTTCTTACTTTAACTTTATTTCTTTTGGTTCTCAAATTTATAAAAACCATCTACACCTACATACATACATAAAAATGACATGCGTAGTAGAAATAGTTTAGTAAAAGCAGCTTAGTAAAAGTAGCTTGGTAAAGGTAGCATAGTGAAATTAGCGTAGCTATATGCATAACCGTCCTATTATTATTCTGAATAATAAGAATAATAAGAGATATTTTATTATATTTTATTGTATTGTATTGTATGGTATGGTATGGTATGGTATTGTTTTGCATTGCATTTTAGTATCTACTGTCACACTCTGTAGATATCTCGACTGCCTTGGTGTTTTCAACCTTGTACTCATGTACCAAAAGAAGAAGAAGACGAAGAAAAAAAAAGGCATAAAATAGGAGAAAAAGGAAGATATAAAGGAGAAGGAGAAGAGGAGTGAGAAAATTGGGATATATCAAGAGAGAGAGAGAGAAAACAGACATGAATATATATAAAGCCAGAGAGAAAGAGTGTGTGAGTGTGTGAGGGGCTAAATGTGGGAGTTTAAAGTTAAATCAAATTAGTTGCTTCAAGAAATAGTAATTATTAAGTAGTCTGTGCTGACAAGATAAAGAAAAGAAAAAGTAGTAAAAGAAGAAGAAGTAGTAGCAGCAGCAGTAGTAGTAGTAGTAAAAAGAAAAAGAAAAAGCAAAATATTGGATATATAATACCATATTCAATCATTCAATTCAAAGCCTTATTTACATGCTTCAAGTCCATCAGACGCACAACATAAAAGCAAAAAGAGATATGTCTATAATTATATAATTATACACAACACTTCTCCTTACAAAGCAGGAGTGCTTGCCACCGCCTAAAACTAAAACCTAGGTCTCACCCCACAACCACACCAAGGTTTAGAAAATGTCGCACCAAGTACATCTGGGGGGCATGGAGTAACAATGCTTTTTTTTTGTCATTGTTAATTAGATGAATTTCTTTTTTAGTTATTACAGCAACTGTAAAAGAGAGACAGAAATAATAAAGCTACTGACAATATCAAGTTAAATTATCATCATTGTATACAGTCAATAGAACTGATGTCTTTAACGATCGAACAACCGTTACTATTAACCCAAAATAACCTTGGGAGTATATAGATATCCGAATAAAAAGTCCTGAATAAGAAAGAAAGGAAGAAGAAGAAGTAATGATAATAATACTAGTGATATTTTTAATATGAGCTTGATTTTATATTTTTTTTTTCTTAAAAAAATCTTTGTTGGTGTTGCTGTTATTTTCAAAAAAATAAAATAAAAAACTAACTAACTAACTAATGAATGAATGAATGAATGCGTATATGTGGACAAGCAGAAATCCAAGTAGTAATGGATTTTGAAATACAACTAAATAATAAAGGAAGGAGGGTTAAAAGAAAGATAGAAGGGGAAGGAGAAAGAGAAACAGAATGAGAAAAATTCAATCACCCTTTCTTTCTTCTTTATAGCGATACTTTATGGGGTTCTTGAGTAATAAAGAAATGAACAAAAGAAGGACTACATTATAGAAATATATAGATATATAATTTTTTTTTTTAAAAAAAAAAAAGGAACCTTTAAGAATTCTGACTACCCCCTCAATAGAGGGTTCCATTATTCGTTAAAGGTTTATACTTTTGATTTTGTTTCTGCGATTTAATTTTGCCCAATATGTTTAAGTTGTTCAGTCGCCGAATACATAAAAAAATATATATAATGTTTTACCTTGTTAAATTCCGCCATTGAGATTCATTTGCTTATTTCATTTTCTATGGCGTAATTTTAAGTAATAAATCATTATTGGCTAAACATTACTTAGTTATTTCCATAAATAGAAGCAAATTAAAGCGCGGTATATAATTCTTAACAAAAAGCTGAATAGAATAAAAAAGAAGCTTTTTATGAAACCAGTGGAACTTTTCTTATATGATATAAAGATATTATAAGCTTATACCAATAATAAGAAAAATGGATTATATACTGCAACTTTATACCTGGCTCTCTAGAATTTATTAATATTAGTGGATTTAAAAATTAGGTAGAAAAGTTGTTCAATTGATTTAATTTTTGATTTTTTTTTTCTAAAAATAAAATACGGAGTCTATACGGTGAATCATTGGTGCTCAATATTTTTAAGATCATTAAAGTTTGAATTTTTTTTTTTTTTGAACTGTAGAAGGTTTCAGAAATCTGTAGGGTATTGGGATTTTCTATTGGCTGATAATTGAAACACAAGATTCGCTGTTTGTTCAAGTATATAAATAAATAAAGTAACAAAAAAAAATTCACTTTCAAATCACTCACACCATACGTTATACACACACAACACACTACACACACACACACACTACACTACACTACACTACACTATATGCTTACACTACATTAAACAATACATACAATACACACAGACAACCCAGACAACCCAGACTAATCCAGATACATATAAAAAGCCCAGTCCTCTTTTTTTTTGCTTTTTTTTTTTTCTTTTTTACTTTTTTTGCTTTTTATACTTTATTTTTGATTCTATTAACTAAAGAAAAAAACAAACAAATAAATAATAAAAAAAAAAGCTCGATTCAATAAGCTTTTCCATCACTTAGATTCCATAATGTCCAACGGTAAAGTAGTCTTGCCTTTTTTTTTTTGCTGTTATTATTATTTAAAATAAATATCACTGTTATTATCGTTATAATTACGTGGGTAGAATACATAAGAAAAAAAAAGTATCACAATAATCGAAAAATAGATAGAAACAACACGGCCAACAACAACAACAACAACAACAACAACAACATTTGACTTATATTTTATTGAATACTATCATTACTGGATTCATCTTTCGAAAAAAAAAAAAAAGAAGAAGAATATGAGCAAATAAGTTAATCAACAAAAGAGCATGTTTTTCTCAACAATTCTCGACCAACAACAACAACAACAACAATTCGCGTTTGATTTTTATTGCTTTCTTACTGCATGATGAGCATCAAACTGTGCATAATCAACATCTCGAGCATTCTATATATATATATATATTCTATTAAATAAAATAAATTGTTTTCTTATAAACTTATATTTGTTTGTTTTGCTGATTTACTTACTTATTTCTTTAATATTTGAAATCTAGATCCCATTGACAGCATCACTTTGAGACTCGGTGATCTCACCACCGCAAAACGTAAGTAATAGGGCTATTTTTACTATCTATATATGTGCGTAAAATGTATTACTGCGGTCTAAAAAAATAGTAATAATAATAACATTGTAATGATCTTCAATCTTTGGTTATATTTATTCTGTATCTATTCCATTAGCCACCCAAACAGCCCCAGGTGCACCTCCAAGTGGACGTATGTGTAGAATACATCAAAATGAATTTATTTCGATTCGATTCAATTCAATTCAATTCAATTCAATTCAATTCAATTCAATTTACTTATTATATATTTTCTAATCTTTTTGTATATTTCACAATACAGCTGCTCAAGCAATTGCTACAAAACCCCCTCAGGCTCAACCAAAAGGTAATACACACACACAAGTTTATTTGTTTGTTTCTTATATATATATATTAACAAAATATAAAAGCTCCTGTAAAGCAAGATGCCCAAGATGTAGAGGATTCTTCAAACCTCATTGAGAACAGACACACCGTATTGGTAAAGTTGGCCGACCAGCAAGCTGATCCCGACTCTCCTCTTTATTCTGTAAAGAACTTTGAAGACCTTGGTTTGTAAGTAAAAAATAAAAAATAAAAAAGGGGGGTGGGGGGAACAAAAGTATATAAAGAGAATCACATACATAAAGTATAAGAGAGAGAGAGAGAGTATATCATACAATTTCATTGCAACTAATCGATTGGTTCAATTCAAACCAAAATTGCTTGGGTTATTAGGAGTCAGGAACTTTTGACCGGTCTTTACGAAATGAAGTTCTCAAAGCCTTCAAAGATTCAAGAACGTGCACTGCCACTTCTTCTTGCCAACCCGTAAGTCTTATTCTTTTCTTATTACTTTATATATATATATACATACATTTCTAAAAAAAATAAATAAAGAATCTTTAATTTTGCGCTAAATAATCGCAATTCCTACATAATATATATACATTTTCTAACATTTACTTGGGTATATAAAATATAGTCCTAAAAATATGATTGGACAATCCCAGAGTGGTACCGGAAAGACTGCTGCATTTGTATTGACCATGTTGACTCGTGTGGATATGAATGTCAAACAACCTCAGGTAAAGTAAAAAAAAAATAAAAAAAAATAGAAGCGTTTTTTTTAAAACATTGATCTATAGGCCATTTGCCTGGCTCCTTCGCGTGAGTTAGCTCGTCAGATTATGGATGTTGCTCAACAGATGTCCAAATACACCAACATTACCAAAGCCTTGGTTGTCAAGGATTCAATTGCCAAGAACCAACCTGTCAATGCACAGATCATTGTCGGTACTCCTGGTTCAGTCCAAGATGTCATCCGCAAACGCCTGTTGCCTATCAACAACATCAAGATCTTTGTGCTGGATGAGGCAGATAACATGTTGGATCAATCTGGTCTTGGTGATCAAAGTCTTCGTATCAAGAGGTAGAGTAAACAACTGTGTGTATATATATTTTGTTGGTAAAGAAGAAGAAAAGAAAAAAAAAGAAAGGCAGATTGTGGTGTTAACCTCTCTTTTTCTTCTTCTTTTTTTTTTATTGTCGCCATTAGTATGCTCAAGAGTAACCCCCAGATCGTTCTATTCTCAGCCACTTTCCCAGAAAACGTTACAAAGTTTGCCAGCAGATTTGCACCCAATGCCAACGAAATTACCCTCAAGCGTGAACAATTGAGCGTAGACGCAATCAAGCAGTTCTACATGGATTGTGATAGTGAAGAACACAAGTATGAAGTCTTGACAAACTTATATGACATGCTTACTGTCAGTCAGAGTATCATTTTCTGCAAGGTAAATAAGAATAAGAAGAGGGAGGGGGAAATCAAATTGAAGTGAATAAGTGAGTGATTAAGAGATTAGAAGAAGGATTATGAGGGTTAGAAAGGGGAGGAAGGGATGAGAAAGACATTGTATTGGATATATTGAAATGTAAATCAATAATTTATATTTTATGTAGCGTCGTGATACTGCAGATGAGATTGCCAGACGAATGACTGAACAAGGACACGCGGTTGTGTCTTTGCATGGAAAGATGACTCCTGAGGACCGTGACAGAGTTATGGATGACTTTAGAAGAGGTGAATTCAAGGTTTTGATTACCACCAACGTACTTGCCCGTGGTATCGATATTCTCCAGGTCACGCTGGTAGTCAACTATGATCTTCCTCTTGATCAGCAAAACGAGCCCGACTTTGAGGCTTACCTCCATCGTATCGGCAGAACCGGTCGTTTTGGACGCACTGGTGTGAGCATCAACTTTGTTCACAACGAGGAGACCTGGTCCAAAATGCAGGAAATCGAAAGACACTTTGAGAGACCTATTGTCAGAGTAGCCACAGATGACTGGGAGGCTGTAGAAAAGCAATTGAAGAGTTATATCTAATATCTAATATCTAATATATACATGTATGTATATATAAATGCTTGTATCTATGTATCTGTATGTATGTATGTATGTATGTATATATTTAATACACACAGCAGTAACACCACAATCATAGACACAATCACCACCATAAACATCACCACAAACACAACCATTAACCACCACCAACACCAACACCAACACCAACACCAACACCAACACCAACACCAACACCAACACCAACACCAACACCAACACCAACACCACCAACACCACCACCATCAATTAAATTCAATTCAAATCACTTTTGCTACATAACCACTACCATATTTTTCTTCTTATACACTTATAATATATATCTTTATATTTATATGTATATTTTATCAATATAAAGGGTTACAAGGATTACAAAAGTCCTTTTTGACTTTGGTTGGCTTGAAAATCACATGTTTTTCATGGTTATTTTCTGTATCTTACAGAAGAGTTTTTTTTTTTTTAAAAAAAAAAAGAGATTATCTCTATTTTTGATAATGAAAAATAAATAAATAAATTATATTATACTATTCTATTCTACACCCACGCCCAGCTTCACACACACACACACACACACACAGATATATGTATATGCAATTTGACTTTCTTATTTTCACAAGTCTTTCTTTCTGCTAAAGACTACAAAGTAAACATCTGCTTTGATTGTACAAAAAAGTTAACCTAGCATATTAATTCAAGGGTTCCTCAAGTATAAAACAGTTATCTATAACGTCCCGAATAAGACTCATTACATTTGATGCCTACAACACACCCTTTAAGCCTAGAGGAGGTCTATCAGCTCAATATGTACTTGATCACATATACATATGCACTCTTGCGATTTTGTTAATTGGTTCTCTATAAATCATTATTATTACTTTTATTGCTAATAACAGCCTGGACTCTGTCGGGCTTGCTACTGACCAGTTTTTCTAGAAATTCAACAGGTATCTCCATCCACCGTTCCAAGGGATATCTATTTTCTTTATTCTAAATCTTCCATCTCTCTCTCTCTCTACAAAGATACCTTTTACATGATTCTACGGATCTTATACTGTACATAACAGCTCAGCACCCTCGTTACTATTCTAAGTACTTTGACACCTTTTTCTTGCAGGAACTAACTTTTCTATATATATATATGTCCATTATTTATTTCAATAAAGTGTAGTCAGTCGTTCATAACAATAGTTTCAAGCAGTAAAATTAACTTTGACAAGAAAGTAGAAAAAAAAACAAAGATAAAAAGCATTAATAACAATCAGAAAGAGGGCAGACGTAATGTTTTTCAGCAGTTTCATTTGTTATAAAGTGGTGGCTTATAAAATATCGAAGGGAACAAAAGAGGTGAAAAAGTGTTAGAAGAAATAATAGAAGTTGGATTTAGAAGTTCTGATGAAAATCATAGAAATCACTTATGCAAACATCTCCATGAGCTGTCATGAATAAAAAGGCACAAGTTTATGCAAGTCACAGTCTTTAACAATACCTATTCACTTTCTGATTACTAAAAAAAAAAGAAGAAGAAGAAGGTGGACCTTACGGACAGCCTGAAAGTATACATTAGCTTTACTACTATGTCCCCCACGCTTTGTGCTTATCTATCTCAATAGTCAATTACGCAAAAGATTATAAGGTGTTGTTGTCATTAGAGTTTGACGCAGTATTGTTTGATACCTTACTATTTATTGGCCTTCCTACGCGTGTCATGCCTTTCTATTTCTTCTACCTACTTATATTCTCAGAGTCTGACAGTACCAATTGGTAAGCAATCCCCATACACTCTTTTTTGCAAAGCACATTAGAAAATATTTATGAATTTTTTTGTATCTTTAGGAACCAGATAGAGTTATTCCATGCTGGCAAAAAGGTCACGATTTGTGGTCCAGTAAAATCAAAATTCTGTCTCCCTAAAATTAGCGTTGGCAAGAAGACTGATGCTGTATACTTCCAGGCTGTCCCACCAGACTGTACGTCAGGTTCTACAAAAAGAATTGATTGGTAAGTAACGCCTCTAACGCGGCACAGCTAACAACTAAGTGCGCATCTGAAATTTTGATTTAAGCATGAGAATTTTCATTAAATATGATACCTTTGCTTTCCTTTCTCAGATAACCATTCTCCCAAAAAAAATGAAGAGACACTGAAGAAATAGCAGCACTTGCAAAAGCCACAGATGAAAGACTTCCTCTTCAGGCTACTGCTGATCAAATCTGGATAGGACAATTAAGAAGTGAAGCAGGCTTACAAGATGTTGACAGCTCCATCAGCAATTTTCTATTGGAGACAATTGAGGATTGTTGTCTCTGGGAAACAAAATGGCTAAATATATTCTATAGATTGCCGATGGAGAAGAAGGCGTTGCTGCTGAAACCAAAGCACCAAGAGAGAGCAAACGCCAGAGATACTGTAGACTGTAAGACTATCCAAGTTTGTATTCATTATGCTCTAAGTCTGTAATATAATTTACACACAGTCTATGTGAAAACAACGTTAAATATAAATCAATGATTTCAAAAAACAAAAACAAAGGTTACAGTATGTTGAAGACAATAACATCAATAATGTAATAAACAAGTTAAGACTTGTAAGTCTTCAATAAAATTGTATATAAACTCATTGGGTTAAATAAGCTAGAGTGATGACAAGGTTTATTAAATAAAAGACAATAAAAGCCTTAAGTCTGCTTTTCAGGCGTGTAAGCTGAAGCCGGGAACCAAGAAAGAAGAATTAGTTCTCCGCATTTACAACTTCATGTAAGTAAAAAAAAAAGTTGAAAAGATGAATCACAATTACTAATTATTTATGTTTAGCCTACAAATACATGCCTAGAAGCCGTGGGTTTTATCAAAAGAATACTGTGAGGAAAAATGTCTTGAGAAGATTGTTCACCAATGTTCCTGTCTGATCAAACAGGCGAGTTCCCCAAAAGTATCATGTCCCTGAAAGAGCTCTATCTACTTACATAGGTGGATACCACACTGGCGAGCCCAACCGTCCACAATCCTTCGTGTCTTTTATACTCTCGCCCTCCCTCCCTCCCCTCCTCATATTGACTCATACCATGTTTTGGGTGGTGTTCTTGCCGCAGTGTGGAAAGCGTACTGGCGCACAATTTTTGACGATGTGCCTTTTGTTCCTGCCAATGTAGTTGTTTCTGTGAACAAATCGCTTCAATTTTTCTTTCAGTCTTCCCATTTCCTAGACTAGTTCTCTCACTCTTGTGCTCCATCTACTTTCTACTTTCTCCTGTATTATTTCTTCTCTTTGTTCTTTTTCTTCTGTTAACTTTGTTTCCCTCTTCTCTGTAATTTTATCGTTTCCTACTACATAGTCCACACACTTTGTGTGTTCATCAATCTCTCCCCAGGCATCTACCTCTCCTTCTTTAGGAAGTACGACCTGTTTTTGGGCAATTTAATAATAAAACTTTGTCTCATACAAAAAAAAAGCTCTATCTACTTGCGACCACCATCTAAAAACCCGACTCTGAATCCACTACCGTTTCTGCCAATGAATCATGTTAATGTACATTAATATTTCTATCTTGTTCTCTCTCTCTATATATATATATTATCACAGTCTGTTTTGTGTTCATAAAACGTTATATCGTATGTCATGAGATATTTTACTTTGGACAGGCGAGACCAGTTGTTCTTAAATACCAGCCACAGTCAAAAGAACACTACTTACATATTCACACGTACACGCACACGCACACACACACACACATATATATATATACTATATACTTGTCGCTTACAATGCCACGATTTAGATAGCCATAATGTTACAGTTTTCCCGGGATTAAAATTAAATACAGTCACTAGCATTAAAAGTACATGGCTTGAGGGTTGATTAAAGATATCTAATCAATTATCTATACTCTCTTCTTCTTTTGGCTGGTCGTACATGAAACTACTACGCACGAACTAACCCAACTGATCCTAGTCATCATCTTTTATTGTTTTATTTTCATGTATATATAAATATATAGCAAGGAACACACTCACATACTGTATCATATTTACCATCAGTATCAGCATCAGTATCAGTATCATCATCGTCACCAAATTATTTTCAAGATATAAAACAAAAATAACGATTTACATGGTTTCAAATATATAGCCAGTTTGAATAAACCACTGATAAAGTATATCTTATATCACTATTATTATTTCCTACTCTTATTGAAAGAACTTGGAGAGAATAATGGCCGTGATTAAATGACCAGTAGCCTGGTCCTTGTTTAAACTAGAAAATACAGGTCTATTCCTGCAGCTGAGTTTGGGGTTAACAGCCTAAATTGTACATAAAGAAAGGAAAGGGGGAAAAGAGAGGGGAAGGAAGGTAAAGAAAGAGAGAAAAAAAAGAGGGGGAACTTTCCATTGTCATTGCTGAACATGATCCTGTAATATATTTGGGTGAGGTAAATTACTCGCCATCGTAGAAATAAATAATTAATTAAGAATAGGCAATTTTTTATATATATTTTTTTTGAAACAGCACTTGTTCCTTCGATTGTATTCCCTTTAAACATATTCTGTCATCGATCGGCTGTGCAACCATCAAAGTATAATTGTTCGTATCCCCATATCCTTTCCTTTCCTACTCATACTCATACTCATTTTCCAATTCTTAGTCTTGGTCTGACTCTTGGTCTTGGTCTTCTTTAAAGTACCCCAAGATTATTATTATTACTATTGTTTTCAAATTGTTTATTCAATTCAATAAGTTTCTAAAGGAATAAGCTCAGGTATTATTCATAGATAACAATACAGACGTACATATTTCAGATACTTTTAAAAGAGTTTAATAAAATCAATCTTTCTTTCTTTTCTTTCTTCCTGGGTTTGACTTTTGCTGGTGTCAATTTTAAGGAGAGCGTCTACACTTCAAAAGTAAGAAGAGTAGTTCGATGAATGGGAGTTTACTTGTCTTTATGCCTTTCTTTATTGGGTGGTTACTTTATGTCTAGAGCAAGATGTTTAAGAGTGTAGATTTGGGTAATAAATGACAATAGGCGTTATTTTCATAACCTACACTATAGTTGGTTTATGGGATATGAACCTAAAAGAAAAAGAGAAAGTTGACAGTCACATAATCGGGTAAATTCATTAAATCAAACACCATGAGTATTCAAGTGTTTCAATTTTCTTGATTTTATATATACATATATAGAAAGCTATTTTTGAGTGAGAAATTTATATACCAATGAGCGAATCATTATGAAAGTACAGCATTCCCTTTTTATTCTTCTTCTTCTATTTTTTTTTATTGTGACTGAATAGGGTTTTCTTTGCCTATATTTATTATAGCTGGCTTTGGGTATTTAATTATTTAATCTTTTTTTTTGTAATAATTATTATTCTTGAAAGTGGGGTTGCATAACACTTTTTACCCACTTCTTCTCTTTGCTTTAAATTATTATTTTTTAAACATACATATATATATATATATATATTCTCATTCACTCATGTTCATTACACCCTGTCAAGGCAATCTAAACCAAGAAACACCGCCATTTGAAGATGACGAAGGTTGTAAACTACTCGATAGTTTTGCTATCATTGTTCAGTTTACCCTGGCCGCTACTGCGCTACTGACACTGTTTGTCAAACGATACCGAGAAAGACCACAAAGACCTGTACCAGTCTGGTAACAAACAAACAAAAAAACATAAAGAGAGAAAAGAAAATATTAGTTTGTTCATTATAATACTTGATAAACGACAATTATATTATTAATAATAATAATATTAATAAAAATCAACTTCTCTTTTTCTTTTTATGTGTGTAGGGCACTAGATATCAGTAAACAGTTTGTTGGCGCAGTCGTGATTCATTTCTTGAACCTTGCCACCAGTTATTTGGCTGGTAGACCCAAGGACGGTCAGAAAACAAATCTGTGTGTATGGTACTTTTTAAATGTGGCAATCGACACCACACTTGGAGTGGCAATCCTCTGGTCGTGGCTCCACGTAATCCATCGTGTATTGCGCTATTTTGATGTCAAGGATGTCCGGAGTGGATACTATGGCCCTCCACCTTTACGCCGCCGAGCAATTCCGTGGATCAAACAAACAACCGTGTTTGTGATCGCAGAATCTTTGATGAAACTCTGTGTCTATGGAATGTTCCGTGCTTTTCCCTCTCTGTTTGACTTGGGCGAATGGGTTCTCCAATGGACTCGCGACAATTACCGGTACCAAGTTGTATTTGTGATGCTTGTGTAAGTGTTTCATCATCTTCCTTGATTCCTAAAAAAATTATATATATATATATATATATGTATATATCATACATAATTTATAATTTATAATTTTACTTATCTTTTTATATATATAACTTTGTGTTTCTAGGTTTCCATTGATAATGAATGCCGTACAGTTTTGGGTAGTCGATACTATTGTCAAGGTCCACCCAATTCCACTAGATAGCCCCGATCTACTCAAAGCTATAGACGAGTCCCCTTCGCCTTATACCCCTTCAGGACCGCCTCACAACGGAAAACAAACATCAAAAGTCCTACAAAATGAACGCACGCCTCTTTTAAAGAAAGTATCTTCTCAAGATAGCCTTGTCTAAAAAAAACTAGACACACACACATATACACATACAAATATACATACAACTGCATTACTTCCCATTCCAACTTAAATATATATATATATAAACGCACCCAAACACAAATACAAATCCAAATCCAAATCCATACACGAAAACGCACGCATTTTATTACTATATATATTATGTATGTATATTATACGAATCATTCGTTCCTCAGATAGAGAGAAAATTATCCCCTCACCTGCTAATAACGCATCTTTGCACAAAACTCTGGTTGGAGAATAAGTTAAATGAGGGGATTTTCATTTCATTTCATTTCAATCAATTATTAACTTTACTGACTGACCTGACTGACTGACTTAACTCTATATCCTTCAAAAGAGGCTTTCTCTCACTTCTTCTCTAGGACACTAATAGTAATAAATTGATATACATATAATGATAGAAAGAAAGAAAAAAATCATCTGCACTTGTAAATTGGTATAACTGTCGCCATTATTTGATTCATTTGTAGGATGATTTTTGTTTCAAGTGATAAAGAATACTAATGCATACTCTATTCCCTGCTATATATATATACATATGTGTGTGTGTATGTGTGTTTATTTTTGTTAGGGCTTAGCAAAATAATAAGTATGTTACTCTTATATGACCCTCAGTCACCTTCTTTGTTTTGTTTCAATTGGCCTTTGATTCCTTGTATGATATCAAGTTTCCAATTTGATTGAAAAAGATTGTCTTTATATAGACCTACATATACAAACAAAAAACGAAGTGGCCAATTGTGAGTTATGGGGTGGTCTTGATTTGATTTGCATTGTGTGTACACTGTGTGTGTATGTGTGTGTTCTATTTATGTATGAACTGACATAGATGTCACCATGTCAACTTTATTTATACCCAAATCAAAGTGTATAGCTTCTATCTTATATTAACAATACGAACGCCTTTTGGTTGGATCGATCCATAAAACTGGATTAGCTTTTGGTGTATATACGTATTTATTATGGCTCTATAGTCAGTATAATACAGCTTATTTGTACAGCTCGTTGAAATTATACACTCGCGATCAAAAACGTTTCGACCCCCGCAAAAAAAATGCCTAAAAAATAATGAAAAAATAAAAATAAAAACATTGTTTTCTCCAAATATTATTAATCGAATCCAACATGCAAGACACAAATTCATCAGAAAACACCCACAGATCACATGAAAAGACCGATCCCTATAAATATGGATGCATCATGTACATGCAATTAGCAAATTACGGGGCAGCCCAGATTTCATTGGTGGTTGGCATGAGTCTGTTAACCATCAAGTACATCATTAAGAGAGTGGATGAGACATAATCGCCCGAGCCAAAAAAAGCGTCCAGACGACCTAGAAAGATTGACGAGAGGACAGAAAAACACCTTGTCCAAATAGTTTGTAAGGACCCCTTCGCCTCACTTTCTAGGCTAAGAGCTTCCCTAAAGAACATGGAGGTATTTGTCTGTAGAAAGACAATAATTAGTTGTCTGAAGCGTTTGGGCTTCGGATCATATATCGCAGCTCACAAGCCAGCTTCAACCGAAATCCACAAGAAAAGAAGGCCGTAATGGGCCCGTGAGCACGTCAATTGGATGGAGGACCAGTGGAGAGGTATAGTGTGATCAGATGAATCACAGTTCACAGTTGAGGGTAATTATGGAGGAGCTAGGGCAATCAGGAAAGTCGGTGAAAGGTGGAAGGAAGAAAATATCATCGAAGGAACCAAGTGTGGGGAGGGTAATGTGATGATCTGGAGCTGTTTCTGGGCCGGTGGTTTCGGCCCTTTGGTGTCCCTAGATGGTAGCGTAAACCAAGACCAATACGTAAACACTTTGGCTCAGAACTTCCTCCCTTGGCTCCAACATCTTTTATGGGAACAGAACAGGAGCTTCGTGTTCCACGAGGACAACGCCAGCTGTCATACTGGGTCGTATTCGAGGTGGTGGAAAGATAGCCATGAGATCCGAGGTTTTGACTACTGGCCCGCTCAAAGCCCAGATCTCAACCCCATCAAGCATTTCTGGTGGGCTCTCGAGAGGCGCATGAGTGACGAGAGGGCCAGTATTAGCAACGTTGAAGATTTGAAGGTCGTAATGCAACGAGAGTGGCAAAGGATAGGTCTCGAACTTGCATCAACTTTGGCCGGCAGCATGCAGCATCGATGTCAGGCTGTGATTGAGGTCAAAGGAGGTCATACGAAATATTGATCTTTTTTTTTATATATATTTCAATAATAAACATATATATAATAATTTATTTGAAGTTTGAAGGCTTCAGCTATTATTAATGATAAGCAGTTGCATGTTGAATACATGCCATGATTTCTCTCATGCATTTTTTGGGCTCAGAGGTCGAAACATTTTTGATTGTGGCTGTATATGTAATAACCATTTTACTAGCTTGATCTATCTGTGACGAAGCTAGCACAATTGCAAGCACCACTACTTTTTCATGGTGTATAATGTAACTTATATAAATAATTATAATTATCGGTAGAATGGTGTATATTTGATCACATATAAATGTAAAGTGTTTCAGGCAGTTGGGTTATTCTGTATTAATTTCTCAGTTGGATTATGATTGGTTTATAAAGTAGTACAAACCAAGGTCGATTGACAAACACTAGGCTAGACCCTGTTCTTCTTTTTACTTTTATTTTACTCTAAGAACGATGCTTTAACTTGAGGTACCAACGACTTTCAATAGTCAGGCTGTCAATCCCTTCATACTGAAGCACTGAAAGTACTTTTATTTCAAGAAAGTATTCCTACACTTTGTGTTTATTAACTCAAGACACTGGTGAAAAAGCTAGAAGAAAAATGGAAGTCTTTCACACGAAAGAAAAGAAAAGATATAAGCAGCAATTTTTTTCGGGGGTGCTTCTTAAACTAATAAAGTCACAGCATGTGAAACAAACAAACAAGAAAACAAACAAATAAATATACACAAGACTTTAATTAAAGCTTTATAATCAACACAACTTTACACTTCTTTATTGTAGTTTAACGTCTAGCCGATTAATACTTTGTATATCAGTAGTACAGCTAAAATGAACACAGAGGCATATATAGTGTCTCGACAAGTGGCTGTTCAAAAGCATAAGCCTTGTTAACAGAATCACAACAGAAAGTAGAATAAAAAAGGGGATGGGGGTCCATAGCAACTGAATAATTTGACATGCATATAGTCCACCAATCGGAAGACATCATTTAAATGTTTTCATGCTAAAGTAAAGTCTGGACCACTATTGCTACTATGCTCCTCTAAGCCCCATGACACATGTGATGCTGCACGGACAGCACGGACCTTATGTGACATAAAAAGAACTAAAACAAAAAAAGAGGCAAAAGAAAAAAAACAAAAAGTAAAACAAGGGCCTGCACAGCACGTCCTTCAGAATATAAGTGATACTTCTTTAAAACCCAAAACCCATATTTTAAGCATAGATATTAAATAAAGAAGTAAAATAGTAATAATATATACATGCTGTCAAGGCTAAAAGATAAAAGAAAACCGAAAAAGGAATAAGAAAAAAACCGAATTTTATAATATATTATCAAACTATCATAATAAAAATAATAAAAAAGAACAGCAACTCATGATTGAGACGTCATGAGTTTTATAAAAAAAAACACCTATCCAAACAGAACGCGTCAAAACAACTCTCTTCCACATACTATTAATACTTTATACACTTCTTTACTGCTCTCTCACAAACTGCTTTAATCAACATAGACGTTAAAGACGAATCATGACCAATACAAATCCATTTTGCTAGTCAAATCTCAGGATTTTATCATATGTAAAACAGTCAGTAGCAAGATATAAGACAATACGTCAAAACCAGTACACAGCAAAAATGAAATACTGAGGTCCAACACTGGTTTGACCATCAATCCATCCAAAGCCTATTCACACTCAGAAACAAGAGATAAACTGACAGGACTTACTATATTTCAAGGAGTATATGATATTCATCAAAGACACACATTGTGAAGATTATATTTGTCTAGTCTTTTGACAAACAAGGTCAACGATAAAAAATAAGATCTCCATCCAGGCCTACAGGTATATAAAGGCTCGTTGATTAATCATTCACTGTCTTTGATATTTCTGTAGGGACTTTTCAGGCAAGGTGAAGCAATCAAGAACAGGTTTCCATCCAGGGCCACAGGTACAACAAGACTCGATGAGCATATAATCATTGACTTTTATATGCTTCTAGTGCCTTCCGTCCAGGTCAAGCATCAGGGATCCGATCAGAGTCCACGGATTAGGTATATCAAAAATCGATGAGCAGTTACTCACTTGTTTTTGTATATTTCTAGTATCCATTCTATCCAGGTCAAGCTTCAAGGTCCAGGTCAAGGTCCACGGTTTTCAGGTATATCAAAACTCGATGAGCAGTTACTCACTTGTTTTTGTATATTTGTAGTATCCAATCCATCCAGGAAAAGCATCAATGTTCCGATCTCCCAGCTATGGTCATAGGTATAACAAAACCATATGCGCATTTACTCACTAGCTTTTATCTATTACTAGTGTCAGCCATCCAGGTCAAGTGTCAAGGACCCGATTTCCCGGCAATGGGTATAGGTATAACAAATCGTTGTGGGAATATACTCACTAGTTTTAATATATTTATAATGTTCAGCCATCGATGTCAGGCGTCAAGGTTCCGATCTTCCAGCCATGGTTCTAGGTATAACAAAACATTATGGAAATATACTCACTGGTTTTAATATGTTTTTAGTGTTCAATCATCCAGGTCAATCAACAGGATTCTGATCTCCCGTCCATGGTTATAGGTAGAACAAAACGTTATGGGAATATACTCACTAGTTTTAATATATTTATAATGTTTAGTCATCCATGTCAAGCGTCCAGGTTCCGATCTTCCAGCCATGGTTCTAGGTATATCAAAACAATAGGGAAATATACTCAATGGTTTTATTATGTTTTTAGTGTTCAGTCATCCAGGTCAATCAACAGGATTCTGATCTCCCGTCCATGGTTATAGGTATAACAAAACGTTATGGGAATATACTCACTAGTTTTAATATATTTCTAGTGTTTAGCCATCCATGTCAAGCGTTCAGGTTCCGATCTCCCAACCATGTTTACAGGTATAACAAAACGTTATGCGCATTTACTCGTATGCTTTTATCTATTACTAGTGTTCAGCCATCTAGGTCAAGTGTCAAGGTTCCGATTGCCCGCCCATGGTTAAAGGTATAAAAAACATTATGGGCATATATTGACTAGTTTTTATATTTATTTGCGAACTCCAGCCATCCGTGTCAAGCGTCAAGGACCCGATCGCCCGTCCATGGTTATAGGTATAAAAACATTATGAGCGTATACTCATTAGTTTTTATATTTATTTAAGTCTCCAGCCATCCGTGTCAAGCATCAAGAACCCGATCCCCCGTCCATGGTTATAGGTATAAAAACATTATGGGCAAATACTTACTAGCTTTTATCTATTTCTAGTCTCCAGTCATCAATGTGAAGCGGCAAGGACCCGATCGATCGTCAATGGTTATAGGTAAAAAAAACCATTAGGGACATATACACACTAGCTTTTATCTATCTCTAGTCTCCAGCCATCCAGGACAAGCATCAAGGTTCCGATCTACCAGCTATGGTTATAGGTATAACAGAACGTTATGCGCATTTACTCACTAGCTTCTATCTAGTACTAGTGTTCAGCCATCCAGGTCAAGTGGCAAGGACCCGATCGCCCGTCAATGCTTATAGGTAAAAAAAAACCATTAGGAACATATACACACTAGCTTTTATCTATCTCTAGTCTCCAGTTATCCAGGACAAGCATCACGGTTTCGATCTCCCAGCTATGGTTATAGGTATAACAATACATTATGCGCATTTACTCACTAGCTTTATTATAGTTCAAGTCTCCAGCCATCCAGGACAAGCATCAAGGTTCCGATCTACCAGCTATGGTTATAGGTATAACAGAACGTTATGCGCATTTACTCACTAGCTTTTATCTATTACTAGTGTTCAGCCATCCAGGTCAAGTGTCAAGGAACCGATCGCCCGGCCATGGGTGTAGGTATAAAAAAACGTTGTGGGAATATACTCACTAGTTATAATATATTTATAGTGTTCATCCATCGATGTCAGGCGTCAAGGTTCCGATCTTCCAGCCATGGTTCTAGGTATAACAAAACATTATGGAAATATACTCACTGGTTTTAATATGTTTTTAGTGTTCAATCATCCAGGTCAATCAACAGGATTCTGATCTCCCGTCAATGGTTATAGGTATAACAAAACGTTATGGCAATATACTCACTATTTTAAATATATTTCTAGTGTTCCGCCAATCATGTCAAGCGTCCAGGTTCCCATCTCCCTGCCATGGTTATAGATGTAAAAAATCATTAGGGACATATACTCACTAGCGTTAATATATGTCTAGTGTTCAGTCATCCAGGTCAAGCATCTAGGTTCTGATCGCCAATCCATGGTTATAGGTATAAAACAACATTATGGGCATATACTCACTAGTTTTAATATACTTCTAGTCTCTAGCCATCCAGGACAAGCATCAAGGTTCCGATCTCCCAGCTATGGCTATAGGTATAACAAAACGTTATGCGCATATACTCACTAGCGTTAATATATGTCTAGTGTTCAGTCATCCAGGTCAAGCATCTAGGTTCTGATCGCCAATCCATGGTTAAAGGTATAAAACAACATTATGGGCGTATACTCACTAGTTTTAATCTAGTTCTAGTCTCCAGCCATCCAGGTCAAGCATCAAGGTTCTACTCGCCCGTCCATGGTGGTAGGTATAACAAAATGTTATGGGCATATATTCACTAGCTGTAATATACTTCTTGTGTTCAGTTTTCCAGATCAAGCATCAAGGTTCTGATCTCCCCGCCATAGTTATAGGTATAAAAAAACATTATGGGCATATACTCACTAGATTTAATATATCTCCAGTCTCCAGCTATCCAAATCAAGCATCAAGATTCCGATCTCCCCGCCATGGTTATAGGTATAAAAAAACATTATGGCCATATACTCACTAGATTTAATATACTTCTAGTCTCCAGCTATCCAGGTCAAGCATCAAGATTCCCATCTCCCCGCCATGGGTATAGGTATAAAAAGCATTATGGGCATATACTCATTATTTTAATCTAGTTCTAGTCTCCGGCCATCCAGGTCGAGCTTCAAGGTGCTGATCTCCCGTTATATGGTTATAGATATAACAAAAATCGATGAGCAATCACACTCGGCTTTATTTATTTCTAGTGTTGAATCCACCAAGATCATGCTTCACGGATCCGGATTCAGTCCGTGGCTATAGGTATACAAAAACTCGATGAGCAATTACTCATTGGATTTTATATATTTCTAGTGTCTACTCATCCACGGCAATTATCAGGATCCGATTTTCATGAATTGTTATAGCTAACCAAGTTTCCTTTAAACCTTTACTTAAAACAAACTATACTCTTTATTTATACTTTCTTTTGATGGCAAAGAACGATGATCAAATATACATCCATTATGGAAGGTATACAAGTCGTTCTTGGCCATTACTAACCTAGAAGTATATATGACTATTGTTTTTACTCTCCAGGCCAAACAGCAAGGATCAAAACTCAAATTTGGGCTACAGGTAAACAAGTCTTCTTGAGCTTTTACTTACTGTCATTTATATATTTCTAGTGTTTTTTTCCTTAAAGTTCAAATATCAAAGATCTGATTTCAAATCAAAGTTACGGGTACACACTTTTCTCTCTGTCTTTACATGCTTTCTTTCGTATTGGCCTAGTGTGTTTACGATCCGGCTACACAATGAAAAATTTGTTTTCCTTCCAGTGCGACAGGTATATACATCTAGTTCGGCCTTTAGTTACTGTTGGCTTTATTTCTCTACTGGCTTCACAGTCCAAGCCAGCCATCATGGATCCTATATCCGTCCAGTGTTACAGGTATACACTTCTCTTTGGGATTTTACTTACTGTCGGTTTTAATTTTCTACTGTCCTTAAAGTCAAGGCCAACGACCAATCATCTGGTATCCGCCGAGAATTACAGATATAAAAATGTTATTGGGCCGTTACTTATAATTGTTTTTGTTTCTCTAGTGTCCTTGCAGTCAAGGGTAACGAGCAAGAACCCGGTCTCCATATTGGGATATAGTGTTACACATCTCTTTGATTTTTGACTTGCTGCAAACTGTATTTTTTCTCGTGACTTTACAGTCAAATTCAACACTCAAGGATCCGGTTTCCATCAAGTTTTACAGGTATACAAATCTGACAAGTGCTTTTATTTAATGTGTCTTTTTTTTTTGTCAAGTGCCTTTACTGTCTATGCCAATGATTCCGAATCCGAGCCCTATCCAGAGTGACAGGTATACAAATATGTTTGCGTCTTTACTAACTTTTAGTTTTATATGTCTAGTGCCTATACGGTTTAGGCCGAAGAACTAGGACTTGATATTCATCCAGACTTGCAGATATATATTTTTCGTTGGGCCGTTGATTATTGGCTTTTTTTATCCGTCTATTGTTTTTACTGTCAAGGGCAACCATCAAGAATTCGATCTCCATCCAGTATGACAGGTATACACTTTTCTTTGGGTTTCTACTTATCGCTTGTTTTTTTTTGTCTAGTGTTTTCACCGCCCAGGTCGAAGAACAAGGATTTCTTCTTCATCCACGGTTACAGGTATACAATTCTCTTTTAGCCTTTGCATAACGCTTGTTTGATTTTTCTAATTTCATTAATGTCTATGCTAAATAATAAGCATCTACTCTCCATCTAAGGCCATAGGTTTAAAAAATATTTTTAAGTATTATTTTACTATTTATTAATTAATTAATTATTATTTTTTAATTTTACACAGCCAAGGCCAATCGATCCAGGTTTACTGTCCTCTAGGGTAACAAGTATATGTACATACCTGATCGTTTACTTACTGCTTGTTGTTTCGAGTAATTTTTATTTAGTCAAACTGAATTACCAAAGTTTTACTATCTACCTAGTGCCCGAGGTATACAGGTCTCATTTAGTACTCACGTATCACTTATTATTCTGTCTAGCTTTTTTATAGTTTAAGCCAGCAATCGGGTTTTTAATCTCCATTAAGGATTAAAGGTATACATGACTATGTGAACCTTTACTTACTAGCTATTATATTTTCTAGTCTTTTTACAGGAAAGGCCCACAATTAATATGAGTTGTTTATCCGGGGGGGACAGGTATACAAATCTGCCAAAAAATCTACTTACTATATATTTGCATAATGTTTTTACAGCCGAAGCCAACGATCAAAGCTTTGATATTCTTTTGGGCTCACAGGTATAAAAGTCTCTTTGACTTTTTAGGTACTATCAGTTGTTTTGTTCTAACCCTTTCTTCTCCGTAGCAAGCGTTCAATGCTCAGCTCTACATCAAAGGTCGCAGGTATACAAGAATCTTTAAGCAATTTACTAAAAATTAGATTTTCCTAGCGTTTACATAGTCAAGGCGAAATGATCATGTTCTTTCTATCCATTCAAGGTTCTAGGTACACACGCACATTTTAGCATTTATTCTTCACTGGTTGAATCTTTTTAATCTTTGACAGTCCATGCCGAGAATCAAGGCTGCACTTCAAAAAATAGGGTTAAGGTATACATGCCTTTTTAAGCATTTACTTACTACTAGTTGCTTTATTCAGACTTTAACAGTCGAGACCAAAGATCAAGAGCCCGATTTCCGCATAGATTTACAGGGATACAAGTGGCTTTCTTTACCCATTAACATATTGATAGCTGTTTGAAGCAGTCTTTTTACAGTTCAATTCAACAGTCAAGGTTCAAATCCCCGTCAAAAGTCACTGATATACTGGTATTAATCGTCTGTTTATATTATCAACTTAAGTCTTTCAAGACAAATTAGATCACAGATATGGATAATTTTTTATTAAGTGGAAAAACCGATTGCTTTTATAGACAATCTTGTAACAAAAATATTTCGAAGGAGGACGGTTTTTTGAAGGAAGAAGAAAATAAAAGGGTAGAATGAGTCATTGTTGAAAGAGTGAGACTAGTAATATGGTAAACGAGAGTATAGTAAAATGAAGATAATAAAGTGAGAAACGATGGGAAGATGTTGAAATGGGATATCCAGCGAATGATAAAAGAGGAAATGTAAAGAAGATGCTGTCATATTTGAGATCAGCATAGGAAAGAGGTGAGAGCAGTAAAGGTGATAATAGTAAAGTAGGGTAGTTTGGAGAAGAGTACAAGAAATAATAGAACGAGGTAAAAGATTGAAAACGGTCTTTGGTACACAGGTACAAGAGACGAATTGGGTATTTTCTTACGGGCACGCCGTTTCCCTTGTTCCTTGGCTCAGTCGGTCATTGCACCACAACCGTGTCACTCACTATTGATTTAACCTGTGGAATCTGGCAAGCTATTTACCTCAATAGCCGGAACCAAACATTTCTCAAATCGGCATTGGTACTACACCCAAGTTACATGCTAAAAACGGTTCCGTTCGTATCCTTCAACAATAGATCCTGTCAAGAGTGATCCGTGCACATATCTAATATCAGATATAGCAGCTATTATGCACCCATACACTCTCTCTCTGGATAAACCAGAAGATATTTGTAGTAAATCTACATTTCATTGGTATTGCTGTGTATCTTGGTCCCATGACCCAATCCTACTCAAGATTTTCATTTTTCTTAAACACTGATAATGTATTGCCTAGCTTTGTTAGTTTACCTTACTCTTCTTGTATTCACAGAGGGTTTATTTCATTCCTTCAAACCGCTTAACTTATCCAGATAGTTTATTATGTCAAAAGACACCAGTCCCCAGTACACCTACACAATTTTTTTATCTATTCGTCTCAACCGCAATGTCTCTGATAATATTGGGCGTTGAGTGATTGTTCAGGTGCACTAGTTAATCACACCAATGTTCAAATACGATTATATGTAATTTCAGACAACATTATCTCTTTATTATTGTCTTCTTTTTAGTAATCCACGGCCTATAAATTCTTTGCTTAAATCTATAGAAGCTTAAAAGATCTTGAGATCTCGTTTGGATCTCTCTGATTTCAATCCCGTACGAAGAGCCAAATGATTTTCTCTTGTGACATCACACAATCGCAGCTCCATGATTTACTTCTTTTCTAAGATTCATCGGAATTTCTAGAAACAAAAAGGAAGAAAAAATCGACATGTTATTGCTTGATAAAAGTAGTTGTGCGAATTATTATTATATAAATATAACTTCTCTGTACATATATAATTCTTGTAATGTAGAACGCCTTAACAAGCTATATATCATTCAAAAGTATAACAGTAAAATAAATAGATAAATTGAGAGTAAAAATAAAAGTAAAACAGGTTTCAGTCGGCATTTATAATATTTAATTTTTTTTTATTTTTTTTTCAAGAAATCAATATTTTACCAAAAAAAAATTCGTAAAATTCTACTTTTCTCACCTTCTACTGATTGTATCTGTATGCTTTTTGGTTCTATCGATAGCTAATAAAGAAGAGTAACAGAAAAGTGGCATTAGAGGCGCATTGTCGGTCTTTAGAATTGTCTCGGAGTTTGAATCATGCTACGATTAGATGGCCGCCGGGATTTGGTATAGTGGGCAGGTTGGTAGAAAATTAAAATGAATCGAATATTGCTGTCCGAGTAGAATATAATAACTATATATATATATTAGGAGAAGAAGAAAAATTGAATTAATCTATAAACAATGCATGTCTTTGCTCACATATTCATCTATGTGATAAAATGATGTCAGAACAAAAAAAAATTGGTGTAGACAGACTAAAAGTTCAAAAAAAGTGCAAAATAAGAACAAATTTAAAGTCATATCATTGGGCAAGAGTTTTAATTAATTTTGGTCTTTTTTTGAGATTTCAGTCTGTCCACACCAAGTGATCAAACATTTACCTCTAATTCTGAAAAAAAAATTGTGACTACTTGCATATACAATAAAAAGTAAATATTAAAAATAGAAAAAATAATGAGAAAAATAAGAGGTAAAAATGCTATTGTCTTTAAATAATGCTAATTACAAAAAAATATAAAAGTGAAAATATTAAATGATTTTTTTTTTACTGTTAACTTGGTATTTAAACTATGAAGCAATCAAATCTATTGCTTTTTTGAGATTCTATCACTTGCTTTACCTTGATTAATATAAAAGTCAGATTTTGAAAATTTTTATCTTACTTTATTTTGTTGAGAGTCGCGACTGAAAATAATTTGCTTGAATAAAGCAATAACTATTATAGTTTCTTTATTTAATATATTAATCATTTTATATGATTAGTATAAAAACATAACATTTGCCAGAACTATAAAGATAATACTAATCTATTAATTGTTCTCGAATAATACATGGAATAATTAATCACTCGAAAATATAATCTTACTAAAATATATAATTCTTACTAATTTTTTTTTTAAAAAAAATTAAAAGATTCTATCATGATATATAAAACTAAAAAAAACCCAAACATATACTCTATTGAGAATTGAACGCCGGACCTGGCTTGAAGTAGTAACAGCGCTTACCACTTAACCTAAATATAAGTAAGGATAAACAAAAATAAAAATGTATATCTCCGACACAAATGTTGGTGCTTGCAAAATATGACATGGTTACTCTATTGCTCTGTCTAATGGTATTCATGATATGTCTTTGATGTCACCGTACTTTTATAATATATATTATATTAGTAACTAATTTAGTTGAAAAATTAAAATATTATAATAAGCCCAATATATGTTTCTTTTTTTTAAAAATATAGGTTTAAGGATTATGTTGTGCATCTATAAAGAGAGATTACTATGGCAGGACTTTGTGTTAGACAATGGCTGTTTGGTCTAGAACTGGATATTTAAAGATATACTAAAAGTAAGAATTTTTAAAAATTGTGTGTGATAGGATGGGGTCATTTTCATTGAAGAAGGTGTTGAAGGTATAAGTATATAGATATCATGTGCATGCGAAAGTAAAAAGACAGTTCTGAGAATAGTAGTATATGTCACTTCAGATATAAAAGAACAGAGTATATGGGTTCCGAGTGCTGAAGTTTGATTATATGGTTATTATTTTTATTTTTATTTTTCAGTAGTAATAAAATAAGAAAGATAGTATGATTGGTATTGTCGGCTTTGAACGCAGTGCGAAGTTGTTGTTGGTACAGGGTTGAAAAAAGAAAAGAATAGAGTGGCGATGACTGTCGACTTTGAGAGCAGTGCGAAGTTGTTGTTAGTACAGGGTTGAAAAAAGAAAAGAATAGAGTGGCGATGACTGTCGACTTTGAGAGCAGTGCGAAGTTGTTGTTAGTACAGGGTTGAAAAAAGAAAAGAATAGAGTGGCGATGACTGTCGCCTTTGAACGCAGTGCGAAGCTTATAGGGACACGAAGGTTTGACCAAGGGCTTATTTTTTGTTAGAGCCGCATATACAGTGAACAGTCGTCAAAAAGATAAAATAAAGAGTATTTCATTTTTTATTTTATTTTTCAAAAGAGTGCGCTTCCTTTTCGTATTGCGTCGCTTTCGGTCCACTTTGAGTTGCAATACAATATGAATGACGATCCCCAACAGGAATGAAGATCCTCGACTGGGATGGCGGAATGTCGAAAGAAGATTCAAGCCATCGTTAAAAAGAATTTTTTTTGTTTTGGTTACAGCACAGTGAAGGGGTTTTGAATACACAATCCTCTCTCAACGATTGTAAGTGAGTACCATACGGTCTTTAAACCTTCGTATGGGTAACAGTATCCCTGTCAATGGACCCTGCTATGATTCTTTCACTTGTGGGTACACAAAGGGTGTCTGCACCACCGATCAGTAATACCAGTTTACAAAAAAGTGCGTGCTGTCCGAATTGTCGATTAGAACCCTTAGTTTGTAAAAGGATATAAAAAGAAATAGACAATATCGTATATATTGTACCAGTGCAGCCAATTGACTGGTAGACAGATCCCCAAGTGCGTGCGTGTGTATTAAAGAGGGAAAAAAGGTAGGTGTAAGAGCTCATCTGAAATATACTAACAGATTATATATATATAGTCCTAGAGTAACTTTTAGTATATGAACACAATTCATTTTAAAATAACTTGATAATATATAGATATATATCAACTTGGATTAGACTTATAAATAAAAAGAAAATAAGAGATAAAGCGAATTAAAGGAAGTAGAGTGTTAATTGATCCATAAATATCCAGTGGATCAAACTGTTATAAAGATGTATTAAACCCCATATTGTTGCTCATAGCTCGGATCGGATTTAATTTTAATCAAAATCTTTTGCAGCCGAAATATATATATTCTTGCACAGAACTATTTAATAAACTGCTTGAGAAGTATATGGTACAAGCCAAAGATATCTATTTGTTTAAGTTGCTGTTTAAATAGTTTTAAATAAGAGTATATTTGAAAAATTGAATGGGAAATAAATGATACAAGCTATAGACATATTTCAGTCGAGTTACTATTTAAAAAATCGCAAAGAAATATATAATTATTGAATATAATAGTACCAGCCTTTTTCATTATTAAAATAAAGCCTTTTGGAATTAGATCAAAATAAGATATTGGAATTCATTATATATACTAATATATTAATATGAAATATCAAAAGGCTTGATTATTTGCACGAACAAAGATATATACCAAAAAACACAAGCTATTAGTTAACTGTAGAGTATCGTGTATAAAGTATCAAAGTGCTTTGCTTTCTATTTTTGGTTGGTTTATTTTGATTTTCATATGATTCTATACTTTTTTTAGACAAAACAAACAAACTTACTTGGGCGGTTACCCAGGCTTTTTTTTTTTACGATAAACCTGTTATTTCATGCATGACCATCGCATACGCACTACGGATGCGTTATTGGAATCGCATCCGCACTACGGATGCGTTATTAGAATCGCATCCGCACTACGGATGCGAAAACTTTATCTTTACCTTATTACTTTAGAGAAACCTTTGGATTACCAAATGCATTACCTCAAAACTATAAACGATTATAGTTTTTGCGATTTGTTAGAAAATAAACTTTTCCTCTCCCATATGACCACTGGTTATGGCACCCCCCACCCACAACGCCCCCTTTTCTCTCACACCTCAACTACAGACACAAATATGCCTCGGCTGCATACACACACTTTAAATATATCTACCTCAACTACCCACACATCGACTACCCACGCCTCGACTACCCACGCCTCGACTACCCACACATCGACTACCCACACATCGACTACCCACACATCGACTACCCACACACACATCTCTCTTATAATAAATTCATAACCTATATAAACATATAATAAATAATAAATCATATTTTATTTTAGTTATTTAAAGATATTAAAATAAATAAGATATGCGAGTAGGGAGAGACCAAGTTAATTTGTTTGAAGTGAAAGGGACAAGAAGAATGAGAGTACAGATTATAAGAAATATATGTTTCTTTTTTTTAAAAATATAGGTTTAAGGATTATGTTGTGCATCTATAAAGAGAGATTACTATGGCAGGACTTTGTGTTAGACAATGGCTGTTTGGTCTAGAACTGGATATTTAAAGATATACTAAAAGTAAGAATTTTTAAAAATTGTGTGTGATAGGATGGGGTCATTTTCATTGAAGAAGGTGTTGAAGGTATAAGTATATAGATATCATGTGCATGCGAAAGTAAAAAGACAGTTCTGAGAATAGTAGTATATGTCACTTCAGATATAAAAGAACAGAGTATATGGGTTCCGAGTGCTGAAGTTTGATTATATGGTTATTATTTTTATTTTTATTTTTCAGTAGTAATAAAATAAGAAAGATAGTATGATTGGTATTGTCGGCTTTGAACGCAGTGCGAAGTTGTTGTTGGTACAGGGTTGAAAAAAGAAAAGAATAGAGTGGCGATGACTGTCGACTTTGAAAGCAGTGTAAAGCGGTTGCTAGTGCAAGTTTGAAAAAAGAAAACAATACTGTGAGGATGACCGTCGACTTTGAAAGCAGTGTAAAGCGGTTGCTAGTGCAAGTTTGAAAAAAGAAAACAATACTGTGGGGATGACCGTCGACTTTGAAAGCAGTGTAAAGCGGTTGCTAGTGCAAGTTTGAAAAAAGAAAACAATACTGTGAGGATGACCGTCGACTTTGAAAGCAGTGTAAAGCGGTTGCTAGTGCAAGTTTGAAAAAAGAAAACGATACTGTGGGGATGACCGTCGATTTTTAAAGCGTTGAGAAGTTTATAGGGACACAAAGGTTTGACCAAGGGCTTGCTTTTTGTTAGAGCCGCGTATACAGTGAGCAGTCGTCAAAAAGATAAAATAAAGTGTATTTCGATTTTTTTTTTCAAAAGAGTGTGCTCTCTTTTTATATTGCGACAGTTTCTGTCTACTTTATGTTGCAATATTATATGAATGACGATTCCCAACAGCAATGAAGATCCTTGACAAGGATGGAGGAATGTAGGGAATGTCGAAAGAAGATTCAAGCTATCATTAAAAAAGAATTTTTTTGTTTTGATTACGGCGCAATGAAGGTCACATTAATATACTATCCTCTCTCAACGACTGTAAGTGAACACTGGACGGTATTTAAACCCCCGTATGGGTAACAGTGTCCCTGTCAATGGGCCCTGTTATGGTTCTTTTACTATCGGGTACACAAAGACTTTCTGCACCACCAATTGGTAATACCAGGTTACAAAAAAGTACAAACTGTCCGAATTACCAATTAGCATCCTTAGTTTTTAAGAAGACATAAAACGAAATAGACAATATTGTATATTTTGTATTTGTGCAGCCAATTGACTGGTAGAGAGATCCCTGAGTGTGTGAGTGTATATTGGAAAGAGGAAAGAGATATGTGTAAGAGCTTATCTGAAATATACTAACAGGTTATATATATAATCCTAGAGTGACTTTTGGTATATGGATTTATCACGCGGCGTGTTATCTTAAGGATGTAATTGTCCAAGAAGAAGAGAGATCAACGAGAGAGATTTGTAGTGGACAAACAGAAAATGCGAGAGTGAGAGAGAGAGTGAGAGAGAAAGAGCGAGAGAGAAAGAGCGAGAGAGAAAGAGAGAGAGAGAGAGAGAGAGAGAGTGAGAGAGAAAGAGAGAGAAAGAGAGAGAGAGAGAGAGAGAGAGAGAGAGAGAGAGAGAGAAATAGAGAGAAAGATAATTAAGGAAAGTAAGATGTTAATTGATCCATAAATATCCAGTGGATCGAATTATTTTAAAAGCACATTAAAACACATCTTGTTGCTTATAGCTCGGATCGGATTTTATTTTAAGCAAAGTATATCGATCCTTGCTCAGAATTATTTAACCAATTGATTGAGAAGTGTATGATATAAGCTATATATATATATACTTTTGTAATTGACTGTTTAAATATTTCTAAAAGAGAGTATATATGAGAAATCGGATGAGAAGTTAATGATACAAGCTATATATTTTGGTCAAGCTACTACTTCGATAATTACCGAATATAGTAGTACCAGCCTTTTTCAGTAATAAAATAAAGCATTTTAGAATTTATTTTATATACTAATATATTAATATGAGATTTTGATAGGCCTCATTATCTGCACGCACAAAGATATAAGCCAAAGAGTATAAGTTATTAGTTAACTATAGAGTATAATGTCAAAGTCATTGGACTTCCATTTTTGGTTAATTAATTTTGACTTTTATATGATTGTGTACTTGTTTTAGACGGGAAGCATACTTACTTAGGAAGATAGCTTCGCCTTTTTTTATGATAAAGCTGTTACTCAACGCATGTTCATCGCAAAGGCATTGCTGTTTATGTATATAGAATTCATAACTTCACTACGGATATGAAAGCTGTGCACTTAGATTACTTCTATAGAGAGAGCTCATTAGCTTCAAATATTGTTTATAAAGAATGAGCAAACTTATAGTTTTGCGGTTTTCTCAAGAATACACTGACCTTCACTCTTGATCTTTCTAAGCCACTCTTTATCGCACCCCCTACCCCACTCCCCCCTTCTCACATATCTCACCTACACACACACACACACACACACATAAACCTCGACTACACATATTTTAACTACATATACATCTCTTATAATACTTTTTAAACCTATATATATATAAATAATATGCTTGTAATTAAATCAAATACATATATAAATCATTATAGCTTCTATTTGTTGTGTCTATTTAAATATAGTAAAATAAATAGGGTAGGTGGAGACCGAGTCGAATTGATTAAAGTGAAAGGCTGAAGAAGAATGAGAGTGAATTGTAACAGCGATTTTATTTTAAAAATATTGAAAAGGTTTTGATAGTAGAGTATTTGTATTGTGTAAAGAGTGCGGAATAGTGAGATAGACGGAGGCAGTGTGTAAGAATTTTTTTTTATATATAAGACAGGTTTGAGAATTAGGGTGTGTAGCAATTTTATTATTATTATAGACTTGAGGATTATTGTGTGCGCCTATAAAGAGAGATTACTATGGTAGGACTTTGTGATGGGTGATTTCTGTTTGGTCTAGAACCAGTTATTTAAAGATATAGTAAAAGTCGGAAGCTTTGGAGAATATGTATGATAGGCTGGGGTCATTGTCACTGAAGACAGTCTTGGAAGCATAAGCATACAAGTGTTATGTGCGTGCAAGAGTTTGAAGGTAGTTCTGAGAACAGTGGTATATAGCACTTCAAATATAAAAGAATATAGTGTATAGCTTTTGAGTTTTGAAGTTTTATTATATGGCTATTATTTCAATTTTTATTTTTCAGTGATAGTAGAATAAAAGGATATTATGGTTGTTGATATCAATTTTGATAGCGTTGTGAAGCTGGTGTTGCTAGGCGTAATAGATTTTTTTTTTATTTATTGGTGTCGGTTTTTAAAGCGTTGAGCAGTTTATAGGGACACGAAGGTATGACCGAGGGCTTATTTTTTGCTCGACTTGTATATACCATGGACAGCCATCTAAAAAATAAAATAAAGAATATTTTGGTTTTTTTTAAAAAGAGTGCGCTTCCTTTTTGTATTGCGTCGCTTTTGGTCCACTTTGAGTTGCAATACAATATGAATGTCGATCCCCAACAGGAATGAAGATCCTCAACTGGGATGGCGGAATGTTGGGAATGTCAAAAGAAGATTCAAGCCATCGTTAAAAAAATATATTTTTTTGTTTTGGTTGCGGTACAGCAAAGGTTATTTTAATACACACTTCTCTCCAAATAGTTTTGAGTGAATACTAAATGGTATTTCAACCTCCATATGGATAACAGTGTCCCTGTCGATGGGCTCTGCTATGGTTCTTTTACGATCGGGTACACAAAGGCTGTCTGCACCACCGATTGGTAATACCAGTTTACAAAAAAGCGCACACTGTCCGAATTACCAATTAGCACCCTTAGTTTGTAAAAAGACATAAAACGAAATAGACAATATCGTATATTTTGTATTGGTGCAGCCAATTGACTGGTAGAGAGATCTCTGAGGGTGTGCAAGTGCGTGTGCAAGTGCGTGTGCATGTGCATGTGCGTGTGCATGTGCATGTGCGTGTGCATGTGCGTGTGTGTGTACGTGTGTTGAAGGGAAGAAAGAAAATAGGCTGAACAGTATATCTAAAATAAAGTAAGAGCTATATATAAATATATAGATCGATAGTGATTCCTGGTGTATGTCTGTATCAGTGTATGTTGAAGAGAAGAAGAAGAAGATATATATATATATATATACCTAATAGTATATTCAAGATACAATAGCAATTTATATATATAGTTATAGGGTAAAATTTTGACAATAAATACCGACTGTTTCAAAATAACTCGATAATAATATTCTGTAGGTTATTATTCTTTGATTAAATTCCACCAAGTGTAATTATAAAAAAATCGGTCCGCACCTAGATAGTACTGCATATATTAAACACACTAGAAAACATAGCTTTACCTGTATGAATATATATATATATATATATAGTGCCTATCATACATTTAAAGTATTAACAAAAAAAAAGAACCATGTAATTGTGAACAATTACTATATATATATCGTAGAACAAATCGGTTATAAGAATATATTAAAATGTATATTGTATTATTATCTATAACTTAAAACCGATATAATTTTAATTAGAATCTTGAGGAGACAAGATATATGGGTTATTTTGAAATTATTTGAGAGATATATGATACAAGCTTTATATTTATAAGAAAGTAAAGTTATTATTACTATCGTATATGTTTTTACGATATTATTTTCTTTTGGATTCTGGTGGTCCGAGATTGTCGGAAATATCCATTCAGTCCAGATCGAACGTAATAGGCGGCCGATCCGGACAGAATCATGCTGCTGATATTATCTATTCTTTTTTTTATTGGTTAACGGAAATTTTAATTCTCATTCATCTTGCATATGCACCTTTCTTGATTTAGCTGCAAAACAACTTTATAAATCTTGAGGCTGCATTCTTTATTGGTTAGCAAAAAATACAGTTCTTAATAATGATATACATTTACTATTTATTGGTTGACTAAAAATATATGTCTTATGAATATGAATATTTACTCTCTATTGGTTAACTGAGAATATAGCTCTGTTTAATCTTGCATATCTACTAGTCTTTTAACCAATGAAATATTTCTTACTCATAGTGAAGCTACATGCTTTACTGGTTTGCAAAGATATATAGTTCTTAATAATGATGCATATGTATTATTTATTGGTTGACTAAAAATACATATCTTAGTAATCATACAAGTTTACTTTAGTTTACAGCCAAGAGTTTAATGTAGTTAATAATCATATATACTCATTACTTATTGGTCAAACTATATGTACTTTACTCATTGCGCATACTCATTATTTATTGGTTAAACTATATGTATTTTACTCATTGCACATACTTATTACTTATTGGTTAAACTACATGTGTTTTACTCATTGCGCATACTCATTACTTATTGGTTAAACTATATGCGTTTTGCTCATTGTGCATACTCACCCTTTATTGGTTGACTAATAAATAATATATATCTTGAGTATTAAATTCTACCGTGTACATAATTTGTTACTTTTTTATATTATTTTATAACCCATTCATTCTATTTAATATAAGTTTTAGTATAATATATTTTACAAAGCTTATACAAGAAAGATATACCTATCAGAAAACAATCAAAACAAACATGAGCACAGGCACAAACAGAAAAATAAAGCAAAAAGAAAGAGAATTATAAATATATTCTTTCTAAAAATTATTGGTGTAAAATTAAAATTAAAATTCAATTTATTATTAAGAGTATATGAAATAAAATAATATAATCTAATATAATATATGAGAACAAGACTGTGATTTTATTTTATTTTACTTTTATTTAAAAGTATAAAGCTTTAATAGCTGTATATTCTTTTCATATAGTGAAGAATAAGTAGTGGGTTAAAGAAAGACGTTATTTGTAGACAATATTTGTAGATGGTCCGTGTATGTGGTCCATGTGACAGAGCTTTGACATTCATGATGTACACTAATAAAAAAAAATAAATTTCTATAGTGGGCTGTTGTGCTTGGTAGTGTCCGCCTAATTTAGAATCAGTCACACAAAAATATACTAAAAGTCAAAAGCTTTGAAAGCTATATGCGATAGAATGGAATGAGAAGGTTTCAGAAGTGTGATGATATGAATAGTGTATATGTGCGAAAGTTGAAAGCCAATTCTGAGAATGGCAGTGTATGACACTCTAAGTGTAGAAGAAAATAGTATTGTTTTTGAGTGTTGAAGTTTTGTTATATGGCTTCTATTTCAATTTTTATTTTACTGTTGTAATAAAGTAAAGAAATAGTATGCTTGTTGATGTCAATTTTGATAGTGCAACTATGCTAGTGCTGGTACAGGTTTCAAAAAAAAATGGTACTGTGGTTATCAGTTTCAATTTTGATAGTGCGGCAAAGCTAGTGCTGGTACAGGTTTCAAAAAAGAAAATGATACTGTGGTTATCGGCTTCAATTTTGATAGTGCGGCAAAGCTATTGCTGGTACAGGTTTCAAAAAAGAAAATGGTACTGTGGTTATCGGTTCCAATTTGGATAGTGCGGCGAAGCTAGTGTTGGTACAGGTTACAAAAAAGAAAACGATACTGTGGTGATGATTGTCGACTTTGAAAGCAGTGTGAAACGGTTGCTAGTGCAAGTTTGAAAAAAGAAAACAATACTGTGGAGATGACCGTCGACTTTGAAAGCAGTGTAAAGCGGTTGCTAGTGCAAGTTTGAAAAAAGAAAACAATACTGTGGGAATGACCGTCGACTTTGAAAGCAGTGTAAAGCGGTTGCTAGTGCAAGTTTGAAAAAAGAAAACGTTACTGTGGAGGTGACCGTCGATTTTTAAAGCGTTGAGAAGTTTATAGGGACACAAAGATTTGACCAAGGGCTTATTTTTGTTGGAGCCGCGTATACAGTGAACAGTCGTCAAAAAGATAAAATAAATAGTCTTTTGATTTTTTTTTTAAAAGAGTGTGCTCTCTTTTTATATTGCGACAGTTTCTGTCAACTTTAAGTTGCAATATTGTATGAATGACGATTCCCAACAGGAATGAAGATCGTTGACAAGGATGGAGGAATGTAGGGAATGTCGAAAGAAGATTCAAGCTATCATTAAAAAAGATTTTTTTTGTTTTGATTATGGCGCAGTGAAGGTCACATTAATATACTATCCTCTCTCAACGACTGTACGTGAACACTGGGCGGTATTTAAACCTCCGTATGAATAACAGTATCCCTGTAAATAGGCCCTGCTATGGTTCTTTTACTATTGGGTACACAAAGGCTGTCTGCACCACCGATTGATAATAATCTATATATCTAAAATCAATCAAAATTAGCAGCATCACTTGATATACGAATTTGCCTGTAAAACATCTGTTCACATCTAAAATCTAGCACTTTTACTGTAATGTGCGAGAAGTCACACAATAAGATAATAAGATAGAATG